CTTAGTTTTCTCTTTATAGTGTTTTTGGTTTTATTACCTCGAAATTAGGTCCCGCTCTAGTAATCTAAAGGTTTCTTATAATTTCCTAATAGTGTAGTTCCTATATAAGAATAGCATCGAAGTCCTAGATGTCTAGGTCGTTATATAAAGCGTCCTAAACTCCTAAGCTCCTATATAGATTTGCTTAAAGAATGTTTAGTATACTAATTATAACGACGTAGGTTAATTTCTCTCTCTTATTGCTTTCTATACTCTAGATACTTCCTATAGGTTGTTAGGTGCTTTTCTCTATAGTTATAATACTTAGGTTCTCCTAGTTTATAATTATTATGTCCTTCTTATATATACTATAAATACCTAGTAGTGTTCTTACACTCCCTTTACGTATGTCTAAACTAGTGACAATTATAGTAAGCTCTTAGTCCTCTATTATTATAAAATAGTAAGACTTTAACTATACACCTAAAAAGGGACACCTCTTCTCTATCTACCTATTTCTAGAGCAGTTTCTCTACCTATTCTTTTGTAGCTAGCTTAGCTACTACTAATGTATATACTACGTACTCCTTTAGCCTTCCTAGCCATCTTATTAGCTTAACTTCTACTTCGTTCTCCTTTATAAAGGCCTCTTATGTTTCCTAACTAATTATTCTAGTCTAGTAATCTATAGCTTCTATTTTAGGGACGAAGTTCACTTTAATTAGATACTAGGTAGATTCGATAAGTCTTACCCCTTTAAGGAACATAGGTAACTATTCGTCTATATAGGCTCTTACTACTTTCTTTACCTCTTTATCGATCTTAAAATACGCTAAGTAAACATCTTCGTTTATATGTCTAATTATAAACTGGTTAAGAACGACTTTATCTAGTCCTTTATTAGATCTAATTATAGCTAGGATCCGATTCTTAGTTCTTATTATTAGACTTGTTCTAGTTCGTCCTTCTATATCGAGATTCTTTATATCGAGCACTATATCTACCTCTAGGGATTTCTTTATCTTTTTTATTACACTCCTAATCGAGGTTCCTATAGATATAGGAGGCGACCGTAGTGGACTTAACTAATCTAATAAATTAAACGATACTAATAACCTAGTTAATCTAGTTAGTGTTACGTCTACTCCTTATACTAGTGTTATACTTGTCTCCTAGGTTAGTAGCTATACCCCCCGGACTACGACGCTTACGAAGGAGTCCGTCGTTCCTATCTATATAGACGATAACTAAATGGAACCCTAATTTAGGGCTACTTCTTATAGACTCTTAATGTCTAAGACTAGAGTTGTTACTATTATCTATAGTTGTCTAATCTCTTCCTTATATCTGTCTTTCTCTTCTTTAGCCATTCTTTACGCTTCGAGTAGCTACTATATAATGTCGTTTATTATAACTTCTCTAGGTACGTTGCTATTTCTGTTACTATTAGGTGTAGGGCTACCCTCGGTCTAGTGGTTAATGTCGCTACCATCCTTCTTTGCACTTCTAGTTACCCTTCTTATAGCTATAGGTAAGGTTTTCTTTCTAGGCGTAGCCTCTACTAATGTAGAGTTAGAGTCGTTAGTAAATCGACTATTGCGTCTTAGAGTGCTTCCCTTAGCTCTACCCTATCTTCCTTCTCTTTTTCTCTTTTCTATATGTTCTCTATCTCTTATAAACTAATCCTCTACCTCTTAACCCTCTACGCTGCCTTACGATAACACCTCGAACCTCCCTTTACCTGCTATACCTCTACCTCTCGCTCCTCCTCGGCCTTTCGGAGCTAGCATCTCGACCCTGCACCGTGGCGCTTCGCTAGAAACTCGAGGGAATCACTAGGAGACACTGCCCTAGCTCGTAGTACAATAATAATTGGGTATTTCAATCAAAATTCAATAAATGGGAGGTCTGGACCTGCCCGATGTAGTTGACTTTAAGGTGTTGTTATAGAGTTATGTTGACTTAATGGCATGATAACAAACATTAAGCTATCTGTCAGGGTTGTCCTGACGGCCAGACAGCCCCGAGTTTGCTCCGAGCTCCAAGGCCTCAGTACTTTATGTCCGCCCAAGGACACCGTCTCTCGTCGGACGCCTCTACCCACTTTATCGTCATCAAAGGCTACAAGCGCGTGGAGACCGCTCAGATACCACATTCACGTGAAGGAGAAGTATCGCAAGTAAAGCTTTGATCTGATCAGCATCTCAGCGATTCCAAGAAATCTGATCAAGATGTCCTTACCAAGCAGGGGTACCAGCAGTACAATTGACATCGTTTCGGCAGCGGTCGCATTGTGCTTGGTTACAGCCGTCTTGTCTGAGCGATAGGCGTTGGTGTTGGAAGCGGAAGGGTGGACGCAGGATCAGTCTGGACTGGAGGCGTGTGGGAGACGCGTTGGTAAGATCAAGAAGCAACATCATGAGAAAGGTCAGGGAAACGAGGTGCATTTTGGTGTTTTGCTCTTGTATTTGCGGTTCGGTCGTCTAGAGATGGATAGTGCTTGGAGGAGAATGATACTCGACGAGATTGATGCTGTCTTGCTGTTGGTCAAGACTTGGCTTTTATACCCTTACTCTACGATGTACAAACATTGCCGCAATCTTGAATGACTCGGTATAGTTTTGAGACCACGTCACTTGATACCACCCGACCATGATCCATGTGAAGAACGACAGAGATCTGACCCGGCTCTGATACTGCTGGCAGCCAACCGCGAGCTCTCGTCCGTGAGGATTCGCATCACGAAGCTTGGGAATGGTAAGACAGCTTGTCATGTCAGAAGGCGGCGGACGGCATTTTGCTCGTTTGTGGTGACACGGTTTGTCCGGAGACAGCATGCCGGTTCGGCGGGGACAGAGACACAAAGCGACTGACTACCGTTTGTCCTTGCTTGCACCCGCGATTCGGAGTCAGACATGGCGTTGATGGCATGATCTCCCCGGCAGATTCAAGGTACAGAGCCAAATCTTATCATATGTCAGGAAGGGTTGTGTGTGTTGCTCGACATGGTGGGAGTGGAGGAGGTTGGTGATTGAGCCAACTGCGGCTGAAGTCGACCACGGATGATGGAAGCCAAGAAGTCAGGACCATCTTCTTCGATCTCGCGTTTAATTGTTGACCTGTTCCAACATCCGCAACAACAATCTGTTTGACGCAGGTGGCCTTCCAGATTTGAGGGAAACGATGTCGGTGAAAGTGGAATGTGTATAGAGTAATGTCAAGAGATTGACGGAACCGCGGATCGCGTCGCTTCAGATGGCAGGCATCCGCCGCAGATGAGTAGAACGGTCCATTTTGATTCCATCTGATCTTCTCTCCAAGTTCATCTATGTTGTGTTTTGGCACATACGCAAAGGCAAGCGGCGTCGATTGGCGTCTGCAACGACGCTGATCTCCTTGTGACAGCCTCTTTTGTCATTTTCCTTTGCAGGCTTCGCGTCAAGCATAGGTTGGATGTCATGGAAGGAACGTTTCTGCTCTGGTCTTTCGCAGAGTGGCTGTAAAGCACAAGCTCTGTGAGACTTCTCCGACTGGATCTCTCATCTATCGTATTTCCATTCACCCCCCGGCCAGTTTGGCCCAGAGGCCGCATGCCCTTCTCGAGACATGCCCTCTGATTGAAATTAACATCCAGTTCTTGGTGGCTACTTTTGGATTGGGACCTTCTCCAGTGGAAGAAAGCCAAATCCACTTTTTGGAAGAGCAAGCACTTCATCAACAGTAGCAGCACTTATCCAACTAGCCTCCAGTACAGCACAGTAGAGCATTCTCGATACCTAGGCATGGCTTACGTCCTCTCTCTAATGCCCCAGAGTCCTCTGGGCACTCCTTACGACCAACGCAATTACGAAAGATCATGGTCATCATTAGGCAGTACAGGTACCGTTCACCATCGTCGTTCGAGACAGCTGTCCGTCGGATCCTTGGCCTCTGCAGCTTCGGTGTGTGGTCCATCATGGCGTACACCCTCGAACAACAGTACCCCGCTCCGATCCACATCATACTCGGACTTTGAGAACGGAACCTATCCTGCAGTACTCCATCGTCCAACCGCTTCGAGCAACATATCCCGTCCCGTGAGCGTCCCACCTGCTGTCCCACAACTCGTGCCTCTCGCCTCGCCCCTGCCTTCTCCTACTGAGTCCGAACCGCTTCTCGGAACCCTAGCTTTGAAGAACGAACATTCAGGCTTGGACCTTGTCGACGAAGAGAGAGGTGACTGGGAAGAAGACCATGCTTTGCTCGGGTCCGACATCTACGACAGCTCGTGTCCGAACATCGAACTTCCCATTGCCAATCAAGGCACTGTGGCATCCTCTCAATCGATCCAGGAACCCTTCTCGAGATGGATGAACACTCTGAGACTGAAGAAGGCTTCGTACAAGAATCGCGTTCGTCCGAAGCTTGACCAGCTGTTCCCACACCCTACAGACCACTCCGTTGTCAACTCCCCAGAGCCGTGTGTCAGAGGCCATCGCAAGTCGGGATCTTGGGCTTCATCGTCAAACTTCGTGACGGCCGTCAAATCCGCAACCATCACGGTCGCAAGCGCAAGCATTGCTCCCTTGTCCAGGTCAGCCAGCAAAATATCAGGCCATCCTAGGCTCCATCGCGGAAGCAGTGGACTGTTCGAGTCAGAGCCTCGATTCTCGACCGACAGCGGTCGTCCTTCCTTGAGCCTTGTCATTGATGATGCCGCACGTCAAAGAGCAAGGAAACGCCGTGAGAAGATCGAAGAATTGATCAAGACTGAGGAAAGCTACCTCTCGGACCTCAAGGCTCTAAGCAACGTAAGTCCATCCTGCATGGGTGCGACGAGATCTTTAGCTAAAATGTATGGTGTAGGCATACTTTACATTTCTGCCGCCTACCTCGCCGTTCACAGGACCTCAGACCCGAGCTTCGGCTCGCAGTAATATCACCAACATGCTTCAGCTTCACACTGAGCTACTGGAAGACCTGCACCAGGTGATCCCGTTCTCAGAACATGATCAAGCGATTGCCGAGACTTCGACACCCAAGCGTAAGCCTTGCCATATCAGATGGCACAGCGAGGACTCGATACCTGTTCGAGGGCCTCCGCTGGTGACCAGTCATACGGGCTGGTCAAATCGTTATTCGCTCGACTCGCACAAAACTCCGAACCAGGACCCACTTTCTCTGACATGCACACCGACCACAGCTGCTGATGTTGGTCGTATCTTCGCGAAGAACGTTAGTCAACTTCCGCAGCCCATGATGGGCTTCGATGCTGACAGCTTCAACAGATTAAACGGTTCGCCTTGTACGAAGAATACAGTGCAAGGTGTGAGTCGATGCACGACGATATTGATGTCACTCAAAGATCGTCTTTCTCTGTCTGGGACTACGATCGAGCCATCGAGACGCTCTCGGCTTCTGTGAACCCTGTCAAAAGTCGAGAAGCGAATCGCAGAAAGGCGCTCAGCATCAAGGACTTGCTCATCAAGGTGATGCTTACAACCCGACCGTGAAAAAATACAAACTAACACTCCTGCAGCCCATTCAGCGAATCACACGCTACGAACTGCTTTTCAAGGATCTCTGCCGCGTCACGCCTTCTTGCGATGACCCTACCTCGCATGCAGTTCTGGACGACGTTCTCTACCGCTTGGGCGAGACATGCCGCAACGTTGATGATGCAAAGGATAACCCAGACAAGCTCCGATTGATGGAGAACTCCAGGCTTCTTCAAGAGCGACTTTGCTTTCCAGACAAGGTAAGAAATGCTCCAATGCTGGCAAGTCGTGTTACTGACCGGCCTAGATTCCACGTGAACTTCTTTTCCAGCGTCTCGGCAGACTGTCCCTCTGCGGCACTCTTTACGTCGCCTACCGCAACAAGACCAAGTTCAATGGATGCTACATGATCTGTGTCTTGTATGAGTCGAGTCTTCTGCTTGCTTTATCGGATCGCCGCTCGTCCAAGTACAAGGTCGTGGTTGGTACCTCACTGGCATCTACCAGTATCGAGGACAGCGACAATGGCAAAGGCATGTTTCATGCAACTTGCAACGAACAAGTTACTGACTTCTTCAGGTCTTCAATGCCACACAGCACCCTTTACCTGGAAAATCGTGTTCGAAAGCGCTGGTAAGATGTATGAGCTGATCATGGGTGCTTGTTCAGAAGTCGAGGAAAGCGTCTGGAGAGACCGTCTCGCTGGTCGAATTGCTGTCGAGGCGCAGCATGTTATCGAAGGCCACAGCGCCCCCATCGACCTTCAATCACCACTCACCCGGGAACTTTGCAGCTTCGGCAAAGCTTATAGCAAAGCTAGAGGCTTTGTTCGCCGACTCTCCGTCCATCGAACGGCCACAGTGGGACCCATGGTGGACAGCAACCAAGTCATCATTATGCACACATCGGCTCCAAAGGATGATCTTAACAACTCTTCTACGTCTTCACTGCCTGGACGCTCCAAGTCACTTCCGACGACCAGTGGCGTACCCATCTTGGCACCCATGAGAGCAGAGCGTATCAAAGTGGAGGCTGCAATGTTTGATGTATGGACAAAGGACTCGATCCCGTATCCAGGCATGGGCTCCAGGCGCACGGAGAACATTTTCAAGGACACAGCCAGTGACTTGCTGCGCAAGCTGAGCATGGCCAGTATCGCCAGCAATTTCTCCAGACGTTCAATGAGTTATACCAGTGTCCATCAGAGTCATCAAGCACCGGAGAAGCTGGTCAAAGCAAAGCCAGTGCCACGACCTGACACTCTCAAGCCGAAGCGTCCACCTCTTGTCAACTTCCACAATGCTCCAGATGCATTCCTGCCCGAAGACTTCGAACTCCAAGGACCAGACTCAAAGCGTAGCCGTAAGCTTGGATTGCGAACGTTGACTCTGACAGACCGACCACGGTCACCCTTTTTCTTCACAGAAAACAAGGCACCGGAGATCAAGCGAGCCAAGAGTACGACACAGGCGCGTGCACCAGCAGAGGTAGAGGTCAAAGCTGAAACGATCGAGGAATCGGGTAGGAAGGATAGCTTGCGACCACTCGAGAGTGATGTCGCTAACACAATGGCGAGCGAGGTGAAGGGTGAGACGAAGGTCGTAGATCCTGATGTGATGAAAAAGAAGAGGCCAAGGCTCTTGAGGTATCTGACCAGCAAGTCTCGGGTCGGTGACGAATGATTGGGATGATGCAAGGTATTTCTATGGTCAGGTGAGACCTCGGTCCTGGCTACGAATGTGGAGAAAGGGTCATTCAAATCGAAGCTTGGTCGCTGATGGAACCGACTGGGAAGTCTCGGGCTCTCGCTATGACAAGCATAGGTAACATTGGGTACAAAAGCATCACATAGCAGCAATAGACCTTTCAGTCATGAGCTTTCTTGTGGTCGGATAGAACCACTCGGGCATTGAATGACGAGCTTCTGCTTGTTTCCATCGTTGGTCGCCTGTTTATGCCAAAATATGGGGATCGGAGTGGCATTGCTCGGAGAAGGCACCGAACACAAAGGTCTCTGATACTGAACGTCCGATTTGCCAAGTAGTCTCACACAACTTCCTCTGACAGTGTAGAAGGATGGTGGACTGCGACAAAAGTCATGTGTTTCAATACTAGAGCAGTAGGTGGAGATAGTCACTGAAAGTCTACGTGTAACTTCACTGCACCGAGCCTCAAGTTCTCTTCGTACTCGTGAAAAGGCAAGATGTGCTGCAGAAGGGATCGGCGGCGTCTGATAGCAACCCCCCGCTGCAAGGTACCTATGACGCAGGAAAAGTGATCCGTGCTGAAGCTATGAAGTCAGGGAAGTCGCGTGTTCAATGAGGCTTCAAAACGACCTTCAATTGTCTTTGTCAAGCATTCTTCCTTTCTTCATCACACAACTCAATTGCATCAACAGCTCAAACCAACTGCCAATCTTTACACTCGTCACCAACCACTCACTTCCACCAACACCGCAAATATGAGAGGAAACGCCGCCCAGGTCAAGGTCCACTTCAAGGGAGCCGACGACGACTACATCATCTTTGTCGACTCTGCCCAGGCCGTTCGTGATTGGAAGGCCGACAAGTCTGTTCCTCTTGCTCAGGTCGTCAGCGGCTGGAAGATCCTTGTGTCACACAAGTACGTGTCGACATGACAAGCTACCCCGCTACACCCCATCAAGGCTAATCAAACAACCAGACAAGGCACCACCGGTATCCTTGACACTGCCTCCAACAGCCAGCTCGACAACGAGTTTGGAACTCACAAGGAGGAGGACGTAGTCCAGCAAATCCTTGAGAAGGGCGACATCCTCGAGACCGAGGTAAGACGATACAAACACACTAGACTACAGCGAGCATGTATTGACACAATGACAGAACTCTGCCCGCAACGGTGACAGAAACATCACCCAAGGCCCTTCGGTCGGCCACTAGACGTGGTCCGATGCACCACTCCGAACAGCACGCAAGCGGTTGCGACGCCTCTTTCCTGAGCGCCAGCACTCATCACGTCGTCGCCCATGCCACTCCGGCTGGCAGCATAGATAGCGATGCGGGTGTCATATGAGCACACATACTTTCACTCTTCCGCTATCAGGTTCAGATGACACCTGACGACATGACTCTTTTACATAAGTCATTGATACCACATCATGAATGAAATGAAATCCAAGTTAACAATTGTCTTGTGCCTTTGTATAGTGACCGTATCCGTTGAGCTGCCTCCCCATGTGCCGACGAGTGTCATGTTGTAGCTATGAAAATATACAAAGGACTTCCAGGTCGGACACGTAGCCAACAAAAGCGACAGGATTTCTGGAATCGCCTCGGGTCACGACCAAGGGCAGCGTCAGGTCGACAAACAGGTGCACTCAGACTTGTCTCACATGTCTCGACGCCCAAAACCATCAACGCAGCATCCAAGTCTGGATGAGCATGATATAACCAGCCAGCCGTGACAACACAACATCACTCTGCTGTGTGACCGACTCACACCTCGTTATCGGCTCATCGAGTCACCAGCACATGTGATTGATTTACTATCAACTTATTCCTTCACTTTCAGCCGCTCCACCTTCACCACAAACGCAACCGCAAACGCAGCTCAACCATCGAGAATCTGCGAACAAGACTCGCGACCATTGCTATTGTCGGCTTACGTTCACTTTACCATAATGTCAATCACAACGCCTAGCATAAGCGACATGCTCGAAAGACTGCCGGACGAGATCTTTGATCACATCGGCGACTACGTTACCACATCCGAAGCGACCGCGATGCCTTCAAGGACAATGGACGCGTCTATGGATCCCTCAATCCCACCCGCCGACGGATCATCGCCTTTACTTGGACTGCCTCGCGAGTTGCGCCGCGCCATCTTTGCTTATGTCTTGCCGCCCGAGGACAAGATCGTTGAGCCTTATGACAAGCTCACCAAGCCTGAAGCTGCTCCTGATGCTGCGTCAGTTGCATCTGCCGTCCCAGCCGCGCCTATCGCACATGCTGCTCCTGGCTTTGCAACAGTCATACAGACACACATCCAATGGTTGCAGTCACATCAGCCGACCAGACACTGTCCCGCAAAGAAGAATCGGAAGCCAGTCAAGGTGGAGCTCACTCTTGCCGTAGGCGACGCGCTTATCCTCTGCAAGTCGATCACCGCCGAGATTCTGATTACACTGTACGAAGAGCGCACCTTTGCTCTCAACGTCTACGACGGCATCCGAGATGGTGGCATTGAGTTTCTCAACTCTGGTCGTCAGCGTCTGCAGTACCGTGAGCACTTCACTTTCGTGCGTTTCAAGCGCTTCGAAGACCCTGATGATCCTTTTGGTTTCTCACGCATCAAGCGCCTCCTGATTCGTGTTTACCCAGCCACTGAGGCCGGCAGACAGCGCAAGAGCAGTCGCCATGATGCTGTGCACACTCACTTTATGCTCCGCGCTCTGGTCAACTTGCTCAAGCAGAATGGCGAGCATGGTCTCAATCAACTCTGCATCCGCTTTGTTGAGCCTCAGAACACTTCATGGAGTCCTCATCCCTGGCAAAACACTTCCAAATTCTCTGTGCGCAACTCTTCTATCCATGGTATCTCTACTGTCGAGGTCATTCTGCGCGGCCTGCTCGAACTTCGCCAAGTGCAGACTGCAGTGTGTGAACTTCCTCCTGGTCTGTACAGAGACACTGCCCTCGCTGCTTTTGTCGACCGCCTGCAGGGCGTCATCACCTGCAAACTCCACTCTAGCACCATCGACGACGAAATCACCACCATGATCGAAGGCGCCAGAGATATGCTCGACAACTGGATCCATCTCACCATGTTCAGCACCAAAGCCTCGAGAGCCATGACTGGCCTGACAGATGCCGATTTCATGAACGTGGAGAATGCCGATGCTTTCGATTACTCTCCGGACGAGGATGGCTTCTACGAGACACCTGTTGATATCATTGAACCCGCAAACGAGTCTCAAGCCGTGGTCCCCCCGCCTCAGCTTCGCGATGTCTACGAAAAGCGTATCACGACTACCGATGCCACATACAACGAGGACAAGGATGCCAAACTTCACACCTCCGAATCCGAGTCCAAGCCCAAGCCTGGACCCTCGTCATCAACCAAAAACGATGCCAGACCCGCTCGCACCAACTCGACCAGACGCTCAGCTCGCAAGTCTCCCCTGACTTCCGCCAGTCGCGAATCCAGCGGCGGCGCTTCACTCTTTGGAATAATATCCTCGATGACGACGATTCGTTTGTCCGTCGCCCTGAGCGTCGCTCATCGGCACACCTTGACAGCATTGCATCTGCTGCTAGACCAGGACTGAGAAGGTCGGACAGGTTGCGCGCTCGCAATACTGGTGCCGATACTGATGTGGAGCACTTGCCATCCCTTTAAGGGGCAGATCCTCAAGGCCATGGACCACGCAGCTTGCTGGCAACAACATCCAGGGACTGCAAGAATCGCAATGGAACAGATTCGACGAGAAAAAAAGGACGCAGTAACGTGGCGCCTTTGACGGAAAAGTTGGAAACTGGCTCAAAGATGGATAGATGGAAACGTACAAACGGCTCGGTGATGGAAAAATAGGCACACGGAATGTCGTGTTGCTCTTGCTTGCCTCTGATGAACGCTACAGAGACAATCGCTTCTTTCACTTTGACACTGAGCAGCGAACGGACTGCATAACTTTGCTTGATAAAATGTAATGAATAAAAAGAGGATCATGATGGCATTTTTGAAAACTTTTCTGTGGAAGCCAACAATTCTCTAGACCAGGTTTTGTCTATATCAAGTCTGACTTAGACAGCAACGCTAGATCTTCCTTTCCTCTGGAATCCAGCAATCAAGAAGGCCAACTCGAGAGCCTGCTTCTCATTCAATCTGGGATCACAGAAAGTCTCGTATCGGCTTCCCAGATCCTCATCTTCGAGACCAACACTTCCACCTGTGCATTCGGTAACAGCATCGCCCGTCAACTCCAAATGCACACCGCCCAGGATACTACCCAGGGCGCGGTGAATGCGCAGCGAAGCCTCCAATTCGTTGAACACTGCGCTGAAAGATCTGGTCTTGATGCCAGTGGCGGTGGAGCGGGTGTTTCCGTGCATGGGGTCGCATTGCCAGACAACGATGTGGCCGCTTTCTCTGACGGCTTTGATGTGCGTGGGAAGCAGGTCTGAGACCTTGTCTTGACCGTAGCGAGTGATCAGTGTGACTTTGCCGATTTCCTTGTCAGGGTTCACGACGTCGAGAAGTTCGCAGAGATCGGTCACGGAGGTCGTGGGACCGACTTTGATACCGATGGGGTTGACGATGCCGCGGAAGTATTCGATGTGGGCGTGGTCGGGCTGACGTGTGCGGTCGCCTACCCACAGGAAATGAGCGGAGGTGTTGTAATGGCCTGATTCGTCTTCGTCGTCTTCGGAGTCGCTGTTGTTGACGACAGGGGTGGCACCAGCACATGCGGTGAACTTGTTGCGAGGATGTTGGAGTTGTCTGGTCATTGCGCTTTCGTATTCGAGCAGCAGGCCCTCGTGGGATGTGTAGAGATCGACAGTTTGGAGTTGTCCGGCTGTATCGGCGCCGATTGTGCGCATGAAACGGAGGGATTCAGCAATCGAGTCGACGATCTTGTGGTAGCGCTCTGCAAGGTCTGGGTCTGCTACGTGACCCAGATTCCAGTCCAAGGGGTTGTGCAGATCAGCGACACCAGACGCTAGCTGAGCACGAAGGTAGTTGAGAGTTGCAGCAGAATGGAAGTAAGCTTCAACAAGACGTCCAGGATCAATCGCTCTTTCCTCAGCAGGGAAACCGTTCAAGATGTCACCACGGAAAGAGGGGATCTTTGTGCCGTCCGGTTGGCTCTCCATTGGTGAAGATCTGGGTTTCGCGTACTGACCAGCCATACGTGCGATACGAACCACAGGCTTGTTGGCACCGTAAATCAAGACCAGAGACATTTGCAGTAGCAGCTTGGTTTTGCTGTCGATAGAACCAGCGTTGCAGTAGGAGAAGAGTTCGGCGCAATCACCACCTTGGAGCAGGAAAGACTTTCCGAGCGCAACATCTCGTAGCGAGGCGCGCAATTTCCAGATCTCGTGAGCGGTGACAAGAGGAGGCAAGTTGGTGAGTTTGGTCACGGCCTTGTTCACGGCAAGCTGATCATCGTAGACGACCTCTTGCTTGATGGGCTTTGAGCGCCAGGCTGTAGACGTGTCAATTATGGAAAATAGCCAGAATAAATATCGACTAACATGTCGGTGTCCAGTCGTTTGTAGCTGCCATTGTGTGTATAAAGACCTTCCTGAGATACTGATTTAACGGGAGTTAGTATACGCGACCGGTAGGTTTGTCTAATGAGCATCGGGAAAGAAGAGGAGCAGTGTTCGCTCGCTTCCTCTTGTGAGAATTTGGGAAAGATGATGAGAATGCAGGAGAGTGGGCAAAAACGCCTCTTGTTTGATATTGACGGAAACGCGTGACAATAAATTTCGAGTCGAGAAAAGAATTTCAGACAAAAGTGCATGCTTCAATGACAGACGAGCAACAACGTGGATGAAAAATCAGTGCCTACCTTGTGCTAGATCTCGAGCAACGTTTGCAGAGCAATTGGGGAGTAGAGTCTCAGGAAAGGGATGTATCTTTGTGAGTCAAAGGCGCACGACACGGTCCCGCCAAAGGGCGTGGTTTCGAAATTATTGACAACCTCTAAACTCCGTCTCACCCGATTCATGCCAAGCCTCGAGGCACTCGAAAACTGTCTACGTCACTGCCAAGCAGATCAAAACACCCGAGTGAACATCATCCTGACCACAAACCACGAACTATCTTTTTCCTGTAGAGAAGAGAATTTCAACATGGCCGAACCGCAGCCTTCCGAGATCAAAGAGGGCGACCAAGCTCCCTCCGCCATCCCAGGCAGTAACAAATCCGAGACCGCGGCCCTGAACTCTCTAGACAGCCAAACCACAGATACCAAATCCGCCAACACAGCTTCAACAGCAGCATTAGGAAAGGCGATGAAGAACTTGAATCTCTCCAACGATGAGAAGTCAGAGGTGAAGAATATCAAAGTTGAACTCGCAGATGTAGTTCTATTGGTAAGCGCAAGGAATTTGAAAGACAATGGCTGCAAAAAAGCATGCTAAATGATGGGTTTCTTGCAGTCTGAGAATTTGGACATCTCGAGAGCCAGAGCTACGGAGTTGCTGAAAGCGAATGATGCGAATCCAGTCCAAGCCATGCGAGCATGGGTCAGTTCATGAGAACGTCATACGACGGCCAAAGTTTCGAAGACCAAAGTCATGAATGGAGAGGAACCAAGACACGAATTGCGGTCACAGCATTACAATCATTTTCAAAGGCAACAACTTTCCTCTTGCTCTCATGTCCATGGATCTCAGATACTCGAGATCGGGTCGCAGATTCGAGTTATCAAGAAGGGTCAAGTGGTAGGACATCAGACGATGAAGTCGCATGCTTCCCGCGACCTCACAAAACTCTATCCTCCAAACTCCCTCGTCCAAGCCTCGCTCCCGCCATCTCTATCAACCCTTATATTCCAGAAAGTTCAAGTGTCCTCCACCCCAAAAAAAGAAGCCGTGGTGGTGCAGTGGTCAGCACACCCGACCTGGTATCCTACGTTCGCTTTCCTACGCTCTCGCTTACCTAAGACCCTAAGTCTCTCCCTCTCTCGAGGGTCGGGAGGTCGCTGGTTCGAATCCAGCCCACGGTGCTCATTTATCTTTTTGTTCTTTGTGTTTTGTTTCTTTGCTTGATGCTGTGTGAGTGTAATGTTTTCGATAATTCGTAGGTAGGTATACAACTGAACAACAACAACTACCCAAAACGAACAAAGCAGAACCCTAAACGCCACCAACCCAACCAAACCTTCATGATCTCGTAAACATCTCCATCTCTCAATCTCTACCACCCATAAAAGTCAGACGCCTGTTATCCTCATCTCTAATCCTCAACTTCCTTACTCTATCCACAGGCGCAGTCATCTGCCCAGCCTCAATCGCAGCACTGCTACACCCGAGCGAAGCAGGAACTTCAAACTTCGCAGTCGGCTCGTCGAAAAACGCATCTGCCATCTCCTCATCATCGTCCCAAGAATCTCTCGCTGCTTGTTTGCGCCCAGGTGTCTTCTTGACCGGCGAATCATCGCCCCAGAAACTCGATGCTAGAGATACTCTCGCCAGGCTCTTGTTCGCGCGAGCGAGGTTGATGCTTTGAGGGCCTTCAACGATGCTTTGTCTGCCACTGACGCTTTTCCTGTTGGCGCTGCTGTTGGCACTGCTGGTGTTGCTGTGGACGATATTACCGTCTACGTTCCTCAGGGCAGCAGGCTCCATCGACTTTCTTCTTCTGCGGCCGCCGCGGGGTACTTCGTCGAGGTCAACGGTGTAAATATCTGATTGTTCGTCCATGCGAGTGCCGTTGCGCTCGCAGTCCGTTACCCATCGAGAGTTGACACAGAAGACTTTTTTGCCATTGGGGTCTTTGTTGCTCAAGCGTACTCTTTGGAGAGTAGTGGGAGATCCATCCTTGAAGATGACATGAGTAACGCGATCAGACCAAGACTTTGTCGTACGGGCACCCAGACCCTGGAGGAGAGCTATAAAGGGACCCGAAGCAGAGGAGCCGTCCAGCGTAAAGATTTCAACCAATGCCGTGACAGACTTCAATGGTTGCAAGGGGTGCGGCGTCATTGGATATACGGCTGGAGTTGCAAGGCCAGCAGCTTTGAGAGGTGTCTTCATGGGTGTTCGCGGAGCCTCGCGAAGACGCTTCACCGGACTACGGCTGGCGTCACGAAGCTTCAGGGGATTGCGCATCTTAATCGGGCTACGACTGCTGCTGCGGTTCTTGTAGGGGCTACGGCTAGCGTTCCGTGCCTTGAAAGAGGAGCTTGGTGTATGTCTTCTAGGCTTTGCACCCGAGAAAGGCACGTAAGGGGAGACTGGATTCAGCTGAAGCTGAGCAGTGCGGGTACGACTCTGAGATGGTAAAGAGCCACGCTTGCGAGAGCTTGGTTGCTCTGGTGGAGGCAAAGAGTGTATGTGAGCTAGGTCTGAGATCGTGTGTTCCAAAAGTGACTTTCTCACTGGCGACCTTCGCTGCTTGCTGGCCCACAACTTTGCGAACGAGTCACTGATAGTTGGCTTGATGGAAGTCTCGGCAGTACGCGGTCGAAGATCACTGGCTACCGGAGTATGTAAAGAGGCGGCGGGAAGTGATTTGCGACGAGAGTCAAATGCGAAGGTCGACCTTGCGTAGCTCGGAGAAGTTGGAGGAGCTAGAGAAGACCTACGTCCACTTCGGGCCTGCTCGTTTGGTGTCGAAACACTCTTTGATTGCAGAGACCGGCGACGGGAGCTGTATCCTGGAGTTGATGGTTCCACAGCATGAGCAGCAGGAGTCTGGACACCTGCTTTGGCAGGAGAAACATGATCGAAATCAACCAGATTAAAGATGTCATCCTGAAGCAGGCTCATGCGCTCTTTTGAGAATCCCATGCTCAAGCGCTCACGAGAAGCAGGTGTCGCAAAGTATGGAGTAGGAATGGCTGCAGCATTTTCCAGGTTGGAGGCCAGCTTGACACCATAGTCGTCCACTTCCAGAAGCGAAGGGTTGATCGTCGCAGTTTGATCATCCTCTAATTCCGCGTGCTCGTTCACTGTCACGGATGGGCTGTCGTTCACTTCAGTAACGTCGGTACCTCCAAGTGCAAACTCCATCCGAGGAGTTTGGAGCATCTTGGCTGTAGCTGTTGAGAATGATACTCGAGGCTTCATGTTTGGAGTAGATGCGTCGTCGTCCATCAAAGAGAGTAGGTCATTATCGTCGATTGAAAGTCTCGATGCTGGAGCAATCTCTTGTGTAGGCGAATCAAGATCGCGTCGAATGACGGAGCCGGGAGTTGAGGGTGCAGGAGACGAGAGAAGTTCCGAGTCGTCAACCTCAATCTGAGGAGGTTCCGCGGCGACAGAAGCTGGTGATGAGGGCACAGATGTGGTGAAGTCTGCCGAAAACAGCGGCTCAGGCAAACGACTGTCGTCGATCGTGCTGTCTGACTCGTCTGAGAGGTCATCTTTCATATCTGATTGCGCAGGAATATATTCAGGCTCTTTCTTGTCACTGACTTCGACAATTGTATCCTCGTCAAGCTCGTCATCCTCTTCTTCTTCCTCTTCGAGGTCCCGTCCAGTACCGGCGAGTTCGTCTTCCGAATCGCTTGAGACGGCCTCGAACTGGATGGTATGAGCTGGTGTGGGCATGATGACAATGTCTTCGTCTTGGAGCTGCTTGAGTTGATCGTCGAGTTCGTCGGCACTCGATTCCTCCAACTCTGTTTCTGAGTCTTGGTCCTCCTCGGTGATCTCGAGATCCGATTCATGATTGGCAGCTGGTGGTACAGGGATCTGACGTGGAGTCTGGTGCTTCAGAGGACGGAAGACCATTGGTTTCTCTGCTCCTCTAGCTACAGTCATAGGACGAGGAGGGGAAGAAGTGCGTGTCGCGTTGTGTGGCATGCGCTGCGTCTGAGGAGTGCCTTGGTTCGTCCTGTGGCTCAGCAATCTGCGGGCGGGAGTCTGTAGACTGCGAGCAGTCTTTGAGGATGCGGCTGTTCGTGGTGCAGCTTGGCTTCTGGTAGTGCGTCGCATCGGTGTCTTGGGTCCGCAGATTTCGTCCTCGGAAGAGTTATTTTCCTCGTTCTCGTCGTCCTCGTCCTCCTCTTGGGTATCGAGTTCAGACTCTTGCCTGTGTTCTGGCTTGCGAGGCTTCGGCGTCTTTGATTGTTCAACCTTTGGCACATCTTCGACCTCTTCTTCCTCGCTGAATTCTTGGTTCGTCTCAAGTTCAACTGCCGACTCAGACTCAGTTTCCGGTTCTGCCTCTTGATCAAGCTCTGGCTCTGGCTCTGGCTCAGGCGTGTGTTCAGCCTTTCTTGATCTCGTAGCTCTCGCTGTTGTGGGGGGTGGTGACGCGACTTGGTCGACGTTTCCGGGCTCTTCAACCTCGGTTTCTGGTTCTGGCTCGGGCTCGGGCTCAACCTTTCGCGATCTCAAGGCTTTTCCCCTGGCGACTTCAGGAAGGGCAGGTTTTCGGCGAGTGGTAGGATTCCTGGCGGGAGCAGGCTCTGGTGGTGGAGCAGCAGCTGCGGCACGTGTCTGACGTTTTGGACGAGCGGGTGGTGCTGATGCTGATGCTTTTGATGATGTGGAGGCTGTTAATTTTGCAGATGTGGCGGCAGCTGATGCCTTCGTGGGTTTAGTCATGGTCGTTGACTTGGCTGATGTGGTGGTGGACTTTGCGGTAGCTCGACGGACAGGCTTCTTGCGTAGAGCCAACTGTGTGTCGTTTTCCTTGTCATCGGTCGCATTTGGAGCCTTTTGGGCGACCATAGCTCGTGTAGCGACCATGGCTGTCGCTTGTGTGTAGTCGAGCTGCTGTGAGTTAGTAATGGGCGAGAGGAGCGAAGTTTAGTCTCCAGGTCCAGTGTTTACTTTTGTACACAAACAATTCCCGTCGGCACCTCGACGTCCGTGCACATGACCCTGCTGGTCGCCCTAAGTCCGTCTTATTTCCCATCTACTGTGCCATCATGGACGGCTGCCTGGGAAGGAGCGACCCAGTACCCTCCCTTCTATCACGACGTAGAAATTTATGCCATCCGCATGACTCTGCAAGCCATCGCTGCTGACGATTGACGGTTGCTCTTGCATCGTCTGGCATACTTACCCTGGAACCTCGGCCGGAAGCTCGTTTCAGCAGCGATGAGCTTGGTATACTGTTGGCTATATGCGATACGATGCCATTTTCTCAACACACTCCGTCACTTACTTTTCCTCATGTACGAGCTGTAGAACACCCTAGTAACGAAAACTGTACATCAAAGAAGAGCAAAAAGGATCGAGAGATACCTCGGTACATGTCATCAAAAGAGCATTTTGAGAAAGCTACATAAAGCTATACCCCCCATATCGAAAGCAATGTCAGCAATCCCAAGCCGCGAATCTGCAGACTCCGAATGACACAAAGAACAATAAAACGCCACATCTCCCGTCCCGGAAAAAGCGATAAAAAGTTATTTGGCATGCCCCCCAGCCAAAGAAAGAAACCCATACGCCCCATGCCCAGCCATTGCACCCAGAAGTGATATAAAACGCCAGCTCCCATGATAGGTCATTCTCATCTTTCTCTCATCATTCTACTGGACTCATTGCTCCGACACGAGTGTGGGCGCAATCCTCCGTCTCTTGTCTTTCGGACCCTCATCACCACCCTCATTTTCTCTCTTCACAGCGGTAGCCACAGGTGCAGCAGCAGGCATCACAGGCGTAGCAGCCACATACCCAGGTGTCTGAGGCGGCGTATACATAGGCATACCCCCATGCATGCTACCACCATTCGCAGCCATGAGGGACGGCACACTGCTCATTTCAGGCGTATCAGCGCTCTGCTCAGGCGCAGCCATACTTCCAGTCACACTGGCAGTACTCAGACTCCTCGCGGGACTACCTGGCATAGTGAATGGGGAAGGCGAGGGAGCACCGTAGCCTTGTGACGAAGGATTGCGCAACAATTGTGGCATGGATGCTGTGATGGGTGTTGAGGCGGGCGACGCGGCTGCTGCGGAGGGAGAGCCGGCTGTGTTGATGGAACAGGGAATGTGTCGGGGGATTGGGGGATGTTGGTAGGAGACGCCGAGTTCGCCGGGTTGGAAGCTCAGGGCGGAGCAGAAGCCGTCCGAGGATGTGATTAGTAGTGTGTTGCCGTCGTTTGACCTGAGGTGGAATTAGCATAGGACGATCAAAATGCGAAAACAGGCTTGACTTACCAGGTAAGGTCGGTGAATGTGGCATAGTGCAGGTTGCTGACAACACATAACGGCTTGGACTGCTGCGTATCGTAGACGTGGACTGAATCTTGTGTTGCGACGGCGTAGATGATGCGATATGGAAGGTCAAAGACTGGTGGAGGACCGGCCAGGGGCGTCGGTGCAGCAGAACCATCTTCAGGCCTAGGCGAGGGCAGAGGGGCTGGGTGAGCATGGCTGGGAGCAGGAGAAGGCACGATCGGCGGAGGTTCCATGCCAGAATTTGCTTTTGCAGGTACAATAGGCTCCGGAAGCAGAGGAATCTCGTCGTCTACATGCGTGTCGATGGTAATGTCCTTTGTCGGTACGGGAGAAGCGCGCAGTGTGTAGAAGACGGGCGAACACTTGACGGCTAACGAAGGCTTCTTGTGACCAGGCAGTTTTGCAACAGGGGGCTTGTTAAGTCCAGCTCTTGTGTAGATATATGTCATGTTGACCACGTCGTCTGCCTTGTTCGGTTCTGTTGTAGGAGCATGAGCTTCCTTGTGCTGGCCAGCGGGTGTGAAGAGCAGACTACCATCGGGAGCGAAGGTCAAGCGGCGGAAGAAGGATGTGAAGGTTTCGTTGGCGTACATGCCAGTGCTGCGTGCGGGCACGTTCAGGCCACCACCGATGCTGGGCGAAGCAGAAGGCATGACGGCGGGTAAGGGCATTGACGGACTGGGCGAGACGGAACGGCGCATCGACTGGCCTGAGACGGAGACGGAGCCAAAGGACGAGCGGCGGCTGTGGGTGGTTTGTGGAGGGTTCATGGGCAAGGCGAGCGACAGAGGAGTGCCGGGCGCACTGGGAGCTGGAGACTCGTTACCGACGAAGGATGCACGACCGCGGAAGTCTGGCGGGGCAGGACTGCTTTGCGAAACACGGCGGGTGGGCATGTCCATCTTGCTGATCTTGTTGTGGTTGGTCAGGGTACATGAGCCATCCTTGGTCTTGAGCGTGTAGACGTGGACAGAGCGATCGCTTGACTGGGTTGCAATGTATTCGCTCAGCGGGTCCCAAGCCACGCCCTGGACGTAGTGGTTATGTTCTGCTACTTGGCGAATCACCGAGCCTGTCGAGTTGTCAGTCTCCTGTCATAAGCCAGTAGCAGGAGTCGGACGTACCTGTCTGCGCATTGTAGATGCGAGCAATGTTGTCCATGCTGCCGGTGATGAAGTAGACGCCGTCCGGGGACCAGGCCAGATCATATATTTCCGATCCCGTCGAGCGACACATGGTCTTGATTCGCCATGTCTCTTTGTCTTCTAGTCCATCTTCTCCGAAGTTTGTGGCATGGAGGGCTGCATTCTCGGCGGGCACCCAGAGCAGAATGTTTCCGTCGTCCCCGGCCGAGGCGAGCATTTCACCTGGTCAATTGTTAGACTGCGTTTGAAGCATGAGTGAACAGGGCAGAAGCATACCTTTGGGACACCATCGTACTACGTTGACAGCTTGGGTGTGTTTGGCGAGGGTGGACAAGTATGTCACGCTTCTGTCTTCTCCACTTCCCTCGATTTTCCAGAGCTGCCGACTTGTCAGTGCAGTTCGTGACTGAGGGAGTGCTCGTGTTCACATACTCTGACATTGTTGTCACCTCCAGCCGTGGCCAGCCGGCCCTTACCGTGGGGTTCAAAGTGGGCAGAGTAGATGGGCGTATTGTCGTTGTGCCAGGACACAAGCAGAGGAGCTGCCTTCATGGTCGCCAGAAGAGGGTCGAGCTCGCTGCGAAGACGCCGTTTGTCGGATGCGTGGGTAGAGAGCTGAAGGACGTGGTGAGTGAGAAAGTCAGGTGTTGGCAGGAAGATGATCAAGTGTGGATGTAACTCGGTCGGCGTCTTGGGTAAAGCATGTCGATACGATTCACAACCTCTCCTTGTCAACTACTGCAGCATGCCGATTGGCTTGGTCGTCCACCTTTCAGCCCGCGCCCAAACATTTCTGGCTCAGGGCTTGCTACCGAAATCATGCTTTTGCTTCTTCCTGCTTACCATCTATTCACTGAACCGTCTTTTTGACTCTCCTTGGCCATCTTATTTACCAGCTTTCCTGCCCTGCTCTAATTGCTGCATCCACAAAACCGAAATCCTCCGTCACCTGCCGCGTTTCAATCAACTCCCAATCCGGAAAGGTCGCCCACTTCCCGCCAAGCTCCTCCCATCGACAAACATGATGATGCACCTTGTATGTCCGCTTTCGCGCTTTTGTCTCCTTGCTCCGTCTCGTTTGTCGACCTGTTGCTTGCTTCTTTGACACTGATCATTCTTTCTTTGAACGAACTGTCTGCCGTGTCTGGACCTGTCACGTCCCGCCGTCGCTTACATCAGGCTGATCGAGATGCTTGCTCACCGACCTTGCAGCAAACGGCCAACCTGCTTGACAACGTTCATGACTATTCCAATGCTTGATCTACAAATGCCTACGCTATTGAAGCCGTCTTGGCATTATGATTTATACATCCGTTTGGTACTTTGTACTTGCACGATCCTGCATCTTGCTCCACAGTCATAGACCGATGACATGACAATATCCGTCACTTCAACCACGTTCGATCTGGACCGATGGTTAATGCAGATTTGTCCGTTGTGCAGTGGTATAAACGTTGTATTAATGGTAGATACTTGATATGTATTATGCCTCATTATCATCAAACTAACTACTTGTCTGAGAAACTCGCACTTTTGATATCATGCTCGCTGTCCTTCCGAGCTTTTTCTTTTGATCGTTTCATATGCATCATCATGTTCGTAGAGCACCCGAGTCATCTTCCCTTCGCGCCTATTCTCAGATACTCCTGTTGCCCTTTGGTTTGAACGCCCAACTGTATGAAATATGAGGCTCGGAACGATTTTGACGGAAGGAAATAGAACGAAGGATTGGAGATGAAAAAATAGCATCACTAAGGACGCTGCAGATTAGGCCTCGCTTGTTTGAACTCCTGATACCCAACAAACAGAGAGAGAAGCAGACAAAGAAAAAGGAGGCCAAGAAATATCAAGATGTCGATTGGGCATTACAGGCTGCCCTTGCTAGGTCGATGACCAGACTTTTTGTTGGAGCTCGCGCTCGATGATCCAGACGAAGTCTTGTGCTGACTGGATGCAGAAGAGGGTCTTTGATTCTTTCCGTCTTTCTGTTGCACGCGGTCGTGTTTCTCCAACGTTGTGGCGTGAGGAGTGGATGGCACAGTCTTGGGTCGTGGATGATGCAGAGGTGGGTAGCCTACTGGGATTTGCGTAGCGCTGTTTCTTCGGTCCGCGCCAGCACTGGATTGGGGTGTGATGTCGACGGTATTGATGACAGGAAGAGCTTCGGTGCCGCTGGCGTTCGTGGGAGCCCAGCTGTAGTAGGCGGTAGAGTCTGTGCGGTCGCCTGTGTTGATGACTGGCAAGGAGGAGTTACTGTTGTTGATTGTTGTGTAATGAGCATAGTTTGTCGGAAGCAGCATTCCCGTGGTCAATGATGGGAGCGTCGAGGTCGTGGCAGTGTAGTAAGTAGGCTGCGCGGCTCCTGTAGAAGCCTGGACAGACGCAAGACCATCACTCCCAGACGACACAAACATTGCGGTAGCCATAGGAGCGACATCATGGTTGAGAGCTGGCAAAGTCGATGTAGTTCCGTTGAGGCCTCGAGTAACTGGCGGCAGCATCATACTGGCCTCCGCGAGATCATGAATCGAGGGTTGACGGCGTTCGGTGCCGTCTACAGCCCATGAGGTAGTGTTGCTTCTACTGTATGGCCCGCTGATACTCAAGGCTGAGAGCCGAGCACTGATAGGGCTCCGAATATCGTTGTCAGCAGTGATGGGAGTGCCGACAAAGTTGGGAGCTGGGAGGCGACGCTCAAGAGGCAAGGGAAGTGAGTGTTGCAAGTTACTCATGTTCAGAGGAGACAGAGGTTCGTTCGAATCGCTGGATATCCTGGAGATTGGTGTGGAGTAGTCATACGCTGCAGGACTTTCTTGCTGGAAGTAGCTCACTGCTGTGCTAGGGCGGGTTCCAGTCGTCCAGTATCGAGAGTCATCGCTGACTGCATACGTTGGAGTATCGATGTCGTAACTGTAAGCGGGAAGAGAAGTTTGCGGATATCCAGATCTGACATGTGCAGGGACTGAGGTGGATCTGTCGTCTGTAGGATACGCAGGGTAGCCGTTGCCGCCGGGCGATGCAGGGCTGTAAGACGAGATAGGAGTCAAAGGAGCCGGTCCGCCAACCGAAGTATCGAGGTCAAAGGTCTGGCTTGTGCCTACCTACGAACAACAAGGTCAGAATCTACCTGTTCGGACAAAGAGGACATAGCGTACTCTGTGATACAAACAGTGGCAAGCATCGACTCCTGCGCTTCGACACGCCTGGCAGGGCTGACCGCCACTACACTTGATCTTCCTTCTTCTGCACCGCGAACACTGGAAATATCAACTGCTGATCAGATTGTGCATCGGATGATAGACTCACAGCCATCGAGGTGCGTTTCCTGGCAGACCCCTGATCACTGTCTTCTCCTAGATCATGAATAGGGGTCGGAAGAACATAGGTTCTTGACTCGTTGCGAGGGTCTGGCCTGGTTGGGTATGCCAAATACGGAACACCTCGATCCCCAGCATGAAGAGGTCCTCGCGAGGGTCGTCGTTCTGATCGCTGTATACCATCGTAGTCGTAATGAGCCTTTTGATATATTTGGGCCATGTTCGTGTGCTTCGCAGACAGATGGTGAGGGGAAGCAAATAACAATCAGCAGGCAAAAGATTTGTCAGATCAAACAGTCAAGCAAAAGCACAGCAAATTGAAGAAAACGAAAGCACCAGAACCAGTATATCTATGGCATCGAGGCCACACTCATTTAAGGTGCCGCTAAGAACTGCTGTCTTGGGGTACCATACGAAGAGAATGTGATCACTCAAAGATCTAGCCCAATCACTCGCAAATCAGGGGAGTGTCACGTTGGTATTGATGTTCATCTTGACCAGGCTTCTGGGTGTCCAACAGCAGGTCCATCAAGACTGCGAAAGTCGTTGGATCTGGTATTGCATGAAGCCATGTCGTCTTCGGTGGTGGCACCTGCTTGTCTGCAGGGCAACGCAATGATCCGTGTCATGACTGGAGAAAAGACATGAGGGAAAGCGTCCCCAGAATTTCCTTCGCTCCTGACAGGCGGGGATTTCGGTAATGAGTGGGTAGAACGTGTGCTGAATTCGTTTGAGTTGATCAAACGAGAGTAAAGCAAGACCTGTTGAGTTGCCACATCTGCAAGCGCAAGCGGGGCACAAGACAACATACCGCGAGACGTAAAACGACAAGACGTAGCCGTGCAACGCGACAGAGCGCAGGCTATTTATTATGCAGTAGTCAGACAGATGGATAAGATGCAAATGCGCAGAGCTGTAGTCCAGTATTGCCTCGTAAAAAAGTGCATGCATGTGCAGATGACATGTTCTCAGCCTTGAATATGCTTGCAATAGGTCGTAAGCGCTTGGATGAATGCTCAGATGAAGGCAGTACAGTGTCGAGCGACGTTGACAATCCTCAGCGAGTAAACGCCAGCTATGCGGTGAAGCAAGAAACTTACGGGTAGAAGCATAAGAGTAGATGCTTGAAGGGGGTTGATATCACGAGGGAGTCAACTTCAGTCGATGGCTTGAGCGGAAAGATATGCTGTACTGTTTCTGAAACAGGGGATAATTGGTGATAGGCTGGCGATGGACGGGCGATGAGTTGTGCAGCAGCAAGATGCCGATTGGCAAAGCTGCACAAGGCGCATGAGCGGACCGGAGGTTGATCAGGCAAGGATCGAAAGCGGCCTTGCTCAGCGATGCATGAACGGATGATTGCAGCTTGAGGCTGAAGTTAAGATCTGCCAGTGTGACGACGATGGTTGAGTGCTGCTGAACTGTGTCGCATGGCCAAAAAAAACATACCAAGCTGAGTTACCAGGTTCGTCTCACACCCAGATACGCACAATATCGATTCGGAGATCTGATCGATTTAGTTTCTGTACAGGAGTGTAGATATGGCAACCATGGAGTCGGAAGCATGTTAGTGTGGTTGAAACAGGCGTCAAGCAGGTGATCGGAAGCGGCATATTGTTGAGCTCACGCAAGCGCTCGTACTGTCAAGTAATACCTTGCTACAAGGGCATGCACAGCGAGGCAGGTGATGTGAGTTTTGTAAGATCATTGGAGGCAGAGAGAATGTTTTGATGGCAGAAGGTTCTTAGCAGAGCTGCAGTGAGACAGGGTATTTGCAGGAAGCCTCCAGCCGTCTGTCAAAGGTCCGGGCTGAGGCGCTTGTGCAGGTCCAAACATGCAAAGTTGGGCATGAGATGCAGGTGTTACACTGATCACGGAGGTTTCCTTGTACGTCGGGAAGGGAGTGTATAGTGAACGTTCAGGGCTTACAGGCCATCATCCGATTAGCAGAGCTCGTAGACTCGAATGTGGATCGATGAATCGATGAACAGAGTCAGCTACTGTTAGAAGAAGAAGAAGCGTTACTGATTTGGCTCATAAAGAGATTGCGTCTACAAGGCGATGATTGTAAAGAAGTCTGCCTTGCTCCCAATGAGAGATGGCCTGTAAGAAGTTCGGAAAGTCGCGGCGGTTGCGGGCCGAGCAAGCCGATGGGCGCGGTTGACAAGTCAGAACGCGTCACTCGAGCTTCAACTTTTGGTGCTCTCTCGGCGACAACAACTGAAAAAAATGTCAGTTTTACTGGAAACGTCGGCTGGCGACATCACCATCGATCTCTACGTCGATGAAGCTCCTAGAGCCTGTGAAAAGTGAGTCTTCTCTCGATGCCTACAATGGTCACCAGACTGATGAATGATTGCTAAGACGTTGACGCAGCTTCTTGAAGCTATGCAAGATCAAGTACTACAATTATTCGCCCATCTACAACGTCCAACCGAACTTTTCCTTCCAATCTGGTGATCCAATTGGCCCTGATGCTGCTGAGAGCGATGGCGGCTCCTCTATCTGGGCTCTTCCTGATGGTGTCACAAAAAAGCCCGCGAAGCCCGAGTCCATGACCTTCAAGCCTGAGTTCAGTCGCAAGAGGAAGCACACTGAGAGAGGTACCGTCAGTATGGCTACGACTGCGTCAACCACCAACCCGGACGACCGCTTCGCTGCGAGTCAGTTCATTATCACACTCGGCGAGAATCTGGATCTGCTCGACGGCAAGGCTGCCATCTTTGGCGAAGTTGTAGAAGGTTTCGACGCTCTCGAGAAAATCAACACTGCCTTCGTCGATGACAAAGGCCGCCCGCTCAAAGACATACGCATCCTACACACTGCCGTCCTCGATGATCCCTACGACGACCTGGAAGGTCTGATCGAGCCACCGCAAAGCCCTGTGCCCACTGCAGGCCAACTCGCTACCGTACGCATCGCCCACGACGAGGAAATTGCCGAAAACACCGATCCAGAACAACTCGAAAAGCTGCGCCGCGAGCGTGAAGCACGCGCACAAGCCCTGACTCTCGAGCTCATAGGCGATTTGCCCTTCGCCGACGTCACGCCTCCCGAACAAGTTCTCTTTGTATGCAAGTTGAACCCCGTCACCCGCGACGAGGACCTCGAACTCATCTTCAGCCGCTTCGGCAAGATTCTGTCCTGTGAAGTCATCCGCGACAAGAAGACCGGTGATAGTCTGCAGTATGCTTTCATCGAGTTTGCCAGCAAAGAAGATTGCGAGCGTGCGTACTTCAAGATGCAGGGTGTGTTGATCGACGATCACCGCATTCATGTCGACTTCTCGCAGAGTGTCAGCAGACTCGCCGACGCATGGCGAGATACGACGAATTCAAAGACAGCTAGGAAAAAGGGTGGATTTGGTGGTATCGCTGGACTGGAGGCAAAGAGACACTATAGAGAAGGTGAAAGGTACGGTGGACGCAACAACCGTGGCGAACGCTACGACTATGTGTTCGACAAGGATGGCAAGCGCAGAGATGGCGGCAAGGATGATCGAGACAGAGAGAGAAGTCCAGCACGCAGTCTCAGGCGTGAAAGGGACAGAAGTCCACCAAGACGTGACATCAATCGTGGCGAAGGACACAGGGAAAGGGATCCCGGACGAGCTAGAGACAGGGATGATCGACGTGATGACCGTCGCGACCGTGATCGTGATGGTAGAAGACGAGGTGACCGGTATCACGATGACAGCTACAGGAGGTCAAGGCACTGATTGGAGTGTCTCATATACCATGATCAACGACGCTACTTCATTCCCAGATACGTAGCCTTCGGGGTCACACGACAGCTTCACTAATCCTTCAACACAATTCACATTGCGTAAACAGGAATTGTTGTCTTGACGATGAGCTCGAAGAACCACTTCTTCATGGAATTAAGGATTTCAATATGTATATGGTTCGTTCACAAGCACTCGATGAGCGCCGTCAGCATCTCGGCCACGTTGCCCTCTTCGCTTGTATCGACATCCTCCAACTGCGCCTGCAAACTCTTCTTCAGCGTGTCCAACCCTTCATCTCTGTCCCTCAATCCCTCCACGATTCTCTTTCTCGCACCGCCATCCTCGGCAGCCAACCAAGCCAACACAACGTCCAGAGTGTTGAGACAGTATATTGCGGCTCCAGCATCGATGTCGTCTTCAACAGAGGCTTTGCTTGCGTATTCATGTCGCAGTTTGACCAGTTTATCCAGTTTTTCGTATTCCTTTTCCACGAATTTTGCAAGCAGACGAATGCGGTGAGAGCTCTCGCCGGGCAGCAAACGCAGCAGTGCGGAAAAGATACCGATGATGTGTTCTGTATCCGCAGCTTCCAAATTCTTCTTCGCAAACGTCGAGAACAGAGGTTTTAAGCCTGCCGCATCGATCAACTTTTCTGCCACAGATTGACCTGAAGACCCAGAGAGCGCGTGGTCCAACACTTTGAGGGCGCGAGGTTTTGAGAATTTTGCTTCGCGGAGCATGAGGAGCATTAATTCTGTGCCTTCTGCGGCGAGGAAGGCTGTTTTGCCAGGGGGAGGGGAGCAGAGACAGGTCAATGTATCGAAGAGGTCTTCTGCGTATTCTTCTTCTGTGCTGTCGCGCTCGGGGTCGCGTTTACGGTATGCGGCTAGCAGTGTGAGGAGTTTGTCTATTGCATCTAGGGAGATTAGACGATCGCGGACGGATGGCGAGGCTTGAGATAAGACCTGCAAGACTTCGGCGGCGTATTGCTTGTTTTGCGATACGGACTTTTCGGGGCGTGAGATGCGGGTGAGGAGGTATGTGAGGATGGGGTTTTGGGCGATTGTGTCTGCGGTTGTAGGGTTGGAGGAGAGAGATTCGAGGACGGCGAGAGAGTGGTAGACGCCGCTGCGATCGGCTTCGAGGTTCTCATCTAGGCGGTCGAGGTTGGCGAGGAGGAGGTCGATGAGGTCGGCTTCGAGCATGGCTGCGACCAATGTATCCCATTGCTCCTGTTCTGCTTCTACGTCGTCGTCGAGCAGCTCCGAGACGATTTCAATGGCGTCGATGGCGATGTCTGTGTTTTCGTGTGACAGAAGCGAGACTAGACTCGCCGCGCAGCCAATTTTTGCAAAGTCCTTGTATAGCTCTGGGTGTTCGGACAGGATGCTCAAGCTCTTGATCTCGGCGTCCAGGTCGGCCTCGCTGGCTACAAAGCGAGACGGATCGCTCTCGTATTTGGCGCGCAATTCGCTGTTCTTGTTGATTTTCCTCTCGAAGCTCAAGCCTAGTCGGCGCACCCATGCCTGGTCTATCTTCTCAATCTTCATGTCTGTTGTGCCGTCGTCTGCTCGATCGACAAAATCCAGTGCGGCGTTGGTATGTTGATTCGTTCCACTTCCAAAGAAGCGGCCCTCTTCGTCTTCATCCTCGTCTGGCGGTAGGTCTGGTCCGGCCTCAATATCCTCGTCGTCGTCTTTCGGCGCATCCTCGACACTGGGGTCTAGTTTCGCTGATTTGTATGCTGCCTCTGCATCCTGGCCGTCGTATTTGCGCTTAGTACTGCCATTGGCTGAGGGAAGAAATGGCTTCTTAAAGAGGTCGTCGATGCTCGTCATGATTGTTGTGCTTGGTCCAAGTCACTCTGGTCAGGAAAGTTGGTCGCATTCATGGAACACACCATCTCGAAGCGCCATGTTTGAATTGTTTGCACCTGACTACCGAGCCCGCTCCTTCCTTCCCAATTGCAAAGACATATCACGCGCACAGCTATAGAGGTGCGAAATGCAAAAAGCTTGAAAAACATGGGAAACTTCCAAGAGCTGGAACATCAGAGGCTCTCTTTGGGCCTCGCTCCCATCTAGAACGAACTATGCACTTTGATAGCTTAGGCTCCGCCGGTTGTGTCGTGAGAGCGGGGTGGGAGTGACAGAACTTAGTACAGGGCGACGACCACCATCACAAATCGCTAATATTTGTCCACACTCCAACGGGTATATCAAACACGACACCAGCACTCTTCCTCTCGTGAAACCTGGAACAGAATCTTTCGACACGCTGGCAAACAATCTGATTATCCCTGACTGGACTCCAGCAGCCTCGCAATACAGCCACCCCGACCAGTCTTTATACTCGGTGTTTCTGTAATTCCCCTCTTGGCACTTGACTGGTCAACAACAGGAACGCATGTTCTGTGTATGCCTTGCCTAGTTTCTGCGTCGCCGAGAGATCGTGCTTGATTCGAGGGCGCCGACGCCGTGTCGAGATTATGATATCTCTATTAACTTTCCGAACTCAGATCGTCGCACCTTCTATAGAACCAGGGCTACGGTACAAGACACTTTTCTTTTGCCCCGTTTCGACTCACTCCGCTGAACCTCAATACATAATCCTGCCCCAGTTCGGAAGGCGCGAGTAAGTTCCCTTCCTGGCTGTCTTCCCTTGGTTCCATGAGATCGTCACTGCCACACAAGTTCTTTTCTGCCTTTGCATCACTTTCGTACTCGCAGTATCTCGAGTAAATCCTTCACATATCCATACTGTCACGTCAACTAACGTCAACTAACCACATTGTTCACAGACAATGGATGACCAACTCATGATAGGCGGCACACCTTGGTGGCGCAATGTAAACATGGCCAAACAGGAGGAAGCAAAAGCCTTTTTCCTGTCACAGAGGTCGCAGAAATCGCAAGAATCAACAACCAGACCTGCAACTCCCCCTCCAGCCACGGCAGGTGCTTCTCCGTCCATACCAGCAGCTGCGGCGCCTACACCTCAGACTATCACAACGGCTCGTGCTCCTGTCGCGCCATTCTCCTTTGTACCACAGAGAAGGACCGAATTACCGGCTGAAGACGCGATGGAAGGCGGCGAGCGCCTCCAGATCGACATGGCCAGGCCTGAGCCACCAGAGTGGTATAACAAAATCAAGCTTGACCAGGTCAGGAAGGCTCCAAGAGTCCCCATCGGCATTGAGCAGCACCTCAATAAGATCACGAACGGTATCGGAAAATGCAACGATGCAGTAGCCAAGAACCTGCATCCAGATCCTGCCGAGTTCACCAAGATCAACAATGGCATCCACCGTGCCTTTTTTTCTCGATCTCAGTGCCTTGACGATACGCGCCAAAGGGCTTTTGCACAACGTTAGAGGTCTGCCAGCAATCTTCGACTCCAGCACTGTCGATTACCCATGGTATATCAAGGAGGAGGCTGCCGAGCTATATCTCAAGTGGTGGCAGAAGGATACCAACCCAGACCTGTTCCGTGGCATCAAGCTGGGCCGCACCAAGAACGCAAAGCTTGGTCGAGATAGTGCAGTCGACAGCCTGGATCCCAAATTTAAGAGAAGAAAGGGCAACGTCTACGGCAACAACTATCTGCGCATCGGTCAATGGTGGCCTACACAACTCTGTGCAGTGAGAGATGGCGCACACAGTGCCACCATTGCCGGTATCTGTGGCAAGACTGGAGAAGGCGCATTCTCTTGTGTCTTGTCAGGCGGTAGCTACCCTAACATTGACAGCGGAGATGAGATTTGGTACTACGGCACTGAATCCGACGATCCATCCCGTCCCACAGATGCAACTCAGCACATGATCGAAAGCTCTCGCACTCAGATACCTGTACGTGTCCTTCGTACTTCGAAGATGACGACCAAGGGTCCCAACGAGTACCGCCCTGAAGCTGGAATGAGATATGATGGCTTGTACAAGGTCATCGATTACGAAGTGGAGAGAGAGGAGAAGCAAGTTCATCTGTTTCATCTCGTCCGCGAACCTGGTCAAGGTCCTATTCGTTACAAGGGTCCTGAGGTCCGTCCTACCCCTGAGGAGTTGGAGGCTTTGGGCAAGAGCAAGTTTGAGAGGCAATATCTTGCTTGAGGAAGGTGTGTGGAAGCTGCAAAGACATTAATTGGAGGATGACTGTCAAGACTATTGTTTATGCACGGAGGAGGAAGAGATTGGAGGGCTACCTGTATAGTAGTCTTTGTTTCCACGATCTGGGGATGAAGGGCACTGGAATGTTTCCAGTGAGTCAGAAAGGACAGAACATTCTTTGTCAGTGCAGCATGGAATTCGAAGAGGGTACTTGACCACATTCATAGTCCACAAAAACCCATGACTAAAACACCCAAACATTTCCCACGCTTACAAATGCTCCATGCAACCGCTGCTCCATCTCACTTTCCCACAGACACCACATGCCATCATCACGACATCTGCCACCTACTCGATAGCAATCCTGCCATCATGACCCTCAGCAGCATCCAGCGCATCCGTGACAGCTGATCCCTCGCCCTCGAACAAAAAAGCATCATACACCGCCGCACCAGCGATACAACCAAACATTGGCACAAACAGAGGCACTACAAAGTAAAAGCCCTTTGCAGTGAAAACTTCGCGACCGTAGATGAATGCCGAGAACACTCTGGGCGCGAAGTCACGGGCTGGGTTGACGGCCTGGAAAGAACGTTAGTAGGGCATTCTTTCGAGAAAATAGAGATGGAGAAGGCATGGAAAAGACGAGAGATGAGAGACAAAAGGTAAGAGACAAGGATCAGCAAAACTCACATAACCAGTCTGCCACCCCATACCAGCCCCAATCGCAACCATCAACGCAAAAACACCAAACTGCGGTGTTTTCAACCCTTCATTCTTCACATCCGCAACAGCAAAAACACCAAATGCCAATACCGCCGACCCCAAGAATTCAGACACTGCAGCTTCCCAATTGCTTCTGAAATGAGAAGCTGGATAAGTAGCAAAGATACCAGCTGAATGATGACCTTGAGGAGAGAGGATGGAACCGCCAGGAATAGTGTACTCGGGATCCCACTCTGCGATCGCAGACACGTACTGCAAGTAAACCAACGCAGCACCCAAAAATGCACCTGCAAACTGCGCGATGACTTTTCCGGGTAATTCTCTCCATTGCGCCTTTGACGGTCTGACGATTGCAGAAGCGAGGGTGATGGCAGGGTTTACAGAGGCACCAATGTAGCAGGAAAGGGCTACTGCTGATGCCCAGGCGAGATTTACAGACAAGAAATTCGCGTAGAGGAAATCGGTGAGTAGGGCTTGAGCGACTACGCCTTCGCCGATGAGGATGAGGAGTAGAGTGCCGGTGAATTCGGCGAGGTAAGGGCGGAGGTTGGCGCGGTGGAGGGTGGGTGGTATGCGGACGGCCATGGCTGTGTGCTGAGGTAGTGATGTTCGTTCCGATTCTTCAGCAAGCAACGAGGTCCAAAGATTCCTTATATGTCCGGCAGCACTCCGACGTCAAAAGACTCAAAAGCAGGTTCTCTCGAGCTTGGTCCAAGCCAATGTTTTCTTTGTTTTGCGCCATCGCGACTCGGCGTTTGCTGGGCGTGAAGTCGTGAATTATGATCGTCGTCTTTTCACCGTTCGTTTCACTATCTCTCGACCCGTATTCGGATGTGGCCAACTAGAAGCTCTAAATATTTCGAGAAATGCGGTGAAAGTCGGTCCTTTTGGGGAGAAACAGAGTTCCGTGGAGTGTCGTTTGACTCTCGTTGAGCCTCAAGTTGGTGTCAACTCAAAAAGATGCGGCGAACTGCGTCAAAGTCAATGTCAAACCATCAACATCATTGAAGCACACAAGAAACGTGTGGAGAGTAAAGATATGGAATCGGAAGTTGTTCTTTATTTTACTGATTACTATGCTGTCGTGGCTCAAGAAGCTGAAACAAAAGGCCTCAGGCATTGTGCACTGAGCTCCAGCTCGGCGTGCGAAACCCTATCAGGCAGCCACACTTCTCCGAGCCCAATCCAATTGTCATTCCAAAAAAGGTGCCAACAAAAATGGTATAATCCGTGGTCGTCATCAAACATCATCAAGGTGCGGTGAAAGAGTCAGGTCTTTACACCGTCTCCAAAGGGCTGGAGCCGAATCTCTTGAGGGCAGGGCTGCCAGCACATGCGGGTTGCGAGAACTTGGTCGCGCAGTAGACCTTTTGCATGCCATCCTCCTTCTTGTCAAAGGCGTAATAAACCTCGGCCATGTCTTCAATGCGGACACGGTGGGTGACCATCTTCAAGGGGTCGATCTTGCCTTCTTGGATCATCTTGAGAAGTTTCTCCCAGTAGAGGTGGACGGGTGCTTGGCCATTGCCGATAAGGCGGATACCACGCTCCATCAATGAGCCGATGTTGAAGTGGTTGGTCTGTGATGATGGTCAGTGGACTGCCATAGTTTTGAAGAAACGAAGGTACTTACGAAACCGACGTAGACACCGGTGATACCGCAACGGCCGTAGTTCTTGACACTCTCAATCATCTCGTTGATGATCTCGGGAGTATCGGTCTCCAGACCAGCGGCCATCTCGAGGGTGTGGGCCCAGCTCTTAGGGTATTCTCCAGCAACACACTCGAGAGCGACATCAGGACCGCCGTGCTCCATCTTCTTCAAGGTGCTGACAACGGTCTCACCCTTGGGCAGATTGGAGAAGTCGATGGTCTCAATGTTGGGGTACTTGGACTTGCAGTAGTCGAGACGCCAGTTCTGGTCGATGACAATGACACGCTTGGCGCCGTTCATGTAGGAGAAGTCAATGCACATCTGACCGATGGGACCGGCACCCCAGATGGCGACGACATCTCCCTCCTTGACTCCAGTGTCGACAACACAGTTCCAGCTGGTGCTGACAACATCGGACAAGTAAAGACCCTTCTCATCAGGGACATCGTCGGGGAGGTGAAGAAGGTTGACATCACCACAGGGCACACGGGTGTACTCGGCCTGGCCACCAGCGAAACCGCCAGTGAAGTGAGAGTATCCGAACATGCCGGCGGTGCGGCCACCGTACATGGCGTTCTCGATGGTGTTGGAGTTGGTCTTTTCGCACTGCGATGACAGCTTCTTTGCGCAGTACATGCACTGTGAGGCTACATCAGTATGGACTCGGGCAAGTAACAGCAAAGGAAATACGCACGTCTCCGCAAGCAATCTGGAACGAGGCAACAACACGGTCGCCAACCTTGTGGTTTGTAACAGCAGAGCCGACCTGGTCAATGACACCACAGAACTCATGGCCAAGGATATCACCCTTCTCCATCTCGACGACCGAGCCGTGGAGCAAGTGGAGATCCGAACCGCAGACAGTGCTGCCAGTGATCTTGAGAATGACATCGCGGGGCTCGACGATCTTGGGCTTGGGGCAGGTGATGACCTCGACCTTGTTCTTGCCCTGCCAAACCAGAGCCTTCATGGTCTCGTTCGGGTCACCGTACTTTTCTCTGTTTCTGGCGGGGTTGGTAACGTCCTGCTCGGTGATGGCGTTGTCGCCGTGGCCAATGGCTCTCTCGGCCGCGGCCGCTGCTTGTGTCATTGTTGCCATTGTGAATGTGCTGTGTGTTTTGAGGTTTGCAGATAGAAGAAGCAAAAGCGAGATGAGACCGGACTCGAGCTGCGGTCTCGATGGGTATTTGTGCTTCAGAGGTCGCTCGCTCGTTTACTTACGATGCAGCTACGTCAGGTAGGTTGCATCGCCTCGACGTCACCATATATTTGAGGATCGCAGTTGCGGCTGGAATCCATGTTACACATCTCGTGTTGACTGTTCGCTACATCCAATAGCACAGCTCCGAGAACCTCGTTTAATCTATGTACATAACTGCCGAACTTCTCCTTCCTCAAAGCTCGATGGTCAGCTAACTTCTCAATATGAACGAGTACGAAAAACCTTGGATGACAGCTCCAGCCTCAAACTTTCTGACATCATACATTTCTCTATCTCCGATCTATCCCCGCTGCGGGGCTTACCGCGTGGGAAAGCTCAAAGTGGGGCTTGAACAGCTGTCAGGCATGTGGACACAACTCCGGCCGAAAAGTCCAAAGAATTTGCTGGCTCATTGATTCATGTCTTTCGCAATATTGCGCTGTTCTACTTCTACCTCAGAAATGCACGCCGTACACGAGAATAACAAAACAGACTGGTATATCTACAAAGTTCGCTGAGCTTCTTTGACAGTACGTCTAGCAATCATACCAGAGAACCAATGTAAACTTCAAAATACGGCACCACGATCGATATGATGAGGATGAGACCGGCGGAAAGTATTTGTCCGGTGCTGGCGTGCAGCCACAAGCTGGCTAAACATCGCCGTTCGATTGCTTCTTTTTCTTAAACAGAGGTAGTCGCCGGGATGTCGAGACCAGTTTGTTCATCTCCTGAACACTTTGCTGGGTCATCATGTACGACATTTTTGCTTGTTCCGCTGCTTGCATTGCAGTATACATGTTGCGCTCAGCTTCCACGGCGTTGGTAACCGTGTCAAGCATGACTTGCGCAAACGATGCCATACGCTCCTTGCGAACAAGATCGTCTTCCTTAGAGGCTTCTTGGCGAAGAGTCAGTCCCATTTCCATCAGCGCAACTGTATCGCGTGTCTCCTTCCCCGAGTCAGGCTCTTGAGTCGTCTCAGTAGCAACGACCTTGTGCTTCGAAGCTTTGCGACGAAGTGAAGGTTTCTCCTCTTCAGTCGCGTCCTTCTTTGCTGGGTTGTCCTTGACTGTCGATTTCCTTCTAGGTCTCGGTAAGATGCCAGACTCCTTTGATTGGAGCTGAGATTGGGCGGGTCGGATCTCTCCTGAAGCATCCTTCTTGACCAGGATGCTCTTGGCCACGGATTTCCTCCGGGATCCAGGCATATCAGACACTGTAGGTAGAGTAGGCAAGGCGGGCGTAGCAGGTAGTGCAGGCATAGCAGGCATAGCAGGAAGTGTTGGCATATCGGGAACAGTGGGCACATCAGGAACATCAGCCTCGACCGATACTGACTTGCGGCTTCCGATGGAGAATCTCCTACCACTTGAACTAGGCGTTGTCGTAGCATCTCGCTTACCAGAGAACAGCCCCTTGAGGTTGTTCAAGACTGATTTTCCCTTCGATTCGCTTCTAGGTCGAGTTGGTGGAAAAGTACCATCACGAGATGTCTCGATGGGCTGCGGCGTCTGACGAACAATCTTGATATGTCCTATGGAAGCGCGGCAACCAGCTTCGGTCTTGGACGTAGACTTTGGAGTAGAAATGGTCTGTTGACTACCCGTGCTGGGACGAGCTATAGGTGTTGTGCTACGAGGAATGGCAGAAGTAGGCGTTGAGCGACCACTTCGAATCGTACCACACAGCTCTGACGCTGGAGTTCGCCTGCCAGATGGTGGAAGACGGCTCTTGTCGAGACTGGGTGTGTTTGGAATTTTCGTGGTCTGAGATTCGCGACGAGCATTCAAGTTCGGTGTGCTTGCGTTACTGCGTCGAATTTCTGGAGGAGCTAGTGTGGAGGTCTTACGAGCCTCTGAAGCTGGTGTGGGCAGCATGTATGACGGAAGACGATCGTTACGGTTGTATACAGTATCCCGAGCGCCATCCTTGGGAGTGGTCCTGGGCAGTTTCGCCACACTAGAGCGTCGCTGGACAGATTTTGAAACGGTAGTCGACGGAGCATCTGCTTTGTCGGGAGTGCCCTCAAGAATCGATAGGGTTGTTTTGATGTCTCCTCCTCGACTCTCTTTGGTCACGCCTGTTTCACCGTGGTCAGACATCGGCTCGGATTGCACGTAGTAGTATCCCTGTTCGGCAACCGATCTTTCACTCTCCTCCGAGACCCCTGAGAATGCTTTGGGTCGGACAGAAGGTGAACTCTGCACGGTCGGCGAGTCTGGACCATCGGTCGAGTTAAAACCAAAGTCTGCAGGCCAAGAAACATGGAAACCGTTCTCACTGGGAGAAGGCAGATCGAACTCCGCATCTGCGGGGACTGCCAGACTTGTTTGAGAGATAGATGAAGGCATACGAGCGGGTTTGTCTCCGAGGAGGAGGTGATCAGCTTCGTCGGAGATGCTCAACGTCGATCCGACGAAGGAGCTGGACAGTAAACTTCCCGAGAGTTGCTTCACTCTCGTATACTCGAAGACATCATCAGAGGCGGATCCTTTATCACCGAACAGAAGCCTGATAGGACTCAGCTTGTTCTGCTCTGAAGGTGATGGAACTCTTGGAGGTAGGTCTTGCAGGGCTGAGTTGACACCTGTCAGTGGTGAGGGCTTATTGAAACAATCTTTGCGTTTCGATGATCGAGCACTGCCGTCTAGAGCAGCGAGATCTGTAGGATTACCCAAGCTTCGACCGGCGAACGTCAGGATTTTCTCCTCCACTGCGGGCTTCGAACTCAAGCTTGGTGATCTGCACACAATCTTGGGTGTCGTTGAAGCGACAAGATTCTCGTGTTCCGAACCGATAGGATGCTCTGGAATAGCTAGAGACATGACACTGACTTGTGATCTGTCCATCTGTTGGGCTCGCGGTCGAGAAAAACTGTGTACAGCAGGCAGGTATTTGCGTTCTTGGTTCTCGGCCAACGAACTTCCTGGCGAGGACACACCTATGCCCAAACCCACATCTTCATTCCATAGCTCGGGCGTTTTTAGCGATGAAGTTCTTGGTGGACGATATTCATTCAAATCGTTGGAGAGGGTCAAGCTGGCTGTTTCGCTGAAAGTTTCGAGCGACGGGATTGGTGAGACGAAATGTGGGGAATTGAAGCTGGTAGAAACCGAATCGAGTACTGGAGACACAATAGCAGGACTGTTATGGACGGACGAGAGCGGTAGCTTGCTGAAAGATTTGCCTCTCGTGAGCGGAGTTCTGTTTGGAGTAGCGCTTCCACGCCGTGTGACTGGGCGCCTTGGAGAGAGATCTGTTCTTTCTTCTCTCTGTAAGATGCTAAGAGTCTTGAGGGAAGATTTGTTTGCCGGTCCAGTGCCAGCTCCAGCAGATTGGTCTTGTGTGTCTTCGGTATTGGTGACCGGAGTGCTCGGTCTGCTTGGACGATCTGATCTGCCAGTTGACTTTGATGGCGGTCTAGGGACACCAGACTTTCTGTCATCCAATAGAGAAGTTGTTGAGGGACGATGTAGAGATTGGCGTCGCGCAAAGGATGCGTTCAAGCTGTCATGCGATGTGACTGCACTAAGGCGACCACGACCTGGAGTTGTTGAGGTTGGTCTTGGAAGAACAGGAAGTGGAATTGGTGATGGAGAGGGTGATCTTGAACGTGCCGCTGATGACTTGGTCGGGGCCAGAAGGCGTGAAGTGTTGGAAGATGGTGGTATGTTTTCATTATTGAGGTGAATCTTGGGCTCGAGTCCAACGACAGGTATGCGACTTTGTCTGTTGGCGCTTCGGTTGCCGAGTGGTGTCATCGTGAAGATGGATCTGGTGCGGCCTGTTTGGTAGAGAGAGTCCTGTCAATTCGTGACCTTGTTTTGTTGATTCATCCAGCAAATTAGTGTATTATGATTAAGCGTCGTTATCGTATCAGCATAAAGGAGAGTCGCGGTGTTAAAAGAGTGACATTGAGCTTGCGGCTGCAGTGGTGAAAGAGCGTAAGAGGATCGGTTTTGAGGGACCCGCAGAAGGTAAGTCGTACTTTCTATCCTAGGATCATCATGCTACCGGGAAAATGGCAGCCAAAAGTGGTCAGGTCAACGTCGAACGCCCTCGTACTTTCCGCATCTCGAGTGTTTATATGTCAAAACAGGAAGTCTGGAGATTGGAAAGATAAACCGTTGGTGAGCCTCCAACGTCCGCTTACTCTCATGCCCAAGATACCAAATTTGCAACGGTCATTGTGCGTATACATGAACAGCGACACTGGAACTCGTATGACCTGGATTGGTTCTTGTAGCCGTGAGCGAGTGCTCTGCAAATGGGCCAGAGTCCATTGCTTCAATGGTGAATGGTATCTACCTGCCACCATTGCCTAGAGCTGAGTACATGATCACTGCAGGGCGAGAGACATACTGCACCTCTTTCCTAATGCATGTCGTGCTTCTGGAAATATGGTCATGCTGCAGGAGACGCGCACACAAAGAGACGCTCAGGTGGATCTGGCTGTCCAGGGAACAACTCTCCCTACCGTGGATCTGCTCTAGGCGCGTAGAACCGAGAGCTACCTCATAAAACCGATGTCTTGAACGATATACTAGACAAACGAGCCTTCTATAACGCACAAAGACAGGCAGGTCTTGAGTCGGGGGAAGCGCTTTCTGAAGAAGAGCGAACGAAAGGAAATGAGGGTCGAAGGTCTGTGACTGGCGCTCTGTCAGGAGAAGGAACGGCGTTCGGCAAAGAGACGCACCGATTCGGAAGACGGGAGTGATAGGGAAACCCACGGTATGTCATGTGCCCAGCTCGCCCTATCTCGAATCTCGTGCTGAGCGATGCATGTTGAGTGAGACATATCAGTACTATACGATCGGGACATCCTCATAGAATGATTCCCTCTGCATTGCTCCTTTGCATTCCGTACCAATTAGTAAGCAGGAGCGAATGTGGATGAAGTACGGAAGATGTTCGGTACCGAAGCCCCGTGGGCAGCGAGCTATGACCAAGCTTCATTTTCGAAATGTTTTGTTTGACAGCTTGTCGAGATTTGAGAAGACTCGGAGACAGGCGGCCCCTTTGAGAACACTGTGTTGTCCTCATCTCCAGAAGGAAAGAACAATCTTCCTTTTCTTCTCACCAACACCGCCATCATGTTTGAAGACAGCTACATCGAGCGCAAGATCGACTTTGTCACGGGTCATACTGGTAGTAATGTCTGGGATATCACTCAAGTGACGTTGGTCGCTCCCGTATGTTACATCTCTCCCATCTTCAGCCGCATATTACAGGCGAAACGTTGATGGTGGTATCCAACTGACCACGATAACAGGCTGCCGCTCTGCTCTGGGCTGTTCTTCAGACCAGACAGAAATTCTTCGACCCTTACACGACATCATCGTTGTTGACTGATTTCTTGCTCCAAGTCGGGGCTATCCTGTTCGCAGTCACAGCGTATGCTGACAACCCTACTGTCTTGATTGGATTGCTTCTGGTTCCTGCGATTGGCACTGTTGTTAATGGCGACAATATCGAACATAGATTCAGCAAGCCGGCAAAGCCTCCTGTCAAAGAGGATGATGCTGCTGGACCCCCAGAGCCTGTTGATCAGGTTCCCATCAAGCCTTTCATCACCACCTACAGAGGTGCCATGATGATCATCACCTGCATCTCCATCTTGGCTGTAGATTTCCCTGTATTCCCTCGTCGTTTTGCCAAGGTTGAGAACTGGGGTGTTTCTCTCATGGATCTTGGTGTTGGTTCCTTCGTTTTCGGTGCTGGCTTGGTCTACGCTCGTCAAGCTCTCAAGGAGGAGGATGAGAATGCACCCAAGGTCAGCTTCGCCGCCAAGATGAACTCTGCAGTTATGCACTCTTTGCCCATGCTCGCTCTGGGGTTCCTCCGTCTTTGGACTGTCAAGGGTCTTGAGTACCAGGAGCACGTTACCGAATACGGTGTACACTGGAACTTCTTCTTCACTCTTGGACTTCTGCCCATCTTTGTCACTATTCTCCAACCGGTCATCAAGTATATCCCGTCGTACGGCGCTCTCGGCTTCGCACTACTCGTTCCTTACGAAATGCTGTACACCTTCACGGATCTTGGCATGTACATGTTCATGGCACCCAGAGACGACTTCATCTCTGCCAACCGCGAAGGCATTTTCTCTTTCCTTGGTTACCTCGCTATCTTCATCGTCGGACAAGGCATCGGTATGGAAGCACTTCGCCGCGATGTCAACGCTGCCACTCCTATAACTCAAAACGATGAGTGGGTCGCCGAGATGCTCGGTGGAACGGACAGCTTGAAGGAAGTGCGCAAGACTCGCGAGCACAACTCGATGCTCAAGCTTGCAAAGTGGACTGGTCTCTGGATTGTCATGTACGTCTTCCTGACATGGCACTACGGCCCTCGCTTGACTTCTTCTCGTCGTCTGGCGAATCTGCCTTACCTCGCATGGGTCGCAGCCTTCAACTGTGGACAGCTTCTCCTCTTCCGTGTCATCGAGGGTCTTCTCTTCCCTCTTCTGTACACCTCCCGCGATAGAAAGGTCGAGCAAGAGCGCGTCAAGAAGGCTACCAGCAAGGTGCTCCACGCCTTCAACCGCAACGGACTGGCCATCTTCTGCCTCGCGAATCTCTTGACTGGACTTGTCAACATGACTATGCCAACTTTGGATATGAACGACTACCAGGCCATTGCCGTCCTGATCAGTTACATGAGCATTCTGACTGGAGTTGGTCTGTTCCTGGATCAGCGCAACATTACCATCAAGCTGTAAATATTGCGATTGAGGCGGTGTAGATAGTTCTTAGAAAAATGTATAGGATGCAAATGATGATTTCGTCTTTCCAAAGGTACTCTCTGATCGGATGTCAATGTTAACAAAAGGTATCGAGTCTGGCCAGGTGAGGATGCCTCGTTTTGACCGTGTGCTTTGCTGAGCGTCTCTGCAGATGATTTGTATCGATGATCTGGATCGAAGAACTAGTCCTCTCACTACCACTTAGAAGCTGCAAGACGCAAACGAATAGAAGAACAATTCACCCAAGACTCTGAATGAATACCGTCTCTTACGAATCGCAGCGCGACATCTCTGTTGTATTTTGTTGTTGCAGATCGATTGACCACCAGGGTGGCTCACTCAACCAAAAACGTCATGGACCCCTCCAAAATCTCCAAACTCCAGGCATCTGCTTTCCTCCTCTCGCACACCACCAGAACAAATGTAACCAACAACCAACCATGTCCACGCCGCCAGCCGCCAAAAGGCGCCGTGTGGACTCCCTTGGTATCCACAAACCTTTTGTGTCACCTCTAAAGCGTGATCCCTCCACCACCGGACAAACTACAAGTACTGGAGACTCGGCGGGTACTGCAAACCTCGCCAGCAGTACCCCAGCACCTCTGCGCACGCAAGCAGCGACGACACCGAAAGCGATACCCTACACACCACTCCGCAGCAGCAATCTCAAGACCTCTACACCACTGCATCATGCCCCATACGACCCCGAGATCGCACAAGCACACCAGGACATCAAAGCCCTCGAAGCCAGGATTCGATTCTTGCGCAGTCAGAATGGCATCCTGGCACAAGCCGCACAAATCACTGCGCCAACCCCTCAAGCCTCTCAGTCCTCGCAACAAGCATCTCAACCGTCCCAATCGAGCCATCAGCACCAACCGCAAACACGACTCACCCGCTTATCCCAAAAATGGCTCCGCGCAAGTCAATCCGCCGCCGAAGAAGTGTTTGTTTCCTTTGAACAGAGTATAAAAGACAATGGCGGCTTTTCCACTTTTCTTGCACAACAAAAGAAACAATCTACCTCCAACTCTTTCTTCAACGACAATTTCGACGACGAGAGAGAAAAAGTAAATGAAGGCAATGAAGATAACTGGAGAGATGAGGAGGGAGACGTGTTGACGGAAAGAGGAAAAAGGCAAAGAAGGGGAGAGATTGAAGAGCAAGGCCACAAATACAAAAGAAAAGGGGACGAGGACGAGGCAAAGGAAGAGGATGGTGAAGAAGAGCAGCAGGAATTGACGCTGGGAGTTATGCTCAAGGTGTTGAATATCGATCCAGAGGTCATTGGGTGGGATGCGGAGACTTTGGCGTGGAAGTGATGAGGACTTGATGAGCACCCTCTGCTCTGCTTGTCCACTGCCTTGGTTTCTCTGGTGTCTGCCGTCGGTTTGCAGCGTCCCAGCAATCGGACCTTTTACATGGAAGAGGATACGATAGGATGAGAGTATGGATTACACGAGATGATGAATTAACGAAACATTAGGGTGGCGCTTTCGCTGTGCACATAAATGATACCCCTTGAAATACAAGTTTTGCTCTCTGTATCGTTCGCTCGACCCCTTGTGACAAATGAACAATGCCTTAAAAAAAAAAAAAGAAAAGAACAAATCCACATATGCATTGATATGCAACAATTTCGTATCTTATCGGTTTAGAGATATCGACAAAGACCAGAAAACGACGCGAGTGCCAACCAGTATCCCATCGCAACGCCAGTCTCCCAACCGTATCCAAGTGTAGGAAGCCGTATACCCATGCATCTAGAACCACTTGACCCACCCTGGATGCCCCTGTACCTGTAACGCCATCCCAAGGATCCAACCATCCGAACCCCAGAACCAACAAGGTAAATCATCATCTCCCAGGCGGCCACAAGCCTCTAGCACCCGTAGTCAAACTCCTCTTCCTCCTCACCATGCCCCTAGTCCCCGAAACATCAACTCCTTCCTCTCCATAGTGTGGTCTCGCATTCGAAAACACACTCTTGTACTCCATTGGAGTAGCCACTCCTCCTCTCTCCTGACTCTCAGAGTCTACTTTCGTCAAGACCAGAGCTGGTGATGAAGACATATACATCCTAGCATGCAGATTTGGTGTCACGGGCTGCGAACGCGAGATAAACGCAGAGGGCCATAGTTTCGGCGTTTGGCGCGCGGGAGAGTCGTCGACGGAGGAATCGGACCAATCTGCATCATCAGAGTCGACGGCAGTTTCTTGGCCGGAGGTGAAATCGTCGTGGAGGCCGGCGTGTTTGGGGGCGCGCGAGATATGAGATGATTGTAGAAGGTGCGTGTTACTGGGTTTGCGGAGGGAGTTGGGTGCGGGGACGGCAAGTAGATGTGGTCGTTCGCTCCCGGGAGGGCTGCCGTGGCTGGCTCGTCGGAAGTGTCGTATTTGATCTTCCTTTGAGGCGGCGGTGAAAGCGTTAAGGCGGAGGTCGATCTGGCTGGGTGAGAAGACGAGACCGTAGCGGACTTTCTGCACTGCGACGTCAAGAGCCAGCTCGATGGCGCAGTGGTTCCGTACTTGAGAGAGTTTTGGCCATGTCGCTGTTTCGCCGCTGAGCATGGCGCGCGACATGAAGTCTGTAGTTGGATTGCTGAGAACGCGAGGGAACTGTGTGAAGGAGACTTCGGGTAGGATGGTAATGTCGCCCGAGTATCGTTGACTCAGAACTGAACGAAGCTTGGACATGGTAGTTGGCAAGACACCGAGTTCAGCAAGGACATGCATTCGGTGGAGAGCCTCTCCTTTTGCGAGATTAGCGACGTTGCGAAGCCAGCCAGGTCCAGCAGATAGGGAGAATCTGGAGGGTTCAGGACCGGACGCCGCGGGTTCATCATCTCTCTCTAAGAAGGGCACAACGTGAGGATTGACCTGCGAGACAATAAAGTGGTTGACATTGAACATCTCGGCTAGACGGCCCATGGGTAGATCGTTGTCCACCGAGCCATCGATCCATCGTTGAGGTGACTGATCCCATGGGACTTCGAGTCCAGTGCGTGGGTCTTTGGCCAGTAGTTGCGCAGGTGAGAAGACGAAGGGGACGGAGCAGCTCGTGGCAACGGCAGACCAGATCATGACGTTGGGAGCAGTGATGTAGTTGAGCAGTCTGGGAAGCTCGTAGAGACTGGCAGTCGACACGCCAATGTTGAGAATGCGTCTGGTCCTGTTGTAGGCTTCCTGGAAAGTCATGTCACCAAGTAAATTCCGCATCACGCGGATGAGGTTGGAGATGTCGAAAAGAGCGCCTTTGGTGCAGAAGCGAAAGACCTTTTTCAGAACGTTCTCAGGCTCTCCTTCCTTTTCAAACACATCCAGGTCGCCGTAGCAGAACTCGCGGAGGACTTGTGGTATCTCATCGTCAGTCTTGGTACAGAGTACTGCAGCAACGATGGATCCAGCCGAGGCACCCGAGATGATGCGAGGCAGCAGACGGGCTTCAAAAAGCGTCTTGAGCACACCGATATGGTTCATGCCGAGTGTGCCGCCGCCAGAGAGCAGCAACGCACTTCTGCCAAACGCCTGCCTAGCGCTCAACAACTGCTCATAGACCTCCCTGACATCCAATTCCGTGTCTTTCTTATTCGCGGGCGAACACAGTTCGACAATCGTGTCGAGCATGGCCAGAGCGGCTGAGATGTATCGTTCGATGAGCGTCTTTGTGCCGACTCTGCAATGCTTGTACAGACGCAGATCGCCCATGCCTCCCAGATCTCTTGTTAGCGACGTCCGAGCCAGGAACAGCATGCGCTTTGCGTCGCAACTGATGCGCGCATCTTCCAGCTCTTGCAGTCGAGCCTTGAGTAAGGCTGTATCGTATTCGTCGCATTTCTCTTCCTCTTTCCACGCGTCTCTGCCTTCGAGCGTGTCGAGTTCCGAGGCTGCCGAGAACCAGTCCGTGTAGCATTTTGCCTGTCCACGGCGCGTCAGTCGCAACTCTTTGTCTGAAGCGAGAGATCAGACATACCTGTGTGATCTTGAGTTGCAAGACTTGCCTCCGCCATTCGCAATCGTCCAGGTGTGGCCCCTCGGCTCTTTGCTTCTGACTGCCAGAGGATTCAACGAGCTTGCTGACACCGATCAAGTTGTAAGGATCGCGGAGCGCCTTCATCAGCGATGGCGACAAGCGCGAGTTCCGGGCACTCGATCTCGAGGGCGCATTGTTGGTTGTGGCATTAGACTGCAGTCCCGCCGACGACCCGGGTAAAGCTAGTGAGTCATGGAAAACGTCCATGTGAATGTGGGAGCCATGAATATCCCAGAGAGAAAGTCCCAGAGTAGGATGTGTGTTGTTATTGTAGCTTGTAGGCGAAAGGTATCAATAGGGAAGAGCTAACAAAGGGTTTAGGCGGCAAGTCGAGGAAGTTGCGGTATTCCAGAGTAATAAGCTTTTGTTATGGGCATGACGACAATCACTGTCAACACCAAATTTGACCCACTTTGCTCTTGTTCTCCACGTTTTTTATGCTTCAAGGTTCTCCGCGAAAAAAGGAAGGCGGCACCTTTGAACCATGTGACGGCTTGAGGGGGCTGGCTTAATGAAGTTTTGCCGTCTACACCAAGAACTAACACAGCTTGCAAGATCACGAAGGAAGATTCTCAAGTCACAAGCTTGCATGCGTTGATGCTTTCTCCTGCATGCCTCAGCGTCGATCAACGCTGACCGTGTTTCAGGCCCTTCCTTTTCCCTTCAGCCTGACTCCCTTGCTTCCTTCAGGATAACAAGTGCAGATGATCAGGTCTCACCGCTTCCACTGCCTGATTAGGCAAATGGAATCGATGTCCCTAGTTCAGATGACTTGCGAAGAGAGTCAGCAGGGGCATCGAATGGGCCTTGTAATAGTCTGCATGTGCAGTACTGAGTACCTTTGATTGACTATCGCAGTAGCTTGCTTCCTTGGATTCGCTTGGACCGGAGCTACATCCTGCGTTGTGTTTCTTCCCGAGTGACACGTCCAATAAATCAAGATCGCGGCATGGAAAAATTCAGGTGTGTATTCATTACGCGTACTCTCTGCAAACCAGGCTATGCGGATAGAAAAGAAGAAAAGAACATCATATTATCCGGAAGATGAACCCAGCCAATAAGCACCTTTGCTCCCAGATATATCCTGCCATATATTCATGAAATTCATGTCATGAAGCTAGGGAGCTTCCAAACGCCCCTCGTCTTCAATTGTGCTCCACCCCCACAGTGAGCACCGTACACAACTTCACCTACGTGCGTACCGCACTCATCATATGGCCCATACAACTTGTGCTTACAAACCACTAAGTGGAGAGACCACTTCCGCGATCTCATCCAGATCACAGGCTATCAGAAGACCCCTGCGACGGTCTCGCTTGCATAACCAAGATGCTTGCTCTCAATCCACCATCAACGAATCGTTGAGCAACAAGACCCAAGCACGCCTTGCCCGACTCGTTGGACAAGTCCCATCGGCCGACAACAATCAAGTCGCCTGCGTTCTTTGGGTTTTGCGCGACTTCGACCTGCGCCCGAGAGATAGCTTCTTCCAGGGGTGAGTGCGACGAGATGTGTTCCATGACTACTCTTGAAGACAACTCTACAGGTAGAGATCTTTGGATCATGGCGAAGAAGGTTTCATCGCTGTCTTCGATTTGTGCGACGGCGTGGGATTTGCCTTCTCTCGATGTTGATGAGCCCAGACTTGTGCTTTCCACAGGCGAACCATGTGTTTCCTCGGTCTCTAGCGAGTTATTGCCTCCGTCAAGTTTGTCGAAAAAGACAACCGTGGCGGTTACATCAGGGTTCTCTGCCAACTGCAACACAAGACGCAGCGCCACGCGGCCATCCGCACCACCAAAGTAGGGCATGTAGATATGGTGCGACTTGTCCATGATGGGTGAAGATGCAGGTCCCCGCTCGTTATTCGACAAACTAATCTTGCTCGCTTGACGAGACAGAGGTAACGGACGACGTGCCACTGCGCTGCCGCCGAAGCCGCGGTTGACAAACACTGCTGTGTTGCAAGTCGATGCCTTTAGTGCGGCTGCCACGAAACTGACGTAGCTTGTGTCTTCGAGTCGTCGAGGTGTGACAGGGTTGCCGTTGTAGGATTGTTGTTCGTTCATGCTTCCACTCTCGCTCCAAGGAAGAACGAGAAGGTCTGCATTCTCGTTTGCTGCCTTGTGTGTGATGATCTCGGCAAAGGAAGATTCGAGTGCAATGGCGACCTCTCCCGAGACTGAGAGGTTGTACAGTCTGCCAAAGTTGCGGAATGTGTTGATGATGGGATCCTTCCAGTGGAACTCCTCGACGTCCGAGACACTCATGACGGATGAGTCTCTGTCTGTAAGTTCGATCATCCTGACACCGTGGACTTCCAGAGGTCGGTTGGGCGTCTTGATAGACTCGTCTACGCTGGCACTCTTGCCGGCTAACATGGGATGCTGTCTTGCGGTTGCGTCTCCATATTTGCTGGGAGCAGCCAAGAGTGAGACAAAAGTCATCAGAGTAGGCATATTATCCAATCTCAGATGAACAAGAAGCGACTTGATCTTGCTAGTCTCCAGTTTGGCTGCAACAATGGACGAAGCATCATCGCCAGGGTTGATTGGGTTACCAGTGTCCCAATCAATGAGGCCCTTCTTCCAAGCTTCAAGCTTCTTCTGGTACCAAGGTGGGTACAGAGCCATGGTCAATGGTGTAGTGATGAAAGTGGTGATCAAAGCCATGACCACGAAGATGGTGAATGTTCTCTGAGATAAAATCTTGGCCTGCAGACCAATATTGAGAACGATCAGCTCGACAAGACCTTTGCAACTCATCAGAGCGCCGATCGTGAAGCTCTCTCTCCAGACAACACCATTGGCACGGGCAGCCAAAGAGGCTCCTACAAACTTGCCGACGAATGCGACAGCCAACACACCGACCACATATCCCCAAGTGATTGCGGTATCCAGAAGACCAAGATTGGTAGACAGTCCAGACAGGGCGAAGTAAAGCGGTAAGAACAGAGCACTGATCAAATCCTCAATCTTCTCTGTGACCTTGATTGCGAAACCACCCTCGTGAGGGCAGATCAAACCTGCCATGAAAGCACCAAAGATAGGATGAATACCAATGACTCCAGTGAAGAAGGAAGACGCCAGCGCGATCAAAAGAGTCAAGACGATGATACCTTGAGATGGCCCATTCTCAAACGTACGAGTACGTCTAAGAACCCAGGTAAAAGCCGGCTTGACAGCGAAGAATAGGAATAGTGTATATCCCAGAGCCGTCAGCAAGACATATAGAGCACTGATACCACTGCCAGAGTTGACCAAAGCCACACAGAGAGCAAGAAGAACCCACCCAGTAACGTCGTTGCCAGCTCCAGCCGATAGCACAATAACACCAACAGACGTCGACAAGAGTTTCAGTTCGGTGAGAATACGGCACAACACTGGGAAAGCAGTGATAGCCATGGCCACACCGACGAATAGCATAAATGTGCCGAAGGCAACTGGCTCAGTTCCATCTTCATCCGAGAATTGGTTGTACAGTCCATAAGCAATACCACATCCAAGACCAAAGGGGAGTGCCATACCAGCGAGACCAACACTCAATGCAATCTTCCAGTTGCTGGCCAGGTATCGCAAGTCGACTTCCAAACCTACTATGAACAGAAAGAGGACCAGACCGATGTTGGCAACCAGAGCAAGATTTGGCTGTGCGGCCGCCGGAAAGATTGTAGCCGTAAAGCCAGGGATTCTACCCATGACCGAGGGACCGAGCAAGACACCACCGATGACTTCTGCGATGACACGAGGCTGTCGGATCTTTGACAGAGGCCAGTGGAGTAAACGACAGAAGAGGATAATAACACCAGCCTGGAACAACGATATCAATACCCGGCCTCTCAAACCCTGAGACTGTCATTTACACATACCTGTATAATGAATATGATGATAGGATCCTTGGGACTGTAATGTGTCGGGTTCTCGCCTTCCAAAATTCCACCTTGAGCCTTTGCTCTAGCCGTCGAAGCTGCCGACGTAGCAGACATCGCCACAGTCTTTGTGACTGTATCCGTCACGAAAGCCGTGACCGTCGCCGCCATGATTGATGTTTGCTTTTGTGCGACAATAAATAAGAAACCTCAATTCGCGTGTCCGGAGGGTTGGTCCGAGAAGAAGTGTGGATGGATACACAAGAAAACTACTCTATCAGCATACTCGTGTAGCCCTTCCTTCTATAAGTCGATAGAGACGAAGACGGTCAAGTCGTGAACTGGTAGGGGGCTTGTATCAAAGAGCTTGGTGAGACGTTCAAAGAGAGACGTGAGGAATGAATACCAACTGCCACTGACTCGCTGACAGGTGCAATCTGCACTCCAAACCGCGTGGGGTGCTCCAGACCCTTATATCGCATGACGCTTGGACCCCTTGCCCTTGCCTCCAGTTCTGGGCATCTCTTGGGCCCAGACTTTTCCTCCTCTGCCAACTCCATCACACGACAATGTTCATGCTATATCGATGTATTTCGTTGCTGAATACTGTAGGCACTGTATGCGAATAACGGCGTCGCCGCCTCCCACCCCCTATATTTGACATCTGCCTACCAGCGCAATGCCCAGACTCTACCAAGTCTACATCTTGTGATCACCTCATCGTTGTTGAATCTCTCGCTTGGCTGACGAGCGGCTGAGCCCCCTCGAATCCCGCAACGCAACGCAACCCCCGGCCAAAAACGCCATGAAACGACCAAAAGATAGCGGTGTACATGTGAAGGTAGACACTCTCCATACGCGAGCGGCGACTCTGTGGATGACCGTTGCCTTGATGCAGGGGGCTGTGATGGGAAGTCACACGCAACATGCACGATCATGGCACGTGAAAGGGCGGTCTGAAACGTGATGAGCTTTGGGGTCAACGTGGCTGGATTGCGGGATAAGACAATGTGATTGTGCTTCTAGACCTTGAGGGCAAGACGGGCGTGGCTTGAGGTTATGGGATTATGATTATGATCAGTCATGCTGAAATATCTAGGGTGTTAATTCACAGAGACATGGCCATGGCAAATGCGATGGCAGAGCCCAGGACCAACGATGGATTCCACTTTACAGATGAGGCAACACCAGTGTACAGTGCGGGCTTGTAGCTGCTGGCGGTATTGCTGGCATGCGATGCACCAAGGCTCGAAGAGGTGCTGTTGACATGAGAGCTGCCAGTAGCAAGCGTCGTACTTGAATGGACCCCAGTGGCAGTGTTGCTAGGCTGGGTGACTCTGATCGAGGAGGTTTCGCTGGAGAAGCCCTGATCGCTGGTGCTATGAGGCTGATACAGACCAGAGCTTGAGCTGGGAGTCTCCTCGACACCCAATTCACTCACAAGCTTGGTGCTGGAATGCTGCTCCCCGGGATAGGCTTGGGAAGCGCTAGACATCATGCTACTGGCATCAACTGATGGTGCAGATTCGGAAGTCGTCTCCGTGACAACTGAAGTCGCGCTAGAGGCTGTGACTGAGAATTTGGAAACGACAGTGAGCCTGGAGATGATGGCGAGTGTCTGAGTAAAGGACTCCGTGGCAGTTTGGCTGTTTCCAGAGGCTGCAGGAGTTTGAGAGTTGTGCATCTCTTCGCCGCTCTGGATATTGCTTGAGGCGACAGCTCCAGTGACCTGATGTGGCGACTGAATCTCGAGTACATTCGTAGGTATGGCAGTCTGAGCGGGTGCGAATACAGTCTCGAATCCATTGACAGGGCAAACAGTAGTCGAGACCACAACTGTCTCAGTTACGAAAAAAGTTTGCTGCGCTGAAGCTGGGCAGTTCGAAACACTTGACGGGCAAGCAGTGATGGTCGAGGTTCTAGTAGACAACACTGTGGACGTGGTATACTCAATTTCCAACGCGTTGGTTGTGGTAATCAGCTGAGGAGTCTCAATCACTGGACAAACTGTGGTCGACAGGACTAAAGTTTCAGTGGTCAAGAACGTGCTCTGAGATCTAGCGGGACAGTCTGTGACTTCTGGGGGGCAGGCTGTAACAGTAGCAGTGCGAGTGGCAAGAATGGTCGAAGTGCTCAAGCGTATAGTGGGCAAGCCGAGTGTAACGGTTGCTGATTCCGAGGTTGGTGAGGCGATCTCAAAGAAAGGCGAGACAGACGAAGACAGAATGGCGGAAGAAGACAATGGTGCTACGCCAGGCGGTGCGGTTACGACGCTGGCAGATATGACCGTAGCGCTGTAAGACACTGAACCAGCGCCGGAAGGCACGAGAACGATTCTGGAGGTTGCGAGGTCGGTGCTAGAAGACATGGAAACGCCTGAGCTCGAGAGTGCGGATGAATGAGTGGTTGGCAGAGTCGACTCACTCCGTGCAGAGGAAGATACTATCGAATTTGCTGGAACTGGTGATATAATAGTTGACAGAAGAACAAAAGAACTGTTGGTTATAGTCGGTACGGCAATGTTGATTGGTGCCGATGAGGTTGTGTTTGCATACGCAGCGATGACTGAGCTAGCAAGAGCAGAACTAGGTGTAGTCAAAGCCAGGCTCGTTCTAATGGTGGTTGCCTGCATAGATGTGTTAAGCCGCGTTAACGATGCTGTAGTCGAGATCGGAAGAGTCACGGAGCTGCTAACGAAGACAGAGCTGGTTGGAATTGAGCTGTTGGCGAAGACAGAGCTCATTGTCATGGTACTGTTGCTCATCGCTGGGATCGATGTGTTGAAGTGTGCTGCAGTAGTGATAGAGCTGTTGGTGATAGGAACCAACACAGTTGTGCTTGTTGAGTTCAGCAGAGGTGCGGATGTTACCATCGCCGAAGACGCAGTGCTGTTGGCGATCATGGACAGTATTGACATAGAGATATTGCTTGGTACAACGCTGCTTGAGACGTTCGAGGCCAATGATGATGAGGTAATGACGGGGCTTGATGTTGTCTCAGGAGCCGTCGTTGGGGTGCAAGATGCGACCGAGGCTGAGACCGTAACTGTGCTCTCATATGTAGAAACGATATCGGTCGAGAATGTCTGAGTCGAATACTGAGTATCAATGACGGTCGAGGTGGTCACACAAATATCCGTCGTGTAGGCCAGGGCAGCTTGGAAAGCCACAGCAGAAGCAAGGCGCAAAGACGATTCCGACAGGAACGTGCAGACTCTTGCAGCTGTGTTGTAGTTATATCCGCTACACAGGGTAGAGTACACGCTGCAATATTGGTTACAATAAGCGACTTGAGCCGCGGGAAGTACGAGAACAGTAGCCCCACCAGACAGCGAGGCGCCGTCACAGTGCTGATCGTAGTACTTTGTGCCCAGAGTATAGACGCCATTGCGGCACTGTCCTGCTGTGAAAGGACTTGGCGTGCAGGTTGTCACTGTTTGTAAGGAGGCTGAGGTAGTGGTAAAAACGCTCGAATACATGCTGGCGTACGTCGAAGTTAACGTAACCACTGATTCCTGCACTGCGGCCGCTGGTGTTGCAGAACAAGCTGAGGTAGAAATTATTGAGGATGGCGTCTCCAGAGAAGACTCTGTCGACGATGAAGATGAAGTAGTCGAGCTTGTGATAGTAGATTCGAACACGGTGATGACTTGAGTAGTGATTGTTTCGGTCGAGTATTCCGTTCCAGTGCTCGTCAAAGTAGCTACACACGGATCTGTGTTATAGATCGAAACAACTTGAATACCAGAGCTCCAAGTGGTAGCGGCTGCACCAGGAGCCGTGGGCGAGGTTTGTGCAAGATAGCAATAGGTACTAGTAGGGTTGTAGACCGCCATATCGCAGTAGCCCGTGAAGTGATTGCAGTAGCTAAGGCATGAGTTGATATCCTTGACTCCTGGACCGTTGATCCGAACTACTCCAGTGACCGCCACATTGTCACATTGCTCGCTGTAGTACTTGCCGGCTGTCGAATATACCGTGTTTTGGCATCCTCCAATCGGAGACACTGTGCCTGCCGTACATGTTGTGACAGTCTCGACACTTGTGGTAGGAGTTGCTCGGACTGTGGTATATGTACTGTCATAACTGGAAGTGATTGTGACGATTGATTGTTCAGCTCCAGCTCCAGCCAACGGCGTAGGAAATGCTGGCACAAACTCGAATGTCGAGTATGCGGTAACGTTCGAACACGCCAAAGCAGCGACGAGCGTCAATCCTTGAGCCAAAGATGGACCCATGATTGAGACACCAGATGAGAATATCGCAGAAGAAGAAACCTGAAAAGAAAGAGATAAAATGGAAAAGATGATCAAAGGAGTGTGATAGACCGAGGATACTGGCTCGAGGACGTGATATGAATTTATGCTCAGAGTTCATGGTATACACTAGATTTTCACGTAGCAGACTCATGGCTCGCAGTGGAAATTGACTTCAGCTGAGCACTGCATTCGTACTGAAAAGACTTTGGCCGTCTCTAGATTTACTAGGAGTTAAGACAATAGTGTGAGAAGGCACGTCTCTGCGCACGAACGCACTCATGCCGTCGGAGATGCCGATCTTGAAGTCGCAAAGAACGACTATCCCAAGACGGAAAGTGCAATGCATAGTCGAGTCAATTAGGACTTGTGGATGAGGGTAAAATCTCTCCAAATCTCCACTTGTCTTGTGTCGCAAGCGAAAGAGTGTAAGTCGAGGGCGAGGTGGCTGTGGGTGCTTGACTCGTTTTGTCCAGACGCGAGCAAAATCCAGAGCTTTGACCAACAGAGGAAAGTGCAGCGAAATTGGAGGCTTGAGAAGAAGAGAAACCAGGAAGACTCCATACGCTATGAGACGAGAAAATGTAAAAGCCATGCGGTTATATGGACAGATATGATAATAATACTTTTTCGGGTAGGTGAAGAGCCTCTATTTGCCCAGCTCTTGAAGTTGTGGCAGATCCCATAGCGGACGCTCCACCAATACGGCTTCAGGCTGTTCTTCATCCGCATCTGATGTCTTTTCGCCCATAGCCACCATACCCAATATAGGTCTGTATCTGTATGTACACCACCATTTCCTTCGGCCTGCTGAGGTGACAGCCAAGGCACCATCTGCGCCCCCATTCGTGTCTACTTCTGCGTCATCATTGCCGCGACGCAGAGGACCCACTGCATCGTCCAATGCTTCTTCGTCATCCAAATCTTGCTCGTGAGAGGTGCCGTTGGTGAGCTCGATGACTTTGCCGTCCTCAATACGGCGGATCTCGTCAACGACACCCTTTGTCTCCCCACTTGCGGCTTTGTCACCAGCACCGCCCATACCCTTTGCCTTCTTGCGCTGTTCGGCGAGCTTGCCCCATTTGTTACTCTCGCGACGCTTGCGCTTCTTGCTGGGTGTGTGTTGGGCGGAGATGTCGTCTTCGCCATCCTCAAGAGCCTCGTCTAATACACTCGAGGGCTCGTAGTTTTGTGACAAATCGAGCATACCGACCCAGTTGGCACCGTACAGCCAGGCACGAGCACGAGCATCATTGGCGTCCCATACGACACCCATGGCACGATCCTTGATGGTCTGGAACTCGGCGGGCAAGACACTCGTAGGGTTTCTACGTGACCATTCCGTTAGGCGTCCGCTTAAGACGTCGAATGTGTAGACTTGGTGGTGGGATGTGATAATGAAGAGAGGAGATTTCGTGTTGGGAAGGGCGTGAGAATGAGGGTGAGGGTTGTTGCGAGTAGGATGAACACCAGGATTGCCGTTCGTGATGGGCTCGTCCTGTTGGGCTGGTGTGAGTGGTTGGAAGGAAAGAACGAGGGGTGCAGAATCAAGCTTGGGAAGCAGGTTGGCTGACGGGTTGTCTGCCCAGTGCTGACCATAGAAGATGGTCGTCTCGTCATCGTCATCACTGTCGCTGTCGTCGTCAGAATCAGTGCCCTTGTCCGAGCCTGATGAAGACTTTGCAGCAGTATCCATGGCGGGGGCAGTCGAGTCGTAGTGTCCCTCGAGTACCCAGCTATCAAGGTAGCCTGAAAGATCACTTGCAACCAGAACAGCACTGTCAGGCGAGAAGGCCAGTCTGTTGATTGTGCGCTCGTACTTCTTGAGGCCTGTCTGGATTGTGACCTTGCGAGATTGACGTTCCAATTCGACGTTTGCGTCCAGGAAAGTGGGCTTGTCTGTGTTGTCCTCTACTCTTGCTAGGCAGACTTCGCTCTGCGGTGTTACTGCTGCTAGCCATCTTCCATCAGGCGAGAAAGTGATCAAACGGGCACCGTTCTCGGCGATGGATTCGAGAGCGGAAATTTTGCGGACTCGTAGGCGGTCTTCGCCGTCTTCGGTGCAGGAGAGTTGGAACAGCTTCACCGAGTCGATGGTAGAAACAGCGAGGAGAGAAGCGTCGGGGGAGATGGCGACGGATGTGATGGCTTCTTTCGAGTCGATGAGGATACGAGTAAGGAGTTTTCTGGTGTCTTCGGGTACGGGGATGCGCTCGTCGCCCTGCTTGTACATGCGCCAGATGCTGATTTCACTCTCAGCCCAGCTGACAAGCATACGCTGCTGCGGACAAGAAGCGAGGACGGGGTTCTGCGGTAGACCAGGGAGTCTGCGGTGGTTCTCCTTGTTGAAGTTGCGGAGCGGGATGACGAAAGGTGTGGTATCGAGACCTGGTGGTTATTAGCATGGAGTGGGAAGACAATATACGAGCATACGCACCTCCTGACAGTACAACGCTCATGTGCTTCGAGTCGTAAACAGCCATGGCCTTGATGTCACCCTCGTGCATGCGGCGGTGGCTGGTCTTTGCCCACCTTCTCTTGTCACCCTCCTTGCCGCCCAACTTGTACACGGCAATGCGACCGTCCATGCCGCCCGAGAAGACCGTGGTACCATCAGTGCTGCTAACGAGATCCAGACAATCCGAGTCGTGGCCACTGACGCTTTGCGACAAGGTGTAGGTTCTTCCGTCCCAGAATTTGAGCTGGCCATTTGAGTCGCCAGACACAATATCACCGTTGGGCAAGCATCTGACCTTCCAGACCAGAGTGTCGCGAGGAGCACCAGGGACACCTGCTCCCAAGCTGAGGGTGCGCAACAGAGAGCCGTTGCGCACATCGTAAACACGGATAGTGCTGTCGGTGAAGCCGGCAACGACTGTGTCTCTGTCTTTCCAGGTGACGCTCATGCATCGAGTCTTGCGGTTTCCGCCACGGGCCAGGAATCGCTTGAAAACGAGATCGTTCTCCTCGGTCGAGAGGATTGCGAGAGTGCCATCGCCCGTGCCAGCAACCAGGTTTTGGCCACGAAACTCGTCGTCACGCGAAGCCTTGCTGGGACGCCAGCGCGGTTGGGCGGCGAAACACCAGACCTCGCTGAAGTTGCCTGTCGACGAGCGCAATTCCTTGCCTGTCGTCAAGTCCCATTCCGTCACGGCAGCTGTCGAGCCAATACTGAACAGGCGCAGTTGGCCGAGAATTGTGTGTCCCTCATAGTCTGTATCGTCGGGCTCTTGAATCCATGCCAAAGCATCTACGCTTCTCTTCGAACCTCCGGGAAAGACCGACTCTTGCACCCAGTCTCCTTTGTCGGCACTCCAGATTTCTATGTCTCCATTTGCGCGGCCGAGGGCGAGCTTGAGCGCAGGTCTAGGATCCGTGTAGTTCTTGTCGCTTGATCTCGAGAATGAAAGCGCGTTGATGGCCGATGACGGGTAGGCCACGAATCGAGAGCGGTGGATATCCATTGTATATACGGAAGAGAATCAAAAGAGAACTCTTCTCTCAAATCGACATGACTTCTGGCGAACAAAAATTGGATTGCGAAAAAACAGAAATAATCTTTGAAGCGCATCCAAGAATTTGCTTCTCGCCCGGACTTTGGCAGGAGAAAAAGCCGACGCTCGCAAGCCTTGGCGTACTTTTCTCGTCACTCGCTGCAACTTCCCAAATCATGTTTGAATACCTTTCTGCCCTGCGATAAGTTTGTTCTCGCTTCTGCTTCCTCAGATTGACGTTGCACGCCCTGCAGATGGTCAAAGTAGGTCTATCCGAGTTCACCCTAGGCCACTAGGTAATGACAATTGTAGCATGAACTGCATCAGGTCCCTGTGACGGCACTGGCCTTTAGTAAGGACTATCTGTTTGCAGGAGAAGGTCCAATCTTGAGAGTCCACATGCGTCATGACAATGAACTGATCCAGTCATTTAATGTCTTCTCTTCGCAAGCTATTCACGGCATTGCTATCCATTCCGATGGCATTATTGTCTGGGGTGGTCGTTTGATCACGCTATACACCTTTTCTCCAAACAACAACTGCGTCCTAGATCTTTCCGATTCTTTCCAAGCAGCCGACTGGATCCTTGACATCTCCTTCTCATCCAGAGTGCCTGGACAGAAGCAAAAAGCCGCTTTGATCACTGCTCACAATGCTCTTCTTCTCTTGGATCTCAACTGGAAATCTGGTTTGAAAGAATTGACCTCCAACTCCAAGTGCATCCTTTACTCGGCCCAAGTCCACTGGAACAACAACGACCACATACTCGTTTCATCGGGAACTGTCTTCGGTGATATCATTGTGTGGTCTTGTTTGTTGCAGGGAGACAGCGTGCCGTCTTCAGTGCTCCATCATGTGCTTATAGGCCATGAGGGCTCCATATTTGGCGTTCAGATATTCGAGATTCCAGGAGTTGATAGCCAGAGCGGTCCTTCTCGATTACTCGCGAGTTGCAGTGACGATCGCACAATTCGCATATGGGACATATCATCATTGCCCGAGACCGCTACGAACCCACAAGCCGCTGCAGATCTCACTTCGGCTAGAGAAACTGGATTCGGTGCTAATGTTGCAGACGTTCTGCCAGAAAATGCATCTGGCGCAAGATGTATTGCCAAAGGCTGGGGACATGCATCACGAATCTGGGGTGTGAAGTTCATCCCATCCCAGAGTCCGGACGTACTCTCATATCTTGTCACATTTGGCGAAGATGCTACTCGCCAATTTTGGAGCCTCGGCGAGACGAGTCCAGATCAGTTCGCTTTGTCACACCTTGGAGGCTCTTGTTTGCACTCAGGCAAGAACATATGGTCATGGGCAGTCCACCAGGACACGCCAGAAGAGGTCGTTGTTGCCAGCGGTGGTGCAGATGGCAGTATTGCCGTCGAGCCAAAGTCAGTCCCCTTCACCAGCGAGTCCGATCACACCCAAAATTGGTCGATACTGGATCTGAGCTCGTTGTGTCCAGAGCAACCGCAATCGGGGCGTCAAGACAAGCTACGAAGCTATGCGTTCCTGGACAAGACCAATCTGATAGTGACCACTGATGCCGGAAACATTTTCTTGTTGACAGAGAACGATAAAGGCCAGGCTCAAATAGACTGGATCCGAAGGGAAGATAAGCTTCTTGGATATTCTGTTGTGACCAGTATACCGAGCTTGTCAATTGCCTTTATGGCAGGGATGGACGGCTCGGTCATGCTATACCAAGGTGGAGAGGTGAAAGAACTGGTCAAATCCACAAGGAAAACAGCAGCGTTGTTCGCTCAGCAGTTACCTTCTTCGGTAAGCGATAGTCAGCAAGTCGGTCTTCTGGTTGCCAACGTCGAAGGCAAGACAGCTCTCTTCACATCCTTCAGCTCAAGAAATGCTAAGGATGGTTCTCAATCGACCGAGGACTTGATGACAAGGATACTAGCACTACCGAAAGGCTTTGTCATCACGAGTTTCCTCGCCATCAGTCTCGCTTCTGATCAAGGCATGATGCTCGTCCTGGGATCACGGAATGGTTCGCTTGCAATCTTCCTTGTGAACGAGAAGCCGGAGGACGAAAAAGATCTGGCACATCAGTACCTACTTGCGCAAGCTCATGGCTATGAATCTGTGACTGATCTTGCTTGGTACGCTGAACCTAGCTCGGCGGAAACCACGGGACACATCTTCTCGGTGGGTAGAGACGGCACTTACTCCATACGTCATCTCTCGAGATCAGAGGAAGGTATCGACCTTCGCCTCATCAACCAGACAACTCTTCCTCTGGGCACAAACATCGAGGGCCTCTGTATTGATGAGGAAAGTCAACACCTGTTAGTGTGGGGCTTCCATAGTCGTCAATTCATCGTCTTCGATGCAACCGACGAAATTGAGATAATGAATATTGACTGCGGCGGAGCGAACAGAGTATGGAAGTTTGTCCCCGAGGGACTGCAAGGTGGACACTTCGTATGGACCAAGGCTTCTCAGCTTTGCCTCTTCTCTCAAGCCCGGAACCAAACAAAGCTTCTGAACGCAGGCGGTCATGGACGCGAGATCAAGGCTGTGGCTGTTGCTCCTCAAAATCCGACCAAGTCCGGCATCTTGTTTGCAACTGGTTCCGAAGATACTGACATCAAGCTTTCCGCCTACCATAATGAGGGCAAGGTGCCCCACTTCCGCTGCTTGAAGACGCTAAAGAAGCACAACACCGGTATCCGGCAGCTGGAGTGGTCGTCTGATGGACACTACCTTTTTAGTAGCGCTGGATTCGAAGAGTTCTTTGTGTGGAGAGTCGAGGCGGCACCTCTAGTCGAGCTGGGAGTGGTTTGCGAATCCGTATGTCTTGCCGAGAGCGAGTTGCCTGACCTCAGAATCATGAGCTTCTCATGTAGAGAAGAAGCGGGCAATTTTATTATCACAATGGCACGTTCTGACTCAACTTTGCGGGTAAGTACATTCTCGCCTGTTTCCCTCTCAGACGCTTTAGCTGATGAGCCCAGATGTACCAATACTGTCCTGGCCAGGAGAAATCATGGGCTATCCTGATGACTGGCAACTACCTGACCTCTTGCCTAACACAATGTCTTCACATCGAGGCCCATGGTCAGGTACAATCGCTCATCACGGCAGGTACTGATGGATTTGTTGCTTTCTTCCTGCTCGAATCCGGTTCAACAACTGCCGCAGCTGAGCCAAGTGCCTTGAAGTGGACTTCCCGTGCGAACATCCACCAAAACACAATCCAGTCTATGAAGTTGCATTGGTTCGATAATGAGACATGTCTGCTCGTCACTGGAGGTGATGACAATGCAGTCGCTTTCAGTATTGTAGCCTGGGGTGCGGCAGGAACGACGCCAAAGGTTGACACTGTAATCGTTCCGCGCGCGCATGCGGCTGCTGTCACCGGTGTCGAGATCTTAGCCGCGTCTGGCCTCAGGATGTTCAGAGTTGCTACCACCAGCATCGATCAACGAGTCAAATTCTGGGAGATACACTACAACGGCTCACAGCATGGAGTTGATGGTCTTTCGATCAAGAGGAAGAAGGACTACTTCACAGCTGTCGCAGATGTCTCAGGGCTTGCTACATTAGACGATTCAGCTCTCATTGTCTGCGGAGTAGGCATGGATGTATGGGCCTACCGCGGTTGAGAAAGAGTGCATTCTCTAGAGACAGTGATCGGCAGTTGAGTATGCAGAGCCTTACCATTACGCGTGTCAAGCCTCTGCTCGAACTCGCTTTTGGACAAAGTCACGATGATCTAAACCGCAACGTGCGAAGGGATCTGCATGCAAGAAGGACTGCTGGTTGGCTGGGATTACCCCGGTTTACATTGCCCCACAGTTTGTGGGGCAATGGAGACCGCATCCTGCATTGCCTCCGCATTCTCCTGCCTTAGCGATACCGGAAATCCTTGCTCAAGCAGATCGTGGTGCGAGATGGATTGGATATATAGGTGGAGACACTGCTGGTGTCTTTCCGCTGGTTTTTGACTTCTCTATACAATATCATAACATAACATTTCGTCCGCAATGGAAGGACCTTCACACCCTCGCGAACGTCATCTCGTTCACAGGTACATTCTGTCAGCTCTCACAATTCAGGCGCGTACTCATTATCATACAGTCATGCTCACGAGGAAGACCTACCAGGAACGGTAAATCTTCAGGCTCTCGAAGGCGATGACACAGCATATGGCCAAGCTCTCTATCCGGTACCTAGCGAGGACCCCAACGATCCACTACAATGGTCGAATTCCAAGAAGACGATGATCTTGATCATTGTATCACTCTACTCGTTCCTCGGCAACAGCGCACTCGTAGGACCATCAGTGTATCTCGAGATTTATGCTGAGGAATTCGGCATTTCTGTTACTGAGGCGTCAGGACTGGTGTCTTATCCCAATCTGGTCTTCGGATTCGGTATGTTGTCATTGAAAGGATTCCTGTTCGCTGCGGTCATTCTGATATCCATCTAGGCTCGTTGTTGCTCGTTCCTGCATATCTGAAGTTCGGTCGACGTCCGATATTGCTGTTGTCTTTGCTCATGGTAAGGTTGATCACAACACATGTGTCTACAGTAAACTGACCATTGCAGTTCGTATTTGGCCTTCTTGGCGCAGCTCAAGCTACTTCTTATGGAGGCCTCATGGCTGCTCGAATCATCCATGCACTTGGCTCTGGTGTCTGCGAAGCTCTTCCCGTTCAACTCGTCAACGATATCTTCTTCCTCCACGAACGCGGCAAGAGATTGGGCTACTACACTGTATGCCTGTGCTGGGGCTCAACTGGACCTCTATACGCCGGGTATATGCTTGCGGCAGGATACTCTTGGAGGTAGGTGACATCTTTCCTCCACACTCACGTTCTTGCTCCCTCTGACAAAAGCTTGCAGACTGTACTTCTACGTCGAATTCGCCTTTGCATGTGCACTTCTCATCCTCGCTTTCATCTTCGTCGAGGAGTCTGCCTATAAACGCGTCGTTGTGGTTACACCGACACCAGACTCTGATGGCGAAAAGGGACACACTGAACACGTGGAGGTCATCACAATGGCACCACCAAGAAGATCCTGGCTCCAGACTCTCAAGCCATGGAGTGGGGTCGATCACGAAGCTGAATTCTTCATGACCATGCTTCGCTCATTCTCATATTTCCTGGTTCCTTCCGTCCTCTGGGTGGTAACCAGTTTCGGTATATATCCCCCTCCTCCCTACCTCATTCAAGTCGCTAACTTCAACTCAAGGTATCTACATCGGTCTCGGCGCCCTAACCTTCAACTACACCTTCCCCATCAAAATCGTCGCACCACCTTACAACTGGAACCCTAACAACAGCGGCCTCATCGCTTTGGGAAACATAATCGGATACGCCCTCGCCGTGCCCTTTGCCTCTTCCTCCGACCGCATAGCCGCTTGGCTCACCTCCCGCAACAACTCCATCCGCGAAGCCGAAATGAGACTATGGGTGCTACTGCCAGTCTGCCTCATCGCCCCCGCTGGCTTGATCCTCTATGGCTTTACCGCCGAGCGCAATCTTCACTGGATAGGCTATTTCGCGGGCGTCGCCATGGTCGATTTCGTCAGCTATTTCTACTTTTCCTTTGTGCTCGCCTACGCAGTCGATTCCATGACTGCCAACACCGCTGAAATGTTGATCGCCATGAATCTGGGCAAGCAAGCTATCAGTTTCGGAATGGGGATTTATCTGCTGGATTGGATTTTGGAGCATGGGTATGCGAAGATCATTGGAGGTGCGTTTTGTGCGGTTTTGGCGGTTAACAATTTGGCGGTGTGTGTTTTCTTGCCGTGGGGTAAGGGGATTAGGAGAAGGTGGTATAACAGTTGGTTGGGGGCGTTGCACAAGAAGACGAGTAAGGGGGTGGAGGTTGCTTGAGGTGGAGGAAGGAGGCACGGTAACGATTACACGGAATGCGAACAACGTTTTTGCTTTTGAAATTTGACATAAGCGACTCTTGCCTTCGATTGAACAGATTACATTGTTCCTATTAACACTGTTCGCTCGGGCATTGCACATTCCTGTGGCAGAGTGTCATCGACTGCTATCCTCTCCATGACATCCAAAAGCATCAAAGTCCGCTTCAATATTCTTGCCCTTCGTCCTCCTTGCGAGTGATGCCGACTTGCTCGTTGTGTGTAGGTAATTGTTTCCACAATAACAAAAAGCTCGCCACTTCTTCGGTCAAACAAGAAGAAGCCGTGTGATTGTGAATCAGCCCTGAGTCTTACAAGTCACAAGGGCCGCATGGTACCTTTTGCATGATTTTGAACCTCAAAAAACGACTTGTATGAGACACATCAAGGTCTACGTCTTGCCAACATGCCCTTGTCCGATTCAGCCATAGTCCAAACACTGAGAGAGTTGTGTTCCTGAGCGAATTCGATCTCGACCTTGCGGCCAAGCAGGGGCATGCCGTCCATGTCCTCCATGGCACGCACTGCCTGTGGGTGGGTGCTGAAGTCAGCATAGCAAGAACTGAATCCCATGAACTTTTCCGGTTGAGAGATGGCGCCGACATTGTAGCCGATGAAGAAGTCAGCCTGCGTCGTGGGACCTTAGTCAGCTGGATTTGCAGGCAAGAAGAGACGGGCCGCCCGATTCTGCCTCTTCAAAGTATGTGCTGGTTCTGGATGAGAAGAGTTGCGTACGTACCACATCGCGCTTCTTTGTCCATTTGGGCATCATGCTGATCCAGAGTCTGTTCTTTCCGCGATCAAGGCGTTCGCCGCGGGTAGGAGTACGAACCGAAGTAGTGGATGAGGTAGAGTGCTTGCGGGATCTTGCTCTGACTGCTCTCTCCTGTTCGAGCAGTTCCGCAACAGTCGATGGACCTCTGCGAATGCTTTCGATGCTGGGCTTCGACTTCACAGATTCGGAAGGTGCGGCCTCGAGATCGGACTCCCTCTTGGGAAGGGTTGGTGGTGATGGTGTGGCAACAGCCTTGACGTGGGCGAATTCAAAAGGCTTGATCAGTTGTTTCTTCAGCTCGGGCTGTTCCTCTGTATCACTCAGTTCGAGGCCGTCGAGGCGACAGCGCTTCAGCTTGGGGCGGGGCGTGGGATGTTGAGACTCAGTCTCGGCATCTCTCAAGCTAGAGGAACGAGGTTAGCACGAGACTGATGGTTCCTTGTAGTGTGCAGCTTCGTGATTCCATAGAGTCCCGAGGGCATACATTGTTTGAAGGGGAACGGATCTCTACTTACCATGGAATAGTTCTCATATCTTGAGCGCAGCTTTCGATCAATCTGATCAGAACTTCCTTGCGCACGACAAAAGGTGCATAGATGAATCTGCCGTAGGTGTTGGGTTGATCCTGACGGATCTGAGTGTCGAGATCAGGCTCTGCAAAGAGATCGGGATAGAGCTTGACGACGGGTGGGATGACCAAGTGTCTGAAGAGTTCTCCCTGTTTGCCAGCAGGCATCATCCATCCAAGGGGGTGTTCATCCTTGCGACACAACATGGTGTCATCATCAGTAATGAGATCTTCGGACGTCATCCAGGGGCAAGGTGCGCGCAGATAGCATCGAATGTGCTTCTTCATCTGGTGGATTTCTTGAGGCGACTGGTTCAACAAGATGGCAGCCTGTACGTCGCTGATGCCGTCTTTGATGAAGAAGTCGATCATACCAGGAAGAGAAGGGGCAGGGTAGTCGAAGCGTTTGTGGCGGACTTCGCCATCATCTCCAGAGTCGTTCTCAAGGAGAGACATTGTGTCTCACGAAGCAATGCAGATGAACAATGTCTACAAGCGTTGTTGTGAGATCTTTGACCCAAACCGAGTCTGTTGATATTAATTTACCGAGTCGACGTGATTGTCAACGCCAAGAGTTACAGATTCTCCGTTTGTTCCCACGCAATGTGTGTTGTTGTAGTCGAGAGCTTTGGCTGTTGATCGGGCGACGGCACTGGTTTGTTGTCAAGATGATTATATACTACGACAAAATCGAGAAGGGAGAATTCGGTCAAGAAGACAACGGGATGGATGGAGTGCAAACAGACACATTATGGAAATGATCTCAGTTTTTTTTCTGGTAGTATAACAAACGAAACGGGAAGGGGCAACCATAGGAGAGGAGGGGCTCCTGCATAAGAGGTCGGCGACGTGCAGATGATTCGTAGCAATGAGGTGAGCGACATCATGAGGGGTATAATCTCGCGACCGGTCATTTTGCCAGTAGATGTATTTCTTCATCCTGGTCGAGCAGGCCCGTATGTTGTTGTGGGCAGAAGGATGAACGCGACTCATCTGGCCGAGCAAGGTTCGACACACCGCTGGCAGAATCGCCTACCGCCTTCGCTCGCGTCTTGTCTTCCAGCCACCTCGTTTGGTCCTCTTCTTTCCACGATGTTGGAAACACATCTCGCGACTCATCGTCTATTTTTGCATCAGCTCCACGTGCGGACCAAAGCTGTCAACACATAGATTTTTTCGCAAGTTTCTGGGCAAAGGACGTATATTCAGTGCAGAGATTCTTGGACGAATCACATTGATGAAGGCTAGAGTGGATCATGTCGAATTCGGGTGCGACTTTGACAACGATATTTATAATCACAGCAGCGCCGACGAAGACATCACGCACGCCGAAAGCGAAAGCGAGTCAGAAGCAGGACAAGGTGAAGACGACAGTGATGATGACAATGGTGACAATGATGGCAATGATGATGACGAGGACGAACAGGACGAGGATGAGGAGAGCAATAATGGCGAGAATGAAAGCAGCGGTGAAGACAGCACGCAGCTCGGACGGTACGAAGTTGATGAAGAACTTGGCTCGAAAGAATGAGTGTAATCAGAAGATCGCTTCATCGCTCTATGCTGCTCTATGATCCTTTCTATTCAATGATCTCTTTCAGCCAACCAGGAACTATTGGTTTCTTCTCCCAAGCCGGACCCCACCTCTTCGTCCAGCCTTCCGAAGCCGGCATGGCAAAGACAGCTGTCACGAAGTACACGTCTTGACCAGCCTCGATGTCCATACCCAGAGAAGGAAGGACAGTACGAGCTTCTATCAGGTTGGAGTTTGCATCGACCTCGAGCACTTTCCCAAATCTGGGAGCATGCAGATCAACAATGCCAACAGCTCCAGCTTCGGAGACTGTTAACGCGGATGCTTGGCTAGCTGCGATGCCTTCACCCTGTGATGAAGGAGACAAGGTACCCAAAGCTCGACCAGTACTCTTTGCCGTTCCTTTGATGGCAAAGGCACCTTCGTAACTCTGCAGACGTCTACCCGACTTGATGTGATGGACGCGCAAATGCCAAGAAGGTGCCTCATTGGTAGGTGGAAGCAGCCAAGTACAGACCTTCACATCTGACCACGGTCTCATCTCTGAGTACAAGTATGGCGAACCATCTTTGCTGCTTAACTCAGCATTCTCGACATCACGGCGCATCTTCCACATCTCGCCCTCATCATCGCTCAGAGCCAGGGCAGATTCAGGGACATATTGCTCGATTGTGTAGCCGCCGGTCGGAACACTGTAGCCAAAGGAAGCGCTGTAGGCGAAGTGGCCATACTTTGCTTGGGTAGACTTGAGCGGATAATGGCATTTCTGACCTGAGGAGAGCAAAAATGTGTGTCCAGCTTTATGCACCATGATGTGCAAAGGATATTTCAGCGCCTTGATCTTCGGCAGCGCAGAAGCAGACTTGAAGGGATGCGGCTCTTCCTTCGATGTCCAGAATGGATGTTCCTTGGGGAGTGCTAGGGGAGCAAAAGCCAACATACACCAGTACGGCGAGCCTGGAGAGTTGTAATTCTCAGCGAGATAGTAGTTGGGGTACGTGTATCCGATATTCAGCATGCCGTTTGGTTGGAAGATGTCTGGATGTTTCGACCACCACCGCAAGTTACGCAGAAGCATGCCTTTCACCACACCCCACGACAGTGGAGCAGGCAGTTCGAGATCTGCGAAAGCTACGGCAGACCAGAAGCCTACAGTCGCAAAGCGGTAGGTCAAGCTTCTTCCGAATGGAATAGCATGACCTTCAGGGTCCATATAATGCACAAAGTCGAGAGCATACTTGCGAGCTCTCTCGCGATACTCTTCCGCTCGCTTTGGGTCAAAGTCACCTGCAAGCTTGGTATATAGCAGCTGGAGATATTGTATGGCGAAAGATCCTGAGTAATAATCCATTTGAGTGTAGCCTGCTGGCCCATCATTTGACCACCCGTCGCCTCGATGGAAGGTGTCTAGATGGTCCATATCAGCTTCGAGGCGAGATTGCGAGAAGGGAGCTTTGTTGGCCTTCAAGCCGAGATTGGCGAACACTCTGAACCACAACCTGCAGGTGTCAGTCTCGAGTTCGAATCCAAGCACATCTCCTACTCACCAATTCGTGTTGGGCATCTCTTTATCATTCATACTCCCTAGCCAGTTTGCAATGTTTTCTCTCTGCTTGTCGGTCAAAGGATCCCAGAAATCCTTGCCGGCAATCGCAAGAGTGTATCCGATAGGACATGATTCCACCATGCGCTGGTCGAGATCTTCCATGTTGCCCCAAAACTCTGAGCTTTCCGGATCTGTACCAGCGATCATGCCTTTCACCCATAGCTCTGATTTGCTGTACGATCCTCCTGCGAGTAGTGGTGCAAGCCCCCACAGCGGACGGGCGAATCCTTCAATCTGAGCTGCTGTCTCGTCGACTGCATCACAATGTCAGTCATGTTGTACGGCAAGAGTTGTTCCGGGCGAACATAAGACGGAGAATCATTCCACAGTCTTGGAACGATATGTTGCCAAAGAAAGTGTATGGTGTGTCTAAAGAAGCTCTTGCTACTGGCTTGGCCTCGTACCATGTCTATACCTTGGCAACCCCGTCTTGCTGCTCTTTGTGACCACCGGAATAATTATGTAGTACTCACATCTTGTTCCAGAGCCTCCAACTCTGACCAATGCCCTTTCTGGACTGAAACCTGCTTCCAGAGGATCTAACAAGGATGCGCAAGCTGCTGCGAAGTCATCGCGCGTCACCAACGGGTTTTGGGACAACGGATGTAGCGGGAAAGGACGATTCTGGCTTGCGGCTTTGGCTGTAGACATATTGACGCGAAAGAGGCACTCGGTATGTACAGAAAGGTCTTGGGGAGCCTTGTTGTTCTTATTGTTCGATGTGGGTATTCCTCCACCCCGCTTGCTATTTGCCCGAACCTGCCGGTAAACAGAAACACTGATGAGCTAGCATCGATGGGCGATCTATCGTGTTGCAAGTTTAGCCTGAACAGAACTCCGTTGCCGACAAGCCAAGCGGCAACGGAGCATCACCCCACTCCTCCACAGCCGCCCCCACGACGCGCTAGTGTACCCCGGATTCTGTGTCTCTCTCTTTCTCTTTCTTTCAACATGTAAGAGATGAGCACTTCTGTCTTGAAGTTGTGACTGCCCAGAATCGCCCAGACGGGCCAAGTATCGTCGACAATGTCCACGAATGAATGGAATGCATCCTTGTATGTGGTCCCGGGATCTATTGGCGATTGATATATTAGAGCATGTCCGGTCTCTCGACGTCTGGTCATTTTTCAATCCATCGACAATCGACTCGGCTCTACTCTATATCAACTGTTGACAACCTTCGAGATGGGTCTACTACAGAAAATCGTCAAGAATGACGCGATGAAGGAGGACCCTCCGGAGATCTATGGCTGGAAAGTTTATTTCCTGGCCTTTTCGGTGAGATTCACGACGTCTGTGGAAGTTAGATCAGATCTGACAGTACCAGGCATGCTTCGGTGGTATGCTTTTCGGAGTAGACTCCGGCATCATTGGCGGTGTCCTCACCTTACCCGCCTTCAAGACGTTAGCGTGCACTCATACCTCAATAGTAGTCACGAAACTCTAATCCTAGGTGTAGCAAATATGGTCTTGATGACCTCTCGTCTATCCAGAGAGCTGATCTACAGGCCAACATTGTATCGACCTTACAGTGTGGATGCTTTGCCGGTGCTCTCATCGCCTCATATGTCGCCGATCGATTGGGCAGACGCAAGGCACTTCTTATCGCCGCTGTGATTGTCACGATTGGCTGCGTGTTCCAAGCAGCTGCCGACGGCCATATCGCTCTGATGTACGTCGGTCGTCTGATCGCCGGATTTGGAGTTGGTAAAGCTTCAATGGTCACCCCTCTCTATATTTCGGAGAACGCACCTCGAGCCATCCGCGGTGGTCTCACTGGTATCTACCAACTCTTCATTGCAACTGGAACTATGCTCGCCTTTTGGGTAAGATCAATTCCTCCGACTCCGATCTTTGAGGAACTGATAGCTTTTGTAGATCAATTATGGCGCAAACAAGCACTTAACCGGATCAACCACCTATATCGTACCCCTGACCATGCAAGCTCTTCCGGCTATCTTGCTCTTCGGCTCAATGTTCTACTGCAAAGAGTCACCCAGATGGCTAGCACGCAAGGATCGCTGGGACGAAGCCTCGGCGGTTTTGTCAAACGTCAGAGCACTCCCCTCCTCGCACCCTTACGTGCAAATGGAGCTCCGCGAGATGCAAGAGCAGCTCGACCATGAAAGAGCCTTGATCGGCGGTGCTTCTTTCATAGACCTGATGAGAGAGATGTGGACCATTCCTGGAAACAGAAAGAGAGCCATCATCACCATCTGGCTCATGATCACACAGCAGATGACTGGCACTAATGCTATCAACTACTAGTAAGTACAAGCTATGCGCGACTGTGCAGTAACAATTTTATGTCATGAGACGTCGTCACCTCCTCAGAAATTCATATAGCTAATGGGTACACTCTTCAGTTCCCCGCAGATCTTCCAGAACTTGGGTTTGTCCAGCACAGATGCCGGTCTATTCGCTACTGGTATCTATGGCGTTGTAAGTATTTCTCACTCGAATCAAAACATACCTACTGATCAGTCTTCTAGGTCAAAATGACCATGTGCGCTTGTTTCCTTCTCTTCGCTGCCGACTCGCTAGGTCGCCGTAGATCTCTTCTGTGGACATCCATCGCAATGGGATGTGCCATGCTTTACGTCGGTCTCTATGTCCGTATCAAGCCGCCAGTCAAAGGTGCCGATATTCCGGGAGCAGGTTACATGGCACTTGTCTGTATCTATCTGTTCGCTGGCTTCTTCCAATGGGGCTGGGGACCTGTGCCATGGATTTACATTTCTGAGATTCCTACCGCAAGATTGCGTAGTGTCAACGTTGCTCTGGGAGCTGCTACTCAATGGGTAAGCTTTTGTCTCAAGTGCGAATCTTGTGCCAGACTGACATTCTGCCCAGCTCTTCAACCTGGTCGTCGCTCGTGCAGTTCCGAACATGCTCGCCACAATGGGAAAAGCAGGCTATGGCACATTCCTCTTCTTCTCGGCAGCTTGTTTCCTCTCCTTCCTCTTCGCCTGGTTCTTGTAAGTCTCGTCCTGCATTCTTCCCAGCGAAGCAGATTCGCTAACACAAATCCCTCGAACAGTATTCCTGAGACCAAGGGTCTTTCTCTTGAGAAAATGGATGACCTCTTCGGCGTCACTGAGTTGGCCAAGAAGATGGAGGACGAGGAAGGTGCTCATGATATCCCGGCTGCCAAGGACTTCGAGGGCGAGAAGACTCAACATGTGGAGATTTCTCAAGTCAACAGCAACGCTAAACACTAGAGTGTCACTTACGGCGACGGCGGGGAAAGTAAGTCTGGATGGAGGTGAATGAGTAATGATCATGGATATGGGATTTGTTTTGAAAGTTACCCAATCTGGGTAGATATTGAATGCAACAATGCTCCTTTGCATTTGTTTACCAGTAGTAATTCTCGTGATACTCCCCTATCCTCAGCCTTCAGTCTGATAGACAACGAAAACTCAAACCAAGTCTCAGGTGGTGGCAGTAGCGTTGGCTACGACTTTGCACTCCGGGTATCCAAGATCACCCAACCAAGCTCCTGAGTTAAACTCTGCAACGATCTTGCTGATTTGCCATTTTTGAGAACCTACGCCAAAACCACCACCCTGTCCCTCAGGTGCAGGCTGCACGGTAGCGATACTGATACCTTGAACAGGCAAAGGGCTTTGAGCGGACAGCCAACGGATGATAACGGTATCGCAAGTGTTCCAAAGGTCCAAGATCTTGAATGGGACAGGAGGCTGAGCTCCTTGTCCGGCGAGGAAGTCTGCCTTTGACGCGAAGGTCAAAGAGCCAAGCTAAGATGATTTTAGTATTCTCGACTGCGTTTGTAGGTGTGATTGCGCTTACGTCTTTAGCCTGCAGCCCTGGCTCATGAATCAATGTGTTGACACTGTCGGACTGATCGGTGAAGTTGTTGGTGAAAAGCTGGACAGCAAGAGCTTCGGTGTAGTTGGAGATGGTCAAGCCGAAGCTTGTGGCAATCAAAGACGCATCTGAAGTCGAGATACATGCAGTGTCACCATGCCAGTAAGGTTGTGCAGCAGGGTTCGTGGGGTGAGGCTGTGATGGCCAACCGGGATGGTTAAAAGGAGGATGTGCTGCGGCAAGAGCAAGCGATGCTGCAAGAACAAGAAGACGCATGTTGATTTCAAAAGTAGTCCTGCGGTGTATGCAAGGTAATTGGACTTTTTAGATGAGAACATCTGGGAGTGGGTTGCTAGTTAATATACTTGTACAAGTCTATCTTTGACCTGCATCATTGGAATCACCCAGATCATCGATTTGGCCATCCAACTACCACCCGCTGGTTACGTAGGTCTGAGGCCATTTCCTGCCTCCGCTCCGCTCGACAGACACGCAACATGCAGGCCGGAAGAGGGGATTATCGACCTGTAAGTCAGCTGCATGGATGTATACCAAATTCGCAAAGCTTCAATCCTTGTCAAAAGGGTCTGCTCCCGTGATCCAGATGCCAGAAACCTGCAAACATTCGAATTGTGTCAAGCCTTGACAAGCATCGAGAAAGCCTCACGGACAGAAGTCTAAGGTGAGATGCACGTCTGGTTATCGAGACCCCCTGGCCGACTACGAGCGAACACAGGTCGCGTGGCAAAAGTGGTTCTGAGCATAATGACTCCAACTCATAGTCTGCACCAATCTAATCACAAGACGGACGATTCTTTTCGAAGCACCAGAAATTCTCATAAGACTCATCTCATGAGATGTTCGTTGATCAGAGGAAGATAGGTGGGTGTCGCAAACAGCAGGGGCTTCATCATTCCGAGTTCTCGCGAAGTCCGGCCGTCCACCGACTAGTTGGCTTGCCGAATAAACCTCCGAGAACTGCAACGGTGATCTTCGGAGTTGCTACGTCCTCCTTGTTTATGGAACCCTTCTCTCGAACCGCCATCCTCCATGTTCGGGCTCAAAACAAATAGTATGAGGACGCGTGTCCGGCTTCGCGCAAGCCAGAGTCGCTCTTGACGAATATAAGCGTGTGTATGATGTCCGATCACCTTGATGCAGATTGAGAAGTTCATACCGTGAGATCTGTTGTATCCAAGTCCGAGCGGCTTGAGATATGTACCACGAGATCTAGATATGCGGGATATTCTTCCGAGATCTGCAGGCAGTTGCAATCAATGCGCCTTGTATCGTGCTGACGAGGCAGCAGCCATGCATTGATGGGATATATAAGTCACGAGCCAAGACGTCCGCATCGCTCCCTTCCTGTGTAAGTCATTGGACATGTCTCTCTCAACCGAAACTCCTCTTGAAATCCTCATTCTCGGTGGAGGCGTGGCAGGTCAGTGTCTGTGACACTTCGAAGATTTCGTAATGCTCATTCCATCTTTCAGGCCTTACGGCTGCCATGGCCCTGGCCAAATTCTCACCTGAATCAGCGCCGCCAAAGATTCGAGTTTTTGAGATCCGCCCCAAGCCCGGTGTCATCGGTGGAGCAGTCAATCTCACACCTAACGCACTCAGACTGCTCGACCGTCTGGATGTATTGCCGATCATGCGACAGAACGACTATGGTTTGGAGATTGATTGCATTGAGGTCTTCAGTGTCTATCAACCAGTGCAATTGGGAGAGTCGAGCTTTAGAGGACCCGAGGGTAAAGGTCTAGGTGACCCACCATACAAGGTGCGTTCAATCCTGAAATGTGGTCGACACACATGCTAATGCCACACACAGGCATTACGTGTAACTCGTGCAGATGTCATGAAATCTCTTGTCGAAGCCGTGGAGAAATGTCCAAACGTCGAGTTTACTTGCGGACAGAAGACTGTCGAAATCGATGAAGACGATGAGAAAGGTGTCACATTGACTTTCGAAGATGGCACCACCGCTCATGGAGATATCCTGGTCGGCTGTGATGGTATCCACAGTGCTACACGTCTGAAGCATGTCGAACCCGAGCGAAAAGAAATCTACTCTGGCATCGCTAACGCCTTCGGATTCGCACCTCTCAACAAGGACAACCCCGAGATCCAAGATCCCAGCCAACTGCATTTCAACAAGACAGCCATCAACTTTGCACGACGCGGAATGATGCTCTCGAGTTTCTATGAACCGACAAAGACGTCAGTCTATGTGGGTGGCGTGCTACAGGTTCCAGAAATTGAGTCTAGGGATGGCTGGAAGGTCCGCGGTGCTGATCAAGAACTCACGAAGCAAGACATGCGTGAGAGATTCGCTACTGATGATGTCGTGTTTGATGATATCAAAGCTCTGATCGATACGGCAGAAGATTGGTTCATGTGGCCAATTTTCACCCTCCCTCCTGAAGGCCGCTGGGCAACACAACGCACCATGCTCTTGGGCGATGCAGCTCACGCAATGCCACCGCAGGGTGAAGCGACGGGTATCGTCCTCGAGGACACTGTGTTGTTTGCAAGATGTCTGGCAAGACAACAGGAACTCGGTACGGGAAGCTTCAAAGACGCATTCGATGCCTATGAAAGGCTGCGTAGAGATCGCATCAATGCTGCCTTCAAGGAGTCTGGAGCGGTGGTCAAGACAGTCCAGGATGCTGGTTGGCTAGGTCACAAGATCAAGTGTTTCGTGGTACCGTGGTTTTTGTGGTTCACAAGTGGCAAGCGTGAGAAGCATTTTGCGGAGGATGTCACTACGTCCGATCTTGGATTCTGATAGGATTCCGTACTCGAATATGGCTTATGACTCTATTTGCCATGTACAGACTGTTCTAAGTGTAACTTCTCATCCCTTCTGATAGTGGGATGGGACGTCTTGTGGACTATCGAAAGACATAAAGTTACGGAGTTGGATCACGTAGCCAAAGAGAGCCGATGTTAGATCATCATTGCATGGCTGTGCCTCCGTCCTTCGAGGACACTGTGCATTTTTTATAGCTACACGCGTTGCATGATTGAACAAGAGAGAGTGCAACGAGGATGGAAGTGTGGAAATGCGCGATGCCTTCGCGTTGCAAACAACGATGTCAACGTGAATAATTTCAGTTGAATTCATAAGCGAATTCATCACAGTACGATTCCGGACTTTAACAGCATTGTAACATTAGTTATGATTGTTCTACACAACTCTATTGGAAGATTAACTGACTCATATCATACGGACTGGACGTCGGAATCGAATGCCGCTTCTTTCTCGACAGCCTTCTCATTCTTTCCGGAGTAATCTCCAGCACCCTGACTACCGTTCGGAACCCAAAACTTCTTGTCGAAACGGGTGAAGATGAAAAGGTAGATGACTACAATCTCGAAGCCCAATAGTACAAGATAGAAAAGAGCTCTGTGGTGGAACCAGGCAGGATCTGAAGCCGGACGCGGTGCAGCCCAGATTGTGCCACAGCGGAAGCCCGAGATGAAAAGGCAGAAGAAGCTGGCCACTCCGAGGATAATCTTTTTCGTACGCATACTTCCCGAGCCGAAATTCTCACTTTCTGGATCCTTGGGGAGAATGCAGGAGAGGATGAGGAAGATGGGTGCAACGCAGTTGAGTAGCAGAAGGTAGAGGTTTGATGCTCGTTGAACCCAGAGGGATGCTGTCCTGACGCCTTGGTTCAGGGTCTCGACCGATGCGATGATGAAGCTGAGCAGCAAGATGACGACAACAACGATGCCGACGTAGGAGATCTTGATTGCTTTCCTCAACACAGGGTTCCAGCCTAGTCTTGGTTGCGTAGCTCTGAGGACGCGACTTGCAAGAACGAGGACGACGGCATAGACGACCATGACACCGAGATTGAGGAAAATAGAGGCCGCTATGGCGAGGCGGGCATTGTGGATTCTTGTTGTCCATGCGATGCGCAAGACACAGCTGACGATGCGAGCCATGCAGAAGCCGAACATTCCCCACGAGGCCAGGAACTTGTGGCCTTTGCGTCTGTTCATCTGGAAGATTGTCATGTTGCAGATTGCGCCTCCAATGTAAAGGAGCAAGAAGACGGAGATTGCTGGGATGTCTGTGTCGATGGTTGGTCGGCCTCCCACGGCTGCGGTTGTCGGAGCATATGGTGGCTAGAGTATGTTAGTTATGTTCTACAATGACTAGTTGAAAGTGGAAACATACTCCATGGTGAATGGCTTGGGTCTCGTAGGACAAAGACATGATTGTTGGTCGTTCACTTGGCTAAAGATAATGTTATGGTGCTTGGTGTTCGACGCTCCGGTGGACTGGCGACAGTGTTATGTTCAGGAGACTGGCTGTGCAACTGGATTGAGTGAATGATCTGGCCATCTTGTGCTTCCAGACTTAGGGCTATATACAACGGTGTATCCAGAAAGATTTACCTTATGATTGCGGACGGAGACAACAATCGGATCCGTTTCGCACGAAGCTCAAAAGCTTGTCCGTCGGTCGGTGACAACTGTTTCCTCCACGCTCGCGATCAGAGAGATAGGACTGTGACATTCCACAGCCGCTTACTATCTCGAAGTGTCCACCTACCGGAAGCTTTTGACGCGCTCATCTCCGCTCAAGGCCCTCTCCGTCACGATGTTACCGTCCATGTCTACAGCTGCACGCATGGGAGATTGTAAAAAGACACAGAGTTGTGGGGTTGGCAAGCCACGCTGACCTGACGGGCTTCGAATCCATCCGCGTCCGAAAAGCCAGCAGTTGCTGATATGTGTAACTCCTGCTCGGACGCGTTTTGATCTCTTGTTGCGACTTTTACCATGTCGGAGGAACGTCCTGCGAAACGCATCCGGAAAGGAACCAGGAGCTGCCAAGAGTGTCGAAACCGCAAGACTCGGTGCATCTGGCCCTCCGACGATGCGCAAGTCTGTCAGAGCTGCGCGACCAAAAACAGGACATGTGAACTACAAGTTGAAGTCATCCAAAGTCCGGACGCGGTCAAGTTGACGTCGCGAGCTCGAATCGACGCACTGGAAAAGCAAGTCGGCGATTTATGGCAAGCACTCAACCAAGAACCACCGGTCCCGCTAGGCCAACAACATCGACTCGCTCCTCTAACCAGATCGACGACTCTTGATGGTCAAGAGAGTCCTGATTCTTCGAATGCCTCCTCGCCAGCTAATCCACCGGCACACCTGCTCCATCTTTTCGATAATGACATGCTGGATACTAACGGCCATGAAACTACTACGCCTTCCACCCGTCTATCTACTTCTACCACCATGTCCAAAGACTCGGCTTCTTTACTTGCCTTTTTACCCTCGCGTGAAGATATGGTCGTCATAGCAGCGAACTCCGCTTCCTGGCTATCGTGGTATAAAGTCCTGTTCTCTTTGAACCTTGCCATGGGTGCCGGACCTACGATGCTCGAGAACTACGACAGGGTCAAGCGTTTCGAGATGCAACCAGTACCCATCGCCACTCTTCTACTGGCCGTGACATTGACCGTCCAACAAGCCCAAGACGCAACGGACATGCTGAGAAGCATCCCTGATCCGACTGCATACATCAAGAGCGTCTCCAACCTTGTGGAGAAGGTCGTGGTCTCGAACGATGACCTTATTGCAGATCTCGAGGGAATCCGGGGCGCCCTACTGTTTATTAGACTGTAAGTGCTTCTTCCCTCCTGTGTGGGGCTTTGACGATTTGGCGAGACTCGATCTCGACTTCAAATGACGAATACAAGGAGTTGACCATGCTTGTTTCAAACAGTCAGCTCGGCCGAGCAAGGGTGAGAAAAACATGGCTTACCCTGCGGCGAGTCATTGCCGTCGCCGAGCTCATCGGCTTGCCGAGAGCAGCCGCAACTCTCCAACGCAACTCAGAATCGCAGTCTCACTCAGGGCATGAACAGTGTGGAGCATATTGTGCAGATGCACCTTCCGAACAGAGGGAAAAAGCCCAGGTTTGGGAGTCAATCTGTGCAATTGACAGAGTCATGTCAATGATGTGGTCTCTACCTATTGCTACTGCTAGCTTTCCTCTCCCCGTGAGACCCATCATTGACAGCCAGGGTCAAGTGGTCTTACAGGCATTCCTCCACAGAGTCGCCAACATTGCCAGTAAGGTTCTCGATCTTGATGGTGTATACACCCAGGACAGACCTGTCTCTGATCTACTCAGTATGGTCATGTCTATGGATGAAGAACTGCAAGCCGTGGCCAACACACCAGCAAGAGAGTGGTGGATGGAGGCGCCATCAATTTTGACTCCAGCGGCACTCTTCCAGTACTGGCATTCTTACTTGATCATTCGGACTCACCTCCGCCTAGCACTCGCTTATGATCATGACCAGAGGTTTCTCTACAACTTCATGTCTTGCTTGGGCGCTTGCCAAGTGCAATGCAAGCGATATGTCACGTTACGAGCACTACTCCCAAAAGGGTTCTTCGCGCACTCCATCGTCGACTTGCAAGCGTTGTCCGCCATCGTGTTCTTGTTGCTAGCTGCAAACAAATCCGCCGCGGGTCCATCTGCCGCGGCTTCTTGGCATATCATGGACGCTCAACAGTCTCGTGCCCTGGTTGATGAAGCCGTCCAAACCATGGAACAAGCTTCAGCTCGCACTGGTAGTCAGTCTGCTTTACATGGAGTCGAGGCCATCAAGGGGTTGCGGTCTCTGCTTGAGCAGCCGACTTCCGGCGAGCCACAAAAGGTCAGTCTGCTTCTTCCTCTGATTGGAAGAATTCATGTATCTCGCAAGTCTGCTGGGAGCGGTCAACCAAGATATCCGGAGCAATCTCCTAGTGATCCAATTCGGCAGCCATTTGGCGAATATGCGGTGGATACGACGGGGTCCAACTATCTGAGCCATGAGTGGCTGAACACCTTGTCTTGTTCAATGGATGTGCCGGAAGACTTTGCATTCCTCAGTGATCCGACCTTCAGCACGGAACAATGGTTATCATGGTCTAGCTGAGTTCATCTTGATCGAGTACCAGTAATCTTGGCGAAATCGTGAGCGGTTCGTTGCGAATTAGGCGTGATCTAGGTTCTTGGTATATACGGTTTGACAAAGGAAACGAATCAGACCCTGTGAGCCCCGAAATGAGCAGCCTGCATCGACACTACGCTCTCCTGGTCCTTGTGGTCAACATCGACTGTTGTAGCGACCATGATGCCGCCTGCCTTGTCATCTCTGTCATCAGACAAACTCGATTGTGCAGAGACATAAGGTTGTGCTTGACCATGCGCTTGCATGTTCCTGACAAGTTCTTCGTCTGAGTCTACCGAGTGACTTCTGCCTCCTCTAGTGGTTGAGGTTGTGAAGTTTGTGGTGTTGCGAGCTGCAGGATTCCTGCGCTGGTTCGAGGAGAGTTCATAGTGCTTTGCGTAACTGCTGTTGCCGTTTGTTGAGGGTTGACCTAGGAAGATGGCGCGGAGAGCGGGCAGACAGGCACCGATGATGGCAACGCCGTTTTCTACCATGGATACGGTGCAAGTGAGCATTGTTTCGTTCTGCCACGAGTAGACGGCTCGGACAACTTTGTGATTGTCAGTACTGTGACTTGGTTCTTGAAGAGCGAGAGGGACTTACTGCTGGCAATCAGGACAAAGCCGCCGAGAGCAAAGATGAATGCCACGGCGAGACGCTGCTTGAGCTTCATCTGGAGCTTCATGACCATAGTGATCGGCAGACAGATGATGATGAAATCGGAGAAGATGTTGAACAAGATCGTGATCCAGTAGTTGATTCTCGAAGCCTTGGGGCTACATTGGTAGCTTGGGTCCTTGGACCACCGCTTGTCGTAAGGGTAACATTGGAACAGGATATCGAAGAAGATTGTCGTGTAGGTGACAGCCAGGCCAGCCAAGGCGAGGTTGTAAGCGACTTGCATCTTCGATCCGGGAGCGGCAAGCTTCTTGTAGAACAGCACGAGGGCGAATTTGATGCTCCAGAGAGAGGAGACGTAGAGGACTGAACCAGGGACAATCATTTTCATGATGCCGATAAATTCTTGCTGAGTCGCTCCGCCAATGTTGCCCAATCCAAGATTCCACCTACGTTGTGTTAGGTGGCAAATCCACTGATGGTTCAAAATGCTGTCGGACACATACATATGCTGTTGGATGGCCAAATCACCAATGAGGCAGCATGCCGCAAGGATGAGAAAGTAATCATCAAGGGCAAGTCGGCCAAATCGTTGCCATCGACTGAACAAACGCAGGAACAAGAAGAAGCATGGTATAATGGTGCAAATGTACCACGAAATCTGTCAAAATAATGATGAGCATTCGTGACAGCGCAGATCCGGAATAGTAGATGTACATACGACCTGCCCTACCGACGAATCTGGCATGGTTGTGATTGGGGAAGATAATCAATTTTTACATGAAAGATCTTCAAGGCTCAAACAAATCCTTCGCAGATGGGATCCACACTGCGACAAGTAGCAAGAGAAAACCGAACAATAGCAACCAAGCAATAAGGCAAGCAGATTGATTTCCAGTAGACTGGAACAATGCACTTCTTATGTCTTTCTCTCGCATGACGGTTGCATGATGGCTTGCAGCAGGGCTAACGATCTACAAGCTAGCGGACGACCCATCTCGCCATGGCTGAACACGATGGATCAATAAGCTGTACGGACGTAAATAACTGGAAGAGGACGGTATCCGCAATAGGCTTCCAGAAGAATCCCACGCGGCACTGCTCTTTTGAGTGTGCAGATCTTTGCTCTATTGTTTCGCTCACGGCAGTCTAAAAAGACGAGTAAAACATTCGAATATTCGCTTGTTTGTCATTGGACTGAAGCGTGTAACGAAAAATCCACACTCTCAAGGGAACCACTTTGAATCTCTGGGCAATTGCGAATTTCCACAGAGTGATTCTTTCTGCAAGCGTGGGGATCAAGATCGGCATAGCACAGACGGTATACCATGCAGTCGATCACAGCATGCTTTCTTTTCCTCTTCGGTTACTGTTATCGCCGCCTTCTCCACAAGCAACATCTAGGTTAACAGAATCATGTTCTATCAACCTTCTTGACTCCTCGGAGCCAATGAATACCTGGTATACTCCAAACGCTATAATCAGAGTTTAAACTCGCAAATTGAGTGTAGAACATCGGGTTTCATGTTACGGGAGCACCCAACAAGCCCACAGGGTTGCGCCTCTTATTTCTCACTGCGCCCGTTTTTGGGTTTCTCGTTCTTGGATCCGACTGCGCAAAACGCCTCGACAAGAGTCATGGAGTCATGAAATCATCTCGCTTGCGAGCATGACCGCTGGGTTTGACACTCGAACTCTTCCCAATGGGACCCCTAACGCGTGCAGAAGACCTCGGATGCATTCCGGTGAGAGCATCTGCCGAGTCCACTCAGCACTTGTCCGAGTGTTTTTTGCTGGTTGGTCAAACGGTGTGCACTCGTGGTAGAGCGCCACATCGTGAACAAGCTCCAACGGTATAGCGTGGCGAGGCGGCCGGAAGGCGCGGTCCCTTGTTCCATGACTCGCAGACGACGACACGCTTGCGAACATTCAGGGCCGAGAATTTTGCGGCTGCACAGTGGACGTCGGTGGTCGAATCAAAACCAAGGCCCCACAATTGGGAATGGCGCTGGTGTCCACCTTGGTGCTGCCGTACAGTCCGTAGCAATCTGCCGGCGGGGCGAGATTTGAGAGGGTCACATTCACCTTTGCCAAAATCTGTCACACTAAAGACAGGCTATCATATGCATAATCTCTTGACAGCCAGCTCAATCATCACCAGAGAGGTGTTCTCTTGAGGAGCTCTTGTGAGTGCTCCTCGGATGCGCCTCTGCACGTATAGCGATGGGGCAAGTTAGTAAAACAGTTCCGGTGTCGTTGCAAAAGAAAGGTCACATCGGAACGAGATGTTGCAGCCGGCCGAGCACTATCCGCACTTTAAGGTGCAATATGAATCACTGGCATGGACCCCCTCCTGTCTTAACCTACAAATGCACCACATGGTTTCATTAGCGACAAAAAAGTGATCTGCAGGGGATCAGATCATCTCGCGTGGGAGGATTAAAAGCAGATCCCTGGTCCTTTCGTCCAGGTTTGTTCAGCGTTTTCTCCGTTTTGAACTCTCCTCGCTTTCTTTTTGCAGCCCTAACCACATCAAACAAGGATGAGATTCAGCTATGTATTGAACGCCGCATTGGCTGTTCCCTGCGTGACAGCTCTTGCCGTCGCTAGAGATGCAGCTCCCCCGGGCCCTCCAGCTCCGCCTGGTCCACCTGCTTGTCCACCCACCACCCGCAGTCCTCCCAGTAACCCCCCTCCTCCACCACCTCCTGCTCCGCCTGCAAAGGTTGTTGCAGGTCCCAACTCTGTCAACCTCAATGGAGGTTCCGTCGAAGGTTTCGCAGATGCAAGCGGCAACTCTGTCTTCTTGGGCATTCCCTTTGCCGAAACAACCGGTGGACAAAACAGGTACGTAGGAAGCATGGCATATTAACGGCCGCAACGGCTCGCTTGCCCTCAAAATGCTTGATTTGAGCACCACGACTGACTCGAGTCTTATAGATGGAAGGCACCTATTCCCAAGGGCCCGCTGAAGCCAGGACAAGTTCTGAACGCTACTGCCTATGGTCCTACTTGCCCCCAGGCGATCAGCAACACTCCTTACAGCCGTCAGGATGAGGATTGCTTGAACCTCAATGTCTGGGCTCCTGCCAATGCTGCCGGCAAGAACCTGCCCGTGAGTGAAATATTCTTATGAATTTGGAGCAACCCTCATCTGACTTGAATAGGTCTTCGTATACATGTACGGCGGTGCTATGGTCACCGGATCCAGCAGTAACGTCCAGTTCCAGGGAAACAACTTTGCACGCAAGGACGTGATTTTCGTCAGCTTCAACACCAGAGAAAGCATCTTCGCCTACCCTAACTCTGCCGAATTGGGCAAGGATGGCTCCCAGAACTTTGGTATCCTCGATGTGCAGCAAGCGCTTGAATGGATTCACCAGAACATTGCTGCCTTTGGCGGTAACCCTGATCACATTGTGTTCGGTGGACACTCCTCTGGCTCGGTTCAGGTTGATCATTACCTCTGGAACAACCCTGAGTCATGGCTCGTCGGTGCTGTCGAGATGAGTGCTAACGCCGAGTCTGGTCCCGCCATTACTCCCCTTAACCAAGGTCTTGACATTGTTGCCAAGGACGTCGGTTGCGGTACTGGTGCTGGTCAGCTCGACTGTCTTCGCACCAAGAGCATCTACGACATTGAGACTGCCAATTGGAACTCGACCTACAACACATGGTTCTCTCCCATCATTGACGAGGTCACTCGTTTCTCTGATTACGCCGGTCGCTTCGCTGCTGGTGAGTACGCTTCTCACGTTCCCCTCTTGACCGGTAACTCCGATGGCGAGGGTGTGATTTTCGGTCTTGTCTACGGCGGCGAGAACACCGACTTCAGCTCCTGGATCAACACGTTCGATGCTGATGTCGCTCACATCCCTGACGCCGAGCTGATTGCCGCCTACAACGTCTCCGACTACGCATCCGTGTCTGCCATGAGCGGCCAACAGTACGGAGATGCCCGTTTCTTCTGCCCTGTGGATTACCTTCTCGATCTCCGCAGTGCTAAGCAAAACACCTGGGCCTACCGTTTCTTCGGCGAGTACTGCAATGTCGTCGGCTGCATCGTTGGTTCTCCCACCCACGGAACCGAGATTCCATTCTTCCTTGGTGGCAACGAGTGTTTCTCGGCTCTGACCAACGTCACCACAGCTCAACAAGCTCTCGCTGACTCCATGAACGACTGGTTTGTTCAATGGATCAAGAACCCCGCTGCTGGACCTGGCTGGGCTCAAGTCAAGCCCAAGAGCGGAACTCTTGCCAAGCTCGGTGTTCCTGGTGATGAGCTTTCGATTGAGATTGGTCAGACTGGTGATTACAATGGTCGTTGCCAGTCTGTCTACGACCCTCTGCAGCCCAAGTACCCTGTTCTTAACAGCGTTAAGGCTCTGTAAGAATTTGATGAAGGATCCAGACCTCCGATGTCGATATAAAAGTATAGTCACTTTACCTGTAAATACACCATAGACGCATAATGCAAGACACTTACACTAATTGCCTTTCCGGACCATTCCATGATCTCTCGTATCATTCAACTCAGCAAAATAGACAAAAAAACATAAAGGAAAGCGCGGCCACGAAATTCGTCTCCGACGGCCTTTGCAGGTAGAGGCAATATTTAAGCGCGATTGCCAAGACCTCGTATCCATGCGACCTAGGACTCGCAACTACCCTCCTCTCTCTCCTTTTCACCATCACATATACTGTAGACCTCCGATGGGATTACTCGGGTTCATCCAAAAATCGTGGAAAACGCTGCGGCAAGCCATCAAGGCCCTCCTCGACCTCAATGGCACTTTCGAAGCTCTTATCACTCGCATCCATCAAGGCCCTTCTTTACCATGCCCTAATCCCACAACTTCCTACTGGCTCGAAGACCCTCCGTTCCCGGAACTCGTGAATATCCAATCAGAAAAATTGCCAGAATCAACAGATATCGTGATCATAGGCAGTGGCATCACAGCCGCCGCTGCCGCGCACAGTCTACTTGATGAAAGCTCACGTAAAGGCCAGCCTATCACCATCACCGTTCTCGAAGCCAGAGATATCTGCAGTGGGGCTACAGGACGTAATGGCGGGCATATGAAATGTTCACCGCATGAGACGTTCGAGCGTTTGGAGACGAAATTCGGAACGGAAAGAGCGGTCGCACTGACGAGATTCCAATTGAGCCATTTACAACACTTGACGGAGTTTTGCGAGAGCAAGGGATATCAGAAAGCAGAGTGCCGTAAAGTCGAAACCGTGGACTTGTTTTTTGATCAAAAGACTTTTGACCAGGCTTGTCATACATTGAGCAGACTGAGAACGCTGCTTCCAGAATTGGAGGCGAGGATCTTGCAGGCGGAACAGGCTCGACAGGAATTTGCAGTCAGTGGCCAAGTCATCGGCGCAATCACCTACCAAGCAGGAGCACTATGGCCCTATCGCTTCGTAACATCTCTCTGGAACGATCTTCTGCACGACTATCCCAAGCACATCACTGTCGAAACCAACACTCCTGCTAGCTCCATCGACAAGCAGGGGACAACCTACAAAGTCCATACGAACCGAGGCGCCGTTAAATGCAAGCATATCGTGCACGCCACCAATGCATGGATGGGCCACTTACTACCTCAGCTCAACAAAAAAGCCACAGGCATGCGAGCACACATGTCTGCGCAAAACCCTGGTGATCAGCACAGCTATGCAAACTTCCACGGCGATCGCTCATGGTCGATAATTCATGGACCAGATGACTTTGATTACATGACGCAAAGGCCAGGTCCCAATGGCACAGGAGACATTATGCTCGGTGGAGGGGCTTTCCGCTCCAAGAACCACGGCTTGGATCAGATTGGTGTGTGGGACGACAGTCGTAGGGATATGTTTACATCAGCATATTTGGCTGGTATACTGCCCATCATTTTCTCGCAGGAGAAGCAGCAAAGACAAGCTGGAACGCACTCGAGATATTTGCAACAACACTGGTCTGGCATCATCTCATTGACAGGCGATTCGCTTCCCTTCGTCGGGAAGTTGGACTCCTGTGTCTGCGCCCAAAACTCTGGAGATGCGCAAGGGGATGCAGCAGAGTGGATAGCAGCAGGTTACAATGGTGAAGGAATGGTATTTGCCTGGCTCTGCGGCACTGCGCTTGGTCTTGTGATCATGGGTTCTGAACACGAGGATATACCTGCATCACCTGGGTTTCCTGGAGGAACATTGTACGAGTGGTTTCCCAAGGAGTTGTTGCTCGACAGAGAACGTTTCAATCGTATTGATGTGCTTGATCTTGCTGATCAGCTATAACGTACCACGCAAATTAGACCCTGCTAAGCAGCAGAAAGAGATGGGCAGATGCACCGTCCCAAAGAGACATAGACAATCAAACAGTCCAACACAACAGAATGATACCGAAGGACGAGTCTCGGCGACTTTCACAATGATCAGCCTCCATCCTGATGGGAGACAAGAAAAGGAGCATCCAGCGGGAAGAGTGCGGGAACAGAAACCTAGGCGTGGAATCTGGAGGCGATGCCGTTCGTGTTGCCGTTCGAGGTACGCACTCGAGACTCGCCGTCTTGATCTGTTGCTTCCCCGCTGTCATTGTCGCCGTCATCGTTCCCGCCAGTTTCTTCGTCAGTCCACTCCGACAGGTCACCCTCGTCTTCATCCATGTCGTCCGCCTCGGGTGCTGTACCGTTGAGCCATTGAGTGTCGCTTGCGACAAACCCCTCTGCCACCATGTGCTTGCCACCGCAGTCCCCAGGCTTGTTCTGTTTGTAGCCGTCGTTATGAGGTCTTTCACAGCCCACGAACCCATGCTTCTCTCCTTTGCGAGCTTTGCAACTCTTGAATGGGTGTTGGATCTTGTCATACTGATCTTTCCCAAACAAGCCCCTCCAGTTGATGTCTTTGTTACCTTTACAGTGGTTTCCATGGTGTGAGCCATCATCGGTACAGTACTCCCACCAATCATCAGATGAACAAAAGCCGGTAGCGTTCATGAACTGGAACATCGTCGTGTTGTCGTTCTCGGTCCACTTTTCGTCAGGCCCCTGTACATCTCGTGGCTGGAGGTGGTTGTTCTTTGACCATGGGAGTCTTGCGGCCATACATGGATAGTTTCGATTGTATTTGGAGTTGATGGAAGAAATGGCTTGGCCTCCGGGAGAGTACAGTATAGGAATGTTGAACAAACCATGGGCTACGCCGCCATCTTTGACTGATTTTGCCCCAAAGAAGCTGTCGACTATGTCCTCCTTTCCCTCTGGGGCTCCAGTGCTTACACTGTAGCCGTTGCGTCTAGAGTACACAAGAGAGGCTCGTACGACATCAGTTAACGTGAAGTTGGTGACAGCGTGAAGATTTGCATGGCCGATGGGCCCTCGAACGAGAGCTTTGTGCTTTACTCCCTCTCGAACTCTCGACCTCGAAAAAGCGTAGAACACATAGTCGGGCTCCTCGTCCAAGCATACTCGCAGGGGCTTGTATCCTCGCGAGTCGCTTTTGCAGTTTCCAGTATCGGACATTACGATGTATGTCTTCTCAATATTCCAGATGCTAGAGATGTATGATGCAGCCCATCTTTGTTCAAGCTCTTTGTTGTGCTCGGGGGTCAGAACGCGAGTCGCCTTGACGTATGCGCCTCTTTGTACGAGATACGGAAGACTCGGGTCACGGCCCTCAAACAGGCCCTTCAAGTACGCGTCGAATCTGTCCACTATTCGTTCTTGGTTTTCTTTTTGAGAGTGGTCAAGCAGGCCCTTCATTGTAGAGACGTATTTGCTGGGGTCGATTAAGTCTGTGCCAAAAGTGAGGGCCGTTGTACCTGCAGTATTGAAAAGACCTGCACTAGCACTAGCCATTCTGATTTGCTCGGGGACCATCGCGTCTTCGAGGGCTTTTTGAGTGGCTGCTAAGCTTATCATTGAGCCTATGCCGATAGTCGCGCTCAAAAATATTCCGATAGCAGAAAGCAGCGCGGCCACTCCGAGAACGATATGACCAGCGAGTTTCCAGTGGCGCTCGTCCTTCAACTTGTGTGCCTCAATATTGCTGCCATCTGAGAATTTTGCCACCAGAGTTCCTACATCACTTCGTACTCTGGCCCATGCATCGTGATTGGCACCTCTGATCTCGTATGCCATATTGTGGAAAGTAGTGATAGACTCCAGAGTCCAGTAAGCGCTCCATTGATCTTGTATACTGTAGTTTCTGGCAATCAGAAAGCAAGAGACAGTCGAACATGTACCAGACAGTCTGCATCCGATGATTGTATCCGCCGCGTCCGGCGCCCATTTCACGTGGAGCCAATGCCAGAATTCATCGTGGGTTTTGGTTTTGTTCCATTCCTCATATTGACCCTTGGCCCATGGACCGACTGTGTTGTTGGCTTGTTCGGGTGTCAGATGATGCCCTTCCTCTTCTAGCCTTATACAGAGAGGGGTTCTCTCGTTCGTCTGAGTCAGTACCAGATTCCATTGAAGTCCAAGGACGAAGGTCCAGAAGACAACTGTGCAGATACGCATGATAGGTTGGGTTAGGATGACGGTTCATACGATGGTAGTGGATTCGGCAACTTTGCTGAGCGAGGAGTTGCTCGAGAGTGAGAGTGAGAATGAGAGTGATGTCGAGGTAGGGGAGGGTGTTTTGTTGAACGAACGAGATTGAGGACAAATGTCCTGTCCCTGAAAACAAGTAAACGGTTCTCTTATCCAGCCACTGATATTGATGCAAGTACGAGATTTGGTCTCAAAGAGGTAGAAGATGAGATCTGCAGCGAGAGTAAACCTTATGAACCACAAGAAAAAAAAGGTTGTTGAGCAAGTAGTTGAGACGAGCTATGTGGAGCATCCAATCATCGATCTGCTGGAGCTCTCCGAATGCATTGTGCGAGGTGTTGTCGAACATCTCTCAGACCTACAACGTGAGCAAAGGCTTGTACATCACAAACATTGTCAAGACGGCCGATACAAGCATTGAAAAACATGTTGTTCGACGTCGAGCTTGTCCAGACGCCGCTCTGTTGTGGCCTCAATAGTTAAGAGGATAGGATGTTGGTATCCCTGATCCACTCCTCTCAATGGCTCAGTACATCTGGTGATCAGACGGTCGATAGCTTTATCAGACCACCTCACTTGGTCAAGCTTCGAACCTACAGAAAGATCAGGCAAGGTATTGGCGCTATGAGACATTGTACCTCAACAAAGGTGTGGAGCCTTGTGCGGGAAATAGATGGCGGTCACCAAAATTCATGCTTCATGCGTGTAGAGGAAAGAGAGGATGTAATGAAGGAGAGCGGGAGATGAGAAGCAAGAGAGATGGAAAGACGCGTTCAACACGAAACGTCATGGCCCTGAGCAGGGAAAGCACGTCTCAACATTTATGCAATCGTGCAGCTTCCGACGTTATGCACAGACATCGCCGAGGGTACCACCCTGATCATAAACATCGTCGACATCTTTATCATGTTACGAAAGTCGAAATCACCTCTTCTAGCGATCTAACATTGTCTATGAGGATCAATCTATCGATTGGCACTCTCGGAGCGGCGATAGTGGATATACTCATCAGCACATACTTTAATTCATCTTTCTCTTGTGAATCTCGACAACAACAGACTAAGAACCACATAAGTCGACACTCCTGTTCAAGACAATAACAAATTAAGCATATAAGAAAAGGTTACGTAGGTACTATAGATATCTCTGACAACCAAAAACAACATCCAACCCTCATTTCACAAGAGAGACCAGAGGCAAATAACCGAAAGAGGGGAAGAAGGAAAAAAGACAGAGACGGCTTTAGTCTGGTGGAAGAAAAAAAAAGGAGACATAAAGAAAAATCAAACATCCCACCGCATTTCCTACCCAGAACAAACTCGCTTCTTTGCCAACTCGCTCATGCTCATCCTGTGTATTTGTCCTTCTCCCTCTTGCAGCACAACTTCAACGTTCTTCTTCTTCTCCAAAGGCACGCCAGACTCCCTCAAAAACTGGCCGTTTGTCTTTTTATCGTCGTCGTGTTCGCATGTACGCGCTGGAATTTGTGTGTAGTTTCTGGGGCGTTTTTCCATTCTCTGAAAAGGGTATTTTGAACAATAAAAAGGATTTAAACAAGAAAGATCCTGGTAGGCTGAATGGGAACCGCAATCATCTGAATCTGGCCGAGCAACGTCCCATAACCTCGCCTTGACACACCAGCTCGGCGTTGAACTCTGTACCATCGAGCGTGAGGTAAATATCGAAGTAGACGCGGTAGAAAGTGCCTTGAGGTGTGTCCATGCGTTCGAAATCTTTCTCGAGGTTCTTGCGGCTCAAATCTGAGGTGAGCGTGACGACTTCCTTGATGCCTGTACAACGATTAGCTTGCTGGGTTTCTCAAGTCGGGAAATTGTTCTCTTACGAGGATCCTTGGTATATTCTGGACATACGTCCTCGTCACAAGCGTACAAAACATCCTCGTACATGAGGGTAGCACCAGGTGCGACTTGACGGAAGAACGAAACCTTGACCGGCTCGCCCGTCTTGACACGCTGACCCTTCTGCACGAAAATCTGGCGAGTGTATTTGCAACGATCCTTGCCGTCCAAGCTGGGAACACGGTATTGCTCGGGGTGGTGACCTTCCTTGAAGGGCTGGAGAGTAGCCATAAGGTAATGTCTACGAGCGACACGGGATGTGACGACGCGCTCGGTGATACCAGCAGTAACGGCACCCTTGACAATAGCTGCGACCGAGTCCATAGGTCGAACAACCTTTGACTGGAATTGAGGAGGAACGTGGAGCTTGATCTGCTGGAACAGGTATTCTGATGAACCGAAGCCACCAACAACGAGAACGTTCTGCAACGAGTTAGCTTGAGTTTGGACAAGGAATTCAACACTTTGCTGACCTGTAGATGGCGGTTCTGAGCCTGAATGGCAATAATCTGGTTTCGAACAAGCTCGAGAATGCGGTTAACGACAGGCTCGAAGCACTGCAGGATTTCCTCGTTGGTGAAAGTCATGTATCCTTCTTCGATGCCGGCCTCGGGGAACTCAGCCTCGATACCCACATCGACAGCCCACTTTTGATTGTTGTTGCGGAAATCGGCCTTGATTCTGTTCTCAAAGTCCATGATACACTTTGCGTAGACACGGCCGGCTGTCTTTGATCCATCGGGAAGCTTCATCTTACGAATCTTTGCCCTCAAAATGTTGGAGAAGTTGCGGTTCAATGCTGTCGAACCACAAGAGTCACCAGATCCAGCAGTACACTCTGCGACGGTGAAAGGATGCTCCTCCTCGACTTCGTAACTATATTGAAAACACGATTAGCATGAGTCAATGACATCTGAAGCCTGTGCATGCAACAATACTTACGCGATCAAATCTACGGTACCACCACCGCAATCCACGATCAAAACAGCATCTTGGACCTTCAAGTTCAATAGACCAGTCTTGGAACAGAACATGGCTGCAGCTTCGGGCTCGGTGACAAGAGTCAGGCGGTTGTCATTCTCGTCGCGCAGGAAACCAGCCTGAATGGCGGCAGCACGCGTGGCAGCTTTGCCAGCATCGTTCCAAATGGCAGGTACAGTCAGGAAGTAGCGGATGTTGCGCTCTTCACGAGTAAAGACCTCACCCAGCGTCTTCTGAAGGTAGTTGCGCATGGCCTGTCGTAGCTTGAACAAGTAGTCGGCGGCGACGTCGATTTCGCTCTTGCCTGGGGGAAGTGGAGGCAGGTTGATGGGATCGATATATGTGTTTCCGCTCATCATCAGCTGAAGCTTGAACCACTCGACCTTTTGCACACCAGGCTTGGGGTAACCGGTGGGTGCGAGCGCGTCAGCAATGTCGGCACCCCATCCTACCACTTGCTGGTGTTGATCGTAGTAGAGTACTGTGGGAATCTGCGCGAAAAATAGTTCAGTAACGCGTTGTGTCACGTCTCCAATTCTGTTCATCACCCACCTTTTGCTTTGTCTGAGTACCGGCACCGGGCCATTCGACGATAATGTCTTCTTTGGCTTCCGTGTTTGTCGCAAAGGCAAAGGCGACACCCGAGAACGTCGTGCCCTGGACAAAGGTGTAGTCAGCACATGCAAACCAGCAGCAGTCAGAGGACGAGTACTCACAAAATCGATACCGACGATGAGTTGGGCTTTGCTCCGCTGGTTATGGGCTTCAGATGCATATCCTCTATCATACGGATGATGACCGCCTACCATGGACTGCTGAGGCACGTAACCTCCATACTGCTGCTGCTGAGGCGGCGCCTGCATAGGATAACCTGGAGGGCCCGAGACGGGTTGCTGACCGTACATGTGTTGCGGCGCGTGGGGAGGGAGGTGGCCGTAAGGGTTCTGGGTGTTGATTGGTGGGGGAGGCATGGGGCTCGTCGGGCGGCCGCCCATTTGCTGTTGTTGCGGCTGCAATTGTTGCTGTTGTTGACCGGCTTGGTTGACATACTGGTACGACGGCGGACGGCCCAGCGGCTGGCCAGGCTGAGGCGAGCCGTGCTGCTGCTGCTGCGAGGGGTGCTGGTGGGGGTTCATGGCGAGCGAGGTGGTCGAAGCACTGGCTTGTTGTTGCTGAACAAGCGTGTTAGGGTTGGACGCGGTCGAACTGCGCTCGCTGGCAGGTTGCGGCGGCGATTGGGTCGAGTTGTTCGGCACGGGCGACGAGGGACCAAGCGAGGAAGAGTTGTTGTTGGAGGTGGTGTTGTTGTTGTTATTGCTGGTAGTGAAGAGCGAATTGCTGCTCGGGCTCTGGGTCAGGCTGTTTCCAGACGCTTTCCGTTTCGAGCCCACGAGGTTGCGGAAGCGTGAAGGCATCTAGTCACCCAGCACTACTTCATAGGCCCCGCGACAAGAGAGGGCAGGAGCAGGAGCAGGCACAGACGAACACGCGCGAAAAGCAAAAAAAGGCAGGGGCGGGCGTCGGGGTGTGCAATGCGAAAGAGCAGCAGCAGGAAGGGGGGTTGGAAGATGGTGTCGTGGTTGGTCCAGGATGCGACCAGACAGACGACGGCGCCGTGTAGAGCCAGCAGGCGCTTCGTAACTTTAGGGACGCTTCGCTGGAGGCCAAGGCACTTGACAACAGCTTGACAACGTCCACCGCAGACATCAACGACTCAAGCGCTGCCCGCCTGACGCGATAGCCCAACCTCTTAATAAGCCCTGCAGCCCTCACTCTCTTCACTTCTACCGCACTACTTTGCAACAACCGCAAGCGCTGACTTTTGCTGCCTTGACCACCTGGAACATGCAGCCCCGAACGCAAAACATGGGGGGTCCAAAACTCAGTCACCATTTCCCCTCTCCAGTCTCGATATGGACTCCCATTCAACTAGACTAAAGCTGGTTATTCCGATAGACCATCTCCAATAAACACTCTCCGTCCATATATCTGTCATCCTCTTCCCATCAAATCATCAACTCGACTCATGTCCAAGGTGTCAGATCTTTCTTGGTGCCCTTTTGCCCTTCATCCCTTCCCAATCGGCGACTCAAACGGGGCCGCCGCCCTTTGCGGCCCACCGCTTCTGGAACCCAGATGCGAACCACACCTAAACTCTGTTTCTCTTGTCGCATCTTCTCACACGTCGGTCTATGATGTCTGTCTCTGCCAGATTGATCAGAAATGAAATGCGACTGCTCATCTGAATCTCCGAGTCTCTCACAAAGATCTGCACCTATACCCCTATCCTGCCCAACGCCCTCTACGCTATCCGAAAGTCCCAATAGCGCGTGACCTCGCTATAATTTACTGCTTGTCCCACTCGAGTCAAGCCCGGGCTCTTCACTCTCTGGCGCTGGGTTAAAGCAAACGAGGAACAATCTGCGCCTGAATTGCAGCCACTACCGCATCGCTGTGTGTTCTCGTTTCCCTCTGCCCACACCATCCGCGACAACCGCGACAAGGTATGTATCCCTTTTGGTTAATCTCCAACCTTTTCGGCTCCTCACAGATTGAGGCTTCCCCAAGCTATTGATGATGCCCACTCTGAAACCGGCTCTTTGCTGCCGCCCCAGGTCGCAAATCAAAACAAAACAAGAGATGAATCCAAAACCTTGTCATGATCTTCCAATGCTTGCATATATCCTTCTTCATGTCGTTTGCCTGACACCCCTGCATGCCCATCCTGCTCCCAAGAGCTGTCAGCTGTGCAGTAAGAGCACCTTTGACTCCTTCTGGAAGCGCCCACTGCTTTGCTGCAGCTCCTCCGCATTTCCCGAAAATTGTCCGTAGATCGGAAAACTGTATCTCACATCTCCCAAAGCTCACTTCAGCTGCGGCAGGAAAAACTGTCACATGCAAAGCGAAGCCATAAAGCTGCTCTTGGAGATAGGCTGTTCATCAGCGAGGTCCCGAAGGTCCCCAAACATCCGTTTGATTTGCGATAGAGGAGTGAAAAGACACAAAACACAAAGCTATCTCGCCATCTTCTTTTACTTGACCTTGTTCTCTCCTGGTTGACCCCTAGGAAAGACACAACCTCCGTAAACCCCCAGTTTGAACCTTTGAACCCTTAAGCAACGCCATGCAGATAATGCCGATACAAAGCTTGTCGTTGAAAGCTTCTTGGTAGGAAAAGATGTTCCTTGTGTCGTTTGCTGAGCCCCTGCAATGATGCTGTAGGCACATTATACGACCCTGTTTTTGCTGTTTATTGAGTGCTTGCGGTCTGCGCGAAACACGCTACTCTGCACGTTACGTTTGTAGTGAACAGCATCGTAGCGTTGTGGTCAGAGAAGAGCAAAGGATGCAAAACGCAACACAAACCTTGGCCTCGAGGGCTCTTTTTTGTCCTTTTCTTGTTTTCTTTGTACTGCTTGTAGCGCAAGCCACATGCAAGTCGCGACGCTGACATCTGAACCTAATCGAGCAACGCAGTAAATCTGCTCGCCGGGCCAGAGTAGCAACTGTGCAGAACGCCTTCACCTTGCTGATAGCAATGCGGATTAGATTAATGCTGTACAGTCGAACGGGATCAAGGCTTGCCGCCGTTGGGAGCATCCTGGCTGTTGGTGGATCTGCGCTTGGTCATGTTTTGTGCATCGCCATTCTCCTGTCAGTTAAATCTGCGTCAGTAGCCAAACACAAAGGAAGAGTAAACGACGAAGGAAATATGCGACACTGCTCATGAGATCCCGACCGGCATATTCCTTTGTCGACATCGTGATTGTATACGTACGTCCAGATTGGCTTCGCCGGCGTTTCGCTTCTTGGTTCCATTGGCCTTGACCTTCTTTGTTTTGACGGGACGCTGCTCGCCTTCCTTGAAGACGTCTTCGGGTAGGTCGTAGCTTGGGACAGGTTAGTCGTCACAACCAAGAGAAGCATGGAGCGCATCTTACCTCTTTACAACAATAACGCGGATCGAGTTGACTTCTTCGTTGTACTGCGTAGCCTGGGTACACTGCTGCCTAAAGTCCTGTACTGGATAAGCAATGTCGAGCGATTTCGCACCTTGTGTGGGTTAGCCAAGCTGTAATGGTTCTTGAAGAGGATCACCATACCTGGAACCAGCTCAATTCCGACGTAGTAGGTTGTGGTCCAGATGTTGGTCATGCCATTTTCTTTCTCGTCGGGCTTTTCGACCTTGGTGACAGGCTCGTCGATGTTGTCGAGAGAGGTCTGCTCAGCGGACAATTGCTTGACGTTCTGTGCTTCATCGACAGTCTCGGTCTTGGAGACTTGATATGCTGTGCTGCCTTGCATGACTTTATCCTTCTCGTCATCGTTTCTAACGCGATGTACGCGTTCGTAGCCTTTGGTGAAGGGACGAGCATAAGCGACATTCTCCTGAGACTGCTCGATACTGCCGATGAGTCTTCTGACCTTGGACTGGACCAAGCCTTTCCAGTCACCCTGAGCCTCTTCATTTAGACTTCCCGAAACCACACTAAGATAATACTTGAAGTCCTTTGTGAAGAAGGTATGGCCCTCGAATAGATGCTTCCATTGCATCTTGTCGTCGAAGATATTGGTGCAGATCTCGTGGCCGCGTTCGAGTTCGCGAGTGATGACACTCAGGGTAGACTTTGTGATGTTGTGAGTAGCGCACATGGAGGGATAGGCAGGAGTAATGAGAGGCATGAGATGACGTCCATCGCCAGGGTAGATCTTGGGGTTCCAGATCTTTGCGGAATGATCAAGAGGACCAGACTCGATGACTCTGAGCTGAACAGGCATAGGCCAAGCCCAGCCCTTCATGAGCTGGAAGAAGCGGGCGACAATCAGAGAGCCAGAAGCGTGAGGATAGAGCTGGGCAATGCGAGCGACCATGATGGCCCAAGCAATTCCTCCAGGAAAGCCAATGATGTTGCCGTAGATGGCACGGCGACTGGCCCAGAGCTTGACACAACGCAGGGCATGGCGGAATGTCTTTTCCTGGGGCACAAGACGCAAGACGTCGTCAGTGACTCTGGTTCCATTGACGGAGCGCAAATCTGCTTCGTCCAAGCCGCGTAGCAGACTGTTGTCTTCCAGATCGAGGTTTGGCGGGATCGAGTTGAGCTGCAGACGAGCAAAGATGAGATCGATCTCGATGTTTTGATAGACGAGCTTCATGATGGGGACATGAGCTTCTGGCACAGCAGTGCACTTTTCAATGGATCCGGGCGGCGACATGGACTCGAGGATGCCACGGAAGTGCTCGAAGAAGTCGTCGCGGGACACATGCTTGGGCGCGACAACGAGGGTATCGATATCGGAGCCTGTGCGTAACAGCGTTAGCCATGGGAGTAGAGCCAGAGGCGAAGGAGGATCAACGTACCTGGACTGTAGACACCGAGACGATAACTGCCAAAGGTAAAGACCTTGCCTCCAGCATTCTGCAAGACGCTGTCGGAAAGACCCTTTATTCTGCCGACATGCTTGACAAACTCGGTGACGACCTTTTGGAAGGTGGCCAGGACAGCGACTCGCTTGTTGGTGTCTTGGGTGGATTCGAAACTCTTTTGTTCCTTGAGCTCGGCGAGGAGAGCTTCACTCAGGGCGAGGTCTTTGTCGGTAGGGAAGGCGGTCGAGACGGGCGGTGTGATGCCCCATTGACGAGGAGCTGCCATGTTTGCGCTGGTTGTTTCTAGTGAGGAATCAGATTGCTCTCTCAAACATGCTGTGGCAGCAGCCGATGGTTCCTGCCTTGCGACTGACGCAGCTGCGGTGTCTGCTCGGTTCCTCGGGGAGGTGCTAGACGCGAAAGTCGAAAAGCAAAAGAGCGGAATTGAGGGTCGCTGGCAGTGGTTTGAGTCGGTTTGCACAAAACAGCGACGCGAACCGGCACGATGGAGAGATGGCCGGATGCGGTGTTTGTTCACTCGAGCATGAGACGCTTCACTGGACCGCGAGCCCTTGGAGCCTCGTCATCGAACACACGGCCGCGCTTTGTCCCTTCGAAGTCAGCCCTCGCTTCTTGCCGACCTGCTTGCCTGCCTGCCCTCTGCTTATTCCGCCTCGGTCAACACTCCTCCAAACAGAGCAGTCCCCTATCCCAGATCGTGTCTGCCTGCTTTCTGCTGGAAACCTGTTGGTCCCTCGCCTTCAATTCTTTGAACAAATTCTTCACCTCGGGAAAAAACATGACAGCTGAAACTAATCCTATACTGAAAGGCCCCTGTCCTCTACAAGCACCTGGATAACTCGAAATCATGCTGCATTTCTCTTCACAGCTTCAATCTTCAACTTTCAATCTAACCTGCAGGGTATCTCCAAAAGCCGCTCTCCGCCTGAAAAGAAAACATAGAAAATCAAGAGCTCTGATAAGCTCTGTGCTCCATCACAACCATCTCAACTCACACCCCAGTGAAGACTGGAGCCTTGACAAGAATACCGCGCTCCCTCACATGAGCTGCAATTCCGACTGCCAACCTCACACGATCCTCTTTACCCGCCAAACTGGTGCTGCTGCCGCCATTCAGCTTCCCTTGTGCCGGATGGCTCTTCTTATGGCCAGTCAGAGCACTAAGCATGCCACGCTTGCGCGACGTCAGCTCGGTCGATTGTCGCTCGCTCGTCTCGGCCAGTTCGCTGTCAACGCTGCCTCTCTCGGCCATCTCGTCAGCAAACGAACTTGTCAACGCTGGTATTCCAGACTCGATCTTCATCATATCAAGGTTCACAGCGGACCCCGGAAGGAAATACTCGATGGTAACGTCTCGACTCTCTTGCGGCAGATGGCCTAGCATTGCAACAGCAAGTTCGCAGATCATGTGTACACCACCATCAAGGTCATGCTCTGGTGGGTTGTCGAGATGTGCCATCAAAGCGGTCGTGAGCTGTGCCTTGAGCAGGTCGGTCATGTGCGCGCGATGTTTCTGAGCTTCGGGCAATCGCAGGATATCCTGCATAGCCTCTAACGTGGTCAATCGCCAGTTGACGACCTTGGACGTGAGATATTCTTCATCCTCGTGCACTGAAGCAGGCGGGGCGAAGAGACGGATGTTGTTCTGCATCTGCTTCAAATGTGTCGACAGGGCCAGATCAAGATCGGGGTGGAAGTAACGATCAAAGACGTCTTCCACCAGCCATTTCGAGATAAATGCCCTTCCAACTGCCGTCATCTCTTGCTTGCCGATGGTTATGGCGTCCTTGTTGACAGCAGGAGTGAGCCATTTAGGCACCGACTTCCAGCTCTTTCTAATGCTGAAGGACAGTTGTGCGATCAGACCATCCAGGCGGTTGAAGCGGGTTGCATACTCGCCGTCGTCGAGGGATGTGCGTGATTGGGCGATTCGCTGATGAGCGAGACTGTTTTGCAATTGCTTGACTTGATCTTCCTTTTCGAAATAGTACTTCTTGACCTTTTGGTATTTTTCGCCTAGAGTCGAGGGTGGTCAGCGTGGACGTAGAGCGGGGCAGCATGATGGTAAGCTTACGGAGCTCTCTGTGGTCGTTGAGCAATGACCGAATCTGGTCTTCAGTCAAATCCTCGGCCTGGGGCTGCGGTGTCGAGCGACCGACGTCTTTGGCTTGTTGTGGTTGTTGTTGCGAAAGGATGGAGGGTTCTCGGGCATTGGCAGCGGCGCTCTGGTTAGACGAAGCCATTGAGGGTTGGCGAGGCGGGCCCTTGTTCTGTGACGAGGTCGAAAGGTGTATCGGGCCGTCGTCGTGCAGTTTTGCGAAATTGCGCAGTGGTTGGTATTGCGGTTGTTGTGGGGTGTCGTGACGAAAGTGAGAGTGCGGCGACGCCGAAGACGAGGATGGCGTGGTTGCAGTCGAATTCGGGACGCTGGGGATGACTTGAGCAGGAATGCGGGTCGGCAGCGGCTGGTCAGCGTGGTCTGGGAGAGATTGTTGGCGTTGTGGCTGCTGTAGCTGCGATTGCTGGACGTGTTGGTGGGCCTGTGGTTGTTGGTGGTGAAGATCGGCTTGTTGCAACGACGACGATTTCGAGTGTTGTTGGGTCGTCTGCTGCGACAGCGAAGCTTGACGCTGCTCGCGGAAACCCTGTTCGGTGTTTAGCCGCTGCAACCTTCGTTGCATGAAGCGATCCAGCGGCGCCCCCGAGTCTGACGACACCGAGTCTGCTCCGTTGATGCTCATATTCGTAGTAGTAGTGGCAGAAACTGTCGGCGTGAGATGGTCGAATTGCTGCTGCGTTGCGTCGTGATTGTCTGGTACCAATTGCCCCGGGTTCCAGATGGCTGACAGATTGGCTGGACCAACGTGACCGTAGTCTTCAGTATAGATACTCGACGACCGCGACACCGAGTCTGATGTCTCGACTTGTCGTGGCTGCGTGATAGCACGTGGAGCAAAATGCTCTGGTGTCAATGATCTCTGCTCGAAACATGTCAGTTTTGACGCTGACGACCTGCCGCCTGCTTTCATACCGGATGCTGTGCCTCGGTCGTGTCGTACAATGATGGCTGGGCAGGCTGGTAATAAGAATGTCGCTTGGGCACCGGGTTGCTCGACGCTTCTGATGCCGTGTCAGTCATACTTGTCTCAACAAAATTGTATAGAAATTCACCCTGATGAGATATCTCTGCTGGCACGGCGGTAGAGAAGCGTTGGCTGCGTACTCTCGACAAGAACTTGGGCCGACGAGAAGGTGGTATCGCAGGCACTGCTTCGGGTTGTAGTTCTGTAGACATGACTGATGATTAGTTCAAAATCTTCTTTTCACCTCGTGCTGTTATAACCTCCTCCTCTCCGTCCGTTTATAGCAACAAACAGCGTGATAGGCTGGCAAGATATTGTACGTACCGGGCGAAGCCTGCGGCGACAGGCTGTGACCTTCAAAGGACTGCTGGGATTTGCGATTCGACCTTTTCTGCCAATGCAGTTTGGATAGCATTTGAATAGTCTGCTCCACCCTTCAAAGGGCAGCTGTTCGCTGAATGAGCCGATGGTCTGGAGCGCACGCGCCGAGATTGAGCAAATCGAGGGGTTGCTGCAGCTCCACAGACCCAAGGCAAGCTAGCGACCTATCTGAGAAAGAATAGAGGCTTCTGTCTCCTGTTGCGGAAGGCCCTTGTGGTTCGCACACAGGTCGATCTCTCTTTTTGCTGAAGTGAAAAGAGTCTCGGTACGGCCACTATTGGTTAACCGGCGGCTACGGGTCTTGCATTCATCAAGTACACTCTACTGTAAGGCCGGACGCGCTGTAAGCATCCCTCAGGATTAAAGTGCCCGATGACCTCTACAAGCTGACAGAGTTTACCTTTCGCGGCTACGGATTGCTCGCTTGGCACGACAAAGACTAGCAACAAGCCATTTCATCTCCTCTGCAAGCACGTAATCCTCGTTACTGCCTCTCCGAACCGGTCTGGCCTTTGCGCTTGACTTGTATCTATGCACTCCCTGCTGCAGGGCGTTCTCCTATTGCGATGGTCGTTCCCGTTCATCTGCCTTTGATGCTTCTCATTCGCTTGCTCGAGCACTCTAAAGTGCGCGGCTTTTCGCTTTATCGCTGCTTGCCCTTGTCCTCTTCGAATGAAGATGGACACTCACGGGCCGTAGTCATCATCAAACAGAGTCAGATCCGCATCTCGCTCGCCCTCGCTCACCTCTTTCCAGCCTGCTCGACCGAGAGAGGTAAAGTCTTGCCCCTCCCCAAATTGCGACGACCCGGTCTTGTGTAAAAAGTCTCGTCCCTAATTATAGACAAGCAATTTACCGTTAAAAATAAGTGTGGAGTTTGTCCCCGTTGTCGGGGAACAGTCTTCCTGGTATTCGTCAAAATTCTCCGACTTTAAGAATACTCATTTGCAACGGTATTCTCAGATTCAGTGCCTCTCCTGTACTAATGCGAGACGCTGCTTTGGACTGCACTCAACTGTGTCAAGACGACTGTCCGCTCACGCACTCGCTTTTGAATCTGTCATCCGGCTCCATTCAACCAAGATCCACATGATCCGACGGAAAAAGATCGACATAGCCATGGATGCCGAAGTCCAGCTAAAGGACAATCATCCGCCATGCAACTTATTCCCGTCCGTCCACGTTCTGATCTTCGACGTCCATGTCAATCATATTGATATCGACATGTATAGTACTATAACAGAAACCAAAGCCCTCTCATGACCTATTATAAATTCTGAATCAGGGCGAGCCTGTCGCCAGGCATGCCAGATTTGTGGCCGATTGTTCCCACGAAACAACCAGGTTCGAGTTTGTCCATGTTCGGCTCAGACCATACCACTTGTGAAACGTTAGATCTTGTCGTCCAGCAAAATCTGTAACACCCCACAAACTTGCAAACAGCATCTGCCAGACGGCCATGGTGGGGAAGTCGCATTCGACCATCGACCTTCTATTCTTGAGAGACTTGTTTTTTTCGAAATATGAACGACTATCATTCTCAATCTACACACAACAACTTGTGCATCGACATTCACCCTAACGCTCGAACCAGCCACTGTTTACACAGCACGTCGTCAAAGGGAAGCTGAAACCGGATAGCTTATCCATAATAGCATCCGCAGGAAAAGTAGGGTTACAAACAACAGCGCGAAGATCTACGACTCTTCACCCCTGGACTACCATCCAAAAAGGCATCTGGGCCCGACGATCAGCCCCCATGCTTCACAACAACCAAGCCCTTACAGTATATACTTGGCACTGAGGGTAAGTAAACAAGGTAGCGAACCTCTCTCGCCTGATGTTACGTGCACGTTTGCGTGCTTCGAGTTGCCTGATGGTTCGTCGCCTGGTGCAAGGCATCGCTAACCGGGTTTCACTTGGCCTTCTTTGTAACAACATCTATAAGTTCCTCAAGCACTCCTTACTGTTTACCACATTTCATTCCTTTGCTTGATTCTACACGTTTAGATACTAATCCCTCGACTTTTCTCGCTACAACCAAACAACAATCAGATCATAATGTTCACTCTTCGTCAATCCCTGGCAGCTCTTGCAGCCGTCGTCGCTGCTCCTCTGGCCTCGGCTATTCCTATCACCACATTCTCGCGTATCGGTGTTTCGTCGAACGGCATGGATATCCTGGACCTTCAGGTTCATGCAGCAATGTCGCCTGGACACTTGACGGATAACACAACAATGAGCTTTGTGGTAGACACTCATTCGTCTAAGATCACCTGTGAGGGCTCTTGGGCACCCGAGGGACCTTTCCCAGAAGGCGAATACGTCAGTTTTTACTCCGAACTGTTCATGTATCATCATTGCTGACGGCCATGCAGATGCCTTGCAAAAACAGCACTCTGGGCTGGAACTTCAAGGAAGACACATACAAGAGCATGGGCCAGTTCACTCTGCAACTGGAATACACCTACACCGACGACTCGTACGCATATTCTCCAGCTTCTTCTAACAAATAGACCTCTAGCTGACTTTTGCAATAGTATTGGTCAAGCTCCCTACAACGTAGTCACCGAATTCAGTCACGCAAACATCACAGACACCAACACCGACTGCTCGGAGAAGTCAATGAGCTGCCAGCAGTGCACCAACAGCACAATCACCGCCATTGTGTGGGCTTCTATCGCCTAAGCAGTCCTCCCGTCAGTGATTCACAAATTTTCACTTGAAATGAAATACCGCAGCCTGGATGCTGCCACAAACAAAGATTGCATTCCTATCCTTCTAAAAAGCGCAGGCTTTCGCTCAGGCTGGCCCGATTATATTGTATATAGAATCTTGTCATGATATCCAAGATTGTTCTTCCTTTCTAGTTTCGCTCCTTCCAAGAGACCGCTCTTGTTTGTTTGTTTGTTTTGTTGTGTCACCGGTTTTGCTTCAAACATTCGATGTTGCATAGAAGAGGCTGAGTGGGCAGTCAATGTAACGTGTACAGCATGCTGTCTCAGGCTGAAACTTGACGCCTTGCGGAGACATGACAACCATGGTCTCAACAGTCGTTGACTTGTCTGTCAGCGAGAATTGCATGCAAGACGAAGTGCTGCAATCCGCTGATCAATCTATAGAATACCACTTATCCCAAAGCCTTCAACTTCACCATTAACGGCCTCTTATCCCAAAAGATAAAAACCTTCTGATCTTTCCACCCTTTACTCTCCTCCTGCAACTCCAGATCAAAACTCACCAGCACCATCGTCAACAACAACCTCATCTCATGATACGCCAAATTCTTGCCAATACAATTTCTAGGACCCACACTAAACGGTTGCAAAGCTCCAAAATTGTCGTTCGCATATTCTGGATCTCCTAAGAAGCGCTCGGGAACGAACTGCGAAGGGTTGAGGAAGTTGGCTGTGCTTTGGTAGGTTGCCCAGTGGTTTACGGAGACTGAGACGTTGGCGGGGATGTATTTGTTTGCGATTACCGCGCCGCCTTCGGGGGTGAGGCGTGGGAGGCCAGAGGAAATTGGTGGGTACATGCGGAGGCCTTCTTCGATGCAGGCGTTGAGGTAGGGCAGTTTTGCCAGTGCGTCGATGGTGATGTCGGTTTCGGAGGGAAAGGCACCGCGGACTTCTGACACAAGCTTGGCCATTTTATCTGGGTTGGTCAGGAGATAGTAGGTGAGTCCCGAGAGCAGTGTTGCAGTGGTTTCTGTGCCTGCGTTCATGAAGACGGTGGCATTGCCGTGCATTTCTTCGAGCGACATGCCTGCTGTAGCGTCTCCCTTACCATCATCTGATCGTCTCAAAATCTCAGTCCAAAGATCTGGTCGGCCAGGATCGCGAGCTAGTCGGCGGTCGACTCGATCAGAAGCAAACTTTTCGTTTTCTCTCTGTTTGCGGCGCAGAGATGCCGGGATGAGTTTTAGAAGCAACCAAGACATGAATGGCAGTTGGCCGAGCGCTACAAATTTGCCGATGTTTTTAATGCTATCGAAGATCAATCGCACGGAAGGAGCGTACCTGAGAGAAACGTTAGTCAATCCTTGGAAGAAAAAGCTGGATTCTGGCCTACTCCTCATTTTCCAGCATGTACAGTGGTTCGCCAAAGCTGTGTCTGTCAGTTTCAAGCTGCTGATGGCTCTAATATTCAACCACATACGTAAGATCCGACATGACATCAAATCTGCAGTCGTCAGCTATTGCTTCGCTCCGATACCACGAGGAGCTTACGTGGTAAAATTGTAGTAAGCAACCATGTCAACCGCCTCACCAGCAGCCGTGGCTTCCTTCAACTTCGAGACCATGTAACCCGCCCATCGCTTGAGCAAGGGCTCCTGGTCTCGTAGTGCCTTACAAAACTCAGAATGAATTGACCCCAATAAGCACATACAATCACGAACCTTGTCGGAGAAACTGTTTGCAAGGATACGACGCTGTCGAGTATGGCTTGCGTCGTCGGCGATGACGATATGCCTTGTTGCCGTGGGATCTGTGATATAGAACTTTGGATCTTTCTCGAAAGTCCTAGTCTTACCACCAGTCTTGTGACCATAGATGGTCTTCCAGGCAGAAGCATCGGTGTAGCTGACTTGACGAGGAGCGGTCCTCACGACCGGACCGTATCTTTCGTGCAATTCGAGTATCTTGTGTACGTCGAAGCCTGTCCAAAGACCTATCACCTTCGGTAGATGCGAAGCTGCTGCAAACTTCGATCCTGGTATGTGAGAAAGGGGACCGAAGAACACATCGTATGCTACGAAAGTGGCGTAGAGAGCGAGAGCCTTGGCTTATCAGATTTGCAGAAGAACCTGTCTCAAGAATGCTTACTGTGAGAAGCAGGCCTAGAAATGAGAAGTCGGAAACATGCGGCATGCGATCTATCGACGCAAACGAAACCGTGTCATTGTTGGCAGACATGTTGCGAAGTTGACAGGAGTACAACGCTCTAGGTGAGCGTCCTCGCTCTTTATCTCCTATTCGTAATATGGATGCCTCGTTCTAATTGGCATGCAGAACGTGCATTGAAGGATTGGAATCCTGCTGCAGCTTTGAAGGAGCCTCAAGCATAGACCAACCCATCGCTGTCGCACTTGGGACTGATACGTCGTTAGGATCTCTACGAGCAGCTTGTTCGATGTCTTGTGCGACTATCTAGTGCTGGTTTAGTTGATGATATTGATTGGTCTGATGGGAAGGAGTCCTTGATCGGGTAGCGACGGTCCAGAATCCTTTCGAGACGCGTCGCCCCGCTCGACAGCCTCCTCACACATGCAGCCACCAAGAACGCTTCCTTACAGCTCATACCTTCTGCCCAATACCGTCTGATCTCGGAGGCTTTTGTATTCTGTCGTGAGGCTTACGGACGTGTCGATGTGCCGGTCTCTTTAGGCTCAAATGCTGCGCCCGTCTTCTCGTTGATCGCCCCACGTTTCAAGCTCCGCATTAGGACTGCCGCCTCCATGATCTGCACCTCCTCGTCGCCAGTCCTGACAGAGACCACGCCTAGCGAACATCCTGCATAGGATACAGTGGAGTTTGGCGAAGGCGGTATGCGGTTGACAGTTAGCCGTTGACCGAGGGCACCATGACGGAGTCTGGCCTCTGTCGTCTCCTCTATAAAGCAGCCTCCCGCCGTATTGATCTTATACAATACTCAGCACATTTCTGTACCTGAATCGCAATGCTGTCCCAGACTCTTGGACTCGCTGTCCTCGCCTTGCCTCTGTTGGCAGAAGCGAAGGATTGCTCACAGGCAGCTTTCCAGAAGATCATTCCCTCCAACTCGACTTTCAACTATGTTACCAAAGTCGCTGAGGGCGGGTCATTCACAGACGCATATGCCAATGCCAATGCCACTGGTCTGCCTGAGGGATGTGCAGTGAGCGTCAAGGTCCCTACGCCGGGTAACTCGTCATACAACATGGCCATTTACATGCCCAACAAGTGGAATTCTAGGATTATCACGACCGGAAATGGTGGATACGGTGGCTTCACGAATTGGCAGGACCTCGGAGTGTACTCCCATTACGGATTCTCAGCCATCACCACCGTGAGTTTCTGCAAAATGCTTCTCCTGTATTATGTAACTGACACAAAATCAGGACACTGGTCATGACAACCCGAACCCTCTGGATTCGACCTTTGCCCTTAACAAAGGTTCGCTCGAGAACTGGGGCTGGCGCGCTATGCACGGTTCGATCCTCGTCGGTAAAGCACTTTCTGCTGCATACTATGGCCAGAACCACAAGTATTCATATTATTCTGGATGCTCGACAGGCGGACGCCAAGGCCTGAGAGAGATGCAACTCAATCCTGAAGCCTTTGATGGTCTCTTTGTTGGAGCGCCTGCATGGTGGATCCCTCATCTCGGCATCTACACGTCCCAGGTTACACTGGGCAACCTGCCTCAGAATTCTTCTCACCACATTTCTGCTGCACTGCAAAATGTCATCAACGATGAAATCCTCAAGCAGTGTGATCCTCAAGATGGTGTAACTGACAAGGTCATCATGAACCCCGAGGGCTGTGTATTCAACCCTCTGACTCTGCTCTGCGAGGGAGCTGCAGCAAACACCTCTGCTTGCATTACTCGTCCTCAGCTTGACACTCTGTACAAGGCTCTGCACGACTGGACTTACTTCGATGGTACTCTGATCTTCCCCGCCCCGTCATTGGGTACACCGCTGGTCGCCTACGTTGGCGACTCTCCCGATCCCAACCCTATGGGCACCGGAATGATCGAGCACCTTTTGCTCAACACCACCCAGCCCTACGACTGGAGCACCTTCAACGAGAGTGTAGTCCGTCTTGCTGAAGCCATTGATCCCGGTAATGCCAGTCCAGATGACTTCGATATCTCGGCATTCCAGAAGAGAGGCGGCAAGGTGATTCACTGGCACGGTCAAGCCGATCCCATCATCCCCTTCCGATCCAGCACGTACTTCTACGAGCAGACCGCCTCTTCCGTTGCTCCTCACGACATTGAGATGGACGACTTTTACCGATTCTTCCCCATCGCTGGTATGAGCCATTGTTCAGGAAGTCAATACTCTCCCTGGTACATTGGTGGCGCCAGTCAAGTCGTGACCAATGTCAGCCATGGCGTGCCTGGATTTGATGATTCGCAGCACAATGGTCTTCTTGCATTGATGCGCTGGGTTGAGAATGGCACTGCTCCGGAGAAATTGGTTGCGACCAAGTACAACGACGATAACCCTGCCAAGGGTGTCTATGGCCAGAGACCTCTCTGTCCTTACCCCAAGCAGCCCGTCTATACCCATGGAAAGGTGGATTCTGCAAACAGCTGGAAGTGCTCGTAAACCAAAGTACATAGATTCACGTACCCGCTCTTTCTCGCAGTCAGATTGTAGTTTTTGAAGATGCACCGTGACTCGCAGACCTGGGTACCCGGAAGGAAAGAGCAATCAATTGCCTTGGCGCAGCCTCATCCTCCGGCGATCTTCCTCAGAAAGGTCGGCCCGACAACACAAAGAGACACATACTCGAGTACTACAGATTCCTGAATGAAAAGCCTGCATCCATCCCCCCTCACACTTGCCACAACAGAATCTCACACCTGCCGCATCCACCGCATTGTATCTCACCAAAACACAGCACTTTAAAGATGAATGATACCACCACCTCAAGACCTTCCAGATCTGTCGTCCGAGCAGCACTCACCATCGTGCCCTGGATGCTTCTCGTCCACAACCTCGTCTACCTCATTTTCGAAGGTCGATTCGAAAACCCTCTGGCTTTCAGCAACTCTTTGGGTCTTGGATTTCTGATCATCTACCAGTGGGCGATCAAAAACGGTTACATTGTTGCTTGAGGGCAATGGAATGATCAGGATTGGGGTTAGTGGAGTACAAAAGGTCTTGACATGGCACCCGCTGTTTGTCGCCGGAAGGAACGAAAGAAAAAAATACAAGAAGACAGAAGAGAAACAAAAAAGACATCCAAGCAAGAATAGCAGAAGAGGAACAACAGAAGCAATGGAAGCAAAAAAAGGTTTTTCTTTTTGAGCCACATGTATTTACAGCCTTTCTCATCCCTTCGCGCATCCTCTGGAGATATGCAAAAGAAACGCATAGACTTAGTAAGTCTGATGCTTCTTGACCTCCTCCCAAAGCTTGGGATCCTGCTCGACTCTGACTTCCTCGGACTTGTCGTCGACAAGTTCATTCAAGCGGCGCAGATCCATGTCCTTGGCGAGCAAGGGGATAACGTATTTGTCAAAAGTCTGCCAGTAAGGGTTTTCGAGGTGGTATTTTTGACTCTGTTTTGCGTTAGCGATATAATAGAGAGCGGGGGTTGTTGCAATTTGTGAGGCGTTGATGAGTTTGAGGAGGAGGAGGGAAAACACTTACGCTCTCATGCGCATAACGCTCGACGATGGTGAAGGCGCGAGGGTCCTTGGTATCTTGCATGACGAACCTATCTTACGCGTCAATTCCCTTACCTCCAGTCCACTCAAGAAGCGCATGCACTCACCAGCCCAGACATTCCTTGTCGTTAGTGTAGACCTGAGAAGCTTCTTGCAGCTTGGCGATCAACTTGTTGATGGACTCTTGGTCCTCCTTGGCGTAGAGGTGAACGACGAGTGTGTAGACCATTGTTGCGGTTGTGTTATGAGAAGAATTGGTTTGTGGGTTGTGTTGTTGGTCGAAGGAGGGGTAAAACAGCTACAGCTGGCGGAAGGTGGGATGTTGTTGTAACAAGCTCAGTTATCGGGCCTTTTTGGCGCAAAACGTCATTGCCATTCTTGGGAGAACCACTCTTGAAGACCATGGAAAAGCCGAGTGATTGATATACGGAGCAAAGTGACAGCAGGATTCACGGTGTATCATGATTCGGTATCCGGGTGCATGTCATTGAAATTACAGGCAAAAGATACATGGTGGGACCAAGATGAGCAAAAAGTAAATCTCCTCTCTCTGAGTCGAACAAAGGACCTTCTGATGACAATTAACAATTACAGTCAGACGCTCTAAACCAACTGAGCTAAGAAGAGATTGATGTGGGGTAAGTCAGGAAAGCGCAATATAGTGTCCAATCTACAGGACGGGATGCATCTACGCATGCCATGACGTGTCTCACGAGCTAAAACAAGGGCTTAGCAACAACACTGCCAACTTCCAAGAGCCACTCGATAGGGCAGAATATAGTAACAAGCACTTGGCAGGACCAAGTATCTCCCTCGGACCAACGACCCCTATCCCTCCTCTTCCTCAACTCTCTACAGAAACACCACACCACAGCATCCACAATGGGCTTCCGCGACTCCCTCAAAGACCTCCAATCAAAAGCCCAGCATGCCATGAACGGCAACGCCCCTCCAATCCCCTGGGCCAGCAAACCCGGTGCCTCTGCATCCTCTCCCTCGCAAAACGCAACTCCCTACTGGCAACCCCACTGCTCCCCCGAGACACCCGTATCCTCGCACTTCCACCACGAACAAGGAAACTGGGGCTGGGGCAACAACGAATCCCAAAACTACGTCGATGATTCCGCAAACAGTTTCCACACACCCGATGGCTGTCTAGTGGTGCACGCAATCATTAACCACGCACACCCTCAAGACGATAGGAAGTTTACTTCTGCAAGATTATCCTCGCATCAAACGCTCGCTCGCAGCAAAGGCAGTTTGAGCGCTCGCATCACAGCACCAGTGGCAGCAGGGATTTGGCCTGCATTCTGGTTACTCCCCAAAGATCCATTCACTTGGCCCTACGATGGAGAGATGGATATCATGGAAGCTTGGAATGGAGACAAGACAAACCACACATGTATGCATTGGGGTCACTTCAACGGTGAAGACCACGACAAGCACAGAGTTGTAGAAACATCCATCCCTGCTATCGATTCCAAGAACGGTGTCAGGTTCGATTTTGCTTGGGATGAGGATGAGAGCAGTGGGCAGGGAAAGCTGGTGTGGTATATCGATGGTAGACCGGTCATGAAGGCGAATAAACCTCAAGGAACGAGGCCGATGAAGGATTTCAGGATTCTGATCAATATTGCGGTGGGTGGCAATGTGTGTCAGGGTGTTATGCCCAAGGATGGCACGTATGAATTTGTCATCAGAGAGTTGGCCATGTGGGACGCTCCACCTGGTGGTTGGGCAAGGTTCGAACACGACTGGAAGAATACCAGAGAGGGTCATGGTATGTAGATTTCTTCGAGCTGCTGGTCGGCCGAATCAATTACTAGACTTTCTTCCCTTCGATGCTTAAAGGGCGCTTCATGACTTCGGCTGAATGGAAGCAGGCTTTGTGTACTTTGTCGTATCCGAGGGCTTAAAACGCGTCAGAAAGAGCTTGGGAGTATGAACAACAGGCGGTGAGTGAGCATCAGGCCAGAGCACAATCTCGAAAACAGGTCATTCAGGACTATCAACTCGGGCATCTCTCTCAGCAAAGGCAACTCCTGTCGTCACCTCGTCACCCCACGTATCGCTTTCTGCCGTCACTGCCCAAGTTGTTCAGCTTGCGGATCTCGGTCCATCTGCTGAAGGACCCCAACTCGAGCAGATTCATGCGTCGCATCTTTCCAGATGGGTTGCCGATGACTACAGGCTTCCAATCCTGGTCTGCCTTTGCATCGAGACTGCCACCTCCACGAGAGCCAAAGGCACCGTTTGGAATGACTTGAACAGATCTGAAGCGCCACATGATGATTGACAGTAACATGGTCAGTCCAAGCAGGATACCGACCGTCACGCCAGTTGCTGCCTGTGCTCCTAGAGCTCGGGTGATGTTACCGCTCACAGCGGTCGCTGCAGCTGCAAAGAAGAATCCCAGCCCTTGAGCGGCAAAGATACCCGCGCATACTCGTGGATACGAAGAGTAGTTTGTGCGTCTTCTGCGAGTAGCACTCTCCGTACTTTGCAGGCGGTGTTTGCTATTGACTCCAGGTTGGAGATCGCTGGTGTCGAAAGCTTCCATTGCCAGTCCAATACACTCTGCAAGTGCGAGACATGCGAGGAAGCCAATGATAGCTGCCAGAACAGTAGGTCCAGCTGCCTTGACGCTTGGTCCAGGAGATGCCAGAACGTATGCGAGACCAGCAACAGGCAGGGCAAACGTGAACAAGCATCGTCTGAGCAAATGTGACGACCAGGTGACACGCGGCTCGAAGGTTCCACTGTCGGTACGCAGAGGCTGGACTCTGTCACGAGAGAAGACGTTGGCTTTGGTCAGTGGAACAGCGAGAGCGGCACCAACTGCGACTGCAAAGACAGCCAGCCCGATCCACTGAGGCTGCCAGTTGTAGTTACGGGAAAGCAGTGCGCCCAGGAGCTATATTTGTCAGAAGATTCGTAGACCTGATTACGCTCAATTTTCACTTACCAGTGTGATGAGTACGACCAAGGCATAGATCCATGCTAGATAGATGGCGAGCACAAGAAATCCGAGTTGACACAGCATGTAGCCCATGAGTCGCATACCAGCCCAAACTTCATCCCACCAGTACTTGGGACCGTCCTGATCGAGATGGAGTTTGATCTCGCCTCGTGCTACTCGTTTCTTGAGTTTCTCTTCTTCGTTGGTGTATCTCAAAATCGATCGTCGATAAGGCGCACGACGCGTCTCGGGCGCGATGACGTTGACCAGAACGAAGAAAGAGAGCAACATGACGACAACGTAGAAACCCCATGAAGGGGCGAGGTGCTGAATGATGGAAGCACCTATAAGGAACCCGAGGGACAGGGACCCGACAAAGCACCATGACCAGAGACCCAACCAGATACCCATACCTCCGCCTTGACGTCTAATATCATCGTAAACAACAATCTCTTGATGAGGATTGCGTGATTGAAGGGAAGCGCCGAACAGATCCAGTAAGGTCGACAAGAAGTTGATATGTGCGAAACCAAGAACAAGGCCTAGGAAGAAACGGGGAAGGAGTAGCCCAACGAGTGCCTTTGTCAAGTGTGGGCCTGTGGTAAAGGCTACCGCAATTGACTGAGGAAATTGCAGCGGGATTGCGACTGCGAGCGCTGCCAGAGTGTAAGGTCTCCTGCCGTGAAGAAGTGGGAGTGGCCAGAAGATCAGGGTAGTGAATCCCATTCCGAAATAAAGGCTGCGAGATATGTCAGTATCGACTTCCGAAAAGTGCTACGGCGCATGAGGTCAGAGGCCGGTTGCTGTTGATCAGGCTGCCACTTCATCTCAACTCACAGTACATTGCCCAAAATCACATGGTGGTTCTCATCTCCTAGCCTGTATTGAATCTTGGGGACCTCGCCAGCCTGTCGATATTAGTGATGTTCATCGTCAAAGTCTTTCAAGGGAGAACTCACATAGATTCCAGTGATTAGTCCTACAAGCATGGTGTTGAAACACGCGACAGTGGCAGTGATGCGTTTGCGGCCAATCTTCCATTCTCTGGCGACAGGCGAGCGACGATACCTATGGAACCGGAACTCGTCCTTCAGGCTAATATGGTTCTTGCGTGGATGCTTCAAGCTCATGTCTGGTGATGGAACATTCGCTGGCGGTGCTTGACCAGGTAGAAACAGTTGCGGAGGCTGACCAAGCGTAGTAGTTTGGCCAGGAGCAATGGGCACAGCAGGTTGTGTCGAGCTCGGAACAGCGACTGGGACATCTCTGCGGCCAGGAACGTGGTAGTATGGCGACTCAAAGATACGGCTCACACCAGCTTTTGGTTTCCATCGCTTGGCCGGTGCCGAGGTGAAGGCCGATACAGCTGCTTCTGGTGGGCCGACACCCGGGTACTGAGTCGATGGGTAATCAGGAGTGACATAGTGTTTTGGATCATAGACTGCGTATGGCAGCGTAGGCTGAGGTGGTGGCGAAGGTGTGCTTGATAGTTGAGGATCGGAACGAACGGGTCGAAGAGACCTCCGCTTTGGCACATCTGGAATTGAGAGACGAAGAGGTTCGTACGGTATCTGCTCTGGTGTTCTCACTGATGCGTCTTGCGAGATGACTGGAGGCAACACAACACCGGAGACTTCTCCGGTAGGAGGTGGTAAGATAGTCTCGTCTTGACCGACTGGTCCACGTTCCGAGCCGCCTCTAAGATCACGGCGAGCAGGAGTCGGCTGCATGTAAGCCCAATCGTGCGTATTGGAATTTGGCGACGTCTTGGAGTACATCTGAGGAGGAGTCTGGGTCATGGAGAAGTCTTCCGAGGACGAAGGCCCAACGGCTGCTTGTTGAGAGGTAGGGCGCTTGCCATCTTTCTCAAACGGTGGACTGACAATCGGGTGCACAATGGATTGCTGTCTGATGGAGTAACGAGAAGCGGCTGGGGTAGTCGGAGCCTTGCTCAGAGACAGGCCGCTTTTGCTCTTGGTGTAGGCAGTCGGGATGCTGGCGACGGAAGGCTTCTCGACTGGTTGCATTGATGAAACGTTGGACTCGACGTCTGCGTCAGAGTCGGAATCTTGATCGTACTCGTCGGATGAGAAGTACTCGTCACTCTCGGTATCATCGATGCGAAGTGGAGGAGACATGTAGCCATGTACGATGCTAGACTTGCGTAGAACGATCTTGGCTTCATCGAGAATGTGAGCGACGTCTTGGGTTCTGTTGTTCTGAGCGGCATCTTGAGCGACTGTCAAGGCTTCTTCCATGAGGTTGTGAAGTCCAGTGACTGCCCGCTCAAGGTTCTTTCTCTCCTTGTCCGTTGATGAATTGGAAGGTGGTGTCAGAGTCTTGGGCGAGACGTCAGGAGAGCGGAAAGTCACATTGCTGCGAACTGTTGGCTTGCGCGAGAGAGTGCCGTCATTGTAACGACCTAGGTTGGATGGATCTGGTGATGGTGATGATATGATGGGCTCAGGTGGAAGCAATGGGCCGAGACTAGAAGTTCGGACTGGGATCTTGACCTCTAATTCGGTCAAGGGTACCAAGGGCCAGGTAGGCGGTTTGCCAGATTGTGAGGATGAATAAGACGAAGGAGTATACATAACGATGCTGTATATGATGATTTAATGATGTGAGGTTGTGTGAGATGAGGAGGGCTGCATTGTAAACGGAGATGTGGAAGTTGAGGTGTCCTGTGCTTGCCTTGATCAGTTCTGTCAATTGCAACTTCCCACTTTTAAGCTCAACCAGAATTGGCGCAAGCACACTCTCGATGCTTAGCTTCCTGGCGATTACATGACGATCGCTGTTAGCAAATGACACCTGAAAGTCTCAAATGGGCAAGGATCGAGCACAAAAGCAGCTGCATGTATTTAGCACTACTCTTCATACTTGACATCACCCTTGCTGACATCGGGGTATACATCGAATCTTCTCTGGGTATAGATGGGAATGCCTTTTCTCGTTTGCTCGATCGTCTCTCCATCCAGATCGGCATACACGATGTCTTCCTTCTCTTCCAGTTCGCTCAAAACCTCGGCGTTGGGGTTTACAATCAGACTGTGGCCCCAGGCGTTGTAGTCGGCGGTCATGTCTCTCGCAGGTGAGCAGAGAGCGACGTAAACCTGGTTGTCCATAGCTCTTGCGCGTGCTTGAAGTTTCCAATGCAACTCGCCAGTGGTGAGGTTGAAGGCACCAGGGTAGACGAGTAGGAAAGCACCTTGTCTTGCGGCGACCATTGCCAGCTCGGGGAAGCGAATGTCATAGCAGATGGCAACAGCAATCTTTCCATACTCGGGCAGATTGACCAGAGTTACCTTGTTTCCAGGACTCAGGATCTCGCTCTCTTGGAACCTGATCTTGCCTGGAATATCGATATCGAACAAGTGGACCTTTCTGTGTGTTTCCAACAACTTTCCGTCTGGGCCAAAGATGAGGGCTGTGTTGTAGTGCTTATCCGTGTCGGCGAGGTACTCAGGGATACTGCCACCAATCAGGTAGGCCTTGGACTCTTTGGCTAGAGCTGACAGGGCGTGGAAGGTGGGCGATTGTGACTCGGTGGGTGGTGAGGGCTGCAGCGTCTCTGCGTACTTGGGAAAGTACTTGGTGCCGTAAGGAGAGTTGAAGCACTCGGGCAGGACGACGACATTGGCGCCCTTGGAGGTTGCTTCGAGTACCTTTGTCCTTGCTCGTGCGAGGTTGGCGGCCTTGTCGGCACCTGTGGAAGTTGTCAGTCACATGCGATTACACGATTGCTGGCAAGACTTGAGTCGTGTTTGGCATACCAGTCGATAGCTGAACGCAGGCAAGCTTCAAAGGCTTCTTCAGTAGTTTGGCCATGTTTGACGAGTAAGGGTAGTGTGAATGGAGTGAGACGTGTCAGATTAAATCAACAATGTATAGATAGTCAAAAGGTGGCCGGCCGCGGTCATAGGTGACCCCAAGGCGCATGCGATTGCCCCACCTCGACACGTTATCGATAAGTGACGAGTTGGAGAAGCTCTCCAACAATGCCAAGGCCGCTCGGGAGTTGTCGATCATTGGCATTTGCGCTCTTACCAAATTGTTACCCTCTTGCCAACTCGGAGCCAGTAGTCAACATGCCCATTCGAACGCTACCTTCAGTGGCCGTCTTCACGCGTCGCGTGCCTTTGCGATTGGCATCGACCAGCGCCAAACCTATCCCCAAATACACCGGTCGCATTCCGAAGCCTGCTCCTCCACCGCCAGGTCCTGGCGAGCTACAGAGTCCTAGCAGCAACAAAGAAACTTCCCAGGCTCGCAAAGCCTTCAAGGATGTTATAGAAGAGGATAAAAAGAAGGACTACAAGAAGAGATACAATTCCGCCTTCTGGAACTGGATGCGCATCATCTGCGCTGCTCCAATTGCTCTGGTCCTCGCTCCGTACTTGTTCAACAGAGGTGCGACAATTCTACGTGTTTATCAAGTACAACAACTCTGACATTACTATCTAGTCTTCCTTGGAGAAGAACGAAAGAGGCTCGTGAGGGAGGACGATGATGACGACGACGAAGACTCCGACTAGATCCAAAACTACCATGCACAGTGTCCACCATCAATACGCATATCGCTGCCCGTCATGAACGAACTGGCATCGCTGATCAGGAAAACGGCTGCTCCACGGTACTCTTCAGGCTTGCTCAACTTGCCCAGCATGTTCTGTGTTGGCCACTCGCGACGTCTTTCGGGGTACTTGACAAACAGAGCTTCCACCATGGCCGTGACAATGTATCCTGGAGAGATGGTGTTGACGCGAATTCCGTGCTGGCCCCATTCGCTCGCCAGGTTTCTTGACAACTGAATGACCGCTGCCTTGCTCGAGTTGTACGCCGCGCATATCAATCCCTGCAAGCTCTTGTTAGCGAACATCCACAAAAGAAGACAAACACGACATACCCTGTTGGCAACAGTTCCCGACATTGAAGCGATAAAGGCCATGGATCCACCGTTTCCATGCTTAATCATCTGCTTGGCAACTGCCTGTGCTGTCATGAACACTCCTGTCACGTTGACCTCGAACATGGTGTTCGCATCCTTGGCTGTGTACTCGAGCGCTGTTGTCTCTTGCTGGATGCCTGCTGCAGCAACGAGTCCATCCATGCGGCCCTCCTTGTTTGAGATATCTTCGATGATTTCGTTCAATTGTGGCACGTCGCGAACATCAATCTGGCGGTAGTGGAAAGTGGTGCCGAGCTCCTCAGCTGCTCGTCTTTGGATTCGGTAAAAGTCCTCGCTAGGTTCAGGAAGGCGGTCCAAAGCATACACTGTGTTTTCGTCAATTACTGGTTCCTTGTCTAGCTTTGGGACCAACTTACCGGTTGCGCCGGCCTCGAGCAGAGCCTCAGCCTGCACCAATCCCAGTCCACGTGCGGCACCAGTGACCAAAACCACCTTGTCGTTGAGCGCAAATTCTGGCAATCTCTTGGTCGTTCCCAAGTATGAAGCAGCACTGTAGTTGTCCTTCAAACTGGCAGACTCATCAGAAGGTGGTTCAGGAGCACCGCGACCAGAGACAATAGGGTTACCCTTGGGAGGGTTCTTCAATTGATCAAGGTCGGACTTGGTAGCTTTGTGCTGACGGGTAGAGACTGCAAATGTGCGGACAGAGTTCGTCTTTGCTGCGCCAAATGCAGCACGGGCAAAGCGCGAGGATACTCTGAGAGAAGCCATTTTGGAGAGACGGGTGTGAGAGGGGAACTTTTCGAGCGGGATGCGATTGAGGAAGAGGGAAACAAGATGCAGAGAGCTACCAGCAGCGAAGGACCCCGCTGCTCTTTTTATTGCAGCCCCTCTGTCGGTCATTGCTGCGCTTGGCTTCCCTTCTTGGTTGTCCGAGACGCAGCTCCTCGTTCCGGAATTTGGCTGCAATGATCTATGGGCACGCGCCATAAGCAACGGTGGCTGCATGTACCATCCTACAACCTGTATAGCAGGCCTCAGTATAGACGGAGAGAGTCAATCTCAAACATTTATCAAGTCTGGCACTCTCCTCCCAGCTTCAACCATGCGTGGCTCCCATGACTTTTTGTCCAGCTCAGCAAACAGATCGGCATTTTGACTTTCTCGAGATGCTTGACCAAGCCGTTGTGGGATGTCTGTGGCCCGCTGCGGAGGAGTCGATGCGGGGAAAGATGGCCAGTCTCGGATTACCTCTTTTGGACGGTCGTGTCTTAGGGCTGGTGGATGCGAGCGCCGAAGTTTACTTGGATGGGAACATGGTGCTGAATATATCATCTCTTTCCTGCTCATGTTTGTGAAGCATGCTGTTGTGGTGAGGTAACATGGCAGCATGGCTATGCGCATATGCATGAAACAAGGCGTTTGCAGGACATAGGACGGGATGGGAAACAATCAATGTGTCGGCTGCATGCTGGATAATGCATTCCTTCACATTCATCCTCTGCCGCTCAAGTGAAGGACCATGGATCCGCATGCGAATGCTGCAAGAAAGGCGACATGCTGAATTGGCCTGAACGGCCACAACCTCATGACAAGGAGGAGCTCGCTATCGAAACAATCAAGGAGTTGAGCAGGCAGCAAAGCGACACGTGAATTCGTGAAGACGCGGACTGGCCAATGCACAGTCGACCGAGGCCGGGGCGTTTCGAACTCTCTCCGCTGCGACTTGCATCATCCGACGAGAATTAACTGAGGAAAGAGCGACTTTGGTCCCAACTGCGGCGCCCCAGGCGATTGTGCATCGCATCGCATCATGTCGACTCTCCACCCCAATGCCGACATGGAGGAGGTCGAGGACGAGCTTATCTTCCAGCAAACCTTGCTGGAGTCTATGGATCCCGACAGCAGTGAGCGCAGACAAGAGGTGGAATTGGCTATCATGGACCTGGAAAGGCGCATGGCCGCATACAACAACGCTGCGCCTGCTTCGTCTCAACCAGAGAGCAACCCCGCCTACAGTGCGCCTGGCGCATACCCTCGCTCCGATGCCAGCGACATGGATCAAGAATTTCCCGTACTCGACGCCTCGACCGCTGTCCCCACGCCGAACAGAAACGCACAGCTCAAGAGAAGCCGCGAAGAACTCTCGCCACTGGCCAACTTTGACAGGAATAAGAGACTGGCGCCTACTCCTATGCCTCCACCGAGTCAGCGACCGCTGAGCCAGGATCGTCGCAACGCTTATCTGGAAAGACAGCGTCAAATTGAAGCCATCGCCCGTCAAAGAAGAGAGTCTGTGGCTGCTGACGCCGACTTTGCTTCGAGATTGAGCCAGCAACCCGCTTCTTCACCCATCGCTGGCCCGTCCCGCAACAACCCATACTCCCAGTCCGGCATGTCGCCCAGCAGTATGGCACCAGTCTTCAGGCCTCCAAGTTACAGAAACAACCTTCCCTCGCAATCCCAGCTTCCTGCTCCGTACCCTGTTGTGGATCTTTCTCGAGTCAAGCCTGAAGTTCAGTCGAATCCTGGGTTTGTTCATGCTTCTAGACCTGTCAAGCCTGAAACATACCAACTTCCTACGCCTCTGAACAGTGGAAACGGCCATCCCATGGTTATCGACCTGACTGGAGATGACGAACCCGAGTCCCAACAAGCTCAAATTCAGAGACTCAGATCAAATCCAGCTGAAGAAATGCGCCGTAGGCAGCTCTGGGAACAAACCAACGCTATGAGCACACAGCAGGGACATGGGATTGCGCCAAACCACCAGCAGGGAATCGCCTACCTTCGACAACGAGAGGCAACGCGACAAGCAGAAATGGCTTTGCGAAACTCTGTCAACCCAACGCGTGAGATGGTGGACCAGGCTAATCGTCAGCGCCTGCAACAATGGCAACAACAGGTCGCTGCTACTCAACGATGGAATGCCGATAATCCACTTCAACAGCGCCCGTTTCCGAATCATGTTACTTACACGCAACCCTCTCCTTCCTCGTTCATGCGCTCGTCTCAGCAGCCTGTACCACGTGCTGCGCATGATGATTTTGCTCAGTTGGGTGGTCTCATCAATGGTCGCGGCAGGTCTACAAGATTTGATTCGCCAGATGATGAATTGCAGTTCCTGCGTTCTACCACTATCCAACAAAATCCACCAAGCTGGGACATCTACGATATGGAGAGTGTCGATACGAAAGAGGAACTTCGCAAATTGATGGAGAACATTCAGCCTGACGATGCTACCAAGATTGCCAACGAAGAGGACGTGCCTGTCGAAGGGCTTACCATCAAGCTCAAGCCATATCAATTCGCTGGTCTCGAGTGGCTTCAGAAGATGGAGAATGGCTCAAACAAAGGTGGCATCCTTGCTGACGATATGGGCCTGGGCAAAACTGTCCAAGCCATCTCACTCATGGTCACAAACCGCTCCGAGGATCCAGTGAACAAGACTACTCTGATCCTTGCACCGGTTGCTCTCTTGCGTCAATGGGAACAAGAGATCATGACCAAGGTAAAGCCTGGTAGACACAGACTTCACACTTTCATCCATCATTCAAGCGCCAAGAAGAAGAGCCACAGAGATTTGCGCGACTTTGATGTTGTTCTGACTACTTTCGGTACTATCGCTGCCGAATTGAAGAAGATCGAGAAGTACGAGATGCGCAAGAAAGCGGATCCAAATGCTCAGCCTCGAGACGACGAGAAATGCATGTTTATCGGTCCGGATTGTAAGTGGTACAGAGTCATTATCGACGAAGCGCAATGCATCAAGAACAAGACGACCAAGACTGCTCGAGCTGCCTTTTATCTTCAGGCTCGCTCTCGATTTTGTATGACTGGAACGCCCATGATGAACAGCGTCGAGGAACTTTACTCTCTCATCCACTTCCTACGTATTAGACCCTACAACAATTGGAACAAGTTCAGGACAGACTTCAATCAGCCACTGAAGAGCAATAACGAGGCTGCACGTCAGATGGCTATGCACAAGCTGCAAGCATTGCTCAAAGCAATTCTCCTTCGTCGCAACAAGAAGACCGAGATCAACGGACGCCCTATCCTCAACCTGCCAGAGAGACGTGTCGAAGAGACCAATCCTGACTTCAGTGAAGATGAGCGTAACATCTATGTTGCCCTTGAGACCAGCTCTGCGGTTAAGTTCAACAAGTATCTCAAGGCTGGAACAGTCAGCAACTCGTACATGCAGATTCTGGTTCTTCTGCTTCGTCTTCGCCAAGCCTGCTGCCATCCCAATCTGATCAAGGACCTCGGAATCGTTGCTGCGACTGCTGAAATCACACAAGAGACGATGGATGAGATCTGCAGGGCCCTTGAACCGAATGTGATTACTCGAATCAAGGAAGCAAATGGTACATTCGAGTGTCCTGTCTGCTACGACGCCGTGGAGAACCCTGCCATCTTCACTCCTTGCGGTCACGATACTTGTCCAGACTGCTTCTCCAGAATTGCTGATCCTTCCAATGCACTTGCTGAGGGTGACGAAGGACGAACTGCAAAGTGCCCCGAATGCCGTGGCCCTATCAACACCAAGAAGGTCATCGATTACGAGTGTTTCAAGCGTATCCACATGCCCGAGGAAGCTGCTCTTGATGATACAGTTGACATCAAGACCGACGTTGATGCTGACGACATGACGGCTGTCGACATTGACGACGACTCTGAGGACGAGGAAGACGAAGATGATGACGACGAGACCGAATCTCTCGATGGCTTTATTGTTGAGGATGGTGCTAAAGAAGAAGACGATGAGGAAGCAGCGCAGCGCAGGCTGAAGGCCGCCCTGAAGCCCAAGAAGAAGAAGTCCAAGATGAGCAGCAAAGCCAAAGGAAAGCTGAAGGAGTCGAGCAGCTCCGAAAAGAAGAGGAAGGCAGCCACAATGACCATCCCTGAGCTCAAAAAGCTGGCAGTCAGAAAACCTGGATGGCGCAAGATCTACCTTCGCATGCTGAAAAAAGATTTCAAGCCTTCGTCCAAGATCGAACGCACCATGGAAATCTTGGACGGTATCATGACGGCACCCGAGGGCGAGAAAATCATCATCTTCTCTCAATGGACGTCTCTGCTTGACTTGCTCGAAGTGCCTGTGTCTGAGAAGGGCTGGGGATATCGCCGCTACGATGGAAGCATGAACGCCAAACTTCGTGCCGACGCTGTTGACGACTTCAAGAACAGACCCAATGTTCGCATGATGCTGGTCTCACTCAAAGCAGGCAATGCCGGATTGAACCTCAACATCGCTTCTCAGGTTGTGATCATGGACCCATTCTGGAACCCCTACATTGAGGAACAAGCTATCGACCGTGCTCACCGTCTAGGTCAGACTCGACCTGTCATGGTTCACCGTGTTCTCATCAAGGAGACTGTCGAAGACCGCATCATTGCGCTGCAAGAAAAGAAGCGCGCTCTTATCTCTGAAGCGCTTGACGAGAAGGCTTCTCAGAGTCTGGGCAGATTGAGTGTACATGAACTGGCGTATCTCTTCGGGATCAGTAGAAATGTTAACGACGCGCTACCCGCTGGTCCCAGGGCTAGAGTCCGTCAGGGCGGTGTTGGTGCTCTGGGTGCTTGAAGATGATGGAATTGTTTTTATGGAGTTTGCAAAAGAGTAATATATGGGATGGGAATTATGAAGATTACATGGGCCGGCCCAATCACTGACGAATGGCGTATGATGGCTTCTGGGAGGATTCACTGACATGATCACGATGGGAATGGTCTTTTCTCTTTCTTTTTTCTTCTATTCTTTTCACTGTCAAGCACTTTTTCTACGGTACATTGCTTCTTAACTTTACATGCTACGCTACAATGCACAACAAATTTAATCACTCGCTCCAGTTTTGAGACTAGCAGGTTGCGTGGAACTAGGTGCTATGACAGTAGGCTCAGTCGATGATAGCTTCCTAAAGCCACGTCGTGAAGGTATATGACTGCCGAGAACGCGAGTGCATTGCTAAGGCCGGATGAGGAAGATAAGATAGCGCGTACATTTCTCGGACATCAAAAAGATCCTATTGTTGAAATCTTGTGTCTAGACTAAACGAGATTGCTTAGGGGGGGAAACAGGTAAGCAGGTAGAAGGAGTGTGTGAGTATGTGCAAAGTAGTTCAGGTGTACATTAGAAGAATCAGAAAGTGTTGAAGGAAAGAGACCTCGGCAGTAGGCAGAATGGAAGGAAGAGTATGTATATGTACCAAATATCATAAGCGGATTTAAGAACCTTCAAGAACCAGACCAGCGTTACTCCTTTTCAAATACATGCGACGAAGACATTACCACTTTGGGATCAGAGACCTGCAATCTTGTGTGGTCAGCATTTATAACGAAGCGGCGAGCGCGGGCGAGATACTTACTCGTTTTCCCTTCCCCTTGATCTGCCTCTGCTCGTCTCCTCCATCTCCACCGGGTCGCTAGCACCCAACTCCTGAATTGGCGGCGTCATGGGCATATAGCTATGTCTCTGCTGTCCATAATCACCCCAACTCTTATGCGCATCATAAGGTGACATGTACCCTCCATCACCAGGACCATATGAAGGTGGCCTTGCGGATGCAGGCCCGCCCACTGTAGAAGGGGGGTTTGTGCTGTTCACCCAACTCTCAACCGCTCCTGATGTTTGGGATGCGCTGGCCAAAGAAGTCTTTAGCGTGCGGTGCCTTCCTACAAACCAGAACAATGCGCAGGCGAGAGCAAGCACCACTACACCTGCTACCACTATGCCAGCGATGGCGCCATTGGAGAGGGATACCCCGTGGTGAGAAGCAGCAGGAGCAGAGGTAGAAGAAGGAGTGGCTTCGTCAGGTACGGCTTCACCGGGCTGCAACATTATGTCTGAGCTGTTTATGGAGGCCAGTTGCGCGGCCAGTGAGAATGTAGAGTTCTGGTTGATGGAGCCGATCATTTGGTTATCGAGGCAGGAGCCTAGGCGTGAGCAGTAGAAGAATATGGGGGATGTGTCGTTTATTGTTAGATTCCATGTTGGTGGCTAAGATTTGATTCAGAGATCGGTCGATCTTCTGTCTGAGTCAGGGTTGGGGCTACTTACATGATCACTCGCAACATCAGTGGTGTTATACCAGCCGCTGAAAAAGGTAGAGCGGCCTCGATGATAGGCATCCCTTGGAACGCATGGTTCTTCAAAGTTGGACTGTACCACTGTATGGCCCTGCGCTATGAACTGGAAAACGATAACGTCTCCAGGGTTGGCGGTCAGGTTGTTTGGGTAGTATGAATGCGACTCGTATCCGACCAAGACGGTTTGATACGATGGCGAAGTGCTAGTCGTGGCTGTTTGCGCAGTGATGCCGTATATAAATGCCAAGGAGGCTACCAGTGAGTAAGAGAGGCACCGCATTGCTGCGTGTGAATGTCTGCGGCGATGTTTCAAGATCTGTATAGATGGGAAGGAGGCATGAAGCAGCAAGCAAGAACAGAGATGTAGGTTGCAGATAGTAGAGAGAGAGAAAACAGGACCATGGAATCGGGGCGTGGGTGGAACATAGAAGAGTGGCATGACCTTGCACCAACTACGTACTCTGTGCCTTTCGCCTAACACATTGCATATCACGGTACTTGGCCAACAAACCATTCTCGGCCTTGCTAAGCAAAAGTGACTTAGCACCGAGAGGGGCTGATGAAAGCTTCATTCAGCTTTTCCACACTGCCCGATTTAGCATTTACGTGATCCCTGTCTGTAGGGCCACAAGGCGTGTATTGAGCTGTGCTGAATGGATATGGGCTTTACTTGACTTGACTTGACTTTTCGATCCAGATCCAGGATTCCAAGCCTGGTCGAGCGACATTGCAGGCTCCAACTCTATATTGCAGACCACCGTTTCTTCGGCTGGAGTGGTGCTGCGGGTCGTATACGATGGACGAATCCTGGACGGCGTAGAAAGTACCAACATGCTCCCCACTCTGGCTGCCTGACTGAGGCCAAGATATTCTTTGCAGTGGCTGTGTTCATGAGCCAACTTGCACAGCCAAGTATGGTGCTTGTCCTTCCACTCTGTGTATGACCGTGTTCGTCATGTAGAACTGAGTAAGTCGCCGAGAATAGATGGACGCAACAACTTGGAAGGTGAAATGGTCGGAGCACCGCGCCGTGGTTGCCGAACGACGTAGAGGCCAAAACTCATGGCCGGCTCAGCATCTGACTTTTGACACACGACGTGGGACAGCTACGTGGTAAGCTTCGCAACGGCGACGAGCACTTCGAGACCACCACCGATCTCTGAGAGGTGATGCTTATATTGTCTGCATGTATCTATCCCAACTCTAGTGTAACTTCTACCCGAATGCGATGGTCAACCCGTTCTCTCCATCAGAAATCGCATACCTTCTCTAAAGCTCCCTCTCAACAGACACTCTGAAGCCTTTGGTGTTTCCCATCTTCCAACAGTCATACAGACACCTCAGGAAGCATCTACGCTTACTAAAACAGTCAATGGCCGGCCTGAGCATCCATCTTGAACAGGATTTCAGCGACGCATTCGACACAGCGGTCCTGCTCACCGGTACGCTGCATGCTTATGCGAGCTAACATATACAGCTTACAGGTACATGCAACAAAGCACGACCGGCCCCACGCGATTGACACATGCGCTTTTTGCACGGGGAGTCAGTCTCATACTGCCTTGGGTTTGTTCGATATGCTCGATCAACGTCCAGATAATCCGGTGATGATGCAAAGCGATCAGTATCAGGATTGATCACAGATAGCGACCGATCGTGTCTGCTACTTCAGCCTTGCTGTATAGCACTAAATCCGGTGATTCTGCATTGCCGTTATACATATGGAGAGCTTATGTGGCTTGCTATACAGTGCCAGGTGCCGGGATGCTTGACAGGCAGTACTGATAAGCATCTTTATACAAAATCTGTCGAATCAGCATCCACGATCTGCTTGAGTCTGGACAGTCATCTGAGAGATCTTACCACCTCCCATCGCATGTTCAGCTCCAGCCACCAGTCGACATTGTGCCCTGTAGGGCTGATCCTTGTATGCAATACCCAAGCACGCGGCGAGCCGTGGCTGACCTAAATGTGGACATTGCAACGTGGGATCCTGCATCAGCACCTTAACATTTGACAGGGTATGGTATGGGCAGAGCTTGGAGCTTGAAGCTCCATAATCCTAACACGGTAGGTTCGTCTGGGACAATGGTCCGAAACCTCACTTTTGAGGCCCTGTGTACGAGGGTGGGAGTAAGTTGAGGTAAGCGCTAAGCGACAGCCACTGTTTCGTTCATGGTCGTACAGGTATGGGAGGCAGCTCTGTATTTGATCAAAACCAGCCGGTGTGCACGCAGTGAGCTATTCGATCCCTCCCTTTGCTTCTCAAGAACCATTCCTTCCACCACGCGTCCTTTAGACAAAGTTCGAGCCGTCAGGATCTGTATCGCTCGGGAAGCCTGGAGCAAGTCGTCTTTGCGAGTCCGCAATGGTTTACTTAGGACGATCGAGGGGTCTGCTTGGAGCATTGCTCTTGTGCAGCACACGCTTTGCGCAAAGTCTGAGATATGACCCTAACGAGAAAGACTATAATCTCAACACCAATCAAGCTGCGACAAATCCTTTGGACTACTCAGGAACATGGCAAGACCATACATTCTATCCCTCTCCCGAGAATTGGCGATTCCCGTTCTATACATTATTTCTTGATCGGTTCGTCAACGGTGATCCGTCCAACGACGACATCAATGGCACGTTATTCGAGCAAGATATCATGGGCACTACCATGCGCCATGGAGGTGACTTGGCAGGCTTAGTGGACACCTTAGACTACATACAAGGCATGGGCATAAAGGTACGCATACCACGTTCCCAAGCGCAAATCAGAGCTAATATCACTGTAGGGCCTCTATGTAGCCGGTACACCATTCATCAACATGCCGTGGAAGTCGGATTCCTATTCGCCTCTCGACTTCACTCTACTTGATCACCACTTCGGCAAACTTGCTGAGTGGAGAGCAGCGGTTGATGAGATCCACAGGCGAGGAATGTATATACTGATGGATAACACATTCTCGACGTCAGTATCGCAAATGTTTCATCATACCCATAACTTTACTGATCTTCAAATATAGTATGGCCGATCTCATCGGGTTTGATGGGTATTTGAATGAGTCTACACCATTTCTTCCTGAAGAGCACGAAGTGGTCTGGAAGACTGAACGCCATTATCCTGACTTCGCATTCGGCAATACAAAAACCTCAACATGCGTGTTGCCTCGCTTCTGGGACGAGAGTGGTAGTATGGTGAAACAAGGAGCCAACAGCGATGAGTTCTCTGCGACGTTTGACAAGCTCTCCTCAGAGTCGAGTTGCTACGACAGCGACTTCGACCAGGTACGTCACGACGAACTCGCTCATGCTCGGTTGCTAACGTTTGGTAGTACGGCGATACCGAAGCCTTTGGCGTTTTCCCTGACTGGCAGAGACAACTTTCAAAATTTGCATCTGTGCAAGACAGATTGCGCGAGTGGAAGCCATCGGTTCTCGACAAGCTCAAGCATCTGCATTGTCTTACCATTTCCATGCTCGACATCGATGGCTTCCGTATCGACAAATCCACACAAGCTACCGTCGACGCGTTGGCAGACTTCAGCGAATCGATACGCGAATGTGCTAGAAGCGTTGGCAAAGAGAACTTCATGATTGCCGGAGAAATTACTGGAGGTAACAACTTTGGCTCAATCTACCTGGGTCGTGGCAGGGAACCTGGTCAGAAGATCAACGATCTTGGAGATGCTGTGAAGACAAGCAATGAGTCAGACGACAAGCTTTTCCTGCGCGCACCAGGCAAGAGCGCCCTTGATGCATCTGCTTTCCACTACAGCGTATACCGCCTGTTACAGCGCTTCCTTGGTATGGATGGCAATCTGACAGTCGGTTATGATATTCCTGCAAACTTCGTCGATGGTTGGAATCAGATGTTGTTGACCAATGACCTGGTCAACCCAAACACCGGAAAGTTTGATCCCAGACACATGTATGGTACGTCCAACCAAGACGTCTTCCGTTGGCCGACCATCAAGAACGGAACCGAGAAGATGCTTCTCGGTCTCTTCATGACTACTCTGCATATGCCCGGTGTACCTTTGCTCAACTGGGGTGAAGAGCAAGCGCTCTACACTCTTGACAATACGGCATCAAACTATGTATTCGGACGTCAACCCATATCATCGTCGCTTGCGTGGCAGACACATGGTTGTTACCAGCTCGGGGCGGATATCTTCACCGACTTTCCAATCGATGCAGGCGCCAACGGCTGCAATGACGACAGCGTCTCTCAGGATCATAGGGATCCCACACATCCCGTCCGCAATATCATCAAGTCGTTCTACCATCTAAGGACCAAGAACCCGATTCTAAATGACGGGTGGCTGTTGCAGTCCCTCTCAAACCTGACACACAATGTTTACCTTCCCGGATCCAATGGTACTGCTTCTGAAGTCGGCATGTGGAGCGTAATGCGCAACCAATTCTTCGACGGCGTGCAAAATCTCACAGGCACTTTGGATGCAAAGCCAGCAGTATGGCTTGTCTATCAGAACGAAGATCATACTATTGACTATACCTTCGATTGTTCGTCCAACGATACAGCCCTGGTTTCGGTTTTCGACGAAGAAGAGGAAGTTCGAAATCTACTTAGTCCATACGACACTATAACTCTTAAGCGTGGTCCGAAGAAGCTTGGAATTGATGGCTCGGAGAAGTTCAATGGCTGTCTCGATAAGCTCACCATGAATCCTTGGGATTTCAGGGTTTACGTTCGCAAAGCAGATTGGATCGAGCCCGCACCGACGCTGACGAAATTCAATCCCGGTCATGATGCGCGCATCTTATCGAAGGTCGGTCCGGGAGAGAAGGAGTCTGTTGATGTTGAGCTGCAGTTCTCCCAAGAGATGGACTGTGATTCGATCACGAAGAACATCATAGTCACTTCGACCACAGCAGACAAGAGTACCCCCGGGCTTGACACGAAGAGTGTTGTCTGTGGCAAGATACAGGATTCAAGCCCACCACCTTACATTGGGGCCATCACTTCAGCGTGGAGCTGGAAGGCTACGCTGGTCGACGTATCTCACGGTGTGCACAGTCTCACTGTTCAGAATGCTTCGACAACGGGTGGCATCTCTACTGGTTCTACAGACCATGTATTCTTTCGTATTGGTGAAGCTGAAAATCCTATAGTTTTCCCTCGTACTGCAAACTACAGCAGCAACGTACTCTCTAAAGGCCCCGATGGAGCCCTGCTTTTATCGCAACAAGCTGCTGGAGCTGACAAGTGGCGCTACTCAACCAACTGGAGATCCACTTGGAGTGACTGGCAAGATTACGATGGGTCCAATTCGACTGTGAAACTCCAGCCTTGGTCGGGTACAAAACATCAAAAGTGGAGTGGAGAACATATCGTACTCCAGTACTGGAATCGTGTGATCGGAAGCAGCACGCATATCCAGCACGCTGATGTTGATCAGAAAACACCTCGACGATTCCCACATCTCTTTGCAGAGGGTAAGTTCAATCAATTTGGATTCGACGGTGGTTTGAGGAATACCTTTGAGCTCTCTAATGATGCATGGGATTTCCATCTCATGGCCGAGTGGCCTCACGAAGTTCAAGTTAATGTGCGTATATTTTGTTCTACACTCCTTCTCACGAGAAACATACTAATCACACATTTAATCTGTAGGTTTGGGGTATGAACCCTGACGGCCAACCAGACCAATCTTTCATCTACGGAGATATTGACAACGACACTGTTCTGGACCGATTGCCACCTGATGCTCTGAGTCCCGCTCTTATCAACATGACCGAGTTTCCTCCTAGTCCATATCTCGCTTACAAAATCAATATCGACGATGCTACTTATAGATACAAGCTTATACCCACTGGCAGTCGAGTTGTTCAAGTCCTCGTCTTTGCTCTTCTCTGGTCTATTCCCGTTTTGACTGGCGTGATCAGTATCTGGACCTACATGGGCGCTTTCTATGGAGTCAAATTCAACAAAATCGGCCTCTCCATGCCTAAAGGTATGCCAACGTTCTGGAACCGACGCAAGTTCAGCAAGTTGGCAGACGACGATGGGGAGGAAGTCGGACATCGTATGAGGCCGCTGTTTTTGGGAAAGTCCCACCAACGATATGACTCTGCCGCATCGGGCATCTCCATCGCTGCTGCCAAGGATAAGAGACGTAAAGTCATCATCGCGACGATGGAATACGACATCGAGGATTGGAGCATCAAGGTCAAGATCGTGAGTTCATTCTTTTCTGCTCGATTTTGCTTTACTCCGACTACAGTAGTTGTGATCATCCTTCTAATCAAGATGAATGATAGGGTGGCCTCGGCGTCATGGCTCAACTCATGGGCAAGAGTCTCACCCATCAAGATCTGATCTGTAAGAGTCCCTCCATGTTGCCTGGAATTTTCTCTAACAGGCACCAGGGGTCATTCCATGTTGTGGTGGTATTGAGTACCCAATCGATCAAGCTGCTGAGCCTATGATTGTGACTATCCTCGGAAACCCATACGAGGTTCAAGTACAATATCATCAGCTCAACAACATTACCTATGTCCTGCTGGATGCCCCAGTCTTTAGAAAGCAGACGAAAACTGAGCCATATCCTCCTCGCATGGATGACTTGGATTCTGCTATCTACTACAGCGCATGGAACGCCTGTATCGCCGAAGCAATCAAGAGATTCGAGCCAGACATTTACCACATCAATGTACGTCAACAGCGGAATCTTAGCGCGAAGTATCGGAACTAACAATATCTAGGACTACCATGGAAGTGCCGCGCCTCTTTATCTGCTTCCAGAGACTATTCCCTGTTGTTTGTCGTGAGTGTAGCATACATTGACGCTTCTCGGAGGCTCGCTAACTTTATTGCAGGCTCCACAACGCTGAGTTCCAAGGACTATGGCCTATGCGAACAGACCAAGAGACAGACGAAGTGTCACGTGTTTACAACCTGGACAAAGATACTATTGAAAAGTATGTGCAATTTGGCGAGGTCTTCAATCTACTACACGCTGGTGTGAGCTATCTGAGAGTTCACCAAAAAGGCTTCGGTGCTGTCGGTGTGTCTAACAAATATGGTGCTCGTTCTTTCGCTCGCTACCGTGAGTCTCCCCTGCTTGATTCTGTTCACAACGCAATACTGATATAAAGACAGCTATCTTCTGGGGATTGAAAGAGATTGGCAAGCTGCCCAACCCTGATCCATCTGACACAGCCCCCTGGAGCCGCGAGGAAGAAGCAAATCAAGTCATCACAGTCGACCCAGCATACGAAGCCTCACGAGGCGACCTGCGTCAACAAGCTCAAGAGTGGGCTGGTCTTGAGATTGACCCTACTGCTGAGCTTTTCGTGTTCGTCGGCCGATGGAGCAATCAGAAGGGTGTGGACTTGATCGCCGACGTTTTCCCTAACATTCTGGAGAAGCATAAGAATGTTCAGCTCATCTGTGTTGGACCTGTGATTGACATGTAAGGGACATGTTACAAGAGACATTACGTTTGAGATATTGATGTTGTCAGGTACGGCAAATTTGCAGCACTGAAGCTCGGAGTCATGATGAAGAAGTACCCAAAACGCGTGTACTCAAAGCCTGAATTCACGGCATTGCCTCCTGTAAGTTTTTCCATCTTCTCTTGGGTTTAGCATGAGCTGACATGGTGAAGTTCATTTTTTCGGGAGCCGAATTTGCCCTTATCCCTAGCAGTGAGTTGAACCAAAGATACGCTCAACTAAGAACGGGTTAACCAAGCTTCCAATCTAGGAGACGAACCCTTCGGCTTGGTTGCTGTTGAATTTGGGCGAAAAGGAGCTCTCGGCGTAGGTGCTAGAGTTGGTGGTCTGGGTCAAATGCCGGGCTGGTGGTTTACCGTGGAATCAACAACCACGGCACATCTGATGCACCAATTCAAGTCTGCCATCGAGGACGCCTTAGCCGCAAAGACCGATGTACGAGCTATGATGCGTGCAAGGAGTGCTAAACAAAGATTCCCCGTCCAGAAGTGGGTGGAAGACCTCAACACACTTCAAAGCACAGCCATCCGCATCCACCAGCGCGAGGCAAACTACGGACTGCAGCCAGGCAGAAGATCAGTGTCGATTTTTGGCAACGACTCGAGTATTTCTCTGGCTCCTTCGAGAGACGCCAGCCCAAACGCTCGCTCGGTCTACGAAACTCAACCACGTATGAGCCCCACACCTTCCGGCTTGAATCGTACTTTATCTCTGGGCTCAAGAGCTGGTCCTGGTCATCATGGTCGAACACCTCGTGTGCAGATTACTGATGCCGACATTTCTGAAAATGACGAAGATCCTTTCGGCAGCGAGTATAGCCTAGACATGGAAGAAGAGGAGACTATCACCCGTGAAGAGGCTGACGCATTCACAAGAGATTCGGAGAGAGCAGATGCTTTGGAGCGACTCGAAGGCAGAGGAAGAGGCGCTTCACTGAGTGCGCCACAACCTGCCTTTATGCCAGGGCCACGTTCGAGATCACCAAGCCCTGATCCCAGAGAACTCAACAGAGGTAGAAGCCGCAATCGAGGTTCCGGGCCCTATCTTTCCGTTCAAACGGGAGATGGAACAAACAGAAGGGCAAGCGCCGATAGCCTGCTTCCAGAAGACGCCGAAAGACGCGACCGCTCAAGCTCTCGCATCAGCAATTCATCAAGACTGAGCACATCCTCACAACTCGACTTGACAACCGTGATTGGCGGTAAAAAAGACTACAGTTTACAAAAGATCGAGCTCGACTTCGACGACAAGACTGGCGAATACTACCGCGCTTTCGAGACCATGTTGGACAAACTCAACGGCAAAACCTCCGAAAAAGATCTCTGCATCGAAGAGTATCTCGTCGAGAGCGAAAAAGCCTGGTTCAAAAAGTACCGCGATGCCAAACTCGGTAGATCGCGCGACCGGGGTTCGTCTGCCAATCTTCGCAACAACCGGATGAGTAGCACAGCATATCATGGATCTCGGAGATCTTCTTCGCATGACGCCGACGAACGGATGAGTGTTGGCGAAGGCTCGATGGAGGACTTTTTGCTCGGTGCCAATTACCAGCGGCCATCACTCGTCAAACGCTGGATGCTTACCCGACTTGGCGATTGGCCTCTATACTCCTTCCTGCTTGCTCTTGGACAAATCATGGCTGCCAACAGTTACCAGATAACTCTGTTGACTGGTGGCGAGGATCCAAAGCCATCGATGATTTACACGATCGGTGGCATCTACATTGCGGCTTCTGTCATTTGGTGGCTCCTTTTCCGTACGATGAAGGCTCGATTCGTGCTTTCTGTGCCGTTTGTCATGTATGGCATTGCGTTCTTATTCGTTGGAATGGCGCCGTTCTTGCCAAAAGGTGCTGGAAGAAACTGGATGCGTAATGTGGCAGATGGTGTTTACGCAGCTGCTTCTGCGAGTGGAAGTCTATACTTTGCACTCAACTTTGGAGATGAGGGTAAGCAATCAAATCAAACTCCTTGCACCGGGCACCTGACTAATATCTATAGGTGGTTCGCCGATTTCGTCTTGGGTATACCGAGCATGTATCATCCAGGGTACTCAACAACTGTACATCACCGGTCTCTTCTACTGGGGCCGCACCATCACAATCGCCACACCAAAACAAAAGATCGAAAAGGACACGCTCTCGTCTTCGCCAATCATGGCTGCCATCACTCTCCCCATCGCAGGTCTACTCTGGGTGATTGCACTAACTCTGTTCACCAGCCTACCAGCATACTACCAACAGCAACCGGGAAAGATACCGAGTTTCTACAAGACCCTCGCTCGCCGCAAATTGATCTCTTGGTTCTTCGTCGCTGTGATCTTGCAAAACTACTTTCTCTCCTCCCAATACGGACGCTCTTGGCAATATCTCTGGAGTTCGAATCACGCGCCTGTATGGGTGATTGCCATTTTGGTGCTCGTCTTCTTCATCGCAGTGTGGTCATTGATGCTGTACGTCTTTGGCAAACTGAGCAAAAGTCACAGTTGGATCCTGCCAATCTTTGCAATCGGATTGCTGGCTCCTCGCTGGGCGCAGCAGTGGTGGGGTACCTCTGGCTTTGGCCTCTGGCTGCCCTGGATGCCCGGCGGCCCCGAAGCAGGCGCTATAGCAGGCCGAGCTCTGTGGCTGTGGTTGGGAGTGCTTGACGCAGTGCAAGGCGTTGGCTTTGGCATGATGTTGTTGCAAACACTTACGCGCATACACATCGGTGTCACGCTCATCTCGGCACAAGTGTTGGGTACAGCGGTGACGTTGATTGCCAAGTCGACTGCACCCAATAGAAATGGGCCTGGAGATGTGTTTCCTGATTTGAGTGCTGGAGTGATGGAGGCGATTGGCAAGCCTTGGTTTTGGGTTGCGTTGGCTTGTCAGCTTGTCATTCCGGTTGGCTTTTTCAAGTTTTTCCGCAAGGAACAGTTGTCGAAGCCTTGAGGTTGGATTTTTCTTTGCGTGCGGTCGTTGAGTTTCTCTTTTTAACATCAAGGATTCGTTGATTACATGGGAATACAGAAGATTTGGGAACAAGATAGATAGTAAGCAGTAAATTCACGTTCTGGAAACTTCAGGCCTTCAGTGATTGAGATGGACAAAGCGATAGAGATTGGAGATGAAGCATTGTCGAAATAGCAGACTGGATAATCTACTGGATACTGATACGATTACTCCTCTCAATCCTCTCCAAGCCACCCATGAAAGGTCTCAACACCTCGGGTATACGCATGCTCTTGGTGCTCTCTTCCCATCCAGCCTCCATGATGGCAGCCAGAACCCTAGGAACAGCAAGAGCAGTGCCGTTCACAGTATGCGGCCACTCATGCTTGCGTCCAAACTTTTCAGTCTTGACGCGAGTAGCCAAACGTCGGGTCTGATAATCTGTACAAATAGATGCAGAGGTGACTTCACCCCATCCTTGGTCCTTTTCTCTGCGTGAGGGGAAAAAGGCTTCAATGTCTATCTTGCGGGTTGCCGAGGCGCCGAGTTCGGTGGTGGGCATTTCCAGCACGCGACAATGCAGGCCTAGATTCTGAAGGATTTCCTTCTGGATGGCGACCATCTCGTCAAACAGGGCTGCTGAAGGCGAGGGGGTGGGTTCGGAGAAGTGATCGTCGCCGACATTATCGGGCATGGTCCAGGCGAACATTTCGACTTTTGTGAACTCGTGGACGCGGTAGAGGCCTTTTGTGTCGATGCCTCTAGCGCCGGCTTCTGCTCTGTAGCAGCGAGATGCGCCGATGATCTTGAGCGGAAGGTCTGCTTCCTCGATGACAGTGTTTGCTTTCATGCCTGCGAAGGGGATCTCGGCGGTTCCTGCTAGACACAAGGTAGGCTTGTTCTTGTCCTTTTCTGGCTGGGTGATGGCGTAGATTTGTTGTTCGTCGTTTTGGTCGCGAGGTTGGAAGCCGCAAGCATGGGCGATGTGGGAGTAGACGATTGAAGGAGGAGAGACGACCTTCCAGCCGCGCTTCATGGCGATGGTGAGAGCATACTGAATGAGGGCGTGTTCGAGCAGAGCGGCTTCGTTCTTGAGGAAGTACCAGCCCCAGCCTGAAGTTGTGGCCGAGGCGGTGAAATCCAGCATGTCGAGCTCTGAGCCGACATGAACGTGGTTGCGCCAGACGCGATCTGAGGGTGTAGGGTTGCGATCGGGGTGTTGATTGATGTATTCCTTGACCAAGGGCACGTCACCTTCTGGAGTGTCTAGACTGCTCAGGTTGGGCAGTGCCAAAGCCAGCTCTTCAATCTCATCGTTCATCTGCTTGTCTTGGGCATCGATTTCGGCGAGCTCGGCCTTCAGTTGCTTTGCTTGTTCCAGTAGAGCAGGGTCCTGCCTGGTGGCTGGGTTTGCCAGTTGTCGTCGGAGAGCATTGTTACGTTCGCGGAGATTTCGCGAGTGTCGCTGCTGCAGTTGCAGCTTGTCGTGTAGCTCGAGAATGCCCCATGAGTTTTTTGACTGCTGCTTGTAGTTACGGGCTATGCAATTCTGCTCGTAAAGACCGGGAGCGTTGCGGATGTGTCTGATATCGACAGTGGGTTTTGGAGCTATCGAGGGACGGGTATAGCAGCGATTCGAGACATGGCTAAGTCGGCCGACAGGGCGGCAGCGACTTGACGTTGAGAGTTGTCGAAGATTCATTGATGGAAGCTTTGCGACTGCCAGCGCCCACAAAACAGACGCCGCCGCCCGTTTCACGTCAAACCATGAGTCCGACACGGCGTCATGCCACTTTCCCTCTGCTCTGTTCCTTCCTTCCCTGACTTTATCTAGACATGTCTCTCATTAGGCAGGTACGCTCAAGACTTCAATAGGTAGGTACATCTAAGACTCGACAAGGTTGGTACAGGCTTCAGTGCTACACAGACATGGCTGGGGCATGTGATTTGTCGACATGGCTAGACTGCGCCCCAAGCGAGGACTCGACCAGACCTTGTCGCATTCACTAGAGACAGCTTGGACGGCTAGTATTCACTATAAACTCATGTCGCATGGCCAACTGATGCCCGTTGGCAAACGGAAGCGCTCTCACCATGGTGTCGCACGTTGAACCACCTCAGCAGGTGCTACACACTCCGCGACGCCCTCCCTCGGCCACGAGCAGAGCCTCGACAACCAGGCGCCATCGCTCATCTCGCTCTCAGCACACAACCTCGCCATCCTCACCGCTGAACGAGTTCCCTCTGTTCGCTCACACTGGAGATGTCGACATTATCATTTCGTCCCCATCCGGTCGCAACGAGCAGCGCTACCTCTTACACAGCATCATTCTGAGCCAGTGCTCGTCCTTCTTCGCCATCGATCTCAAGCGCCCACTGATACACAATGCTCTGAATGCGCCTACGTCTGCCTCACTCTCACGCATAGGCGAAGCAACCTCCAGCAGAAGCAGTCTGGACTCGGTCGACACGCGACACTGGACTTATGTCCTCGACTGGCACCACACAAGAAATAATGAAACACCGCGATTAATACAACGCCCTCCAAGCCATAGTCCGCCTCCGGTCTCGCGCAACAAGCCGCCTGCTTCGTCCTCTGCCTTCTTCCGTACCATGTCGAATCTATCTGCCTTGTCCTTGAATCCTCAACCCGCTGCATCTCTAGGTCCAGACGACGAACTCCTACGAGATTACGACAATCTATTCCGCATCTTTTACAACTATCCGCCTTCTCTCAGCAATTCGAACATTGCCGATGCTTACACCGAATCAAAGACTCTACTGCACCTGGCCCAAATATACGATGCGCTTGACATCGTAGGATCACGCGTAGATCACCACCTCCTCGGCTTCCAAGGACGTCTCTTCAAGCAAATCGCCCGTTACCCGCCCTCCTACCTCAAGCTAGCTTGTCTAGCCAGATCCAAAGTTATTTACACGGAAGCTCTAATCCACGTCGTAGGCCAATGGCCACAAGCTCAATCCCAGCTGCTCAATCACATCGATCCCCTCGTCCTCGATATCATCGAGGATAAGGTTCAAGAGCTAGAAGACATGAAGTTGCGCATCGAAGTCCGGCTGTTTAGGTTAACATTGACCACCAGCCGAGGCGAGCGCGTCAATCCTTCAAACGCATATCTAGATTGGATGGCAATGAGTTTGTTCCGGCAATGGCTAGCTGAAAACACCACTCCGGCCCCTGTATCCATCCTTAAGAACTCCTCTCGTCCGTCGTCTTCAGATGCTGCCTCCGCAACTGCTTCACAAACCGGAAGATCTGGTCGTCAAAGCACTTCTCGCGCTCTGGTTCCCTCAAAACCCTCCCCGTCTCAGCCTACCTTTTCACCACCACCTCAAAATCTCGGTCGTGTGTATCGCCTCATGGGCAGCACGAACAAGGAATTCTACCTCAACCACGACGAATGCAAACGCTTCCTTAAACTCACTCCAGAGATGTACTCTCGCGATAACCTCAAAAGGTTCGAGCGAAGAGTCGATGAGCTGAAGAATCTGGCAAGGGATGCAGTCAAGCCTCTTACTCGCAACTTTCTGGAACTGGATCTGGCGAGTGTTGCTGCGCCGCCACCTCCAGGAAGAGGTAGCGCTGCTGTTCAGCCGACTGGAGTGGGATATTTGACTTGCACAAAGGTGTTGGAGGAGGATCTGCCTTGGGTTGCGTGAGATGGGGAAGTGGTATCGAGGTTTTCATGACTTATGGTTTCTCATAATCTTTGCAAGTTCTCTCCTTTTCCGTGTTTTTTTCTCAATTTGCTCTGGCTGGTTTGGTTGGACTTTGCTTTGCTTTTTTCTCCCCTTCCTTACTTTGAGATACCCACGATATTCCCTTTCCCCTCTTGGTCTGGTATGCATCAATGTCCTTTTTTCCATCCCATGGTCGATCCTCGACGCTCCGCCGTCAACGTGTAATCCTCCTTTTCCCCCCTTCGAGCAAAACGAGTCGAGCATAACCACGATTGGCATTTTTGTTTTTGTCGGAAATCAAGAGTCTACTGCTTCCGCCGTTCCCCATCTCAAACACGCCGTGACACATACCGCAAACTCGGCAAAAAGCAACAACAGATGATGATGATGTGAAGGGCCATCGATATCGGAAAAAGAAGGGTGACTCGGTGGTACGCATTCACATTCCTCTCCATCCTTTGACAACAACACAGGGTCGAAGGCAGCACAAGAGAGGCGATAGACATGGATGTGCAGAAGATTCTTCATGTCGTTGAGAGATTTGGAAAAAAACAAAAATCACACTTTCCGGTTCTTCGTGTCACCAGCAGTGAAGGGTAGTCACATATTTGGTATCGGAGCTAACAATCCCCAGGACAAAGCAAGAGAGACTGAACTTGCAAGGAAGCACACACACAAACATGGCACAAACAGAGGCTCTGATATCGCGGATTGATTTCTCCGAGAACAAACGATCAATCAGGTAATGAGGCGCCAAAAAGCGACAGGCGCCCAAGGTTGATGCACATGTATAAGCAAGGCGAAAGCATGAAAGGACAAGGTATGATGAATCTGAAGATTGATACATTGTGAGCGCGGACGGCTATACACTTCCGCGCACTGGGGCGGTTAGACACCACGGCACGCTTTGAACATACGCTCCAGCTGATCGCTATTGCAATGCAAACAAATACCGAGGTAAAAACAATGAGCTCTCTTCGCATCCCAACATGCTAGATTATGGGTTATGCATACTCCTCCTTGTTGCAGTACGCCAACATGCGCTGGATCGCCGGGCCGACGATAAACATGGTCAATATCAGCGACACCGACGATCCGGGTGAGCATGCCGTGGACATGCGGACATCTGCCCGGGGTTCTGGTTGGTCGGGAGATTTCGAAAATAATGACAAGTGACACAAAGTCATGCGTTGTTGTCCGAGGTCAGGTCCCGAAACATTGTCTTGTTGTGCGTCCGGATGCCTGGTTTGGGTAACCTCTGATCTTGCTGATGATGTAGCTGATGCATGTCCTGATGAGGATCTGCCCTCAGCTGCCTTACACCCTGTATCGATAGTCTGGCTTTTGCAAGGCGACAGGATCCTTACTTGCGGTACCTCAGACCGCTTCTTCCACACCGACTTACAGCCAAGACATACAAGCCTCGTATTAAAACTCGTCTGATCCTCTGTCTTCCTGCTGCTGCATCATGCCAAAGTCTCGCAACGTCTCAGCACCGACACTGCGCTTGTTCTGGATAGCTTTCAGGCGAATCTCGTTGATGCGAGTATCCGCTGCAGCCATTCGGTCCACGATGCTCTCCTGTGATCCGCGCCGCTGGAGTTGTTGCTCTCGCTGTCGTGCTCCTGATCCGGCGTGGCTGCTTGCATCGGATACGCTTGAGACCCCTGACGTAGTCCGGCTGTCGCGTCGCATGTGCCGCCAGATCCGCCGAGCCTCATCTTGTACCACGAGGCTGTCCGGCCTCTGTCTGTGGTCGGAATCTCCATCGTTGGACATGCCGATGTTTGTATCACCTTCCTCGAGTATTGGCGTAGAAAAGGCTGTGTTGTAGACTTGCAGAGCCTCAGTATCGGCGAAATGCAACGTGGCTCGGCGCGTGCTCTCCGAACCTCTGTGCTGTGTGGCTTTCGTAGACGACTGTGCTACATTCTTGGAAACCTCGGTCGAAACTCTTTGTTGAAATTCGAGTTCCTCGCGCAAGCGACGCAAGACTGGTGGCCCGTCGTTGCCGGACCAGAACCTGCCAAACTTCTTGTGCAAGATCCTGGACGCAACATCCGGGGGATAGTTCCTTGCAGCAAACTTGGCCTTCTCCATTTCGACTCTCACACTGTCCTTGACTTCCTCTCCGTGGCTCATACCCCATTGACTATTTCTATTTGTGCGAGTTATCTGACATGCTTGCTCGGCCCGCAGTTCTGTGGTCCGGGGAAGAGATGTATGTCTGTATCGCACATCCGCCTTGAACAACTCGCTCCTGACCGCCCCGAGTGTCTGGTGAAGCTCGTTTAAAAGGCTTTCGAACGAGGCTGGATCTCCACTTTGCTCAAGCTCGATCGAAGGTATGCGGACTTTGGCGAACAGGGTGGTGCATTGACCCGGATGTAGGGTTGCCTTCCGGGGAGGTGTGAGGAGCTTCTCCACGCGACATGGCTCGGTTGAGTTGATGGATACTCTGACGTGTGAAAGTCCTTGGGAACGAAATCCTTCACGCGCTGATTGGATAAGAGTTTCTAGAACGGTATGCGAGGCTTCTGCCCATTCAAAACACCATCCTCCTGTCCGGACTTGGTCACGAGGGGAAGGTGATTCGTAAGCATAGCCGAATTGAACTTGATGGATCGGCCATGGAACCAATTCGCAGAGGATTGATGCGCATCTTTGTGGAAGCGGGGATAATACGATTGCATGTGTGATTGTAACGTTCGAGTCTTCAATCATCTCGGCCACTGATGCTACAGCTTCCTGCAGCATGTCAGACAACCTTGTGGCCGAGGACTGTGACGCCGCCTTGCCAGAGCCCAGCTTTGCCACTTCAATCGAGAGGGTTGGCACATCCGGCTGTTGCAAACGATGAAGCTGGCAGCCTGACCTGGTCGTCGAGCATTGCGATTCGTGGGAGCAGAACATGCAGAACACGGCCAGGTGATCTTGGTGATCTCGTAGCAGATTGCAAAGGCGCCGGGTAAATTCGGATATGCTGTGGAGAGCCAATGGGGAAGCAAGTGGTCTACCCCGCGTTAGTGCCTGCAGTGAATGAGGGTTGAAAGAGCACAAACGAGTTGTCAATGATAAGAATGATATTGAGGGGCTTTTGACATCTACCGGCATGAGTAGGAGATGCCAAGGATTGCATATCACTCGTTGGCAGATTGCTTGAAATGCTTGCTTCAGCCTTGATCATAGCCCACATAGTTGCCTCATCGGCCAAGTCCAGGGTTTCCCATGCGGGCGTGACGGAGAGGTCGATATGAAGCATTGAGAGAGGCGCGGGTGTGTTGTCAAAGTGAGGCTCTGAGGATCGTTTCGATCTTGCAGGGCGAGGAGTCTTTTCTGGAGATGGCGAAGGGCTTGCCTCATTTGATGGACTCGGATAGCTGCCGTCACTTCCAGGGAGATCACCTTTGGTCGTGAGGTTAGGTGAAGGCAGCACATCCAGTGTCGGTCCAAAGTCTTGCACAGGTGAGTCTGTTAGAACCAAGCTTTGTACTGAGTCAAGAGCGAGGTAGTCTGAAGCATTTGTGAGTCCCTCCTTCATGTCTTGCAACCCATCGTTAATTGTGCTTTGTGCAGATCTTTCATGCTCTGAAGCTGATCGACTGATGGCAACATTGTCGTCGACCCTTGCTGACACTTTTGTAGAGCTCTTGGACCGACTGAGCAGACCCTCCCTGACTTTTGAGACTACTCTCTTACGCACAGAGAGTTTGCGTAATAGTGAAGGGGCAAATCCTGGCTCTTTCTTGTCGGATTGGGACGATGTACGGTTGACCGGAGACTGCTCGATGACCGTTGTGGGATGGATACTGTTAGACTCCCAACTGAAGCGAGCATTTCTCGATGAAGGTCTTGTAGCTTCATCTTGTATGTTATTTTGAATCTCTCGAAGTGGTTGGGCACTGGGATACTTGCCATGGGCAAGATCAGACACAGAGGCTTCGCTTGTAGAGGCAGTGCCATCGACAATTCCAGTGCGGAGATTCTCACGTGTCTTTCGAACCCTAAGGGGTGAGCCTGACGACCTGTTCGATAGATGTGTTTCAGGAGAGCAGATGCTGTGCCTGTTCTGACCAGAGCCACTCGCGGGCGATGTGTTGGCATGTGATGAATGAGTAGCGGCCGAAAAGCTGCTTATGGAAGCCGAGGACGAAACAAACATATGAGCTTGTGGAGGCTGCCATCCATGGAGACCCAGAGCACCTGGTGTATGACCATGTGCTGTGCTCGGCGGACTCTTGTTTTTGCTGCTATGAGCTGCTCGAAGTGTCTTGGGACTGGCATTCTGTGGACATCGTCAGAGTGCTTCGCGAGACAGCGATCAAAGCGTCTAAACCTGCCTCGTTGTTGGACGGCATGGCTCATGACTAGAGATGTTCTCTATGATCCAATCGAAGCGATGGAAATGTAACAAAGGTGGATTGGCCGATGGCAGCCTGGAATCCGGATGCTGGAGATGCAAGATCACTGCAGAACTCGTGACGTGTCATGTGGAAGGTCCAGTCGGAGGCAAGTGCGACTGCCATGTAAAACCCGCATTTTACTCCTCACAAGGGCGACTCGAGTCTTGTCGTTGAACCTCCGAATCAGACACATGTTTGGAAGAAGTCGTCTACGGCCGCAAGATTAAGAAGCACAGGCGTAGCAGCAGATGTGAGTGTTGGGAACCAGTTATTTCTCGAGGTTACCACATCTACAGGGCAGATCAAGCGATCAGATTGTCACCACCAGCTTCATTGTCTTTGTTCCAAGGAATGTCAGTCGCGTCAAGGTCAATGTTCAAGAAATTGATCTGAGGCACAAACATTAGATAGCTGTGCTTGGGAGCACTGGATGGTGACGAGACTTACTAGATCATCATTGGAACCCGCGCTACCAAACAAGGTATGCTGTGACACGCTCGCTTGGATCCCCTTCTTGACCCTCTCTTCCCAGACGCCTTCCCAGTTCCATTGGCCAGGCCTGCGAGCACCACCTGGCTGTTGACGAAAGGTGGGGGATGCGGGGCTCTTTCCATCATCTGTTGTCGCAGAGAGGGGTGTGGTGCCAATAACTCGCGCTCTATGTGTCTGCCATGCATGCCATGCTCCTGGGTTGCCCGCAGCCTGTAAGGGCACCTTGTCAAGCACCTCGGCGGTGTCGAAAGTACTTCGCATGTAGAATAGGATCTGCACGATGGCCAGAGGGCCGTACGACGACTGTGAGCGTTCTGGCGTGGATGCTATCTCTGGGGTTGAAGCAAGCAGAGACGCAGGCTTCGGCTTGCTGCGTCCAAACCACTGAGGAAAGCCATGGCGCAAGCTGAAGCCACCGGGAGGGAGACGCTCGTCATCGGTGGCATGGACAGTATCGGCGCCTGTGTCGCTCGTGGTGTACGTGTATGTGGTCAGAGGGGTTACCAAGGGGTGGAAGGTGTCGGTCGAGAAGGTGATGGTTGGAGGCTTGTCGGCGGCAAGGAGCAGAGAGAAGTTGAGGATTGCGGGTGTATACGGGCCTAGGGCGTTTGAGAAGTCATCCAAGCAATCATTACGGTGACCTTACCTTTGCGGACGAACAGCACACCCTGCCAGACGTGAGGATCGCGCGGTGTGGGCGTGAGATAGATGCCTTTGGGACATGCCTGTTTCACGCTCGCGCTACACATGGACTCATGAGCTACTCGCTACACACGTGAGGAGAAGTGGACAGGCAAGCATACAAGTCCAGGCGTCGTTGCTGAGCCTCGAAAGCCTGCGGCCCTCTGCGAGTGTTGGACTGCGCCAGAGACATTGGACGATAGATGGGTAGTGTTGATGTTTGGCGAACAAAGGTCGCTGGCTTGACGTCGCTCTTCGTGTCGGCCTCCCCTTCTCTCCACACACGGCGCTTGTCTCCTGGTGACAGACGCTAACGCACATCACGGCATCACAATTCTGCGAAACCGCGCGACTAGATGGTTCGGTTTCGTTGTGCTTTATCTCTATCATATCTACGCACGTAAAACAGAACGCGTCTCTTGAAAATCATCATCCCAGTTCCCACCCGGACGACCTTGCGTGCAGCGGTGAATCTCTGAAGCTTTGATGTGTCAATTGGGTTCAAGCCGGCGTCTATCGCCCGCGTCTCGCAACGCTCCTGCTTTGTCGTTCGTAAAGCAGCGACTTCGACTTTGTTTCTTCGCTTCATGCATGAGCAAGAGTATCGTATCGGCCCCTGTTGCATATATTCTGATAGGTCCAGAGGGTCGGCTTCCTACGACTCGGCTTCTTCCAGCTTGCGATCCAGCTCTGCTCAGCATCTGGATCGTCTCTCCAGCCGTATAGCTGCATGGTGCTTCGGCCCGTTCGCCCGTCGACACATCTCTCGAGCAAACACGGCGTCCACACAGCAATAGCCACGATAACTTCTCGTATGCACAATGTCCATCTTATGTAGGCCGGCAAACGGCAGTTCTTTAGCCAATAGTCGACCGTCGCATGACTGGTCTGTTTTGAACGAAAGAATGCTCCTGTAGACGAGCACAACATGGTGTGAAAACCCGCTCGCATGCCGCCGCGCCGGTTTGTGGCAGCCAGCCCGACCTCTAGGAAGATTGATGCGACAGGGGTCATCGATGCCTCTTCGTCGACGGGCCTGTACCATGACGTCGTGTCTCCATTTCCCAAGATTCCCCCAAAAGTCAAAATGCCAAAGTCGACGACGGCGTATCGTAGAGGCGGAAACTAGAGAGCGTCTGGGAACGTGTCGGCCGGCCAAACCCTGCTAGGGGCGTGTTGCAGCGTGTCCCTGACTTAGCGCGGGACCTGTCTGGAGTTGATCGGAGAAGGCCCTTGGAAGCTGCTGTCTCGCTGCGACTAGCGCTGCAGCCGAGCCACCCCGAAACCCACTCGCCTGGTTTGCTCTCCTCCATCGATAGATGAGGCAGCTGTACCAAATCTACCAGATTCAAGAAGAAATCTCCCGGCATCTGACGTGTTACGTGGACCCCTTGATGCCATCTACAAGGATACCATTCCGATACATCTCGGCCAACGACAACCCTCTTCTGCAACCGGCATGACATCTCAACCTCTCGGCTACTGACTGCCGCCAGTCGGGCGATATATTGACAGCTCTCGGCAGTGGTCGGTCGCGCGAGCGAGGCGAATGACTTCTTGGGTGCTGTTACACACTGCCTGAGGTGTGTGGGAGTGTGTTGTCGTCCTCACCGCCAGTCAATTGGGTCGCTGACTCTGTGGTCGGGCTGCGTGCAGAGCACATCATCTTTGTGATGCGCATCAATATACTGAATTTACCGGCCATCAGTGCCAATCTATCGCCCCAGTATCCAAACCAGAAGACTGGTCGACATCTGGGAGATCATTGAGATATAGGGCTGTGAATTAGGCTCAATCAACCATCGTGTCGCGGAGCTTTGGTGCCGGCTTCCCCGAACCAATGGCTTCCCACTATCCAAGGCCTCGGGCGTGGAGTACAGGTTTAGTTTTCTGCTCCGCGCTGGTTCCACCTCAAGGTTTCATGACCAACAGGGGAAGCATGGAACCTTTGGTACTTCCGCGATCCGCGAGATGCTCGCCCTCTTGGTCAATTCCTTAGGAATGCACTTCACCGACTGCAACGGCGACCCGCTCTTGCAAGACGTGCCTGTCAGCGGCAAAGTCAAGATGGGGGATATTAATCTTTCGCCCTGTCTTCTCTCACTTGTTCCATCACACATGCGCCACCTGACTTGTCCCTCTTCACCGTCTCTTGACTCGTACCACCTACTCCTGCACGTATCCGCAGGCTTTTGCTTCTGAGTCCCACTACGTTCGCAGCAACTACCCGAATCCGCGGTTCTCGCGTTCCACCACTTGGATAAGACATTTCCATCATTCATTGTCAGCCGCTCCAAGACAGTTACCGGGATTCGATTTGTTCATAAAGGGCGTGCCCTTGCCAGGACTCGAAACAGTTGTGCTCTTGTTCTCCCTTCAGCTCGCACAAAGGAATTGGAATCCTTCACCGTCTGTCCTGTCACACGCTCAACCGCACCATGTCGACTTCACATGCACAACGTCGTCGAGTGCAACAGCAATCGAGTGCCTTCCCTACTCGGCAGCTGTTTGTGCTAGGTATGCCTCGATACCTTTACTGTCTTCCACGTACACATAGCTAACGGTATTCAGCGCTGTGCCGTATATGCGAGCCAATTGCCTTCATGTCAATTTTTCCTTATATCTATTACATGATCTCGTCTTTCCACATTACCGACGATGAAAAGCAAATATCTCTATACGCGGGCATGGTCACATCCGCGTTTGCCTTCGCCGAGTTCTCGACGGGAGTTATGTGGGGTAGATTAAGTGACAAGGTTGGACGCAAGCCAATTCTTCTTATGGGATTGGCTGGGACTGGTATCAGCATGATTGTCTTTGGGTTCTCTCCAAACTTGACTACGGCTCTTATTGCTCGTGCATTGGGAGGTCTCCTCAATGGGTAAGTTGAGCAGTGTTACATCCGCTCCTCATCCTGACGGGCAACAGGAACATCGGTGTTTTGCAAACGACCGTCGCAGAAGTAGTCACTGTCGAGGCTCATCAAGGTCAGCAAGTTCCTCACTTCCATACATTCACAAGTACTGACATTACATAGCACGTGCCTATTCGATCATGCCCTTTGTCTGGTGCCTTGGGTATGCTTGCCGTTGGTACCATTGCTGTCATCTTTACTTACACCATCAGGTCAATCGTTGGCTCTGGACTTGGAGGCACCCTTGCGGATCCCGTGCGCAACTATCCTGGTTACTTTGAGCATGGTTCCCTATTCGACAGATTCCCCTATCTTCTTCCGAACTTGGTCTGCGCCGGAGTTGTCATCTTTGGCATGGTGATCGGCGTACTCTTCCTGGAAGAAACTCATGAAGACCTCAAGGGCCAAAGAGACTATGGTCTTGATATTGGCGACTGGATCTTGAACTTCTTCCGACCCAACCAGCTCGAGGAGAAAGCTGGCGAGACGCTCGCTCTTTTCGAAGATGCTGCTCCTGGCTACTCGTCAAGCCAGTCATCCCCAACTGTGAATCCAACTCTCGTTGGAGAGCTACCGAACGAAGCACAGCCTGTGTCATTGCCTATGAGCTCGCGTCGACGTGATGCTGCCGTCTCCAAGGCTTTCACTTGGCAGGTCTGCCTCAATATCGTTGGATATGGTATCCTTGCCTAGTGAGTCTATTCAATCACATTGTGTGTAGCAATAGTATTGACAACCCGATAGTCACACGATCTCCGCAGAACAGCTTCTCCCTGTGCTGTTCAGTCTGCCTGAGTCTCATGAGACTCCCCACCTACCATTCCAATTCTCTGGTGGCTTTGCGCTACCCACAAAAGTCATCGGCTTCATTCTCTCCGCTCAAGGATTCATCCAGATGTTCGCCACGCTGTTCGTGTTCCCATTTGTCAACCGCAAGATTGGGAGTCTGGCTACATTCAGACTCGTCATTCTCTCCTACCCGCTTCTCTATCTGATGGTTCCTTACCTCACACTTGTGCCGACAGCTCTGCGCATGCCCTGCATCTACTTTGTGCTCGTCTGGAAGGTCACAGCACAAGCTCTCTCATACCCGTCACTTGCCATCATGTTGGCGAACGCGGCTCCCTCGAAGAAGGTTCTCGGCACCTTGAACGGAGTGGCTGCCTCATCCGCAAGTTTGTGCAGGGCATTCGGCCCCACGTTGTCAGGTTTGGTCCAATCGCTAGGCCTTTCGGTGGGAGTGCTCGGTCTTCCATGGTGGGCAAACAGCTTCGTCGCGTTGATCGGCGCAACATTAAGCTTGCGCATGATCGAAGAGAAGCGCCGATACTCAAAAGTTGAAGAGGCAAGTCTTGACTCGGAGGACCTCCCGTTCTTGGATGCAGACGAACTGGAAAGCTCTGACGAGGAACTCGGCCATTGATTTCCTGGTACATCTGTGATTTCGATCGATATGCGCCACAAAGACTTGGATAGGTTCCACAAGACCTGGTTCATTCGACTGTTCTGCAAAAGTCGCTATTCTTTCTACAATCGTTCCGATTCGATTCAACTCAGAAGTTCACCTAGACGAAAGCAGCTTAAGGGCAGGCTCCGTGATTTACTCGAGCGATCTGGGATCAGCTTTATAGGAACTTTCATTCCTATCTGGGAAAGGTCTTTTGGGCGTTATTTTCTTTCTGTATTTGGCTAAGGCCAGCACAAGGAGTCCGGTATGGGGCTGGGGGAGTTGGGCAGTCGGAGCTGTATACCCGTTCTTGCTTTCACTCAAGGGAATTATTTGGATGGATGGACATGGCGTTCTGGTTCTGTACGAGATGCGATTTGAATCATCGGAATGCCGCATTCGCTGTAACAACGATACGAATAGCTTAGCTGCGTTGAGGTTTCCTGATAGATCAGGCTGGTTATGTCAATTGCTCACTTTGTCAACACTCGATCAATTCACCCTTCTGCGTCATTTACATTGAGCTCGAATACCTCCTTCGAAAGGTTGCAACTACGCGAAAATATCTTTGGCGGACATCATGCTTGGAAAAGGATACCATCGTGTTACCATCTAGATAGGCCAACCCCGCCATCTCTCGGCGAGGCGATAACGGTATTGATCAGCAACCGGACTTTAAACTCTTCGACATATCATACATTCTTCTCGCGGTCGTCTTACTCTCACATCCAGTCATACACACAACTCTCAACCATGTCCAGCAAAACCGCAGTCCTGACCTCCAAGGCACCCAAGCCTCTTCCCGGCATCTACAGCCAAGCCATCGTAGCCAATGGCTTCGTCTACTGCTCAGGAGCCATCGCCATGGACCCTTCCGGCAAGATCATTGACGGAGACATTGCAGCTCACACTGTACATTTTGCCTCTCCTCATTCCTCATCGGCAGCAAGATCGCTGACGCGCACCACAGCATCAATGCATCAAGAACCTCACCGCAGTGCTCGAAGAAGCAGGCACTGACATCAACAAAGTCATCAAAGTCAATGTGTTTCTGGCTAGTATGGATGACTTTGCAAAGATGAATGAGGTGTACAAGACTTACTGGGGGGATGTGAAGCCTAGCAGGACGTGAGTTGTGATGGGATGAATGAGGTGAGGTATGATGTGCTGACATGAAGCGTAGATGTGTGGCTGTCAAGACTTTACCCATGGGTACTGATGTTGAGATTGAGTGTGTTGCTGTGCTATAGCTTGTGATCAGATGATGGAGCTGGTTGGTCGATTTGATCGTTCTGATGGATGGTCGAGCAGGGTGGTCTCCTCGACATGTTTTTGAGATGGAGCTTAAGCGGATTGCAGCCCATTGAAACCATCTGACTGCTGTTTTGATACTCTATACCATCCGAAATATCTACATCTCCATACTTGAGGGGTGCCATAGCCATATCGTAGATGTTGCGGTCTCGGAAGCGAATTTGAACAAGACAGCTGAGTCGGTTGTCCACGACAACCAGAATTGTTTAGTCTCGATGCCAGATTTGAGCATTCGAAGTGTCTTAAGACCGGCGTACGACACCATCGATTGAAACAGTCTATACCATCACGATTGTGATTTTCCATCCACCGAGTAATGCCTTTCAAAAAGAGCCAGTCGATGAACGATATTTCTCCTTATTTTGCTGAGTAGAAAAGTCGTCTTTATCCGAGGCTTGGACCCCAATACGGTTAGCCAACTATCTTCATGCCCAACCGTGTTCCGGCAACCTTCTCCACCACGCACCGCAAAAACCCAATGACCTGGGGTTTATCTTGCATGAACAGATATCGGCGGGCATAGGAGAAACAGGTCAACAAACGCGCGACGAGTCATTGTCATCAATTTCGATTCGAAAACACTTGCATCGCAAAACCTCAAGGGCAACAAAAGGAGCTACTTTACGCGGAACTCTGACCCGTGTATGCGCGTCTCTGTGCAACTTGACACAGCCAGAGACAGGACCCCGGTGGCCTCCGCGTAGCCGCTTCGCGCTGCTTTGCTTTGCGTGAAGAGCGATGCCGACCGCGAAATGAACAACCCTACCGAGTCATCCAACAAGAAGAAGCGTGCCAATCCGCAGGCGACCTCTGACGCTGCTGAGGAGGCTGCCGACGGTGGTTCTGGAGATGGTGCTGCTGTCGCCGGCGCTGCTTCCAATGGCGCGTCTTCGGCTTCGTCGTCAAACTTTCGCAATGTCAGCGCGTGTAATCGATGTCGTTTGAGGAAGAACCGCTGTGATCAGAAGTTGCCGGCATGTACGAGTTGCGAAAAGGCCAATGTCAAGTATGTATGCTGTTCGAGAAATGCGATAAACGTCTCGACTTACCAATTGCCAGATGTGTCGGCTTCGATCCTGTCAGCAAACGCGAAATACCAAGGAGGTGAGAAACTACGATTGTCGAGCCATGTAATCTTTACTGACATACAACAGCTATGTGTATTATCTGGAGAGCCGAGTGCAGCATCTAGAGTCTTTGCTTCAAGCCAACAGTATTCCTTTTGCGCCGACGGATGACTTCAGCATGAGCGTGGCATCACCTGTCTCTCCTACTTTACCGGCCGCAGGCGAAGCAGCGGTTGCCGGTGCGCAAAAGTACATTGACAGCAATGCTGGTACCGTTTCTGTATCCAGCGAACAGACCGAGCAGAAGCATCTCTCTAACCTCGTACACAACATTGGAAACGTGTCAGTACTGGGCGCTTCAGATTCTCGGTATCTTGGATCTACTTCTGGAATTTCTTTCGCTAGGGTTGTCTTTGCCGCAGTCAAGAGCTCGGTATCAGGATCCACTTCCGAGCGTGGTGGCGTCCGTCCATCGAAACCGCTTACCAGTGCAGCTACTGGAGGCACTACTATGAGAGACTCGTTCTTCGGCCTTCAAACGAAACCGGCAATCAAACCGGCGACATTTCCTGACAAGGACATTGGACGACGATTGATGGAGCTATACTTTGAGCACTCCAATCCTCAAATACCAATTCTCCATCGAGGAGAATTCATGGCACTGTTTGAAAAGGTTTACGCTACTGATGAGAAGAAAAGGACACCAAGGGAGCTATATATGCTCAATATTGTCTTTGCCACAGGTGCTGGAGTCATTCTGGAAGCTTCTGACAAGAATGGTGATGCAGAGAACGCAGCTGATGCCAAAGCTGGACACAGTCGCAAGAGACAAAAGCTATCTCACGAGCAATGCCGACCGGAAGAGTATCATGCTTCGGCTATAGTACATCTGGAATCGTTCCTTGGATCTTCTTCTTCTGGAACGGAAGGCATTGGAGGCGGTCTTGAAGAACTGCAGGCTGTTCTCCTTCTAGCAGGATTTGCATTACTTCGGCCCGTTGCACCAGGTCTCTGGTATATCGTAGGAGTTGCTGTTCGTCTTGCCGTCGACCTTGGTCTTCACAATGAGGACCCGGAAGCTTCGGCAGAGGCTAGCGCAGAGCAGACCGAGATGACTAATGCTGCGAGAGAAGAGTACGGACGCCGCCAGTACATTCGAGATTTCCGAAGAAGGCTGTGGTGGTGCGTATATTCTTTCGATCGCCTGGTTTCGACGTGTGTTGGCAGACCGTTCGGTATCACCGACCAGGTCATCACTACCGAATTCCCAACATTGCTTGACGACAAGTACATCACGCCTAGCGGTTTCTTGAATCCGCCGCAGAACGAGTACGGCAGTATACCGAGCTACAAGCATGTCTCCTATCATTATTTCCGCCTACGCTTGTTGCAGTCAGAGGTACTGCAAGTTTTGCAGCATCGCCAAACTCAGCAGTTCCGAGAAAGAGGCACAGTGAATGGTGCCAATCGATGGATGCACACGGATCTCCCTTCACCATTCTTGTCAAGATACTCGAGCTTCAGAGAGTGGCGAGGTGATATTGATCGAAGGTTGTACGAGTGGATCGAGTCTTCACCTACACAGACAATGACTGGAGTCGCCTTCTCGCCACTGTTCTTGGAGCTCAACTACTGGCTTACCGTGACTATGCTATACCGACAATCGCTTTCAGTACCTCCATCACTTGCTGGAGAGTTGGATGCCGCTACTGGCGATGATGTCACCAGTCCGGGCCACGTCGACTACGAAGAAGAAGACGAGGAGATGGTGTTCTTGAAAGTGGCTGAAGCTGGACAAAAGACACTGAAAATTTACCGTCAACTACATCGTGTGAGATTGGTCAACCATACTTTCCTGGCTACACACCACCTATTCATGTCTGGTATATCTTTCTTGTATGCCATCTGGCACTCTACCGTAGTGAGATCAAAGCTCACACTGGACGATGTCGACTTTACTATTCTGGCAGCAACATCTGTGCTGGGAGATATGATTGAGAAGTGTCCCCCAGCCGAAGCGTGTCGTGATGCATTTGATCGCATGAGTAAAGCGACCATTGCAATGGTAGAGCAGACAACAGGATTCGGATCCCAAGCGCTGCGATATATCGCACAAGCACAAAAAGTACAGCAACACGCGGATGTGTCTGCTGCAGGGGAGCGTAACATCAGAAAGATGAATCCTAATACAGCCATAGCGGCCCCCAGTCACGGCAGGCCTCAACAGCAGCAGCAACAACAGCATCAGCAGCACGCGCAACAAGTTAGACGACCTATGCCACGATTTGACATGAATCTACGGGATCTGTTCACAGATGACGAGTCAACCAACCGACCGTCGGCACAACGAAGAGCACCATTCCCAATGTCCAGGCCACCAGTTGCGGCAGTCAAGCGTGAAGCAGGAGCAGGGTTCCCTGGCACGCCTACAGGAGCTGCTTACCAGCAGAAGCAGATATCCCCTCGGCTATACGCGCCTAGCCCACCAATCGACCCATCGTTACAGACGACACCGCCACCAATGGCGAGACAATCACCAAGCCAGCATCATTACTACCCTCGTGGAGGACAGAGCTATATGGCACCTGGATCCCAGGGAGTGGCAGGTCATATGGAAGGATTTGAATTCTTGCAGGACTTCCAGCTGCCAGATCAAGGAGTTTTGGGGCAAGCGGGACAAGCACCTGGCAATTATGGAGAGTTTGACATGGGCTTTGGTGCGGGTGGACTGGCGTTTGATGGCGGCGGACAGCCTTGGGATGAAAACGGAGGGTTTGATCTGTTTGATGGATTCTTCTTTGGTGGGACGAACGGTGGAGGCCAGAGGTAGGAAAAGTAATGAACAAACATAGCACGAACTAATTCATGGTTGCTTGTTCTTTCCATTCGGGTGAAATGTTCTTGCAAAAAGGGCAATCGCAAGCGCGCGGATGTGGCCCGTGCAGCCTGCGAAGCTGCGATTTCTCTTCCAGTGACGTTAATTGGAAGCGAAATATTTCACATCCTCACATAACGCAATCATGCCGATGAAAAAGGGTAGAGGCGTAAGTTGAGGAGACATGGCCAGGTTGACACCGACTGACAAAACTTCAGAACTTCAGAAACAAGGGCAAGGGCCGTGGAGGCGGCGGCAACAACTGGTCGACGGAGCGCAAGTCGTACGCCGAAGTGCCCAAGGTCAACGAGCAGTTCGAGAGACTGTACAATGACATGAACATTGTTCCCGAGGGTGAGGAGCGCGAACAGTTCTGGGCTGCTCTCCGTCGTGAGCTGCCCAACTCGTTCCGCTTCTGTGGTAGCAAAGGGTATACACTATCGACTTTCCGAGCATCAGTAGCGCTAACTGACTTTTCGCAGACATGCTCTCGCCGTGCAAAAGAACCTGGACGAACACTTTATCCCTCAGATCAAGTCGATGAAGTTCGACGACCAGAATGTCGAACCTCCGATGCCCATCACATGGTATCCCAACCAGCTGGCCTACTACATGACCACCCCGAAGAATGTCATCCGCAAGTTCCCTCCTTTCGCCGCTTTCCAAAAGTTCCTCGTATCCGAGACGGCTGTCGGCAACATCAGTCGCCAGGAAGCTGTTTCGATGATTCCCCCGCTTCTTCTCGATGTCCAGTCGCACCACACCGTTCTCGATCTGTGCGCCGCCCCTGGAAGCAAGAGTGCTCAGTTGATTGAGATGCTGCACGTTGGAGAAGAGTCGCGCATTCGCAAGACCACAAAGCAATACCAAGACGAGAAGGCCGACCTGGCGCTAGCCGCCGACGAGACTGTCGAGGGCAACGACTGGAGCGACGACGGTAGAGCTACTGGACTTTTGGTCGCAAACGACGTCAATTACCAGCGCGCTCAGATGTTGGTCCACCAGGTCAAGCGCTTGAACAGCCCCAATTTGATTGTCACCAACCACGACGCTACCATGTTCCCTTCGATCGAGCTTCCTTCAGACCCCGTTTCTGAAGGCCAGAAGAAGCAGGGCAAGTGGCTCAAGTTTGACAGAATTCTGGCCGATGTTCCTTGCTCTGGTGATGGTACTTGCAGAAAGAACCCCAACATCTGGAAGGACTGGATCCCCGGAAACGGTCTTGGTCTCTACATTACTCAGGTCCGCATTCTCGTTCGTGCTATTCAGATGCTCAAGGTCGGTGGTCGTGTCGTCTACTCGACTTGCTCCATGAACCCCGTCGAGAACGAGGCCGTCATCTCCAGCGCCATCGAGCGCTGCGGTGGCATTGACAAGATCAACATTGTCGATGTCAGCGACCAGCTCCCCGAACTCAAGCGCTACGCTGGACTCAAGCAGTGGAAGATTATGGACAAGGAGGGCCGTCTTTGGAATTCGTGGGAGGAAGTCGAGGACGCAAAGTCAAAGAAGTTCGAGGCTTCGCTCGAGCGTGTCGTTCCCGGCATGTTCGCTACCGCCGGCCACAATCTTCCTCTTGACCGCTGTGTCCGCGTCTACCCTCACCAGCAGGACACTGGTGGTTTCTTCATCACTGTGCTGGAGAAGAAGTCAGAGATCAGAGCCAAGCCCGAGGCAGAGACCAAGTCGGCCAACACTGCTCCCTCGGTCGTCTCTATCGCCAAGGAGATCGTAGCCGCACCCGAGTCTGAGGGTGTCATCCCCAGCAAGCTCGAGACTGTCCAGGACTATGCCCCTAGCGACCCTAACCACACTGTCGAGACCGGCACTGCTTCCGCTGCGCAACGCCAGAACAAGGAGGCCATCCCCGATCTCGAGACTGCATCTAACAAGCGCGGTCTGGACGATGTCGGTGATTCTCATGCTCAGGATATCAAGAGAGTAAAGACCGAGAAGGACGAGAGCGTTGGCCAGGGTGCCGTCGGCGAGGTTGGTCAGATGGAACACTGGCCCATGCCTCCCTCTGCACCTCTCAGAGCAGACGAAGTCACCCCCGACGAGCCCGCCGCCATCGCCGCCGCAGCCGGTCCTCGCGGCCGTCGCAACAACCAACCCCACGAGGAAGCCTTCAAGTACCTCTCCCCCACTCACGAAGAACTCGACGGCATCTTCTCCTTCTACCAGCTCTCGGACCGCTTCCCCCGCGACCGCTTCATGGTGCGCAATGCCCTCGGCAACCCCGTAAAGGCCATCTACTACACCACCGCACTCGCCAAGGACATCCTCACCAAAAACGAAGGCCGCGGTATGAAGTTTGTGCATTCGGGTGTCAAGATGTTCGTCAAGCAGGACGCTCAAGGCCAAGACATCTGTCGCTGGCGCCTGCAGTCCGAAGGCCTTCCCATCGTCGAAGGCTGGGCAGGTTCCAACCGCATCATCCACTGCTACAAGCAAGCCACCCTCCGCAAACTGCTCATCGAAATGTTCCCGCGCGTCAGCGGCGAGCACTGGAAAGAGCTAGGCGAGATCGGCGAAAAAGCAAAGGATATCGGCATGGGATGTTGTATCTTGCGCGTTGAAGCTTCAGACCAAGAAGATGGGTTCAGAGAGAGATTGGTGTTGCCGCTGTGGAGAAGCATTTCGTCTTTGAATTTGATGCTGCCCAAGGAGGAGAGGAAGGCTATGTTGTTGAGATTGTTCAAGGACGAGAGTCCGTTGATTGATCATAGTCAGCAGCCTAACCGCAAGAATGCTGTTCCTGCTGCTGCTGCTGATGCTGGTGTCGCTGATGCTCAGCCAGAGACAGTGGTCGATAACGATGGTGGAGTGGCACTCAATGATGTTGATGCAGACATGGAAGATGCAGATGCCACTGCTGCTGTTGGAGAGTCAGGCGTTGCAACTGAGGAAGCGGGCATGGCTACTGAAGATGCACTGAGGGCGCAACAGCAGGTCGTTGCCGACGAGGCACAAGCTGTTGCCGCCGCGCCGGAACGTGAAGGCGAGACTGATGAGGTCAACACTACCGTCTAGAAGATTGTGGATTTGGCTCTTCACTGCTGAAAGCTAGGAGTAGAGAAGAATGAACTCAAGCAAAAGAATGAAATGAAAATGAAATTGCTTTTAATCTTTTAGCACGATGCTTGCGATGTGGTGCCCAGCTATCACTACCTAGCAATCTTTGTAAAGAATGTGCGCCCAGTCTCTACTAACTTTGGTTGTGCGGTTGTGATCTGGTGTGTTCAATTCATACTTCAAGAAGAAAGAGAAGCTACACAAGGCATATAGGACTCCCTCGGATGCTGAAGAAGAAATAAGGTGGAGCAGACACGATGGAAGTCAAAGAAATCAAGATCGAGAAGATGTGTATATCGTGACGGTGAAAAACACCATGATCGAAAGATCGAAAGAGTCTAGCTACATAGAAGAGATAGAAAAGAAAGGGGGTATAGAAGCCTTTGCGCAAAGTCGTATCCAAAACAATCCATAACCAGAGACACAAGAAGAATAATCCAGGATATACAGCTTCCAGCCAGATGCCGAAGAACAGACAAGAAAGATTAGACAAAAAAAGGTATAGAGAAAAAGATGGCGGTAGAAAGAAAAGAATCGTCCGAATGGAAATGCCTTATATCATAAGACACCTCTCAAGATTGTCGAGCGAGGTTTGAGGGATAAGGATTACTTCGCCAACCCACCTACATCCTGCAAATCCAGATTCGCACTTTCAGACCTCTGATGTCGTCTCAGCATCATCGACGCTGGCAGCCTCGGTGCTTGATCATCAGGTGGTATACTCGAATTTGGCGCCCTCGTAGTAGGCGATATCGGTTCCTGATGCGCAATTCTGGCTTGAGGGGACAAACTGCCACTGAGCAATCCTCCGATGTCTGAGATGCTTAGCGTGTTGCTGTCTTCGCGCTGTCGTGGTGGCGGACTTGAGATGGGTCTTTGCACTTGAGGCTCTCGTGGGACGGAGCTTCGTTGTGGCGTTCGTGGGGGAGACGATTGTGATGATATGTCCTGGGTAGGTCCGGTGAGTCCAGGTGTGCGAGGACCGGAGTAAGCAAAGTCCTGGGCTATGGAGCCATGGCGACCTTCCCTACCGCCGAGTAGACCGCCTACGTCGAAGAAAGACACGCTCTGGCCTGTGGCTGTTGAGGGAGCTGTGTCTGAAGTTTTGCGTAGTGCATCTGCGCTGTCGTGGGGGCTTGGTGGTGTGTCACTGGTGTTGGCAGGTGACATGAGATATTCAGCGGAATAAGGTGCTTTCGTACTCGTCGGTGTCCGGGCAACTGGCGCAGGTCGGGGTACGTGGGTCTTGGGTCCACAGAGCTCTTCAGGCATGCGAACGCCCATCTCCCTGAACAGAGCCTCCTCGCTGTCGCGATGTATGGATTCAATAGTGGCACGACGAGTGTCGGCGCGTGATATTGTGTCCAAGGTGGCACCGGCTCTGTATTTGTTCTTTTTGACTCCCCGATCCTTGACGAAGGTGCCCAAGATTATAGCGTTGGAGACGGCGGCCGAGGCAAGGATTTCGGCAGATGCCCAGACGGTACGGTATTGTTGGCGTCCATGGTGGTTGATGACATTGGGCATGCGCAAGCCTGTGATGACGATGAGGGCGACGGAGAAACTGAATAGACAGACGAGAGAGAGTTTGCGCTTGAGTGGGATTTGCGAGCGTAAGACGATAGGGATGGGGAAGGCGACGAGTAGAATGTCTGTGATGATATCGGCGGTACCCATGGTGATGAGCTGTGCGTATCCTTGTCGGCACTGAGGGCCTGGATCGGGTACGACCTGCCAATACTGGTCTGCTGTTAGACTCGATGTCGAGATATGTGAGGATGTGTAGCTTGCTTACGTGATCGAAAGGTTGACATTCGGCAAGGGTGGCTATTACTACTGCGATAAAGGTTGCGACCAGAAAGACGCGTATACAATGGAGGGTGATCTCGTAGCTCCGTCTCCAGATGGCACTCGTAATGCGCTTGAGGAACTCCGAGACAGTAAACTTGCTGATCCAGATGAATAGAGCATAGTTGATGCGCGCTGCGAGGACCAGTTTGGAGCCTATTTGGCGAAGGTATATTTCGTAAGGCGTGAGATTTGCACCTTGGACATTGTTGGTGCCGTACATAAGGATAACATGAACCAGCCCCATGCGCGCGAGCAGCGGTATCAGACTCAGAGCCATGACTTTGTCCTCTTGGAACAGACGTCCACTCCGGACCTTTCTTCCTCCCAGCCGCGTGAGGATGATGACGACGGCAAAAGCAGTACACCACCAGCTGAAGAGCAGAGTCGGCCAGTTTCCAGCACGCGTGCGGGGCTCAGGAGGAGCATTGTTCCATAATCCCATGCTCTTTATCTGCCAAAGCCCACCGCCTCCGTAGAGGGGTGAGCGCTCAAGCGTGGCCTGTGAGGCTTGAGGACAACGTTGTTGAAGTCGCGACCTGCTGCACCAAGAAGCCTCGTCGTCGTACTCGAATTCCTAGTCGTGACGCTTTGACCGTCGCTTCCTTATTGCCGGGTTCCTACAGACACAAGCTCTCGTGTGCCCTTGAAATGTCGATAAATCTGGTGTGTCGCGTGTCGCGCAGTAGCGATGGATGGAAAACAGTCCTTCTTGCTTCTTGAAGAAGACGGGAGTCAGGTCGAAAAGGATGCTGCCGAGAGATGGCAGGAGCATCTGCTCAGGTCTAGTTCTCGCTCGCTCATCGAAAGCGCCACTGATCCAGAGATAACAACCGTCGAATCCTTTTTTTGCTGCTGGGGAACCATGTCCGGTCGTCATCAACAACAATATATTGATAAAACGTCTATTCCGGCATAGCCATCTTGCATGCTCATATCTACACAGTTGCTTGTTTAGTGTCTGTCATACCATTCCATTTCTGCTTGGTTTACAAATCTCCGACGAGTCGACGACGGCTGACCGACACTCTTGACAGCCGCCGAACCGGGTACTGCAGATCTTGTACTGTACAATTAGACGACCTACAACAATGCATCTATCTGTGATTAATATCTCGCTTTGTGCGCTGGCAGCAATATTTCTCTCAAATCAGTCTCTCAAGAAGTCTTGCTTTCCGAAACACTTGCTGCACGCAGGTCAGAGAACCCTCTGTCCTACTAACATCACCGCTTACCTGTCTGGACTTGCCGAGCAAATTGAATTGCCGTGCCCATGAGCCATGTTCAACGGCATCCAGATATCTATACAGTGCAACAACCCCTTAAGGACTGCCTCTGACTCTCCCGTATCTAAAATGTCGCTAATAGAATCTCGAGATAAGGAAATGCTTAAAGAGTCCAACAAGCCTCGGCGAACCATCCCGACTCCCGGCGTCCAGACTGCCACGTTCGGCACCATCCGGCAGCGACTCAGCCTTGACCTTTGAGATTGGTGCCTCGACATTTGTTACCCTCAACGACATCGCAGTTATCAATGACGATGATTGTGTGGCTTTTAAGCCTGGCGCAAATCACACAACTGTCATCGGCATTACCTGCACGGGCTCCCATGGTCTTTCCGTCGGCTCACTGGGCAAGTCAAGCGCCGACACGGTCTCCAACATCTATGTCTCACCATGATTTCCTCAACCAAGGCCGTCGGTATCAAAACATACCCTATGGGTAATGGCCATGGCGTGTCTACCGTCACCAACGTCACTTTTAGCGGCATCAAAGTTCAACATTCAGACTATGCTATTCAGATCCGGGGTTGCTATGGCGAAGACGGAACTTATTGCCAGACCAACGGCAACAATACTATTCTGAAAGGGATCGTATTTGAAGGCTTCTCGGGTACCACTAGTAAGAAGTATTCGTCTGTGACGAGCAATCTGGATTGTGATGCAAAAGGTGTTTGTGATGTTAAGATCAAGGGATATACTGTCAAAGCTGGTGAGGGGACTGGTAAGGTGCTTTGTGCTAACACGCCAGGGTCTTTGGGTGTTGCTTGCACGAAAGATGCGTCTGGGTGAACGGAGATGTAGAGTGAGAGGGAGAGTGTTTGATACTGGCTTTGTCGTGCTGTGTTGCTCTTTCACTCCTCTAATGCACGACGCGTTGGCCGGCTTCTTTAATGTCCGCTCTCTCTCCGTCCATCTTGCACCATCCCACTTATCTTTCCGAACATTCTCAAGTCTCTCGTGTTCTATGTCTTCAACACCACCAAACCTTGACCAGACTCTGGCCAACCTGACTCTATCAGATCAATCGCCGGTAAAAGCCATGTCGGGCAACCCAACCGAGTGGGGTCCACGGTATATCTCATTTCCCTGCGAGTTTACTAATAGCTGCTGACTTCGGATCAGCGAGCCCTTCATCTCTTTCGACGACCAAACGCTCTCAGACATCAAGATCAAAGTTGGCTACCAGGAGTACTTCGCTCACAAGTACGTGCTTGTAGAGAGATCCATCTGGTTCAGAAAGGCTCTACTTGGCGAGTTCAAGGTGAGCGGGTAAGGGATGAACGATCAAGACTGTCGCTGACTGAGATCAGGAATCAAAGCAAGATACCATCGATCTTGGCAACGACGATGAACCAGCCGCACTCGTTGCTATGCTCAAGTTCTGCTACGACGGCGTCTACTGTATCCGGCCCTGCAGCCCTGATACCGACATCGCCGATCAGCATCTAGCCATGTACCGACTTGCCGACCTCTACGACATGCCCGACCTGCGCGGATATGCCTGTTCCGAGCTTCTCGACAGCTTGAGCCCCTTTGGGGAGAGTTGGCAAGAGATTGAGGTGACAAACAGGATCGTTCTCGTCGTCCAAAAGATCCTGGGTCCCGAAGTGGACTCCTTCGCCGACAAAAACATTCAGAAGATTGTGTACATGCACGTTATCAGACACGTCAAGCTCTTCTACAAGAACACTCTTTTCAGGAGTCTACTGACTGACGGATTCATGTTCAATGAGTTATATGCCCAGAAGTTCACTGACGTGATCGGTGGAATGCTCTCCCATCCTCATCGCAGATGCTCGGTATGTTACCCTGGATGGCCTCCTGCTCCAGAATCCGGGGCATGGGACCAGCCTGTTGCTGGAATCCGATGGTAGAAACACAGACTTGCTGGCTACAGACGTAGATGCTGGCTGTACACCCGAGCCAGATAGCTACTCTCATCATTGCAGACCGAAGATATCCAGATGGAACGATTGATAGCCTGTGCTATACAAGCAGGAGCAAACACGAATTCAATGGGCAAGCACATTTCTTTCTGCTTAGCTGGTCTTTCTCCAAGCGCCTTCTGCGTTTAAATCCATAACAATGCATTGCTTACAAAAAACATTCCCACACTTTGTCATATGCGTGTCTTGTCGACACATTCATATGCCATACTGTCCACTCAAATCGAGTAGGACGTCGGAAAGCTCACGCATATGCAACAGTAAATCTTGATTTACATCGTTTCACGAATCCATAGTATGATATTGTCACCTTGGCTGACTGATTTCATCTGCAGTACGCATTTCTGCTGCGACCTCGATTCTCTCGATAAGACTTTTGTCGAGGATGCTTTCGTTCCCAGCCGTTTCCACCTTCTTGCGTGTTGGACCTTGGACTTCTATGTATTATCATTGAACCACCACAGTGAATAGAGAGTTGTGAACGTGTGAAACATTTTCCAGAATAAATTTAAAGGTGAAGGGTTGGGAGTGACAATGGTAGTCAAACACATTTTCACAATCTCAGATTAAGCAACTTCTGCTCTTGCCACTTCACTCTGATGAACTCACCGCCGCTTCTCTAGGACGCGGATTCAACATCTTTCGCTTTCTCGTCAACTACGACGCACCTCATACATCAGATCTGACTCAGCTTCTTATCTTATTTGACCAGTTCGTCCCATCGATTACCTTCTTCATAGCCAGTCATGGCCGACAACAGTGGAATCACGCATAGTGATGTGAAGAAGTAAGTTATACGTTTTGATTTGCGGAGATTCATCGTTTAATCTCTCTATAGGAAGCGCGACTTCTTTGACGACAAAGGTACTGTCCCAGTGATGTGATTTTGAACCTATCTGCTAACACAGCCTTAAGACTTCTCGGATGTGATCATCAAGTTCGGCGATAAGCAAGTCTTCGCCCACAAAGTCATTCTAGCGCGCGGATCGTTGTGGTTTGATAAAGCGCTCTCTGGAAATTTTAGTGTACGTTCTTCGTTCTAGGTTATTTATAGACTTCATTTACCAAGAAACAGGAGGCAAACAAGAAGGTCATTGAGCTTCACGACGATGTCGGCAGCGGTGCTGTCATGACTATGCTCAAACATATCTACGGATCGAACTACAAAGAGCAATACTTAGACGAAGATGATGATGCCACTGTCGAAATGCACCATGCTGTGTTCATACTGGGCGACAAATACGATATCAGCTCTTTGAGAGAAGAGGCCGCAGCACGCTTCGAAAAGTTCCTCGCGAAAGAGAGTCGTGACGGCGAGTATTATGATGCAACCATCCTTACCATTCAGAAATTGCTCGGGCCTCATGCTCCTCAGCTTGCCGATAAATCTCTCACAGAGAGAGCGACATGTTTCGTCTACGGCGACTATAAGCACCTGCTTTGCAACTACCTTTTCCGTGCCTTGATGGCCGAGGGAAGCATGCTACACAAAGATCTTGCAATGGAAGTCTTGGAAATGGTCAGTAACCAACTCTAAAGCTTGGCACAAAAGACTGGGACAAGCTCGTGGCGACGACTGTGGACATACGACCTTTGCTCTCTTTGTACACTTGAACATTGTCATGTCGACTACAGGAGTATACAGAGTTCTCTGAAGTGCAAAGAAGGCTGTACTTGCTACGAATGCTCAGACTCTCTCATCGAGGATGCATGGAAAGTGCAGCTTGTTTTAGAATTGCAGGAAGCTGGAGATCGAGCAGCCACGAAGGGCAAGATATGCAGGCGAAAGACGTTTGCTGCAAGTCAATAACGACTTAGACAAACCACATCACCAATGAACCTTGCATGTTCCTTTACGAAGCACTGTTTTCTTCCCCTTGATTGTACTCATTCCTCTTCGGCTTTGTCACCGCAATTCAGGGACGTAAAGACTGGATCTCGCCAGCAGTACTAGAGTAAATGAGACATCTCTGAATGTATCAGATGTTGTACTTTCTTTGCATGAATTTTTGCGCCAGTTTATCGATAGCAAAAGGAAGCAAATTTCGAGCAACATATGGCAGACGGTACACCAGTTCAGACCAAGGGATACGGTCATGGTATTGCCGGTCTCAATGTCTTGTCTGACATCGCTTTTGAATCTCATGCTTGATTTCCAGATGATGGCCAAACATGCACCGACGGTCACACAAGACCGGATTTTGCAAAACAGGCCGAACTACAATTTAGCTGTGCTCTGATGGTATCAGACGAAGCAAAACATGGATATCTTCCACTTTAACATAGAGAAGCTGACTTTCGACCGATAGCTGCGGTCATGCAGAGGGTGTTTCTCGACTAATCACCTTTGGTTCGTTCAAGCCATACGTTTTTGTCCGTTCAAACGTCATCGAGTAGTTGGACCGAGGGTGGTTCAAGCACAGATCATCATCGTACTTGGAATTACCCTCCCAAGGCTTCTGGAAGACAACTGAGTAGTTGTAGATCGTAGAGTGAGTAATTTTGTCAAGGAGATATTGACGCTGCTCTGCTTGGGTCCGGGTCAGGGCCTCGACCATGTTTAGCCGAAGTTTGAGCGACAGCGACGTCCGTGCGTAGCTTTGCGATAATTGACCGCATGTTGTCGATCTCCGCTTGCTGTAGTCCTTCATACAACAACGACATCATGTTTTCTCCATCGCGCTCAACCTGGCCATCAGATATATTGCCAGCTATAACCACCAGTCTTGTTCTTTCAATGTCTTGAGCTCTTTCCTGGTCTTGGAGTACGTCCTTAGTCTTTGTCGGTAATCACCAGCGCCTTGTGCTTAGATCGTTTGCACCTGATCACCTTGGTCCAGCGCACGACTACTGGACTTCTGGCCTGCACAGTGGAGGAGAATTTTCAGCCCTTTGCACTTGGGTCAGAATGATCGATATCATCATGCTTCGGTGGATCCTTACGCCTGGGAGCGGTTTCCTGGATGCACGACCGTGAAACCCGGCACGAACACCGAAGATGAAAGTCCTGAAGTCCGACAGCGATGTCAACCTACACCTGTCCTTGAGCCAGAGGTATGGAGCCTTGGAAGTCTGCATAGTACTGGATATTGGTGCCTGCCTGGTTACTGGTACTGGTGCCTTGGTTCAGACATCTGAGCTGTCGTTCAAGAGGCGCTTGATCGTTGCCGCCTGAATCCAGAGAGATGAGTGTAGGAGGTGTGCTCAGGCCCTATCGAGGCCTGTCGACGAGCCTTGCCAGACACGAGAAGGCATCACACGCAGTTAGCATATGGTATTGATGTCTCATCATGCTCGCTATGAAGCAAGCGTCTCTGCTTCCAAGCGTTGGAGTTGTCAGTGCGATAGAGCGGACATGGAGACCGCTTCACTCCGGTAACTTCCGAGTGCGCTACTATGCCCTCTATACCATCGACTCGCGCTCGACTCCAGTGTAGCAACATCAACCAGGCCACCTACCACCAAGCCATCAACCACCCTCCCACCACCACCATGGACGCCTACCAATGCCTCCTCTGCCACCCCGCTGTGTACGTTGCCGCTGATCTCGGCAACATGAAATCGCACCTGGGAGCCCCAACCAAGCACAACATGGGCTCCTACCGCTGCCAGAGGGCTGGTTGCGCCCAGCTCAATAACAGAGAGTACGCTGTCAGTTTAGCAGATCTTCATGCTAGCGCTGACGTGTCGATTTGTAACAGCCGCCCCCCAGAACCACGGCAACCATCAGGCCAGGTGGGCAAAAGACCAGGTGCTGGAGGGCCCTCTTGACCGCTTGGCTCGTCAATGCCAGAAGCCATGGGCTGCAGGAGTCTTCCCTGGTGCTCTGCATCACCTGGCTCCTGCCGTTCAGGCTCCTCCTGCTGCCTTGGTCGCCCCTGCCGCCGCTCAAGGTCAGGCCCCTCGCGCTGCCCCTGCTGTCCCTGCTGTCCCTACTGTCCCTACTGTCCCTACTGTCCCTACTGTCCCCGCTGTCCCCCTCGCCCCTGTGCCTGCCCCTGCCGCTCCTCCTGCACCTCCCGCTGCTCCTGTCAACCCTCCTGCCGACGTCGGGGCCTTCGCCCCCAACGTTGGTCTTGAGTGGATGCAGTGGAGTCGTGAGAAGGAGGACGGCGCGGAAGAGCCCATCCCGGGCTACTACCATCATTTCGGCATCTCCTACGGCACCGGGCCCGACATCCCTGGTGGCCGTTAGGCACTAAGAACAGACGACGACGACGAAAAAGAAGGAGGAGAAGGAGAAGAAGAGGAAGAAGAGGGACGGACGAAGTTCACGATTGTAGGAGTACGACAGTAATGATGACGATGACGAATACCACCTCTCACAACCCAGGCTATCAATGCGTCTCGAAATGGATGGTTCTTCGTGCTCTCGTGATGCTTGTAGAACTACCGCTGTCAACGCAAGAACATCTCGTAGATGAACTGCTGTCACGCGGGATCCCATATGCGCAAGAGCCCGGGACGCTCTGTGCGAGTCCTCAATTACTCGAGAATTTCGATGAAAGCTTTCGTGCGTTGCGTCGCATGTGTGTGTAACCACTGAATTTCTGAGCTCCTGAATCCAGCATCGATCTCCCAGCACGCGTTGCGATACCAAGCTTCCATAGAAATGCAAAGACTTCTGGATTTCCAGGTCTCTTCCATTGAGAGAAGAATATTCCACAGCTCTCACTGGAATATGCCTCCTCTGTAGAAAACTCTGTGCATTTTGATGCATGGTTCAACTGATATCTGACCACTGAGATACTGGAGCTTCGAGGTCTCTTCCATCTCCCATCATGTATTGCGACACTAGGCTTCTATCAAGATGCAAAGAAATTTGTATATATAGGTCACATCATTGAGATTGGACGGTTCCTATGGCTCTCACTGGACATAGCTGTACCACAGAAAGCTTTGTGCATTTTTATGCATGAAGTTGAAAGAGTACTGAATCCATCGAAATGCTGAAACCTCGGTGTTTCTCCCAACAACCATACAGCGCATATATGTGCCATAGGAATGCAAAGACTTTTTAGATATTTAGATCTTGTCCAATGAGAGCCATGGCTATCCTCTAATCTCACTGGACGATGCTTCTACTGCAGAAAGACTTCTGCATTGTGATCCGTAGCTTAGTAGTAGTGCACATACCATGAAATGTTGATGCTTCGGTGTTTCTCGCATCCGCTATGCAGCGCACGTATGTGATACAGAATGCAGCATACATATGGCGTTCAGGCAATGTCCATTGACAGCCGACATAACACAAACTCTCTTTGGAACAATGCGTACGTCGCATGTTCTGTTGTATCCTGGCAGGTCGATCAATTGCATCTTATGACCGCACACTTTGACTGGCAGGAGTGATTAGATAATCCGATTGTCTTGTGACAGGACTCCAGCGACTTCGTAGTGTAGATCTCGGATGGTTCAGGGAGCATAGCTGAGAGAATATAGGCAGCAGCTGGGAGGCATACAAAAGTTTAATTTTGCACGCTGCGTCGATCAGCACAACTGGTATACCACAGCGCGGTATACCGCAACCCGATATATTACATGTTCCAGTGTTTCGTGTTAATTTCTCTCATTACCAATTAGTCCGAATCCAAAATCCATGGTCCGCGCAATGTCAACAACGGCTTTTCTCAAAAGTCGTGTTCTTGAGGTGCTCGTCAATGTTTTGAGGTGCTTGATATCGGAATTTTAAGCTTCCCGCATGTCAGGCTGTCATGAGAGTTTGCGCACAATACCCACCCCTCGGGCGGATGAGGGATGGGTGGCAATGTCACGCTGTGCGCGACACAGATATAAAAACCTCGTTTCCTCCCTCCAGACCTTCTCTCCTTTTTTTTCTCTCATACTGTTTTTGGAACAAGATTCTCAAAGCTCAAATAACACCACTCATCAACAAGTTCTCAACCCCCCATTCTCAAAATGTTTGCTGAATTCATCGCAGGTGTCCTCACCCTTTGCGGTCGCGCTCAGGAGAAGGCCGATGATTTGAAGCCCATCGTCTCGTGCAACCACGGTTGTGCATCGAACAGACATGGTCACGCCGACGCCGAGCAAATGCGAGCCCAAGAAGACGAGAGGTTGTTCAAGGTCCACGGATCTTGGTGCAATTTCAAGACTCAGGCGAAGGGCTGGCGGATTTGTCTGGCGACAGCCGTCTTGCTTGAACCCTTAAAGAACGAGGTACGTGCCAACCTCACTTTGAAGGCCCAGGAGAGATGTATTTCGGAGGAGCCCTTTCAAGCCCCAGAAAAAGCACAATATCGCAAGAGCCGCGAGCAGCCTCTTGATCTGGTGCCTGGTTGGGAAGACTCTATGGAGCTACCACCAGAGGATCAAGTATCCACACCGGTGAAGGTCGCGAAGTTGAGGTTCTCTTCCAAGCACATATCCCAGAAGTATGACGTAGACGCTCCGGCGTGCATCGTCAGACGAGCAGAAAAGAAAGAGTCTCGGATTGTAGAGTTGGGTCTTGAGCCCACGTCCTCCCTGTCTCTAGGCAGAGTCCATCCCAAGGCTCGTGGTTCAAGACCCAGCGCGCAAGACGTTTGGGCCAAGCATGAACACGTCGTCGACTACACTATACCCTCACACCCCAGTCCGTCTGCACAGAAGCGTAGCGTTGCGTACGCGAGTCGAGTCAGATACATGGAGCGTTGGTGAGGCTGCTCTGCCCCCTTCGTCTCTTGTGTGCTGTTGAGCATTTGGCGTGGCTGCTCTGTCCCCCAAGTGTCCCGGTTGGAATGCTGCTCTGCGTCCCGGGATGTCGTGTACGGCTGTTACCCTCGTCCAGGGTTCAAAACTTGCCTCTCGATGCCTCAATGGACTGAAATTCACTCGTTAAGCGCTTTCACTTGATGATCGCTTGAATCCATGGCTGTTACCTTCTCTATCACTCCATTGAGACCCGATAGGGCAGCGTGTACCTGCTTGGGGAATAGTTCATCAGGACGCATGGCTCTCTGTGTATGTCAGGCTGGAAGGAGTTAAGCTTTGGAAGCGGTATTCTGTTTTGTTTGAACACTGGTCATGTCTAAACTTGGTTCAGGCGTCTTACCAGGCAGTCCCTCTTTTCTCTTTCTGTTCGGCTTCTGGGTGTGTGGCTAGGTTGCCTCAACGGGTTCCTGTGATTATCGTACTTGTTTTGCGTCTTGGATGAACTTCGTCGGGATGCAGTTATTCTGAACCTTCAAGCCAGTGAGTGAGGTACGGATCTCGGTCACGTCTTGTAAACTCTCTCTTTGCGGATCACTCCTTTTGCTCGGTTGTTGTGTCTTCAATCATTTTGTCTTTCTACTTCTGGGGCGGTCGCTTGGGTGGGTACACTTGTGATGAGTTTGGTGATCAGGCCGAGGTGGGAGCTGTGGGTTTGTTTGATCGGATGGAATTGAGCAGGGGATGTATGCAAACTCAGTATCAGTTAACAGAGGCGTTCAACCCACCTCACGAGCAGAACAAGCTTCGTTAAAAAATCCGCGGCGAAATCCGCGTTAACAACTCCATTGTTCTTCTGGTTTACAACCGGGGTTCAAAGGAGATATATGTCGATCGATGCAACGTGAAGGGAGTCCAATGGCGTCTTCCTCGGAGATTTCTGATGGTCAAATCGAGTGTTGGAGTCTGCTGTTCCAGACCAGCTGAAATGATCCTTCACAAAGAGTTAGGCGGCAGCTTGCGCGTATCGCAGCTTCCTCTTGTCGCCTCGAGAATTACAATCGCATTCGACGTTTTGAATATGATGTTCGTTGGTGTGCATCAGGTGGCACAACCGCATCCCTAGAAATTCGATTGATTTGGTCAAGTGTCGCTATAGTATACCATCTCAAGAAAGCATAGGGAGAAGAATGACATAACACTGTTTTAGTATTACGGCGGCTTGTTGTCGTCAGACGTCATAATTATGGTCCAGCATACAGAGATGGTTACACAAACTCCAGCCAGGGTGGGTTGGCTGCAGATCTGCTGTGCCGCAATGATAGCAGCCGAGCTGCATAAACAGAACGCGACCCCCAGCGACTCTTGGTCACAAAGAAACTTTTTTCTGCGACTCGTTTGGACAGAATATTACTTGCCCTTTTAATCGACAAGACTTTCATCTTATATGTTGCTCGCCAGACACAATCGCATTGGCTGGATCAAGCCATCGCTTTCCGTTTCCTGGACAACTGCGACAAATATACGCCGCATCTCCGATGACAGACGAGCGACTATACTGTCCAAACATCCCGAGCTGAGCGATCAGACAGCTAGGAAACGGAAGAGCGAGGAATATATCGACCGATGTGCCAAGTTGGGCCTGAGGCCGGACACAAACCTTCAAAAAGTCCGGCTCCCAGCAGTCCAACTCGAGCAATTTGTCCGCCTGAAATCAGAGGCTATGGCCGCCCGCTTGCTGGGGAGCGAACCGTCGGAGAAGCTGTCTCAACAGTACAGAGAGTGTAAACAATGGTTGAAAAACAACACGCCAAAACCTGAAGATCTGTATGAGGCAGAGAGAACTGCTGTCTTGAAACAGTTTCCCAATCTTACGATGGCAGCGATGAGAGATAATATCTTGAGGCAGTACGAGATCGAGAATAAGAAGATTCTGGTTCCAAGGAATGAACAAGAGACAGCCGATCAACCGAGAGAGTTCGTAGCAGGTACCACGCACGAAGAGAAGACACGATACTGTAACTTGGCGTTACAGTATGTTGTAATCCATCTGATTGACAATCCCGTCGCTTCGAAGTACGCACTCGACGAGTGGAAAGCAGACTTCAAACGCTGTCTACGTCGCAGAGCCATGGACGACTCTGAGCAGCTCAGGGTACAGTTTGTCAAAGCACTCGATCAGGGTGTTCAGATTGGATCTGCCCAGTCACCTCCCAAGCAGTTTGAGAAGTTCCTGCAGTCACGTCTGAAAGCACTTGCTGCAGAGGTGTTTCTGCCTGACAGTGATTCTGCTGAGCGCAAGAAGAGAAGGCACGAATTGCGGGCGGTAATCCTGGCTGATCTGGATGTGACTCAGACTCATATGAAGCAGAGGAAGGGCGGATGGTGGATTATTCCAAACCCACTTGCGGTATTTGAATGGATCGGCGCCATCTTCTAGTCTTTGTTAAGCTGTTGATCTGGGGTTTCTTTTCATGAATGCAGTCGCAAGAGGGGAGGAACGTTGACAGATTTTAAGGTTCAACTGCGGCTTCGAGGTCCTCAGATGGAACCGTGAGCTGCGATCCATGATACAGTAGATAACAACTTCCCCATGTGCGGCGTTCTATCACTCACACCATGCTCCCAAACGACACACAGGTGATGCCACGAAGATGCACAGTCCTTTTTATAGACGGTACAAGAAGTTACAGAGACGGGCTCTGTCGGCGATAAAATTTCAGTATACTACAACATATACCTGAACCCGTTTGCCTGTTGTACCGGCGTAGGCCCCGATCTACCTAAAGCCTTACCCTGATCCATCATTTGATTATGCCTCCTCAAATAAAAGTAAGTAGCAGTTGCGCTCGCAAAAGCCACCACCGCAGCACCCAGATTTACCGAAAAGGCAGCCACATATCGAGGAGAGTCGTAGTACAGATAACTTGTCCAGATATTCGGAGTGTTACAGATGGCATTGATGATGGCGATCGACGCAGCACGCTTGACTGCTGGTTGTGAAAGGGAGCCTGAGATCCAGGAAAGCTGGCAGATTGCAGAACTGTAGAAGCTCAGTGGCATTATGCACATGGCGAAGTAGCGAGCGCCAATATTGAGTGTGCTGACGGCAATGATATTCGCGAGGACTGTAATGATCAGCGGCAAGGCGATATGTAAGTAGCGCTCTCCCATCTGAAATCGTGGTCAACCATATTCGAGTAGCAAGGAGAGTGAACTAACCTTGTCGTTGTGGAAGCCATTGCAAAGCATAGCGACCACGCAGAGAAGGAACGGTGGTGCGGTCAACACATAAGTCAGGTTCCTGCCGAATCCCAAACCTCCGACTACAGTCGGGAAGAAGTTGTTCACCGCGGCCGCAGTATAAGTGGCATACAGAGTGCTGCACATAAGCCAAGTCTTTGGATCTCTCACTGCAAGCAAGAACCCTCGTAACGCTGTGACCTCATCAGAAGCATCCTGCTGTTTCAAATCTCTTTCGTAGTTCCACTTGAGCCAGTCCAGCTGCTGTTGCGAGAATGTCCAGATCTTCTTATTTGAGTTTGGAAGGTATAAAACGAAACTGTGGGAGTGTTAGACTGCAATTTAAGTTTTCTCAGGTACTTCGATCGCTTACATGAGGGCGAAGCCTATCGTGAGCACGCCCTCGATCAAGAAAAGCCACCTCCAGCCCTGAAGACCATGATGACCGTCCAATTTCAGTATGCCGATTGCCAAAAGTGTGCCGAAAGCGTTGCCGAGCTGTGAGCCTGAGTAGAGAATAGCAGTACGAAGGGCAACTGTACTGCTCAGCGATGTCTAGGAGCACCACGATCATGACCCAACTTACTCTGTTTCCTATTATAGAACATAGACAGATAGAAGAACGCTCCTGGAAAAAACACTGCTTCAACCACCCCCAGGCAAAACCTACAGGCGATAAGGCCGCCGTAGGATGATACTGCCGCTGTTGCAGCAGATACTGCACCCCAACCAGCAACTGCGCTACAGATCCATACAGCTGGCCACTTGATCTTGCTGAGAACCAGGTTCGAGGGGACTTGCATCAAGACTGGAAGCTTGTGTTAGTCTGATCGAACGCGAGGCTGAGAACGTACGTACTGTAGCCCACAAACAGAATGCTCACACATGTGTTATATTGCTGAATGGACATGTTCAGATCTTCCATTATGTTCGCCAGCTTGCTCGCGGCGATGTTCTGACGGTCCAGATAGTTCCTTTGGTTGGTAGTCAGCATTACTTGAAAGGTACTCGTAGTTTAGCAAACTTACAGGATGTACAGAACTGTTAGGGCAGGCATGACGATACAATCTAGTTTCAACGTCGTCCACTTCCCGATCTTGGTCAACTCTTGCTGACTGAGTTCGCGAAGAGACTCGGGAAGATCGTCAAAATCATGTTGACCATCTTGCACCTTGTCAAATTTTTCGACGTGCTGAATGGCGATCTTGTTCTCGTCGGCAGACATAGTTTTGTATTGTAGTATGATGAAGGGAAGGCAAGGAAGTAGGCATGCGTCAAGCCATGTACTTATGCTGTGATCACTTCGGAAATAATGGTCCTGATGGTGCTCTACCAAACCCCATGGGGTCCAGTGTCGATCATTCATCCTTACAAGCCGACCCCCAAATCTGGCCGCAGCAGATGGTGCGGGGTTCAAACTGACCCCCACGCAGCTACCAGCAGATACATACTCAGGTACTCTCGAAAGTCCAAGTCCAGATCCAGATTGTGCGGGAAGACCGCTATACTAAGAAATCGCCAGATCACCTCCAAACAGTTCTCGTAACAGTCATGTCTGGTGTATTGAGCCTCTTCTCGCTGCAGGACCGGACTGCCGTCATCACTGGTGGGACGAGAGGAATTGGCCAGTCGCTTGCGATTGCTCTAGCAGAGGCTGGGGCCGACATCGTGTTGATACAGAGAGACTCCGAGAATACTGCTACCAAGGAGCAGATCGAGAAGCTTGGGAGAAAGGCGACCATATACGAGGCAGATCTTTCCGATCAAGGCCAAGTTGGCGGGCTGATCAAGCGGATCGTGTCAGACGGCCACGACTTGAGCATATTAGTGAACTGCGGTGGCATACAAAGACGCCACCCTCCACATGAGTTTCCAGATGGCGATTGGAACGAGGTATGTGCGGAACCTCGCGTAGATAGAGGGCGACTGACATTTCGGATTCAGGTACTCCAAGTCAACCTCAACACCGTCTTCACACTGTGCCGTGATGTGGGAGCACATATGATGACACGAAAAGGGCCTCACCGTGGCTCAATCATCAATGTGAGTGCTTGACCGAAGATTATTGCCAAAGACCGTGCTGATGACTGCGAGATTGCATCTCTAGTCTCTTTCCAAGGAGGCCTTAACGTACCTGCCTATGCTGCAGCTAAAGGCGGAGTTGCACAATTGACGAAAGCGCTGTCAAATTCGTGGGCTGCACACGGCATCAATGTCAACGCTGTAGGTGTACTGGCAGAACAAAGCATGATACGGCATCATACTAATCAGCGTGACAGATTGCTCCTGGATACATCCACACTGATATGAACGATGCTTTAATCAAGGACGAAAAGCGTGCAGCGAGTATCTTAGAACGTATTCCTGCTGGACGATGGGGCTTGCCCGACGATTTTGCTGGTTCCATAGTATATCTTGCGAGTCGAGCAAGCCTGTATGTGTCTGGAGAAATCTTGACGGTGGATGGAGGCTGGATGGGTCGATAATTACCTGAAGTACAAAAAACACGATACGACGGACCGCAATGATCACCCACATCATGTTTCCTCAAAAACCCATGTGCATGACCAAAACATGTGTGAGCAACTGTGCTTCAGCATATCCATAACCACCTGCCAGCTAGGTGGTTGAGACGAAGTGAGCTTGTCCGGGTCTTTGCAGGCCGTGAGTGGGGGTCACAGGTCCAAGCATTTCAGAGCGGCATCATGAGCTCGGCCTATAAATCATGCGTCTCCCTCACCTGTTGTTATCACGAACTACACAGCATCCAGAATGGCACCAAAATCGACACAGGATTTCGATGCTACTGCATCCATACCAGCCTCTCGAGTCGAAGCAAAACTGGAAGCAGGCATCTATGTTCCAACTGTGGCTTTCTTCAAAGACGACGAGGAAGTGGACATAGAAACAACACGCAAGCATGCTCTGAGGTTGGCCAGCAGTGGCATAAAGGGCATAGGTCGGGACGCTGAGGTGCAAAGAACCATACACATGCTAACGTTGCGCAGTGACACACGGTAGCAATGGAGAAGCCGCACATCTCAGCCACGAGGAGCGGGTTCTCATCACTCGAACGACTAGGCAAGCACTCGACGAATCTGGCCACGGCCACATTGTCAAACTCATTGTGGGTTGCGGGGCGCAATCAACAAGAGAGACGATCAAGCTCTGCAAAGATGCGGCTTCTGCTGGCGGCGACGCAGCTCTTGTGCTGCCACCAAGTTACTTTGCCTCGCTGCTGTCGTCGAAACTTCTTCTTGACCACTACCGGAAGGTCGCTGAGGCATCACCAATCCCCATCTTGATCTACAACTTCCCGGCAGTCCAAAGTGGTATCGACTTGACGTCAGATCAGATCATCGAGCTGGCTCAACATCCTTCAGTCATCGGTGTGAAGCTCACTTGCGGCAACACTGGCAAGCTGGCTCGCATCGTGGCTGCTACGAAGAAGTCGGGTTTCTTGACGTTTGGAGGATCTTCTGACTTCCTCCTGCAGACATTGGCGGTCGAAGGCGCCGGGGTGATAGCGGGTTTGGGCAATCTCGCACCGGCGACGAATGTGCGACTGATGGAAGCATATGGGGCCGGCGATATAGAGCGAGCACGGGAGATACAAGCTGTACTGGCTGAAGCGGATTGGGTTGCGATCAAGGGCGGGTTCGTCGCTGTCAAGGTCGGCCTCAACCATTCGTTTGGATACGGCGGAGAACCAAGATCGCCATGTGCGATGCCTGAGTTGAAGGTGCAGTCAGAGATGAAAATTGGCTTCTCTCGACTCATGGAGTTGGAGCGCAGTCTTCAGAAGCCTCAGTAGGTAATTACATGCAGCGTCATGTATTCCATTGGCGAAGCTCCTTCATTCTCCTATGCCCGAATTATGTAACGCGTACAAATGTATGCACAATGGTTTCGAGAAGATCACAGGCATCCATCGAGATGCGATACAGTCTTCTCTCTTCTCGATGAACATTTCTAGTCTGGGATTTTTGTGCGTTTTGATTACGAGGATACCGCTCCAGCCCTCCAGATCTTTGGAGGAGGAGCGCGGGCTTCCACTCACCGTCAGACGCGTCAGTCCTTCTCTTCTCAATTTACATCGACGTGACAAGACAATTCTCGTCATGTGCGTACATGGCTGCTCATGCTGCCGGTGTCAATCAATAGTAGTCGACTACCAGAATATCTGCTCGCGAACATGATACTGCACTGCTGCAAACCTTGAATGTGTCACCTCACGAGTTGACACCCCCAAAACCTCCCGATGCCTCCACTCGCGGTGCTGCGGGGTCAACACACCTCGGGAACACCGCACATCTACCTGTCCCACATGTGGGGGTCACATTCACTCTTGCATCCTCTCGCAATCAACCGATCACGCAGTGTGTCATGATGGACACTCCACAGCTCAACGCATCACAGCAAAGACGCAAGAGAGCGAGTCGAAAAAACACCCCCAAACGCTTCAGATGCGATCATGAGGGCTGCACAAAGGTATGTGCATGTTCGGTTGCATTGCGTCTCGTATATTGACAGATCAGATTTACTCTCGAGCCGAGCATTTACAGCGTCATCAGTTGAATCGTGCGTCACATCGAATAAAGCCGGCTAAACCTCCTTGACATGAAACAGACAAGCCAAAGCAATTGTATCAATGCCAGGTTGAAGGTTGTGATCAAACCTTTGTGCGCCTTGACCTTTGCATGAGGCACCAAGCCAGACATGGCGAAGCTTCGATACCCAGAGATCAAGATGATGGCGCTGCAGTCTTTGAAAGCACATCCCAAAGTGCTGTAAACCTTGCTGCGGATACGAACCTGGATTTCCAGAATAATGCTGGGCCCGAATCGGTCGGCCCTCCATCTCTGACACCCGGATTCGGTGTCACAGATCCACATCAGAACATAGCTCTGGACGCAGGAACGCAAATGCTGGACTGGGGACAGAACGATCTGTCAGAGGACTATTCCAGACTCGCAGCAGCTTCTCCTCAGCGAGGAAATGGCAATTTTGTGACATGGTTGTTTGATAGCCCTGGCAGCCAGCAGCAGAACTTCGATCTTTCCAACTACTTGCCGTACGTGGATTTCGGTCTCGATTATTGCTCTCCGACCAACGACTTCTGGCAACTCGAATCCACCCAGGCAAGTGCCAACGCTTCCACTGTGAACCCTGTAGCTACAGCACCAGCGTCTAACGCGTTGTGCGAGAGTTCCAACGACTATGGACTGAAAGACTATGCCCGAGTGTCCACTAGATGCAGATCAAAGATTCTCAACAGCGTCAACTCGTTTCTCGAGAAGAAGCGCCCACCAGGACTGCGAGACACTGTTCGAGAGCAGGATCTGTTGTTCAGCGCTGATGAAGTGGATCTACCAAATCTGACAACGAAAGTTCTACATGACTGCTTGGATAGTTTTTGGTCGCGTGTGGCGATACAACTTCCTGTCGTTCATCAGCAAACTTTCTCGAGCGACGACTGCCAAGCGCTTCTTCTTCTCGCAATGCTTATGCTAGGCGCGGGCCAGATAGTGCGCTCACATCCAATCGGAACACGAAACGACTACCGCGTTTTTGCAGATCTTATAGCCATCAACCTGCGGTGGGAGATTTTCCCAGAAGCCGAACCTCCCATAACACTATGGGTTGCTCAAACACTTTTGTTGCTCGAGTTTTACGAAAAGCTGTTCTCATCTCGTCGCCTCCACGAGCGTGCGTACATCCATCACGCGTCAACTCTCGCTTTGCTGAGGCGGGGCAGTCCTATGGTCGGCCATGCTGAGGACGAAGAGCCCCCAACTCGTTGTCCCTCGCCAGGAGTGACCGCACAAAATCTCAATGGCCCATCCAAACAAGCTACCTGGTGGCGTCGCTGGGCACGAAATGAGTCCTGGCATCGAGTCGTCTTTGCGGCCCTACAAATGGACACACTACACGCCGTAGCCTTTGGACACGAGAGTTCGATCCTGCCTTATGAAATCAGACTTCCGTTGCCGTGCGATGACTCGATATGGGCTGCACAAAGCCCTGAGGATGTCTGGAGGTTGGAGGAAACATTCTCCATGCATGGCATCAGTCAGCAGCCCTTTCTGGATAGCCTCAAAAGATGCCTGCACGGGCACGAAGTCCATTCAAACCACGGTGCGCGAATTATCTTGGGTTCTGGTCTATTGAGTGTTGGCTGGCATATCCGACGCCGCGAGAGAAACCAACAGTTCTTGGAGTCGAACCCATCAGCCCACGAGCAAGAGCGTTGGAGGTCTCTACTTCTCAACGCGTACACCCATTGGTGTCAGAGTTTCCAAAAAGCGCTCGAGAAGTCAAGAGCGCATAGTCGAATTCTTGTCAGCGACAAGGATGTAGTTTTCGATCCATCAATCCTATATCGTCTGGCATTGATCACTTCCCACGTGGACATTCTGGACACTCAACTTCTCGCGGGTTACAAGCGTTTGCTTGGGCGTAAGATTACGGATAAGGATCACCTTGCTTGTGCAACAAGAATGCGTAATTGGGCGGCCACCAACTCGTCCAGAGTGGCTGTCTCTCATGCTTTCTGGCTGCTTGACGAGACACTTCTGGACAAAAACTTGGTGTCTCGCAGTCAACCACTCAGCCATGTTACGACAAAGCACTATACTTGCCGCACTGATGCATCTATATATCGTCCTTGGATCTTGTATCTGGCCGCGTTAACGATATGGTCGTACCAATACGCTTCGGGTCATAGGCCTTCACAGATCATATCGCAAGGACTTGATGCTGATCAATCATCAGGGCAAATCCTTGCTTACAGCTACATTCGGAGATGTGCTGAGTCAGGCATCGACGGCTTTCCAGGCCAGATGTCTGTTCAGGGATGTGGTGCAATCTGCAAGCTCCTGGCTCAAGATTTTGCGTCTGCTGAGTGGGAGTTGCTCTTAGAAGCCTCCAAAATACTCGACTCGTGCGCAACCACGATCCTGGAAAGAGCTTGAAGTGACAGCATAGAGGCAGCTTCAAGCACATATGGCAGGAAGATGTTGTCTAAAACGACATCTCAATCCTAGCTCTCACATGGCTACACGTCATCAAAGTATGGAGGAAAGAATAATATTTTTTCGCATTGTTTGCTATGCCCAAACTCTGTCTACCACTCTCTGATGGAGCCATCGGGCCCAAAGAACTCTTTTGGCTGCCACGGTTGGGTCTCGGCGGATATCTTGCGAATCATCTCCTCATCCACCTCGATTCCCAGTCCTGGTCCAGTAGGAGCCTTGACATGGCCACCATCAATTCCGAATACTGACTGGTCCTTCAAGTACGTGTTGAGATCAATATCACCTGCTTCTGTGTTATAGTGCATACCAAGACTCATTTCCAGGATGACAAAGTTTGGTGTGGAAAGCCCGATGTGCAGCGATGCAGCCTAGCATAGAATGGTCAATCTGAGAAGATGTCCGGTTTCGTCTGGGGTCAAGATCGTTACTCACAAAAGCAATGGGACCCAAGGGACAGTGCGGTGCACTGTGAAATGTCAGCACACGTGCTTGAGTCAAAGCTGCTAGCAGTACGACTGACATCGCAACATCGTATGTTTCCGCCATATTTGCGAGGCGCTTCGTCTCTGATATGCCACCAGCATGAGCGATATCGGGCTGGAGAATATCGATCACTCCTGCTTCGAAGAAAGGCTTCGCGTCCCAGCGATGGTACAATCTCTCCCCAAGCGCAATCGGAATGCTTGTTTGTGCTGCCAACTGCTTGAGGGCTTCTGGGTGTTCCACCCTACCAAATTTCTAGTCAGTATATTACAAGCACACTCTCAGAGATGTTCTTACAAAATTGGCTCCTGAAGTGACGCAGATGTTAGCATCATTATCTATACAGATTACAGCTTCACTTACTTCGATGAAGAGTGGGCGGTATGGCTCCAAAGCTTTTGCCAGCTGTTTAGCCATTGGACGATGGAGTCGACCGTGGAAATCAAGACCAGCGTTCAGACCGAGGCCCTTGACAATCTTCAAACGCTCGACTGTCGCGTCCAGTACTGCTGCATCATCAAGCCAGCCGATGTCTTCTGTAGCATTCATTTTGACACAAGTCAATCCCTGTTCTTTTCTTGCCTTTCTGGACACTTGTTAGCGAGACATTACTTATTTCGTTGATGAATTCACTGACGCAGCGTTCTCTATGTCAGCAGGTCTATCGCCGCCAATCCAGCAGTATACCTGACACTTTTCTCGAACTTTGCCGCCTAGCAACTCATAGATCGGGACGTTTAACCTCCGTGCTGTGCTTGTTAACCTGGCGTTCATCTCATCGTGCTAGCAGACCAGCAGTTTCTCACCTTTGAGGTCCCATAACGCGATATCGATACCGGACAATGCGCTCATAAAGACAGGTCCCCCTCGATAGAAGCCTATTTGACGTGGTCAGAATGGATTTTTGGTCTTGATCATCGATTCCTGTCATACCGAGTCTCCAAATCTACAATCAAACGCGTTGTTAGATATTGTAGCCTACCATGGCTCGAGCGGAGGAACTTACCAATTGCCAGATGTGTTCAATGCGGCTTTCATCAGTTAGCAAAAAGTTCTTGTGTTTGGCGACATGGTGCACACTTCGCATCCTGCCCAATTAAGCGAACAATGATCTCGTCCAGCGCTCCTTCGACAGCCAGAGTATGACCTTCCAGAGTTCCTTCTCCCCAGCCGACGACGCCATCCTCATCAGTGATCTTGACAAAGAGCCAGCGTGGCTTTACTCTGAAATACTCGATGAGCTTAATTGGTGCCATGTTGATTGATATGTTGTTGGTGCAGAAGGCAGCTTGGTATCAAGTCCGGATGTAGTTTCCTCGGCTTCATGTTCTTATACGAATCGTGATCAGCTCTTTTCAGATGCCGAGATCAGGATTCGGTATGTATTGTGACGACGTCGGGGGATATTTTGGAGGAGCGAGCCCCGCAGATCTGCGTGGGGGTACCGGGGTCGCTTTGGGGGGTCCACCATCGTGATCCGATAATCTTGATTGACGGACTCTTTCTTCCTTCATCCCTGCGATCCTCGAAAGGAGACCCAGAGCGATGTCAGTCGCTATGGAAAGGCACAAAGATGGTCGCCTGGCTCTGATCGCATCTCGATGGACACTGTACAGCTCATTGAATGTACTGTGCATTTAGCTATGATACTTTTGCACAGGGAAAGGACCCCCGAAAGGTTGCAGTTGCTCTTTCCATCATAGAGGGTCTCTTTGGCTGCCTGGAGCACAGTACGCCCTCCTGCCCGGAAGCAAGATATCATTGAATACGCGGTCTCAAGTAGCCATGATATCGAGTACCTGAATGGTTAAGCTACATTCAAAGCTTTACCGAGCCTACCATCATCCGCTCCAGCTTTCTTGTATTGACCATGCTACGCTCAATTTCCTTGACGTTGCTTGCGCCGATAAATGCCATGTTTGTCTGCAACTCGTTCCTAAGTATTTGTATCATGCGTCTGATACCGTGCTCAGCGTATCCGCCAGACATGCTGTACAACACTGGTCTTCCAATACCGACGGCAGTTGCACCTAGTGCTAGTGCCTTGATGATATCCGTGCCTCGTCTAATCCCACCATCGACAAAGACCTGCATATGTTTGCCCAAGATATGGGGAGCATATTGATCGATTTCGAGGAGTGTCAGAAGTGGAGGCTGCGCGGTATCTTGAGATCTGCCTCCATGATTGGAAAGGACGATCCCATCGACTTTGTGGTGGAAAGCGGAAACGGCGTCCTCGACTGACTGGATACCTTTGATGACTATTGGCAATCTGGTAGATTTCCGTAGCCAGTCGATCATGTTCCAGTCTAGGTCAGCATTGATGAACCCGGTATTGGCCTTTGCAATACCAATGCTTTGTGGTGTCTCGACAATTTCCTCCAACTTCTCCTCTATCTGCCCGATTGTCAGCGAATCTCGGCCGCACTTGAAGAAGTCAGACGTACGTCCACTACTGATTTGGACCTTTCATCCCGTTCACGATTGCCGACAACAGGAGAGTCAACGGTAAGCCATATCGCTGATACGCCAGCTCTCTCGACTCTTTTGATGAACGTCTTTGACTTTTCCAGGTCCTTGTCTGCATACAGTTGCCAGAAAATAACCTGATCCTGGGCAATCCGTGCACCCATGATATCTTCGATCGGCATACTGGACACAGTATTGACTACCTGTATACAGCCTTACTTTCCAGCAGCTGCAGCAATGGCACATTCACCCGATGGATGCACCAATTTGGCGAGTCCGACAGGCGAAGTGTATATAGGTAGGGTAGAGTGGTAGCCGAGGATGTTGGTACTGCAGTCGACTCGTCCGACTTTTCGTAGTATCCGACCACGTAAGAAGACCTTTTGATAAGCTGTTGAATTCTCTCTCATGCTGATCTCGTCGTCAGCTCCCGAAGAGACATAGGCCCATGCAGTTGGCGTCATAGTCTGGAGGTCAGCCTAAAGTGGATGTTGCTTCGAAATCGCCAACGAACCTTCTCTGCTACTTTTTCGAAGTCATCGACACTGATCATAGAGCTCAACGGCGGGCTTTTCTTGACTTCCAATACTGGATCCGGCTTTTTGTCCATCTTCGGTAGTATGCTTAAGACGTCTATCGTCCCCATTTTTGCATCGGATCCGAGAGTCTCCTGGACGAGTTCAGCATTGTGGAAGAGCTCATACTCGTCAGAAGCATCTGTTCCAGCAACGTTTAGGATCAAATTCGCGCCGCCTGGATGTTGTTCGAGAAAATTGGTGGCATCCCAGACCTCGCCGTGGATAGCAAGCCAGCAAGATTGTCGACTGTTATGCTTCACGAGCTCTGCGCCCTCTACTATCGCCATGTTGTTTGAGTAGGAACATGTTTTCAATTGACCATCGTGATCACCATTACTATGCACAATGGTTGTTTCAAAGACAACCAAGATCTTCGGAGGATCGTGGGGGTCACAATTGTCGCCCCGCATCACCCCGCGTTTGTCGGCCTTTGATACCCACCAAGGTCTTTCCTCATCACACCTCTTGGTCTTCGATGAATTCTTGTTGATGCATCTGATCTCGGATGAAAAGAACATTACTGAGCAGAGATGTCGACACCAGGAAAAGAGATCAAGGTGCTGCTCTTTGGTTTGGGAGCGTGAGGACCTCTAAGATTATTTTCACAGAAGCAATTGGCTAAAACCGTACAGCATTGGAGGCTTCTATGCATTCATCCTCGGGCGCAACAGAAATGTATCTCTCAGCGTAGTAGCGAGGTCCAACTATCAACAAGTCAAAGACAATGGTCTACAAATCGAAAGTGCCACCCACGGTAACCACAGAGTCAACTTGTCTGGAGTATACAAAACGCCAGAAGAAATCACATCGCCTTTCGACTACATCGTCTGCACCCACAAAGCAGTAAACCCATCAAAAATACCTCCACTCTTCAAATCTGCAGTAAATGAATCAACAACCTTCGTCATCATCCAGAATGGCGTTGGCAACGAAGAACCCTTCCGTACCACTTTCCCTCAAAACACAATCATCAGCTGCGTAACATGGGTAGGAGCAACCCAAAAATCACCTGGAGTTATCGCACATCTACAATCCGAAGATATGCAAATGGGTCTATTCCCCAACGCCAACGTCCCTCAAGATCTCGAGCAGAGCAGACTAGACACTTTTGCTACACTACTCAGAACCGGCGGCACAAGGTTCCAAGTCGAGGAAGATATCCAAATCAAGCGCTGGGAAAAGGTCACTTGGAATGCAGCCTGGAACTCCATCACCACACTCACAGATGTCAATACACAAGACTGGCTCGCATCGACTCCCCAAGCAATGGAAATCACCAAACGTTTGATGCACGAAGTGATAGATGTAGCTAATCGATGTAACGTCCCTGTCGAACACAAACTAGCAGATGCTTTGGTGGATAAGATATTGGGCATGCCGGGCATATATTCGAGCATGCATACTGACATGAAAGAAGGCAAGCCTCTGGAGGTGGACGTCATCTTGGGGTATCCCATGCAGAAAGCAGTCGAGTTCGGTATGGATGTGCCGGTGCTGAGTACCATTTATGCTCTGGTGACCGCCGTGAACGGGAGGTTGAGCAAACTTTAGTCTAGACGCAAATAAACATCCCACGCACCACGATATGTGATCAGAAATAGAGGTGAATAATGCGGCAACGCATACATGAAACTTGTATGAGTGGAGAGAAGGTCTAGTCTATCGAGTCTATACTCCCCGGAAGCGAAAAGAGAAAGAAATAACAGAAATAATTCAATCGAAACTTGAAACCTATCCCCAACCTGCTCTGAAGCGCGCGATGTTCCCAAACACCTTGCCCCGTGCATAACAAAAATATCCCTTTCCCCATGCTAATAATACTAATTAATCGTCGTCATGAAACTGGTAAAATTCAATCCGCTCTTGCTCTCAGCATACGCAACCGGGCGTCCTCGTGGGCGTGAAGTTGAGTTAGAGGAGTAAGGCCACTGGGAGCATAACTACCGGGAGTCACAGCGCCAGTGAGTGTCGCGTTGCTCGAGTGAGATCCAGGAGTGCTGATGCCGCTCCTCATATGGACAGCGCCAGGCCTTTGGGGAAGCTGCAGGGTAGGACTTGGTGGTCTGCTGGTTGCTTCCATGTAACTCGGTGGTCCGTCGGCGAAAGGCGTGAACGGTCCAGGCGTACGAACAGCAGCTCCGTAACTCGGGACTCTTGATAGAGTGCCCATGTCGAAGTCGTCCATGTGAGGCAGATCGTCGTGCGGATCCTCGCCATCTCCAGAGGCTCGGCGAGATTCTGGTACACTATGCGCAGGCGATTGATGCGGCGGAGAAGCATGGCCAGAATTTGACTGAGCGAAATGGGCAGCAAAGTAACTGCCAGTGTAGGCAGGAGTATTACCCCCTGATGGTGAATGATGGGCTACCGGTGCGGCGCGGATCTGTCGGCTTGACCCTTGATCTTGCAAGTTGGCGAGACGTGAGCGGAGTTGAGCGGGTACAAAGTGACTCTCGCCACCACCAGCAAGTGCAGCCATGGATTGCGAGTGATGCATATCAGCGATACCGCTCAGAGATTGTACGTTTTCTGAGGATCCGTTGCGGCTCTGAGCATAGAATGGTGTGGCTGATCCACTGGGAGCGCGACTCATGTATCCGCCGGTGTTGATGTCGTTGTATAGAGCGTCCAGTTGGTGTCTTCCGTACTCGGGCGGGGCGTTCAACGCGACTTCTTGTTGATTCAATTCGGCATCGGTCATGGTTCTTGCGGCAACTTGGACCTCATTCGAGTCGTCGACTGGCAGGTTAGGGGAGATGAATAGCTTGACAGGAAGACGGCAAACAAGCTGAGAGACGTGGCCTTCGGGATTGTGAATGTTGACCATCAGCTTGAAACGATGGGTGATGTTGATGTTGTGCGAATCGACGTCTTGCCTGCATTGCTTGAGAGACTTGGGCAGCTCCAGAGTTGCCTTGAAGACGTATTTCTCATCTTCCATGATGGGATTGTCGGCGCTCTCGTCAGCAAAAGTGACACGCGAGTTCTCAGGGAACTCCATTTCAGCTTTTGCAACGTCCGACTCATCGACCTTGCATCTGTCACCACGCTGGTCTGGTACCTCGGCAGATTGTATTCTCTTGGTGACGGCCTCTATCAGCCTCATTTCAATCTTGCCGAGCTTGACACCCTTTCGAATAGGTGACAGTTCGACGTCTGCAACGATAGATGTACCGAAGACGACGGCGTCGGTGGGGATGGAAATGCTGTAGCTGAGCTTGTTTGCCCAAATGTCGGCGTTGGTCTGTTCGAGGCCAAGTCAGCAAGCTTGTTGCAGCGGTCAAATGTGAGATGCATACCCTTGAGCGAGTTGTTTCCATCTGTTCGGGACCCAGGGTTCTCACAATGCGGATGTGCTGAGTGGTGGTGATGTCCTTTGCGTTCCAACCGGGCCTCGAGACACTTGCGTGCAAGTAGTAGACGATGTAGGTGCTGTTCATGCCTTCGATGCTCTCGGGCATGCTAGGGTCGAGAGTGTATTCAAAGGGCCACTCTATCGTCCCCGAGTTGATCTTGTGCGTGCCAGATGTGCCCAGAGCACGTTCCTCGCGCCAAAAGGTCTTTTTGTCCGACACTTCACCTGCCGCCATGCCGCCCATGTAGAACCATCTGCGTACATGTAAGCATACGCACTTCGCACGACGTTGTCAGAAGAGTGACTCACGAGATTCGTCGCTTGCCCTCAAGCCAGATTTTGACGTTCTTGATGCTCATGGCATCCGGAGTAGTCAATCTGACCACACCGTTCAGCTTGATAGTCTGGGCTTCATGCTGGTCTCCGTGGAAGACGATGAAGCGGTTGTTTGGACTATTAGGACCGTCAGCGCTTTGAAAGCTTCAAATCGAGGCGGGCCGCAGGTACATGATCTCAAGCACAGGCTTGGCTCGAGGGGTATGCACCATGGCGACGGTGGGGTGCTGAGGTGTCTGTCGCGAGTGCGCGAGCAATCAGATTGGACAATGAGCAGAGTCGGGACTTCGCGACACAGCAGTTCGGATGGTAGAGGATGCAAAGGAGAGTATGAGGCGCAAACGTGGAAAATGCCAAAAACGAAAGCTTGATCTCGAATGACGTTTCTCAAACAACCAAAGAAGCTCGTGCCCGATTGAGATAAAGATTCGTTGATGTCGGCGCGACACGGGAGACGCTCCTTTGACAAGAAGCCATGACTCCAGACATGCCCAATCACACCGGCCCCCTTCGGCTCCTGGGTCCTTCTGCCTGCCAACTTGACTGGCCAGATAGAAAAGTGCCCGGCCTGCCTGCGAGTGCACTGCTCACTTCGGGCTGCTGCAAAAAGCAAGTCATCCAGCGCCCAAGTCACGCAGCCATGCACATGCGAAGCCCATCATGATTAACGTCTACCATCACTGCTGCGGCTCTCCGCCGATCAAGGGTCCGGTCCCGCCTCGGTCCTATCGACAAAGAACCCTGGTTTTTTCTTGTTGGACAAAGAATCCTCGCTTTTTTTTGCGCCGCCAATTCTGTCTATCCCGCTGTTGGGATTCGAGACATCGTAATCTTTTGCTGCTGTGCAACGCTCTCAAAGCTTGACCGTCTTTCGACTATGGCGTGATGCCTAACGACTCATCGCCCCTGACCTTTGCATCAACCAGCCACAACACAGAGTCATGGAGAACCATTAGGGTTGTTCTTTTGAACAGTAGCCATGAAAATGTCTCTCTATTCTGTGTATGTCCATCCAACCGAGTCTTCTTATACATAGATACGAGAGACGATAACATTCGCTGACAGTGACCTATCACCTCAATAACAGCTGTTCGGAAGACATGAGTGCCTGGTCGATCCACAATATCTATATACAAATCTCACCCAGATCCCTATGGTTGAATTAAATAACGCTGTTGTCGGCATCGTAGGACTTGTGTCCGTTCTCTCCGGTTCCTTCCTTGGGCCTATCCCAAGTATGGATATGACCTGTGTATGGTGTCAGCCCAACGTGAAATCTCGCAGATTGTTTATAAAAGGCCCGATCGGCTTCGCGCGCGACGCATAACAGACGCGCAGTCGACATGTCCGTTGTGGGTCCCGAACATCCCAACACAGAGAAGCAACACTTACCATCTTTGCACGCTGTCATGATACAGTCCTCCTGAAACTCGAGCCAGCTCAACGGATGGTCGTCTATCTTTTTCGACTGCGGCCTCACCATCAGTACGGACGTCAAGAAGCGAGCTTTGCTTGTCACTCACCATGACGGGTGGGAGAATGGCTGTGCTTGCTTTGGTCCTGAAGCCGTGAACCACGTCTACACCATTTGCGGCGCCTCCTGCACTCTCGGAAATGGTCGAATGCGATCTGATACGACCAACAGTGGAATTGGTCTCTTTCCGAGTGATCGCATTAGAAGTCACACTGCCTCTGTGTTTGATCGACATCTGCGTAACGTGTATCAGTAGGTTGTATCGGAAACGGAAGCCGGAAATAGAACTCACTGCTCTCGGCCGGCCGAGCATGCCAACGGAAAAGTCCCAGAGTAAGAGCTTGCAATCTTCGCCAACACTACCGAATCGATAGTTGCGCTCGTCGCACCTCCAAGGATCGAACTTCACATCTGTGACCCAGCTACTGTGTCCCTGACAGCGCGCCACGAGTGTAGCATCTGCAAACGACCAGATGCTAACAATATCATCCTGGCCGCCGGTTAGGATGTATCGGCCATCGGGCGACCAGGTCACAGTGATCAAACCGCCGTAGTACGAGGTAAAGGCGTCCAGTAGCTGTTCCTTGAGGAAGTCGATGATACGCAGAGAACCATCTTCTGATACAACAGCAAGATGTCTGCCATCGGGGGAGAAGGATATACAGTTTATTTGCTGATTGTTGATTTTCCACACAGCGACGGGATTGGTCTTTTGATTACGCGACTGAACAGACTTTTTGATGACAAAAGATGCCGGACCAGATTGACCATCAGCATAGTCGGATGCTTCTTGCTCTGGAACAAAGGGAGCATCTTCCTTTTCCTTGTCATAGACGACCAAGGTACCATCCATATGAGCGGCCAAGAAGAGATTTTCACTGTTTGGCAACCACCAGATAGAGGAGACGGCAGAGGAATTGATGACACCATTTTTATTGATACGGGCATACTTCTGAGAAACAGGCTCGTACCAGATAATGTCGGAGGAGGAGAAGCCTAAGATGACATCCAGGTGGGTGGTGCTTTTGGTGAAAGGGTTTACGTGGTGACACAGGGCATGAGCTTTTGTGAACAAGATTTTGGTGAGATTCTCAGTCTTCACGTCAGAGGAGAGATCTAGCCATTGGAGGGCTCTGTTGATATTGGAGAAAGCAAAGGTGCCCGAGGGGTTGCGCTCTTGGAGGCGCTTCTGGAGAGCTTCATGGGGGATGACCCTGGACACAAATGACGAGTTGCTCTTGACGATGTTGTTCTTGGGCTTGCGCCTCTTTGAGGGGTCCTTGGAGTCCTTGTTGGGGATAGGAGCAAGGGCAGGATTGTTGTCTCCAAAGACAGGAGCGGTAGACGAGTTGAAGAAGGAGGCCGAGTCGGTGGTGGGAGTGAGAGGGTAGTCCTGAGCAGTGGGTTGAGCAGCAGAGCGCTGACTGTTGGCAGTGACAGTACGGGCAAGAGAGTTATCGGGTAGCTTCTTGGGAGCGACTATGCACAGCGAGAGTCTAGTGCCTTGAGTTGGGGGAGCGATGGTGGTAGCGAGTGGGTTGCTGTTGGGCACGGGATTGTCCGAGGGGTGAGGCGGAGGCGTAGCTAGTAGGAGCTCGTCGCGCTGAACATAGGTACCCTCGCCAACGAGCAGCTGGTAGTCGGGGCCAGTATGGTTGGAGAGAGTGTTGTTAGTCTCGATGATGGTTCCCGGAGGGTAGCCTGTATACAGATTCCCACTTGGGTAGCGCGGTGGGGGCGGTAAGACACTGGCAAGCTGTCAGACATGATGACGAGATTGCTTACTGACACGTACAACATGGCGACCAGGCCGAGATTCCAGACAGAAGTGCAAGTCGCAAGTCGCGAACGCAGATGCAGATGCGCGCGACAGACCCAGGGACAGGCCGAGGGTGTGGGGAAGACGGCCGATCGCGGGGGAGATGTTCCGTCAATCTCTAGGTAGCTCCGGTCTTTTGTGAGGTACTAGTAGCTCTGTCAAGAATCAAAGATCCGGGCCATTCGGAGCCACCCAATCTACATCAGCATGGCGACAGTGCGCGTCTGTGTGTGCGGCGACGAAGGTACGGGCAAGTCCAGTCTGATCACATCGCTGGTCAAGGACGTCTTTGTCACCAACAAGATCCAGCCCGTTCTACCACCCATCTCAATTCCGCCTACGCTGGGTACGCCGCAGAGCGTCACAACAACCATCGTCGATACGTCTGCCCTTCCTCAGGAACGCGACAACCTGCGCAATGAACTCCGCAAGTCCAATGTCATCCTGCTCGTCTACTCGGACCACTATAGCTATGAGCGCGTCGCCCTCTTCTGGCTGCCCTACTTCCGTTCCCTGGGCGTCAATGTCCCCGTCGTCCTTACCGCCAACAAGGCCGACCTGTCCAAGAACATCTCCACCCAGCAGCTGGTAGACGAAGAGATGCTCCCCGTCATGCAAGAATTCAAGGAGATTGATTCCTGCATCCGCACCAGCGCTCGTGAGCACCACAACATCAACGAAGTCTTTTTCCTCTGCCAAAAGGCCGTCACCCACCCCATCGCCCCTATATACGACGCCAAAGAGTCTTCTCTCAAACCTGCCGCCATCTCTGCTCTCAAAACTGTCTTCTACCTGTGCGACAAGGACCAAGATGGCCTGCTCAACGACGCAGAGATCCTCGATTTCCAGCTCAAGTGTTTTGAGAAACCTCTATCTGATCAAGACCTCGCCAGCATCAAGCGCTCCGTCAATGCCAGCCAAGCTGGCATCGACATCGATGGCTTCATTCTTCTCAACAAAATGTTCGCCGAAAAAGGCCGCCACGAGACCATTTGGATCATCCTTCGCAAGTTTCAATATACAGACAGCCTGAGTCTCAAGGATACCTTCCTGCATCCCAAGTTCGACGTCGCCTCGTCTTCCTCTGCTGAACTAAGTCCGCAAGGCTACCGCTTCTTTGTCGATCTATTTCTCTTGCATGACAAGGACAACGATGGAGGCCTGAACGACTCTGAACTCGCCGCTTTATTTGCGCCCGCCCCTGGTCTCCCGCCATCTTGGATCGAGTCCGACTTTCCTTCCTGTACCGTCCGTAACGAGGCTGGTCACATTACTTTGCAAGGCTGGCTAGCACAATGGAGCATGACGACGTACGAGGAACCCAAAGTCACGCTGGAATACCTGGCATATCTCGGCTTCGAGAGCCCCCAACGTGGAGGCACGACCGCTGCATTGAAAGTCACCAAAGCCCGCAAGCGACGCAACAAGCCTGGCCGCGTAGAGCGCAACGTCTTTTTGTGCTATGTTATTGGTGCCGGTGGTAGCGGCAAGTCGAGCTTATTATCAGCCTTCCTCAACAGACCTTTCAGCACAACATATCACCCAACCATCAAGCCCGAAATTGCCGTCAACAGTGTCGAGCTGCCCGGCGGGAGACAATGCTATCTCATCCTGAAGGAACTTGGTGAACTGGAGCCTGCGGTGCTGGAGAACCAGGCCAAGCTTGAAGCCTGCGATCTTCTTTGTTATACTTACGATTCGAGTGACCCAGACAGTTTTGGATATATTGTCGAGATGCGCAAGAAGTACGCCCACCTCGAGAACTTGCCGGGAGTATACACAGCGTTGAAAGCAGATCAAGACAGAGCAGTCCAGAGGAGCGAGCTGCAGCCGGATACATACACGGAAGAGCTGCGGGTTCCAAAGCCGCTTCATGTGAGTGTAACCTGGGCATCCGTGTCGGAATTCTTTGTGCATCTTGCCGAAAGTGCGACGTTCCCATCGACGGCATTTCCTAAGAACGAGGAATCGGATGTGGATCGAACAAATTTGTACATTGGCATCGGAGCGGCAGTGTGTGCTGGGGCGGCTCTGGCCATCATGTGGAGGAAGAGCATAGCTGCGAGCAACTGAGAGAGCGAGTATACGAGCAATGAATGCATGGGTGGAGTTAGGCAGTGAATTTAGTTAGCATCAAGATACCCAACTCTGGAAGATTAGATATCGAATTCCAATGGAGGTTCCAATATTGTAAGACAACAGCAAAGACAAAGGCCGTGTGTAAGCGAGATGATGTTGACCAGGCGGGCAGTCTGGAGGTTGCAGTGTTTTGGCTCTTGTCAAGGACGGCGGCTTCTCAGATCCGAGCCGAGCGAGTGAACAGCGTTTGCCAAGGCCTTCTGTCAGGCCTCGAGTAGCGAAGAATAAACATGTCGGCTATGCTTGTTGCTGCTTATGTATTCCTATCCTACATCTCGGACGTGACTCTTTGTGTGTGATTCTGGCACCGAGTCTGATGTGACGGCCTCCATGTCGCGTGTATGACCGGTCTCCTGAAGTGTCTGGCTTCTCCCTCGACTGCCTCTTTTCCCCCTCGCCATGCAGGTGCGTATCATCAGATCAGACGACCCTTAGCAAACGACCATGCCCCAGGCTCACCCTGTGCAGGCCTCACACGATGCGCCGAACTACGTGCGCAGACACACGCCCCAAATCTCGATATCCGACGATGACCACCACGTCACAGAGGCCATCACGGCGGCTTACGGCAGCGACGACGACGATTACCTGACGCCCTCGAGCCGCAACTCGCGACCTCTCAGTTTCGTGGGCTCCGCTATAGAGGCCTATCAGCTTGGTCCTGCCTATCTCGATACGAAACGCAACTCACCGCCTCGATCTCCACTCCAGCAGACGGGCACCAACGAGAGGTTGCCTACCCCCGACACCACTGCGCGCAAGGGCAGCCACGGCTCCGAGAATCTTCCTCTGGAATCATCCTCTCCGCCGACCCTATCCAGAAAGTCTTCGTCGTCCGATACCGCAGTACAGCAATTCCCCCTGACCGACATTGACTCTCCTGCCGCCGTAGCTCAAGAGCTCAACAACCTGCAAGCCATTCGTCGCATGTCCATGAGCGTCGACAATGCAGATCCCGATCTTCCCACCTTTGGCGCGTCAGCTCCCACCTCCCCAGAGCCCAATGACGAAGATGAAGCCTCGCGCCTGTTTTGGGTCCCGGCCCGCCTACACCCCGAGCTCGCCCCCGTAGAATTCAAGACATTTGTCGAGGACCGTGTTGATCGCATAAGAAAGCGCTCCGTGTCTGGTGACTCGTTGATGCCTGGTGTGGAAAGGTCCAATTCCGGCAGTAGTCTCACGAGGAAGAAGAGCATGCTTTCACGCCAAATCGATTCCTCCAAGGGATATGAAGATGGTGCCGAACGCTTGCAACGGAAACGATCAGAGAAGGAACAATCGCTCACATTACCCACTTTCGAGAACCTGCAAGAGTTGGAAGGTCTGGTCAACAACGTCGATCTGGATTCTGCGAGGACCAGTCTTGACTCAGGTGTACAAATGGCCGATGCCCCGATTACGCCTGCTCCAGGACCTGCCCTCAAGCGTTCCACGAGGACGTATATGCGCAAGGATCGTGCTCCCTTCTCCAGACGAGCCCTCAGTCGCCAATCAGACAACACCAGACAGTCCGAGTCCGATGGTGAAGGAAGTCGGGCTCCTTCGCCCGCGCTTTCTATGCGCGAGCCTCCTACTCCAGGAATCAACCGTGTGCAGACCGAGCCTGCAGTGGCTCGTGATACCGCCACAGGAGCTGGCCGCCTCACCTCGGCTTCTTCAGAAGACCTGTCCCAACATAAGATAAAGCCTAGCCAAGCCAACACTAGCACTCCTCTCCAGAGCTCTATCCCTAACACCACTTTTCATTCCCGCATTGCTACAAATGGCCGGACTACCGCCCCCGTCCCTGGTGCTAGCAGTCCAATCCCGCAAATAGTCGAGACTCCCCCGACAGCCAACAGCTTCACCGTCCCAGAGCGCAAATCATCACATATACCACCCTCTGCCCCGCTACCGTCCCAGCAACATTCGACCCCTCCTTCTTCACATGGACTAACGCAACACCATGCCCCTCCTCCTCCTCCTCGTGCTCGTCCCAGTGCCAGAGGTGCTCATACCCGTCCGTCTCTTGTTCACTCCAATTCATCTCGCACTACCAAATCAACCCTGGAAGACATCTCTGCTCACCCCTCACCTCTGCCTGGTAGCGGCAACACGCGGACTGATGCTCTCACGATGGTGCCAACATACGAAGAGAAGAAGGTCGAGAAGAAAGACAGCCGCAAGACTAGCTGGAATTGGCTTCTTGGCAGCGAGGAGAAGGACAAGGAGAAGGAACGAAAGACTGAAGACAAGGAGCGCGAGAAGGAGGCAACCAAGAAGTCAAAGGCTGCTGCGAAACAAAATCCAAAAGCTGCGGAAAAGACTCGCCTGGATGTTCTGCAGTCGTCCATCGATGGCAATCCAACGGTGCCTAAAGGCCGAGAGTCACTGGTACTCGATCGTGAGAGTTTCAAGCTCGAAGAAGAGCGTAGAAAAGAGAGCACGCGAAAATCCTCAGATGGCAGAAAGGACAAGGACTCAGGTATTCTGTCTGCCATTTTCGGAGGTGGCAAGCGATCAAAAGAACAAAAGCATCAACACCAGCCACCGAAAGAGTCTCTGCGGGCGCCCTCTCCAGATCCTATCCCGAGAATTCTTAGACCGGACATTGATTACAACTGGACAAGATTCAGTATCCTGGAAGAACGGGCGATCTACAGAATGGCCCACATGAAGCTCGCCAATCCTAGGAGGCCGCTCCACAGCCAGGTGCTGCTCTCGAACTTCATGTACAGTTATCTCGCAAAAGTACAGATGTACCATCCTCAAAGCCAGGTTCCCGTCGCACAGAAGACAGCTCAGGCTAGACAGCAGCAACAGATGCAGCAACAACAACAACAACAACAACAACAACAACAACAACAACAACAGTCCCAGCAGCAGCAGCAAGACCAGATGCAACAGCAACATCACGACGCTGCTTCGGATGATAGGGTATGTCGAAACAGTGAATCGGCCATGGACCAACGACTAACACTTTCCTAGCAGCGTCAAGTAGATCACACATCTGCTGGTGCCGAACAGTTCACTCGACCTGTCGACGGGACACCAAACAACAACTCAAGCCAGAAGGATTACTTGGGATACTCAGCTGATGCCCAGCCATTTGGCGACCAAGGCAGTCTCTGGCAAGACGAAGAGAAGAGCGAGATGTGGTGATATGTCAAAGCATATGCATTGGGAAACCGGAGTTCTTGCACAAAAGACATATGAGAGGCGTTTATTCTATCTTTCCCTTTTGGTTCTCCTTGCCATGTTGTATGCTTCAAATCCACAGCATATGGCCCACACACTCCTTCTAAGACTGTCTATAGCGGCGTCTCCACTACAGAAAGGCATCATGGCCTCCGGAGTAGAAATCAGATCAACAAGAGACATGAGTTTCGCATGTTGATCGACGTTATGATGCTTCTCGAGATTACTCTATATCCATATAGCTGCGAGAGGTGCGAGAGCTCTAGAGACGGCGCTAGCCTTGTAGGGTTATGGTCATGTGATTTTTGGTAAGGATGCCCTCAGGCCTCTGTTCTCCATCTGATCATCATTTCTTGTTCTCAGTCTCCTGCTGCGAGACGTCCTCGTGCTGCTACTGATGATCATACAGATGCTTGTCAAAGATGCAAGAAAACATGGCGAGCCAGTCTCGCTATCTGTTTACCAAAGTCCATTGGAGTTGATTCTCGAGCACTTGCTGTATTGCTAACGTCCACGCACGGCCAAATTCATGATGAACCTTGGACTAGACAAGCTAGATACGTACCAGAAACTATCTGGAAAGATGTGGTGTCGGCAGTCGATGGCACGTCACTTTCCCATTAACCGCCAGTGTCGTGGTTGGTCAAGGCATGTCCTCAAACGGGTGCATGTGAAGCAAGGCTGGTTGTGTGGCTTGCGGGCGGTGGTGTGGACTGGCCTGAGATTTGAAAGGGTCTTGGGATCTTGTTGGCTGGGAAACGCCATCGTATGCGGGATGGTCTCGAACAAACGCACGAGCGCACAGTTTACGACAGTGGCTTGACTGCTCAAAGGCTAATCGTCATTGAACGGATTATGAGACCAGGATTTGGATAGGAGAGTTGAGGTCCCGAGATCAGCGGGTTGCAGGGTGTCGAGGCTGTGCCTTGGATGGACCATGATATAAATACAAAGGGGGAGTCGTATGCACCTTGCGAAAGGCTACTCTCTATACCTCTTGCAAGTGCGACGATATTCTCACAGATTGCGTTGAACCATCGGGTAAGCTCCAATCTCATTCACCCCGCGCCCCATCACCTAGAGCGAGCGGAACACCGTCTTTCTGTGTTGTCAAAAGCCCCTAGTTTGGACCTTTCAGCTGATTCTCCTGTCGCAAAGAAGCACATCCCCCTTCTCACACACACACAGACAACCGCAAACATGGCCTCCACAGAACGCGCCCTGCCTACCAGAACGGCCACCAACATGACCGACGACGATGCCATCCCTGACGAGGACACCTCGGAGGTCACCAAGCTTTTCCACGAGCGTCTGCAAGCATGGAAGCACGCATGTGGCTACCTCGAGGACTATGTCTCGGCCACTGAGAAGATGCAACATGCCCACGCCAAGGAGTACGAGAAGGTGCTCAAGGTGAGTTCACCTATCTCCCGCTACCCTACAAAAGACACGATCTTGACAAGTCATGGCAGACCGTATCGCACCCCCTCAAGGAAGGCCACCACTTCGATCAAAACCTCGGTGGTGTCGCCGGCACTTTTGACACCATCCGCAGCAACACTCAGGTATGAATCAATCCATGTGAAGCGACAAGCAAAACACTAACGCCAGCAGGGTATCTCCAACTCGCATGCCGAAACAGCAAAGACCCTCAAGGGCTCTGTCCTTCCCATCTTCGAACGTCTCCACACCGAGATCAAGAACAAGACCAAGGAGCTCACAAAGGGTGCTGGAAAGGGAGGCAAGCTTGTCGACAAGGCCCGCCAAACCTCTCAGAAGCACATTGAGCAGCTTGGTCAGCACACAGCTGCCTTTGAAAGCACCGGAGGCAAGATCAGTGCTCACGAAGATCCCTACGTCCTTCAGCGCGGTGTCTACCACCGCTTGAACAAGCAGATCATCGAGGAGAATAACAATCGAAACGATATCATCGCGGTCCAGAACAGCTTCGCCCAGTTTGAAGCCCACATTCTTACCACCATCCAGAATGGTTTGACCCAGTTCAACCAGGTTGTCGGTATTCAGGCCGAGCAGACCCGTACAATGTATGGAAACATGACCAGCACTGCTACTCAGGTCGCACCAGACTTCGAGTGGAACGGTTTCGTCCAGCGCAACAACCAGGTCTTGATCGACCCCAACGCTCCTCCACGCAGCATGTCCAACATCAGCTTCCCCAACCAGAACCACAGATCCACTGAGCCGCTGGTCGCTGGCAGTCTGGAGAAGAAGGGAAAGCTCTTGAAGAAGTACGAAGCTAGCTTTTGGGTCATTACTCCCGCCAAGTACATGCACGAGTACAAAACGGACGACGACTTTGCAAAGGACCCCGTTCCCGAGACTTCTCTCTACCTGCCCGACTGCATGATTGGAGCTCTCGATGGACAGAAGTTCATGGTCAAAGGTAAGGACGTGAGCGGCAGCAGCTTTGGCAACAAGCTCTCTATGGCACACGAGTACGCTTTCAAGGCACACACTCCTCAAGACGCTGCCAAATGGTACGAGGCTCTGAGAGGAACATCTGGCTCGCAGACCAACGAGCTTTCTTCTACTAGCCCTGCTACCTCCAGACAGCCTAGTGCTGCCATGGGACCCGTCTCAACTGAGGAGCCCACAAAGGTCTTTGCAGAGGAAGACACACGTCCTCAAACCACCGAGACTGCCGCTCTCGATGCTGAGAAGAGGGAAGCCGCCTATGCCGCAGCGGGCCCCACTGATACTGTGGCTCACACCAGAGTGTAATTGAACACATCCAGTATGGACAAAGTAGTGGACAGTTGGACGATGATTACGAGTGGTAGATCGATTGAATGTGCATGATACCTCTAGCTAGCAGAGCAGTAATGATTAGATTGATTTTTCGTCTTGTTCATCTATGCCCTTCCCCAATCTGTCATATCCTCACATACCACCCCGCTCTCACCACAAAGCACAGGCGGAACTGAAGCCATTTAAGATGCAGAGTCTCTTCTAGACAAGAGCAGAGTCCATGGAGAGCCGATAGCATAACGACTCTCGATGGATACCTCCCATCTACCAAGGCCACTGTGCATTTCCATAGCTACTTCAGACTGCCTTGTCGTCCTTTCTAAGCATCCATCTCATCTCGTCTGCTTGCTCTTTGGTGACCAACGCCTCCAATCGTTCAATCCTCATAAAGTCATGATCACTGTACTCGAACCCCGGCACCACTGTCTCGCTAATCAATAAACCTCCATTATCAGCGGCATCTTCACCTCCCAGTGGCAGCAAAAAGCTACTCTTGTACTTTCCTCCGTCAACAATCCACTGTAGCCTTTCTCCCTTTTCTACGTTTTGGCCAACGATAAAAGTCTCGACTCTTGCTTTTGCTCTCATCCCAGAATGCGAGTCGTATTCGGGCATGACTTGGTCGGCATGAATAATGACGTAGCGGCCTCTGCCTCTGTGTAGTGTGTGTATCGTTCTGCCTCTGTTCCTGTGGAAAGCGCCCATGGGTGACTCGGGAGTCAAGAGGTAATGGATACTCGTGCTTGCATTTCTCGTCTTCTCCTGTTCGTTTTCCTCGGTCTTGTTTGTTTCGCTCTTGTCGGCTTCAGTGAGCTTGTTGTCGAGGTTTGCGCTCACGGCGCCGGTGGAGGTGTAGAAGGTCGTTTGATCAGACGAAGATGCCGAGGGAGTGGTGTTGAGGAAAGGGTTGGGAACGCGGTTGGTGTCGCGGTCGGTCTCGACAAAGTAGCCGCCTTCAATGTGTTGTTGGAGGGAGAGGAGAGAGATGAGTTTGGCTAGTTTTGGTGATTCGTTGCGGGTGGCTGAGCCGTCTTTTGGTGGGTAGACGGGCGCCAGCGGTGGTAGCGACGAGTCGATTGTTGAAGTCATGGTGGAATGTTCTGTGTGTTGTAGAAGAGGATGCTCGATGTGAAGATGAAGCTTGAAGATGATCTGCAGGAAAGCTGTTTCGTCACGGCTCGAGTCGGTCGGCGTTTGTGCCTCGTCGAATCCATATACATATCAACCTCGAGAAAGACAACGTGACTCGTGTTGTTCGCTGGAGGGTTGAACACATCTAGATCTCCATTCGGAGTCATCGACATGTGTATGCTCCTTCATCATGTGCTCAATTCTATCACTCTCATCATGCTCCACGACAACACACAGGTGGGACTGGAACCATGAAAGTGCACAGTTCTCTCTTGACGGAAGCAAGGTCCATAGAGAGCCGGCGAGATCGCGACTCTCTACGGATACGTCCTATGTGATTCAGGCACTGTGCATCTTCACAGCTGTTTGCGTGGAATATCTTTGCACAGGGCGAGGTGTGGATTTGGGTCATACGTCGGACTACTCCCACATCTGTCTTACATTGAGGTTGATCCTCTTTCGTGCCATCCACCCTTTCCAATGCTCATACGCTTCTTCATCTGCTTCAGCCCCTTTGTGAGGCCAGTCTGCCATCCATTCGGGACAGGTGCCTGGCAATATCTGTGGTACGCCATGCCATGCATAGCGAGCGGGACCAGACATGACAAGAGCATCTCCAGACCGTAGGCGGATGGCAAGACCTTTGCTGCCTTCCAAACCCGCCATGAACACGGCATCGCATCCCAAAGAAATGCTGACCAGCGGTCGATCGCATTCTTCGCTCACGTCCCGATGCAGACTCAGTGTATCACTAGGCGTGTAGAGATTGACTATGGCGGCTTGTGCTTTCATAGACGGAAACAGACCTTCGATCAATGCAGCCACATCATGTGGAAAGGGCGGCGGTGGTGATGCAGGGTATACTTTTTTGGTCCAATCGTATTGGCCGCCAATAGTGACCCAGCGCAATTTCCTATTCAGGCAAGAAGACATTGCGATGGGTTTGTGGACAGCAGGATCTTTGGGCTGGTGTGAGAGAGTTTGTGCCTCTTTGCTGAAGAAAGAGGACGTGTTTTGAGGATATGCCATGTCATAGTGCATGTGCAGGTTTGTCTTGTGAATGGGATTGGAGAGGTCGCGATGTAACAGTTTGTGCAACAGAGCAAGCTGGATCTCTTTGTGCAGCAGGGAAGGGATGATGAAGAGACCTACCGTGGACTCAGAAAAGAGGTTTGAATGCCATGTTCGGAAAGTGGGGTACCTGGAAGATGCGGGTGTTCGTACAATCTAGCAGACGTCACTGACGGCGGCAATGTATTGACATGGTCGTCAAGGAAGGTGGAACAGAGAGTGGCGAGATGATCAGGAGAGTCATGGAAGAAATTGCGGTCGTGGCAGGCAGCTAGATTAGGACGTCGAATGTCAAACAAGTCAGGGTCGTCGTCTAATGCCTGGCGAGAAAGCTTTTGGTAATGCTTGTATTGGAGTCTGAGGGCTTCAGGCGGACGAGCATGGGCGTCCATTGGTAGGGAGATTGGTTATGATGATGTTATGAAGAGGATGCGCCGAAGTCAATGTTTGTGTACATGCAACATGGGCAACAGGTCTTGGCGCGCTTTGTTGCCGACTTCTGTTTACTTTTGGTGGAGCGTAGCTTGCTGCAGAAAATAAGAGAAGTTACTTGACTTGAGTGATTGACAGCTCGCTCTCCTTGGTCTTTTAGCCATCTTGACTAACCTGCAGGAAAGCGCTTGCCTTGCCACCAGTCTGACGCTGCCCCTTTCTCGTCGCCAATCCAAGAGACAAACGGCGGTTGCTTTGAGCCCCGGACGCAGCGCATACGAATACCACACCTCGACAGCCACAACTCGACAAGCAGTCCCACTCACTTCCACAACCACTCGTCATGGAGAACTACCAAAAGATGGAAAAGATTGGCGAGGGTGAGTCGTGTCCAACGCGCCGCCCCTCAGTACGAGTGCCGCACAGCCAAAGCCCACAAACTGACTCTTGTCTTGCAGGCACGTACGGTGTTGTTTACAAAGCCCGCGACCTCAGCACTCCCGACAACCGCATCGTCGCCCTCAAGAAGATCCGTCTAGAAGCCGAGGATGAAGGTGTGCCGTCGACTGCCATCCGCGAGATCTCGCTCCTCAAGGAGATGAGCGACCCCAACATTGTGCGCCTGTTCAACATTGTCCACGCCGACGGCCACAAGCTGTACCTCGTCTTCGAATACCTCGACCTCGATCTGAAGAAGTACATGGAGGCTCTGCCCGTCTCGCAGGGAGGCCGTGGCAAGCCTCTGCCCGAGGGCTGCATGGACGGCCGCGCCGGCCACATGGGTCTCGGCGAGGCAATGGTCAAGAAGTTCATGCACCAGCTCTGCGCCGGTATCCGCTACTGCCACGCCCACCGCATCCTGCACCGCGACTTGAAGCCGCAAAACTTGCTCATCGACAAGGAGGGCAACCTCAAGCTCGCCGACTTTGGCCTGGCCAGAGCCTTTGGCGTCCCGCTCCGCACATACACCCACGAGGTAACCAATTCTCTTGACAACTTCTACACCAAAACTAACTCTTCCCAGGTCGTCACCCTCTGGTACCGCGCTCCCGAAATCCTCCTCGGTGGTCGTCAATACAGCACAGGCGTCGACATGTGGTCCATCGGCTGCATCTTTGCCGAGATGGCCACTCGCAAGCCCCTGTTCCCCGGCGACTCTGAGATTGACGAAATCTTCAAGATCTTCCGCATCCTCGGAACTCCTAGAGAAGAAGACTGGCCCGGCGTCACCAGCTTCCCCGACTTCAAGCCTAGTTTCCCCAAATGGAATCGCAACCCTGACGACGACATCATCAACCACGACGGTGCAAGAGTTCTGGGCGAGGACGGCATCGACCTCCTCGAGTCGCTGCTCATCTACGACCCTGCCGGCAGAATCTCAGCAAAGCAGGCCTGCCTCCACCCCTACTTCAACGACTCAAAGTACTATGGCGCGCGAAACGGCTACCACTGATCCGTCAACCCGCCAAAGTCACGTCTTGATGTCCCCCTTTCGTATTTCTCTTCCCCGACTCTTCATGTCCTCAACAAACCTTCCTTTTTTTTTCCTTCTCAAAACAACTACCCCAATTATCTGCATCGGCATGGCAGGCACTTCACTACTGGCGTTAACAAGGCAATCGACACGGCTTCTGGCTTTTGGTGTCTGTTCTTCATTTCTCTTCCATGCTGTTTCTACTTTTCCGCTTTCGACGACCGACTCGTCGAGCCATGCCGGCTCATGTCCCCGCTTACGTTCAGGAAAGGCTGTTTTTGGAAGGGCGTCTTTTCGATAGGCTTGTTTACTCGCAATGAAACCTTCTTCTAGTCATGTTATGTTTGCTACCTGTTATGCGTCTATGCGTGTCTGGTGATTCATGTACAACAATGTGTTTCAGTTCTCGAAAAGCAACCCCGCAGCATACTCTACATTGCCGCTGGTTGCGTTCAGTGCTGCAATCGCTTGCTGACTCGAGAATCCCAGCTTCTGCAATGTCTCAATGTCCTGCGCAGGGAAAGAGTGAGCTGGTATCGACGGCGGTAAGCCTCCTGCACCAGGTCGCTCCACACCTCTTCCACCTTGGAACTCATCTGACGGCGGCAATGCATGCCTGATTGCTCTCGCCATACCCGCAGCCCACTGCCATGGTTCGCCATGCGCTCCGGGCATTGAGTTGAAGTACTCCCAACCCATCACTCCGCCGAATGTCGGATACTTTGCCCGTAGCATTCTCATCACGTCGTGCGAGATGGTTTGCTCCACATATCCTGCTCCATTTCCTGGGTTGGTCACTAGACCGACGACAATCTTGTTTGCAGGCCATCCCATGCTCATGATGGCATCATACCAGAATGTCGTTGTTGCATCGCCCCAACCGCAGTAGAATTGCGTGTTGTACCATGCGATCTGGTCACCTCTCATCTGTTCCAAGAGTCTGTAGTCAAAGCCCGAGAGATGGGGTTGGTTAGGAAGCAATGCCGTAGCCACCGGAGCCAATGTGATGAGGAATGTAGGTCCAAAGTCTGCGCGCAAGCGGTCGACCAAACGAATCACTCCCGATATCGTCATGTGCTCTTCGACATCCAAGTCCAAGCCTTGAAGATTGCGCTTGGATATCAATGCGTGCAATGGTCTGTAGTAATTCTCAAACTACAGCAATCCCGAAACATTGCATCGTCAGCGGTTTTCTCGTACGACTGTGACATGCATGACACGCAAACACCCTCGGTTTCAAAACTCACCTTTTGATCATCAGGCCCATCCAGTCTTTCAAAACTGCCCTTTGCAGCACCACCCAGCATACCCAACACCTTGACGCCAGACGCCTGCAACCATGCCACTTCTCCCCACAGCGTTTCGTACTTGGAAGCATGCGGAGGATCGTCATTGAGAGTAATGTTGCCCGGGCCTTCGTTCAAATGTATAGCCGCCACTATTACATGCGTCACGCCCGTCTGGTTGGTAATGAGCGGTAGTAGAGACACGTATTTTCCATCTCGGTGTATTGTCTGGTGGTAGACGACGACTCGAGGTCCTTCGTTGATTGGAAGTAGTGTTGTTGTGGTTGATGCCATGAGTTTTTGTTTAACTTTAGGGTAAGAATCTTTGCTCAATATGGACAGTCGCTTCTCGTGCGTAACAAGGCAAGAGTCATGTGTGGGTTGGTGACACAAATTTGGTGAGAAGCGATCTCCTCTCGCCCGCTTTCAGGCGTGGGTCCATGCCGGCTTGGAGATCAGCGACCATCTCAAGTCTACTGACTTTAGTGACACCACACCGCTCGTCCAGTTGACTCGTGCAGCACAATTGGCTACATCCAAAAGAAGGAAACAAAGAGATCGTCATTCAATGAGTCGTGCAAAGAGTACTGGTCGAAATGCTTGTTGCTGTAAACTATGACATACTCTTGATTTTGCTGCTTATATATACAATAATTGCAGAGTGTCCGAGAAAGATGATAACCGAGAAAGTAAGCCCCATAGCCCCGAAAATCCAAATAGCCTGTACAAGTGAGAATGTTCATCAAATGGTATCATAGAGAAAATCAACAGAACGCCACCCCTTCCTTCTGACCGTGGCCTGCCTCTTTTGGAAGCATGCGATGAATAAAGAAACAAAAGAAATATAAAGTATAGGTGGAAGTGTTCACCAGGAGAACTCCTCAAGAGGGCCGGAAGTCGCGGCCATACCGGGAGCAGGAATAAGAGGTAGAACCTGAGGAGTCTCGGAGACTACTGGGATCTTCTCGTCAAAGTACTCCATCATGTCTGCTCTAAGCAAAGAAGCGGTGCGAGGTGTCGAGACGGTGGCTACGTCTGTGGCAGAATCGGCATCGTTTTCTGACTCGTCTGTGCTGTAGAGAGAGCTGGAATCGTCGTGGAAGACCTTGCCCCCGTTCGCTGAGTCGTTTCTAGCAAACTCTTCGGCTTCGGGTGCAATCGAAACATTGTCGTTTTCTAGGTCTACACCAATCAGCCTCGTGCATGGTAATGGCAGCATTAGACCTAACATACCCGAGTCGGAACCTTCCGGAAGAGCGATGTTGGCAGCGTCGACATGGTCTTCGATCTCGTCTTCGAGAGCAAGATGCTCCTCTGCATCTTCGAACAGGGCATCGTCGAGTGCGTGTTCCGAGTCTGGTTCTTCTGAGTCTGTCGAGTGCTGTTCTGTTGCTTGGGTAGGTTGTTCCGGTGTGATTTGTTCGTCATCATCTTCCAGAGCTCTCCGGGCGTTCAGCTCAGCCTGCAGCTCCAGGTATGCTTCTTCCAAGTGTTCGTCGTCGCCATCTTCGCTTCCAATCACACTCAACCGTCGGATCGAAGTAGCGTCCAGCTCGCTGAAGAGGTCGGAGTGATATATGGGCTGACCGGCATCGGACTTGGAGCGATGCTGAAGCACGGGTGCAAGAGAGCCAGGAAGCTCAACGGGAGCACAGTATAGACCACCGCCTTGAGGTAGCTGACCGAATATGGGCCATGATGGAATGTCTGGGCTGTTAAAGACTTCGGGAGCAGCGACGGCCGATGCCGATCGTGGACGTGGTGGGCGCGTTGGCGCTTGTGGCTTCACGACTGCAGAAACGTTGGTGTTGAACTTCCGGCGCCGGAACAGATTTCGAAGAGCGCGTTTGAACTGTCCATACGTGTCGGAGGGAGATACTGGGGACATTGTTAGACAGACCGCACACGGACTCGGAGTCGAGACGACAAGCGATACTGACATGATCCAGGCATTATGTCACACTGGTGGGGCGCTTGCACAGGGCGTGTGCTGTGCAGAACAGGGAAACGGAGATTCTGAGAACAGACGGAAAACGAAGGGTCGAAAAGGAAGGTGGGCAATCAGGTGCAGATACAAGGGAAAGAGCTGGAGAAAAGAAGAAGGGAGCGATGCATGCTTGCGCCGAGGAGGGCAAGAGCGACAGGTGCAGCTAAAGACATCTTTTCAATTCGTGTCTCAAGCCAGTAGATGCGGACCCAGACATGTCCAGCACCCAGCCGGCATTGTGAAGCTTTCGCGGACCTTTCTAGCGCCGATTGACGAGGGTCGAATGCAATCTCGAGCCAGCCGCTTATTGGCCACCCCGCCCTAGCTACCACAAAAATCGTCCGGCTACGCTGATCATCAGCTTCCCACGCGCTGACTCGCTCCCTCTAGCCTCCGGACTATCGCTATTTTGCCTTTTCCCTGTGCGCTGTCCAATATCCAAATCTCCTCTTTCGTCCCTATTTGCAAGCCGTCACACGTGCGTCCGACGCTCTTCCTCGACCTGCATATGTACACACAAGTTCCCCAGTCGCCGTTGGCCATGTGTGCATGAAACATAAACCTTCTTTTCCGCATCCGAGCGCTGGTGTATGCGAACCTCGCAAAGACGTTGAAGCCACGCCGCTTATTCTGTCCTATCGCCTCGCCTATCTTCGTCGCCGTTAACCTTCCAGAATATACAATATGATACATACGCGTCGTCTGCGACGTCCTATCATCCTGGTCGATTGAAACCTGGCGGGGCTTTTGACCATGGTGCTCTCGTGACATTCACTGAAGACGGTGGCCCATTTGCTGCCCATGGTGCGCCCGTCATAGGTGTTGCCGACATTGATGGTGCTGCACCCGACCACGGAGCCCTAGCTGATGGCTGGGAAGAGTCCATGTTGGTCGTGCTGGGCGGTTTCATTGGCTTGGGTTGGGATCCCATGTGAGCAGACGTGACAGGCATCGGAGCACTCGGATCTTGCTCCCATCGAAAGAGAGAACCAAGAGGGAAGTGCTGAACGACTGGAAACTTGGAGAGGACTTCGGCATTGTACATCTTAATCATCCCCTGCTGATCTGTTAGCAACCAAAAGCTCTACTGGTATCAGGATGCTCATAGCTTCTAACCTTGTTAATCTTGGCCCAGCCGTCCTTGATACCGGATATGTCGAACAAGGTAGGACTGTGCTCCCAGAAGGGGCCCTTCTTGACATCGAAGATGAAAGCAATGGCAGAGAAGTACATGTTGGTGTCTCTGTATATTGCGGCCGAGTCGCTCTTTGCAGTCCTGTTTGGCGACGGCGAATTTTTGAGCGAGCCTTCATTAGGAATCTTGGTCGAGTCGACGTCGATAGGTGCACAGTATTGAGCAGAACCTAGGATATACGGTATGAACGAATGATCGTCAAGGCCCCAGACTCCATGGGATCCAGCAGGCTCAAGAGAATAGGTCAGGATGAGTTTGCGGACAAGGTCTAGATATCTGTGTGGTTGTGAGCTGGTCGTCAGCAAGTAAGATCAAGACAGAAGCTCACGGTTGTATAATGGCTGTGGCAATGGCTCTTTCTTGGACGCCCGGATCGGCATGGGCGAAGCCACCCAGCTTCCAGACACAGGCTAAGAAGGCAAGGAAGCTAAGCTCATGGCCTGTACCATAGTCAAGTCTTTCGGGACTTCCAAAACTACCCAGAAGGTATGCAGCCAATTCGGAATTTAGTACATTCAGCTCGGCGTCGTCCCGAGCACGGCCCCACAGCTTGTTCGAGAGGGCGTTTCGCAAAAGAGATGGAGTGGCGTCTCGAACAGCCTTGTGCCAGGTACGAAAAGCTGCGTTGCCAAACCTCCGAGGGCCAGACTCTGGAGGTGCTTTGTCCATGAGAGCATCGAGTGCGCCGATGAGTTGACTCAGCTTGGCCACGTCGGGTGAAATGGTTATGTTCTTGGACTGCAACGGCCATGTGTCTACAAGGCTTGGGTCGCTCGCATGTTTGATAGGAATCATAGAGCGATTCAATTGAAGGACCCAGGTCATGATGTCGGCGTAGGCAGAGCTTCGCAAGAAGAAAGAGAGGTCGTCGCCATCGTTGATGCGTTTGGACGGCGTCTCGAAGGCGTGTTGGACCGAAGGAGCCATGACCTGCAGTAGAGGAATGCCATGGCCGTTGCGCAAGTCGTCAGTCATGATCGGATAAGTTTGTGGTGTTGGATGTGGATGGCGCTTCCCATGTCGCTTCTGACTTCTTCCACGCTGCACGCCGTTGGTCCAAGCGCGCATACCACCGCCAACAACGCCAACCTCTTCTCAGCCATCTACCATTGCACTGCATGTAGAACCATCGCATATATTACAGCGCAACAATTTGACCATGTCACATCATGGACCTGTATGACCTCCCAATGAGCGGAAGCTCAGATGAGGAGCCGGCCGAGGACAACAACATTCTCGACCTCGGCCAAGAATTGCGAATATCAAAACTCGGAAGCAACATACCAATTCCCTCTCAGTCCGATATGCCTGGTATACCTCTTCCTTGATACTTCTGCTTTTCCGAAACTGATTACATGTGATAGAAAGCGAGGGTCCGGAAGAACAAAGTTATGCGCCTGTCGCCTTGATCAACTCTGTGATCATACCTAGTCCTGATACTTCCTGTCTTCCGGGAAAGTTGGCCTCTACTGTTCCTGGAAAGCTGAAAAGGCCCTCACTCAACCAATCTCACAGAGGAACCACACTTGTCCCGCGGGGCGACGTTTTCGCCATCGATGCCTTGCCCGGACCCAATTTGCAGTCAAGCTCTAGCTTACCACGGAGAGAACCCTCCAGAAGGTCAAAACGGATTGCGTCTCCAAGACGCCAGCAGAGACAGATAAGGACTGCCTCGAGACTGAACGGTTTCGACACAGATGCCTCATCCAATCGTGTGGTTGAATCACATTCCACCATGAATCGTGCACACCCAAAGGATAGACCCCAGGAACCTTCGAGGAAGCGCCAGAAACTCGAGTCAACTCCAGTCACTCGACATCAGCTTCATCGCTCAGCGCCCACAATGCATATGTCTGATCAAGAGCGCGAAGAGTCATCTGCTCCCACTTCAACAAGGGGAAAACGAACAACACGCTCTACGAAGGAACCAGAGCTACTCGCGTTCGATTTGACGCGACGTAGACAAGTCGTAGAGGTTGTGATTGATAATGCCGCTTCGATCCAGCGCCTGAGTCATAATGCACACACCGGCAATCAGCCACCATCTCGTCCGGCCGTTGTCCAAAATCCCAAGCCTACAGTGAAGTTTCCAGTCCTGTCGACAAGTGTTTTGCACGATCAAGATTATACGGATTCAACTCAAGAAGCAGGTTCGAAGAATTCTCCATCAAACGAGGCTAACGACGTGCAATCGATCGTAGTGGAACAGGGTCCAGAGCCGCCCCGGGAAGACTCTGCTCTTTTTGCATCGAATACGCCGCCTGCAAGAGATGCGCGGGCTCAGGCTGAGTTGCGGTCGCAAGACATTCGAAGAGCACATGAGCTGTACGATACGGATGGTCTCAGACTCATGTCTGAGAGCCCCATTGCACAGACTGAAGATTTCAGATATGAGGCTGATAGCTCGAAAGATGTTCTTATGCCAGAACAGCTGAACAGGGCTCTTGAAAACGCACACGATATACACAGAGATGCTGAGGATGAGTCGCTGTGCAAGGAGTTCGACGGTGTTCGAATCCTGAAAGATTACGACAGTCTGAAAAGTATCATCGGGCAATGGAGGACCGCGCAGGATTATGGCCAAACTGACGAGTTGATCCAATTGTCGAATCATATCACAAAAGAAGCCAAAGCTATCCTTACGAAGCCCGGATGGGATCGACGTAAAGGACTGAGCTACATACACACACGAGTGCTACCGACACTTGTACGTACGCTGTACATCTCTCTGGCATACTACCTCGCAGAAGTCAACACGATGAAGCGAATGTCGTATGAACAACTGAATGCATCGAAAAGCGTGGTAAAGGCTATCGTCCACCTCGTAAATCGAGTCAAATATGCCAGGCCAACATATCATCGATCACAAGATGTTATCTCCATGGTCGCCAGGATAAAGGAGACAGCCGAAATCTTCGATCGACTGCTGAGAGCATACAGACAGCAGAAAGCAGTGGCGGACTCTGCCCAATGGCAGCAAACTCAGGAATTACGACAGGAAGTATGTGATCGAGAAGAAGCATTTGAGTTGGAACTGAGAGAATGGAGACAGCGTTGGCGAGTGCTCCATGACCAAAGGCTTGGTGCGGAAATGGAGGGTCGCACTCTTCTGAATCGCGAACAAGGCCATCACTTGCGGCATATTCCGCTTGACAATCCTCATGTTCTTCCTCCTTACTGGGATGCAGAGGCGCATGTTGCCTTTCTGGTTGACGGACTCCAGAGATTCGCAGGTATGTTTTATCTTTTCATTGCTATCGTCATACATTACTGACATTCTCAGGACCCAACGTGTATCGAGAGATTTTTCGCGAATATTGTGTGTATTCTGGACCCCTTCGGGCTTTCAACGTGGCAGAGATAATCGATAAAGCGGTCTCGCTCAAGCAACAATTGGTGAAATTGGCTGAGGAGGACGAAGAAGAGGTTGATCAGTGGGTCAATGCTATATTCGATCCTCGAGTGCCTCCGGAGGGCTTGCGTCGAGGCGGGCATCATTTTCAAGGCTAGTTTGTGATGGATCTTACTCGGCACACATGATGTAGAGCTCAAACCTTTGTTGACTTCGTATCTCTCTATCGACTATTTATAAGACTTGGGGCACTTTACTACACTGATGCTGTGCCTCTTCGTGCTGCTTCAGGAATTTTGTTGGCACTATCACCCTGATCCAGATTTCCTAGCAAATTATCTCCAAGCAACTCCCTACGTTCTCCCGTCTATTCTGTCAGTAAGAATGTCAGTGACGCTCTTGAGCTATCAATGGCACAGTCTCATAGAGATGTAAGCATGTGATATACGTCACATGTTGTAAAACGACACGTTGTGCTGAGACCACGATATCTCCAAATTTCGTAAGCGTTACCGTATTATCCATGACCAATTCAGCACACGTTGGTCGCGCGAGTTTGATGTCAATGACCACACTGAGTTGATATATAGCAAGCATATGAGCAATTAAAGTGAGATATGGGACCAGATATATCCGCCTCAAATGCCTGTTACCACTCGACCTCTGTCAACTTGACCCGCAAGCCATTCTTAGGTCGAGAGGTGATGCCACTCTTGACCTCCAGAACATAATCCTTGTCTTCGAACTCCGTCTCAAACTTACCAATCCAAGCTGCAAGAAGACAAGCAAACTCGGCGTTGGCGAACCCTTGCCCGATACACGACCGCGGCCCGTGGAGGAAAGTCATGAAGCTGTAGTTGGACTCGGCACCGCCGTTCTTATTACTGACACCATCCGTCAACCAGCGCTCCGGCTTGAAGTCCATAGCGTCATCGCCCCAGAGGTGTTTGCTACAGTTGATTGCAAGTGGGGCAAGGACCACGAGCGTTCCCTTGGGGATAGGATGACCGTTGATGGTTTCGTCTTGAGCGGCAACCCTCATGGTCAAAGCTACAGGAGCCCAGAGGCGAAGAGTCTCTTTGCAGACTGCTTGGAGGTAGTGGCAATTGTCGATATCAGCAGCAGTAATCTGAGCCTGGGCGTCGCGAACCGAGGGCAATTTGGAGTGTATCTCATCACGTAAACGGGTCTGCACATCAGGATGGCGGCACATCATATAAATGGCCCATTGCATGGATGAACTCGTAGTCTCGTGTCCCGCGGCGCTGAAAGTAAGGTTAGCGCAGCCCATAGAAACAGCAAGCATTTGAAGACATACAGGAAAGTCATCATCTGGCTGACGAGGTTTTCGTCTTCGAAACTTCCACTTTTCAGAGCAACACTGAGAATGTCCGTCTCATCTGCACCGCCCTTTTCCATGCGGATCTTCTTAGCAGCGATCAAATCGCGACAGGTCTGCTTGATGAGAGCAGACCCTTCTGAAATCTCATCGTTGCGCTTGAGCGGCAGACTCTTGAGGAACCACCGAGGCAAGAACATGCCGGCGACTTGCAAGTATCTGGCAGACTTGGGTGGGTGGAAGATGTTCTTGTAGGTCTTGCTCAGTTCGTTGTCTGGGTTCTTGAGAGCCTCAAAATCGCGCCCCATACCGGCGACTCCGATGATGTCCAGTGTGGCTCTACTGCTCCAATCGCTGACTTCGACGACATTGGCCGCGCTTCCATCCCGAGGAAAATCTTCTTGTATGGCAGTGGACATTCTTTCGACCATTTCTGTTGACTTTGACCAGAATACAGGATAAAGATCTTTGATGTGTCTGTACGAAAATGCGGGCATGAGGTTCTTGCGTTGGGTCCTGTGTTCATCGCCCTCTGCGAATAAGATTCCTATGCCTAGGATCTTACCGATGATATCGAGGAAATGTGCCGGTTTGATAAACTCATAGTTTTTGCTCGAGAGAACCTCTGCAAGAGTCTTTGGATTCGTCAAGAGCACTCTCTCGGAGTTGAACCAATTGGTATATCTGATGAGACCGTCGTTCGGAATCGCACCTATCCATTCACGCATCGGATGACCAGAAGGCTGCGCCATGATTATTGACGCTTGACCATTCCACCAACTGCCTCCTGAAGGCTCAGGTAGGCCCTTCAGAGGACTTATAAAATTTGGGTATATGATGACTCTCCATGTTGCCCAAGCGATGAATTCGGTGAAGGCAATGAGAAAGAAGGTCTGAAGACGTGATCCAGGGGCGTAGGCAGGTGCGTAGTGCGCCAACAGCATCGACGCTGCTGCTGAACTAACGAGAATCGGGAGCTTCGGTGGCATGTTCGTGCAGGGTATCGATGCCCCAAAGTTGAGTGTTTGCTTGGAGAGTAACACAACGTGTACGACGACCAGATACGAAAGGCTGTATGGCTATGGAGTTGCCACTTGGGGCAGGCGGTCAGCGTATCGGCTCGGGATCTCGGTGATGTTTCGGCCGTTACGGATGATCGCTTATACAATGACGTTATTGGGGTCGATAATGCAATTATGTCTAAACTTATGCCCCTCATGACGGTTTCTTGCGTGAATCATGTCAAAGTTGGGCGTTCTGTACAATATGATTTGCGAGCGATTGATTTCTAAGCATCCAGGAGCTAACAAATGGTGCCAGTATATAACTTCTCCCCCACCAGAGCAGAGGCTCAATTGCATACATCCACTTAGGAAATAAACCTCTCATCATGCCTGAAGCCATCTCTCACCACAATGTTGTCGAGAACGTAGTTGGAGAATCTCAACACATTAATCGCGCTTCTCCTGCAGTATGTCATGATCGATGTCAGAATGTGAATATGTTAAACAGCTACTGAGCGATCTACTAGGTTCCCTACTTTACTCCTCTCCAATCTCCTCCCGCAGGTGCAGCTTTTATCCGTGAAGATGGCAATCCTGTCCCTAAGCTGTTTCAGCCCTTGAAGCTGCGTGGCTTGACTCTTCCTAACCGCATTTTCCTATCTCCTCTATGCCAATACTCTGCAGCTGATGGTCACTACGGCGAGTGGCACATGGCCCATATTGGTGGTATCGTGTCTCGCGGCCCAGGCATGACCATCATCGAAGCAACGGCCGTTACACCGGAAGGAAGAATTACTCCAGAGGATGTTGGTCTCTGGAAGGACAGCCAGATTGCGCCATTGAAGCGTGTCGTCGACTTTGCTCACAGCCAAGTAAGTAACAACATAATGTAGATTGTATTGCATTCGCTGACTTCAGCGGCCAGAACCAAGTCATTGCTATCCAACTCGCACACGCTGGTCGTAAGGCGAGCTGCGTGGCTCCCTGGTTGAGTGCAGCTGCCGTCGCACCAAAGGAGCAGAACGGATGGCCAGACAATGTCCTTGCGCCTTCTGCTATTGCTTGGAACGAGCACCATGCCCAGCCTCGTGCTATGACCCTCGAGGACATTGAGAGCTTCAAGAAGTCATATGCTGACGCTGTCCGTCGTGCTCTGACCGCTGGATTCGATGCCATTGAGATTCACGCTGCTCACGGTTATCTGCTTTGCTCATTCTTGTCTCCCACGTCGAACCAGCGTACCGATCAATACGGCGGAAGCTTCGAGAACAGAACCAGACTTCTCCTCGAAACTGTCGACCTTGTCAGAGAGATCGTACCTGAGACTATGCCCATCTTCGTCAGAGTCAGCGGAACCGAGTGGCTCGAGGAGGTCGAAGAAATCAAGGAGAGCTGGACTTCAGAGCAGACCGTTGAGCTTGGAAAGATTCTTGCTGACCGTGGCGTCGATTTGATGGACATCAGCTCTGGTGGTAACCACCCCAAGCAGCACCCTCACGCCGCACCCGGATACCAGGCACCTCTCAGCAAGGCCGTCAAGAAGGCAGTCGGCAACAAGATGGCTGTCAGCGCTGTTGGCAGCATCCACACTGGCAAGCTAGCAAACGAGCTCCTTGAAGACGGTCTCGATGTTATCATGGTCGGTCGTCTTTTCCAGAAGAACCCTGGTGTCGTCTTCTCGTTCGCCGAAGAACTTGGCGTCGAGGTCAATATGCCCAACCAAATTAGATGGGGATGGTCAAAGAGAGGTGCTTCTCAGTTGAAGACTCTGCTAGAAGCCAACCTTTAAGATGACTATGAGATGATTGGTAGGTCCGCAGATTAGATTAGATCACAGAGATATGCACCAGCTCAGAATAAATTTCGTAGAACAAATGATCAAGTCATGTTAGACTCATCAACTAGTACGTACGTTCCAGCAAGGTTGATAGGAGAGCAGGATTGTAAAAATGTCTGAAATTGATTAGATGCAATACGAGAACCATGGTGCCAAGTCCGAAAGATGACGGCAAAACGCGAACAACGCCCAAGCAAGTATGGCGCAGACAGGAAAGAAAACGAGCGAGAGATGGAAGAATTAATGTGGAATGGAACTCGAGAAGAAGCAAGAAACAAGGAAATCATCCGGGTATCGCAGAGGGTATCGTGCTTTTCAACAAAGGAGATCTGGAGGGGTTGTTGGATGGGCTATCATCTTGGTGCAGGGTTTGGCGGATTGAGCTCGACAACGAGTTCACCTGGACGGAGGCCTTTGACTTCGTGCCAGAGTTCTCGGTCCGTGAGCTGAGTGGCAGCGAGCCATGCATCTTCATCGACGATTGTGCTTGCTGGTGACGAGGCAGCACTGGAAGAGGAAGGGAAGTGTTTGTTGAGGAGGTAGGGGTAGTCGCTGGTGAGTTTGGAGTCGTGGTGTAAGACGTCGATGAGCTCGCTGCAGGCAGATTAGCGCGTGTGTGTAATGTGACAGCGAAGGACGCACTTGGATGTCTGGGCACAGATGCGCTCCAGGACCTCGCGCTCTCTTCTCAGCTCCTCCGGGTCGGGCTCTGGGAGTGTCGCGCCAGGCGTCACGGTGCCATACTGGGGCTGGGCTGCATCTTGGTACAAGAGACCTTCGCTCTCGGACGCCTTTACCAAGTCAGCAAGGGGCAGCAAGCACCGTGATCAGAATGTACTCACTTCACGCGCAGCTTGCCGGTCAAGGCCGAGACAGCTCGCGCAGATACCCATGGTCGTTGAACGCCGCTGTCATCGAGGAATGAACGCCGAACTGATGCTGTCTCATCCGCGCCCGCCTATCCGTCCATATATACACGCTTTGTGCCGATTTATGCACCCTATGCCAAGCCTCAACCATCTCCCAACCATCACTCCTACAACATGCCTCTCTTCCGCAACACCATTCCATACTCATCACATACCTCATCCTTTGTCCGAGACCACATACGAAAGTCGTGAAACACTACCCGAGAGTCACTATTCCTGGAAATCTCAGAGTCCTCTTCTGCGTCGGAACTCTTCTGAGTCGTAGGTAGGTAGCTACCATTCGACTTTTACTGCCCCTCAAGCGCTGCACTTTTCCGTATTTCTTGCACCCATGAATATGTCTTTCCTTTTTCCTGTGTCCTCGTCATTTCCCCATGATTCAAGAGCCCCAAAATGTGTTTCATGATTCAAGCTTAATCCTCTATGTGGTTGCCCCTGCAGCCTGTTGCCTTCATACCTTCGACTTCGGGGAATGTATACCTCAATATTGCGTACGCGACGAGACGCGCTTGCACCATATCTCTACCGCATGAGCTTCTATGCTGCAAGGCATACTTGCCACCTAGATCGGTGGCTGTCTCCTGATTTACGCGTGCGCTCGGTAGCCTTTCTGTGCACCTATATAGCCCACATCTTCTCCCATCAGACTAGAAACATATCGCGATAGAACGCTACTTCACACAGAGTACAGATACCATCCCTCGCTTGGTGTACTCTCAAACATGCGTTCATTCGTCTTCTTCTCAACATTCGTTTTGAGCTTTGCTCTGTTCCAACTTGTCGCTGCCAGAGCCACTAACCAGCAGAAGCGCACTGAGCAGGAAACCAGTCCCAATGGAGTCGTGAACTTCATCAGAGATCTGTTTGGCCTCACGGCTCGTCAGGAACAGGTCTGTGTTGAAGATGATATCTACACCGAGGTCAACCAATATCCCCACGCCAATGAATTCTGCAACCGATTCCTGGGCAACCCTCCGGACATCTTAGCCGTTTACACTACTCCTGTGACGTGAGTCTCACCTCTCTTGCACATTGACGATCTTTCTGACTTTCTCTCAGTACTGTCACCGACACATACACGACCATCACCAGAACCACAACCAGCACGATCCCAGTCACCGCTACCGTGGCCGCTGGTGTCACCGCTGGTGCGAAAGCCAAGCGTAGCCTCACGAAGAACAGGTTCGACTCTGGTGCAGTCGCTCGGTTCATCCGAGTAGCTGAAGACAACGGTACTGCCACTGTCACTGCCGATGCCTCTTTCATCTCTGCTCTCTCTAGTGCCTGTAGTTGTCAGCCTTTGACTAGATCCACTTCTACTGTTACCTACACCGAGGATGTTTCGGTGAGTTGGTCGAAGCCTGAGCTTGATGGGGACACCACTAATCCGTCTCAGACCTTTACTCAGCGTGCCTATGCCAACACAGTACAGACTGTGAACGCCACGATCACTGCTGCAACTGTTTCCGCCGCTGTCACCAGTGTTCCTACCGCCGATATCCCGTCTGCGGATTCAGTGCCTCCAACTAGGGTCTCTAGCTCTGCAGCATCATCGCCTACCCCAATCTCTCCCGCCATCGTCTGCCCCAACGATGATAACACTATCGACAGCCAGCTCATTGATGGCCAGCTATTCCAATATCTCGTACAGTGTGATACTGACATAACTGACGATAACTTGGCGCAATTCCGTTATCAGACATTCACCGAGTGTACCGCCGCTTGTGGTAGTGCCAACTACGGATTCAGCTCGCCCGTCTGCCAGGGTGCTGTCTTCTATCCTGGTGCGGACTCGGGCTCGAACTGTTTCCTGAAGAAATCTGCCAACTCCACCGTCGTCGCTGGAGGCATCAATACGGTCGTTCTCCTGAGAATTGAAGTCGCAGTAACCGACACCACTCCTAGCGCAGTATACGTTCCCTCTTCAACATCTGCCAGTGTCGACACTTCTTCCATGCTCTCAGCCATTCTCCAGAACAGCACCACCTCCATTCCTATCATCACGCCTCTTCCTGCAGTCGCCCACGCAAGATTTGCCACTAGTTACTCAACCTATGTCTCTGGAGGCAGTACATATTCATCTGCCGAAGTCTATTCCACCTATGTCTCCAGTAACGGCTCGTGGTACGAGTCCTACTACACCACATACACCGTCGCTTGGGCAGCCTCCTCGACCCAGGAAATATCCTACGCAACCTCTTCCTCCTCCTCCAGCGGTAGCAACGGCGAATTTGGAGGTGGTTCGAGCGGCGGCGATTCCTCGAGTGGATCTACTGGCTCCTCTGGAAACTCGACTGGAAGCAATGGTGGAAGCAATGGCGGTGCTGCTGGCGGCTCGGGCTCCGGATCGAGCTCCAGCGGTTACACCATTACCACGACTGTCTATAACAACACTGAGACCAACGGAAACCAAGAGATCCGCAATGAGACCGTTGTGACTACGTACAATTGGTCAAACGGAACCACCACATCGTCTTCAACCACAACAATCACTCAAACCACCATTGGCTCCTCGTCAGGATTTACTTCTGGCAGCTCTTCCGGTGAGGCTGGTGGTTCATCCGGCGGATCCAGCGGCTCCAACAGCGAATCAGCTGGCAACTCTAGCGGCTCTGCCGGAGGCTCGAATGGTGGTGCAAACGGTGGGGGTAATGGTGGAGCCAGCGGCGGAGGCAATGGAGGTGGCATCACAAATGGCACAATCATCGTCACCAACTCTACAACCATCACCAACGGCACCATTTCGGTGAACGGAACGTCTGGCGGTGCAAATGGTGGCAGCAATGGTGGATTTGGAGGTGGTTCGGGCGGCGACGTCAGCACCGATATCATCGTCTCCACGATCTACTCGACCGCAATCTCTACTGTCTACGTCACTGCATCATCTCCATTCACGAACTCCATGTCAGATGCTGGCCGTTCAGGTTTCGAGTCGCCGAGTTCCACTCCTTTCCCCACCCCCACACCATCTTTTCCTTTCAATGGCACCCTCAGTACCAGCATTCCCCTGTACAACAGTTCTAGTGGGGTTTATCTTCCACCCTCAGTAACTGGTTTGCCCAGCGGCTCGCCCTCGCCGTCCGCGAACGCCACGACTTCTACTCCTTTCTCGCCATCATCTTCGGGAGGAAATCGTTCCGGCACAGCAGTTCCTGTGACAACTCCGTATGCGTTCTCGAATGCTTCGATCACTTTTGGACCTACTGGTACCGGACCCATTGGCACTGGACCCATTGGCACTGGACCCATTGGCACTGGACCCATTGGCACTGGACCCATTGGCACTGGACCCATTGGCACTGGATCAAGCCCATTCTCTGGCTCCACTCCCACCGGAGACCGTACTGGCAGTTTATCTCCGCCTTCATCGACTCCGGTCACTAGCAGCACTGTATCCGTTCCTTTGAGCACTGGCGTGCCGAGCCCGAACACGACTTCGACAGCGCCATCTGTCAGCTTCCCCTTCCCTATCAGTAACTCAACATTCGCTGTTCCGACCGGAACTGCCCCTTCGGCTAGCTTCCCCTTCCCCACAGCAAACTCGTCCTTGTCTCTGCCTATCGCAACCGCACCATCTGCCAGCTTCCCATTCCCGACTGCCAACACCACAATCTTCGTTGGTCCCACCGGTACTGGCCCATCATCCGGCTTCCCCTTCCCCACAGCAAATTCTTCTATTCCGATCAGTCCCACTGGCACCACTGATCTGCGCAGCGGCACTCGTTCCCCTTCTGGACCTAGCGCCACATTCCCTTCGGCTGCCAATGGTACATGTACCGACATGACACCTTTGACCGTGACGATGTTCTCTACGGTGACTGAGGCAGCCACTACTGTGTATGCTACTACCACGTTGCTTGGTTGCTACTCCAATTGTCCTCCAGCAGGCCAGGGTTATTACGGACCATTTGGTGGATTCCCTAACCCCTCTACCCCAGCCACCACCTCTCCTGCTTGATGGACGCGAATGAATTCTCACGACTAATGGATGCAATGTTCAGGTTTGAGATGACTAGATTCTCACAATCTACCAGCTCCGAACTAGAAGAAAACGTATTGAGGAGGTTCGGGATACGGAGATATAGCTTTGATTTCGTCATTTCTTAGCGATGATTATGAGTAGCTTTAGACGAACTTAGTAGCATGTTACATAGCAGTCTTATCAACCACCTTGCCGTCACAAGACTGTGCAGCACTTACTAAGTCTCTACCAGATCATGTGATGCAACACGCTAGGATTGCTAAAACTCCAACGCGTTTCTCTTTCTTTTTGTCTCGTTTCCTCCCGATCATCGATTGCTTTGTGCAAGATATCGACTCATTGACACATGAGGTGTAGTGGATGGAAAGTCAATCCGACTAAGCGTCGTGATGGACTCCATTGGTCAACATCATGGTACCTGCATGTATGCACCCGAACACTGCACAACTTGCACAATTTCTCACAAGCACGACACTTGATGCACAAATTGTGAACAACCATGATTTTCGTATATTCGGATACTTGAAAGGAAAAGAGATGAGGACATGAAAATAAGAGAAAGGATACGAGCTAAGAGAAATAAGCAGAACAGACAACCGAAATCTGGAACCAAGGCTCCGTAGGCCTCTCAGGTCCGGATCGTTGCCTCGATTGACGTTCATCCGAGCTGGGAAAAACAGCATTGGCTGAGTGAACGGGAGGAACGCTGGACAATACCCAAACCATCAGCGTGACTTTCCAATCGCCTGAGTCTTTCGCTGCTTCTCGATCTGCAACTGGTAAATCTCCTGGTCGAGGTCTTTGACAATCTCGTAAGATCTCTCGATGGATGCCTTCAGCTTGCTGCCCTCAGATTGCCATCGCTGGATCTTTACCACTTCCGCAGCACGACGGCGGAGCTTGGTGTCAATTTTTTGACAGATCTTACACTTGTCGTTGCTCCTGATGACTGCATAGACAAGCTTCATACCGCAGGTCTCTCCGGTACGGTACTCGCGGTTGCAGTGCTGGCGGAAGCGGTCCCACTTCCAGTCGCTGCAGGTCCACATGACTTGATCGAAGAAGCACATGTCTCTTCTTGAGGATTCTGAAGCTCGTCAGTATGTAAGGCATGGACATCTCAAAAGGTATTGACCACGGACCGAAATCTGGTTGTATACTGGGGCGAGGGGATGGTTTCAACAAGACTCGGATCAACAAAGAGCAGAGATGAGTAGTCAACGATGACTCGGACTACCGTCAATTGGACTTGAGCTGAGGTAGGAGGAAGAGGGAGAGGAAGAGAGAGGATGTCAAGATTGGGTGCTTGGATGGTTGCAAGGGATTTGGGGCGAGTCAATGGCTGATGAGTCTGTCTTCTGGAGGACCTTGGACCAGCTATTTATGTCATTTCTGGCATCAGGAGACTTCGACTTGGTCCAGCCTGCATTGCTTTGCTGTCAAGTATACCTGCAACGACTCCCACCATTCTGCAAGACCGCGCCCGGTGTATCCCCTTGGACCAGTCAATCGATACTGCAGACATGCAATGGGGTACCATTGACGCTAGTCGATCTTCGAGGATGGGCCAATATGACAGCTCGACCCTCCATCGCTTGTAAGGATATGAGCAAGAACATCACACCTCCGTACGATCACCGGCGGTGTGGCTTTTGCTTTGCTCGCCTATTCCTTCTAGCCGGTTCACGATGGCTCAGGTTCGAACTCACCGTCATACCTTGGGGCGTCCTGGATGTGTTGTCGTGGTAGAGCTCCCGCAATGTGCGTATATCTCGAAGCTTCAGGAGTCATACCAGACCTCTCTCTCTGATATCACGTGGCCTTCTCCCTCAAGCACAACTTGCAGTTTGTTTGTTTGTTTACCTTGGCAGAGACCTCTGCCCATCGGGCAATCTTTTTTCACTCCAGTCCGGACTTTGCTGAGCCAGGGAGTCTCTTTGCTCTAGCTGGTCATACCCGCATGTGTCGGCTGTTCTTGCTCTCTGGTCTGCTATAATCTCGAGAGAGAGAGGCGGCGAAAGATGATGCGCATGCTGGCTCGGTACCAGGAATGTAGTTTATTGAGCTGGCTAGCAGGCATAGTAGCGGCCGGAACGTCGGATGACTCGATACGAACGGTCTGCCATGGCCCTGTTGCTGAAGAATGGCCGAGAGAGTTTGAGGCTTGCATGCAGCATTCATTGACTTGGCGAGAGCATACGCGGACAGGAAGCATCGGTATCCAGTCAGCTTATCGTCAAAGACTGCGATCATGTCGGAACATTACCACATGGGTGGAGCATTGCCCGCAAACAAAGTTTGGCCGCCCTTGGTCCACGCCTCATGCGTCTCCTCGCTACTCGGACGATCGTCAAATCGCAGCTCGGAGCCGGAAGCAGCATAACAGGTCAATTCAGCGCAGACGGCAGCGATGGGCTGATGATATCGCCTAGGCCTGAGGAGTACCTTCGTCACCCGTCACCTCAGGCGATCACGGCTGGTGCTGGCCCACGCTAGAACTGAGAGGATGCTCCTTGTCTCCGCCCTTGTGACGTGGCGAAAGGAGTATGGTGGGCTAATGAACAGACTGCCTTCACTGTCATTCTTTCTGAGTCGGTTAGCAGGCTAAAATGACGATCAGGAAAGCTTTTTGATTGATCTAGTGCGATACCATTCTCCATCACAAGGCGCCTGTTGAGGCAACCGACAACTGCCCCCTTGGTTAGCATGGGCAAACAGTCTGCATCAGATTACTGTTCGTAAGCGACAGTAATGCATGACTTCTACAGACCACGAATTCTGATGGCGGGTAGCTTTATGCACGCCCAGCGACAGCCCTGATGTCCGGACTTCCCTCCTGGACAAATCTGACAATTTGACACACACCGTGGCCATGTAGGCACAGAAGCCGAGAACAACGATCAATCATCAGCTTGTTTGCAGCATGTCAACGATGAGGAAGATTTGCAAACACCATCTGAGATAGACTGAAACATTTGTCGCGCTCTACCTACTCGAGCGCCAAAATGCCGTTTCAGAATAGGAAAATGGTGTAGATGCTATGCAAAGCACGGCACATAACCGCGAGAATCTGTTTTGTGCAAGCATTTCATGATAGTGAGGACGAAAAACAGAGCAGGTACGAGTAAGCACAGTCTGGTGTCCAAAAGACAGAGCTCCACGCTGCAGTCGACGTCGAATTTTACTTTTCTCAGGCTTTCTGCAAGAACTGGAAGCCGAACGAGCGAATCAGGTCATGTGAGCGTCAGATGCTGCTTGCTGTCTCCATCTCATAGACCCGCCTTTCTCAATATGAATCGATGGAAGGCGGGAGATAGCGGATTGAGGGGCTGGGAAGTGACAGCAGGGTGGGCCTTCCACAGCGAGTGAAAGTCACGCTGCTGTCCGCCGGACATGCACAAGTTGTTCCGAGCGTAGCCCTATTGGTGGGTGCGATGTATGCCAGCTCGTAGGACCAATTGTAAATCGAGGTGAGGCCGATCTTGGCGCAGTGTGTGGGCACCCTAACCTGAGGCGGCACAAGAAACGCTTTGTACAGTGTTGTTCTATGCATAGACACCTGTAAAATCTGCATGGAATACTGGTTGGTTCAACTCTGGGAGTTCGTGGCAGGCGGTACGTATGCGAGAAAAACGCTACTACCCAGCCCAGCCTCCTCAACTTCCAAGAAAGGTGACAGGAACGCAATCGGTCAATGCTGATATAGCGGCATCTGAAGGAGGGGCAGTTCGTAGAAAGTTATGAATTCAGAGGGAAGTGGGGGGCATTGTTTTTGCAAGAAATGTTTCGCAAAAGGAGAATAAGAGATATATGGAATAGAGACAAAGAGAGATTATATCCTGCTCACATACAGGACAGGCTGTCGCACATTCAACGGCTTTCAGACACACACCGATAGCATATAGGTAGAGGTCGAAACGGAGTGGCACACTGTGCGAGCGCGTAGGCACGTAGTATGCATAGAACGAATGGAATTCACATGGATGTCGAAAGCGCGGCAAGGCCGACGCGCTTGGGCCAGCCCCACCCACCTGCCTCACCGCATCAACGAACGACGCGAGGTCAAGGACATACTCTGAACATAACATCACCAGTATGCCGTCAACTGCTACGGTCAGCACAATGTATCCCATCGAGACCGTGTCGAGTCTCAACACTCTTCCAGACGAACTCCTCCTCCATATTCTTGGACATCTAGACTATCCTTTTCTACTGGCTCTTTCTAGAGTGAGAGACCTCGGTCTATGCTGCGGCTCTTGCTAAACTCACTTTACGATAGGTGTCACACCGAGTCCGTTCCATCTCCCTTGATCGTGTTTTGCATTTGCAGCTTCTTCACAACTCGTCTGTACACCTGTCCGTGTTCCTGTCTCGACGGCCTCCCCTGCGGTCTCTCCAGCCTCCAGCTTCGGCAATTTATCTGACTCGTACGCATGTTGCTGCCCGTCGTCTCCATTTTCGCTTGCTATCAGCAACTTTAAATCGGTCGTTGTCTCGGCGGCCGTCCATCTCGTCCCTTGTTAATGCGCGCATTCTGCCCAAGGATTGCTGTCGCCGTGATCGGTCAAGCGGGGAGATTATTGTCACATATTTCAAACTCTCTGAGCGCAGGCACAGGCTCGACTTTGAGAAGTTCAGAGAAGGCATGCAAGACTGGCTCGAGAAGAAGGCCCGGGCGATCAAGAAGCACAAGTCGCATGTGGGTGGTGTTGGCATTCTGGTATGGAGGTTTACCAAGAGAAACAGAGGGACCGATAGCTCACCAACAGGCTCATTCACGCGTGCATGTTCCAATACGCATCACGTCTCGAGCCTTAGACGTTTCTGGGAAGACGTGGGCGCTGAGGGAAGCTCACTTCGAAATCGCTAAAGCTTCATGATGGAGTTCTTGGTCGATTATCAGACCAGGTTGCGAAGCAACACTCGACATCTGTGGAGTACTTGCAGAATCAACACTCTGTCAATAGCACCTGCTTTATCAGTACAGTCAATGCTATGGGGGCAGATAATTTGCACATCTAGAATGTTCCCGCGATGATAGAATTGCATAGATTGTTCGAGAAACAGTACATTGGTGCCACATGTTCGTGACGAGTGACTCAGAGGTGAGAAGTAAATGGGCAGATTAGTGTATGCTGTAATGATCAGTCCAACGAGGTTGAAATGGTGGTGCATCTACGTTGGCACGTTTCAGAATCGTGTTATCGACAGAGGTGAAGTGTCTTTTCAGAGACTTGTTACCGACGAATCGACTCGAAGCATAATATAGGTGGCAAGATTGATTCTGCCTAAACAAAGAATGGACTTGGACAGATGGCAGTGGCAAGGATTGGCATGTTAGCGAGAGCGACTGAAGACACGTTACCGTAGAGTAGCCGCAGTATGAAACAGCCTTCCGCTGCGCAAAAGTATGTCACGCGAGAAGCTGCTATAGAAATGCACAAGGATACTGGTTGAATCGGTGCGCAGTTGCTTCGGTGTATCAGAAGCATTCACTGGAAGGCGTCATATTGTCAAGTCTCTATCTACTCTCTTTGATGGCTTCAATTGCGCCAGCGCGTGAATGTGAAAGTGGGCGGGAGTTACAGACTCGCCGGGAGGGGAGCTCGGGCGGCGGGCGCATCGGCGCTTTCAGGTGGGTAGGGATATGTGTCATTAAATCCGGAGATGTGGCCACGCTGCAACAACTTCTTTTAGTTTCTATTAAAGGAGCTTCGCCAGACAGTCGCTCCTTCTTGATCTTGTCTACAAAGAAGCACCCATCCACAACTTGGACGCTTCTCTCTTGTCATCTCAACAACTATCCAAGATGGCGAGACGCACAGGAACAGAGTCACGCTTTGCGTGGTCAACCATCTTCTACCTCCTCCTGGTGCTCATTGCGCCCATGGTGCTCTTTGGCTCCAATGCCAGAGCACAGGAGAGCGGCGAGAAAGCAATCTCCGGCCCCGTCATCGGTATCGATCTGGGAACCACCTACTCTTGTGTCGGTATCATGAAGGGCGGAAAGGTCGAGATTCTTGTCAACGACCAGGGTAACCGTATCACTCCCTCTTACGTCGCCTGGAACGACGAGGAGAGACTTGTTGGAGACGCAGGTAAGCACGCATCCGCTCGACCCTCCATACACGCTCGCTGACAATCTGCACAGCCAAGAACCAGTACGCATCCAACCCCGAGAGAACCGTCTACGACATCAAGCGTTTGATCGGACGCAAGTTCAACGACAAGGACGTTCAGCGTGACATGAAGCACTTCCCCTTCAAGGTTGTCAACAAGGGCGGTCAACCCAGAGTCCAAGTCGAGGTTCAGGAGTAAGTCGCAGCCAAGAAATCCGTGTATGATCAAGACTGACATGGCATGCACAGTGGTCAAAAGACTTTCACCCCCGAGGAGGTCAGTGCCATGATCTTGGGCAAGATGAAGGACGTCGCCGAGTCGTACCTCGGTGAGAAGGTCACCAACGCCGTCGTCACCGTCCCCGCCTACTTCAACGACGCCCAGCGTGCCGCCACCAAGGACGCTGGTGCCATCGCCGGTCTCAACGTTCTCCGTGTCGTCAACGAGCCCACCGCCGCCGCCCTCGCCTACGGTCTGGACAAGACCGACAAGGAACGCCAGATCATCGTCTACGATCTCGGTGGTGGTACTTTCGATGTTTCCATCCTGACTGTCGACGACGGTGTCTTCGAGGTCCAGGCTACTGCCGGTGACACCCATCTTGGTGGTGAGGATTTCGATCAGAGAGTTATCGACTACTTTGTCAAGACCTACAACAAGAAGAACGACGTCGACATCACCAAGAACCTCAAGACCATGGGTAAGCTGAAGCGTGAGGTCGAAAAGGCCAAGCGTACTCTGTCCTCCCAGATGAGCACCCGCATTGAGATTGAGGCCTTCTTCGACGGCGCCGACTTCTCCGAGACTTTGACCCGCGCCAAGTTCGAGGAGTTGAACAACGACCTCTTCAAGAAGACTCTCAAGCCCGTTGAGCAGGTCCTCAAGGACGCCAAGCTCAAGAAGAGCGACATCGATGACGTTGTCCTTGTCGGTGGTTCCACTCGTATTCCCAAGGTTCAGGCCATGCTCGAGGAGTTCTTCGGAAAGAAGGCCAGCAAGGGTATCAACCCTGACGAGGCCGTCGCCTACGGTGCTGCTGTTCAAGGTGGTGTCTTGTCTGGTGAGGCCGAGGCCAGCCAGGTTGTCCTTATGGATGTCAACCCTCTTACTCTCGGTATTGAGACCACTGGTGGTGTCATGACTCACCTGATCAAGCGTGGCACCACCATCCCCACCAAAAAGTCCCAGATCTTCTCGACTGCCGCTGACAACCAGCCCGTCGTCTTGATCCAAGTCTTCGAGGGTGAGCGTTCCATGACCAAGGACAACAACCAGCTCGGCAAGTTCGAGCTCACCGGTATCCCCGCCGCTCCCCGTGGTGTTCCTCAGATCGAGGTCTCTTTCGAGCTTGATGCCAACGGTATCCTCAAGGTCAGCGCTGGTGACAAGGGCACCGGCAAGAGCGAGAGCATTACCATCACCAACGACAAGGGTCGTCTCAGCGCCGAGGAAATTGAGCGCATGGTCGAGGAGGCTGAGAAGTACGCCGAGGAGGACAAGGCAACCCGCCAGCGCATCGAGTCCCGTAACGGCCTGGAGAACTACGCTTTCTCTCTCAAGAACCAGGTCAACGACGAGGATGGTCTTGGTGGCAAGATCGATGATGATGACAAGGACACTATTCTCGATGCTGTCAAGCAGGCCCAGGACTGGCTCGACGACAATGCCGCCGAGGCTACCGCCGAGGACTTTGACGAGCAGAAGGAGAAGCTCAGCAACGTCGCCTACCCCATCACCAGCAAGCTTTACGGCGGCGCTGGCGGTGCTGGAGGCATGCCCGACTACGATGACGAGCCCAGCCACGACGAGCTGTAGACAAAAAACACAAAATCAGTTTTTGTATCATGGGTCAGTAAGAGCAGGCATTCTATAGAAACCCAAATGTCCAATCCATTTTTTATATTCAGCACATTTTCCATAGACATCGTTCCAGTTCCTTTTGACACGGTGCAGGTTAAATTGCTAAACATGTTCTACGTACGGTGATGTCAGATTCTAAGTCATACAAGACGACTCTAACTGTGCATGCGAGGGGCAGTCTTCGAAACGTGTTGCAATGTACCGCCCGAAACAAATCGGGAACATGACAATCCGGAGAGGAACAAGAAGACGTAGAAGAAATTGCTACTCCGAGTACATGGAGAGTGTGGTGCAGAGTTTCGGTGCTCTGATGGTGTGAAGGAGCAGGGGCGCGTGTTTCAGCCTGAGGGAAGCCAAACGCGGAAGCTTTCTGAGCAGGACGAGAGGTGATTGCTCGACGACGTTGGCGGCGCGGGCTGGTAGAGTGGTAGAGCCCCTGGGCGCTCGCCCTCGTTTCGTGGGCGCTTGTTCGAACTCGTCCTCTTGGCTCTCGGTACAGGGGAACAGCGCATCGGCCGTTCACTTGCGCAAGCGCCCAAGTGTCTATCGCTTTGTGCAACAGTCAAAGGAGCAGCCGCCTCTGACGGACACTTCTCTCTCGAAGACGCCTTTGTTGCGGCGACCTCTTCGTTGTTCTGTCGACAGAGCCCTTGGAGACAAACGGTCTGGCCGTTGCAGAACCTTGTGCATTCCTTACAATACCTGTCCCAGCCATTCATGGCCTTGCGCTCCCTATTCTAGACTGACCACACTCCTTTTCATCCACTCTTTTCTCTTCCCGATACCACCTACGCGCACGACATCTGCTGGCAGATATCGCGCTTTCCTGTAACAACGCACACGACAAAACGTAACCACCGCAACCAACGGCCAGAACGCCCTGGCTCAATCGCAGCTGGACTGACGATAACTTCGTATCATTCCCACACCGCTCTTGCATCCCGATCTCTGACCCGAATCCAAAATGGGATGTTCGGGTGACAGGGAAAAGGGCAAACTGGATGAGTCGCAGAAATGGGACTATGTGGTAAGTTGATTGACTTGATGCCTCTGTATGCTCGCTAACCAGACAATGTCTAGACCCTTTCCGATTTTCACGCTTCCGGTGCTCTAACTTATCTCTCATATGGCTGGCTCTGGATCATGGCGCTCATAGCAGTTGCTGTGTATGGCGCCGACACTTTCACAGCAGTCAATCTCCTCGCATACGACAAATGGTCTTCCCAAATCGAGCCTAGTATCCCTCTCAAGTACTCGAAATGGATCTTTGCGGCTTGTATCATGTTCTCATGGGTTCTTTGCTTCTTTGAGTGGGTACGCGCCATTCGCGTGATCCGCAGAGGCAGTGTTGCTGAGAGCTACATGGACACGGTTGCCGTCACGATGCAGTCGATGCGACCCAAAGGCTGGAAACGCTTCCTTGTCTTCGCCGAATTGACCAAGAGTAAGAAGGGTGTTGATTACATCGCTCTGTTCGTCTACTTTGCCTTCAAGGGCGCTGTGCGCATCATATTTGCCGAGGGCCCTCGCCAGGTCGTCAACGCCATCACTCTTTACTCTTTCATGCAATCAGATCTCATCCCCGTTGGAGACCACGCTGCAACAGCAGACCACTCTTCGTTCGAGCAGTTCTGGATCAATGTCGAAACGCTAGCCGAGGCAAACCGCGAACAAGCCGTTGTTCTCTTCACCATGCTCTTCACCCTTGTCATTTGGGTCATCTCAGCTCTTTGTCTAATTATCGCCGTTGTCCTCTACCTGGTCTTTCTATGGCACTACATTCCGCAGAGCGATGGCCGACTGAGCAACTACTGTCGAAGAAAGATCGACCACAGACTAGAAAAAGCTGTGGGTCAGAAGGTCAAGCAAGCACTAGAAGAACAAGAAAAGAAGCAGGCACAAATGGAGGCGAAAGCGGCGAAGAAAGCCAATCAACTTCCCAGCAGACAAGTCAACCGCAAACCAACCTTGCCTCAGGTCGCTGCTCAGACGCCTGACCTTGAAGCCGAAAGCGATTTCATGTCTCTTACAAACGACACTGTGCCCCATCCTCTGCCTCCTCTTCGCACTTTCACCGCTCCCGAACAACCGTTGCGTCGCGAACAAACTCCTCTCAGCCTCAACGCAACACAACCTCCATCTCGCACTCACACAGCACCACCAATGGCAATGCACCGCGAACCGTCTCTTCCCGAGTTTCATCAAAGCGGTCGCCCGGCCATGCCTTACCGCTCGGATACCGAAGCGTCCGCCATGTCCAACGCCACGTATGCTTCGGACGCCTCATTACTTGGACACGCCAGCGGCATGGGCTATAGTGACAAGTCGGACTATCATCCCGCACATCCAAAGCCTGCATTTGACAGGTCGACTTCTTATGCTTCCAGGCCTGCACCGCCCATGTTTGACGACCAGTCCGGATATGCAAGTCAACCTTACCTGGGTAGAAGCGCGGCTGCGGAACCACAACAATCCGAAAGATGGAGGCATGACGACTTTGATGAGCGAATGGAATACGACAGAGACACAACTCCAGAGCCGATGGATTACCCGACGACTCGATTCATGTCTCCTCATCCTCAAATGCCCATGCATCAGGAAAGCTTGGGTTATGACAACATGCAAAGCACTGCATTACCGCGACAAAGACCGCAACAGGACTTCCAACGGTCATACACTCCCATATCTCGCATGGACAGCGACATGAGCCTTTCTTCGCGTCGCGCGCCCAATCCCGAGAGCCAGAGCTTCGAGATGCAAACACGGACGACAGCCATGCCGGAGCCCTTCGAGCATCAGCAGGTGCAGCCGCCGCCGCGCTCCGCTTCTGCCGCATCGGGAGGCTACGTTGCTTTCAACCCGTCCTTTACACTGGCGGCAGCCGCACCTTCGTTCACACCGCCAGACCGCAGTACTACGAGTCCTCCGGAGATTGCAAGACCTTCTGTGGCAGCCGGGTCCCAACGCAGTGCCACAGCTCCTCCTGAGGCCTACGACGGGCTCATCGACGAATACCGCGGGCATCCTCAATACAATCGTCGTGAGGTACCTGGCAGAAGTGCCACAGCGACTCCCAGCCAACGACCCGCAGTCCTTGGCAGAAGTGTATCTACTGCTCCATACCAACCATACGGCGTTCCGAGCAGGAGTGCGTCCACAGCTCCTCTCCAACCGCTATACGAAGTTCCTACCAGAAGCGCAACAGCACTCCCTACCCAAAGACATGCAGTTCCCGCCAGAAGCGCAACAGCCGCTCCTCTCCGACCGCATGACATTCCAGGCAGAAGTGCAAGCGCTGCTCCTGGACAACAGTACCGCACACGGGAATGGTGATGATGAGCTTCTACCGAGACGACGATTTCTTTTTTCTATGTCTTGTTCCCCCGATACCCCGATTCAATCATGACCAAAATCCATCATGACTGAAACCTTTTCTTGTACTTGATGTACGATAGCATTATTTAGTAGCCCCTTTCTGTGCATGGAAACTACCATGGACGGTCACCTTGCCAGCTAGGTAGATATACAGCAATCAACTATTCAAACTGCATCCTTACATTTTCTCTCATGTGCCATATAGCTTTCACAAATGAAATCGTGCTCTGCAATCGAAATTGGGGCAAGCCTGTATCAGAGGCAACTTTTAGGTAATTGTATTTCTACATTCCAACATGACATTTTATCTTTCAGGTCAAGCCGGATATCTCCTTTTTGAAAAGTTCGTTTGCCAACGCCATCTATGATATCTCATGCAGCAGAAATCAACACATCTAGAACTCGTTCTCGTCGCTTCCAGCGATGATGACGTTGTTGACCTTGAGCACCATGCGGCAAAGTTGTGTGGCCAGGAGCAGCTGTTGTCTCTTGGAGATCAGAGGGTCGATGACGAAGTTTTCTCTCATATCTGTGTTCATGTTAGCAATTTCTGAACGGAGGGCTGGTGTTGATAGTAGCTTACCATTGCTGCCGGTCTGCATGCAGTCGACACCCAACCTTGAGTTGCCCTCCTTTGCCTGTCGGCTCTTGATCTGGGCCAGAGTCTCGATGGGGCTGAGACCAGAGTTCTCGGCGAGTGCCATGGGTACGCTGTCCAGAGCGTCTGCGAAGGCGCGCATGGCGTATTGCTCAAGGCCAGGAGACTTGACGGCGGCGTCTTCGACGGCGAGCGAGCAGGCAATCTCTGCGGCACCACCACCGTAGACAATTCTGTTATCGCGAACCAAGTTACGGACGACGCAGAGAGCATCGTGCAATGAACGCTTGGCCTCGTCGATGATCATCTTGTTACTACCACGAACAAAGACGGTGACGGCTCTGCTGTTGGCGCATTCCTCGATGACGAGCATCTTCTCTCTGGTGGTTCCGAAGCTCATTTCTCTGACGATGCCAGCAGTTCCGAGCTTGTCAGCGCTGAGATCCTCAAATCTCGGTACTATCCTTCCGTTTGTGGCAATAGCGATCAGCTCAATCTCGGGACCGCCAACCCATCGCACGGCAGGGAGTTTGTTTGTGAGCAAAAGGTGGTTGGCCTCGTCATCGAAACCCCATTGACAGATGACGACGTTTGCGCCAGTGTCCTTGATTTGTTGAATCATCTCGGCGAACTTCTCGCTTTCGTAGTTTTGCAGACGCTTGAACTCCTCTACTGAAGTGATGTCGAGCTTGTGCTTGGTCTTGGGCTTTGGGGGCTCGAAGGCGCAGGTGAGAATGGCCAACTTGGCGTCCTTGACCTCGGAAGGCATTTGGGGGTGTGAGAAGTCCTTGTCAACAATGACACCCTTGACGAGCAGTGTATCCTCAAGACTACCTCCGACTTTTCCATCGACCTTGATCAGCTCGAAATCGACGTCGCGGCGCTCAAGATCAGCGACACTCATGACAGCATCGACGGCAATCTGAGCAAACTGGTCGTGTGACTTGCTGACGATTTTGCTTCCTAGACTGGTCTTTGCGACCTTGAAGAGGTTCTCGGTGTTATCCTTGTCGAAGGGCATGGTGTCTGAGATTTGGTCGAGGCGAGCGACAGCAACCTCGCAGGCGGCGTCGTATCCATCGGCAATGCGGATAGGGTGGATACCCTTGTCGATCAGGTCGGCGGCCTGCTCGAGGAGAGCGCCAGCGAGGACGACGACACCAGTGGTACCGTCACCGATTTCCGAGTCCTGGGATTGGGAAAGGGAGACGAGCAGCTTGGCGACGTGGTTTGAGATTTCCATCTAGATAAGGATCAGAGGCGGAAGTGGATGGACTGAGAGCAGGTGGAAGTGTACCTGGGACAGGATAGTAGCGCCATCGTTTGTGACGGTAATGTCACCATCAGGGGAGATGAGGATCTTGTCGAGACCGCGAGGGCCAAGAGATGTGCGGACGATACCGGCGACCGTCTTTGCGGCAAGAATGTGTGACTTGACAGCGTCGTTTCCGTGTTGTCTCTTCTTCTTGCCCTGGTCTCTTACAATGATGAAGGGGCGGCCGTTCTCGTCTTTGGCGACTTGGGCTGAGGGGAGGATGACGGAATTAGTCTTGTTCGAAAGCGAAGATGGATACAGAGGATTGGGTAGTACCGTTGGACATGTCAAGTTCTATTCGCACATGTCAGCAAGGGGAGCAATAAATTATTTGGACCGTTGTTGGCATACGCATCGACATGGCAGGCAGTTGGTGCTCCTGGGGAGCGTCGGCGAAGGGAGTGAAGCCCGGAGAAGGTGCTGAAAAGCAGAGGAAGGAGCGAGTGACCGGTAGTGCTTGTGGTGGGTTGAGCGGTGGTTGTTGTTGTCAGCTGGTCGCTGCTTGGTTTGGTCGCTGCCGCTTGGCTTTCAGACTTTCGTCGCACCTTCACTTTCCCTCAGACTTTCACGTTCAGCTGGTCTGTGCGCCCAGTTGTGTTCACGGTTCCTTCCTCCGCTCCGCAGCTCTGGAAACACCGAGACGCGTTGCGCCAGTCGCGTCTGCTCGTCTCCATCGACAACAACTTTCACACAAGGCCATCCACACTATCCGTCGCATACTGCAACACCCTTCCGCACCTGTCGCGCGACATAGCACACCGCACCTTCGATTCATCTTCAACATGCCTCGTACGACTATCCTTCTCGTTCGGCGCGTCTTTTGGACCCATCACTGACCAATCGCAGCTGCCATCTCTGACGACGAGGACGAAAGATCCGATTTTCTGTCTGACGACGAGACCCTGCCCCCGAAGAAGCCCGCAACCAAGAGAGTCGCCGCCAAACCCAAGCCTGAACCCAAGAAAGAATATGTTGACGGAGAATCGCACAATGTCAAAGAAGACGACGACGATGATGATGACGAAGACGACGCCGATGAATATGTTGTCGAGAAGATCCTGAACCACGCATGGGATAATGGCAAAACCTGTCTCTACGAAGTCAAGTGGCTCGGCTACGAAGCCGCCGAAGACCGAACTTGGGAGCCCGAAGACAACCTGCGAGTAGTCAATACAACAGCGTCAATTCCCCTCGCACGCCACTAATCCCTCTATCCTAGGTCCGGTGCTATGGATGTCCTCAACGCGTATTGGGACAAGATTGGCGGCAAGCCTCAGGCCAAACCCAAGACTCCCGCTAAGAAGGGTACTAAGAGAAAGTCATTGGCACAACACACACCTGAAGCCGATGCCACATCTACCACCAAGAGACGTGGAAGAAAGTCGATCAAGACAGCCGACGAGCTAGAAGACGAAAAGACGCATGCTCTGCCCGAGGGCTCTTGGGAAGACCACGTAGAGCAGATCGAGTCCGTCGAGGAGAACGCGGGCGGCCTGTTATTCTTCGTAAAGTGGGTGAACGGCCACAGGACCCAGCACTCATCGCAGCAATGCAGGCAGAAATGTCCCCAGAAGGTGATTTACATCTACCCTTGGTCATGCGTGTGTTATCTGCTAACATGCGACAGCTCATCGATTATTACGAATCGAAACTGTACGCCAAATCCTCCAAACCCGTTCGCCGAAGACGTTCGACTAACAAGGCCTAGGGTCTTCAAAAACACTGACCAGTACTAATGTTGCTGCTGCTCTGCATACCCGTTTTTCCGTCGACTCTTTTCAGCATGTTCTCTCCAACCTCCATAAGCGCAAACCGCATGGCACTATGTATCTAGACCAAGTCAATGCCACGACGACTAATCCTCAAGTCCATCTCCTGCTCTTGCTCTTGTTCTTGTTCTCATCAGACGGCGTCTTGCTTGCAATGCCCCGCTGAACGCGCTATCCCACGTGACGTATATACAAGTTTAGGTTTGCTTTTTGCCATATCCGTCTTGACTCTTATCTACCTATTTCCTTCTCGTACGCCCCCACAACCATCTGTTAACTACACTTGGCCTCGCTCAACGTTGTACACTGGTCCTGATGGTTGTTCGCACTACGTTGCTCGACCAGAAATCCTGGACGGCTTCGCGGGACAGTCACGATCTGGATATGAATGTCGCCGAGTCTAGTGACTATGTACCGGCTGGTCCGCAAGCATCACCTGTAGATGAGGACGAGAGAATGCTTCCAAGTCAACCATTACATCAGATGTCCGAGAAGCCCAAACCTGTTTCATGGAAAAGTCTACCTCGAAAGGATCAACTGTTCATTCTCACACTAGCCCGTCTGTCTGAACCACTGACACAGACCTCGCTACAAGCCTATATGTTCTATCAACTCCGCTCTTTCTCTCCCTCTGCTCCGGACAGCACTATATCATACCAGGCCGGTATGCTTCAAGCTGCTTTTACTGGAGCCCAGTTCTGCACGGCCGTCTTCTGGGGTAGGATGGCCGATTGGGAGCACATGGGTCGGAAAAGAGTTATCCTGATTGGACTTTTGGGCACTGCTATCGGAGCTTTGGGCTTTGGCTTTAGCAGTAGCTTTGCCGTGGCATTGCTATGGAGATTTGTTGGTGGAGGTGAGCCTATTTTTCTTTCCTACCGTCGAACCAGAGAGCATCAAGTTATGAGCAGAATTTCATCCTCCATGTCTGAGAACTTGTCGGCATTATATGCTCGTGAGGTCAAGGAAAGCGTGGCTTGTACACTGTAAGGGCTGTGTGACACTATGGCGAATGACGACTTCCGCCCAAACCAGACGTAGAGTATGTCTTTCTGGCTTTCGAGCCAGATGACTGATGACTTATCGTACTCAAACATATGTAACAACAATCTCTCGTGGTGGAGATGTCTCTAGGGCTCAGAGCAGCACTATGACTTGCTCGCAACTCTATGGTTCGGCGGCTCCAGCGCCTCAACGACTGACACAAAACCCAGCGCTCAACGGCAACATCGGTGTGATGAGGACGGTACGTCTAGAATCTCCAACATGTCTTACAATACTGATCGTTTTCCAAGATGATCTCCGAGATCATTCGCGATAAGAAATATCAATCGAGAGCCTTTCTCCTGCTCCCTATGACCTTCAACATTGGTGTTATTATAGGTATGTAATGCACCATGTTCACCGTCCAACCCTTCTTGCTGATCACTTATCGAACTTTAGGGCCGATACTCGGTGGGCTGCTCGCTGACCCAGCGGGAAATTACCCTGCTTCGTTCGGCTCGGTTGCATGGTTGAAACAGTGGCCCTATGCACTTCCGAACCTCGTCAGTGCTGTGTTTCTCTTCCTCTCATCAACGGTCGTCCTGCTGGGTCTTGAAGAGGTAAACAATACTTGATCGAGCACACTTGGCCTGTTGCTGACATGTGCACAGTCGCATGAGCTGTTGAGGGACAAGCCAGACCTGGGCCTTCGCATTGGACGATGGATCGCACGGGCAATATTCAGACTTAACTTCGAGCAGCACTACGAAGCCATATCTACTGTCGAGATCGATCCTTCGACAATGGAAATGCAGTCGCCGACCGACGAGCCACCCACGCCCAGACTTCCGAGGATAAGAAGAAAACTACCCTTTTCACGCATCTGTACGCCCAATGTGCTTTTCACTTTCACCGCTCACTTCTTACTAGCTGGCCATGTAGGGACCTTCAACAGTCTCTGGTTTGTCTACTTGTCGACACCAAGATATGTCCCACATGGCCAGACGAATGATGGCACCAACCCAAATGCGAGTCTAGGGGTACCGTTGAACTACAAGCCTCATCCGCCATTCAGCTGGACAGGCGGTCTTGCTCTCCCGCCTGCGAGAATCGGCTCTGCGCTTGCAATCTTGGGTGTCGTCGGTATATCGTTGCAGCTGCTACTCTATCCAAAACTGTCTTTCCGCCTGGGCACAGTAAAATCATATCGGTTGTCGCTCTGCCTGTTTCCCTTGGCATACTTCTTGGTGCCTTTTCTCTCCCTCGTACCGACAACTTCGACTTCACCTGCAGCAGCTTCTGGGCCATTGCTATGGATTTCGATCGTCATCGTGCTTTGCATACAAGTAACAGCACGAACATTTGCATTGCCTGCCACGGCAATCCTAGTCAACAACGCCTGTCCGCATCCATCTGTCTTGGGTACTGTTCACGGTCTAGGTCAGAGCGCAAGTTCTGCTGCTCGTACCATTGGTCCCTTGGTGCTGAGTTACATCTACGGTGTTGGACTTCGGCGCGGTGTGGTAGGGCTGTCGTGGTGGTGTATGGCGTGTTTCGCAGCAGTGGGTGCTGTAGCAGGACTTTTCGTAAAAGATGGAGATGGTCATGAGATATGGTTGGAAGGAGAGAAGGAGGAAGAAGAACAAAATGCTGTTTCATGAGTAGATCAAGGATCAGCCTTTCGACAAATCGAATGCTGATCTGATAGATCGAGGAGATAGCAACCAAAACACTGCACCTCAAGCAACACTATGCACTTGATCAAAGGAGTTAGTGAGATTGTTGCTCTGTCAGGCTTGTCGATTGTAGGTTGAGAAAGCAGACAGATATCGCGAGGAAGGGGTCGTAAGCAACAGTTCTAGTACCACTGTCCATCTTGCCGATGGACGGCTCGTCAGAAGGCGATGCAGTGTTTCCATGCGATTGAGAAAATGCCATGTCGAGAGGAAGGCAGTCGGTTGCTAGATGTTCATGCGGCTGTGCTTGTCGACATGACATCAAAGGAATCGCAACGACTTCAATTTATTACCCGGTGCCAGGCGAGGGAAAGATGTAAACACCAGACGAAGTTGATCTTGCCGTTCCCTGTGCCCGAATGAAATTCATCCCAAGGAAGTGGAGGTTGTATGTAAGGCTGGTGTGGCATAATATTCTGCATGGGAGCTTCCTTACTGACAACAAGTACGAGTCTGCTCTTCGACGATGTGAACGCTGTTGGCATCAGGTGCCGTCGTCTTCGTTGCAATGCGTTCTCAACCTCGATTTGCGTGGCTGAATTTTACGTACATCCATTGTCCTTCGGTGTTCCTGCCGAAGACTCCAGAAGACCTTCAGACTTCTCGACCACACCTGTAAACGCGCAAATCGATAATCAATCACACGCTCGAGCTGAGTGCTGATCTTGCTCTCTGCCCTCAGCTACCACCGACTTTCGTACCCGGTCTTCGCTTATATTTACGAGGGTCTGAGAGTCAAATTTCGTTAGCATTTGTGTCAAGAGTCACGCGCCTCTAGCACACTCGGGATATTGCCAAGCAACGACAAAGGAACATGAGGGTTGGTTGTACTTGCCTTTTCTGCTCATCCGGGTTTTGTCGCGAGTACCTGGTCATACGTCAGCCCTCATGATCAATTGTTTTCTGTGGTTTCGCCTAAAAGCGGTATTGAAACATCCTGCAGGTCCCGATGGAAACAACGCCATGACACGCTAGAAGCATCGTGTACACAGGTACACAGCTTAGGCTTTCACACCGGCGCGCGGGGAAAGCTGGGGCTCGTGGAGGTCGCAGGATCGTGGAGGATGTGGTCATTCACCAGGAAGGAAGGACGTCATCACCGATGCAAACAAACAGCCATCAGTTTTGCCGCATCGACGATTGGCAAGGAATGGATGCGTGAATCGAGAATGTGATGATGAACGATGGTGAAGAAAATCGTCTTACCTTTGCCTCCCTCCCAAAATCCATGCCCAACTCTCGCAATGAGGCTGGAGCGGCAGAAGTGGCAGTCGTCGGGCCTGTAATTTTGTTCTCGAGAACAATAACCACAAATCATGCGGTTAGCATGTTCGTTTGGATGTGATTCAGCCTCGTCGTGGCATCTCTGCGAAACATTAGTTGTCTTCCTTTGCATCATGTTATGTTTGACCTACATCGCAGGGATAGACTTTGCTGCAGCATGAGAATCTGTTGATCATCAGTATGGCCCGGAAGCCAACATTTTACAAGAAAACAGGCGCGCATACCTGAACCATCTATACGATTTTGCATAGTGCGTGCAACGACCGCGTCTTGGTAGCTCCTGTCCAGCAACGATGCCCAAGTTCTCTTTGACCTTTCTGCGTGTCTGTGCACGGCTTGCTCGGACTGCAGAATATCAGCTGTATTCTTTCAACACGACAGAGGTTAACATACTCGAAGCAGTGCTAACGTGCAGGAACTTGGTCTCAGGTATACGGAAACTCATCTTCCTGTGACATTCCCTACAGATGGCTAGAATTGAGTCTCCACGAACTCCAACAACACCTGGAGCTGGATAAGATGTAGAACACTCTGAGCAAGTCGGGATGAAGTAGCTAGAAAGTAGTTAGTCACGGTATTACATGTCTGTTGTGGTATCAACTTACCTTGGAAGCATGTCGACCACCGTACAACCGTCAAGATCCAGATATCCAGCTCGCACGGAGTTTTGGTGGATTAGGTCCGCTCGAAATCCTATTGCTGTCAGTCATGTTCGGGTAGAAGATTTTAGCCAGGCATTCATACCAACTGCGAGGGTATTGGCACATTTCTTGCAGATTTCATCGCGCATACCACTTGCGTCTCCCTTTGTGTTGTTTCTCAGACGCTGAACATCAAGCAAGTCTTTGCAACGCTCGCACTTGACGGTGATACTGAGCGAGACGAGCTCTAAGAGCTCACAGCCGTACAACTCCAGATTGGGGAATGATAACATGATTCCGCGCTCAGCGAGCCCGGACGTATTGGCAGGTGGTTGCTCTGGCTGATCGCCATCCTCTTCTTCTGTTTCGTCTCCACTGTCGTACGAGTAAGAATCATCACTACTCCAACCATCGGGTCCGTCGTTGACGTTCCATTCCGGGGGTCTTGGGATGACGTGAATATGGGGTCTGTCAGAATCTTGGTCTGCGGTAGTGCCAGATGGTTGAGCTAAAACAGGGACGACGACCTCGGCCTTAGGTGCTTCCTGAGACTTTTCTTGAACATGAAGGACATCGACTGGTCCTCTGGTGGCAGACATAGTATGTGCATTCTGAGTCAAGAAATTGATATGAGCGAGCAAATTCAAGCTAGTCTCACTCTTTACTCTTTCTTGGAACGATTGCTCAAGCATTCTCGCTGCAGGATCGTGGTTCCCAACGACCTCAATCCGAGGCAGATGTAGATTGTAAAGCTGAGGCACAACTAGACGGATCGACTTTTGGTTTCTCAAGGCTTCCGGTACCTTCTTCGTAGGTTGGAAAGGAATAGTGAACGAGATATCGTCAGAAGACTGAACGAAACCTGGCAATCGGCCCAATCTTGCGACAAGCTGCCTGATATCAGACTGACGCTTCTTCTCTGCTTGTAACTTCTGTTCACTGGTGAAAGATGGAGCGGTTTCTACTTTTCGTGTAGTGACCGTCTGCTGTGGCTTGGGTGCCTGAGCAGCAGGTCGAGGTTGTACTTGAGTTTCGGCTCTTGGTGTGTTCCGTACGATTTTGACCGTGTCTGCCTTTTCACCGGAAAGAAGTGTCTCGAGCTGCCTATCGAGACGATTGAACACTCCTAGAAGAGTCGCGTTCGGTGATTCGACTATGATCTGGTCGAATCCTCGTTCGACATTGAGCTGGAACCCGCGTGGCATCTCCGAATTGGTTATACGCAAAGCTGGCTTGGTTTGTGGATACGACAATGGTACGGTCAGAGAACAATCCAAGAAGGGAAGATCAAAGGGAAAGTCGGGATCGCTTGGAGCGAGTTTGAACTTGAAACGGGTGGCATCTCGAAGCTGTTCCTCTGTAGGAGCAAAGCGACGACGCAGTTGACCTACTTGGAAAACTCGTGGATCTTCTTGTTCTGTTTTCGTCACTGGTCGAGATACGACCTTGGACTGGTCCACACGAGGTTCATACTGTCGTTGAGGAGTCGCGGCATCGCGACCATCCCCACGTCCCACTTTCTGCTTTGGCGCTCGAGGTTTGGCTTCAGAAGTCGTCGGTTCTGACTGTCGTACATGCGCAAAGGAGCATTGGGTACCTGCCTTGCAACCTACTCACCACATCTGGTCAGCAAGTGAGTCTTAACACTTTGAACACATCGTACTCGTCGAAATAGCCATTTGCAATGACTATCACGCAACGATTTTTGGCGTTGCGCGGTAGTCCATGAGCCAAAGTATCACCGCTTACCTCTTTTCGAGTTGAAGAATCGACAGACTTGTTGCTTCTCTTGGCTTGCCTGTGGTTTCTTTGAAGAATCTACCCCAGACTGAGGTGCAGTTGCCGGCACCACATCTGCGAAAACCTGTGAGCAGATGACCATCTCGGTGGTGGCATGGTTCCGTGGAGTGCCAGCACATGGAGGTCCGAATTGAACTCACCCGTTTCTTGCCCTCCTTGCGCTGCAGCCGAAGGCGGCTCCGTTGGCATTCTCTGCTGCTGATTCTCGTACACAAGGATCGTACTGATGATCGCTGTGTGAATGATACGCTCGGAACCTGATCACGTTCTGAAACCCAAATGTATCGATAATCTCCTCGTGGAGTGAACTTGTTGTTGTTTGGAGGCTCACGCACAGCTTGGGTTTTCACATGCGATGACGAGCTTAAGATGGATGCTGTCATTCTCCAATCTTTCATGAGTCATGAGGAATATGGAAGTTTGACGAATCAAATGGCCTGTCTTTTGGCCTGCTTTTGCAAGTAACTCGGAAAGGCAATCTCTCTGAGAAGGTCACCAGTAAAAGGCAGCCGCCCATCGTTCATGCGCGATCTATATAAATGTGGGACGTGTTTGAACTCAACAATCACTATTCTGCCGTTTGCGATCCTTCAACAAACGTCGAGCGTGACAATGACCGGGTATCATGACGCGAGAATATGGTTGAGGGCCATTCCGATGATACCGTTCCGCTTCAGCTCTACAGGCACATGTGGTTACTGCGCATCATGAACCATCAGCGAGGAAGGAGCAAGCGGTTGGACTCGAACTCGTCAAGATCTCTCGAAGCTCACATGCGATACACGTCATTGTAGTAGCTTCGGTGCACTCTCCAGTCTCCACAGCTTTAGCTCACTTATATCCACATGGTCGACGAGAACGAGGAGCTTACTTCGAGTGATTTGTGTTGTTGCGCGTGTGAACCGAAGGTCAGAGATGTCTGCCCTGGAGGCGTGTTTCCACTCTATTCATAGTGGGATCGAAGAAGCGGTGAAGAGGTACATTGTGCAGAGTCGCACACGCCGCTTCGTGCTGACACGCTCTCAGAAATGCTGCCAACTGCAATATTGTGATCACAAGGGCTGGGAGCTGTTTGTGTTTTATCGTATTTTTGAATTTTATCGGCCCATCGGCCCATCGGCCCTTCCTTACGGAGGGAGAACCTATGTATACATCGTACAACGATATTCTGTCGCGGCTGTGCCACCGTCGGCAACCCACGCGTCTTTCGACGGCAGTCGGGCCGAGAGCGATGAAAGCCGCCTATTGATACAAGAGACTGGTGAACAAGCGTAATAAAGCAGGTTGAGAAGGAATAGAAAGAGCAACTCGCACATCCGTATCGAAAAACAATTCTTTTCTGTTGGCAATTGCCAAATGATACTTCCGTGAGCGCGTAGAAAAACAGAATCCAAACACCCACACGATGCCTGCTCGCTGATGCATAAAAGAAGAAGGAATAAAAGCAATGCATGTCGCTAAAATGCAGTAGCAGGAATGAAATCAAGTAGAGCGTGAACAGTAGGTGACGGATTTACCAGCCTTTGGCATGATATTCCTGGAGCCCCTGGTTGAAGTATTCGTTAGAGAACTTCTTCTTGTCGTTGTCCTTGACCGACATGACCGTTTGTGGCTCAGGGTGCTGTTTGAGATTCTTAATGTCGTGAGAGGTGTGTCTGCGCTTCATGGCAGCTAGATTGTTGGAGCTCTTGTGCTGGCGCTCCCAGAGAAGGTTCTTACGCAGCGACTCTGTTAGTTCGGTTGATAGCATGTTTCGTCTGGTGGTTCGTGGCGAGAGAGCAGGTTGGTGTGTGTTGGAGGTGGTCATGATTATGGGGCGTGGTTGCGAAGATTCGGAAGCCTCTTGGGCATGTTGAGAGAGTTGGGAGGGATGCAAGGTGTAATCCGGACCCGCACGTTCGATTTCCCGACGATGGGGTGACGGGGTAGCAGAGGGTCCGCTGGGAGAAGCACCGCGCGAACGACGAAGAGCAGGGGTAGAGCGCGATGCAGCGCTTGCCATCGCGCGAGCGCGATCCGGTTCGTGCATCATGGTGGTCAGCATGGAGCGACGTGAGGTCAGGTTTGGCTGCGAGTCGACCCGACGGAACATGCTCTTGTTTTCGTCGGCTGAGGAGTTTCCACTCTCGCCGATGTCATCATCCTCCCAGTCGGACGAATCTTCGTCCTCCTCGATCACACTCTCGAAGGCATCGTCATCGTCCTCGTCGTCAGACTCTTCGAATACAGGGCTATCGGTAATGGCTCGGTCTTGGATGATATCCCTGAACGAGGCGTGCTTCTTCGGCGGCTGCGGCAGGCCAGTCGATAGCGAGCCAACACTGCGTCCCATGTGGCTGTCAAGAGAGCTCTCTTCTTCGCCGGAGGAGGCGCCGAGGGTAAAGGTCGCACCCTTTTTGGGTCGATTGAGGCGGTCCGGGCGATACTGAGGCGATGTCTTGAGGATGGGCGTCGGTTGAGTTGCGGCGAGGTTTGTCTGCGAGCGGTAGGATGAAGGCACCTCGGGTCTGAAGCCTCGTACGATGTTGTGGGTGCTCATCTCGGTAGATGAACTTTGAGATGATGCGATTGCCTGTGAGTCGGTGCTGCTGACGGTAGAAGTAGACGATTCCAGGTGGCCAGGCGCGGCGATGGTAGGAATAGGAGTGGCGACAGGGTGTTCAAGGACTGATGCAGGTACAGGTGCGGGTGCAGGTGTGGGTGCAAGTGCCGAGGCAGGTGTAGCGGATTTCGTGGCGATAGGGGTTTGGCGGTGGTCGGAAGACGGCGGACTCGGCATAGACGGCGAAGGCATAGATAATGCTGATAGCGGCTCGAGACTCTTCTTCTCCTTGATGGAGATGACCATCTTCTCGAGGTCGATGGGCGTGATGTGGTTTTGTTGGCGGCCGCGACTGCGATGCTCCGAAGACTCGCTCCTTCTCAATTCGGGCCTTACAACGGGCGAAGGCAGCAATGACGACACGTCTTCTTCGTCCGACTCGTCCGACGACGACACGCTGCTCGACAGGGCGGGCAGAGGAATGTTTTTCCGCGCGCGCGGCATGCGGGAACATACGAATGTCTCGCGATTCCATAGACGCCAGCTGAGATTTTCTAACCGCTTGCCGTCCTCCATGGCATCGGAAATTTTGTTGAATACTGTAAGACATCAGCAACAATCGACAGGAAGGTGAGGAAATGGTTGCAATAGTACCTGACCACATTCCAAAGAGGTCCTCGACGGAACGGGTGTCGATGGTGTGCATTTTGTCGACGTCAATCATGACTAACGAATGTTGGGGTCGGAAAGGCATGATGTGAATCAGAAGGCAGCGACTGCTGCTGGGCGGACTGAAGAGAGGGCGAGAAGGTAAGGTATATGCAAGAGTGTGGAGGCTCTTGGGGGCGCGCTCTGTTTGCGGACGATTTCTCCGGAAGTGGGATGAGCCGGGTTGACGAGGAACGCAGTCGATTTCTGTGGCAGCATCTAGAGCAGTGTCGAGGCAAGAGTAAAGAGCGACGGCGACCTGGGAAGGGGTAATTGGATCTGTTCCAGTGGTGCGGGGTGTGTGTATCTGGTTACGTGGGCGCGTTCTCTGGGGACGACGAAGGGCACAAAAGGTGGGAGGCCGACTTACTTAACCAATCTCCCGTGCTTTCGTCGTCAAGAAACACTCTTCTTTTCGTGGCTCCCGCTAGATCACCTGGCGCTGAGCTAACCCGCAAGGTGGCACTTCGGGCCCTCGCAAAAAAACAACCTACGCCTCGGTTCGTTCGGAATCTTGTACCGGCATGCCTGTTCGGGATCGCGTCCTCCAGACAGACCATTGCTCGACAAATGCTACACTCTGGGGTTCTGACTGATGACCAATTTGCTGGCCGATTGACTGCCTGCTTCTGGCTTTGTCTCGTCCACACCGTGCGTTGGCTGGTCACGCCGCCTCTTCTTTGTTACACCGTTCGTTTCCCTATCCAAACCCGTCTCCTCATCATGCGCTAGAAGTATTGGCCTTGCTAGGCATCTTCCAGAACCAAGAACGACCCGGTCGCCATTTTAGGGGGGTCTTGCATGCAGCTTGGTCGATAGGACATGTGCTGCATCGAGGGACCCTTACTTCTACTATTGTACATGACTCAAGGTCCATTGTTGGTGACCTGCACAGTCAGATCTCGCTCTCGCTCGCTCACAGCACACAAGCTCCTCTACGAAGCTCTTGGCTCCAACCTCTAAATTCAACTGTTAGGTGCGACTTTGCTTGTCCCTTGTTGGTATCGACAGTCGATAAGACTGTTGTTGGTACGTCGCAGATCTGAAAGGCGCCGTTAGGGGCCACAAAACAATCCACGTGTTGCGCCCGTGGCTGTGACTCCTACTTCGACCTCATGGTCAAGCTTACTAGGTTTGGCCTTTGGTAAGAGCGGGCCCACGAAAACTGAAGCAAGGTTTTGAAGGCCAGAAAAGTCTGTTCTTTACCGGTGCCTTCGCGGCGGTCTGTAACTATTACGCCGTACGGCCTTTCTCTGAAAGAATCAAAGGGGCCAAGCGAACATCCGGCTCCACCTGTTTGATCCAAAGTTTGCCTTGACTCGTCTACTCCCTAGGCCAGACCATCTCATGGACCTCTCTCTCTATCTATCACTATAGACTGGAGACCTAGACGTTGTTTGTATTGGCGGACGCATGGATAATTGCATAATCATTCGACTAGACCACACAACAGCCAGATCAATCTTAGAGGGTCGGTTGACCACATGTCAAACAGACATGTGACCCGGTCTGCTCCGCGATGCCTCCTCATGACTCTTCCGGGTGTGTGGGTACACTGGCTTTGAAGAAAATGCTTGTCAGACCTTGCAAAACCCGGGGTGTCGAAAGCCCATGAGATTTTCAATTTGCGATTGCTGATGGCAAGAACGCCGCATTCCTCTTGACCGGACAGGTACTTGAGAGACCTGCTGGAAGTTCCGATTTAACGTTTATACAGTCTTCGGACCCTTCGCTTGGCTGTACAAGACGGGTATGAGTCGGAATGACTCCGTATGAGGGGTAACCCCCGTACTTTTGATGGTCAGCAGCTCAACTTTGCGAGCTGAACCGTGTGTCTCTCAAATGCTATGCTTACAGTGTGAACTCTAGGCTCTTCCTGTCTCTGTACGTTTGTCAATATATGGACACAACCTCCTGAACCCGTGCGCTTTTGAAGACGGCTGTCTCGAACAGGCTTCAAAACTGACAACCGCCACCGTGCTGCGGGATAGGGCACAAAGGGCAAGATCGGCCAATCTTCCGATAGGACCAGACTCGGGCCGCTATTCGGGCCCGAAGACTCATCACGTTCCGCCGAACGACCCCCTCGAACGATGCAACTCTGGGGCGTTTGCTTCTCATTCTTCGCGTGATTGATTTGTCTTTGAACGATACACACTCAGCTGGCATATTGTTTATGAGCCGACGGACGATATTACACGGATCTCCAGAGGCTTTAGGCTGAGGCAGGCAAATCTGCCGTCTATAGCCGATTCGGAAGTGTGAGAACAGCGCCACTAGTGCACCGCCTACCGGTCACGCGCGTAAGGCAAATCGTCCCACGCGCTGATAAACGATAACCAACTAGGGTTTCTGGGGTGAGGATCCCATACTGTTCGTTGCTAGGAACGGTAGCAGTGCTGCAGGCGGTACTTGTACTTTATATGACAAGCAGATGACCCGTGCCTGGAATTGAAGCGTGGGGTGTCGAAGCGAGTTCAACATGGTCGTACCAAGCACCCTGTTGGCAAGCCAGGTATGCGTTGGTCTTCTAACATGTCACGGATTGAATTGGCCTTGTAGACACTCACACGAGCCAGCTGTCTGCTGATGAGTTTTTGATTTCTTCGGCGGCATGGATTCTCCACTTGGTGACGGCGCCTGTCATGCATGCCCTTGACCAGTTCAAATGTAAAAAGCTGGTCGATGAGTACAGGACGTTAAGATTGTCTCTCGAGTCTGCATGCGCATCGTCAAGCATGGCGGAACAGGGACCAGTCGCGACACCGGGGAACAAACTGCATCGAGCAATACGGGCTCAAGAAAGGTTGGTGAAGCCGTGGCCCTCGTATGTCTACGACTTTTAGGTGTCTGGAGCTTGCGTGCTGGTTCCTCACGGGATCAATCAGCGTTGAGCAGACAGAGCACCCAGGGGATGATTCTGGATGAGCAGCATCGCGCGGAAGCCATGCTACCACCACGCTCGTGCCACTCGATCGCGTAGAGCATCAAGGCGGCATGTGGAAAGCGACAAGAGGTGGTATGGGGCTGTTTGGTTGTTGTGATGCGGCTTGTTTGACAGGCGGTTGTCTAGGACCCTGACTCGTGCAGCAACAGGCATCGTCATGATCGTGGTCGAAGCGCATTGCTTGGCAAAGAGAAATCGCGCACTGTCGCACGTCTTTCTGCGTGCACGAAAGGACTCGTTGCGGCACACGCAACAGCACCTGCTCTCGTGCCATCCACAAGCAGCTCTCCATGTCTCTGAGGCATGGCATACCGACAGCTGCGGCGCCCCGGCGCGCAGGTGTCATGACCCCGGCTGCTCTGTCAATCATCAAGCTTCTCGGAGTCTCGCTCATCAACCTGCCTCTGTCGTACGCTGCTCCGCTGTTTTCGAAATCCGACTCGCCCATCTACAGACGCGAAGAGCCCGAGCCCAAGTCGCCCGAGGATCCTCAGCTATGGGTCTATCTGGGTGTCGCCATTGCCCTTGTGCTCTTGGGTGGAGTCTTTGCCGGTCTGACGATTGCCCTCATGGGCCAGGACGAAATCTACCTGCAGGTTATCGCTACCTCTGGCGAGGGAAGTGAGAAGAAGAGTGCTGCCAGAGTCTTGCGCCTCTTGAAGAAGGGCAAGCATTGGGTCCTCGTCACACTGCTGCTCAGCAACGTCATCACCAACGAAACTCTGCCCATTGTGCTGGATCGCTCGCTGGGAGGTGGCTGGCCTGCTGTGCTGAGCAGTACCGTCCTGATTGGTATGCACCCCCCTGCTCTGTGCACATAGACACTAACAAGTCTCAGTCATCTTCGGCGAGGTCGTGCCTCAATCCATCTGTGTCCGCTTCGGTCTTCCCATCGGCGCTGCCATGTCACCTCTTGTTCTCGGTCTCATGTGGATCATGGCTCCAGTGGCCTGGCCCACTGCCAAACTCCTGGACTGGCTGCTGGGCGAGGACCACGGAACCGTTTACAAAAAGGCAGGCCTCAAGACGCTCGTCACTCTTCACAAGACCCTGGGCACCACGTCCGACCGCCTCAACGAAGACGAAGTTACCATCATCAGTGCCGTTCTCGACCTCAAGGACAAGCCCGTCGGCGACATCATGACCCCCATGGGTGATGTCTTCACCATGTCGGCTGACACGGTGCTAGACGAGAAGATGATGGACACAATTTTGTCTCAAGGCTACTCCAGAATCCCCATCTACGCACCCGACAACACCCGTAACTTCATCGGCATGCTGCTCGTCAAGATTCTCATCACATATGACCCTGAAGATAGCCTGCGCGTTCGCGACTTTGCTCTTGCTACACTTCCCGAGACCAAGCCCGAGACCAGCTGTTTGGATATTGTCAACTTCTTCCAAGAGGGCAAGTCCCATATGGTTCTTGTCTCAGACTTCCCCGGCCAGGACAAAGGTGCCCTCGGTGTCGTCACTCTGGAAGACGTTATCGAAGAGCTTATCGGAGAGTGAGTATCATCCTTTGCTTCACCGCTGCCACCCGCTGACGTGACTCAGGGAAATCATTGATGAGTCTGATGTCTTTGTCGATGTGCACAAGGCGATAAGACGCATCGCACCGGCTCCCCGCACTAGATATACCAAGGGCAACACCGTTGTAGATACCCCTGCCACCGACGACGATACCGACGTCGACGAGCGTACACATCTGCTTGGGCCCTCAACTAGCCAGAGCCGCAAATCTTCGCTGACTGGCTCCCGCGAGGCTACTCTTCTCTTGCGCAGACGTAGTAGTACGAGCAGCGACAAGAACCGTCCATTGCCCCTCCGATCCAACACCGCCGACCTACGCCAACACCTGAAACATCTCGGTCCAAGCAACGTTGCAAGTCGTCCAAAGGCCACCAAGTACACTTCTGTGAAGATCAAGCCTGGAGTTGGAACCATCCCTGAAAACCGTGTGCCCCCTTCTGTCTCGACACAGGATGTCGAGTCTAGCCAAGCAGTCACTCCTCAGACAGTCGTTAACGGCGGCTCGTCCAGGCCTGAAGGTGGCATTGGTGCCGGCCTCATTGGCTCGGCTGCTCTTGAAGCTCAAGACGGAGCACACGCTGTCGCCCAAGTCGCCCATGGATATGGTTCAATCTCTCCTGGCTCCAGGGACCCTTCTATTCACGAAGAATCCGAGGTGCAGGCTGAGCATGACATGTCTTCATCCAAGCCTATGACTGCCAAAGAGGCATCTGCCTTTGCTGATAATCACACCGCAGCAAAGCTCGAAGCTAAAGAGAACAACGCACGCGATCAGAAGCAGCAAAGCGAGCAGCAAAATGACCAGCAAGGCGAGCAGCGAAACGGCACTCACGAGTCTTCCGAACAAGAACAACCCGACTTGCCTCAGAAGCTGGTCGTGCAAGGAAGTACTTCCCGCCCCATTTCTCGTGACAGAAGAGGTTCGGGATCATCTCACTCTACCTTGGGAGAAATGGAAGATCGACCGGGTTTCAAATCTCGTCGTGCTGTAAGATCCGGCAGCATCACCGAGAACATCGTCGATATGAACGGCATGAAGAAGGTGGTTCTGGAGGCCAACAGCTCATCCGATGGAGATGACCAGAAAGGCGCTGACGCGAATGACGGCGCGAACGACAAGAACGGCCATGATGATGATCAAGATGACGCTGGCAACGATGATGCAGGTCACGACGATTCAAAGGGAACCAAGAAAAAGAAGAAGAAGAAGCGAGGAGGCAAGAAGTTCCGCAACAAGGGCGACTCTGTCAAGAGTCGTAGCGGCGACAGCACTCCTTTGTTGAGTCAAGGTGATCGTTAAAAGTTGATGAAGAGGTGGTTGTGTGTTTCCTTGTTTCCTTGCCACTGATCCTCCAAGCATAGCGGCGTTTGAATATATTTGTCTTACAGGTGTACTCGTACCTAGTAGTTTCAAAGTTTATATCTGTGGTTAATAGGAGATACGTGGTTAATACTCATGTTGTTGTTCAAGATGCGTGCACGGTGTGAGACTGGTGGAGACGCCCCTTGAAGTAGGTACAGCAGCACTATTCGTCCTCACAACAGTCACGGCTGTGAGGATCTTCACCAAAAGTGTTATCATGAACCTTTGCGATGATATTACCGAGGGTCGACGGTAGAAAACATCTCATAGGGCGCGTGGTGTTATACCCCGCATTCACAGGGAGGCTTGCATACCCACCTAGGTACCTTGATGGCAATAATGTTCTCCATCTCTATTAATCGAATCAAGGATGTCAACAAGAACAGCAACACGATCCGGCTGGGTATCTATCTTCAAGTGCCAGAGATCGCGTCTGTACTCTACTCTGTCACCCAACGCACGACTGAACACTCCAACGGATTTCGAGGCGACCTCTCTGCTCCATCACAACTCGAGAGCTGCGTTAGCCAGCACTGAACTATCCTCCGATGCGAGAAATGGCACTGCAACGCGACTGAATCTGTTCCAAGCCATCAACTCGGCTCTTTCACATGCGCTTCGAACGGATCCACGAGTCTTGCTCTTTGGCGAAGATGTGGCTTTTGGTGGAGTGTTCCGCTGCAGGTACCGGATCATGTCACTGCACAAGAGATCGTACATCTGGCTAATCATGTCACAGTATGAACTTGGCCTCCGAGTTTGGCGATGACAGAGTATTCAACACACCCTTGACCGAACAAGGCATTGTTGGATTTGCCATTGGAGCGGCTTTTGAAGGAATGCGACCTGTTGCCGAAGTCCAGTTCGCCGACTACGTATACCCTGCGTTTGACCAGTTGGTCAACGAAGCGGCAAAAGCTAGATTCAGAGCTGGTGTGAACGCAAAGGGACAGAGCTGTGGAGGTCTAGTCGTTCGCATGCCTTGCGGAGGTGTTGGACATGGTAAGTCAAGTCAACCATCAGTAAGTTGTGTAATGGGCTAACCAAGTCATAGGTGCATTGTAAGCGATTTCGTGCTGGATATGCTATTGAGTATACTGACAACTGCAGGTACCATTCTCAGTCTCCAGAGTCACTTTTCACACACATACCCGGCTTGCGTGTAGTTATGCCTCGAGGACCCGCGCAAGCCAAAGGTCTCCTCCTCGCTGCCATTGCGAGCAACGATCCTGTTGTGTTCATGGAGCCAAAGATTCTCTACCGTGCAGCAGTGGAATACGTACCTGCCGAGGCCTACGAGATCCCTCTGAGCAAAGCAGAGATTGTCAAGCCGGGCAAGGACATCACCATCATCAGCTACGGCACCCCGTTATACACCTGCGCGAATGCCATCGAGAAGGCTGAAGCAGACTTTGGTTGCCAGATTGAGCTCATCGATCTTCGGACCATCTACCCCTGGGACCGACCTACGATCATCGAGAGCGTCAAGCGGACCGGAAAGGCCATTGTGGTTCACGAGAGTATGACCAACTCCGGAGTTGGTGCCGAAGTGGCAGCAACTATACAAGAGACATGCTTCCTGAACCTAGAAGCCCCAGTTGCTCGAGTCTGCGGATGGAGCACACATATGGGTCTCATATATGAGGTATGCCAATCAACGCTTCCTTCTGTGACGAACGACGCTAACTGCTATAGCGATTCAATATTCCAGATGTGACACGTAAGTGGATGCTGTGAGGTGCAGTATGATACTATGCAGCTAACGAGAGAAACCAGGTATTTACGACGCCATCAAAACAACGCTAGACTATTAGATGGTTCAGTCCTTTGGATCTCATGAACAGGAGATGGAAGGGTTCTGTACTGGCGCAAAGGCATGCATCGGAGCGTAGAAGAAAAGCATATTGGGTGTTAGGTATAGCTGCACCATCATCAACTCAGTGCTGTTCAACTGCTTCCACGCCTCCTGATTCCATGACGCGAGAGGTGATTAGGTGTTCAGGTGCTGTTCCATTCGGTTTTGCCCAGGCGCACAATGTCGCTTTGATTGAGCATCCAGACTTTCTGCTGCACCTTGCCATCGTGACATTGCAAGGCAGCAGATACGGCAGCTTTGGCAATAACATCCGCGTCTTGTGCCCAGAAGTCTTTGAGTGAATCACTGACCATACCAGCCCATGTGGCAATCTTACGGAAAGCGAACTCGGGAGGTCTCGAGTCTTCTCTCTGACCAACAATCAAACCCGGACGTAGGATGACGGTGTGTTCAAAGCCAAGCTGCTTGACAGCCTCCTCCAATTCGCCCTTCATCTTTGGGTATGCGAGCATGCTGGTAGGGTTGGCGCCGCCCGAGGAGACAATAACACATGTTGTAGCACCGTGTTCCTTTGCTGCTTTGGCGAGCTCTAAGTTCAAATCATAGTCGATCTTGCGCTGATTTGCTACACCACCGGCAGCACCACGAGTGGTTCCGAGAGCGGAAAAGAAGATTGACGAAGCCTTGGGGTAGAGCGAGGCCCAGGTCGACGAATCGGACGAGACGAGTGGGTGGACTTTGGCAGAGGTGGCGGGGAGGTCTTTGCGAGCGTATGCGTAGAGACTCGAGACTGAAGGGTGCGACGACAGGATTGAGTAGATGTTGCCGCCCTTGGATGACAGTTTAGCAGCTCTTCGTAAATGACCGTGTACTGTCTAGTCTGCTCGTGATTGTCGACATCGGACAGCACTCACAACCAAGCCTGTACTTCCGGCAAGCGTGCACGTCAAGTCTGCCATTTTGCGACTTTGTATTTCGTTTGTTCAGGACGAAGGTAGGAGTAATTAGCTCGAGTGGCTTGCGAGACTTGCGACGGACGCCGCTCCTTCTCGCTCCAATACACAGCATCGACGAGGCGCGCACGGCCGGGGTCCGGCTCCGGGTCCGTATCGATATCTATCTGCGGCCTGTCTGCCTGCCACACTCGTTATCTAACCAACTTATCAGAATCCTCTCTCACTCTCTAGCCTTGTTTTTACAGACTGGCTTTGACATGCGCCTGATAATTTGTGCTCATTTACCCGTCAATATTTGCCTACCACTCAACCTAACGTCGTCTACCATCCATCGAGCCCTCCACAATCCTCATCCCGGAAACACCACAGTTTGAAGAGGTACGAGTTATTCCATACTTGGAAAATCATACTTATTACTATCCCAATGCCTCTGGACAATTGATCATTCAGTCCCAATTATCCCAGACATCTTCTCTAGTCCACCCCCTGCGCGAGCATATCAGCCGTTCGTGACCCACTTGTGATATGGACTGGATAGCCGAAACTGTTTCGCTGTGTATGAGGTGCTGACATTGTGGACATAGACTCATAGGAGTTGGCTGAATCGCCATCATGTTGAATGTACGGGCCCTCAACAAACTCTTGACCGAGAACGTCGACAACAAGCTCTTCGTGCGGTGGTTGTGAGTGTCCCTTCATTTCCAACCAAGGCACGCGCTTACTTCGGACAGTATCATGACGCCAAACGGATCGTTGATGGCATACACTCTGCCTGCAAACATGAAGGAACTACGCGACCAAGTCGCTCTGGTATCAATATCCTGGAAAGAGCATCTGGAACGCAAAGACAACGAACGATTTGAACCGCAGTATACACAAGGTGGCCCTAACGAACCCTCGAAACGCGTGGTTCGACCTGATGCATTAGAGACATTGACTGTTGAATTCGACCACCGGAACCTGATTGTCAGGTATCTGCAGCCCAAGTTGCTTTTGGTGCTCGAAGGTGGAGTGCCGCCGGGAAGGAAACGCGAGCTCAAAGTGACAGCAGAAGCGCCCGGAGATTCGCGATATCCATCCGAGGACTCGAGTGTGTCTGACCGCACCGATACTATGCTCGGAACATCTGTTGGATCAAAAGCATCGACGACAGTTAGTAGCACACAACGCCTCAGTGTCCTGCACATTCAGCGTAGGAAAACGGAAATCATGGCCGAGACGATAAAGCGCGAACTATCTGGGTTCGAGGTATGTTGCGAATAACACAAAGCGATGCTGCAGTGCAGCTAATATTGTACGTAGATGCCAGATGACCCAACCAACAAGTTTTTCTAGGGGCGGTTCCTCCATGCTTGATATCGTTCGCCTGAGGCTGAGCGACCATGGGGGGGGGGGGGGGGATGCTCAATCTTGTCCATTACAATTCTGGCAGTGTAAGCGTTTCAGCGAGTTCTAGTTCATACAGTAGGGAGGCGGCATAACGAGATTGATATTGGAAGGAAGAGACGAACAAGCATAATTTATTCACAAAATTTGTGCAAAACCCCCAATCATGACGACGTTTCTACCCCAGTGACGTTTTTAAAACAAGCACGTCAAGGCCGAGCTGAGCAACAGATCAAGCACGACCTGACTTTGATTCTCTCTACTCTTTCACTCCAATTCACGCCGACCTTTCTATCAAGCCCAGACACAGATCCGATCCACAAGCAAACATGATCGCTGGACCTCTCAGCCGCCGCCTCTTGGCCCAGCAGCCTCACATGCTCAGCCAGCGCCCCGTCGCAAGAGTCATCAGCAGACCATTGTCGTACACATACCAGCTCCAAGCACGCAAGGACACCCAAGACAAGGACTCGCTCAAGCCCGAGCCCAACGAGTACAGCAAGAGCGGGTCCGACGACGAGGCTGCTCGCGTCGAGAAGACGGCCTTTGATCCCAACAAGACATCTCCCGAGGAGCAACACGACTCGGCCGGCCGCGAATCTCAAGAGGTAAGAACTTGACGCCTCTACCATTGACTCCCCTGCTGTGTTGGAGGAGAGAGGCAGTCGGCAACAGGGCACATGGCGACAGAAGCTAACCACTCGCAAGCTTGGACAGGCATCAAACCCTCTGAACGTCAGTCCTGCAAACCAGGAAGTCAGCAAGCCCAGAAGTCCAACCGAGGGAGGAGCCGAGGGCTCTGCTGCCAACTCGAGCAGCAGCCCCAGCGACAGGTCCCGAAGCAGCGGTAGCGGCAGCCCTACCAAAGGCAGCGAGGGTCAGAAGTACAGCTCGTAGTCATACATGGTGTCTCAAGACGATCATAGCTGTCTCAGTCTAGTCTGGTCTAGCATTGGCATACACGCATAGTAGTAGCTCCAAAGACAGCACTCGAGGATTTTCATGACGTCTAAAATATCTGAATGCATGCATGCTCAGCCGTCCACTCAATCTGTGCCTCATGTCTTGTGCCGTCCCTTGGTCGAAAGCGCATGGCGACGATTTGTCCACAGCATGGTTGGCTATTACTAAGGATGTGCGGGGTATTTGCAGTGCGTCATTGGCTCTTCCCAGCAGTTCGCTCTTTGTCGACAAAAGTCATGTTCAAACCAATTGTTCAACCATTCCTCAGCAGAAGGTCCTTTACATCGTTCCGTACACTCGCCGCCGCCATGTCAGACACTTCGACTTACAAGTTCAACCACACCATGCTCCGGGTCAAGGACGTAAGCACCCATCTCCCACCAGCTTGACCATTGCCTTTGCTTGACCTGACAGAACTCCATGTACAGCCTCAGCGATCCCAGAAGTTCTACGAGCTTCTCGGCATGAAGTTGATCAACAAGCTCGAGAATCCCGATGCCAACTTTGATCTCTACTTTATGGCCTACGACAACCCCAAGTCGGTTTCCCACGGCAAGCACTGGTCAGACCGTGAAGGCCTCATCGAATTGACTCACAATTACGGCGAGTTCGCCCCGTTGCACACCACTAGACAACTCGACTAACACCACAGCAGGTACCGAAAAGGACGACAACTACACAGTCAACAACGGCAACGGCAAGGAGAACCGCGGATTTGGCCATGTCTGCATCAGCGTCGACAACATCCAGGACGCCTGCAAGCGTATTTCTGACGCTGGCTACTCTTTCCAAAAGCGCCTCGAGGACGGTCGCATGCGTTCCATCGCTTTCGCCCTCGACCCCGATAGCTACTGGGTCGAAATCATCTCCCAGAACCCCGTCAGCGAGACCGAGGGCAAGAAGTCGGATGTAGACACATACCGCATGAACCACACCATGATCAGAGTCAAGGATGCTGAGAAGTCTCTCAAGTTCTACCAGGACGTCATGGGCATGACCCTACAGCGTACTTCGGAACAAAAGGAGGCTGGTTTCACTCTTTACTTCCTCAGCTACGGCCCCAAGGCTCCCGAACAATCTGCAAACGGTGTCAACCCTATCGCTGACCGCGAGGGTATTCTCGAATTGACGCACAACCACGGCTCTGAGAACGACGACAGCGTCAAGTACCACAACGGTAACGACGAGCCACAAGGATGTATGTATTCTGCCTTTGCTCCAACCTTGATGTATGATCTGTGCTGACCTACTCCACTCCAGTCGGTCACACCTGCGTCTCAGTCGACGACTTGGACGCAGCCTGCAAACGCTTCGAGGACATGAATGTTTCATGGAAGAAGCGTTTGACAGATGGCAGAATGAAGAATGTTGCCTTCATCCTCGGTAAGCAACGGACCGAACGTGCTGTATGTTCTCTATCTCTGACTTGGTTCTAGACCCCGACAACTACTGGATTGAGGTCATTCAAAACGAGAAGCTCAAGAACAGAGCCAACTGGTAAATCGTTGATCGAATTGGCATAATTGGACAAGCGCTATTGGAACCACATAGATGACAATCCATCTTGGTATAACGTAGATACATGAACAACATGACTGTTTGCAATCTACATATATCCTCTTTATCGAATATTGGTCTGGCTCCATTTTCTACCGTCTACGATTCGCGCGTCTAGCTGTCGGCCATCTCAGAAGTGTGACCCTGTCATCAAGCTCTTGTCTCGACATGTCATCGCATGCTCCCGCCTGGCTTCTCTGTCTTTCCTCTATGTATATCCTATGATATCGCAAAGCCATATCACCACAGAACCTAGTTGGGAAGCTTTGAACAAGTGTCTTGACAAAAAGGAGCAGGCAATTGTGGATTTTTGCCCATTGAAAAGCACGTAACATGCTGCTGTTACCAAAATTACACGATACCGACGCCAATTCGGGTCACAGTCACTTAAAAAAGATGCAGCAATCGTCAATTGTTCCGGAAAGACTCTGTCAAGAGGTAAATTGAGCGGCAAGCCTTGGTTGAAAAGGTAGAGGAGATGTAAAAGGTTATATCAGGGTCATCCCACCAGCCACACCCAAAAGCGTCAAGATATCAGGACGTTCGATGCCACCAGCAAATGAATAATTCGTATCATGTGGCCTCAACAAGAGCAAGAAGAAAACACTTTTTTTATTCAGAATTTGGTCAAAACTACTCAGTCATGATGCTTTTTTCAGAATCGTCTTCTTTCAACAATTCGTCCCCTTATGCCTCATCACCAAGTACAGCCTTTCTGGAGAAGTCGTGCAGAGGAGTGATGTCAGTCCAGTGTTTGAACTGTGATTTGAGATGTCAGCAAATGTGATGGGTACATGATAGTAAAAATGCTTACCTGGTGGACGCCCTGTCCAACCAGAGCCTCGAGGCCGGGGACAGTCTTCCAACCGCTGTTGTCAGCGAGTTGCATCAGCGATGTCACGCGCGGCTTGTAGGCCATCTCAAGAAGGACCTTGGCTCTGTCATCGGGACCAGGGATATCGCGAGGGTTGTTGCCGGCCTCGAACAACGAGCACAGAGTCTCGCGCATTGCAGGATCGATTGGTGAATCGCCGGGGATGGTGCCGATGGCTACAACTGGGTGTCTGTCGACTGACAGCTTGGAAACTTGCTCAGTGTCGCTCAGGACCTCGATATTGAAGGATGCGTCAAAGGAATCAGCCAAAGTCTGTAGCTTGGTCGTGTTACGGCCGACCAGGTAGACCGGGCTGTAACCCATCTTGTGCAAGGCATAGATGGCGGCGCGTGCAGTACCACCACCTCCAACGACCATGGCTGCCTCTTTCAGCACACCGTTGTTACCTTCAGCTCCAGCGAACTGCAAGGCGATAGTCATGCCCTGCCAGTCTGTGTTGTAGCCAGTCAAGATAGTCTTGTCGTCATCAGTCTGGGTAGGTACAATGGTGTTGACGGCACCGATGACCTTGGCGGCTGGGTCGACGTGGTCAAGCAACCCCATGACATCCAGCTTGAGCGGAATCGTCACACTGCCACCACCAAAGTTAGGGGCGCGGATGGTCTTCTCAATGTCTTTTGCCTCGGTAGTCTCGAACAAGCCATACTCGTGCGGAAGTCCCGACTGTGCAAAGAGAGCATTGTGAAGGGCAGGGCTTCGGCTCTGAGAAATAGGCGAACCGAACAGAAAGAACTTCTTAGGTTCAATCTCGCCGATCAGGCTAAGACCGCGACGGATGTCCGCGGCTGAAAGCTGGCCAGGAGCAGCCACAACAGGCAGTGCAGGAGATGAGACCGGAGTCATGAAGCGGTTCGTGATACGGCTGAGCTTACCGTGCTCGCCCATGTTGAGGGCGATGAGCGGAATCTCGGGGTGAGTCTTTGCTGCCCAAGCCTTGAACTCTGCAAGCGCAAAGTTGTCCTCCAAAGACTTTGCGGTACCAACAATCTTGATGATGTCTCCATATTCCAGCGCAGCGTTGTAGTGCGGCATCCATGCACTGCCACCGGTAGCCCATGAGAGCTTGCCAGCGGGGTCATGATGAGATGCGATGATTTTGCTGTTACGCTTGTTCAAAATGACAAACTCCTTGAGCTCCGGCGATGAGGTCAATTCTACATCGACAAAGTCGCAGCCCATACGAAGTGCGACTCGGTAGAGCTTGATTGCCTCTTCGTCAGCACCGTCAGGGAAGCGTCCGCTCTGGGCCTTTGTACGGAGAGTGAAGACGACGGGCAAAGAGCTGCCTGATCGCAAAGCGGCAAGCTGCTCGACAAGGAACTCGGGGCTCGGGCGTCCGTCAGTTGTAGATGGATCTTGCAAGAGGTCCGCACGGAATTCGATAACATCAACTCCGAATGAGATCTCATTGAGGCGAGACAAGAATGGAGCAACCGTCGGGATGGTCAGCGAGACGAAGAATGACTCCTTCTTCCTCTTTAGGCGCTCCAAAGCACACTCACGGTTAGTGAGTAGTCTCAAGAAGCTGCCGAAGTCTTCGATTGTGTTCTTGGCTTTGGCACCGTCCATCGACTCAACTGTCTGACTGTGGTAGTGGAAGTTACTGCACTCCTCGTACCAAGGTTTTCTGCGGAGCCACACGCCCATCATGTCTTCGACGTAAGCTGGACGTGTCTTGTCGATCTGCAAGAAGTTCATGACAAGGTTGATATCTCTAGTCACCAAGAGCACGTTGCCGCCGTTCTTATGATAGGATGTAAGAATGTCACGAGCCTCGGCTGCTTCGACGATACCACCGCCTGTAGCAAAGATGTAGCCAGTAGGCTTCTCTTTCATCACAGTCTTGAGGAGGGAAAGTTCAAGCTCGCGGAAGCCCTCCCAGCCCTTTTCCTTGATAATGTTGGGGATAGTCATGCCAGCAGTTCGCTCCAACTCTGTATCGAGATCAATCAGAGGCCAGTCGAGGAGACGAGAAGCCCAGCCGCCCGTAGTGGTCTTGCCAGCACCCCTCATTCCAATGATAAAGATTGATTTCTGGTTACTCGAGGAGACTGAGTGACCAGCAGAGTGTGATGACTTTGGTTCAACACCTTCCAGCTTGACCTTGAAGAGCAAAGACAATTGGTCCCACCACCCAGGCCAAGTCTTCCCGACACACTCTCTTTCCAAAACAAGAGTGGGCTTGGCAGCCATGGTGGAGAGCACGGAGAAACTCATGGCGACTCTATGATCGTCGTAACAGTGGACGCCACCCTGTGCTTCTTGTAGGTCGAAGCCGCGACCATCAATCTCGATACCGTCATCGAGCTCCCTGCATGTAACACCGAACTTGGCGAGTTCATCTTTCATGGCCTTGATACGATTGCACTCCTTGACACGCTGATTGGCGATACCCAAGATGCGGGTAGTAGCGCCGTTTGCATTAGGCTTGGCAACTGCAGCGAGTACAGAAGCGGTAAGGAAAGCATCGGTCATGGTTTCCATGTCGACTTCGGGCAATGGCTTGAGTTCGCCTACGGGAGGGCCAGTGACTGTGGTAGAAGTGGCAGTCTGTTTGACCTTGCACCCCATTGGTCGTAGTACCTCTACAGCAAAGCGTGCGTCGCCCTGAAGAGAGCTTGAGCCGATGTTAGGAACTGTGCATGTAGTGCCAGAAATGGCGGCCATTGCAAGAGGATAAGTTGCAGAACTGGCATCACTCTCGACCTCGTATTCAGCAGGGTTGGTGTATGCCCTGCGAGGAACGTGGTAGACGTTGGCTTCAGTGTTAGATCTCTCGACTTGAACACCAAATTGAGCCATCATGGCAATCGTCATGTCGATGTAAGGTTGGGAGATGACCTTATCACCGACGAGACGGAGAGTCACAGGGTTTTTGGCGTAAGGAGCGCACATCAAGATAGATGAAACATATTGCGAAGACACCTTGGCAGTAAGCTCAATGACGCCACCCTCGAAACCACCAGCAGCGGCGATACGAAGAGGAAGACTGCGGCTTCCAGGCTTGCCGATGTACTCGATCTCGACACCGTTGGAGCGAAGAGCATCGACAAGGGGACCTTGAGGTCTTTCCTGCATACGAGCATTACCGGTCAGGATGGTGTGATTGACAGAAGACGGCTTAGCGAGGGAAACGGCAGTAGTCAAGAAGCGAGAGGCAGTGCCGGCATTGCCCAGGTAGAGCTCGTCGGAGCTGGCCTTGAGCTCACCACCATTTCCATTGAGTACAAGGACGCGACCTTTGTCTTCCCACGAGTAAGTTGCTCCACCGAGCTTGTTGATAGCTGTAAGCATGACCTGAGTATCATCAGAGTGTAGCAGGTTGGTAATACGGCAGGGCCCAGAGCCGAGAGCAGCAAGGAGCAGCACGCGGTTGGAGATACTCTTTGAGCCTGGAGGCTTGCAGGAGATGTTGAGAGAACTGTCGACGCCAGGATGGACGAGCACGCTGGGAGAAAGAATGATACGGATATCCTTGTCAGCCACAGTGCTAGCCTTTGGTTCATAGGTCTTGCCAATAGCGGAAAGAAGGACAATCTTCTTCTGGCCACCTGCGTTCTTCTTATCAACAGCCATGATGGAGATCAGACGGTCGACAGGACAGTGTTTGTTGGCGGTTCTTCTGCGAACAACCTTGTCTTCGAGCGAAGTGGGCAAGCCGTAGCTCGAGATGCACTTGGACAGACGAGCGACAGCACCAGGAGCAAGAACGCCCAAGTGACGAGCCAGTTCGGCTTCCTTGACCATTCCAATAGCGACACACTCGCCGTGCAGAATCTGAGGAGTCAAGATGGCCTCGATGGCGTGGCCGATCGAGTGACCAAAGTTCAAGATGTTGCGTAGGCCACCCTCTCTTTCATCAGCAGAAACGACCTCAGCCTTGATGCGAGCAGAACCAAGGACAATGCGCTTCAAGATATGGGCGATCTCTGTGAATCTGCCTTGGCCCTTCTTGGTCTTGTCGTCCAGAACCTTCATGATCTCGTCGGCGTTCTCCTCTAGAGTAGCGAATTCTGCCTCGTCCCAGAAAGCAGCAGTCTTGACAACTTCTGCCATACCGTTGATGACCTCTCTCTTAGGAAGAGTCTCGAGGAATTGGAGGTCGATGTAGATGCGTTGAGGCTGCCAGAAAGCACCGACCAGGTTCTTGCCCAGAGGAGTATCAATGGCAGTCTTGCCACCGATGGAAGAGTCGACCATGGCCAGAAGGGTGGTGGGAACCTGAACGAAACGCACACCGCGCATGTATGTAGCGGCAACGAAGCCAATCATGTCGCCGATGACACCTCCGCCCAGGGCGATGACAACGCTGTCTCTGGTGACACCCTGCGAGAGCATCCAGTCTTCGACGGCGGCCTTTGTCGATCTGCTCTTGGAGCTCTCGCCGGGCGCAACCTGGTAGGTAAGAAGTCGCGGCGCATTGTCAAGCTTCGAGGTGTGTTCGTTGAAGGCGGCCTCGAAAGTGGGTGTGTAGAGGGCGCCAATGTTGGTATCAGTGATGAGGATGTAGGTGCCCGAGGATACGTTCTCCAGCAGGTCGGGTACAACGAAGTTCTTCCAGAGTCCGTAGTCAATGATGATGGATTCCTTGCCCAGGATCGAGACCCGTGTGGGCTCGCTTGCACTTGAGCTGTCCGACATGGTGGACGAATGGGCTCACGGCGACAGCAACGGAGCTCAACAAGGTCGGACTGAGCGGGAATGTCAGGTCAACTAGACGGTGACTCAAAGCGCGTCTGGACTGACCATGATGAGCACGCCCCAATTCCTCCCCACAAGAAATGTCCCAAATTTCTGGACGCACATCTCCCGACATCGGGACCAACGGCACACGGTTAAGACTATTTCCTACAATGCATCATCTGGAATTCGAAACATCAACTCGGCTTTGCACAATCACAGTCACACGCAAACAGGCACTCGAGGAACAGGCGAACATATAGTGGCAATGTCTACTTAGATAGGGCAACGTTCAAGTACATCCCTTCGAGACAGCACAGGGCTTTCCCCCACTGGCAGCAAGGCCAGTGGATATCTTTCCCTCATAAGCGCCGTTCTCTTTGATCTAGAGTAGAGCAAGAATCGCGACGGTGTGAAGTGGAACGCCGAGCAGCAGCAGCAAATGGACTTTTTGAACTTTCGTAGTCGGACTTATTGTAATCCCCCATTTTGTTGTATCGACTTTTGTTTCTTCATACCGGCTCTCGCCCCCCCTCGATAATGTGACATTTACCAGGTGGTCTCGGGGGCGGTCTCGGCGTTGGTCTCAGAGGCCCAACCCTCGTTGCCGGTCTGGACGGGAGCGCTCGAGGCGGCCCAGTCAGCACCCTCAGCATCCCAGCTGGAGTTGGCGGCAGCACCAGCGGTGCCAGAGGCGGCAGCGAAGGCACCGGCGTTGGCGCCGCTAACCTCCCAGTCGTTGGCGAATCCGCTCTCGACGGCGGCAGGGCCGGCCTCGTCGACACCGGCAACCTTGGCCTCGTCCTGGTTGGCAGAGTCCTTGTTCTCCTCGGCTTCGGGGTCGCGGTAGAAGTACAAGTCAGTCATGACATCCCACTCGGCCTCACGGCTGGGGAGAGTGCCACGGAGACGGAGGACCTCACGGGCGAGCATCCACCAGACGAGACCGATGGCGTGACGACCCTTGTTGTTGGTGGGGATGGCAACATCGACGTACTCGGTGGGCGAGTCGGAGTCGCAGAGCGAGATGACGGGGATGTTGACGTACGAAGCCTCCTTGATGGCCTGGGCATCGGTGCGGGGGTCGGTGGTGATGATGAGGCGGGGCTCCTTGAACGAACGGGTGATGTAGTTGGTGAAGTTACCGGGGGTGAAACGACCAGCAATGGCAGAGGCACCGGTGTGGGCGGCGAACTTCAGGACGGCACGCTGACCATAGGGACGGGCAGAGATAACGCAAATGTCGGCGGGGTTGTCAATGGCGACGATGATGCGGGCAGCAAGGACGATCTTCTCCCTAAAGGCGCATCCAGGTCAGACAAGTTTCGAAATTTCGAGGCTGCGAAAAGTTGCGGGTTGCGCGCTTCTCGACAGCGGCATCAGCGAACGCACCAGGTCTTGCCAATGTTGATGACGTTGACACCGTCGGGGCGGGTCTTCCAGAGGTAAGGCTCCATGTGGACCTGGAGGTTCTTGGAACCGATGTGGCACTGTTGACCACATTAGTCAAAGAAGTTGACGAAGTGCGCAGTCGCACGAACCTGAGCAGCGAGGAGCATCTCAATGTCCTGGCTGGTGGCAGCCATGGCGGCGGGGGTGTTGGTGGGAGACATCTTGACCGGTATAGAGTTGTCGACGGGTGCTGGTGAAGGGAGAGGGAAGGCGCAACACTGCAAAAAGGAAGTCGCGCCAGAGCTCAATTTTGGCTGCGGCTGTGCGCGGGGACCGTCTCGCCGCGAATTAGCCGGCGTTCTCAAGCTGGCGCCAGGGTCGCCCTTTCTGAACTTGGTCCCAGAACAGCGGCGGAGTGCCAAGGCAACTGTCGCGCTCCGACGGCATTTCCAAATTTCGAGAGCAATCCGAGGTATACTCGGTAGCAAAACATACAATCATGCCGCCACGCGTTCCTCTACTGCCAGGCCTGAGAGCTCTGAGTGGTATGTTACACGTTTGAGAACACCAAGTGCAAAAGCTAACCACCCATTGCAGGACATGGCTCCACAGTATCCCCCTCAACGCACATCTGTCGAACTTTCGCCTCGACGCCCGTAGACCAGGCCTCGACTGTCCAGCAGAAGAGAAGACACCGCGATCCATATGCCCTAGCACAGGCACGCGCCCGTAAAGCCGCCAACATCTCGCGCCAGGAGGTCCTCGAGAAGGAGCGCTCATCAGCCCTTGGTGATCCCGTGCGAGGAATCCCCACTGCCTTTGTTCAGTCGTTCGAGACGGCCATCCCTTCAACACCTACTCCCGCTTCTTCCAACGATACCCATGCTGCCACTCGCAACGAATCAGCATCGCCGAAACAATCCCCTCCTGGCCCCAACGCCCAGTCTGAAGAATACAAGAACTTCTTCCTCACTCAACGAGAAATCAAGGACGCTTCTCTTCGCAGTGAAAAGCTGAATGCACCCGTCGCCGACCAAGACTTCTACGAGACCAACGATCCGGAGGAGAAACAGCGCAGGGAACAGGAACGCCAACAGTATGACCAAGAGCGCAAGCAGAAGCACGCCACGGCCACCGAGGCCCTAAATCGCATCGTTTCACTGTCCAACGGCTCGTCTAAAGACCGTCTTCGTGTCAACATCCAGCGCTGCGTCGACGCCTTTGGCCGCCACCAGACCGACAAGAAGTTGCCTCCCAAGCCTCCGGTCGCCGAGTCCATTCTTCTCAAGAACCCCAGCGCCAACACGCAAAAGGTTGAGCGTGCGGGTCCCGACACAGGCAGTAGCGAAGTTCAAATCGCCATTTTAACGGCCAAGATCAAGACTCTCGCCGATTTTCTGGAAAGCAGAGGAAGACCTGACAAGATCAACAAGCGCAACCTGACCGTCCTGGTCCACAAGAGACAGAAGCTTCTCCAATACCTCAGACGAAAGGAGAGAGGTGGTCCAAGATGGCAACACCTGATTGAGACACTCGGCCTGACAGAGGGGACTTGGAAGGGTGAAATCAGTCTACGATAAAGAACGGATGATCGTGCATAACTCAAAAATCTATGACAAATGGGGGTATCTGTAAAATTACTCTGTTCCTGTATATCCAACTTCCTTTCATCAATGCAGAAGTACTGCTGCCGGACGAGCCGGGTTTCTTACGTTATTATGCACCATTGCATGGATGAACCTCGTTCTTCACAGGCTGCAAGGCTTGCTTGCCTTATTCTTCTTCGCTCTCTTCATCGCTGTCTGCCCCTCCTTGTTGTCCAGACGCAGCATAGTCATCCAGGCCTCCTTCTAATTCGAGCAACATTTGCTTTTCGAGATCGTAGTCGTCGTCACCACTAACAGTTGGCCCGCTGATGCTCGGTTGATGCGTCTGCGCAGGGCTGGGTAGCTGCAAAGCGTCCACATCATCGTCCTCATCCGCATCACTCTCAACCTGATCGTATTCGTTGGTCTCCTCGTCTGGATCCATGACAAGTTCGTCCTCGTCGTAATTTGTTTCCTGGTGCTCGGCAAGTGGACTTGGTCGTTGCGGAGCTGGCGAATTGATGTGACTAGCAGCTGGACTACTTGCCGCGCTTCGCAAACTGCGAGGACCTTCACCCAACCCGTTCGTGAAGCCTAGGCCCAGACTTGACTTTGAGTTGTTGGAATGGTATGACTGGTGCTCCGGTTCATCGCCCTCGAGAATCAGATCCCCGTTATCATCATCGTCATCGTCGAGCGAAAGCTCTTCTGGTTCCCTCTTCTTTGGCGGAGGCTTGGAGGGCAATGCCACCCGTGTCGAAGCACGACGGTCCAGACGAACAGCTGGTACTTGAGCTTGTGTCTTACGATGCGACTGTGTTTCCGGAGATGGCGAGCGCGTCGCATCCGTGGGGATTCGTTCGACTTCGGCGGGTGCTGGCCTCGCTCGGGGTTTCGGTGGTAGTTTGGCCGTCTGCGGAGCGAATGCAAAGGTTTGTTTGCGTATCGACTTGGCGATTGGCGTGTTTGTTCTTGTGGAGGTTTGGGAGGCTGCCGGCGTAGCTGCCGGTGCAGCCCTGACCGGAGGAAGATGGGGACTGGGCGAGTCTTCAACATCCAGGTAGTGTCTAAAGTCGAAAGGGTTGGAGGCATCTGCATCAGCTGGATCCAGTGACACGCCGCCTTCGTGGTCGTCTGCTTTGTCAAAGTCTTCTGCATGCTCCTCATCCTCGGTGGATCGCAGCTGGGGATATCGATCGGCCAGGACTCTGGAGCTCGACTCCCAGGGAGCACGAGTCAAATTCAGAGCGTACGATGAAGCGAGCTTTTCTAGCACAAAGTCTTTACTTTCCTCGTCGAGCAACAGAAGGTATTCATCGTCATCATGGTGGCGTGTGCCGGTATACTTGTATTCGTCGGCACCGTCTTTCAAGGATAGCGTGACTCGGTCGCCCTCGGAGGCATGTGAAATCGACGACTCGGCATTGTCAGGATCTGAGAGATCCGGCTTATGATTGTACTGTATACTAGAACATGACGGTAGCTGTCGGGCTATGCGGATCGTGTAAGGAACTGTATTGCGCAGGTCGAAAGCAGTCGAGGGCCGAGGAGAGACTGCTGCCGCCATGATGTCTACAGCCTTGACAAGCAGCCAAAGAGCCGAGCAAGAGTGCTATGGACAAGCGGACACACCGGCGAGTCTGTTGACAAGGAGCGGAGGTGGACGTCGGTCGGGAACAATGGCCGAGTCGGGACCGACTGGCTGGCCGGCTGTTTCTGTTGACCTTCCCGATACCAACGGCCTCGCGTGTACTTGTACCGCTATCTATCTTTCCAAGAACGTTCAACGATATGAGTAGCCCTAGAAGCGATCAGGCAGTCAGCGGTGGAAGCTGAGTTGACCAGTCTGAATAGAGACCGCTCGTCCCACAAGGCTTCAGTAGAACAAAGAACGACTATCGAGAGACACGTGCTTTGTTCCAGACGCTCGGCGAGCAGGTTTACTCGCATGAGCGTCTCAGTCCATCTTACTTGTGTGCTGCATTCTGCCACTCATACCACGCTCTCACGGCTAGCAGTACGAAGCAAACAAATGCCAGGTCGAGCGACATGTTCTCAAAGGAAATTGGCCTCGGAGATGTTTCACGCAGTACCTAATCTATATAAAGAGACAAGGAGCTGATTGGCTTGAATCAAAGGCTTCCCCAAGCGTTGTAGGCTTCTGATACACGAGTCGCCAGCACAAAACCAGTACGAAGCTACAGAGACGATGCAAAACAGCTGGCAGACTCGTATGACATGTCTACCGATTTTGCAGGAGACAGCAATCCAAGGTGGACGTCAGTCTGTGCATTACAACCAATTATGACGCAGCGCTTGGCAGGCAGCAAGTCATTCCAAGTCGTCCGTACCTAACGTTAGCTACAAGTGGCCAGCTCTAACAAAGACTCTCTCTTTCCAATTCACACTCAATTCCGCCACCCAGAGCTTCCCTGTTGGCGTGTCAATGTCCCGGTGATTCCTGTATTGTAAGTGACTGCCAATTGCAACAGCCCTGGCACGCACACTAGCGTTTCGTTTCATAAGATGAAGCGGCTCGTGCAGCATATTTGTCGACCGACAAGACCAACCTTGATTCCGAGACCCTGCCCAAAGACTCAAAAGAATCCAATGCGACCAGATACACATGCTTACCTTTCGGTGCCAACAGCCATGTCACCAAACCGTTCCAGCAGCCAAGTACGCAACCTGCTCGCCATGTTCGAGAACAATAACAACTCCCCCAACAACACCACCACCCACGCCGACTCAACCTCGCCTGATCGCGGCCGCTCCAACGGCCATCTGTCTCCGGCGTCCAACGGTGATCGTCCCCTATCAAAGGTCCGCTCGAGCTTCGTCTCTGTCGAGCACGGCATCCCAAGCAGCCCGACGCCAGCTATGGACATTGATCCGCAAAAGACAAAGGAGGAGTACCAGTCCAGGCAAGAGAGCTCTGCCAGCCTCCGCCGCCACAGCTTCAGTCTGGACGAAGGCAGCGATGCCATTGCCAACCTCAGGCAGAGTATGAGCCAGGAGTCGGAACGCAGGGGCTCCAACCCCCTGGTCGCAGAGACCATCCCTGAGGCTGCTATTGAGCAGACTCCAGCCGCCACCACACCCGCAGTCGAGGCCAAGGACTACATGGCCGCTGGGCAGATCGCTCAAGCCAACAGCGACATGCCGCAGAGCAAGCTTCGGGAGGAGGTTTCGGTCAACGACGTGGCCACACCTGCCGACACCACTCAGGCCTCAGACAGCGCCGCCTCTCAGCCCATGACATTGCCTTCTGATGACATGCCATCTGACAACCCTGACAAGCCGGTAAGAAGCTAGACCTGTTCCCCTGTCGTCCCAGGTGCTAAGTCTGTTTCCCAGGTATCTGGCGTGCAAGAAGAGGTGGGATCCATGCAACCTTCTGATCTCACCGATCGCTCCCTCGTTTCGCCTACCCCCGAAGCCAGTGCAGACGAGAAGTCGCCGCGCCCTGCAAACCTTCCCTCGCGAGCCCGTCGTGGCACTGTCACAGCCGCGGATGCAGCTCCTGCCTCCGTACCTCACAGACCCGCCAACATTGTTGCAACCGCGCCTGAACCGTCCACCGACGCCCCTCCCAAGACACCAACCTCTGTCAAGAAGGTGCCTGCACCCACTCCTGTCAAGAAATCTCCAGCAGCCAAGTCATCATCAACACTATCGCCCAAGCCGCCAGTTAGGAAGCCTAGCAACTCTTCCCTTACCCAGGCTAAGCCAAAGGCCAACGCTGCTCCTACCAAGACGTGAGGCCAAACGTGTAGAATGTGTTACCATCTGGTTCGCTAACACGTCTTTCAGGACGTCCCCTCAGTCCAAACCCACTCGTCCTCGATCGCCCACACGCCCAATCAAAGTATCTTCGCATCTCACCGCCCCGACTGCCGCCTCAGCAGCAAGACAAGACACGCAGCCTCACAAACCTTCAGTGTCTGTCTCGAAGCCCGCTGTGGCCAATCGTCCTCAAGCGCGTGCTCCTGCACCCACGACAAAGCCTGCAGCCCGACCATCAGCTACATCAACCTCTAGCGCACCCAAAAAGGCCGAGAGTAAACCTGCCGCCACTTCCAAAGGACCCGATGACGGATTCCTTGCACGTATGATGAGGCCAACAGCCAGCTCAGCCAGCAAGGCGCAGGACAAGACTGAAGTCAAAAGCCCTCCCAAACGAACACCCTCGGTGATCAGATCAAAGGCTTCAGTGAAGCCCCGAACAACAAAGGTGGAGAAGCCCAAGTCTTCATCTTTAGCCGATAAGGAGGAGCAAGCAGCTGGTGCTTCGACACCACAAGCAGCATCTGGTGACCCGGATCATGGCAATGCTGGACTAGAAGCCACTCCGGCGTTTGATGCTGCGACGATTCGCTAAAGACCGGTACGGCGATGGGAGTGACTGGGAACGACCGAGTGAGTTTGATAGCGATGCATTTGGGAGCGAACATACCGGCATAGCGTTGTTGGAAACGAAAGGGCAAGCATAGGAAGCTCAGCATTAGACTAAACCAGCAAAGGTGTCACAGACTTGACTGTACGTTCACCAAGTTAGGGGGTTTCAGCTCGCGTTGGTGTTAAGGCCTCGGTAGCATAATTAGCCAGCGTCGACCCTCCAAGGATTCCTTGGGTTCAATTCAAGACAGCATAATCCTATGAGTCCATACATTACATGTAAAGGACAGAAGGGAACTGAATAGCAGACAGTACGTGGTCTACCTCATTGGGGAAAGGTAGATGGAAGGTACCGAGGTGGTGACGCATCTATATTTACTCGGCTGTCGCCGCCGATAGCTACAACACGCCCTCGATCTATCACAATCATGGCGGAAGACAATGCCATGCCACGGTTACTCGGTCTGCCGGCCGAGCTGGTCCAGAACGTGCTTCAATTTCTCGAACCGACATGTCTGGCTGATGTGGCGCTGACATGCCGCTTCCTTCGTAACCATGCTCTGAGTGACGCTCTGTGGCAACAGCATGTCAACGCCCAGCTTCCGCACCTCTTGACCAGTGCGGCTCCTCTACCGTCATTCCGAGATCTCTATATCGCTCACCACCCTTATTGGTTTCTGTGTCGACACAAGATCTGGTTCTCGGATAGTGAACCAAATGGCAAGCTGCTACTTGCCCGTTATGATCCGCGCAGAGGATGCATTGAAGCTTATGCCATAGTCGCCGAGCCTGGCATTCGCCAATTCGAGCACTGGGAGCACGATGAAGACGTCTCCATCCACACCTTCAACCCCAAAGTCCAGTTGGACCTCAACTCGCCTGTTTTGAAGCTTGAATCTGGCAACCCACGTACTCAGGCCCGTGATTCTGAACAGCATGATGACCAGCACACCCAGCCCCTCCCCTCGCTCTCTCGTGAGATCATGATGAATTGCTCTTCTTCACCCGGTCTCTACACATCCTTCATGCTTGCACGCGACCTTCCCCAAGTTGCGATGGGCCCTGGTACCAGAGTATGGCCGCCTATGAAGATACCCGCTCTATCACGAACTCGCAATGCCTCAACTCGATCGTTCCAGGCGCTTTCGCACAGACCGTCAACTCTCGATGAAGTCAGCCAAAACACCTTCCGTCTACGGAAGTGGGTTGAGTTCTCTGGTCGTCGTCATAGCAGCTCAATAATGGCCTTGGGCGCTGCTGACCGTATCCACACTGCTCTGGGATTCGGCGGTTTCGCTCCGACTCTTATGAATGCTGGCGGCCATGTCATGACAGTTCGTATGGGAGAAGAAGTATCCACGTATGGAACACTGCCACCGAGTTGTTATGTACCCACTAAAGAGAAGCCCTGGCAGGGTATCTGGTGTGGCGATTACAGTGGCCATGGCTGTGAGTTTCTTCTTGTACTACAGCCTGAGATGGGTCAAGAGATCCCGTTGCCGGAAGGGATGAATCACATGCTCGAGTGGCTCGCTACGGGTCGTTTTCGACGTAACAGCAACGGCTCTGAGAGCAGTGACAGCAGTTATGCAAGTGCTCAAGAAGATCAAGAGCCCGAGTCTGACACTTCTTCCGCCTACGACCTTCCGACACCGGCTTCATCCAGCACTATTGACGGACAAGACGTGTACAATGGACGTATCGAGGCTATCAAGCTGACAGGTGACCCCAATGTCCCACGCGGAGAATATACTTTCATTGCCCCTGATATAGGCGATGGTGGTCTGGTGCGCATCGCAGATGAAGCGGCTTTCAAAGGTGCGAGGGTTGTCAGGAGTGCTGGGCATATTGCAGGCGTGGGCTTCGCACACGGTAAGACGACTCCATCACAACAACCATTGAACAGTGCTAACGATTGTAATCCACAGACGAATACATGGCATCTCAGCTCATTCTCATATCTCCCGATTGCCTGGCGCAGCACTGGATAGAGTTTGGACACATTTCGTACTATCGTCGTGTCGATATCGACAGTCTCCTGCAAATATAGCAGATCGCTCGGGAGCAGATGGCTTAACTTGATCATTACCATGGCACAGCAAGCATAGTTCAATTTCCTCATCTGAGGTGTTCATTCATTAGAGAGGCAAGAGCTGTTCTGATCTAACTCGGAGCGGTAAGAAAGTGGGCTGTTCTTTCCCTCCTGAGCGAGAAGTCCCACTTCGTCCCTCGCCTGTGCAATAACTGTTCTTGTTATTCTGTTTCATGTCTTCATACTGGTCTCGTCAATGTGGAATGTATCCCCTCTTTTTCCTTTTTTTTTTCCGCAAGCCCCCTGGAACACAATCCTTCTTCTTCTGGAGTTGCTCGATCACCTGAACACAACATGGCCATCAGAGTCCTTGAGCATCACACGACCATCAGGTAGATGGATGACCTCAAATCTGGCCTTGCCTGCCCTCTTCTTTGCAGTACCAGAGACGCGTCGTGGCATGCCAGTAGCTCTTGCGAACAGCGCAGCCCATGCATATTCTGGACCTGCTGGGCGCATGGTGGTAGGGAAGTCGCTAGTTTTCCATGGTGGGGTGCCGTCAGTGTCGGCACTGAGATGATACTCTACACTCTGGCCGTAACGAAGGCCTTGTATGTCGACAGCGACTTTGGAGAGGAGCTGCATCGTACAGTAGATGATGATCCAGCGTCCGAGACGGCCTTCGTGCGTGTCCATCTGGTAGTGCATAATTGACGCTTCATGGCTCAAGAAGGCTTTGCACAAAGGTGGGACTGTGGTCGAGTTAGTTTATGTGCGGACAAGGCTGACATGAGATAGCTTACTGTATGTCTCGGCATTAGTAGCACTTGAGTAGATGTTGTAGAGGTCTGGGGCCTTCTTGCGGTGCTTCTGAACGGCGGGGACGAGGGAAGATCGTCTGTCGCCTTTCTCCTCCTCTTGCTCCATGAACTTGGTGGGAGAGCGAACCGGAGCCATGGCATCAGAGTGTGGTAAAGCAGTGAAGCCGTTCTGGCGGTCCCATGATTTCAGAAGCTGTCTTCGGTCTTCCCTTCGGCCAAAGGGATTAGCATGGGTGGGAGTGATGATTCCATGGCGGATGTGCTTGTCAACAAGCAGATCGTAGAGGTCGCCGAAGTCTTGCTGCAGGCGTTGAGCCACTGAGCGGGTCAACCAGTGTCCACTATTCTGGTGTACAGGTGGTGGCCATGTTCCGTAAATCTGAGCATAATGCTGTTGAAGGAAGTCCTGGAAAGCTAAGACCGACTTTTGCATCCCAGTGTGGTCTTCGAGCTCTCCGAGGATGGTCGAGTCGATTCCGAACTCGGCCATTAGTATCTCCACAGACGAGAGGCGATAATGCATGTGTGTACAACTGTGTTCCAGGAGAGCACGTGTAGTTGGTGACAGAGCATCGAGAGATTCATGATCGAGGACTCCGCAGTTCAGCATGCCCACGCAGTGAGCGAAGGTCTCAATAAACCCTCTTGACCAGCGGACTTTTTCTGTCCATGCTAGGAACTTGCCTATGTCAGCAGGTCTGTTGGCGAAGTTGTCAAGGTTCAGTTCCTCCACGTAGCTCCGGACGAATTCTGCGGCTTTCTCTGGGCGATGCTGCAACTTGAAGATGTGTTTCGCGACGATCTGCAAATCTTCGAGAGCAGATACAAGAGTAGGTCCGACGAGTGGTTTGCGGATGATGGTGGCGACAAAGTTGCGGATGGCGAGATTGTATCTGCCGACTTTTTCAGAGTCCTCGCCAAGTGGAGGCACCTTGAAGTAGTAGTGTTTACCCTTCTCGCAAACACATTCTGCCGTGTGGTCAGCGCGCTGTTGCCTGCACCCTGAAAGTGTCTAGGACTTTGCTTACCTGATAGGAGAGAGATGAGATCCTGGGATTGAGTTCCAAAGATAATTTCACTATCGAAGCAGACATCCTGGGTGTCCAGTCTCACTTGACAGTCGCCTTTGGTGTCCCATAGCTCGTCCTTCAAGAGGTCAGTAGGGACGCATGCATAGCGCAGAGAACCAGTACTCACGAAACCATTGTAGCGCCTGACTCCTTCTGCTCCACCCTCGAAGACGAGCAGCAGATCCTTGATCATGCCATCTGATACCAGAGCGTTGATTGCAGCCATGGTAGAGATCCAGGGCTCAGCTGGGACTAGGTCCGTGGGCTTGCGCAGTGCGGGATGAACCATGATGTGCTCAAGCGGATGGGCTGTATGGTTGGTGTTCGCCATGGTGGGAATGCAAGTTGATAGGCGTCTTATCGCGCTTATCGATAGAGTGGCTTATCGTAGAAACAAACTTGCAGTGAGTGTGCTGATAGAGATGGGGCTGGTGATGAAGAAAATGACTTGGATTCACTCGACGCCAAACTATCCACCATCACTTAGCAGGCAACGACTCTCGGCGCCCAGGTATTGAACGAGGATATTGTCCTTGTTGATCGAATACTTACAAGGCCAGCGTGTTGACCATGAGAGCTGAGGATGGTGCTGTTTTCACGTCGGTGTCCTCGTCGTGGCAGTAGACAGCCTACATGGAGGGCGTGTAGTCCAACACGATACAACTCTTTCAGCGGCAGCACAGAAGGTAATCTCTACATGATTGTACTGTGCGGGTACAAGAAGGGGCAGCAAAGGTAGGTATCGACAAAGATGCAACAGAATGATGTCTTTGGAAGCTTGGAGCTGCTTGCCTCAGGATGCCCTTGGCCAATGAACATATTGCCGTGCCTGGACCATGCTCACAAATATCACGAGCGTCGTCAGATATGTTCGCTGCATCTGGAGTGAAGAAGGGAAGCAAGGAAAGATGGGTTGAGGACTTTGTGGCATTGGAGGTGAAGCAAAAGGATGGAGCTGCCGTGATGTGGCTTGGTATTCTCGTGCGCAAGATTCTTGGCAAGCTTCTGATTGGGAGCTTCCCTCGTGGACTTCCTGCTTTCCCCCATGTCCCCAACCACCTTTCAAGAGCTCTTGCCAGCCCCGCGCTCGCGAGCTTTGTCAGATTCCACCAAAGAGGACAAGAGCGATGGACGTGTTGGCTGCAGATAATATAGTGTCCCAGCCTTTGCAATCAAGATTTTCCCTCTCACTGCATCCTGTGCGAGTGGTCGTCATCACCTAGTACAAATACTCCGTGTCCTCCTCGTCGATTCTCACCAGTCCAAACGAGCAAGCGCTAACCTTTGACTACCCTTCTCTGGACCTCACTGGCATTTGGTCCGATTACGCGGTACCATTCACAGTCATGGCGCTGTCAGGCTTCCTCTTCCTCTCGTTTCGCATCGCGCAGATACTCACCCTGATCCCAATTGTGGGTATGCTGGCGTGGTTCGTCCACGGTTTTGTCGTCAACAACCAGCTCACGCCTACTTACATCTTGCTGCTGTTCATCACCTCGGTTCTGGCAGCAGCCTGGACTCTTGCAACCCTCGTGACCTATCTACGTGCTCGTCACTCCGCCCTCTTTGTTGCATTGGTCGACCTTGCCTTTGTGGGAACCCTGATTGCTGCTGTCTACGAGTTGCGTGCAATCACCAACCAAGACTGTTCCAATTTCTCTACCGGAAGCATCTACCTCAGTTTGGGACCCTTTGGCTACTACGGCCGTCAGAGCGGTAGTGACTGGTCGCTTCACATCAACAAGACATGTGCTATGCTCAAGGCCTGTTTCGCCCTCGCCATCATGAACATCATATTCTTCTTCACCACTTTCGTGAGTTGCTCCCCCATACGAATCTCTGCTGGAAAATCACTTATGCTTCTCCAGCTTCTTGCCCTGCTCGTCCACAGAAACCACCGTGACCGTGACACTGTCGTTGTCAAGAAGGAGTATCACAGCACCCGTCACGGTCAGCGACGTTCCAGTCGTGGCAGCTACGACAGACGCAACTCCCCTCGCCGATCCCACCACAGCAGCAGCAGACGCTACTACGTCTGAAACACCTTTGGCCGAAGAAAGGCTGTGCATACAGCTTAGCGATACGATCAGATCAGCAAGACTTTCCTTCTACACGACCCCATTAACGATAACACGACCATTTGATATACCACAACATGCATCTTCAAACCACTGAAATATCGCCTTGGCGAAGCGTCGAACTGCGTCTTTTGCTTCCATATCCTATGTAGCTCTTTTCAAGGATGGCTGCGTGCTTCTACTTCTAGCTCATCCTCCATCATTCTTGCGTGATCGTTCTTTCTGATTGTCTAGATTAAGCTCGGTGCTCGCTGACATGTTCACATGGAGTCTGGAACGTTTTTTGTTTATGAAGTGTTTCTTTGTATTGCAAGCTGACGAAAGCGTGACCTCTAATTGAATCTCAAACGCCGTGACCTCAGCCCTCCGCGGTCGTACACCAGAAAAGTCCATGGTCAAATATTATAGAAAGATAAATACAAACGCCAATTGCTAAATGCCATAAGAGTCAATGCGATAGTTCATCATGACAGACGCCAAAGTCCGCTTAGTAGACAATGGCAAGCTTCGAGCGAGCGCGCATCAGGTGTCCGTACTTGTAAAATACGAAAGGCACCAGAGTGAGCACACAAGCGATGAGCGAGAGGATGAGACCGGCATATTGACTGCCGACGTTGTGGAAGAATTGAGAAGCAAAGAGAGGAGACACGGCACCAAGTGCGTTTCTCATGAGACCCTGTCCGGCAATAGCTGAGGACGAGCTCTCTCCGTAACAATCAGCAGTGTAGCTGTAGGTCGACTCGAAGATGAAGTAGACACCGAAGGCGATGGGAGCGAGAGCGATGGTGGGACCGACCCAAGACAGGTATCCGTACTGAGTGAAACTGTAGATGAAGAGACCGATAGGCATCCAGACGGCACCCCAAAGAGCAGCCCAAAGACGGTCCTCGGGCACGACCTTGTGGTTGGGGTCCTGGGTGAGCTTGAGGTATCTTCTCATCTGGATGTGATGAGCCAACCAGCCAAGAGTGACACCAACACAGAGAGAGATGTAAGGAAGACCTCCAATGCCTTCGTTCCAGCCACGCTTCTCTTGGAAGGTGATGGGGATGACGGACAAGAACAGGAAGACGATGAACCAAGAGAAGGCGATCCAGATACCGAACAGGAACACGACAGGCTCAGTGGCCAACATGTAGATGGCCTTGACGGAAGACGCCTTGAGCATAGCCTGGACGCTAGGGGTCTCGAAGTCCATAGCGCTCTGGTAGCGATCGTCACCAGTAGCCTTGCGGACAGCCTTGGCACGCTTCTGAAGGGCGACACCTCCGCGAGTCTCCTTGAAGAAGAGGAAGATACAGATAAGGAGAGGGATGTTGCTCAATCCCTGGATACCTTCAATCCATCTCCAGCCGATGGTCATGTCGATGAATCCGGCATAGATGGGAGCACCGACAGTTCCAAGAATTGCAACGTACGAGAACATGGCCATGGGTCTGGCACGCTCGTGCACGTCGTACATATCGCTGAAGGTACCACCGACGAGGATAGTTCCAACACATCCGAAGAGACCGAGAAGTGTACGCATTACGAGGATAGTGGCAATGTTCTGTCCGAGAGCCAGACCGATGAAGCAGAGACAGAAGCAGAAGTATGCTCCGGCGTAGATGATTTTACGACCGACGAGCTCGCAGAAAGGAGCCAGGAACAATGGAGCAAGGGCGCAGGTCATGTTGAAGGTGAACAGACCCAATTGGCCCATCTCGGTAGAGCGATGGAATTCGGCAACCATGCTGTTGATACCGGAACTGTATGCAGTTGTAGCAAGACCGATAAAGAGGGTCATGAGGTTGAGCTGAGTCGAAATGAAACGTCTCTTCCATTTGCCCCACTTGAAAGGGTTCTCCTTGTCGTCTGGTGCGAACTTGAGCTCGACCAGTTGCTTGTCGCCTTGGTTGATGACCTGGGTGCGAGTAAGAGGCATATCGATATCGACCTCGGTCAAGGGACCGTCGAGGTTAAGGCTCTCGTTCTGGCGGAGCTCTTCGAGGTGTTTGCCACCACAGAGCCATCCTTGCGAGTGAGGCTCTACGTTGGTCTCTTTCTTGTCCGTGGCATTCTCGTCGAGGGATCCCGAACGAGGAGACTCGGAGTCTTTTTCCTTGTAGTTCTGCTCTGTCCAAGAGGCGTTCCGTGAAGGATTTCTGAGATGTGTGGGTGCGGTATTCATAATGGGAAACGACAAGGTGGAAGCAAAATGCAAAAGTGACCTCGGGAGGGGAACAGAAACTATATACAATGATGGAGAAGGGAATTAAGAAAAAACTCGCCCCGGAGAGTCTTGGAAACAACCCACATCTTCTGACAGACGTACCCACTGAGCTCACAGTTGGCACGACACGCGAATGCCAGTGAGATCACAGTCTCAACCTAAGGTTCCTCCTCGGTGGACGTTGAAGGGTCCGCGATGTGACCGACTGACGGACCGAAGACTCAGACTTACGGTATTACTCCGTATCCAGCATACGATGCCATCCATCCATCATACTTCCATACTTCCTCACAGCTAGTTCTCTACGGAGTGACTGGCAGATTATGTTGTCTTCGAATCCCTCCTCTATGTGTGGTCTTTCATGCAGATGAGCTTCAAGGCAGTAAAACAGCAAACTGTTCGAGACTTGGAGTTCGGAGCCAGAACTTCACGGGCCGTGATGCGCCAAGAAATATGCTATCTCCAGACGTAGAATGACGTCGATTTCTTCTCTCCTTCGCCCCAACAGACAAAAGATTGCTTGTTGTCTACCCTTTTGCCGAGCAACCGATTCATCTGACGTACAACGCCTCTGCAATACAAAACTCAAACAGCAGTCTGGCACTTGTTGACACCGGAATCTAGGGCTGGCCATTATTGGAATGCCCAGCTCCCGAATCTTGCCTTCCATTGCATGCCGACGGCAGTCCCGGCATCCGAGTGAATTTGATGTTGGAGGAGTCAGGACGATACCAAGGATGTGAACCCTCATAGCATGAGGATCTGTTATCGCCTATTTGAGATGACGCAGATGCTGCTTGGTGATAGAGTGTAGATCCGCCGAGCGCGAGCTGCTTCCCACGGTATTGTAAACAAGCCTGCTCACGTCCTTTGCAAGTTGGACAGACAACTTCTTAGTGACCCATCGAGAACAAACATAGACCACACACTGCTTACTGCAACCTCCCGGTGATCATGCGTCGAAGTCTTGACAAGACTTGCTACGTCCCGCCTACAGGTGCCAGTTACGTTGTACGTGGAAACGAGAATGTTTTGAGACGGTTATACCGTGGCATCCATACCCTCGTTCGACTTCTACCTTGCGATCTTTCCTGAGGACGAACACACTCGAACTCACACAATGCAAGGTCTTGTTGGCAGATCGGAAATGTGGCAATGTGCGATCCTCGATCAGCAGCGTCGTTTCACGCGCGAGCAAGTTGTCCCCTTGAGAACAAAGATGGAGACCGAAGGACGACCGGACCCGTGGTCGCAATGGCGACTGAATCCCTCGACCAAGCACGGGCATACAGCTAACATAACGTAGACATTTCGGATGTTATCAAAGGCGTGGTGCAATGTTCGAGATAGCAAGCACGCAGTGCTACATCAACAGTCGTTTGACTCTCGCAGAGGTCGAGTAGAGCACAAGCGAGCATATCTGGTCAACTGTCACCCAGGTAGGGCGGTGGTCAAGAAAATCTGATATCAATTTGGCATCTGCGGAATCTGCCCGTAGCCATGACGCTGGCGGCGTGTGGTGCGTACACGCCAGCCGCTGAGGATGACAGGGTGCACTGCTTTAAGCTCATAAACATGAGTCGTACCTACCTTAATAACTACCGTGACAAGTTACACCCTCAAAGTAGGCGACAGACACGATTATCGGACTCGATACAATAAGACTTGAGCCTCACTTTAATAGAGCTGGGCGAATCCGAGCATCTGAGCGAGCTTGCATTCCACGCCTTTGAAATCATGTATTTCGCATATGTTACGACAAGGCCGTGTGATACTCGTGATGATGGAGCCTGTTAATTCACAACGTACCATTTGGGTGGGATCAATAACCACAAGCTTTAAATGGCACGGTCTGCTTGCTTATACCATCCGAAAAAATGTAAGGAGCAGAAATACGGTCTTATACGATATTCGATGCGGCCGGGCGTGCCTCTTTAGCTGGAGAGGAGCCCAGACCAGGGTCGCCCTGATAGCATGAGTATCGTGACACAACTACATCCGTGTTATCAACCTTTTAGCACCCAGACCGGGTCAACACACTCTATGCTCGAAAACTTGTCGACTCAAGCAACCTGGTAATTAGAATTGCGCCAAGCATAAACAAGAAAGATCTACATTGATTGAGCTGTGCCCGAAGTCTATAAACAGCATTAATGCTTCAAGGTTGTCGACACAAAGTTGTGTAAGCCTGATAAGGAACGGACCACAGACGAACAAAATATAAAAGAAAGACCGAACCGCAGGTCTCGTAACTAGACACGATACGTCTTGGTTACCTTGGCCAAGGTCGGCCACCCCTCTGGTTGCCTTGACCTCCAGCTCCTTTGCCGTTTTGCCAACTTTGCCAGTTTTGGCCCCAGCCTTGTGTTTGAGTCGAGCCGGCTGCCTCAGTAGTTCCAGTTTCGACAGGAGGGTTGGGGTTGTTTGTATAATACGCTGCGACGGCACTGACGATCTGATCGGTCTCGTCATATGCACCTAAGTTGCCGAGGTAATTGAGTTTGCTTGATATTTGGTCGTCGGAATAGGCATCGGCTGACCAGTCCTGTGCCACAAAGCGCGGGTCATCAGGGTTGTCGAGAGACTCGACGTTATCATATCCCAGAGTTTCAAGCCTGGTGACATTGAATGAAGCCATCATCATCGAATCTTCATGTCGAAGGTTGTGGCAGTGGAACATGTAGAGTCCGTTCCAACTAGATTTGGTCAGCGAGCGATTCTGCACAATCACTGTTGTATGTACTTACGGGCCATAGTGTGCCTCGATGTCCACGGTCTCACCAGGCTCGAGAAGAACGATATCTTTCAAACCCGCTGACTCGTAAGGGAGGACACCGCGACTGCCTCCAGTTCGCGAAAGGATCTACATATGTTTAGTTTTTCGTTGTGTACATCAGCATTGGCTTTTGACTTACCTTGAAGTCTACAAGGTGGACATGGACTGGATGGTATCCAGGACCTCCAGCATAGACCAGTCTCCAACGTTGGGTTGAGCCCTGGGGCGGTCTTGCAAGTATCCTGTTGTTGACGTCGTCGAAATCAACACCGTTGATAGTCCAGACGTTGTCTTCACAGGTTAGCGACGAATTTCTTCAAAGTCAGGCTCGCATTATACGCACCACCACCTCTTTGGAATCTGAAAGTATGGTCGACTTCGTCCCTGTCTTCTGGCCAGTTGATGTTGGGGTTAAGAGTACTGGGAACTTCGTTCGACGACCAATCGTTCACAGAGTTACCCACGACGAAGGACATGACGAGATCCATGTTGTCGAATTGGGGATAGCCTGGGCCGCTCAGAGCGAAGGCATTCTTCAAAGTCAGGTTCTGGTTGGCGAATGCAGAGAAGTCTACCACGATCTCATAACGCTCTGCCATTCCCATGGTGACTTGGTTGGAGTTTACTGGGGAGCCAAACAAGCCGGAGTCGGACGCAATGACCTGGAAGTCAAGCCAATCACCATTGGACTGCTCCACATGAATGTCGAGAGGTCTGCTTGTAGCAGTATTGTAGAGACGCAGTCTGTACTTCCTGGGCTCAACCTCGAGATAAGGCCAGGGTTGGCCGTTGACTTCCATAATATCTCCAACGAAGTCCTCAGACTCATTAGCAACAGAAACGAGGTCGCCCGAGTCGGTGTACATCTTGTCGGTGATCATCAGCGGAACGTCGTATTTTCCAGTGGGAAGATTCAATTTGTCTTCTTCCGGATCATAGATAATGTATGTGCCGATCAGACCTCTGAAGCAATTCAATGTAGTGATACCGTCTGCGTGATCGTGATACCAGATAGAGCGAGCATTTTGACTGCAAGAGGCAAATTGTTAGCATAAGTTTCAGCAGCATACATGCCACAAGCAGATTTGTCTAGCACGACTGTACATACTCGTTTGGGTAGTAGTAATCTTTGTACTGACCGAGCGCGATACTATCGCTCGGCCAGCCATCCCATGGTGTGTGTGTGGCTGAGCCGTGAAGATGGACCACCGAATCATCGGTGTGGTTGTTGTGGTAGCGAATGACTGTTTGAGTGCCCTTCTTGACATAGTATGTCGGACCTGGCGCAACGCCATTGTAACCCACGAGGTTGGCAGGCCCCAGATCAGGATAAATCTGCTTCTGGAACGGCTCGATTGTGACCTCGTAAAAGTCTATTTGTTGACCATTGACATTGGTGGAGCTGAGGGGGATTAGCTTAGCCCTGGATACTTGGTGACCATTAGCTGTATGTCTCACCTTGCCGGAGTTGCGATTGGTGCTAATGGCAAAGGATTCTGGAAGATGGCGCTGTAAGTTGGGCTGCCGGCCAAAGCAAGAGGGACTGAAGCAAGGCTAGCGATCCATAGAAGTGTGCTTGACGCCATAGTGTCTATGTTATGGAAGGAAAACACAAAAATTTGATGAGCGAAAGAATGCGCAAGCTGCGCGAGAGAAATACAACAGGATCAGAGAGAACGAGGTATAGGATGGGTCTGCAGCAGGCAACGCCTTTATGAAGACTTGCGTTGCCTCCCTGCATGGGGTTTGCCTCGAGTGACTTATCTGCTCATGACGATTGAAAATCTCAAGTTCGCCCATCCCCAGCAGGGATCCATTATTCTACGAATATGCACATGTTGCTGTAGCAAGCATGCGGCTCCAGAGCGATCATTAACGCTTCGAGCAAGGTGCTGTCGGACAAGTTGGGGGGGTCCGAAGGATCTTGACGTCTCTTCTGAGATAGAGTTGCAGCCACAGGCAGATACGTTGATGTTATTGGCTGGTCGGTTAGTACCGGTCCACTTCCACTGATCAGGACCCCTGACCATGTCCTAAGATGCAGAGCTTAACTGCACGCCTTCCATCGATGGCCACTGTCCTCAGCTTCAACGCCACGCCTGGGTTGACATGTTAGCTAGGGCATCACATCTGAAACAAAATTCTCGTCGCACTCGGTATACACAATGTCACGCAGCGTGCCTCGGGCCTCATAGCGGTACAAGAACGTCTCGCGACTATGACCTTTTGCATGAACCATGTCCATTCAAGTTCATGGCTACCGGCACGCTGCATGATTGCTGCCGTGCTGGATCGGCATCAAGATCTTATGTACTGCCACGATTGTTTCAACAAAAGTTCGCTACACGGCACCCCGGCACCATCTACATGGTTTTGTTATTCCGCTGGCCTGCAATCCTTGAGACGTGGCACTTTATATCGGCAAACATTTGTGTGACAGCACGAAGCACATACCCGGATTCCACACTTGGGTGCGAGCTCGTCGGATTTAAGCAAGAGACATGGGTCGATCATCACACCATCTCACCACTCTCTAGACCATGTCGGCATGATTTCCAAGCTCTTGGGGGCTGAGTGTAAACCTCAGCGAAGGTCCAGATTTTGCATAGTCTAATTCTTTGTGGTGTACTTGTGTAGCTGTGTCTTTGTTGTTGATTCTATGGACAAAAGCATCTGAGAACAATTCAGACAACAGTGCAACGCTCGCTTATGCTCTTGATTTACAAGTTCACCAGCCTATGACACCCGACAAACCGCGGACAGCAGCGTCATCCTTCTTCTCCGGCTGCTCATCCGCCCACTCTCCTCCATTCAGAAGGTGGAAGAAATCGCCTCTCCTGCGCAACAATCCCTCGTAGCTTCCTTGCTCAACGACTTGTCCCTGAGAAAGTACTACGATGTTCTTCGCGATTCTCATCATGTCTTTGCTATGTGTGATGATGAGCACAGTCATGCCAGATCCGTCGCGCTCAACCAAGCCTTGTATCGTATCTCGGACTAGGTTTGCGCTTTCGACGTCGAGAGCAGATGTTGCTTCATCTAGGATCATCACCGCTGGTCTACTGATTAAAGCTCTAGCAATCGCTACTCGCTGTGCCTGTCCACCAGAAAGTCCGGTACCGCCTTCACCTATCAGTGTCTCGTAGCCTTGTGAGAGACTCATGATAAATTCATCAATACCAGCTGCGGCTGCAGCTCGACGAACGGATGCTTTGTTCCTGTAAGGCGATGACTGTGGTAGCCCATATGTGATATTGTCCGCAACCGTCGCAGAGAACAAGACTGGTGTTTGTGACACGACTGAAATCAACGAACGCAATGTTGGAGTGTGGATGTGCTTCAGGTCACGACCAGAAAGCATAATGTCCGGTGTCTTTCCGCTGCCTTCGGACACCTCGCTTGCAGTTGTGTAAAGGCTCAGAAGCAATGCTGCAATAGTGGATTTCCCAGACCCCGATGATCCGACCAGTGCAGTGGTTTCTCCCGCCGGTATAAGCAGATTGATATTCTTGAGTACTGTGTGATCTGGACGGGAAGGATAAGAGAAAGTGAGGTTATGCAGCTCAATATCACCGATCGATGTGATCTGTGTATTACCAAAATGCTCGTGTGAATCTTTTGGCAGTGTTGAAAGTCGCAGCAGGCGAGACGCACAGTCCTTTGCCAATCCTATCTGTGGTACAAGACCCAGATAGAGGCTCACGTTCGTGATTGCCAAGATGAGTTGTATGAAGACTTCCACGATTTTCGTCGAGCTCGCACCATCTCGTATCAATCTCGCACCAGCATAAAACATGAGTGCCATGACAAAGATCCCAGAAGAATCAGAAAGTCCGAAGAAAAAGCCTATGTAGACAGAACGACGCAAGCCAACCTGAAGGGTGCTCCTAGTTGCGCGGAAGTACTTCTCCCGGAAATGAGATTCAAGAGTCAAGGCCCGTACGGTCTTGATGTTGGTGAATGTCTCAGTGAAGATCGATCCTGCAGCTTCAGCAGCGTCGTTGCTTCTTCTTTCCCAATTGCCACTGATAGTGCTGAAGGATTTGGTGACAAAATACACGTAAGGGCCCAAAGCGACCGCGATAAGAGTGAGCTTCCACTGTGAGGTCAAAGCCCAGACGAAGGCGACGACGCTCAGAACAAGAGCTATATAGAGAGATGATGCGAATCGGCCAAGGAGATTTCGCATCTCTTCGGCATGCCGATCTAGTCCCTCCATCACGTGCGAAACCGAGTTCTCTTCGTGTGTGAACCAATCGCGAGGCTGGTCGAGGATGCGTTCCAGGGACCTTTCGCGCATAGTATTGACCCATACCTGTCCAGCGTATTCTAAGAGCACGTGCATGACATAGCTGCTTATGCCGCTCAAAACCGCGATGCCAAGAATCGAGACAGTGTAGATCACAGCAATATGTTTTTGGTCGTCGCCTTTTCCATAAGTTCCTATCAGCTTCGACAAGATGCTGGAAAACACTGGGGTACATGCGCCGTTGATGGAGGCCGCAATCAGAGCAATGACGAGAACGACTCTCATGTACCAGTCGAGGCTAGGCCAGACAGTGCCTAGGATAGCCCGCAGGGAGAATACCTGCCGACCGTCCTCGAGTGATTCATTCTTCTTGTGCTTTGATATAGGTTGCATCTCAATACTACCAGTGACAGCAGGTATAGACCCATCGGATGGAAGACGTCTTCGCCTCGAGTTTCCCAATGTGAGACGAGCGCGGGCAGCCAGATTTCCGGTCGACTCAATAAATTTGTCCAGAAGCTCAGGCGCTACAGACCTCCTGTTGTTTGTTTTCTGGCCCCCGGTAAATTCCTTGTTGCTTGGATTTGTCGGCTCACCAGTCTGTGGTTTGTGTGAGGTAGTAGATTCTTTACCGCTGGACATGGGTGAGGACGGTCCAGAGGTGACTTGAGAGATTGGTGCGCCAAATTCGCCTAAAGGTGTCGCAAAGCCATATGCTCCTCTGAACGCTGCTTTCGTATGACTAGTCGCGAAGAGTGCCGGCAGGTAAGAATACCGCGGGTTCTCACCAGCGTCCAAGTGAGCCTCCAATGAGTCATCTGTAGTTTTCTGATACGTTGTATCTGTATCTGGCTCTTTCCCCATATCCTCTGATACTTCCAGAGAATCTGGCGGAGGAACCGTAACAGTGGACAAAAATCTTTGGAAGGGCGAGTCGTGTATTTGTTCCATGTGTTTACGGTAGCCTTCCTGTGCAAGTCCACCATCTTCAAGGATCATCGCGTAATCATCGGGGAGAATTTGTGTGATATCATGGGTGATAATCAGAGTCGTCTTGCCGCGGCGCCATCGTCGAATCGCTTCCATCATCAGTGAACGACTGACTTGATCTAATGCACTTGTGGACTCATCCAGAAGGAGTACAGGCGTATCTCGCAGATATGCTCGGGCGAGAGCCATTCGCTGCCTTTGTCCACCGCTCATGGTGCCGCCTTTCGCTCCAACCATGGATTGAAACCTCTGAGGCATGTCATTGATCATTGCCAACAAGAGAGCAAATTCGGCAGCGCTGATTACTGCCTCTTTTGTGACACTATGGGGACGCTCGGTTCCAATGGCAATATTCTCGAAAACAGTATCCTCGAACAGCATACTGTGCTGCTCAACAAGTGTGATGTGGTTCCGGAGCCATAGGGGATCCAAGGAATCTATGGGCAGCCCATCGAGGAGTATCTGTCCCGAAGCTGCTGGGTAGAATTTCAGAAGCAACTGGCCGAACGTGCTCTTTCCGGACCCACTCTTTCCGATAATGAATGTAGTGTCATGTGCCGGAATAGAGAAAGTGACATTCTTCAGAGCGGTCCGATCAGGACGGGCCGGATACGCAAACGACACCTGTGAAGCGGTTAGTACCAACGAAACTACACACGCACAAATCGACTTGCATTTCGAAACTCGATATTGCCTTCGCATCTGCTTGGTTTCACAAGTTCGGGCAACGGCGAAGCGTTTGACCCTCTCGCAATCTGCGCCATAACAGCTCTGAGAGTCGATCCCGCTGTCCTTCCTTTCTGTAGTACTATCATCTGTGGCAGGATGCTAGAGATGGCTTGGAAGGCGCTGATCGCCGAGAAGAAAGTTGTGATGACATCTCCGGTGTTTTTCTCGTGATGATCGACTTGGACACCACCGTAATAGAAACCTTGAACGAACATTGCCAAAGTGAAGAAGCTCATGAAACCGAACTGCTGGGAGTTGACGTTGACAACGCGATAGTACCAGCCTGCGGCTTCCTTGAGGCGGGACGAATATTGACCTAGTTCATGCTCTTGACCGTTGAAGCACTTGACCGTTTCGATGGCATTGATGGCGTTACTGACATATTTGAGAGCTTCGGTGAGTTTCTCTTGCTGCTTCCTGACTGATTGTTGCATAGATGCCCCTAGGTAACCGATAATGATAACGATGACGGGAGCAGTCGAAACGATGACAAGGGTAAGCTTCCAAGAAGTGTACAGAGCAAGTCCTAGAGATGCCATGGCATCTGCGGTAGACGTTATCAAGCCACCGAAGGGCTGTGCGGTAGCGAGTTGGAGGTCTCTTATCTGTCTGCTATCATTAACAAACTACTCCACTTTGTAGGTGAGTAGAATGTAATACTTACGCCTGTAGCCGGGGGATCATTGCGCCAACTCCATTCTTGCGCATATCGTACCATTCGATCTCTTTGCCCAACATACCCAAGAATAGCCGTTCTCTGGCGCTGTTGGCTTGTAGTTCTCCGAATGCAAGCCAGGCTGAGAAGAACACAAAATGCACTAGCCAACTACCAATTCCGAGAGCAGCAAGGTAAACGGTATAGTTGGTGACACTTTTAAGGACAGCGCTGGGACTGCTGGAACTTGTGAAAGCGTCAAAAGCTTTACCGAGGAGATAGGACTGCGCTGGCGCGATACCGCCGGCTGCGAGAGCCGCTGCGAGACCGACAAACATGCATGTCAGGTGTGATTTTGTTGTGAAGAAGAACAGAGCTCTCCACGGCGCTGCTTGCACGTCATCTTCCTTTACGTTGCTAGCCGACACTTCCTTATCTCGAGGAATTGTGGCAGCAACGTCTTGCTTATGGGTAGATTTAGTCTCCCTCGAACGGGTCAGTCTCGGTATCCTGGGCATCTGAGCGTTAGAGGTGAAAGGGGAGGCGAGCAGAAGTTGGACAGCGCTCTGAAACGCTCGAAAACGAAGTACAAAATTCGTGGCGGCTGCGATTGTTCTAGAAAAAACGATTCCTGAGTAACCGCAAAATGTTTACCTAGTCGTACAATGCAGTGGCGTAGTTGCGGCGGTCGGTGTGAAGAATGCGTCGCGTTACTATTGTTCTTGTTCTGGCTTTGAACAGGCCGCGATACCACCCTTTATTTAGCCCTCTCCGAGACGATACCTCCTTTGGTTAACCATGTGTCCTCCGACCGTAAAAGTCTACCGCGAATTTACTTGGGTTCTGCGTGGCAGATTCTAGCGTCCGAACCATGTCGCCCTCATGCGACCACGACTGTTCCTCCCCTTGGCACTTGGTCGTGATTTCATCAAACCATCAAGGTAGGTCGGGAATCATGGTCCTTCGTTTACCGAGCAGCGACTTACTTTGCAACAGATTGCACACAAAGCAGCGGAGTAACGGTCTGTCGGTATGAGTCACGATCCTACCAGTAACCGCCTAGCAAACGTCATTGTCATAGGCATGGTGCTCAAGAAGACTTCTGGCCTTGAGCTTTCTCGTAAACCCAGTCGTTCAGACCTTCGCGATTTCTGTCCAGTTTCATAAGCAGATGAACTCAATGCAAAACCTTTCCAGAGCATACCTCAAGATTTCAAGTGCGTAGAACTGCATGCGAACAGCTGTAATTTTGGATCAGCTAGGTTCCAGCAACATAGGGAAGGTGATGGGCGGTACCAAAAATGGTCTCGTCCTGGCCGTATTCAAAGGCAGGGTTGGAGCGCAACAGTGTGCCGAAGTTGTAGTCGTCGACCTTCTTCTCGTACTGGTTGATAAAGTTTCTCCAGCGCTCCTTGCCTGCCTTGCTCTTCATCTCGTCCTCATTGATGGTGGCCTTGGGGTCGTAGTCGGGGAACTCCTTCTTGAAGTGCTCGTAAATCTCGTCGTCGATCTTTGTGAGGCGTAGCTTAGAGCCGGGGACCTTTTCGAGAATGGACCAGTAGGTAGTCATGTGCTGGACAGCTGTCGACGACAGTCAGCTACGGCATGCTTGATGCAATGGTAGAGCGGCGCTGCGCACCCTTGACGGCGAACTGCTTCTCGATGTCCTCGAAGTTGTCCTGTTGCTCGGCAGTGAGAGACATGACGGCTGTCTTGTTCGTGGATGTGTGCTCGTTGGCTGTTATAGAAGACTTGGTCCGAGTCCGGTGGGCGCGATGAAGTTGACTTGGTTAGCTGGAAGAAGCCTTTCTCAACTGAACTCTGACTTTCAGAAATCTTGAAGTGAACCCCACGCCTTGGCAAGCGCGTCACTTTTGGCCAGCAATCGATCCTTACGAGGCCATGCTCTGCCATCTTCCATCTCCATCGCGATCAGTGAGCCGTTGTCCACCGTCTCCTGTCGACCATGTTTGCAACCACTGTCTGCCATTGGAGGAACTCGAAAGTGGCTGGTCGCGCAAGCACAGTCACCGAGACGACGATAACGATCTTCCATCCTCCGCACAGAGTGAGGCTTAAAATGTGGCCTGGAAGACTCACTTGCTCAAAACGCTAGCCACAACGACTGACTCAAGCTCGCAGCAGCCAAGCTTCTGGTATACACAGGCAGAACTGACCAGCTATGGACGGTGTTGTGTAGAGAGAGTGACAGTTCGTTACGCACAAGTACGGAAACCATGACAGGTTTAATATGAAGCCAATAATGAGGTTTGGAGGCTATCAAAGTCATGAATGTCACCAACCGAGTTTTCAACTAAGCGCTGTGGAGAACGGCCGATGTGTGTTGCATGAAGCCTGTTTTCCAGACATCAGGTGAGCCTGTGTGGCTGTCGGTTATCGTGCAGGAATGTGAGCAAGACGAGCATCATGGAGCAAAGAGATTCTGGACATGGCTGAGTAGCGACAGTTGGAGCGTGAGTGCGATTCTGCTCACAGGCTTTCTGATAGCTTGTAGACTTGTGGGTCGGACGATTGGCTCTGTCGAACGGGTGGTGAGTTCCTTGAATTGGTGGAAACAGTAGCGCGCTATGGATACAGCACGGGCTGTGGCTGCGTGTGGGGAAGGAAGCAATCGCATGTGTGTCGACGTCATCTCAACAAGCTTGAGGCAGGCGCGATCGAATCGAAAGCTCCGCGCGCAGCAGAGCTCACCGGGCAGCAGCTCTCGCAGCTGCCTTGTTTAAGAACGTCTCCCCCTCTTGCTCCTCTTCCTCTCCCCCCTCATCCTCTCTCCTCCCTCTCAACTCACTCCTCTACAATCCACGCCGCCGCCATGATTGTCGACCCTGTTGAGGCCTTCAAGGCCACGAGCTCTGTCGCTCCTCTGCCTACTGTTGTTCCCTCTCTCCCCGAGTATCAGACCGTCACCGAGACCGGTACCCGCACTCTGTGGGCCGTCTGTATTCTGATGCTCCTCTCCATGATTGTCTTTGTTGGCCTTTCGTGGACCACCCCCATCTCCAAGCGCGTCTACCACGTTATCACCACTCTCATCGTCACCTTTGCTTCTCTGTCCTACTTCGCCATGGCCACTGGCCACGGCATCAGCTACCACCGCACCACCGTCACTGACGAGCACCGCCACGTCCCTGACACCACCCACGACGTCTACCGCCAGGTCTACTGGGCCCGTTACGTCGACTGGAGCTTGACCACCCCTCTTCTCCTCCTCGACCTTGCCATGCTCGCCGGTCTCAGCGGTGGCCACATCCTTTTGGCCATCGTTGCCGATGTCATCATGGTTCTGACTGGTCTCTTCGCCGCTTACGGCAATGAGGGCACTCCTCAGAAGTGGGGCTGGTACACCATTGCCTGCATTGCTTACCTCGTCGTCATCTGGATGCTCGCCGTTCACGGCCGCGCCAACGCCATGGCCAAGGGCGGCAAGGTCGGCAAGTTCTTTGCTTCCATCGCCGGCTTCACCCTTGTCATCTGGACCATCTACCCTATGTAAGTACCACTCAAACAAGGCTCACGACACACATTCTAACATGATTCTAGCGTCTGGGGTATCGCCGATGGCTCCCGCAAGATGACCGTTGACCAGGAGATCATTGCCTACGCCGTCCTTGACTTGCTCGCCAAGCCCGTCTTCGGTGCCTGGTTGCTCTTCACCCACCAGAGCATGCCCGAGACTCAGGTCGAGCTTGGTGGCTTCTGGACCCACGGTGTCAGCAGCGAGGGTGCTATCCGTGTTGGTGAGGATGACGAGGGTGCATAGACGCCTCGAGCCAGCAACCATGCTACTCCTGCCATGAATTGAACGAATGATTCAGACCCAGTCTCGAAAAGGGAGCATGAATCAGAAGAAGAGTGTCTTCGGGATTCTCGACTGTCTGGTCGGCGCTTGCTTCGCCGCAGCAGCACTTGTGTATATTAGCCGTTAATGATAATGCAGCTGAAGATGTTTTTACCGCTAGCTCTTTGACCGTGACAGTTCCACTTGTGACACCTTTGCTAAGAACCCCGCACGCCTCATGCAGGGTCCTAGAGCTTGCGCAGGGAGCTCAAGTCGTTGGCTCTTTCCCTTGTCTATAGTCCCTCTCACGTCCCGACACCTGTCGTACATCGTCTCATCCATCACCCTCGTCTGACCGTTTCGAAAGTCAACAAGAATCCTACCAGACCATGTCGGATGCAATGCCCCCTGCCAGCACCAGCCCCATCTCTCTAGAGCGCCGCAACAGTCTGGAGAAGGCTATTCAGAACCGGCCCGAAGCTCACGAGCTCAGGGAGAAGCACATTCTTCTGAATACTAATGCTGCACCGTAAGAATTTCCCCCACTGCACGAGTATCGAAGAGATCCACTGATCAAGCCCAGAGCTCTGCAAGCCCAGCAACAGCAACTACAACGTCACAAGCTCACTGATAGCCTGAACAAAGCTATTGCGTCACGCTCAGAAAAGGATGAGCTGGTCGAACGCAACATCCTGCCTGATTCTACTGCTGCACCTGCCCTGCAGAACCACCAGCGTGAGCTTGCTGCAGCCATGCGTCGTGACTCGATCGAGAAGCACCTACAGACTCGACCCTCGCCAGCTGAGCTGATCAAGGAAGGCATACTCAAAGGTTCCTGCATATCCATCACTTACACGTCTTACTTTAAGCTCATCTTGTGGCAGCCAACGAGGACCCCCTGGATGGACCTTGATCACGCAGTCAATATCAAGGTTGAACGAAACACCACGAGTGAGAAAATGGTTATAGTCCAGAATGAGAACCAATGGCTGCATCGTTATTTGCTTTATCCCCTCGCTTGATACTACGAGCATGAACCAGACTTTCTTCCAACCCGACACGCTTGCTCATACACCATCTTCTGACTGTGCAGTTAGCTGCGTGTCGTTGTCCGACCACCTGCTTACAACATGGTTTCCATCGTCTAAGCATATCGTAGTCTTTCGCTTGTCCACCCAGGTTGCAAATAACTCCAATCCCGGGCAAAATTGAACGAAGTCTCGTAGGTATTATAGGCAAACAGTGTAACATCATCGAGCTTTGCACCTGCATCCGTCTCGGCCCAGACACTCAATGCAAGTGTGTTGTTGCCTTGGTTGTTGATGACGCCAGGTGGAAAGGGGAATCGTGTTTGTGGACCGATATGAGGAATGTACTTTCCATATTGATAACCATTCAGGTATATCTGGACACTGGCGACAGTTCCTGGGGGTGCGGAAAGTTCAAGACCAATGGGGACATCGAGATCTGAATCAATGTCAAGCTCGAATGTCGTCAAATACCACTTGATGCCGCTGGAGTTGAGCCCTCCAGCAGGAGAACCGGCTGACCATTCGTTACCTGAGGGAGAGAAGCCAGGGAGGTGCCATCCGAGACGCTCTCCATACAGTCCACCTTCGTTGAGAGGTCCACGGACAGGATCGATGTTGGCGGATCCCCCAGCATTGCCCTGAATGAGCCACTTCTTGAAGCTGGCAGTGGTGTTACCAGAACTCTTCAGGGCCGCGCCCAAAAGACCTCGAGGGTTTGCAGCGCCTTTGCCCGTAGAAGTCTGATCGTGACCAGTGTAATCGGTGACCACTGTCAGCACGTTGTCCTTGTCATAGAGTGTTACTCCTGTGAAGTCGAGTACATATGATGTTGACAATAGAGAAGCGTTTCCGGAATGGCCACCGACAAGTTTGCCGTTCAGCCAGGCACTCCACCCTGCGGCTGAGCCACCCTGTGCTGTCAGATTGGCTGATGTGACTGACTTGCCGTCAAAGTAGCCACGGTAGATTTTGATGCCAGAATAGTATCCATAGTCTGAACTGTAAAGAACGGGCACGGACAGTGGCTTGACTGGAGCTTGTGTGGTTGTTTTGTTGCATACAGTCCAAGCTGAATCGTCGTAACTCCTGGCGACTTCGGGCAGACAATCGGCCACTTGCCACCTGGTAAGAGAAGGAATGGTTATCTTACGGTCGAGGACACTCGTAAGATCAGCTGTGAGAGCGCCATATGCCGTCTTCTTCGTAGCCAGAATTCGACCGTTCCATGTGATAGTATCAACACTTTCATTACCCACGTAGACTTCAAGTGTCGTTGAGTTGGTATTGTCGCCATTGACAGAGACAGCTTTGCCACTAACACTGGCGTTGCGAACGAGATAAGGACCTATCGCGAAGATCTGTTTATCTGCAGCGACATTAGGGTCCAAGGTAGTGGGTGGTGCCCAGAATGACCAGGCTGTCGACACATCCAAGAGATACAGCAAGACACCGTTAGACAGCTGGACAATCGTCTTACTGGCTGATTGCTTGTACACAAACTTGGTGTAAGACGCAGTTCCGTTGACTTTGACATGAGATGCTGTGACGTTCATGTTGCCGAATGACTTTATGGAAACGTTTCCAGGGAAAGCATATTCACCAATCTGGCCCACCTCAAGATAGAGCACAAGGACTGATTGCCGGTCAAACAAGCCGTATGTCAGCACGTCGACAGAAGAATACAACAGAGTGTGTTCCCCAAAGTGGTAGTCCGAGACTACAATCTTGCTCTGGCGACCGTTGAGCTGGACACTCGGGACTGTAATTGATCCCAAGGATGTTTTGAGGCTTATAGAAAAGTCCGTAACAGCTCTTGAGCTCGATTTCGAGTGTTGCGTCACGTAGAACCCTGCAGTTGTGTTGGGGTTTCTCAGAACCCAGGTCCAGATGTCTTGAGTTGATACAGCATTCCCAGTACCATTACTCTCCATGTTGGTGTAGAGAAGATCTTGTGAAACTCTTGTAAACAGTGCAATCAGTTTGCTAACAATATATTAGCTGATTTGTCAAAGATACAAGGGCGGCCATTAAGCAATGGCGCCATCATGTTGTACTTACGTCTGTGACATCTTGAGTTGAAGCTCACGAGTTTCACGCATGGGCGCAGAGTAGTCGTAGCTCGTATAGACGACAGGAGCTGCGAGGTTGCCCCAGTTTGTTGCTCCCATTGCCATGTAGAGCGACATCAGTGTCCCTCTTTGGCCTATGTTGTTCTTGTAATAGACATCGGCGAAGGCAGGATCGTGTTCTGTGAGGGGAGAAGATAGTCAGCATTTGATACCAGCAGAGAATTTCCCACCCCAAGAATTGGACATGCCTGCCAAACAGTCATCGTAGAAGTTGCCCGCCCACGGTTGGAACCAGCCAGCTTCGAATTCAGGCCAGAACTCGGGCTGGGTGTACGAGTAGTTCTGGAACCATTGGTAATAGTTTCGAACGAGGTTGAATCCAGTATTGATGTTGGTGCAACTCAGACCGCCTGGGTATGAATCTAGACCGTATATATTGACAGAACCTGTGTTGAGGGGTGATCAGCCTCTCAAGGTTGACAGCCTCTCAAGGTTACCAGTATACATACCTCCTACATCCTGGTAGTCGGTCGACCAACTTTGTGATCTTTGACCTTTCTCATTATGCGTTAGAGGAACCACTATTCCGGAATCTCTCACACTCTTTTTGAGCTGCTCCATGTAGGTCACGAGTGTGTTATCAGCCTTGTGTACAGTCTCTTGTAGCTCGTTCTCGATCTGGTAGAGGATGATAGGGCCGCCTTCGGTTATTTGGTTCTTGACGAGAATCTTGTTGACCTCCCTCATCCATGGTTCCCAGGCTTCATAGTAAGCTTGATCTGACGTCCGGTAATCACCTAGTGCTAGTTAGCTAGCTGAAATTCCGACCAAGGGTGTCGATCGTACCTGCGGAACCATCGCTTGTCCATAGTGCCAAACCACCTGCGTTTGTCTCGGCGTTTGCATAAGGTCCCGGGCGGGCAATGATACTGCGTAGGCGCCTGAGATCAGCATGTCGAACACACATGTCCACGACCAAGCAGGAAACGTACTAGAGACCAGCCTCTGCAGCAGCATCTATAACTTTCTGGATGTCTTTGCCTCCAGACGTGAAGTCAAAGATGTCGCGAGAAGCAGAGTGATACGACCAGAAGAAGTACAAGCTGACTGCATTGAACCCATTTGCCCTGAACTTTTGGAAGATATCGGACCACATTTCCGGCACGGGCATGCGTTCATAGGCAAACTCGCCGGAGAACAAGAACAACCGCTCTCCATTGACCAAGAGACTGTAAGGGTCCCAGGTAACTTGAGTGGTCAAGCCATCACCCGTAGCAAGGGCGAGGACAGCTAGAAAGAATGCGTAAACGAGGAGATGCAAGCAGAGTCTCATCGTGGAATGCAGACATGTAGTTGAAGGATCGAGAGTCAAGGTTAACAACCACCTACTTACAGCCGATGCCTCTTATGCAATACAATTCTCTTGCAAAGTGTGAAGTTATTAGAGGGGCACATTAAGAAAGCACCACGCACGATATTATCCGCCAATCGTCGTGAACCTCCCTGTGCGCATCATAAAGGAAGCCGCTTCTCGCTTCATTATATGAGCCGATGTATGAAGATCCTAGAGCTTAGTCGGTATGAATCAGGCTAGAATTCCATCGCCTATGATGAATACGACGTGACGATGGTGGAAAAAGAGGGGAAATATCGGTTGGTGCTGACCCGAGTACCGTGAAAAGTTTTCGGCAGAATGATGGATCAAGCAGATGGATCATCTTCCCTTCGAATTGTTGAGGTAGCAACAACCACCTGACGGAGAATACATGTAAAAACAGCGAAAGGTATCCTGAATCAAGATCTTCATACGTGACTATTTACAATATTTGTGAAGCCGGAACAGGTTGCCCTGTCGCTTCCTTGACAGTGAATTTATGTCAAGTCACGGTGGATTTACTCCCCCTTGGGGAGGACGAGACACCATGTGAACAGCACAGGTAGCTGGCTTTGGGCAGATGTGTGGAAACTCTGCAAAGGTAGCGCTTGGCGCGAGGCAACGACAAGACGGATTGATGCCATCAACGTACATGTCTTGGATCACTGAACAGTGAAGTGAAGGTGAGCGATAGAATGTGAACCAGTTTTGGTCCACATCTTGTGTCAACACTTATGCCAGGCTGAAGTGTTGACGGGAGGGGGAATTTGGCGTTTTGCAGGATTTGGAATCAAGGTAGTCGAGACCATGATTGATGCTCGTGATCACCTCAACCTTCCTCGGTCGCTTCGATGGCGACGCCCTCACCAGCAGCTTCTTCATCTTCCTCGTCACTTGTGAAGTTGGCGAAATCTTCTCCCTCTTCTTCTTCGTCTTCGACCTCCTCTTCGTCATCTTCCTCTTCGGCTTCTCCATCTTCATCTGTGACTGCACGCTTTCTCTTTTTGATGATCTCAGTTTGAAGCTCAGCCTTTGCCTCCTCAGCAGCAGCCCATGCGGCTGCAGATGCTGGTGGTGGGGTGAACCAGGGGATCTTGCCACGAAGGAAGTCATTCAGAACCATTTTGGCTACGCCGTCCATGTCGGCTTCACCACCCTTCAGCAACTTGCCACCCTTGCGAGCGAGAAGTTCGAGGAACTCGGTCGGTGTCTCCCAGTCACGAACGTCGTATGTTCGTTCGATGTGGTGTCTCTTACACTTTTTGAGTGCAGCAGCGACATACTGTTCAGGATTCTCGACGTTCTCAATACGGACGACACCACGCAAAAGAATATCTTCATCCGTATCACCCATGTTTGGAGGAACGACACCAGGGCAGTCGATGAGGTAAATACGCTTCATCAACGTAATGTATTGCCAGACCTTGGTCTCACCAGGAATAGGAGCAACGTTGCACACCTTCTTTTTGCGGAGAGTGTTGATAATGGAAGACTTGCCGGTGTTGGGGTATCCAATGAAACCAACCGAGATCTGCTTGCGAGATGAGTGCAGAGCGGAGAACTGGCGCAGAAGCGAGATCAGGGATCCTTTTCCGAACGAGTTGTTGATTGAGGCGTGGAATGCAAGAGTAGGATATTCCTTGCCGAGAAGGCGAACCCAGTTGGCCTTGATTCAAAGTCAGTACCCTGAATACACAAACTAGAATCGTACGCATGTTGTGGAGGCAGAAAAACAGGAGAGATATCGACCAAAAAAAAAGAAGCAAAAAGAATGCAGCAAGAGATGTGTGGATCATAACTAAGAGAGCCTCCATGAGCCACCCATACGAGCGGGAGAGGTACTCAACTCAAACGAAACACGCTCGAACCCTTTTGAAAGCAAACCAAGACGGCAAGCAATCTACTAGACGTCCATAACGGGGTCTAGCGGCGGGCCGACTTCGATCTGCCAGAGTTGTAACAGTCTCCTTCCATGGTGAAAAACGCACACAAAATGCGGAAGGAGCCTTGACTTAACGCTGGCATGGGATGCGAGGTGGGACAATAGAACATGCGGACGAAAAGGAATGGAGATGAACTTACAGCAACGCTTGTGGGAATCAGATCGCACTTGTTGAGCACGAACAGAAGATGCTTGTGGGGAGCCTCTTCGCGGATATACTTCTCGACACTTCGGCAACGCGTACCAAGAGGATCTCTCGCGTCCAGGACGTGGATGACAACATCACTTGAATCGATGACTTTGTAAAGCTCGTTCCAGATACGCTTGCTCTGACCCTTAGAGAAGATGGCCTCTCTTGCAGCGGTCAAAGCACCGTCGGCCTCGGTGTCTTGTCCGTCGTCGACAGATAGACCACTAGCAAGGCGAGCTTGCTCGAGACGGTCGAGATAGGTTTCGTGCATCTTGTCCGACTCGCCAGCGAGGTCGAGAAGAGAGCTGACGGCGAGCTTTGGGCGCTTACGCTGAGCCTTGGGGCCAAAGGTATCCGAGAAGGGAGCGGTTTCGACGGCAATCTTTGCCTGGTGCTGCTTCAAGCCGTTCTTCTTGGTCTCGTCGTCCTTGATCAAGCTCATAGGCAACTTGTTCTGCTTGAGCAGGTACGAGTAAGGATCATTCTGCTGAGCCTGGACGGCGCCACGGAAGGCGGACAGAGCATCCTGGGAGATGACACGGGTGTTGGTGAACCACTTGCGGTTGGGCTCGATACGGGCCGAGGGCCTTTCACGCGACTGGAAGACGGCGGCTTTTGTGATGTCACCAGCAGCGTTGCGCTGAGCAGTGCCTTTGGTGAGGATGTTGAGCTTCTTGACCTTCTTTGCGTCTCTGCGGGCATGTCAGCATGCTGCGTGTGTGTGTGCAGTCGAGCGAGGCAAACGCACCTGTAGAAGTTCTCGCCCTTGACTTTGACATTGGCCATGCCATCGCCAACCTTGCCCTGACGCGTCTTGCGCGCAGCCTCCTTCTTGCCGGTACCCATTCTGACAGCGGCGACTCGAGGTGTACTGGAAGAAAATATGGCAGGGAGGGAGCTCGAAACAACCCACGCAGAGACGAAGCAAGAGCGAGGGAGAGAAGGACTTTTTTTATGCGCGGCCACTAGCAACTCCGCAGCGCACGGCCGGCTTTTGCGGAGGCCGGGCCTTGTTGATTGGCTGTGTCTTTTTTTCTGGCAGCGACGCCCGCCAAGACAAGACCAGCGAGCCCGCGCAAGAGAGGGCACTTGCCAGTCCAAGAGCAGCAGCAGCAGCAGTAGCAGTCTCGAACAAGCAGGCGCCGCCCACTGTTCCATACACACACGACCCGAGATGCCTGTCCGTCTACCACAGGCCACTGGCCTTTACACATGCCCTTCATGTGCCTCCCGCTCCGCTCCTCGCTCCTTCTCCATCTCGGCCTCCCAGCTGGCCCTGGGTCCCGAATCTCCTCGCTACATGGACATTCCTCAGGCCCCTCAGCAGACTCTCCCGGATAAGACCCGCCTCAAGGGTATCCTCCCCGTTCCACGCAATGTTTTTGCCGGCCAGGACCCCAAGGCACCCCTCAAGGTGGATCAAGCCACCAAAGAGCCCTCTCGCCCACAATCTCACAATGATCCCCGCTCCATCTGGAAAGAGCGTATGGCTGCTTCGCGAAGGAAGAACTTGAAAGAGGGTCTCAATGCTCTGCAGCACCGCAGAGTCAAGTCGGACGAATACATGGCCACTCGTGCCACCCTTCGCCAGCAAGAACGCGAGGCCCGTCTGCATCGTCCAGAACGCGAAGACGAGCGTCTTACTGCCCCCTCTGTCGACTCCAACTTGCTCAGCCTTCTGCAAAAGGGCCCGCTGCAAGACCCCAACAAAGAGGCTCGCCTGGCCGACATGCGTCAACGACACGCCCTGAAGCAGGCTGCTCGTCAAGAAGACCGTCAGGATGCCCTGCACTCGCTCTACGTCAATGCTCGCGACTTCATTGTCAATGACGCTCAGCTCTCCACTGCCATCGACAAGGCTTTTGGTACTGTTGCCGACCCTCGTTCCTTTGGCAACTATGGTGCCAGCGTTTGGGACAACAAACCAAGCGCCCCCAGCTCTATCGTTGACATGCTCAATTCGGCGACTGCCAGAGGTGTCCGTGGTGGTGCTCTCAACCAGTCAACCATGAATAAGGATACTGCCTTGACTGCTGCCAGAGTTCGCAGAATGGCTGCCGAGTTGACTGGAGGTCAGTTGCCTTCAAAGTCTTCCTTCTAGTCTGCCTTCTTGTATAATATCCGTCTTTCTATCACCCCATGTTCTATAGCCTCTCTCATCCATGGACTCTCTTTTCTTGTCTTTGATCCACCAGTTCTCGTGTTTGGTATTTGGCCCCCTATTTTGTGCCAGCTGATTTCTCCAACGATAAAAGAGCAAACTCCCCGGAACGAGGCCTGCAGGGAACACGCACAAAAGCTGGAGGATTCGCCGGATCAAGCTCGGCGTATCTATTTGTCCTCTGAAGCCTGCAGGCTTCCATTCGATGTATCTTCTTCTTTCGTTCTGATCGTTACGACGCTACACATTGGCATAGGCAACAAGTGTTGAGGAAATTCAATGCTCAACTTACCTCGTCGACCCTTCTTTTCCTGGGTTGCAGCGTCGAGTTCGACGTGTGCAATGACCTTGCCCCGGCCCAGCCTGCGCTGAAGTCTACACGCGCATGCTCTATACCGCCAACATGTGTTGTTCACTCACTTCCTAACACCTTCTCGGCACTCTCGATGCGCCCTTCTCGACGAGGACCCGCTTATTTGATCGCAGCAACTGCTTCCCCGTCACTTCTGCTATCTCACTTCAACTTCCCTCACGGACTTCGAGACTTTTCCTACATCACACACCAGGTGCGACCACTTTTATTCTCCTTTCTCATTCAAAATATCGTCCAACTCCTCTATATCTCCAGACAATGTCTGTTACCAGCCCCACCAATGCTCAAATTGAGCTTCCGGACCCGATGACAAGATCTCGCGACAGAGGCTCGAAGAAGGCCATCAAGGCACGAGTCAACAAGATCATCCAGCAGCGCCAGTCTAAAACCAAGTGCAGACTGTCTGATGAAGAGCTTGTTCTCCTCGCTCTTGCTTACTCCTCAGATGAGTGGCTCTTGGTCTCCCAGATTGGCGAATTTGCTTTTACCAATGTTGTCTTCTTCCAGAGACAGGCCGCTCAGTTCTTCTTCGGAAGATCTGGATACCAAACCCATGGTCAGGGTATCCATGACCTTGCTCGTCGCGTCGAAAGGTGTGTTGATAAAACTTCTAGCTTCCACTCATCTAGATGTGCCGTGCTAACCAAGCACTCAAGCTATCTGCGCACCTACGGAATTCCCGTCCACTCCAAGCACAACTCAAGCAACCAGAAGATGTATTCCATGACGGCAGGCGCCGCGTACGCCTTCACCAAGAGATTGTACAGCAAGTGCTTCGGAGACGGTCTCGCCATTGCTGAGCAGGCCACTTCTTCGTGTCTATTCATGAAGATTCCCCTCGAGGTCCGCGTGAAGATCTATCATCTTATCCTCAAAGTCTCCGGCTTTCGCCTGCTTGTCGGCAACAGATCTTTCGTGGCTCACGACGAGAGGGTCCCTATCTGGGAGACCTGCTCTCAAGACGCTCTCACTATGCCTCCCGTCCAAAGTTTCCTTGCGCTCCTCTCGGTGAACAAGGATATCTTCGAGGAGGCCATGCCTGAATTCTTCCGCCAGAACCACTTTCAGTTCACAGACATGAGCAGCCTGAAGGAGTTCTTCCACAACATCGGCCCAATCAGAAGAAAGCATATGCGCAATGTGTCTGTTCACTACGACAACCTCTCGGTCGCCGCGGCTGGAGCTAGGCTCCTTACAGAGTCTGATACGCTCCAGAAGCTCACTCTCATCATGTCTGCCCGTAAGGATCCTGCTGGTCACTTCATGATCAACCACAGCCGTCGCAAGTTTGCAACCTTGAGCAAGATCCCTGGTTTCTCGTCTCTGAAGCGCCTTCGTGGCATTCAGCAGTTGACCTTCGACCCTCATCGTGACCATGCTGTCGCTGACGCTTTCCTGCGTCCCCTCATCACACAGCCTAAGGTTGTCAAGAAGGTCCAGACAGTTCTCAAGCGCAAGGTTGAATCAGACGACGATACCGCCGCCAGAAAGAAGTCCAAGGAGACTTGATCACCAACAAAAGCCGTGACAGCGTCTAGCTACGCTTAGCGTCCGAGTCAACGGAGGATATACAAGATGACCAAGAGGAGGAGAATGGAATGTCATCAAAGAGAAAGGGAACAGAATGTCACCAAAGAGGAAGAAAATGGTGGAAAGTTAATGTGCAAGAGAGCGGAACGTTATACAACGGTGGTCAGATGGCCAGTTGGCAATTTGAAGGTTGTCAAAGGTTCGAGGTGCGACGAGATAGCGATGTTCGTGATGGAGCCAGTCTTTCATACGTCATCTCAACCGTATAGATGTAGTACTGCCTCGAATGCAAGCCCAACCCTCTCTGATATACCAGGATTTTTGCGACTCTCAACTCCCCTTCCATCTTTTCGTAACTCTTGGTTCTGAGGCACTTGCTTGTGAGTATGCTTGTCTTTGTGCTGACAGCAGGATCAATTCCTCCTGCCTTTAAAATCCTAGCGGTCCGACGGTGTGGTGATGGGCTTTGACATCGAGGTCTGTCACATGGCCCATCAAGGTTGCAGATCGGTTCTGTCATTCGATATGTGTATATGCTATCAATAGAATATCATTCCGATTTTCCATGAGCTTGTTTGTTTTGAGTTAAAACACAGGTCAATCGTGACGTTGATTTGGAGGACGTCTGCCAAGCCATGCATGCAGCCTCCGCGTTTGCGGGGTGGTTTCACATCCATCCGAATATCGAGTCCAAGTGAGTATCGTATCACTTCTTCCATTGCTCCGACCGCGAGACCTTTTTCTCGTATAGCTCGTCCACGGAAGAGGCTATGGTGGTATATGCTTCTTTAGACACAGCGCACAAGATGCCGTGTCGCCGTCCGCCCCTCGTATCCGCCGCGTGTCGAGCGAAATATCGCGCTAGGTATACCTCGATGGTGAACTGCACTGTGAGATCGACTAGTCTAATCCAACGTCGACATTCTCCTCGGAGGATCCCAATTGCACGTTGCTCAGATGACCTTTTGTATGGTGCATCGGGAATAGTAGTTCCAACTATGACAGGCAAGACGAGAAGGATCAATTGGCGACATCATTGCTTTGCTGCTCTTACATTCCTAATGCAAACAAGCTCGCTTGTCCGGTACTCCTCATCTTACGATCTCACGGTAAGTCGACTTGGCTGATGGCAATCTTGCTCTCATGACATATACCTTGAACATATATATAGTCCATCCCCAGCAGCTTGATTTGGTCTTCTCTTCATCATCATTAGAACCACTATCAATCGACCAGCGACACACAAACGACTCTCTGCCTCTATCTCAGTGCCAATATCACAATCATGAAATCAATCTTCGTCTCGGCAGCTCTCATTGCAGCAGCAGATGCACTTATTGCTCGCGACTCAACCTGGTGAGTAAGGCGTGCAGTGTTCACTGAGAGCTTGCTAACCTTGTGCCCTCCAGCTGCTTCCATCTGACTGCCTCCGGTGGCCCTGGCGGAGTCGTCGGCCAGGTGAGTTGTTGCACGCCCCTTCACGGCCATCGTCCTACTGTCTAGCTGGACTAACACCTTTTGAAGCTTAGCGATGGTCAGAATAGAATCGGCCAGACCTCTGGACTCGCCAACGGACAGGGAACCTACTGCATCGATTCCAAAGGTGGTCTCACCGACGGTAATGGTCGTGGTTGCATCCTGACCCCTCCAACAACCCAGTTCCAATGTGATGTGGGTGCTAGCCCTACAGATGGTTTCTCCGTCTCTTGTGATGGTGCATTGTCTTACAAGGGCAACACCGACTTCAAGGCTTGCCCAACTGGGGACAATGGTGGTTACAACATTTACACTGTTGCTCCAGCTGGTCAAGGTGGTTGTGTTTCGATCACCTTGGGAGCAGACAACTGCAAATCAGGTTGCCCTGCACCAGCCCCTGCTCCCAAGACTTGTCCTGCTGCCCTCTCTGGCGCTTACGAGTATCCCCATCTCATCGTTCCCGTCGACTCGAAGCAGCCTGACAAGGCCTTTGGCACTCAGTACAACGGCACGGTCTCCAACACTGTCTCCAGCTTGTTCAACTTTGACATACCCAGCTCTGACAGTGGAAAGACTTGTTCTCTAGTCTTCCTCTTCCCTGAGCAGAAGAATCTGGAGACATCGTCGTTCGACTTCTCGGGTGCTGGCGGAATCGACTTTGCTATGTTGAAGGGACCCGCCAGCTCAGGCACTACATACAACAACAAGCCAGGCGTTGCTACCGACTATGGAGTGACCAAGGTGGCTCCTGGAACATCCTCGGTCATCGCAACCTTCCCCTGCCCGGGCAACTCTGCCATTGGCTTCAGTCTATCTGCTTCAGACAACACTCAGTTCTCGTACTTCCAGGACTACAATCCCAGCCCGTAAGTTGTACTGGATGCCTGTATGATTGTTTGATACTAACTGCGAATGTAGTATCGGTCTCTACATCACCGTGTGCTAGATGTGTCTCCAGCCGGTACCCCCTTCTGAGGGCTGGGACTAACGACAATTCCTTCTTGGACGCTCGGTCCACTTTTCGTATTCTCATGCCCTGAATGTGTTTGTTGATCATGCTCTGTCGTTTATTTCTATTCGTATCTACCTTGAATAACATAATGACAATAGTTTCTATGCTGCGAACACTACTTATATTAGCTTTATACTCTCACCGCGTGACAGTTCTGTTTCTATGAGATAGTGTTTCCTCCGTCAATCAAATTTCTATGATTTATATGTTGGTTTATGAGATGACGAGAGGGGTGGCAGATGGTAGACAGGGCTGGCGTGCTAGCAGCCCCGCGTGCCAAGAGTTATGACTCTCGTAGTGACATTTTTCGTCTTTCGTGGGAGGGTCAGAGCTACTCTTATACACGACAATCATGGCCGACCAAGCACAAGCAGCAGCCAACGCTGTCAAGGATGCAGTCAACAACGTCACCGAGAAGGTGGGCGAGCTGACCACAGGCGACAATGCCGCAGCCCCCACCCTGTACACGGACGAGGTGACGGGCGAGAAGGTCAGCAAGACCGAGCGTGAGTGTGTCTGTGGCCGCGTCAGAGTGGACAGAGTATGCTGAGAGCAAGGCAGTCAAGAAGCGCCAGAAGCAGCGTGAAAAGGAGGCCAAGAAGGCCGAAAAGGCTGCCACCAACACTGCACCACCGGCCAAGAAGAAGACGGTCAGCGCCGAAGAGGAGGAGGCCCACCTGAACCCCAACCAGTACTTCGAGATCCGCAGCAGAGCCATCCAGAAGCTGCGCCAGAGCCACGAGCCCAACCCCTACCCGCACAAGTTCCACGTCGACTACGATCTGCGCAAGTTCGAGCCCGAGTTCGGCCACCTCAAGTCGGGCGAGCACCTCAAGGACAAGACGCTGTGCATCGGTGCCCGCATCTACAACAAGCGTTCGTCGGGTGCCAACCTGTGCTTCTACGATGTCCGCGCAGAGGGCGTCCGCATGCAGATCATGTGCCAGTCGCAGGAGTCGACCAGCGACCGTTCCTTCGCCGACCAGCACGAGCTGCTCCGCCGCGGCGACATCATTGGTATCAAGGGATACCCCGGCCGCACAAACCCCCGCAACCGCGACCAGGGTGAGCTCTCGCTCTTCGCCCAGGAGGTTACTCTCCTCACTCCCTGCTTGCACCAGCTGCCCGACGAGTACTACGGCTTCAAGGACCAGGAGCAGCGCCACCGCCGCAAGTTCCTCGATCTGATCATGAACGACCACACTCGCAGCACCTTCATCACCCGCTCCAAGATGGTCACCTACATCCGCAACTATTTCGACACCCGCGACTTTATCGAGGTCGAGACTCCCATGATGAACGCCATCGCCGGTGGTGCCACCGCAAAGCCCTTCAAGACATACCACAACGACCTCGACATGGAGCTGTACATGCGTATCGCTCCCGAGCTGTACCTCAAGCAGCTGATTGTTGGTGGTCTCGAGCGTGTTTACGAAATCGGCCGTCAATTCCGTAACGAGGGTATCGATCTTACCCACAACCCCGAGTTCACCACTTGCGAGTTCTACGAGGCATACGCTGATGTCTACGATCTCATGGACACCACCGAGGACCTCGTTTCCAACCTCGTCAAGCACTTGACCGGTGGCTACGAGACCAAGTTCGAGACCCAGCACGGCGAGGTCTACACCGTCAACTGGGCCAAGCCCTGGAAGCGCATCGAAATGATCCCCGCTCTCGAGGAGGCCTGCGGTGAAAAGTTCCCTGAAGGCGACCAACTACACAGCGACGAGACCAACGAGTTCCTCAAGCGCATGCTCAAGAAGATGAACGTCCAGTGCTCCGCCCCTCTCACAAACGCCCGCATGCTCGACAAGCTTGTCGGTGAGTTCATCGAGGAAAAGTGCATCAATCCCACCATGATCACTGGTCACCCCCAGATGATGTCTCCTCTGGCCAAGTACCACCGCAGCAACAAGGGTCTCTGTGAGCGTTTCGAGGCCTTTGTCTGCAAGAAGGAAATTGTCAACGCCTACACCGAGTTGAACGATCCCTTTGACCAGCGTCTGCGTTTCGAAGAGCAGGCTCGCCAGAAGGAGCAGGGTGACGACGAGGCCCAGCTTGTCGACGAGACTTTTTGCCAGGCTCTCGAGTACGGTCTGCCGCCTACCGGTGGTTGGGGTATGGGTATCGACCGCATGGTCATGTTCCTTACCAACCACTACTCGATCAAGGAGGTTCTCACCTTCCCATTCATGAAGGACGACAAGTCTCAGGGCGAGAAGCCCAAGGCTGCCGAAGTTGTCGACGTCACTCCCATGCCTGAGGAGGGTATCCGTAAGTCTTGCTAAATTCTCTCGTCATTGAACTTTGCTTACTGACATTGTCTTCTGCAGCCCACAAATAGACGTTGTTGAGACGGATACTGTCCGGCTGTGCGAGCAGCGTCTGTAAAGTCAGCTCACGCAATGTAAAAGCAAAAACATTGTCAAATAGAACACGAATCAATACACGCCATTTTCACTCCCTTGCGATTTACTCCTCTATGTCAAACTTCCAATTGTCCATTCTCATCCCAGCAAAATGACAGTTCTGTAAGCAGAGAGGATTCAAGATGTTTATAATAGAGTATCGGCCTATTTTGATATCGTAAGAACAGTAGAGTAATAAGAAAAAGAAAAGGGGGTAGTGTTTCCCATGTACGCCGCAAGAAAGAAGAAAGCCCCGTGAAAATGCTCATGTTTTTTGGTATCGTCAGGAACAGAGAAACAAGGCCTTTACATGATAACCTCGTTGGTCACATCCCTGCGGAGGTCCTTGTAGGGCAAGCAGACACAGTTCTGAACGCGCACCTCGTCGCCGACGTTACACTCCTTGCCCAAAATGGTAACACTCTGGACTTTGACGCCGTTCTTGATGATGGTGGTGTGGTGCTCGCGGACAGGGGTAGGAGTGCCCTCGACACGGGCCCAGGCACCAACGCGCGAAGACCAGCCGATGATGGAGTACAAAACACAGGCGTCGTGCTTGATCTCGGCGTCTTCCAGGACGATCGAGTCCTTGATACGGGCACCGGCACCAACCACAGCACGAGGGCCGATTGAGACATTGGGGCCGATCTTGGCAGTGGGATCTACCTGCGCTGTAGGGTGGATGTAGACGGGAGGAAGGATGACGGCTGAGGGTTTGGCGAGGTCGTCGCTTTGCTGCTGGAAGGCCTTCATGAGGTAGAGGGCGTTTGCGGGCACGGCGGAACCGGCGGTCTTGATCTGGCGCCAGAAATCGGTCGTCTCGAGGACGAAGAACTTTGAGCTGTCTGCCAGGTCGGACAGAATGTCTTGCTCGAGACGGATGACCTCGTTCTTGCGGTTCTCGTCATCGTCATGGTCGTCTGCGTTGTTGAGCGAAAAGTCGCGGCTGTCGAGGGCTTCGGAGGAAGGGTAGGACAGCAGACGAGGGCGGTCGCTGCGGCGCTTGATGGCGGTCTTGATGCTGGGGAAGATGCACTCGGTGCTAAAGAGGTAGACACCGCAGTTGATCAGGTTGCTGATGTGGCCCTCGGGCTTCTCGACGTAGTGCAGGACACGCTTGGTGTGGGTGTCGCTGACAATGCATCCAAAGTTTGTGGCGGCTTCGTTGGACACGCGGGTGCCCAGAATGACGGCCTCGGCATCCTTCTCTTCGAACAGACGCAGCATCTCGCCCAGCGGGAAAGAGCAGCAGACATCGGCGTTGAGGACGAAGAAGCGGTCGGGGCGACCCTTGAGGATGGCATCACGGAAGTGGTAAAGACCACCGGCGGTGCCTAGGGCGGTGTACTCGCGCAGGTAGCGGATGGAGATGTGGGGGTATTCGCGGTGGGCATCCTTGATGAAATCGCGAAAGACAGTCTCGTCGTAGTAACCAACGAGGAAAACTTCGGAGATCTCGGGGACTCTGGTGACAGCATCGAAGCAGTGCTGGATGATGGGCTTGCCGGCGACTTCGAAGAGGGGCTGTTTGGCGCAAGCTGGTTAGATCGAGTCGTTGTGGTTGAGGGATTGCATTGATTCACCTTGGGCACATCCAGAGACAGCGGGCGGAATCGAGTACCTCTGCTGGGTCCTCCAACCTGTGGGATCGCATTAGCAGCTGTGAGAGTCTCTGGCCGTAGCTAGACTCACCAAGATGACAGCTTTGGTAGAGGGCACAGGGTTGCGGCTCCTGCTGCGAGAGGGAAGTTGTAGCGACGACATTATGGAGAAGAAAGAGCGTATATTAGAGAGACGTAGAGTAGAAAGAAGAAGAAGAAGAAGAAGAAGCAAAAAGAGACCAGACAATCAAGGTGGACTGGACAGGATGAAATGAAGCACCAGCTGTTCCAATTCCAACATGGCAGCACCCACGCACCCCGCCGCTACACGAATCACCGCCAGGGGCAACGCCTTAGCAAGGGTCCGCCCCTATTCATAGTCTGCCTTTTGGTTTGGAGACTCCCTTCTTTCATCCAACCGTTTGAACCACCGCTCCCCTTTCTTGTCCCTCTGCGTCTGTCCGTCGAGTCCACTGTCCAGAGCCGCGTCGCACAATTCACTGCTGCTGCCACCCTCAGCTGGAGCCTCCTTTGCGCCTGCTCGACTGGCTTTCACCATCATCCAAATATAGATTATTCGTAGCTTCATTGTAGCGCTTCTAGAGGCCACCAAGACCCATCTTGTACCTCTTTTTCTACACTATATTACAGCTTCTCTGGTCTAGTGAGCTCAGAGCTCTCATTGTTTTCATGTTCCAATCTTGTAGCTCCGCCTCTGCAGCATGCTTGACTTCATCACCAACTCATGCCCACACCGCAAGGCATCGCATCATCATAATCAGAGACAGAGCGAGATAACCTGTATCGCACTCCAGCACTCTTATCTGATTCGACGGACTAGACCTGAGGTACCAGGGCAAACATGCACCACTGCAATCAGCGTGACCTCAGGATTGTCGAGGGCTGTGCAGGCTCACGATGTCGGACATCGAAGGCTCGGGCAATTAGTTCCATCTGATACGAGGCTTTTCTTGTCGCCGACCTGCCCCTGAGCACTGCAACCAGACAAGTCAAACAAGCACTACCCCGAGCGTAATAAAGGTAGTCCAGGTAGTGACTTGATTGATTCATGGTCCACAGAGCATGAAGGATATCTAGATATACCAGTCCCTCTCATGTGACTGACACTTTAGCAAGGACTGAATCAACAGAGCCATTTGCTCACGGTGCTCAGATCCAATCACACCATCAATTGCGGTGTCTTGAGACCAGAAGACGACGATCCTAGAGAGAAGCTTTGATCATTCCGCGGCACCACACCGCCAGACGAGTGTCATCTCAGCATTGATGAAGATCAAATGGTGCTGTCTCTCGCTCCACCCATTATGTACAGTCAAGTGTGAACAAGTTTGCGTTCCTTGTCGTCACAGAGCACATGCGAACCGTTTTTCTTTTGTTATTCCTTGGACCAACTCCATCGTGCTGCGCGTCTTGCACACTAGCGTCACCTGCGGTACAACAGATGGTCTGGTTGCTTTTCCGACACCCATTACCTTCTCGCAAGGAGACAACCCTTTCTTCGAGCAAATTGAGACTGGAAAGAAATTCTCGCGCGCTACATCTCGTTCGGTATGTTCTTGTCGTGCTTCTCGCAATATCAGATGGCTAGCTCGATTGGGCTAGCGTCACCAACCGGTCACCATGCTATAGAGTATTCAACATCATCATCTGATCGCGAGCTCACTGGACGTGAGTATGAAGGACGACGACGACTACGTCTCCTGTTGCTGCACTGAGTGTATTCTCAGAAGTAGTAAAGTGCTGTCGATCGACATCGAATTCCTGCGTTACTATCGCACGTGACCATCAGCCTCCAAATCTAGCATCAAGTGCAGCAGCTCTCGCGGAAGAAGGTTGACATGCTCATTGCGTCACACATAGCGATTGATTGGAGTAGAAGGTTTGAAATCAAATAGGTATCATTGCGAAAGTATCTAAACTTCTTCAAACCTCTGCAAGGGCACGTAAGCACCTCTATCAGTATTGCCATCTCCTCTCTTGCTTCTGATCAATCCCACAAGCCCTTGCGCCCAGTCACTCACACCCCGGCTCTGAACCGCAGTGTCGACATCTGCAAACAACTCGCTCTCACCGACTTCCCTGGCAGCAGCCTCTCGAATGTATCTCGGTGGCTGCCATCGTTTCAACAGAAGACTCGACACTACAACCGTGACGCTCGAACATGCCATTGCGGCTCCAGCGGCCATGGGCGGCAGAGAAAGACCCCAAGGTAAGAAGAAGCCCATCGCGATGGGCAAGCCGATGGCGTTGTAAAGACACGCCCAGATTAGGTTCAACTTGATGCGTCGGAAGATGGCGCGGGACAAGGCAAGAGCGGATGCAATGTCGAGCAGATGGTCAGGACGCATGAGAACGACATCTGCGGCCTCGATGGCGACGTCTGTGCCCGAGGCGAGCGAGATGCCAACGTTCGCGGTCGCAAGCGCAGGGGAGTCGTTGACGCCGTCCCCTACCATGGCTACAATAATGCCTTGTGCTTGAAGCTCTTCTACAATCTCGCGCTTGCCGCTGGGAAGTACTCCAGCGTGGACATTGTGCTTGGGGATGTTGAGGAGTTTGGCCACGTAGTGTGCTGTGCTTGCCTGGTCGCCAGTGACGATCGAGCAAGTGACACCCATGCGTTGCAGAGCAGAGATTGCCGCGGGAGCTGAAGGCTTGAGGGTGTCGGATAGAGACAGAGGGCCGGTGTAGAGACCATCGATCGAGGTGTGGATCGTTGTGACTCCTGCGGATTGCTGCTCAGAGGCCGCGTTTGCGTCCTTGCTAGCCTCGTAGTCATTGGTGTCGTCGGCGTCATCTGGGACTGCCACGCCACGAGAGCGCAGGTATGAGGTGTTACCGATCATGACATTGTAGCGCTTGCGTTCGGGGGAGATGGCTGCTTCCACAGAAGCTGAGATACCCTTGCCAACTGTAGAGACAAAATGACCTACACTGCCATCAAGGGTGCCGTCTGACCCAAGACCAAGGTGTGATTTCGCTGCACTTGTGATGGCACGTGCAATAGGATGCTCGCTGCCCATCTCGGCGAGCCCGATTATGGTCCACCAGAGACGAAGCTTAGCTGCATCGGCGGTCCAGCCACCCTGCACATCGGATCGTGATACACTCATCTTGCCCATGGTCAAGGTGCCGGTCTTGTCGAGGACAATGTGAGTGACCTTCGTGGCCGTCTCCAAAGTAGCTCCGCCTTTGATGAGAATACCTTGCTCAGCGCCGACTCCTGTACCGACCATGACAGCTGTGGGAGTTGCAAGACCGAGCGCACAGGGGCAGGCAAAGACAATCACGGCGATACAAAGCTTGACGCAGACCATCAGTGGCCCGCCACTGGTATCCTTAGTGAAGATAGTAGGCGGTGTCTGCAGGACATGGCTCAAGATCATCCACGCCGTGAAGGTAGCCAGTCCGAGTGTGATGATGATAGGGACAAAGTAGCCAGCAACCACATCCGCCATACGTTGGATAGGAGCCCGGCTGGTCTGGGCCTCCTGAACAAGTCTGACGATCTGACTGAGTTGCGTGTCACGACCAGCTCTCGTGACCTGGAAGTCAAGTCTTCCTGCGCCGTTGACAGTACCCGCCATGAGATTCTTTCCCTTGGTCTTCAAGATCGGCATTGCCTCTCCTGTGACCATACTCTCGTTCACGTAGCTATCACCACGGATGACAGTGCCATCGGCTGGGACCTTGTCACCAGGCTTGAGAATGACCACATCGCCAACTTCGAGCAGTTCTGTTGGAACGGTCTTCTCCTCAAGCGCTCCCCTTGGCGAGTTTTTCTCAGGTTTCTCATTGTCATCATCCCATTCGTCGGCGGCCTTTTGCGCTGCGATAGGGTCTGTGTAAATGAGAGCGGTTGATGGTGCCAGACTCATCAAACGAGACAAAGCGGCCGAAGTCTGGCCCTTGGCTCTGTTCTCGAGGAAACGACCGAGCATGATAAAGGTGATAAGCATAGTGCTCGTGTCGAATGTTGTTGCTGGTCTTGAGTGAGGTGATGTGAAGATCGAGACCAGCATAGCGGCGCAACTGAAAAAGAACGCGGCCGATGTTCCTAGCACAACGAGGACGTCCATAGTGGGCGAGCCATGTTTGAGAGATTTGTAGGCAGATCGATAGAACCGCCAACCAATGCCAAATTGGACGGGTATGGTGAGAAGCAGACAGACAACATCTCCGAGCCACAGTCCAGGAATCAAGGGAAGTTTGATGCTTCCATAATCCAGAGGCTTGATGAACATGGGAAAGATCATGCTAGTAAGGAAGACTGGGATGGCGAAACAAAGCGACACTTTCAATGACCTTGACCATTCCTGAATCTCTTTGGTTTTGGCGAGCGACTCCAGTTGGGCATTATTATCGTCATTCTCAGCGGTCAAAGCATTGAGACCTTCGTTCTCGATCGATTCGACAATTGCACGGAGTCCAGTCTGCGTAGGATCATAAGCGACTGAAGCCCTACCAGTTTTGAAGTCAACTTTGACCGCCGTGCTTCCCTTGCGCTTCTTGAGTGTAGATTCAAGAGCAGAAGCTGCTTCGGCGTTCTGGAGACCAAACAGCCTCAGTTCAACAGTGCTACTCCCTCTTCTAGAACGAGAAGCCCCTTCTTCCCGCGAAGTCAGGACCTTTGCGTCAAATCCACAGTCTTCAATAATCTCAACAATCTTTTCCGGAGAGAGTTTGGTAAGATCGTGCAAAACAACGGCTCTCTCGGCGAGCAGACTGATATCGAATTTCAGAAGGCCAGGAACGTCGTTGAATCCGCTTGTCACCGCAGAAGTACACGCACCACATGTCATGCCTTCGATTGCGATGATGGTGGTGAACAAGACATCGTTCTTCCTGCTCTGTCTCCTGGCCGAAGAGAGCATTTTTGTTCGTGGAGGGTCCGAAGGCTTTGATTCGACGATCGAGGCATCAAAGCCGGTGTCCTCGATGGTCTCGGCGATGGTGTCGGCAGTGATGAGTTTGGAATCGTGCTCAACGACGGCTCTTTCGGACAGCAGAGAAATGTTGAAGCTCTTGATTCCAGCAAGATTTTTGAAAGCGCCCTCGACAGCAGAAGTGCATGCGCCGCATGTCATACCGCCTACACTGAGAGTGGTGGTCATCAGGGCAGAAGAGGCGGATGTGATGCCGAGGCCCATCATGTCTTGATCCGACTCTTCTTCAACGATATCGTCCAGTGATGAGGCGGGCAAATCGGTGTTCAGGACGGTAGCGTCGAAGCCTCGATCGTCGATAAGTTCGCGAACTTGGTCGGCAGAAATTACGGAAGCATCATGCATGACAACAGCGCGCTCCATGACCAGACTGACAGAGACGCTGCCAACACCACCGACATGGGTGAAAGCGGACTCGACAGCGGATGTGCAGGCGCCGCATGTCATGCCCTCGACTTTGAGGGTAGTGGTGGCCAGGTGTTGGGGCTGCGACGAGGGTTGTGGAGGGGTTCGAGGACCCATGTTGTTGTTCCAGTTGGCGAACTGGGTTTGTGGAGAGGCTCGTGGTGAGGGGCCTTCGGATGCGGTGGATGGCGAGCCATGCAGGGCCGTCTTTGGCGGTGAACCAGTGGGAGAGATGATCGAGGTGCTGTCGCGACGGCCGTCTCTTTGTGAGACTTGGAGGTATTTTGGCGCCATGATTGATGTTTGCGAGACAAAGGAAGCGCAACAAAGGAAAGGCGTCGACAGTCGGCACGGCCGGTTAAGAATATGTAGCCTCGACCAGCAGGATGTATAGGATGTGTGGCCTTGTCCAGCAGGATACCAGAGTCTTGTACAGAGGGCTGGCCAGACTCAGCTGACTGCGACGGGCTTCGGAGAGGTACGGTAACACACCAACAAGGGCCTGCCGTGTGGCGCGATATGCAGATGGTGAGCGTCAGCTTTCAGCCAGCAGGCCTACTTGGATACCTCTGGCAAAAAGAATAGCAGTCGAACAAAAAGGCAAACACGATCGCTACAAAACAGGGGCCATGGTCGTTGTTGTAACCAACAAGACACACGACGCAAATTGCATGGCTTGATGGCCGTTTCGTCCGAATGCAGACGACTCCTGCATCTCGAGAGTCTACGGGCGAACCACGACCCTTCGGCTGTCGGACTTCGGACCGGCTTTCTATATCGCTCTAATGCATCCTTCAATAATATCACACACATGCCCACAAGTTCCACTTTCAGATACGTGTCGCCCAAGAACAGCCGTCAACCTCAATTTATAACCTCACATCACTCCCCTTGTTCCGACAAGACTCACCTTTGCCGACTCTTTGCTCCACCATGCTCCCGTGAGCGCCTGTCTCCCGACTCCCTTGACAGTAGACTCTTCTAGTGCCTGTCTCTGGGGAGCCGCAACGGCAACAACTCCATTGGCTTTTACGACAAGTCAACCGACTGATCTTGCTTCTGTCTCCACTCACGTCCACTCTATCTTGTTGCTTTCTCCCAGCTATTGCTTCTTCACCTTGTGACTACTGTCACCAGCTACGTCGTCCGTGCCGAGGCCAACACTCGACGCCATCGACTCCATATGTGGCTTATGCAGCTGCATTTCTTGTGCAAAATCGAGGCCCAAAATCCCGACCCTTCATCCAGTAGCGTTTGACTCTTTTTCTTGCAAAACTCAATCCTCCAGCTTGCTACAGTACTTGCACTGAGCCGCGACTTGGAACTTGGTTCTGCCAATCTCCGCCTCGATCTTCTCATGAGCCTCAGATCGTGGCTAGGGCATTCCAGCCACATCCGATTGTCTCAACTCTGCATTTCGTCACTCCCTCCACTAAGGAACCTTTTTGCGCCGATCTCAACGTGCTACCAGCCTCAAACGTGCCCTTTCCCACGCATCCGCCCAGAACATTCGTTCTTTTGGCAAGTCTAAGAGACTCGTGATGACAGAAGCGGCAGCTCTGAGCAATCCCTCTCCTAACTCTATCCCGTGTCATGTCTCCTTCTCGAGATCGACGTCAGATCCCGTTGCTTAATCTCACATGTTAGCGGCTCTGATTGCGTATCGTCAAGCCTCAGCTGTTCCTTCTCGTACACTGTCTGTTCTGGGTTTGTCGAGGGCTGAAGTCTATGCCTACAAGACGATGACGATGATGAAGCTTGTTCCAATGCCTTCTCCATATCTTCCCCCTCGTGTCTCATCACCTTCTGTCGTTCCCATTCTTCATACTCCCATCTCTAGCCCAATATGAACATCAATCAACCTCTCGGTGGGCGAGGCCTGGCCATCCCTTTCACAAAGGCCGCCAACCCCAATGCCGATCTCGACGATGGAGACCTTCGTCTGCCCTTCATCCATCGTATCCCGGATAACATCAGGTAAAGATCATACTCTTGGAATAGGCTAGGTCTAAACCACTAACATCGATGTCAGAAACCATTTCATCGCCATGTGTGGTGAATTCGTTGGAACTGTGCTCTTCCTCTACTTTGCCCTGTCTGGTGCTCAAGTAGCCAACAGTGTCAACACTTCCAGCGGCCAATCTATTGCCGAGACTGGTAGCAACCCCCAACAGCTGCAGTACATTGCTCTGAGTTTCGGGTTTTCATTGGCTGTCAATGCCTGGGTCTTCTTCCGCATCAGTGGTGGACTCTTCAACCCTGCTGTTACCTTTGGCATGTGTCTCATTGGTGCACTCCCCTGGGTTCGTGGTGGCCTGCTGTTCGTCACCCAGATCCTCGGTGGCATGACTGCCGCTGCTCTGGTATCCTGCATGTTCCCTGGCGAACTCAACGTCCGTACCACCCTTGGCGGAGGCACTACCGTTGTACAGGGTCTCTTCATTGAGATGTTCCTGACTGCACAGCTTGTCTTTACCATCTTCATGTTGGCCGCTGAAAAGCACAAGGGTACATTCATTGCGCCTGTCGGTATCGGTCTCTCGCTTTTCATTGCCGAGCTTACTGGAGTCTTCTTCACGGGTGGCAGTCTTAACCCTGCTAGATCCTTCGGACCTGCTGTCGTCAACCGCGAGTTTTCACACTATCACTGGATCTACTGGGTGGGCCCTGTGTTGGGATCAATCGTCGCAGCTGGATTCTACAAGTTCATCAAGATCCTGGAATACGAGACTGTAAGTTTTTTCTTTGTGCTCATTCTGATCGAGCCTTTCTGACACAACTCTGCAGGCAAACCCTGGACAAGATATGGACCATGCTGCCAAGGTCGAGAAGAGAAAGAACCTGCTCATGGCCGCTGGTATCAACGAAGTCGACGCCCATCACGTCGCAAACGAACTCCAGACCAACCAGATAGTCACCGAAAAGGGTGGACCAGACGGCGCAGTTGTGGCCAATGGTCAAGGCCGTCGTGGCTCTGGAGAAGACACTGCCATGTATGGTACCGGATTCCGATCTAACTCGCATCAACACACTGGCTCTACCAGCTCAGGAGATACAGCTGTTGTTCGAAGACCCCAAGCTGTCACCACCGGAAGCCAGCTCGGTCGTTTCAGTTACCTTGGCCGTGCTGGCGTTCAGCAACCAAGGATGAACAGCATCGCCAACGAGGCGAGATTGGACAGCCCTGCCATGGCGACAAACGAAGAACTTTACGCTCCTCTTGCTGCTGGTGGCGATGAACCGCTTGGTGGTTTGGTTGCGGACCACGACCCCAGATACCGCTACTCTAGAACCATCAGCAGTGGTGTCTAGGTGAGAGTAGTCTCTACTCACGAATTGTACGAGAGATGCTGGTTTCACTTTTTATTCTTTGTAATGTAGTTGACGATATCAAAATCATGTTATGACCATGGAGCTCTATCTGATCCGATTTACCTCACTAAGAATTCGGCGATTGAAGTGCATCAAACGTGCGCCATGGTTGACAGCGAAACCTTAGAAAAGGTAAAGGCTGATAGCATCTTCGTCCACAAGCTGTGATTCGTCCAAGGCTGCGCGATGTCTGGTGATTACTAAATACATACTAGTCATATGGTTAGCTCTTGCTCATCGAGGCTCGGCATGGTCGATTCGATAGACCCCGAGTCGCAAGAGCATATCAAGCCAATATGAGCACCGGCCAACCTTTTCTGCGCATAACTTTTGTAGTGCCTACACGTCTGACTGGGGCTCGTGGATTGCCTGTCCGCAAGTCTCATCTTTCCCAAATACCAAGAATAGTCTCGTCACTTATAGAGACGCGATGGTATCGCGGGTGTTCTGGATGTCCTTGGGGCCGGTGCGGCAGCACCCTCCAATCACTCTCGCGCCCTTGGAGAACCATTCTCGAACCAGCTCAGCATGCTCCTTGCCCTCCACGCGTGGACCATTCCACATCCGGGCTTCGGCGTTCCATGTCTCGCCAGAGTTCGGGTACACAATCAGAGGCTTGTCGGTCAGAGGCTTAAGATAATCCAATGCTGCGGCTACATTCTGCTCGGGAATACAGTTGACGCCGACAGAGACCATTTGTTTACAAGCATTGACCAGCTTGACTACCTCAGCCATTGACGAGCCGTCACTCAGGAGAGATGCGTCCGACTCCCTCAGTGTGACACCCAGCCAGGCGGGTGTGTTTGGGAAGTCGGTCTCGAGCAGTTTGATCAGAGCCTTAATTTCCGGCAGGGATGGAATAGTCTCCAAAGCCAGAATGTCTACATTGGCTGCCACCAGAGCTTCAATGCGAGGTCGGTGGAAGTCTTTGAACTCGTCATCTGACAGGTGGTAGTCGCCTCTGTATTCACTTCCATTGGCGAGGAAAGCACCGTAAGGCCCGACACTTCCTGCAATCAGAAGCTTCCTTGGCTGAGCGGAGGGTTTCTTCTGGTGCTCCTCCTGGAGGACAGTGTCACGAGCTTGTTGAGCAAGCTCTACGCTTTGACGTATGAGTTTCTGAGACTGCTCAAGGCTCATGCCTAGGTGTTGAGATAGACCAAGAGGGGTTGCTTGGTAGCTTGCAGTGATGGCAACATCAGCACCAGCTTGGAAGTACTCAAGATGTACGCCGTAGATAGCCTCGGGTGTCTCTTCCAGAGCTTTAGCAGACCACAACTTTGAGCTAAGATCAAGTCCACGAGCTTCCAGCTCTGTGGCCATGGCCCCGTCGAGAATCAAGGCAGGCGCATCCTTGAGTGACTGTGCTACTGGATCCATGAAAGTAGACATGTCGAGTACAATTAATGGGCTCTCTAACGGAAACAAGATGCCGCGGTCGATGTGTAGAGTAATCTAGGCCAAGCTGTCGGATATGAGATGCCGTATAGTTGATGTGTAGAGCAATGTCAGACGAGAGAGAGGCTCTGGAAGCATTTTCGAAAGATTCGCATGTCTGTCCAGAGATGGCGATTCTAAGCGAGTGCGAAACTCAAACAGCCGATGGAAACAACATGTTTACTTAACGCACATCGACAACGAGTCTAACATGGAGATTATGGATTTCCTCTTGTCGCGATAATGGCAGGGATGCTCGGTACTGCAATTCTTAGTTGTATACAGATCGTGTACGGCTATAAGAGTCAAAGCAGGCCAGGTAGCCGCTCGACAAGCTCGGTACGACTTTGCAAAAAGACCGAGGCACTGAAGGCTTATCGATAATCGCTCAGAGCAAGACCCTGAGAAGAACAAGATTCGCCTTCTCTTCGTTTCGAATGATTGACATGACACAAACCAGTCAAAGATGACAAAGCAGTCGAATCACAATGCGAGGTCAAGCGAGCTCCTCTCGGTGAGATCGAGGGACCCATTCGGAGAGGATGGAGCCCCTCACGGCGCCTTGGTAAGCCTGACGGTGCCTGGGTATTTTGCTTTATAAGCTCCTCCGTGGCCTTGCCTGCGCTTTCGTCATGTTGATCGAGTTGCTCCCCTCTTATTAAGAAGTTTTCCCCTCGTCTTCTTTCCCTCTATCTCCCTCTTCCGCTAGACTTCCATCCTTTCACACCTCACACATATACACAATGGTTCAGAACAAGGCTTTGATCTTCAAGAAGGTCCCCCAGGGCCTCCCCGTGCCTGGCGAGCACCTGACCATCGAGTCGACCGATTTTGATGTCGAGCAGGCACCTCCTCAGGGCGGCTTCACCGTCAAGAACCACTACATCAGCTTCGACCCATACCAGCGCGGCCGCATGCGCGATGCCAGCACCAAGTCCTACTCCCCTCCCTTTGCTCTCGATAAGCCCATCACCAACTCCGGTATCTCGACCGTCCTCAAGTCGGACAACGACAAGTTCAAGGCCGGCGATGTCGTCGTCATGATGCAGGACACTGCCGAGTACAGCGCCGTCTCCAAGGACCAGGCTGCCTCTGCCCGCAAGCTCGAGAACCCTTACAACCTCGACCCCAAGCTCTTCGTCGGTGCCCTCGGCATGCCCGGTCTTACCGCCTACTCAAGCTTCTACGCCATTGGTGAGCCTAAGAAGGGTGAGACCATCTTCATCAGCGCTGCCTCTGGCGCCGTCGGTCAGCTCGTTGGACAGCTCGCCAAGCACGAGGGCCTGAAGGTCATCGGTTCCGTCGGTGACGACAAGAAGAAGGACTACATCACCAACGACCTCGGCTTCGACGGTGCCTTCAACTACAAGAACGAGAAGCCTGCCGATGCCCTCGCCAGACTCGCCCCCAATGGTGTCGACATCTACTACGAGAACGTTGGCGGTGAGCACCTCGAGGCCGCAATTAACGCCATGAACAACTTCGGTCGCATCATCTGCTGCGGCATGATCTCGCAATACAACACCGCTCCCGGCGAGCAGTACCCTATCCGCAACCTCATGCAGATCGTCGCAAAGCGCCTGAAGGTCCAGGGCTTCATCGTTGGTGATGAAGGCATGGGCCCCAAGTACTTCGTCGACCACCAGAAGAACGTCCAGAAGTGGATCCACGAGGGCACCTACAAGCCCCAGTTCAGTGTCACCGAGGGCATTGACAATGCTGCCGAGGGCCTTCTTGGCCTGTTCTCGGGCAAGAACTTTGGCAAGGCCGTCTTGGAGATCTCCAAGCTCCAGTAGATGTGCCACTAAAAAGATATGAGACACGACCCATAAACAAAATACAAATCATTTACCTTTTACCTTCTACCTTTACGTCTGAGGCCACCACTCTTCGTCTTTCTTGCGTGACCATCAGGTGTAATTGTAAACAAATCCTTCATGAATTGCTGGTGTGTACACTGTCACCATGGTTAGACCACAGCCTTCTTCTAGTCGTGAAATCGTGCCTTGTTCTTGGCTACGAGGCAGAGACACGCGATACGAGTGTGAGAAACAAAACACTTTGCTGATGTGATGCGCAGGGAGTTACGTAGAGGTGGGTAGGGACAGCGCGCACTCTCCTCGTTCGCAAGATTATGCAATGCGTGTGGCTGTGAAAGTGCACAGCAGTCTCAAAAACAGAGTCGTTTCTATAGCAAAGCACTACTTTGTCGAAGTTTGCTCTATCCCTTCGTAGGAGGAGTGTGGGAGTTAGATCTAGCATTTGTGGATGCTATTCAAGCCGAACGGCAGGCATAGTGGACGACCTTGAAACAAAAGTGTATTGGAATGAGTATAAAGCTTGAGGAATCAGCTGGTAAACTGTTGATATGCTGGCAATAAGTAGTAAAGCAAAAACGCCTCTGGTTCATGAGTCCATCCCTTGATCTGGAATCTATCCATGTTCTCTGATGATTAGAATACTCTCATTCTGCTGCATCTAATCATGTTGATCTTCGTCGGATCTGCGCCATCCAGCTCTTACGACCAAGTGGGCCATCGAGCTGCCTGAAGACAGGTCTCGTAGACTATTCGATGCTCAGACGTTGCATGCTCTTGCCGAGGTTGTCTCCTTCTTTGGATCCGTTGGTGACCTTGTGAATGACAACTGCAGCTCCCTCCTTGTACCAAGAATATTTCTTGCAGTCCTGAGCTGAGGGGCGTTTCGAGGGGTCGTGTGTCAACATGGCTTTGACGAGAGGAACAGCCTTTGTAGGTATATTGTATAGTGAGGGAGACTCATCGCTGCCAACAGCATTGTTGTGGATCTGTGCGAGAACAACGCCGAGCGAGTAGATGTCTGCTTTGCTTTCGTAGCCGCGAGGGTGTTTGGCTCCAAGCCTCTTTGCGGTCTCGGGAGCTCTGTAGGGTGCATAGGCTCGTCCCGACATGGGCTCAGAGACAATTCTCAAGGCTGGGTCTTCCTCACCATCGTCGACGGTTTTTGAGATGCCAAAATCTGCGAGCTTGAAGAGGTAGCATGGCTTCTGTACTGTGCCGGAGAGAAAGACCAAGATGTTGTCGGGCTTGAGATCTCTGTGAACGATTGCTGGGTCCTGGGAGTGGATGCAATGAAGTGCTTCAGTCATCTCGTAGGCCACGCGCTGCGATAGTGCTGCATGATGCTCCTTGGAAAGACGATAGTAGACGTTCAGAAGACTGCCTTCGGTAGCACACTCCATGATCAGGGCTCCATATTTATCGAAAGATGCAACGTCCACAAGCTCCATGATGTGCAGGTGATGTCCAACTTGCATGAGTCTTGTGGCCTCTTCGCGAAAGATCATCTCATTGGGCCTTTTGTGGTGGGATCCAGTCAAGGGAATAACCTTCATGGCGAAGATCTTGGAATCCTTGGCTCGTTTGACCTCGAACACACTGCCGAAGCTACCCTTGCCGATGTACTTGTTGACCTTGTACTTGAGCTTGACATCGTTGAATGACTCAATGGTCGTGCCTTTCGAAAGCTTGTTTCTGAGATCCATCGCTGATAGTGCGCGATGATACTGTCTGGAAGAGCGGAGGTGCTGCTCTGTAGATGGAAAAGACTGTGTGCTTGAGCAAAAGCATAGTGCCGTTTTTGTAGAAAAAGATCCTGACGATGGAATTTTCCAGATCTTCGCACGTCTGAGACGCTCAAGCATTGCAACGAACGTGATGATGTGGGCAGCTCGTTTTGAGACAAGACATGCATGTCTGCATCTACTTGAGAACATAGGGCCAAACGAGTTGCTCCAGCTTTTGGAACAAGAAGTGAATTCCATAACCAGAAGACAACATCGAGGCGAGCGAAAGGAGTTTCAGGCATTGGCAAGACAGAGAGGATTTGTTAGCGCGAGACGCAGAATCCGTGAAGACATTGCAAACATGATGTCCCAAGTGGCCACAACCGCTGCAGAAGTCTGAGTGTCGCATGCTTCCCTCTTGGTCTAGTTTTATTGCTGGAGGTCGCTTAGCAAAAGTTCCGGTACTAAAGTGTTGTTTGTTGTCAAATTCCAAAAGTGTGTTAGTACCGTACGTATACTACTGCCGATTGTTAGACATGCGAAACCATCACGCATCTCACCATGTGTGAAGCAACAGAGGACTATGTTCGAGGTCGGGTCCGTGAACTTGACAATTCAAGGTCATCCTATGGCCTGCATGCGAAGATTGCCGGTCCTCAAGCTGAATCATGCCTGAGTAACGGATCGTAAATCACAACATACGCCAGCCAAGATTTTGACCTTGAACGATCTTTCGTTCTTGGTCGCTCTCTTTATACGAATTGTAGAGAGATGCACATACAGGATCAACGACGGCGAACCTCGGTCGACAAATGATGTTGAGGGAAATAGCGCAAACGCTTGGCGCCAGCCTGTCATGCGCCTCCGCCTGCAACGGTCCAACACGTTCATCACTTCCCCAACATTCGATTACTGATCTTCTTCCTCTTTTTTTACCATATCCAAAACTTAATTGATCAATTGCAGCAGCGGTCTTTTGTGTCATCGCTACAGTTGAGATTCCCGACTGCAAAACGTGTAAATCGGTTTGAACAGCACGAGCGACTCGGACTTGACAGGACCTCTATCGCCGCTTCGAGGCTTCAAGCAAAGCCCTGAACCAAAATATTCGAGTCGCCCGAATCGGCTGACGAGAATACGGCGCGAACATGCCAGCGAGTCGGATTGATTCACCTCCACTTGAGAAGAAGAACAAGTTGAAGCGATCGAGAAACGAGTCTGACTTGAATAATGACGAGAGCAAGAAAAGAGGAAGACCTCGATTAGATACACAGGACGAATCGAACGCTGATGTAAGTCACGTTAGTCTTCTTTTGTTTACTTGAGGAAAATAACAATATGAACCCGAAAACCAAGAAAGAGAAGATAAGAAAACGCAAACGAACACGAAGATTCGCGCCAAGTGATTGTAACGCCGTTGACACAATATCACCACCTCTCATACCAGCGATATGCTGACTTTGACAGAAACGAAGGTCGCAGATCCGTCTGGCTCAAAGGGCCTACCGACAGCGAAAGGAGGATACCATTACTGAACTCCGTAATCAAGTTGCAGAACTGCAGTCTACCATTCAGTCGATGAACCAAACTTTCATCAACTTTTCCGAGAAATGCTCTGCAACCAATGCCCCACCTCCTATGTTGGCAGAACTACAAAATCTCGTTCAGAAGTACTCTGCTGGTCAGAGCCGAATTGACTCGCTGAGTTTGAGTGGATCTCCGGAGACTGGTCCTTTCGGGATTGAATCTACTGCAGGTTCGAGCTTCTGTGACAAGGATGGTACGGACGCAAGCAGCATCTCGCCTCGCACTGCAGTCAAGCAGACCACATTCAGCCCGCTCACTACTCCCGTCGGCATAACGGACCGCTCGGAGCACACTTCAAACAACCAAGTCTCAGTATCCATGCTACAGTCGCTTGGAATTCCAGCTAGCTACAGCTCTTTTGAAAGGACGTTTGCTAGGAGGCTTCATCGAGCGAGCTGTGAATATGCCTATCGACTTGCTTGCGACCCCCCTCGAGCTCCCATGCTCTTCAACAGCGTGTTCAGATTGACCCTCAAAGCTGCTGGCAGCATCGATCGAGTCAAGTACAGTCTGCAGTCAACTTTGAGTCGAAGTACAAAAGAGCCGCTATCCAACTGGGGCGTCACTTATATTCACGTCGGCGGTGCAGGCACCCATTACCCCAGACCGCCCGAAGAAGGTGGTCTCAGTTACCAGTCGCCAAACTCGTGGGCTGTGACCACCGTCGGTCCGCATAAGATTGGTGGATCTACTATTGAAGAGGCTCTGACGGCAGAGATGTTGCTGCGTGGAGTCATGGGCATGGATGGCTCTTTTTACGATGCATATGACGTCGAAGGTTACTTGGCTGAGAGAGGCATAAATCTGGATCCTGCTGCAACATACGCCCAGATCGAGTTGCCTGACGATGGCTCCTTCAGTCCGGGATCTTCTGGGGCATCATCCCCTACGGACGTGGCTGCGTACGTGCAAAATCTGATATCTTCAGCACCCGTCACTCGTCCAAACCACTCTCTATGTTATCCTGGTCTTCCAAATCCAGGATACATGCGTCCACTTTCGGACATGGTTCCTCACAGGAGGTCCCATCCTGAGTCACAGCCGCAGTTTGTGCCGCAGATTGATGAGCGAAGATCAACGGCTCCCCTTGTCGGCCAGCCGTATGGAACTATGCCTATGACTGATAGCATGTACGCCTATGTCTTGCAGCCAGTCAAAAAGGCTCGCCTCACTATCGACGTTGGAAGATTTATCGAGGGTAAGCACAACCACATAACCATGTTCTTCTATTGTGCTAGGCTTTCCATGCTAACGGAAGACATAGAAATGACTCTGGCAGGTACATGTTTGATGCGAGCACCAGGGTACCGCCGCAAGGACATCGATGTTGCCTTGCGAAAAGCAGTAGTATCAGCGCATTAACTGCAAGATGATTAAGATATAGCTCTGGACTGAACAAGGAAGCAGATTTGCTTGTAGTTAGTCACAAACACACATGCGAGTCAACCCACCACCATGTATCCAGCTTAAAACAAGAGGGCGTGAGAGGAGAGGGATCGTCGTGTAAGAACGGAAATGGGAAGATCATTGCGGGGTATCGGAAGCAACAGCTGCAACCCCTCATTCAGCACCACATTACCACATATAATAGGCAAAGGTGAGCTCGACTGTAACTTCTCAATTGTTCTTCTATTTCAGCTCCGTAAAAGATTGCCCGAGCACTACAGACTACACTCGTCAAGAACAAGCTCTTCATCACGACACAATGTCTTCGTCCTCGGGAACATCACTCGGAGGAGCATCACTCGGAGGAGCATCACTCGGAGGAGCATCACTCGGACGCCTCAAGGGAAAGGTCGCCATCGTCACCGGAGGAGCCAGTCCCTTGGGCTTTGGCTTTGCGATTGCCCAGCGCTTCATGCAAGAAGGTGCAAAGGTCATCATCGGAGATCTGGATGGCTCTGGCGCCGAGAGCGTGGCTCTCTCCTTCTCGTCTCCGGATGTCAAAGGTGTGACCATGGACGTCTGCAAGCAAGAAGACTGGGAAAAAGTCGTCGGAACGGCGATCAAAGATTTTGGTCGGCTGGACATTGTTGTGAACAATGCTGGAGTGACGTACAGGAACAAGCCCACTGCAGAGGTTACAGAAGAGGAATTTGAGAGGGTCATGAGCGTCAACGTCAAGAGTATCTTTTGGAGTGTAAAGACGGTAATTCCGCGGATGCAGAAGCAAGGAAAGGGTGGCAGTATCATCAACATCTCGAGCAGTGGCAGTGTACGCCCTCGACCTGGATTGGTGTGGTACAATGCCAGCAAAGGGGCGGTATCGAATGTAAGCATTGTCAATCAGCCACCATGGTGAGGTAGCTGACATTTCAACAGGCGACTATGGCGTTGGCTGCAGAGTACGGACCAGACCAGATAAGAGTCAACGCGATTGCTCCGCTATTATCTGCAACAGGTCTATTCGAGTCGTTTGTGGGAGTCAAGGACACGCAGGAAAACAGAGACAAGTTCGCAGCGTCGATTCCACTGGGCAGATTAACAGTCCCAGTGGATGTGGGCAATGCCTGTGTGTTCCTGGCGTCGGACGAGGGCAAGTTTGTGACGGGCACCAACTTTAGTGTAGATGGAGGCAGGCACATTTGAGGCGTTGCCTGTATGTAGTTCAAAAGATCAAGCGGCCAAGGCCTTCTCAACCAACTCTTGACATCTTTGAGACATGTGCAGCTCGAGAGCCATCTTGTGGCCCTCAGGACTCATCTTGACCCAGGTCTTTTGCAAAATCTTGATGATCTTATCTTCGTCGAGTGTCTTCTCGAAAGCCTCAAACTGGTCATCAAGGAAGACGAGACAGGCAATGTCCTCGAGGACCTGAGTGTCCTTGTCTCCCTCGCGCAAGCCTTGCTTCTCGATCATAGCCTTTGTCTTTTGGATATCGTCGGCGTTGAAGCCACACTCCTCCATGATGGGAGCAACCAGTTGAGCCTGTCTCTTCTTGAGAAAAGTTCTCCAGCTATGGTAGCCGATGCGCGTCATGGGATACGAGTCTCGAGGAATCTCCCAGCGGCGGAAATGCTGTGCACGAATGGCGAGCTTGAGAGGATCCGAGGCATCGGGTGCGCGTTGCTCGAGATAGCGCGTCATCTGGCGGGCATAGTGAAGCTCGTACGGCACTTCGTGTCCGTCAATCGTGACCTTCTTAGGGTCTTGAGCGTGAGCCTCGTCGATGAGCTGAAGCGCTTTCTCTAGTTGAGGTGCCATTGTTCGGTTTGTTTGGTCCCGCTTGCGAGCATGTATCATCACCAAGACGCGAAACAAAGCAAGCAAGCACTCGGCCGCGAAGTCGGAAGAACGCTTGCTGACCACTCGGCCTAAACCGTAACGGGTTATTCGATGCGGCTTGGCATATTGCATTCGCATCCAATAATGACGTCTATTCCTCTGTCCCGCCACCTCATATTCATGACATCTCTCTGGAAAGGTCATGTTGTATATCGTACGACCAGGACACCGGTCTAGGTAGCGCGACCAGGGCATGTGTAGAGGTCAATGGTCCAGTAGCCGTCTCACCGACCATGCCTCAACCACCTTTGAATCGTGGGAACCACGAGGCCAAGGTAATTAGAAACCGTTGTTCCGGCTCTTGTCTAGCTTTCCCTTCTCCTTTTACATAATGATGTCAAAAACGCCTACTCTTTGCCGCATTCAACTTCTTGTTCAGATTGTCAGAGCCTCATCTTTTATACAACCCGTCTTATGACCTCTTCGCTTTCAGGCCCGCCTTACCAAGCATTCTCACGACCTGTGTTTCTGAAATACTTCCAAGGCCCGCCTTCTTGTCCAGGAGCTTATTTCCACTCTTCTGTTGCTCCCAAGTCTAGTGTCGCTTGGTTCCTTCTGAAAAGACCGCTGCTTTGCTTTCCTTCTTGACATCCACCACATGATATGCTAGAGTCTGTACAAGCTGCTCACGACCAGCCTTCATGGAATGGCAGTAGCTCAGAGACGCTAGAAGCAAATAGGGTCGATGAACAGCAACGTATAGAAAGAGAAAAGTCACATACCAGTCAGAATATCGACCCAGATGTGGTAATTGTTGATTGGGATGGGCCGAACGACCCAGAAAATCCGTATGTTGGCGTGCCATCTCGCACAAAATCAAAGCTGATGGAATTGTGCAAAGGTTCAACTGGCCAGTCCGAAAGAAATGGATTCTTACATCAGTGGCTCTGTTTGGGACATTCATCGCCCTTATAAACGGAACGTCCATGGCTGTCGCCGCTGAAGCCTACAATCGCGATTTTGGCATTAGCGATGCGCAATTTCCGAACTCATACTGGCCTATCGCGAGCTGGGCTCTGGGTGGCGGCATTTTCATGATGGTCCTCTTACCCATCCTCGAGGACTTCGGAGTCAGGTGGGGTTACCTGATAAGTTACATTGTCCTGATCATCTTCATTGTGCCCTCAGCTGTGGCTCAAAACTTCGAAACGTTGGTCATAACACGTTTCATCGCTGGCGGATGCGTCTCACTACTAGGAAACACAATCAGTAGCATTATCTGCGACATCTGGGCTGGCGATCGTGGCAGAACAGTACCCATGGAACTATACATTACCGTCTATCTCTTTGGCAGCACCATGGGTCCCGTCATCGGTGGTGCCATTTACCAGTTTCTCAACTGGCGTTGGATATTCTACATTCAGATCATCTGGTATTGCGCTTTGATTCCGCTCTTCTTCTTCACCATCAAGGAAACCCGCGGTTCTGTCATCCTCAAGCAGCGTGCGAAGAAGATTCGTGCGACGACTGGAAAGAAGGCATATACACGCGATGAATTGAACCACATCCCGATCTGGCAGATCGTGAAGACCTCAGTCCAGAGACCAGCATATATGCTTTGCACAGAGTGGGTGGTGTTCTCGCTCACTTTATGGTCAGCCTTCGCTGTCGGTCTCGTCTATCTCTTTACTCAGAGCATTGAGCAGGTCTTTGCAGGCCTATACGGATGGCCAGCCTACAGTACCGGATACGTTCAGGCCGCCGTCGGTATTGGAGAGTTGCTAGGATTTTTTGTCTCATATGCCAACATACACTTCTACGTGCGATCTGCCAAGTCGAATCCCATCGATCCCGGCACACCCGTTCCGGAAGCTAGACTCTACATGTCTCCGGTAGGAGGCTTTTTCGGCATGACGGGAGGTATGTTCATCTACGCGTGGACGTCTTACCCGCACATACCCTGGATCGCTCCAGCAATTGGGCTAGGAATGGTAGGCTTTGGTATCAATATCGTCTGCGCGTCGATTGCACAATATCTGATGGACGCTTACTCCAAGTATGCTGGCTCGGCCATCGCAGCGGTAGCATTCGGAGAGAATGTCTTTTCTGCTTTTCTACCGCTGGCTGCGTCAAGCATGTATACCAACCTTGGTTATCAGTGGGCGAGTTCGGTGTTGGCATTCTTGTCGTTTGCACTGGCTTGCGCGCCTATCATTTTGCTGTGGAAGGGACCGGAGATCAGAGCAAGGAGTCCCTTCATTCAGGAGGCGAGATATGAGCATGATGTCAAGAGTAGTGTGGAAGAGGCTTGAAAGCGGTGATTTAAATATTTATGTTACTCGTAGATACCCACATAGCAAGAAAAGTTTGGTTTTTTATCGAAGATGTTCTACCCAAACTATAGATGGTTCTTCATGCACCAAAGCCTGGCATGGGCTTGCTTCTCATCAGGCACTGTCCAGCTCACATACCTGGCGAGAAATGTCGCTGGTCAAAGACTCAAGACTCCAGAGTAAACATTCGGGTCATGGTGCCAAGATACGACGGTAAGGTATGCATCCGAGGCTCCAACGCCGATCATGTGGGGAACTGAGATCAGCCAATCGGAAGATGCCTGATTCGGAAGAGCTTCGTTAGAATGCATCTTTTGCAGTCGGACATGTCTGCATCAGGACATGCAAACGGGTGAGAGGGAAGGATAGGCAGGTACGGCGGAGGGATTCGGGCGGCGCAGGCTCCCTTCTGCCTTGACCGCGAAGTGCTCTGACCCAAGCAAGGTGTCTGGGTGCCACGACGAGCGCAGAAAGCAACGATCAAGGATGAAACAGTTCGGATCAAAGCAATTCTACCGACCGAAGCCGAGCGTCGTTTAAAGCCTCGAGGACAAGACTCGTGTTGGAGAGGTGTTTAACCTCGAGGGTCGAGTCGTGGAGCCGGATAATTTGAGGACGAGGCCACGAGACTGAGCTGTTTCGACGAGTGTTGTGCACCACGGCGACCGCTATGGGCATCTCCAGGCCAGGACGACAAGCGTAGGCCGGGACCCTGCAGGGCCGGTCACGGGCGGTCTGGTGTATTTATCCCCCCTCATTGAGCGATCAATTACCCCGCCGGTTAGATATGCGCTCCATGGCTCGTGGGAGAAGCATCTTTTTGCGGGTCAAAAAGACACGAGTCTGACGTGAAGGTAGGTATTTCTAACATTTTCCATCTCTCTGTTGCTCCTTCTCTTTCCCCTTCTCTCTCGACATAGTCTCTTTCCTCTCGCTCGCAGCGTCCTAATCCTCGCCTTCGACATCCTTCCACAGCCATCACAATGACTTCAACACAAACAATCGTCAAGCCGACCTTGTCCAACATTGGTGTTTACACCAACCCTGCACATGATCTCTGGGTCGCCGAGGCCGAGCCTTCGCTCGAGCAGGTTCAGAACAAGGAGAAGCTGGCTCCTGGCGAGGTCACAGTTGCAGTCAAGAGCACTGGTATCTGCGGGTAAGTTCAATATTGCCACATGAGACAGACGACGACAGCTAACGACGACAAGGTCGGATGTTCACTTCTGGCACGCCGGCTGCATCGGCCCCATGATTGTTGAAGACGACCACATTCTCGGCCACGAATCGGCAGGCATCGTTGTTGCCGTCCACGACAACGTCAAGTCGCTCAAGGTCGGCGACCGCGTTGCCATCGAGCCCAACATCATCTGCGGCGAGTGCGAGCCTTGCTTGTCTGGTCGCTACAACGGCTGCGACTCTGTCCTCTTCCGCTCCACTCCTCCCGTCCCTGGCCTCCTCCGCCGCTATGTCAACCACCCCGCCATGTGGTGCCACAAGATTGGCGACATGAGCTTCGAGAACGGTTCTCTCCTCGAGCCCCTCAGTGTTGCTCTTGCAGGTGTTCAAAGAGCAGAGGTCAGACTCGGTGACCCCATCCTGGTCTGCGGCGCCGGTCCCATTGGTCTCGTTACTCTCGCTTGCGTCAAGGCCGCCGGCGCCGAGCCCATCATCATCACCGACATCGATGAGGGCCGTCTGAAGTTCGCCAAGGAGTTCTGCCCTTCGGTTCGCACCCACAAGGTCGACTTCAAGCACACTCCTGAAGACTTCGCAAAAGCCATTACCGAGCTCGGTGGTGGTGTCGAGCCCGCCATCGCTCTTGAGTGCACTGGTGTCGAGAGCTCCATCGCAGGTGCCATTCAGACTGTCAAGTTCGGCGGCAAGGTCTTCGTCATCGGTGTCGGCAAGAACGAGATCAAGATTCCCTTCATGCGCCTCAGCACCCGCGAGGTCGATCTCCAGTTCCAATACCGCTACGCCAACACCTGGCCCAGAGCCATCCGTCTGTTGCAAGGAGGTGTCATGAACCTCGAGAGATTGGTCACCCACCGCTTCAAGATTGAGGATGCCCTCGAGGCTTTCAAGACGGCGGCAGACCCCAAGACCGGCGCCATCAAGGTGCAAATCCAGAGTTTCGAGGAGGGCGAGTCGAGGTAGTGGGGTGACAAGAGAACAGTTACACACACAATCATGCATGGCTTGGACGTTTTTCTTTTTCTCTATAAATATAAGATGATAATGAGGATACTTTTTTGATACACTTTCTGACTTCCAATCTTCGATACTCAGTTGATCGACATAGTTTGGACAAGGGCGCGTCGATCTGGTCTGCCTGTGTCCTATTGCTGGTAGTGTCACCCTGTCAGCTCTTTCAGACATTCGAGAACGCACGAAATCTTTGCAAATGTGGTTGAGTGTTGCTGGTGAGAATAACACACCTCCAGATATCGTACGATTCAGTGCAATAGAATGCCAGATAACATCGTCGGCACTTTGTGGCCGAATTTTGGGTGTTACCAGGATTTTGGACTAAGATTCCAGTGTCAGACATCGGTCCTAAAATGGAAGAAGCAGTAAACGTCTTCGCCTCAGCAAACTTCACTTTTGTCCTCTAGTTCTACTTCTCACTACTGTTCTCTATTATTGCTAATTACTACGTATGTTTTTGGTATGTTTCTTCTGCCAAGAAGGATCAAGAGATATGTCAATCGCGAAGCCTTCCGATGCCAACACTGTCGTGCAACGATTGGAGCGTCCCGTTCGCAATGTAACACCGTTACCTATTTCAGAAAGCATTCCATACATCATTGGTACCCTAGCAATAGATTCGTACGTATAGGGTAGTCAGTATTCATCAGTGAAGGGTTTTGTCTCTGCTCAGTAGTTGTTGGTTTGTCTTTTGGTCGTGTTGGGATGTCGACTATCAATTTGCCGATTGGACCTTCTGTAGTTGAATGAGAATTCGATCTGACCATTGTATCAGACAGACAGAAATGATTGACGAGACCGTAGCAGAGTACGTGCAGTCTAGTTCGAACGAGGACGTTTGAGGCATTCGCGCAGAACGAAGAAGGAATCCAGCAAGTCGAGATCGCTATCGCTCTCGGCGCGAATCTGAAACCTCGAACGTGAAGAATAATCCAGTCCAATCATGTCATGTTGGATGTTGAAAGTGAGCATTGAAGGTTGGTGGAGGGTGATAGGGTAATAGATTCCATGTGACCCTGAGCTGATCTCAAGATTGGGCGCTTCGGCAGATGTGACTAGAGGGGAGCTTCGGATAGAACAGCGCCTATGATGACACGGCAGGATCATGTAACAGGAACGTCCGGAAGGAACACTGCTGATAACAACACCTTGATCATGTGGATACATGTGCATAGGAAGTTGGTATGTACCGGAAGCACCACAGGCGTCTGCTGACGCAAGGCTGAAAGCCTCTCCTGACCACACATCATCCTCCCCATCGTCTCCCCCTCAGAAGCCGATCCTTGCTTGCGACAGAAGCGAGAGACGTACATCTCGAACAAAGAAAAAACCAAGAAAGAACACATCAGAAGATGTACGCGAGTAACGCCACAGAAAACATCAAAACCAAGTGTGCGAGAAACGCCGCAAGACAGACAGCATGACACACCATCAAAGGGGACCTCCAGTGTGCCTCGAGTTGTGACACGATCAATCATGTTTACGAGGGTCTTGCGTTCACAGCTTGATTGCATCTACGATGTATAATCGCTTTTGCACTCCAAGCCAACGCTGTAACCGCAATGCAGTGTTGACATGTACCCGGGCAACGACGGTTTCACCACCCCCGAAGCCGTCGTTGCCTGTACATATCGGAATGCTGCCTATCGAGTACGGAATCTTTGCTTGATCGTAATTCTGGTTTCCTACATGAAGTGGTTAGTGAAGTTCCTTGGTTTAGTGATGGGGTATGCATGTATGCATCGCCGCAGGATGAGGCAATGATATCGATGAATTGAACAACATACCAAGTTTCTCCAAAAATTCTCGCTTCTTCATCCGTCGTGTCCTATTCTCACTGTAGTTGTAGACGTAAACAAACTCTCGAGGCTCCGCTTCGGGCGTTCGCATCAGTTCACTTTGGTCGAAGCTGGAACTCTTCTTCACAGGATATAGATCCTTTTCCTGTTTAGGCAATTCGTCTTCTGAGTTGTGTATGTGCTTTGAATCCTGCATTTCTAAGAAACGAATGTTGCAAGATATCCGATGAAGTTAATATGAGATGAAGATGAGCGGTGAAAGGCTGCCATGTCGTTGCCATAATATATATGACAGTCGAGCGGCCCAAACATGCATCCCGCTCCCCCTCTCCATGCCCGATCAGAAAAGCGGCAGCCATAGCAACCCTATTCTATCACAGGCATGGCTGCATCTGACAACATCATGAACGATCTATTTCCGGAGAGGATGTGCTAGGCTGCTAGCCACGCGAGTATCGAAGGAGATCAGTTAGCATATTCTGCAGTCCTGTTGGCGGGGGCTGGAATTGTTGTGTCAGGTATGATGATTCCGCAATCATTTGGACAGATAAACCGGTCGGCTGTCGCCCATATGTGACCTTGGTACTTTCAGGAGTAAGAGTTCCGGAAAGAGACCCGTGACCGGTCTTGTGGCGCTTGCTAACACAGATCAGGAAAAAGGCAGAGGACCTTGAGTCTTGTTGCCGCTCAGCCTTGCCAATGAGCCAGAACCGCCGGGTCTGATGATGAACAGGTCGCTTTGTTGTGTATGCTTCGGCACAGTGCAGATGATGTTCGAGAGGCAACAAATGAAGCATTCCGGGACATTGCCTGACATCGGGCGGACTGGGCGCATCCTAAGTCGTCGAGACGCGCGCATCTACAGTATGCATCTGCGAATCAGGTATGAAGTCAACCAACCACGACCAGACCCGAAACAAGCAATACCACTACTGTAGAGTGTACACTGCATCAACAGCGCGCCGAAGACTTCCGAAGCGATGATGCCAGCACGCGTGGCGATTCAAAGTCGACAACATCACCTTGTGGAGGATCGGATACTCAAAGAATAAGGCTTCGTCGTTCTGACAAGGCTCTGCGCTACTGTCAGTCATACGAGGCCTTGGAACCGTTCATATCACAAGCATGACTTGGGTGCGGCGCTGGGAGAGGTTGGTCAGGCTTGACGACAGCCATCGCAACTATGTGAAACTCGAATCACATATAGCTCTGCCACACAGTAGTGCAACGTTAGTCATGTCACACACAACTACATGTGCGTCGAGCTCAGAGGCTGAGTCGTGCCTTAGCATGAGACAACCAGTCAGGATTGGCAAGTACAAGTGCTTCGTGCTAGGAGCTGAGTAGAGGAGCAGATACGTGCGGAACGAGTATCATGCATGCACTTCGCCATGATGAGCCCTGGAAGGCATCCATCATCATTAGTGGACTGCTGATGCGATATGCCAGGCTCTTCAGGTATACCGGGGTACTTGAAGCAGATGGAACCCAGACATGAATCGAATCTGCTGGACCTGACCGTCCGGTATTAGCGAAGGTGGCCTCCTGAACGCCATTGCAGCAGCTTTGACAAGCAATGTTCCATCATGGACGCATCGAAAAGGCCATAACTCCGAAACATGTCCTCTGCAGGTAAAGTTGTTGCTACACGGTAAGTTTGTTCATTTCCTCATTGCGTGTTAATATAGTATCGAAGAGACCGGTGGTTTGCCCGACGAGGAAAATCTCGAGTTGGATAGGCGTGTGACTGACCGCCGTGCATAATATTGACGCAGCCTCCTGCAGTCGCATTAATATCAGCCAGGACATAACACGCCGACAGCCCCAACGCCTCAGCCTCAGAGTGTTTTCCTGAGGCTGAGGCTTTGATATGGGCCGCAGCAGAGGATACGCCATTGGCACGAAACCGATGACCACCTTGGTTGCCTTGTTCAGACTATGCGTGAACGTCTTGCAAATACGTCGCGCACTCGATCCGCTCTTTTATCATCAGCCTGTCGCTGTCTCACCACGAACATAGCACCTCGAATGACCTCAGCATGAGTCGGCCAAACCACTGTGATTGTCCAGTCTACAAGAAGGAGTCGGTCTTGACATTCGGTAAGAACACGACCGTCTTTCTTACATGGCCTGTGGCTCTTGAGGCTAACAGTAGATTGACAGATGGCGGCGGCATACGAGGTCTCGTATCTCTTCTCATTCTCCAGCAGATTCTAGTTTTCATTCGAGATGAGGAGCACAGATGTGACGAGGACCTGGCTGCGGCAGGTCAGCAAGCACCGCACGCAGACGAGCGGGATAAAAACGACGTGCCGCTTGCTTGTCATTATTTCAGCTTCATGTTTGGCACGAGCACTGGAGGGTATGTGCGGACAAAGACGAAGATATGCGAGAGATAGAAGGCGCTGACGTCACAGGATCATCGCGATTATGCTCGGTCGGCTTCGTATGAGCATAAAAGACTGTATCAGCACTTACTCCAGTTTGGGCGGCGAAGTTTTCGGGAAGAAGCAGCCGTTCTATCTCCTGGGTCAGAACAAGTATGATTGTACGAAACTCGAGCGGATCATCCGAGACGTCGCGAAAAGCAATAGCAGAAACCCTAAGAATGATCCCTTGATGGCGGACACAAGCGTGCTGAACAGATCTCATCAGCCCAGGGAGCAAAGAGTACAGAATCGATGCATACCATGTCGCGTGTATGTCTCTGATATCGAATCGTGCGGACAAGTGCTGATGGACATACAGTGGCGTGTTTGCGGTGCAAAGCGATGCGGATATGAAAGTACACATGTTTCGATCATATTTCAACCGAACGCCTCCAAGTGCTAATGCACTGGACGACCTCACGATCAGCCTGCACCGACAACCACGCGACATTCCCATCTGGAAAATAGCACGTGCTACGTCCGCGGCTCCCAGTTACTTCAAATCAATGAAAGTAGACGGTCTCAGGTTGATGGATGGTGGTTTGTTGGCGAACAACCCGAGCCAACTGGCCAGAAATGAGGTGATTTCTATGCATCGATATCACCCATCCGGAAGCTGCAAACCACCAACTGGAGAAACATCTGGGAACGGCGCGGACGGCATACGCTTCTTGGTCTCTCTCGGCACAGGCAAGCAAGCTAATCAGCATATCACCAGAAATCTTCTGAGCGTTGTCAAATTCGCATTGAAGCAGATGACTAACCCCGAAGTCGTACACAAGAACCTGCAAGATTCCCTTGACCCCAGGATGTATTACCGATTCAACGTCGAAGAGGGCCTCAAGAAGATGAACCTTGATGAATGGATCGTAAAGGGCGAAAATAATGTTACTCTCAGCAAGATGAAAGACGCAGTCAGCGATTATTTCGACGATGGTGTTGTCAGAGATCGTGCGAGAGCTCTTGCTAGAGAGCTTGTCGAGCATCGCCGAGCGAGACGCATCCCTGGTCATGAGTGGTTCCGCAACCTTACAGTATCCTCCGGTCTGCCGCCAAGTCCGATCGATGACAGATACAGGAGCGAAGATAATGGTTTACCCAACGGAATTACGAACGGTATTCCCAGTGGAGATCGAAGAGTTTCGCTGCCTGAGCCACTACACGGAGCCGTGGAATTGCACACACCGGTGCCAGAAAGTCTGACAGGTCGGATGACACCCGAGCTTGCCCCCGGAAGCCCGATACAAAACTCCACACAGAGTCTCCCCACGAGTCCAACAACTAGGCCCTACGACTCAGCCATGCCTTTACAAGGAGAGTGGAGTGGATCAAGCCCACAAGCCTGACAGTATCACACACCGAGCTGAGCGCTTATCTCTCCAATCTTGTGGATCATCTCTTTTCTCTAGTGTAAGGGTTCTCTTTCCCTTTGTTCCTCTTCTTGACTTGCACATATTCAGATTCCAATCTCTGTCCTTGTCCCTGTCATGACCATTCCCTACATACGCCCGCCTTGGTTTTTGTCTTGATTCCCCATACTCAGACCCAAACTGTTGTCCTTGTCCCTGTCATCAACATCTCCTATGCTTCGAGTACAGTCCTTACCTTGCATTTCGGTTGGATACATACTGGTCATTTCTTCCTACATGACTGGAGCTTCATAGCGTGAGCGCTCATTTAGCATAAGTTGATTTTGATCTCTCGCGACTCAGGTATACTTTTCTTCGAATCTGTATGTGCGTAACATCGATGCTTCTCTATATAGACCAGGTACAAATTGTGTGTTGGCATTGCAAGCAAATGAACGAATGCACCTGTTGATCATGATGTGTCTTCTATTTAAAGAACACAGAAGAAAATGAAGAAGTGTAAATTTTATTTTAGAAACCAAGTAAGCAATAGTCTAGCCAACGAAAGAACAATCACTTTTCTCATAATGCGTGCACCGACAATACTTCTCGCACAAGGATGAGCTTGCCCGAGATGCAGCGGGCAAATCTACTGTTTGTCCATGTGTTCCATGCGAATCTCGACAGCGCGTCTATGAGCTTCGAGTTGCTCGACCTTGGCGAGTTGCATGACTGCCTTGCCAACGTTACGCAGACCTTCGGCTGTGAGGTTTGAGCTGGTGATGTGCTTGACGTAGGAGCTGAGGTTGACGCCCGAGTATTGCTTGGCGTAACCGTAGGTAGCTGTGAAGAGAATGTCAGCTTGGTGTACGAAGAAAGTGGGAAGACATGGTATAACTTACGCAGAGAGTGGTTAACGCCAGCAGAGTAGTCACCAACTGACTCAGGTGTCCAGGGGCCGATAAAGACAGAGCCAGCGTTCTCCACAGTCTCGGTGTAGGCCTCGGCATCCTCAACCTGCAGAATCAAGTGCTCAGGAGCGTAGTAGTTGCTCAACTCCATAGCCTCTTCACGGGTCTTGACGACCAGCGTCAGACTGTGAGCGATGGCGCCACGCACGATGTCTACGCGAGGCAGAGCCATGGCCTGGTTGTGAAGCTCATCCTCGACGGCTTGCAGCTCCTTCTCGCTCATGTCAATGGCGATAAGTACAACCTGCGAGTCAACACCGTGCTCAGCCTGTGATAGCAGGTCAGAAGCAACGAAGGCAGGGTTGGAAGTCTTATCAGCAATGACCATGACCTCTGAAGGACCAGCGGGCATGTCAATGCTGACGCCAGCTGATGTGTCGTTGGAGACGATCATCTTGGCAGCAGTGACGAACTGGTTGCCAGGGCCAAGAATCTTGTCGACCTTGGTGACCGACTCGGTACCGTAAGCCATAGCAGCAACAGCCTGAGCACCACCAGCCAGGACGATGCTTTCAGCGCCGACCTTGTGGGCGACGTAGACAATCTCAGGGGTGATGGAGCCGTCAGAGCGAGGAGGAGAAGCAATAACAATCTTCTTGCAGCCTGCGACCTTGGCAGGCACACCGAGCATGAGAGTGGTCGAGGGAAGAACGGCGGTGCCACCGGGGACGTACAAACCGACACGCTCAATAGGACGAACGAAGCGAGAGCAGACAACACCAGGCATGGTCTCGACGCGAAGATCCTCGGTCTCCTGTGCGGCGTGGAACTTGCGAATGTTTTCGTATGAGATATCGATGGCCTCCTTAGTCTCAGGGGCGATCTGCATGAGGTTTTCGGGGAAGGGAGCCTTGAGAACGGTGGTAGTAAGAGAAGTGGCCTTCTCAAACTTGTGGGTGTATTCGAGCAGAGCCTTGTCACCACCCTTGCGGACACCCTCGATGATGGGGTTGACAATGCCCATGATACGGTCAGTCGACTTTTGCGAGGGACGTTGCAAAGCCTGCTGCACGGTATCCTTGGTCTCCTTGGTTGTGTAGTAGCGACGCATGCTGATTCTGCCATCGATGGTACCTGCCGGGTCCTCCTTTGCCTTTGGCACCGAAGCAGCTTCCTGGACCATCTTCTTGTCTCCATTAACCTGCATGCCGACCTTCTCGGCGAATTGGGGCTTGGCATCACCCTTTCTTCTCTTGACCTTCAAGTTCTTAGCATCCAGGTTACGCTCGATGTCCTCAAGAGAAACATCGTTGGCGATGCACTTGGTAAGAGCAAAGTAGATAACGTCGGCAGCCTCAGCAGCGATGTCGTCCTTGTCCGTGGCATCAACCAACTCTTGTGCCTCTTCGAGGATCTTTGCTGACAGCATCTTGGGGTCGTTGAACAAGCGAGCAGTGTATGAGCCTTCAGGGGCTGAACGCTTGCGGCTCGACAGGGTCTTTTCGAGACGCGACAAGCCAGCATAGTCACCGAAACATGTGGGGGTTGCCAGGTGACAGAAGCCTCTGCCCTTCTGGTGGACAATGAAGCGGAGAGCGTCACCGTCACAGTCCTTATCGATGCGGATCAGCTCTTGGATGTCGCCACTGGTGTCGCCCTTGTACCACAGACCACGCTTCCTGCTGTTGAAGACACCACGGCCGGTGCGCAAACTCTCAGAGATGCTCTCGTCGCTGCTGTAGACAAGGCCAAGAGCGACGCCGCGCTCATCGGTGACAAGAGTGGTGTAAAGACCATCGGGTCTATCGGTGGTGGCGTTTGCGAGGAGAAGAGGGGCGGCGGGAATGAGGTTGGGCTGGGCCTTGGAGTCAACGGTCAGGTGGTGGGCGGCAATGACGGGAGTGGCATTGATGTGGGCGATCTGGAGGGCCTTCTCGAGAGTGGGCTGGGCGAGCGAGACGTAGACGGGCGGTCTTTCTGAGCCGTAGGCTTCAAGCAGGCTCTCGACAGCAGTCACGTCGGCGATAGCGGCAAGGTAGATTCCGACCTCATTGCCCTGAAGGACGTCCAATGCCGAGTTGCCAGCACCGGCGAGCGACAAGACGAGGCGCGAGGCATCAACATTCTTGGTCTGGATGTTCTGTAATTGCTCGCTGGAAACAAAGACCTTGACGGCGCCGGCATCGAGCAAGGACAGGATGTCGTCGATGGAATCGAGCTTTGTTACGTCAAAGTATGTGGCGAAGTGGGTGGCGGTCTGCTTGAGGTGGTCGAAGGCGGCATCGATGGTCTGTTGGGTTGCGACAGCGTAGACGGCGCCGACGTGACCAAGGCTGGCGGCGCTAAGTCCTGTAGAGGCATTGAGGCCTTGTGCCAGGTCAATGGCGGGCAAGAATGGTACCGACATGGTGCGGACCACTGTTGTATGAGTATGAGTTGCTATGCAGATGTGTCGGAGCGTTGGCAGGCTAAGGGAGCGTGATTTCTGTAGAAACGGACAAGAAGTTGAAGATGTGTTGGATCTCGGTGCTTCAAGATGACTCGACGGCGGGGCGCGATCTGAGAAAAAGTTGACTATTCGTCATTGGCTGACAATTCAACTCGTCCAAGCGCCGTCTTGATTCTCCCTCGCAATCGACTGACCAAGACCTGCTGTCTGCTTGCCCATGTTTGCCCTCATGATTCATATTACCGCTGCAGAGAGAGCTTGATCCTCTGCCATGCGCCTGCCATCCCAAACGGCATTTCTTTCGTCGCGTCTGCTGTTTGCTTCCATGTGATCATGCTCCGATGTAGGCCGTCCATCCACGTTCCGCATCGGCGTCGGCTTCTGACCCCTGGTCTTGCCGGTTGTCGTGCCATTCCGCTCACAAACAAAGCTCCAACACTTGACCACTATCATGCGCCCCAGTGACCAGGTCATTCACCCATGTAAGTCGCTTATACCAGACGAGCATAGTGCTTCGTTCCTGATCGCCATCATGATCCAAGCCCGTCCATGTACTCAAGTTCCTCTACATATGTCGTGTGCCCTCCCGTTTCCGCCTTGATATCACTCCATTCCAATCTTCTACCTATCAAAAATGGGTGTCACTTTATCTACACACTCCACGCTAGCTCCTCTCTCGCTAGCAAGCACTATCATCGGATTTATTTCCTTCTCTTTCACCATTGCCACACTGCTTCGAGTCTTTTGGGGCAACATTTCAACTGTTCTCAACGCACATGACGAGATACATGACTATCTGAGCAACCTCCGAGTCCAGTTGTATGAAGAACGTCAGTCTTTACGAAACCTACGACGCCACAACAAAGAGTGGGGCAAGCGACGCCGTACCAGAGGCCTGCCTCTTCCTCGGCTCGACGACCTGACCATCAGGTCCATGCAGGATACTCTTCGCCATCTTACACGGAGATTCAGATCCCTCGAACGACCTTTCCTTGATCAAGATTCTGTTCCCGGCCGCCGGAGATACCGTAAAAGCTTCTCGCCAAATCCAAGAGATACATGGGATTCGGAGAAAGGTCTTCGCAGTCAAGAAAAGGAATGGGATAAGGAGCTAGATGACGAGGAAGACCCAAGAACTCAGGGTGATGTTTATTGCAACATCACTCTTGGAAAACGCATCGTTTGGCTTCGTCAAAGGTCGGATGCGCTTGCCATTATTGAGGCTGTTAGTCGTCTGCAGACCAGAAGAACTGCAAGACAGGTCGGTGAGATTGCTGTTGCACTGTATGAATACGGAGACACGATAGAAGATTTGGACGAGAGTATGCAGGAAATCGAGACTCGGTTCAGCAAGATAGTCGGCATACGGAGGGTGACCTGAGGAGCGAGTAACGAATCATGAAAGCAATGACTTTTTCTTGTATATACCCAAGAGCTTATGCTGCAGATACAGAATGTTCAATCACAAGTAAATTGCGAAAGGGATGAGATTCACCTTCTTTCAAGCATCATGTTTGCAATGCAGTTGGTGAAGTGACAGGGTCGCAATCTGAAGACGAATTGACCCGCCAAGCCAAGAACGCGCCTTCCACCAGCGCGGTTGATTGTTATACGCGTCAACTTATCGACAACATTCTTCATTCATCTCACCACTGAATTCAAAGTCCATCATCGACTGAATGCCTCACATACCGCCGACCATTGAGCTTCTCGAGCATGCACAACTCCAATATAGAAGAAAGGATTATGTCAAAGCTATAGACCTCCTCGATCTGGCCATCAAGCATGAACCGTCGCCATCGGTCAAATTGCTCGATACACGCGCAGCAGTCAATGAGAAACTCGGCGACTACAAGCTCGCCCTCAAGGATGCTCGGTCCTGTATTCGTATCTTCGAGAAGGATCCTACTGGCTATCTGAGAGCAGGAAAAGTGCTTCAAATCATGCAAAAGACTGACGTTTCCCTGAGCATCTACAAACATGGAATTAGCAAAAAGGTCAAGAATGTCGAGCTGCTCCAAAAAATGCATGACAAGCTCCTCTTGTCGCTTGCCCCCGACAAAGCTGCAGATCCATTCGCTCAACTGCCCATCGAAATTGTCGAGATGATTCTGTCCTACCTCAACTTTCGACAAATTGCATACTGCACTCGCGTATCAAAGCAGTGGAATGTCTTCATCAACAGTTTGCCAGGACTTTGGATGCATTTGGACTTTTCGGAAGCCAAGAAGCCCGTCAGATCTGCTTTCCTGAGTCACTGCATCAACACTTCCAAGCGCAAAGTTATCTCTGCCACTTTGAAACATGTCAAAGACATGGGGAAATTCATCAAAGCGCTAGCCCGAAGCTGTCCGGAATTCGACTCTCTCCGTCTCGTCGATGGCGGATTGCACGGCGACAGTCTTGTACACAATCTCAAGTCGGCTACCAAACTCAGAAAGCTTACGCTTGGTACCTCCGCTAGTATCTCATCTATGACCCTTCCCAGTCTGCTTCTGGGTTGTGAGAATCTAGAAGAGTTCGAATGTCGAGCCATCATACCTGGTAGCCTGAATCTGCACTGGAAAGGCGAGTTCCCCAAGCTCCATCGTTTGAAGTTGATCAGAAACTTCCAGTCGCCCAATCGCTCAATGCATATTCTCCGAATCGCCACGCTCCTGGCGCTGACTCCAAATCTGGAATCTCTCTCACTCAATGACTGGGCTGCGCCTTATGACATCCTATCACTCAAGGAATCAGCCAAGCAGCTAGTCGAGTTGGACATGACGTCCGGGGTCTCTTCCGGTCCGGTGCCTTTCCCATTTCGCGATCTCCCACCGACTCTTCGCGTACTGCGTCTAGATCTCGACAGATCGCTCAGTAGTGTTGTGTTACTGAGCCCTAAAGACTTCTTCCTGCCCAACCTGGAGGAACTTGTCTGTTGTGGTGCAGACATGGCCAGTCTTTTTCTGTCAGACCCTGAACTCATCTCAAAGTACCCAGACCCTGCAGACAACAGATTTCTCAAGCATTCCAACCTCTCCAGACTACATACGCTACACGTGCAATGCACAGGTGCAGCACAGTCTGTTACCTCGCTTCTGGCCCTTCCTCGTCTGGAACGTCTTCGCAGTTTACGACTAACACACAACTCCGACGTCGGCGATGATGTGGCGAAGCACATCGCCACAAACATGAAGAACTTGCAAGACATAGATCTCTCCTCAACCATGATCACAGGTGCAGGTGTGCGTGTACTAGTGGATGGTCTCAAGCCATCTTTAAGGACACTCAAGTTTGTAAACGTTTGGCATTGCAGTCCAGACGCACCGGAGTGGGCGAGAGAGCAGGGTATACGGGTTCAGTACTCGCAAAATGCCGACACCAAACCTAAAGGACGCAAAATCCGCTTCGAATGAGATAGAATATGATGGACGCGACGACATCACGACTGGTATGTAAATTATGAACGAGTATGATGATCAATGAGAACTTTTTAATTCCTGTGAAGTCGCAGTGTCCTTGAAGTTCAACTGCGCGGAGTCACGCCGCTTTACTTTACGATTGTAGCATTCAATACTAGCAATGCTCAAATTGGGTGGAGAGCTTGCCCTCTGGTGATCGACAAACAGCACTTGCGAGTCGCTTACAGTAATCTGTCCTAAGGTTCTCGTTGTTCTCGAAACATCGAGGTACATAACTTCGACCGCGACCCTGGCTCGACTCCTGAGTCCTGAGCCATACCTCCAACTCTCTCGATTCCACCAATCTATCTCATGAGACTAGTTTTCGACAGTGGTTCTGATACAAGATTCTACTATGAGAGTAGGTAAGCAGCTATCCAGCCAAGTAGTTTGGTAGGTGAATGTCGTTTCCGACATAAAGACCTCAAACTCACGCATCAAATTTTCGACACCGTGGCGATGACTCTTGCTCGTCCCCAGACACTGTAAGCATATATAAGCGCCAGCTCTGTGTTTTCGATCGCTTCCATCTGGTAAACTACACTTATCAAGTACTTTCCATCGCCCACACACATCGCGTTCATCACCAACGAAACACAACACAAACCTCATAACACATAACAAAAAGGTGATCGAGCTCTTCAGACACCAATTACGACAACCACACAAAACTGTCTTCAAGTATCACCAGAACCACCAGCATCAGCGATTTCAGAAACACGATGGACGCCAACACTCAAACCATCGAAAAGACACTGGTCTCCATCAGCTACAAGCCCAGTCAGGCCTGTGGCGATGAAAACGAGGCACAAACTCTTGTCACGATGCCATGTAACCACTACTGGTGCCACGAGTGCCTCTCTCGTGTCTGCTCGTCCGTACGAAACGGAATCGACTTGCCGATCAAGTGCGGCGAGAATTATTTCGGCGAGAACTGTTGCATCCCAGCAGATCTCGCACTGGAAGCTTTACCACAAGAAGAAGCCCGGAGTTTCAAACAGAAACTGGAAGAATTATACACGCCTACTAAGCAGCGTATCTACTGTGGCAACAGAGACTGTGGGGAGTTTATACCGCCTCTCATGCACGAATCGGATGTTCTCGCTGTCTGTCAAAAGTGCAAACGGTCGACGTGCAAGTCATGTCGTGCTCTTAAACACGACGGGGATTGCGCAGGTCCCTCGAAAGAAGACGAGCAAGCATTCGCTCTCATAAAAAAAGAAGGCTACCAAACATGCTCTGAATGCGACAGAGTGGTCGAGAGAACGGAGGGTTGCTCGCATATGACCTGCGCTTGCGGACACGAATTCTGCTACCACTGCGGCGGCCCGATCAAGACTTGCAACGGATGCGGACACCTAGAACCAGATTCGGAGCCCTTTGAACTCGCTCAACTCGCTCGAATTTGGGGAGCAGCCGAGACCGCAACCCTTGAGCTTGAAGCCGTTCGATTCATCAGAAGCGAAATCGTTCAATTGAGACCGCTTCCACGACCGGTTTCTGCTGATGGCCTCACTGGCTGGTTCATGCATCAAATGCTTACGACTGAATACGCCTATTATACGTTCTTCTTGCGCGCCACTGGGGATGTACAATTTGTCAGGAGCGCTGGAGAGATGCCTAGTCCGGAAGAGCTGAATGTTTCTGATGCAGTGATATTCTCGCTCTTTGGAACGGCTTCTGTGGTGTTTCATGATGATGGAACTTCATCGATAGTGTTGCACGAGACGGAGGAGGAAGATCAGGATGAAGGAGATGAAGGGGAGGGTGACTGGATGATGTAGAGAGGGTGGATACAGGAACAGAAGAACTACTCAAGTCTCACACACGCGGTAACTGCACATCAAGCAGCTATCATGATTACACACAAATGTTTAGGACAAAAGGTGGGGCTTGTCCATATATAGAAAGCTCTGGAGATTCGCAATGCTGGTAACCGCTATTTAGTAGGCTCAAATCTGGTCCCTTTTGAGAGCAAGCATATCGATAAGTTTGGAGAGCATCTTTGGTTTCATGACTAAGATGACTACGACTTTGTCCCGTGCTAGTATCCTGAAGTCTTGATGACGCGATTATGGTGTGATGCAGAGAGGAGAGTGGACTTGCTGCTTGGCGCGTGAGAAGAAAGGTAACAGCTCTTTCGTTCAAATTCAAAAGTTCAATGCTGCGAGTACTTGAGTCAGGAAATTGGAAACAGAAAGCACGAGCTAGTACACATCATCAGGGTTTGTGAAGTTTGGTCAAAAGTAATCCTTTCTTCTATTCGTTTTGCTTTTGTGTATACGAAAATCTAACTCCAGAGTTATAACAAAAAACATTTCATCTATGCAAAACAGGTCGGAAAAGAGTCATGGGAGGGAGTTGTAGAGAGACTGACACTGCTCGAAGCAGCGGACGAGGGGTGGAGAGCATCTGTGGGAGTGGCAGAACGGCTCTACTCGAGGCGTGAGAGGAGGCGGAATCGTAAGGGTATAATCTAAACTCTTCATGCGCTGGCCTCGATGGTACCGCGGACACCGGTCTTGGAACCGACTTCACGGGCAATGACCTGGACGGAAAGGTCGGCGTTGACGTTGATCTGGACCTCGACCTTGCTGCCCTTCTTGACATCCTTGACGGCAGCCTCGGCAATAACATCACCGGCCTTCCAGACCTTCTCGCGGGTCTCCTCGGGCTCGTCATCGCTGTCGTCGTCGGAGTCGTCGTCACCGTTGGCCTCCTTGGGAGCGGCCTCCTCCTTGGTGACCTTGATCTCGCTGACACCCTCGCAGAGCTTGACGAGAACGTCGCCCTCGGCAGCGTTGAACTGGGCAGTGCGGCGGACGGGGACGGCGGTGTTGGCATCAACCAGAGTGACAAACTCGTCGCCGACGAGAACACCAATGGCCTTGGCAAGGTGAGGAGCGACGGTCAGGGCGGGGTGGGTGTTTTGCTCAACGTCCTCTCTGTCGAATTCGCTGATAAGGCTGGCCTGGATGGCGGCACCACGGACGGTAAGCTCGCTGGGGTTGACGGCGTTGGGGTTGGTCGAGGGAGCGACGATGGTGGACTCGGCGAAGATGGACTGGAGGTTGCTGGCAATCTTGGGAGTGTGCGAAGTACCACCGGAAAGGAGGATCTCGTTGATGTCGAGGTTGTCGAGGCCAGCCTTTTGCACGGCAGACTCGATCAGGCGGTTGAAAGAGCCAAGGACCTTGGCGGCGAGAAGCTCGTATCTGGTGCGGTTGACGGTCAAGCTGAAGTCGATGCCGTCGGAGAGGGACTCGATGCTGAAGGCAGCAGAGGCACCGAGAGACAAACTCTTCTTGACGGCCTCAGCCTCGAGCTTCAGCTTGGCGAGCGAACGGTCGTTGGTACGGGGGTCGGTCTTGTTCTTCTTCATGAACTCCTTTGCGGCGTAGTCGATCAGGGCCTGGTCGAGCTGAGCACCGCCGAGCTCGTAGTCGTGGGCAGTGGCCAGGACGGTGTACATGCCACCGCGCGAGGCAATGACGGCAATGTCGGTGCGAGTACCACCAATGTCGGCGACAACGACGTTCTTGTCTTCGGTCGAGTTCTCGTTGAGCTTGGCGTCGTTGGCGAGGAGAGCAGCGACGGGCTCGGTGATGAACTGGAGGACCTCGAGGCCGGCGTCGGTGGCAGCCTTGTTCAGGGCATCCTTCTGGGCATCGGCAAAGTCTGAGGGGATGGTGATGATGGCAGCGTTGACCTTCTTACCGAGGAAGTCGGTAGCGGAGGAAGCGAGACGGCGGAGGTGACGGGTGGTGATGTCGTGGATTGTGCGGGTGTTTTGCTGGTCGGCCTCGGTGTCCTTGATCTGGAAAGAGATGGTGTTCTCGGCATCGACGGGGTGGGCAGAGGCGTGGCAGTTGGTGGGGTCTATCGACTTGAAGTCCTTTCCGAGGAAGTCTCTGAAGTATGCGACGGTGTTCTTTGAGTTGCGGACAAGTTGCGACTTGGCCTCGGTACCCTGGAACTCCTCGCCGTCGACGTATGAGAGGACGGTGGGGATCTGACGGTCACCGAGCTCGTTGGCAATGACCTCGACCTTGGCCTCGCCCGAGGTGTAGGCGATGGAACTGTACGAGTTACCAAAGGAGATACCAATGGCAACCTTGGGGGCAGTCTCGCCTTCGGAGCTCATGTTGTGTGATGTGATGGGGAAGCGGCTGAAGAGACTGGTATCGGGAGTGTCGCAAAGAAGAACAGCAGGGCGACAGGGATAGAAGTGGATTGACTGCTTGTCGAGATGCGACTTTGCGCTCCAGACTTTCTTGACCTCTCGAACAAATTTCCAGCCGACGTTGAGCCGTCACTGCAGTGATCCAACTCAAACCTTCGTCATCGCCGCAGCCGTAAGAATTTCATAGCAACAATAATGTCGTCGTCGTCGGTTCTTGTACTGCCTGGCCAGGAACTGAGGCCTGAACAGCTGCCCTCTCAAAACACTACCCGCACATTGACTCTTGGTCCGGGTCTGCGACACATTCCGCCAGTGACGATTGTCGCAACCCAGGCCGGAGAACTATGCACCGACTCCAAGAAGAATGCCATCTGGATTGAGAACCTCGGCGGCCGCTACCTACCTCACACCGGCGATCTCGTCGTCGCCACTGTTCAGCGATCCTCTACCGACACATACCATTGCACCCTGACGCCCCACACAAATTCTGTCCTGCTCGGCCAACTAGCCTTCGAGGGCGCTACCAAAAAGACCAGACCTCAACTCAACCCCGGAGCTCTCGTCTACGCCCGCGTCTCAAAAGCCGACAAGTGGAGCGACGTCGAGATTGAATGTGTGAACCCTGCCACCGGCAAATCCGACGGTCTGGGTCCGCTCAAGGCCGGCATGCTGTTTGACGTTTCTCCCGCTTTCGCTCGTCGTTTGATGATGGGTGCTGGAAAGGGCGGTGTCGTCTTGCTGGAAGAGATTGGCGAAAAGGTCAGATTCGAGGTGGCTGTTGGAAGAAACGGAAAGGTCTGGGTCGACAGCTCGACCATTGCAGAGACTGTCGCTATTGGAAGATGTTTGACCGAGACGGACGAGAAGGGTCTGGACCTCCAGGCACAGAAGAAGCTTGTGAACAAGATGGTCAAGACTGTTTGAGCCTCGATATCACATTGAGGACAAGATACAACAAAACTGCCTGATGCTTTGCCAGCACTCGCTTCGCATGCAGCTTTCTAGCCCTGCCAGGAACCGAGTCCTCCAGCAAGCATGCTAGAAGCATCCAAAGCAGCACAGGAGAAAGAGCCAAGTTCTCCAATCGAGAGGACTTGGGCTTCAGATGACATCAAGCTGAGTCAGACTCGTATCGCATGCGTCTGGATAAGTACCAGAACTTTTTCGGCACCCGAGCTTGACATGCTTGGGATATGTTCAGACTCGTCGGGCCAACGATGGAGGACAAGAGACCAAAGCTGCGCGAGACATGCAACCAGTAGTCACCCAATAGACAAATAATTCATATTCCTATATCACCCTTTTGCAATGTCCAACTTCATTATGAGTATTCTGCCAAGAATCACAAGCCAAACTTGAAGCTTGCCTCAGGCACCACTCAGAAAAAAAGTCCCGAGCAACAACGTCACCAGCTTGCACCCCGCCATCTTGCAAAAAGTTCAACTCAACTCCACCTTCGTGTCTTACCAATTCGTCCAATAACATATCGCTCGAGCAATCATAGTCACAGTCTCAGTCGACATGAGCACCCGTAATCGCACCCCGCCGCTCCTAGAACCCTACCTCCACCTTCCCCCCGCGGGCTCTCAACTTCTCCTCACCGGCGTCCTCGACTCGACTCCAAACTGGCTAGTCACCCGCCTCCTCCGCAGCGCACTTACCTCCAACTCTGAATCAGAGTCACCAGAAGAGAAGGATGTTACAGTAGTACTGGTATCATGGTTACGCGACTACGATTTTTGGAAGAACGAGGTCAGACGGGGTGCTGGTGTCGATCTTGCGCGTCTGGCTCAACAGGATAAATTTGTCTTTGTGGATGGCTTGACGCACTTGTTTCCTGTCAATGCGACGTCGAGCGCAATCACTGCTGCACCACTGGCACAGCAGTCTATACAGCCTGTACAAAGAAGCCTGCCTGCGAGGAACACTCCAGCTTCGCCGTTACCGAGTCGAGGTGGCCCGCTGCCATCTCGAGGCCCCATACCCTCGCGCGGTCCTCCAGTGCACACACCCGCTCCCTCGCAATCGCAACCACAAGTATCAGGGCAACAGACACAACCACAAATCCAGCAACAACAACAACCTTCGAAAACGACCCACCTCAAAGACGCTTCAACATCCTCAACCCACAGCGCCCTCACAACCCTCCTCTCAGCCCTGCAATCCTCCCACCCCAACCGCAAAATCCACTTGATTCTGGACTCACCAACCCTCCTCCTCTCTACCACTGCTACCCCCTCCGCCTCTGCCTTGTCCTCTCTCCTCCTATCTTTACGCTCGCTCGTCACGACAAGCACCTTGATCACTCAAGCCGATTCGCCCTTCCTCTCTGCCGCGCTGCCAGATACATCTCATCAGTCAACGCCGCTGGAGGCAGCTCATGCGGCTTTTGTGGTGCAGCAGGCCCATGTGAGTAAATGGGTGTTGAGTTTGAGGCCACTGGATACAGGAAAAGCTAGAGATGTCAGTGGTGTGATTAGGGTGAGTCGGGGTGGTGCTTGGGATGATGACGATGAAGAGAAAGAAAAAGAGCAACAGAAAGAGTTGGAAGCCTTGTATTTTGTGCAAAGCGATGGTGGAGTCAGGGTGTTTGAGAGGGGTGAGGCTAGCGTTGGTTGAAAGAACGAAAAGAAAGCGGAAGTGATATAGAGAAAGAAGACAAGTGATTCTGGTTTCTACGGATCTACAAGGACATCATGGCCATCAGACGATCGTATGCACTCTCGCCCTCCTCTGCTCCTTCTTCCTCTCCTCCTTGCTGGTCAAGATCCTCCACTTCGCCTTCATCTCTAGGCTCAGCCTCTCCAGCTCCTGCTTGTTGTGATTCCTCCTTCGATACTCCAGTCTCTTCTTGGTCTTCCTCTTCAGCCTCTTCATCTTCCGAAGTCTGCTCTGCTGAACTCTGCTCCTCTGAGCTCTGCTCTTCTAACACTTCGTCCTCCGTTTCTTCTTCGGTGCCTGCTCCTCTCATTCTGTCGGCACCATCCACTGCGTCTCCATCCGCGGACTTCTTGGGTGTCACGGCCATCTCGTCCATTGCCTTGTCATCTCCTCCAGTAATCTCCAACTTCTCCTCCAGCCTCTGGACCGCTGCGACATCAAAAGCCGTCTTTTCCACGTGGTCAACCACAGCATGCTCCGGCTTCCATTCGGGAAGAGGCTCGAGCTTGATGCTGTGCAGCTCTGCCTTGTAGTTGGACTTGACGACCGGCGCTCTGCGCTTGACATCGCCGTTGGCGGCGAATGCTGTGCGCAGTGCCGAAGGTCCGGACTTCCTGGTAGCGATCTTTCCTAGCTCTCTGCCAAAGAGCCAGGGGTACGTGATCAATGGCGCATTCATGTCGTCTTCGTCAAAGGACACCTGTCTGTTTCCCTTCCACTGTGTCACTTCCTGTTCGGTGATGGTGTACATAGCAGCCACAAAAGGCCCAAGGATGTCGAAGGTCTTCTCAGAGATCATGTAGCCAGAGTCGACGAGCCCGAGATACTCTTTAACCTGAGCCTGGAAGTCTGTCTTGATGCTGCTCATCAGGTTTCCAAGATCCTCTGCCAACGAGTACCAGTGTTGCTCTCTGTTGTGCTCCATGACGAAGGCTGTCCAGACCTCGAACTCGGTCTTGATGCTGTGCTGGACCATGACACGACGAATCTGTTGGTCGTATCCGATCTTGAGCTCTCTAGCCTTCTCCAAATGTGAATCAGTCAAGACGTACGCGTCAAGGATACGTCTGTCGAACGGTTTCTCGAGGCGAGGCGCAAATGGCTCAGGCTGTACCATGTCGTAGAGAACTCCAATCACTTCTCGAGAAATATACTGCTTGGACTTGGGCTTCCCTGGCATCCAATGAGGCCATCTTCTGGGCCAGAGATCATTGTCCACTTTGGCTGGGACACCGGTCTTGTTGAAATCGACAGCTTGCGAGTGCAGTTGAGCTAGCTTCTCGCATTTCCAGTATGCCACTCCTTGGTTTGAGCCCTCATGGTCGGCTATAGCACGGTGACTTGTGGCGATTGCACCAAGTTTGTCGTTCTTGATGTAGTCGACGAAGAACTTGACAAAATGCTCATCCTGAACGGGTCCGACACACATAACAGGGGTAGGTGCATCATAGTTCATGGGTTCCCAATTCCACTTCGCCACCGGTGGTAGCAAGTCATCATCCCACATGATCAGATAATCGTCACCATCCAGGTCTCCACCGGAACACATGTTTGCAAGCGGTCTCTGTCCCCGCTGAGGCAGAACGACAACGTTCTTGAGATGCTTCAAAGCTTCACAGGGCACAGCTCTGACAACGCGGATGTCGCCAGCATGCAAGGATGGGTTGCGTGCCAGAAGACAAACTCCCTCAGCAGTCTTCCACTCGCCTTCCTTCTCTCCAGGTACTTGTATGAATATCTCAGGGAGCTCGCCTGGATCCATCCTGAGCGTGTCTGTTTCGTCGACGCAGCCAAGGACGAACGCACCCTTTTCGATGAAGAGCTTGGCCTTGTATTTGAGATGTTTCAGGTTCCAGGCACGCCAGAGCTGCAGGAGAATCTCGCACATGGGATCCTCAGAGTGCATGAAACCATCCAGTATCATTCCTGACATGGTCAATGTGATTTGATTGAAGTCAACGTTCTTCTGCAGCATATTCAGGGCCATACTCTCGTCCTTCATCGCGAGGTCGATATTCTGCAGTTCTTTGGTCATCTTGTCGACAAAGACCTGCTTTGGTACACCTCGTGTGGTGAGAACCAGGATAAGCTGCTGATTGAGAGTCGAAGAAGAGAACTTCGAAGGCTTGATGATCTCAAGTGTGTGTCCCTTATTCGTATCGAATTTGCGCTGACTTGGTCTGACGTGAATCTTCTTGCTGCCCTTCAATGTCGGGTCGACCACAAGTATACCCTTGTAACCGCCCATTCGGAACTGAAAAGCAGATGGGTAGTCATTGGGAGCAGAGTTGCCATACAATTCGTTGGTAACCATCTTAGCAATGAAAGGGGAGACTTTGCCGACACCGTCTGTGAAGCAGTATCCATTTCGCTCGATATCCTTGATCAGCACATCGGGAATTCCGCCAATACTGTTGGAAGCTCTAGTGGTTGAGAAACACTGACCAATGCGAGCCATGCACTTGGCAACGACGTTGATACTGGAAAAGTCACCGAGCGTCTCGCGGATGCTGCGAGCCGTTATGTTCTCGCTCCAAGGCGTAAAGAAGTATGCGCCTCTCTCACGGAATTGGGAGTTACCACAAGCAAGCCAATCGTAGTGGCGGCCGGCGATATCGATCCCGTGACGAAGACAGCGCTCTATACGAGCCCATACCTCGTGCTGGTTTTCGTAATGTGGCATAGGCATGAGGCGACCGAATGAGTCTTCATCTTCGAACCTGACGCGTAGAAAGTTCTCTACAGCATATAGACGATCCCTGACCACGCGATTCGACACCTCCACAGATGATGTCTTGACGTAGAAGGTGGTGGGAGTGATGATGGCTGTTCTCATCAAGACACAGCCTTTGGGAACGCGGCGCTTTCGTGGATGGCGAAGCTGGTATTCTTGGAAGATGTGCATAGGATTGAAGAACGTCTGCTTAGAGTCTGCGACATTCTCGAGGAGGACAAGGGCTGGTGACATACTCGAGGGGTTGTTGGGGTCGCGTATGAAGTCTTTGTCCAAGGCACTCAGCTCGAAGAGGAACTCCCTGGTCAAGGTGTGTTCGATGAATTTGTTATTCGAGATACAGACCTCCAGTTGATAGCGAATATCTTGCCCAAGATGCATCATCTCGTCTTGCATCTGGTGAAGATCTGACTCGTACGAGGCTTGATGTGGGTCGAGTAAGTCCCAAACGACTGGATCTTCTCGCGGGACGGTCTCGAATTCAGCAGAACCATGTGTCTGAACAGTCACATTGTGATTCTCCAAGACATCAACGATTGTTTGGTAAGTAGTATCATCGACTCCAACAGGGAAACTCAACTTCCATGTCAGCCAGCGACCTGTGTCGACGACTGGGCTGGGTGGTAGAAAAGCCACTGGACTCAGATGGCGCTCTTCTGGATTGAGATCGATGTCGGTGACACGGCGCCAACCTCTCGGCCAGTCTTGGAAGTTGAGAGGTTCGCGATTGTCACTATGAATATCTTGCAGAAGGCTCTCATCTACACTCTGCCACCACCTTGGGGGGAACTGAGAAGTGATGACCAGCTCTTTGTGGCCGTCTTCATGTTGGATTTTCTTGACTTCAAAAGATATGCTGAGGCGAAGTTCAGCGCGGTACCAGGGTGCACCTTGCTCAGCCGTGAGAAAGAAGCGGAACTCCAGGGAGTGTCTTGCGTCAGAAGCCAGATCGAGCATCACTGTGATCGGATGATCGGTAGTGCTAGAGACGGTATGCATAACCATCATATGACGCTCGTTGATCATCACACCAAACTCGATCTGGTTGACAGGAAGGGTAACCTTCTGAGCAATGGTCTTTGCAGTGTTTGTCGAAGACTGGATAAGTCTGGGCTTGAACACACGTCTTCTGATACTGAGCTTTTGTCCTCCGAGACTCAGAGACCTGCTGAAGAGTGATGTGCGGGCGAATGACATGAGAGCCGAAGCTCTCTTGGTTCCACCATAGCAGTTGATAGAGGAAACGTGACCGTACTTGTAGAGAAGTCGATGCACTCCAAGGGCGTTGTGATGAGCATACGGAATGTTATCGATATCGATCCAGACCGGTTCCCAAGATTCTGGTGTGCGGACATTATCATCGCGGGTATCGTTAGACATGACTGTCTGTGGTGGCTGGCGTTGGCGGTTGTAGTTGGGCACAACCCTTTGTGGTGAAGTACGTTGATGATTGTTTATATGACAGAGGGAACTTTGACATGCAGGTGGTGCAAGTGGAGCAGATGCTAGAGGAGGAGGAAGAGGAGATGGAGGAGTAGAAGAAGAAGGAGGAGGAGGAGGAGGACCAGATTGATATCTGCGGTGAGGACCTTGTCTTCGCAGGCGCTCCATGTTTGTTTCAGTGGCCTCCATGGTTGTGAAGCCAGTCGAGAGATGCAATGCTCTCAAACGATCTGTAGTCGTGGAGGTAAAGAGCTTCAGCTGAGAATGAGCCGCGAGGAATGTTGCAAACCCTCCAAGTCTGACGCGTCTGTACTTGTGAACTTCGACAAAGTGCAATGTGAAGCCCGGTGTATCCGTACAAGAAAGGAAGGCGGCAGCGAAGTGCAAACAGAGCAGGAGCTGGAAGCAAAGACTCCTGGAGTATGTCTGTCCGCACGGTCGTCACAACAACATTATCCAACACTTCACTAATGCACAATCAACGCGTTGTAGAAGGTGAATGTTCGTAATAGCCAGGTCATATCTCGACTTCCAGATGTCTGTTTGCGCTTGCCGCCAGCGGCTATTGAACTGCATGATGCTTGCTCAGGTGAAATTATCATTCTTGTTATCACAACTTTTTTCCATCACTGTACCGATCGTGCGATGGGTTTATTCAAGACTTGGGGTGTATAACGCCTGTCTAGCCATGTTTGCTGCTGCTAATCTGTGTTTTGTTAGGAGGAGTGAGGAGGTAAACAAAGACTTGCCAGCTGAACCATGCTGCCGATCTCCACGCTGCATGCGGGACCATGCATCGTGTCATGCATGCATCCTCACTTCACATCGATAGAGCACATGTCACTTTTGGAGAACTTGTTGTATAAGAACGAAGAAGTAAACTCCTGTAGGGTATCCATGGAAAACAACAACTATTACACCGAAACTAGACATCAGTGGTACTCGCATCCAGAGCATCCTCCCCCTTGTCGTTCAAGCCAACACCAGGCGTGCCGGTCATTACGTGGTCTGCAGAAAACGACCAATCTTCAAGTTCCCGCCTCTCGGCAGTATTGATACCGAATCCATGGTTCTGGAGATCGTGAAACGCAACTTTGCTCGGTGATCTAGCCCGTACGGGTGACCGATTGGTCGGCATGTCTTGCAGAGGCTGTCTCTTAATAGCACTCTTTGTTCGCATCATAGCTCTCGCAGACCTCGGTGCCATGCTCATTCTTTTCTCCTGTGTACTTGCTGGCTTCAACGAAGGTCGAGGTCTTGCACGTTTTGGTGTAGGTCCGTTATCTGCAGAGACGTCAGACATGAACGTACTGTTCGGCTCTTCGTCTTCATGCTCTTCATCGGAGTGTTGTGCGTAAGGTGCAGGTGTGAAGGGGACCTGTGATGGCAATGCAGTTCGTGGTGTGGACGAGTTGGTTGAGGCGGACCGCACAGGCAGTACTGACAACTTTACCGTAGGCTCGGGCGGCGGAGCCATCACGCCAGTAAGTCCCATAGCGTTCATCAGTCTGTTTCTCATCTCCTGTGCTTCCAGAACCTGGGCATCTTTCCTTGTGCAGTCCTTCGTCAAACGCTCGATCCGCTTACGGAGTTCGGCAGTCTTTTGCTTGTTTGCATCATGCTGTTGCTGGAAGCCGTCTTCTGCCTCTGCAAGATCCTGTCGTGCTTCTTCCAGTTGCTGCTCGAGATGGTTCTTGATGCTCATCCACTCTTGCTCTGCCTTTGACATGGCATCTTCGAAAGCCGTGGTGGCCTTTTTGGCTTCGTCCTCTGAGTTCTGCTTGATGGCCCGAATCTCAGTGAGAAGGCTTTCATGCTGCATCTGGCGTTCCTTGATATCTTGTTGGAGCTTGATGATATCTTGCTCGAGCAAACTGTGGCCTTCGAGCAGCGTGGCTCGTTCCTCCTCAATCTGTGAGATTCGAGCTTGGCTTTCCAGAAGCTGCTGCTCGAGATGTTTCTTTTCTGATTGTAACTTCTCGTATTCGGTGTTGTCATGTTTCCTCGACTCCATCGTGTTCCCAAGTTCGGAGCGCAAGTCCTCAGCGTCTGACCTGGCCTGGTGGAGTTGTTCACGGACTTGCTCGAAAGCCTCCTCCTTGCAGGCAACAGCGGTAGCATGCTGTACTTCCAAGTCTTGCCTTTCCTGCTTGAGCTGATCGATATCACACTGAGCATTGCGATTAGCTTCTTGAAGCTCTCGCGCAAGCGTATCAATTCGCTGCATCAGATCCCGCGTCTCTTGAGAAGAAGCCGCCAAGTCGTTTTCGTGGCGATCATTCTCTGCTTCGAGCGCGTTGATGCGTAGGTCTCTATCCATGACTTGACCCTCAAGCTCCCCGTACGCTTTGTTCAATCCTGCATACCGCTTCTCGAGGCCATTGAATTTCTGTCGCTCTAATCTCAGAGGCTCTTCTACACCTTCGCATCGTGCTTCGAGATCATGACAGATGTTGATGAAAGAGGCTACCAAGGAAGTTTCCTGATACTTGGCATGCGTCTGCATCACTGCGCCCAGACGCTCCTTCCAATGTAGACTTGCATCCTGAGATTCTGGTGTGGCTTCGATCTCCACAAACGGTGTTGGTCTTTGTGGTGCTTTGAGTTTCGTCTGTACACAGATGGGACATGCTGGTTTACTCGACTCAACGACTGCATGGTGTCGAAGGATCTCGGGCAGCATCCGGCGTATTGAGGAAGTCTCTTCTTGCGGAGCGGCTAAAGCTGCACGGAGCAATAGAGAGCAGAGCGAAGACTTCAGCTTGTTCCTCCAGGTCGTGTATGAAGCAATGCAGAATCTGTTTGTGCTGTGACCTGTATCAATTTCAGGCGATGTCTCCAGATCGGCAAAGAAATACTCCAGCTTCTGGCGGTTGTGACCAGAGTGCAGGGTTGCAAGTATACCGCGACGACAAGACTCGTTCTCGTCGACCATGTCAGCGATACAACCAAGAAACAAGATATAGCTATCGGCCGAGTTGAATAATTCTGTGGGCGGCGAATTTGTCAACAAGTCCATGACCTTATCTAGGAGTTCTCCCCACCACTCGGATTTGAAGTTCGAAGACAAGCGGAAAAGAGATAGACGGAGCGACATGTCCAGATGCTCATGTTTCATGGAAGTGGCGCTTAAATCCAGCAGCGATCTCTCATAGAAAAGTGTTGCTTGAGATGGTAGTACGACCTTGTCAGAAAGTGAACTCAGGAAAGTGAGAACCTGGAAGCGGAGAGCAGGAAGAATATCAGGCACAAGGCACTTCTCCTGCAGCTTTCGCACTATGACTGCATTCTTGTAAGACCATTCTATGACGGCGGATTGGGATACTCCAGCTAAGATCTGGTTGACAAGAGTAACACTAGTAAGACCTTGTCCAGTCGGATCTGCTGATTCTGGCCTGCATGCCCAGATGACTCGCAACACCAGCAGCTGCATAGTCTTGTGCGTCTTGTTGCCGTTGAAGAATTGCTTGATTGCATCAGGCGTCCATTGTGAGTTGGAAGAATCGATAGGATGATCGAAAGTAGGCCACATAGCATCGTTTCCAACCTCGGTCTGAAACTTCTCGAGTATCATTCTCATGATAGCAAGACAGTACATACCCAGAGACTGATCCTCAACGCCAGAAGAGCTCTTCAAGATGGAGAAGATGTAGTCTTCCAGATGGGCCAGTACACCAGGGGAGAGGATGCCAAGGATGGGTTTGCAAGCACCATAGACCAGTCGGTGAATTTGCTGGACGGTGGCAGCATTTGGCTGAGTGGCAGCAAGGTCGAACAGCTGGAGCATGAAGTTCTGAGCAGTTGCTGGTAGAGGCACATCGGAGGGTAAAGGATGAGACAGGAGAGCCACGGCAGCGTCCACATACTATTGTCAAGTAAGTCATGGTGGCGCAGAAGGCACTCATGTCATTGAACCCACCTTTCTGCTCTCGCCTCGCGACTCCAAAGCATGTGTTAGAAGGCGAGGCAACAAGGACGGCTCTCTCAGCACAAGCGAGTTTCTGACATCAAGGGCACAAGATAGGCGAGTGATGATTTCTAAGACATATGGCCATTGTGGTAGAGCATCTATAAGGGCTTGACTCAGAGAAGGAATGCGACAGTGATAGCAGGAAGCCCATAGGCAGATGTTTGCCTCGGATGTTCGAGAAACGATATCATGTAAAGACTATAACGAAGGAGTGTAATCAGTATTGTGCCGTGGCAATGACGTTGGGTACAGTATGACCAACCTTCAACTGGGTAGGATACGGAGTAAAGACGATTCGATCGACCTCTGCAGCGAGGATATCCATATTATAGGGAGTTTAGTGGAGTCGCATGCTCGAGTCTCTTCTAATGCATGCACTTTATTATTCGAGAAGCAAAAACAAACACGCCGTCGGTAGACGCGCACCCGATGAGGCGGCGTTCCACGTCGTCACATGACCACTTTCGGCAGAACCTAGCTCATACCGAGACCCTTCATTCTCCTCGATCGCAAATAATCATCTCGAATTTTCACGATCGACACAACAGACGATATTCTCGATTGGAATAGCCGGTCGACCACCATATCCGAGCTGTCTGAACGGCATAGTCAGGGCATGAAAGCATGATGCCGAGATTCGGGCTCATGAGGACAGCCCACACGCATTGGCAAGAGTGGGGATGATGTGGTGGAGAAGCGGGGCAGTTGATCCAGGGTCGACGAAAGTGCCATTGACAGGAGCCGAGTCATGGAAGGGACAATACAAGACACGCTCGTCTTCTTTCTTGGAGTCTGGTCCCTCTGCCACTGTTCCCTCCATCTCGTCAGCTAAGCAACCATGGCACAACAGAATGCCATCTCTGGCGACTATCGCAAGCACCTCCCGGACCTCAATGTGCCGCGTTTCCAGACGATGAAGCAGCAAGATGCACACGAGTATGCTCACGAGTTCAAAACCAAGCACAACCCACCGTGGCTCCATGCCTTGTACATGTACTGGCGCTCATTGCTCGCTGAGCCCTTCAAGGGCGTAACAAGCGACGGTGAGTCAATTCTGTACCTTTTCCACTTTCAATGACTAACTTGATGCTCGCAGGCACTGTCCGAGAAGGCCTCTTCCACTACGAAGACGAAGAAGTTGACATCGACAACATCGTCACAGCCGCCCAGTCCCTCCTCTCCCAGGTGACAGACGAGCAAAAACAAATCCTCAGCTACCACATCGACAGCCCTGAATGGCGAACATGGTCCAATCCCGAGTTCCTCCTCGCACACAAGGGTCTCCGCCTCGACGAACAATCAGACAAAGTCAGAGACTCCATTCTCGCAATCCTCGAAGCTACTCTCTCCCCCGAAGGCTACCAGAAAGCAATCTCCGCCATGCGCATCAACGGTTTCCTGGGTGAACTAGTCCAGGGCACAAAAGTCATGAATGAGTTCAGTTACAACTTCGTTCTTTTCGGTGAACCCTCTTCCACACAACCCTGGGGCTGGTCCTTCTACGGCCACCACCTCTGCCTAAACATCTTCCTCTTCAAACGACAAATCGTAATCTCGCCCTGGTTCACCGGCGCCGAGCCCAACGAGATCGACTCTGGGCCTTACAAAGGCACCCGCATCTTGACCCGCGAAGAAGAGCTCGGTCTCCAACTCATGCAATCGCTATCACCAGCTCTACAGCAAAAGACGCAAATCTACAAGTTGATCAAGGACCCAGCAATGCCAGAGGGCCGTTGGAACAGAGACGATCAACGCCATCTCTGCGGCGCCTACCGCGACAACCGTATCGTTCCCTACGAAGGCATCACCCTCGCCTCCATGGATGCCTCACAGCGCAATCTCGTCTCAAAAATCATCGAAGAATACTTCCTCTACCTCCCCGCCACCTCTCGCGCAAAGAAACTCGCACACGCAATGTCCTTTGCCGACGAAACCTACTTCAGCTGGATCGGTGGCTTTGGCCCTGAAGACCCATTCTACTATCGCATTCAGTCCCCGGTGGTAATAATTGAGTTTGATCATCATTCGGGTGTGTTTTTGAACAATGAGCAGCCGGCCAAATTCCATATCCACACGCTTCTGAGGACACCCAACGCTGGTGATTATGGCGTTGCGTTGAGGAAGTGCATCCCAGCACAAGAGCAATTTTTCACTTGGGAGCCAGAGGACGAGTCGAAAGGACCTGGTAATCATGCTAGTCGCTTAGATTAGAAGGTTTCGACGCTGTACATGCAATCTCTTGGTTACGCTCTTCTGCCTTTGCACACCGCAAAATTCATCGATGGGCTATACATTCTAGAGCACATTCCCAATAAGCTCGCCCTCACCATCATCATTACGTAAACCCAAATACCTACATCTCCTCTCCCTCAACTGGCCTATACATCCTTGTCATATCTCCTTGGTCATTGATATCCTATTGAGTTGGTTCAGTAATCTACATCCCCTTGTATTCGGAGCCTTTGCTTCCGACATTGGAACATCCTACCTTCAACGTCCCTGCCAGTGAATGCTCTACTGCATGTATGTTAGTCCGTTATACTGTTCGCTTACATTGAGATGTAAGAACCGGAGCGTTTCGTAAAGCGTAGACTGACGCTTCTGAGGTTTCTACCAAGAGAGGTGTGAAGGTCGTGATGGTTGGAGATTATCATATTGTCCTGGAGAGCCGAGTTCTGTTTCATGAACGGGAAAGTGCTTTGGCAAGAGTTGCATGGGTGGCATCAAGTCTTTCGAAATACTCGATAGATGTGGAACATTGCTGAGAATGAAAAGTGTTGGACACAATATTTTGATTATCATCTATTGAATCCACTGCCACAGGGCATCGCTGCCTGTCGTTTCTCTTCCTTCGTGATCATCAGAGGATGACTCCCGCTTCTGACCTGTCATTGATCCTCGTATCCACATCTTGACACCATCCATGGTTTTTTTCAACTGGTCTCGAGCTACCTTAAGGCTGTGGAGCACCACCAGGCATGCCCATGTTTCCCATTAGCGCTCCAAGTGTAGTCACTGGTCCGACCTGAATCCCAAAACCGCCGGCCAGAAGACCCGGAGGCAGGATACCAGGAGGAAAACCTGGAGGAAGATCGGGCTCTTCTTCGGGCTCACGAGGAAAGTTGAGGACCACGAAAGGAACGTGTCCGTGATCGAGCGCATCCTCGGCCAAGCCAGGGTTGCGCTCTTCAAACTTGAGCTTGACGATGTCATCGGAGAACTTGGTCATGTGTGCTGCAACTTCTGGTTTCGGAAAGTCTCGCGGGAAGGCCCAGCCTTGGAATGCTTCGCGGGGTGGTTTGGGTTTGGATAGCGTCTTGTGAAGGCGTGGGCGGTTGAGTAAGCCTTGGAAGTTGACGCACGAGATTGGGAAAGAACCGAAGTTGTTTGATCGAAGCTCGGCCTCGCCCTGAAAGAAACGAAACGTGTTAGCGGAATCCTCTCGAGATGTACAGAGAACTTACTGCAGTGACTCTGCTCAAAAACTCCGAGTCTGTGTTCAAAGGCCGCCAAACATCATCTTGATCGTCCGCAGAAAGCCATCCTCTTGCCTGGTCCAACATTGATTTGCCCAGAGTGACTGCATCATCGGCCAAGGTCGATGGCTCATGCATGCGTAGCCACGCCACGTAATGACTCAGCAAGACCCGGAGGCTAGCTGGGATTAGATGGCGATGGTTTGGGCGGAACGTATGAAAGTCCAGATCCGCGATGAGTTGAATACAATCCCTCAGATGAACATTGTCCCCATTCTTCAGGCAAAGCTTTGCGATTGTGCACAGACAGTCGAACACCAGGCACAGAACAGCCATTTGCCACGAGTCTGCGATCTGAGTCTGGTAATCCTCCTCGTCAAGCTCGTCAAAGGGCAACAAGCACAAACTGATCGTTCTACCGTGCATGTTAACATCGGTGGTCACAGAGGCGTTCTTCCAGAAGCCTATAATATTCAAAGGCCATCCTGCGCAAGCGAGGTCGGTGTAAGAGTGGATGAGATCCAGAAGACGAGCCGAGTCCTGAGACAGGATTGTGTCGAGATATCTCTTTTGAGCTTTGAGGAGGTTGTAAAGGTCCCAGCCGACAGCATTGATGGACAGAACGCGTGGCGTTTCTTGACCCACAACTTTATGAACGATGTCCTTGTCCACTCCGACGACGGAGATTCTCTTTCCACAACCAGTAGAGAAGTTGAGAGGGTCAAGCAAACGGACTTGTCTAGCCCGGCGTTCGGTAACGGTAAAATCCTGACGGTGCGACGGATTGACTTTCCAGACTACCTTGATCTGAGTATCGACATTGACAGGGACGTGCTCGACGGGAGTGACGTCGGACTCGGACATGATGTAAATGGGCTTGGAAGGCCACATGTGATACGTCAAGCGCAATTCTCGCATAAGATGTTCGAGATCGGCGACCAGAAACAAGGCGTGGGTTGCTCGGTCTTTGCCCTTGTGCTTTTGGGGGTTGCAGCATACACAAAGAGTCTCCCCGACATGGGTGATGGTGGCTTCGATGGCAGGGTTCCTGAAGGTTCTGGCGGCCTTGGCTGTAGCGACAGTAGGCAGGAAGCGTCTTCTGTCAATCTCGAAGGCGAAGAACTTTGAGCTGATGAGTGCAAATTCGTTTTGACTATGCAGATAGGTGGTGGCGTTCTCCTTCATATGTTTGTTGACACGCATGATGGACGTGTCGAATTTGTATTTGTAGCCAGGCCATTTCGCGTCGGTCGATTACTTGACTTTAGCAGCGAGTAAGAAATGAGAGAAGATCTCGTTCTTGATCTCAGGGGGAAGAGTCTCTAGAGTCAGCTTGACACGGTTGCTCTGGGTATGCTGACCCGTGCTGTCTGGAGTGTTGTGATGCATAGTAGCAACTGGATGTTCGATGCGTAGCTGTTTCGATGTGAGCCTGCAGTCTAAAAGTGTGCAGGTGGAATGGACAAACCTCGGACAGGCTGTCAGAGACGGTGATATCGGGGGGAGTGGAAGGTGCCATGTCGACAGCGCGTTGCTGATGACTTCCTGAAAACAAGTCGCTCCTTCTGCTGTGATGGTTGAAGATCGAGAAGGAAGTCTGAGTCGTCTGAACTCTTTTCCACCGGTGTTAATGCAATCAGAATGGAAAGAATTAGATCGTTGATAGTACCTTTTCGCTTGGAGGATTGGAAACAACACCCAGCTTCACGGCACAAACGACAAACAAGAGGCCACTGACTGGCGGAGAGTTTGTGTCGCACTTCTGGCAAACCTCAGGGGAGAAAAGAAAACAAGATACTTGGCCATTTACTCAAGTGCCTTCTTTATCAAGAGAGTGCGATGCTATCCAGAAGGTTCCCAGCGGTTACATGCATGCAAACGAGAGTCACGGAAGAGCTTTTATATCTAGACGCGCTGCATGCCTATCATTGCACCAAAATTTCTATTGAAGGTGCACGAATACTGAGAGGCCCTGAGTACTCTCGGCTGGCTGTGTCAGAAAGCGCACCATGTTTGAACGGCAGCAGGTGGAAGTTGTAAGGAAGTGGACTCTTTTGGGACGTGAAAACAGCACCTCGTCAATGGTATCAGGTGGCAGACACACGTCCAATAATATGGCACCAGGATAGTGCCGGAAGATGCATGTCTTTTCCAAAAGATTGGACCTGCAGAAGAACGACAGGTCAGAGAGATCGACAAAGGGACAGGTTCTTGGCAGCGGGCGGCTCTGCGGAAGAGCGCGCGCGCGAGCAAGGGCCACGTTACGAAAGGAGAAGTGTGGACCTGCGTGGTGTTTCATCGACACTGTTGGATCAAGGGAAAAGTTGCTGGCGGGCATCTCTTATACATAGTCTGTTGTAAAGCAATACCGTTGCTGGTTGCAAAATCCAAGCGCCGGTGCATGTCTGCTACGCTGTCCAACCAAGATTTACACGCGCATCCCCACTCTCAGATAGTGGATATCGATAACGAGCCGAGCGATATCCGTCTGGACACGTTTGTATCCAGAGAAAACAGAAGACCACGACCAATCGACGTAGGAGCTGCCAACTCGCACCACTCGCGTCCGATAGACATCAATTTGGCCAACTCGCCTGCTCCGATGCCCAGGAAAGCCAACGGCGCATCCAGCAGACCTAGCAGGGCTACGGGCTCTGCTCCCTCGTCCGCCTCGTCCACCGCAGACGAAAACAACATGTCTGGAAATCTGCTCGAACAACGGCGCAAGCATGCCTCGCTCGAATCGCCAGACTCTGCCACCATGACGGCCAACCTCATGAGCAGGAGTTCTTTCACCCTCGACAATGAACCCCCGCCGACGACCCACAATCAACAGGCCGCTTCCAAAGGCTTCACAGACCTCCCCGAGCAAGACAAGCGCAACTTTCTATTACTCGTCTTGCTGTACTTCTTGCAAGGCATTCCCATGGGTCTGGCCGCCGGCTCGGTTCCTTTCCTCCTCAAGTCACATCTCTCCTACGGCCAGATTGGTGTTTACTCGCTCGCATCGTACCCCTATTCGCTCAAGCTGTTATGGTCACCCATTGTCGACGCTGTGTGGACGCCCAAGTTGGGCAGAAGAAAGAGTTGGATTCTGCCCATTCAGACAATCAGTGGTTTTGGCATGATCTGGCTTGGCTCCCATGTCGAGGAGATGATGGTCAAGGCTGGTGAAAATGGTGGTGCTGGTGTCTGGAACTTTACTGGATGGTGGTTCGCTCTGGTCCTGATGTGCGCCACCCAGGATATTGCTGTTGATGGTATGTGTGCCCTTGACCTTTGAGACGACTCCATGCTAACATTGTCTAGGCTGGGCACTTACCCTTCTATCACCGTCCAACCTCTCTTACGCCAGTACCGCCCAAACCGTTGGTCTTACCGCTGGCCAGTTCCTCTCCTACACCGTCTTCCTCGCTCTCTCCTCCAAGGACTTTGCCAACAAGTGGTTCCGCAGTGTACCTGGAGAGCACGGTCTCCTTACACTGGGCGGCTACCTCAGCTTCTGGGGATGGGCATACCTCCTTGTTACTCTCGGCCTCGCTCTGCTCAAGAAGGAAGACAAGACGAAGGAAAGAGACGGCATCATGGAGGTCTACAGAGTCATGGGTGGCATTCTGAGCCTCAAGAACATCCAGACATTCATCGTCATCCATCTCATTGCAAAGATTGGCTTTCAGGCGAACGACGCCGTCACCAACCTCAAGCTGCTGGAGAAAGGCTTCAGCCAGGAAGATCTCGCTTTGACCGTTCTGATCGACTTTCCCTTCGAGATCTCCTTAGGCTACTATGCTGGAAAGTGGAGTGAGCAATATGCTCCCATGCGTCTTTGGTGTTGGGCATTTGTTGGCAGACTCGTCGCTGCTGCTTTTGCTCAGTTCACGGTCATGATCTTCCCCAGCGGCGGTACTAACCTGCCATACCTCTGCGTCGTCATTGTTGAGCACGTCTTCAGCACCTTTATGAGCACCGTCATGTTCGTCGCCGTCAGCGCTTTCCACGCAAAGATTGCTGATCCACATATCGGTGGCACCTACATGACTCTCCTCGCCACGTAAGTTCCTTTCGTTTTATCCTTCGTCTTGTCGTACACACTAACACCTTTCCCTTGCAGTGTTAGTAACCTTGGTGGCACCTTCCCTCGCTTCTTCATCCTCAAATTCGTCGACATGTTCACCGCTGCAACATGCACACCCGCCTCCATCCCACCTCCCGACTTCAAGGGCGACCTGATCACCAAGCCCTTCTCCTGCGCCCTTGAGAACGACCGCCACATCTGTGTCAACGGAGGCGGAACTTGCAATATTACCACTGATGGATACTATATTGTCAATGTTCTTTGCATCATTATCGGTGTAGTGACTTTCTGGGGCTTTATTAAGCCCAAGGCACTGCAATTGCAGAGTTTGCCTTTGAGAGCGTGGAGGATTGCCGAGCAGTAGTGTTGGAGATTGGGCATTGTTTTGCATATCTGCATCTTGTTTCTAGAAATAAATGTCTTTGTAAACCTTGTCGCACAAGCAAAAAGCATTGTTGTTATTCATATCGAGCATTCACAAGCGATTAGTTAAGGGGTCTCAAGGGATTGAACTTTGCACAATCATAATCTGCATTTCTTACTACGCTCTCTTCTGATGTTACTGCGCCCCTACCTGTAACAAGCCCACTCAACTTCTCACCTCGTCAAATAATCCAAAGGAAACCCCAAAACAGCACACTGCTCCACATCTCTAAACGGCATCATCACCGAATCCCACTGCAACTCCATCATCCTCGGCTGACTCGCAATAACCTTCTCCCAAGATCCCGATTTTGCAATCTGTCCAATAGTACTCCAATACCCTCTTGCCCTCAAATATGCCTCTGGCGGATTCGGGTCACCACCTCTTGCAAAAGCAGTCCAATAATCAGTGATGAGGCCACCAAACTTTGCATCCAAGCCATCGCGGTCGGGGAAGCCTACTCGAGCTACATTGCCAAAAGTATTTGCGAGATCGCCGGCGTGACATTTGAAGTACTCGAGCGAGGGATCGCCATGAGGGTGAGAAGGAGTTACAGGGGCAGCACAGATGCCATTGGGGTTGTATCCTGGATCTTGGTATGTGCGGTTGAATTCGAAAAACCATGTGTTGGGAAGAACTCCATTGGCTACACCTGCGTAAGCGGAAAATTGGTTGACGCAGCGGAAAGAGGCATCGGTCGATATGCGGGTGGTGGTGTTGAAGACGTCCAGGGTGGCGTTATTGGTTGCGCTGGTGCCTAGGGGGAAAAGACCAGAAGAGAGGATGGAAGTGGCGTCGAAGTGGTTCGCTGCTGCTAGGTCTTCGATGCCGGTAGTGAGGTCGGTGGTTGGGTAGATTGTGCCGAGCACGCCTTCCTCGTCGCGGTTCACACCTAGCATGAGAGGAACGCGGTTTGTCGTATTGGTGGTGCTGTTGAGGTCGATGAAGGTGGACAGGAGGTATGTGCCGTCGACGACAGGGTAACTCGAGATATGTCAGTACTGTGAGCTCATGTATGGTTGGCTTAAACCCACTTGAAGACAGTCTTGAGACTGAGCAACGCAGTAGCATTGTAAGCTTGAAGGCAAGCCAACTGGTCGGCAGCGGTAGCACAACCCGTCTGGTTGAGAATAGGCACCGTGGTCTGGTTGATAGCAGTAGCCAGAGGAACATAAGGCTGATAGTAGTTCGATTGCAACATCGCGCCGTGGAAAAGGCCTTTACCCTTTGGAGAAGCAATGAGAGCATTCACAGACTCTGCCCCGGCACTCTCGCCGAAGATGGTAACACGAGATGGGTCACCTCCAAAGTGTTCAATGTACTTCTGGACCCATTCTAGGCCAGCGATCTGATCAGAAAGGAAGTAGTTGCCATTGTGGACGCCGTCGTTGAGAGCAAGGAAGCCGAGGGTTGACAGACGATAGGCAATGTCGACAACAACCACATCTCCGCGTGCAGCCAAATTGCCACCATCGTTGGTTGGATTGCTTGCAGATCCAGTCGTGAAACCTCCACCATAGATGTATACCATCACTGGCTTGAGTTCCTTCTTTGCAGATGGACCAGGCAGATTAGTCGTCCATATGTTAAGGAACAAGCAATCTGTGGATCCATTGTTCGGTAGAGTCAAACACTCAGGCGCAGGCTCGAGAGCTTCATTAACTCCTGTCCCGTCATAGACAGAAGAGTAGGTGAATCTCTCGGGCTCAGCAGCAAACCGAACTCCCATGAATCGGAAAGTCAAGAAGTCGCGGTATCCAACCAGTGTCTGTGAGCCAGCAATTTGGGAGATTTGATATGGTGGAGAGGTGTTCGCATATGTGATGTTGGATGCTGGTGCGGTCTGAGAACACAGAGTGGGGAGTTTTTCGCTGCAACTGACGGGGTGTGTCTGTCCGTGAACATCCATCGCTGTACATTTTGGTGCCTGGTGAGGAGGTCCTGGGTGTACGGGAGGTCCGGAATGTCTTGATTGCAGTTTCGAATGGAATTGACTGATCCACATGAGCTGGTTGCTTGCAAGACGCCTAGTATAGACCTCGTATGCAAGCGAGCTGTTCAATCCAGCTGTGAAGGGTTTGGCAGAAGAAGGTGACCACAGATCCTCGGACAGCGACTCGCATGCATGAAGAGCAGATGTCAGTGTGACTGGACTGCTCAAGAGCAGTGCGGCACTCGTAGTGCTATTGTCCGTTGCTTTGAGCATCTGTCAGTGATGTACGAGTAGTCTGAATATTGAATACATACTGATCAAGTCATCAGCAGCTAGGATATGGATGTCTCCAAGCTGGTTCGTACTGGGAGATGCAAGAGCATTACTTCCCAGAAGGAGCAAACCAAAGGAAATGCGATTCTTCATCCTGTCTCTGATGAACCGAAATCGCAGAGGCTCGGATCGACTTAGTAAATTCGGGCCACACCAGCACTTATATAGCTCTGTACCTACAACTCGTTGTTACAACATCAATGACGATGCTGCTGGGCTCCATAGCGGTATACCGGCTACTCGGCACACAGTCAGTGATCCCCTCAACTACTTCATGGCTGTCTTGGCGGCTAAATCGTACATCCTGGTCTCAATGAACAACGAGATACAAGTTTCATGCAGAAGGGGAGAGAAACAATGACTACCCCACTGGCTAAATATGCCGCTGCCGTTTACCCCACACTCAGAGCGGAAAGTGCAATGCATGTGCGGGCCTAGTCTGCTCTTCTAGCCGATGTGCCAGAGAAATGGTAGTTCAAAAGGAATGAGTGATATACCAGGCAGAAAAAGATGAAATGAACTCGTGGTCGGAGTGAGCACCTCACACGCTAAATTCGAGTCGGTTTCCAGCGTAATCTCTCGCAAAGAATCTGCTTGGGTACTCTACCCCTTTTGCGCCTGTTCCGTGTCATCAGTTTGAGGCCTGCAGAGTCATACAGAGTTGTGCATCAACATACCTGAGTTCTCCGCTCCAGGCTTATCAGCCGCTTTGGGGGCTCCTTTGCCTCCGGCTTCGAAATGCTCAAACACGCGTTTCTGGAGCTTCAGAAGAGCTTCTTGAGACTCTACGCGGAAACATGGGTGGCGAGAAGATTCCTCACTATCTGGGCCGAAGGCGATATGGACTTGCTGACCGTTTGGTGTGATGTCGAACCTGAGTGTTGCTTGTGAGTCACGGCTCTGAACATTGGGCGTGTCGCCGATGGGCGACTAGATATGACATACCAAGCAAGCCTGTCCTGTTTTTGCAAGCGATGAGTACAAGAAGCGGATTGCATACACTGAGAGAACCTTACCTTTTGTAAAGCGGGAACCGGGACGCGCTGCATACCAAGAGTCTTGCTGTAGAACTCCTCCGCTTCATCTAGCGAGTTCGTGGGAACCGTAAGATTTATGTGGGCGATACCTGTCAACATGATGCGCCGGATTCAGCACTCAGTGAGGACACAAAAGATTGCTGGAAAACGGAGTATGTATGATGCTGGTGTGGATTGTGATGTGATGGGAGGTCGAGTGTGTGGAAGGAGTGTGGGGTATCATTGAGAGTCATCAATTAGGGCTATGCCGAGTCCCGGTGACCCAAGACGAGATCGGTGGTTGGGACTTCCTCTTCGTCGCGTTCTGTTCATACGCTCAGCATCCGTAATTCTGTGTGGACATGCTCTAGATGATATGATCATCTTGAATGGCTGAGTGGCCTCACAGAACCCTGCTGAGTTGGTTTTGAGAATAGGAGCCGGGTTAGACTCAACTTGCTGCCAGTGTGGACAGCTGCCAGCACCATGCTTGCACGTGCTGTCAGCGAATTTGCGGCTCGGGACGGGCAGCATTGCAGCAATACTTGGGCTTCAAGTCTTGCGTGCCAGCAGGTTACTGTCGCAACGTGCCTGATGATCCTAAACAAATAGTCCTCCTCTCCTCTATATGCGACGCAAAGTTGCCGAGACGCGATTGTGGAAAGATGGAAGTGGTCAAGCCTCAGGGCCTGGACCGGTCTTTCTTGTGTGGAGAAATTTTGGACCACGCATGCCAACCTGTCGCGCCTTTCTGGCTTCGATTTCGCCCATTCACAGCACTTCATAGAGATCTTGCGCCGTGAGGAGGATCCAGTGCGCAGACTGTTTCGACTGTGTTCGATTCACAACCGACGCCCATCCCCGTTTTGTGCAGGAAACGCTTCGCTACCTGGAGGCTTGCCGTCCGTTGAACTCCTTTCCAACCTGTCAGGCTGCCACACATCGCGGCTCGCGCCTTGACTAATAAGAAGCAAGTCCAGACCCTGGTCTCGCAGGAGTGCATGTAAGTAAGAGTGCCACTCCGGAGATCAGACTCCGGCAACGGGCTGGAACGTCAGTGCCAGGGCCACTCATCAGTCAGGCCACACTGCCACGGATCCAATCTCGACCCTAGGAGGCCCTGGCCGCACGGGTATACACTGCGCGAGAGATATGATTCGTCGCTTCTTATTATCTGGTGCTCTTCCCTTCGACAAGATCACGTCTCCACTCGGACGCGACTTGATCCCGAGTATAACCATTGTTAGCACGATGGCATGGTTCACTGTCTGGTCAAAAACAGACAGCCAGCAGTCAGCCCTGACTTCGGCATGCGTATCGGGCGTGCCTTGAATCATACCTCGACCTTAGTACAATCATCTCTGCGGACCGATCGGACGCAAGAACAACGTGGACGCAAGAACAACGTGGACGCATAACTATCTGATCAGAATGGCATCCCTTGAAGATCGGATTTTGCTAGGAGATCGTTCCGTATGTGTGCAATTCACACGAGCTGTAGCAGACCGGTCTGGGAACAGTCAGGCGGCAAGCCACTGCACCGCCCGGGGCGCCTCTTTTTGTCCGCGTCTTGTCTAGAGCTCGGCGGCGGATGCATGCTTTCACCCTTGAATACGGAGCGTCGATCAAAGTTTGGCGGTATTTTTGAATTGTGTGGCGTCCTGCAAGTATCAGTCGTTCCTCTCTGTGCAGCGAGTCCATGCCAACCTCCAAGATATATCCTCTTCCTCCCCCATTTCCTATCAAACACACTCTGAACCTCTGTAACATTTCAAACACTATGGCAGTCAACCCGCCATCAATTATCCAAGCAAAACGTGCAAGCTTATCCTTGTCGTTTGAACCTATCAATAACATCAAATCGGCGATGTCAACGCAAGCACTCGCATTGGAGAAGCTTGGCCAATCTGTCAACATGGACGTCTTTCAAGAACTCCTCGACCTTGACTCACCAAGCGAGATGTTCAGCAAGGATATCGTCTGTGAATATCTAGTCATGGCTCCAGAGACGTTAAGCACCATGAATGATAGCCTGTATGTCTGACCCTGCTTCCAACATGCTCATATTCTGACATTTGTATCTCTCAGCATTCACGTAAATCTATCACGACTTAACACAAGTGCACAATCCCTTCGTTGCGCGTCCCTGGTCTTGGGCCTCACACGCATCGAGAAGGCATGCGCACGGATAGAGGTCATTCTCAATCTCTGTATCGACCTTCACTACAGTGGCTTTGCCCTAGATCAAATCTGTGACGCCCTCGCCTACGTTGTCAAGGATGCACGTATGCATTTCGAACTGGCAAGAACGGCATTTTCTTTATTCTACGACTTGCCATTACTCTCCCCACGAGAAGACGCTTCCGACACATCGTTTGACAGCATGACGTTGTGACCGACTCGGTTTCCAGACGTCCTTGCTGGCCAAGGTCATCGGCGATCACCTTTACTTTCAACCTCCGAGGTTACACTGCTTCCGGTGTGGAGCTCTGCTTCTATACTCTTGTGCTAGCATCTCCCACGATGCATGCCGAGCCTTCCTCTACGCCTACTTATACCCTTTTCTGGTATACCAGACACTTTGACCCTACGATACCCCCACTCGTTCTTTTCTTTTTTCTTCCTTTGCTTGTAGTCTGGTTGCAACAGATGTAAAGCAGAGCAAAGGCTCTCTCATGGGGCTGAATTATGTATGTCTTGAATAGAATATAATTTAATGCACGAAACGATGTATTTCACCTCCCAATTTTCCACCTCTCACTCCATATCAGAAGGTGCAATCCAAGTTACATGCATGGAGTATCCCGCAGGATATCCAGTTGTCTTGTCGTGGCATGAGATCTCACGAGTAATTATTCGGACAATGCAGCTGTTTGTCGAACATGCATGTGTGTTTCGAGCCACCTCCCAAACAGGCTTCGATCTTTCCAAGAGCGTTGGACAATACCTCTGGACAATTCAACATATGAATATTTGAGAAAAAGAGGTGGGTGTTGCCCACACATCCATCAAACTCTGTAAGATCTATGGCTGAGAGTATCACCCTGCTCAAGTCTTCTTTTTTCTTTTTTCTGTTTTCCCTTTTTTCTTTTTTCTTTTGCAAATACTCCGCCTGACCCAGTGGATTCCCTGCTCAAGTTCTTAACATGCTACCATCTGATTTGACCCAAAGCTACTTGCAAAAAGTCCCGATACTTTCTCATCTGGTTCCTTGACATAAGATGACTACTCATCATGTATAATTTCGATCATCTGATGCTCACAACCCTTCAAATACATGGCAGCAGTATTGCCCAAACCTTGTGCAATCATTCGAATCAGTATTGTCCGAATGTTGTTATCAGTTTCACGACACATCGCGCAGTTGTCTTCTCGAGTGACTTTACAATTGCCAGACGTAGGAGTTTTATCGGTCTTGGTGAGTAATCCTTGTACAAGCTCGTCACTTTGTCAAACCTGGACGACACGCGAAATCACACTCGAGGGTCAACGACTTCCATATATCAAGATAACCAGCCAAAACAGTTCATTTTACCAAGTCTTCCAATATCGGCGATGACACGTAACAAGTCAGACCAACATTGCTATCCAAAACATCCATCTTCCACACTCAAGAAAACTCAGACTTCTGATCAGCTCCCTCCACCGGTTTGGTGTATCCCAATCGATCCTTGTTGTAAAACTCAACCTTGATATCATGATTAGCAGCACCACCATCCAAGCCCCCGCTTTTGACACAAGTCATGTCCGGCATGATCTCTAACTCGGTGTACAAAGAAGACCCGCAAGTTGAGCAAAACCAATGCTTGTTAATTTTCCCAGAAGCACCAGTGGCATCGTAGTCTTTGGGCTTGCCCTTGGTGACGTTGAAGCTTTTGCGTGGGACTACGACGTTAGAGGTGTAGGCTGCGCCGGTCCATTTCTGGCAGTCGGTGCAGTGGCAGAGGGCTGTTACTTCTGGTTCGCCCTGAGGACGGGGTTAGGGTGTAGATGGGCAATGAAGAGCGAGTTAGCTTACGGTGTATTCATAGTGGACTTCGCCACACATGCAACTGCCTTTTGCCATTGTGTATGAGATCTTCCTGGTGTAATGGGTGGTGGTTTCGAATTGGTGCGGAAATGTGTTCCGCGGTGGAGAGCAGATGCGGGGTGTAGAACAAGATGCCGATACACGACAATCGACGTCAAGACTAAAGCAGATATGAGCTCGGGCAGGTACAGGTCAAGGAGGAGGATCAATTGAAGAAGGGAGAATGGTCTATTTGAAGACAGTGCCCCCACTTACATAGAGGTGAGACTGGTTGCAAGAGCCGCCTTACCCCTCATCGACTGCTATGTAATTCAGGACGCCACCTTCCGTATCACCGACCACGAAGGGTTCTCCTGGCCGGGTCCTACATGATCGTCGCTCAACAGGATGCGACGTGACTGTCTGAAGGATTGTGTGCTGGCGCGCGGACTTGTTGAAGGTAAGAGACAACCATGACGCAGGTCTTGCTGAGTTGAGCAGCGTTTAGAATTCGGTCAAGATATTGACTCGACCGTGTCTTGTCTTGCGGCAGTCAGACCCATGAACTTACATGAGGTTCTCCAGCTAGAGGCTCGGGTGGACGTTGTGGATCATGCAGAGAAAGGTAGTGCTTCGATCCTCGAATGCCTGACTTCTGCGAACCCACCCAGTATGCTCGAAGCCCACCTACGACCGATTGAACGAAGATATCAAAGGGAGCTTGTGACATGCGAATTACGAAGCAGAACGCGTGTAGTCAGATCAGAGTGTGCGGGCCATGCATGGCAGCAACTCTGCAGCTCAACAAGTCTCGAGATGACTTGATATTGCGTGGTGCGCCAGCCCCATTGAACACCGTATCCGTGTATGTGTGTATTCCCTTCTCTTTTCTCTTTTGTGCTGTATGGAGCTGTTTGAAGTCGTGGTGATCCATTGTTCAGGAGATGGTCACGGATGCAGAGCAGTAGGATTCATCGATGTTCTTGACGAAGGGGCGGCGGTCCACAATCGTGTGTATGAAAGCCAGAACTGTTCGACATCTTCTTCAATCAAAGGGGCAACGAGGCAGGTGCGACTCTTCCTCTGTGAGATGTGGAGTGTCGTGCTGTGCCTGCCACAACAAGGAAACGACCTGTGCCGGCAACTGCCGTAAAGCCAGTCATGACCTGCAAGCGCGAAGACTGATCGTGATCCAACCTCTCGTCGTCCTGCTTGTCAAACAACCTTCACGACAAGTTTCTGAGACGGAAACATAAATGTTTCCACTGCTACATACAGATGTCTATGGTTTAGCATGGTCTCCACACTGTTCGTGGCAGAACGATGAGTGTCTCAACGGACATCGTCTCGCATCTGTCTTCTTCATCATCTGCTTTCTGAATCTATCACCTCTGACATGGGTAATGTTTTATAGAACATGAGTGACCTATCATCGGCTCGTGTCTCGGATACAGCCACCAACTTGCTTCGTTGGTAAGGAAGTGAGGACGTAAAATCGGCTTCATACATGCATCCCGGTCAATTTTCCGTTTGTGCCCATCACACCGTCAGTTTCACTCGTCTCCAGAAAGATTTCCCCCCTACGCTCTTGTTAGTCTTTTGCACTTTCACTCTCGTTCAGTCCCTTTGTTTTCCTCGAGTCATCCACTTCCACCACCTGCCTCACTCATCGTCAAACACCTGACTATTACCTTGAGCTCCGGCGTCACTCGAGCTTCTCAGTCTCGGCGTGAGCTCAAAACATCACTCTGGTAAACAAACCCAGATTGGTTGTCACCCTTGATCAGCTCCCGCATAACATCACGCCCACCAGCTTCACAGAAAGTGGTGATCGTTCTATTGGTAAGTCCAATCTTGTTCCATCAGCACTTTGACCCGTCTCGTGCACAGCGTCCCACTGTCCCCGTTCTATCATCGCAATTCGTTCTTCGCGTCCGCCAACACGCCGGAGCTGACTAAAGCCGTAGACGAAGATGGAGTCGAACAACAATGCGCTTAGCGTAAAGGACTTACAGGATCTCATCAACCATGTTGCCCTGCCACCTCAGCTGCCTCAGAGCGAAGAGCCTGACCCGTCCAGGATCAACGGCAATCTTATGAAACTCCTGCAAGATGTCGCCGAAACCTTCGATCTCCGCACCTGCGCTGCCTGGGCCTCTGTTTCCAAGATGCTTTCAGCACTCGACAAGACCGAACAGGCAAAAGCTCTGAACGATGTTTCGCTCCGCGCTGATCTGAAGGCTCTGAAATCTGGCGGTGAGTGTCAAGTATAGTCATTCAGAATATCATCTGACATCCTGTAGACTGTTTCGCACTTCACCTTCCGTTGCACAACTCGGCTCTCTTATTCCTACGCAAGGACATACAGACCATTGTCGTCGAAGCCTTCGAGCTCTCCGCTTCGAACGAGAAGGTCATGAGCACACAAGGCCGCTTGACTAGAGACTTCCCTGGTCGTGCAGTCACTTGTTCCTCTGACAAGTTCTTCGATACATATCTCCAAATCGAGTTACACACTGCACTTGATCGGCTCAGGCTCGAAGGTCCACCAAAGTCTTATCAGCCTCGGACTGTCCGCTCCGGTCATGCTGTGCACGAAACAAGAGACACCATGCTTCCTGGATTCGTGAACGACTACCTGATGACGATCCTCAGTGTAGTTGGAAAGAATCACGCTTCGGTCACTAGTCGGAAGAACACTCGTGATGACGTCCTCTGGAACGACACGAAACTTTGCTGGCGGAGGCAACCCTTCTGGCTTCTCTGCAAAGTTGCGGTCCTGCGTACACTTTCGCTCATGTTGCCGCCAGAGGAAGCTCAAGAGCAATACAAGCTCTTCATGCTCGATGTCGTAGCTCGTCTTCTGAAACTTTATTGCCAGATGTCTGCAGATCCTCACATGCTTTCTGTCGTACACGCTAAGCTTGCACGACGTGCTTTGAAGTTTGAGCAGAAGTATGGCAGACCGCCCAGCGCTCATATCCTAGCGATATCAAGCAATGCTCGAACAACTCTGGAAAAGATCTGGTCACAGCACACCGGCAAGATTGACACCGGCAAGATTGGGAGCATTGAAAAGGTTGCTGTGCGGACTTGGACAGACGCCACCCTTCTAGCTCTGCCTAGAGTTAGGGAACAATTGACTCGAGTGCTCTCTCCCCCGGATTGTGTGAGGACCACACGCAAGTTTACTCCGGACTCACAACCGCGCTGCTCCCAGGACCCAAGTGTGCTTCCGTCACTCATGCCCTCCTCGGACAAGTTTTCATTGACCGAGCTTGTGGATGTCGAGACCTGGGTGGAGCACAACCTTGCCTCATGGACCAAATTTGCCTTGAGCAAAGAAATCGATGCACCTTGCGACAAGCTGGAGAGACTGATAAGAACTTACTGGTTGCGAGCGTCCATACGGTATAAGGGCATCCCGACCGCACTGTCGTATGCCTTGCTCGTGATTCTCGAACTCTGGGTTGCGCTCGACAAGATCTGTATCTTACAGATACCCTTGATGGCGGAATACTCTCCAACACTATCAGCTACCGTTGTGCAATGCCTTCTGCTTTCCAAATCACACCAGATGCAACGCCTTTATGCTGTAGAGTCGTACATCAAAGCACGTCAGTCGCAAGCAGCGCTTTCCCAGCCAAGCGTGTTTGCAGAACCTACGCAAGACAGTCTGTGCGTCCGATACTATGATAGCTCTCCACCGCTCCAGAATCTTCGTGCAAAGATCGATAAGCATGATGAAGAGGAGAAAGCAAAGAAGGCTTTGGAGTTAGCTACAGCCATGGATTGTTACAATAAACTCATGGCCGATGCTAAGGCGCTTGAATGCAGTCACTACAACGATCGTCGGGGCGCAAGACACCACAGTCCCGGCTGCGTCAAATGTCAGAAAGAATCTCAAGCAGCTGCGAAGCGAATCAAGTACGTCGAGAAGTCCCTACCAGAGGATATCGTACAGCTCAAGGCTGCCATATTCGAGATACAAGTCCCTGTCGAATTCGCTGCTTGGAGAGACGCCACTTGGTTTATTCTCAACGACGTTGGGCAACGTAAAGCCAGCACTGGCGTGCCCGCACACGTCACGGTACTAAGCTATGCTCAGTTGAAGCCTTATGCCATTCGCAAGACGATGCGCGTCACTCTTGGGTCCTATACGAAGCCTACAGCCTCTATCGCTCACTATGAGTACAAAGCTCTTCCCACCTCAATGCGAGAGCTATGTGTTCCCAACAATCTCAAGTATAAGGTTCGCGATACATCGGCAACCAGATGGGTGGAATGGTCTGGCGCCGCACTCAACTTCAGACCCTATTGTACTCTCTCTCTGCCCCCTGGGGCATACTCGAGTCTCGATTGGGCTATGCGTACTAGCGAGCACTCCACTAATGAGGTCTTGTCACGGCAAAACGAATGTGACGTTCGCCTTGAAAAGAATGAGTATCTTGCTTTTGGCAACCTTCGAGCTGGAGAGCGGATCCAATGGATTAACATTCTACGTGAACTGGGCTGTACAAATCTCGATTTCACACATCCTGCTGTGGCTACTCTTGTCCTGCAGGCAGTTTGGGAGGCGGGCACCCCCTCGAACAACGTTCTCCGAAATGCACATGCTGAGTTTGCCAATCCTACGTTCTGTGCACGGCTTCTGTCGCTGCTTCGAAGCAAGTTGGTATCTGTCGAAAACAACTGGGACAGACAATACAGTATGATGGTTGTGATTCAGCTTACTCTTCGTCTACTGTCTTTGGCTTCCGACAGTGAGACAGAGTCAGGCTGTCTCCAGCTTCTGCACAAAGCAAGAAGCATCACGCTAGACTGGTGCCACCAGATCGAGTTGCACATCCATCAAGCATCAGGTGAGAAGCAGATCCAGAACGAAGGCGTCCAGCGTGTGCTCCTTGCTGCTTTGCTGTGTTACAGCACATTCGATGTTGAAGATCAGCACATCCGCCAGCTTCTCGACTCTGATGAAGACCTTGCCATTGTGGTCGAGGCGCAGTCTATAGTTTGTGATAATACGCCGGGAAACATTGTGTCTCTCGCTCTGTTGGTCCAGCAAAGTCTGATCCATCACCTCAAGATCGCTCACAAACTCGAGCCTCATATTCGTGTCATTCTCCAACGTCATGGCACCGGCCTCACCTCCGCCGTACGGAAGGTCTGGAATGGCGCATGCTTGGGGTCTACTTGGACCATCTCATCGAATAGCTCTTGGGTTTGGAACAACACGGTCCCTGGTAACTCAGGCCGGAGTCAACAAGTTCACTATAACCTTCTTCGCGGCAACTTGCTTGTGGACGGGAAGTCAATCGGCAAGGTTCCTGACAGCATCAAGAACAACAATCTGTTTTCGCAGTTATTCGGTGGTTCTGTGCTTCGGATTTTCGCGTCTGATATACCTGGCATGGACTGTCGGATATCACAGCACATAGAAGGCAACGAAGTCCATCTTGGGATGCGAGATGGTAAACTTATCGTCAAGGCTCGCCTCAACGGCCAGATGTTCGTCGCGATCCCTCAAAAGACGTTCAACGAGGCGTTACCTATTCATTTCGTCGAGTATTTCCACCATTGGATGAATGAGAGCACTGGCGAGATCGAGTTTCGACCCCTCGACCAGCCTTGGCACACAGATGAGGCCAATTGGAAAATGCATTTCTCAAGTATAGACTTTGGCACCGCACAAGCCACGCTCCAACAGGGCTCGAAATGTCTCATAGATGTCCACAATACTGTGGGAAGAACAGTCACGGCTGTCTTTCGTGCGCTCGATACGCCCACGCATTGTCATATCACATTCAACAAACTTGAGCAGTCGCAGCTCGAAGTTGATCTATCGAGATATAACCTGCACTTTACCGTTTCTAACAAGGGGCAAACTAAGTCCCTCGAGTTCAACGCTCTAGTTGACGCTGACCAGGAGATCAATACCTTGATAGGTTTACAGAACAAGCTTGTCCTTCGCAGCGACGCTCCGTCTGGATGTCCACAAGAGCGTCAAATTATTATACCGCTTGGGCCTGTCAAGTTCCAAAAGACAAACAATCATGTGATAGTGACCATTGGCGATTGCACAGAAACCAAGCGACGCCACTTCGTCTACAGACTGAATCGACATCTTCGCAAGCTCCAAGGCGCTCAAGACCTGCTCGGTCATCTGTACCTGGCCTATCTGCATGCAGTCACGTCATTTTGTCTTCCTGACCCTTTCACAAGGGTGTCTGGCACCGAAGAGGCTCTCACGATACTAAGCAGCGCCTCTATCTTTACCTCCTCTGCATTACAACCAAATGAAGTAGCACTGTTGGAAAAGATCTCGGCACTGACGCCTAAGCGCGAATTCTACCCACCACATCTCAGGGTCATGCAGAACGTTTCGTGGGATCCCAATCTTCCGGCCCTAGCCCAACATGACGATTTCTCGCTGGCTGTTCAATCAATTGTAGATCATCATGCTAAGTTCGAACTCGCATGCGGTTTGCAAAACACCAGTCTCGAAGGCGTAGATCGCGGAGATCCTCATCTGCTCGAACGAGCTCGAAAGCGGAACTCTGTCGTCGTGCGAGCTGGTATTGTTACCCCTGTGATCTTGTCTGGAGGGGACGACCTGTCTTACGGTGGCCGCGACAAGTTCAACAAGAATCCACAGGCACTTCGAGTGCATGATATTGCGGCTCTGGTGAAAGAATGGCCTTCTAAGACTCCTGTCCATACGGACCTCGAGGCCGTTCTCAAGAAATGGGGCAAGGTCTCTGGTTACCATACTCCTTTCGACCACGGGAGATTTTCCATGCACGATCTGACCACTCTAAATCTTTCAAACCACTGGGGATCTCTCTACGAGATGTGTCAAAAGGCTATAAAAAGTTCCATGACATACCCGCTCATGTTCACATTTTCTGCTCTGATCTTTGGAAAGGAACCTTCCAACGACCTGCGTGGAGACCTGTGTGACCTCTACACACTTCTCGCATTCGCGATGTCTCCTACTTTCAATTGTGAAGATCCGCCGCTGCATCACTGCTCATACGACTTGTCCATTGGCTCTTCAGCAGACTTCAATAGCATCAGCAAGATCGTTGGTGCACACGTATCCCAGCCAAACATAGGATTTTTCGCCTTCGAGCAGCGAAAAACTTGGAATGCGAAGAGAGATGCCCAGATTGAGCGGGTGACCGAATTCGTATTGCAGCAGTGGCCATCTGAAAGTATAACACCTCCCCCCGGCAATTATCCCGACATTCAGATGGCTCAATCAATAGCAGCATGCCAAGCCAGATTTTTAGAATGGCATAAGAACAGGCACTTCTTGAATCATATCGCATCTGTCAACAAAAAGCTCAGGCCTCTGAATCGCTCTCGAGCACCGTATGCTTGGCTGGGCGTTCCACTTATAAACTCTGATCAGCTTGACAGTCAGCTCTCCATACCCGACCTCAAATCCTTGCTTTCGAAGGACGATATTGTGGTTCAACCGTTGGCCGTCAACTCGGGTTCTTCTTCGCTTTCCTGGTCGAATGACTTCGTGGCTAAGGAGCGAAAGAATCTTGCTACTTTGGACAAGCTTGTGACGATCATGTCCTCTATGGACGGAGAAACGCGTGAGAGGTATGCATCTATCTTGCGCTCGAGCACGGCTGTCTTCCGTCAGCTCAAGCATGTACCAGGCTACCAGCGGCCACCGTTCAGTGTCAAAGCATTTCGCGATCACCGTCTAGAGCTCGCTCGTTTGGTCGACGTTCAGTTCCAAGACATCCGCCAGAAGCTGGGCCCATCAAGTTCTGCGGAGGTCATGCTGGACGATGCGGATTTGTGGCCACGCACTTCTGAGTCAGCTGTTCTTTGTAATCTCACAAATGCTGGAGCCACGAAGTTGGCCGCTCCCTGGAAGACTATCTTGTTAGCATTTGCTGAGAGACTTGCGTCTCTGCAACGTGCCGAGCGTATGCTGAAGTCAGCCAAGCTTGCAGACTACCGAAACCTCTGCAGAGAGCTTGAAACGCCTGGTAGAGAAGGATGGTCTCCTCACGAACAGCCTAGCTGGCTTCTATTAGAAATCGAGAACAATATCACCATTCGTCCATTGCAAGCCAAGGTCGCCAAGGAGATGATGTGTCCAACCTCGGGTGTTAACTCGGTCATGCAGTTGAACATGGGTGAAGGCAAATCTTCGGTCATCGTACCAATGCTTGCTACAGCTTTGGCTGATGGGGATCATCTGGTGCGCATAGTTGTTCTCAAATCACTTCTGCGTCAGACAGAACAAGTCCTTATGCAACGCCTGGGTGGACTGTTGGGACATCGCATCTGCCATGTTCCTTTCTCTCGGAAGACTACCATCAACAACAGTACCATCAGGGGTGTATCAGAGATCGCCGATGGTTGTCGTACACACCGAGGAATCATGATAGTCTTACCTGAAGAGATTCTCTCGATGAAGCTCATGTCCCGGGAGAAGATAGTCTCCGAAAGTGTCTTGGCCTCTTCAATTTTGGACCTACAGCACTTCCTGAAGACACACTGTCGTGACGTGATCGACGAGAGCGACGAGATTCTTGGCATACGCTCTCAGCTTATCTACCCTGTCGGAAGTCAGCACATGTTGGACGGCAAGAGCGACAGATGGATTATTGCGCAAGGTGTGCTTCGCCAGGTCAAGCAGCATGTTATAACCCTTGCGGAACGATTTCCTTCACAGCTCAATGCACACATGGGCAGCAAGTCCTTCCCAGATATCAAGTTCCTGGATCCTGGGGTCTTTGAGAAACTCCCAGACTTGCTTATTGATGATGCCATCGAGGGACGGATTGCCAGTGTATCGCTGCACTATCTTTCGGTCGAGTCTAAAGTTGCTATTCGGAACTTCATCAAAATTCGCAAAGTCTCTAAGCAAGATCTTGCCACTCTTTCTCGTAGTTGCATGGAAGCATCGCACTGGAAGATTGTTCTCCTTCTCCGAGGATATTTTGCCCGCGATATATTGTCCTTTGTGTTACAGCGTAAGCGATGGCTGGTCGAGTACGGTCTTGACTCGACACGATGCTTGATGGCCGTACCATATCGTGCCAAAGGTGTGCCAACCCAGAACTCAGAGTTTGGGCATCCGGACGTTGGTGTGCTGTTGACATGCTTAAGTTACTACTACACTGGCTTGAGTATGACACAGGTCGAGGACTGTTTCAAGATCTTGCTCAAGAATCCTGATGCTCAGGACGTTTACACCGGCTGGGCATTGGCAAGTGGCCTTCCTGCTGATCTTTCTTCACTGGATTCCATCAATTTGGACGATCGCATTCTTTGCAATAACTCACTTTTTCCCAGAATGCAATACAATCTCGAGTGCATAGACTTCTTCCTCAATCAGGTAGTCTTTCCTAAGGAGGGCAAGGAGTTCGCCAAACGATTATCGGCGTCTGGCTGGGACATCCCCTCAATTTCCAAATCACAGAATCTGCTTACGACAGGCTTCAGTGGGACGAACGACAGCCGCATCATACTGCCTCACTCGATTGAGCAGCAGGATCTCGATGAACTGCAACACACCAATGCCATGATGCTGGATCTCCTTCTTCGCCCTGAGAACCAAGAATACATCCATGGAGGCGGTGCTATGGGGAAGAACCTTTCCGTCACCGAGCTACTGTCTTTGCTATCAAAACAGATTCCAGCTCTGAACGTACTCATTGACGTCGGTGCCCAGGTCCTTGAAGCCACAAATCACCAGTTTGCGCGACAATGGCTCCAATGTAGAGGCGACGCAAAAGCCGCGATCTACTTCGACGATCAAGACGAACCCATGGCTCTAGATCGCAGCAACATTGTCACTCCTTTGCGCATCTCACCACTGTTCGGGAAGCTCGAAGGCTGTCTAGTCTATATGGACGAAGTCCACACTCGCGGGATTGATCTGGCAATTCCCGTTGGTGCACGCGCTGCCGTCACGCTGGGTCCCCGTCTCGTCAAGGATCGTCTCACACAAGGTATGCTTCCAGACTCAACCATTTCATTGCTGACTATGTAGCTAACTGTTATTAGCTTGTATGCGTCTTCGTCAACTAGGCAAGGGACACAGCTTGTGTTTCATAGCACCGACCGAGGTTCACAGAAGCATTTGTGGTATGAGAAACTGCGCCGACGATGCAGTTCTGACATCTTTTGACGTCCTCGCCTGGTCCATGGAACAAACTTGTCAAGCTTTGGAAATTGCGAAGCCATTACGAGCAATGCATGGCCTTGAATATCTCCGTCAACAGAGAACCATCGCTCAGCACTTGCCACCTGACTTGCCGTCAAACCGTCTTACACGCAATAAAGCCAAAGTTAAACGGTTCTGGAAAGATATCCAAGAAGATGAATCTCGGAGCTTGGAACTCTTGTATGGCGTGCAAGACGAAAGTATCGGTATGCTCCAGCGTCTACTGTGCCGAGGATCTGACGACCCGATGATGCAACACCTTGTAGCGGAGTACGATTCTATGAACACAGCTGTCATCGAGGACTGTAACGTGGACAATGAACAAGAACGTGAGCTTGCTCATGAGGTCGAAAGACAAACACATGTCGAGCGTCCCGGCCCAGCCGCGCCTCTGCAGCATATCATCGACGAAGCAATGCGTCAGTACATCAAGAGTGGTACTCGTTCGGACCTCCATCGCTGTCTACTCAAGCATGCCTTTAGGATTTTCGAAGAGACCAGCGTAGCTCAGACGATGAAACAGCAGGACATTGATCCCAGAGCTTTCGGGTTGTATGCTAGCAAAGACTTCTGCCTTACTGTTCATCTGACTCAGTCATCTTCTCGCGACCAGTATTTGCGTCCGGTCAACTGGGTTCTAAGAAGCACTCAGCACAATGACCTCCTAGTAGTCAGCCCGTTCGAGGTCAACGAGCTGCTTCCGCAAATCAAGCAATCGGAGGCGATACGCCTTCACACATTTGCTCCGCGCGTCAACAAAGCCATGGTTTCTTTCAATGACCTGCAGTTCTACACCCTCAACGCTAAATCTCGCGATGCCAACGCCGCCAGTTTAGGCCCTCTCAATCTCTTCGCAGGATCCTTGTATCTGGACAGCGAGGCCGAGTACGAAGCTCTTCGCGGTAACCTGGGCGTCAAATCTCGACACCGCCACGCTGAAAACATTCCTGTGCAAAGCGATGGCTTTGTGGAGCCCGAGATCCGCGAGAAGATTGGCTGGCCTAGGTTTTGTGCCTTCACAAAGTCACCGATTCCATTCTTGAAGGAAGTCATTGCACTTCGCAGAAACGGCCAGGGCTTTGGCCATACTCACATGGGTCATTTGCTCAGCGGTAAAGAATTGAGAGCTGATGCCTTTGATAACCTCAAGGAGGAGGAAGGAGACGAAGTCAACAGGCAGAATTAGAACGGTGCAAAAGATTACCGGTGGAGTACTGCATTGTTCTTGCGCTGGGGAGAAGGAGGAGAACGATTCCAGCAGGATGAACAGGTTTCCATAGAAGATAGGAAACCAAGCAACATCCATATGTTCACCACGTTCTTTGGATCATCCTGTGACTGATACATTGCAACTATCTTGACATCCCCTCTGCTTGCTGCTTCAAAACTTCTGACGTGGTGTTGGGTCCATCGCAACAGGAAGGTTCGATAGCAGACAACAGGCGTGTAGCTCTTTCCCTTCCTTGACTCTTTCCTCTCTGCTCACATCTACGTTTGTCTTCCAAAATATTGTCATGACACGCCAACGACAGACAAGATCTTACTCATGACGAGACTGACGAGACTGACGAGACTGACAAACACCATCTCATCCCCCACTTGCGCTCATAGAGGCTATGTAAACTACTCGATTCCCATATCCTGCACCAAACCAATCACATCTTCGCCCCTCGGTTGCCCTCCCTAGCTCGCAAAGGAGATGAGCAGCTGGCCCAGTGAGATGCGGTTGGTTTTGCATTTTGCACGTTTGTTGTAGTGGTCCAAAGGTTTAGTGTTCGACTCAGGAGGTTAGACTTTGTGGTATCTTTTTGCTTTGCTTATTCTCTTCTCTACTTTGCAGACAGAGCTGTTCATGCTGAACCAATATTTTGAACATCAAAGGTGATCTGAAGACTGATGGATGCTACAAAGTCTACTAGCCCTCTTGTATGAATGACCCAGAAGCAGATGTTTGTGCTCTTGAAGGTCGACACTTCATCCAGCCATCCTCTGCTGCTTCACGCCCTCCAACACCTCCAAGACTTGCTGTACGATTTTATCCTTTGCGTTCTTCTTGCCGTATACCCTCTCGACTTTGCCCACTGCACCGCGAAGGCAAGGATCAATCGCATGCTCGAACTTTGCTGCACCATCCCAGAAATCGGGTGTTTGGACAGACGTCGGCGAAAGTACGTATGTCGGAGGCGCGATGTTGAGCTCAGCGCAGAGGGTAGGAACCAGTGACGATGCTGATGGGCTTGCAGTCGTAGGAGTAGCGAGGGCTGCAGCAGCTGTAGAGCTGACAGGCACTTTTGGTGTGCTAGCGGCAGTGGCAAAAGGCAACGAGCCACCAAAGGCAGGTACGGCGGGAGCAACCGACGACACAACAGTAGCACAACGTGCCTTCAACACACCTTCCTCGCGCAAAGCTAATACGGCAGTACGAGCAGCAGCAGTCTTTGCGATTTTCTTGCTGGAGAAAGCGAGATTCTGGTCATTGTGGGTGGCTGAGAGAAAGGTGCAGGTTGCACCGAAGCGTTGGGGACCGAGTTCGTAGATGAGGTATTCGGGTTGCGGGATGCTACGGCCTTGACAGAATTCTGTGAGTTTGTTAGATGGAACAGCCAGCTAGGGCAACGGGGATGGATGTAATCAGTCGAAAGTATCAGGAGGTTGTTGAAGTGGAACACAAAGAGCGGAGGACGGTGTGAGAAATGCCTCTTCCTTGATCATACTCGTCACGTGGACGACTACAAGAGTGCACGAAATCAGCCGGACACGAGCATTCTGTTACAAACGCTCGTCTGAAAGTGGACAAGGCTCTCGCAGACTCATCTCTTGTCTGACTGACTCTGTGCAACATGATAGTCGACCTCGAGCAGAGTAAAATCGTAGGAGAGCGCCAGAAGTATGTCTCACGCTGAGTATGGCCAAGCTCCAGAAAGGTGCTTCCCAGTCTGCATGGCAGAATCTTAATCGACCATAGCGAGTCAAGGTTTGAGGAGTCACTGCCGTTCGTCTCGTGAAGAGCATACTGGTAGTTGATACGAGTAATGCTTTCACCAGCATGACTCCGCATAGACCTGTAGTAGCCGTACGTGAGAAAGGCCTGCAGACTTTGAAGGACCTTCCGGGAGCTCGACCATGCTCAGCGTGCGACACGCTTTTCGCGTTGTGGGACCAGATGTCACGAAAAGACACACGGCAGAACAAAACGACCTACTGTGTAACACACCAACCCAATTCTCGGATTGATCAACCTTCGAAGCTGCAAGTGGCAGCAGTCCAGCATCTTTCGCAGCCTTCTTCGGGACGTCTTGTTTTTCCAGCCATTCCAAAGCCAATCCAGCAGCCTTCTCTTTGGCAGCCTTTTTGCTAGGGTATAAACCTATCGCCTCAAAGCTTTCAATCTCCTGGTCGCCATCTAGCAAACGCAGTGTAGCCGAGAAAGCTTGGGGAGGACCTTCTTCAAAGTCATAGTCGGTGCGTAGATGAAGCAATTGGCATTTGTCGTTGACTTTAGCTGCAGAGTCGCCTCGGGGCTTGGTGGAAAGGAGTGTGCGCGGGGCTGTCGACGAAGACGAGCTGGTTGGGGTACCATCGAGTCTTTGGCGCTTGTTGGCGGGTGTGTTTGGCGACGAGGCGGCTTTCCTGGCTGCGATTTGAGCGTCAAATTCGGCGGCTGATAGGAGGTCAAGACCTGGGATTTGGGATGATGGAGGCATGGAGTTGGATGGTGACGAGGGTGGTGGTGATGCGGCTGCGGGTGTCATGACGTCTTCTTCTTGATGACTAACGAACGGCCGGCCGATGAGGTTGTTGAGATAGTTCATGGTGAAGTGATTGTGAGTATTGATCTGAGTGATGGACGAAGAGTCATTCTGAGTCGTGGAACAGTCTAAATTGTGTTGGTGTTGCGGTCGTGTCACATCACGAGCTGCAGCTGACCCCTTCCATCATCCACCCTTTCCCACAAATTCACTCGCAACGGCTATCCAATCTTCACAACATACACTCAGAATTTGCGATTACGTCTGATCGCGACTACAAGCCCTGGGACAGAGTGATTGAAGGACAGAGCAGACAACAGTATGGAGTGATGCAATTTGATGCAATTCTCTTGAGTTGCACGCTGTTCTGATATCTAAGCAGAGCATGAAGCCCAATCACCGCCGCTGCGAGCAAAAGACAAGCTACCAACAAAATCACTAAGTGTGCATCTTCCCAAGATATCTGCACCACAAGTATGTAGAGGAATTACACGATCGTTGACGATAACTCTGACCAGCTCCTCCCGGTGTCCAAGACATTGCAACTTCTCGATATAAGCTCTTGCACCAAATGGGACAGTGTACGCTGCCGAGTATCCATTGGTCTGCTGTGCCGTCTCGATGGTCGTGTTTGGAAGAGCCGAAGTACTGTTGTACAGGCCCATGGCGAAGAAGATAGCAGTCATGTCGTTGTCGTGACTAAAGTCTGCATACAATGCGCGGTCGAGAGGGAAGGTCGCAGCATTATCGTCCAAGGTGTGGTTCGTCGATGTGTTGTCTACAACTAGCTTCTTTGTGAGACGTGCAATCAGCTCGTTCGTGAAGCCAACGCCCTGGGTTGGGCCGAGGGGGTTGCCAGATCCGTAACCGTAGAACTTGTTCAATGATTCGTAGTATCCGTAGTCTTGCCACTCGGTCTGTGTGAACAGCGAACAGAAGGGCGAGATTGCGCCAGTGGCCGAAGCAACAGTGTTAAAAGGGCACAAGTCCATCAGGTAGATGATCTCAGTCGATGTGAGGTTTGCTCCAACTAGGTCGCCATTGATCCTCTTCTGGATAGCAGGAACGAAGACATTGACCCAAGTCTTCTGGGCAGCATCTGCAATGTTTGAATCAGGTCCATCCTCGAAGCTGGTGCAAAGATCATGGTTGAGCGTGTTGTTGCTGCCAGCAGCTTCGCTGATGACCACATTGACAGAAGGGTACTGGTTGTTCGCCCATCTGTCTCCAGTCTTAGCCTGAGTGAATCCATCTACCCATTTCTCTGCAGACTCCACAACACGAGCCTCACCAGACGAGCGAACGAAAGGCACTGCTTTGCGAGCAAGGTCTGCATAACGCTGATAGTACTTGGTACCAGAGTTCTCCATCTGCTGTCTTCCAAAGTCTGTCAATTGATCCGCTCCCAGAGTGTACTCGTAGTCGCCGAGGAAAGCATATTTGCCAGTAAAGTTGGCAACGTTCTTATGGATTTTGGCGATGGTCTGATTGTACTTTAGTGTCTTTGCAGCAGTAGGGTCTCTAGCCCCGTGCCTCGACAGGATCTGTGCGAATGTGACCGAGCATGTGAGAGGGACGTTCGCGATTATCTCTGATGGGACGGAGAAGTATGGAGAATATTGGCCCCAGTAGTGACTGATTTGTGGCTGGCACTGATAGCCATTCTGAACACTGTCGCATGTTTGGGGGCTCGGGACCGGGATAATGAAGCCCGAGGAGCTATGAGAGTGTTAGCGACTTCCTGACAAGTCGGATATGGCGCAAATTTGGTCAAGGCGATAGTCAAACTTGGTCCGAGGTCAAAGCGACGTTAAGACTCGGATGCCTTCATAGCCAAGTCTTTGTGTTGAGATGGAATGTGTGATCAAGTCGAATGCAATAGATTCTGGAGAGAGATGAGGTTTACCTTGAGATAACGCCCAGAGCGAGGAGACCTGCTGCAGTCAAAGCCATGGTGTAAAGTAGAGAGCGTGATATACACCTTCTTCTAACCTCGTTCTGGTGTCCATCAAGCACTTTATAGCCCTTCCATGCCCCCCACGTAGGGAGCACGTGGGCGATTTCGTTCGCCATACCTCGAGGGCAAGCTATGCCTTAGCGATACCGAAGTGCTTACCTCCAGCCCTGGCCATGTAGGCGTGTAAAGATCTCCGAGGCATATTAACACGGCATATCACGAATGGCAGATGAAGTCCTGAGCAAGCAGCCAAGTACCATCGTGGGATCTAAACACGTGCAGACGCACAGACCATGATCACGGTCTTTGAGCCTTCCACTCTTCTGCAGGTGCGGTGAAGTCAATTAAGATGAAGGTAGGATGCGGGTTTGGCTGAACTGAAGCGGAATACTCGGATCGCTGGTTGCGATAGAGTTGGAGAAAAGGGAAGAAGTGGTATTGATATCGATTTTGGTCATGCCTGACTTTCCGAGTCCTTCCACCTGTAACGCCAGCGCTAAGCAAGCGAATGCGATGAATGCAGTTCTTCGGCAATCTCTATATGCAAAACCAAAAAGAAAGATCCATGCAAGTCGTATACCAGAACAAAGAAAGAAGACATGATAAACATAAGAGCAGATTTCGTGATATGGTCAAATTAGGTCGTGTGACTCGTTTCTTCATCAATAGTTGAGGCAGTCATCGGCCTGGTGTTGGCCGGGAAGTTGAACTGACGAGGCGACTCGGTCGGCGATGCTTCATTGATGCGAATGCTTGGGAGACGGACGATTTCAGGCAAAGAAGATAGCGGACTGCTGTTCTCGCTTCTTCGTGTTTGACTGTTAGTCCTCGAGAGGGACGGCCTTGTTTGGCTGTTGGTCCTGGATAGCGATGGTCTTGTCTGGCTGTTCGCCCTCGAGAGGGACGGCCTCGAAGAGTGGATCTCCTCATAAGGAGGGGCTTCTTCAGAGCCCATAGCGTCGTCGTAACGTGGCAGTTCGGGAAGTGGCATGCGACTCTCGCCCAGATCGCTTTCGACGCGTTGGAGCTGGTTTACCTGAGTGGTTGAAGTTCTTCGAAGACTCAGGTTGATGGAATGGGCTCGGGAAACAGCCAGGGATGAACGTGGGCGAGAGGAAGTGTGTTGAAGAGAGATGACTTCGAAGTCGCTGTCATCCGGGTCTGCACTATCGGCAGTGAGGACCGAGGTAGCCGAGGCCACACGATGATGGGTGGAGAAGGAACCACGAGACAGCCAGGGACGAAGGGGATTGGCAGAGCCTGTACGGGAGGCGTCGTTGAGCAAAGGTCTGCTATCAGACTCTGTGGAGTTTGCGCGCACACGCGAGCCATCGTGGCGAGCGACACCCAGGTCGCCATACGAGACAGCACTGATTCTTCTCTCCCGTGGGCGGGCGTTGTGCTCGGCTACCATCGAGTTCGAGCCGTTGGCACGCTCAAGGGTGACGCGGAGGGCGGTCTCATGGCGCAGGGCGCTGAGAGCCTCCATATCACCACGAGCGCGTGCTTCTCGGCGACGGCGACGACGGTCCTCTCTCTCGGCAGCTTCCTGTCTACGCTGCTGGCGGATTTGCCAGAGCGAAGCCATTTCGGCCTCTCTTCTGCCTTCTTCCTCTTCGTTGGTCTCGGGGAATTCTACAACAGTATCCATGCCTGCTCTTTCGCCTTCGCGACCAAGGACGCCTTCATTTTCGAGGGGTACAGCAGAGTAGGCAGGCAGGGTAGCGATACTACGGATACTCGTATGTCTGTTGACTGCAGCCTCGGGGTCCTGGATCATCTCTCGGGCAGCAGAGGCAGGGGTTTGGCTGTCATTGCGACGGAAGGGCGATGTGAGAGTTTGGATCCACGATCGACGAGGTTTTCGAGAGCGAGCATGAGCACGGGCAGCAGCCTGTGCTTGTCGAATGTTCTTGGGTAGACGGATACTTCGCAGAACGAAGAAAAGGATGATACTGAAGAGTAGGACAGCGCCAACACTGCCAACGACCTGTTGCGAAATGTCAGCCGGGTGCGGCATTAACAAACACACTCGGAGATAAACCTACGATGGCGGCTTTGGTCTTTTCGGAAGCACCAGTCGACTCGAGGGCGCGCTTGGTCATGTTGACCATGTCTGACAGTGAGCGCAGCATGCCGGGAGGGCTGGCAAGCAACGATTATAAGAAGTTGCGCAAAAGGTGCTCAAGACCAACCCCAACACGCCGCACGGACTGGCAGGCCGGAGAGACGTGAATAACGGTGACGCTGATGATGGCTGGAGTGCCGCGGAACTTGGAATCTTGACACGCGACTTGTGCCAGATTGATGCTATGGATATCTTTGATGGAAGTTTGTTGGTCAAACAGCCAGAGGGAGAGAAAGTAAACACAAGATGCTCCTCTCTCGGTCTGAGGCCGACACACGCATGAAGAGCAGACCGAGAATAGATGCTAGCAAGCGAGAACACGCGCGGCTTGGGTTCGTACCTGTACATGCACCACCACCACCACCACAGCCCCAACCTGCCCTGTTATGTGGCGCACCGGCGCGCCAATCATAATCTGCTATCCACCGTCCGAGGTCCGCACCGCCAAGCCGTGCCCCTCGTCCAACTCCGAGCTGGAACTTCTCCTTTCTCAAGAGGTTCGTTCAGTGCTTATTGCTTTCGAGAAAGAGCAAGATGGACACTCAGCCAGCTGGCAGTGTTGTCGAGGACGCTCCTGCCGAAGGGGTTGTCCACGCTGCTCTGGCCAGGAAACAACCTCCACCAGAGTCTCCGCAGGGCGTCAAGACACGTCGATGGATCATCTTCTGTTTCTGGGCCATCGCCGGCCTGCTCGGCCTGCCTATTTGGTACGCCACGACCACTGTTCCCCGCGCTGCACTGCCCTTGGAGTCGATGGATGCGTGGGCCTCAGGTCAGGTAATTATGCCTCGCCTTTTCGCTCTATCTTACCATATCCACTAAACAATCATAAGACTTGTAAACTCGAGTTCCCCGTGCACGTCGCTCTTGCTGCTAGCCATCTTGACTCTGCAACCACCACCGAACTTGCTCAGCAGATTCAACAGGGCTTGGACAGACAAAACAAGTCTCCCATTCACCGCTTGCGAGTAATCACTTCGGGGCACGGTACTGCAGATCGGTCAGCAGATGCGCAACATACCGACCTTTCATCCTCCTCGGCTGTGACCAGTCAGATTGCAGCTACCGTCAATCTCGTGCTTGATGCATCTTACTCTCACCCAGTGGCCAAGGTTCAGCCCTTTGACCCTACTCTCAGTATCTACCATGGGTCCTTGCCGTCAAACCAGCCCACCGCTGTATCTGACCTCGCTGACTTTATCACGACTGAGCTTCTGAAGCTCTTTGTCGAAGAGCAAATCACGTTAGACTATCTCTTGAACGGGCAGACTGCTCATCAAGAATCTCTAGAGGACGTCGATTCATCTTCGATTGTCGAAGGCTACAGGAAAAGGTCTAATCGTGCTTTCAAGTATGCATCAACCTACCATTTGACGTTCTCTCTTTTCACAGGCTCAGCATCGCCTTCTGCATGGGATATCAAAGCAGCGCTCGACGAGTACTTGAGTCCCTTCTTGGCCTCCTTCTCGTCCGTCAGCAAATTCAGCGTTGATACTCAGGTTCAGCTGTACGCATCCCTGTCATCATCACTACACGGCCCTCAGTATGACGAGTCATCAAAGCAGTGGACACTGATGCGCTCCGACTTGAGTGCATTCATCAATGCAGCTGAGTGGCCTCTGAGTCCAAGCATTGGTGTGGGCCCAACCATCAACTTTGTTGCTTATGTTCCCTCCCCTAAGCAAGCTCCGATGGTGATCGAGGAGACTGGCGGCACTAGTTGGCTGATTCCACAATGGGGCGGCGTTCAGATACTGAACTCTGACATGGGTCAGAACAACACCGTCCTCAGCAAGCATGACCTGGAACCGGTTGTGCGCATCTTCGCTGAACAGCTGGAGTCACTCATCGGCTTGCCACAGTCACCGCCTTCACTTCCACTCCGTCTCTCCAGCTTAACACGCGAGAGAGCAGCATCGCTGATCTTGTCGGCTTCATCGACTCTCGGCTCGTTGTCCAGGCTGACACTCAAGCTGACTAGCATCGCCATCCCTGACAACGTCGCGGACTCAGTCCAAAAGACGATTCACCATCTGGAGACCGCATGCTCTCATCTTCACGAAGGTCATTATGATGCTGCCTTGGAACATGCCCGTATCGCAGAAGCTCAAGCAGAGCAAGCTTTCTTTGAGCCGTCTATGGTTGGTCAAGTTTACTTCCCAGACGAGCACAAGGTCGCAGTGTATGTGCCCTTGCTCGGCCCTATGGCTGTGCCTCTAGTAATGGCGGCATTGAAAGAGTTCAAGAAGTTCAAGCAAGCTCGATCGAAGACCGTCTGAGGTGTGCTAAGCCACTATCGACTGTATGCAAACCGCAGAGTTCTAAGAAAAATCACGAGCATGGCTGTTTCCAGCCTAGTCAGCAATCACTCGGAAGCGCGATCTTGATAGGATTAGGAAATCGGTCTTCCTACAGTGTCGCTTTATTAGCTACATCTCACGTCAGCCTCCCAGGCCATCCAAATTGACTGTCAAAGGTACACAGGCTGGAACTGAAGGCAGTGATGAGCTGCAAGACCGATTACGAGTGGCATTGACCTCGCACGACGTCTTGTTGAAGTGCCATTGCTATCGACAGACCAAGCATTCGAAGCAGAAACTACTGAAGGTCACTAGAATCCCAAAAGGCGATAATTACCAGAGACTACTTGCAGAATGCAGTCCACACCTCATACCCTGACTTCCTGTGTCGACTTCGCCCATTGTGTATCTATGTCTGGCCCAACTCGAAGCAAGAGATCGCAATGCTGAGCCACTGATCAAGAATGACCAAATTCTCGGATCAAAGGACATGGGAATCCGGGAATTCCGGGATCCGCGTGGGAAAGCTTGATTGATTTAGACTTCGGTCAACTGCGGGGCATCATGCGGGGTCGTGAGCTCTAGAAACTTTTGCTATGGAGCTCGCAGTTGGGCGGCATGCAGGACCCTGTCAGCCTCGGTCACGTAACTGGAGGGGTCTCCTGGGCAAAGAGGGGCATTCGGGGGAACTGTTATACAGAGGGGGCTGGTAATCCGGGTTTGCGTTCAACTTGATTCTGCGTCCTTGTCTTTGTACTTTCTATCTGAGCATACATACTCTGATCATCATCACACTCAACCCAAGGCCTAGAGCAGCAGTGTACACATCGATATGAGCTCCAAATCAGAAGCCACACACAAGGCAGTCCAAGCCACCCTGGACAGCGTGACCTCCAACCCAGAAACAGGAGTATCCGGTCTAGTCTTTGCAGCAATCAACAAAGATGGCGAAGTGCTCACAGCAAACGCATCTGGCAACCGTGGACTAGACACCAAAGAGCCAATGACTTTGGAAACCACATTCTGGATTGCCAGCTGCACCAAAATGATTGCTGCGATTGCGGTCATGCAGTTGGTTGAGCAGGGCAAGCTTGACCTTGATGATCACAAGCAGTTGTATAAGCTGTGTCCTGAGTTGGAAAAGGTGCAAGTATTGACTGATGATGGAAAATTGGAGGATAAGGAGGCGGAGATTACGTTGAGGATGTTGTTGTCGCATGTGAGTTGTGCTATCTGCTCGACGATTCTGGCTCCCTTCTGACATGCGTCACAGACGGCAGGTTTTGGATACGAATTCTTCAACCCCAAGCTGAGGGATTATGGCCGCCCTGTCGGCTTCGACGTCTTCAGCGGCGACCCGACCGAGGTCTTGAGAATGCCTCTAGTCAATCAACCAGGCAGTAGATGGGAATACGGCATCAACATCGACTGGGCGGGCATCGCACTCGAGCGACAAACCGGCTTGTCTCTGAACGACTACATGCAACAACACATCCTCCAACCCCTAGGCATCAACAACACAACCATGTTCCCAACAAAGGAGATGAAGTCAAATCTCGCTTCCATGCACCAACGCTGGCCCGGCAGCCAAAAGGCCGTCGAAAGAGATCACGTATACCGCCGACCACTGGTAGCTGACGGAAAAGAAGAGCAGAGTAGGATTCTGAACAGTGGAGGCGCTGGTCTGTATTCTCGGCCTACGGATTATATCAAGGTGCTTGCTGTGCTGTTGAACGATGGCACGTGTCCCACGACCAAGGCACAGATTCTCAAGCCCGAGACTGTCAAGCACATGTTTGAGAACCAGATTACCCAGATGCCAGACTTTGGTCGAAGGGGCATCCCTGACGCAAAGCCAGAGCACTCGAATCCACTGGGAGATCTGTACCCTCAAGGAGATGTCGCACAGGTGTGTTATTTGTGTGTCACTGCATTGACTTGACCATATCCTAATAGCGATTGTAGGGTTGGTGTCTCAGTGCCATGTTGACCATTGAGCCCGGAGTCACCGGACGTGGAAAGAACACTGCGTTCTGGGCAGGAATCGCAAACTTGTTCTGGTGGGTGGATCGTGAGAAGGGTGTTGCTGGTATGATTGCCAGTCAGGTTATGCCGTTTGGTGACCCCCATGTGATGGGTGCTTGGTTCGGTGCAGAGACTGCTGTGTACCAGAACTTGGGTGCGTGAAGTCGGTCAATTGATTTTCGGGTTAGTCGGTCTCATAAGCTGACTCTGGTACCTTTTGTCTGAATTGAAGATGCTTTCGTCTTGCCAGCTAGACTTTGAGACAAGATCTGAACATTGTTCGTAAGCCTTGCTCGGTTGCAATTGAATTGTCCTCTTGTGTCTGTGTCTTTCGCGCGGCAAAAGGCAATTCTACACGGCATGCTACGGCTGAGAGCTAGGCACAGAGCCATCCTCCGTTGCGAGCAGCTGATTAAAAGCCTCAGAAGTCTCATACCTATCGATTACATCAATACCACAACGAGGCTCTAAGCCACTGTGTCTTGGGTCAGCACGCGATCAACCAAGATGCAATCAAAGCGACTAGCAACAAGTACAACCGCCGCGAGATCGATGTATCCCGCGCTCACATGTCCAAAAGCGGCAATGTAAGTGGGAATGCGGAACGCGAAGGTTTCGCGATCTGCCGCGTCTCACTCCGTAGACCACTTTACTCCTTTTTCGTTTTCGATCGGCCGAGGCTAACGCTCTCGTCAATGGCTGAGAAGAGCCGCTAAGGGGGTGGTCAGGAGATTGAAGGCAGATCGATAACGAACAATGGCGTAAAGTGGATCGCGTCTTACCGCGTATGTATCGCGTTTTGTGAATTATATCGTGCGAATCATGAGTGCATGGCGGGTATGCAGATGCCGTTATGCTTTTGCTCGAAACGGGGGCTGAACTTGTGAATCCTAGCGGAAACAGCAAGCACATCATTTTTGTGGAGAGACGAAAAGGTACCGTGGAGTATGAACCAGGTTTATCTGTGTCGGCCGACCTTTGCTCATGCGCGAGACTTGTGGGAAGATTGGAACGCTTTGCCGTTGCAGTAGTCAGTTGCGTGCGTGCGGAAACGAGGAGGAAGAACTCACGAGGCTTCTGACACCACGACGGCAGTGACTATTGACACGAAGCGGAGCTCAGGCACATATGATTATCCGGGGGCAGGGCATGGCGACTTAACTTACCATTGTTGCTCATCGAAAGTCATTTCTGCATGTCTTCAAACTATTGGAAAAGCCTCTGCCCGGATGGCGGGTATCCATGTTGATCGGTAGGTGTGGAGTCCGCGCAAAAAGTCTTGCCAAGCGACCCGAGACTTGGTTGCCGTGGTCGACGAGGATGTTTGTGACGGCAAGACCAGGGCAGAAGGATGAAGGTGGTGTGGAGGTTTGAACGTAGCAACTGAGTCGCAAAAGAAAAAGCAACTTTGGCCTATCTGCGAGTGAGCATGTCGAATTAACGAGTTGTGGAAACCCGAGCTCATTCAAAACAGACGATGGATAACTGATGAAACGGATAGTAGGAGGCTCAATTCGAGTATGATGTGTATTAATAAATATGATCGAGGCTTGTTCAGATGATGCCGATCTAATGTAAGCATATCTAAATTAGCCTTTTGTGGAGAAATTGGGAAAGGACATTTTGTACAGGTATACAAGATATGGAGAAACGGGTGTAACATGCTGTACAAAAACGTTTGTTGTCTGGTCGCGTGGCTTTTAGCGAATGTCAATTCTTCTTTCTTTTTGTTCGTTGTAGATCATGCCAGGGCTCTCGCGCAACGTATATTTTGCTGAGACGCGATGTCGGGAGAGCTTCGTTGCTCAAGGAACTGGGTGAACCAGGAAGAAAGGCGTCGCCAAATCTTCCACTGACAGTGTTACGGCCGCGCCTTCGTATGACGGCATATGCAGTCTTGAAATGTTGAATGCATGTGAAGTGGAAAGAAAAATAAAACTGTCGTCCCTCACGAAAGAATGCATAGCCTGGGCTCTCGTATGGTGGGACGATCGTCTATCAAAGTTCAAAGCAAGGACAGCTGGACTGGGTATAAGTCAACCGTACTACATACACGAGCGGCGCGATATGTCATCTTTGACATGCAAGCTGCGCGGGCCGCGAGGGAATACTCGCGAAGCCTCGTCGTACGGCTTCGCTCCGCCGAGTCAATCGACAGCCACCGTGCATTGGCGACGAGGCGGACAAGGGAAAGAACATGCAGAACGGGCGAGGATGTGATGATAAACACACGATCCGCGCAGAGTTTGAAATCTGTGCGTAACACTGTGGAGGAGAAGCTCACCGACGACTCGTCGTTGAGAACTTGGGATGGCTTCATTAGGAAGTGCGAGTCGCCAGATCGAAAATTCTCGTCGGCAGTCTGCATACAGAGCACATGTATGTCTGCATTACTGTACTCAAACAATCGATTCCGCTCGGATACCACAACTGCTGTACATGTTTGCTACTCTCAAGACCGAAAACCGCCGAGAGTGACACACCTGCTCGATCAGTCCAACGGACGACTTTTAACGAGATTGTTATTGGAGGATGATATTGGATATTGCATTTGATTGCTCCCCGTAAAGTGCGCGAACAGGCATAATTTCAAACGATGGCTCATCACGGGCAGAATAACGATCATCTTCGTATAGAGTAACTCAGGGGTGCAGCATTGGATATAATATGAAGCAGATTATGAAATTTGGATATAGAAATCAAGGCGTGGGACGCGTTTCGGCCGCGATCGTGAAGCGCGCATACGGAGACTTTGCAACGGCGTTAAAGTGGTTGCATATGCTTGGTTGGTGATCGGAGGCGGCGGCAGGCAGGCAGGCAAGCCAGCAAGCCAGCAAGCAGGGGGAGAGACAGAACTCTCAAACGGTACTCCGGTGCAGGCTGCGGTGGTGGAAAGATTGGCGGTTGATTTCAAGGTTCTGGGGTATAAAGGAGTTCAATGATGCAGATGGACAATGGTTCATTGGTGGAGGCGCCGGCAGACCGGGCGGAGCTGATATCTCGTGCTCGCCAACGAAGCTTGTCCCTGCACTACTGGACGCGTAGGAAGGGTGGGAAGCAGAGGCTCGACACCAAGTGTGTTTCGTGACGGTTGCAGAAGGATTGCAAGATTGGCTGGGGATTGTCGTCAGGCGTCGTCAGAGAGGCACCTGTCGCATGTCGCATGTCGCATGTTGGGTTGGGCGGTTGCTCAAGCCGAGATTCATCGTCGAGCTAAGCAGCCCCAATTACATGTGATAGCACTGGATCTGAATGCTTGCTGCCCTTGCCATGGATGCACATGAACAAAGAGGCAGCTCGCAGCGGGCAAAGTATGGTAAGGGGCGTTATGCCCCAAGTCAGACGATCGGACAGGATAGTGTTTCCTGCGACGGGTATTCCGACAAGCGTGCGTGTATGGAACCGGTCGATGCTCTTTATTTTATGTAGAAGGCAACGTACCAACGCTTTGACGCGCGACGCTAGCGGCTAGAGTGGCTTCAGCCAAGATTCGTAGAGCCAGGCCGACAGAGCCAGTGCCATCTCCACCAGGAGGCAGAGGCCGTATCGACCACGTCCATCTGCTGGACACGACCTCCGTCCGAGGCTGTCGACTCTTCTTCTCCCTGCTCCTCCCTCACTCTCTCCCGCTCCTCCTCTTCCCCAATCCTTCTCTTTGACCAAGTCAATGGAGCTTTGATAAACGGTCACCGCTCTCAAACGGCTCCTCTCATACCTTACTCCTACCTCCCAGCCCCTCACGAGTCGTTCGTCGTATAACCCTCGACCTCGACCTGTAGCCTGTCGACTCTCACCATCCGACTACCGCCCTTCGACCTCAGGCCCCCATCAAACCCTTCAACACGACCACACATCGTCGCTGCCGCCTTCCCCTCGACCTTTCAAGCCGCCCCGACCTCTCCTCTTCGTTGAACGCAGAGCTGTGGACGGCCCTTTCACCTCTTCTCGTCAGCCTCATCAGCTTGCAATCTCACTTCGACCTCGACTTGAGTCCTCCTCAGTACAAGGTACGTGAGCATTGCTCAAGCTGTTCATCCTTCAACCCCCTATTCTCTGCCCGGCTCTCCCTTTGATTTGATAGGACACATCGTCGATCAATCTGAAACCGAAACCTGCTGTGGGGTCATGACATTGATGAAAAGAGATAAGGATGAGGTCAAGCTGGAAGGACAAGGAAGGAGCAGAGGAAATCGTCGTCGATGGCACCACCGCATTCCAGCACCTCAGAAGGGAAGAAAGACCCTGCTCGTACTGTTTGACATGTCAATGATGCCCTCCATGCTCGCTCATGGTCAGCAACGAAGCCTGCCTCGAGAACGCAACGCAATAGCAGGAACCGTCATATGAAGTACCTTGGCGGTTCAGCCTTGCAAGTCGCAGCTTCTTCTTGCACCCATATCATGAATACCATGGAACAATACCATTTTATACAATGAAGCACTGGGCATATTACACAACACTTCAACAGTGTTGGGTCGACACAGTTACTTAGCGGGGTCTTCACGTTCCATCGCCGTCAAGGCATGGACACTTCCAGCAGCGATCGCGCTTGCATTCTTGACGACTGTAGGCCTGGTTTGAGGCCGTGTCTCATTCCCATACGGCTCCTTCCCTACCCTTCCGGCATGACTTCGGCCGTCAGCCCGTCGTCACTTGCTATCTCAAGCATCCTCAGTCATGACTGACTTACTTTTGAAACTACATTCACTAATATCAACACATCACAGCTCTTTCAGCAAACGATCTCTCAATCGACTCGCATTTTCAAGTCAATCTCTTGAAGACCAGCTCTCTCTGGTGAGTTCCCTTGTCTTGATCCGTCAACACATTTCCATCCCTTGCAGCGCACGTGCCTTTCCATCATTGACCCGTGAATGACTGACATTCCCCAGACCTATCTGCGAACTCCTCGACGCGCTCTCATTAGAATTGGTGGAGTCGTTGATTCGTTCTCTACGCCTCAAGATCGGGCTAGCACCATCTACGGCATTCCGATTTGCAGTCGACATTTGAGCCTTAATTCGCAAGGGATTCACTTCTCTGCATTTTGCCTCGCTGCCACCCCATTTCCCAAGGTATGTGCAATACTCAGCTTGGACAGTCGCGTCCCCTCTCCACTTCCAGAACTAATTAATCTAAGCTCTCTTGTGGACTCCTTGTACCTGCATCTTTCAAGCCATCCAAGGCAGTAAGATCAGTGATTCTAGGACCATCTACAACAGCCCTCGTCCAACTAATTACAGTCCTTCTATTTCATTACCACCAACACTGTCCATTCTTCGGTGTCTACACTTAAGCAACCAGTGTTCATACACCATTCACTCATTAATAGATACTCATCCGTCAATCCTGGCGAATTGACCAATCTCAACCAACAACTTCACCTCAACATGGCTTCCACGACAGCACAGACTAGCTACGGCCACTGCGATACCTTCTTCGTCGAGGGCTACGAAAACACAGATGGCATCTTTGCTAGAGCAGCTGCTGAGAGGGAGAGAGCACGTGCTATCGGAAAGGTTCAACAAAAGCACATGGCTGCCAACTTGTCTCGTCTGACGAGCAAGGTGTACCTGAACGATGTGCTTGAGCATATGGAGGTCATGGAGGTAAGATCTTCCGACTCGTCATCTACATGATGTATTGCTGACCTCTGATAGGCCGAGACGATGCCGGACATCAACTCCATCGAGATTCAAACCGAGATTCAGTGGTTTATGCGTCCCTACCTCCTAGACTTCCTCCTCGAAGCTCACCACGCTTTCCAACTCCTCCCCGAGACCTTGTTCCTTGCCGTCAACCTTCTCGACAGATACTGCTCGAAGCGTGTCGTCTACAAGCGTCACTATCAGCTGGTCGGCTGTGCCTCGTTACTCATCGCCGCCAAGTACGGTGATCGTAAAGAACGTGTGCCTACCATCAAGGAACTCAAGTCCATGTGCTGCTCTCTCTACGACGACGACATGTTCACACAAATGGAATGGCACGTGCTGCAGACCCTCAACTGGATCGTCGGTCACCCAACTGTTACTGGCTTCCTCGAGATTGCTCTCTCCGAAACAGGTGCCGATGCAGAGGTGCAGAACATGGCTACATACATCTCCGAAATGGCTCTCTACCACAAGGAGTTCATCCCCGTGTTGCCTTCAGTCATGGCCAGGTCTTCGCTAGCTCTTGCCCGTTACGTCCTTGGTCGTCCTCAGGTGCATCACCCAGAGTGGGCCGCTAGATATGACTCCAACGTCGTCATGGACCTTTCCAACCAGCTCTCGCGTCCCTCGCAGGCTCTCTTCCGCAAGTACTCGTCCGCCCATCTCTCAAACGTCGCCACTACTCTGGAGCAGTTCCTGCAGCGCCAAAACCTCATGCAGCAACAACAGCAGCAGCAGGCTGCATCGCAACAAACGTACCCCTCGCCAGCACAGTCGACACTGGACGTGCAGCAAGTCTCTGGCGCTATGATGGCACCTCAGACTCCCCAGAAGGCTGTATACGCTGCAGTTCCCATTGGTGTCCTTACACCTCCTGAGACCCCGGAGAAGGACTACTACGACAACTCAAGCTACAACGTGAACCAAAACCTGATGCACCGCCTCCACGCATGCTCAAACATGACTTCTGTCCCAAGCCAATCGTCATACCAGTACAGCTCATACCCGACATCATACCCATCACAATGAGCTTCAACTCTCGTGCCACACCATGACGCTCCATGTTCTTCCGTTGTAACAACATGTATCAGCCAGTCCCTTCGACCTTTTCATTGCATTGCAAGCGTTTTACATACATTAGTATCCTTTGCTTCTCAGCGTTTCTTTTCTCGTACCGTCCATCATCATCTGGTGGACCGCATCTGCACATTATTACCCCGAACATAGCTTATCACGGCCGCAAACACATGCATAGCCGAGTTGCTTCGCCGAAAACTCCGAGAGAAGAAAAAAAGTTGCTCGACGACGGTGGTTGCTTTTGGGACGAGTCTTGCTTTTCTCGACTCGTGCTTGTTGCTTTTCATTCTTTCTTTTGGCCCACGAGGCTTCCATACCAAATTGCAAACATTTTGGAGGGGAAAGGGATACCACTTTGTTTTGTCTTTTCGTTTTTCTTTTCTCGCTTTTTCTCTCGCTCATTTTCCTCCATACCCGGCCATAAGCCAAGAGGCTTGCATAAACACAAAAAGCAGATGTGTTTTCCAATTACCAAAAAAAAGAACTTTTTTTCCAAAACTTTTTCTTCTTGTGTGACTGTGACCTTGATAGAAACGTGCATCGGATGTGCTTGTACCGTATGCAGGTCGGTTTCCTCTCCTTGCTTCACGTAACCTCGTTTTGCCAATTCTCCACAAGCAATGGTTGACAGAGACACGACAGTGTGCAGCATGCGACGCACTTTTAAATATCGTGGATTATGTCCTACTCCAGAATCGATTTGAAGTGGAGCCGAGCGATGGACTTCTATCGGTTCTGTGTGATAAACCCTCTGTCATGATCTGCTGCGCATCCATCATTGACAGTGCTCTTAACGGCAGAAACGCTATTTTCTCTGCTAGCTGCCTAGCGGATGGAGCATCGATATGGTCCGTCGTGGTCCTGGTTGTTAAGGTGATGATGTTGAGCAGAGGACCCTGACTCAGAATGCTGCGTCCACAATTATGCGACTTCCACCCTCCGATACAGAGTTCAATCACATTCAGCTATTAACTTACACCTTATACAGGCTGTTACAACACCTGATGGATAGTACAAACATATGTTTGTCTATATATCCGAGAACTGCAGCGAATGGACGATTTTATTTAGCTTCACATAGGAAGCGCGCAAGCCTCACACCATTTCTCAGCTCCGGTCGCACTCTATAACTGCTTTGGCATGTTCGTTTGCGAGTTTGATTGTTATGTTCATGTCAATGTCTACCTTGCATAAGAAACGTGTGGATTCAATTGCGTTGATGGATATTCGACGGACATCCAGATCAGTGGTTGGACGAACAGTGCTATGGGAGAACTTCGGACAACCCGTTGTGCCAATCAACGCGTTCATCAGGAAGTGAAATTCTTCCAAGAGCAATAGATCGACGTCGGTAAGCAATATCATGCATGCCAAGGCCTTGTTTGAGGTTGATTGAATTGGTGGTCGACCCGTGGTAAACACGTTACTACAGAACCTCTGCTCTGAGCTATTCACACTGTCTTCGAAAGCTTCCAATCACATACGTCCCACCAAAACCGTCAACTTTCGTTCAGGAGAATGTCAAATCTCGCCTCAGTACCAGAAGCATATTGGCCCAAAGGCTGGTCAAAAGACTTTCTACTCCATGCAACCTCCGCCGACATCATGTCCCTTCCAGAAGAAGAAAAGGACGGCATGTTCGACAGTTTGCGTTCCGCACTCGGCACATCTGGTTTCCAGGAACTCATGTCGGAAGCAAGTCGTAATCACAAAGCGCGAGTTATTCAAGAGGACTCCGTACGCATCGCTGCAGGCGGCGAAAAGATACAGACGGTGGATGAGTTGCGCAGGACAGAGGTGCCGTTGTACATGAAAGCTCTGCAGCAATATCATCCTGGAGATGGCACTTGGGGCTTTGTGGTGTTCAAGACTTGTCGCTATGATGACGGTGAGCGATGGAGTCAGTTCAAATCCAAATGGGATGCTGTGATTAGTTCGATGTTTGACGGAGAGTCGATTGTTGATGGGATAGCTGAGGTCAATCGCCGCTTTACGATCAAATGGATCGAGGATCCTCAGTTGGAAGGCGCGAGTCCACAGCAAGTGGCAGAACGTTACAGCAACTTCTTCGCTCAAACGGAAGCAGCGATGCTACCAGAAATGTACTTGGTCGTGAACGAGGCATCGCTGCAATCATTCTTCGACTCCAAAATTCTTACTCCGATTCCATGGACCTCGGAAACGATCATTCCTTACGCTCTTGCGGTTCCATTGGCTTCCCAAGACGCCGACTCCGATTATGGCTCTCAACCATTCTTCAATGTTGCCGTGGGTAGTCTCGATACGCTGTGGGGGGTGATTGCAAGCAATTTCCAGCCATTGAGAGAGCTTAGTGCGGGCATGCGCGACGACCAGATCTGGCTTGCGGATACCGGACTGCGGTTCCAGATGGGTGGTATACAGAACACTATTGGCCGACGAGGATGAATGTGGAAACACTGCTTCGTCATCGACACACCTTCTCCTACATGCAATCTTCTGGCACAGCAACCTCGTAAAATTTGGCTTGCAAAGCCCTTATTGTGTTCTGGAAGCTTTGGGTTAAGCATCCGCGCGCACAAGCAGGCTATGATCATGTGAGTGCATTCCAGGATATCATCAGCGCCGACTTGAATAACCAGGTTACCGTGGCCAAGGCTCTGTTTCCAGACGTATCTTACAGACGCAACGGATACTCGGATGACCCGTTGCTTATCGCGCAGCATGACAGTGTGATGATTAAGGCTAACCAAGCCGCGCTCAAGGACTTTGCAACAAACATTGGAAAGTGCATCGCATACAGCAAACTCGGAATGCTCAAGTAGAAGTAGCCAGTCATAGGTTCCGAGGGCGGGCAAATGGAAGGGAATGTTGAATCATGTAACGAAAGTCCCTACCATGTCTGCAGCAGATTCCGGAAGCACAGCAAATAGAGTTCAGAGCAAGATTTCGAGGACTATGGCTTTCATCTCCTCTATGCTTCACGTATCTCCTGTTCTTGGGGTTTCACGCCGCTGACATATATGCAAGAACTTCAATTCCAGAAGTCCAGAATAGTCTGAGCAACGAGTTCTGCATCTGTAACAGGAAGTTCGTGTCCGCCGTCCATGACTCTGATGTCTACAGCATCTGATCCCAACGCCGATTGTGCATCTTGCGACATTTCGTCAGCAATGACGACATTGTCGTCTTTAGCTAGCAACAGCAAGACTTTGCCTTCGAGAAGACGTTGGGTGGATGGGATGACAGAATTCTGACAGGAAGCAATTCTTCTCCAGATGTCATGTTGTGCACTGATGGGTGCGTGTTGGATGCTGGAGACAAAGGAGGAGACGAAACCGGCATGGTGGTGCAGTTGCCATGCTACGACGTTTGCTATACTGACAGAAGGCCTGCGTGCAGAGATCTGGGCGGAGGAGTCGGGAGCAAGTGCTGGATGAGACGGCGTTTCCTGTTCTGCTGCTTGGATGGGCGTGGTTTTGTTTTCGTCGTTGGCAGCATTCTGAGAAGCAGATGAAGAGGCATCAATGCCGCCCAGACGTCTCCAAACCAGATACTCGACTAATTTGCGAGGTAAAAATCCACCATAAAGAAATTTGCTCGTCCAGTGGATACGGGTAGATCGCATAAGGCCTGCAGGTGCGATAAGCACCAGAGATTCAACGATATTTGGAAAGTACGAGGTGAATGATGCAGCGATGCCTCCACCTAGCGAGTAGCCGATCAAAGCAAATCGATTGCCATCGCCTGTCCAACTTAGTGGGGACGAGGAGAGGACTAAGAGGATTTGGGTGGTGAAGAGTTGAATGTCTTGCGGTTGAGAGGCGGGATCGGGGGTAGATGAGAACCCACGGCCGAATAGGTCTGGATATTTGTTTGAAGGTTAGCTATTCTGGTCCAGTATTGAGCGAGAGTATGCGATGTTGTGTTCTTGCAAGCGTTGTTGATTTCTTGAGATGATCGACAGGTTGATTGAGGACGACTCTCAAGATGTAGTAACTTCCCAACCACATCGAGAGGTTTCTTGTTGAAGTATTGATTTTGAAACACGGTGTAGCGATCCGGTCTCACATCTCACGATGAACTCCTAATTTTTCCGAATTTGGGGCTGAGATGGAGTGGAGTGGAGAGGGGAAAAGAAAAGCAAAGCAAAGGAAAGGAAAGAACAACACACCAAACAACATCACACGACAACCTTTCTGTGCCAGCTCCTCTGCCAGCCCACCCAGAGCTATACATGGCGTACTAATACCATGTACCAGTAGCACTTTCTTGCCCTCTGCTGGTCCCCACTCATAAACTCTTATGCTGCCAAATGGAGTGGCGACATCTCGTGCTCCCTCGAGAGCATCAGGAGCATAAGGAAGTCTCTTTTGCTGTTCGTCCGTCAAACTCTTTTGTATCAACGATAATGGCGAGTCGATAATCCGGCATGGTTGGTGTATATTGCCTCGATACTGCGAGGTGAGAAAGGCAACAATTCCTACAGAGGCCGCGGCACCGATGGCCAGGAATTTAAGGTCTCTTGCTGTTATGTCCATCAGCAGTGAATATTATTTGAGGTACCAAGATAAACTTACAAAGTGTGAAGACATCAAGGTCGATGTCGTCTCGCTCTGATGGGACATCTGTAGCCGAGATGCCGTAAGACGCCGAGGCTTCGCCGCTGGCAAGGAAGGAGGACAACAGTGCTCGTCAGTAGCGAAATGGAGCAAGGATATGGCCAGTCCCCCTCATGAGTTTTGGTAAATCACGCAATTGAACACAGCCAAAGCCGATGTTGTTATTCGCTGGCTGAGATGGTGGTTGCAATCGATTTCCGATCCCCCTTGTAAGGTGTTCAGGGCGTCATACGTGATCGTCAGTAGAGTGTTTTGGCATAGGGCGCTTGAGCCGACATAGGTGATAACAGCTTTGGATGTTGGCTGTCGACCTATCTCTTATAAGAATCATACTCTTCTCGACATATTCTACCAGGTCACCATCATACCATATCACTTCAAAATCTATCAGCACTCTTAAACATCAATCATGGCCCAAGTCTTTGACGTTACTGCTCTTCGCAAGCACTTTCCCGCTTTGGACAAGAAGCAAGTCTACTTTGACAATGCAGGTGGAAGTCAAGTCATCCAAGAAGTAATTGACTCGGTTTCTGAATATCTTGGTGGTACAAATGTGCAACTAGGTGCTTCATACCCCATTGCTCAGAAATCGACCAACCTTTTCGCAGCCGGAAAGGATGCAGTGGCCAAATATATCAATGTCACTTCTGAAGAAGTCGGCAAGTAACTTCAAAGACATGTGTCAATATGAGGAGAAGCTGACTCGATCAGTACTCGGTCCATCAACAACCCAGCTCTTCCGCAATCTCTCCCTGGCACTATACGAACACCTTACTCCCGGCTCCGAAATCATTCTCTCGAAACTGGACCACGAAGCCAACATAGCATCCTGGCTCCAGATGGCTGCTTGGAGAGATCTGACTGTGAAGTGGTGGGACGCGCCCAACAAGCAGAACCCAAAGCTGGAGGTCTCGGTCCTCAAGACCCTGCTCTCGGACAAGACAAAGCTAGTCTGTTGCACGCATACCAGTAACATCCTCGGTACAATCAGTGACATCAAGAGTATTGCAGAGACAGTGCACAGCGTACCTGGAGCTTTGCTATGCGTTGACGCAGTAGCCTACGCACCACACAGACAAGTAGACATGCGGGCCTTGGACGTTGATTTCTACTGTTTCTCATGGTACAAAGTCTACGGCCCCCACATCGCCATGTTATACGCAAAGCAATCCAGCCAAAAAGCCATGCAAACACTAGGCCACTACTTCAAGGGCTCTGCATCTTTGGAAGACAAACTGGGACTGGCAGCCGCAAACTACGAACTCACTGCCTCCATCCCCAAAGTCTGCGAATACTTGTCTCAGATTCCTTGGGACGCAATTTCTGCTCACGAGGAAAAGCTGCAGGAAATTTTGATCGATTATCTCAATTCGAGAAAGGATGTCAAGATTTGGGGTGAGCCTGTTAAGGACGCTGCTAAGCGTGTTCCCGTGATCAGTTGGACGGTCGATGGACGCAAGAGTAAAGATGTCGTTGATGCTGTAGAGGCAAAGAGTGACTTTGGCTTCCGCTGGGGTGCTTTCTACTCGAACCGTTTGGTGCAGGAGGTTATGGGGTTGGATCCAGTGGATGGTGTTATCAGAGTGAGTCTGGTGCATTACAATACTGGTAAGTTTGTTGGATATGGGGATCAATTGACGCTCGAGCTGACAAAACCACAGAGGACGAGATCAAGCAATTCGTCAAAGTGCTGGATGAGGTACTCTCCAACTAGCTTGCTCAATATGTATAATACGACAGTAAATGTGTATGCAAATTACGCGATATCAAAATGCAAGAATGATCAGATCCAAAATCACCAAGGCTCTCCAAACCAGGTCATTAGAATTTTGTCAAACAACGTATCAATGCTTCGCAATTCCCTCAAAAATGGCCGTTAGGGCGTTCATGCAATCGTGTCTATAGCAACGTATGGCTATAATTTTTCTGTCGGCTGCTCAACTTCTCCAATAACGCCCTTCAAAATTTCGGGAAGGATCTGAGCAGCGTCACCCTCGAAGAACCAATCGTTGTCGTCAAGGCCTCCCGCTGGCTCATCAGCACGAGCGGCGTTGATGACGGCGACTCTTGCACCTTTTTCTCTGGCATCGTCGACATAGGCAGCAGCGGGATAGACGCTGGCACTCGTGCCAATGACCATGATCAAGTCGATTTTTTCAGAGTCGTTGATGAAGCTGTCGACAGCATTGAGTACTTTGCTCGGAAGAGACTCGCCAAACCAGACGACTCCAGGACGCAAAAGCCCTTCCTGACACTTTGGACATAATGGAAGGTCTGCTGTCGTGACAGAGGGGAGGCGAACTTCTGCGTCTGCTATATCCAACTCTTTCCGATCTTGTTTGGTGTGCAAAGCATCTTTTGTGGTTGGGTCTGATTCGTCGAGAGGGATTTTGAGGGCGGGAGCGATAGGATCTGTGAAGTTTTGGCCATGGTATGAACAGTAGAAGGAGGTGCACTTGACGTTGAACAAGCTACCGTGGAGAAGTTGAAGCTTTTCTGCAGGATGTTTCGCTCGTTGCGACAGACCTGGTGTAGGGTGTTAGTCAGAGGATAGTAGACGGACGAATAGTGTGTACCATCAACGTTTTGGCTGAGAGCGAGGAAGGCTGGATGTTTCCTCGCCAACTCAGCCAGGGCGAGGTGAGCTCTATTTGGCTGTGCCTTGAGAGCCATGTGACGGCGATAACTGTAGAATTGCCAGACGAGGCCGGGATCGCGACTGAAAGCCTCGGGAGTGGCTAGCGAGGTGGCATCATGAGTTCTCCATAAGCCTCCAGCACCACGAAAGGTAGGTAGTCCAGAAGAAGCAGACAGGCCTGCACCGATCAAGGCCAGGATGCGTTGTGACGACTGCAGATGAGCAGCGAAGCTTTCAATGTCCGAAGACATTCTTCGTATGCGTCCTGCCGACACGTTGGCGGAATCGGCTTGGCAGAGAGATGTGATATGCGATAGAATGAGGGAGCTGGAGCAGCGGTCGAGTTCAAGGTCAAGGCATGGTATGGACAGGTACGACGATAAGCCTTGGAGCGTCCGTCGGTGACCCGCGCTGGCAGATTCGGTGACGTAGGTAGCGAGAGATCCCCGCAATCTGCCAAATTTAAGGTTACAATTGTCTGTGCTTCGGAGTTGACGGCCAGGGTCGCCGACTAACTTTGGCAATCGTCCGAGTCGCGACACGCTCGACAAACATCTATACCAAGCATGAGGAGCTGTCGCACTTTGCTGAGAGCCGTATCGAGGCCTCAGCCAGCACTTCTGCGATCCAGATCATCATGTCTAGCACAAGTCCCTCGCCGCACCTTGATCTCGGCTGCCGACCTGCAGTTTGGTCAGCCTTTGCATGAGACACACCCGCATCTTATTGCGTCAGGCGACTGTAAACATCCCTAGCCCTTTGATCCTCTTTTTGCATACGTGCTTACACTTTTCAATCCCAGTGACTCCCGGTATCTCTGCTCTCGAATATCACGAGCGTCGCGCAAACCTCGCCAAAGCCCTCCCAAAAAACACCATCGCTGTCCTCGCTTCCTCCGACATCAAATACCGATCCGGTGCCGTCTTCTACGAGTTTCACCAAGAGCCGAACTTCTTCTACCTGACCGGTAATCCCCAATCAACTACCAGGGTGCAAAAATATACATACTGAACAATACTCGTACAGGCTTCAACGAGCCCGAAGCACTTGCTGTCATTGGTGGGTGCGTCGCAAAAATGTTATGCAATCAGGACAATAGCTCACAACGCTGCAGAAAAGGGTGACTCTGATGTTGAATACACGTTCCACCTATTCGTCCGACCCAAGGACCTAAAAGCCGAACAGTGGGATGGTGCGAGAAGTGGTATCCAGGCCGCATTAGACGTCTTCAATGCCGATGAGGTACACACCCTGCTTCTGTATATGATTGTCTAGTGTTGACAGTTCTACAGGCCGGAGACATTAACCGTTGTCACGCCCTTCTCCCAGATATCATCGGCCGCGCAAAAGAAGTCTACACCGATCTGCTCGGCACTACTACCAAGTCGGCATTCAAGAGATATTTTTCGAGCTTGAAGAAGGTACCCTCGGAAGGCTTCGGCAAGCTGCTACAAGAGAACAACGTCAGACCTCTGAGGCCTATCATGAACAACCTTCGTGTCAAGAAAAGCGAGTCCGAGATATTGAACATGAGAAAGGCTGGTCAGGTGTCTGGTCGCGCATTCACTGAGACCATGAAGACATCCATCAGTACCGAGAAGGATCTCTGGACCATGCTCGATACCGGCTTCAAGGTTGGCGGTCTAGATGGCTCGGCTTACGTGCCTGTCGTTGCTGGTGGAAAGGTATGATCATATTACAGTCACAGAGCTGAGAGATACTAACAGGCAACAGAATGGCTTGAGCATCCATTACACTCGCAATGATCAAACTCTCAAGTACGTGCAAAGAGCAAGCATATAATTTCTATACTAACAGATGTCACAGGGAAGGCGAGCTTGTATTAGTCGACGCTGGCGGCGAGTACGGTGGCTACATCACCGACATTACACGCACATGGCCAGTAAATGGCAGATTCACAGACCCGCAAAGAGATCTGTACGAGATGATCCTCAAAGTCCAGCGAAGCGTGGTATCGCTTTGTCACGAGGATGCGAACGTCTCGCTCGACAAGCTCCATCGTATCACCGAGGACGGATTGCGCGATGGACTCAAGAGTCTAGGATTTAACATGGACGGCAATGTAAGTCTTGTGACAGCGATGGCTCAGACGCGATGCTGATAATTTGAAGGCTCTCGAGACATTGTTCCCTCACCATGTTGGACACTTTATCGGGTTGGACGTTCACGACGCTCCCGGGCATCCACGAACTGGAAAACTGACGGCGGGAGAGTGCATCACCATCGAACCGTGAGTGACTGGAGATGTACGAGTCGTGAGATGATTGGAAGCTGACAGTTGACAGAGGAATCTACGTTCCAGAAGACGAGCGATGGCCCAAGCACTTCCAAGGACTAGCGATGCGAATCGAAGACAGCGTGTGCATCACAGAGTCGCATCCTTATGTGTTGACAACAGAGGCAGTAAAGGAGGTTGTTGATATTGAAGCGCTCAGGCGTTAGGGGCTGTTTACCAACAAAATAAAAGAAGTGGAACGCGCTAAGATTTGTACGGCCCTAATTAGTGCAGAATGATGTAGTTGCCGGGGCTGCATACAGATAGGCTTTTGAGTGACAAGTTGTGGATATGTGCAATGCAGCCATGCGCGACGACCGGAATAGCAAGATAGACAGAGCAAAGAGCGAGGCGACTATCAGACTATGATCAGGAATGGAAACGGACACAGTAGAATTGCTTGGAGAGAGTTGATGTGTGTTTGAGAGCAAATCTCGATTGGCGGGGAGTTGTGCATACAGGTTGTCGCTCGAGCGCGTGCAAAGCTCGGGGAAAGAGCATGCACACATCAAAACATCCACATCCATCCAGACTCGTCGCGTTTGCAGTTGCTGTCTGTCCATATTCGCTCCTTTCTCTTCTCCTGTGTTCAATCAACCACGACTCTACTGACCCTCAGCCCCTTCTCTCTTGTCCTTGATCGCGCTGCCACAATGTGCCAGTAAGAGCGCGTTCGAGTCGCGTGCAGAGCCGTCCACCACACAGAGACAGCACCACCAGCACACCACCAACACATGGCCACCTTGTCAGCTGTGTCCAATATGACCAGCAAGCGGCTCCCGCTGGCCAACAACTCCAACGCCGTCAACTCTCCTTTTCGTACCCTCAACCCCGTCTCTGGCAAGCGCTCGCGAGCCCAGGACCCGCGTGACGCTGGCCAGCCTCCTCTAAAGAAACAAGTCCTCGAACTCGACCACGATGAGAACCAACAACCGCGTTCTTTGATCCGCCAGTCCTTGGCCTCACAAGAGAAGGATGCACAACTCTTCCTGAAGAAGCCTGGCAATGCCCCTCCCACTGCCTTTGAAAGGAAATTGGCTGCTGCAAGGAAGCCTGCATCTGCACAGAAGCCTCAACAAAGAACAGCCGACAGTCTCGAGAGCATCCGTCAATGGCAACGGCATTACAGAAAGGCCTTCCCCCAGTTCGTCTTCTACTTCGAGAGTGTACCCGATGACGTTCGAACAAAGGTCTCGAGGCAGATTCAATATCTTGGCGCCGTATGCTCTGTCCATCCTCTCACATGTACACAATGGTATACTGACTATGGCCGATAGAAAGAGGAAAAGTTCTTCTCGCGTTCCGTCACTCATGTCGTCACGACCCGTCCTATCCCGCCAGAGCTTGCCTCGACAAGTTTTGATCATGGTCATGGCACCTCCAAGAATGACTCGCACCATGCCTCCCTCAAGACCATCGATCCTTCTCTTCTCGATCGTCCGCAAGACTCGACCTTGACTGGTGCTCAGAAGAAGACTGCTGACCTGCTCGAGGCTAGCCTGCAGGGGCGTAACCATACTTCGAACGTCCAAAGGTATGCTGCCACTCTTCCCACCCCTCCCTCATCGCTGTCTATACTAACCTATACACCTAAAGTCTTCAGACTGTCGAGCCACGCAAGCTTGGTGTCCAGAGCAACGATGTCTTGTCCAAGGCTAGAGAGCTTGGCATCAAAATTTGGGCTTTGGAGAAGCTTCAACGTATGATGACTACCATGTTCGATACTGACACTGGTGAGCAACCTGATCATAGAAGAAACATTGCTTCAACCTTGCGCAGAGGAGAGAAGCCAGATCTACAAACACTTCTGCGGAATGAGAAGGTCATTGGTCCGGCCGATCGTGATCTGGCTGTCGCTGCTCAGGATTCGGTCCAATTCCGAGGATACTACATTTACGTGCACGACATGGATGAGAGAACTCGTCCGGTCATGGTCCGTGATTACCCTAAGGTCACCCATAAGGAGGAGGGCAAGTGGCCACAGTTCCGTCTGACCCCCATTGGAAGATGTCCGTTCGTCGAAGATCCCTCACACACCAAGAAGCTACGTCTGGCAGAGGAGATGAAGGCCGCCGAGGCCGAGAAGGAGCGCAAGCTGGCCGCTGGCGTTCCTGTCACCCGCAGCCGGGCCGCCACCACATCTCAACCAAAGGAACAGGCCGAGCCCCAGAACAAGGACAAGGACACGACTGAAGTTGCCGACGATCATGTGAAGCCTCTGGACCCACCAAAGGGCATTCCTAACAAGAGACAAACCTCCATGGATACTGGTAGCATGCCAGCGCTGTTTGGCAGTACCCAGGCCAACATGAGGGGAGCACCTCGTTTCATCGGAGGAGAACCTGTCGCGTCCGGAGTTCAGCCCTCAAACATCACATCCGCCATTCGTTCGCAGATCGTCTCATCGACTATATCGTCGACAGCACCTGGAACCCGTAACGTTGGTGCGAGCAAGGAGATCACTGCCCTCAAGCGCAGAGCATTGGAGAGAGGAGCCAGCGCAAACTCCAACGAGCCACTGCAGTCCTCATACCTCACCGACATGCGCGCAGCCATCAACGGAGACCGCCAACAAGCACCAAGAGCGGCCAAGCGCAAGGCACAAGAGACTTTGGGACACATTCGTGAAGAAATCGAAATGGTCGAGGCGGAGAAAGCCAAGTCTCGTCGCACTCAGCAGGTCCGCAAGAAGGTCGTTGTAGAACGTGAGATGAAGGCAGGATACTGTGAGAACTGCAGAGACAAGTTCGAGGACTTTGACGTCCACTGCCAATCTCGCAAGCACCGCAAGTTTGCAATGGACAAGGGAAACTGGTCCCAATTGGATGATTTGCTGAATCAGCTGGAACGTCCTCTGAAGTGAAAAACACCAGAGAAGACTTAAATACACACGACACCGTACTAGGTGTATTCACGACGACGACCACTCGTTGACCGATATCGATCGATATACTTTAACCACACCACTGGATTCGTCAACCACATCACAAACCTGAATGGTCGTTCGAGAGTTCAACACGAGACAAGATTCTATGTTATTTGATTACTGTCTGTTTTATTCGGGGCGTTCTATACCTTCTCATGGGGAGGTACATTCTGTTTTTATATCGCATGGAAGGACCGGGAAGAAGGAAGATTGATGAGGGGAGGAAGGAGATGGAGGAAACAGCGCATTGTTTGCAATTATTGTGTTTTGGCTGAGCAGTGAAAAGAGGACAGAGCAAAGAGCAAAGGAAATCACGTTTGAAGGCTGGAAAGCATCCATGAGTTTTTACAGAGCATGGTAAGCATTCTCATCCTGTCATTCCTTGGTTGTCATCTGTTTCTGTTGGACTTTACATCATACTATCTCTGTTCGAGTGATTTTCCAAGCTCAGGAGCGAGAAGCATGTTTGGGAGTATTAGCTAGTTTTGGCCCCCTTTCTTCTTTCAAACGCTTTCAAGTAATAACAAGAAATCAAGGAAAGAACAGATTCCAAATGTAACACTATTGTCATTGTTGACCTGCTCTCATATGGCGACGAGTCTGTGACTGTGCAATCCAAGAACATGCACGGTTGATTCCTGCACCGAGGTGTGGCTACTGAAGGTCCTTGCGGTCAAGCAATTGTCGTCACTACCTCATGTTCCTCTCGGTAATAAGGTAGTGCCAATCTATCATGCTGCTGAGCTGCACAAGCAACCCCTCAATCAAAGGGATAGTTTTGGAGGATACCGACTGTACGAAGACGTCTTTATGAGGACACACATGCTGCTCATGCTCGCTACTCTGACTGCTTTCGAGGCTGAAAACACAATCTCATAACGATGAGATCGTCCAGTGGTGACGGGACTCTTGAGGAGCCTGACGCTGCTGTCCCGGCTGCTGCTCTCGATGCTCGCGAACGCTTCTAAGATCGATCAGATCTTCTTCTGGATCTGGTGTCGCGAGTACCAGGAGCTTTGAGGATTCTAGGATGCCTGGATGTACTCCCAGGGACTGGCCATTAGGATGAAAAGCAGTGGCAAGAGTTTCTTGGTCTAGAGAACTTGTGGCATGTGTAGAGTAGTCATCGTGGTTCAACCCACAGCTGAAAAACCCTCACCGCCAACATGAATCACGAGCTAGACCCCCATCAAACTTGCTCTACTGGAATCGCGGACACACGAGGAGCTGCAATGGAAAAGAAAAGAGAATGACGCGAGTAGGTGGACGAGCGAAAATGAGATGTTATCTTTTCTCTTCGGCTGAGAAGGTGTAGAGTACTTTTTTTTCAAGGGGAAGCAATGCTTCTTTTATCTTGGGTGTCTCTTTGGACAAGATCCTATTTATTGACACCTTTGTACATTTGAGACTCCAAACTAACTATGCTTCCGCACAAGAGAGAGGCTCGAAAACCTCAATATGCACTCTACCGCTTCCCCTAAGCCCTTCCGTAATCACACGAAAATTGTCCTCGTCGAAACACCACTGTATACCTTTCTCCCCATCATGCAGCACGAAAACATCACTCTCGCTGACCTCTGTCTCCAGATCTGTGTGCCCAAGTCTTGCGAGTTGTGCAGGAGGTTTGGTGCATACATGTCCTTTGATCAAGTCTGCACTTTCCAAAACTTCCAAGTGTTGCGGGAGTGGTGACTTATATTTACAGTGCCATATGAATTGCTTCCAATTGTCTCCATACAATAACTCTTCTGTTTCCAAAGAGGTAAGAAGAATATGAGGCATGTCGATGCTGAGCAGGTAGGTAGAAGTGAAGGGACAGCGTAGAGCAATGTACTCCCGAAATTTTTTTGCGATAGAGCGTTGTGGTGAAAAGTAAATTGCTGAGTGCAAGGAGTTGAAGTCGTTGCCGCGGGGAGAGGTGAGTGAAGAGATATTGAGGGTCCCGTCTTCGAGAAAAAGAGGGTCAGTAGATGACAGGGCTTTGTAGAGTGTAGTGTGATCCCCTTCTACTTCTGGGAGTGATCCGGGGACGATGTAGCGCTCAAGATAGCCCTCTTATCCCAAGTCAATTTCTTCGTTGTCGACTCGATCTTGCAAACGCAGCAATGTTGCGTAATTGATTCTGAGTGTATCCTCGATCCAGTATTCCAAGCTTTGCATCCCAAACACACCCTTTAACTTCTCATCCAGTATCGCATCCGAGACTTCCTCCCTGATGCCTAGTTTCGCCATCTTCTCAGCATCTGAGAGTCTGCTGAAGGTCCAACAGTTGACGTGTATGATATGACCATGGATAAAGGAGAAGAAATCGTAGTTGGTTGCTTCTGAGGATGAACAGGAGGGATCTTTGTATCTGGAGTACATCTGGAAGATGTGGCGGGCGATTCTGGGGGCGAAGCTGATGGAGACCAGGCCGAAGATACTGTTAGCTGTAGTTTGTAGGGCGAGGTCGAATAGAGATTGGCCGGATGGGTGGAAGCCGGTAGAGTCGGAAGGTGATGTCGGGTCAGGTTGAAGTTTGGGTCCATGGTTGTGGCGAAGGTTGATCTTGATTTGAAGGAGAGACTCGAAAGATGTTCGGAATTTCGAGGATCCAAATGTTGAGTACTGTGCGAAAAGAGCTGTGATGACTCTTAAGCTGCTTTGAGCCACCGACCCACGTGGCGAGAAACCTTGAATGTATCTGTACAGTACTGCGTGTTTGCCAAACCTGAACTCCCTTTCCAAAACTATATAGGGCGTCATATCTGCTACAACATGGGAAAATCGTTTCTATATTGCGGATGTGACCAAAGTGAGTCAGTCTTTTTTTGAATACTAACACAGTCCTCGAGTCCGTTCTGCTTTAGAATGGCAGAACTCACATACTTTGATGTTTGGGAGGTCAGATGATTCAAGCCATCATAGGAGCAGTTGATATTGATTGAGACTGATGTGTTATGGTACAAGCAAGCAAATCGTCTCCTGTTCGTCATCTCTCATGACTGCTCCGGTGAGTTCTTGTTCTGCATCGTTGAACCGCCGCTCACTTCTTAACCACTCGGAATGCGACTTTAAGCTTGTCATTTGGATCCTCGTCATCGTATTCAGGATGCCATCCATCTCTGCCATGAGTACGGGCCAGGGTATCAATGGTCTCTTGTACCGAGGATGCTTCTTTACTGCTGCCCAGTCCTCTCAAAATCACTCGAGCAGAGGAAATCCTGATACCTCTCGCCAGATGACCCGCAGCGGCTATTGCCAGGCGGCGGTGGCAAAAAGCACAGTAGCAGTTCTCCAGCGAAACCTCAAGCAGTTGCAGATTCATCAAACGACACAGCGATTTTTCGAGGACATACCATCTGGTGAAGAGCTTGGCCTCAAAGTTGTCGTGATTGCTGTTTGTTTGAAGAGCAGAAGGTAGACTCTGACCGTCCCGGAGGTCAAAGGTGATACTCAAAGACCTCAGATGCCGCTGAGCCATCCCAGATGTATTTTTAGCACGAATAGTGATTGCGTGATGAAACCAGGGCCACACGCCGTAGGAGAGGATGAATTTGTTTTCTCCGAAGTAGATGGGTGCTGCTTCATTGAATACTTGTCGACACAATTGAAAGATTTGAGTCTGAGGTCTCTCGAAGTGTGATCGACAATTGAAACGGTCATCTTCGTCGTGCTTTGGTCTTGGGTACACTTCGCCAACAATAAGACAATATCGGTAGATCGTGTTGCGGATCTCGGGCGGAAGCCGAATGAAACTCACAGGTGATGAGTTGTCGATGGATACGATCGGGGCAGGAAGAGCGATCATGAGATCCTGATTGTGGAGAATGTCTTTGACGACTGTGCCAGTCATGTGCGGTGCGTTGGTGGATATAAGGACAGAGTTGACGGCGCTCTTGATGCGTTCAAGTTGCGCGGGAGTAAACTCTTGATGGTCAGACATCGCGTTTGTTTGGCACATGCACTGAGCGATGTCAGACAGGATAGTGGTGATGTATGGGAGAGTCTTACACTTCAAAGCAACAAGGATGCTGGTTGTGCGTGAGAGCCGGAGATTGACTTGAGGAGTGGCTTGAAGCGGACTAAGGAAGTAAGATGGTGAAATTCATACACCATTCAGTGAAGCTGCGAGACAATCGACGTTCAGCAGTGCTTAATCAGTCAAAGGTACTTGGTGTTGTTAGACAAGATGTCGTAGGAATTTGCATGATAGACTAACCTTCGTATGAATTCTGTAGCTAGATGACTTTTGAGGTGTTGATGTGTGGTGGAAAGCACTAGGCAAGTTATAGAGAGCGAGTCAGGTAGAAGCCGATGGGGTCTTGACACCAAACAGATCAGATCAAGGAAGTGAGTGCCTTGAGATTTGCGAAGAGGAGCAGTGAAGGCGGAGAATGAGAAGTGGTCAGCAGCGTTCAAGAATAGAAGTCGAAACTACAACGACAAGGTCTGCGGCTGGCCCACATCCATCGCCCGCCATTACGACACTTGGGTCGATGAGACAGCCAGTGAGAGATGACATCCGGGTCAAGGAAAGCCCAGGACGGCTGCTCCTGTCTCGACCATCCCACTCGGACAACTCCATGTGCTCGGAATATTTCACAATCGTAACCACAGACTGTGCGATGGATATGGGAAGCAGAGCGGAAGCAAGACGGAAGCAAAACCGCAAACCCCGCGCTCCCACCTACCTCGTCTTCATGGTCAGCCATGTCTTTTGTTGGCTTAAGCAGGCGTTTGGCGCTGGCGTCCATACTAGGCTCCTCCACAGCTCATAACGACCATCGTGTGCAGTGTCTTTCTCTCAAGTTGTGCTTCCGCAGAGCAGATCGATCATGTGTTTCAATGCTCTCGTTGCTTACGAGGATAATGTGCCAACCATTCTCTGTCAGCTCAGCAACGTCAGACCTGCTATAGTCCGAATCACCTATCGGGTCGAGACCAACGCCTGGCCCATCTCATCAGCTCCGTCAAATACGCTTTTCGAGGCACGCGACCTCGATAGAGCAAGAGCTCGGAAGCGCTTCCCCTTTGCTGCTACTCAGCGGCGAACTTGAAGATTGAAGTTTTGCCTGAGAAAGCCACGAACTCCAACGCAGTTCTACTCATCCAAGCGACCAATCACAAAGAGATGATATCTATTTGCTGCACACTAGCCAAAAGACTAGCTGCAACTGGAAGATGTGTATTCGTAGTCGACTTCGAAGATTGACATGGTCGAGCAGATATCAATTTCTGATTGTCAAGATCGTGCCGGGGGAGTATGTTGTTTGCGCGAGTATACTTCTGAACTGAGTAGTACGACAGCAATCGAAGCAACCATATGCCCAACGTGCTGAGCAAGAGCACGATCAGTATCCCAGACAATTCGGTAGACCTAGAGAATTTTCGAGCAAACGACACCGGACTGCATGTAAGGAAGCCGGCAGGGCAAAGACCAAAGACCAGAGGCACTGCAAGCTAAATCCGAAGCCAAGAAGGAATTTGGAACACTAAAGACTGTCCCATGAATGGCTGCACAGAGCCATGAAAGCTACAGAGGTCCCAGTAGCAATGGCCTCCACAGCGGCGGCATCAGCGACCTCCTCAGCCTCCTTTCTCCGCCTGTCTTCCTGCAAGTTCTAGACACCTGGGAGCCCGGCATGCGTGGCAGTGGATTCCAGTGTTTGGAACCGTGCGATCATCTGTGAGCTCTCTGCCAGTCGAATTCATAACTTGATGGCATTGTGATTTGAGAAAATGGAAAAAGATTGATCGAGACTGGCAACAAGGCAGACAGACACCTTGTGAGACCGCTTTCTCTGTGGAAGTCATCTCCTTTCAGAAATCACTGTGCATCTCCAGCTGGATTTGGCGCTTGGACACTGCATATCGGGGATATAGGACAAAAAGGGCTTGCTATGATCACCAAGAGTTTCTGTCTTGGTGGCTTCTTTTTGATTGCATCTCTAATCCGGGAAGGCAGTCGTGTGGTGGATAGCTTGAATTAACGTGCTGTTGTGAGGCCTGGGGTTTGCAGGCTTGATCACCATGGCGAGGGAGGATCGGCCACTGTTTGTAATTAGTATAGAGATTTCGACAGGAAATGGGTAGAGGACTTCCCTTCCGACAGCGGACACGCCTTAATGCGAAGAACATGCTTGCTTGACTACAAGCTGATATATCATCACAAGCCAGACTCTACTCTTACATCGAGATCAAGACCAAGCACAAGTAAACAACAAGCAAAAGACAATAGGTAGTGAAATGGAATCTAATGATTTCAATTGACTGTTGGGCGCCCATCCCCAAATTTCACCCGCGCCACTCTCCCACGCGCAACGACCCTAGAGGAAGCTTTCGAAGATCCGTCCTGGTACCGTGCAAAGGAGAGGATAAAAGACTTGGGGGGTTAAGAAACAAGAAAATCGACTTGAGAGGATAAAAGAAAAAAGAAAAGAACCATCTCTCCTTGGCCCGCCCCATGATTGAGTTCTGCTGGAAAGAGACAACACCCGGGTTTGACTGTTCACATTTGCCATGATAACGTGATCCGCCATTTTCAACGAAATGGTAGGAAATTTGTATGTTTGACTGCGATTTACTCGGATGCCTTGGTCTCCTCGGTGGCAGCGGGTGCCTCAGCGGACTCCTTGGCCTCGGGGGCAGCGTCACCCGAAGGCTCGGTCTCGGACGAAGTCCAGAGGGTCTAGTCAAAACAATTAGTTTCGTTACTGAGAAAGATGAATTTGAAGAAATGCTTACGAGGTTGTCACGGAGGAGCTGCATGATGAGGGTAGAGTCCTTGTAGCTCTCCTCGCTGAGGGTGTCGAGCTCGGCAATGGCGTCGTCGAAGGCGGCCTTGGCGAGGTGGCAAGCCTTGTCGGGCGAGTTCAGGATCTCGTAGTAGAAGACAGAGAAGTTCAGAGCGAGTCCGAGACGGATGGGGTGGGTAGGAGCGAGGTCAGTCTGGGCAACCTCGGTGGCGTTCTGGTAAGCCTCGAGCGACTTGTCGGCAGAGGTCTTGCGCTTGTCACCAAGAGCGAACTCGGCGAGGTAACGGTGGTAGTCACCTTTCCTGTAAGGCGCATTAGTATTTCGACTTGACCAGAGAGTAGCGCGGAGATACGAACATCTTGTGGTAGAAGACCTTGGACTCGCCGCTCTGGGCAGAGGGGATAAGGTGCTTGTCAAGAACGGCGAGGATGTCCTCGCAGATCTGGGCGAGCTCGGCCTCAATCTTCTGGCGGTACTCCTTGATGAGAGTGACCTGCTGCTCGTTGCCCTTGGACTCCTCCTTTTGCTCGATGGAGGTGACGATTCTCCAGGATGCACGGCGAGCACCGATGACGTTCTTGTAGGCGACGGAAAGGAGGTTTCTCTCCTCAACAGAGAGCTCCTGGTCGGCAGAAGCAACGTTCTTCATGTTCTCGACCATCTCTGTACTGGAATCAGCTTTGCGCATGCTGTAGATGATAGATCGTGGACTTACCCTCGTAGCGCTCGGCCTGCTCAGCGAGCTTGGCCAGGTAGACAGAATCCTCGTAACCCATCTTTGATGATTTGTGATATGAAGTCTGGTGGGACATGCTGTTAGCGTTTCTGATTGGGATCGAAGTCATTGTTGTAGTGTGTGGTAGGATGTGAACCGAGAAGAGTTGTGAGGAGAGTGTGGAGCAAGCGAGCCAGGGCGGTGTGAAAGTAGATGGACTCAAAAGTCGCTGGCATGTGACAGTTTGCTGCGGGCAAACACGGTGAAAGATCGTGGGAGATGGGAAAGCGCGAGCAAGTCGTGCAAATCGGTTGTGATGACAGTCGCGACGCTGGCGAAAGCTCTGAAGGTCCGGAGGCAGGCGGGTGTTGTCGTGAGCGCATCAACCAGAACAGCTTCTGGGTCGCGCCTTCTTCGCTTGAAGCATCTTCTTTCGTCGCGATCTCGTGGGGTGACAGCTTTTGAAAGAGCTACCATTGCGCCGTGTCGTTGGTTCTCGGTGTGTTTGCCCAGCCACGCGTCCATCAAGCTCTCTGACAGCAGGGGGGTATTCGTGTTCGCACGTAATCTGGCTCGACTTGTGTGTGCAGGGTACGAACGATGGAGGTTCTTACCTTTTGGGGAGCGAAAAGGTGTAGAAACGGCGAGGTTTTTTGGCGGAAAGAGGTGAAGTTGGTGCTGTTTGTGGAGGGAACAAGTCGAGGGGGGCACTTGTGATGGGCGAAGTTGGGGATGAGCGGTTGTCAACCTCCCGACATGATGTAGCCAATCACCGCTCGACAACTAGAACTTTCCACCTCTGTCAAGGCGCCATCCCGCACAGAACCAGACACGTCTTTGTTCTCCGTCGGGCTTCAATTGACGCGGACTATCCTGATTTAGAACTTCTGCTCTGCTTGATTGCTGTCCTATAGACGTCTGCCAGCTTGATAGTCTCATAACACGCGTGAACACGACCTCAATCGCACGGCAAATCATCGAAACACGTCGATAAGGATCGACATGCAAAGCGCGCATTTTGTTTACATACGACTCGTCTTCTGCCGACTGACGCCAGACCCCTGCTTTCAGGAGCCACTGCTCTAGAAGCAGATGATTCATGCCAAGGACATCTTGTTCTAGTCACTCAATATTGATTCCAATCTTGCGGTGCGGTGTGATGATGGTCACGAGATGGGGTATGTTCCGTAGCTAGCCGTTGAGATCCACTTCTAGACCTGTCATGCGTCGTGCATTCTGCCAGGAGAGCTCAGCGTTTAACCAAGTGTATAGCCACGGATGCACTCGAAAGAATAGCAAACACTTGTTTGACTCTGTACTCGATACAATATTGTCCTGCCTGTCTGACACCTTTCCCCTGAATCTTTTCCTTGCCGGCGCGAATGCGCAAGCTGATAGCTAAAGTACGCCGTGAACCAGTTACCCAAGATATATACATGCTCGAATAGAAATACCCATCGTCAATCATTATCTCAATCTGAATCGAAAGCGAAGTCCATCAACTAATTAACCTCCATACCTTCTTCCTCTTCTTCGTCAGCAAGCTCTTCCATGAGCCCGCTCTCGGAGTTCATTCTTCTCTTTCTGCCTTCAGGCCAGTTGCTGAGAGTGCTGAGTCTTGCGCCTCCAAGTGCTCCCACAGCTTCAAGCTCGTCTCCACCGACTACTCGTCCTTCAGCATCCACTTCTTCGCAAAGCTCAAGCATGGCAGCGCGCGACAGTCGTCGGAACCCTTCGGTACGCACCACACGTCCCCAATGTGTCATACAGAAGCTGGCTGCACGACGCTTGAGCCAAGTTTCTTGAGCGACACTCGCACAGTCAAAGATGAGAGCAGCGTGCTGGATGTCGAGCTCACGAACCAATCTTGCGACACACAGATGATGTAGGCGTGGCATGTCATAGATATTGCTCATGACAAGCATGCCTGCTACATCCTCGAGACTGGGTGATGGGGATGCAGAGTTCACGATGGACGAAGGTGCAATGGAGTCCGTGTAGAGGTAGTAAAGGAAGGCGCGCACCGCAGCATACGGCTCTGGAATGTGCATCTTCTTTGTATGGAACTCGGACATCTGAGCACTGTAAAGGCGAGCGAAGTGAGGCCAGCGCGCCGAAAGGATGAAGCGATGAACATGGATGGGTCGAGAGGCGTTCGCAGGTTTCTCGTGAGATCTCACACTGTCCCCATCATAATCCTGGTCGTAGTCATCGTCCGGGTTGGCCGTAATCATGAAATCAGTGCCAGAGCCCTGCTCGGGAGGAACATCGAATGTACGAGCAAGATCGGCGCCAATAGCGGAGAGGTGCGAAGAAATTCGGTTGTCAGAAGTCGGTGTCTGTTGGACAGATCGGGATTCCAGAGTGAGCTTGTTTCCGAGGAGGCCGAGCTTTCGTAGGTCAAGGTGAAGAACATCACTTAGATACTCTTCAGCGTCCGGCGCGTTTCTGGGGAGTGAGTTGGGACATCCAAGCAGCCAGGCGTGTGTGCCGTCCGAATCAAGACAGCAATAATGCCAACGGTAGTTTGGGTTGAAAATGTCCTTTCCATCAGCCAGCTTTTGCCAACGCAAAGAGTCCAGATCGAACGCCGAGAGGCTGGTCTCGGATGCAGACATGAGTGTCGCTGGGGTGACAAAGTCGAGCAAGCATGCAGACGAGAAGACATGGAAATGGTATCCTACATTTTGTACAGGGAGGTTGGGGTTTGAGATGAAACGAAGAGAAGAGATGGAGCCTGGCGCAATGGGTGGATTACGTTGGACCATGAAGCCTGGATTTACCTGGACACTGCTTGAGTTTGCAGCATAGGCACCAGTCGGACCTGCCTGAGGAGTAGCGGAAGTTGGAGAAAACATGGAGGACCTAGACATGTCGTCGGCAGGGTTTGCGCCTTCGAAAGCAGGGATGCCTTTGAGGTCGAGCCACCAGATGTCGCTCGTACGCTCCATGTCTTCGGTCATACCTCCCGACACCCAGAGTCTGTCACGCCAGATCCATGTTGAATGGTCGTATCTGGGGACAAACTTCCAAGGTCGTGACCATGTCCAGGTCTTGAGATCGAGATAGCAAATGTCATCTAGTACTGCATTGTCATGGCCAGTCATACCACCGCTGACGAAGAGCTTGTCTTGATGGATGACGGCAGAGTGCCTGGCTCTTCCGCGGGGAGGAATGCCTTGAACCTCAGGCGAGGTCCAATGGGCTGTCTTGAGATCAAAGATTATGACGTCGGCAAGGTGGGAGCGGTGTTCGTTCTCTCCACCAAATACAAGGAGCTTCTCGTTCTGCCAGAGACATGCAGTATGACCTATTCGAACGTTAGCACATGCAAGGGGCGTTGGTGGAGGTAACAAGCTTACCCATGCGTACGCCAGGAATGTCACCGTAGTTGTCGACCAGACTCCATTGCTTGGCCTGCAGATCCAGTCTGAGAACATGGTTGTAGACTTCGTCCGTGTACTGGTCGAAGCCGCCGAAAGCGTAGATCTGGTCGTTGCCAACATAGGTGACGGAAGCATTCACGAGACAGGCAGGCCTTTGGCCCACTGTGGTCATGATAGTAGGCATGTAGGTATCGTGGGTGCGACGTCGCGACGAGTAGGTGCGGCTTGATCTGGGAGAGGTGGACATGACATAGGTATTGGTGGAGCCGGTAGACAGACGCGACGAAGGCGGCAGAGATGCAGCCGAGAGGTTTGAAAGCGATGAAGCCATATCGTCGCCGACCAACTCGTTCTCGTTACTCGCGGTTGACTACTGTGACAATGTCGCGAGGGCTTGTTCTGTGACCGGCACAAAGAGTTATGTCTCGAGAGCAGAGCTATGCACAGCACAGTGACTGTCCGATGGAAAGCAGACGGGCCAGACGCGGATCGTCGTCAAAGACGTGATGGTGAACAGACGGCAATAAATTTAGTCTGACCTCGTCGTCGTCCCAACGAGCAAACTCGGCGTCGTCGGGCGTCTCGTCTTTAACGCCGGCCGTCGTTCGCTGACGACGCCCAGACTGAGCGGTTGCTGTGCCAACTTTGTTTGCACTTGTAAGCAGACAGCCATAAAGGGCACCACTCCCTCGACCATTCTCTCTGTATCTCCTCACCTCACAACCCAAACCCAGAAATTGCATTCCACGTTATTCAAAAGCTTTCTAAGAAGCACCCTTACCATCCTCTTACCTCTCTACCATCCACGACGACTGCAAGATATCTGCAACCATACTAACAGAGCTCTTCATTGAGACATCTGTACGCTGGCCCTCTCCACAACTTTCTGTCTATCTCTTATCTAACGGCTTTTGCAGACAGCATCACATTAACACACATACTGCCGCAGATATGGCAAGTCCTTCGGTTATGACGCCCATCAAGCGTCGTGATGGCCTCTTCTCAACCCGCTTCGCTGGTGGCCGCGCTCCCTTGACCCCTTCGCCTCAGACTCCCAAGCAGCGCAACGTTGTCTTTGACAAGGATGAGTCTATCCACCGCGGCAACCTCTTCCCCCGCTTCTCGCGCTCTATCTCAAAGACCAACGTCCGTGACTCGCCAAAGTCAAACATCGCCAGACATGTCTCTCACAACTCCCCTCGCCGCCTTGAACTCGGCGTCAGCGACTGGAACCTGACTGGAACCGGTCCCTCAGCATCCACTAAGGCTACTCCTTCAAGAACTCGCAACCTCAAGACGGTCAAGACTGGCAAGACCAAGATCAGCTACACCTCGGCCGACCGCTTCATCCCCAGCCGCACCAACTCGGATGCCATCACCAACTCTGGTGTGAATAAGATTGAGAAGAAGGAGCACTCTCGCTCAAAGTCTTCGGCCGAGTCTGTTCTCGCTGGTGCTGCCTCTGCTTCTTCTGCCTTTGATCTTGGCAGACGCTCAACTCACGATGATGAGCTTGATGCTGCTCTTGGCCTCGACGGCCTGAACCTTGAGGATGACGAGGACGAGAAGACCCACAACAAGCCTTCTCCCAAGACTGCCGCATACCAGGATGAGATTGCCAAGGCTTGCGACATCTCGCTCGGACAGAGAATCCTGGCCTTCAAGCCTGCCGCTCCCGAGTCTTCAAGACCCATTGACCTGCGCTCGCAGTACAACCGTCCTCTCAAGCCTACTGCCGCTGCCACCCAGTTCCGCCGCCGTGTCGCAACCGCCCCTGAGCGTGTTCTTGATGCACCTGGTCTTGTTGATGACTACTACCTCAACCTCCTCGACTGGTCTTCTGGCAACCAGGTCGCCATTGGACTCGAGCGTTCCGTCTACGTCTGGTCGGCTGAGTCTGGCGAAGTCAACTCTCTCCTCGAGTGCCCCGCCGACACCTACATCTCGTCTGTTAAGTGGAGTCAAGATGGTGCCTATGTCGCTGCCGGTCTTGGTACGGGTGAAGTCCAGATCTGGGACGTCGAGGAGGGCTCCAAGCTCCGCAGCATGTTCGGCCACGACACCCGCGTTGGCGTCATGGGCTGGAACAAGCACCTTCTCTCCACCGGTGCTCGCTCCGGTCTCGTCTACAACCACGATGTCCGCATCGCCCAGCACAAGGTTGCCGAGCTTGTCTCGCACACTGGTGAGGTCTGCGGTCTCGAGTGGCGCCCCGATGGTGCTCAGTTGGCCACTGGTGGCAACGACAACCTCGTCAGCATCTGGGATGCTCGTTCGCTCAACGCACCCAAGTTCCAGAAGACCAACCACAAGGCTGCCGTCAAGGCTCTCGCCTGGTGCCCTTGGCAATCCAACCTTCTCGCTACTGGTGGTGGTTCCCACGACCGTATGATCCACTTCTGGAACACGACCTCTGGCGCTCGCACCAACAGCATCGACACTGGCAGCCAGGTCACTTCTCTCAAGTGGAGCACCTCTTACAAGGAGCTTGTCAGCTGCTCTGGCTTCCCCGACAACTCGCTGAGCATCTGGTCTTACCCCACTCTTGTCAAGAACGTCGAGATCCCTGCTCACGAGTCTCGTGTTCTTCACTCTTGCCTGTCCCCCGACGGTCAGATGCTTGCAACTGCTGCTGCCGACGAGTCGTTGAAGTTCTGGAAGGTGTTCGAGAAGAAGGCTGGTGCTTCTTCTGCTGGCGCATCGGGTGCTGCCTCGGCCAAGGCATCTCTCACCAAGACCACCACCATCAGATGAGCTTGACGACGAGTTGAGTCTGACAAGAACATGGCCTTCTTCCTGTTTTTTCTCTTAGTGTGGGAACAAAAGGCCAGAGTAAGTTTTGGACATTGCTGGGAGGTGCATGCTCCTAGGGGTTTCTACTTTCGTATATCAGGGACAAGGACAAAGACGACTGGAATCAATTTTGGAGTTTGGGATTAGTGTTGTCAAAGTTATGTTTATCTTGTCATAGGAGTCTGCCGGTTGGCGACTCGTGTTTTAATCGATGGACTCAAAGTCTACTACCATATTCAACCTGGCTTGCCACTTCTCAAGTGTGAATAGTATGATTCAGACGCATCAGGAGACATGTCTGAGCCGATGGCGACCGGACTGGCGGGAATGAAGATGGTATGGAGTGGTTGAAGGAAGCGTCTCCAGGATCTTGGCAGGCCGATATGGATGATGTATGATGATGCAGGCTGGGGCTTGCTCCATTTCTCCGCCGTGCCCGCGTTTTACGCAAGAGACTGCGGATTCCGTAACAGAAAGAAGATTCATCATTCTCCTAAACACCATGTCGTGAAGTTGATTGGCTTCGTGCATTGGCAGGCCACTATGAGACCATGTTCACTCCCGACACGGACCTGGCGACGCGGCTTCCACGACTACTTTGTCACTCACCTGCCGCAATCATCCTTGCACCCGGACTCGAACCACAAGCTCCCGCGCCATGTCGCCGCCCCTCACGACAAGACCTCTGGTAGACAGCCCGCTATCCTGTCGCCTGCAAGACGCGATACCACTGTCGTCAGAATACCGCTCAAGTCGGCAAAACATCACTATGGAGCCACTTGTTTAAGAGGAGGACGTCCGCACAACGAAGACACGCATCAAGCCGGCACCATCGAGATTCCTGCTTTCGCCAAACGTCAACCCGTCAGTTTGACCCGCGCGAACAGGCAGTTGCAAGAGAACAATGGTGCTGCGAGCGAAAGCGGTGACCCTCAGGTCTTTTACTTTGGAGTCTTCGATGGCCATGGCGGTGCTCAGTGCTCAGAGTTCTTGAGGGATCGACTGCACACCTATCTCGAAGAATCTGCTGCAAAGTTTCATATGGAGAGTAGTCTGCAAGACTCGAAAGAGACCGAGGATCATGGACACAAGCAACTTCTGGAGCTCCAGCGCAATCTGGTGAACTCGTGGAAAGACACTGTAGGCGGCTACTTTCGCCGTTTCCGCCCTCAATACTTTAGTATCTTCAAACCGACAGCGAGTACGGACGAGCAATCCACTGCCGTAAACTCCATCCACGCTACCTTGATGTACGCCTTCCTCCACGCGGATATGGACTTCACAGCCGCCCAAGCCTCAAAGCATACACCTTCGCTGCCTTCCTCCACCGACGACCCCGTCCTCAGCGACCGCCCTCTAAACGACAATGACATTCTCTCTTCCCCCGCCCGCCCCGCCTCCCAAAACCTCTCCAACGTGCTCAATCGCCCCATAGGAGGCCACACACGCTTCCAAGGCGGTTCCACTGCTTCAATAGCCCTCATCTCGACACCAACACCCACGCCCTTCTGGAACCCTGCCTCTCCAGCCACAATCGTCACTGCCCATTGCGGCGACACTCGCATTCTACTCTGTCGAGTTGCAGATGGCAAAGCAGTGCCCTTAACCACAAACCATCACCCTTCTACCCCCGTAGAAGCAACCCGCCTGCGCAGATTCGCCGCAACCTTTGTCACCGACTCCTTCGGCGAAGAACGCATTCTAGGTCTCGCAAACACGCGCTCCTTTGGCGATATATCCTCCAAACGCATCGGTGTATCCGCCGAGCCGGAAATCACTCTCACCCATATGGATCCCAGCGAGTATTCCTTCTTGGTGCTCATCAGTGATGGCGTCACCGCATCACTCGAAGATCAAGAGATTGTGGATATTGTCAAGGAAGCCAGAACGCCCGAGTCAGCGTCGAAAGAGCTAGCGACGTTTGCGACAGAGGTGGCAGGCGTGAGGAGCGACAATGCTACTGCCATTGTTGTGCGGCTCGGGGGTTGGGAGAGGAGGGTCGAGGGCGGTGGTGGTAGTATCGGGACAAAAGAAGTCAGAGAGTGGAAGAAGCAGAGGGCAGAGGATCCGAGGGCTAGTAGACAGTGAGAGGCTGCTCTTCTTCCTCTCTCTCTTCCTTACTCTGTTCATTTTCCTCTTCCACCTCCATCTCTACTCCGTCGACCTTCCATGCCTTCATCCTCCATTCTATATATGCCGTTTGTAGTTTCTACGTCGCGGCGTTCATTGGGGGGGTTTCGGGCATTTCTTTTCTAGTATTTTTTTTAATTCAGGAGGTATGCTTTTCACACCAGGTATTTACTCAAGGCATCTCTTTCTTCAAAGGTCGTATAGCGAGAGCGCATGGCACTTTCTATTTCAGACATCTCCTACATTGTATGACTTCTACAATTGTTCCTTTAGCTCTCTCTGCTCTGCTCTGGGTTGCAAACTCTCACTTGTCTATAGCTGTTTTTTTTCGCTTTGTTTCTGCTGCTGCTGCTGCGTGTCCAAATTTGTCCTGGGAAAAGCAAGCGCATTACACGCAGAGAAGAGACCATAAGTTTGGAATGTTTGTTTTGCATTTGGGGGGTATCGTGAAATCTTTCGAGGGGGATGTCTTGGGATCTAGGTACTAGCTCATATCAAAGTTGCCCAACACTTTCCTCGGTAGAGTGTGAGCAGAAAAAAGTCTAGTCCTCCCTTACATGATGGTGCGCATACATGAAGTCTTTTCATTAGACAGGGGGTGGGTGGTGATGATGATGTTGGATGGGAAGTTGTGATAAGGTGTGGGTATGGTGTATCGTGGGTCAGGGTTGGGGGTGTAGGGTGGTGCGTAGGACCTGCAATCTGATTTGATAACGCGCCGCGCATCTTGTGCAGCTTTCTCCGAAGCTTCTTCGCCTTCCTCCTCCTCGCTCTTCTGCAACCTAAAACGTGGCCCCTAGTCTGCTATGCAGTTGTTTGAAGTGTTGCACTTGAGTCCGCCTCATATAAAGTGCGGACTGGAGCTCGTGGGGAGTGAGTCGGAGCGTCGATGCTTTGTCTCGCAGTCTTCGCGCCGAGTTCAGATAGATGATGCTGATATCGACGGCGCTTCCGTGTGCCCTCAGAAGATCTTCCTCAGGAAAGAGGAGTGTCTAGAATCTGTCGGTCCTTTGCCATAGGGGTGTCTGATATCTGTCGTTTCTGTGCCATAGGGGTCCTCCTAGGACATCTGAACGTTGGCAGCAGCGGCTACAAACTCGTAATTAGCAATGACTTTGAAAGAAAATGTTTGACGTGATCACTTGCCAGATTGACGCTTGATCTGCTCGCGAGCCCAGCGAGCGGTGTCCTGAGTACGTTGAGAGTACTCCTTGTTGGCACGAACCTCGCGAGCCATGTTTGTAACCCACTGCTGGCTGAACGAGGCGCTGTACTCGCCGTCAGGGAATGTCTCGGACAAGTCACCAATGACGCCCATGCTGGTGCGAAGCAAAGCCTCGGAGCGGTTGGGGTCTTGGAAGATGGTCTGCAGGAGGCTGAAGACCGACTCAACGTAAGGAGCCAACAGTTGGCCTACGATATAGTTAGCATCACGAAAGCACGTGGAATCTACATCAAAACTCACTCTTGCCGCCAGTTCTCATGGCCATAAAGGCACCCGACCAGGCATCCATGATACCTTCGCGGAGAGTGACGACATAGTCGAGCATCTCGAAGGAAGTGTCGGGAACGTTGATGGAAGCGGCCTGCTGCAAGACCTGGGCGACGACCGAGAGGTAGGTCTCGAAGGCACCGCCAATCGCCTGAGCAATATCACCGAAGCACTGGAGGATGGCGGGCTTAAATTGGTTGCCGAGCGTCGAGCTCTGTCAAAATTCGTCAGAAAAGTAGTGGAATTCCGGATGGTTCGCTAGACTTACGCGAAGGTCGTTGAGAAGGTTATTCATCAGGGCATCGCAGTATGGCTGGATCTTCTCGTTCAAGGCACGCGAGATGTCGCTGACGAGACCGATAGCCATGGCACAAATGGCAGGCTCCTCCTGGTTGGCGAGAGCAGTGTACAGGAAAGGAGCGAAGGCCTCCATGTACTTGGCAAAGTCCTCCTCGACAGCACTGGCGAGAGCACCGACAGCGGCAAAGATAGTGTCAGGAACCGAGGACTTGGGACCAACGGTGTTGAGGAGTTGAAGCATAAGCTGCATGATACGGTCGGCCTGGGGCTTGATCTCGGTCTCAAGACGCTGGATGATGGCAATGACAACACTGGTCAAGCTGGTCTGCATCTCCTCAAGCATGAGCTTGTCATCCACGCTGACAACCTGCTGGCTCATGGGGACAGTGGACTCCAGACGCTCAAGGATGACGTTGGTAAGGTGACCGACGATGGTAAGAGAGTCGTTGGCCGAGTTGGTGACGAAAGCGTTAAGGACCTCGTAAGCAGCGGTGCGGAGCTGGTTGTCGGCATCGGTTCTACATAACACGTCAGTTGGATCCAAAGACATAACAATACTCATCGTCCATACCTCTCGGTGACCTGCAGAAGGTGGGTGACACTGTTCTGGAAGTGAGCAGACAGAGCGTTCTCCTGGCAACCCGGGTCTCCAGCAAAGCGATCGGCAAGGTTCATCAAAGCCCAGCAGCAGGACGAAGCCATCTTGGGGTGGCTGGACAGACCGTTGAAGAGCGAGCTGATCAAGGGCTGCAAGTGGGTGGTGGGGTCGATCGAGTCGGAGCATGTCTCGCAGATACGGCCAAGGGCGTAGGCCACCGAGTCTCTAACCTGGAGGACGGGGTCTTCCATCATGCCAATCATGACAGGGAGAGCCTGCTTGATCAGGGGGTCGAGGACCTTCTCATCGGGTCCCTCCATAATGGCGCCGAACGCAGAGACGGCAGCATCTCTGTAGTGCCAGTCCTCGGAGCGAAGGTGCTTCTCAACGAACTGGAGAACTGCGGGGACGATGACACCACCGACGGTCTGGGCCCAGAGCTGCAGACACTGGTAAGCAGCGCGAGAGATGTTGTACTCATCGTCGGCAGCATCCTCGTCCTGCTTGGCAAGCAGCTCGAGCAGAACGGGAACCACCTCAGGGGTTGCAATGCGGGCGAAGTTGAAGTACTCGCGCATCTCTGTGGAGCCCTCAGCAGTAGCCTAGTCATCTGTTAGCTTGCATTCTAGATCTTCTCTGGTTCCGTCACGTACCTGAGAGTTGTCGTCCTCGATGGAGATTTCCTCCTCGCAGACAGTGCACCAGAATTCGACAGCGAGCTTGGCAACATCCTCCTCATCGTTCTTCATGCCCTGAATGGTCAGACCGAAGAGGGCCTTCTCCATGTAGAAACGCATCTTGTCGTAGTAAAGACCCATGATTCTGTTCAAGCAACCATATGCGCCTTGCTGGATGCGGTTGTCGTCGGCTTGGGTGGCCTCGCAGATAACCTGCATAATGTAGTTGCGCTCGCCCTCGTTCTCGAAGTTGGTGCGGACAAACTCAAGCGAGTCTCCCAGAGCAGTGATGGCGGCATTTCTGACGTCGGGGTTAGGCTCCTCCTTTCTGGCACCCTGGACGACGGCGGTGAGGATGGCGTTGGAGTGCTGAGAGAGACTATCTCTAAGGTCCTGGTCCTCAGCTTCGCAGATAAAACCAATAGTGGTGAGCGATGCCTGCTTCTGGTGGTCGGCACCCTCGCCAACGTTCTGCACCAAGGTGGGCATGAGCTCGGGCCATTGCTCGCGGGGAATCTCGATAGCGGCGATAGAGGCGATGAATTGAGCTGCTGACTGTCCTGATCTGGAGTCGTTTGACTTTAGTGTTTGGAGGGCGAGAGCCTTGATCGATTGCTTGACGTCCGGCTCGACCTGTTGGATCCATCGGTTCTGTACTTCGCGCAGGCGGGTGTATTCACGGGCGGAGAAGGAGTTTTTCAAGGCAAGACCGGCGGCCATGCGCACTTGAGGTTGTGCTTGCTCGTTGGCGAGTTCTTGTGACAGATGTGTGAGGTATCCAGACTAGTCATCTGCATGTCAGCACGTGCCCGGAAGGCTGTGAAGAGACTGTCAAATACGTACGAAGTTGGCCTCTGCGGCCTGGTTGAGCTGCGCTTCGGCAGCGGTTCTGACTTGGGTGTCTATGGGGCGTCAGCATAGTGTCGAGCCACTGTAGACGACGAGCAGCGCGGTCGAGGAATGAACTTACCAGGCGACAGAGTCGCCGAAAGCAACGCTGAGGCATCCATGATTTGCGCAATTCGTGACAGGTAAGAGGCGTGCAAGGAAAAGAATTAAACAGGCTGACCTGGCCTGGCTACAAGGACGTCGTGGATAGAGAAGGAAGGAATGTGTAGTAAGTAGGTCGTGGCGGAGGAAGCGATGTTTAAGGGGAGCAGCTGCTTTTCCTGGTTCGCGGTCGGAATGAAAATCGCCGGCAGGTGCAAGTGGGACCCTGGGACACGAACAGCAGCCCGCTTCAAAGTGTCTTCACTCTATCCAACCCAAACTCAGGAACCACTGCATTCCGCTCACCCTTTGTATTTCTTGTTCCATCCAGTTATACACTATCTACACAATACAGCCTTTCGTCGCTTGCCATCTTTCTTATAACACTCTCTTTCCAACTTCTGTTTGCTTCTGATTCACACGACTCCAGACGTTCCGTAGAAATGGAAGGAACGCTGTCGTCACCGAAAAGCCAAGACAAAAATGAAGGAAAGCAGAGTGACACCTTGACATCTTTGTACCAGCATGCTCGTTCGACTTGAGCACAGAAATAGACAGCTGCACTATCCTATAGTCTGTCGTTTTCGAAACGTCCTATCATCACCATCCAGGGTCTCTAAACACTGCTGTTCCTGAGAGATTTCCCTCGATTGAGGTCGTCGCCAGGCTGACCCCTCATGGAAGGGCTTTCTGTAAACAAATGGCACAGACCAGTAAACAGTGCGGTGACAGTGGTCCGCCCTCACGGCCACCACCATCATTAGCAAATACCATCACTCGGTCCTTTGCTGTTCTCTTCTCACCTGGCTCTAGTATGTTTTCTAGAACGGCACGATATGACGATTTTTTTCTTTTGAGCAGTGGGGCTGCGAGCAAGCTTGACAGTAGTCCCGTCTTCGTCTCAGCCACTTTCTGTCGTCCGGGCAATCACTGGGTCAAAAGAGCACAGCATCTTATACTATTCTGAAACACCTTATACATACCACTATGATCGTGTCGATACTGAGTTCTTCACATATAACTCCAAACATGTCGTACGAGTATGGGATGGTTCGTTGCTTCATTGCTATCTGCGAATACAGTAATGGTTTATAATACAGTGCGGCCGCTCCAGCTAAATAGAAATTCCGGCTATCACCAAGTCTGTCTTTCCTTGTAGCCTTTCGTTACTCTAGAAGAGGCCGACAATCTTCAATCTCCTTTGTGTGATCCGGTTCGTCGACGACGAGGTTCGGCTCGCTTATGCGTCCCCAGCATGCTTTCTAAGCTTTGTCTGTTTCGGACTTGAGATCTTGTGTTTCTCCCTCCTTCTTCAGATTCTCCTTCAATGCATCGGCGAAGCTCTCGGGCTCGGTATGTTCGTGTTCAGAACCAGAGTCAGCGGCATCCGTGTGGTCGTCGACATTATCGGCGCCATTGGTAGCCTGCTTGTTCTTGTTCTTCTTGTTCTTCTTCTTCTTTTGTTTCTTGCTGGGTGTAGCAGGTGCATCGGTCGACTCGGGAGCGCTGTCCTTAGCAGACTCGTTCTTGTCACTGGTCTCCTTCTTCACTCTTTGCTTCAGCTCGTCCAGGTTGTCGGCGGCCTCTTCCTTGATCTGTTTGGCGTCCTTCTTGGTAGGAGTCATCTTGCGCTCGAAGCTCTCGACACGGTCGCTAACAGGTCTGTTGGAGCGAGGCAGTCTGCCATCCTTAAGGGCTTGGAGGTCCTTCTTGACTTCCTCGGGCAAGTGACCAAGCTTGTCTTGAAGTTTCTTCTCTGCGGTCTTCAAGTCCTCTGGCAGATGGCCAAGCTTCTTTTCAATTCTCTTCTCAGCAGCTGCAAGATCCTCAGGGAGGTGGCTAAGCTTCTTCTCGACTACCTTGCCAGCGTGCTCAACTTCGCGGTTGGTTCCATGTGCGGCATCCTTGGTTGCGCGGCTAATAGACTGGCGCTTGCTCTTCGACTTGTTCGAACCGCTGCGGAACACATAGGCGCGCACGAAGAAACGAACGAAGAGGATAGTCAAGGGGAAGAGGTAGAGGATGTTCAACCAAACAGCAAAGCTTTGACCAGTGGTGTCAAGGCAGTTGATGGTAGCGTAGTCGGTTCTGTAGCGGGTCTCCTCATGGTACTTTTGAATGGCCTCCTGTGCTTTTTCCATGATGATGTTGCCCTGGCTGTCGCGGACGTTCTCAGCAACACCTTCATCGCCAGCAGCACGGAGAAGAATACGACGAAGAATTGCGCCGTAGGTCTCGGCTGAGACAACGCTGGAAGCGGTCGAAGAAGCCTTTGCAACAGCGGAAGAGATAGGGTGGAAGATGCTGTATGCGGTCGCGATAGGAATGTCGTACTTGACGAACAAGTGGATGGCGGCATAAGAGGCACCAAAGACGAATTGAGTGATCTGCATGCTGGTCAAAGTACGCTTCAGAGCGTTGGGCACACGGATGTTGACAGCAGAGAGGGTGAAGTAAGTGTACTACATGACGATCAGCTTTGCGCTCTCTTTCATGGGTGTTGATTACTTACCATCAGAGTGTGGATGAAGGAGTTGATGAAGACAAACATCCAGATGGGAGGGGACATGTAACGGATGCCGGCCCACATGCACAACATGGCGCCTGCGTGGTGGTATGTCTGGAGGGTTGCACTTCTCTTGCCCTTTGCGACAATGATCATGGTGTCGACAACCTCGTAGAACTTGGACAGGTAAAAGAACCAACCCCAGAATGCAAGACCCTCGTTCCAGAGACGGCCAACATCGGTAGAGTCAGGAGTTCCCTCAGGCAACAGCTTGATCAGAGCATTCTTAGTTTGCCAGACGTTGGAGGTTGCGTTGTAGTGAACAGCATCGCCGAGACCGCGGGGACCATTGATCTTGCATAGAGAATCGGCAACACCAGCCAGACCAGCGCTGTTGTCAAGTCCGGGCCAGGTAGCGTTGATAGCGCGGCACATGGCGTAGAAGGTAACACCAGAGTAGACGGCCAAGAAGACGTTGTGCAGGACGACGAAGAGCTTGAAAGCGCGGGTCTTACTGATGGCCCATGGCTTGTTTCCCTGGCGTCTGTTGTAGGCGTTGATGCCGAGGACAGTGATGACATAGATAGTCGCGATGGTAATAGGGACCTTTACGTCCAAAGCGCGATTGTAGACATCGAAGTCGATAGGGAAGGGCGACTTCCAGGTAGCCTCGTCGGACGGAGGAGGAAGAGCAGCGGGGAGATTGTGCGGCGGAAACTTGAAGAGCGACGGGTCGGGGAGGGTGAAGTGGATGGAGGGGCCCGACATGGTGATGGAGCGCACGCGACGCGACGAGTCAATGATGGGGTGAGACGGAGCGAAGAGCGGTAGTAATGTGGATGACTATGCACACAGCATGGCCTGTGATCTTCTGGACTCGAGTTTGATGATGAGCGTGTTGAGAAGGAAGAAGATGTGACCAAGAGGGCGCGTGTGTCGCGTAGAAATCCAAGGGCAGCTCTGCCTCTCCAACTTTTCCACCACAACGTCACTGTGAGATCGCCCAGCCACCTTCCCCATCCGTCGCACAAGACCGCCATTCCTATTTCGGTACTGCTTGCGATCCTCGCACTCCTCGCACTGTGACAGTCTGACAGATAGGTACTCGAGTAGTGATATCGAGGCTGTGACAATACATGAGGACAAATCAGAGCTCTGTTTCACAAAATATCTACTCTCAATCGATGTTGCTCTGTTTCCTGCCCACGTCTCCTGATTGCAGTCTTACGCGTGACGAACTTCACAACACACGGGATGAGAATCCACATTCCTCGCTGCCAATGTTCTTGGAGTATTGAATCATCATATAATTCCATAGCACATTATTACTATTGTACCTCGGTTCATCTAGAAGCTCTGCCTAGGAGCTTGGCCCTTCTCGTCTCCACTGCCGTACTTCTTGACTGGCAGCTTGGCCGCGTCCTTGTCCTTGATGAAGTGTTCTACCTCGGGTGAGTCCATCAACTTGACAACGTTATCTGCCTGCCATTTTTTGAATGAGAAACTAGAGTGCAGTTGGCATTAGCGTGGGTTCATGGTTTGGTTGGTGACAATACCACGACTTCGGTGGCTGGTAGGTTCAACTATACAAGACGCCATCCAAGACAGTGTCCAGTTTGCACAGACATCCCTTGGTAGGCATCTTGATAGTAAACGCAATCGCTAGCTCCAGTCGTGGTATTCGCCATTGTAATAAACGTACCCTAGCCCTTCGTGCGAGTAGTCCTTGTCGTTCGCCTGATCCTTATGATATTTGACTTGGATAAAGTCCGAGTCTACGGTGTCGGGGTCGAGAGACAACGACACGAGTGCGTTGATGGTAGCGGTCTTGGGGATGATCTTGAAGGTCCATGACTGTGTACATTAGCAACGGTCCTTGTCAAGCGTTGTGTGTTCTTAACCTACCTGCTCATTCTTGAACTGGATCAAGTCTCTGTCGTTCTTGATGATCTCGTAACGCTCGTTCTTGCTCGCCTTGAAGAGCTTGGGTAGAGCAAACCATTGTCCGGCCATCTTGTAACGATCGTTGGCGTAGACCTGAAGTACTATTAGCTTAACGTCACCGACATATCGACCAGGGAGAGCTCAAAAAAATTGATCGTCGTAAACGCAGTCTGCCGTATAGCGCTCGACTCTTCGAACTGTGGGTTCGCAGGAGTAAAGGGCGATAATATCGTCAATCAAGGCCTGGCGCTGGGGACTGAGCTTGATCGACTTGGAAGGATCAGGTGTGTAATCCTCAGATGTCGAGGTCTGGCGAACTTCGAACTCTTCTCCTGGCTTGCTAGACATGGTTGCGGTATGTGGTGTAGATTAGGGGTATAGGTTGGGCGTATAGGTTGGGCGTATCGGAAATTGTGTAGAAGAGGAAATGGTTCAATATAAGCATGTTGATTTGTTTGTCTTATTAGCCATCCTAAAAGTCGTGACGTCTAACATCCACATCACATATGCCATCTGGTCCGATCTGCTGCACGAATGCTAATTGCTCCTGAATTGTCTCTGTCATCGACGAACCAGAGGGTGAGGGTAAAAGGCGGAGAACGCGGAGGATCGATGATGATGCGGAGTGATGTAACGCACAGTCCCGGCTGAACTTGCCCGTACATGTCTAAGACCTTGATGACAACACTTCTGGCCATCAATTTCATCCATGTCATCTCACCGAGGACGGTAACATACAGCTGATCAGGTTCGGTGGGCTTGTCACAAGCAAATGTCTGCAGCCCGTCTTCATTTGACACCTGTCAGATCTCATTGGTATCTCGTCCGCCATCAACCAATCGCAATCAAATGAACGGCCACTTAAGTCGCTCCCGACTCTGAGACGAGACACCGTTCTCTCCATCGGAAGGCCACAAGTTTGCATACAACTATAGTTTTCCTTCTTCGGTCTCTATAGGAGCCCAACAATCAGCCAGTATCGGAACAATAAAGCGTCGGTGGGGTATGGACATGCTTCCTAATGGTATAGCTCTGACCGTGCGATTCGTCATTGTCAGATTACCATCGTCAATGCTACGATTAATGATTGACATGGACTCTTTTGAACACAATAGACTGTTGTGGTAGGTGACTGTTGTCTACATACCCATCCTTGCACTTACTCGTGTTCTGGTTTCACGCCTCGAGTAAAGGCATAAACATCGAGCGAGATATGTCGCTTGCACGAGCAGATGCTTCTTGTCTACTACTTGAGACATACCTGATTCGTTGCAGTCAACATCTTCACAGCATCAAGTAGCGTCATCCAGCTGACATAAGACCAAGTCCTCTAGAAGCTCGTCGCAAGAGTGTCTGCCACTCCTGGTCTGGATAGGAAGGTACGTCTCAGAGAAAGACTCGAGGTTGTTTCTGAAGCAACCTGGAATAGTCCTCCCAGCAAACATACAACACTATTGTCGATGGTGCCTTGCCGGAAGAAGCGAGCGATTGCTTTCCTTGGCTCGTCTACAGCATCGCGTCTGTAGGCAAGTCACTAGGAAAGAACGGCGGCTTGGCCGAGATCTCCTTCACAGGCATCCCTACTGTCCTTCGCAAGCATGTCACGCGCTTAGACCGTTGATCAGGAGAAGGTGGAAGCTTTACTCAGCGAGCATAAGGAGCATGCGCAGAAGTCAAAGGAGGCGCGCAAGCCTAAAACCTCCCAGAACGCCGACCAAGACCCGTTCATTGTGTTGTCTGACGAGGAGGATGATGACAACAGTGCCGATGCCATCAATGCTGCCAATGCCGCCAACTCCGCCAACGCCGTCAGACATCAAAACTAGAACAGAACTAGCAAGGGCCAGGAGACCAAGGCCAATACAACCAAGGGCACCAGAAAACACCTCTTCAAAAAGAAGGCTATCGAGGACAAGATCACTCCGTCAGATCACGACAAGAACTGGCAGCTCGCCGCTGCCAAACACATGCGTACCTTGGAGATGTCGTCACCTCGAAGCAATCAATGGCATTGCAAGGACTGCTGCGCTTTGTCTTCTCGCTTGGCGCTGTCCGCCACGTCGCCGACGCGGCTGTCGAGGCACGCGAGAACGCCGAAGTAACCCAAGCCGCCATCGCTGTCCGCCGGGCCCCCAAAGACGCTGAGAATTCGTTGAGCGACCTCTCGCAAGCAGTCGCCAATCTTCTCCTCATCGACAGCAACGCCCTAGTGGCCTTATACCAGTCGCTAATTACATACACTATCACTGCCAGCATCCTCCGCCAGCTCGTGGCCAGCGTCGTCGCCCGTACCTCGTCGCTGTACTCAGACTACGTCGTATCCACTGGTGACAAGATCGAAATCACTGTCACAGGTGTACGCCAGTGAACTGTGGACTAAGCGACCGCCGATGTCTTCGGCGAGAACCCCTCAGCATCGCAACGGACGCTGGCGACGAGAAGCAGAAGAACCGTGAGAGACAGATTTTACAACTTCTCGACCGCTCCTTCCATGAACGTGACCACTACGACCATGCACAAATTCTTTCGGATGTTACCTAAATCCACGGAAGACACGACATTGGCACTACTAGTCGATGGGTCCTGGAGCAACCATGGTCTCTCCGTGCGCAAAGCCATGTCACGCGTGCAGCTATAGAAATGCACAATGTTTTCTAGATCAGATATCTATCCGAAGAGAGCCCTGCATACACATGAGTCTTGCGACAGGGTCAACATAACCTTTAGAAATGTTAGAAGATCTCATTGCGGCTGTGATTTTTGCTTGTTTCTTGACTTGAGACGCAAAGCAGCCTTTATATCTGCATAATCCGATGTTGCAAAGGCTAAATCTGCCTGCAGGGCTCCGACACTAACTGGCAAAGTATTAAGACACAAGTACGATAGAACTTCTCTCTGACCATCATGAGTTTAATCAGGAGGATGATTAAACAAACACTGCCCTGACTGAGAGAGAGACCAGATTTTCCATGACCTATCAAACCACACGAACCAAAAACAGGCCTCATAGAGCGAACACAGAGCAGGAAAACATTACACTCGAATTTCGCAATCATCAGATTTATGGATTTCGACCCAGAAAGAAGGGAAAAAAAGTCTATCTCCTAAAAAACAGCGCCAGAAGAAAGGCAAAGAGAGAAATAAGCATTGACTGCTCATAACATGCACCAAACAAGCGAATCAAAACATCATACTCCCAGATCTAGAACAGCTTTTAAAGATCGTACTCGTAAACGTACTGGACATTGCATGGTCCATCCTCCGAGCTGCCGGTAGATGAAGGTGCAGTTGCCGATGAGAGAGAAGTGCTGGAGACTTCGACGGCGGAGTATGAAGATACGATGGGGGTGGTGGGGGTGTACGCTGCGGCAGATGACTCAATCGCAGATGACTCGACAGCGGGAGCAGTATAGGGAGCGGCAGACGACTCGACAGCAGACGAATCGGCGACCGGGGCCTTGTAAGCAGCAGCGGATGAGACAGAGGCTTCAGATGACGTGGTAGCCTCGGAGGTCGAGGAAGCAGCAGATGTGACCTCAGCAGCGGAAGAAACGACGGGAGCAGCCTCAGTAGACGAGGCAGCAACGGGCGACGAAGAAGAGGCCGAAGAAGCAGCAACAGGCGATGAGGAAGCAGCGGCGGCGGCGAACTTGAGCTGCTGGCCATCATCATCTCTCTTACATCCACTCTTTGCCACAATCTCAGCGGGACACTCGACACGCTCAAACTCGACTTCAGGGTTATCGGCACCCTCGAACCAGTCAAAGCGGAAACCACAGCCTGCCTGCAAAGCTTTGGGGAAAGAACTGCAAGTGTTTGTGCTGATCCCTCCGTACTGAGCTCCCCAACCTGACGAGGGAGCATTGTACTCATCGGTGCATGCATTGAAGATACCAGTTCCTCCGCCCGGGATCGCTTAGGTTTATCAGTCCTCTCGTCGACACATTAATTATGGGGTGGAATGCTTACCGATATCGAATTGGTTGCTGCCGAGGTCGCCACCGGTGTTTGTGGATTGCACGATCATGGTTTTGCCGGCGATGGAGGTGGTGGTGAAGGTGAGTCTGCATGGGTGATCAGCATGGTTTCCTCGGGCGTGAGGTGTAGCGATGGATAGACTTACTTGTAGCAAGAGCAGCACCAGCTTTCCTCTGAGCCACCAGCAATGTTGGTGGCAGCGAAACCGTAGGCCAAGGTGTCAGAGACTGCCCAGGGGGATTGGTCAGAGCACATGTAGGCGGAGCCACCGTCACAGGCAGAGGCGGTGTTAGCATCAGTCAAAGGGTTGTCGCTCTTATCACAGGTGGTGACGGGAGCAGAGACAGCTGCTTTGCCAGGCCAGGAGCAGGAACCCTTGCAGCAATCCCAGTAGCGAGTGGTTTTGCCGGTCTCTGCTGCGTTGACTACGCTGGCAAATCCAGTGGCCAGAGCCAGGAGGGCGAGAGATTTGATAGAAGACATGATGATTTGTTTTCTGCAGAGTCGAAAAGTGATGCAAATGTATGGTCAGAAGGTCGCAGACCTGTTAGAAGAAGAGAGTTTGGGAATGAGCGTAATGTAGACTGGCTACTAGAGAAAGAACGACTGGTTTCTTGCGAAAAGAGATGATGTTGTATAGGGATGTCTCAGAAGGAAGAAGAAAGAGAAAAGGCACTCGGAAAGACCTACCATTTATCCTATCATTTCACTGTCGGAGTACGGAGCAAAACAGCAGAAGAAGAGATGAGACCTGAGGATCATCCGAGATCACATCTCGTCTAGGGCTTGTATACACGAAACAACCTTAACAAACCCTGCCCTGGGTCGGGCCACTCGGCTTTACCGTCCTGCGCATGTCGAATCCAGGTTTCATAGGTTTTGGTGAGCAGAGTCTGGAGATCGTATTCATCGCCTCATTCGACATCATGAAAGCTTGGTTCAAACGTGCGACGTGAACGACGGGGGTGTTTTACAGTAGGGCTTGCCGAGGCGAGGATTGGAAATTGCGTTTTGATCCGGACTAGGCGTTCTGATTTCTTGAGGATCCTTTCTCCTGCTGCTTGCATCGAAAACTCGCGCACGACAGATGAACACGAGATGTTAGCGATATGGTTAGGGCTGTCCTAATGGTGATAATCAATCGCTTGAGAGAAGTCTGTCTACAACATTGTGTCGCGGTTCCGAGAACCACCAGGGATCGTTGTTCGTTTCTTATGACACTGAAGATTGTATGTCGGCGACATGTTGACTTGATCTTTGGAAGGGCGGCGAGAACACGGAAACAAAAAGACTCGTGACACTCATGCGATGGAGTGAGAGACATCAGTGTGGCCGCGGCGTGTGCGGGCAGTAGAAAAGAGACAAAAAAAAAGAATGCCTCGAGGGAGAATCGAACTCCCATCTAAGGATTACCCAAGCCATGCTTGGTCATATTGATGACCGATATGAGACCTTCGTACTAGCCGTTATACTATCGAGGCTTGATGCTCGAAAATCCGTTCCCCCTATATATTGTAGTCGATCAATTTCGTGTCGACATCTAACTTTCAGGTCACATCATATCAACTCTGCTTCCCTACTTCTCAAAAGAGACCATATTAACAAATTGTTTCGTGTATCTTTGCGTTAGCTGTCTCAATCTACGGCATGTTCAATGTATCGTCATCGATTCTGGTGATTTGACGACGACCCGGAACAAGCGTCTTGTTTATAAGTTGTTAAGCAGTTTTTGCAAAGATCTACGGCTTTGTCAAACATGCAGGTCTGCTTCGTACCGAGCTCCCATTGAGCCCCGGAGCTCTTTGGAGAGCTCTCAAGGCACGTATAGTGCCTCGAAGATGGGACTGCATGCACGAGAAGACTAGTATATTGCTGTAACGTCAGTCGAATTTTCACAATCGTAGTCAAGAGTATGACCCTGCCTCGATGCCTGGTTAGCACCGTCTCTTCACAAATCGTGACAGAATGAACGGAAGTTTAGGGCATGAGTTTCATTTGTGGCCCCTCTAGGTTCTTTCCCAAGGGGGTTGTGTTCATCTTTCATTCCATCCGAGACTGATCGAGTACTATCGAATCATATCTTCAACGCCGCGCATAAAACATATTTTCCTACCCTCATCCTATGGTTGGTTTTGACAGGATGTATCTCTAAACTCCTTGAATGTTACTCTTTCATCTTCTCAAGCTTCTCATAAATCCTTCAACACCACCTTCGTCGCCTACTCTACCACCAAAGCCACGGACCTCCTTTTGTGCACTTTCCACCTTTTGTCTGAGTTGCTCGGCGCCGACATCGATTTGTTGCAGTTGACCAAGATGTGCATTGAGTACACGGACGATCTGAGACAGAGGATCTGATTCGGCGGTCTTGGAAGACTTGGAAAGGTTTGTGGATGCGAGATTGATCTCGTCGATCATTGAGGTCAGGTCGTGGGACATTGTGGTGAGACGAGCGGAGCAGCGCTCAGCGGTTTGATAACTACCTCTAGGGTTAGCATATTGTTCAGGTAGAAGATTTTCAGAATATACATACGTTCTCTCGCGTTCAGCATCAACGCCGCTGTCAACACCACCAGCTTTGGCGGCCATGTCGTTCAGGACTCGCTCGTAGTGGTCGAGCCAGTGGCTGAGTTCTTCCTGCTGACCCTCGACAGAGGCGAGCTGACGCTCAACCTCGGCTGTGTCACGTTCGGCTTGGAAAGTGCGGCTGTACAACTTGCTGATCTTGTCGCTGTTCTCGACCAACATGCGGTCCCACGATCCGATCTTGTTGGCCAGGTTAGAGAACTGCTTTTGGTGCGACGAAAGAGATGTGGTCCAGAGGGTGATGATCTCGTCGAGAGACTTGGAGTTTAAGCGTGATGTAGCAGGGGGAGCGGGGCCAGAAGTTGATGCGTTTGTAGTAGGGTTGCTACCAAGACCGCCACTAGTGGTGTTGGCAGTAGGACCGCCACCAAGGCCTCCGGTGTTGTTGCTGCCAGTCAGACCATTGCTGCCGCCTGCGGGTGGTGCTGCCGCAGAAGCTGTGGAAGGACCACCACCATTGCCACCAAGTCCTCCTGCACCACCTGGTGCGGACTTGAGACTGAAAGTGGATCCGCCAGTCGAGGCGGGTGTGCTCGAATCGGCAGGCTTGGCTCCTAGTGAGAAAGCAGGTGTTGATGCTGCAGCGGCGGTCGTGGGAGTAGAAGCAGCGTCATCCTTCTTTTGACCGCCCAGATTGCCAAATAGACCGCCAGCAGGAGCGGCAGGCTTTGCAGCATCGTCCTTCTTCGCACTTAGACCACCAAATAGATTGCCAGCAGCAGGAGCGGCAGGCTTGGCAGCCTCATCTTTGTTTCCGGCAGGCGAGAAAAGCGACGGGGAAGAAGCAGGCTTGTCGGTATCCTTGTTCTGAGTCAGACCGCCAAACATGTTTCCACCAGGTGCGGCGGGTTTGCTAGCACCATCGTCCTTTTTGGCACCAAACAAGCCACCTGTCGGAGGAGCGGTTGAAGCGGGAGCAGCAGGTGCTGCGGCACCGAAAAGTGAAGGTGCGGACGGTGTAGTGGCTGAAGCAGGGGCTTGTGACGTGTTTCCACCGAGCGAGAAGGCGGGTTTCGACGAGTTGCCGCCCAGAGAGAAGCCAGACTGGCCAGCAGGAGCAGATTGGGGAGTTGACGAAGCACCACCAAGGTTGAACATGGGCTTGTTAGCAGGAGCAGCGCCTTCGGCAGGCTTCTGGCCGAACATGGAAGTGGGAGGTGCAGAAGCTGAGGTGTTGTCGTCAGGCTTTTTGCCGAAGGAAGCGAAGGCGTTGTTGGCAGGAGCAGCACCGCCTAGAGCGGCGCCAAATGTCGGAGCAGACTTGGGAGCTTCGGCTGCCTTATCCTCAGGCTTGCCAAAAAGAGGTTTTGCGCCGGCGCCGGCAAACATACCACCAGTTGACTGGCCAGGGGGAGGTCCGGCAGGTGTAGTAGAGAACATGGGCTTGTTCGTGGCAGCGGGAGTAGTTGAGTTGTTACCGAGAGAGAAACCTCCGGTGGGAGCAGCAGCAGCAGCACCGAAAGGATTGCCAGTGGCAGCGACGCCAGGAGTTGTGGGGTTACTAGACTGAGCAGCGGGCTTTTGTCCAAAGCTGAAAGTCGAAGTGGTGGGAGTCTGTGTGGAAGGAGAAGGAGCACCGAAAGGACTTGGTGCTGAGCCAGCGCCGGAAGTAGGAGCAGCAGCGTTTCCAAAGCTAAATCCAGAGGTTGTAGGAGTCTTGTTTGTGTTTCCGAAGAGACCACCGCCAGAGTTCCCGTCGGCCTTGGGGGCGGCGGTACCGAACAGACTAGGAGAAGAGGTTCCTGACGACGAGCCAGCAGGCTGGCCGAAGCTGAAGGACATGGCGATGTGAATTTAATCGGGGTGATGGACCCGTCGAGGGCGCGTTTGGTAGGAGGGTGGTTTGGCAATCCGAGTCGCGGGAGTTTTGCTGATCGATATTGGAGTCTGTGAGCGATGCGACTGAGGTTGTCGAGAAAGGGCAATGGAATAGGCGGTCACAGTAGATTGTCAGAGTGAAGCTCTGTTTGACAAGCATCGAGCAACACGCAGAGACGCGACGCTCGGACGTGAATCTGCAGTTTCCCTGTGCAAACACGGCAAACACTCGAGTCGCTCTTTCCCTGGCTCGACTCAGCCCCCAGAGACCCGCAGCTTCTCCACGGCACCAATCGCTCGAGAGCTGCTGCGGACTGCGCATCCACCGCCTCGACTGCGTCTCTATCTCTCCGCTGCCCGCTCGTCCCTCGTCTTCAAGTTCTGATCTTGCTTCTTCTCCATACTCGCTGTCTCTCCGCCCCTCTCTCCAACACCGACTCCCTCTCCACACTCCACACCGCCTAACACATACACATTATGACTCTCCAACCTCCGTCAGAGCCCATCGAGAACCTGAAAGACCCGGGTGCCCATGAGCTGCCCGGCGTGCCCAAGATCACCGGTAGCCGACTCTAACTCTCTGCCTCACGCTCCCCCACTGATTCCCTCACAGAACCCGAAGAATCCGATGACCACTTCTCTGATGCCTCCGAAGGCACCCCCTCATACCCTCCTGCTTTCACTGGTCGCAACCGTGCCCTGTCAATTCCAGTCACCCGCGTCGAGAAAGTAGACGATGAGCCCAGACATGGCGAGGTTCCCGGCACCGCAGCCTACAACATCAGAACCCAAGACGCCGTACCCGATGAGATCGAGATTGTCCCCGACGGCACCAGAAGCCGCAGCACCTCGCATGTCAGCGAATCAGACAGACCAGTGACCCCTGGTGGCACTCCCGTCCCTCATCTTGTCGTCGAAAAGGTTGACCCTAGCGCCCCTAGCCATGGCGATGTCCCTGGCACAGACGCCTACGACATGCGAACTGCCGATGCTCAGCCTGATGAGGTCAAGCAGGCACCCGCCTCATCAAGCGCCCCTCTTGAGCGTAAGTACACCATCCCCACGAGTTCACGCGACCTCCTCCCCAAACCAAGCCTTCATGTTTGACGAAGAAAGCATCACCAACTCCCAATGACAGATCTCGATCCCCAAGCCCACACCTCGACCAACAAGAAGTCAACGTCCTGATTCCCTCTGAGGCCCTCAATTCACAGGAATCACCAGAGACCTCCCACTCCGAACTCCCACTCCAACCCAAGACCGACACTACCACGCATCAACCAGCAGAGGGAAACGCAGACGACTTTGATGATTTCGACCAACCGCAAACAGAAAACACACACCAAGCCGACGATGATGATGATGATGCTTTCGGTGACGACTTTGACGATTTTGAAGAAGGCGGCGCGGATCAGGCAGATGGGGACGAGGATGACTTTGGTGACTTTGACGATGGCTTCCGACAAGCAGAAGAAACTCCTGTTGCCGCTCCCCCTCCTCAGCCTGTCCAGCAGCCCCTAGCACACCTTGTAAGTAGCTCTGCCAAATACACATATCAGAAACCCATGTACTCATTCCATTCGTGCAGCCCAATCTGAACTTTGCCGATTTGCAGACTTCGGATGATATACTGTCAGCGATGTCGCCCTACATGCTTGAGCTCTTCCCCGAACTATACGACCAAGAGAATGGTGCCTCGGACAAGTCAGCCGCTCTATCTACCGATCCGATCCTCACCGACCGCAGTGCATCTCTCTGGTCGCAACTTGTTGCACCCCCTCCTTTGCAGCCTCCGAACTGGATTCGCAGTCGCATCCGCCGCCTGTTCTTGGTATCTCTCGGTGTGCCTGTCGACCTTGACGAGATCCTGCCTGCCAGCAAACAAAAGAAACTGGTCCTCCCCAACATTCATCTGCCAGAACAAAAGAAAGAGGATGGCAAGACTAAGCAAGAGGGTGGTAGTTCTACTGGAGGAAGAAGAGGACCTGCTCCTCCACCAGAGTTCAATGCCAACGAAGCAGTCATGCTTGCCAGAACGACAGATACAGCGACCGAGGCCTACTCGGATGAAGAATTAAAGGCGCATGTGAAAAGACTAGAAGAACTGATCAAGGATGCGAGCACAGTGCTTGAGTACTGGGTCAAAAGGAAAGAAAGTGCTGTAGGCGACAAGGAGGCATTCGAAGGTGTTATCGAAAATCTTGTTGGCTTTGTCAAGAGCAGACGATGAAAACCAAGGAAAGTCTGTTTTGAACATAAAAGTACCTATATATACCAAAAGTAACCACCAGAATCTTCAATCGCCGTCACTCGATCACCAGTCCTATGACAGATACTTCTTACTCCCAGAGAGTTATTACACCACGGCCACCAAGTCCAAGTAGGACAAAGCGAAGGCTGGACAGATCATCATCCATCATATAATCTCCAGTCGGTACTTATCTTCTAGCTAGCAAGAGATGGTGTTTACTGCAGTTGTTTGATCAATAGGCACTTTTAGGTATACGGGAGGCTCGAGTCGCTCTTCTCACACGTCATCCTTCCTGCAAACGCCATGATTTTCGACCTCTTCCCAGCCACTTGCTTTCTTAACAACCAATTCTTTCTTCACTACGAATTGATAACGTTTCCGACTCTTGACGCTTCACGATGTTTTGCTTCGAGGATGTCGCGGTGTCTCCGATGAGCGTCAGTTGTCTTCTCAACGCGATGGATGAGTACAGGCGAGTTCTGATACCAATCTCGGTGTAAGAGAAACCACGACTGCCCGATACTTCATTCAGCTTGCCCAAGTGATTATGTCTTGTCTAGAGTTTGGAAACAGTGCATTCCAGATATGACTTCGGACGGCTGTCTCGAAGCCTCAAAGACATGAATTTGCACCTGTCTCAGACCCAAAGATGCGGTATGTATATTTAGTCGTTCGTTTGTACAAACAGCGACTCCTTCCCTTCAACAACCCGTACCGTTTTTCTCCCACATGTATCATCAACGTCAAAAGTCCTCCTCCTCAGGACGATCTGATCTTTCAAACCATTCATATCTCTCTGCACCGTCCTCTGGTAGTCCCAGACCAACCCCTTCTTTTCCTTCCCCATCGGTATACGGAAACTTGCTATCTCCAGCCGATACTCCCCACAAGCGCAATCGGTTCAAGACTCTGTACTTTGAACCTTCGATCAGAGATTCCGGCATCTCGCTTAGTACACCAACTTCGGATCCAAGGTTCCCTAGTCCCCTTACACCGCCTTGCTATCCTGTTCCTGGTATCCCTACCGACGAGGAAGCTCTAATCAAGAGCGAGCTAGACTTTCTGGTGGACGAGCTTGCTGCTCGATACGCCGGCGACGATAGCAGGGATTTCGAGTTTCTTGTTCCTGACCGCTGTGATTCGCCTACCCTTGGTTATTTCCCTGTTACAATGGCTTCGAGGTCCCGCGTGCCACTGCCATTGCGCGGACAGAACGACAGTAACAGCAACGGCAAGATCAGAAGGCACCCTCCGGCACTACCAGGTGCAAGCCATCTCAACTCACCAGTCAACCTCTCGATTCGCGATCTGGCCACAAGCCCAACACCTATCAATGTCAAAGAGACCAGTCCCCGTCCGAAACCGACCATCAATCCATCTTCACCTCTCCTCGGTCTACCCCATGTATTTCGCCGCCTCGCCATCACAGACCCCCATATCAACGGCCAACCTATCCGCTTCTTGTCTCGAGACTACGTGGCTGGAGCAAATAGTCTACAAGTGGGCAGTTGCACGTTCATGAATCTGGCTTACGGCGCAGACGTCGAATGTGGGTTGCGCGTCGAACCAAACTCCTCTCGAAATACCTCTGCATCACAAACAGTGATCTTGCAGATTGTACAGAGGGTGGTCAGAGTCAGGGATGGAAGCAGCGTATGGCTTCTATGCTCTGAAGTCGATGTATCGTCTTCATTCACTGCACTAGTGAGAAGGGAAGTGGCACTTGCTGCTTCTGCACGTACGCCAGATACAGCGGGATCGAAACACAAGCGCGGTGCTGGCAACGAAGACGATATATGGGTTTCCCTGGCTCAACAATTGGAGACTTCATCCTACGGCCCAAGTACAACTCGTTTGCCTACTTCCTCCTCCTCCGCCGTCAAAACCAAAAGCACAACAACACCAGCATTATCAGACTTGCTCTCTCTACTCACCGAACTCCGCTTTCTGCACCGCCAATTCTTTGTTCTTTCACCCAAAAAGTCAAAGTCTGGAGATGACGTGGAGTTTGGTATCCCTTACTTATCTAGTAGTTTGCATACTTCTCTGCTCTCTCTGCCCTGGCCCAAACCTTCAGCACATGAGAAGGGAAGGCAGAACACTAATCCCCATGGCCACAACACTTCCATCTACACCTCTGACCTTGATGCTCGCACTCCTTTGACAACTTTTATCAACACAGCGGCTCTTGCGGCAGGAACTTGGCTTGGAGGGAGTTGGGGTCAACCCACGATTCTGAGGGAAGTGTTGAGTCTGCCGCCCATGGCGAAGAAGGATGGTAACGAGGAAGAAAGGATTGGAATCTACGGTGTCAAAGTTGCCGAGGCTTGGGGGCAAGGAAAACAGGGTTTGGGGTGTTGGATTTGTTTTTTGGTGCCCGAGGGTGTGGAGAGGGAACTTTGATGTCAAGTCTGATTTGTTGGAGTTCTTTTTTTTTTTCTTCAAGAGAATGTCAACTGTTTCTATGTCGATTTTGTTGCTTCTCCGCATGATTCTGGCATCCGGTTCTTCGGTATGCTGAAGTGCTACGGTGGTAGCGTTTACGAGCAGCCACTGCTTCTTACTTTTGTCTAAGGCGGAACCAGGTGAACGAATTCAGATATATGTTGTAATGTATTAATATTAGATCTTCCTTTGGGACTACTTGCCGGTACCATCAATCTCGTATCTTCCATTGTCCCAATCTGCTTCGTAGGTATGTACCATCGGGACTGCACTCTGCGGTGGATTGTATGGTTGTTGGGTCATGGGAGCGCTGGAGCTGGAGTATGACTCTTGTGACCGGAGAGACTGCATCTCTCTCTTCAGGTTCTTGACCTTTCTCATCATCCAAATCAGGCCGGCGAGTGCAATCATGCATGCGACGCCTAGAACAGCGCCTACAGCTGCACCAACAACGGTTGTGGTGTTCGAGTCCGAGTCGCCAGATGGAGTTGCTGTGACAGTTGACGTGACGGTGGCTGTTGCAGCTGTCTCGGTGGAGTTTGAGTCGTCCGAGGTGGTAGAGGTACCCGGGATTACATTGTTGATGAATTGTCCGAGGTATGTCGTCTGATCTTTGTCAATGATCATGCTGGAGTTGTTGCAGCAGTTTGTTCGATCCGAAGCTTCACGGCAGCACCATGTGTCTAGTGCGCAGGGCAGCACGTTGTAGGCTTTCCATCCATTTTGCTCTGTGGAAACTTGTCAGAGAGGACAGCGAGGTACGAGTCGTTGAGATTTGCTTACTCGCCATGGGACACGCATATGGACAAGTTTGATCGCTGAAGGTGCTGTCGGTGCAGCCGTTGCCGTATATGTAGCCGCTGTAAGAGCCTTGTTGTGCGTAACAGAGGCCTCCTTGGATACAGATATCGCCGTTCCCTTTGTTTGACGCCTGTAGAGTATAAGCATGACTATCATAGCCCATCGAAGCCTGGTATGGTATACGCACGCAACATGCGCTTTCTGTTGCACTAGAATTGCAAGGCACAAACGAGCTATCTGTGATTGCGATGCCTTGAGCGTTGAAACATCTCTTATCTGCGCGGGCGACATATAGCAGCGAAGCTAGCAAGAAAACGAGACGCATGCTGAGGGAGAGAAGCAGTCAAACGAAGGGTTGTGCGATGTGAGGAAAAATAGAGGACAAAAGAGAAACAAAAGAGAAATGCCGAAGGAGAACGAACTGGCATAATATAAATCACGGTGCTGACAGGCTGAGCACATGGTGCTGTATGGGTACTCAGCCTCTTGGGATTAGCTGCCGTGCACAACATCTCGGTTGATCTAAAAGTAGTGTAAGATAGCCATGTTTTCAGCGGCAAGGATTCAGGCCTTGTATATTCATCCAATTAGATGGCTTCTGCCGACGATAGGCCTACACTGTATGATGGTACGGCGGACATCAATATCAATAAGTTGACGCGATGGATTGGTGTCGATATTAAAGCGATGAAGTTTTTGTTGGTGAAGCGTTCTCAACAAGCACGCGTCAGAAAGATTCATGTCGTACAGATGAGGACTTGATGCGGCTAGAGTTGCCATTTGGAGCGTGAGCTGGCCATGGAGCGTTGCAGACCGCGATCGAGCGTGGCGCCATGTCAAATGTCCAAGTCATGGCTCATGGGTCACTTCTCTTCTTGCAGCCAGCATAATGGACGAAAGGTTGCAGGCAGATATACGGGAGGTTGACCCTTCGGTCGCCTTTCCAGCTACCCAGCAGCACGTACACTCGACATGGGCCCGCACCTTCCACTCGCGACCGGAGCTGTATATCCAACCAGAAACTACTGAGGAGATTCAGAAGATTATCAAGCTCGCCCGACGAAGCAGGAGACGCATCGTTGTTGTCGGCTGCGGTCACTCGCCTAGTGACATTACCTGCACCTCATCATGGATGGTCAACCTCGACAAGTACAGCCGCGTCCTCAATGTCGACCGCGAACGCAAGCGCCTCACTGTCCAGGGTGGCATCCGTCTGCGCGACCTGAACTTGGCCGCCAACAGTCATGGCCTCACCATGCCCAACCTCGGCAGTATTCACGATCAGTCCATCGTTGGCGCCATCTCAACTGCCACCCACGGCAGCACCCTCAAACACGGTCTCATGTCCGACTCGGTCAAGTCCATTCGCATCGCTCTCTCCGACGGCTCTATCGCTTCCTGCTCACCCGACGAGAACCAAGACCTCTTCCGTGCCGCTCTCACATCACTCGGTGCTCTCGGTATCATCACTGAGGTCGAGTTTGAGATGACCGACGCCACCAACATTGAATGGGAACAGACTCTGAAACCCCTTGACTGGGTGCTTTCACGCTGGGACAATGAGCTGTGGACAAACAAGGAATTCACTCGTGTTTGGTGGCTGCCCTACATGAAGAGAGCTATCGTTTGGTCTGCCTCCAAGACAGACAAACCAGAGAGACCTCCAGTCTCGAGCTGGTATGGCGGTTCTGTTGGCTTCCACACCTACCAGATCCTGCTCTGGATCTCAAACTACGTTCCTCGCATTCTTCCCGCCATCGAGTGGTTTGTTTTTGGTATGCAGTATGGCTTCTCTGACCATGCTGTTACTAGTGGAATCGAGCCTCAGCGAACTGGTCTGCTCATGAACTGTCTCTACTCTCAATTCGTCAATGAGTGGGCTTTGCCTCTGGAGAAGGGTCCTGAAGCCATCACTCGTATGTCTGCATGGATCAACGGCGAAGAAGGCTCTGGCATCCCCTTCAGCAACAAGGGGCTCTATGTTCATGCCCCTGTCGAAGTCCGTGTTTCCGACACCTCTCGCGTCCAACCCAGACCCTGGATGGACAACACCAACCCCAACGGCCCGACTCTCTATCTGAATGCCACTCTCTACCGTCCCTTCCTGAAGGATCCTCCTTGCCACGAGCGTTATTACGAAGCGTTTGAATACCTCATGAAGGAACTCGGCGGCAAGCCTCACTGGGCAAAGAACTTCTCCACCGTCACCCACGATGATATGCAGAACATGTTCGGTGATAACCTTACCTCTTTCCTGCGCGTGCGCAACGAAGTCGACCCTGAAGGTGTCTTCCTCGGCGCATGGCACCGTCGCTACTTGCTGCCTGCCGACACCCCTCACTTCGCTTGTGAGGAGAAGGAGTTGGCAAGGACCCAAGCTGCTGATGGCGGCAGAAATTGGTTTGGTGATTTGACGAGTCATCCAAGAACCGCAGATGAGAAGACTGCTCTACTCTCGACAGACCATGGTCCCGAACATGATGATCTGGAGGATGCACGTCGCATCAGAGAAACTTCTGTCGAGAGCCTGTTTGGCACGAAAGTCTTTGATAAGATGTAAATGATAATGTATGCTGTATTCTGTAAAACTACTGTATTTAGTGTTCCCAACTGAACGACTTTACCAACGGACAAAACTGGCCAACATGGATCAAACTAAATAAAAGATCGTAAGTGAGCTTCCCAACACTCTTTGAGTGAGCATTATCGCATGGAAAACGTGGCGTCTTGTCGTCGCAGCTTCCAGCTTGAGGAAATTTCGGCTTTGCTCACTGCGACCGTGACTTCCTTCTTCGCTGTACGCCAATGTTTACATCTCGGCATGAGAAACATCTCTCAACTCTTTATGAATACCATTTCTTTTAAGTACCTTACCACCTATTACTCGCCTCCCCTTATCTTACTCGTCTTTCGACGTAAATCTTCTATCCGTCCAATTGCTACGACTACTCGCTACTGGATGCGCAACATCAATAATCACACGTTCTCCAAAGGTTGATTCCCTCAGCTTCGACCCATCGCGCCCATCTATCTATTTCTCTCTCGGCCTTTCGATCCGACACCTGTGATCTGTAGTTCCTACACTCCACTGTTTGCAACATGAATCGTCCCGCATCAACAGGAGAGCAGCAATCGATACCTTCGACAGCACTCTCCGATACTGGACTGCCTTCGAATGAGCAGCGGGCTCAAGAGCTCGACAGATACTACACACCAAGCAACAAGTCAGCTCTGCGATTGACAGACCGAGATTCGGCTTTGTCAGCATACATGCAACTCTTATGCTGGCGTCTAGGCATGCGCAGGGCATTGGTCAGCCTCATTGATCGTGACACCCAATACTACGTTGCCGAATCTACAAGAACTATGGACTTACACAATCCGAACGATTTCGTTGATGAGGGTGATGGTCCGCTGTCTCTCGTACGTACTTTGCAGATGCAGTGTTAGCGCTGTACTAACGTATCGTTTGCAAGCATGAGAGCCACCCCAAGACAGGTATCTTATGTGCTGAGACCATCCGACAAGTGGCTGCATCTACCGAGGAGCCTGCTTATTTCGAGATCTGCGATTTGGCTGCCGATACCAGATTTTCCCAGCTGAACATTGTCGAGGAACTGAAAATTGCCTACTATTGTGGCGTGCCTATGTATGTTACCCACCCACTCGACTACTGAAGCTTCGCTGACACCCTGCTCCAGACGTACGAGCAACAAGATTGTGATTGGCACTGTGTTTGTTCTGGACGATAAAGTCCGCGAGCCTCTTTCCTTGCAGTACATACTTTGTGAGTGGCACTATACAGACTCGCCGTTCAGCCTCTCACTTCGCTTGTACCTACTGCACACATATGCATCAGTTACCACAGACTTCTCTTTCTTTTTACTATTCCTACCATATCTTACACGTCACTGACTTGTCAAGTTCTCACATCAATCGCCGACAATGTCATGCTGCATTTAGAGTATCGCAAACAACGAATGGATGTTGCCAGGATCATGGAGATGAATAAATCCCTCGCGTCCTTTATGGACTCTCACCAGGAAGATCAGAAGCCGACCCCACCATGTAAATCGCGTACTAAGGTTCAAGATCCCCCAGCAACCAGCGAGCAGAACAGTCGACGTAGCAGCACAGACAAGTCTTCAGAAGATGAACTTCCCCTAGGCAACGGTGGAAGGGATTACAATCAAGTCTTTAGCCGTGCTTCTGCTCTGCTGCGGCAATCCTTGTCCTTGCTTGAAGATGGTGGAGGTGTGATCTTTTTCGACACGGTGCCAAAATCCTCAGGAGGAAGTAGCTCAGGTCATAGCCTCTATCGAAGCGACAGAGGCCCGAAACAGGATTCTTCCAGACTGGCTCCTGATACTGCTCAATTGTCACGTACTCCCTCGGATGAAGACGGGAACAGAAAGGACAACCTTGGAGCTCATGCCGCTATCCTTGCTTACAACATCCGTAATGCGTCTTCTGGCAACCCAGACCAGGCGTGCCATCTGAGCGAGGAACTGCCTGCAAAGATACCGGTCAAGACTCTTTTGAAGTTTATCAAGAAGGTTCCTGGGGGACAGGTCTACCATTTCCCAGAATTGAACTCTCCTAGCACGGGAGAATTGACAAGATCAAGGTCTGGGAATCCGCAGCATCAAGGCAACATTGAGGAGGCTGATGTGAGATCGCTTTTCTCATATCTTCCTGGAGCCGTGGAAATCATCTTCGTCCCGTTATGGAACACACATCTTGATCGATGGTCAGTTTGCCTTGCCTACACACTTTCGAGCGAACGAAACTTCACCTGGGAAATCGATTATTTCTTCTGCCGAGCATTCTGCAACTGCGTGAAAGCCGAAGTTGACAGATGTGCCGTCGTGCTCGCGGATCGACAAAAGGTATGCCGTTCGGGTTCAAGTAAAACCAGTCATTCTCGGATCAATAGCTAATTCCTCGATCTTGATGTAATAGGGTGACTTCATTGGATCAGTCAGTCACGAATTGCGGTCTCCACTGCACGGTATTCTGGCTTCTTGCGAGCTCATTCAGGAAACCGAGATGTCACGCTTCCAGGCATCACTCATTGATACTACAGAGAGCTGCGCGCACACGCTCCTAGACACCATCCAGATGGTTCTCGACTACAGCAAGGTGAACGCATTCACAAAGCATCCACCAGGGGAGAAACTTAACGTCAGACCACACGTCGTCAAAGGAGGCGTTGAGCCACTCCTGAGCACATATTCTCACGTCAACCTCGCGGCAATTGCAGAAGAGGTTATTGAAGGTGTGACTACCGGCTTTCTTGCAAAGAGTGATCCAAGTATGGAACTAGGTTTTGCAGGAGAAAGAGCAAAACGCGACGCCAAATCATTTGAGGACCTGGTAGCCACGCCTCAGTCACCTGTGGAAGTCATTCTTGACGTGAGCCCACCACAAGATTGGACTTTCGTCACTCAACCTGGAGCATATCGGCGTATCATCATGAATATCTTTGGAAATAGTCTGGTAAGGGAACACCCTCAAGGCAATAGCGATATCGGAGATGCTGACAAACAACCATCACAGAAGTACACAGTAAACAAAACGGTGGCTAGAATCAAACTTGAATTGAGTGCTAACGTTGATACAGGAGCATGGCTACATAAACATTTCTCTCAATTGCGAAGAGATGAGCACAAAAGAATCAGATCCTTCCATGGCGATAGTTGAACTGAACGTCAAAGACTCTGGCAAAGGGATATCACAAGCTTATATGGACACCAAAATGTTCACGCCCTTCGCGCAGGAATCCGCCTTGGCTCCTAGGTAAAGAATATGTTCTCATTGTCTCGCAGAATGCAGAGCTGAATTATTTAGTACTGGCCTTGGACTGTCTTTGGTCCGATCTCTGGTCCAGATGATGGACGGAGAGATTGAAGTTCGGTCTGAAGTCAATCACGGTACACAGGTCAAAGTAAGGATCCCGATGAAACGCGCGATGAACCATCACGGGGATCATGATCCCCGTGATGGTTTTCACAGACCCAACGAAGACGACATTCAAGTTTTACGCACAATTGAACCTCGACCCCAGATTGTGAACTTCCTACAAGATATGCTGCCTGATGATAGTCCACAGAAACAGGAGGGGTACCAAATGCAAAAACATGCATTGGCTGCTTGCATCAATGGTTGGTACAAAGTCGAGGATCTTCACCATTGGGATGCAAGTATGGACACCAAACCCGACATCATTCTTGTCGACGATGTTCATCTACTCGCAATGACGAAACATCTCAAGCTCCTGAAAGAGATTGATGCTGTTGTTGTCATTCTTTGCTCCGACCGATCGAGAACGACAGTCATCTCGAGAAACGTCGACTATCCCAAACTGCACATCATGCCGAAGCCATTTGGACCTTTCAAGCTCGCCAAAGCACTCAAACATGCTCTCGACAGGCGGGGTCCTGTTTCTAGAACACCACGTGGCCCTGCTATCTCAGAGGAGACTGGGCCCATTCAAGAGCTCAAGCAGTCGAGTCCGACTTTGAGAAGAGTCCCTTCCCCTTCGGAAACTTTGTCTAAGCTAATAAAGAAGCCATCCTCCAAAGGAAGCTTCCCTTTTCCGTCAATGACTTTCAGTCCACCCCCAACATCACCTACACCGCACATACCAGTGACCACGCCTCAGATTGAAGTCTCTGGCACCTACCAGCGAAGGCTGAAGACTCTCGATGTGCCAATGGCAGACCAAAAGCCTCTCGAGAAGCACAACAGACTCACACGCAGCCAGAGCGAAGGCCAGACCAGTGTTCAGCTCAGACGTATCAAGCCCAGAATATTGCTTGTGGATGATAATGAAGTCAATCTCAAACTTCTGCAAACCTTTTTCGTACGCCGCGGCTTCACGGACATGAGATTGGCTCGAGATGGCAGTGAAGCGGTTAAGGTCTACGAAGACGCTTTAGGTCATCGCGAACCATTTAACCTGGTCTTCATGGATATCAGTATGCCGGTACGTTTTGGAGCCTCAGCTTGTTTGGCATTACTCAATTTTAACTCCGAGACTAGGTCATGGATGGTTTCGAAGCGACGAATCTCATAAGGCAAAGAGAAGCCTTGATGGCTAGACCACACCACAGCTTAGTCGTTGCTTTGACAGGCAACGCCAGTGCAGAAGACCAGACCCAGGCCTTCACGAATGGTATGGACATGTACATGACGAAGCCAGTCTCACTCAAGGAAGTCGGAGAGCTGATGAAGGCATGGGAGGAGAAGTCAGCGATATACGGAGCTGAGGGTGCAAGATCTGCACTTCTTGAAAGCAACGCAGCTGAGTAGGAGGTATGAAGGGCGTGTTTGCATTCAGTGGTTCTGGTGGTCACATATCACCCACCCCACACCGATGCGATATTCTTCCTTGGTGTATCGAATTCAATCCTCCTCTTTCCTAGTGTATTTATTCTTCCCCCTTCAACCTTTGAGTTGCGTTCGTATCGAGACAAGAACATCAAAACATCAAGAGAAAGTCATGATAAAAATAAGGAGGTAGTAGACTTTGGTGATTTCTTGATTGTTCTTTGCAGCTACGTTTTGTACATTCTGACCGTAAACACATCACACCACAGCAAAAAGAATGACCGCTACAGAAGAGCTGCGAGTCACACATGCCTCCACAACCATCGACCACCCATACATATCCACTATTCCTCTGGATATCTCTACGTGTCCCTCTCTTTTCAGTCACCTCACATGGTAGACGAATGACTCACCGTCCTCCCCTTTGCAAACCAGCCCCAAGCCCCCACTTTCTGCCCATTTCCTCCCGTAGCAACCGGCGCCAACATCTCCGGCGTACCCATAGGACTAGGCCCCTGCATACTCCCCGGCGTATCAGGCCTCGACACCAACATTTTCATCCTTTCCATTTCATTTTCATGCGCTTCCATTTGTGCTAGCATCATTGCCTCCATGGCGTCAATCTTTGCTTGCATTTCTTCCTTTTGCTGCTCCATTTGCCTGCGCTGTTTGTCGAGGGAGATTTGGAGGAGTTCGTTTTCGTGGATGGCGGTTGCTTCGCGGGTTTTTGCGGCTACGAGTTCGATGAGGAGGGTTTCGTCTGAGGGGGGTGCGTGTGAGGGTGTGGAGAGGATGGTTTGGGATGTCAGTGACGAGTTGCGTTTGGGTATTGTTGCTGCTGCGCTGGTTGTGGGAGTGACAGAGCCAGAGTCTTCTCTGGAGTAGTAGTCTGCTTCGGTGGCTTTTCTGGCAGAGCCGAATTTTTGGGGTTTGGCGCGGATTTCGGTTCCGTCTTGAGATCTGATCATGCGGAGGGGAGGTCCAGGACGGTGTTGTTGGGTTGTAGCTTGAGGCGATGGGATTGTTTGATGAGGTCGCACGCGGGGAACGGAGATTGTGATGTCGGGGAATGAGCCTGAGAGGTCTCGAGATGCCTTGTTGTTCTCGTGGCGACGGTAGAGGGAGCGACGGACTCTGATTGACTCAGAGGAAGGTGCTTCACCGGCCTTGAGAGAAAGGCGAGCGTCCTTGAGGTCTGATGTTCGCTTCATGTGACGGTACGTGCGGTCCTTAGCCACCCGCTGGCGCAACTTGACAAGCTCACTCTCCAGCTTGACAGTGTACTCGCTGGGAAGGGGTACTTGCGAAGGTGCTATTTCGCCGTTCTCGGATCCACTGTCGGAATCAAGTGATGTTTCGGCATCGAAAAGAGCACAGAGCTTGAGCAAAGAAGAATGAAGACCAGCATCTCTGTCTTGGCCAGAAGTGTTGCCGGCAATGATGCTGTTCGTCACTGATCTGACAAAGTTGGATTGTCTCTTCAGTGCCGTCACCTCATCTCGAGTCTTCTCGTGGTCGATTCTGGATGGCAGGGTCGTGCGACGCTGCCTACGGTACGCGTCTACAGTCTTCTTCTCACGGAACAACTCGAGAAGATCAGCAACAATCTCTTGAGCTCTAGTTCTTCTGGCTTCCTCGCGCTGGAGGTTCGCTGCAGTCTGGGCTGCCTCGCGTTGGACTTCACTAAGCGCAATCAACAGACCCTCGACCTGTTCGTGCAAGTTCCTGTCTTGCGAGATGAAGGATCTGTGAGGCTTTGTTGGCGTAGCGCTGTCTCTTTCGGGGTCGTCGACCTCGGTCGGTGCGGTGCTGGCGTAGCTATCCGTGCTGAGCATGCTGGCTCCACTACCAGAGATAGAGTTGAGCGTTGAGAGCGACTGACCAGACGCTTTGCGACGAAGGGGTGCAGCTGGCGAAAGGGAATCGCTCTTGGACCAAAAGTCAAAGAGCCTGAAGGCGTTTCCATAGGTGCTGGTGAAGCCTAGAGCACGGACGGTTCTATCACCCGAGCCTCTTTCAGCCTGTTTGAGGAATTGCTTGCCTAACTTGTCGAGAGCATCACGGGATACGACCTGCTTGAAAAGGGTGGTGACTTCCTCAATGAGTTGATCCGGGTTGTTCTCATACGGTTCCCAGATTTGGCGAGAGAGAAGCAGCTGCAAGACATCCTCCAACTCGGCCATAGCAAGCAGTTTTTGCTCGTTCTTAAGGATGAGAGCCAAGGCAACACGCATGACAGTCTCATCTGCACCCTCGGCAAGAACAATATCGTAGATGCGGAAAAGAGTGTCTAGAGGACATGTCGTAGCAAAGATGGTCATGAACCACTGCGAAAGGTACGCAAACTCGACACCCAGATCTTTGAAGTGGGCGACAAGCTTGGGAGCGATCGGAGTAAGGAGCTGTTGGAACTGGAAAATGCGCGAGTGAAGGCCAGTCAATGAGTGTGAGTACGAGTCGCGCAGTCCGTGGTTCTCCATAAGCCTAACAAAGACACAGAAGGCGTCTCTGGCATCCATCTTCATGAGCAGGATGCCAACGATGAAGCCCATACCCTGGCAATAGCCAATCTCGGGATCGTACAGGTTGTAGCACTTCAGGACCTGGCCAAGCATGGTCTGGCCCTCAGCACCAGGCTGGGCAAACAGAGGGTGGTTGGGGAAGCAGCGGCCAATGTCCTTGTCAATGATAGTGTCCGAGGTAGGTGGTTCGCTCTCGATCTGTGCTAGCAGACGGTCGAATTCCGAGTAGAGTCTTTCTTCGCGTGCACCAGCAATGCCTCCCCAGACGACAGGCCGCAAGAAGTCGGGAACTCCTTTGTGTATCATGATTGGGGTCATGGTAGGCATAGATGCCAAAGCCTCTTGGTAGTCACGGGTGACAAAGGCCCAGAAGTCGCCGAGGCTCATGCCTAGGGCCTCTTTAGGTATGTGTAGACTGAGCAGCGAGGCACCGCCGACGGAAACAATGCGGTCGTTGTGGGAGAGGGTGACGGCGGTGATGCCAGCCTTGGGGTCGGTAGCGAGGGCGTTGTTTTCCATCTCGAGGCGGGCGAGGAGAGCGGCCATGTGCTGTGCTTGGGTTAGTGCTTGTTGGTTTGTCGAGGGAGTAGTGCATACCTCGTCATGGTCGAGTCCACCAGTTCTGGGAATGGACTCTTCTAGTGGAGAGCTGAGGACCGAGTCTGTGAGGGGCACGCTGACCAGCGAGTCTGTTTGCGCGTGGTGCGAGTGGGGGAAGTCGGGCGAGAAAGGCGTAGGCGTGTCTGCGCCTGTCTCGTGGGCCATTGTTGTTGGCGGCGTGTATATTGTTGATGCTCTAGAGCTATGATGTCGTGTATCGTGTGTCGTGTCTAAATATGCAATTGAGGGTGACCAGCAATCCCTGTGTTCGTCTATAACATGTCGCTCCGACTCGGGGGCAGACAAGAAGCAGTGTGCAGTGTATCGAGTATTGCTGAAAAGCAGTGACCTAAGGAAGGGACGCGTCGAGAACAGCCAAAGGAATGAGACTGGTAATATCGTCGCTGGACGTCGGCACGTTGTCCGTTTTTTGCACTCGCAGCTTCAGGAGCGATGATAGCGACCTGCAGTCCGAGTAACCAAGGAGCAATCCTCGCAGAGTCCCATCAACGGCCAAAAGATGAGGCAGCCAGAGGCCTCGTTGTATGAAACGGCCATCTCCTCAGGGGATTGCATTTCCGCGCTAACCGAACCTTTTTCCACGACTCCCACGCGCCCCCGAGTCAAGCTAATTTTACCGCCTGTTTGTTCTATCCATCTTCCATCGCTTCTGTAGCCATCCAATCACCAATATATCATGCAATATCTCCTGTCGAGCCACGTCTCTGAACGCTCCCTACACGCTTCAGATGCTCAGCATCCTGACCCACACGCACACACAAAACCAGTACAACTCTCCCCCACGTTGTCATGGCAAGTATCTCTTTACATTTCCACACCGTTGCAACCTCGACATAACCGTCTTCTACCGTGTGCTTGTACATCCTCATCAAATCCATCGTGGACACCGAGCCACCTCGCAAGTCTCTCCCCTCGAAGTCATTGATGAAATCATAAAGCGGCACAATCTTCATATATTTGAGAAACGCCATCCATGCCATATTTTGCACACCACGTCATGTCAAATTTGGAAATGAGATTGGACAAATTATTCGAGAAGACTTCGCCACCACTTCTAGAAGTCTCGAGTTCTTGCCGGAGGAGATGTTCACAAGACCTGCGACGTGAAGCATGGCGGACTCGACTTGTGCTTAGAGTACTGCATTCGTGGATGAAACCGGTAGATAGCTTTCCTGTCCTCGATTGCACCTTCGACCATCTACTCAAACTCTACGCGCTACCAACACGCTCTTCACTATATTTCGCTGTTTCCTCGAAAACGGTTCAAGAATACAAGCCTCCCGGCGGTACAGACAAGTCACGGGTGGGAGGCTCATCACTAGAAAGGGGCAATAGTGCTAGAGTATGCTGTAATTGACCTAAGACATGCATGCAAAACTACTCAACAGGAGTACTCCTACCAGCTTTCTACACTCCTCATGGTCTACAAGGTAGAGTGTTGTTTGCAGCCGCGCGGTTGAGCAGTCATCCTTGTGCATCAAGGCGGCTAATTATTTTGCTTGCCTTTGTACAAGACAGCTCGGTATGTGGTCTGTGCATGGCTGTGTGTTGGGTTCGAGTTCGACTCTCGGTTGCGTTCTTGAGGTGCTTCAAAGATTCAAAGTTTCAGAGCTCATGTAGGAGACTCAGATGTTGACTCTACGGCGGGGTGTCCAAATCTATGTAGGAAGCCTTCCCATGCTGATTTCTGCAACATCCAAGGTGTATCAGCACTATCGTCACCATATCTAGCTACCCACTACTCGAGGACGGTGTCCATGAAGAGAGAGCACCCACTAAGTCATGATTGAAATCTCTTCCGTGGTTCTTGCCATTCACGACATCTGATCCCATACTTCCTGACTCGGCCATATGCTCCATCACTGATAACTTGGCCATTGCGCTGATCAAGCCTGATCCTGACTCTCGTCCCTTACCTCTTCTTTGACTTTGACTTCGATGCCACGGTCATTGCAGACATTCTGGGCATCGTCTTGAGCAGAAGCCCGTAGACCAGCTCCGGTCGTGCATCATGTCGCGTAAGTTGTGAGCTATAGGCTACTAAAAAGAGACCTGAAGGAAAGTCCGGGCATCAAGCTCGTGGAGTAATCGCAAAGAGTTGAAGGCAGCCACGAGAGCTCGCGCTATTGTGTGTTGTCTGGGCGTTGGGCCAGGTCTGTGGCTGAAGCGTCTGGGTGTGGCAGCAAGTGTAGTCTGGTAGGCATGGGCTGGCTTGGTAGAGCTATGGCTTAGACGGTGGTGTCGTGGTCGGCCGCCAATTGGGGGTCTAGGCGAGCTGACGGTTGTGGCTTGAAATGATGCAGATCCTGGTATCCCTGGGAACAGCCATCAGACCAACGTTTGCGCCAGCGGAATGTACAAATCAAACTGCAGTTCCAACTGGCCGCTCCATCGTACTCTACAAACAACAGCAACATACTTCGCATCCACTCGGAGCAGCACCTTTTTGCAGCTTGACCTTCGCAGAGCGTTCAGGCACGAACCATATCCAGACCCTTGTGGGCCCAAAGCAGCACGCAGCTTGGACATCTTCCCGCATCTTGGCACCCGTTCAGTGCAAGAGTGATCTCACCGACGTCATTATTTGGACAGCCGAACCTTGTTCCACTCAGACAAGCCAAAGCAAAAAAGCTGCCTTCACGTCACCGCAAGACACCCACTGTCCGACGACTCGTGCGACTCTTTAAACCACCCTGTGACCTGCCCTGAACCATCATCTTCCTCCCTAGACATAGCATCCCCACAACCGCTCGACGACCGTCCTAGGCCACACATTAATTAATCGCATATCGACCTTCGTCACATCAACACAATGGCTGTAGCGCGTACGTCCAGCTGCCTAACACATCAGAATCGCTTCCAAAGCTAACACACCTCGCAGGACCTATCTTGGGATTGATTTCCCTCATCCTCTTGGGCGCAGGACTTCTCTTCCAATTCTTCGTCATTCTCTCGGGCGTTGCAAACACGACTCCCCTCAACAAGACATACTTCATCCAGGTCGACACAGCAGGAACCTCGGCTGCTCGAAACCCTTTGCGCTGGACCTTCTTCTACCTCTGTGGTGAACAGAATGGCCTCAACGCAAACTGCGGTTCTCCCGTTCCTGCTCGTCCTTTCGACCCTCCAAGAAACTTTGGCAGTGACCAAGGCGTTCCTCAATCCTTCATTGGATCCAACCACTACTACTACCTCTCGCGCTTCATGTTCGCTTTCTACCTGATCGCTCTCTTCTTCGCTGCCATCGCTTTCCTCACTGGTATTCTGGCTCTCTGCACTCGTCTCGGTTCCTACCTCTCCGGCCTCACTGTTGCCGTTGCTGCCTTCTTCCAGGCCCTCGCTGCCGCTCTCATGACGTAAGTTGTCGATCACAATTTGGTCACCTCTGGTCAACAACCACTAACGGCTTTCACAGTGCATGCTTCGTTCAAGGCCGCAACGCTTTCCGTCGCAACGGTCAGGATGCCCGTCTCGGTCGCTACGGCTTTGGCTGGACCTGGGCAGCCTTTGCCGCCTACTTCCTCGCCATGATCCTCTTCTGCGTCGGTGGTGCCGTTAGCAAGTCAAGCGACCGCACTCCCCGCAAGGGCGGTATGTTTGGTCGCAAGGCCAGCACCCGCTCGCGTGGCAGCTTCATCGACTCCGAGAGCCAGAGACGCGTCAAGGAGGAGTACGAGTAAAAACATTGATTCACTCTCGAACAACATTCGCCCTGTTTACGAGTTTCCTTGTTTGTCTCCTTCTCACGCTCATGATATACCCTAGCCACGAGACTGCCGCTTCTCCCAGGAATGCGGAGATCTCGTGGGTACCTCACCTATTTCGTAATGTCCTCAGTTTGGCTTGTATCATTACTACCCAATTTCCTTGTTTTATGTCTCATGCGAGCAACGAGCAAGCAACAATACCTAATGTCTTTCATCTTATAATACATTTTTGTGTAATATATTCATTGCTCCCATCGTCGTCTTTCCTCTCCATATCTTGACACATCGTATACACCCCCAGACTTAATAGGTAATTGACCACGAGCACGACCATACTTCTACACGGCAAATGCTATACGTATGCTTCCTTCTCTCTTTGTCCGACGAGTGAGACGGGGAACGACTCCAAGGGCCGCGACCCATGTGCTCGGCTCGGCATTCATGACCTCGACCTTCTCAAAGACAGGGTCATACCTCAAACACTCCTCTGAAACATTATTTACTATGTCATACTCATCACAGCGTATTTTCGGTTGGTACCAATATTCCATACTGTTCTAAATACTTCTTCATACCTCAAGGGTGAGTCTTGGGTCGCCTGAATCAATGGTCTTCGAGAAACCCTTCCCTTCGATGTCCTGACCCCCTTTCCTGAGAGATAACCTTTCAGAACACTGACATGCACACCTCGCAACTCAAATATCCAGGGACCTACTTACAAACTATTTTATACCACTCAAGTCATCCTGACGCCTGTATACAAGCTCATCTGACCCTAGCAAAGAGCGACCATGGATCTCCTAAACTAGGAGCACTTTTCTGGGCTTTCTGCCCTCTGATGATGTCAAACAGTGTTAGATCGTTTTTGACCAAGCCTTAGTACATAATCACCTCCGGTGTGGTCTAACGGCTAGGATTTCTCGCTTTCACCGAGGAGGTCGGGGTTCGATTCCCCGCACCGGAACATCTTCTTTTGTTTTTTCTATCCCATCCATCGGCCACTTTTCTCAGGTTTCCCATCAGCAAGGAGAAGGTGCTTTGCTCTTGTTTTGTTGCTCATGAAAATTACAACATTGGAAACAGCCGGGTGAAGCTTCGTCTCATGGGGCTGACATGAACATGCATAGTCTCTAAACCATGGGTTGGCATTCTTCACTATAGAGTTCGAAGCACCCTTGGCTCTCTGCGGAGACTCACCTATATAGTCTATAGAGAGATATATATCATAATAGCATTGATCACCGTGGGAGGAGGACGGAGGGAAAGTTAGAGATCCGTCTGTGTCTCCCAGTCCCTCCCAGAGAAACCCTAGGCGCTATAAGAATGCACAACAATCTTTACATCAGAGACCTGTCCAAAGAGCGAGTCGAGAGTAGACCCTTACTCTGTGGACACTATCTTGTCTCTCGAAACTATCATGCATCTTCACAACCACTGCATGGCATACCTGTGCAAGTGGGAGGCTTGACAGGTCTTCTTGTGATGTACTGTCATACAAAGCATACCGCGTACAGAAAAGGGTAGAGCGACAAAGCACATCACAAACCCCAAGAAGAGATGATTCAATAGGTAATCAACAGCTTGCTCTGTTCCTGAGGATACGTAGGTGTCGATCTGTCAATGCAACAGTCTTGGAGTAAAGTCCGTCATGCCTCCCTAATGTATAACGCCTGCCTCAAAAACAATGAACCCTCCAACGCCATGCTGCCACATCGATGTGGTAATGCTATCAAGATATCAAATTTCCTTCACTCTTTGGTCAAAGTCCCGAAACCTTGTAACTGCCTCCGATGTCTCCTCTTTCTGCGTCGGCCGAGGCCTGGTAACGATCGCCGTGGTGGTTACCACTGAGACTCGAGCTGCGACGCTTCTTCTCGTGATGACGGGTTCCGCTGATCTCCGAACTTCGTCGTGTCTTCTCGTCGTAAACGTGATCGGGAGCACGGTGGGCATCTCGAGGCACATTTAGACTATCACGAGTACGGTCAGAATCACTACCGTCATGAGTAGTTCCAGACAAGGTACCATCATATCCACGTCCTGGTGCAGTGTGATTGTCCTCGCCAGACACTTGCTTGATAGGCGGAAGGGCGGGAGCGGGACCGGAGGGATGAGTGTTGCCGTAGCCAGTGTTGCCGTAGTTTGCAGGAGCACGAGGAGCAGCTACAGCTTGACGGACATCTTGTGAGTGGTAGATGCCGCGCCCATCTGCAATGTACTCACTACGTCCAATTGCCACGTTGGGTCTTGCCACATCTGCTGCTGTGTTTGCCGTCTCCTCATCAACCTGGAATACCTCGGCCTCCTTGTCGTTGAAGTCCTGTCCAGGGTTGGCCGTCTCATATTCTAGAGCCTTGATAAATTTGTAGAAGCCGACGGCGAGGATGGATCCCAAGAAGGGTCCAAGCCAGTAGAGCCAGTCTATTAACACGATAGGTTAGTATTGGGTTTGAACAAAGCATGAGATCAAGAAAAAATGTGTCCAGAAAAGCAGATTCAAGAAATTTCGCATCTCCTTGGACTGTGCTCGCTTCTCGAGAACATTGTGTATTTTTATAGTGGGGAAGTGCACTTACGGTATCCAGGGAAGACGCCCAGAACGACACAGGGTCCGAAAGAGCGAGCAGGGTTGAGACTGCCGCCTGTGAAGTAGACGCCAGTGAGCTCAGCGATGAAGAGAGACAATCCAATACCGATGGGGGCAAGGAAAGTTCCCTTGTGTTTCTCGGCAGCCAGCATGAGGATGGTGAAGACGAGCATGGCAGTGAGGAACATTTCAATGAACAGGCCTCTGACGATTGAGGTGCCACCTCCCAAGGTTGTCGACACGTTCATGGCCGAGGGGAAGAGGCATGAGACGATTCCAGCAGCTGCAATGCCGCCGAGGATCTGTCCAATGAAGACGAGTAGACCACGGACCCATTTGCACGCACCGATGAGGCAAAGGGCGAGGGTGACCTGTTGAGATGTTAGCACTCTCAAACAAGCATAGAGACACATGATTGACTTACTGCCGGGTTGAACAGGCCACCGGTGATGCGGAAGAAGACCCAGGCGTTGACTGCTAGAGAGAAGCCAAAAGCCAGAGAAATGTACAACAGGGCCGATGTGTTGGGGGCTTGGGTGATGGAACCATCGTCGTTGTTTTGCTCCGAGGCGTTGCCAGTAGCAGCGTTGGCGACCTGAGTAGCACTGAAGGCGAAGAACAGGAAGAGGAAGGTTCCGACAAATTCGCCCACGACGGCGATGAATTGGTTGCGGATCTTGTTAGGAAGCCAACCAAAGCCAGAGAGACGGTGTTCATGCTGACTGCTTTCGCGGTACTTCATGAAGGGGAGGGTGATGCCCCTGCCTGGACGGTCGAGATTCATGGTTGAGGATGGGATGTATGGTCGAGTCGATATAAAAGAGATGCGGTAGTGGTGATGGTCTGAGGATGTTTGCTGCTGCAGGAGGTAGTCGTGCGACCGAAGCACTAAGTTAAGCTAATGTAGGACAAGCACAGGATAGTGTCAAAGCAAGCCTGGTGCAACAGGTAAAGAAGATGCGAGTTGATGTAAGATGTCGAGGGGCGCGAGGGACTCGAGAGGTTCAAGGCGAGCGTGAGAAAAGCGCATATACGGCAAGAAGACGCATGGAGAAGGAACCACCGCCATGTATCTGTCTGAAAAGCATGACGAAAGTGCTCCTGCCCACACACGGCAGGCGCCATCGCGTCCTTCCCCAGCAGAACTTACCACGTTGGAGAAACGGCACAGGCTTCATGCTCTCACCATCGTGCCGATCTCGAATAGATCTGCCTATGCTTTGTACGGGTTATGGATAGTTTGACGGTCAGGACGAGCAAGACGCGAAATGTTGAGACAAAATATGCCACTGACGCAGCCTAACGATCACAATCGATTGCCAAAATCATGTCCATGATCGCTCTAAAGCTCCACCCCCACTTCACCCCACACTGTTTGGCGATGCTTGGTGACCTTTTCTCGACTTTGTCCTTCGAATCTTTGTACTGTACCCATCATCGCTGACCGCATGCAAAGGTCGAGCCGTCGTGCATGCTGCGAGGTGCAAGGGTGCTCATGCAGCATCCATAACCTCCTCTGTTCCGCACAGCCGTTGTTTATATAAGTATTGGCTAGGAATCAATTTCAATGGAAGAGATCGGACTACTCTTCCATCGGCCGCACACAGACCTCTCGGCGGGTGATGCGCGTTAACCGGCAAATCGTTGATGTCATTTAAGTGTGTCTTTACGAGCATATTCATCTGTTGAGCAGAGCCTCGTGATTTTGATGGTCAGAGAAACAGTATTTTCACGATCTCAAAGGGGCTCTGTTCATATAAAACCCGGGAGAGACCTGAGCACTACGAGATTACCTATATAAGCCTCGAGTCTGTGTGTGGGAGTCGGCTTCGTAGAAGGGTCGAACGGCAATGATAGAGAACGGGTCACGGCGTGTCGTCCAGGGCTTATCCATGCTGAGACCCAGTTGAGCCGTTCGACTCATTGTTTCTTCTGTGGTCCAGCGCTTGCAGTTGAACTGGAACATGCCTTGATGTCAGTGTTCACTTTGCTTTGGACAAGGACTCGTCAGCGATAACATGTCAAGGATGATGAATATCACGGCATCACGTGCATATTCGGCTATCGGCAGAGTTTGAGATGGAGAGTGACCAGTCCAGAGTCAGTCATGCGGCGCGCAAAAGGCAAAGCACCCAAGGTACTCGATACACGGTCGCACCCCTCAGTCTGGCCTGGTTTGGTGTGTTCAGAGAGAAAACGGTTGCCAGTGTTTATATTCTCAAATACTTTCTGTTGTTCGCAGACGCGTCCACCTGTTTATACGCCTCCTCGCTCAGTTAGACACAGCAAAGCGCTTCTCACATCCCCAGCTTGTCGCCCTCATCATCGTACGCTGCCATCGCCATCGCTGCCCTACAGGCGGGTCAAACGGGCGTATACCAATCGATAGCGCCTTAACGATATGACCCACGCTCGAAACAAGCACCAACGCGCTTTGTAACTGCTGTGCTAACGCGGCCTGTATACCTAACTCCGTATCACAGCCAAGATGCGGCCTCTACGACTGCTCCTCTCGCTGTCCTCGTGCCTGATCTTCATTATAGTCCTATCCTTCGTCGCCGCTTCCAAGACGAGGTCCGTCTCTGCAGCACGCGACCGCAACCACCGCCTTGGAGCCTACTTTAGCTGGAACTCTCCTTCGTCGCTGTTCCCGCCCTCAGCTATCATCAGCTTGACCGACGACAACTCGACATTCTTCCTCGCCCGCCCTGCTGCTTTTGGCCCGCCGTTACCTGGAAGAGGCCTGAGCGGCCAGATTTGGATAGGCGCCGGCTTTGGTGACGACAATCCTGGTCATGGAGGTATCGCTGGAGCAGAAGGAGAGCTCGGTTGTAGCGATGTGCCAGGATGGAGTGACGGCGAACATTCCCCTCCAAACTTTGAGACCATCCCTCAGGATGTCAAGAGCAAGAACTCGGCAACACCAGATGCCAAGGGCAGCAAGAACAAGAGGAGTTTGGCTTCAGAGGTTCAAGCAGACAGTGGCGCTGCAGACGTCCAGGTTGATGGAACAGACGACCACCTTCATCAACCCCTATCACCCTCTTCCGACATCGGCTCCGCCCAGATGAAACAGTCGGCAAAGAATGCGAAGAAACCCGGTCATGCAGACATTCAATCACTTCAAGAGACGGCAGAGATAGCAGGCAAAGTCGTGCTGCTGACTCGAGGTGGTTGTGGCTTCCTGGAGAAGGCCAAGTGGGTACAGAGAAGAGGAGGAGTTGCTTTAATCGTGGGCGATGACATGCGTGGAGGACCACTGGTGACCATGTACGCCAGGGGCGATGTATCCAACATTACCATCCCGTCCATCTTTACTTCACACACCACTGCCCATCTCCTCTCCAAGCTGGTTCCCTCAGGAGGCTTCCGTGAAGGTCTGTCTGCTCAGGATGCTGCGCGTCTAGGCCTAGGCTTGCCTTCAAGCGGTAGTCCCGCTGAAAAGAATAAGAAGAAACAAGACTCGACCAGTACTAGACCTACTCATTCTCCGGTTCCCAACCGCCAAAACGAAGACGACGAAGAAGAGTCGGGAAGCTGGCTAGGTTCTCTATTCTCGTCCTCGGATGAGGATCGCCACGACAGCAGGAGACCACCCAGCAGCGGTAAGATTGACTGGATTCTGCAGAAGGACTTTGAGGATGAAACTCCGAAGAAGCCCAATACCAGATCTACCACCACTATCAGACCTGTCAAACAGACCAAGACCCCCAACAGTGATGAGTTTGTCATCGGTGTCCACGATTGGCGGGATCCAGACTTGCTTGATCCACAGTTCAACGCTGCTGAGACGGTGTCGAGCAAGTTACCCAAGTCGGTTGAACAGAATTCTGCTGCACCTCATGCAGGTCCTAAAGGTGGCAGCATAACTCCTGGGAGCGGAGAATATCACCAGGCTGGTGAGAAGCCAATCAACCTCAAGGTACCTAAAAAGTCCGGGAAGAGTAAATCGGATCTCAAGAAGTCGGCCCCTGACAGGCCAAACTCATGGATTGGTCGTCTCGTTGGTTCGAGTGATGAGAGAATCACCAATTCCGAGAACGTCAAATCACCACACGTCATATCGCAAGTCAACAGTAAGCCTGTTGTCAAGGCTACTGATGAGCGCGACAACACTGATGAGTCGCACGATGGCCTGTGGGTAACTTTGACTCCTGCATCTATGTCTTCTTCGCCGTTTTTCGATACCCTACTGGTCTTGGTTGTTTCGCCTCTTGTCACCTTGACTATTGTCTACGCCTTACTATTGCTTCGATCTCGCATCCGTCGCAGAAGATGGAGGGCTCCCAAATCTATTGTTGACCGTTTCCCTGTAAGGATTTATCATACCGTTCCCAGCAGCAACAGCTCCAATGCTCCGGAAACTGCCGCAGCATCTCCTGGGTCACCTACTCAGACTACACCCCTTCTGCACGCTGGACCGCGACCTATCTCTCAGACAAGGTCAAGACCAAGATCTCGTACTGTCAGTGGAGTGCCCGTGACCAGTTCCAGCCCTGCGGACAGTCCGAGCCTGGATCAAGTGCAGGAGAAGCGTGAGGCTGGACTAGCTGAGTGGCGTAGGAGGTATGGCGGCAGACAACGTGACTGTGCCATCTGTATTGATGAGTTTGAGGATGGCGTCAGCCGTGTAATGAGCCTACCTTGCGGCCACGAATTCCATGTCGATTGCATGTAAGTTTTCTCGCGTATATCTCCCGAGAGATTGTTTCAATCTGACTTTTCCCAGTACTCCATGGCTCACAACCCGCCGCCGTACATGTCCCAACTGCAAGGCTGATGTCGTGCGTTCATTCGGTCGCGGTGGAGCTTCCTCATATTCGTCCTCATCAGCTCAACCACTCCTCGCTCACTCGCACGACGAATCGCTAGATATTGATGACGTGCAAGAGCAAGCAGTCAACACCCACAATTACGATAATGAGCCAATTGCTGATCTGGAACAAGGTAGCGTTGATCCCGATCGTACAAGATGAGCAATCTGAAGCGACATTTCATGACTGGGATGGCTGGTGTTACTCCTGGAGAGTCTTGATGAGCAGGTTCTCTCTTCCTTTTCGCTTGCATTTGCATTGCCCGGCCTTGTTGTGGTGGCTATATAGACGTTACACGCTCGATTACAGAGGACGTGTGGGCGATAGTAGCAATCTCCATTTTCTCTCTATGAACTCGTATCTCTTATGTGCTAAACGTTGTTACAATGTTAGCACACGGCGAGGGCCATGTTTTGGGAGAAGCCTTTGGCTGTGAGCATTCCATCAACACTCTCCACACAAACATGAAGAGCTTCCTTCTCTCCTTCTAGTTGCTGTACCAATGGTGTCATGAGTATGGTTAGTGCTTTCTAATCCTGGATCCTGGATCGCTCTAGTTCGGGGTCAGAGTAGACGTACTATCCCATGCTCTCATGGCATGATCAACCGAAAGTTTGTTTCACCGAAAGAATCCGTGATTCAATATGGGCCACATGGTATGCACTTCCAAACAATCATTTCCTGCATTTGACTGCTGCACTCATCCGAAACCAGCATCCTAGTTCCTACTTCAAACTTGGCTATTGGCCGGCAGTTCTCTTCGTCTGTGCTGTGTATACTCATCTAATCGTTGACCCGGTGCTCCAAGCACACCCTGCGATACTGAACCATGAAATTTGAACTTTGAGATGCTCATGTCGGCAGGAAGTATTTTTAATGGTCGGATCACTTTACCCAGACCGAATCGAAAAGGAGTTACTTTTGCCCAGTTGACGGTCCGGTCGGCAACGGACCGTCGCGCTTGTCGGACTAGCACGTGTCTTGGCGCGCTGCCAGCCTTTCTCACTTTTGAATTTGACCCAAAGTCGTCCCCTGCATGCTGCAGGACGCGCTATGATGGGCTATCAGGAAGCCACACCACCACAAGCGCAGGTCTGATGAAAAGGACTTGCTCGCCTCTTGGATCTTCTCTCTCTCTTGCCGTCCGGGAAGCGACTGTCAAGATCTGGAAGCTTTCGCGTAAATAAGCAAGATGGAAAGAGAAGTCTACTCAAGCACAATTGACCTGTATATGTCGCGGCAGCTGCAGGTTCCTCCAAAGCCACTACGAGTCTTGCGTTACTCTTCCCTCGAGGGTTTGCTTTAGGCTTCTTGCATGATCGTCCGGGATCGTGGGAATCATCAATGTTCTCTGCATGATATATTCGCGACAGAATGTGTTTGACCTGGGAGCTTCCCATTCCCACAAGTAAGCTTCACAATATCGGGAAACCACATGAAGAGGTCCATGATTTGGATTGAGACGACTCATGAACAGGACACGCCATCTCACACGCGAGCTCACGCCAAAGACGCAAGTCATGCTGCAAGTTGACGGTTGACGTGCATGAGCGGGTTGTGGAGACACATGGCTAAAATCCAGGGCCAGAACGCCCCTGATAACCTTTTTGACAGGAGTTCTGGCAACGCGCCATCCATTCACACGTCGTGAGGACTTGAATTATTGGCAAGCCATGACCCGACATCCCGTGTACATGTGTCTGAATTCGAGTCGCCATACGCTATCCTACCCGTACTTGCAGAAAGGTGGATGGGCGGGCCATGAGGTCTCTAGCGTAGGCATACCATCAACTAGACCACCACATGTACCCCGTGTCCTGGTTTTGCTCTTTCGCCCCTTCATATATCCATCAGCCCGTCATCAGATCTCGACTCAGCTTTGTTCACCTCTGATCTGAACCAGTCTACCGGAATATCGATTTGCACTCAGCACTCTTCTTATTCTACCCAGTCGCTCGACCTTCAGACCTGCATCAATCTCTGACAACCTAACAACCTCGCCGTTACCGTTTCCTGCAGGGTCACCGTCTGCGTTGTGGTGTAGGAAGCTTGAAGATCCTACAGACTGTTCAAATAAACGGACATCCCAACTCGTGCGATCACGATTGTACTCTCCACCAACCACATCAATGGCTACAGTTGTTGGAGCTGTACCGGCGTCTACGACGATGGGAAGCTCTTCATTACCGGCCAAATACTTTCCTTTCCCCGAGAGCATGTCACCATTACCGTCTGCTCTCAAGAAGGGTATGCTGGTACCAGGAACAATCGGTCTTTTGTCAGCTGCCTCGTCCATTGGCATGCTACTCTTCATCATCTACAGATTCTTGACATGGCGCGCTCACTACAAAACATTTGTCGGGTACAACCAATATGTCGCTCTGATCATCAACCTCTTGTGTGCGGATCTTATGCAGGGTGTCGCGTTCATGTTCAGCTACCACTGGGTCTTCACCGATGGGATTGTTGCACCTTCAGTAAAGTGTACTAGCCAGGGATTTTTGCTCAACGCAGGTTAGTCACTCGCATCAGTGTCTACCCCACCAACGCTGACCATCTTTCTTAGGAAATCTATCTTCTGGCTACTTTGTCATGGCCATTGCTCTTCACACCTTCTACGGTGCGGTCATGGGCCGTCATCTTAAACCCGCTGTTTTCTACACTGCCCTTGCTGGTGGCTGGTTCTTTGCGCTTTTCCTGTCTGCCATGGGTCCCATATTACATGGAAACCACTACTATGTACGAGCAGGCGCATGGTGCTGGGCTGCTCCTGAGTTCCAGACTGAACGTTTGGCCTTTCACTGTACGTACGACGAGGGGACAGCTTTGCTATCTTCAAGACACATGCTGACTGTACTCTTGCTTCCAGATATTTGGATATTTGCCGTGCAATTTGGGACGGTGATCATCTATCTCCTGATCTTCCTCCATCTCAAGAACACATTGACCACCATACTGCCATCTTCACACTCGACCACACACGCCAAGGTCGACAGAGCAGCACGGTTGATGTTGATGTTCCCTCTCGCCTATATCATTCTTACACTACCCCTCTCGGCTGGAAGAATGTGGAGTATGGCTCATCATACTTACGCCGTCCATGAAGGCTACCAACTTGCCTCTGGGGCTCTGATCGCTTGTTCAGGAATGGTAGACTGTCTCTTATACACACTCACCCGTCGAAGCCTGGTCCAGTCCTCCACAGCTTCTGAAAACAAGAGCACAACCAGTGGGCTCGATAGCTACGATCTCTCCCGCCTCAACGGCATCACACAAACCCGTACTGTTACAGTCACTGGTGATAGAGTATCCACGATCTCCAGCGCCACACGTGTCAGTGACGATGACGACACATATTCCATGCGCACCATTTCCACGAGTCCAAGAAAGAAGAATCACCTCAGAGAGCCAGCACGCACACACTCGCCTACCAGTTCAATTGATCATATCATGGGAATTGAGGGGTTGGACCCCAGGAAGCCAGCGCACAAAGTACAGATTTCTACGTATGAGGCCAGAACCTCTGAAGACGTAGACAGTTTGAGGGATAGCGAGAGATCAGAATCACCTGTCAATGTCATGAGAGGGCTTGCCAAGATGGTCAAGTTACCGCATTTGACCGACAGGAAGTAGATGGGGTGCTTGCCATTCTCTTTTCTTTTTCATGACGGATGATTGTCTTCTTTCTTGTATATATACCCTCCTTTTGTTATAGCTTGTCATATGGCCGGTTTTCCATAATGGATGTAAGCTTCGACTCTTTGAACCCTTGTCTTTGCCTCTGTGTCGTTTCCACTTCTCATGGTAGTCAAAGCAAAATGCATACCGGTGCTACTGAATACTTTGCGTGGTTCTCACTCACGATCTTCGGCTAACCTCGCCAAATTTCTGTCCCCACACACAATATTGCAAAACGCCAAATATATGGCAGACAGTCGAGTGGTATACAGGACCCTCCAGCACTCTCTCGCTCTGATTGCAGGAATTATATACACTGTTGTCCGATAATTTTCCATGAACCAATCATAATTGATTCGAGGTCTCGTGGTCTAGCGGTATGATACTCGCTTAGGGAGATTGTCGAAAGTCATTCTTGGAAACTCTAAGCCTATGTTGCGAGTGGTCCCGGGTTCGATTCCCGGCGAGACCCTTCTTTTGCATGTGTAAACAATGTTTTTGGTATAGTTGAGATGAAGGAGGGCGGTTGAAGTTTTGTGTATTTTTGGCAAGAACGCGTGGCAAGAAGCCGGTTTTGGACGCTGACGAGGATTTCTTTGGTATGTAAGGTAGGGTGAGAGGTGCTTCTTTTGTGCATTCAGATATGAGATTTATTACAAGGGACAGAGGGGTGAGGTTGATGGAGTTTTGGGAAATTTTGGTGCGAGGTAGTAGAGGAGTGAAGCCTAAAGCCAGCGTTTGAACAACAACTATCATCCCTCCTTACATATCAGAACATCAGACTAGCATGAGATAATTGAAAGGAAGTAGAGACGCTCTGATAGCATCTTTCGATGGGAACTGATCGTTGTGCAAAACCACTGTGCATCACTACAACTGCAAGCGTAACAAACGTTGACAAATGGAGAGAGAGGCTATGAGGTGCGGATGTGATGTGTCTACGACTCCAGCATCAGATGCTGAGCTGGCAGTTGACTGTTTATTCGAGCAGAGCTACGAAGCGAAGTGTAGCGACAACAGGACTGTGACTCTACCGGTGAGTCTCAATATTGGTTTCGTTACATTGGACACCTTTGAAGGCTGAGATATGTGTAACCTCATCAAGAAGGTCTAGGGTGGAGAGGCGACATCGGGTGCCATATGCCTGATAGATAGCAAATCACCAAATCTGGTCAGCAAGTTGATGACAGGTCAATCTTCTCTGACAAAGAGCATAGATGTTACTCTCACTTCCGAGTATGGGTACCGAGCGATTGGAACAGTAGGATTGTGCACAAGGACTTACAAACAGTCTATGTGCATCAGCGATGTCGCGGTCTGCAACTGTGATACAAAGCACGTTCAGAGACTGGAGTAGCAGCAACAGCGATATCGCAGTCTACAAGATGTGTACTTTATCTGACTCTGTACTCGCATCTGTCGTGTTCTCCATAATAGGCAAAAATATACCTTCAGGCCAGATTGGTGAAGATGACGGTGGTAGTCAATGATACCTTGATAGTCAGCATCGGTCGCCTCCGATACTCTTTCTACAACAAGCATCTTGGTATACTCGCTTGGAAACAAGCCGAGTCCATCTTGTGTTGTTGAAGCACAAGTGTGCATCGCTTCACACGGAAAGAGTCGGCAAGCCTTGTTCGCGAGAATACATCGGGGCCGCCTGAATTGAGTTCTGCTTCCCATTCGCTACCAGATCTCTGGGTCTCTTTTCCCGCCTATTCTGGTCATTGGAGAAGCGGATAGTGACAAAGATGACTGCCACACGTAGTATACCGTGACGCTGCAGCGGTGTGGAAGATGTTGCCTAATCTCGAACTTTCTGTGTCATGGTATTGCACATCCAATGACTCGTTCCAGGCCCTCAAGTTCTGTGACGCGCTTGTTATGTCCGCCAATCCAGTAGTACGAAGAACCAGAACCTGTATTGTGGCGAGAGATGGACGCTCGATCATGTGGTATCTAATATTGCCGTCGATGTTGCGATCTGGCCAACAGAAGAAAGACCGAGCCACACTTGTCAGAGAAAAGAAGATCAGGGAAGATATAGTCACCGTCCACAAGACAAGAACGGAGGCCACCATTCATCCCGAGGGATATTTTATAGTGGAGAGGAAGTCATCGAGATGAGGCGGCAAGGTGATCAGCCCGAACAAAACTTGTTCGCGAGTACACCATTCCGTGCACCACGTGCCGGGTGAGAACAATCCGTTCTCGTGGGACCAATCGCCATACTCGAAGACTAGATTGTTGGCTTACCTTCTCTCTCGCTACAATGAAGACAGACCAATAACAATTGACCATCAGGGCAGATATCGCGGTTTTCTACAATCTCGGACAGCTCTTTTACCCGCTGTAGGCAAATCAAGAGTGCGACGATAAACGACAACACCAGCCACCGGATGTCGTCGACAGCGAGCAAATCATGCCGCAGACGCGTTTACCGCTAGATCTGTGTATGCGTTCGGCGGATGCGTGATGCGTTTTCGATGGCACGGCAGATGAACATGCAGGTACCGATACAATGTGATAGGCTCGGTCGAGTCTCGTGTTTTGAGCAGTGAGCGGGGAACACACCGCTTCCTCCTCAACACGGCACACCATCCTATGAACAACGCAGAGAGAAGGCTGGATGAAATTGAGGGAGATCGAAAATGCTCAAGGGTAAGAAAGGTGATAGTAGTAGTACCAATACTAGAAGAAGAACAAGAAGACATTACAGTCGATAACAACAAGAGCATTACAGCTGTGTACGGCATCGGGGTATCAAGTCCCTGCCTGAGCGCCAAAGTAAAACATATCGTCGAATCATAAAGTCGTGAGCAACGTAGCAATGGAACTACCGGCGTGCTCTCAAATCGTTCTCTGCCCAAGTTGGTCTCCTCTCCTGCGTGCGATATCTCGTTTCTCGAATGTTGATTTCTGCCTCGACTTCTGCAGCTCGGCGACGTTCTCGATGTTTTCTCTCGTCGCGACGGTACTCCGAGCGGTGTTCTTTGTGGCTGTGTCTGTGCTCGCGGTCGTTGTTGTGATACCTGGTCTCACGAGGCTCCTCCTGTCGATACTTGTCTCTCCGGCGGTGGTCGTCTCTGCTGCCTCCTTCTATGACAACTTCGGTACTGCTGGACCTTTGGGGTTCGTCGTTGCGGCGACTGCTGCCATTGTGGACTCTGACGCAAGGTCTCTGTTCTTCTTCTTGTCGACGGGCATGACGGATGGCTGCAGATTCCTCCAGGACGAGCAATTGCTCTCGGAGGTAGGTGTACGTGTGCGGAATCTCGACTTGTGAAGGCTTCTTGAAGCGAGTGTACCTTTCGAAGACCTTGCCGTTCTGCATGTACATGGCCTCGGCAATACGTTTTGACATGTGTAGTCCTTTGTGGCACAACGAAGCGTGTTCCTGCCATCGTCTGTATGGTGAAATGCATTGACGACACTCGCGGGAGTGAGTCTCAAAATCGAATAGTAACCATGCTTCTTCTGAGGTGAGAGGTCTTGAGAACCCCGCGATGATTGAAGAAGTATCCGAGAAGCGTACTCCCTTTGGTGAAGGAGGAGAGGTGGACTGCACAGCGGGGGCGGCAGCAGGCATGTTGTTTCTTGTTCTGATAGGCATGGGTTGGCTGACCGCCGGGGCCAGTGATGGGGTGAGTCTCGTCATGAGGATATTTGGAGTAGGATTGTTTGGTTTGTGTATGAGGTGAAGCAAGGTGCTGACGGGAAATGTTTGTTGGGGAAAACTGTTGACTGGCGGTTTCCTTTATAGGTGGCAGGTGTGAATGAGAGAGTGGGGAAAGAGGGAAGGAACGAAAGACAGAGAATTTGAGGTTTACTTATATCAACCTGAGGGAAGCAGCAGTTGTCTGCCTGAATTATGCACAACCCGCCGACGTCAATTACACGCAGACATACCATACCCGAAACGGACGCCGAAAGGCTGCGGCGACGTATGGCTGTGCATTGCGACACACTGCAGCAGCGACAAGCATGCGGAGAGGATGCATGGTGTACGCTAGAAGGCCTTGGAGACGGATTGACCAGAAACCTTGATTGTGATCCAAGAGTCTGGGAAGGCTGAGATACGCAAAAGGTGATCCGTCAATCCGTAAACGAACTACCTCGCCCCCTTGGCCCTCCCGGATGGCAGCGTTCGTGACTCACTGCGACTTTGAGACATATGCACGAGCAGTCTCGTGAACGCATGTGCCCTCAGGAACAGCGCGCCGAGATTGGGTTAGCATGGCGTTCAAGGAATTCAAGTCATGGACTGGCCAATTGCTGACATGGAGGTGACGGGGATGAGGTGGTGACCTTGCGGCTCAAGGATCCGGTCAAGGGCCTTGGCTGCGGGGCACAATTGGGGCTGGTTTGCAACAGACAACCGCGCCTTGCACGGCGTTTTCACAGACTCGACGACGATTGCTGTCGCGGAGAATTGCCTACGGGACTTGTATCCGCGGTCCGATCTGAGATGTTGTCGAAAGATAAACGTGCCGGACATGGGTTGTCGCGGGTAGTGTCACGCGCTTCCTGCTCCCTGTGCTTCTGGGCAATTGATAGCAGTGTCACTGCGAGCAACCAAGGAGTGAGCAGAGTCGCACGCAGCGGTCAACGATCAAGGCGGCGGGGATTGATACATGTTCAGGATAGCTGCCTGACATGTGGTACGGTACATGGATACGGCTTGGAGGTCGAAGTTCTGACATGTGCCGGGGCGGGAGTCAAGGTGGTGCCATTTGCTCTTGGCCAATTCACGTCAAAAGGTCTTGGGATGAACTTGGAGGCATTGTTTGAGCATGTGGAAGAAGACACGATTGTGATTGGGATTTCACACAAGGCGGACGACAGTGTCCGAGCCACTTGTCTTGATGGCTCATGATTGCGAGATGGCAGTCTGAGCTGGTGCAACTTTGGGCTGAGAAGACTCAGAAGAGTCTCAAGCGATGGGGTCCGAGTAATGCTGGGTGTCCTTAGCTAAAGCAAGCGGCCAGCTTAGGCTTTCTTTACCTGGCTTCAGTTTAGGAGGTGTCTAGGAGACATGAACACTTCCAAATGTGTCAAGACTGAATCAAGTACTCAACATGGTTTAGTCTAGAGAGAAGATTATCCTAACATGTCTTGATGTTCGGGTCCTCTGGATGTGCAGGTTTCTGTTGGTGAGGCGCTTGGATAAAGGCAAGGGTAGTGATGAGATGTGGGGAAGACGAGGTTGACAGCAACGGTCGTACTTTGAACCGTGACTTGCTCAATGCTTTATCATCGACAGAATTACTTTCAAGGACCGAATGCATACAGCAGACTTGGATCCACAGAGCTTTTGAGACAATAGCAAGGCTGCCACGACGACAATAAGACAATAGGCTAGGCTACCATGAACGCTCCTACATAACGACTTGACCATTGGATGAGAAAGCGAAGACTGTAGAGGATCGGTCAGACTCCCGGATCGTGAAAGAGTTATGGATACATATATGGGCACGCCTTCGAAGAGACGCTCCATCTCGGATGCCGCGGCCACCAAGCTGCAGCCCTCACCACTCCTGACGAGCCGGCTGGCGAACGCGACAAAGGATGACAACCTGCTGGACACTTCGCCACAGACGCCTAGGCGGTCCGACTTCTTAGCCAGAGGGTTGTCGTTGCAGATGCCACCCAAGACGACGGCGACGACAGCTACAACTTCCATGGCAGCTCCTAGCACCATCCAACGCGTGCCTCTGTCTCCTCAGCTCGACACGCAAACATCCTACGCCTCGCCCCAGACCTCTCTACCGCGCCATTCGCGCGGTCTGGACTTCTCCAGAGCATGCACCAATCTTCATCACTCGACGCTCGCCGACAACCCTTCTCCCAGCTCGTCGCCCATCATGACACAAAGCACTAGGAAGCCCAGCGTGAACAGCATGATGCTCGACTCGCCCAACCTCTGGCCCCAGGTTCAGACCGATCGTAGTGCCGTCAGTAGCAGTGTGGGCAGTATTAGCATGCTTGCCGACGAGGATAGTGATGACAGCACGAGCGACGATGATGTGATGGACGACATGGACGATCCGATTCTCACAACTCCGCAAGTGCGGAAAACGACCAACCCGCAGGCTACAACTCCATTTGGAAACCATAGCACCATAATGTGGAGCAACAACTTTTCACCAGCCCACGCCAGTCTGATGAAGACCTTCCAGCGTAGTCGTTTGAAGAAAGGACGAAGCAGAAAGAGTTCGAGTAGTGCTAGCAACAACTCCGCCATGCCCAGCCCACGCACAACGTCGCCGCCACCTTTGCGCAGCATCGAGGGCTCCGCTCATTTTGGCTGGCCGCGTTTGAAAGAGACTAGGCCTGAGCATCCTTCACTTTCATCGGGCAACGACAGTGGGGACGAAGCCGCTGCTTCCTCCTCAGCCCCTGGTGTTGTACGCCGTGCAGTCACTCGTCGAGGTAATCTACTGGTAAGTTACCGTCCAGACATATATTTATTGACTACGCTAACAACTCTCTAGCCGAAGACGAAGAACTTTGCGCGCATTCGTGCTGCTCTGCTCGAAGAGTCCGCACCCGTCGACAATGAGGTCCGTCGCGAAGCAGAAACAATGCGTCAAGTTCACAACCACGACCCGGTTCATGATCTCGAAGGTCCTTCTCCTGGTCCTTCGTCTTCACAGCCTAACGCCAACCCTAACGATCCCAACGACCCACAACCCGACACTATTACCAACAACAATCCTATCAGTTTCAACCTTCATGCTCACCGCAATTCTGGTGGAGTCGACTACTGGCACAAGCTCGAAAATGAACTCCACACACCTCCTCCACCCGCCTTCCCTACAAGAGGCAGCTCATCACTATCCGGTGACATAGCTATGGACTCACCTGCCGACAGCACCGTCTTACGTTCAGCATCTGTCATCAGCATGAACGAACCATCCGCCGCTTCGGAAACCGACACCCAGAACTCTACATACCCTAGTCAAGATGCCCTTCGCAGGCCCTTTGGAAAGCGTCGCCGAGACGATGATTTCGATATGCAGAGCTTCAAACGCAGGGCCGTCAGTCCTAGTATGAGTGTGCATGGCGGCAGTCCCATTGTTGCCTCTCCTGCTGCCTCCGCTGCAGCACGTAATCAAGCTCTACCCAAAGATGGCGCTCCTCTCGAGAAGAGCACCAGTGGCGGTAACGGCAATGGTACTGCTCCTAGGAGGATAGGTCTGCAGGGTATGGTCGACACGAATGAGGGCATCATGAGGATGAGCATTGAGTAGTAAGCTTGCCTTTCTCTGTTGATACCCCTTGTCCTTCCATTCTGTCCTCACATTCTTCACTTGCTTCGTACTTCTCTCGGCGGTGCGAACACTACCGTTTCTTTTCCTTTTCTCTACTATTGTCACTTTGCTGTTGGTTGCGTTGGGATTCATAGCGTGTGGTGTTGGGGTGGTCAGCGGGTTGCTTTTCTACGCTTACATATCCATGGAAGACTTTGACAACACCGGGTCTTAATTCAACACATATTTATTCTCTTCATTTGCGCATCTTCTGTCTACTTCCTGAAGAAAGGACCACTTCGGTTGAACATCGGCTAACCTCACAGACTATGCTGATGGTAAGACCCTGATATGAATATTGACAAGTTCAAGAACACTCCACAATGCCCAAAGATGCCTGGAGAAGTATCTCATACATTCAAGAAAGTCCTTACGGGTGCATGTTGACATATCCGTGAGTGAAAGTCCATCGTTGATCCACTTCGGCACTTGTTCCGTGATTCACCAGCGTTCGTGGTTAGCCATAGACGAATTCCATCGCAGTTTCAATCTTCGATGATCAATCCTTCACCCACCTTTTGTGGAGCTCGAGAAAGTCGCCCAAGCAAAGGCGTTGCATGCAGTGTTGCTTGTCGCTCGTACACAACCAGTCTGTTATGTACTGCCTTGTCGTAGACCGCGTTTGTGTAGATTATATATAAATCTGCTGAGCCGAACCAAGCAGTAGCCGCTTTAGCTCATCTGGGAGAGCGCCAGACTGAAGTCCACTTCACGTCCTTCCTGTCTTGTACAGGAGTATTCTGGAGGCACTGTGTTCGATCCACAGAAGCGGCAGGATTTAATTTTGCAACCGTAGCATGTTTTTACTCGCCTGTCAGCATGTCAGAGTATACAAGCTCCTCGAGGGTTCGATTCTCTGTCGAGCGCGACCCTTTCAGGTTCCGGAGTTATCATAGTGGCCGGTCGGGCCTTCTTTTGGCACACGAGAGATCACCATGCTTAGATAGTCTTATCGATGGGGAGATGACAGGCGGTGACAATCTTCCAATCGTAAATGCTTCTATTGCCCTTATTGAGTAGCGACCATACTGGCTTATACACAATCATGGCTCTTGAAGGTTCGACGCCACAGCATGGCTCGCGACTCGCAAGGCTCATGTGGAGGATGGAAGAAGAGGATAGAAAAAGGAAAGATATTCCGACGAACGCTGATTGGGTGGCACGCGTCGTGGTTTCCCCTCTCCCGCACTCCCGAGCTGTCACAGAGTGACCACGCGAAGCTCGCAATCGCGCAAAGGTCTCAGTTCCTTTCCTCTTCGATCCCACTCATCATTCACCTCAAACAACAGCAGCCTTTGCGCGCTCACTCCCCGACAACATCTGCTACTCTTGAAGTTCTGCGACAAGACGCGCGACCATTCAAGATCTGCTCATCGCAACTTGGGCACACGACTGACAGAAGACATCCTTTGCGCCCACTCACGCGACGCGCCGACGACGACATCGACACACATTGCTACGGCTGTTCAAAGGAGGAGAGCTTTTCGTTTTCGGGAAGCGCACTGGGCATTAGAAGTTAGACAAACATCCATCACCTCATCTCTGCGCGTCTTTGACTGCATCATCGCGTGCCGAGTGGAGAGATCAGAAGGCGCAGCGCGCAAGAGATACACTCCAGCTTGCAGAGAAAGAGAGTGCGCCTGTTACAGACACACAGCGTCGCCAGTAGTAGACTGCGCCGGAGTTTTGAACTCAGCTTGTGATTTTGCACACGCGCGCCGCCACGAGAGTGATTTCCCGTCGCCTGTCCCAATTCCACACCTACCTTTGACTCGTTTGTGCGCCTGCAAGACCTTGCTCTTGTCTGTGGTTGCAACACATCGTACTCAGAGAAACAGAACGGGACGCCAAACACAACAACAACCATGTCCGGTAAGCAAAGACAATCTGCCACCCACCTTCACACATGGCCTATACCACGCACGCAGCTATGCGCTTCAATGCGCCACATGAGAGCCAAGTTAGCTAACATGTCCCTTCGAACAGACATCAGACGCAGTGGTCGCGCGACTAAGGGCCAGCACACGAAACTTGAGTCTGCCGAAGTAGCAACACCCAAGAACAAGAAAGGCACAGCCACCGCCTCGACCAAGAAGAGCACCAGCAAGAAGTCAGCTGAACCTGAACCCGAACCCGAACTCGACGACGAGGAAGCGGCCGATGAAGTCATTCGCTGCGTCTGCGGAGACACCAAGGACGACGAGGTCGGTCGCCAATACGTCAGTTGCGACACTTGCGAAGTCTGGCAGCACAATGTCTGCATGGGCGTGCCGCTGGAGGAGGAGAAGCAGCCTGAACACTACTTCTGCGAGCTGTGCGAGCCCAACGACCACAAGGATCTGCTGGAGGCCCAGGCGCGCGGAGAGCAGCTGTGGCAGACTCGCATAGCCGACCACGAGGCTGAGAAGAGACGAAAGCGCAACGAGAAGAAGCGCCCCAAGAGTCGTCAACAGAAGGCTGCTCGCCAGAGCGAAGTCAAGTCCGAGGCTCCGGCTAGCGAGCAAGCCAGCCCTGCGCCTACTGCCTCTGCATCCATCCCACCCCCTTCGCAAGACTCGGCTCCTGCTGCTGGCAGCAAGCGCAAGTTCGAAGAAGAGCCAGCTCAGCAAGAGCCGACACAGGCGCCGGAGACACAGGCCGAAGAGACCAGAAGATCATCCTCAGCAGCTACCCAGCCTAAGCGTCGCAAGTCGGAGCAAAAGAAGGAAGACAAGGTTGATACCGATACAGCGCTTGTAGAAGTCAAGGATCTGCCCAAGGAGAGACAGGTTCCTGCTCAGGCACTCGTCAAGGTTTTCGGTGATGTCGTTCGTGAAAGAATCACAACTGGGTAAGTCGCAGCTTCCACACTTGCGTTTCGTTCTTTCCTGCTTTCCTGATTCACCAGCTTCAGAGCCAATGCTTCCCCGTCATTTTTGCATCTCTCTTTCCTCTCAACTTCATCACACAATCATGGCTAACTCATACTTTTTCAGTTCTTACAGCCTCGGACCTGGCGAAAACGCCGAAGCCGTCAGCCATTACCACGCCTCACGCATCGAATACGAATTGTTCCAGACCTATGGCAGCCCGCCTGTCTCGCAGGGCTACAGTCAGCAATTCAGAGCCATCCATGCCAACATGAAGAAGAATCCTATGCTTGTTCAACGCATGCTCGACAATTCTCTGACTGCACACGGTCTCGCAACCATGGCTACCCAAGACATGGCCAGCGAGGAATTGCAGAAGCAGCGTCAACAGCTCAAGGAAGAGGCCGACAAACAGGCCGTCATGATGCGTGACGATGAAGACGACAAGCCGCGTGTTCGCCGCACCCACAAAGGCGATGAGTACATTGACGACCAAGCCGAGAGCTCGCATGTATCAGTCTTCACCTCAGCACCTGTTCGCAGCAGAGAAGACCAAGACAAGCCACCCACACCTGATGCCGATGCTCCTGCCACTGCTGGTGCCGCTGCATCACCTGACGCTATGGATATCGACCGCCGCGAGTCAAACTTCGACATCAACTCTGTCTGGGCAAAGACGCCCGCCGACCAACAAGCTCAACCCACTCGCAGACGTAGCTCGTTTGCCAAGACACAGACACCTCAAGAGAAGGGCGAGAAACACGACGCCGATGTTGACCGCATGCTAGCTGACGACAACGAGACCGATTATGCTCCACCTGAAGCCAACGGCGTCGTCTGGAAGGGCCAACTCGTCCAGCCCGGTGTCACCGAGTTCACTGCATGTGCTCGTCATGCCGCCGGCAACGACTTCGGCCAATTCATGCCCTGGACCGAACTCCTGCCCTCTGTTCTCGAGATCGAAGGTCGTTTGGAGGCCAAGCGCGCCGATGACTACCTGTGTGGTTTGCAGTGGAGTAAGAAGAGTGATGTTTCGGTTCTTGCACTGACACCTTACGACAACCGCGCCGCTTTCGACCAGATCTTCGATTACTTCGCTACTCGTGGTCGTTACGCAGTTATCAGCAAGGCCCGCGGTATGTCTTCGATCGTCAAGGACGTTTACATCACTCCTGTCGGTCCAGGTCATAACCTGCCTCCTCACATAAACCTACTCGAGTTGAACAATCTCGATACCAATGTACCCGAGCGTATGCTTGTTGTCACCTTTGTCGTCAACAAGCCCGATCATTGGGACAACCCTGTCGTACCCGATGCTCCCCAGCCAATCGATGCCAGCCCTGCCAATGGCAACGGACACGGTCCTCAATTCTCACCTCGTCCGCCTCAAGGATTCACTCCCATGCAGAACGGCCATGCCCACCAGCAGCAGTTTGGTGTTGCTCCCACGCCTCCCAATCCTTATACCACCCAGTCACCTGTATCTGGTCAAGCATACTCTGCTCCTAACTCTGGAGCTGGAGCATACCCCTCGCCTTCACCACAACTACCACCCCACCCAAATCCGATGGTTCATGCCATCTTAGGCGCTCTAGCCCACACACCAGTGGTTGCTCAGATTCTTTCTGCTGCTGGTAACCACGTTGAGGAGCACGTTCTGCTTAACATGCGCGACATCCTTGCATCTGAACCTGCCGCGCGTGATGACTTGAACATCTTCTCTCAACGTCTAGCAAACGTGGGATCGCAGGGTCAACAGGGATAGCATTCTCGCGATCTTAGTCGTTCTAAGCGTACTTTCGGAGAGATGCAGTCGGTTGGCGGTGCTGGCGCGGTTGGTGCTGCTATCGAGCGTATCGACTATCACGAACGCAATGTTGCTGACCTATTGCTGAGACGTCACCTTTATCGCTAATACTCATGAATCATTCTGCTTATCGGAAAGCATGTGTCGATGCGTTTGGATGATGTTCTCCAAACAAGCATGACTCTACTGGTTTCGTTTGTAACCCCTTTCTTGTATCTCCTTTCTTTTTTCTTCTCTGTTCTGATGGATTAACGGCTGGATTGGAATGGGAAAAGGATAGTTGTCTTGCATTGCTTCTTTCTTCGCTGTGTATCTTTCCATCTCTGCTTTCTGTTGCTTTCTTGCTGATTGGGCGTCAATTACTGGAGGTCTTAGGATGGAACAACTCCGTTTTGCCCGGCTGGTATTAACCTCATTGCCACTGGTCTTTTATGTTTCTGCTTTGTCTTTCGCTTGTCAAGAATAGATAGATCTGATAGCCGAAAGGAAAACTTTCTATACCTTGCTCCTGCTTTTATTGCCTTTTCATGCCGACCTTCTTTATGTGCTTAGAAGCTTTGCGCGCATGTTTTGTAGCATTTTTGATCTATTGACCGCACTTTTGGGTGGGTATTCGGCGGCAAGAACGTACTCTTCCAACAGCCCCTATGCCGCAGCCGCAACCAACAAGAATCTTCATCAGACGTGACAACATAGCCATCATCAAAGCCATGTTCCCCAGGAACGGAGAGGACTCTTCCCGCAATTTTGCCTGGCAGCACTTCCTTGCTGCCATGACAGATGCTGGTTTCAGTATCCTACGGAGTCAAGGCAGTGCAGTCACTCTCAAACTTGAAGAGAGCCATGGAGTAAACACGATTGTTGTCCACCGACCTCATCCAGTTGCTACAATTAGTAAGTACAGACTTCCTGTGTGCTGGAGTCGGCGACGCGTACCATAGAAATGCACAGTGGTTTCAAGAAACGGATAGCCTCCATCAAGAAGCGACATCATGTCGACCCTTCTTTGGATACGTCTCTACTCTGGAAGAAACTGTGCATTTCTATGGTAAAGAACACGCTCTGCCTCTCAAGTGGGAGGAGCGGGGGAGTTGCAAATTCAGCACACGGGGAAGCGTAGTCTTTGAATGTACCATTGCTACTTCGTTCCCAGACCCTATCATGCTCAGAAGCGTTGTGAAGAGAATCATAAAGTGGCTCGGCTGGTGCAGAGAGCCTTTCATCGAAAGTGAGACAGGAGAGGAAGGCCAAGGCTTGCTCCCTTAAGGGATGCAAAGCGTCATCTCGCTATCAAAATGCACAAGGTTTCCCAGAATAGAGATGTATCCATAGAGAGCCTGTAATGTTTCACATTTCATTGGAGGCTACATCATCTCACAGACTACTGTGCAATTCTATAGCTTGCTAGGTGCTGCATGATGAGGTGAGAACATTGGTGATATAGATGGGCGTCCAAAAATTGGTGCAGCTGGGCTAGACCAAGAGTCTACGGTCAACCCATCAACCTTGTCTGAGCTTAAGGATTCATCAAAGCTACATTGATCCATGTACTTGGATCCTGCGATTCCTGGCCAGGCAAAAGATGTAGCTCAAGCACACCCCAACGGTCAATATATCAATTTTGTCTGAGCTATGGATGAGGAGCGCCGTGGCAATAATCAGCCCGCTTGATGTAAGTTCTTCCAAGGATGTCGAGAAGTATGGTATACTGACATGTTTTTGATTGGAGAGAGTGGTCTTTTGTCGGTCATTTTTTGAACGATGTGCAAGTGCCATCATGGCATCATGATCAACCAGTAGCTTTGCAGATGGGCGAGACAGGAAGTATTGCAGCGTGATGAGCTTTTTTTTGCTGCTATCAACTGGCTTGATGGGGACAGTTTAGAAGATATGGTGGTTTTTGATTTCCGACCATATCCTGGTTGTTATGAGTGCGCGATCGTGGTATGATCATCAATCAGTATTCTTGATAATGAGCAGGACTTGGAGCAGTCGAGCATGATTTAGCTTTGTTTTGCTACACTCAGTTTGTTTGATTGGGAGGATCGTTTGTAGACAGAGAAGCAGCACCGAGCCCCTTTTTTCTCCATTTTTCTTTTTGTTCTTCAACCAGAACTTCTTGTCGTCCGATCTTCCTTGTAAGGTCAAAGGCCGCTTTCCATCTTCTAAGATCATGCAGTGATATGATAGTTACTGTCGTAGCTATCGGTGGCGGTGCCGCTGCTCGTTGATTGTTTTGTGTTTGCCCCTTTTCCCCTCTTTTCCTTTTTTTTTTCTCTCTCCGAACGACATTTTGTACGATGTAAAGGCGTTTGATCTTAGAGTTGCTGGAAGACAGTTACCTCGCTGGGAATTAAGCGAAGAAACGTTTGTGTGTCCATGACCGAGAACTTCTGCGCGTGTTGATTGTTCTGTATGCGCGTCTCACTGATCGAAAGCGATTTCATGGGCGGTCAGTTCGGAGATTCGGCGCAGTGTAGCAGCAAAGCTGGAGCATGATAGTGAGTAGTTGCTCAGACAGTAGCCTTGAATGTTTTCTATTCTATAGTACAGTGATGTGAGAAGAGACGCGCCTCAAAATCAGTGTGTTGACATCAGAAGACTCGAGGTGCACGCTGCGTCGGAGCGTGAGGGCTGTGGCAGGATCAAGTCAACGCTTCAACAACCACTGTAGATGATGGAATATATGAGGAAAACCCAGAGATAGACGCGAGTGGCTACCATGGCAAGGAAGGTGCCGCTCTAATAGCAAGAGCAAAGGTCAGAGCCACTAGGGGCAGTGAGCGATCAGTCAAGATCTCCTCCACTGCTTGAGACTATATGTTTCTGCAACTCCAGCTTATTTCCATCGAACTGTGTGGTCTGGTGCAGCGGTCAAGTAGTGTTCCTTCCGCTCAGTCGACCTATGGCCAGCGGTTCGATCCTCGGCAAGGTCGATTAATGCCATGAGGGGTCCCAGGTGATCCTCGCACGACAAAAACAAGGAAGAAAACCTCGTGCGTTTTCTCTTGACCAATCTAGCAACACGGCGGCTAGGGGGTTTCGGTTTTGCCAAACCTTTTGGAGAATTGTTTTGTAGGATACATCATGCTCATGTCCAAGCTACTGGTTTCACTTGTCCTGTAGCTTCGCTTGACTGGGGTTGATGAGAGATCTCTGCCATCGTAGCTAGACTCCAGCTGTTACGATGAGATATAAGTAGAGAATCAGCGGTGAGATCGTAGTCCGTAGCACAGTAAGAACCTTGGACCGTGGGAGAGCGAGGCTCGAGCAGACGCAAAAGGTACTGCAGAGAAATCGTCAAGATTGAACCTCATCTATGACTCTTACTTTTCTTCTTGACAGAAGACAGCATGGTTTAGAGGATAGCCAAAGTTCTCTGTCATCGCCTCTTTCCTTCATGAAGAGCGAATCCTCTCAAAGTGGTCATCGGCAAGAGTCATAGTGGTGTGGGAGTTCGAAAGTGGCATGACACTCAGAGAACTTGTACGCAATATGGTATGCGATCAAGTTGCCAATTCTTAGAAATGCAATCACAGTTCATCAGGGTCAGGGGATGTCGTCGCTATCCATGGCTGGTAGAAGCGGCGATGGACATCGTCATAAGATATCGTCTCCAGGAGAGCAAACTGCCTCGGAGCCAAGCCATCCACGTGTTTGATCTCTCATTTTTGTTGCAACTGCAGCTAGATGTTGATGACCCTACTCTATCTTTCTTTCCTTTCCCTCTGTTCACCACTTTGGTGTTGTCTTGGATTCGAACGTCTCCTCCCATCATCAGACCCATCTCGCAACATGGCCCGTACATACCGACACTATTCCACAGCGTCTATCGACGTCGGCAGCACCAGCCCCCTGTTCTCTCCATACTTACGGAACAGTAATTCAGAGGCCCTCGCAGCCACCGAAGAAGGGAAGCCAAGATGCAGAGTTTGCTGGGAGGAACTCGACGGAACACCGTCGCCTATGCCGTGTGGTCACTACTGGTGCGCTACCTGTATAGTACAAGCCTGCCACAAAGTTCGAAATGAGAGCCAGTGGCCGATCGCATGCTCCAGATATTTTGCCTCCTCCTGCTTCCTCACTTTCGACACCACAAAACCTTTTCTATCGGACGAGGAGAATCAAAGACTAGCTTCCCTGATTGAAGAGTTCGAGTCTCCAAAGTTGGGACGTACGTATTGTTCGAACCGTCGATGCGGTATCTTTGTACCTCGCAGAGAAGCCAAAGATCGCATCGCGCACTGTCAAGCATGCCAGACCAACACGTGCTCAGACTGCAAGGGCCCGACCCACCAAGCTGATGTCTGTCCACTACCAGATCATTCGGAACAACGAATTCTCCTGCTATCCTACAACGAGAAATGGCAACGGTGCACACAATGCGGTCAGATGTGTGAGAAAAGCGACGGTTGCTCGCACATGACATGCTTATGCGGATACGACTTCTGCTATCGCTGCGCAGAACCTTACTCCGACTGTGAGTGCGAGGCCGAGTACCATCGACGGCTTGCTATGGAAGATGAACAACAAACTGCAGTATCCGGCGATGAAACCATCTCTGATCGACAAGATGGTTTCCAGCGGGAGTTTGTGGAATTCACCACTCGAAGAGCCAGCAGGAGGACAGGCACAGAACCCGAGATGCCGCAGGAGCAGATACCGAGACGTGGAGAAGCCTCTCTGCTATTGGTGTTGCGCAGATTGCAACAAGATCGTGTCGAGCAAACAGCTCAGATACGAAGAGATCGTGCAGCGGAAAGAGCACGACAACAACAATCAAATTCGAACCAGGATCGACATTTACGAGGACTCAGGCAATTCCGCGAAAGATTCTTTAGACCATAACTTGTCCCTTAGTCGCTTGAGAGAATACGTGGTTATCGCTTTAAGCTTCTGTTTGCTATATAAGAAAGACCAATTTACCACATCTTGGATTTCTCGCTTTGATTTGATATCTATATTCAATAGCGGTGAAGGACAGACTTCCAAACATGTTCTTGATCCAGATCCGCCTTCATCTATGACTACTGAGGAAAGATCGATAGGTGGTGATAAGCCCCTGAATTTGTCAAATGGACGGCCGATGTATAATGCCTTCGACAACGAAACAACAGGGGTCGGGAACTTGATAGGAATCAAAAGCTCGTACTAGCTAATATGATCTAGCCAGCTCTAGATCATCACCTGGCTAGACGAAAACGCTAATCAGGTTGTGTAAAAAAGGGAGGCTCAAGGTCCAGAAGGTCGTAGGCCTCCTCAAGTCCCCATAGTTCCTGATATAGAAGGTGCATGCGCTCGAAAATCTTCCACGGATCATTGCCTAGGTTGTCATCTTCCGGTTGATGCTGAGGAATAGCATGCTGCCACTGGCCGCAGCTGCAGCTTTTGCAGACAGCACCACACATATAACAAAATTCGTTACCACAGCGACATCTGTACATCGATCATACCATGGGTGAGAGGCAGAAGGGTGTAAGGATACTGACGTTATGTGTTGGGTGCAACGATTCTTGAGCATGCCGAGCACGCTTGCCAGCCCTCCGCCAGAGCGAGGTTCTTGAACTCCGCATCTAGTCTCTTAACGTCCCGACCCTGGTCTCTTCATGGTCCTGGGTGAGCGTAGCTCTTGCGAAAGTCGCAGGTAAGTTGACCGCATTCGCCACATCTCAAGATGCCATTGTTGGCAAGACCAAGAAACGAGTTGCAGCTGGTATCAGCGCAGCAGCGTCTGTTATTCTTAGGGGTTGCGAACTCTGCAGCTCTCTTGTGGTGAGATGTCATTTGAGGGCGATGAAGGTGATTGTGGAGACCGCTATGTGCAAGCAACTCAAGGATGCTGGGAAGCAGAGAAAAAGATAAAGCGAGAAGAGCTTTGCAAACGCAATACTATTGGTTCTTCAACAAGTGAGAAGAAGTTGTCTCAGTTAAGCATGAAGTGAACGAGCTTAGAAGGAACGAGTTGTTTGACGTCGAAGCCTAAGTGGAAGTCGCTCCTGAAAACAACAAGATCAGTTGCATCCTCAGGCCGACCAGCTCACGCTCTCACAAATCCGAACTCGAAGGCCACTCACAAATGTCTTTACGAAGTGTAGCAAAAGCGCATTTCGGCAAAAATCTACTCCCTGTACTCGAGTAGCTCGCACTCATCACTTCCACTCAAAGACTACGATTCTAGCCAGTCATTATCGTCGGATCCAATCTTGATACACCGCTACCCAATCGTGAAGTTGATCGAAGAGATATGTCAATCTTGTCCATTCCTTCCTCAATGATAGTACAGAAAGTACTCGCAAACGCATCGAGGCAAAAAACCATTCTGTGTTGCGGAAAAATACTCAAAGAATTGATCACAGGGATGGAAGACGTCTCAGCGATGCGGGTATAAATATGTTTGTATTTATGAGAAGATCAGTGGATGCCAAAAACAGCTCTAAAGCTACAACAATGAGTAATGGTTTGAGTAAAACTACAACAGAAGAAGGAGCAACTCGTCTGCTCGCTCCTCCAAAGATAGAAACGAATGATGGTGTGACAGGAGCAAAAAAAAAGAATGGTAGCAAATAGAGCCCAATCGCTATGCAAAACAGCAAAACACATAATCCCGAACACAAATGCTGATATCTTCTCTATCGTACACGCGGACGATGACTTCGATCTCTCCCGTTTTTGTCCAACCTACCCCTCCTGCTTTTGTCAGGAGGAGGAATGTATTTGACATCCTTGAGTGCCCAGTCCAAGAAGCCGAGCATATAAGTATCCACATGCGCGACTTCCTCTGCATCTGCCTCGTCGACGTCCATGATATCAGCAGGCTCAGCAGGCGTAGGCGGCACACTCGTTTTCGGTGTTCGAGAGTCTCTGCTGGGGTTTGCAGTGGTATTGTTATTGGTATTGGCAGCAGCGTCGAAATCAAAGTCGTCAGCTTGACCTTCTTTTTGTTGGGCATGGGCGGCAGCAACATCTTCTGCGTCTTCGACTGCCTCCAGCACTTTCTGAACATTGTGTTCGCCGACGTTGTTGCCGAATACTCTTTCCACAGCCGCGCCTGCGAAAGCATCGCCCATAGCTTCGTCGTCGACGCTCGCGGCAGGAGCATTGAAGTAGTCAGTCGTGAATTCTCCCTCTTGAATCACAACTTCATCGAGCAATCTCTTCTGATTGGACTTGCGCAAGATGTTGACTTCGATAGTGTGTTCGCTGACAAATTTGTAGATATGCACATCGCGGGTTTGACCAATACGGTGAGCACGGTCTTGACACTGCTTATCCATTTGCGGGTTCCAGTCTAGATCGTAGAAAATGACTGTATCGGCACCGGTCAAGTTCATGCCTACTCCGCCTGAGCGTGAGGACAGAATGAATACATCGATGCGCGTGTCGCGGTTGAAGCGCTCCATCATGTCTTGGCGTTGCTCGATCTTTGTGCTACCGTCGAGGCGCAGGTAGCGATATCCGTGGATGTTGAGGAATTGTTCAAGGATGTCAAGCACGGAGGTCATTTGTGTGAAGATCAGGGCGCGGGAGCCGCGGGACTGTAGCTCGCGGAGGAGGTCTGCGAGGCGTTGGAGCTTGCCGCAATCGTATTGGAGTAGACGCTTGTCTGGGAATGCGATGGATAGGCGCACGCGCGATTCATGGAAAGCGTCTGGCTCTGGAGACTGTGAAATTGACTGAACATTGTAGATTGTGTTGCGTGGAACCATGTATGGCAGAAGGTCGTTGGCCACGGCATTGGGAGTGATGCACGCAAACTTGCGGATGAGTGTGTTCATCGCTGCAGATCGCTGATCAACGCTCTTGACCATGTCGTGGATCAGAGAAGAAGAGTCAAGATACCACTCTGAATGCAGGACCTTGTCTTGGGGAGGTGATTGTCGCAGACGATCTGTCGTATATGTCGTACATCTCTCAACAAGATCAGTGCCATAGACTGGAGCAAACTCTGTTCGCTGTTCGGTGAGGAAAGCGCACTGGCGCAGGCGATTCAGCTTGTCCATCGCAGTCATGTGATTCTGTTTACCAATGACTGAAGTGAACGAAGAACTGTCGAGAGACGCGGTCCCTAGTCTCTCGACTTCTCTGCGTACGATCTGATCCATTGCCCTACTAGCTCTGAGTTGCTTGCTGCGTCTGACATGGTACCTTGATCTCGATTCTCGGCTTGTCAAGTTAAGACTGAGAAAATTCAGGTCAAGCACCTCATGAGGATCTTCGTAAAGCATTTTCCTCCGCAGAAACAAGTCCGTGATCTCAAAGTCTGCTGCAATGGACCGAGGTTGGCGCGTGTAGGGTTTCTTCATGGCATATGAAGTAACGATAGGACGTTCTTCAAACAGGTCTGGATGATTGCACACCTTTCTCAACGACATCAATGCTTGTGATACACTGATCATGTTGCCTGATGTCAACTTGGCCTTGGTGTCGGAAAGACCCATGAACGCATCGTAAAGCTGACGTTGACGTTTTGACAGTCTGCAGATTACGGTATGTTCGTATTTGCCTGGAAGTTGTTTCTCAACTGAGGACTTGAGACGGCGCAAGAGGTACGGGCGAAGCGAGTGATGCAACTTGTTGACGATGTCTTGAGCTTCGTTGCCAAGCTTGCTCTTGCCGTCAACAAAGATCTCGTCAACAGGTCTGCGGAACCACTCTGTGAACTCCTCGAGATCACCCATACCTTGACCGTCTTGGCCAGCAGTCAGGAAAGTGAGAAGCGACCACAGCTCGATGATACTGTTTTGAAGTGGTGTACCAGTCAACAGCAGACGAGCATGTGTCTTGAGTCTGATCATGGCCTGATAACGCTGAGAGTTGAAGTTCTTGATGTTGTGAGCTTCGTCCAAGATCATATAATGCCACTCTGGAACTCTGATGGCCGGCAAGTCCTTCAAGATGAGTTGATAGGAAGTGATGACAACGTTCCAGATATCGGGATTGCTCCAGCCTTTTCTCTTTTGCGCTCTTTCCTCAACAGAACCGTAGTATGACAAAACCTTGAAGCCCGGCAAGAACTTCTTGAACTCCATCTCCCAGTTGAGGATGACTGAAGTGGGTACCACGATCAAATGAGGACCCCAGATGTGATGCTCCTCCGCGAGGTGAGCCAAGAGAGCGATTGTCTGGATCGTCTTTCCAAGACCCATCTCATCAGCAAGGATACCATTCGTCTGGTTGGCATAAAGTTTTGCAAGCCAGTCGAGACCTTCGTGCTGGTATTCTCTCAGCGTGCCTCTAAGCAGAGAAGGAATTTTGACCTTTGAAGACTTCCCAGGCTGAGGTGTGTCGCTAGTTTCAGACATTCTGTCAGCCTCGTCCAGATCAACACTAGTGGTGGATTCGGCTTCAGTGGGTTCGATGGTGGTGTCATCTTTGGGAGATGTTTGACTGCTTCTGTCACCTGCGTGCGAGTCTGCTGATAGCATGTTGTGATGAGGGCTAAGGGAATGGGCGTGAAGCTTGTGAGGTTCAATATCCTCAGTATTGTCCATATCGACTGACAATGATTGCGGATGTTCTTGATGCGCAGAGGCCACCGTTCCTTGCTCGAGTCCGTCTTGCGACTCTGCAGGCTTGGCGGAGGGCACCTTGAGGCCGTCTTCGAGCGGCGTCACGACAGCCGAGCTCTCGTCAACCTCCATAGATTCGGACGCATCCAGACCGAGTTGTTCTTGGGTTCCAGAATCAGCGTCCTCATCAGAGACGCCGTTCGTCTCTCTGGGCTTGGCTTGTTCAGCATGATCGTTATTGATTTGAGCGATCTCAGCTTCCTCATCTTGCCGCTCTTCGATTGACTCCGCGTCTTCAGACACTTCAACGCCTGAAATTGTCTGGATATCTTTCGCAAGAGCTTTGCGTCCGCCAAAGAAGCCAAGCAGACCGCCGTCATCTTCGCTCTCACTCTCGTCTCCCTCCTCTTCTTCGTCGTTCTCATCATCTTCTTCCTCATCGCTCATATCTTCGTCGCTCATATTGGTAGATTCATCGCTGTCATCAAGAAGAGCATCATCCACCTCATCCAGCTGAATCTTTGAATAGTCTCGCTCCTCTTGAATATGTTTGTCGTTATCTTCCGCGTCATCGATCGCAGGCTCGTCATCGTCGTTTTCGTCTAGATCATTTGTCCTAATGTCTCCCGCTACTGAACCTTGGTCTTCATCGACGTCCATGTCGCTAGCATCATCCTCAGATTGTTCCTGCGGCAAGTCTGGTATGTTACTGTATTTCCGACGTAAGGCTTCTGGAGACAAGTTGACGTCGTCGTCTTCGCCTTCCTCGTCATCGCTTCCTTCAGATTCGGACGAGGTCATGCGGTGGTCTTCATCGAGGTCCTGAACAGATGTATTCGATCCTTCTCCATCATCAGAAACACCCTCGCTGAGACTGATATCATCGTCGTCATCGCCATCTACAGACAAGCCAGAATCCAGGAGTGCACGGCGTTTGTCGAGGAGATTTGTCGACTTCTCAAGCATGCTCTGCATTTTAAGTTCTCGTTCAATCCTTTGCTCTTCCTCGTAACGCAATGCCCTTCGGCGATCGATCTCGGCACCAACCAGTTCCCATTTTCGTTGAATGTCCTTGACAGTCTGGCGATAAATGAGCTTGTACCATTCATTCTCTTGCTTCTCCTTCTCTTCTTCAGTCTGAGGTTGCCTCTCTTTCCATTTCGCCAAGCAAGCGTATGCGACTCTTTTGGCACTGTCCATATGCGCACGTTTCTCCTTGTCCATGAGAGACCTGAAAAAGGCGCCATGCGTCCATAGATGGTCCCAGTGGTTGTATTGTTGCGCGGGCTCTTTCTGATCATCTGGTAAGTATAGTGAACTTTTCTCCTCGCTCAGGGGACCGCCCGGCTGTGCAGCTTCTAAGATTCTCAGGCGTGCCACAGCTTCTTTCTCAGCTCGCTCCTCGGGTGCTTGTTCGACTCTTTCAGGAGCGCGTCGCTCAAGGCCTTGGTACCTGTCGTCTTCCTTGCTTTCATACGTGGCTTCCTTGCTCTTTTGGTCGTAGTGGGCGATGATGTCGTCGAAAGACTGGAACAACGGCGGATTGACAACATGACTCGGATGACGGGGTACAAAGGAGAATTGTGGTCGCTTTAGCTTGAGCTTGATCCGCGGTGTCAAGGCAGCGCTGTCAGACGAAGCAGGTGGTTGCGACTCTTGCGAAGGTTGAGCCTCGGCTTTGGGTGGACGGCCAGCTTTGCGCTTTGCTTGTGGAGATTGTGAAGGCGGAATAAGTTCCTCTTTCTTGACGATTTCGGGTGAGGCTTCGAGAAGCTTGATCCGGGCGGAGACACGAGATGGACGTGGTGGAGTCTTCTCGCGCTTGGGAACAGGAGTTTCCTTTGGCTTGGACTGAATTGTCTGTTGAGCAGTTTGAGCATTCTTCAAGACCAAACCTTTGCTTGCTGATGTCTTGGCGACAGGCTTCTTTGACTTTGGCGTGGCCTTTTCAAAGACAGGAGGGGCTGGAGCATTGACACGACCAGATCTTCTCTTTCCATTGTCCAGGATTGTGGTGGGACCCTCTGCAGCGAACGACTTCCATGGCGGCGATATAGGCTTCGGTGCAGATGGTGATCTTGAGGCAGATTCGGCAAGCTTGCGCTTCTTGGAGTTTGTAGCAGGTGGTGTCGAAGGGCGATCAGTCGCGCCTAAATCTAAGTCGTCTTCGGAGCTGAGGGGAGAGTCGGAGTCGAGAGCGGCATTGTCGACGGCGGGAACAGGCTTCGTGTCGTCGGTAAGATCTGAATCGGGCGTGGGGGAGTCGTCGACATGTTGTTGGGTATGTTTGGCGGAGTTGTCGTGATTATTCGTGTTTTGATGGATATCGGGCGGAGGCGGACTGGGGCTTTCGTGGCCATCACGGGCGCCCTCGTGTTGGGTGACCCCCTCAATCTCCATCAACGACAATCGAGGCTCGTTCAAAAAAAGGAGCGCTGGTAGCTCAGGCTTCACTGGTTATCATGCCGTTTTCGAAAATGCAATATCGGACGTGGTTATTTGGATAAAGGCGGCCAGACGTCACAGGCGCAGAATGTAGGTGCGAACTCCAAAAGTCCTTGGGCGTGTCACGCGTTTGGCTGCGACATTCATGGAAACTGCCGCCGAGCACTTCCCGCTCTCCCGCTCTTCCGCTAGCCGCACTTGTCTGCCAAGACGCAAGCTGATGACCGCGCGCCCATACCGATTGCATTTGGTATGGTGATTGAAGGTTGCTGCAACCACACATCACAACGTACGCTCACTCTCGATTCCACTCTCGACCAGTCATTGACGACCTTCCAGATGCTGTCCCGTAGACTCGCCGCGGCACGCCCGCTCTCCAGCGCCGTACGAACTGTCGCGCCCCGCACCACCATCACACAACTGCGTTTCGCTTCCGAGAACAATGCCAACAGGGAGAACTTTGTTGGCGAGGTTGCCGTCGAAGACATCGGCATGGTGTGTCTTGAATCCTCCCCGATGCCTATTCAGGACACAGATTGACAATGGCCATGCAGAACGGTGGATACGTCAACCCTCCAGCAATCAAGCGCGCCTTCCGCGACCCTCACGGTGACTGGTGGGACAAGCAAGAGCGTCGCAACTTCGGCGAGCCCGTCCACGAGGACAACGACACCCTTGGTCTCTTCTCCACCGAGCCCTACACCCACTTCCAACCCGGCCACGGTGCCCTCCTCCTCGGTGCCTTTGTCGCATCCGTCTTCGTCCTGATGGGTGTCGTCCGCCAATACTACCCCGACAAGCCCGCCATTCCCAGAACCTTCCCCGGTGGTCTTGACAGGGAGCTTGGCGGTCCCGGTGCTGTCCCCGTGAGTCGACAAGTCTATGTGGTGGATACAGAAGTGCTGACAATTCGATTAACAGGCCCGCACCGACGAGGAGGAGATCCTTTAGATAAACATTTGTGCATACCCAATTCAACGCCTTTTCTTTGTCATCATCCTAATCTTCGAGCACAGCATCCGTGAAAGGTACCCAGTAATATTCGAATCCTGAATTTAGTGGTCCTCGCATGTTCGTAGGCGGCGCCTGCTGGTAGTTGTTAGCATTGCATGGATACGAAGACCGGAGAACTAGTACATTTCGGAGGACTGGTGTGAGTAAACAATCATGGGTTGCCGTAAGTCCGACATGCGGTTACCATCAATTGGATGGGCCATGACGAATATTCCGTAAGGTTGTTGCTCAGAAGCTCACCAAGAAGGACTGCACAGCTGACTGCGCTGGCAAGACATCGACAACTTCTAAGTTGGCGCGACGACCACAACTCCGCGCTCTTCTCCCCGAATCTAGCCTCTCATTCTCAACTTCCGAAAGAAGGCTTGCATTTCTTTAGAGTCGCTCATCACCACCATGAACGAAGACACACGCAAGCTGATCCTGCGTATCCAAGGCGAAGATCTTGCAGCTCTATGGACTGCACCAAACGATGACAACACCGAAGTCGATGCCACCCTGCGCGCCTATCGCCGCCAATTGAGTCTCCTGGATCGTCATCTCGAAGAGTCACGCCAGACGGCGACAGTTCAAGGCACTGGAGAAGCCGCCGATCGAGATGCAGTGACGTCTGTTCTTCGAATCACCGGCACGAATGCGCCTCTTCTGACTGAAGATGGTGATGTTCATCAATTTGGAAGTGTCTATTCTCGTCACGAAACACCAATCTCCTTCGGGCCTGCTACTGCAAATCCTCCAGCCGTCAATGCCACAACCGCACGCTCACTCTCCCAAGTTTCTGGTCGACCCGTCGTCCGCCTCCCTTCGTTTGCGTCGACGGCAGCAGGCCATATCAACGAACTTAAGCGGGACGAACATGAAACAGCAATTTGGCGCGAACGAGCAGAAGAAGCACGCAAGGAGGCTAAGAGCAACTGGAAATCCCCTTTCGGTAACCCCCAACGACTTCAGCCTGACCCTTCGCATCCTCAAGCTGTAGGATGATTTTTGACCCACGACGCTTCCGGAGTACAGGACCGGGGAAAGATGGAGTCCATGTTCACTTTTGCGCCCGGCAGGGCTTTCGGTGCGCCCTTCGAACCTTTGAAGACTCGCCACGGCAGCTTTGGGGATATGATCTCGCGTAAACAAGGGGGCAAAGTCAACAAGGTTGATGACCACCACCACAATTCAAACGGTGAAAGCAACGCTACGAGATTCACTGTCCAACCCAGAACGGCCTTCAAACAACAAGTCAACCCATTCACCCAGACCATCGCTGACAAGTCCTCATCCGAATTCAAACCGACTCCTGCGACCACCTCGACGGCCGTGGCCTCCATTTCAATGCACTCTTCGGTGTGGGCCAAGCCTTCCGTAACTGCTAGAGCGAATCTCAAGCGATCTGCGGACCACCTTGAAACTTCCAATGCACCGCTCTCCAAGAGACACGCAAGCCACATTATCAAGAAAGAACCCGGATCCGAGTCCGGCTCATCTACTCCGATCAAAACCATACGTGAACAAGTAGAAGATCTTCTTCAGTCAACCAGATCAAGCCCGACTCTGCCTCCCAAGAAGCATGATCCCGATAAACGTGAGTATGGTCGTGCACATGGTCTTGGGATTACTCATCATGCTTCTCACGCACCAACACCCAGTCCAAGACCTGAAGTCACAAACCACGTGTCCGCTGAATCAAACGCCATGACGCCTGGCATACCCTCAGACATGATAAGGCCCAACATCGGTTATTACGGTCAGCGTTTTGGTAACCTTCAGCTGGGTAGCTTTCCTCCTCAAACACTTCCCCAAACTCCTCCTGCGCTCGACATCGACGCCTTCAGCGCTGCTCCCCACGCTCAACAGAAGCAGATGATCGGCGAGATCCTTTACCCCAAGGTCTACACGCAGCAGCCCAAGATTGCCGGCAAGATCACTCGTATGCTCCTCGAGCTGGACAATGCTGAGCTAATCGACCTGATCTCTGATGAGCCGGCTCTTCGTCACAGGATTGAGCGGGCTATGGGTGTCTACAATGACTATGTCGAAGCTAATCATGGCAAAGACGTCTGAGTGTGCCTCCACGGTCTACACGACTTCTCGTGAACATTGCGGCTGGTACCAAATACTCACAAGGCCTTCCAGCATACATTGATCGCTTCCAATTTCCCATTCCCTGACCTCTTGAGCATGTCTCCTGCTTTCTCCGAGACTGTCAGGGTCGAAAGATAGATACAGCAGGGATATCGTGCGCTGAGTGCTTGCTCTGAGTTCCACAGGGTTGGCAAGTGTGAAATATGGGTGGGAAACACTCCAATCTCCACAAACAGGACTGTTCGACGAATATGTCCTGTACACATCTATTCATGAGGGAATGATCGGAGAAAGATAGCTCGCTGATTCCATATAGTATTCTGCTGCACCTTTGCCAAACTGATTCCATCTGATACTCCGTGGTCCGCCTTTGTCGATGTCACTGGTTCACAACGACCACTTTCTTTAGTTGTGTTATGGAATAGCTACCGTCAACACATATAATCTCAACCAATCATGGGTTTTGTACTGGAAACCGTGTGGTCCTCGTCTAGATGGTGAAAAAATCAGAAGATTCGGGATTATACAACTTCATTTCAATCCCCTGCAGTATTGATGATGTCGTCTCACTACCTTTTTCCAAGAACTTTCGTCGCTGGTGCGATGGCGACTCGCAGATGAGACTTCTAGATCCGATGCATCTCAGAAAGAGACAAACGTCCGCTGCAAGGCGAAACGACTCTCACGACAACTAGGTTAGGAAGAAGAACGTTTCTCGATTCAATTACGAATGTCTAACCCAACGAGCGCGCAATCATCCAGAAGCGAGAATTGCCTCAGCCTCTCCTTTCCAAAAGCCCGTCAATCAACATCACTCAGACTAGAGCCGCCGCTAGGACAACGACACTTGTTCATGACCTCTTGACAATGCACACAACTTTGGCAGCGACAACGAGAGAAAATCTCCAAACACTGCTGACACAGAGAGCTTTCACACCAGTCCCCGACATCTTTCCTCACAGCGTCCGGAACATCGTCTCGTGCGTAGATGAACAGCGCAGTCGTGAAATCACTTCTTTTAAGGACAAACGACAAAGCTGGATGTTCGTGTGCTGGTCCACGCTTTCGGCAGCGACAGCGGCGTAAAACCTCCAGGCATCGCGGACAACTGGCCTTGGCGAGTTCTGTCCGTAGTTCGACTTTCTCGGCGTCTGAAGAGTATTTAGCTCGGTTCAGGAGAAACGTCAACATTGGATGTTCGTGTTCCGGTCCGCGCTTGCCCATGCGCAAGCGAGTGTCCAGGTGATGATACTTCTAGGAAAACGCCCTGTCTAGCTTAGCAAGAGCTTCCTTCTTCTCTTTATCCAGAAGGATTTTGTCGCCAAGAGGGAGATCGCGGAGGGCTGTTTGCATGAGCTCAGCGGCCTTCTCTGCCGTCATCTTAGGATGGGGACGAGGTTTCTGCGGGCCAGAAGAGACATTGATGTCTTTTCTTCTCAAGCCAACTTGACCCTTTCCATCCATAAAAGTCTCGTAGCCATTGGTGTCGAGTACTTCCTGCGGTACAGGCGGCACTTGGAAAGGAATCAATTGATCAGGATGGGTGAGCTTGCCATGCGGGATCTCGGCGTAAGTAGGAATGCGTGTGTGCTCCGAAGCAGCCATACCAGCCATATCCTTGATGACGCCCTGATTGTCCTCATTGTTCTCGACTGCAAATCTCAAACACATGATAGCGTGTTCGCGGATATAAGGATTGTGTTCGTCGTGGCGGCAGCAGCCCACCAAAGCTTCCAAACCTCCGTATTCGCGTACTTGATCTTGCACTTTGCGGTTCTTCCAAATTAGCGAGGAGAGCACGAGGACGGTGAGTTTCTTGAGGTTGCGCCATTCGAAGTCGGAGGGCTCGTCTTGGGGGTCCTCGGGGTAGGCCAAGGGCGTCTCGGCTTCGAAGATTGTGGTGTTGGGCGGTTGGGCGCTGGCGTCTGTTGGTGGGACGGGGAGGGGAGGAAGAGTGTTGGCGAGATCTGGAGACAGATCGAATGGTCGCTCCACGCTGATCGGCAAGGGCTTGAGGTTCTGCGGCGGTGCTGGCGGAGGTGGGTAGTTGTGGGCTGGCGGCTGGTAGTTGTGATTCTGTTGATGGGGAGCTGGGCGTCTGGGAATGGGTCCGTGTGATGTGCCTCCGGGTCCAAGTTTAGGGATCGCAGCTTCGAGCTCCTTCAGCAATGTCACAAGCTCACTCGCGACTTCCCACTGTGCCATGACATCCTTCCAGATGCTCTCTTCAGTGAGCACCGCAAAGAATTCGAGATATTGGTACACGCCTTCGTACATACGTTCCATGTCCCACAAGTTGAGCGGGAAATCTTCTGGAGAGGCCAAATTCTGGTGAATCTTGCCTTGCAGGAAGATGAGCGCGCATGTTTGCGGGATGATGTGCTGGCGGAACTCGGTGAAGATGAAGTTGACGATGTGCACATCAACTCTCAACGGATACGAATCACTGGGTTGTGGGTTCGTCTTGGACGCCTCAGCTCTTGCTCTAAAGATGTTTGTGAGCAGCTTCATGATGACCGCTTGAGCTGGGGAAATGATGTCTTTGGATCTGGACTTGTCCCGGAAAGCGTGGTATGCATAAGGCATCAAGCCATTGACCAAGATCGCCTCCATGATCTTGACCATGAATTTGAAGTAGAGCTCTTCCTCTCGCAGATCCCAAGCAGCGACGAATATCAGAAGCTCTCTCAACAAGTTCTTCCCATTGTCTTGAGCCAGTAGTAGATGACATCTGACTGTATGCATATTGACGATTGCGTTGGTTTCCTCAGTTGTCGTTCCAGCTTGTGTAGATTTCGCGGGTGGGACGATTCCAGACATGACAATCATGGGTAAGACTTCGATTTCAGACGGTCCTAGGATTAGGGGAACATCTGTCAAGAGGCCGCGTCCATCCTCGCTGGAACCAGGATACTCATCTTCGTCTTCGCTCTCTTCTTCCTCACTTTCTTCGTCCAAGCCCACATCATCCTCGTCCGTTCGATTCTCATATACCGGTGAGGACGGAGAAGCGATTGGTGATGCTGGACTTGCAATCTGAGTTTGTTGTGGTGGAAGAGGATAGTTCTCTAGTCGTTTCATGAGTTCCGATTTGCCGCTCTCAAGGATCTTTGCGCCTGCTGAGGCGGTAAACATCATCTTGTAGTCGTCCTCGGCCACCGGTCTAGGTCCTGTGGAAGTCTTCTCGTCCGGGAATGCGATGGCTCCATCTGCGTTGTACACCGGAGGTTCCATAGGGGCGACTTTGGTGCCTTCGGGCTTCATACGATCACCAAGCTGCTCCTCGATGGAGGCGATGCGTGCAGCAACTTGATTGGCGTGTGCTCGGTCAGACTTGTCCTTTTCTGCTTGTGCAAGACGTCGGGCATCTTGGTAAGCGGCCATTTCCTTTTCATACTGTTGCGCCAGGACATCGTACTGTTTGTTGAAAGTCGTCTTCTCCTTGTCCGACAGAATACTCCACCTTGCGGAAAGTGCTTTTGCGACGCTGTCCGGAGTCGCGGTTGGGCCCAGGGCCTCTCTGGTCTCTGCCTGATGTTGCCTAACAAACAGCACATAACCAGAGACGGGCCTCGAAGGTGGTTTCATCTGGTCCTTGTTTGCAAGTAGTCGTTTTGCATGCAGGGCGTCTTGTGCAGCGTCGTAAGTGGCCCTGCTCGTTTCTCCGAGGGCTACCAGAATGTCGCCAGTAGAGACGGGTGGCTTGGGCATGTCGCCGAGTGCAGTCTGGCCTCCAGCAGTGTCGTCGGTGTCTTCGGCCAGAATGCCTTCTGTAGAGTTATCGAACAGAGCAACCCATAGCATCAGCTTCCTCCGTTCGTTGCGAGCGACCAAGTTGTTCAAAAATTGTAGAGATGTTATGAGCAACTTCTTGTAGGCATTCACAATCCACTGCCATTTCTCCTCATCACCAGTACCAGCATCACCATCGAAACCCCTTGCCGTGACTCGCACGCAGCAGTTGATCAGTCTGAATATTTCTTGGTCGAAGGTACACTCAGCAGCCAAGTCCTGAGCCCTCTCTCCGATAGTCAAAGTGTTGCGCAGTATCGAGACCAGATCGTTGAGTCTCTCCAAATCTTTCCACAATCCAGGGTAGTTTTGAGCGATGAGGGCACCAGAAGTAGATTCGTAATCGACGGCGGAAGGATCCCAGACGGCAAAAGAGCGGCGTTCGAGCGAGGGGATGGCGGCGCGAAACAAGGTAACCATGTCTTTCCAGACGTTGTCGTTGGTGCCTAGGCCTTCCCTGTACACAGGCAGGCGCATCAGTACAAGGCGAAGATTGTCGGCGTAGATATGACTGACCTGACTTCAGGCAGCTGAGCAGAATCCTTGAGTATAGCTTTGCACACGGTCCTGTCCAGTCTCTCCAGCATGGACTCGCGCATATATGTCGGACTTTTGAAGTGCATGGTATAGGCGGGCAAACCAATGCGCAACAGAGTGCGGTAGGCATGGCCCAAGACACTGTCCTCATAGGACGTCATCTCTTCTGTGCGCAACCCCTCCAAGCAAATAGCGATATTGGTCTAAGTCTGTTCCAGTCTGGTAGCGATAGTTGGCGATGTCCAAAGGAATCGGTGTCAAGACACGAAACACCTTGAAGGTTTCACACAGCTTCAATTGCCCGCAGTCATGACCCGATCCGAAGCCTTGAGCCCCGAAGTTTCTCCACCAGAGAAAGTTGCTCAAAGTCTCGACACGCTCTGACTTTGACATCTTGTCTTCGTAATACCTGAGAACTCTGGCACACCGAGAACATTTGAGAGAATTATCAAACAAGCAGTATCAATGTCGTAAATTCGTTATCTGACTTCAGCTGCTATTCACAACACCGCTCACGCATGACCTTGAGCCCTCTTAGCAGCCCTCCACTCCCTCTCCGATTTATGCTGTGCAGCATATCCATGCATTCCCTTCCCATCATCTCTCACATTCGCAGTGAACAGAGCATCCCTCGGGCTCGCCACCGGTGTCAAAGCATCCCAAGCTCCATCATCAGAAGCCGAAGTATGCAATTTGGCAGCCTCGAGGTCCTTCTCCGTTGCTTCCTTTTGTCTGTTCTTGTGCTTGAGCCAGCGCAATATGAGCACTAGGATGATGATGGACGTGACAAAGCCTACGATGACTGCAACAGGCACTGCATTTTCATATGCCATGCTGCTATTGATAGCTGAGTTGTGAAGTTGAGTTTGGATAGGTGATATCGAGTGATCTGTTATAGATTGTCGAATCCGTCGAAAAAAGTACAAAAAGGTACGAAAAAGTGGTATAGTAGTCTATTCGCAAGTCAGAAGACTGAACTCAACTATCAAAGTGTTTTCGAGCAAAATACCTTATTTTCGGGTGTGGTGGATTGATCGAGTTTATTGAATTGGCAAACACTTAGATGGCCGTAAAACATGTGGGTAGTTAGCATCTTATGTAGCACACGAGCAGCAGATCCACGACAGGCAGTGCAACAAGGTGCAGGCAGCCTGAAACCCTCCGATCAGGCCCGCAAATTTGCCTCGAGTCCACCATCCTTGTCAACCCTGTCACAGTCATGTTGAGTCTTGGACGGGACGATCAAAATATCTTCTTCCCCACCCGTTTGTCTTTGTGGGCTGACGGCATTCACATGCACATCACTGCCAATTGCATGTTCATTTGCGGAGTATCTAAGCGACGTCTTGTTGTGCGTATTGGGAAGACGATTGATTCTGGAGAGCAGGATATAGATACATGAAAAGGAAAACGAGCTAAAAGGTCTCGCCGAGCAAGATTTGAACGCAACAAAAAGACATAACGGGCCTAGCAGATGTCATATGAAGACCCTCGAGATCATAATGCTTAGAGTGAAGAAGTCGCATCAAAATACATATGCTGGCTGAATATAGAAAGCAGAGAACAAAAGCAACGCAAGGATATATGTGCCAAATTTCAGCTCATAAGGTCGTAAGCTCATGATCAAATCATGAGTAGTTGCTCTGCAACCATGTGAGTGCAAAGCGATTCAAGGAAATGGTCGTAAAGTCGTGCCAGCAAGAAAGAAAGGAAAAAGAATCCAGAGAGCGACAGAGCGAGGAGTTCTATGTCTGAGGGCGTGTGCGACAGCTAAACCGAGTGCTTAGGGTCTTGATCGATGTTGTCCGAGAGCTCTGATATGTTGTAAGTCTTCTGTCGTTTGTACCAAAGCTTGCAAAGTGCAGCTGCAGCGACCGTGACTGCGAAGATGCCCAAAACAGTGATTGCGGGAGCGTCGGCGATCTGAGGAATCGCAAGTACGAGATAGGTAGATGCTGCGTAATGTCAGTGACCTATCACACTAGCACGAAACAATAACGTACCGATTGCCATGCCGAGCGATGCAACGATGGAGCTTCTTGCGCGCAACAGACCCCAGGTGTCAAGAGCTGCGAAGCTGAGACACCAAAAGACGGACAGGATCGTGATTGAAGTCCAGTCAAAGGGCAAGCCACCAATTGAAGCTTCGAAAACCTGCTGAACGACCTTGGTTGGGAGATTGTGAATGTCGTTGTGAAATTCGGAGACAGTCTTTGCAGCGTCTGTCACGTTTTCAGTCACTGTGAAGATGGCTTCCAGCAAAATCTCGGTTTGATAGTGGAGTGCCCTTGCAGTTTCGGCGTTACGAGCCAGCGTATACGCAATTTGCTTTGTATCGTTAGTAAGAACAGATATATGCAAAAGACTCTGATGATTTACTTGGTTTTGCTGGTCAAGAGCCATCGAGGCTTCCAGTGAGTTGTCGTGAGAGCGATGTATCTGAACGGCAATGTCCAGGGCATTGCTGAGATGTTCTGTCACATCTGCCTGTGCTTCTTGGGCGCGAATGCGATGGCTCTCGAGATCCGAGGCAATTTGGGAAGACGTCTATTGCCTGTAAGTATCAAGAAGCATTGTCTCGGTGATTATTCTCGTACCTCGCGGACCCTTTCTACGTCTCTGCCCATGCTGTGGATGTTATCTCCGAGATCGTAGAGGTCATTCTGGAACTTTGCCCATTGGTCAACAATGCGATTCTGCATGTCAAGATCTGAGTTGAGTGCGAGATGAAAAGACTGCATGTTCTTTCCCATCTCGGTCCATTGCCTCTCGAAGACCCGATGCTCCTCAGTCGTGTCTGCCATGACGCTAGATGCCTCCATGACTGCCTCGAACATGAGCTTCATCTTTTCAACCATGTCGTCTGATCAGACGTGTTAATGACAATTCCCAATAGATAAAGTGTGCGTGGACTTACCCTTGTCCAACTCTGCTCTCATGGAATGGCAGAGCAACACTGCATTTTGGCGGGCGTTCGAGTAGCTGGTCCACCACACTGGGTTGGATGAAAGGGAGGCCGAGCAATGATCAAGATCGCCGCTGTCATCGAAGCTGCGCGGAGCCGTGGGTTTGGTGAAACGACCGTTTACGATGAAACCGCGGAAACCATTGAACTTGGAGGCATTCTCGATAGGTCTGAAGGGCGAGCAAGAGGGAGGGATGTTGGCGTTGGCATCCATCAATTCGCAGATGGCCAGTCGTGTGGCATAGATGGACTTGGAGCGCTCGAGCATGACATCAATACCTTTGTCAGTAGCAAGACTGGTAGCATGATCAAGTTCGGAGCAAGTGTTGAGAAGAGCTTGAGAAGCCAGCTTCTGACATGAGGGAAGCTTCTCGACTTTGTGCATGGTCTGGATGATGGTGTGCATGCCTTCGGTGATGCGAACCTTGTTGGAAGAAAGCTCGACATCCGAAAGATCAGAGAGATCTACGGTGAGATCGTGAATCTTGAGGGCTGGTTGGAAGCCCATACAAGGGAGAAACAAGAGGAAAGAGAACAGCAGCATGGCCAGCATGTTTCTGTTCATGGTCGATGTCAAGGAAGGAAAGTTGTTGGCCTCAGATCGTGAGGGCCGTGTGGCATGGAGGGGTGTACGAGTATGGAAGGGACGGGAGCAGAGAGACCATAAGCTGGCTGGAGATCTCTTCTGTAGTTTACTTGCCACAATAGACAATGGATGGAATGTCCGGGAGTGGCTTGCAATTGTGATATTGAGGATGTACGAGGGTGAAGCGCACTGAATGGGCGGAAAGCGCGGAGAGAGCGGAGACCGGCGTTGCCAAGCTTCACTTTCGAGCGGAGGAAAGTCGGTTCGCGCATTTGTTTCTCCAGCGAATGATGGTTGTAGTCGTCGCGATCCACACCTCGTCCACACCACACATCATGTTCACTCCAGCAAGGCGGCGCTGTGTCAGCGCGCTCAAGAACTCCCGTTCCGCAGAGACCACTATCCCGGCATTCCTCGTCCCAGCTTTCCACCAGCAATCATCGTCCTTCTCCACCTCGTCGCCATGCCAGTCGAAGATCGGTAGCGCTCCGCTGTCGTTGCCTCCGGATGTTAACTTTCACATTATCGAAGCCCCGGTCCAAAAGAAGGGTGCCAGAGTCAGTCGTAACCAAGAAGGCGCCACAGTTCACATTGAGGGCCCCCTCGGCAAGCTGTCTCTGCCCTTGCCTGCATACATGAACATTATCTCGGACGAAGCAAAGCGCACATACAGCCTGAGCGTTCTGGATCAGGAGGAGAGAAAGCAAAGGGAGATGTGGGGTGAGTGTAAGATATTGTTAAAGAGCTGGGACTATGTGTCTAACAATCAAAAAGGAACCTGCCGCGCATATCTGCAAAATCACATCTTGGGCGTCAGTGAAGGTCATTCTGCCATTCTTCGTCTTGTTGGTGTTGGTTACCGTGCGACCGTCGAGAAGTCGGCCGTCACAAAACAGCCCGAGTACCCTGGCCAGGAGTTCGTGTCTCTCAAAGTCGGCTATTCACATCCCATTGAGCTTGGCGTACCCAAAGGCGTCAAGGCGAGCACTCCTCAGCCTACACGTATTCTTCTTGAAGGTGTTGAGAAGGAGGTAGTGAAGCAATTCGCTGCTGAGATCCGTCAATGGAGAGTACCCGAGCCCTACAAGGGCAAGGGTATCTTTGTCAACGACGAGACGATCAAACTGAAGGCAAAGAAGATCAAATAGACGACACGCTTCGTCTGTTCTGTATTTACTGTACAATATCTATTTCGAGAGCTGGATCTCATGTTCAGAAGCCCTCATTATTGCCGAAGTCTTTCTGCCTGGAAGCACGTCCAGCATCCCGTAACGTGAAGCCACAAACTTGGAGAAAGTGTGGCAGTATCTGATGCACGAATGTCAGGAGGATCTCCGTTTGTTTCGCGGTCTTCTGTATCGGAGAATAAGCTGCAGGGAGAAGTGCCCGAAACGTGCATCGCATTCGATAGTGCCAAGCAGAAAGATCTCCGTTGTTCGATCCCACTTGTTCCTCTTACCTATCCTCCAGCAAACAAATTTGTCCAGCAACCGACGCATCCGAACGTTTTATTCAATATTCAGCATGTAGCTGAGAGCTTCGCAGATCCTCTTGCATCATATCCACTGATGGAGGGTCGTCTAGATAAAGAGTTTTACCCTCGGTCTCGTATCGAATTTCGGTTTCACCAGCGCAACCAATCGTTCTTTCAGACACAAGCCACCGTGATCTATAAAAAGCAGCATCCAAGAAGGATCCCCAGACGGCAACCTCGTACCTTGCAGCCCGGTGCCAATAGGTGCGCCTACATAGGCATTTCATCCCCTCCTTCGCGACTGGTAGGTTCTTAGTTGACCAGCTGAAGCGACTGTCAGTGACGAGATCATTCTTCCTGCTCTGGAAAAACTACACTCCTTTTCATTCTACCTAACAACATTACTTCCTGTCGCAATTCGCTCGCAATCCTGTTCTCGCCTTGATACCCAATAACGATATCGCGTCACCCCACACCATAATGCTCTCAGATTTGTTTCTGAGTCGGTCGCGAACTCAGCTTTACGGCTATGACAAAGTTCGCGTACCCTTCCATGCCATCCGGGCTGCACAGCTAGTTTCCAGCATCATTGTTGGCAGTATAATGTCATTCTTCATCTATCATTTACAACACGATCACTGGCCGACACCATGGACTTTCAAAGTGGTATGATCAGCACTCGTGAATACAGTCCACGACCGAAGCTAATGTATACTGGTAGCTCATGAGCGTTTCCTGGATCACGATAGCCATTCTGGCTGCTACCATCGCTCTCCACTTGCTCAGTGGTCTCAATCCTCGTCTCAACCTCATTCTGAACTCGACCATCTTTGTCATTTGGACTACTGGTTTCGGCATGCTGTCTTGGTGGATGTGGGGAACGTTGACACATTATTGTGATGTCGGCCACTGGAACGATGGCACTGGCATCATGGTATGCAAGATCTACAAGGCATTGTTCACCTTTGCTCTGCTTGGACTGTGAGTAACGACTCGCATGGGACTTCGCACACTCCATCTAACGCATCACAGTGTCTCGACCCTGTTGGCAGTTGTGCTGGACATTCACATCAGCCGTATGAACGGTCTCCGTGGCCAACATTTCCGCCTGAACCTTCGCGGCGACAGAAAGACCAACGACACTATCCCCATGAACGGCCCTTACACCGACGTCAACTCTCAGGCAAACTCGCACGAGGATCTTACTCACTCTCACGAGAGTCTACCACACATCGCGACTGGAGAAGGTTTTGAGATCCCCAGCCTTGGATCGCAGAAGACTAGAGCTGGCTACACAATTCCGGAATCACAATTCGACTACGAGACCGGATATCACGGAGGTCATGCTGAGAGAGTGTTTGGCGCGAACTAGAAGAAGATGAAAACCGCCTGTTTTGGCTTTCAGAAAGAGAATAGAAGATGGAGGAGATATAACGCAGATTACGAACTGGTCACCTGAGACGCGTGAGAGGCTGGAACCTCCATGTGCTACGGTGATCGCCAACCAAAAGACCTGCTATGATAAGCAGTGATGAATACACCATTTCCACACAATACACAAGCATTTGCATTGTGATCACCTTTGGCACAGCGCTATCACCAGTGACATGATACAGATCGATCATCGAAACATCAGGTAGGTGCACCACTCACTCACTCTCACCCCTTATATACCACATGATAAACCAATATTGTTGGCAAGAGAAAATGATGTACGCAAACGACGTACGCACGAGTCGAGATGATTGCTCGACTCTAGTATCATTTCGATCGTCGTAGAGTCATGATGCCATCCAGAATGCCAGACTGGCAGTTTCCATACCAAGGAGTTCAGCTGGGATGGATATGTGTTAGATGCGTAGGTTTCCACCACGGCTTACAACAGTCTTCTGACCGAAGATGATCAACAGCATCTCTTCAACTGCTTGGGTGAAGCTCTTGTTTATCGATCATTTACTAAGCAAGACACTGGCCTTCAGATGTGCGTATCCAAAATCCTTCTAGAGGCTCTTGAATGTCAGACGCCATCCCACCAGGAGCCATCTGCCTTCGCTCCTAACCTTGCGTACGAGCGTGTGTTGCCTAGACATGACATGGGGTCACGAAGCTACTGGGTACTCTATTTCACGCTCTCTTTGATAAGCATGTGATGATTGCGTGTTTTTAGCCGTATAATGACGATCATACCTCACAGCGTGCTCTGCCTTATAGGTAAGTATAAGATTCGAGTTCGATTCTAGTAAGTTGTTGGGTCCCACAGTCGAGACCAATATCAGAGACAAAAAATGAAACAGGCTTGAACATGAGCAAAAGAAAGACACGAGTTGTGGATAAAGGCTAGACACAAAGACATGTGTATATATAGCGGAACCAGAAAAAGAAAAAAGAAAGAATGTGAAACCAAAGATCTCGAGCATATCGAGGAGGGAGTCAGTACTTACAGCAGCAAACCGTTGAATATCAAACAACTAGACTTCATCATCCTACAGTCTTCAACCCTTGTGTTTGCAAGAAGCTCGTCGAAAGGATTTTCCATCACAGCCACTCCCAGTGCTCCCAGAAGTCAAACCATCCTTGTGTTTGCAAGATCAGGTGCAAGATCCCGCAGAGCATCGGGCTAGCAAGTTTTGGCTTACGTCACTAGACCTAAAACTGGTAGCAAGGGTCGTTTCGCCAATATACTCTTGAAGTTTCTAATTCTTATGATTAGCCGCAGGATGGACATCTCGTGTCTTACCTCGCGAGGAGGTTAGTGGCCTGAGGCCAGAGATGTTCTAGGAACGAAATATCAGCAGATGCAGAGAGTCGAACCCGAGATCTTTGGGGGAGTATGTGACGACTAGGCTAAAGGACAGGGGATGGGTAAGACGGGTGGTCGACGGGGATATATGGTCTAAGGGGGCCTAAGCGTGAGACTTGGTGTGAGTGAAAGCGAGTGTGATTTTGCAACACGTCTCAGCCGCCCCTGAGGCATGTGTTCTTTCTGGATCGGGATACTGGTCTTTGAGGCAAGCGTTATACATGTAAGACTGAAGGAGTATCTTTCACGAGAGGAACATAAGTAGATTAGGGGAGTCGTTTTCTCTCACTGTTGGCTGGGGCCGAAAAACATATACTCAAACTACCGTACTTTCTTGGTTTCACCATTTTGGTCGGCAACCTTGACCTCTCTACTCTTCTGCAGCTTTTGCTTCAACTTCAGAATGACAGCTTGGAGCTTCGCCTTAATCGCAACGATTCCTGCTGGCTCAACTTCGTCTGCAGCAACAAAACGACGCACGATCAAGTTGAAGATACTGCCAAATGCCATGGCCATGACAGTGCTGGTCAGGATGATGACATTGTACGGCATACTGAAGTCGGGAGTAGGAAGAGGAAGGAGCAAGGAAGTGGTGCGTAAGTACATGGTGGTTGCTCCTTGTCCGTTGGTCGAGTCTATCAGCAGCTTGACTATTGAGGGCGCAACATCAAAGCCACGATTTGCATCGGGAGGATACTCGGTGTATCGCAAGATGGCCTTTTCAAAGTCGTAAGTCAGGACTAGAGAAGCTCCAGCGGGAACGTGGAGGCGTAATTCGAGGTGGGTGCCTCTGGCACGATCAATGGCGGGCCTGTAGAAGGTTTGCTGGATAGATGATGGCGAAGGAACGGAATTGATGGAAGCGTGCAGGGTGTGCAGATATGGTTTCATGAACCACGGTAGAGACTCGAGATAGACGAGATCGACGGCATCGGTAGCGGATGGGTTGGTAAGAATGACACGCATGCCGCCTCGTTCTTGACCGTAACCAACCATGGTTCGTTCCGCATGGAGGCGTGGCTGTTGCAGAGTCGAAGGCGCAATCAAAGGTCGTTCGCCCATTGCAATGTCGAAACTCCCAGAATCCGGTAGACTATATCGCACAAGACCCTCCTCAGACTTGTGCTCGCCATAAGCTTCTTCGGCAGTGATGGTAATGTTTTGATCGGGAGCGGCATGCAGGGTGACTGATTCAGGGGCAGCACCTTGGTTGACATGGCATGAACCACGAATAGGATGACCAAAGACCTTAGTCAAAGTCCAGTCACGCTCTGCAGACGGTTCGCGTGGGTAACAGGTGTCATGACTGTTATACCACTTATCAGTGTCACAGGCAATGTCCTCGACCGGTGGAGGTCTGGGAATGGGATCATTCTGAGATCGCATAGATCGGTCGAGATCAAGAACCATATCCACAGTCTGCTCGATCTCCAGCAAGCACTCGGATCCATCAGTTGGGCATATGGGACGCACGTCGATGGCCATTGACTGCCAGGAGGCATCGAAGAGTTTGTGTCCGTCCAGAAGAGTTGCGATGCCAGCCTTTCCCTTGCACGGAAGAAGCTTCAGGAAGGGGGTCAAGTTCTCGGTACAGACAACTTCGTGAGGCAGGGCACCATGCAGCAGGTGCAAGGAAGAAGTGTTTTTGTGGGAGCCCTCCTTGTCAAAAGTCATTGCCGGACGGATGGTCTTTGTCGAGTCGATGAAGTTGATGGAGGCGCAGAAGAGACCAGACAGAGCATTACTCAGAGTCAACCAGCGAGCATTGGCCTGCTCGTGCGAGTGTGCATCGACCCAAGCCCACAGCTCGACACCAGTGCCTCCTTCACGGCGGCCATGTCGCGGTCGTTGTCCCCAGTTCTCAGAGTCCCAGCGACCGATGCTGAAGCGGAGATGCAGCTCTCTGGCATGGGTGTGTTGCAGAATCTGGCCGAGCGAGCGCGGAAACAGGCGGTAGTTCTGGGCATCGAAGTCGGACTTGGTCGTGTTGGCCTTGAAGTTGAAAGCAGCCAGAAGTTGAGATTGAGGAAGTGGGTGCAGGTCCAGTTGCTCGGTATATTGACCTTCAGCCCATGGTGCAAGCAGACACAGCAGCAGCGACAGGGCACAGGCTATCACGAGCATTGCGGCCTCATGGCGTAGACGGTGCATCTAAAGGGGGAACCGACTTGAGCATACAAGAGTGCCAAGCCGTCGTCTGGCGCGCGGAGACAGTCGCCGTCTCTTCCGCTTTTGCTGTCACCAAAGCTTTCCATCTGCATATCACCACTCATTCGGCACCAGTCATCTTGCGATACCCTTCACTCCCTCTTGGAATTACCGTATCGCTTCAATACCTATACCATCATCCACCGAGAACACGCAGCTGCGACGTAGCGCATATCCAACATGGCCGCTGAGCAAAGAAAGCTGCTGGGTACGCTTTCGCATGACACGCTCTTGCTATATGCAGCTTACTGACTCGTTCTTGCAGAGCAGCTCATGGGCGAGCAATTGCTCGCTGGTCCTGGCGCATCGCGCGCTCCTCAATTATCCATCACAGACACAAAGGTGTGCCGCTCCTACCTTGTCGGCACCTGTCCTCACGACCTGTTTACCAACACCAAACAAGATCTCGGTCTGTGTCCAAAGACACATAGCGAAGCCCTGAAGTCCGAGTACGAAAACGCAGACGACCAACAAAAGCGCAAATGGGGCTTCGAGTTCGACTACATGCGCGACATGCAAAAATACATCGACGACTGCAATCGCCGCATCGATAGTGCACAGCGTCGCTTGGAAAAGACTCCCGATGAGATACGCCAAACAAACGCCCTCTTGAAGCAGATTGGCGAATTGTCGCGGAACATCGAGGATGGCCTGGTCGAAGTCCAGATCCTGGGCGAATTGGGCAGTGTCAATACCGCCGTCACAGAATACTTCCGTATCAGACAACAAAAACAACTGAAGGAGGATCGCGAACGTGAGCTCAAGGCTCTATCCGACACATCAGGTCCCTCGGGTCACCAGAAGCTCCAAGTCTGCGACGTGTGTGGCGCATACCTCAGTAGACTGGACAACGATCGCAGATTGGCGGATCACTTCTTCGGAAAGATGCATCTCGGTTATGCCCAGATGCGCAAGACGTACCAGCAACTACAGAAGGATCTCCAAGGTCGTCAACCGCCCATCCGCGACGAGCCTTCTGGTCCTAGAGGAGGTTACGACGACAGAGACTATGGTGGCCGTAGCGGTGGTTACGGCAGCAGACGAGGAGGAGGAGGTGGCGGTGGCTTTGGAAGAAGAGGAGGTGGCAGATGGTGATGATTCTATTGAGCTACGAAAGGAGACTGCAAAACGAGGATGCATAACAGCTTGGTCGGTGTTTTTGGCGCAATACCCGCATGAGGCATGGCAGCGAGGCGCTGGGATGGTCACTTTACTTTTATATATATCCCTATTTCCGAAGGATAGAAATGCTGAAACCAGTTCAAATCATGAAACCCGAGAGTTTGAATGAGCCGCTAATTGCTAGAGTCATGAATCACGTGCGGGCAGCGTCATTGAGGGTCTAGGTAATTACAACAATCGAGGGGCCGGATCAATCGTTCATTTCGATTGTACCTCTGCACAATAGCTCGCTCTCACAACTGTACTTCTCGGTAATCTCGGGTACAATAACATTCAGTCCGGCTTGAACACGCCAGCACCACCACACCGCACACGACACACCTACTCCACCCCTCACAACCGCCGCCATGTCGCGGAGACCTGCTGGACCCGACAGGACGATGCAGAACCAACAGACGCTGAAGAGCTTGGTCAAGTTGGAAGGAAATAAGAGCTGTGCAGACTGCAAGAGGAACAAGCGTACGAGATTCACACTCTGCGACAGAACACGGAAGCTGACAAGTGTCGACAGACCCGAGATGGGCCAGTTGGAACTTGGGCATCTTCATCTGCATTCGGTGAGCAACTGCTGCTACCGTGCATCGAACCATGTTCGCTGACAAGACTTGTAGATGCTCCGGTATTCACCGTGGTATGGGCACACACATCAGCAGAGTCAAGTCTGTCGATCTGGATTCTTGGACCGATGAGCAGCTTCAGAGCATGCTGAAGTGGGGCAACACAAGAGCCAACAAGTATGCGATTCTCATCTCAAATACCAAGCATTTGCTGATCATCGTTCTATAGGTACTGGGAAGCAAAGCTTGCCCCTGGTCACGTTCCTGCCGAAGCGTACGTACCTAATCCGCAACACAGCATCCAATTCTGTCTTCGATTCCTGACATCTATACAGCAAGATCGAGAATTTTATTCGCACCAAGTACGATTCGAAGAGATGGACTATGGACGGCCCAATTCCTGATCCCTCGACTCTGGGCAGTGAGGGCGGAGACGAAGACGTGGTCATTACAGACGAAGCCTTTGCTAGTATCAAGTTGCTGACCAAAACACAGCCTCTCAGCGTTGTCCAAGAGAAGGCAAAGCTCGACCGTTCAGCCTCGCTCAGAAACGCTTCCATGAGCAGCGGACCTGCTGCTCCCCAACAAGCCCCGAGAGCAGTTGCTCCAGTCATCGATCTGTTTGGCGACGACCCGACTCCAGCTCGTGCCAGCACCGCCGAACCCTCGATCTCCTCAAGACCTCCTTCACAACAGCAAAAGGCACCTCCTGCACCTCCCAAGCAAAACAGACCTGGCGACTCTCTACTGGGTCTTGACTTCTTCGGAACAAGCCAGTCTGCACCCCCAGCACGCCCTGCCAGTGCTGCTTCAGGAGCTTCTACCATGGGAAGCAACCCGCGATCGGATCTGAAGCAGTCTATCCTGTCTCTGTACGCATCTGCACCCAAACCTGCTCCAGTGCAACAACCTCAGTCTTCCTCGAATGCATTCGGTGGTTTCGCCTCTCCACCAATGCAATCACCTGCCGCTTCGACATCTTCGTTTGGTGGTATGGCCGATGCATTCGGCGGCTTGAACTTTGGTGGCCCATCTGCTCCCCAACAACAGCAGCAACAGCAACCAAAACCCTCTGCTTTCTCAAACCTGACCTCCCCAGCATCACGTAACAGCTCTCTCAGCGGTGGCAGCTTCTTTGACGCTAAGCCCACACCGCCGCCCAAGCCTTCTGCTGCACCAGCACCCAGACCGCAGCAAGCTCGCGTGTCGAGTGGTTTCGGCGACTTCGGCGACTTTACCTCAGCGCCATCACCCGCACCCGCACCCGCACCTATCTCTACAAGGTCGCCTGTTCCCGCAAGCTCTGGCATGGGAGATTTATTCGATATGGGTGCTCCCGCGCCTTCGAAGCCTGCAACCTCGACTTCTGCTTCGGCCTTCAATCTTTCCAGCCCCGCTCCTCCACCAAAGCCTGCACCTGTGTCAGCTATGGGCGGTCTCGACAACATGGACGCTTGGGGCTCGAACAACGCTTGGAGCACCCCTGAGCCAGCAGCACCCGCGCCCCCTACCACCTCGTACAAGGCACCTGTCGCAAGCACCAACACATACAAGGCACCTGCTATGACCAGTGTGTCGAATGATGATGACTTTGGCGGTTGGGGAAGCAATGAGGGTACTTCGTCCAGCAAGCCTACTATCAGCCAAGATGACGACTTTGGTGGTTGGAGCAGTGCACCTGCACCTGCACCTGCTGCATCTACATCTAACAACAAGGGTCCAACCTCTGATGATCTCTTTGGCAACGTTTGGGGTTAAGCATAGTAGCATTAATGGTAGCATCGTCAGTGGGGAGGTAAAAACAGCATTTGGGACCTCGATGGCCATTATCGAATACATCTGGCCTCTGTCTAATATACAATATCGGAATGTCTCAGAAGACCGACTTGGCCCAGACTGATAGTCAATGTCCAACGCGTGTTGCGGTTGCGCATCGCGAGATATGTTGTGACTTGGTGGGGAACACCCATATTGTGCAAGGTCACTCGACTTTGCGTGCCTTGTCGTATCCTTTACTCGGTACCATCCTATAGCGGGCCGCCCTCTGTCTGTGTGGGCTTGAGTCATGTTTACAAGTCGCCAGAGCAGGCTGCTCGATCGCTCCAGACTGTGTCCTCCTTCCATGTGCATCTGGTCGGATGTGTGTTCCAAGTCCTGTGGGCGCATGACGACGTCTCCTTGCTGCCTACCAGTGCTCGGAGCCTTGATGATCGCGTTGCAAATATCTTGTAACAACGTAGCAGGATCCTCAGGCAGCCTTGGAGCCTCCAAAGACCCAGCCGCCGATCCAGTAGAGCACCAGAACTATAGCGATGAGGATTCCAGCAAGCTTGAGAATCGCAACTTTGTTTCCTTGCTGTGCCATCCTCGTCAGTCTTCCAGCACTACCCTGCAAGCTATTCGAGAAGTTGGAGAAGGCATTTGTCTGTTGCGTCGGTGTTAGTTGATGTTCGTAGACGCGATCGGTCAGGGGAAGCAGCGGCGTACGGAGGAGTCGATGACAGTCTGGTCGCGGGCGTTGTCGTAGATATCGATGGTGATGCCACGCAAGGCCGATACCTTTCCGGCGAGGTCGTCGAGTCGTGAGTTGTTTTGGCTTTAAGACTTGTCAGTGGCTGTGTAGTGGCCGCAGCAGGAGAGGAAGGTGTGGGTACCGTTCGCGTTCGTAGGCTTCAGACATTGTGGCGATTGCTCAATAGGAGGCTGTGGGAGCTGGATGTCGAGTTGCGACGACCGGAGCGTTGATGAGTATGGTCGGCAGACGCGATGGTCAAGGAACAAAGGATGATCAATAATGCTGGTACAAGCAGCCTCGGGAAGGTGTTGCCGGTCCGGGGTCGAAAGCACGGACAATGACGACGACTCGCTCTTGCTTAAGTCATGGCAGCTCGGCGGAAGCCCCACTATATCTCTATAGCCCGACTCTCATTCTCGTGTCGCTGTGCCTGCCCTGCTCTTCCCCTCTGACTGTAATCTGGGTCTTGTCCTCGTCGCGTCCCCTTCTGCTCGTTGTCACGCCTACAAGCTCCCATATCACCGCCATCACATTCGCCCATCATGCCGCTCATCAACAATCCTCTGCCCTCTTCGATGAAGAGTAAGTCGCCATATCGCATTGCCATGCTCTGCTCGGTTCCTGACAATCTATAGGCGAATGCAAGAAGACAGGCAAGATCCTCGCGTCCTTTATCGATCCGAAACAGTCCTTCGGTCCCGACAAGATCATTCCACCCCAAATCCTCGCAAATGCCAAAGGTCTTGCCATCATGACCGTCTTCAAGGCTGGCTTCCTCGGTAGTGCTCGTTTCGGCTCCGGTGTCATAGTAGCCCGCCTGTCAGACGGCACTTGGTAATATGTCTCATCAATGCTTTGTCATTGACGCTTGCTGACCTCAGCTTCAGGTCTGCTCCTTCCGCAATTGGTACTGTTGGTGGTGGTTTCGGTGGCCAGATTGGCTTCGAGCTCACCGACTTCGTCTTCATCCTCAACGATGCTGCTGCTGTTCGTACATTTGCTCAAGCTGGCAGTATTACCCTCGGAGGCAACGTCTCGATCGCCGCCGGTCCAGTTGGTCGCAATGCAGAAGCTGCTGGTGCTGCCTCGCTCAAAGGCGTCGCTGGTATTTTTGCCTACAGCAAAACCAAGGGGTTGTTCGCAGGTGTCTCTCTTGAGGGAAGTGCTATGATCGAGAGAAGAGATGCCAACGAGAAGATGTACAACCGTCGTGTCACTGCCAGAGCTCTGCTCGAGGGCGGTGTCCCTGTCCCGCCACAGGCCGAGCCTCTGATGCGCGTCCTCAACAGCAGAGTCTTCGCTGGAGTCGCTGCTCAGCAAGGTGATGCCATGTACAATGATATCCCAGTCTACGATGAGTCTCACGACGATGTCATCTGGCAGGGAAAGAGAGGTGCTGCTCACGGTGAAGGTGTTCGCTCGGATCGCACAGGAGCTTCTGGCAACTTTGGCGCTCCTTCACGTGCCAGCACTTGGCAAGACGATGTTTATGACAGACAACCCAGCTTCGGATCCCGTGCCAACCCTGGTGAAACATTCGATCGTCTGGAAGCCTCTCGCGCACGCAGTAACAGTGCATATGCCGATCAGGCCGAGTATTCGTACTCTGATCGCAAGCCTTCCAGACCCAGTGCTCCCAAACCGACTTTCAGCAGTAATACCGCAACCCCCAAGCCTGGCCAGGCTATTGCTAAATTCACCTTTGATCCTGATCAACCTGGTGACTTGGGTTTCAAGAAGGGCGAAATCATCACCATCGTCAAGAAGACTGATAATCCCAACGACTGGTGGACAGGCAGAATTGGCTCAAGGGAAGGAATTTTCCCTAGGTAAGTCAGAACCACTCTTGGAATTGCTATCGAAGCTAACATGTTGGTGTGCAGCAACTATGTTGAACTCACTTAAACGCCATCTCTATGCCCGACACATGGCCTTGTATGCCCACACGGTACGGATGTATAATTTCTTCTCCTCTGTTTGTTGTTTTGTTTGCATAGCGCCGCGAGCACGGCGTTCGACGGTGGTCTCTCTGGGTTTTGTTCTACTGTTATATACCTTTGATGTACAGGCTGCTCCCAGTCAAATAACCAAAAGCTGGTCAATCTTTCTTTTCAGAGTGTCAGTTCCTGTTTTCTGTCCAATTTCCACCACATCCCAGTCGAAACAATCATTCATCTCTCCGACCTGCATGCAAGCCTGCTTCAAGACCGATCAACTTCCCGAGCCTGGATCAGTTTTGGTTCGATACCCGCGGCGTTCGCGCCTACCCCACGCCAGTAGCCGGGGCGCGGCGGGCCGATCGCTGTTCTGCGGCCTGCTCCATGCGGACCGTTGTCTATCAATCTCTTGTAGGAGAAACAGGCATGCTCTGTGTCACGATGTGTAATCTCGACCTTCAGGCACCTGGTCGCTCCAGACGAGCAGCCAGGGTTTGCGACACGGAGAGATTGATTCACCTCTTGATACGGCATGGTATTCTGTTGCCTTGATGATTGTAATCTCAATTTCCACAATACACTGTATGCTGAGGCGGTGACTTTGATATATTTCAAGATGATGCATGTAAACATGTGTGGCTTGCATGTTTCAGACGGATACAGACAGTCCGGAAATGGAGATGATGCAAATGTATTGGTAGAAAATTTTGTTACCTGGTCCACAATTCAGGTGTGACAGGGATGGCCCATCAAATCAGACGTGTACTTCGACTGCTTCCTATGCTGTTGCCTACCATATCACAAACCCTCTTCAAGGCATCGAGATACAAACCTGTTAGAAGTTGGAGAGATGGGAGCGTGGGTTGATCGTCAACGTTCCTGGACATGTGGGGGCCCGGAATCTGGGGTCTTCATCGTTTGTGACGTTTGGCGGCTGCACTCCCCTTCCTCGAATCATCACCTCCAAAGGCACGCATGCCATAGGGGAAACAGAGGGATATCGGGTCCTTGCTTCTATGCAGCCCTCACCGCCAGATCCCAACGGTGAGCAACCACATGACTGTATGCCGCATGGTGGAGGCGTATGTAGGTATCAGTAATGTTTTTTTCATCACCCTGCATGAACGAGAAAACATGTAACTATAAAGAGGAGGGAGCTCCACCTAGGAGTCAGAAGCCCTTTCTGGTTTCTTTCTGGTCTCAAGCCTCTTTGGTCTATCGTATCCTTTGCACATACCCATCCGACTTCCGTCTATCCTGATAAGCTGACCTCAGCCGTCACTTCTATTCTTGCCATAGCCCTGATCTTTTGCCCTGTCGATATCTCCAGGCAACTTGTCACAGATTGCATCATTTCATTCAACTGAATCACTTGAAAAAGCGAGCAAGTAAAAGTGATAACCAGTGCCCATAGCGCTCGTGTTTGATCAGCTCCACTTGTCTGTTGCAGGCTTCGACTAGGTAGGTAGGCATATCCTCCCTCGCTATAGGGTTGTTTCCTCATGAACCCGTCATTGACCCTCAATTGAAGCTACTACAAAATCCTTCCGCTACCTGCCGTCAATTGTCCAGCGCTCAATTGCAACTTCCACTCGGGTTAAGAAAAAGAACACAAGCAAACCGCCAACATCTACTTCAAGCGTCACTCGCTCCTTCCTCAACTTCACCACTCACTTCCTTCCCTCACTTCTAAGGCCGCGGCTACCTCCGGACCTCACAATTCTCGCGTGTATATAACGTGGCCGCTGTAACAATTCCTCCATCGCCTCGACAATCCACTCCAACCTCGACGATCTCACTCAAGTTCATCAAAGTCTTTCCACCTTCGATCATCTACTTGACCCGTCCTTCTTATACTACTTCCTTCTTCACAACTTCACACATCCGGTTCAATGGCTGTTCTGTCGGTCATGCGCACTTCCATGTTCCGCGCCGCTCGCCGCGCCACGGTTCAACCCGCCGTCTCGCCAGTTTTTGGCCGCACTTTCGCCTCGGTTCGTGGCGCTGGTGACGAGAAGTCTATCAACGTCGTCTCGTACTCCAAGTCCGGTCAGCGCGAGCAGGAGACCCTCGCTGTCCCTGCTACTAACGAGCCTGTCAACCCTCCTGGTCAGGACGTTGAGGTTGCTGCTCAGCCCCTCAAGCATGAGTTGCTCCAGGCCCTTCCTCCCACTATGCAGAAGTTCACCTTGTTTGGTCAAGTCGCTGTTATTACCGGGTAAGACTGCAACACTTTCTTCTTCACTTCGCACCTTACTGACTTTCAATCACAGCGGTGGTCGCGGACTCGGTTACAACATGGCTCAGGCCCTCTCTGAAGTTGGTGTGAAGGGCATTGCCATCTTCGATGTCCAGCAAGAGCTTGGCGAGAAGTCTGCCCAGCAGCTCTCTGCTCAGACCGGTGTCGATGTTCGCTTCTACAAGGTTGACGTCCGTGACGAGGCTGCCATCCAGCAGGCTGTTCAGGACGTTGCTGCTCACTATGGCCGCATCGATGTTCTCATCAACGCTGCCGGCATTGCCGAGTAAGTTCACATCCTTCACACTCATCCTAACTCGTACTAACACATCTCAGCTCCAACGTCAAGGCTGAGACCTATGAATCTGAGAAGTTCCGCCGTCTCCTCGACATCAACATCACCGGCACCTTCCTCGTCGCTCAGGCTGTCGGTCAGCAGATGATCAAGCTCAAGAGCGGAGGTTCCATGATCAACATCGCTTCCATGTCCGGCACCATCGTCAACTACCCTCAGGAGCAGTCCTGTTACAACGCTTCCAAGGCTGCTGTCATTCAGCTCACCAAGTCCCTCGCTGCCGAGTGGGCTCGTTACAACATCCGTGTCAACTCCATCTCTCCTGGATACATGGATACCGCTCTCAACCGTGTCCCTGCTCTTGACGCTCAGAAGCGCATTTGGATGGACAACACCCCCCAGAAGCGTCTCGGTGCTGTTGATGATCTCAACAACTTGGCTGTCTACCTCGCCTCGCCTGGTTCCAGCTACATGACTGGCAACAACTGCCTCATCGACGGGGGTTACACCCTCTGGTAAACGGTCACGCCTGATGTTTCTGATTCCTCAGCGCGGCGTTTGTCTTCTTCACCGGCGAGTTTACGCATTTCCACGGCGTTACATGGCGGGTATATAGGAGGCGTTTGATCCAATGGCTGCGATTTCTTTCGGTGGCAGCTCATGGTTGCTTTTGCTTTTACACTTGCATGGCGGTATAAAAGGGATCAAGATGAAGATGGTACTACAACGGGGGAATGGTAGATCGTCCATGATGTTCTTCTAGCTTTTACACTTGCTCTACAACAGGCGCATGTTCGCCCTGCTCAATGATGATACTACTTTGCTATCCTTTTCTCTCGTCGTTCGTCGCTACTGGTGTCTTGCATACATTTCATTTGTTTTCTCTGCTTTTTGCGGCGCATGTCATCAAGCCATGGTAACAGATTTTCGGACATTGTCACTTCGTGATGGTCCATTTGTGCTTGACAGATATGGTTCCCAGAAGGCTCTCGATTCACGTACTCTTTCTGATTTAAGGTGATTGCACGGTCTGCTCCAATGAACGATTATAGGGTGCACTCGAACGGAATAGGCGAACGAGTATATAATTCCATTCTTGAAATCAACAGACCACAATGATTCATTCAACACAACATCCTCGAATCAACACGTCCAAATTTCTGAACACGCTTGCAAAAAAGGATCAGACCAAGTTTTGGAAGCAACAGGAAAAAGGGATGCTTACAGCAAAAAGCGAATAAAAGATCCTTCGGTGATTGCTTCCGCTGGATGAGAGTAGCCACCACTCTCTGCCTCCTTACTTCTCTCTCCGTGAACAATTTACGCCTTTGTCATGTTTCAATCTCCTCCCCAAGGACAGAAACAATCTTATTCGATGACCCCCCTGAGGACCAAACACCTTTCAAAGGTACTTGCTCCTCAAGGCCTGGCTGATGGAACTCATTCTGCTTGTCGTAGAGCCAGAGCCGTGTTGCATGTGACTCATGAATGCCTCTTCGATGGCTGACTGCGAGATACTTGCATCTGTGGTTTTTGTCTCTCATCAGCATCGACTTCCTCTATCCTCGGCTTCTTCTTCTTCTTCTCCCTACAGCCCAACACCATATCCAATCAATTTGGGGAGGAAGAGGGGAGTCATAACTTACCATCAAGATCGCTAAACGAACTTCCCATGCTCGGAGTACCTTCACTGCCGTCTTTGCGAACGCGAGGACTCAGTTTCGAAAGCTCGGAGCGGTGACGAGGACTCAACGCGCTAGCTGGAGAAGCTCGGGTGTAGTCTCCCCTGTTGCTTTCTCTATGCTTGCCAACATTTGTAGTTGGTTGAGAAGGGGCAGCAGCAGAACTCGCCGACGAAGCCGAAGAATCGGGAGCAGCAGGTCGTTGCTCAAACACCCTTTTCACCGGCGATTTGATCGTTGCAGCTCCATCAGCACTTCCGGTTGCGGTGGTCGCAAAAGGCAAAAAGCCACCAGAGGACTCGGCGTCTTCGTCTTCATCGTCGTCGTCGTAGCCATGTCTAGCAGTTTTTGGATAATGAGAAGGTCGGCGAAATGCTTGACTGCGGGCTATGCTCTGGCTTTCTCCATCTGATGACGATGAAGAATCAGAGTCTTGCAAGACATCAGAATCGGGTTCGGAGATTTCGCGTTGGGGGGAGATGGGTTTGCGGTGGTTGCCAAATGCTGTGTTGAAGGTTCTGGCTGAGGAGGCTTGGGCCGAGCTGACAGGTGTGATGATGCGGGACTGGGTCAGCGTTCTGGTGGAGGGTGTGCGGGAGAGTCCTCCTTCTGTTTTTTGTGGTTGGTTGGTGGTGGAGAGGCTAGGGAGAGTCGTGGGAGGTTGACGGAATACTGCTGAGGATACTGAGCCCATGGTTGGAGTTGGACTGTCTCGCATGTGCGCTGAGAGAGATGATGGTGCTCTTTGGCCTGTATCGCTCATCAACTTTGATATCGTGTACCGCTGTATACGTTGAGCCGTACCTTGACTTGCCACCGGAAAGGCGGTTACATTGCTGTTCAAGGCGACATTTCCTGTCGAATCAGGCGGCATGGGTGATGGACAAGCCGAAGGACTGAGTTTCTTCATCTGCGCTTTCATCTGGGCAAAGTGTCGTTCGTACAGCCATGCTGCCTGCTGGAGGAGAAAGGCGAGAGAGACCTCAAATCGAGCTGACCTGAGTATGAGTTAGCCGGAAATCAGTCGAACCAGACAGATATACCGACAAGTCTTCCCCTATCAAGATATTAGCATGTTACTCTGTCTAATAAAGCTGGGTTGATACATACAATCCAGCTCCTTGCTGTTTGAAGCTTTGGAAATGATCTTCCATAACGCACGATCTTTGGTGGAATTCCAATCAACCTATGCAGCATTAGAATATTATATATACACAAATCTGATCTATCCGGACTACCTGTGGCGGATCTACAAAGTCACCTCTGGCGAAGGGCAGCCGGATGAAGCAAGTGTAGTGCACGGATGAGTCCGCCGAAGCCGACTTGTTTGCTGGTGATGGCGGAGCGTTAATACCTAGAGCATTATTCGACAACTGTGCCGTGCGAAGAGAAAGTTGCTTTGGATCTTCAATATGCGACATGCTGTGATTAGGGTGCTGATGAAGAAGATGGAGAGACCCCGGACCAGGATGATTGGTGGTATAGGAAGTATGGCGCGAGACACAAGCACGTGACAGCAACCCAGACATGCAACACACGCGTGTGATAGTCACTGGGGTTGAATCTTAGATTAAAGAATTCAGCGACACTTCTGTGTCGGCTATATGCCTAGATCTACAGTAGTTCAACCACACCTTTGAGGTTGTGAACAGGGTCACTCTCCATACATAGAACCGCAGCGATAATTGGCTTCCAAGTATGTTTCTCGAGCTCCTGGAGTACATGTCTACATCTCTACAAATTAGACCATTGGAGCTACGAAAACTACTCGAAAGGGACTCCCACTCGATTCGAGGGTTGGTTGTCTTCTGCGACCTGGCTCCCTTATAATTATATTTGCTTATGGCTTTTGCTTCTGCTCTACCGATAATCTGTTGTCAGCATAGAATTGAAGTGGTAGGCATGACAATCTCAGGCGCGGTCTTTCACCTCGAGAACTCTTTCTGCGGGAGGATTGTGTCAGGGTGAAAGAGGGAGAATGCAGAATGTGAACAACTAAACACCAGTCACAGGAATAGCAGCACCAAAGAAGATTATACGACGCAGAACAAGACATTACCAAAAACAAAGATAAAGCACCACGAGCAGGATTCGAACCTGCGACCTCCCGACCCTCGAGAGCGAGAGTATTGGGATCTTAGGTGAGCGAACGTAGGAAGCGAGCGCAGGATACCAGGTCGGGTGTGCTGACCACTGCACCACCGCGGCTTTTCGGGTGGGAGGGACACAAAATTCATGAAATATAAAGGTTGAGAGAATATAGGGTGGCGACGACGAAGCTTGGAGCAGAACGGAGCTCATGTGATCGTGCCTTGATACCAAAAGGAAAATCATGTGACAGTGCTTCAATACCAAAAAGAAATGAAGCACCGTGGGCCGGATTCGAACCAGCGACCTCCCGACCCTCGAGCGAGAGTATTAGGAATTTAGGTAAGCGAACGTAGGAAGTGAGCGTAGGATACCAGGTCGGGTGTGCTGACCACTGCACCACCACGGCTTTCTTTGGTGTAGAGGGTACAACATTTTTCAAATATAAGGGTTGAGGGAGTTGAAGGCGGCAACGAAGCTTATAGCGGGAGAGAGCTCAGGTGATAGAGCTTCGGTAACATTGCGGGAAGCAGCTGACATGTGATATGCTCCCTGAGTCTGATCACCTGGAGTCGGTCGTATAATGCCTATCACAGAGACCATCTGCAGCAGAGTTGTTGTGGTATACTGAGTGTGGGCTTGAGATGTACAGCTGCAATGTAGTTCCAGCGCAGGTGTCTAAGAGGAGAGGGTGTACAGGATCGGAGGTCCGGTGTATGTTCAGAATGATGGGTATATTCCGATTGTCATAAATGCTCTCTGTCAACAGAGCCAAGGGTATGTTCCAATACACACGACGCAAGGTGCCAAATAGGTGACTGAGATCATGCATACATGTCGTCGTATTCTCCATCTTCCTCGTCATCTGGAGGAGGTGGGGGAGCCTTCTTCTTGACCAGCTCTTTTCGGTCAAGAGGACAGGTAGGGTTCAGCTTGAGCCAGGGCGTAATGCATTCGAGGTCGAAGAGGTGGTCTTTGTGGCAGGGGAGTTGGACAACGAGCGGATGAGGGTCTAGCAGAAACGATCAGCAAAGCACGACAAGGATGTGTGTTCATGCATAGTCCAGCTTACCATCAAGGAAAGGGTTGCCACAGATGGGACAGTCCTTGTCCTTCAAGCTCGCCTTGGGAACCCTGTCCAACTGAGCGAGGAACTCGTCTGACACACCCTTGACTTCGGTAGGAGGATTCTCCGACTCTTGCATCAACTGTTCGACCATGTGGGATAGTAATTGATCTGAGTTCTCTTGCGAATGGCCATGACCACCTCCTTGCATCATAGAAAAGGCATTTGCGAGACTGCGGAAAGCTGCCGAGACATCACCGGGGAGAGGGAGTGAGTGTGCGTTTTGAGGATGGCGATGTCCACTGGTGTCGACGAGATCGAGGGTGGTGAAGAAGGTGGACAGATCGGGGCGGCGGGGTGGTGCCTCGTCCTTTTTCTCTTCCTTGATGTTGTGTTCAACTAGGAATCGTCAGCGATGTACAGAGGACTCATAATACCAGCTCATCCTTACCCTCGTAGCCCGACATGATTGCGCGATTGGTTTGTATGATTGACAGTTGAGATGGCTTGGAAGGGAAGGTGTAATACGGCGTTTATAGGAGCTAAATTCCGAGGCAGCACAGACACGCGTTACTCATGGTCGCTCCTGCCTTTCTTGTCTGAACACATCGATGGCTGGCCCATTCTGATGCGTGCAACAGAACAATGCGATTCGCACACATAAAATGAAACAGAGTACACCAGACGGTAGCGAGGCCATTGCGACTGCGACTCAAACCCAACTGCCCACGCCCGCCCTGTCTCCAATCACCGAGCATGGCGCCAACTCGTATACCGTCGATCTGGACTCTACAAGCCCCGGCCTCGACAGTCTTTCCGAGAAGCCAGCTAGTCCCGCAGTCACTCCCACCCTGGTAGCAGCGCAACTCCTAGAGACAAACTCCAGCAATGGAAAGCTACTCGCACCATCTCCCACCCTCAAGCTGTCGGCAGCTCAGATGCAAGAACTCATCTCTTCGCCCGAGTCACTACCCCTACGTGCTGTCGAGAGTTCCATCGACGACATCCCCACCTTGGTCCAAGAGCATATCACGAAACCAAATGCACTAGGTATCTCTACCAAGGAACTGGTCTCGGTGCCCGAGACTACAAATCTACCCGCGCAGAGTGCCCGTCCTCCGCCGACTGCATCGAGGCCTACTGCAAGTGGCCGCTCGAATTCGACCCCTGTTATCAAGCGTAAGCCTTCGTCTGCTCAGATACCCAGGAGCTCCATCGAGAATAAAGATGCCCCGAGGTCCAGACGCCCGACCCTGAATTTGAAGGGTTCGGAATACAATCAGGGTGCTGAGGCCTTGAAACCATCACCCATGTCCGATTCGCTTCCGTCTCCAATGCCTACTGCAATCCCAGTCCCGCCTCTCTCCCTGCCCACCTATCTGCAACTCGAACTTTCCTCGGAGCGCCCATCAGCTCTCTACATACATCGTTCGGCGAGCAGCGACTTTCCGTACGAGTCCTCAAAAGTGAAGTTCGAGCGCCTATACAACTTCCTGGCTTTGCCACCTCAGTTGGAGCAGACTCTGGTCTTCGGTGCTTTGGCATGTTTGGACGCCTGGCTTTATACCTTCACTATCTTGCCCCTGAGGTTCTTGAAGGCTATCGGCATTCTTGTAAAGTGGTGGGTACAAAGTATGATCAAGGAGTTCAGAGATATCAGCTCCTTCATATACTCTGGCTTGGGTCGTGTTTGGCACCGTAGAACGCAGCCGCCTTCTGCCAACCCTTCTCGCAGAAGCTCTTTCAGTTCACCCTTGATCGACCCTGCCTCTGCCTCTGCCTCTGCAACTGCAACTGCAACCTTGGATGGTAATGATGACCCTAACTCGACGCGCTTCCAACAAGTTCCTCCAAAACTCAAAATCCCTAATCCGCTGTACCGTCACAGGCGATCCAAGTCTACACCCTCCGCTCTGCTTCCAAACCATAAAGCTGACCTTTTACATGGTGCGCTGATCATCATCAGCTGTATGATTCTTGTGCAGTTCGATGCCAGTCGCATGTACCACAAGATCCGAGGACAGGCTGCCATCAAGCTGTATGTCATCTACAATGTCCTGGAGGTTTTTGATCGCCTTTTGTCAGCTATAGGTCAGGATATTATTGAATGTCTGTTCTCGAAAGAGACTCTCGAGCGCAAGCCGAACGGTCGCAGCAAGCTTCTGCTGCCCCTAGGCATGTTCATACTTGCTCTGGCTTACAATGTCGCACATGCAGCTATGCTCTTCTACCAAGTCGTCGCACTGAATGTCGCTGTCAACTCCTACTCTAATGCTCTACTTACGCTTTTGATGTCTAATCAGTTTGTTGAGATCAAAGGAACTGTCTTCAAGAAGTTTGAGAAGGAGAACTTGTTCCAGCTGACGTGCGCAGATGTGGTGGAGAGGTTCCAGCTTTGGCTCATGCTACTCATCATTGCTCTGCGCAATATTGTCGAGGTTGGTGGTCTAAACATGAGCTCATCCAGTAGTGGCTCTACGACGACCTTCAGCCCAAACTCGACAGGATCACCTATCCAAAGTACGAGCATTCTTCCACAAGCCTTCAACATGTTCCCAACAGGTTTTGGCCAGATCTTGGGGCCATTTGTGACTGTCATTGGCAGTGAGATGATTGTCGATTGGGTCAAACACGCATACATATCCAAGTTCAACAACATCAAGCCGAGTCTTTATGGTCGTTTCCTGGATGTGCTGACAAAAGACTACTACTCACATGCTTTTGCTGACCAAAACTTGACTAAACGACTTGGTCTGCCTGTGCTTCCTCTTTCTTGTCTCTTCATCCGCGCTTCGGTGCAGACCTACCACATGTTTATCGCTACACATATGCCACTGCCTATGCCTTCGACTGCTACAGCGATCACCTTGGAGACATCCTCTGGGGAGACTTCACCCTCTACCACGGCTGCACTCGCGCACATTGATCAGATCTTCAGGAGAGCATTGGGTCGATCATCTTTTGGAGCAGGCGCTGACGCCGTTACTGGTGCCAGCTCCTGGCGCTTTTGGACGATCGACGACGCAATCGCTCTGGGCACTATGCTCGTCTTCTTCCTCATCATATATCTTGTTCTACTCGCACTAAAGCTCCTGCTTGGTATGATTCTATTGAGTTTTGCGCGCACACGATATCGCAAGATGAAGATGCAAGAGCAAAAGAAACAGAGTTTCGACACTCAAGGTCGCAGAGTCGGTGGCTGGGGAGCTGTCGAAGTGGATGAAGACAAACGACGATGGATTTACGAGGATGACCCTGAGGGTCTGAAGAATTTGAGGGAGAGGGAAGCCAAAGGCAAAGAAAAGGCCAAGGGTGAAGTGAAACTCGATGGAGTAGATAGATATATGATGGCTGCGAAAAGGATTTGGTAGATGATATTCTCGACCACTCCAGTAACTAGTCAAAAATCACAATTGCTGGCAACCAACAAGCACACATGTTTCGCTGCTAACCGCATACTGAACATGTTAGCATCATGGGACAATCACGCCGCATGGCTGATTGTCGCAGGTTCCAAAAGCCTTATCAGAATCCGCGCCAATCTGCCAATTCTCAACCGCGTAACAGTTTGGTGACGACTTTGTGAGGATTACCGTTGACAGATTCTCCAACCGCAGATCAACGAAGACACCAAGCACTCGGCATGATCTGAGGCTCAAACGCAAAGGTTGAGCTTACAGAACAAAGGGATGAGTATTGCCACAGCATGGCAGCCAGTTCTCCACGAAACTACCGCAGCGTGGTACCTTCGTGTTGCGTAATAAATGTAGACTGCTCTATAAGACGTCCGGTACGGAGTTCCGTGTCCCCAAGCAAAGTCCGCCATCTTGCGTTCCGTTCAACGTGCATATTCTGTGTCGTCATGATAAAAATCAGTATGAGGTCTGGCATGCATGACTCTCAATGTAAACTATAGGTAGGGGGTAAGCAGGTAAGGTATGCTCTACTTCTCTGTTTTTGGCTTCATCGCTGCGATTGTTTATCTACCCATTCCGCATCACATGAATTCCAGCTTCTGAAGCAAATTTACAATTCGATACGCCCTCGCTTTGAGAGGCGACTGCATCTGGTTGATTGTCTTTCTGATATACTAATCTAATTATGGACCGACCGACACCGCATACCGAGAACCTGCCAGGAGGGTTTCCGGTAACACCAGCGGAGTCATTCATACAACAGGAATCGAGGAATCACTCATATACCAGCTATATACCGTCATCCGGCAGAATAGACGAACATCCGCAAAGGATACAACAACATGACGATACATATCTCTCCTGGCATCCTGGCACCACACCCAACGATGAGGTCGCCATACCTTTGCACGAACCGAGTGAGACCTCTAGGTCTTCTGGAGAGACGGCGATACCTTCCGATGCCGAAGCATCTCCCAACCATGCCGATATGCTGTATCATCCCACAGAAGAGGTCGAGGCACCAGAGACTGTCGACAAGCGCCCAGTCGAACAAGATCCTTCATTTGCCCCCGTCAAAACGACAACAGCATCGCGACCAAAGCTATCAGGGCAAATGACCGAGGATGACTTCTTCCGTGGTCTCTCCCGCAGAAGGACAAGTCAAAGTGGTGTTCTGAGCAGAGAACAGACAAAAGAAGATGACGACGAAAGAGAAGAGATCGATCGTCTGATGTCGCGCATGTTCGGCAAGACTAGACAGGCACACTCCGAGGAAGAGAAGACCAGACACATTGGTTTAGTCTTCAAGAACCTTACGGTACGAGGTGTTGGACTTGGTGCCGCACTGCAACCTACTGTTGGAGACATCTTCCTCGGTCTTCCCAGAAAGATCAAGAATCTGGTCTCTAGAGGACCAAAAAAAGCCGCTGGTAAACCGCAAGAAAGAACAATCTTGTCAGACTTCAGTGGTGTCATCAAACCTGCTGAGATGCTGCTTGTACTTGGAAGACCAGGCTCTGGTTGCACTACTCTGCTCAAAACGCTTGCCAACCAACGAGCAGGATATACTTCAATCGACGGAGAGGTTACCTATGGCGGGACTCCTGCGGATGTGATAGGCAAGAAGTACAGGGAGGAGGTTCTGTTCATTCCCGATGAAGACCTGCATTATGCGACCATCACGGTCAAGAACACCTTGTCCTTTGCTCTGAAAACGAAAACACCCGGAAAAGAATCTCGTCTGGAAGGAGAATCTCGTGGAGCATATGTCAAAGAATTCTTGCGTATCGTTACCAAGTTGTTCTGGATTGAGCACACCCTCGGCACCAAGGTAAGAGTATCAAAAAGTATATTCGCTTCCAAGCTAACGATCTCGGCAAGGTTGGCAATGAATACATTCGCGGTGTTTCTGGTGGCGAGAAGAAGAGAGTCACCATTGCAGAGGCCATGGTAAGTCGTTCTAGTGTGCAAATGTGGGACAACTCTACAAAAGGTCTTGATGCAAGCACAGCATTAGAATACGTACAGAGTTTGAGATCTTTGACCAACATGGCTCGTATCTCTACTGCTGTTGCTTTATACCAAGCAGGAGAGTCTCTTTACGATTGTTTCGACAAGGTGATCCTCATTCACGAAGGAAAGTGTTGTTACTTTGGACACACCGAAGACGCGGTCCAGTACTTCAAAGACTTGGGCTTCGTCCAGCCTGACCGCTGGACATCAGCCGACTTTATCACTTCCGTTACTGACGAGCACGAAAGACACGTCAAGGAAGGCTGGGAAGACAAAATTCCAAGATCTGGCGAAGACTTCGATCGTCTCTTCCAAAAGAGCGAACAGAAAAAACGCAACCTCAAAGAGATTGAGGAGTTTGAAGGAGAGACTCAGCAACTCACTGACGCAAGACACGAAGCGCAAACCAAAGCTACCAAGAAGAAGAACTTTGAGGTCTCCTTCCCGAAGCAGGTCATGGCTTGTACCCAGCGACAATTCTTGGTGATGATTGGCGACAAGCAAGCGACTATGGGCAAATGGGGAGGGATTGGCTTCCAAGCATTGATTGTTGGCTCACTATTCTACGACCAGCCAAAGACTGCCACTGGAGCCTTCCCTCGAGGAGGTGTGATGTTCTTCTCGCTGTTGTTCAATGCCCTTCTCGCTCTGGCTGAACTTACAGCCGTCTTCCAATCTCGACCTATTCTACTCAAGCACAAGAGTTATCAATTCTATCGACCAGCCGCCTTTGCTATTGCTCAAACTGTCGTCGATGTTCCTCTGGTTTTCGTCCAAGTTTTCATCTTCGACATCGTCGTCTACTTCATGTCTGGTCTCCAGAGGACAGCTTCGCAATTTTTCATCTCATTGATGTTCCTGTGGATAGTCACAATGACCATGTACGCTTTGTTCAGAGCGGTAGGGTCACTTGTTGCATCTCTCGATGTCGCCACTAGAGTCACGGGACCAGTTATCCAGATCTTGGTGGTATACACTGGATATCTTATCCCGCCACGAAAAATGCATCCTTGGTTCGCGTGGCTACGCTGGGTCAACCCAGTCCAATACGGATTTGAAGGTCTGATGTCTAACGAGTTCTACAATTTGGAGCTCCAGTGCAATCCACCATATCTGGTGCCCCCAAACGCACCCTCTGCGGAGTATCAGTCATGTGCTCTTCAAGGAAGTACACCAGGCTCCACAACCGTCAACGGTGCCAGCTACATCAAGACTGCATTCACATACTCCCGTAGTCACCTGTGGCGGAACTTCGGGTTCATATGCGCATTCTTCATATTCTTCGTTGCGCTTACGGCCCTTGGTATGGAGCTGCAGAAGCCCAACAAGGGTGGCGGTGAAGTCACGGTCTTTAAACGTGGTCAGGTCCCCAAGTCGGTTGAGAAGGAAGTCGAGACTGGAGGAAGGACTAGCGATGAAGAATCTGGCGAGCCAACTCAAGGTCAGGTCGACGGTACCCCGAACAACGAAGATGCTCGCAAAGGATCCGATTCTGACGACACGGTCGCGGCCATCGCCAAGAACGAGACCATCTTCACATGGCGGAACGTCAACTACACTATTCCGTACGAAGGTGGAGAGCGCAAGCTTCTGCAGGATGTGTCTGGATTCGTGCGTCCCGGCAAATTGACAGCTCTGATGGGAGCTTCGGGAGCTGGAAAGACTACTTTGCTGAACACTCTGGCTCAACGTATCAATTTTGGTGTTGTATCAGGAGACTTCCTTGTTGACGGCAAGCCTCTTCCTAGAAGTTTCCAACGAGCCACTGGTTTCGCAGAACAACAGGATGTCCACGAACCGACTGCTACTGTGCTAGAAGCACTCAGGTTCTCCGCCAAACTTCGTCAGCCAAAAGAGGTCTCTCTCGAAGAGAAGTATGCATACTGTGAAAATGTACTCGACTTGCTTGAGATGCGAGATATTGCTGGTGCTACTATCGGCAAAGTCGGTGAGGGTCTCAATCCAGAACAGCGCAAACGTTTGACCATTGCTGTCGAACTGGCCTCGAAGCCTGCATTACTGATCTTCTTGGACGAGCCGACCTCAGGTCTCGATTCAGGCGCCGCTTTTAACATCGTCCGCTTCCTTAGGAAACTTGCGGACGCTGGACAAGCTATCTTGTGCACAATTCATCAGCCTTCGAGCGTTCTGTTCGAGGAGTTCGATGATCTCTTGCTTCTCAAGAGCGGCGGTCGTACTGTGTACCATGGCGAGCTCGGCGAGGGATCGAAGAAATTGATTACCTATCTGGAGAAGAACGGCGAGCAGGAATGTCCACACGATACAAACCCAGCCGAATGGATGCTCGAGGCCATCGGTGCAGGAAATCCCGACTACAATGGACCCGACTTTGGAGATCTCTGGGAGGAATCTGATGAGAAAAAGAAGCAGCAAGAGGAAATCCAGAGCATGATCCAAGACCGCCGCAAAGCTTCTGGCGGAGCCAAAACTGATGATGATCGCGAGTATGCCATGCCACTCGGTACGCAAATCGTCACTGTGGTCCGCAGATCCTTCGTTGCCTACTGGCGTTCTCCCCAATACGTTGTCGGCAAATTCATGCTGCATATCTTCACAGCACTCTTCAATGGCTTCACCTTCTGGAATCTCGGAAACTCGCAGATCGATATGCAGAGTAGACTGTTCTCCATCTTCATGACCTTGACCATTTCACCACCGCTGATTCAGCAGTTGCAACCTCGCTTCCTCAACTTCAGAAATCTGTATCAGGGCAGAGAGGCCAGCTCGAAAATCTACAGTTGGGTTGCTTTCGTGATCGGTGCGATTGTTGTCGAGATACCTTATTCGCTGGTTGCTGGAACTATCTACTGGTGTGCTTGGTATTTCCCGCCAGGCTTCCCTCGTGGCACATACCGAGCTGCATCTGTCTGGCTGTTCATCATGTCATTTGAGCTGTTCTACATTGGTTTCGGTCAGGCGATTGCCTCGTAAGTTTTCCTTGTTCAAACTTTTGTCCAACACAAGCATTGCTAATATCTTCCTAGATTTGCCGCCAACGAACTTCTCGCTTCGTTGCTAGTACCCATATTCTTCCTCTTCGTCGTCTCCTTCTGCGGTGTCGTCGTCCCCTACCAAGCTCTCCCTTACTTCTGGCGCAGCTGGATGTACTGGCTCTCCCCCTTCAAATATCTCCTCGAAGGCCTGCTGGCGCTTGTGACCCATGGCTTGCCCATTGAGTGCGATGCTCAAGAACTTGCTAGCTTCCCTGCTCCACCCGGCCAGTCCTGCGATGCTTACGCTGGCCCCTACGCCCAACAATCTGGAGGCTATGTGATTACTCAAGCTAATGGACTTTGCGGGTTCTGTCAATACAGAGATGGAGATGCGTTTACGGCAAGCTTCAATGTGTACTGGAGATATGTGTGGAGGGATTATGGTATCTTTTGGGTGTATATTCTGTTTAATTTTGCGGTTGTGTTTGTGTGTTCTTGGTTGTATCTGCAGGGTGTAGGCAAGATCAAGAAGTTTCTCAGTCCGGCGGCGAGGAAGCAGAAGAAGGCTATTAAGCAGAGGGAGAAGGAGGGACAGGATGAGAAGAGAGGTTGTGTGGTTGTGTGATAGTTGAGAGAGAGGCAGAACAATCGTAGAGAGACTTTCCTGCTTGGTATAAAGCAACAGCAGTAGAGATACGAGCCATGTTGGTCAAAGATCTCAAACTCTGTACGTATTCTAATGCTGTGCTTGCATCAAGACCTTTTGTAGAGTTGTCCCACATTTGCACACTAGAACGACTTACCATGGCCTCTGCAATGGTGACTCTCTTCGTCTCGCCACCAGAAACATCGCGAAAACCACGTACATATTAGAGTTGAGATAATGAATCTGAAGTCATGGCTCTCAGTAGACGCTCCCCTTTCCAGAAGACCATTGTACATTCATATAGCTGACATGACTATACCTTGGGGTTGCACCTAGTGAGTAGCTTCTATGCACTCTTGTTAAACGCGATGCGCATCAATCTTTGACCTATCAAAATGCACAATGGAACTCGGGTGAGAGGTCTGTCCAGAGAGAAAGAGCCTAAGCAGGCGACGCTCTCGATAGATGCTCAAGCTACCTCGGCAGACCAGTCTGCATCGCGATAGCTATATGCTCGGATGGAGCTATCATGGAGGCGAGCCAGGCTTTCGATTAGGTTCTCGTTTATGTCAAGCTAGATAACTTCAAGGCCGATGGTATTCATAGAGTCGTCGTCCCGTGAAGCCAAACACTTCTGGTCGAGCGGCCCTGCGCAGGAGCAACTTGGTTGGATTCTGTGCATCCTAAGCTAAACTGGCAAGCGCTTTTGTCAACTTTGCGTTAATGCCATAGCATGACTCGTTGATGATTTTGGGGAATTTCTTGGGTCTGAGTGGTAAAGCGTTAAAGCCGATTGATTTTTTGATCGGGTTTCTATGATCAATGTCAAGCCAAACATCGCTTTCGACATCGTCTTGGTCCATCTCTTCCTCCTTCTCGTTGCGTTTCTCGAGCACTTCGCCGTTTCTCTCCGTCGTCTTTTTCTGAGTCTCCGTTGGAGTTGTTGATGTCCAAAGCATTTTCACCTTCTTCCGCTCAGTTCACACGCCGAGTCGATAGGCACTCGCCAGCGGACCATTTCCACCCGAACCAGATGTTTCGAGAGCTTCACTTCGCATCAGCTAGCAGGCTGGGGAGAACGCTCCATATCAGAAGGAATCAACGAAACACATCTAGTCCTTGCAAACGACCGAACTCAGGATCTTTCGCGTAGTTGACAATGCTTGCTCTAGGTTTCGACGAAAGTTGCGCCAGACTTTGCACGTAGATGCTTCATTCGGACAAGAAGTTCGCGCCTCGACACCATACTTACAGGACCAAAGCATCGATTGCGGGAACCGAGCATCGGACAGCGCTCATCCAACAATGAGCCTGAGAACCCACGGCAAGCCTCGAGAGGAGCCGACGATGCATCTCAATCAAGTCTTAAAATCGAATGGGTGATCGAAGAGAAGGGCACTGGCAAAAGCGAATCCAATGAATGTACGAGTTCTAAGGCCACGAAGGTATTGAAGAGGAAAGAGAGCGGGAATCTCGAGCAGGGACAGTTGGAGGCGACGGTCAGGTCGACAAGGGAGTGGTGAAGCATAAGGATGCGTGTCTCGAGATCCTGGTCAGGAAGACCAAGCCATCTGAACACAAAGAGGCAACGACTAGGTCCCACGCTGTACGTCTGACTGAGGGACCACTACCGACATGATCTCGGAGGTATCGTGATGGTGATTACTGGAGGCACTGTCCAGGGTCAGAGATGGGCATGAGAGGCTGGTTAAAGACAAAGCCGGGCGAGCAGCCATCGGAGGGCTAGACCCGATCGAACTCCGACTTCCTGCTCCGCGATATTCCGATCTGCTCCAGGTATGGAGTCCAGAGGCATGCCACGGCTAGAAGCCCGAGTTCCATGGAAACAATAAACCGCTGAATCGCGTATGGCTTGCGCGTGATGACTATTTGCAAAAGGAAAAGTTTCCGCTACGGGTAGGCCAGTAGAAAAAGCGGCATCTAGCAGAGAGAATAGGGCGCGTGCGGCATCACGAGGAGGACAAAGACCACCCCGTGGGGGAAATTTGGGGAAATCGCGAACCTACGGAGTACTCTCATCTCGACCAGTACGAGAGAGAATTGTCATTCCTCGAGTGAGAGCCTGAGGGGTGATTGGTGCATACTATTCATCCAGTCGAGCATCAGGTAGTGAGCATCAAGAAACATGTACCATGAAAGTGCTCTTTTTTCTCTTTGTTGTAAAAGTACATGCACCTGTTCTCGGGCTGCTTCCGAATGGGCCAAAATTTGTCACAGCGTTGCGGTTGGTCTAGCCCTCACTCTCAGGATGTATCGCAGCATTGTGAGCCACGGGGATGCACAACTAGGTTTGAATGAGCGAAGAATCCAAAGAGAGTCCTAGAGACACTACTGCACCACGCTCAGGACTCCAATCTCATGGCAACTGTGCATCTCTGCAGCTGTGGATGTGACAGACTTTTGTGCATGGAGAGGTTGCACCCCGCAAGTTGCAATAATTAGAACGCATCACGATGCGGGAACCTGGGCCGCAGTATTTCGTAGCCATTACTTAATAACGCACCCGACTTCTTCCCTTGGACCGCTTTTCATACGGCCAACTCTTCTTGACTCGCAACAAGAAAACAACGCAACTGATAGACACTCGTCGTGAATTGTCCGCGTTTCCCCGCCGAGGCCCAGGAGATTCCGGTCAGTTATCGCAGTTTTGCTCCGCCAAACGTTTCCATCCAATTACAAACGGTTCATTGGACGCTTCCGTAAGTCTACGCCCTCCCTAGGCAGTATCTAGCGCCCAAAAGGCCTCGGCAGATCCATCGGAGCACCAAGGGTTGTGGGGAAACTGCTCGAGCTCCATGAGAAAGTAGCGCAGGAGCTGATCCGAGAGAGAGCTCAGGTCGAGTACAAATATGTCTTCATCGTCTGGTTTTGAACCTGTCCGACCATACTCTCCTGCTCCTCCCCTCGAACAAGACTTCATTAGGCAGCAGATTGCCAAGCAACAGAAAGGAAACTTCCACTCTACATCACTCAAGATGGTTTCAAGCGTCAACAAGACCAACCTTCACCCTAGTGGTGTCCAGCCCCAGCGTGAGCACACCGAGATCGAGGAGGAGCTCCACGAGAAGGCACACATTGACTACGATCGTGTCGCTATTGTGAGTTGGATTGAGGACTTTTTGTCCTTGTACCCTAGCTGACCCATGTGCAGGTTGCCAACCCCTCGGTTGCAGCTCTTTACGAGGATGCCCTCGTCTACGAAACCGGTTCGGCCATCACATCATCTGGAGCCCTTTCAGCATACTCGGGAGCAAAGACTGGTCGTTCGCCCTCAGACAAGCGTATTGTCCGCGAGCCCAGCTCGGAGAAAGAGATCTGGTGGGGTCCCGTCAACAAGGAAATGAGCCCTGAGGTCAGTACTGCCTTGCACACTCCCCGATCGCATCGATGAGAAAGATTTGGTTGCTGGGTGGTGGCCCGAATTGTTTTCGCATAGCGGAGCCTCGACTGCGGGGCGCGGGCCACTACGTCAGCCTCTACCCCACTTTGCATCTCGGGCAAGCGCGGCGGCTCGGGAGTCCGCATTGATGCTTCGGCATCCCGATCGGCTGCCCACGCTTGCCTTCGGCTTTGCCGATCCCCCTTCGATCAGCATCACATGAAAGTCAATAGATGCACCTTTGCTGACCACCTTTGGAAACACAGGTCTGGAAGATCAACAGAGAACGCGCCGTCGACTACCTCAACACCAGAAACCGCATCTACGTTATCGATGGTTACGCCGGCTGGGATGAGCGCTACAGAATCAGAGTCAGAGTCGTGTGTGCTCGTGCATACCACGCTCTGTTCATGCGCAACATGCTCATCCGCCCCTCGAGAGAGGAGCTCAAGACCTTCCACCCCGACTATGTCATCTACAACGCCGGTGCCTTCCCTGCCAACAGATTCACCACTGGTATGACCTCGGCCACCTCGGTCGCCATCAACTTCGCCGAGAAGGAAATGGTCATCCTCGGTACCGAGTACGCCGGTGAGATGAAGAAGGGTGTCTTCACCGTCCTCTTCTACGAGATGCCCGTCAAGCACAACGTCCTCACTCTCCACTCGTCTGCCAACGAGGGCAAGAACGGTGATGTCACCGTCTTCTTTGGTCTCTCCGGTACTGGCAAGACCACCTTGTCTGCTGACCCCAAGCGTGCCCTGATCGGTGATGACGAGCACTGCTGGTCCGACAAGGGTGTCTTCAACATCGAGGGTGGCTGCTACGCCAAGACCATTGGTCTCTCTGGCGAGAAGGAGCCCGACATCTTCAACGCCATCAAGTTCGGCTCCATCCTCGAGAACGTCGTCTTCGACCCCACCACCAGAATCGTCGACTACGACGACTCGACCCTGACCGAGAACACTCGCTGCGCCTACCCCATCGAGTACATTGAGAACACCAAGATTCCTTGCATCTCATCTGGCCACCCCACCAACATCATCCTCCTCACTTGCGACGCTCGTGGTGTCCTTCCTCCCATCTCCAAGCTCACCCCCGAGCAGACCATGTTCCACTTCATCTCTGGTTACACTTCCAAGATGGCCGGTACCGAGGACGGTATCACCGAGCCCCAAGCTACCTTCTCATCCTGTTTCGCCCAGCCCTTCTTGGCCCTGCACCCCATGCGCTACGCTACCATGCTCGCCGAGAAGATCAAGGAGCACAAGGCCAATGCCTGGCTCCTCAACACCGGTTGGGTCGGTGCCGGTGCCACCACCGGCGGCAAGCGTTGCCCCCTCAAGTACACCCGTGCCATCCTCGACGCCATCCACAGCGGCGAGCTCGCCAACAACGAGTACGAGACCTACCAGACCTTCAACCTGCAAGTCCCCAAGACCTGCAGCAACGTTCCCGACGAGGTCCTCAACCCCGCCAAGTGCTGGACCGGTACCGCCGACTTCCAGGGCGAGGTCAAGAAGCTTGGTGTTCTCTTCAACGACAACTTCAAGAAGTACTCGAGCGAGGCCACCGAGGAGGTCATCAAGGCCGGTCCTCAGGTCTAAGGTGCTCCCTCCGTATTCCGGGTGGGCATCGCGCCACCTTCTTCGATGAGTTGACGAAAATTTGTGCATGACTTGCTTCTTTTCTGGGATGGTGTTTTTTTCTCTTGCCACGTTTCTTCATAATACCAGCGCCGCGCAAAAGATTGTACGCGTATCCGTTTAGTTTGTTGCTATTGCAAGGGATCACTCCTAGATAAATTGTACTTGGAGTTCAATCAATTTCAAAAAACATTTCAAACAAATCTTTTGTCTCCATTGCCTAATATCCTCATGTGCCACTGGAGCAACTTTGCTTCCTACTCGTGAGTCACCTTGTTCGTACGGGAATCCTCCACTAGATGGCTCTCACTAGACTTGGTTCGAATGTCAAAGGTATCTTGCATCATATTGACAACCACTCACTTGCATAAATCATGACGAGAAAGCTACTGATCTGTACGTTCTAGTCGAAGTCAAGTCACTTCCACTTTTCACAATGAAGGGACAGATAAGTGAAAGCAATGTTATGTTCTGCGATTGTAAAGAGGAAAAGTAACAATGTAGATGCCGCTGAAACGCTACAAAGAAGAACAGAACAAGATATGAACGACACTACGAAATATACCAAGCAAACCATCAAGCACGCTTCGCTGCCAAACCAAAAAATCAAAACAATGAATGCAATGAAAATCTGAGCCGAAAAGCCCAGTAAACCTGGGAGAATCAAGCACGCGTCTTGAACAGCATCCTCAACCCACTCGGCTCTTTCTTCTTTTTCTTTTCCTTGTCCTTTGAACTGCCAGCCGTAGACTCCTTGTCACTCTTTGCATCCTTCTTGCTCTTTTTAGACTTGGTCGTCTTCTTCGACTTGCTCGAACGCATAGACTTGAGATCTTGTTCCCTCAGCACACCATCTGCAACAAGAAGTCTACCAGCATCCGGAGTAAGGAATTCGCCATCAACACTGGTTCCCAAACTTTGGGCTTCGGCATCAGCAATGCCGCGACGCCATACTTCGATGTGACTGAGATCGCTGTCGAGTTCGTAAAGTTCGTCGTACTCGGAAACAGAGTCGTTATCTGCGATCTGGCGTTGAGAATTGGCTTTGGACTCTGCAGCGTCTTCTTTGTGCTTTTGGATCTTTTTGATGATTTTGTAGCCGCCGAAAGCGATGACTGTAACGCCTACACCGAGGCCGGCGGCGATCATGAATTGTGGGGATGCGAGTAGGGCTATGATGGCTGGGAAGGCTGTCTTCATTGATGTGAGTACGCCAGGTGCCATTTTGGCTGCCATGGTGCTGATTTCGCCGAGGGTCAAGGCTACAGCGGCTAAGGCATCTGGGTTCTTTTGGAGGTTCTCGATGGTGGCGATGACGGAGTGCTGGACGCAATTTGCTTCGTCGAGGAGTTGTTGCAGTTTAGTCATCTTGTCTCGCAACTCGATTTCGTTCGCTTGAGGGCGTTCTGGCAGTGGTGGGGGTAATTCGCCATAGGCAAGGTCCATGTCGATGTCTGCCTCTGATGCTGAACGTGAAGTTCTCGATCTGTGAGCTCCTTGGCCCAGGTCGGTGGTGTGTCTTCGGACCAGTTCGTTGTGCTGTCTTTCTCCATCCTGAGTAAATTCATTGCGGAGTCCTGACTGTCGGCGGCTTGTAGTGGTCGAAGGTATATCGTTGACATAGAAACTATCCGAGTAACCACGGTCCACAACCGGACGCTCGCGATGTGACCTCTTGTCTCTACTCGACTTGTGAGAACGGCGAGAGGTTTGTGAAGCACGGTCGTCCTCTAGTGTAAATTTCTCCAGTGTTTTCTGGACACGCTTCTGCTCGAGCTCTGCATTCCGAACAGCTTTGATCTCGGCTTTGCGTTCTCTGTAGGCTGATTTGGCTTCTTTGAAGACGTTGACGACTTGTTTGCCCGTACTGACGACTTTGCCAGACTTGTTGACCACGGTCACTGTTTGGCCGAGTGTCATATTCTATGAGAATTTGTTGTAGATGTTCTTGTACGTAAGATAATATTGTTCCGCAAATGAATGAGCTTGACCGGCAAGCAAGTTTGAAAGCGGTGAATTCGTGACTCTAGCTGTTATAGGTCTTGATGATGCGCATGTGTCGTGATTTTGAAAATGAGGGGGCTGGTTCCTTTATGTGGCGGTGTGCAAAAGATAAATGAGATCCTCCGGAGAACAAAGATACGATGAAAGTGTTCGGTCGTCTGACAAAGCGAAATTCTTTGAAGTCGAATGAAGAATACGATCTTGAGTTGTCGGATGATATAGTTTCCGCCTATGTGATGGTTTTGGGCAGGTATGCTGGACAAGCAGCTAGTCGTCACGCAAGTGCTTGTTGGTAGCTTTGGGCTGTCGGATTGTTCGTCTCGTGCATCCGCTGTAGGAACTGTAAGTTCTGGCACAATGTGAATGGTCAGTCGGGTGGAAAAGTCGACGCGCTTGCTGTGGCTTTATGGGACCGTCGCTGCATAGGGTGCAGACGCGCAGGTGTCAGCACCGACCGCGCATCTGATGGAACATGTTCGATTATGCGCTTCCCAAGCCCACGGGTATTTCGATCCGATTGATTGACCTATGACATTCCTCCCAGGTTGCCAGGTTTTCGATGATCCGCGAATCATTGTCTACACAGTTTTGTGGCTGCGTATCGCCACGTGTGGCTGTGCGACAAAGTAGCGTCTTCACATTTGATATCTTTCTTCCAGCGACTCAGTAGCGAGTTATGGGAGGATTCTAGATCTGGTCCACAGGGAGCCTGTCGAGGCAGCTTCCTTCTGTGGATGTCACTCCCTCCTCGAAAGCATTGTGAGAAGTTGCAGCTACACGTTCGAAAAGCAGCACGGGGCGGAGAGAAGTAGTCGACCTGATGTGTCTCAATAGCCTCGTATCCAGACTCGAGCAGCCACGTTGCCCCTTGTGAATGAGAATTCGCCTCCAACATACATCTTGCTTGGGTCGCTTTCCTTTGGGCACTGACAGGAAGAAGAAAAGAAGCGATGGAAGACATGTTGCTCTCTCGAGTAGCAGCTGCTAAATATTGGGCCCTTGAAACCAGCAGTCACAACGCGCAATACTTTTCAGATTTAGCAAAACACCCAGAAGAGACGAGCTGGCAGCTCTCTATGGACTATCACCTACGGTATTGCTTAGAAGCACAGTATATTTTGCAGTCGAGAAACATACCAGGGCTCGAGGAGGGCGCGTCTGTACCGCAATCACTACGTCAGAGGGTGGGCACGGTTACTGACATTTACTCCAGCCGCAGACCCATGCATGTTACCCGCAAGTGGAAGGTGACATTGCGACAAGGAAGTGATAGGCCAAGATAATTACCCCAAACTCTCGATAGCACCTCTTGCTCCAACTCCCGGACATGTTGGAGACATCGGTACATCGTCAGAATATATTAATCGTGTCACGGGTAGGCCAAGCTGAAGACATCCATTTGTGCGGCACTAGATCACATAGCCGTTCCTCCTTCTTCGACTTCCGCTTCGTCAACCTCTTCGCTCTAGAATCAAAAAACCATGGCACCTGACTGGAGACAGATAGCCTCGGAGAAACGTGATTCGGTTCTCGCACTTATACCTGAGGAATGGCGCGTCCCTGCACCACCATCCGCAGAAGAGCAGAGAGATGTCACTGGCAAATACATCCAGCAGTACCTAGATCCTAAGGAGATCGAGATAACCGAAACAGAAGCCACTGCTATTGTCGAGAAGACTAGTAGTGGACAATGGACCGCTGTCGAAGTCACAAAGGCTTTCTGCCATCGCTCTGCCATTGCCCATCAACTGGTGAGTCAGATGGAAGCGGCACACACATGAAGTCCCAGCAGTGCTGAACTGCTGTCAGGTGAACTGTCTCCACGAGATCTTCTTCGATGCTGCAATCGAATCTGCTAAGGAACTCGACCAATACTTTGCAAAGCACAAGAAGCCCATGGGACCTCTGCACGGTTTGCCAGTATCACTAAAGGATCAATTCCACGTCAAGGGTGTCGAAACTCACATGGGCTACGTTGGGTGGATTGGCACTTTCCAGGGCGAGAAGGGCACAGGTAAGGAGAAAGTATACGAGTCTGAGATGGTCAAAGAACTACGCAAGCTCGGCGCTGTTCTGTATGTGAAGACAGCCGTGCCGCACACTTTGATGTGTGGTGAAACGACCAACAACATCATTGACTATTGCTGGAACCCTACCAACAGAAACCTCAGCGCTGGAGGTAGCTCTGGTGGTGAAGGCGCCCTCATCGCGCTCAAAGGCAGTGTTCTCGGCTTCGGGACTGATATTGGTGGGAGTATCAGAATCCCTGCTGCGTTCAATGGACTTTTCGGCCTGAGGCCTAGTACTGGAAGACTTCCTTACGAGGGTATGGCCAACTCGTTCGATGGTGCCCCGAGTATCTTGAGCGTCGTTGGACCGCTATCAACATCATCTGCCGGTCTCAAGTTGGCTGTGAAGTCCATTCTGCAGACTGAGCCGTGGCACCACGACCCACGCGTACACCCCATTGCCTGGAGAGGCGAACAGGAAGAGGCCACCAGAAAGCTGGCACAGGAGAAGAAGCTTACCTTTGCGGTCCTGAAACACGACGGCAACTGTGCTCCTCATCCCCCACTCAAGAGAGCACTCGAAGAAACTGTTCAAAAACTCGAGTCTCAAGGTCATAAGGTCATCGAGTGGCAACCTCCTAGTCATGTCAAACTCGAAGAGATTTGTTACAAGGCATGGAACTACGATGGTGGTGAAGACGCCGCGAAGGCTTTTGCTCTCAGCGGAGAAGACCACAAGCCTAACATTATGTTCGAGCGGACACCAGTAGCCGATGCGACCGAGATCATGAGCAACCAGGTCGCAAAAAGAGACGCTGAGAAGGAGTACATGGAATACTGGAACTCTACCAGCGAATTGACTGGCACTGGTCGCCCAGTGGATGCTGTCATTTCTCCTCTCGCACCCTTTGCTGCGGCTCGTCCTAACAAATACACGACCAGCAGCTACTCGGTATGGGTCAATGTTCTTGACTACAGCTCGGCGATTGTGCCAGTCACCAAAGTCGACAAGAATGTGGACAAGGCCTACACAAACTTCAAGCCAGTGTCGGAGGTAGATGAGAAGACGCAAGCAACGTGTAAGTTTGCCATGACGGCTATTCGAGCTTTTCCTGATTCTGCACAGATGACCCAGAGATTTATGATGGAGCCCATGTCTCGCTGCAGATCGTGTGTAGACGATTGGAGGAGGAGAAGGTGTTGGCAATTTCAGACTATGTTCACCAGACTATTCATGGTTGAGTTTGTGACTGTTCACGTCGCCAGATCAAGTTGTTTCCTTGGTCCCTGAAGTGGAAGGGTGTTGAGTCGTGCGGCCAGATGGCGATATAATAGCACTATCGAAATGCACGGCTTTAACTCGAACAGAAGTGTGGCCGTGAATACTGTTTGACGAGTCGTTCCTACCAAATGTGTCACTTCGGTCTCCGAGGTGTCGTGTGTTTCTGCAGTTACAATGTGACAGGCTTCAGCACACAAGGAGACAAGAGAAGTCTCGAGTACAAAACGGAGGCTTATGCACAAGAGGGTTTTTTGAGAAAGTCACACGTGCTGAGGCAGGGTGGCCTGGAGTCGGGGTCGGCAACAGAGGGCTCGCGAAAGGCTTGGCCTCGAACAGCTTATAACTCTAAAGAGTCAACTTGCTCTCGTCCTTCCACGTCGCTGGCGTGTGGCATGGAAACATTGAGGACGCTCTGAGAAAGCAAAATGCCCGAGGACATCTAAAGACGTCGAATGACATCTTCTGGACTTCAACACGGCCTCCACCCGCGCCTCGATTGACGAGAAAAAAGCCGTCAATGGCAGAGGCCTCTTCCATGACACCGGCCACAATGTCCACGCCCTCGAGTTCCGCTGCAAACACCGTGACAGGCGCTGCCAATGGACCTCAGCACGACTCTGCATCGCACGACCACTCGACCAATGGCAGCCAGAACGGCCTCGACAACAGTTTGGACTCGTCGACCAAGGCTCCCAAGGACCGCAGCTGCCCGTTTTGCAACCAAGCCTTCACCTCTTCATCCCTCGGCCGTCACCTGGACCTCTACATCAAGCCCAAGGTATCTATCCTCGTCTCATCTGTCTGCTCCCATCCTCTCGCTGACCTCGATGGCGGCAGAATCCCAAGCCGGCTGATGGCATCCACGACGTCGAAAAGATCAAGGTCATGCGAGGCGGCATTACGAGACGCCAGCCGAGAAACAGTCTGAGGGCTAGTGCAAATAACAACAGCAGGCTCCAACACGACGACGACGGCGCCAGCGACCGCGGCACCCCCACCGGCCAATGGGGTCGTCGTATGACCATCTCGTCCCAGGACACGGCCGGCGGTGCCTCGAGCGCCATGGGTGTCAGCCCCGTCAATCTGCGCGACTCCCGCTTCGGCCTCAACACTACATCCTGGCAGAGCACTGGTGTCATCAACAACCTACCGCCACGCATGTCCGATTCCTCGTCGTCCAACCACATGAACCCTGCCCTCGTCCAGCGCTCCTCGCAAGCCAAAGACCAAGAATCTCAAGACAATGCAAAGGCTGCCGAGTTGGCTCTACGTGAGTTGCTCGACAGTCTCGAGGCTGCCAGGTACTCTTTTCGCTTTTTCGCTGCTTTTTTTTCGCTCCATGCTGACCCTCTCCCCGCAGACGCCGCGTGTCACACCAAGACGTCTTCAACTTCGACTTTTGCTCCATGAACTTTCCCTCGCTCTGTCTGCATGCGCTCCCCGCTCCTCAAACCCTTTTCTCCATGACTCCATTCGCCAGCAGCGAGTCGTGGTCCCTTGACGTTCCCTCCGATGCCCAGCTCGATGCTCTACAACGCCAAATCACCCAACGTGTCCAACAAAAGCCTACTCCTACCCCCGAAAAAGATGTCCGCAGGTTACAAATGCATCTACAGGCTGCTTGGAACAACTGGTCGCCTCTCTCGGACAAAGATAAGAGCTCGACTTGGGGGATTGAGATCTTGCGTGCCTTTGCTCGTGCCGATCAGCGTTCAAAAGAGAAGGATGAAGAATTGGTCAAGGCACAACAAGAAATTGCCCAGCTCAAGGAGCAGTTTGCCCGCATGAGCAATCTCCAGCTGCCCCGCGAGTTCATGCTGCAGCCTCCCGTCTCTCTGCCCCTCGATCCTGCTATCGTCTCGGACATGATGACCAAGGATCAATCTCGCGATTGGGACTACGATCGTATGATTGGCAGATGGAGAGGTGCTGTCAAGGCTGGCAAGCTCGGTGGTGCTGCCGTCACCCTTGTACCCTCGCCAAACGAGCAGGCTGCCATCTCAACCCCATCGGGCCCCTCCGCTGCCTCGACAAGAAGTATTCAGCCCGCTACAGCTCACCTACCTGCAACTTCCCCCTACGATACCAGGACAACCCATACGCCTCTCCAGAACGGACATGCATCTTCTCATGCGGCCGCTCCTCGTCAAATTGGTGCCCACCAGATTGATGACGACGAAGACGCTGATGCTGATGCAGACGCTGACGCTGACGCCGATGCTGATGCCGATGCCGACGGCGAGGATGCCCCCATGACCAACGCACCCTGGGGTTCTCACCCTCAGCACAGCTTCACTGACACCCACATGGGTGGCATGACCAACGCCAATGGCAAGCGTCCTCCTCCTCCCTTCGATCGTTCCAACTCGAAGAACTCGAAGTTGTACCACGATAGCCCACTTCCTTCCGATACCGACGTCTTTGGGGCACGCGTCGCCGGTCAGGTCTAGGAAACGCCGGATCACGCTCACACGACGATTTAGCACCATCATATTCGTACCGATCCCGTCACAAGCCCTCGTGGCAGTTTCACTGTACAGGGTTCCCTGAATGGGACCACTTTTGGTTATCTTTCATACCTTTTTCTTTTCTGTTTCCACTCACGTTTATATCCCCCCCAAATCTCTTGTTTTCGCCAGAGGCAGTACAATGTTTTGTTTCTCAGAATTAGGAGGAAATGCCATTGTATGTGTTGCTGATGCACAGAGAGAGATGCCATTGTTAACGAGACCTTGTCTTTGCTGTTTTTCTCTTTCTCTTCCTGACATTTCCACGCAGCATTAACGAGAAATTCGAAAAAAATGCCCACTCCACACCCACCGCTCTTCCCTTGTTTCTTTTGCTATGTCAGATCCATTGCTACTTTTGCTTTTGCTGTGGTTCTTTTTAGCACCGCCCCCCAGATTGTCGTCTCCTTGCTTGTTTCCTGCGATGCGAAGATATCAATTGTCTTGGAGGAGAAACTTTTTTACCCCTTGAAATGTTCCGATTCTCACGAGCTTTTGTGATGAAGAAAAAGATTGTTTGTTTTTGCGTGCACGGATTGAACTCAAGCCTGACTAATTCCCAAGGCTTTTGTTCTTTTGCGTGTTGTTTTGAAGTGTTTTGTTTTTCCCAAGAGAAGGGGTTATGCGTTATTCTACATTATATGTCATTTTTCCAATCGAATATGTCATGGATGTATGTCATCTCCTCCTAACATCCTCGTGTTCGTTCTTACTCCTTGCTGTTTGTCGTGCTCTTCTCAAACAAATTGGTATATGGCTGAAAGCGAAGAAGAAGAAGAAGAAAAAAGAAATCCCAAAATCGCCATCCACAAAACGCCATCACGATGCCCTTTCCTCATGCACAATGCCCTCTTCTCACAAGACCACATGTCTTGCTCCAATATTTGTCTCCCTCCCTGTGATATAATTCCATGGCTGCTCTGTCATCGAACCTCTAAAACTCCCCCAAGCTCATCTCCTTCCGGCTTTCTCGTTGTCGTCATTCATTTTCTCCTAGTGAGCACTTTCCTCGTCATCGGTGTAACTGCCACCGCCTCCACGTCTAGGGAAGCCATTCTGGATCCACCAGATGAGGAAACCGAGGAGGGTCAGGAGGATGAAGAGGACGATTATGATGACGGCGATGACGATGTTGCGTTTCATTGTTGCGAGTAGGTATGTGTGTGTGTATGGTAGATGGAGGGCTTCTTGTTTCTTTGAGGTTTGGTGTCAAGGTGTGGTGGACGGCGTTGATGGTTGACGAGTTTTCTGAACTGTTGAGATAGGATAGGAGGTATGTCTTTGGTTGCTTGGTTGAATGTGCAAGAATAATCAGGTTTTCTGAATCACACCAAAAGCTGTCGCTTTCCAAATGCAAAATATTGACAAGATACAGTTCTTCGTGATGACCGTTGGGATCAGAATACAACGGTCGGGAATTAAAAAAAGCGGTGTTGTCAAATCCCTTTTGTTTGTGTGAAGCTTCAAGGTGGTTGGTATTGCTGGGGCGTGGCTGGATGGCTGGGGGGATTTACAGTGCATGAAACACACACTTCTTGATGGCTACATACGATTCTGCCTTGTTTTTTTTTCTTCTCTCTAATGCTTTGATTGCGAATCCAATCCAATGAATCATGCCATGAGAATTTTCAGGAGCAGGGGGCGGTTCGAAAAGTAAATTTGCGGGATGCAATGCAGGCTTCTCAGGTGTTGAGGTGACAACGCAGAGTCGGGATGTTGCTTGATTTTTGCATCATTCGTATTCTGCATGCCCAAGGCTTACAGAAGCCTGTTCAGTTGCTCGTTTCACTCTCTGCTTTTCTTCGAACCGAACCTTCCAGCTCTTCTCCAAGGATGAATCCTTGCTCAATGCCCCCTTTCTGGTTTTTGGGACATTTTCCTTTCCTTTTCCATTTGTTTACTCGAGATCGGCGCATGTGAAAGAATGCGGGGGCGGGAAGGCGTGGCTATTTAGCCGTCGACGTGCAGATGCAGCACACTTGGCAGGGTCGAGTTGCATGCATGCATGCAAGAGCTTGGTCCATCGTTCTCTCGTTTGCTCATGTCACGACTGTGATCTCAGTTGTGCAAATACACAGTGAATGACTAGGTAGTATTCAAAACGGGAAAAAAAAGCCACCTCGAAGTATTTCCGCGGTAGGCCTTGAGTCTAAAATGCTATTGAGCATTCTGATGGCCATACTGCAACCTCCGTTCGCTCTTGCGGAGGATAGCTTCAAACCCATTACTCAGTCAAAGGATTCAGATATGCAAAGAAAGACCCACATAAAATGCATATGTTGCTGGGCGCTCCAGGCACCAGAATTAAGAGCTTGGGGAGAAGGCCAGAATAACTCCATCGTAGGAGTCGCTATTAAAGACATCAACTTGCCGTTAGCAGTGTTCAAAGACAGCCACGCCAACAATTACTTTCCTGATACTTACACTCTCATATCATCATATCCATTTACCCAAACCCATCAAGACTGCATGATCATCATGAAGTTCACCACAATCACTAGCAGCCTTCTGGCTTTCTGCACTCTGGGCAATGCAGCCATCAACCTCAGCTATGCCCCCGAAACCGACCGCTCAAACCAAATCGCGCTGGGCGAGAACGTGAGAATTGCTTGGGAAAGCGACAAAACCTACGTTCGTCCCGCCCTCCTCTCAAGAACCCCCCTGGAGAACATGGGCTAATCTAAAGATCAGGACCTCCATCTCGAAATGGTTACAAAAAAAGACGACAAGAAGCATTGGCCCAGCGGCTGGCGACCCATCGAGACCATGTTTATGAACTTGAGATTGAACGCTGGCAAAGGCGAGTATTTGTACAACATCCCTGTTGGAACGGGCCAGCGTACTAGTGTGGCTATCAAGGATGGCGAGTAAGTTTTGACCCTCTTTATTCTAGAGGATGAAGGAGATGAAGGCTGACTTCTGGCCAAGTTTATGCTCTTTTGTGATTACTGGAACGGAAATCGACGACAGTGGACTTCGGTATGTTAATCATACTGCTTGGTTCCCGGTTGTCAAGCATGAAATTTCGCCAAAGGATGGGTTTAAGCAGCAGAAATTCTCGGGTTGATGTCCCGGTGGCTTCTGCGAATGTGTTTCCAGCCACGATACAGTACAATCTCAGCATCTCTATGGAACTCGAAGTGTGATCGAGTGGCTTGTAGTCTCCTGCTCGGAGATACTTGTCGCGTTGTGAACAGCCTTATGAGCGACATATCGTCACGTATGGAGGTAGATCTGTCAAAAGTCCAAATAAGATGTTTCAATTATGATGTCGAGTCCCAAATCTCTTCGTGTTATGTACAACATTTTTCGTCAGGTTCGTGGCTACGTTGTGGCTTCTCTAAGCCTTGGAGTCCTTCACGGGGTCATTCTTGTTGAAGGAGAGCGAGACTCCGTTCACTATCATGTCGTCAGTACAAGCTTACAGGCAAATCGAGGAGAGAAGAACGTACCGCAGTGACGCTCATCGGTGGGAGTAGGGTATCCCTCGCCCTTGAAAACATGACCGAGGTGACCGCCGCAGTTGGAGCAAACAATCTCAGTGCGCTCCATGCCGAAAGTGCGGTCGGTGTGTCTGGTCACAGCGCCGGGCACGGCATCGAAGAAAGCGGGCCAGCCGCAGCCAGACTTGAACTTGTGGTTGGCCTTGTAGAGGGGAGTATTACAGCCAGCACAGGTGTAGACACCCTCGGAGGGCATGTGCTTGTCAAAGTCGCTGCTGTAGGGAGACTCGGTGCCCTTTTCGCGGAGGATGCGGAACTGCTCTGTTGTGCCATGGGTTAGTAGACTGTTCGCCTTGCCACTTGCAATCAAAGCATCACTCACCAGGACTCAACTGAGCCTGCCACTCCTCCTTGCCCTTTTGCAATGGGTATGTCATGTTGTTTGAGGATGAAGAGGTTCCAAAGAAAGCTCCGATGAAGGGAATGCTAGGGAAGCCCAGTTTCGCGGTAGGTCGGAGAGCTGGTCTAAGTGGTGGGGGTGCGACGCGGAAAGTGGCGTTTGAGAAGGCGTAGAAACTGCGGACTAGAGTTGGGAGCAAACGCATGAATGTGTATAAGACTGGATTTGAGGGTAAGATCCAGAGTTATATCGAATGTGAGTGGCGTGGCCAACGTGGTTTGGAAGGGAGCAGAAACAGAGAGCTAACAATGATTATGTCGACGTCATCATCTCGGACCCCTCGGCTGCCGCCGCTATGACCATCTCTTTTTGCTGCCTGTACCACCCTGCTCATGGTGTTTATCAATCTATCGACGACGATGACCATCGAAAATCTTTGTTCAGGTGGGTTGTAAGAGACGGCTCGTTGATCTCGGAACAGTTATGGGAGTTATAAATCGGAACACTGCCATATGATCGTTAGGAGACTCGTTATTCTTGACATTTTTCTTTCAGCCAAAATGCTTACAACACCTACACCCATTAATTGTAGGACAGCATTGAAAAGGTATGACAAGGAAGTTTGATCATGATATTATATTAGGAAACAGACAATGTCCAGCTTTATTTTGATTTCCTGACTCCGTTTCCAAGATTTCCATGCAAAGTACCTTTTCCTGGTTGGTGAGCTCCATTTCTGTAAGTTGAGAAAATCACGATCACGAGATGCCCAAGCCGAGGCCCTTGGGATCTGAGGGACCGCTGATACTACCGCTGGCTACACTAGTGCCGGCGATACTGCTGCTACCAGTAACACTGCTGGCTGTACCGGTGCCTTCGCTGCGGCCCCTCTCACGTATACGACGACCTTCCATAAGACCACGCAATCCGCGTTTCTGCAACCCGATGACATGGCTTTGACCGCCGTCCCAGATATCCTCATCATCACGGCCACCTTGGCGACTACTCGTGACGCTGTAAGCTGATCCAGCGGTCGAGGCCGAGTCAGGGATGTCTTCATCCTCCTCAGCCAAGCTTTCTCCACGCAGAGTCGTGCGTGTAGTACGTCCGTTGGCCATGTCAGTATCCACTCGCAGAGGATTGCGACCACCGCTGCCGTTGAGAGTCAAGGCATCAAGGCCTCCCAGACTTTGCACACGAGGCGGGTGCACACTGGTGTTGATGTCTTTGAACACAACACCTTGACCACCACCAGCCGCCATGGCTGCTGCGTTGAAGATAGCCGCAGCATTGCGGCCATCCAGCGTTTCATGAAGCCGTTCCGTAACCTCTTCAGCTAGACCGTCGATTTCATAGGGACGAGCAAGTTGAAGCAGAGAGCAGAAGATTTGAGGCGTTGCAAGATGCGAAGGTTGTTGCGGAAGCGAGCCAGTGCAGAGATAGTGAATCAGAGCCTGAAGTGTTGGCACTGTGTGAGGAAGATACAGCGTTCTTGGGCGTGAGTTTGGTGGTAGGTTCCTGACATCGGCTGGTTCCAATGTCATTGTGGTTCCAGTCACGCTGTTTGCGGTTAGAGTGGATCCATTGGAAGTAAGCGTAGGTGTGATGGTGATAGTGGAGTTGCGAGAAGCCATGGTAGCTGGCCTGAGGGTCGCAGTGTCGCCGCCCTCATTAGTAGGACCGGCACTTTCGCGCACAAGCTGGTTGAAGAAAGGGCCCCATCTGCGCCCGATGAGTCTTGAGTTCACTGGGATTCGAGTGCCATCGATAGCAAGGAAGTCCATATCGCAAAGCTCACGCGACTGAAGCATCATCTCACCCAGCTCCTCAGCACCGCTGTATAGTCTCCTTCCGCCTGCAGAGCCTTCAGAGCCGGGCTGATATTGAGGGGCACTGGCTGATACATAATCGGAAGTCGGCCAGACTTTTCTGGGGTTGTCGTATAAACCGAATGCTTCGAGCTGAACAACACACATGTTGTTAAAGTTAAGACGACGATTGTTGTAGTCGTCCACAAGGTTTCGTTTGCGATTTCCAAGGATAATGAAGGAGTTTCTTCGCTCCCACAGGACACCTCTGTTCCAGCTTCCTTGACTGAATATGCTGCTTCCACTGTCAATGCGGGCCCAAGTCAATGATCGAAGGTCCAGAGCCCATAGGGAGAATTCCTGCTTGGAGGACGTCAAGAATGTGCCGGCCACCACAAAGTTATTACCAATGACACCTCCGGTAGGGAAGCGGAGTCCAGGGGGTGTCACTGTACCCTGCATTTGTTTGTCGACGAGCGTACCGTCGCGGTTGCGAACCTGAAGCTCAAGCTTGACATCCAGGAAGTTATAATTGGTGTAGATGAGCATAGCAGAACCGGATGAGCTAAGGTCGGTGTCGTCGTCTTCATCATCATCATCATCGTCATAGTCGCCGTTGATTGATGCGCCCTCGTGACCTGCACCAACCTTGTGACTCTCCATGCTGACCAACGGCGTGACAACAGATCTGTATGCACCACAACTCCGGCCGCCAATAGGCTTGGTCGAGGTCCATTTCAGGCTGCGTAAGTTAAACACACTGATCTGCTCAATGTAGTGATTGCCACTGTCCTGACCACCAACGACGACCATCTCGGCACCACCCCTTCCATCGAGTTCCACACCGATCGAGCCTGAGTTTGGTTGAGCCCCAGAAGGGTTGTGGTGTATAGCGGACAAAGGTGCGTTAGAAGAGGCAAAGACTGCCCCTGACGGGAGAATAGCTGCGCAGTGGGCATATCGACCTTGTGGTGCCTCTCCAGTACTGATTCTTGTCCATGTATGTGATGGTATGTCGTAGATGTGCACGTCGGACATGACGCTCACCTGAGCATCAGGAGATTCGCTCTGGGCGGCAGGACCACCTTCAGGTGACATGCCTCCGTAGCATACGAGCTTGTTGTCTCCGAGAGCACACACACTGTGGAAGTACCTTGGGGGCGGGACATCACCTTTAGTCTCTATCTTCGACCAATGCCGACGAGGAAGATCAAGCTCGTAGAGATCCGAGGTCAAAGTGGGACGAGACTTTGATATCTTGCGACCTCCAAAAACATACATCTTGTCACCGAGTATTGTAGTTGTAGCTCCAACCAGAGGGTGAGGCTCCCTTCCAGTAGTACGATGAACGTTGCATACCAGGCCAGACAAGTTCGCGGTAGCCGAGGTAGCATTTGGCGTCTGAGGTGGGATGGGTGAGCCGGCAGCTGAGCGAATGGGGTGATCTGAAACATGGCTCATCGCATCCATTTCTGAGGATGATTCATAGTCGTCTCGTTTTGACACGCCAGATTGGTTGCTTGCGACTGAGAGTTGGGCGCTCGAACCTTTCCTGGAAGTAAGGTGGGATGGTGTGGGAGAGGCGAGCAAGTGATCGATCGCGTTCGTGCGAACAGAAGCAGGCGGCTGTGCCATGGTTGCTACAGACGTCCGCACGTCTTCAAAATCAGAATCTACTGCCGTGTGGAAGGAGCTTGCAGATAAACTAGGGACTGGGGAAGAAGACCGGGTCAAGTCAACATATCGTTGCCCTTCGGCACACTTTGACTCGAATGTGGTAACGGAGGAGATGTGATCACCCAGATACTGCGTTAACCCTGACGATGTTCCAGCGATGTCAACGAGTGTGACCGGTCCTACGAAACTGAATTGAGGGCGAGGTTCCCGATAGCATTCAAAGGTGGACGTTGAGCTAGAAAAGCAGATACTGGGCTCAATCAACCCAGGTGTTCGCGGTTCGCTGGAGGTGTTTACGATGATAGGTATATGTCTCGACCTTTGTGGACTTGGCGCACGTCCGCGGAAAGCCAGGTGATTCGGTTCCGGTATAAGTAGACTTCCAGTACAATGGAGAGGACTGTATGGACTCGAGTCGCAAGGATTCTCGAGCTGAAGGTGATGTTCTTTATGCCTGAATAAGATATTGGAAGCAGTTCTTCTCAGGCCCAGCCCCGATTTGGCCCCTGTTGATGCCGGCATGTTAGCGATGTGTGATTACAGAAAACAACATACGAGCGTGGGTGTGCTCATGACCAGCGCAGGTAAGATAATGCAACTCGTGGGCTTATATTTTTCGACAAGCAGTCCACCCAGGCTTCGCAAAGTGCCATGCATACTCGACAGGTGCAGATAAGATGGCCAACATATTTGAGCAGTCTGTCTTCTGGTCTGCCCAGATCGTAGCCAAACCAATCGTTCTGAGCATCTGATCTGCAACTGTGGCCTGGCCTGTTTGAAGATCCATGCATTTCTTATCCTTCCCGCGAGCTCAACACCATACCAAACGAGAATCGATATCGAAACAGAATATTGGCCAACTCTTTCTTGTGTTTGCGCGACTGGAACGATCCAAACAGGGGTGCAATTGTTGAAAACAGAGAGAGAGGAAAAGATAAAACCTACCAAAAGAGCGCAAGAATTTGTCGCCAACAAAAACACCAGACGATATAAACAGACGATCAACGGAAGCAGACGCGGCTGTACGAGGGCTTGTAGAACAACAATTCGACTGTTTGGAGGAAGGAAGGCGCGCTGGACGGGTTCCACCCTTGCCCGGAACAAGCCGTTGCTCTCAAACGGTACTCTAGCGTGGGTTGATTGCTCCTTGCAAGATCGATTTCACAAACGGATACCACTCTATATCTTCTCGCAAACAGGACCTGTGTCCAGAAATGCCTCGATCCGCTGCTCTTCTCTCTGTGGGTGTTCTATCTCTAAGGCAACTGTTTTACATTTCTCAAAGTACGCCAAGGATCAACACGGACATGGATACGAAATCGTATCCCGGGTAGGATATCTGTGGCCGACCGAAGCAAAGCGAAGTCACAGTTCTAATCTATTGCTGAAAGAGGAGTTCTAGAACATTGTTTATGGTAGTAGACATGAAATTCTTTATATCGTCATATGTATTGGATGGAGCCCTTTTCCTCGATCGACTAACAAACAAGAGTGAGGTCCGTGCCGTCAGGGCTAACTCCGTGGACCCTGGCTCGAATTTGTCCAGAACCGTCTCAATGGACCTGGCTGAACAGTGGATATCATTTGTTCTCTTTTTTTAAACACAATGGTCCGCCTTAAACGTTGGCACTCGTCTCCTCTTTGCTGAGGGGGGTGAAGCGAAGGTATGGCTTGACGACACGGATGTTGGGGAAGACCTTCTGGGCGTCCTCGGTCTTGAAGCCGGGGTGAACAATGACATCCTCACCTATTTTGACATCAGAAAGTGTAAGAGACGCAGATCAGTAGCGTGGAGACTTACCGGGAATCCAGTTGATAGGAGTGGTGATTCTGTGCTTGTCACCGGTCTGGAGAGAGTCGACAATGCGGAGGACCTCAGCAGTGTTGCGACCAGTGGAGGCGGGGTATGAGAGGATGGTGCGGATGGTCTTCTTGGGGTCGATGATGAAGACGGAGCGGATGGTGAAAGCAATACCCTTAGCGTCGACGTTGGTGGCGTCCTGGTGGTCAAGCATGTCGTAGGCGAGAGCGACCTGGCGCTCCTTGTCGCCAATGATGGGGAACTTGAGGCTAGTCTGGGAGATCTCGTTGATGTCCTTGATCCAGCCACCGTGGCTGTCGACAGTGTTGGCCGACAGACCAATGAGCTTGACACCACGCTTGGTGAACTCGGGCTCGAGCTTAGCAAAAGCACCGAGCTCGGTGGTGCAGACAGGGGTGTAGTCCTCGGGGTGAGAGAACAGAATCACCCACTTGTCGCCGATGAACTCGTGGAAGTTGATGGGACTGGAAGTGTGTCAATGCCTGGGGCGCAACAAAAAAGTACACGACACTCTTCAGGCAACTTACCCGTTGGTGGTGTCGGCATCGAAGTTGGGGGCAACGCTGCCGAGGCGGAGGGGCTCAGGTCTTCCGGACATGTTAAGTGTGAATGTGTGTGTATGGATGAGGTGAAGGAAGAAGAGTTGCTTGCAAAGGACAACAGAAGGCGAGCTCGAAGTGGGGTGAGTCGAGGGTTATTAATTCATGGCGGGACACGCCACAGGCACTAGATCTCGCATCATCTGTCTGTGCATAAAGACTCCAGCTCTTGTCGTGCTCGTCTCGTTCGCCTTCTTCCTCCTTCTACAACCCACTTCTAGGTCTTACTGAATCCTGGATAATCCTTTGACTACCTACGACACAGACCTGCTTCTTCCAATTGTACAGTAGACTCCATCCTACAGGACTTTACACAATGCGACAAGTATTTCATCCTCGAACACCCCACATACACCTCAGCAACGAGCTGCAGCGAACTCGGAGAAAGCTACCTATTGTTTGCGGAGTGGCTTGACGTCAGCGCTTTGTGATTGGTCGGAAATGGCGTATAACTCGACCCAAGACATTCAGGTATCGGACCCCACAGTTTCCCAAGCCACTCGAGTACGGACGCTTCAAAGAGCTTCCATGTGAGATGAGCAGCATCTCCAATCGCTTTCACGGAAAGTTCAGAAGCTCTGTCGCGGTCCACACATTTTTGTGAGGCGGTGTGTCACCGAAGACGAAAGCCAGGTAATTGGCCGACAGCAGCAGTCTTGATAATTCAGTCATGGTTTGGAGCGCTGCGAGCAGCATCCTTCGCCATGGGACTGAGAGTTGCTCAAACGGCCATCTCCAGAGAGACCGATTCTCTTGGCAGGTGTACTCACAACTTTGCACGTTCTTATGACTTGCTGTGGTTGTATTTCTGGCAGTTGCAGTAACCAAACCGTCAAGCATGATTTCCAAGCAAAGGGCCAAAGGAAAAAGGTACTCGACCTGAGGTAAACTTCATGCGAGGTCGGCCGTCATACCCGCAATATGCGCATCTCCGCTACCCTTTCGGTATTCGGTAACCACTGCAATGTGGAGTCATGTTCTGCCTGTTCAACAATTATTCTGCGGCTCTGCTTACCTATCACTTTTCCATCACTGACCTCGCTGTTCTGTTTATCGCTGTCCATGAGCAGCATGACACCCATCTGCTCTCGCAACTATGAGCGTGAATCCTGAGATACATCTATCAAGGTCTCCTCCAGACTACGCCACTGAGAAAGCCCAACATGACGACGATAAAAAATCCCCGGATGGCTCTTTGAACATATCGCCGGCACACACTCTGTCTAGCACAGACGACATCACCTACCACTACTTGGATTTCGAAACGCCAATACCCCGCCCTTCGTACCTCTCAGCGCCATACGATCTACGCACGACACCGCCAGCGGAACCAGATCTCAAGAAATATGAGTCACCGTTCAAATGGTCAAAGAGCAGGAAACGCGCGATAACCTGGCTCTCATGTCTCGCGACGACAGTCACAGCATATGCGGCTGGCAGCTATACTGCTGGTGATGCGCAGATGGAACAAGAATGGGGCGTGTCCCGCGTTGCCATTACAGTAGGAGTGACTATCTTCACCACTGGTTTCGCCATCGCACCCATGATACTTGCCCCGTTCTCTGAGATCAACGGACGCCGGCCTATGTTCGTGGTCACTGGTATCCTATATGTTATCTTCCAGGTCTGCTGTGCCGTCACCCGGTCCTATGGTGGGATGCTTGTTTCACGATTCCTCAAAGGCTGTGCATCTAGTACATTCAGTACCATGGTAGGTGGTGTGGTCAGTGATATCTACCATGCCGAGGACCGCAATACTGCCATGGCTCTCTTCAGTGGCGCGGCACTGTTCGGAACAGGTTTGGGACCTTTGGTATCATCATTCGTGGCCTATCATACAACGTGGAGGTGGATTTTCTACCTGCAGGTCATCACTTGCGGAACCGTTCAAATTCTGGTTATCTTGTTCTTCAAGGAAACACGAGGCTCGGTGTTGTTATCGAAGAAGGCCAAATGTCTCAACAAGTACTACGATCAGCTCGAAGCAGCAGGCTTCACTGGCGTCGACATGCGCGAATCAGTTTCAGGCAAAATTACATCTCAGAGGATACGCTGGAAAGTAAAGAGCGACGAGGAACGCGCCAGCCTGCTACAGATGATCAAAATCTCGCTGGTTCGACCCTTCCACCTTCTCTTCACAGAACCGGTTGTCTTTTTCTTCAGTCTATGGGTTGCATTTTCATGGGCGATTCTCTACTTGACATTCGGCGCCATCCCCGTCATCTTCACAGCATCCCACAACTTCAACCTCTACGAAACAGGCTCAGTGTTCGCCGCCATCAGCATTGCCTCCATAATCTCAACCATCATCTCCATCCTCGGCGATAAATGGACAAAACGCCGTTTCCCTCACCTCGGCGACTCTCCAGAAGGCCGTTTATATTTCGCCTGCGCACAAAGTATCCTTTTACCCGTCGGCCTCTTCTGGCTCGCCTGGACATCAGGCCCCAATGTGCATTGGATCGTCCCCACCCTCGCCATCGGTTGCGCTACCATGGGTATTTTCAGCATCTACCTCGCTGTATTCAACTATCTAGCCGATACCTATCACCGCTACGCAAGCTCTGCATTGGCAGCACAGAGTTTCTGTCGCAACATGCTGGGAGGAGCTTTTCCGCTGTTTGTGCCGCAGATGTTTAAGGCTATGACGTTTCAGGGTGCTGGCAGTTTGTTAGGTGGGATCGGTGCGGTGTTGACGTTGGTCCCTTTTGCGTTGCTCATCTGGGGCCCGAAGATTAGAGCGAGGAGCAAATTCGCGAGTGAGATTATGGATAAATAATGAGTCTTGGTAGACAATGCTATGGATCGGCAAAAACTCGTTGCACGCAAGCAATATACCCTATACCCGCGTTCCCTCTGATCGACGTGGCCCTACCTTCCTGTGTGCAAGCATGTAATACATATATCTATAATAATGCACAATACTTCCAAGAACCAGGATTAGCCCCGTCGAAAAGCAAAGCACTCTAGACTTTCTCTAGACACACCCCCAACTCGAAGATCACTGTGCCTTGGTATAATGAGGTCATCACTCCAGACCATACATGAGAAAAGCGCGTGATTCATGCTCCCCTTGAAGATGACGCCTCTATCTAACATTCTGCTCCTCAGATGCCTGAAGCTATCGAACTGCATAATGCCTTCAGCGTGGAGAAAGGCATACACTAAGAGTCTCTACGACATCGTGTCTAAACGAACTCGTCTACAACCTCGAAAGTACTCTGCTTTCACACAGCTACTTACGTAACATATCTGTACACGAGGATGATGTCCAACGAACATGATAATTCCATAGAGCAATGCCTGAGGACGGACAAAATGGACAGAAAAAGTAGTACACAGATTGAAAAGCACACTCACGTCTGCCAACCGCATAGCAAAGGAAAAAGTGGTATTCGAAGAACATAAAAGGACAGTTGGTTTTCCATGTTAATCCTCGCAAACGCTATGAGAAGAAAGCTCCAACTTGAACGGGGAGCAAAAGAAACAGAAATCAAAGACGCCACTCTGCATATCATCGTAAACCTTCCCAAGGACCCGAATTGCCCGGTAAATCTGGATCAGAAAAGAAAGAGCGAATCATCTAACCTCCACCAGCAGCGATAGCACAGAGGACAGCGGTAAGATGGTCCTTCAAAGTGGGGTTGTGTGCCATGGCGAAGAAGAGCTTCTCTCTGATGGGATCAAAGATCTTTCTCATGAGCTCGGCCGAGGGTGGAACGGGAGACTCGGGCATAGCGACAGCAATCTCATCGTCTTCGCCGTCACGGTGGGGCTGCTCACCGTCATCAGCAGGATGAGCTCTTTCTTCGGCGGCGACAGCGGCGGCGGCAGCTCCGTTCGCACTGGGCGCCATCTTACGCACACCGCGAGCAATGTTGCGCAAAACAAGCGCAGACCCCAATGGCAGGCCAGCAGCCTCATTGCGCTCGTCTGCCATGGTGCGGTACCAGATGCGGTTGCTGGGAACAGGCTCTTCAACGTCCTTTGAGTTGTGCTGGTTCTGACGTCTTTGCTCGGCTAGGGGAGCACTGTCCGGCAGATGGGTGTTGATGTGACGAGCCATCAGTGCGAGGGCGACAGGCAGGCTATGGTCAGAAAGTTTGCGAGAACAACTGCTCCACTTGCAATTGTATGGCGCGAAAGCGTCGGCTGTAGCAAAGTCAAAAGCAGCGATCTTTGAGCTGCTCTGTAGTAGCTGCGGAGCGTCGCCGTTGACAGTGGTTGGTGCCTTCTTTGGGATGTTCAGGTGAGAGGACAAGATGTGCTCCCAAAGCTTCGGGCCGTTGAGGAAGAACTCGCCACACTCCTTGCCGCTCTCGTTGGCAAAGATGGCGATGTTCTCTTGTGCGACATCTGTGGGATTAGTGCGCCAGTTGCACTTCACCAGGTCCTTGCCCTCGATGTCATGGGCGATCTTGCGGGGCCTGATGCCTTTAATCACGTATTTGTTGTGAGCAACTTGAGCAGATGCGCCAGTAAAGGTGTTCGAGACATTCTTAATGAACTCTCCTGCTATGAGGTTTCCATGAGTCGGCGAATACTTGAGGAACGTGGCTTGGTACGACTGCCAGAGGTGTATCTGCGTCATTTCGGAATCGGGGTCTATCTCGAAGCACATACGCAACCTATATCTGTTAAAATCGTCGAGATATGTATGCATGGGTGAACATCACTTACCAGCGTGAACTGCGGTCAGGCTCGGTGTATTGCAGTAGCGACTCGACAACATCTTGACACAGGCGTGGGACGTGAGCTGAGCTTTCCGAATCGTAATGAGGCTCTGAAGGGCGAGGCTTGTGCATCTTAGGCACCTCCATCTTTGCGTTGTAGAGCAACAGATCGGAAAGCTGTTTGACAAGATTCTGGACGTCGGCATCAAGTGCCAGGGTCTCGACATTGTCGGCAATACTGGTGTACTGGAAGAGGAAGTCCAAGCATGCAGAACGCAACTCTTCATCAGGCAGCATCATCCAATCAGGCAACTTCTGGACGATCTCCAGGGGAACCATCTCAAGCCGCTTGTTCTCCTCGTAGACCATGCCAAGTCTAGCGATGGCACGCAGCGAGGTGACGATTCTGCCACGGTCATTGGATTCGAGTTGGGCAAGTAGGGTTTCGTAGAGCAGGTCGGTGGCGTCAAGATCGTAGTGCTTTGTGAGCTGCTCGATGGTCTCGAGAGCATAGTACTGCAGCTCCACCAAAGCGGGGTGGACTGGTAGGTTGAGCACGATGCAAAAGTAGTCGCGCAGAAGGGGCAGCTTGGCGATGTATTGAGCGTTTTCGTCTAGCATCACCATGTTGCGAATGACGAGACCGGATTCAGTAATGAGACGCAGCGCCTGTCTGAACTCGGCAGTCTCGACGGTACTCGCAATGTCGAGTGGAACAGCAGCTTGCAGCTTCTGTAGCAGGTCGGGCGTGCCGTTGATGGCATCCAAAGTACGCGGACCAGTGGCTTCGTCATACGAGATGATCCACTGAAGGTCGTAGAAGAGAGAGGTCACCTGCAACAGCTTGCTGGCAAGAGCCTCAGCCAGACCAGGAAACTGATCGAAGCGGTACTTGTCGCCTCGTTCGTGAGAAATCTTGACAAGATGATGCAAGGCGTATTCTTCCTCTTCTGGCAGGCCAGACTGCAGGGCAAGCTGAGCGCGAACGTAGATGTTGGGGCCGATAAAACCAGTGCCTGGCAGCATGAGACCTCTATGTTTCTTTGCGACGTGGCTGGCCTGTGCCTCCTGTTCTTGCTTGCGCTTCAGACGATAGTACTCTGAATTGTTGGCCGGGGTGGTGACGGGCTTGAGCGTCAGCGGCAGCAGCTGCTGGGGCTCGTAGGTTGCTAGAGTCATCGGGGTGGTGTTGGCATAGGCAGGGGATGGTGAGGCGGGAGTCTGCGATGTGTGGTGGCCCTGGTTGCGGGTTTGGCGAGGCGCGGTCGTGTCGGGCTGATAAGGAATCCGCTGCGGCGGCGCAGTACGCAGTCCCCGGGTGGACCGTACGCTTCCGGGATCTCCGTTGTCGTGCTGATCCTTGGTAGCCTCGTCGTTGTCCGATGAGTTTCCGTTTGCGCCGCGGGTCTCCTTGGTTGTCGAGTTTGGGAAGTTCTCCAATGTCCTCGACATGACGTCTCCACCCTTTGCCGTCACATCTTCAATGACCTCCTTTGGTGGTGGCTCTTTGCCCCAATGCGTCGAAATCTCGTACGCTACCAGGTTGTAGTAGTACGCTCTCTTGACCAGGAAGGCAGCGCCGGCCAGGTTCTTGATGCCAGGCAGAAGTTCGTCCGCAATCTTTCTCCACATGAGAGGCTTCTTCTTTGTGTCTGAGACCAAGTCGTAGCCTCCTTCTGCCACAACGCGATTGTATAATTTCAGAAGATCGATTAGCTGATTCTCGACCTTAGGCTCGTTTTCCATGGTAGTGCTGCGCATTATATCAGAACTCGCTCCTGTGGTAGTTTCGATCGAACGGCTGCCAGACGACCTACCCTCTTTTCTCATGATATACAGCGAGTTCCTCGAGGAACTTCTCGTACTCCTCGGTCCTCTCGATGGTGGAATCATTGCCGATCCTCTTAGGAGGCATGTCGGCGGCTGTTCAGCTCTCGAGGGAGCTGTCGGTCTTGTCGATTACCTGACGAAAGAAGCAGGCTGATAGAACAGTCGGAGCGGGCACATCAGAGGTCGGCGCAATGATGGTCGCTCTTTCGCGACGCGTCCGAGTTGCACCTTCCTTGCGCCGACCAGCGCGCTGTCGCCGATCGGCTTTCCTCCACACTTCGGGACATCTTCGGAGTTCCCATACCTATATCACGCAGGTACACTCGCCTTGCGAGGGCAGCGAGGCTTCAAGTCAAAATGAGCAGACTCCTCATACTTAACTGACCCTCTGATATAGACTTTGCAGCTGGTCGCAGGAATCCGGGTTGAGTATGGCGGGTAAAGAGAGGGGGAGCCAGGCTCCTTGCTCGTCACAAGCTCTTTCCTCAGACCCATATGCTCCTCCGTGCTTTCCTCCTCGAGTCTGGCTACTAATGGCACATGCAAGAGCGAAAGGCCCTCTGATTACATAATCTGAGGGTCTTTCCCTTATCAATTCGACTCTAGTAGAATATCACCTTGTCGTGACAAGATAAGATCGAGTTACAGCCAGTCCTTCATCAATCTATACCCCCATTTTGTACTTGCCCAGCACAAAGATTGTGCCCGATAATCTGGTGCAGCTGCGCTCGGCTATCGTTGAAGTGCTTCTCCAGACAAGGTTCAAGCAACTTCGATTTCCCGAGTCCACTACTCGAGCATGGCAAGTCAGGATGGCCTCTTCGGTCGTTCATTGTTGTGTCAACCTATCCTCAAGTTCTCACATTCCACTCTTCCTCGCACTGCGAGTCCCTCTGGCTGGAACCATATTCAAGCTTCGGATCTATTTGCTCTGATTGAACAGCTCGATCACAATGACATACAACTCAGAATCGTCCATGGAACCAATGATCTGGTAAGCCGTTTGTTGTACGACGATGCTCTCGGATACTTATAGAAATATTGTAGGAGACCCTTCCACTTACTGCCATCATCCAAGAGACCAAGGAAATACACAGACGACACCCAGAACAATCTCACGAATCTCTGCCTATATTTGGCCTGACCAAAGGCACTGCTCTGGCTGTTCGCTATTTCTGCCAGAACGATCAGGTACGTGGCATGGTATTGATCTATTTTCTTGAAGACCAGATATCAACATCGTGGTTTCCCGTTGCAGATCAGACGCATTCAACTGCGTTTCGCCGATGATGCCTCCTGCAACAAAGCTGTTCGGCTTCTTTCTAGCCACGGTCTCATGTTCTCTATGCAACATACCAAGCAAGTTACACATGTTCAAGCTCGGCCCGTGACAGCCAACTCGTACATGAATCGACAAGCTTCTGTACAGTCTGCCCGCTTCGACCGTGAAACATCTTCGATCATTGTTCCGACTGTACAAGGTATGGTTGTTGTGTTTGTCCTCCCTCAGTAGACTAGAGAGTTGACAAATGCAGATGCTTTCCAATCAACCACCTCATATGAACAGCAGCAGTCGAGTCAACACACCAACGATCTGGCCAACTCACACATGTTCACCTCGTCACCGGGTCTAAAAGTGTATCAAACCACGAACATCACGAGACAGCCAACATTTGCTCCGATCCGCACGAGCGTAGAGCCAACGGAAAGACCTTCGACCGCACCGATCGAGTGGCCATCAGACATGACCAGGAAAATGTTACCTCCTCGCAGAGAACTTCCTTGGCCCAAACCATCCAGCAGTCCTGCAAAGACGGAGATGCTGCCTCCTCTCCCTAAGCCAAGTTATGCTTCGGAAGCTACAAAACCAGATCAGCCAATGCAAGAAAGAGCCTCAAGTCGTGCCTCGCCAGAAACAAAGGTTCATGCAGGAATTACAAGACTCACTACTCCTCATGGGCCCACAAGATTCGAGCCTCCAGCATCCCGCATGTACAACTTCCAATTGAGCGATGACTCTATGACAGTGGACAGTGAAACTCCTAGATACGGCAATGCTGCACCTTCAACTCTGAGTCCGGAGATGAAACAGGACACTATTGCGAGCTCAGATCGACTTCACCGCAGCAGCGCGAGTCCTGTCCATTTCACCGGCTACAATACGATCAAGGAAACGCCCTTGAGTCCAGAACGTTCCACCTACTCGAGTCCCGATCAAATGTCGTCCTCCAGCCCATCAGAAAGACGCAGCGAGCGCCTCGCTCAGAAGCACAGTCAGCAGAATCCAGAAGTGCAAGATGTTGAAATGACAACAGCAGATTCGCCGCAGCAAAGTGCACAAGACGTACTGAAACAATACGCCGAACAGCCTGATGAGACTCGTAAAAAGGCCATCGAGCAGTTCATCCTGGCCAGTATCGAAGACGACAATTTCTTGGAACTGTGTGTTGATGTTGAGGCATGTTGGCAGCGCCAGCTGCTGGACAGACGTATTCACCGTTGATGGTGAACACCGATAATTGCTTCGAGAAGCGTTGTATGACTTATGATGCATGCATACATACATAGAGATGTATATTCGATGATAGACATGGCTGACGATAATGCTGATTGCTAAACTACAAGAGAAGGAAACGAAGTGTGGCTGTTTACGAATAGTTTTGATACCGAATATTATGTAGCGATTCATGTATACGATCATCTCACTTCGAGACAAACATACCCTGCCCCAGAGCAGTAAGATACCCATATCTCGTCAACATGGTCGGGTCGAACTTGCCAGGTCTCCCATTCTCCCCAGCCACGCTGGTAGCAGCAACATTCCCTTGCGCAGAACTAGGTGTCAATGTCCCACTACCACCCTCACCAGCACTCGCGTGCGCCAAATGCTGCAACCCGGGTGGCAACTGCTCAACACCCCCAAGAATCAACTGCAACTTATTCCTCTTCTGCACAATCAAATCTCTGATCGCCGAATCCCATCCCGTAGACTTTTCATGCCCAGCTAAGCCGCGGCCAAATCCCAAAGCTTCGGAGATTTGCTCGAGTCCTCTGATGGCTTCGGCGCGTGTCTTTTCTATATCGACGAGTTCGCACAAAGTCATTGCTGCGAGGGCTGCGAAGTGGTGGTTTAGTGGCGTGATGGGTGTTTGGCGTTGATTCAGCACTGTGGCTACTTTGACCGCATGGCCGATGAGTTCTGTAGGTTCGGTGGTGGGGTTTAGTCGTTTGATGAGGAGATGGCAGTGGTGATAAGATAAGTGGACTAGATTCAACGAGCCCCAGACACTTTCTACCGACTCGCGGAAGCGGTCGATCTCGCCGGCTAGAGTCAAGCCTAGGAGTGAAGAGGCTGGGTTCGAAGGGGCCATGACGTTGGTTTCTGGTGTTTTTGTGGTTGTGAGGATGGCGGCGAGGTGGCCTATAATGAAGGAGAGGCGCGCTAGATGGTATGTTGACTCGCCGAGTAGGATTTGATCTTCGGGGAGCAACACTACACTGTTCTCGGGAAGTTTGAGCAGATCCGAAGTGCTGGAAGCGTGCCAGCGGTCGAGAATGAATAACACCCACCATACTCTTCTTGACAGTCTTTCTTCGGAATCCGGATCGCCTTCGGTTGCGTAACGTTCGCGTGGTCGCACCAGATTGATCTCCAATTGTCCTGCGACTCCAGCAGCTCTTCCCAGCCACTCTGCTCGTGAAGGGCCAGCTTGACCTCTAACTGTCGCGGGACCGTGGTTGTCTGATTCTAGAGCCATCAACAAGAGAGTTTGCAGGTAGACCAGATTAGTACCACTGTTATGCGTAGCCGGATTCTCGAAAGGGTAACCAGCAAGTAACTCGGCAGCTCGCTTCATCATAGGAGCGTACGTGTGTTGAGGACGAAGATTTGATGAAAAGCTAGGAAAGGTGCGCATTGTGCACTCGAGGACGGTCAAGAAAGCCTCTCGTAGTGTTAGGGGGCATTCGGCAAGGCGCATACGGAGACGGTGTTTCGAGTGAGGTAGTAGTGGAAAGGTTTGGTGTATAGTGCGATAGTACTCGTCAACTACTTCTTCATCCCATTCGACTAAAGTGGGCACACCTGCTTGGGTGTCGAAAGGGGTACTAACACTCTCGTGACGCCTCGTGTCTCCACCATACTTGAAGAAGGGTTGTGAATTGACAGGTTGTGGCTGAGGTGTGGACCTTGTTTCTTGACGGTAGTTTGACTGCATGGGATAGGGCGACATTTGTGGATCGCGAGAATATGGGTTTCCGTAGGCATGAACAGGGGCTGAAGCGGAAGAAGGCTGGGTCATGTGTTGTGTGGGCGGCGGCGGTGGAGCGGGTCTTGGAGCCAGAACAGGTTGAGGGTCGATGACTATCGTCTCTGTTTGTGAATGTCTCCGTTTCTGGCCAGCTTGACAGGGCGGTGAAGCATGTTCGCGCGTGGCATAGGCGGCTTCGGCAAGCAAAGACTGCAGTTCCTGGTCGACGTGTCCATGTTGCTGCGGTTGCATCTGGCCCTCAAGGGCGTTCAGGCGTTCGGCGAGCTCTTTGATATAGCCCTTGCTAGGACCCCGCTTAAGAGGCTGACGACTGAAAGCACACGTGTAGTTGCCGCGCTTGCAGTTGGTGCATGTCTCATGCTCGTTCAGGGCATCGCAACGGATCTTCTTACGGCGGCACTCGTCGCACGCGCGACTGACCTTGCTCCGCTTGTCCCGATTGTTGTCGGCAGCATGTTGGCTGGGTGGAGGACTCGTGTGGTCCGAGAAGAGGTCGGGGTTCACGGCGTGTTGCGAGGGCGAGGTGAGTTGGGACTGCGAAGGCAGTGGAGCTTGCTGGGCGTGTTGCTGCTGCTGCTGCTGCTGGACACGATGTGCCTGTTGTCTCTGTTGGTGGAGGTCATCGTGGGGTTGCGGCGAGTGCTGATGCGACGTGTTGGCCGACTCGTGAGTTGAGTGATTCAGACCGAGCGACCTGCTCAGCTCGGCGCGCAGGGCCAGGTCATCATCAATCTCGGGCGGCGGTAGAGGGTGCGTGGTACCGTTATGCGACTGGCTATAGTAGGGCCCTAGAGAGGGGTCGACCACGGTCGGAGATGCGTATGGGCTATGTCCGTTGGCCATCTACAAGAGGGTCGCGCGGAGTGGTTGCGGTGAGATGTGGGGGGAGAGAGTTATACAACCAATATCTCAATCTCCATGCCGACTTGGCCGAACACGCTCAACCATCATCATCACCCCCATGGCGTTGTAGGACCACGGCTACAGCAACGACTGCCGACTCCCTATTCTTCCGGCCTGGTCGATTTACTCCAAATATCTTGCCCATACCGACTCATCCCGGATCATTGTTTAGCCATTGCCGAGCGCCCGCCCCTCTCCATCCTTCGTCTTTGCCAGACCGCCAGACCTGCCGCAACTTGAGACCACGCCTGCCTAATTTAACGAATAGTGACCTATCTAACAAACGCCCTACTGTACCGAGGTGCCATTCCCTTTAGCCGTTGCACTAGATCTAGACTCTGACGACCGAAATGTCGTTTCGGAGAATTGGAATCATCTCAGTCGGCCGAACCGCCCTTGTCTGATGTGCTGGGCGTGTCGCAATGGCAATTGTTTCAGTTTTGCATCAGCACTCGTGCTCACATTTGCGAACAGGTTGTTTGAAAGCAGACTCGAGATTGCTGACTCGGGCGTCTGATTTGTTAAAAGCCTCAAGTCGAGAGGAGTCGCTGTCAGCAGACAGACGGGCGATAGCATTTCATGCAGCGACGGCCGCTATGAAGCGCGGTGCATAGATTGCAATGGATGAGGAGGTGCATCCTGCAGCAAATCAACAGAGTGTCGTGATTCGTGCGTGCATGATACGGGATACAAGCGCAGCGGTCGCTCTGCTCACGAACGATCGACCATGCTTGTTCCTCTTGTGCGCAGACGGGGTGGCTGTGAAATCATGACGAACGCTCAACGGGTCCTGAATAAAGAACACCCCTGGCGTTGACGTGGGTAAAGAGCGTTGAAATAGAGGTACAAGAGAGAACTACCCCAAGTTTGCAGACGGCAGATTGCGGATCATGTTGTTGACGGCCGCTTTCTAGTTTCAGGTGTTCTGTTGTCGAGTCCGCTGTCTTTTGGCTCGGGCGGCCTGTGCACGTCAGATCGCGCACTTGCACTTTTAGCATTGGATTTGGGCTTGGCAGCAGTGCGGGCTCTTCATGCCAGAGCGACTCTCCGTCTTCTCCTCCTTCACTACAATCGTCGTTCGACAGCCTGTTTATTTTGTGGTCGCTCGTATTTGCCCAAAGGCCATTCGAAAGGCCCCGACGCTGTCGGTGGTGCTAAGGCCATACGCTCTGTGCTATTTTCTCTCTCTGCCACCTCTCTCGATCCCCTCACCGCTGTCCGCTCGTCGTTTTGCCATCCACGCCGGCACTCGTCATACCATTGTCGCAAGGACTCGACCGCGAACATCCGCCCCGCCCCGCTCCTGCATCTCTGGCGTTCTGAAAGACCCTTCTCGCAAAGATACCCTCTGCAATTTTGTGATCCCTCTGTTTACATACCAGCTCCACGCTACTTTCCTTGGTTTATTCGTATCCAAAACACTGCAATAACAAGGCCCTCCCCGTCAGGCCGGCCCTGCGACCAACACCCCCCGCAAACCGCAATCCGAATCGCTCGACCGACGTCCACTCGCCGGCCCCGCTCTCAGCCCGTCAGGTATGGTAGTCAAGGAAGATGGGACCAAATGGGCATGCCAATCGTGCCTAAAGGGTCACCGTGTCAGCGGCTGCACCCATACAGGTAAGTGGCCGCGCCCCGATGCGAGTATATAAAGTGCCTTTCTCATAGACATTCCAGACCGTGAGCTCTTCTTCGTCCCCAAGAAGGGCCGCCCCATCACCCAGTGCCCGCACTGCCGCGCCGAACGCAAGAAGCGCTCGTCCCATGTCAAATGCGATTGTGGAGAGAAACCCCACACCAAAGAGAAATGCATCCACCTGCGCGAGGCCGAAGCCAAAGCTGCTGCTATAGCTGCCGCTGCCGAATCAGGCATACCCATGCCACCCCCTTCGGCCTCGTCGGAACACCACTCGCCTGAACTATACCCTGTCGCCGAAGAATCTCCCTCATCTGACGAACACCACCATTGCTGCTGCCCCCATGGCGGAAAGTGCATTTGCTCGAGCCTCAAGGATCCGTCCCCTGAAGATGCCAAAGACCACAAGGAGCCCATCAAAGTGTCGCCCAAGAAGGACTCCGTCAAGGAGACATCGACTGTGCCAAAGAAGTCACTGAGCCAACGCAAGCCACGACTTACTTCGCACCAGTCTGAAGGCCATTTGACCGTCTTTGCCAACGGTCACCACAAGCCCTGCCATCGCAACAACAATGCTGCCCACGAATCCGGTGCTCCCTACAAGCTGCCTCGCTCGCACACCCAGCCCGTCCCGGCCAAGAACAATGCTCGCCGTTCCGTAGATAGCCTTGCTGCAGTCGCTTCGAACCAGCCACACTCGTGGTTCCAGCCCAACGTGTCCGCTCAGCAATCGAACACCAACTCTGGTCACGCTTCACCCGTCTCGGTCATTACCCTGCAGGCTGAAGCCATGCAGCAAGACGTCAAGCCTCCGATCGATGCTCAGCCCCAGTACTCGGCTGCCACCGTTTCTTCGAGTGTTCCAACTACCTCCATGTTCGCCGATTTCGGTTTCCCTAGCACCTCATCCATCGGCACTACCACTACTGAAGCCTCTATGCCATCCTTCTCCCTACCGAGCTCCGATCTCAACATGAACACGGACTTCTGGAACAACTTTGACTGGTCCAAGGTCGACACTACTTCCTTCGACGTCCAGCCTGCTCTGACAAACACTTCTTCTGGCACCATGTCCGAAGTCGACGAGATCCCTGCCACTGAGGATATGAATGCGTTTGACAGCAACCCCTACTCGATGAACATGCAAGGTCTTGTCGACACCAACGTCAACAACAGCATCAACAACCTTGATCTTGACTTCTCTGTGGCTACTGGACAATCCAATCGCTGGAGCATGCCCGTCTACTCAAACCCGAATACAAGCAATATTGATCTGGCTGCCATGACCGCTGACACTTTTGCCAAGTCGTCCAAGCAGTCCCCTGATCAATCCATGTCGCAATTCTCCGGTTTCGATTTGGCCTCTTCCGTTCAATCCCAATCGCCTGGTCAGTCCAACTTCCAGTGGGACCCTTCCCTCATCGATTACGCCATGGGCAACAACGCCGACAACAGCGCATCAATTGCCTACTCCGTCGCTGGTTCTTCGGGCCCCTCGATGGCCCCGACCGCTGCCCCTTCTCCAAAGTTCAGCGCAGACAACTCAAACATGAACGATCAATTCTTCGACTTTGACAGTGGTTCCAAACTTGTCAACTGGAACGACAACATCATAGTCCCCGCCGGACAAGACTTCCTCAATTCGTACAATTATGATCAGAACTTCTCGACAAATGACTTCAACAGCCAGGGCTGGTCGAGCTAACATTCGTGGTGTGCCTCTCGAGGCTCTTCATGATAAAATGCCCCGGTTCTGTCTTTTGAGTTCTCGGTTAACGATGCTGATGATTTACGGCTTAGAGCCTTTCCTATCGTCTTCCTCCCAAGTATCAGCATGGATGTTGTTGTTTTCCTGGTAGCAGGTTCATTATTTTCTTCTGGGCGATACCCCGATATTTCCTACTTTATTGTGGCATCTCACCCCCTTTTTCCACTTTCGGCTTGTTGATTTTGCCTTGTCGAAATCTTTGCTCGTTGAAGTCACTCCCTTTTTCTCTTTCAGATTTTCCTTTACACAATCCCCCCCTTTGCGACTGTTCTGGCTTTCAGTCGATCACAATGTCAATACTTCGTTGATTGCAAGCTGGACAGTTTTGGGACGTAGTCTCTATTGCGTCCTCGTGGTCTTTCACACACACACACACCTCTTTATCTAGTTTTGCAGAAAGCGTTGGAGCTGGTGGTTAGGTTGGTAGTTATATTGAAATAGAACGAGCTTATAAAAATATTGGCAGAGACCCAAGATTTACAAACAGTGTTTTTGTCGAGTGTTGACCTTGCGCTGACTTTTGGAGACTTGACTTTTCGTTTCACATCCTCCCGGGGTTGTCCGATAGAAGGGGGCGTTCGTGTTGATGGTCAGAAGTGGTTGTGTCCGCGGAGCGTCTTACGCGTCCAAGTTATTCCCGATTCTTGTCTCGGGATTACCTTTCTTGTGAAGCATAAAAATATCCGAGCAGTATGTCATCCTTCACGATGAATGAATCGTTAGTGTTATCGAGCGTACTGAGTTCAGCATCGAGGGACATGACGTCCGGACCCGAACTGTGAGATCTTAGAACGCCGGAGTTCAACATCAGGTGAACCACGTGGGATTGTTTGTGGTGGACATGCCACGAGCGGCGACCGACGAGAACGGACGATCATGTGGTCTATTGGTAGGCTGACTGAAAGAACTGGGAAGGCGTTTGAGTATGCATGTCGGTCAGTCAGTGGGTATAGAGACGATGATGATGCATCGTGAAGAGTACGACCCTGCTCACATCTAGACTCTGATCAGAAGTTGCGATCCAGAGCAAAGTAATCAACGACAACGGGATGTTCTCGGAGGTAATGAGTAGTTGTACAATTTTGCTTCATGTATGTATATTACAGATCAGAACATGACGGTCGACATCTCGCGACCACTCTACTTCAAGGGCTTGATACCCTTGTGGATGGCAGCAATACCATTAGTCAAGTCCTCCCAACCTTGACCGTTCTCACCACCAGGAACCACAAATCCAGCCTCTTTGATCATGTCCCTCCACTCAGTCTGGCTAGGGAACCTCTCAATACTCTCCACAAGATATTGATAGCTGTCTCTGTCTCCAGCGACAACCTGCCCAATCAAAGGAATAGCAGCAAAACTCCATCGCTTGTATACGAAATCGAAGACAGGGTTGTTGACTTTGCTGAACTCAAGACATGCGAACACACCCCCAGGCTTCAGGACGCGGAAAGCCTCCTTCAATGCAACATCCTTGTGTGTAAAGTTACGGATGCCGAACGAGACCGTGTACAGATCCATACTGTTATCAGGAATCATGTGCAAGTTTTCCGCATTCGCCTCTACAAAGTCTAGTCTTCCGGTACCGTTATAGTGGGACAGAGCAGCGCGCTTGCGGCCCTCGGCAAGCATATCAGGATTGATGTCGGAGATTGTAACGTGTGTGTTTGGGTCGTGGTTTATATTTGTCGCGTGATCGAGGATGCGGAAGGCAATGTCGCCGGTGCCGCCGGCGATGTCGAGGACTTTCCAGCCGGTTTGGGGTGCGCCGGGGGTGTGGCTGCCAGGGTTTATGCTGCGGACAAAGTGGTCTTTCCAAAGGCGGTGGATGCCGAGGGACATGAAGTCGTTCATTGTGTCGTAGGATGAGGCCACCGAGCTGAAGACGGCACCGACTGTTCGAGGAAATCCGTTAGCTGGTGCTTGAGATCAAAGGCACAGGCTCTTCTCGTACCCTTTGACTCCTTCAATGACTCGGCAATGCTCTCGAAACCGAAATGCGTCGTCTTTTCATTGTTGGGCTTTTGCTGGGCGAGGTACGGCGACGACGAAAAGGCGCGGACGGGCAGAGGTGTGGCAGCACGAGTGGAAAGCCGTAGCCGGTTTGCGGCGCGAGGGACGAACGAAGACATGGCGATGTGTGTTTGATTGTTAACTTGCCTCTCAACCCAAGAACTTTGGGCGACACAGACGCCGCTGTGCCAAGCTGCATATCTTCGGCAGATCGGAGATTAGATCCAAAGGATAGATCCGCCGCTTAGCACAGGGCGTACCCCGGACGGAGACAGAGGGCGCGCTGCCGAGGGCCCGAGTATGCGGAGGGGTATCTTGCCCATCATTGTACTTCTCGGTCCCCTGTCCGCTCGAGTGTGTATTCCTGCTGCGAAATAATCACACCATGAGTCTTCTCAAGTCCACATCTCCCGTGGCTCTACGCTCACCACAATGTTCTTTCCGGAGTGTGACCAAAAGGTGGAACTCGGTATCACAACGGCCAGGCTCAGATCGGTATATTCATCATCAATTCTTGTTGTATGCAACTTGATACTAAGATCTGAACAGAGTGCGCTTTCCTGGTGCTATAGACAGCAAGTTTACATCAAATCTTGACTTCACCCGTCCTTCGAACAAGAAAGCCATGCCCACTTATCGCATCCTGGATCAAGATGGTGTTATAGTCGACAAGTCAAGGGAACCCTCTGATATCTCAAATGATCATCTCATCAAGATGTACAAAGACATGCTAAGCGTGAGCAGTAAGGATCAACCAATTCTCCTCATCAAGAACACATCTGATCTCATAATAACTAGTCATGGACCTAATCATGTTCGACGCCCAAAGACAAGGCCGCATCAGTTTCTACATGGTCTCTGCAGGTGAAGAAGGCATAGCAGTCGGCTCAACCTCCGCTCTAGACCCCAGCGACCCAATCTTTGCCCAATACCGCGAGACCGGGATCTTCAAGTACCGCGGCTTCACGCCTGCAGACTTTATGAACCAACTCTATGCTAACAAGCATGATCCTGGTTTGGGTCGCAACATGCCTGTCCACTACGGAAGCACAAAGTATCATGTTCACACTATCAGTTCACCTTTGGCCACTCAGATCCCTCAAGCGTCTGGTGCAGCGTATGCGGTGAAGATGCAGAACGCTATGAATCCTAAAGACACACAACGATGTGTAGCGTGCTACTTTGGCGAAGGTGCAGCCAGTGAAGGTGACTTCCACGCTGCTCTCAACATCGCCGCCACCAGGAAGTGTCCCGTCATTTTTATCTGCAGAAACAATGGATATGCCATTTCAACACCCACGCTTGAGCAATACCGAGGCGACGGCATTGCTTCCAGAGGCGTAGGTTACGGCATCGACACCATCCGCGTCGATGGCAATGACATCCTAGCAGTCAGGGAGGTCACCAAAGAGGCTCGTCGCATGTGTCTCGAAGGCGGCGGTAAACCCATCTTGATCGAAGCAATGAGTTATCGCGTCTCGCATCACAGTACCTCCGACGACAGTTTTGCCTACCGCGCCAAAGTTGAGGTGGAAGATTGGAAGCGAAGGGACAATCCCATCACTCGTCTGCGCAAGTGGATGGAAGGAAAAGGCATCTGGGACGAGGAGAAAGAAAAGGAAGCTCGCAGTGTGCTGAAGAAGGAGATTTTGGCTGCGTTCAAGCAGGCCGAGAAGGAGAAGAGACCGGCTTTGAGGAATATGATGGAAGGTGTCTACGAGGAACTGACTGAGGAACAGAAGGAACAGATGGAGAAGCTGAGGAGTATCATTGAGAAGTATCCTGATGAGTACGACGTCAGCGAATACGAAGGTGGACTCGACAGCCTGAAGAACTAGCCTGTAAACAACAACAACAACCACCACCAATAAAATGCTTTGAGCCTACGAACAATGCCTTCTTCCATCTTACTCCATGAGATCTGCGACCGTACCCAAAAACTCTCCATGCGTACCAGCCTCCTGCTGCTGCAACAAAGAATCGATATCCAAACCACTCGAGGTCAAATACCTCTCACTAACACCAACATTGACTCTACTGCTCAACATGTCCCTCAATTGCGCCCTCAACGCACCAGTCTCAGATTTCGTCAGCCCTCTCGCTTCTCTCTCCTTCTTGATCCTCCCAGCACCTCTGCCCCTCTTACCCTTGGAGTTGTCAAACTCCTCAGAGTCATAGTCCACACCCAAATCCTCAGCCGCTTGCTTCAAAAAGTCATCTTCGCTGTGTTTCTTTTCCTTAGCAATGGTTGTATCGGCGAGTTTCTTGGACAAGTTGGCGCGAGGCTTCAGTCTGCTGACCACGCGGCGATCGATATCGAGACTGCGGATGAAGTAGCCGTTCTTTGCTGCGTCGTTGGCGGGTTCGGCGCCTGCAGCTGCAGAGCTGGCGTGTACTTTGGCGATTAGTCTACGCACGCCGGCTACTTCTTCGGGACCGCAGATGAGGATGCTGGAGCCGGTTTCGCCGGCGCGAGCGGTACGACCGGATCTGTGGACGTAATTGTCTGCGGCGCGAGGCAGATGGTAGTGAATTACCAGGTTGACGTTGGGGATATCGAGACCGCGGGCAGCGACATCGGTGGCAAGGAGGATGGAACCCTTGTGGTTGGTCTTGTTCTGGTTGTTTGAGGTGAATCGCTCAATTGCGCGCAGACGTGCCTTTTGTGCCATTTGCGAGTGTAGAGCGTGGACGGGTAGTTGCAGGTTTTGCAAGAATGGCGTTAGACGACGCACGGCGGAGATGGAGTTGCAGAATACTATCGTCCTGGCGTTGGGGTGTAGCAGAAGGAGCGCGTACAGGTAGAGATCCTTCTCGGTACCACCGCACTCGACCATGCCTTCCTTGAGACCAGAAGCCATTTGACTGATTGGGTTCACATCGACAAACTTGGGCTTTTCCTCGCGGAAGTTCAGTTTCTTGAGCAGATACTCCATACTCTCCTTCTTGTCCATCAGACCAGCACCTGGCTTAGCCTTACCTGCGAGCTTGTGCTGTAAGCCCTTGTGGAAGGTAGCGGAGAAGACAAGTGTCTGTCTCTCGACTTCCTCAACCTCCTCTGGTGCTTCGTCCTCATCTTCGTGTTCTTCGGCCTTGAAGTCGTCTTTGCGTTCGAGGACATTGATAATCTCTTCGAGCTCCTTGAAGTGACCTTGACTGAGCAGTCTGTCGGCTTCGTCAATAACCAGGAACTGAATCTGCTTCAGCCACCTGAGAACACCGTGTCCACCACTGATGATTTCCCACAGACGACCAGGAGTACCGATAATGATGTCTGCATTCTTGAGTTGTCTTTGCTGCTTCGCCATAGAGAGACCTCCAGTAAGAGTACAGATCCAGGGTGCCTTCTCGACGCCAGAGCATAGAGTTGTAAGATGGGTGGAAATTTGGTGAGCTAGTTCACGAGTAGGCGACAGAATCAGAGCCAGAGCAGGCTTGCGAGCAGCCTCTTCCTCGCTGTTGACCTTCTTCTTGTTGTTTCCAGCAATCTTCTGCATCTCGAGGTAGCGCTCCAAGATAGGGATACCGAAGGCTAATGTCTTTCCAGAACCGGTGCTGGCCTTTCCGATGACATCGTGTCCTGCCAAAATTTCGGGGATGGCAGCCTTTTGAATTGCTGATGGTTGGTGGAACTTCATCTTCGACAGCGCCCCAAGAGTATCGTCCGAGAGGTTAAGAGGGCGCCATGCGGTGATGTCGGCACCTTCGTCCTCTTCTTCATCCAGAAGGTTGGCAAATGTTGAGGATCCGACTTCAGCCTGGGTGGCAGCTTCCTTCGGCTTCTTTTCTGCCTTGGGTTTCTTTTCCTTCTTCTTCTCTTTCTTTTCCTTCTGCTTCTTCTCCTTTAGCTGTTGCTTCTGAAGTTCCTTTTGCTTCTTCTTTCGGTCTTCCCAGGTTTCTCCTTCTTCAAGTTCGGGAGCAGATCTAGCTGTGACGGTTTCGATGGTCATGGCACCACCCTCTTGCTTATCGGCTTCCTCCTCATCATCGTCATCGAAACCAGTGAACTCTTCGGCATCGTCTTCTGACTCCTCCGGGGCGGCTCTTTTCTTAGTGGCTTTGTCGCTGGTAGCTCGATAAGAAATGATGCCATTGTCATCCTTGACGACATCTACATCATCAATCTCCTCGAGACCGTAGAAGCCTTCAAAATCATCCAATCTATCCGGCATTTCGACATCATTCCAAGCCAGATCGTCCAGGCGCACTTTTTCCGATTTTGGTGGCGCTGTTTGCGAAGATTTGGTTGTGGTCGCTTTCTTTCCATCTAACTTCTGTCGCTTTCTGGCTTTCATTGCCGCGACCTTTGGAGGCAGGGCACGCTTGTTCTCAGTTGCAGCCATGATGATTTGATGTGATGGTGATGTTAATGGAAGAGAAATGGAAAAATGTCAATAGACGCCAAGAAGTTCAAGGGTCCAGAGCGGGAGAGCCTCGGCAGACTCTTTCTGAGATTGACCAAGCAATGAAGAGAGATACATCAACGACAGATCCCGATACTGAACTACGATTTTGATTTAACCTGGTCTGATCGAAAATGGGCAAGTCATCTAAAGATAAGCGCGACGCTTACTATCGCCTCGCCAAAGAGCAAGGCTGGCGTGCCCGCAGTGCGTTCAAACTTCTACAACTGGATGAGGAATTCAATCTTTTCGAAGGAGTAACTCGCGTGGTCGATCTTTGCGCTGCACCTGGAAGTTGGAGTCAAGTTCTGTCTCGCGTGTTGATCAAGGGTGAGAAAATTGGACGCGCCGGCTGGGAGGATAAGCAAGCCAGAGAAAAGCTCGAATCGCATGGCCAAACCACCACATCGATTTCGGGATCCAGATCCGAGCCAGAAGTAAAGCAACAACTTCAACCAAGAGAAAATGTCAAGATTGTGGCTATCGATCTGCAGCCCATGTCACCTCTGGAAGGCATTGTCACCATGCGTGCGGACATCACACATCCCTCGACCATCCCATTATTACTCAAGGCTTTGGATCCCGAGACTTTCGACCCTACTTCTGTACAAGCATCTCATCCAGTGGATTTGGTCATCTCAGATGGCGCGCCTGATGTGACCGGCCTGCACGACCTGGACACATACGTGCAATCACAACTACTCTGGGCAGCGCTAAACCTTGCTCTGTGTGTTTTGAAGCCTGGCGGCAAATTTGTGGCCAAGATTTTCCGTGGCAAGGATGTCGATCTGCTCTATGCGCAGCTCAAAATTGTGTTTGAGCGAGTGCGAGTGGCGAAGCCTAGGAGTAGTCGTGCAAGCAGTGTGGAGGCATTCGTTGTTTGCACAGGATTCCGCCCCCCTAAGGGCTTCAAGGCCAGTCTCGAGAACCCTCTGGGTGCAGGGACACAACTGCAAGTACCAGAGGAGATGAAGCTTGAGAAGACTCTACCATCACGTACGCTGAGACCGGATGGTATCACAGAGCTAGAGCTGGGTTCTGAGGATGAAGAGGACAGCAAGGATATCAGATGGATCGCACCCTTCTTGGCTTGTGGAGATCTGTCGGCATACGATGCGGATGCTTCATATCACCTACCTAAGGATCATGTTGTGTTGGACCCTGTGCAACCGCCAACTGCACCACCATACAGGAAAGCACTGGAGATGCGTAAGACAGCTGGCGGAGCCTATGGCAAAACAAAGCTGGGTTGAGAAAATGTCAAGACGATAAGACTGGAAAACTGTCTTGATACAAGGCATCAACAACACAACTCGAAAGTTCAGCAGCTCAAAAGGACTTCAACTGCAAGCAACCAAATAATAACACATTCCATTCAATCTCTCTGGCTTTCAAAAGCGTTCCATCATCGCTGCTGCAGCGCAAACCTCCTGTTCCGCTCCTTGTAGGTGTCTGCCCAGATCTGGTGTATCTCTGCTTCACATTAGCATCCGTCAAACCCAAACACAATCAAAAGACTCACCCTTTGGCACTTCTCTCCCACCCGTCTTTTCAATCTCATTCTTGTAATGGATATCGTCACCTCTGCCCTCAACGACTTGTCCATTCGGCTCCTGACCACCCCATCCTTCCGTCTCAACCTCATCAAATCTACCCAACGAATCAAAGGCTTTCATCAATGTCTCCATCTTGGTCAATGCCTCCTTCGGATAACTCTCCAGCAACCCAGCAGGCGCAAGGTTAGACGGTGTGAGCGCTGGTGCAACAGCATTGATCGAAACACCAGCTTCTGCGGCCGATGCAGCCAATGCCCTCACCAGACCCACAACGGCATGTTTGGTAGCTGTATATTGAGGAACAGCGGACAAAGCCCAAAGTCCAGCATCTGAAGCAGTAATCACAATTCTACCACCTTTACCATTGGCGTGGTCATGCAAAGGCTTGTTCAAAGCCATGTAATGAGCAGCCAACTTGACTCCGTAATAAGGACCATACAGGTTGACTTCGAAAGTCTTCATGTTTGGTTTAGTGGGCGGGGTGTTGAGATCGTTGCTAGTGGAGTTGAATATATCGTCTCGATCGTCAATACCAGCATTCAAGGCGCAGAAATCCAAACGACCAAAGGTGGACCAGCAGGTTGCAAAAGCCGAGGATTGCGCATCCCAGGACGAAACATCTGTGGCGTGAAAGTGGTAGGATGAGGTATCGAAAGTGGATAGTTCGGATGACGGAGGAGGGTTGATGTCGACGATGAAGACGTGCCAGGAGCGATTGAGGAGATGTTTCGTCAGAGCCAAACCGATGCCTGTAGTTCGTTTGTCAGAGCATTCATCTCATGCTAGATTTGAAAGATGAGGCTGCACCTGAAGAGCCACCTGTGATGAGTGCAACTGGTGCCATGGTTGGCATACTCTAAGGTGGAAAATGAATTTCTTGGATTCAGGTCTAACAGAAGAGGGACATAGGTGCCTTATAATGCTCTGCCGTCTACCCAAACCCGGCAGATGAACCACCCAAGACGGGGCTACAAAGTGGGTACTGTGGCCATACAATGTGGGGTATGCGGGGTCGAATGGCAAGAAGAGATGCAACAGATGGAAGGCAAAAGATGACAAGATAGCAACGGACACAGGTTGGGAGAGAAAGCAGTTTTACGAGGATCATATCAAAAACAACATATCTATCGGCCAGGGAGTCATGAAGCACACATCTGGTTGTGTCTTTTGAGGCTAGATGGATGTCAAGACAATTTGCCACGGAGAATTTCACCAGCGGCCTCCTCGACACATTGATGCACTTGTCGACGCGCGCTGCATGCATACTGTCAGGACTTGAGGTGCATTGATCGAGTTGTCGCGTTGTGATGGTATGGAAGCACAAAGAGCCCCAAGAAGTACGGCGACAAACACGACGCGGTGACGCACTACCCCTCCAAAGCACGGTCAACAGCTCTACCCAAGGGAGAAGCACTGTCCCTTCCCTTTTACACTTTGACATCAACAGCAAAAAACCGCAATCATGGTCGACAGAGCACACAAGCCTTCCGCCCTTTCTCCCAGCACAACCGGCCCCCAGCCTACTGTCCACTCGGATGGCAACAAGGTGACGGCCAGCCTGCCCAGCGGCGACTCGGTTGAGGTCATGCTGTACGGTGCTACCGTCATCTCATGGAAGAACAATGGCCAGGAGAACATGTGGCTGAGCTCCAACGCCAACATGGAAGGCAAGAAGGCCATCAGAGGCGGTGTCCCTGTCGTCTTTCCCGTACGTCCCTACCGCTCCTGTCCTTCCCTAGTAACAAACACTGACCACTTCCTCAATAGAACTTCGGCCCTGCCCCCAAGAACCACGCCACTTCAGCTCTCCCTCAACACGGTTTCGCTCGCATCTCCAACTGGGAGTACCTTGGCACCACTTCGTCAGAATCTGGCAACCAGAAGGGCAGCGACGATTCCATCCGCCTCGACTTTGGCTTGACCCCCAACAACCTCAGCGAGGAGATGAAGAAGGCTTGGCCCTACGACTTCAGCCTTCAGTACAGCGTCACTCTGTCTAAGGACGGTCTGCAGACCATGCTGAGCGTCCGCAACGAGGGCGACAAGCCTTTCGACTTCCAGACCCTCTTCCACACCTACTTTGCCATTCCTGTATGCACTTACCTCCTCTGACTTTGTCGATAAAGTGCTAACCTACTTGACCAGGACATCTCCAAGGTCAAGGTCACCGGCCTCTCGGGCGTCAGATACATCGACAAGATCCTCAACGCCACCGAGCACGACTCCAAGGGCAACGACCTCCGCATCGAAAGCACCGTCGACCGCGTCTACAAGTCCTTCACCCAAGACACAACCTCCATCCTCGTCGACGACAAGCCCCGCCTCGATGTCATCAGAGACAACATGCAAGACACTGTCATCTGGAACCCTTGGAGAGAAGGCGCCGAAGCCATTGCCGACTTTGAGCCCAAGGATGGTTACAAGAAGATGATTTGTGTCGAGGCTGGCGCTGTCAATGGCTGGATCACTCTCGAGGCTCAGGATGGCTTTGAGGCTGGCCAGATTCTCAAGAGCTATCTGTAAGCAGTTGCGACACGGTGTACTGTTTGCACAGAGACACAACCACGACACGAAAAATGATGAAAGGAAGGTAGCATGATTCGGCCTAGCGAAAGGCATAGTTAAAAGGGGAACAATTGCACGTTGACCCCAGCATAGACATAATCAATCAGGATTTACAACCACCAACCTATCAATGTGCTGTTTGACATCACCTGAGATACTCACTCGGTATCCCATCTGAACAGATGCCAGAGATGTATCCTATAAAAAGGCACAAAGATGTCATGAACATGTCGCGTTTCCACTGAGAGCCCTTGATGGAGGGCTGGCTTTACGGGCTCTCGGTGGACATACCATCTGATTACGACATCTTTGTGCCTTTTCACAACTAGTCCAGAATGCAGTATAGTTGTTTGGGAATTCTCCAACTCCCAATCGCCATCGTCTTATCAATGCAACCAATACCCAGGCACAGAGATAAACTACGTTGAAGCAATTTAAGTTGAAGCAATTTCCACTGAGAGCACTCCAAGTCCAAATTATCAACAACATCAACACTCACATTTCAACAATTTTTCTCACAAAAAAAAACAGTTCACAGCCATCACAACTTTCTTCACAAGCAAACAACCACAAACCACAAGTATATAAGCCTAGCCATCGCTACAAATCTCTCTCAACCCACCAATCCACATCGCAACCATGGCACCCTCCAGTTGCCTCAACAATATGTGCTGGCTGGCGCCTCTGTTTCTCAAAAGGTCATGTCTACAGCCCGCTGACGTTCGAGAACCGGGTCGATGGCCGTAGTTGGCTCTGCTCACGCTTTCGCTGTCGGTGCTATGGGTTCTGGGTGTTACGGAAACACTGCAACGAGATGTGAATGCCAGACGGGAGATCAAAGATATGTGGGTTGATAGTGTACTTGGGGGTTACGGAAGACATGCTCGTACGAGGCTTTGGTGTTCGGCAGAGAGCGGATTATACCAGGGCTGCCCGTGATGTTCGATGACCAGGTTCATGTCGCAATTACTCTGCTCTCGTTCTAGGATGTTGACGGGTATGGGTTCCTGGGGTGCGGAGACGCTGCAACGAGATGTCGATGCCAGGTGGGAGATCAAAGATATGTGATTTGGAAGTGTACTTAGGGGTTACGGAAGACATGCACGAGACACTGTTGTCAAGGTCGAGAAAGCAGGGCTTATGGCCAAAAGGTGTGTGGTTTGATTGCATGTATCAACAAGTCAAGCATTTGATGAAACGCATGATTATCTTGCAAATTGCATGTTTGCATTCGGGATATTGTGTAAATGTAGTTCACCTTCTTGTTCAACACGGTGCGTTTACCTTTGAGCCGGGTTCACTTCAATCAACTCCACCTATATTCATGCTGTGATTGTAGCTTCCTATCAAAATGCACAATGTTCTCAACAAACGAACGCATATCCAAAGAAAGGAGGCATGAAGCTTGAATCAAGTCCATTGATGCTAATTGAACACATCCGACGACAATGATACTCTAATTACTCGATCTTCTCCCAGCCTCGTAAACACATCTGCCAAGCTCGTACAGAACGTCCTGCAGTTCTCTTTCTTGCTGCGGTGTAATGACCATCGTTGTGCAGTTGATCATAATGCTCTTCAACCTTTTGATCAGCCAATTGCCTCTGTCTGGTGGTTGCTCGTTGACTGCTTTTTCCTCCTCATGCCTCAGCTGAGAGTCTGCTTCCTGGTTATCGTCCTTGTCATCGTCTTCTGGATCATCGACCTTGCCATCGTCTTCTTGCTCGTCAACCTCTTCATCGTCATCTTGCTCACCAACTCTCGTCTCATCAAGGACTGTCTCATCCACGCCAGACGGACCTGGACTGACAAGAACAGCCTCGAGCTCGCGGCCCCGACGACGGCGAGTGGGAGAAAGCATGACATGTTCCACCGGTTGGTCTGACTTCGCGTCTTGACTCCGTGTTGTCCTTCGAGACTTGCTAGGTGCAGGTGTTTCGATGACCAAAGACTCTTGGTTTTCTTCTGCTTCGAGTGTTGATGCACGTCGTTTTGCAGCTCGAGTTCTCACGATCGAAGCTGGGCTGGAGACGAAAGGTGTCGTTGATTTCTTAGGTCTTCCGCGTCCACGTTTGTTTGTCGATGGACCAACGCTTGCTGCAGCTGATTCGGGCATTGGAGATTGCTCTGCAGCTTCGGACCGAGGTTCGTCCTCTTGATCCTCTTCCTGATCTTTCTGGCTCTCGACGACGATACAGTCTTGCATTTCTTCATCGTCGTCGTCGTCGTCGTCCTCCTCCTCATTCACCGCTTGGCTGCCAGTAAGGTAAGAGAGTGTTCTTGTAACGATACGTCTGAACGGCGATGCTGAGGACTTGCGACCTTTGGCTGAAGCCCGCGTTTCATGTGGCTCTTCTCGCTTGCGCTTGGAAGCTGAAGAAGCAAGGTTTAGCTTGGGAGACGCACTCGTGAGTGTCTCTTGCTGTACTGATGTCGTATCGTCGTGATCGCTGGTGGTTCCAACGAAGGAGTCCATGACTCTGCTGATGTCACCAGGCGTAGCAACAGCTTCAGGAATCTTGCTCTGAGGAGGATCTGCGGAGCTATCAGGCTCCTTTTGAGGCTGTTCGGAGAGACTGTCGGTAAAGGGTATAGGAGAAGAGTCATCGGCCTCGATAGCATCCTGGCCTTCGGGCACTTCTTCCACGGCCTCGATGCCATCTTTTCCATTGTTAATGGCAGAGGTCTCGCGGTTGAGCTCTGAGCGAGCGTCCGTGTAGATGTCAGATGAAACGCCGCCTTCAAGTTGCTGAGCCAGACGTTGAATCGAACGATGTGTTTCAGCGGGTACGTCTGCAGCTTGCTCAACTGTACTTGCCTCCTCCGGTAGTGCTCTCGAGTCGTCAACTCTAGATTCCTCTTGAGGCACAATTGTTGAGAAATCTTCAGGAACAGTATCGAACCGGACGTCGCTCATTGCCTGTGGTTCCGTAGTCTGCAAGTTCTCCAGCTCGGTGGTGCCGTCGTACACTGTTTCATCTTCCATCTCGGGTGGAGAAGATGGGATATTTTCTTCTGCTTCGAAAGCCGACTCGTCTACGTCTGTGTTCTCCACAGCAGATTGTTGCGCTTTCTCAGCTGCCTTTGGTGTAGGTGAGGAAGTGATATACTCGTCCAGCGGTCCGTGATCATCGTTCAAGGTGGGTGTAGCATACCCAGTATCCATGACGACTTGCTTACTAGAAAAGTCTAGCAGCGGCAATCCTGATTTCGAAGCTCTTCTGCGTGGTCCCGGGCTTGAAGAAAACTCGGGGTACAGTGGCGCCGTTTCGAATTGCTGTCGAGATTTGACCTCTCTCTGGTGCTCGGTCAGGAGTTGAGATTCCATCGCTACTGGTGATGAGCTCTCAACAGCTGTGAAGTCGAGCTGGGAGTCCTCATGCCGCAGTTTCGATTTCAATGCTGCTTTGGAAGCGGGCAATCTCCTCGTGGCAGACTTCTGTTGAGGACTAGAGGAGGCAGCACGACTAAGAACGCTCATTCTCTTGGATCTTCTTGTAGGTTGCTGCTTGGTGGGAGACGGCGTCTCTTGGATACCAGCTTCTTGCTGCGACTCGATCAAGTCATGTAATGGCGATGGTGTCTAGTCTTATCAGTGTGAGTGTGCGACAGTGTCTGGACTTTGCTTACCGGTGCATCACTGTTGTCTGGGAAAGTGGGTAGGTCAAGTTCCACAAGAGGCCGGAGTCGTCTAACTGCTTGTTCAACATTACTCGGGTACTCGAGAGAGTCGAGCTGGCCAAAGGTGGTATTCCAAAAGGAAACAGTAAGATTGATAATCTCCCGGTGTGTGCTGTTCAAGCCGGCTGCAAAGAGCTCATCCAAGGCTTTCAACAGAGTCTTGTTCGAGGGTAGATTCTTCAGCTGAGTGAGGACAGATTGCCACAAAGAGAGTACCTGGACTGATTAGCGATAGCGCTCGTTCTGTTGGCTGTCATAACTCACCTTGACAAACACCTCCTGACCCTCCTGACTACCCGCGAGTACACGATTCTCATCCTTGACGATCTGCGATAGTCCATGTTGCACCCTGCGTAACGCAGGCGACGCGAACAGGGACAGAGGACATTTTGAAAGGAAGTCTCGAACCGCTTCGATGAACTGTGCTAGGCTCTCTGCGGGCTCATCGATGCTAGCATATGAGGTCAGCAATGCCGAATTTACGAGCTCATATACATGATTGAACGGCTCGAAGCTTGACTGTTTCGAGTACGGCGGATGCGTGTTCCACAGAGATCTACGCGCTTCGTCCATTTGCTGTTTGTTGCGAGGGAATGTTCCAACTTGAAGCAACTTCTCAGCGAACTGAACGAAAACAGACCTAGGGATCATCTGGTCTCTCTGTTGCAAGAGCGCCTCAGCCAGAGGTTCCATCAGACCGAGAACCACACCACCTTCACCGGCTTCTTGTTTAAGGATCTTTGCCAGTACACTGACAAGCTCGAAAGCGGCCGACAATACATTATCGTCATATTGTTGATGATGGAAGCCCGATGCCAGTATCGAGATGGCATGTCGAGCTTGATGTCCGATACGAGCAGGCTCTTGGACATTTTCGTTGAGGCTAGAGCCGAGGAGCACCGCAATAGTCTCTCGTACTGCAGTCGTCCACAGAAGTACTGAATTCGTGGCCAGACTCGCTTGTGAGCATTTGCGTATTAGTTCCAGTCGTTCCTTGCGCGAGTTCCTACCCAGGCAAATCTGATGCAGCAATTCTTTCGCAGCATCGGAGTAAGCTGTGTCTGTGCTGACTGCAAGTGGTGGTTGGGCAAACAAGTCGAACAAGAAGACAGCAGGTGACTGTAGCCTGGCATGATGTTTTGACGTGCGATTAGATGGAGTCGGTGCAGCCCCAAGGCTTTTAGATTCGTTACGAGCTAGGGTTTCCTCGCTGAATGGTAAAGGTCCAATCACCTCGATGGAGCACTGCACAAGGGATGTAAACCGCGAAATCCAGGGCGTACCGAGGTGGTTATCAGTCTTAGGAGCTTTTGCCCATAGGCGACCAAAGAAGTTCATCAGCTGGGCTAAACACTCCTTCAACTCTTGTGATCTCAGTACCTCATGACTGCCAGCACTAGAGACCGCAGTCAAGAATTCACGCCAGGGTGTCGCGTCGATGCCACGTCCATCTCCTGTTTGAGCTAATGATAGCTCGAGGAAAGGACCCAGCAAATCCAGCACTTTATAAGCCCTGGAACGTACCCACTTGGGATCCAATCGAGACAAAGCCTCGGGCAATATTGGAGCCTTGTTGACCACTTCCTCATCCCAGACTGTCGATCTGCCATCGAAAAGAGTTTTGAGTACCCGACAGGCTAGGCTGGCATCCCTTCCGCCGGACAAAAGTAGCTTGAGAAGAACTTCCTTGACGTAGACATCCCAGAAGTAGTCGAGGTCTTGCCACGGCTGAGAAGGTCGTAGAGAGTAATGTAGCAGATTGCAATAGCCAGAGAGTGCAATGTGACGAACCTCCTTGCTCTTCTTGTCTCGACCCTTATTAGTGTGGAGTATGTGTAGGAAGGGGACACGTAGTGTATGATCCCATCCTTCCATCTTGTCTAGCATTTCGCGATCTGGCATGGCGACGTAGACAAGACGATTCCAGGCGCATGTGGCTCGAAACTTGACAGTAAGGTTCTTGCTGTTAAGGCAGTTCTGGATGAGGAGGAACCACTCTTCGCAAAACAATCGCCATTGCGACAACTTGACCTTTTTGCTTCTGAAAAAGAGTACAACCATTGACCAAATTTGCGGCACGGCTTCCTCAAGATCGGTGTTCTCGTTACCTTCTTTTGGCTTGGACATGTCAAACAGACGGGCGGTGAAGTACGCGCCGTAGGTGCTACCTTCAGCAGTGGCTGTATGGAACAGATCAATGATGACTTTGGTGGATGAGTAGCTCGTGCCGTACAACATAGCAGCCTGCATTCCAGTTTCGATGGCGCGCACCCTGACGTCTTTGATGCTACTCAAAACACCATGGAAAACATGAGGCATCCAATCTCGCATACTGGCGAGCATGGGAGTAGGAGCTTGATCCATCAAGCGTTGGAAGATGACTAAACGTGACGCGATGACGCTGTTGCCGCTGACGCGTTCGTGGACGGTAGTGAGTGAAGAGAGGATTCGTTCGACTTTGGTCGAAGTTACCACTCTCGAAGGGAAGCGTTGAGTCGCGAGAAGGAACATATGGTGGTTGGCGATAGCTTTCGGGACTGGGTCCTGTTCCAAAACTTCGATGGCGCGATCGACAAGTAATGTCTGGAACTGCTCGTCGAGGGCATCTGCGAGAGTAGGCAGCATGAGAATGGCTGTCGTAAGCTTCAAGGCTTGTGTGGTCAGACTTGATGTCATTGGGTCCGACTTGCGACTCGACTCGAGAATATCTCGTGAAATGTACTTGACGAGCAGGGGCATTTTGAACCGCATTGCGTCGACGTCGGGCAGGTCATCATAGGCCTTGAGGGCACCATTGAGAGTACTGTATCCATCCAGGCGCATAGCCGTGGCAGGGGCGTCGAGGAACTTCAGAACCGAGTCGAGCATGACGGGAAAGGTCTTTGGGTCGGAGATGGAGAAGTAGTCGGCGGCGGGCGATGCAGCGTCGGGTGTGGGAGTCTGCAGGTCAAAAGTGGCCTTTAGGATAGATCTGACAGGTCTGGGTTGCTTGCTCGAAGGAAAACGGCGTGGAAGTGGGCTGGCGGCGCCTGATGTCGCGTAGAAGTGTGTGGGATCATGAGCAGTGATACATGGCGAGAACTCGACCCGCTTGCTCGACTTGTGCTGCGAACCGTCGACCTGCGAAGATGGAGGCGAAGGTTGCACCGGAGTGCCTGCGCGAGAGCAGACTTGACGCACTTGGTCGAGTTCTGGCTCAAAGTCGACGTCTAGGAGACTTATGACTTGGTCGATTTCGCCGTGGTTGATGTCTTTCGGAGGGGTCGGAGGGCGATTGGCGAGATGCTCGAGAGGCTCAGCAGAGACCATTGCCGAACAATTGAGATTATCAAATCTAGTCTGAGGTCTTGTTCGATCGACCTTGCTTGTTCAGCAGCATGATCGTGTTGTCTTTCGAGCGTTGTCAAGTAAACTCGACAAGTCGAGATGACGCGCCTCGAACGTGCTTTCGTCGCGTTTCAATTTAGCCTCCTCGTGAGCTAGAGTTTGTAGCTCGCACCTTCTTCCCACGACGATGTATCAATATGTAAATAGTGAACAGACAGAAAATCTTGCGACAAGAGTATTCTTCCACGGATAGCTTTCCTGTAATCCTTTGTGTAGTACAATGCTCTCGAGACTACTGTGGATTATAGCTCTCTGCGTGACATACTTCTGGGACCATCTCTTCTTGGCACGCTTGCAGTTGCTTGGTGACCGCTTCCCAATTCGGAAATTGCTCCTTCCTTCTCCTTTGATCGTGAACCTTCACATATAGCACATCTCGAGATGTTTGCTCGACCCGCACAAACTAGTGGCCAAGGTAAAGACGCTGTCTATACTTTGCCGTTCACACTTTGCTAATGGAAATGCTCAGGCAAAGCCAAGGTCGATGAGCTACTAAAAAAGCTCACCGCTGACTTGCATGACGAGAAACTGTCAGCTGCACGTATGTTTTCTGGCAATCTTTTCGCAAATGTCTGTCTAATCTGAATACTAGAGCGCAAAAGTCTTCTCGAGCAGCTCAAAGTTCTTGGCAGAGATCCTGATAATTCTGAGTCTATTTTCGCCAAAACGGTATTGTCATGTCGTGTTCTTCCACGACACCTTACTGATATGAGCAGGGAATTGAAACGCTATGTGAATATGGTTTCGAAGTCGCCGAACTGGATGTCTCACAGGAAGCTTTAAGATGCTTGGCCAATGCTATGCTGTTGCAGGAGGCCCCAAGGCAACACCTTCTAGACTTGGGGTACGGCGACAAAGCGGCGCAAAGACTCAGGGTTAGTGTCATGACAGTTGGTTAGAATGTAGAGCTGACTGCATGCTAGAACGACGATCGGAATGACGAATTCCTGCTCTCTCGCATCATCTTTCTCTTGACATACAAGACTACGGTTGACCTTGTAGAACTTGTCGAGAAGCATGAATTGGCCAACAGCATCTGCAGGGTATGAATGTTCTACTAGCTATGAAATTTGCGGCTGCTAAACTCCAATTAGAATCTAGCTGGTCATGCTGACAGACTCACTGATCCAACTAACCAGCTCGCGCACCCAATGAACGATATGGCTATGCTAGAAACCCTGAAGCTGCTGTACAATGTAACCGCCAACAAGCCCGAATTGGCAGCTAGATTTGCCAGCTGTGTGCCGGACCTGTTCAGCATTCTTTCCCATCAGAAGCTACCTGTGCCACCATTGCAAGTCCCCGTCAGTTCCATCATCAACGCATTGATGATCATGCATATCACCCAAGAGACTTGCCCTACCGAGAGACAGGTCCAACAACTGGTTCATATCCTCGACCTTTCTATGAAGGCATATCAGGAGAAGGAGCTTGACAAAGCTGCGATTCCTGTGTTGATGGTCTTACGCAAGGTCCAGGAGAAAGCATCACCAGATGTGCGTAAGAGCGTTCAGTCCCTCTTGTTACCGAACGAAGAGGCCCGTTCGAAGCCTCTGGGTCAAGGTGACTCTTTGCCATCTCGACTGCTTCGGCTCTCAATTTCACCTTCACTGACCGAATTACGCGACGTCATTTCTACCTTGTTCTACGAGCTTTCTGATAGCAACCCAACAACCTTTATTCACAACATCGGATATGGTTATGCTGCAGGCTACCTCTCTACGCACAAGATTGAGGTGCCGGAGACTATGATGCGCGCGGATGCTCAGGGTGCGGACATCAACCCTATTACTGGACAACGCCTAGCTGCTGAATCCAAGGATCCGGAACCCGAGATGACAGATGAAGAGAAGGAGCGCGAAGCTGAACGTCTGTTCGTGTTGTTCGAAAGGCTGAAGGCTACAGGAGTAGTCAACGTTGAGAACCCAGTGCATCAAGCAATGAGGGAAGGACGCTTCGACAACTGAACTCCTTACAGCACTTAGAAGCTTCCCAGCTCGTGGTGTACACACAATTGGACCGCAGCCCCGGGCATGCTACAACTTTCCAACCTATATGACACACATGACTGTCTGTGTCTGCTTAGAATATATGCCTCTTTTCTTTTTGGTACTTACAGAGTTTTTCCGTCGAATACAGTGGTCTAGCCAAGCCAACCTTCGAGGTTTATCTTTGCAGCCTTCGATACCTTCGCGAGCAATAGGCCATCTCCGATATGTGATGGGCGACATCGTTGTTCCTTCTCTTCCTTCTTACATCGCCAAGGTCGGAGAGATACCAAAGGGCCAAAACCCTGTCGTGAACGAGTCGAGTCATGCACAATCGGCTGCGATAAGCACCGGCCAAGTCCGCGACAGATCGTGCACAAGATGTCCTTCCACTATCGGGCAAGTCACTTCCTGATCCGAACAAATCCTTCGGGAGAATGACGCGCGACAAGGCGATAACGCGTGCGCCCCGGGCAACTTTTTTGCTGACTCCGATGATCTTTCTCGTGATGCCATTACCTTGGAGGAGGTTGGGGTCTCGGACGCACAGCGCGCTTTTCGGCTCCAATGGTATGGAGCTTGTTTGCAAAAGATAAGCGCTGCTTGAGACATTTAAAGTCCTGGTGGTTGGCAGCCATGTAGAAGATCTCTTCTCTCGTAGGTCCTCTCATTTTCTTGTAATCCTCTCTTTTGGTTGCTACCAAGATGCGTTTCTCGTCCAACATTGCCTCTGCCCTCTTGGGTTTGAGCTCCGTCGTTTCTGCATCGGTCCTGCACAAGCCTGTCGCTGTTGCTGAGAGAGCAATTGAATATGTGATCAAGCCTAAGGTCATGCTCATTGCCATGTTCACACCCGAGGCTGAGATCTGGTACGGAATCCCCGAGTTCAACCTTCTGGCCAGAAACATTTCTCTTCCTGGAGCTTCACCTCTGTTCCCTCACGTCCACTGCACTGAGGACGGAGATGTCTGCCAGGTCATCACCGGCGAGAGCGAGATCAATGCTGCAGTCACGATCGCCTCGCTGGTCCGCAGCCCTCGCTTCGACCTGACCACCACTTACTTCATGGTCGCCGGTATTGCTGGCATCAACCCCGAGGTCGCAACCATCTGCTCCGTCACCTTCGCTCGCTACGCCGTCCAGGTCGCTCTTCAGCACGAATTCGACCCTCGCGATATCCCTGGCAACTTCACCACTGGCTACATCCCTCTGGGTGCCACTGCACCTTCCGAGTACCCTCTGAACATCTACGGCACCGAGGTCTTCGAGGTCAACCAAGACCTGCAAAAGATTGCAGCAAACTTTGCTCGCAAGGCTACACTCAACGACTCTGACGCCGCCGTCGCATACCGCAAGCTCTACGCCAACGACGCCATCTACGCCGCTGGTGCTTCGTCTGCTGGACCCAGTGTAGTCGAGTGCGACGTCGCTACCTCCGACGTCTACTACTCTGGCAAACTTCTGGGAGAGGCCTTTGGAAATTTCACGACCCTGATTACTAACGGAACTGGTAACTACTGCTCCACCGCCCAAGAAGACAACGCCACCCTGGGAGCTCTCGTCCGCGCCGCCGCCGAAAAGCTCGTCGACTTCAAGCGCATCATCGTCATGAGAACCGCCTCTGACTTCGACCGCCCCTTCCTCGGCGGCTCAGCCACCTACAACCTCTTCGAGTCTTCCGTACAAGGAGCTTTCCTCCCCGCAGTCGCCAACCTCTACCTCGCCGGCGTCCAAGTCGTCGAAGGCATTTTGGACGGCTGGAACAGCACTTTCGCCAACGGCGTCAATGCCACAAACTACATTGGCGACATCTTTGGCACTCTGGGCGGCGAGCCTGACTTTGGCCTCGGTGCCGAGGTGAGCGGTGATATTTTCAGCAAGAGAGATGTTCTTGTTAAGAGAAACACCGGCGGCAGGAAAATGTTGCCTGTTCCTGTTCCTCGTGTTTAAAAGTGCGTTGATAGAGGCAGAGATGTAGTGCTGTAATGCCTGATATATGCTGCACAAAAGCAAAAAAAAGCAAAAGCACAAAATCATATATGTAAATATTTAATGTATACAGACAGCATGCTTGACTAATTTGGCAAGTTGAATAACAAAAAGTTGACGTTAATGTTGTGCACAAAGCTCGTATTCCATGTCTGAATTGCATGTATCAGCCTCCATGACACAGATGAAGTAGACAGACTGTACCTGAGATCACTGACGCCAGATTCCTTTCGTCTTTCGAGGGACGTGAATGGTCTGCGAACGATCTCGATTGTACAGACTATGATGTGAAAACCGAGAATGCATTTCGCACGATGTTGGAGACGAGGAACTGCACTTGGCACGATCGGGGAGAAGAGAATATACAACTATCGAGAAACGAGAACGAATCACAATCCCTCATATAGCCCTCCTTCCTTCCACCTTGGCCCACCACTGCACAATACGCTCCACCTTCTTGCCAGTCCTACGATCAATACGTGCACCACCATCAGAACCAAGCTTTTCTTTGTGGTCTTCTTCCAGACCGTGAGATCCAAGACTGCAAGACCCATTAGTGGATACACAAGCCACGCTTTGGTCGCGAATGGCGAGCAAGGATAACTGAGCAGAAAGAGTTTGCAGCCGAAAAGGAACACCTTCAGACCGAGGAGAAAAGAGGGATGAGTAACAAGTTTGTGAGACCGAACAGGTGGAGGAGGTGGAAGCATGAGCCGAGCAGGTTGTTTGGACAGTGGAGGTGTCCCAAGCTCGCGGCCACGGAAAGCAAGTGTCGAGGCATCTGGAGGTGATGGTGTATTGGTGTCAGTACTGGTGCTTCTGCTTACATCCTTGCTAAAGCAGCGTGGTTGCAAAGGTGGACTGCGCGAATGCACGAGTTCGCCTGATTGATGTCTTGCTAGCTGCGATAGTCCAGGTCTAGAGAAAGCCGGATTGGTATTTGATCGCGTGGCTTTCTTCGGAGCAGGCGAGTCCACCGACGAGATGCGTGAACCCATATTGCCGAGATCTGGAGACTGGTCTCCTGTTGTCCGGACAGGATTCATAGGTATGTCGTCAATCTCGCCTCCAGCTTTGATGGCTTGCAAGATTTGTTCTGTGCTTGGTCTTTCTGCTGGATTAGGACTTAACAGCCTCTTCAAGAACTTGTAGAGTTTTTCTGGTAGGTCTTTTCTCGCTCTAGTCACATCGTCAAATCCATGCCAGGCTGATACCTCGGCCCGTAGCTTATCGAGGTCTTCGTTTTCATCGTTGGCAGCGTCGGCGTTCTGGTAAGGAAGTCGGCCAAAGCACATGAAGTAGACGATCATGCCCAATGAGAAGATGTCGGATTTGGTCGTGAACTCGCCAAAGCCTGAGCCTTGCCTCTGTAGCACTTCAGGAGCACAGTAAGATATTGTGCCGGTTGCTCCTGTGGAGGTGCGTTGCTCGTTCGCAGCCTGTACTTCGCCAAAGTCCGAGACGTGAACCGACATTTTCTGGCCGTCATTGTTCAGCAGGCAATTTGACGGCTTGAGATCTCGATGAATGTAGCCGTTTGTATGCAGATGATGCAGTCCAGAAGTGATATCGCGAAAGAAGGAGAAGATCTCGTCGAAGTTCATAGTGCGACGTCCCAGATCGATTGGACGTTCTGCTAAACCCTTTGACCGTCTTCTCAAACGCTCCTTCATGACCTCAGTTGGGCTCGTGGTTTGTGTCGTGCCGAGGACGTAATTGTGCAAGTCTCCCGAGTTACAGTACTGCTGTAGGATGAAGATGCATGGCACGCTTGGCCCAAAATTGGTAATCTGTGCATCTTCCAGCCAGACGTGATGATACGACACCAAGTTTGGATGGGTTAGCCTTTGCAGCAACTGGACTTCGATTAGAACCTTCTCGAGCCAGCCGTGGTCGTAGCCAACTGGGATGCGTTTGCAAGCAAATTCTCCAAGGAAGACCTTATCCAGGAAATGCTCGACCAGGAGGACAACTCCACGACCCCCACGGCCTAGTTCGCGTTTCTCGACAAAGAAATGCTTAAAGTAGTTTGGCAAGAAGCTGTCATCTTTGATGCCTTGGTCAGTCGCAGCTGGAGAAGGAGCACTACCAACAAATTCTGCACCAGTCGGAGTGACATTCCTGGAGCCACCGGATCGCAAATCTGGAAGCCGTTTGAGCGGTGAAGCGGGTCTGGATGTTGCTGCCGAGCTCGGTATACTATGTGCTAGCATGCGAAAGTACTCCGGGTTGACAAAAGAGCTCTGATTGTGCAAAGAAGCTCCCTCGTCCTCGGAATCGTACTGGTGTGGATTTGGTTCATCGTTCAGGGGTCGATGGCAGTATGGACATTTTTGCAGATCGAGGTTCCCAATTGCCGTCTGCGGATTCCCACGCAGTGACAGTTGTCGCGATTCAGGGTCGTAAACGACAATGGCACTACCACGACGTCTGCATGACCGTCAGATATAGACCTACTTGTGGTCTCATGGTATGGCCCGGTCTTACAAAACGATCTCCTGAGAATCAGAGGTGTATGGTATGAGAGACATATGACGCTGGGGCTCTGCGTCGGCCATGTTTACATGCTGAGATTGGGGTTCGACCACCTGCGGGCAGCTGTTGTCTAGAGTCTAGCAGCTTCTCGGCGGTCGTCGCCTGGATTTGACTAGAAATGATTTGGTGTTTGTTCAAGAAGAACACACATACTAGCAAGAGTGGAAGGTATTCAATCAAGATGGCACTTGTCACCTGAGCAAGCGACCAACAATGCCAAGAAAACAATGGTCACCTCACAGAATTGACGATCGTGAAAGGATGTCAAGGACCATGAATCTGATTTGATTCTAGTCAACTTTCTGATGCTAGATGAAAAACTGTATATGCTATGCCATGCCATGCCAACGCCTTTTTCGGGGGTATCATTTCAACGTTTATCATGAATTCAAAACGGGTCCTCCATCTTGACATCTTTCACGCCAGAGCTCCCATGAACCGCAGCCGCAGTGCCAATGGTAGCTGCGTTGTGTGTGCCATTTTGCTCGGCCTTCTCCTCTCCAATGATGACTCCAAGTCCTGAGAAAGCTTCACAGAGTGCCCTTGAATGGAACTCTTGTTTGCTGTAACCGCCCGCAACGATGCTGAGCTGGCTGTCGATTTCATTGAGCCAGTCCCATTCGTAGTGATCTTGTACGATGTGGTATTCGTTTGAGAATCGGAGTCCTCCAAAGGCGTCGTAGGGAAGCTCTGGATCGGGTGCTTTGCGCGTCTTGAGACCTTTGATGACGATGCCACTGCTGCCGTTGGTGGCATCTCTCGCGGCCGCGGCGGCTTGTAGCTGCCTTTGTCTGTCGGCAGCTTGCTTCTTGTCCAGTCGTTTCTTGAGCGTCACACGGCCTTCGTGTGCTATCGAGTCGGCATCGCCTGAACCCGTAGCAAGGCGATCGATAATGTCTTGTCTTCCTTCTGCGCGTGCTCTTCGCTCTTCTTCCTCTTCTCTGCGTGCGGCTTCTCTCCGTAGGCGAGCCTGTTCTCTTTCCGCGGCTTGTAGCGCTGAGTAGTCGTGTGATTCTTGAGATGCGAGAGCGGCATTCGTAGTGATAGCTTTGGCGTTGTGATCGGCATAGACGGAAATCTTCTTTTCTGTCTCGTCGACATCGATCTTGTAAATGAGGTTGAATGTAATGTCCTCGACCTCGTTTAGGTAGTTGTTGTAATCAAGCAGTGAATCAAAGTCGTCCTCTCGGCGGTTGAAGATGTTGGCTACACGCTTTCGGATATCGATCTCGCGCTCTACGTGGATGTCCTCGAAGGTCTGTTCTCGGAACTTGTGCTTGCGTAGGGTGCGGTGACAGCCAGCAATCGGACACTTGTTCGGGCCGTGGGAGAAGATGCGGTCCACACAGGACTCGCACATTTTGTGGTAGCATTCCGGGTTGACCAGAAAGCGCATGGACTTGTTAAGATAGCGTGAGGACTTGCATACTGGGCAGATGTCTGAGGTCAGGCTGTCAGCAATGCCCACAGACAGGCGGAGACTCGATAGGTCGAGATCGGCAGGGCGTGGCTCACCATCTTCGCCCGGCCGCGCGGGCGCAGACCGTGGTGCAACACGAGACATGGTCGTGCTGTTTGATGGTGAGCTCTCACGACAGTCGCAATGTGAGGCTCAACTTGTCGCAGAGAGATCGCCCATGCTTCGGCTTCGGCCATCTGCCGCTGTATACCCGGCTTTGTCACTTCGAGAAGACATCTTCTGTGATTACAAAGTGACACACTTTTTTGCACAAGTTTTTTCACTTTCGTCTGCTCGTCTGGACTACAACGTACTATGGCCGACTTTGAACAACTCGAAACACGCAGGCTAGAATTGGAAGAGAATGTGGCAAAGCTACGCAAGTCTTTGCAACACTGGCGAACATGGGACGCCGAGTATGAAGGCTTGAAGGAGGAGCTTTCATCTGGTGTCAATGTCCAATCTGAAAAGGATTGCGTGAGTACTTGTACATCCGCACTCTGTTCTTCATTGCTAATTCAAGCCAGACGCGCATAAGCGAAAAATTTGGAGGAGAGCTTGTGAATGAGAAAGGTTTGATGCAACAATATGCCGGGTCATGAACCTCGTTCTGACTCTTGTAGAAATCTTTGATCTGTTTGGAGTTGGAAAAGGGCCAATTCGCCATCCGATAGAAGTCAGCCGGCTCGTTGACAGGCGTCTGGATTATGTACAACAGAACGTGTCGACAATTTCCAAGCAAGTGGAAAAGATCGAAGGCCAATTGTCCGAAGTTCTGGAGGAGATGGACAGAGAAGATGACGCCTCTTTGGAACCTGGACTGCCCATTACTGAGATTCTGGAGGAATTGGATGAAGACGGAAATGTTATATCAAGCAAAGTCACACAGCCGGAACAGCAAACAGCACAGATTGTCGAGACTCTGCGTAAAGCCGGACTAAAAGACATGGGTCCCAAGTCAAAGGACGGAGTTACAAACAAATCCTCGACGCCTGAGGTCCCTGAGAAGCCTAAGGTTGCCTCAGAAGACAAGAAACAAGATACGTCAAAAGCCACAGAAGATGCTCCCAAGCCTACCAAAAAAGGGGTGAGCTTCGCAGAGGAGGTCCAAGAAAGAGAAATTCCGTCACGCGCCGATAATGCCAATGCCAGCAGATCGTCTGGAGTCAACCCTTCCTTATTCAACGGCACTTTCGCCAATGGTGAGCGTGTCATCGAGTTGGACGACGATGACGATATCATCGGGACCCAAGCAGTCATTCCCGAAGACGAGTCACCTGAAGATGCGAGACTGCGAAGAGAAATGCTCCAATACAACCTGAATGAAGTTGGCCAAGTGGTAGCCGAATTGGACCTGGATGAAAATCTCTCAGAATTCGAAGACGACGATGACTATTTCGATGACGATTACGATAGCGAGATGTCAGAGGAAGAAGACGAGCATGGAAGATCGATTCGCCCAGGAGTCAGCAAGAGCTACAGAGATCAGATGCGGGAGCTGGAGGAATCGCTTCGCTCGAGAGTTATTGGAAACCTTGGACCTAATCTTGAGGAGGTGGATCCTGTTTACGATCCTGAAGGACTTCGCCGCCTTGTGATTCGTGGTGAAGAGGGAGCTTCGGATGAGAACGTCAAGCCAGCAATCTCGAAGGGCAAAGAGGCAGTCAAACCAGACGCATCTGCAAAGAAAGGCGTCAGATTCTCGGAAGAGTTGGACGTGCAAGAAGCACCGAAGTCTGAAGTTGCTGCTCCTTCCAAGCCACGCACTACACCCATCGCAGATGTTGTCGAGCGAGCACCTTCCAAAGCTCAAGCTCCTTCCCAGCCAACGAAACCCGCCAAAATCTCTCGATTCAAGCAAAACAGAGCCACTGCTGCCGATGAGACAGTTCAAGCCGAGTCTGCGCCAGATCAAGACTCTGGCTCAGTCATGTCAGACAAGATTGTCGAACATCCCTCTGCTCCATCGACCAACGCACGCGCTCCTGAAGAGGTAGACGAACTCGACCCGGAACTACAAGAACGTCAACTTGCATCTGAGTACTATCGCCTACGCAACAACATCATCCGCCAACAGGGCGGTTTCAAGGAGACAGAGGAAGAAAGGGACGATCCCTTGATGGAGCAGTTCCCTGATGGCAAGATGAAGAAGGTGAGTAGATTCAAGGCTGCCAGGATGAAGTTTTAGAGGACTAGACAAGATAAATGGCTGTTTGCAACTCATGTACACCATTTCTATGTAGGATATGATCAAGCGCATGGAACGTCAAAAGTCTGTCCACAAGGATGGCGAATGTGGAGGCGGAGAGCTGATTCTGCCTTTCACTTCATCGACGGCTCCTAGAAAAACGCCAGGGCTCTCTGATTCGGCGACCTTTTCCTCCATGGACGCTGTATCTAGTTTCGTCCTCGACATGCAAAGTGAATTTGATGGGGGTCATTAGTTGAAGAAGTGGATTTTTGATGACATGAAGCATAAGAATACAGATTTGGTCTTGCTGCAAAACCAAACGACCCACCAAGGTCTTTTCTCTCTGGTGATTGTACATGGAATTTGGAGGAGTGAAGAGGAAGACAGCAGCCCTCGCAAGGCGCCGTGTCGTTGTATGGGTGAAAAAAAACAAGAAAGGACAGCCCCAGATCAAGAAGAAGGATGCTTTTCGCTCCAAACGCCGAATATACCCGTATATAGCACAAGTGATGACAAGTTCTCTTTTTAAGCGACCATGGCCTTGGGGGCGCCCTCAATACCTTGCGGAGGTGGTGGGGGAACGTCGAGTCTGGTGTTTTCTGCCATCATGCGCTGGAAACCGATACCGACACCTTCGATGACGGCGAGGAGGATGGCGCAACCGATGGCACCGTTGCGCATGGCCTTGTAACCACCACGAACGGCAAGAGCACCACCGGTGAAGAAGCCGGCGATGATGGCGTTCCAGGGGTCTTCCTTCTTGCTGTGTGATAGTTAGTACTGTGATTTGGTCCAAGAACAGGTGGCTGTGGTCGCGTACCGAATGCCCTTGACTGCACAGTCAAAGGTACTGAACATGCCACCCCAAACACCAAAGTTTCCACCGAGAACAGGAGCACGCGCCTTGATGGCGGTCAGAGCACCTATCCTTCTCTCGCCATAGCTATTGTGTCGAGTGTCAGTGGGTTGTGTCTGGTCGTGTGAGATGGCTTCGAGTCGGAGTTGACGTACGGACTGTTTCTAAAACCCTTGATACCGTGCCAGAGCGAACCACCGATTGCGCCCATACAGAAGGCACCACCGAAATCGTTCAAGGCCCTGTTGACGACAGAGTTAGCGGGTTGGCGGGTTGCAGAGGGGCGGGCGGCGGACGTACACCCAAGGGCAAGGGTCTCTGCTGTGGTCCATAGCGAACGTGAAATGTGTGTGGTTGTGGTCGAGATAGAGAGGTGGCTAGCGGTACGGATGGTTACTGGATTGGCCTCCGCCTGCAACTTTTCGTGGACGATGATGGAATCCGAACCTTTGCGCGCTCGCATGGTCTGTGCGCCAGATGGGTTTTGCTTGGCCCCAAATTATTATTCTCGATGCTTTCGCTCTCCTTCTTTTCTTCCAACAGCAGCAACCATGTCGCTGGGTGCGCCAGAGGTTGCTCCGGTCTTGTCGACTCCGGATACCCATGTCTTCGAGGATCCTACCCCCGCCGTCGACCCTTCTCTAGTGCGAAACTTCTCGGACGAGCAACTATACCTTACCTACGAGATCAGGAGGACCGTCGATGAAATCCGCCATGGCAGATACAAGAGGATCGCTCTCCAGTTTCCTGACCACATGTTGACACATGCTCCGAGAGTCTTCGAAGCGTTGCAGAAGGAACTCCGAGTTCAAGAGAAGGATCAAGACGTGACTGAAGCCCTGGACAAAGTCTCGCTGGACGACGACCGGGAGAGACTATGTATCCTCGGTGACAGCTCATATGGTGCCTGCTGTGTCGACGAGGTTGCTGCTGAGCACGTCTTGGCCGACGTCGTCGTACATTACGGCCGCACCTGTCTTTCCCCTACCCAGAGATTACCTGTCATTTACGTCTTCACCTTCCGTCCTCTGGACTTGGACACCGTCGTCGCAAGCTTCCAGAAGACCTACCCGGACAGGGACCATAGAGTAGTCTTGATGGCAGACATTCCTTACTCTGAACACGTTCAACCTCTGCAATCCGCTCTCGACAAACTCGGTTACACCAATCTGTTCTCCACCTCCATCCTCCACAACCCCTCGTCTTTACTACCCAACCGTACTGTTCCTGCTGGAGCAGAGGAAGATGCCGCCGTCCTTCGCGACTACTCGCTCTTCCACATTTCCGAACCTCCGACCTCTCTTCTTCTCAACCTCACCTCTCGTGTGGCTTCCATCGACATTTACCCCACCGTCTTCGAAGGTACTGAAGCTCCCGAAACTATGTCGGCCTCCACTGCTCAGATCCTTCGTCGCCGTTATGCTCTCGTCACAAATCTCAGCACCGTCTCCGTCTTTGGTATTCTGATCAACACTCTTTCCGTCAAGAACTACATGGGCGCTCTAGCGCACGTTCAGGACCTCATCACCCGCGCCGGCAAGAAGTATTACACCTTTGTCGTTGGCAAGGTCAACGCTGCCAAGGTTGCCAACTTCTCTGAAGTTGATGGTTGGGTCATCATTGGCTGCTGGGAAAGCAGTCTGATCGAGAGCAAGGACTTCTGGAAACCCATCATCACACCCTTCGAACTTGGCCTAGCACTTACGGATGAACGGGACCGCATCTGGACCGGGGAGTGGAACAGCGACTTCCAGTCCCTGCTCGGCAAGAAGATTACTGTCAGGGGTGAAGCATCGCATGAAGACGATTCAGACGACCAGGACAATCAAGACGTTGCAGATGAGTCAGACTCGGAGTCAGAAGCCCCAGTCTTCGATCTTCGCACTGGACGTTATGTCTCCCAGAGCAGACCCATGGCTCGACCTTCTGCTTCCGCCTCGAAGAAGACCGCCGCCACCAGTCTCATCAAGCGTGCCAATGGCGATCTCGCTCAGATCGGTGGCGAAGTCTCTCCTGCTGCCGAGTTCCTGCGCAGTAAGCGTACATGGCAGGGTCTGGGCACCGATTACGAAATCGCTTATGATTACGATGAAGACGGCAAGATCAAGGGCGCAGCTATGGAAGAAGGCCGCGGTGGTGTTGCTCGAGGATATGTCGTTGGTGACTCGGAGCGCTCTTGAAGTGATCACAGCTCTGGTATTTGAGCTGAAAAGCTCAATGTTGCCACCACCACCAACAACCCTCCCGATCCCAGAGGTAAGCTTCGCAGTTTCTTCTTCTTTCCTCGTGTCAGAAGCGCGCTGGTTCAAGGATGAACACCTGATAGGGACAGCTTATACACCATGTGTAGATGCTGAGAGCTCAGGCAGAGTATTTTAGTAGATGCCTCTCTTGTCTGATATTATCAACCAGCCTCTTCACAACACAAGATTCACAAGTCGTCACTTGTAGACATTTGGCTAACCTTATTGTTGTTAGGTTCGATATTTGAATTCGGCTCCGCGATCCATGCAACAGGCATTCGGCTTGCCGCACCGGCAAATGCGATCAGACGCTCTCAGCAGCTGTGTATCTCAGCGAGCTTGAAGCAGATTAATACATCGCCATTAGTTGCAGCTGATGCACAGTACGATTGACAGAGCCAAGAGCGGGCTCTCCGCTAGCCATATGTGCATCGTGGACGTGAGCAACGATGGCTGCAACCTAGGGATTGAAAGCCCGAGGTGCACGACGAGTATGTGGGCCGCTCTTGACAGCAGTGAAGAAGTTTTCTTAGGCAGAGATTGTCTAGGATTGCTCATCCTCGAGCATCAAAGTATGCTACGTACCTGTTACACTCAGTCTTGACCCAAGCCTTGACGGCCTAGTTTGGTATCAAGCAGAGAGCAATGTACAGACGAGACGAGTTCTCCTTGACACACAACATCAATCTTCGCCTGGCCTCCAAGCACAGTCAGCTCGACGATCTCGGAAGGGATATTGAACGAGGATTAAGCCACGCGGTCGAAACAGACAGGAAGCGGCCGAGACCAATTGATTCCTCTGCATCCAAGACTCGAGAGATGCTTGGAAAACATACAAAAACAACAAGTAACCCCATTCATCTCTTCTTTAACCTTCGCTCCTTCCCTTTCCTCTTTCCTCGTAAATTTGGCTTGTGAATCTACACGCTGGGTGGCAAAGTAAGATCCAGAACATCCATAAGCAGCATTTCAATCATGTTTTCCCAATCGATCTTAGCTCTGATTCGCATACTCGACGGTTCTTGCTGAGAGAAACTCAGTCCCTAGCGTTGATACTGATAAAGTGTTGGTCGGACTGCCTAGCTAGAGTATTTGCTACAATCTTATGCCAAAAGCACATTGCTTCGTCCTCTAACCCATCACATTTGAATTGTACTGTACGATCTCTGTGCTATCTCGACTGGAGAACAGCATCTCCATCTACCAACGTTTGCTCTTGCTGTTGAGAGGAAATATAGATTTATGAAATGCCGACGCTTATCACAGTTTCTCAGTGCATTTCCCTTTGTCGTGTAAAGGACAGATAGTAAATTTGGATCGTGTTATCTTTGTATTTCATAACCAAGGGGGTATTCAGACTATCAGACTATCCCAAGTACAAATCACCTATTCTTTTCTATTTATACCACAACCCCTGGTATCGATAGAATGATGATTACACCACAACATGACAAACAAAACAAACGCTCCGATCGCAATCTACATGATCATCAGCACGGTAGCGACGGCAGAAACAGCAAATGCCAACGAGGGCACAGCGCCCCGGAAGCCACTGCTCGAGAAGCTGAGTACGTCGTTCTTGGGGAGCTTGTATGGGGGCTCGTAGGTGGTGTTTGTGGTCGAGTTGACGGTGCCGTCCCAGCAGTAGCGCGAGAAGCACGAGTTGCACACATCGGGGATTGTCGTGCCTGTGCGCTCGAGAGAGCGCTGGAGGATGGCGCAGCCCACGCACGTGGGCCATTCGGCGTCTAGAGTGGAGTTGCCTTGGGTGACAGCATTGTAGCCGTTCTCGATGATGTAGTTGCGCTCGGTGTCGTTGTAGGACAGGTCGTAGGTGCTGACGTTGCTGTGGTAGACGTAAGGGGAGTTGGGCAGGTAAACGATCAAAGGAGTCATATTGGTGGTGTTGCTAGAGTCACAGCCGAAGAATGTAGGGCGGTAGTTCAGGCCGAGGTTGACAAAGGTCTGCTGGTCGGGGATGGAGGGGAAGGAAGTGCCGTTGGAGATGGGCAGGAAGGTACGGGCGTAGGTAGCAACCAGAGCAGTGCCGTTTGGCCAGTTGGCGCCGCCATTGTCGACGGTGGTATCGGCAGAAGAGTCGATGGCGAAGATGACATCGACGTGTCTCTCGGGCTGAATGAGCGGGTGAAGAGGGATATTTTGCAAATCCTCACCGCCGTCGACGAGCGTAAGCTGGTCAGTGGTAGCGATACGGCTGGTCGCGTTGTTGACACCGAAGAAAGGGTTGGGGTAGTTGGCAATATCGTCGTTGTCCTGACCAATTTCGCCCAGGACTTTAGTAATAGCCTCGTTGATTAGACCAGTGGAACCATTGACCTGCAAGAAGGCCTGGTTGAACAAAGAGCTGGAGGTACCCATGATATATCCGGCGTTATCGAATCCGCGCACACACTGCATGTCTCCCTGTACAACTACACCATCGGAGAAGTTTGAGCCGAGATAGCGCATAGGAGCAAATGCGTAGGTGGTGGGGTCAAAGCTACCAAGCTCCCATGGGTTCATCTCGTAGACGGTAGCATTACCGTCGATGACGAGCTGGCCTCTAGCACGGCCATCAGCGACAAAGATAGGCATGGGGGTGTTGCCAGCTCTGAACTGGTCAGAGTCGGCGATAGACGAGAAAGTGTACGCAGGACCTCCTTCGGTAGCATTGATGAGCTGGTAAGACAGTGCGCGACCCCAGTAATCGGTGATAGTAGTTTCGTAACCGGCATCATTCTTGTCTTGAACAGTGTCGTAGATGTCCTTAAGATACTCGGCCGTGTTCAAAATCGAGAGACCGCTGCTTGCAGGGCCCTCAAGAATGGAGTTGGCAAACTGCCATGTGCCTCCGTTGCCGTTGGCAGTGTCCTGGCTGAGGATGGTTTCAACTGAGCTGAAGTTGTTCATGAACAAACTGCCCACCAACCACGAACCGCCCGAAAGACCAGCCAGGTAGGTTGAAGCCTGCAAAAGACCACCGAGTTGGCCTGCTCCGGTAGAGTTGGCAGTACGGTTGTCGAAAGCGGCCACGGCACCGGCGTAGTTCATCAAGGCGCGGTAACCACCTCCTGATCCAGCAATAGCAATGTTGGGAAGAGCGCTGACGTTGTTTGCCACGCTATCGATATAAGAATTTGTGTCGAGTCCAGTGATGTTCATGCGACCAAGCAGATTTCTCATGGCTGAGACGGTGTTATTCCTTCGTACGTAGAGCCATTCTGTCTCGTTGGGCGAGATGGTGGATGCATTGCGAATAGTAGGGCGATCTGAAGGGCAGTCGACATGTGTAGGGACGTATCCGTTAGGAGCTTCAGGTGCCGCACGCTTGAGCGCAGCCAACGGGACTGCGAGAGCCTCTGCGGCAGCCTGCTCAACAGAGGGGTTACGAATAACAACGATGTTGGCCGAGACCTCAGGGAGAAGGGCGGCGACCGACACCAGGCCGGTCAATGCTGTTTGGGCCTTCATCCTGACGCTGGGATAGAGATATAGATTGCGGTTAAGTGATGGACTGGCATTCTAGAGGACGGGACAAGCAAAAGTTATATATATCGAGGCCGGCTCCCACGGAAACGGAACCAGTAAAGTGACGTAGAAACGCTAAGAGGCTATTACAGTTTCATGCAGGACCCAACACACCTTGGCGCGGTTGCTTTCTCATCCTACTGTCGCGTATGCATACGCTCGAATACGCTCTTCTTATTGCTCCTGACTTTGTAATTTGTGTCGCGTATGTTGAAGGGGCACGTTCCATACTCGCAGCAATTTGACGAGCATAGAGCCAGAAAAGCAGCTGTTGAAACACAACCATGCTCGGGATGTTTTTTCTGAGCACAAGATCAAATCGTCCAAGTCGATCTGCCGTATCGTCGGTTCCCGCGGGCGAGCCCTGTAGATCATTTTGTTCTTGTGGCTACGAAACAGTGCGGTCGGGTGTTTGAGATCCGTGTCAGTAGGGTTACAGCCGCGCGGCGACGGCAGGGCTGCAAAGTCTCTGTTCCCTAGTTCTCGGCACCTCTTCTATCCTGATTTATCGCATCGTCATGGTGAACGCGATGTGCGCGGCGACATCTCCTTCGGATCTGACATCTCCAGCCACTTTTCCTACCAAGAAGTACCTACGTACTCACTCAGCCCTGCTTCCGGATGCTCATGGATAGCAAGTTTCTTCTCGGCGCTCTTGCGGCCGACGGCTGTGCAATCCGTTACGTTGCTGTGCTCACCTAATCAGCATAGGCAAGGGACGCTCAGGAAAAACCGCCGCTTATTGGCCGACAGCAACGGGGAGTGATCCTTCAGGTTCGTATTCTTATACGCGGCGTGCGCGGAGCTCGTATGTATGATGGTGAGCAATCGGAGAGAATAACCCTCTGTGGGACGAGATGATGAAAGAGAAGAGAAATACAAGATTTACACCGAGAGCAGAGAGAGCAGGAAGAGGCGCCAAAAACCTTCGTTCTGTTAAACTAACAATGTCCTTTCAAAACTCCTTAGCCATCCTAGAATCCCGACATATCATGTCATCCTCGTTTCTCGCTTCTAAGCACTCACAGCCCTGTTTACTGAACGTCTTCTGGGCAATTGTACCTCTTCAACCTCACTCTCATCACTGAAGCCACCCCATGGCAATTCGACTTCACTGTCCTCGTCGAGTCCATCAAGACCAAATCTATGGTGTTGCACCTCCTTGGTGTCCCTAGCCCTTTGGGCCAACTCACCAACATCAATACCCAAACTCTGCAATGTCTCTTCCACTTGTTCATCATCCAGTTCTTGCAACTGTTGTTCGCCATCCATGTCTGCAGCAGATGACTTCTGACCCTCAAGTACATCGTAGAGAGCATAAATCTGGTCACTGCGGCGTTCGATCTCGGCCATCAAATAGTCCATCTTCTGTTTCACAGCGAGGCGCTTGCGGCGACCGAGGGCGGGATCGTGCTTGTTGTACATCTTCTCGTAACTCTGGAGTTGAAGCTTAAGATGTTTGACCTCATCTTCGAGTTGCTTGAGAACGGTCGCTAGTGCTATAGGTGGGGGTTGAGAAGGGCGAATAGTGGCGTTCGAGTCGTCTATCTCGCGCTCAGAAACAGGGACAGGCAAGGGAATCGTGACTTCCTTGTCCTGCGAGTCCTGAGACGGGCAAACGGTGCAGTTGAGGTTGTCATGCGAGATGTCACCGACAGTCTCTGCCATAGTGGCTTGAGCACCTGGACCAGTATGAAGTGTGATGTCGGGAAGAATGAAGGCAGAAGTCATTTCTTCTATACTCTTGGTGCGGTTCCTTCGGCGTGACGATGTGCTCATGAACGATGCCTCCATCGACTCTCTTGGCTCAGAGTACGAGATAGCATCGGATGTGTGAGGTGATTGGATACGCACGTTTTTGAGCAGGCCAGTGTTTTCGTCCACCTGAGATCTGATGGTGAAACGCCCTGTATCGTCTTTGACAAGATCCTTGAGAGATGACTTGCGGGGCATAGTCGTAACATTTGTGGAAGTTGCATTGTCTTGGGCCTGCGGTGCAGATACAGCGCGCGCCGTTTTCGAGGCACGGCGTTCTTCCTCCAGAGTCTTTCGTAGCCTTGCTAGTTCTCTAGGATCAAGGAAGCTCAAGTAAGTAATGTCCCTAGAGTCTTCGTTGTTATCCGCGGGTTCGTCTCTGGCGGTTCTAGAAAAGTTCAGGTTGGTCGTGGAGTCAACATCGCTGACGTCCACGATGGGATGAGGCTTAGTGGTGTTATGGCGAGTGTTGGACTTGGAGCGCGAGCGAGAGCGAACATCGGCAGGTGCAGCAGTGGAACGCGATCTTCTGATCTCGTTCTCGATGCTGTCCATGATGTTGTGCTTGGTGTCCTGGCCGGGTCTTCCGCTTGATCGGCGCTTGTTTGTGGGTTGCAGGCTGTCTTGGGCAACACGAGACTTGGACGACTTGGAAGTATGGTCTTGAGCAGGAGCGGACTGCGCGGTCTGGTCGGGCTGCATGTCGCGAACAGCGGCCTCACGACGATGTATTCTTGCTTTCAGATCAGATTCGCGTGAATTCCATTGCTGTGTTTCATCGTGGAATTGAGCCTTGATTTGAGCAAGTCTAACACGCAGACGACCATTCTCAGCTTGTAGAGTTGCGACATCATCCTCCATATCTTGGTTAGAATCGCGCAGTTGAATGTTCTCGTTCTTGAGCTCCTCGGAATTGTAGTAAGCGACGCCGAGCTGGGTGACCAAACCATCACGTTCTTTAGTCAGGTGCTTGACGGCAATGTCGTTGACAGATAGCTTGCGCTCTCCGCGATCCAGACGATCCTGCAGAGCCTTGATGGTAGACTTCAAGGTGGCCCTCTCAACGCGCCATCTCTCTTTGGCACTGCCATCATCATCCTCGCCCAATGCACTGTCGGGGCGTCGCAGCTTCTGCTCGACGTCGAGGCGCGACTTCAGCTGACCAACTTCTGCCTCGTATTCTTCGAGCCTCTTCTGTGCTTCACTTTTTTCTGCTTCGAGGTTTGCAACTTTGTCCTTCAAGAGCTGCAAGGACGCAAAGATTGCCTTTTCTTCGTCGGGGACGGCGATCGAGTTGATGTTGGCGTGGGCGATGGTGTTTGTGATGGTAGGGTTGTTGTACGAGGCAGAAGTGAAGCGCGAACGCGACTTTTGTGAGCGAGAGAAGACTGGGGTGCCGTCTTTGCGCACGCCCGACACGAGCTCGGTAATGTTTGGAAGATCGGGAAGCATGAACGAAGCTTGGGTCTGGGAGCCGGTCCATGTAGCGGTAGGATTTTGTAGCGGACGCTGAGGTGTGGATGCGGATTGCAGGCCTTGGTGGTGCGAGTAAGAAGTGGGCAGATTTGCTGAAGTGAAGCGCGTGTTTCGTGGCTGGACCGAGGTGATGGTCGGGCGGTCCTCGCCAACAAAGGACGAGTCGCTCTCGTGGCGGACCTTGTGGTGCATGTCGGACAAGGAGCGGCGCTGCGAGGCATTGGCTCTCTTGTCGCTCGAGTGAGCGCGTCGCAACGAGGCTTCTTTTCTCAGGCTATCAGCCTTCTTGGGGGTGGGGCGCGTGCTTCTCGGAGGGGTGCTGTGCAGGTCGTAAAGGCTGTCACTGGGCAGCGGAATGTCGGACATGTCGAAGGCTTTGGGACTGCCCTTCTTAGCGCGTCCAGCTTCAATGGACAAGGATGCCTCAGGCGATGGCGATGGCGACTTCTCGGTAAAGTCAGGGAAGCTATCGCGCACGAGAGATGAGTCAATGTGCATGGCGGGCTGAGGTGGGTTGTAGTAGCTGAAGCGCTGCGCACTGGATCTGAGATTGGGCAGTTGCAGCGACTGCGTGGCCGTGTCGAACTGCTGTGTTGACTCGAACTCGGGCTGGAAGCTGGACATGGTCGACGTGTTTCCAGGCGACTGGCGGGGCGAAGGCATGCTAACAAGCAAACAAGCCTGGATATGCAATGCTGAAGAAGGATGCTTGAAACTTGACACGGCACTGTCCACCTCAAGTCAAGTCGCATCAGGTCGCGTCAACATCAAAACAAGTAAACATCAAAACGCCAAGACGCCCAAAACAGCCTTCCCCGGTCACACCACCTGACCTCCAAAGCGTTCTGTCGATCCCACACTCTTCTTGTCACAACTATCTCGACGCAAAACTATCACCAAGTCCGAAGAACAAAAGAAGAGAGCTTGTCTGACAATGTCTTTCATTTCATTGAACGCTATCATGTCTCCTGAAACTATCAATGTACAACTATATTCGATCCAGAAATGCGATCAAAGAACTGAGGATCCTCCATAAACTCCCTCACTTCCTTCATCACACAAGTTACAACTTGTTTCGTGATCAGAGCTTAACTTAGAGAGTCTGGTACTCAGATCATCCTTCCCAACTCGATACGCCGTCATTCGCGAGCAGCCCAATCATGCTCCGACTGTACAGCTGTTTCCAAGATCAGCCGTATTGCTGGACCAGGGATTAGGAATCATTTGTCTCCTTGATCAGTGATGGTGGTCGTTCTAAAGGATGTATACAGAGTTGGCGTAGTCTTGCAACGTTTCACCGTCTCCGTCGTGATTGTCGCCGGTCTTGAAGACTCATCCAACGTGACACGAGTAATGGTCTTGGTTGCGGTTACCGTGTATTCTGAGGAGTGCAACGACGTACGCGTGGATCGTGAGAGTGTCAAGGTCTTCAGCACGCGGCTAGTGCTGAGCACACTGGTAAGGTGCGTGAAGGTCTTTGTAACGATGATACGAGTGACTGAGGCGCTAGACGATGCATGACGAGTAGTTGTCTTCGTACGGGTAATACGAGTCAGTGAGGCCGTGGACGATGCAAAATGAGTAGACGTCTTTGTACGTGTGATACGAGTAAGCGAGACGGTCGACGTTCCAAGACGAGTAGTCGTCCTTATGCGAGTAATGCGAGTAGGTGAAGCGGTAGAAGATGCAAGACTTGTAGATGACACAGTCGGGGCCACTTGCAAGGAGACCGTAGAAATGGTATTAACAACCGTGGTGGTGGAGCGGAAGTGGGGAGGGACCAGAACCACGACAGTGCTAGAAGCATTGATGTGTGATGCTGGCTCGACCACGGTCAAAACTGTCGTGGTCGAGCTGGCATCGCCATTGTTGTACACAGTGCGAGTGCTTGACAAGGTGGCTTCAACAGTCATTGTCATGGTTGTCTCTGGTTCCGCAGAGCTTGTATCCGATAGCGTTGTCAATGCTTCCGAGAGAGTCGTTATAACTGGTTGCCAAAGGGTCGTCGTAACTGGCCCCGAAATAGTGGTGTTCTGTTGCAAGTCACGGTTGACGACGGTCCGGAAAGTGGTGTCTCCAGAGATACCAATATCGGTGGAAGCGAACGAAACAGCAGCAAGAACGCCGATTACCAGACATGGCTTCATCTTGGAAGCTGTGCAGTGTTAGCAGATACATTAACGCGGAACCAGACGAGGTGGTGGGTGATGCTGAAGGACGAGAGAGCTGTACCTAGCAGAGATTGTGACGGTCAAAGGTAGAACTTGATAATGCCTGAGCGATGAAGCGAGCTTCAGACGAGACGAGAAGTCACGGGAGGAGACTTGCAGCAACGCGGAAGTTGATGTCAAGAAGGAAGAATATGGTTGAGGTGCTGGGAGGAAAGACACTTCAAGTTGGTTGAGACTCGAGAGCAGCTCCGCATCTTGTAGATTGTTGCTTTACACTATCGAGGTTGGAGTGGAGAAGACTGAGTGAGTTTCTTGCGTGGTGGGAGTGGAGCTCGAAAAGTTTCCTCGGATTCTTGAACATCTTCTGAGTCTTCGTCCCATACTCCATGGCAAGAATGCTCGAACGAAGAAAGCCGACCAGATCAACTGGTGTGGTTTTGAGTACGGTGTGTCAGTGTTCACGATAGTGATGTGTGATTTCTGAAGGGTGGTCAGCAACGACTACAGGCTGTCTACTTGATAGACTTTTCAGTAGGCAGTAGATGAAAACACAAGCTTGAAAGTAACCGTAGAAGACTGGGCATAGAAAAAATACTTTCTAGTATACGAGAGGTAAACATGATGTTTCGGTGCCTATAAAAACTCAAAGGATCATCGCTGATGCGGTCCGCTGAAAACCAGATATGTGACGATCATGGGATATACTTAAACCAAACAAAACTGTCCAAAAAGTGTAGCAATCTCACAGCCAAAGGCTGTAGAACGGAGCGCACACATCTATTGCAAGAGATGGTCCTAAAACAAGTTAGTGAGATGCCATCGATTCTAGGGACGAGAAAACTTACGCGCCAATGCTTTTGGTTGTTTCCTCTCTTGTCGTTACCCCATTGGTAGTTGGCACGCGCCCTTTGTTCGCGCTTCTTCTCTCTCTTCTCTTCGGCAAGCACCTCCTTCTTCTTGACCTCACTGACACCAACCATGCCAAGACCACCCTCTGCACGGGTGACGACTTGACGGCCACGGTTGTTTCTGCGCTCTCTGGCCTCCTCTTCGTCGTCGGAGTCGTGACGACCTTCGATGGCTCTCTGGTCCGCTCTCTCCTCGGGGGTAGGATAGTTGCGGAGGTTTTGACGGTAGTATTTGGCAAGCGAACGGTGTCCTGCTGTACGACCGGTAGGCAGATGTAATTCGTATTCGTCGTGGTAGACAGCGTGAGGAGTGGAGTGGGCGTGTGAGTGGAATCCGTCTGTGTTTTTGTGAGGGCGAGGATCCTTGTGGGAGTGGTGTCTGTGGCGATCGAGGGTCTTGTAGCGGTGCGAATGGTCGTCGATGGGCACCGAAGTGATCTCGTCGGTCGGCACCGATGACAAGGAGCCGTCACTCTCCCAACCTTCGTCGTCCTCGTCGGCCATCTCTGCGTCTCCGTCGCCATCTTCGGTCTCGATGGTGACCTTGGTGGCACGAGCGGCGCCGAGCTTGACACCTCCCTCCTGTTGGTCGTCTGCGCCGTCCGTGCTCTCGTCGTCCTCCTCGTCTGAGTAGGTGCTTCTGAAATCGTAGAACTCTCCAATCTCGAGCATCTCGTCTTCAGTGCTGTATGGGATCATGCAGTGGCCTCTGTCGCGCATGTGTGTCTGAATGCCGGAAGCGGTGTGCTTAAGCTGACCACAATACAAGCACTGGTGGTCGTCGTGGATCTTCTCGTGGAGGTAGCTCAAAAGGCCCTCTTGATCAACCAGGAACTCTCTTTCAGGGATGAACATGCCGTGTTGCTTGGCCATGTGCTTGATGTTCTCCTCGACGTCTACGCAGATGGTGTTGCAGAATAGGCATTGGTTGAGCAGAACTTCAACCATGTCGTCGTCGGCATCAGTGGCGTTGGAAGGAGCTCTCGATTCGTTATCATCGTCGGCGATGTTGGACTGCTGATCAGTCTCAGCAGTGTGGCTAAGGTCGTCACGGTCTGCGGGGCGGTCGGTAGCAACGGAAGCAACCGAGGCGGTCTCGACGTTGGAAGCAGTTTCGAGAGGTTCGCCCAGGGAGAAAGTCGAGCTCATGACGGAGCTGGCATCGTCGACATCTCTCATGTGCAGACGAGCAAGCTGCTGTCTGTGTTTTTGACTTCCGAGATGGTTCGCATAGGCGTTTTCGCTGAAGTAGGTCTTTTGGCAAGCGGAGCAGACCCTTTCGAAGGAAGCACGAGCGGCAGTGGCAGCGGCTGAAGCCTTGTTGGCGAGGACTTTTTCGGCAAAGACTTCAGAAGTGAGCGGGGGAAGCGATGCAACTCGTCTCTTGAGATTGTAGCGGCTGGGAGGTCGTGTCAGATACGAGCAGCGTCAAGGTATGGAATATACTCACTGCCAGTCGCTTTGCATGTGAGTACGCTGCAGGTCGCTGGAGCGGAAGGCGACCTGACAAGTGTTGCAGGTGAAAGGGTGGGTGGGACCCGATGCCATGCTAGCCATGATGAGTCGTGTCGTCTGAAATGGTATACAAGTATGTGTAGGTTGGGTCGAAAGTGGCGCGCAATGTTCAAAGGACGACGAAGCACGGCGCGATAAGAAATGTCTGGAGGGGCAAACTTTCAGGTGCAAACCATGTCATCTGTTCCAAATTTCGTCAGTTTCGCGAAACGCCGCAATCCCCGTCCTCCGTTCCTGCCTCACTGCCAAGGCCTTGACACTCTCACCTCGCCCAACCTTCCATCTTGATTCTGGTATAATCCATCTCTCTTTGGTCTTTGTGGGTTCCAGCCTTGTTCGCTTGACTCTCGACCAAAGTCTGTTGTCACAGCTAGACTCCGAACTGCACCATCTATCAACTAATCAACTAATCAAACACTTCGCTTCCATGTGTGCCGAAGCCTCATCCGCATCGCGTCTCGTTGCTGTCACCCTCACGTGCCCATAAACACTCTTGACAACCTTGGCTATGGCTGTATGATTGCTTCTTTTCTCGGTCTGTTCTTGTATTACTATGGCCACTCAGTCCTCCTTCGGCCCATCATCCTTGCCGACATCTTTATCTCGCCGCCATGATACCCAAGACTTAATCAATCGGTGTGTGATCTTGTAAGAGAATACTTGACCTGACATCTAATCATGTGTCTTGCAGTTTCTTTGTACAACTACATCAGGGATGCGGTTTCTCTGCATGTTCAACTCCTCTTTGCGCGACCGCGAGATCCCATCCTTCATCTCCATCATTGCGTGCCTATACCGCCGTCAGTGCCCGGACTATGGCAGTCGTCCTGGCATCATTGGAAGATGCACACGAACGTCTCTGCCCAAATCTGCCGAGTCAGCTTGCTACCATCACTTCCGCTGTCCAGGAGAGAGTGGATCCCAGGTCTATCACCCAGCAGCTATTCAACTCTGAGTCACTCAGGAACATTCATTTGATCGATAATGATTACCCACCGAAGCTCTTATGTGATAAGTCTACCATACGAGTCGAGTCTCCTGCCTCGATGTCTTGTCATGACCTGATCGAACTGTGCGACATTACACGTAGCGCTCGCTCCGCTCTGTTGACCCCAAAGCAAGATGGCGTCACACAACTCGGTTATCTCTACTCGAGATTACATCGTCTGTTCTCCAACTTCTCGTCTCTAGCACATTCCTTCTCTGACGATCCCCTGGGTATCTTGGCAAACTCAGTGACTCCTCACACAGCAACTCGTCGTATCAGACTGCATCGTGTACTCGAGTCCGTGCATGCAACCGGTCGAGACGCCTCAAATCTCATGTTTGACTCTATATGGGAAGCTCTGGAGCCAATATTCGAAAGTCCCTTTGATCTCAAGCATCAAGGAATAAGGACCTACCAAACATTTCCATCTGATGGCAAGGATTCGCCGGTGCCCAGTGTAGCACATTGTGCCATTCACGCGCTTACCTCTTTTATTCCTCAGGCTGAGAGGAGAACGTGGCATATGGTTTGGTCCACGCTTGTCAATGGCAAATCATATGGCAAACAACGCAACATGCAAGACGAGCCTATTCTGTCGCCTTGGTTATCGATTCTCGACAGTCTTGAGCATGAATCTGCTCTGCGCATGGCAAAACGCTTGATCCGAGCAATTGGTGCTCGAACATGCCTTGAAGAAACTCTAAGCGTCTGTAGTATGGACGATTCGAAGCTGGATCCGCGACTTCAGCCCTGGAGGACTGATCGCAGGATCAGAGAATCCGTGACCGATTTGCTAGTTGAAGAGGAGCAGAGTGTACGTTTGGCTACATTCAAGACCAAGTACAGAGATGAGCTGCGGCATGGTGGGGAGCTTGTTGGTACCACATCTCTCGTCTGGCTTGAGTGGCTACGTAAATGTTTCCTGAAGGAGTGGGATGGTTCCGTACAAATCAACAGGTGGAACGTAGCTGGTTCGGCACTTGAGCTGATGGAAGACCTTTGTATGAGTCAACCTCTATTCTCTCCGTTCATCACTGACATTCTCAGGGCAGCACCGAGGCCGAGGGCAGCTGGATATACCTGCAAAACTTTTTGCATGTCCTTCAGTATTCGATTCTCTTGATGTTGACAAGGTAGCACAAGACTGGCTTTCCTACAAGTCGGGCCGTAATGTTCGCCATCTTTTGTCATTCAAGTTCTTATTCGACACAAGAGCAATGACTCTGCTGGTTCGCACATCCCATCATATCCTCATGCGACAAGCCTACAATGCAGCGGACGCGGTTTTGCAACTGCGTCGGAAGACAATGCCCCAACTGCACATACAGGATGTTGTCTACCTAGACCGTCGTCTAAGAGCTGCCCAAGACCACTACATTGTGTTGAAGATCAACAGACACTCCGTACTATCTGATGCTTTTGATCAATTGTGGCACAGGGAAAGACGAGAGTTGTTACGGCCACTCAGAGTCCGCATGGGCATCGATGAGGGTGAGATTGGTCATGATCTTGGTGGTGTGCAAATCGAGTTTTTCAAGCTTGTTTGTCAAGAAGCATTTGACCCCGCCTACTGTCAGTCAATCTCATCTTGTTGTTATGGTCTTTATGCTAACTTCACGCAGCGCTCTTTTCCATTGACCCTGAGACTCGTTTGGCCTGGTTCCAGCCTGCGACGATGGTACCACTTTACAAATACCAACTATTCGGTCTGCTGTTCGCTCTTGCGATCTACAACGGTATCACTCTACCAGTCTCGTTCCCCTTGGCCTTTTACAAGAAGCTGCTTTTCCAAGCACTCGGCGAAACTGATTTGGCAGAGGGCTGGCCGAGTCTGGCTAGATCATTGCAACATCTTCAGACGCATCAAGGCTCTGTAGAGGAAGACTTTGCTCGAGAATATGTTTACAGTTTCGATGCTAACGGTTTGCATCTGGACGTAAGTATGGAAGATCCGTGGGATGGTTGGTCTGTGTGGGACAAGATCAGATCAGGCAAGAACATGAGCTTAGGACGATTGAAAGTGATGCGTCAATATCCAGACAAGCATCATCCGGCAACCAAGTCTATATACCCTGCACGTTCTTCTATGCATGAACCGTCAGATGACATTGACTCTAAGAACTTGACATACGACCACACACAGTCAAAGACCAGCTCTCATGAGTCTCATCAAAGCAATTTCGAGTGGCCAGGCTGGAGGGTCGAGGTCGCGGACCCTGGCGAGTTGCCTCAGTCAGTCACCAACAACAATCGTCAGGATTTTGTTTCGAGCTATTCCAGATGGGTGATGGACTGGTCGATTCGTCCACAGTTCAACGCGTTCGCCAAAGGGTTCTACTCTGTGATGAATCTTAGACCGTTGACGGTGAGTATCGACTTCTCTTATGACGATTTCAAATTATGCTCACATTTGTCCAGCTCTTGAATGCTGACCAGTTTCGCACTCTGGTCGAAGGTTACAATCATCTCGACATTCACGCTTTGCAAAAAGCCACGACCTACAATCATTACACAGCCAATTCTCCCGTGGTTCGCTGGTTCTGGGAAGTGGTCAAAGCCTATCCTCAAGAAAAGCAGAAGCAACTGCTGGAGTTCGTTACAGCAAGCAGTCGAGTGCCTGTGAACGGAGCTGAGAGCTTGGTATTTGTCGTTGAGAGAAGCGACTCTGAGACGAGTGCGCTGCCTGGAAGCAGCACCTGTTTTGGCACGCTCAGGCTTCCTGAATATGAGAGCAAGGAGATTTTGGCGAGCAAGTTGGGAATTGCTCTAGAACATTCATTAGGCTTTGGACAAGCATAGACTCGATCGTTATGTATCAAACTTTGAAAACTCAAGAAGTTTTCAGAACTCACAAACTATATTCTGTGTCACATTACTATCACTCCATGTGCAAAGGTATGTGACGCGTGAGCTAAAAAGAAAAAAAAAATGCACGATGTTTTCGAGAACTGGATAGTATTCATCGAGATGCGATATGTCTTGGACTCTCTTTGGAGACGTCCCTGATTCAGAGATCAGGGGCTCTGTTATAGCGAGGATGACGCTTTACCTTAGCACTTGGAGGTAGGATTGGTATGACTAGGAATGGGGGGCTTCCAGAAGCACTCGTTGCTATCGGCTCTTCCTTCCTCCTCGCGTGCAAAGGTTTGTAACGCGTGTAGCTATAGATATACACAATTCTTTCCAGACGGTGACAATATCCAAATAGAGCACAGTATTTTACGACCTTTAGTCCATGCCTCGTGCATTTCTATAGCTATCCGCCAGACATATCTTCGCATTTGGGAGGCAGTAATCATGTGTTGGCAACAATCTTGGCACCTCCAACCTCAGTCGACTATTCCCTCGCGATAACAGAGTCATCCAGACAAGAACCCTCCAAGTACACAAACCTCTCCTAATTCTGTTTCTCACCATGAAGTCCTCTAAGACTACGCCTCGTATAATCATCCACGGCGGTGCCGGTAACATAACCCGCGACAATCTGAACAAAGATGCTTATCAAGCCTACCGATCTGCCCTTCTATCCACTCTGCAATCTTCATACGCCCTCTTATCCAAACCCGGCGCCACTGCCTTGGACATTGCCACTCATGCGGTCTCCATGCTAGAAGACAATCCTCTCTTCAACGCAGGCCACGGCGCCGTCTACACCACCGCAGGCACACACGAACTAGAAGCTTCAATCATGGTAAGCAAAGGCTACCACAAACGCGGCGTGGGCGTCATGGAAGTCTCGGCAGTGAAAAATCCCATCAAACTCGCTCGCGAAATGTTGATCAGAGGAGAAGAAGCAGATGGAGGTGGTGCGGGGGGGCATGTTCAATTAGCTGGTGAGACTGCGAATACACTTGCTGAGAAATGGGGACTGGAGATTGTGAGTCCTGGATACTATTGGACGAAGCGAAGGTGGGATGAGCATCGTAGAGGATTGGGCAGATCTACGGATCGAGAGACGTATAGGAAACACAAGAGGAGAGCAGATGGGTGTGAGTCATTTGTTGCGGAGTGTGCGGTGGATGCTAGGGATCTGGGTGCTCATGATCCTTCTTGGAATGGTTATGAGTATCTTCCTCAGGGGACCGTGGGTGCAGTGGTTCTGGATGGCGATGGTATGCTTTGTGTGGCTACCTCGACTGGTGGGCTTACGAATAAGCTTCCCGGCAGGATAGGGGTATGTTGAGACTTGTCTTTTCTTGTACAACGTGGATACTAACAATCTGTAGGATACACCCACTCTAGGAGCTGGTTTCTGGGCTGAGCAGTGGGTTGAAGAGAATCCTTTTGATCGTCCACATGCTATGATGTACCAGCAGCCTACCACGTCACCAGCCGCAAGATTGGTCAACGGCGACTTTAGCAGCGTCCTCCAGGAATGCTTGCCTAGTTTCTCCACATACCTACCTCTGTCCTCTGCAGAAGACACGACTAGTAAACAGCCTGCAACACCCCTCTCGGCACCACATGGAGTCGCTCTCTCCGGCACAGGTAACATGACACATATATCACATTTCCCATTCCCAGCTAACCACTCCCAGGCAACAGCGACTCCTTCCTCAAAACATCCGCAGCTCGTACAACTTCAGCAATGACCCGCTTCTCCTTCCCACCTCTTCCTCTCGCAGTTTCTGTATCGCGCATGGCCGGCCCAAACGGTATGCTGCAGCAAAGTGCCGAAGACCGATGGAAAAAGACTGGAGAGGGAGAGGGCGGTTTCATCGGTATAGAGTATCGATTCGGACAGGGTACAGTGGTGGCAGACTTTAATTGCGGAGGCATGTTTCGTGCTTGGGTAGACGATGCTGGTAACGCACAGATGATGGTGTTCAAGGAGGAGTTCTAAGAGGCTTGACAAGTAACTTCATATCCATCCTTGCAGCATCAGGTCATCGTCAGCACCTTTTGGTATGAGTCTCTTTTTCAAAAAATTCCATATGTTTCAAGAGGATTTATGACGCGTTGACACGAGCCAGATCCCGGACGTCCTCTTTGAGCTTTGACTCTTCGTCAAGTGCTATATAGATCTCAGAGATTGATAAGATGACATGTAATGAGACGTGAACAGGTTAATAACAAGGTCAAATATACTCAAAAAGAGGTTAGATATGTTGCTTTGTGCTCTGAAAGTACATTACTTACAATTCAGGCACTATATACGACGTCTTTCATCATGTTTGGTCCAGATGAGCTTTTGTCCGAAATGTGTATTGGGGATGCCACGATTGCAGTCAGTGTTCGAGCGTCAAGCACAAATTACACTTATCCCACCATCTGAGCAGATACCCCAGTATATAAGCCCTGGAGTCTGTTGAGTCACTATTAAAGTGCTCAGAGAACCTATTACACTCGATACGCTCAAGGCCTGTTGAATTCTATAGATGCTCAAAGCGACGGTCAGGGTGTCGGGCATCGCACACGGGACTTAACAACAACAACACAAAGGATGGACAGACGCTCGGCTGGTCGCTCGAACACCACGAATTCATCGTGGGAGGCAAAAATGATGCGAAGAGTATACACATCGATACGGTTGAAGGCGAGGCTCCAAAATTGTATTTCATAATGTTGATTGTTATGCACTGTCGTTTATATCATGCTATGTGCGACCTTCCCATGCTAACTCCAAACTCCTCTCTTCATGCAAGTGAAACCAACAAAGGTTACCTTCTGTACCTCCTGCACTGCCCACAGCGGCTCGACGCGATATTGATTCCATAGAGTAATCCTACACGTCGATAGAGGGCCCCTGGTACTCCTTGACCGAACAAAAGTCGGAAAGTCTTTCGACTACTACCGCATCGGTCTTGTCATGCAGTGGTGTGACTAGGCTCAAGGTTTGGACCTTGACCATCCGCTCTCTGGCGTGTATATGCTGCGTTTGTTCGATGCTCTGATGCGACTTCATCACCAGACAGCGCTGGCCTTCTTGCTCAGCTTGCTGTTGCTGGCATTGCTCTGGTCACTATTGCTCCTCAGACCCCAAAAGCTCTTCTTCATCTTTGAAGGTGCGGCAGCAGGAGGTACATGTGGATTACCTCCGCTCATGATCATACCGTTGCTACCGTAGGTGGGTGCCACAGGATGACGCGAAGGTCCAGCGTGTTGTTGCTGGTGAATAGGAAGCGATGGCGCAGAGTGTCTTTGCTGGTTGTTGACCGGCGAAGGCGGCTTGAGACTGTATTGTTTCCGCAGTCTTTCTGTCTCACGATCAACTTCTTCTTGTCGACGACGGACCTCACGCTCCTCTTCCTCGACCATCTTGCGTAGACGTTGAGTCTCTGCTTCGTCTGCTCTTTCTCTTTCGCGACGGCGAGCGGCTTCCTGCTTCTTCAACTCGCGTTCCTCAGCCTCGACTTGAGCACGCAAGCGAGCGGTCTCAGCTTCTAGCTCCCATTGTGTCCGAGGGTCTGGGGCAGAAGCGGCGCCAACGCCTGCCAGAGGAGGACGTTGAGTCGTGGCAGTAACAGGAGGACTGGTTCGTAGGCGAGGCAGAGTCTCGCGGCGGTTCGCATTGGCGGTTGGAGGAGGAGGAGATGCATGAGCTGCAGGTAAGGAAGCGAGACGACAAGGATCGAAGACGTTGAAGATTTGGTTGATGTCACTGGAGAAGTAAAGGTCCTTGATAACAGCAGCAGACAGTAGCAAGACCAGCTCAAGGCCCTTGGGATCCTCCAGCTCGACACGGTACAGGTTTGGCTCGTAGACGGTCAACTCACGGAGAGAGCGAAACAGACCGACGATGATGTCTGGATCGCGGTGCTTCTTCTTGACGACCTCATCGGTCGACTTGCCGGTCATGTAGGCCGTCAGGTCTTTGGCAAGTTTGCTTTCCTTGCGCCATACAAAGTTGAGTTTGGGCGTGACCAAGGACGCGCCGGGATCATCTTGAGTTCGGTCCAGAGTCGAAGCCGACGGTGTGCGGAAGACGAGTTGAGGCAGACTGAATTCATATGACGCGCTACCTCCCCAGCTCCCGGGCTTCTGCGTCACTGTCACTTGTAGATCAGGATTGTACAACTGTACAGTGAACTGGGTGGGTAGGATGGGCATTGGTGGCGGCGGCACACCACCATTCCGACGGATCTCATCCTGCGACAACGAGGGGTGACTCCATTCCGGTTTGATCAGGACCTCTCCGTATAGCACTTCGGGGTTGTAGCAGTCGAACAGACCAGCAGCATAACAGTTGCGCGAGGTGGCAGGGTCGCCGTGCCTCAGGCTGTACGCGGGGCTGGGATCGGATCCACGAATGGAAAAGAAGATTCCATGGTGATGTGCTATGCCATCCGGCGACTTTCGATAGAAAAAGGCGGGCAGATTCTCGTCCAACATAATGTCCAATACGATGTTTAGGATTTGCCCAAGAGGCGAATGCCCGGTCCAAATATCTTTCTCGTTCACCTGATGATTCCTAGTCAGAAGGCGCAGTTCGTCCGCTGCGTCAGCCCCTTCTCCATGCTCCTATTCCGGGCCGTGCCAAGCTTCAGGTATACGCATCACGTCGTCGTCGTAAAGTCATGGCTTCTTCTTTTCTTTTGCAACAAGAAACATTCTTAAGCTGCTGCCTTGAATCTTGTATTCTCTGTCGATGCTTACGAACATGCCGTGCTTGGCCAATTTCTGCAATATGCGACCCAGTCGAGGACGACCACTTCTTCACACTGCATCTCTTCATTCGCCCACCTGTTCCACATCTCTAAGCCTCCACTAACCTCACCAATTCTCGTGATGAACGTCTGCTTGGACAAACAACACCTTTCACTCGACCCATCACACAGCTGCTCACTTCACTTCGAACGTTTCACCAGTCCAGCCATAGGCTCTGTTGTCCTCATTAGCAAATGTCTCCATGGATCAGACGCTATCACGTACCTGTGCAATCTTCGACCGAAATTCTTCATAAGCCAGTACCAAATCTTGGCTCGAGGGTGTGGTTCATGGAACTGGATACTTCTCTGCACATCGATCGTGTCGGGTGTGAACTGCCAACTCGATCCATAGAGCTTTTCGACAGAGAAGCCAATCATCTTCATAGAGTACAGGAACTCAGACCAGGCAACCTCTCCAGTGTTCTGCTGCTCGTTTGCTGAGGGCACATGGAACATTGTAGCAAAGACCTTGAAGGCTCGCTTGTTGACCTTGATCTTCTGAACCTCGGTATGGTCCTTTTCCTCCGTGCTTGTAGCCGAATCTCTGCGAGATTCCTGCATGGGAGATGGTGTGTGACCATCAGGTCTAGTCTTTGCTTTGAACTTCTGTGGAGTATTTCCCAGGAGCTCACTCTTCTTGGGGTGAGAACAGCGTGCATTGGGATCGAACACATGTTGGGGCAGTCCGCTTATCTCAGTCAGTATCATACAATCATGTGTCTTCGTACAACTCACATTTCCTCATCCTTATCATCCTCTGGTTGCTGACTGGGCCTGCAACCACTGTCCTTTGGCTCAACCCAACGTTTGGTTCTGTGGATTTTTCTGTTCCAGTCATTGAAGAAGTCCTGATAATCAGTCAGCAGGCATGCTTCTGCAACAAGAATCACTTTGATTCATACCATGAGGAGATGGAGCACTGGGTAGGATGTGTGCGCCTCGCAGTGATTGTCCAACTTGGCCCAGAACTTGTCCAATCGCTTCTCGGCGAGTCGCATTTGGTCGACTGTTTCACGCGTCCTGCGTTTGTCAGAGGGATACCCGTAGAATGCAGGATTGGCTGCGTCAAGAGCAGCACACGTGGTAAAGTCGTGCACACATTCAACCATGCTGAAGAAGTAAGGAGCATCGTCCTCGATGAAACACTTGCTTCGCCAAGCGGTACACCATGGCTGGAAAAGACCAAGCTGTCGCCTAATCTCGGACATGAGTGCCAGGTCCGAGAAGCGATCCGACACCCAACTAGAGATAAGATCGCTGTCCTTGCTGTGTTCGTCTAGCATTCTCTGTATCTCCTCGACCGTGTTGTTCAAGCCATGCTGTAGTCATCAGTATATTTGCTTGACCTGGGATGTCTCGCACTTACCTTCTTCTGCTGCTCAGGACTCAGCAAGGTTCTGAACAAGACTTGAACCCTCCATGCGGCGCTTAGTCTACCCATTTTGACATTGAGAGTGTTGAATGAGGGGCTAGAGTCACAAGCTGCGCGCTCATAACCGTAACGCATGGGCGGTGATGCAGGAAATCCGAGCATCAGTTCACCCAGAGGCTCGTCAGCCACCACTTGGACGATATGGTCCAGCCTCTGAAACACCTTCTCAACTTCAGGGGGCAGACTGGAAGATAAGTCAAGCCTGTGGCGACAGCTGTCGAGTTTTTCTTGAGCCAGGGTAACAGTTTCGTCGGCTGTGGCGTAGAGAACCAAGCTGCTATAAGCATGAAAGATCATGTTTGTTGCCACCTTGTCCCAAAACACAGGTTCACCAACCATACTATGAGGCCTCTTGAACTTGTCGGGGATCATGAATGGTGAATGCTCTGACCAATCTCTCATTGTCTGTGCAAAGTAGCCCGGGTCCTCACGTAAAGCCCAGACATGCTCTTCGGCCTCCTCACGTCTTGCCGAAATGAGTACTCTCAGTCGATTCATGTCGAGCCTTTGTGGCAAGCGATATGGCGCAATTTGAGCCATGGCGGTGACAGTATGTACGGGCAGGGTAGATTTGATTTGAGGTGGAGCAGGCTTGGTCTCGGTGAGGTCCACCTGGTCGAGATTCATGTCGTGTAAGATGAGTCGACAGCACTTGACGAGGAAGTCGAGAATGCGCTCCTGTACCTCAAGGACCTGAAGACCAGCAGCGGGCTCCATTCTCAGTTGTTGCTGGATTCTGTCTCCTACCTCGCGAGAGACAAGCAAGCCATAGGTCTTGGGCGATCTCTGTCCATGGAGCGACATCTTGTATTTGTCGACCTCGCTCGAGCCACATGGTCTGTCGGCGGTTGCTTGGTGTTCGTCGCCGAACACGAACTTGTCAGGGGGGTGGCGCCCACGAGAGTTGAGAAAGATGAGAAGATTGTGCGACTGGACTAGATCTTCCTGGTTGATGTATGGCCAAAGATAAGCCTCCTTTTCTCTGGCTTGATTGGGGCGTTGTTTGTTGTTGTTCAGGCTGATCTTGCGCAGCGTTGCAAACTCTGGACGATGGGTGGCTGACATGTGTGGCCAGGCTTGTAGGAGAACCGATAGTCTCTGGCTGTTGTTGCGCTTCGTCCATCGCTTCTGGATCTGGCCCTCGAAGCGCTTCAGTATCTTGTTGAGAAAGACCCAATGTCTGAAGATGCTGATCGAGAAGGCCTGTGCCTGAGTGCGCAGATCGTCAAGGTCGGCGATAGTTGGAATTGGAAGATCGAGGCCTCCTTGGAAACGGCAGATCCTACATGACAGGCAATTGTCATCGTCTTCGGAAGCGCTTGAATCCATGACCAGCGAAGCGACAGTTTTGGTGTTCCGAGTGTGTGGAAAGTGGCTGTTCAAGATGACAAAAGCAGAGCAGATAGAAAGGGCAAACACGCTATATGGAAGTGAAGAAGGTGTGGTCCTAGGAATTGAGGCAGGAATAGCCGACGTATAGGCGACAGGCAGCCAAGGAAGCGCGTACTTGCCCAAATCTGTTTGCCCATCTGCTTGTTCCCGTAGAGGGGTTGATACCTTTACCTTTCCTTACGCGCGTCTCAATCTCGAACAACTTACAGATATATACAGCCATCGTGTGGTGCTAAAGGTGCAAATATGCTGTCTCAACAGTAACGAGAAGCAAGTGCTTAGCAATCAGCTGGCTACATCTAGCACTGCATCACATTTGTTGATATTGTCTGAGAGAAGCCATGTGAGGGGCATATAGTGTAGTACCGAATCACTGCTAATACAGAAATGATGCTTACAGCGCTCGCTGGCGGTCAGGCCGGCATGCATGCAGACGTCGCTATCCGATGTGATAACGTGTGCTCAGCGGACTGGTGCATCTTCGTGCCGTTGTTTTCTGCTGATCCACTCGAAGATTGACAAGTCACTTCCCGTGCAGTCCTTGGTCTGCGGTGATATGATCCAAAGTTGCAAGCGTATGTGCCTAGGATGATAGTCAAGAAAAGACACGCAGAGTACATACAGCCTTCGGTTGAAGGTCGGGTTCTACTGAGCAATGTCGGACCGAGGATATCCTTCTTCTATGCTTTAGCCAATGGCGTGTAACTCCTCATGCAAACGTATTCAATACGTGTAGCTATCAAAACACACAGTGAACTCGATATGATAGCCACCGAAACGCAACCGATTGTCGAGCCTCCCTGGCTACACGTCTGGTCTCCAAACCATCATGCCTTTTCATAATGCACAATTCATATCATGGTCGCTTTCGGAAGAGGACGACAGAGTTACAGACTTGAGCACATGGAGGAGAATTCTCACCTGTCATCAGTGCTGCACATAAAAGGATGAGTAGTCACACTAGCTCAAGGTAACTGCTCAAAGGACACAACATGAGACTGACTGTAGAATCCTCTACGAACTGACTATCCTGCAGATAGACATAACACATCCTTCCAAGACAGAGTCTTCCACCGCTCATTCAAGTCTTCCATACCTAGCGATACCCAGAATTATGCTTGCTGAGCACCATAGTAAACCGACAGTGGTCGATCAAGAGACACCTGCGAGAATCTTCTTGCCGATCTCAAGATCCTCGACCTCCTTGGCCAGAGCAGTGCGCTTTCTTCTGAGGCCGATATCCTCACCAGCAACTTCCTCGAGCTGTTCATCAGACAAGGAGCTGACGAACTGAGGAGAGAGGATCTTCAGAGGATTGTCGGGTCCCGTAACTAACACAAAGTCCGCCTGCATGCAAACATTGTCGACGAATCTCTTCTTGGCGACCTTGTAGTAAGCCCTGAGGATGTCATGAATCTCGAATACAATGTGCTCGGCGTTCGACATTGGGTGGTTCTTTAAGATATCGTCGAGGGCGATCGTGGCTTGAGAGACCCCGTCAGAGGGCGACGCTTGAACGGTGGCATGCTTCTCGAGGGATGCGCGGAGACGCTTTTGACGACTACAGCATTGACAGGTCAGCAATGACGTCTTCGCAATGACTTGGCATAACATACGACTTGTCTAAATTGTCATTGAAGTAATGATTGATTGTCTGAGGATTGCTGCGTTCCACGCGCAGCATGAACTGAACTTGATCAAGTCCACGGCGGTAGGTGTCCAGAAGAGGCTCCATCAAGACAGACATAATCCCTTCTCTAACACGCTCACTTGGGCAGACATGTCCTAGCAGACATGTCACGAAGCGATGTGCCAGATGGACAACATCCAGGATGTATCCTTGAGCGAGGGGCTCCCACTTTTCAGATTGAACCTTCATGGTTCGAGCAAGCAAATTCTTGTCAAGAGTTCCCAATTCGAATCCACGGCTGCTCTTGTAGAGCTCTGACAACCAGTCAATGATGTTACTGCGAATCTTGTCGTCTACTAGGTTGTCTCCTTTGATCAAATCTTCAAGATCAGCAATGTCCTTGGTGTGTCGCAGCGCGACACCCTGGCCGCCGTTGCTGTTGATGCCCTGCTTCACCAGGTCTCTGGAGAATAGTCGAACTTGAAAGCATATCTAGGAGAAGACACAGTCAACAATCTGTTCCGCAAGCAGCATCAGCAACTCTTACGTATGGCCATGCTTCTCGATGTCATTGGCGAATTTATCGTTGCGGTTGACCATGGCAGTGACCATCATCAAATCGTCTTCCAGGTCGAACAACTTGTTGTCAGAATAGTTGCCATTGAGGGCCGAGATGACGACCTCACGGAACTGCGAGGCAATGTCCATTACGAAGCGGCGTTGTTCATCAGGAGTCTGGCGTTTGCTACCAAGATCATCCAGACCACGCCTGGCTGTGTTCAGCTTGGTCAATACCTCGCGCTTGACGTTTGAGAACTCGCGACGAATGTTGCTGGCCAGAACTTCCTGGAGATGGCTACGCAGGGCATCAACGCCAACACGATCTTGGTCGAGCTCGTTCCAAGGACTTCTGTCACGAAAGAAAGCCTTCTCGACAGCCGATCTGTCAGCGGCAGTGTCTTGGATCTGCTGCTGTCCGAGATTGCGCACAATGCACCAGCCAAGGTTGAGAGGATGCTTCTCTCCCCTGACGAGCTGGAGCACACCGGCTTCGGCGCCAGGATCGACCTACAGTGTGAGAGAACAGTCAGTGTGTTATCTTGGACAAGATTCTGAAACGGGAAAGATGTATCGCAAGCCCTGAGAGCGGCTTGGAGGATAACATTTAGTGGACGTTGAGTTGTTGATACGTACCAGATCAGGCTTGGTCAGGACACCCAGTGTACGGTGACCATCAGGATCAGCCTCTTCCGCAAGAGTGAGAATCTCCTGAGTGGCAATGTCGACGTTGGCAGGTATCACGACCAGCATCATGGAGCGAGGGTTGTCCATGTAACGCCGGACCATCGATTTGACCATCGAAGCATCGGCCAGAGTTGTCACGCCCTTGGTTGCGGTTCTGAAGATGCCAGGAACATCGACCACAGAAAAGTGCTCCTGCTCCGGGCCAGTCACTTCAACCTTAAGCACGTCCTCGGAGAAAGTGGACCTGGCTTCACCGTCCTCGGTAAAATCGGACAGACCCATGAGCTTGTGAACGTCTTTCATGGTCTTAGAGAACGAGATCGGTTCGAGGACAGCATTTGTGACGCTCTTGAAGGCGCGCAGGTCATCGGCATAGGCTTGAGAAGCACCCTTGTGAGGGATGATGGTCACGGTAGTGCTAACAGTTTGTGCGCGACGGAAGGTAATCTGCGTAGCGAATCTGGTGCACAAGCCAGAGTCTCTAGGAAAGGGCAGCTTGGTGATACCCTCAAGAACCGACGACTTGCCACTATGTGATGGAGTAAGTTGGAGTCAAATCGAGTGGTGTGTCAAGTTCTTTGCGCGCTTACTTCGACTGATCACCGACAACAACCAGCTGTGGCAGAGGGATGTGGTCTCCGACTCCACACGCGAAGAGCTTGTCAATCTTGTCAAGCAGACCGGGGTCTACCATGTTGCCAGTCATGCTGGCGTTGTTGGTATGATACATATTGTTGTGTTGAGACGCGTTGGGAAGAAAAGATGCAGAAGGGAGCGGGCTCATAATCCTATAGAAGTTTGAGTGAAAGTGTTAGAATTCTGAGTGAAAGTGTTGGATGTCTCAGTGAAAGCGTTGCGCAAACATACCGAAGCGAAAGGAAGATGAATGAAGGCGAGAGACAGAATTATGGAGAAGACTCTCGAGGCGTAAACGACTGAAAGCGAGTCGACGTAGAAATGGCAGACTAGGCACTTTCAATATCTAACTTATCTACTCCTTTGTGGAAAGCTGCCATAATTTTACGATCAAGATATCCTCTAAAGCAATACTAACAACGTAGTAGTTTTGTGCATGTAACAATAACAAGCAATTCTGGCTCATTCCAGGACATGGTGTCTGACCTCCATCACTATAATGCGTTTATTGTGCTCTAATTGCTTGTCAGACCATTGTCAGTCAGTACGCTGCGCACAGATGATGTCCTTGTTGAGTCTCCCAGCTTACAGACCAGACAAATATGCCGAGACATTCCAACCACTTCTCCTGCAACTCTAACATGGTCTTGTTTGGATCGAAGGTAGTCAACACCACTCTCAATTCGCAGATTAGGGATGACGGACTTGAATGAAAAACATGAGTGTCTTGATTCTAATGGTACAATAAGAATATCGTGAGAGCTGGCAGTTTCATAATGCCAAAGTCGTAGCCTATCTCGAGACGCGATCGGCTGGAGAATGAGTACTGTCTCATGAGCCTATCGCTTTGACACAACCCATCGCTGCCCCAGCAGCAACACCGCCTAATACCATCATCTGTAGCCCTGCTTTGACACAAAGCATTCGTTTCTCTTCGCCGACCAGGAGAGTCTTGACATAACCAAAGACGAACAGAGCAAAGGCCATGACGCCAATACTCCAAAGGAGAGCAGTCTGGTTGTTGCTCACAAAGAAGTAAGGCGTAAGAGGCACCAGTCCACCAAGGAGATAACCGAGTGCAATAGTTACAGCCGAGACATAGGCGCGTGATGCATCTGCTTGAGATTCTGGAAGGTCGTGGTGGAAGCGCATGATGAATGTCTCTGATCTTTTCGGGCATGAGTTGATCTGCGTAGCAAAGGCTTCCAGGACATCCTCCGAAAGACCGTACGAGTCAACAGTGGACTTGATAATTTGATTGGCTTCTTCCGGATCCTGGTTGACTATCTTTCGCGTCTCTGCTAGGGTGGCGGAGTAAGCTTGTCTGAATGTTTGTTAGTAATTGCTCTCGACAACATGTCTTATTGACTTACGCTTCCGATACACCACCGAGATATCCTCCTAGACCCATACTAAGAGCACCAGCGCAGAGCTCCGCCAAACCAGCGTAGATGACGAGTTTCGTGTCTCCGAGTGCAGAGAGTCCAGCTGTAAGAGCAAAAGGTACAGTAAGGCCGTCTGAGAGACCTATTGTGGCGTCTGCAATGATTCTAGGATCAACTCGGAATGGAGAAGAGAAGCTCCCTGTATCACTCCTCAACGTTGAAGAATCGGATCCATCCTGAGATATTTCTGATGCAGTGTCGCATGTGCCATACTGCTGCTTGAACGTGGGTAATAAGACGGGTTTTTTTTTGGCCGGGAAGATGATGTTTTTGATGTAGAGCAGTGCCATCCTGTAAGAACTGATATGGTCGATGGATGAGAAGAGCAGGATTCTGATCTTTGTGCTGTGAGGGTAGAAGGACTGAGAGTAGTTGGAGCAAGAGGCGGCAATTGAACTTCGAGACATGGGCCCTGAGATTTAAATACGCGTCTCGAGTCGTTGGTACGGATAGCCTTGACCACTTGTTTTCCGCGCCACTAATGTACTTCCCCACAAGCCCTTTCACCAGGAGCTTCTACGGTGTAAGGAGAACATGGTTGTTCTGGGACACTTACTAACATACAGACCCATGGCATACGATCATATGAACTCGACCAAGCTACAAAACGCTGAGAGATTTCTAGGTGAGATCACTCTGAGCAAAGGAACAGCAAATCAATTCGACGGTTTGAAGCAGATTCGGACATGCATCTCAGGAAAAAGCTGTCAGCCATGCATGGAGCATGTTTTGAAAATGCTTATTTGCAGAAGTTCTCATTGGCTTGTGAAACCGCGTACCCCACAAACGGGGACGGCCGTCAAGCCATCCGAATCTTCGACACGAGTTTGCTTACATCTGTTTGTCTTGTCATTGGACAGTTGCTGATATTGCTGACCACGAATAAAATCAGCATAGACTCTCTACGTATCTCTGATCCGGCACGGTCCTGGCTCGGTGACGATGTTTTTCCAGAAGAAAACAAGCTGATTGCAGCGCTTCTGATTGGTCTCTTCGTACCCCCACCCCCATCTCCTTCGGAGTGTTTTGAGATCACAATAACAGCAGCCTCATCCACGAGCACCTCATTATAAAACCTGGTTCTTGGGTCTTTGAGACCAGAGTAGCATCTTGTTACTCTGGCAATGCTGGGTAGCAAACTGATCCTGGCCAAGTCGACTGGCGAGAAAATGTATTCGGATAGCCCATCGACTTCTTCTCGGAATAAGGTACAGTAAACCAAGCACACTTACTGCCTCGTGTCTCTTCTTGCACCGCTGGAACCCCGCGCCTCATGAGTCTTCCTCTGGCAAAAGTTCTGCAACCCGCATACCTCTCCTGCAGGTAGCCAGAAGACCAAAACATGATGCTCTCCATCAGGGAATCGAACCCTGGTCTCCCGCGCCTGACGAGATTTTACTCTTGACAAGCGGAAATCATGACCACTAGACCAATGAAGATGAGCCAGCTGAGCTGGTATTGGTTGATGAAGCAATTTTTGAGTCAACTATCATATATCCTACATCATGTCGGAAGGGTACGATCAGCACGCTTCACCATGTATCAATCTCGATGGTCTGCAAGGAATACCGTGTATCGTTATCAAGTTGTCGTAGACAAAGGTGGTAGAAATTAGACGATCCCGATTGACCTGACAAAATTTTTTGTCACCCCAACTCAGCCCTCCGCATGAACTTTTCCGTGGTTTCTAGTCAATTGTTCTAATTACTTTGCCTGGTTATAACAGGGCGAGTGATTATGTCAATCATCAATCATATCTACATTTACTGAGGAACCAAGCTTTCATGCTTGCAGTAGAGAGGAACAAGACCTTCGATAACGATGTGCGATTGACATCTTTCACTGAGCATACCTGAGTACAAGTCACTGTTTGCTCGTGGGACGACGACTGCTAGTTAAGCCTCGTGACACGTCCATGATAAACATGGTGCAATCGTACATGAGGGTATATTGCGACTTAAGCAGGATTTCTCACATCAATCCGATATGGTCTAGTGGCTAGGATTTCTCGCTCTCATACCGTTTCGAACGAAACAACCAGGTCCGAGGAGGCCGGGGTTCAATTCCCCGTGTCGGAATCTTCTTTTGTTTTGCTGACCTGACTGCACTCGTTCATGGTTGACATGCAAGAGGGACTTTTCTTTGATTTTGGCGTGGGCGGCGTGGACTGCAGTTTATCATACTTGGAGTACGGAGTATATAGCGTATATATATCTACATGGTATACTCTTCCGTATGAAAGGAATACATCTAAGCAATCCAGCTAGCAACCCAGACTTCGCGAAGCTCTGTATTCACCGTCAAGAAAACTTCTGCTGTTTGCTGGTGTGTGAGCCTTTCAAGCACCTTGATCTTGTCTGCTGTGCCTAAATCCCTGAAGTCGTCGAGGAAGAGCTTCGCGGCTGTTGATGCTGATGATGTCGCAATGATGCCAGGTGATGGTGCGCTTTCATTGGGTATTCGCAGTGCAGGTGGGACAGCAGTGTGTTGAGCTTGAGAATCTGTCAGGTCTGCTTTATTTTCATGCTCTTTTGCCATTGCGACAGCTTTGGCAACGATACTCAAGAAAACCTTGAGAGTCTGTGTCAACTGTTCGCTAGTCCTTTGCAGCAGATCTTCAAAAGCAATTAGATGGCCACTTGCTAGATCTTCCATTTGTTCCTTAACATCACAAAGGACATCTTGAGCATGATCATCTATATCTTCAATGCCATTGTCTTTCTCAAGTCGTAGTTCAGTTTTGAGATCGTCGGAGGTCTCTTGCAGCGCGACTTCGGCGAGTTTCTGGGTGTACTCCAATGATGAGCAGAGTTCCTCCATGATACGTTGCAGAGTCTGTTCGGTGAGCAACGGAACCTGAGCAGTGACAAGTGCGCGAAGTTCGTAACTCAAGGCGCGCATGATGGATCTTGGTGAGATGGCGTCTAGCACCTCGGGGGCTGATGTGAAGCTGCTTGCAATTTTCCTCACTTTCTCCTGAGTTGTTCCAGTGATCCCATCGTCTATACTGGCGGCATATTCGGGGTGTTGTTGTCTAGTCGTAAAAATTGTGGGTTTGATGCCAGGGTTGTCGTCTACAGTGCTTGGAGTGTTGATGATAGTAGGCGAGTATACGGTTGACTCCAAGGAGAAGGATCTCACTATACTTTCAGACACGTGCAAAACATTGCTGAGTGAGGGCGAGGATGAATTGTCCCTTCTTGCAGACTTGGGAGATGGCTGATTTGCTTCAGGGGTAGTCGATACTGCAACACAGGCTCAGCCAAGAACATTCGAGAAAGCCGGATCGTGGGCTCTCAACGTGAGAGGGTAGCCCGATTACAGCTGTAGAAGTGCACAATACCCTCAAAGAATATGGCAGTGTCCACTGAGAGGCACGAATTCGACATCTCTTCTTGGGGAGGCCACTGAGCTGGAGACGATCGTGCATTTCTACAGCTGCAAAACCTCACAATACTGATAGGAGAAAGACTTACCACGAGATCGTTTCAAACAGGCTTTTGCCTGTGGTGTTACAGGTAGTTGGATGATCTGCACAGGTGGCGAATACGGCGGCGGCGAGCATGTTGGCTGTGCACCGACCTCAGGAGATGTTGTACGATCGACAGCCTTGACGTTTGTATGCCTGTCTTGTTGATCTTCTTGACCCGAGGCTACTTCATCCCTTTGAGAATCCGCACAGTCAACCCCAATCTGTCGCCAGTCGTCCAAAACACCACCATTGTTGTATGAGTCAGGCACATTGACTTCTGGTCCGCCTGCAGAGACACCGATCTCCAAGTTCATCAATGCATGTTGAGCGTAACTGCTATGACCAACGAATATCTTGAAGCTCTTCGCGTACGACAGCGAGCGGAACAGGGTCAATAGGTGCAAAGCGGTGCCGCCTAGACAGGGAGCACCTTCGGGGATATATGGCATCAAGACATGACCTCGTTTGGGTTGATGAAAGGGAACACAAAGACATTTTTTCGTAGATGAGTTTCCATACACTTCTTCCAAGCACTGCCTAACGTTGTCTGAAGCATCCTCCAAGTTGACGATCGAACAGCCCTCGGTCGCACCGAAGCCTATGGTGGGCAGCAGGTAGTGGTCAAGGGTTTTGCGACGTTTGGAGATTCGGACACTAATGCGTAGATGTAACATGACATACGTTGACCTCTTGGCATCCTGGCCGACCCATAGGGTCAACAAAGTAGGCTTTCCAGTAGGACATGGTAGCCCAAGCGAAGAGATATCCGAGCGGTCAGCGTCGTTCCAGACAACTAGCGCAGGTTCTTTGCACGCCCACTTGACCTTCTGTGAGAGAGAGATGCCTGGAGGAGGCTCCATCGCACGACGATATAATGTCCAAAGGCAAAGAACCCAGAGAACTATATATTAGCAGCTGAACGAAAAGCACTCAACTAATTGATAACCCAGCACTAGAAGACCAATGCTGAAACCCTCCCACCCGGGCTTTGCGAGATGCTGAACTCAGAGCAGCCCTGACTCGAACAAGACAGACAGCCAGATCTCCGAATGAAGACAATGGCGTTCCGCCAGGATTCCGTTGCGGAAAATCACGAGTACTTGGATCGAGGCCGTACCTGCGCAAAACAAAGACCGATCCTGGACCGCACACAAAGTAAAGCGGAAACGCGCCCACGTCCAGCGAGAAGAAGCAAGTTGCCTTGACTTCCAAAGCGAGAGCGATGGGGTTCCGCCAGAACTTTGCGGCGGAAAATCGCAGGTTGCCTGGTTCTTTGCTGTTGCGCGACCAGTGATCGAGCTCGGACCGCTCACGAGAGTAGAGCGAAAACACGCCCACGTCCAGTCAGAAAAGGCGACCAGAAACTAAGATGAGCGAGGTGAGCGGTGGCTGTGGCTGATGATGTTGTGGTATGGACGAGCAGAAGAAGTCGTCGTGATGCAAGACGGAAACAAACCTTGGCGACGCGTGATGGACGTGAGTCTTGGCGCGCAAGCGGGGATTTCGGATCGGCGCAAAGCGTTCCGACGAGACTCGTGCTTACATGCACAACCAACCAAGGCGTACCATATGCCAAAGTAGGAAACAAAAACGTATCGCATCTGGATACTGAGTAAGCACAGTAAACTGTGCATGCTCAGAGGTAGGTATATCGAGATCTTTGAAGTGCCGATTAGATCCCAACTAGGAAAAGAGGAGCATCTCGGCTATCATGCAACACCGTGTGACCTGCCGGCCATCAGGGTGTTATTTGGCGGGGTCGAGTGCATCTAGACGAGCTGAGGGGCACATAAAGGATTCGCCCTGGAGCCTACTGACCGCGGGATTTCTGCTGTATAGTCTCTTCCTGTTCCTGGCTACGATCCTCTAACTTTGACACCCATATATTAAATCATACATCATGGATAGCCATCCCAACGGGTCAAGGGTCCTGCCTCAGACACAATCTCCTCTGTTCAAACTGCCTGGCGAACTGAGGAATTGGATCTATGAGCTTGCTCTCACGCCAGAAGCACCCATCGTCAATCCTACGTGGGAGACAACCATCCACCCACAACATCAACAAATACCCAGCATGGGTATGGCCCTTCTGAGAGCCTGTCGTGCCACATACCTCGAGACAAATGATTCAGTCTCACTGAAGAAGGGGGAATTCATCTTCACAAGGGTCGCCCATATACAATCATTCTTTTCCAGGTTGTCTCTAGCACAAGCCAGCCATGTTCGTCATATCACGATCGACCTCAGAGAAGCGGCGTCAGAAGACACAACCTTGCAAAGAGAGCAAAGCACAATCGTTGCTAACGAATGGATCCACTACTTCTGCTGTACTCGGGGAGCACACATGATGGGTGCCTGGTGTGCAGACCTCGGTACCCTCAAGTCTGATGTCCCACATCTTCGCTCATTGTGCCTTGACCTGACCAACTGGCAACCCAACCATGCAGGTTCGAGAATAGGTGGCTGGAGGTACTTGCAGACACTGCTTCGGACAATACGAGACTTAGACTCCTTCACCCTCAAGAGCAAGTGTCTCGATAGCAGCTTCTGGAGCTCGCAGCCAGTACCATGGAGTCTGGGATTGTGGTTCTCTCCCGCCTTTGACAAGGACCAAACAGCACTGATCGATCTGGCTGAGCAGACAGTACGCCTGGCAGGAGAAACAGAGACCAGGCTCATCGAATGGCGCACTCTGGAAGGCGTTACTCGGCTGAAAGTGCATGTGGATGAGCTACATAACATTCGTCCATTGACGAGCTGTGGAACTTCTCTTTCTCAAGGGGGGAGAATGTCATGGGATGCTTTCGTTGAGTTTAAAGATGACCAGACCGAATTGGTCAAAAAGCGCAAGGCGTCCTTGTCAGCGAGTAACATCATCTGGAATTCAGCACTCTCGGTGCAGGCATAGACTAGAAGCAGCATTGATAGAACCAGTTTTGTTCATTCCGAGTTCGAGTTCAATCCCAGTGTCGTCTTATTATTGGACGTGCTGGATCCCAAGGCCCGTGAATCTCGTTCTTGTATCTCTGTAAGCCGATGAGCCACCAGCTGGTGATGCCCATGGCAAGACACGTGAGGATACCACCGAGAACGGCACCACCGACTCCAGCTTTCCAACCTCCCCCTGTGATAGTGACGCAGAGTCCGCCCCCAGCGCCAAGGACGATCAATGCAGTCAAGGTCAAATGTCCAGTCCAAGATGCGTGTCGAACATGTCGTCTGAAAACTGGGAACAACCCAAACACTTCGATGCTGAAGAGTGTTAAGCTAAAGACTTCGTTTGTGTATTTCAGCCGCGAGGCCAGGACTGTAGAGGCCATGAGAGCAGCATTCGTTGACAGAGAAGCGGGAAATCTAGCGGAGGTCGTGAGCAAATACTCGTCTGCAATGTACACATGACTGCTTACTTCGCTTCAACACCAGCACCATAGTCAAAGGTGAAGATGTTGATGATCAAAAGCCAGGTACTCATAGCCCAGATAGAATCAGAAGATGTCGACAAGGTCAAAGATTTCAAGATCGGGCTCAAACCCAGCAATGCACAATAGATCAAGATTGCAGACTTGGCAGTTGCTAATCTCTCCTGGTTACGAGGCGAGAGCGAAGAGGTTTGACTCTCGAAGGGCGGATAGTAGCTGTAACTTGCGAACGTAGCGGCACCATTAGGATGACTAGTAGTAGGCGTCGGTGATGCTGAGCTCTCTGCCGCTGAAACAACAGACAACGGCCGCGATACGGCGACACTCGAGATACCTAGGCCAAGCTTACCGTTGTCTGACATGATGGCATTGGGATCCGTAGGACTCAAGGGACCATGTTGCAGGCGCTGACTGTCTACGACAGCTTTGGACGAGGCAGTGGCCTCAGCAAGGGCAGCGCGAGCAGCCTGTACAGCCTCTTCCTGGCCTACCCAGTAATCACGAGCGACCCATCCCAAGACGGTTCCGAAAGTGGCCCAGCTCACGACAGATACAGGTGATACACGCTCTTTCTCAATGCCGACAAAGCAGCAGGCGAAAATAATGACGGAACCGATGTGTTGCACGATGACAGTAGAGTCTGATACAAGCGGCCAGAAGTCATAGGGTCGAAGGCGCGGATTGCGTTGGAGATGGTCCAAGAAGGTCTCTTCATCGGTATAGTTATCGGGATCTGAACGTCTCAGTGTTTGGACTTTTTGGTATAGCCTTTCTTGCTGTGGTGCGCCTCATACATGCTTGCTTCACCCAGAGCAGCTTCTTCCATGTGCGTGGTCTCCTCCGGCTGGCATTACGGCTGCCGCGACTGTCCCTTTTGCGCCTGTCGTCGGGCGGCGCATTCTTGCTGGTCGATCGGTGGGGCGGAGAGTGGTTCAAGAAGGCATCTTCGGGCCTTAGATGAGACGAGGTCGCTCTGGCAATACCTCTTCCAGACACGCTTACGTCGGAAGCCGAGGCGCTGACCGGAACCTCGAATGGTGTCATGTCGGGAGGTGCTATGTTCAGACGGCCCATGAAGCTCGCGCGCTCCAAGGCTCGTTGCCAACGTTGAGCACGTGAAGCGAATCGAATCGAATCGTCGTCGGCCGCTGCTCGCTTCGACTTCGCAGCAAACCAGAGGGAAAGACCGATCAACAATGTCTGTGTTTCAGCCTGAGACATTGCCCTCATGTTCGACTCACAACATCAAGCATGGGTTCAGCTGACAAGTATGATCAACAGGCCCGCGTCGCTTACTAGTAGCTGTCTGCCCTGACCTGGTCGATCTACTTCCTTCCTCTTTGAATCTGTTGACAAGTTTCCGTACCACACAAGAAAGCTTGGGTTGACCAACATGAAGTGCATCGTTTTGACCTCGAGCACAAATATCTCCTACCCTCGTCTAGTCTCCTGAATCTTCACGCACTTGTCAGCGCCGAATTCTCTACTCGTGCTATAATTTCACCTCGACATTTCCAGGACCAAAGCTTCAGCCCTAGAAAGGGCCGTGTGTTTTGCGAACGTGGTTCTCACCTTCCAGAAATCGGCCAGTTTGCGACCATCTGCGTATCCACAACCACGTTGTCCGATGTATATCATTATATGTCTCGGAATCACTTGTCTCCAGCCGTGGCATGGCTCAAGAACACCAATGCAACATGGTCCGTATCTTGTGACCCAAGGTCCCGGCAATAACATCAGCCGGACTTGCTCGTTAAGTCTGACTTCGAGGCACAAACAAACCACCTTGACAAGCGGCAACCGATTTCCCATTGGGTGACGAGTCCCCTAGAGTGACGATACTGACATTCATCAAACACCAAGTCGTTTATTCTTGAATGGAAGAACCCATCATGACTCTCTTCTCAAGCAATCTCATATGCCACGCCCAGTGGCTTGGGATTCAAGATTTGCTGGCCAAGGCACTACGGAGGAGGTGAGCGTTCATGTCAAAATCTCAGCCATGGATGCTCGCTTATGCCTCAACTACATTGCTATCGACATTGCTCTTTATCAATGAGACAAGGTATGTGGCTCTGAATGTCACCTGTCACTTTACCCTTTCACGTCAAACACCCAGTTGTTGACCGCCATTTCACATACCTTCGAGGGCTCACAGTGGCTGCAAGCTCAAAGTTTCGGTAAGTCGGGATGCATTGACAGGCCCCGCAATCGCATTGATGCCGATTCTGCGGTGCTAGTGTTTCGCGCTCCTAACCACTCCTGACTCGAGCTCGAGGAAAAGTCACAAGACACATAGAAGAGCAGACTGCGAACCGGTACGAAGGGCACGAGCCCTCAGAGCAGGATATTCCTGACTTGAATCACCAAGCAGGAGCCGGATAGAGATCTCGGGCTTGAGACGGCGCAGAAGGCGGTTGTTTTAACTCTTGGGGAGGGGACGTCATGCAGCTCTTGCGCTGTAATGGCTCTCGATGACCAAGTTTATCACTGACGTTCACCTTCTCTTTTCCTCCCTATGCTTGTCTAGCTGGCCGTTGTGTGAGAATTTCGACTACTTCCATCTTGCACGGTTCTGCCTGCCGCCAGTCCGCGACAAAACAAACACTCAACAGCAAAGTCCGGTGTACATGTCCGGGTCATTGCGGAGTTGAGCTGAAATTCCCGACACAGACCGCTACAACACACTGGTACCTTGACAACTAGCAGAAGGGTTCGGCAGTTGTTCATCGCACAACACCTGTCTTGTTTCTCTGTTGTATCTCTTACCATACTCATGTGTTACGCGACATCGAAACAAGCTGGATCCATCGAGACAATAGTTGATACTCGGGCAAGAGCGCAGTATCAATGAACGACGAGTTCGCTCTCGAAGTCCTCCGACTCGCCGAAGGCCAAACGGCCGAAGCTTTTGAGGAAGACCTGAAGAGTCAGGCACAAGACTTGAACATCGATTTCGCTCTACTGGAAACTGCATCCAAGGCAAAGGAACACAAAGCGAGAACGAGTTTAACAAGCTCGACACATCCCCGCCGGTCCATTTCATCTGGTTCCCAAGCTTCGCATTCCACAGACTTTACAGATGCGTCGCGCATGTCAAGAGACTGTCCACAAGGCAGGACTCGACCAATCCGTGGACGGCGCAGTTCCGCCGCCTCGACGTCAATCAAAGACTACGACTCGATAGTCAATCACGCAAGATATGACTTCCGCCGCTCGTCCTTCAACTTCGCTACGTCGCCAATCATCTCGCCGTCTCCCTCCACGTTCTCGCTATCGTCTGTCTGGTCTCGGTCAAGAGAATCATCTCCAAAGAGACACATTATTACAAGAGGGTTGAGTAGGTTGAGGTTGAGAAGAACGGACTCGGGTGACTCGACCAGAGAGAAAGAGTAAGAAACCATGTTCGGATAAGAAGAAGCAGATTCTGATTAGGTACGCAGCGATTGTCCCCACTGCCCGCAGGGTGGATCACGACACCGCCGCACGCTACACGCCCTATCCTGTGGTCACCGCTATTGTACTCTCGCCTTGCGCAAGATCATAAAAGACTCCCTCAACGATGAGAACATACCGCCAACATGTTGCAAACGACCAATACCAGGCACTCTAGTCGCGAGTGTGATGAGCCAAGAAGAGCAGGACACTTTGATGAACATGTTGGTTGCTTGGGATGACGAAGCGACTACCACACCGCCCACAATCCACGAATCAGAGATCACATCCCACCCCACGTCGTTTCCAAAATCGCGATCACAGTCTAGGTCACCAGTCTGCGGAGCCGAGGAGAACATAGTCTCACAGGAGCAAAGAAAGAATCTGGAGAACGCAATGGAGATACCCGACTTCAGGACCCTCAGACAGGAACAAGAACAACAACGAGACCGATTGGTTGCATGGGCCGGAAGAAAGAGACAAGGCGTTATCGATGGATACGCTGTGCGCAAACTACAGCTCCTACCATACTTCGATCGTCAAAAGGACCAGCTTGCCGAAAAGCAGAGCGCCGCAATCGCTCGCATAGAAGACAAGCACGTGCTTGACGAACATGAGATGCGCGAAGGACATGACGTGGAAACACGGAACAATGCAATCGCTCTCAAACACATGGAGGCATACTGTCGAGGAGAGACGACCAGCGGTGACCGCCATGAGAGGACCATCACCGATCGCGATCTAGCCGAACTTACAAAAGCCAGACGAGCTCGCGATCAGATGGATGCGAAACACAGCGGCGCCATCAGCGTGCTCAGAGGCGAGCAAAGCAGACGCATCAGTCAACGCTTGGTCAAGCAAGAAGCAGAGCTGGCAGAATTGGAAGCACGCCAAGCTAAGGAAATTGGAAGTCTACAGCGCGAATGCGACGACATGGTACGAGACTGGGATGACGAGACACAAAAGCGACGTTCGAAGCTCGAGACATGGTGGAACGTACAGGTGGAAATCTGGCGAAAGAAGCTTGAGCGGGACACTGGTATCCATTTCTCTGGAGAGCTGCCGCCGGTTCAGTGGCCACGACCCGATGCCAATGAGGGCAATAAGAGGAGGGATCCGATGAAGAGACATACTATCGCGGTATCTCCAGCTCCTGGTTTGCAGCCAGATGATGATCGCGGAGCTCGGAGTATAAGCCCTGCTCGTAAACAGCATCGCATCAGTACTGCTTTCACCATCAGGAGTGGCATGATTGGCAAAGCTTGATGCTGGTCAGAAAACCATCATCCCCTTGAATTTTACTTAATGTCTACAATCAAGATGTAATGCCGAGCCAACACTTTGCTGGAAGAATTGATCAATCAGTGTTTGAAGCATCTTCCATGTGCTTCTCACTCCAGACAACCGCATTTTACTCACTATGCACATATGTAGTCTTCCGTGTGTGTTTCTATCCGATCATGACCAACATGCTCATCGATCAGACAACACCACCGGCCGCTCGAGTATAAAACTGCAAGCACTCTCTAGACTATCCATACTCTTCAATATTCGCACTATAGCATCACAATCCTTCTCCGAGCTTTCTCGCAACAGAACCACCACCTTTTTGAAACATTTTAGTCGTTCCTTGGTGGCTTGCTGTTGTGTCATGCCTTGCTCGACCGAGTAGTTGCAGGCGGCTTTTCTGTCGGTGCAGACTTTACAGGACGAACGACCTCCGTCGCACTGATTTGTTATCAACGAGGTTCAATTGGGACGTAGGTTTGGCGTGTGAGGGTTTGTAGATAGGATCTCGAGGGAGGAATATATTGACCTTTGATTTTCGCTGGCGACATCCGAGACATGCGGCTTTGCTCTGCCTCCGAGCTGTCTTTGACGTTTTCACCACATTTGACGTTGTGTGGAGTGTTGATATCGGCGAGCTCCATGTGCTTGTGATGACATCTCGAGCTTGTACTTCAGAACGAGCATTACGCGTCTCTTGTTCCGGATTTTGGAGCATTTGTGCGATGTTCATCTCGGCAAATGATAATAAATGAGACCGCTATAACAAGGGCAACAAAAAGAAAGGAATCGAGAAAGTAGCAGCTACAAGGGTAAAAGAGGAGAACGACTCCGGCGGCTCTCGTGAATAACTTTTAGGCGTTTTCGCGTTGCTTGCATAACAAAGGTGGGGTTCCACGCGCCGCAGGCGGACAGGCCGATCAAATGGAGGAGGGGAGACCCCCCACGCGGCAAGAACACCCATAGTGGGCGTCCTATACTTATCTGTCCTGTTGTACGTGCTCCGGGCCTCGGGTGTCGTGCTCCCCTCTCTTTTGTTTTGTACATGACTGAAATTAGCTGTAGTTGACACTCTTCACATCTTTTCGATCTTCAGGTCCTCTTTCATTGTGCGAACGCTGGCAAACCATGGCGACAAGGATACGTCTGAATGTGTCTGCGATGCGGGGACTCCGACGACCGGCCTCTTATCGGTCTCCGATGACAGGAGGCCGTGGACATCAACGATTCAATTCGACAAATACTGGGTTTAGCAATCAGGCTCCTTTCTGGACTACCAATAAAGTCGCGCTGTTGAGTGCGTTCACAGGAGCATTGGCATATACATACGGACTCTGGGATGCTGGGGTCAACTCCAAGAAAGACGGAGCAATTGCTTCCCCAAAGCCGGCATACGCTAAGAAGGCAGAATGGGAAAAGGTAATGCTTTGCTTGAGATGCTATCATTGGCAGGTTTGCTAATCTAGGTATAGGCAATCGAGGAAGTGAGAGCCAAACTCGGTGAAGATTCAATCACCACAGATGACGACGAATTGCAACGACACGGATACTCGGAATGGTCGACTATCAATGTCGATGTACTCCCCATCGCAGTGGTGTACCCGAAATCCACAGCAGAGGTATCCGAGATTGCCAAAGTGTGCTATGCGCATAAGATTCCCATAGGTCAGTGAGATTCTGCTGTGCTTCTTGGTGGGTCAGGCTGATTTTGTTCGCAGTACCTTACTCTGGAGGTTCAAGTCTGGAAGGCAATTTCTCAGCTCCGTATGGTGGATTTTGCATCGACTTTGCATTTATGGATAAGATTCTTGCGCTGCATGATGATGATTTGGATGTAGTGGTTCAGCCCTCGATTGGTTGGATGAAGTTGAATGAAGATATCAAGGACTCTGGTCTCTTCTTCCCGGTTGTGAGTTGGAATCTAAGCTCATACTTATAAGATCACGCTAATCGTGCTTTCTCACCAGGATCCAGGTCCATCTGCAATGATCGGTGGCATGACAGGAACCAACTGCTCTGGAACCAATGCTGTACGCTACGGCACCATGAAAGACAATGTCCTCAATCTGACCGTCGTCCTCGCCGACGGCACCATCATCAAGACAAAGCGACGACCCAGAAAATCATCTGCTGGCTACAATCTCACTGGCATGTTCATCGGCTCCGAAGGCACCCTGGGCATCGTCACCGAGATCACCTTGAAGCTGCAAGTCATACCGCAAGAGACCAGTGTCGCAGTAGTAACCTTCCCCACCATCCGCGATGCAGCAGCCGCAGCCTCCCGCGTCATCAAAGCCGGAGTTCCAGTGGGTGCAATGGAAATCATGGACGAAGTCCAAATGAGCGTGGTCAACAGATCCAAGTCCACCAAGAAAGTCTGGCGCGAAGTACCTACCCTCTTCTTCAAATTCTCTGGCACAAAAGCAGGAGTGAGAGAAAATGTGGGCTTGGTCAAGCAACTGTCTAAAAAGTGCAACTCTATCGATTTCGAATTTACTGCCGATGCTGAAGAGCAAAAGAACTTATGGTCGGCGAGAAAGGAGTCTTTGTGGTCGATGTTGGCGATGAGAAAAGGAAATGAGGAAGTCTGGTCGACCGATGTTGCTGTGCCCATTTCTCGACTCGCTGATATCATCGAGGTTTCTAAGAAAGAGATGGATGATTTGGGTTTATTCGCATCTATTCTTGGTCACATTGGCGATGGCAATTTCCACGAGAGTATCATGTACAATGCGCAAGATCCAGAGGAGAAGAAAAAGGTGGAAGAGTGCGTGAACAGGATGGTGGACAGAGCGTTGGAGATGGAAGGAACGTGTACTGGTGAGCATGGCATTGGCTTGGGAAAGAAGAACTCGCTGGTCAAAGAGTTGGGCTTGGATACTATTGACGTGATGCAAAAAGTTAAGCTGGCTCTGGATCCGAATTGGCTGATGAACCCGGGAAAGGTGTTTGATCATCCAGCCGAGACTAATCCAAAGGGTAAGTAGACGGAAAAAAGCATGGGACAACTCGAGTGTTCTTACCGGCCTAGATAAACTCGGTTTTGTAACACTAACGCTATAGAAATGTCCGTTTCTCTAACTAAATTGGAAGTGTCCACAAAGAGTCGTGATGCTGTCGGATCTTTGTGAACTTCGCAACCGACTGGTAAGAACCGTGCATTTCTAAAGTACCAGTTATACATTCGTACTGTCTTGAGAGCGGAGTGGGAGCGACAGATTTTTGCACATGGAGAGGTTGTTCTGCTCGCCGGCTTTCAGGATCCGTTGAATATCTCTATCACATTCTGGTAGGATATTTCACCCTCCCTCTGAGTGATAGCCAGCTTATATCGAAGCGAGATTGTTTGTTATTGCAAAGACGTGGCATAGGATATGGTAACGAAACCTTGTCTGGCTGCAAGACTGTTTGACGGTAGATGTGGTGTTGCTCACTCACACGGGACAAGCTCAGCTGTCACCTTCGTGTTGGCAACAATTCATCATCACCTCTTACATCTCTGGTGTTTAGGTGCTTCTAATCAGCTCCATCACCATCATCATTTACAAAACACTTCCAATCATTGTCATTCGAATCAATCCAGATTTGCATCCAGATACACAAACACCACGCTTGAACCGTTCATAAAACTCCCACCAACCATCCATCTTCATCATCTCACAATCCGACCGCTCGTCCCATACAACTATTATCCACCATTCTAAAATCAAGACAACAATGCCACCGAGAACTTATGACGAAACGTCTCTTCCACTAGAGTCCAGTCCGGAGATCTTCACTTCACTCGCCCACAACCTCGGTCTCTCTTCTACTCTGGAGTTCGTAGAAGTGTATGATTTGGATGAGACGCCCAAGGAGGAAGTTTTGGCTTATGTGTTAGCCTTTCCAACAACTGAGGGGTATGACGAGATGGTAGACGCCAGAGATCAGAAGCACTATGTCAACGAAGACGAAGCAAAGGAAGCTTGGCGAGTGGAAGCAGATGCTAGATCTCACGGGATTAACAATGAAACAGTGCTATGGCTGCGACAAACTATACACAATGCATGCGGTCTCTACGCCCTTTTGCACGCGACATGCAATGGTGCTGCTAGAAACCACATCAGTGAGTCCTTCCTCTCTCCCCTTCCTCTCTTTCCCATGGCCTCTCTCTCATCCTCCGTCCTGCACGCACCAATTACATCATTAACACTCCTTTCACCACAGAAAAAGACTCAATACTCCACACCCTCCTCGAAACACCACCCTCCCAACGATCATCCTTCTTAGCCTCATCCACCGACCTCGTGACTTTGTACACCGCAGCTGCGAATCAAGGCGATACACCAACACCAGCAAAAGGTGAAGAGGTGAATTGGCATTACACTGCTTTCGTACCAGATCCCGAGGGAGAAGGAGTACTTGAGTTGGATGGGGATAGATGGGGTCCTTTGAGTCATGCTGAGCTAGATGACAGGGATGGCAAGGCAGGAGCAGGCTTTGGCGCAAAGGCTAGAAGGGCGATCAAGAAAGAGTACTTTGAGAAAGACAGAGGGAGGGATGGGCATGGCATGTTCAGTGTTTTGGCACTTACAAGGGAGGGGAGTGGGTGATAAGATCTAGGTGAGAGAGTTGATGATGGAGTGACGGAGAACACTCAAACCCGAGGTAACAGCTGGGACTAGAATGCCACTACACGAGTGCTTTAGTAAACCACAGTAGCTATAGATCGAATCGCAAAGGTGATGGGAACGGCACTTATGTGGTGATAGAAACTGCCTTTTCGGCATTGGATTAACTCAGAGAAAAGAAGCATATACAATAAACACATTACACCACCAGATATATGCAAAAAAAACAATTCCAAAGACACTCTTCCAGAAATCAAGAACAAACCCATCTACTCAAACTCAGAGTCCAGCTCAAAAGTGATACAAGCATCAAACTTGGTACCAGCATAGACGGCCGAGAAAGGATAATCGGCGTCGCCAGTATCGACAAGCTTAGGGTAGTAAGGCTTAGCAGCAGTCTGATCTCCTTGCACAGCCAGACAGTTCTTGTACATGCTCTTCTTGTTGCTCTTGACCTTCAGCTTGTTGAAGGTAAAGCTTTGAGTGACAGAGGTAGAAGTGGAGCACGAGCAAGCACTGAGGGTAAAGGGTGAATCCTTGTACTTGGGAGATTTTTCGGAGGTGGGGGCGCCGAGAGTGAGACAGTAACCGGTGTCGACGTGGTAGAGGAAATTACCGGTTGTGTCGTAGATGAACTCGTCACCGAAGGAGCCCAGAGGGGTCCAGAAAAGAGGGTCAGAGTCGAAGGTGATCGGGGTAGGGTAACCGAGGGCGTAGCCACCGAGGTAGAGCTGACCTTGAGAACCGGCGGTCTTGGGGCAGCCGGGAGTGGCGGTAGGTGCGGAAGCGTCGCTAGTGGTGCTTGTGGTGACGGTGCTAGGCTGGCTTCCACTAACAGTGATGGTGATCGTGGAGACGACGGAAGAGATCTTAGTCACGCTCTGAGTAGAGCCGGCGGTGACGACAGATCCCGATGCAGTAGCGGTCTGTGTGATGGTCACAGTGCCAGTAGCGATCTGCGAGCAAGCAGAAGAGATCTTTCCAGATGGCCAGTGGAGAATGGAAGAAGGTGTGGGAACGGCGCTACGCTTGGCGAGGGCAGCAGCCGATGCTGCGGGATCAGCTGCGGCGGGAGTAATGACGGCACCAGAAGTAGAAGCGGCATTGACAGTCAAGGTGCTGGTCGTGTAATCGATGACAGTCTCGTTGCCAATGACGGTAATGAAAGGCAGCTCGACAGTGGTCGTGATCATGTTCACTGCGTCACGCTTCTTGTTTTGAGCGCTTCCAGTGACCTGGACAGTCTCGGTAGAGTATGCAGATGTAACAGTGACTTGCTCAGTGACAGTGGCAAATACTGTGGTTGCTCCAGGTGTAACGGTAGTCTTGACGGTCTCAGTGGGAGCAACATATCCGAGATAACTGGTGCAGAACTCGGCTCCAGTCGAGTTGAGGTAAGAGATGTCGCCAGAAGAAGCTGCACAGAGTTGCGGGTAACCAGCACTGACAGCGGTGGTGTTGGTCAAAGCGATGGAGTTTGAAACCTGGTAAGTATCGGTATCGGTCGAGTAGCCGTAGTTGTTGGCGTAGCTCGAGTCAGTGGCCTCAGTGTAGAGTGCACAGACAACGGTCTTGGGGATGCCGTTCTGAGACAAAATGTACATGTTCGCAAAAACGCAAGTCTTGTAGTTACAGTCGTCGGTTGCCTGTGACTTGTCCCATGTAGTCTGCTTGTCACAAGCGGCAGCGCAGAGAGCAGGGTCGTAAGAGTTGAGGTAGACGGGCTGGATGAATCTCCACTGACCCACGCTATCGTAGACAGGGGCGTTGACGGCAGCAGGAAGAGTTGAGAGAGAGTAGCCAGCAGGAGTCTTGGGTGCGGCGGCCTTGTTGTAACCGTTGCTACCAGTGACCAGAACGTGGAAAGAACCGCGCCACTGTCCCTTATTGGTTGCAGTGCAGTTAGTCTGAGGCATACTGTACAGAGAGCACTTGATAACATCGACGGGGTTGTTGTTGCTGTCGGGATCCTTTTCGTAGTAGATGTTGGCAAACTGGCAAGAGCTGATCTTGTCACAAGCAGCGGTACATTGCTGAGGATCATACTTCGAAAGGGTCTTGTAGGTCAAGTATCCGTTAGCCTGGGTAGAGCCCTGGAGGTTGATGAATGCTGGTGTGTAGCCAGAAGGAACATTCTATGCGTTCATCAGCCTTGTTGCTATCTTTCAGTCAATTGATCAAGTACCTACGTATTTGGATGTATCGATAGGATAGCTTATGTCGCGGCGTTGGAGGTTGCCCGAAAGACCGCCAACATATGAGCGCTTGCGAGCAGCAGGAGTCTCGGTCTCGACTGACACGGGAGTCTTGGTTGGAGCGATAGCAGTGCTCTCAGCAGCAATGACGGCGGTTTGGGCATCAGTAGCTGCCACAACAAGGGCAAGAACTGAGGCAGTGGCCTCGGCAGCATTGTATGTGGCCGAAGGAACACTGTCGACAACACCAATCGGAGGACCAAGAATTTCCGGCTCAGGCAGGGAAGCAATATCTGATGGATCAATGTTGCTGACCAGTGTTGTGGTTTGACCATCGATTTCTACAGCGGAAGTTGCAATGACGGAAGACTGAGCAAAGCTCATGCTACCAAAGGCAAGAGCCGCAAGGGCAAATCCAGACTTCATGGTGAAAATGAAGAGTAGTATAGAGGATAGTAAGAGAAGGTATGGATGATCTGCTGCGGATCATTCTGGGGTGACAAGACCTGGCTTTATATCTACCTCGTGCATATCCACTATAAGCATCCTTCGGACTTTCGTATATACTTGTCAGCATCCTCCATCACAAACAGCGGTACGTCGCCCTCGCGTCCAGCCAGCAATGGTGAGCCTGCCGTTCGGTTAGAGAGACGATGGTATGGGAGGGGCGTATACGGCACGAGATTATCATGCTAGTGTGCCGGCAAGACCGTGCCGTGATATCTGGATACTCTGGAATCATGGCTATATCGGCAATATGCGTCCACTTTTTGAAGGTACGCATACTTAGTCTCGTATGGTGTTTTTCGTAGCTCCTTAACTACAATCCGCGTGCTCTAGCTGAGCATGGAGTTACCAGATACCAGAGTCTTTACCACCACTGTCTATAGACACAACGTGTCTCTGCATGCTGTGTGTTACACGGCATGGTTTGACAGCAGATCAGTTGCGTGCAGCATGTGCAGATGTAAATTTAGCCTGTGACGATGAAGGTAGCCCTCTTGCATGCCACCTTCCCTGTCTGACAGTCGCAAAAGCGCATGGAGAGCACCGCCAAGCTCATCTCCCTCGCCATAGCATCGGTTCCTTGCAAAGTGTAAGCAAAGTCTACGGCCAATATTCCAACTATAGGTCGGAACTGTACTCGACATGCCCAATTCCGTGTCGTCTACCCAGATTGGGTTGTGGTATTGTCCGGACCTGCATGGGCGCCATTCCCGAAACGTGTCTAGCTTTTCGGAGATTTCTGAGCCTTGCTTGCATGCGCATTTTTAGCTCGCGCTTCCATGTCCAATGTTGACATTGAGGCGGCTGTAAACTGCGACGAGCTCAAAGCCATTGATACGCCACACAATAGAGACTTGTCTGTGACGGTGACAGACGCGAAAAGAAGCGCCAGACGCAGGGTTGGAACAGCTGGAAATGGGGACCGAATCGCGACCCCGCTTTGTGAGCGAGTGTCAACTGAGGCTCAAAAACAGCCACCATGAACAACACAGCAAATGTCTCGGAAAGTGACAGTGCTCGATAGTGGAGATTCTGCAGGTCTATGTGAGGAGGATTTGCCGTGCTCGTATCAGCTGCACACATACGCTTCATATCCGACAGCTGTGCCCGGTCCTGACAGTGCCGTCGCCTTCGAAGCTGAACGATACAAGCTAGACGAACAGTTTCGGACTTTGTGGAGGATTCGTGAATAACTTTGGTAGAGCAAGGGCTGGGAAAGCTTTGGGGTATAGATATCTGAGCAGGGCATAAAGTCTAAGTACAATGTGGGTGGGCTTCATCGAGAGAAAAAGGCGCTCTTCGGCCGCTTGGGCTGCGGGTCGGGCGCCTTCGGTCGACCTCTTTTCTTGCCCTGTCCAAGCATAGGAGCTCTCTCCTGCGGAGAACGGGACGGCGACGCATTCTCGCGAACAATGTCCTTGATTGTCTGTTTCGACAAACATCCATCGATATGCTGGTTGAACAGCACAGCATCAGCAGGTTGAGGCTGACTGCAGATAGGGCAATTCCATGTTTCTTCCTGCTTGCCGTGTCCCCCCTTGACTGTATCTTCAGATGTCGCTGCAGGCACATTTGCTATTCTTGTACCTGCGTGTCGGACGGGTGACTGTCTCGGAGTATTATTGTAATCTTCGTTGTATTCCTGACTCATCTTCTCCAGGGTGTCCAAGTCATCTTGCTTCTCTTGGCGGGCGGCATCTTCGAATTCTGAGTCAGGCCATTGCTCCCATTCTCCTTGGCCGGCAGGCATGAACGGCTTTGTCGAAGCAGACTGCGGCTTTGGCGTAAAGAAGGTGTCAATGTTACTCTTCTTCATACTAATCAGTGATGTAAGCCTCAAGCCCAAGAGACGCAAGGTAAATTTTGGGATTTCCTTTTCCAGCTTGACAAGCATAGGCAAGGCGAACTTGTAGAGGTCGCCGGCTTGGTGCACGGCTTTTGATGGAGCGACCTGGCGAGTGAGGATCTCGTAAGTGTGCAACTTCACTTTCAGCACTAGGGTTCTTCCCTTGAACTGTGTTCTTTCACAGTCCTTCTCCAACTCTTCCGCGACATGGCGGAGCATGTCTCGGAGTTGTTGAGGATCTGACATCTCTTTGAACGTGCTTTCTGTACCGACGCTCTTGCGCTCATACTCTTCCGCTGGCTGAACATTCGTCCTGCCGAGTCCGAGGTATACACCCATGAGAAATTGAAACGCTTTCTCGCCAAAGAGCTTGGACATGTAAGCACGGTGTGCAAAGATGTCGCCACATGTTTTGACACCAATAGCGTCGAGCTCGCGTTCGAAGACTCTACCGATGCCATTCACCTTTCGGGTGGGTAAGTCCTTCATGAACGACATGATGCTGGTGCGGTCCGAAGGTACAGTGAACTGTCCATTTGGCTTGTTCTTGTTAGAACAAATCTTTGCAAGCTTCGCGTTTGCAGCTATGCCAGCCGAGACGGTAATCAGACATTGTTCGTGTACCTCTGCACGCAGTTGTTGGACGACGTCTTCAGGACTCATACTGTGTTCTTCGCAATACTGAGTGATATTGAGGTAGGCCTCGTCGACACTGGCAGCCTCAAAGCGAGCGTCGTACTTGATCAAGACGGCGCGAATCTCCTTTGCTTTGGCCGAGTATTTTTCGAAGTTTGGTGATATGTGGATAAGCTGAGGGCAGAGTTTGTCGGCAATGTACCCGGCCATACCACTGCGACATCCGAACTGCCTGGCATGGTAGTTGCACGTGGTCAAGACACCTTTTCCAACGGCGAACGGTACATCCTTCAAATCAGGGCGGTCGAGCTCTTCGACGGCGGCGTAGAAAGCGTCGCAGTCGACGTGGACAATGGTCTGGGTCAGGTCGCGGCTGAGTTCGAGCTTCTGTACGTATTCGTCTGCCCTGCGCAAGTCGTAGCTGAGGTCGAGGCGATCCAGTTGTCTTTTCTTGGCAAGAATCCGGTTGATCTTGATGGTCAAGTTCTTATCCTTTTGCTCTTCTTGCAAGAAGAACTTGCTGCCTTTAGACGCTTCATAGATGATCTCGGAGACTTTTCTCTGGTCGACATCATCTTGGCCGGGTTTTGTAAGGGATGGACCCAGAAGATGGTACTTCAGCGTATGGTGCTGGCTCGATTCAGGGTCAATCCGTAGTTGAAGACCAGGGGCGGTGTCGTCGACCGCAGGCGGGATGCTGTCATGGCGGACAGAGCCATCCATGTCTGCTCGTAGGATTGCGCATCTGGTGATTGTCACCAGTTGACAGAGCGTTTTGCAGAGGCTAGAGCGGCAAACGTCCGAAAAGTTGCCTCACGTCAACGGACAAAGTCGCGAGGCAGTCGCAAACGTGGGGAAATGGCGAGAACAAAGGAAGGAAAAAGGAGAATTAAATGTTTCGAGGGTAGGAAAGTTGCGGGAAGCGGGTCGTTGGTGGGCTGGAGCGTCATTTGGAGATTGTTCAGGACTTGAACGTCGTCTAGCCGCGACCACCACGGCAACCGACGTTTGACGGCTTGAATACAAGTAGGCAGAAGCCGGTCTCTTATCCCACACGTTCAAGACCATGTACCGGCACATAAACAGAGGCACATCGCTGTAGAGATGATTGGATGGTGGCGGACAACGTTGGTGCAGACAAATCGACCCGCTCCTTCCTCGTAACAATAAGCCATCATGGCCCATGATCGCAACCCTCTTCCGACTGCTCCTTCCCGACCTGGAGTGCCATTGAAACCCGCTCTCGCTCGAGCACCGAATCCTCCTCGTCTGGCTCAAGACTCGCCTTCCTCGACGACGGCAACAACAATAAACACAACGTCAACAACACCCTTTCGACCCAAATTGCAAGAGTCGGAATTCAGACCAAGACTAAACAACCACAAACCCACACCTTCGCCCCTGTCCTCGACGCGTCCGACGGCGCAGGCCGCCTCCACCCATGTCACGCCGCAGACATTGACTGGAAAGACACGAGCTGGGCAGATAATAAACTCGACCCCGACCAGTCAACCGCCCAACGACGATACCCCGAGTCATGCAAGAAAGAGACCCCTTATGATCTCTCCCACAAACAGCGAACCTGCCGTACGCCGTCCGCAGCTAGCTACCTCTAACAGGGCCAAGAGCGTCGTGGGCTCTGCAAGACCACCCAATGCAAATCCCTCTCGCCCTGCTCCAGTTACCACCAGAACTGCACCTACTGTCCGTGGCTTCGTCAAAACACCAGACACCACCAGATCAAATGCCTCGACACTACAGCCCCACGTCTCGGGTCCTGCGAGAATCTCGCCAGTTCCCACATCTCGTCCTACATCAGCAAAGCTAGAGAAGGATTCGAGTCCCATGTTCTTCCACGCCAGCGACGCCAAACCACAACCACAAACACAACCCACGCCTCAAATTCAAGCACCCAGGTTACGAAAGACGCCATCTTTCTTGTATGCCAATGGCCAGCAGCAGACTCTGGATTCGAAACCACTCTCCCACCGAAGCTCTTCTCCTGTTCTCTCCAACGTGTCGGCCGCCACAGACTCGCGCTCTCGTCAAGTTTTCGTAAAGTCGCCTGTGCCCTCGGATTTGGCTAATATACCAACCATAACCTCTCCACCCCTGAGTGCTGTTTCCTCGGCCTCAAATTGCTTTACAAGCCCCAACTCACCACCTAAGAACAACATCCACCTGTCCTATAGAAAGGGAGCCTCTCAAATATTTGCACTCGGTGGCCCGCCTCTGCCATTCAATTCTGCCCAGCCCGCTCAGCGCAAGTCTAGTACCGCATCGTTGCGCGCTTCTCACATCCGGAGCACCAGTTTGTCTTCGATTGACACGGATAGTCCTGACCATATTCGTCGACGATCGCAGCCCATACCAACCATAACTAAGCCTGTTGGCGAGGACGATCTTCTTGACTCACCTACGCCTGTGCTAGACAATGGTGCCGATGGCTCGCTCGACGCGTCGCCCTCTGATGCTCCACAGGGCAACGATATCTTATCAGTCGATCCCTATGCTGAAGCACGCCGTGAGAGGAAGGTCCTCGATCTCGAGATTTCAAACTCGTCACTCCTGGCTATCAACAAGTCTCTGGAACGTGAGCTGAGGAAACAAAAAGCAGAACTAAAGCGCTTCCGTCGCTTGAGTCGAGCTGGTCAATTTGCAGTGTCTCAGAGGAGGTCAAGTGACGGGGAAGAAGACCTTTCAACGCTGGACGAAGACGGTGATTTGCCTGATTTCGACGACGATGACGAAGGTGCTCGACCTTCCAGTCCTTTCCACTCGCAACCTGAAGACGACTCGTCGGACGAGGAGTCGACGGGATCCTCAGCTGTCCCTTTGTCTCCTGGTGCGCAGGCTGCTCGAGATGCCGCACAACGAGCTGAGGACGAGAGTCGTCTGCGACTCGACTTGAGCCGTCATCGCGAACTGCTCATGGACACACAACGGATGAATCAGTCTTTGCAGCGTTGCCTCTACTGGACCGAAGGCCTGATCAAAGACGGAAGGAAAGCTCTTGAATACCAAGTCGTATCCTCAGAGGTCAAACTTGGTGGTCGTATACTTTCTGGCGATGATGCGGACGAAGTGTCTTCGCAAGTCGATGATGCTGAAAGCGTCCACAGTATAGATGAACAACCTGGTGCCCTCCCAGACTTTGGCGAGCCCGACAGACGAAGTGTCGGCAGTGAGATGGATAGCGGTATTGACCTCATGGGTAAACGCGGACCTTTGACAATGGCTAGAGACAACCCTCATCATTCTCGATTATCTCAACCGTGACAGCAACAGCGAACGTCTTGATTCGACCACATGTTTTAGTACTCACCTGGCGTTGGTTTCGATGGAGGTTGTTTTGTGCTTTTCTCTGCATTGCGAATTGGCGTTCTTTGTCTGCATTTCCTAAGGTGCAGGATTTTGATCTGTTGTTTTCTGAGTAGCATGTTTTGTGTCCTTTTTCTTCTCTTTTGCATTTCCACACTGGCAAGATACCCAATGGCAGACTCGCATCTCTACTTATCATCCTATCTGGCGATCGTAGCTTGGTTACTAACCATGTCAACCATTTTGCGATAACCTTGCTTCAAGACCATCTGCCTTTCGTACACAGGGATTGCAAATAATTAACGCCGTGTCTTCCGGAACCGCGGTATGCAAGCATGAAAGACGGACATCGAGATTACTGAAACCTCATGATGTCGAAGTTCGTTGCAGATCCCCATGATCATCATCAGTGAGCCCCAACGCCCTGCCGACAAAACCTTACCTAAACAGGATGCGGCTCATGTATCGCACCGTCTTGACATCGAAACCAGCGACTTGACATGTATGCAGATGTAACGTGACAACATTCCCCCTGAGGCTCTTGCTCACTTTGCCGACTCTTCCTGCACATATGCATACCAATTTCAAACGACGCTTGTTCTGCAATAATAGCGGCGACCCTGCCCATAATAGACGTACCTTTGTTTGCAACATCCAACATCAAACAAGCCGTAGAGACACAAAACTGACGTTTGCTGAAGTACTGTTGATCAGATTGTGGTAAATAGAGTGCATAAACTACAACAGGACATGAGCAGCGACAACAGCATCACTTCAAGCACATAAACTCTGGTACAGAAGGATCTCTACCACAAAACCAGGATACCGAGGGCTCTTTCAGAGACGCAGAAACAACAGATCGCGGCTTTGCCGAGATACCTATCAAATCGGTGATTCTGCTTACGACGGAGACGATCTCCTGTAGGATTGAGTCAAGCAAAGTGCACATCAATTCAGAATTATCGACAAATGTCCACGTCGTCATTGGTCCTCGTGTCCGACGATGATGGCAAAATGCTGTAAGTTTTCTCGTACTCCGCTGGTTTTCTGCTTGGGTGAACATGTAAAGTGGGTACGGAGTCATTCTTAAAGGCTTGTTTGCTGATGATGACCTAAAGTATCCTTGCAATGACTCGATCGGGCAAGATTCGAGTTTGAATCGGGAAGGAGGGATCGTCGTTGCGGCTGCAAATTTCCTGGAGAGCGAAGCGACGTACACATTGGCGAGGAATCTGCTGTTGCCATCCTCACGATCAAACTACGACTTTGTTCGATTGAATTGAGGCATCGATGAAAGATGGCCTTGGAGCAAATGTCGTTCTCAAGTCAGGGGTCATACAAACGTGCCAGTTAAGACATACGCCATGGTGATGAGGCTCCCTGACCCGTTGCACGCCTATCCCGCAAGCCACAACCGATCTCCGGAAGCTTACCCACGCAATCCTCGAAAAGGTACAACTGCCGCTGATTCACAATGCGGACCTCAACCCGTGAAGGACGTTTGCAACCTCGAACAAGACATCGTTGTGGAGAACAACAATCAACATGTCCAACGAACAGGTACGCCAACGAGGCGGCGCCGTAGATCTGCTGCCATCGTGCCGCTCGCTTCTTCGTAGAAGTCCGACCTTGAACAGACCTTGACTGCAACTTCGTCATCGAGCGTGCGGGCACCTTTCGACCATCAGCCAGCATTACCGGATATGGTTCTCGCACGTACCAAGAAGGCCGCAAGCTCTAAGAGGCTTCCAATTGGTCATCAGCGAGCACAGCACTCTGTGCAGATGCTGGTGCTGCAAATTCCGCTTCTTGGATCATGGTTCCCATCATGTTGTACTGCCACCCATGTCACCGTGCTGATCTATACTCCAACTTTTGAGCATTAGGCATGATCGTCTGTCAATGCACCTCCGGCGTGCTGCAGCCACTCAACGAACCCTTTCTGAGATGTTCTTCAGCACTGGTCTGACCAGGATCGGCACACCAGCTGCTGGGTGGTGGAGAAGGGCTTTACTTTCCTGACGCCAGAGTATTCCCGTGGGATGGTGTATATATTGGCCTTCCTCCCTCCCCAAGGTGGGTCAATCACACATCTGGTTCTTCACATTACCTGAACACCACCATGAAGTTCAACATCGCTATCGCAGGAGCTGTGCTCCCTTCCCTCGCCTTGGGGTTCCCCCAGATGATGGGTGCTTCCAAGGAGGACATGGTCAAGATGCTCCAGGAGAGAGCCGCTAAGGAGGAGATGGCTAAGAGAGAACCTCAACTCCTCAGCGGTCTAACCGATACTGTCGGCGGCGTTGTTGGAAGTCTCGTCAACGATGTTAGAGGTCTTCTCGGTACGCTTCATCGCTATTCTGCCAGTAACAGTCCTTACTGACAATTATGAAGGATCCATCGCTGAGGGTATTCTGAACCCCGACGACAAACGTCCCGAGCCCGGCTATGAATTCCAGGCACCTGGTGCTGGTGACAGCCGTGGCCCCTGCCCTGGTCTCAACCTTCTCGCGTAAGTCACAGTGCTAGCGACAATCCTTGCCTCAGTCTGACTCTTGTTAGGAACTACGGCTACCTGCCTCGCGACGGTTACGTCAACTATGGCCAGATCTTGGAAGCCACTGCACGTGGTTTCAACATGGGAACCGACCTTGCCACAGTTTTGGCCGTTTTCTCTATTCTCGCCGATGGTGACATCGCTACCGAGTCTTTCTACCTTGGTGCTGGTCCCGGCAACGTTGGTGGCCTCAACCGTCACTCCACCGCCGAAGCTGATATTTCGCCCCATCGTGAGGACTACTACACTGGCTGTGGTGACAACCACCACGTCTCATCCCGCCTCGTCAAGCAGGGTGTCGACATCATTAAGGCTGGCAGCGGCAAGTACGACATGTCTGCTATGGCGCAGCAGTACGCCAAGAACGCCGACTTCAGCAAGAAGTACAACCCCTTCCTCTACGCCTTCCCCTTCCCTCAGATCGTCTCCCTGGGTGCCTTCGCCTTCTACCCTCAGTTCTTCAGCAACGGTACCTACGGTGCTGGAGGTGTTCCCAACTACGAGTCCGTCTCCGCGATCGTTGGCTGGCAGCTCAATGAGAAGACTGGCCACTTCGAATACGTTCCCGAGAGATGGCCCGAGAACTGGTACCGCCGTAGCTTCCCTTACGGTGCTGTCGAGGCTCTCACCGATGCCTTCCTCCAGATCTATCCCGCCAACATCGTCGTTCCTGGTGCTTCTCAGCTCCTTACTCCCAACTTCAACGTCACCAATATTCTCTGCGACGTCTTCCAGGGTATCCGCTCCATCACTCCTCTCGGTCTCGCCGGAGACGAGAAGGATGCTGGTGAGGCCGCTGACTGGGCTTTGAGCAAGCTCTCGCCCGTCCTCGGCGTTGGTGCCCTTGGCTGTTCTTTGGACACTCTGTCTCCCGACTACGACGGCGACAGCATCCTCTTCCCCAGCGCCAGCCAGACTGGTGGTCCCATCAACTCTCCTTCTGCTCAGGCTTCCAATGCGGGTAACAACGTTTACAACAAGGTGTACTTCACTGCTGCACCCACCAAGCCTGCTTGCAACCACGCTTACTCATCGTAAACCACGAACATCTCTCATGACACGAAGGTGGTCTTCAAGCATTGAATGCTGAGGCTGTCTTTGACGACACAAGCAACAGTCGCTTTGATCAGCGCTGTACGAACCCACCGAACTTTCTCTTTTCTGTACATTTATATCTGTAGTCATGTTTGTGGTTCATCTACCTTGTACATATTCACCTTTTGAACCAAGTTAATTGCCTTTTTACAAACACTCCTATCCATCTCAAACTTTGTATTATGCCATTCCAGATTGCTTTGCCTACCAACTATTAACAAGTTCTTCGCTGCTTACAACCAAGAAAGTCGTGTCTTCGTTATCAACACCTATCTCGAGATTGTGGATTGACGCGGATCATCTCATGTCTTCCTCGATCGTTCTCTTGCTGTCAAGCCTCGTCGTGAGGATGATCTAGGTCCCATCTGCGTTCAAGTCAGCATGCACACCCTGTCACGATGAGAACGAGTGTCAAGAAGTTCCCATGTCGCTATGTAGGCTTTGATTCCAGAAGAACTCAGTCATGTTATATCTCATATAGTCTAGAGAATGTAACCTCAAAAATCACGGACAGTGTTAAATGAGAAGGGAGGCAGGTAACATCTTCTAGAGATATGGTATATGAGGACATGATGTCATGTTGAAGCGTAGTACAGTGGTAGCAATAATGATGCCAATGTTGAGTCAAGAGCCGTCTCATCATGTAGAGGCGAACGATGGTGTGAGTTGTCAAGTTCGTACCATGGCGCTAGTATACCGCGATTCCTCTGAGTAGAGGAGATGACAATCAAGTCTCCAGATGGCAACACAGTATCTTGCAAGAAACCAGACTGTCAACATCCCCTCCATATCGCACATCTTCATCTCACCACCCTCTTCTGATTCCACACTCCCTCTCTGCCTTTATAGTCACCAGAGATTTCTTAAATCCTCAGCAATGGGAACTGAATACAATGTCTTTGCGCCATCAAACATGATAGAATCAGGTAGATCTCTGATGTGATAGTGCAACATTGCCCAGAGAATACGGAAGATCATGCAAGTGAACTCGGAGTAATCGAGAAATTGGAAGAGCATGCCGGCGGGTGAGTTGTTGATGATGAGAAAGGAGAGACTGATGAGGAAGCTGGGGATGATGAATTTGGGGTTGAGGGAGTTGCGGATGATGAGGCAGGTGAAGAGAAGGCTCAGAGATGGCATGTTGAGGGCAGAGATGTCTAAGTTTGGTGGACGCAGTCTTGGGAAGAGTTGTTTCGAGCAGTTGATAGAGAAAAGGGAAAGTTAGGAAAATAGATCGGTTGTGTATTGTTCTCGAATGATAGATTTTGAGGAAAGTGAGGGTTTGATAGAGAGGAGAGAGACATGAATAAAACAAAGAAAAGCCTGCGTTGGAAGAGAAAGACAAAGGTATAATCTACATGGTCTAAAAACCTCCAGCAACAGAAAGGAACACTTTCACTCAAGCAAAACTCCCAGGTTTCTCAACTAGAACGTATAACTGTCTAATTGATCGACTTTGTCGAAATTACTCACCTCACTGACAACCCATCGTCTTCGTCGTCATTCACTTTCGATCGCACTTTCATCTACTTGTCTCTCACACCGCGCGACCTCTCCAGTCCCTGGCCTCTTCCACATCGCTTCTCTTGCAAACATCCACAACGAACTTTAACGCCGGAGATGGATACCATCATGGCGAATCCTACGCCCCCGGAGTCTGTCGCTACCTCCACTGCCTCAAAATCGTCCACTCCCAATCGAAACACTGCTTCAAACGCTCAGATCTCTCCTAAACCAGCCGCAGGAGCTGTGTCAAACCCACACAAAGTTCCACCTCGGTGAGATTATATCTCCCTGCCCCAGCTTCTAGCATCTAACTAAGCCCACTCCAGCGCCTGCTATCTCAGTACCCACGTCAAGATCGAAGTCGGATCCAAGAAGAAGATCTATGTCATACACAAAGACCTTCTTAGGTTCTACTCCGACTACTTCCGTGGTGCATTCAGCGGCTCCTTCAAAGAGGCTATCGAAGGTAAAGTCTCTCTGCCCGAGGAGCGCGAGGCTGTGTTTGACATCTTCACCCAATTTCTCTACAGCCGCCTTCTCGCCGACGACAGGGACGAAAAGATCTCTTGGGCCACACTTGTGGACGTTTGGCTGTTCGGTGACAAATACTTGGTTCCCTCTCTCCAGAACAGCGCTATGGACTCGCTCATCAAGAAGATTGAGGTCGATCACTCCGTCCCTACACATCAGATCAAGAAAATTTGGGAGAAAACATTACCTTCTTCGCCACTTCGTAGGTATCTCTTGGAGCACACTGCATACAGGTTGAGTGCTTCCAGCTTCCAAATGTTTGAGAATCATTGGACGCGGGAGGCGCTTGTGGAGTTGGTCAAGACTTTTTTCGACAAAGAAGACACCAAAAAGTACGTGTTTCCAGCACGCGAGAAGTGCTACTACCACATTCACAAAGAAGGAGAGAAATGCTAGGAACGAGGAGACAATATGGGGATATCATGTGCGAAGAGCAAGGAACAATCACCGGACAGGAGAGAAAAGCCTACAGCACCACGATACTCTCAATCGAATCGATTAGAGACTTGAGGTTCTGTGCTGGAAGGTCATTTGCCAGCAGTTGTTGGTCCGTAGGCTCTCAATAACCCCTTTATCGAGAAGACGAGAAGATGGGAAACGGAGCAGATAAATGAGGCAGCTGGGATCAAGGGATGCAGTTTTGAAGAAGAAACAGTCGATACATTGCTACGGCACTAAGGCCCAAGAAGAAAAGATACTCAACTCCAGTACTCCAGAATCAAACTCACCTCTGAACCCCGGTCTCCCCAACTTTCAAGGCTTACCCTAGATCTCAAATCTTACCAAAACTTACCAGAATTACTCCATACCCAGAATCCATCTGACAGTTCTTTCGAGAAACTCACCAAGGACATCCTCAATCTGCATGCGCAAAAGCATCCAACGGGCCTGAAGAACGGGGTTGAAAGCAAAAGCTTGAACAGCGACAGCAAGAGGGCGGATGATGACCCAAGCGATGGCTTCGCTGAGAAAGGAGAGGATGTAGTAGAGGAGCATTTTCTTTGTGCGGTCGGCTGGTTAGTGGTTAGTTTTGGTTGGTTGTGGTTGGTTACAGGTGGCTGTTTGGATGAGTTGGTAGAGTGGTGAAGGTGAAGAGACATGCTAGGGGTGAGATGGAAGTGTATTTGTATGATTCTGATGGAAGGGCTTGAGGAGTAATGTGAGTGACAACGTCTTTGTTTGCGATCGCATAGGTCAAAGGAAGAGATAACCCCCATTGTGTAAAACAATGAGCGAGGGTAGTTGGTCAAAGAGATATCCCATATCACGAGAAAGAACACGGCTGCATCGTTACAGCCACTCAGACTAAGTTTGGAGGTCTGGCTATGCATCGTGTGAAGGGTCCTCCAACACTAATAGGTCAAAATGGAAGGAAGGAGAAGTTCAATGAGATATCAGGTGAAGTCAGAGCACGGTGGAATGATCCCGAATCCAGCATCAACGTTTCGCGACGCCAGTGACTTGACGGTCTGCCTGCTACCTTCGATCCCGTCGTGCGACAGAGATTGTGGTCAGAAGATGCTTGTCGGGGAAGACTCGGCTCCGACATCGCACCCACGTGGCAATGCACCCGGCACCGGACCGGCTTTCCGACTTCTCCTCCAAAACAAATCAAAAGAGCTTCGAGCTGTGACGTCTTGAGTAGCAAAAACATTGGTCAGCCATGGGCAATATCTCGGTGCCTCGTAGCTACATTTATTGTAGGGCGTGCACCGCTTTTGAAACAGATCAGGAAACAAAAGGCCTGAAACTCCGAAATCGGATGGAAAAAAAAAGAAAGAGTGAGATATAAGTGACCAGTGCCCCCTCCCCACTCCATCAAGGTAAAGAAGCTTCTAAAGTTTTTGACAATTAGTGAATAGCGTCATTTCCCAAGCTACGATACCAAACACGCCTCTTCTTTGGAGAAGCTAGAACACCCACAAGAAATCAGACAGAACAATCCGTCTTTCTCGATCAACAATACAGCAAACATGGCTATGACAGGAGCAAAGCGTTTGAGAGAGTTGATGAGCAAGGAAGACCACATCGTCGTAGCTCCAGGCGTCTACGACGGTCTATCCGGCAGACTTGCTCTCGCAGCAGGAGCTGAATGCCTCTACATGGTGTGTTCTCCCCCGTCCCCCTCTTCCACCTCCACCTCCAACCGCTAACATCCCTCTCAGACAGGAGCAGGCACAAACATGTCCCGCCTCGGCACCGCAGACCTAGGAATCGCAACCCTCAACGACATGCTCTCCAACGCCAGCACAATCGCCTCCCTCTCGCCCTCGACCCCGGTCATCGCAGACGCAGATACCGGCTACGGCGGTCCCATCATGGTCGCCCGCACAACACGCCAATACGCACTCGCCGGCATCGCAGCCCTGCACATCGAAGACCAAGTCCAAGAAAAGAGATGCGGGCACTTGGTAGGCAAGCAATGCGTGAGCAGAGAAGTGTACTATGCACGTCTCAGAGCAGCGGTCAAGACAAGGGATGAGATGGGCAGTGAGATGTTGGTGATTGCGCGTACGGATGCGAGGGCTGATTTGGGTTTCGACGAGGCGGTGCAAAGACTCAAGGGTGCTGTGGAGTGTGGAGTTGACGCTCTGTTTTTGGAAGCTTTGCAGAGTGAGGAGGAGTGCGAGAGGGCTGTCAAGATATTCGCTCCTACGCCGGTGCTCTTGAATATGGTGCCGGGAGGTAAGACGCCGCAAATGGGTGTGAAGAGGGCAAAGGAGATTGGATTCAAGCTTTATATCAACCCGACTTTGGGCCTGGAGGCTGTGGTCAGGCCGTTGGAGAAGGCTTATAAGATGTTGGTTGAGCAGGGCACTGATGAGTGCGAACCCATTGGTCCAAAGGCTCTCTTTGAGATTTGTGGATTGAATGATGCTATGGCTTTCGACGAGAGTGTGGGTGGCGCTGCATTTGGTTCAAAGTAGATTGAGTATTGGGTTAAATATACTTGGATTGTCTTATACAGCTATAGTCATGTCATTCTGGTTGATCGCAAAAGCAAAAGTCATACTAGCAGTTCCATGGCTTCTCATGTCCTCCAAGCCATTAGTCGTTACTCATGCTCGTCAGCAATACATTCACAAGAGTGGTGTCAAGAATGACAGGTCGTATCTTGATCTCTCCAGCCAACATCATCCCCCACGATTCCCTTACTGAGTGGCCTTTTCTTCCACCTTTGGCTTCGCTTTGGGCGTGATGCGAAGGACGATCTCGGTGACCTTGGTCACTTGCTCAAATGTGAGGCCAAAGAGAGAGTCTGGCGCCTCGAGGTATTTCATGACTTCTGTAGCTCTCTCCAAGGCTACTGCGCCGATTTCGTCATTGCCTTTAGGACTGTCGTAGATGAAATTGCGTGCTCCGTCTTCCTGGATGTTGATGTACAGATAGCGTTTGGCTGTGAACCATGCCCAGTTACGAACGAGTCTCAGTCTGTCGTCTCCGATGTGGCGTGCGAAAGCGGGACCAGACTTGATGAGCTCACGATTTTTAGCGTCGAAGGCATTCTCCATGTAGACCAATGGCAGAGATTCTCTGCGGATCTGACGATTGACGCGAGTGATGGGGGCTTGGTGGTAAGCTCTAAGATCTCTTGCTATCAAAAGGCCATGACCACCGTTGTAGACGGAGTAGGCGTAGATACGCTTGCGGACTTCAACAGGCAGAGACAAGAAGCGGAAGAATGTGGGTGGAACGCTGACAGGGACGAAGCCGGCCTCAGGAGGGAGATCCTTGCAGGGAGGGAGTGGGGTAGTTCTGGGCTGGGTGAGCACAGAGAGAGGACTGGGGACAGCAGCCTTGACCGGAGCAGGATCGGGTGCGCGAGACTTGCTGGCAATGAGCCTGCGGTTCGAGTCCTGGTGGTGAAGGTAATTGTTGCCGAGTGAAGTAGCTGAGACAGTCGATCTGGGTGTGATGGGTTGGCTGTGACGGGGCAGGCCATCGTCTGTAGAGACCGAGGATGACAGACGAGGAGTCTCTGTGTTTGCAGAGGTAGTGGTAGCCTGCAATCGGTGAGTCAACGATGACACTGGAACGTGTCGATTGATTTACCTGAGACTGAAGACGAACCAAATCTCGCAAGAGGGTGTCTGTGGAGGTAGGAGGTCGAGTGATGCTGTTCTGGCGACAGTACCAGCAGTCGGCATGTCCAGAGATGGTGTAGTATGGACAGATAGGAGCGCGGTAAGACTCTTCCAGCATGTTACGAGTTTCGACGCGGCGCTGCTGCTCTTCAAGGAGCAGGCGATGGTTAAGCTCACGCGCCTGTCTGTCTTCCAAAGCATAGGGATGGTCGCTTTGAGATGCCATCTTTTTCATGAGATGACGAGTCAAATACTTCAGAGGAAATGTAGAGTCATGAGACATTAGGATGAGAGACGCACAGGATTTTGTACGGGTGGAGTTGGTGGCTCAACGCGTGTTGGGAGGAAAGAGCGATCTGGAAAGTCTGTGTTGGCTGCCCGGTTGGCGCCTGCCATCTACAACCTGCTCTGTCCTTCTTGCGGCACCTTGACCACCACTTTCCCCCAAGTATCGCGTGCTCCAAGTGCTTTCAGCGCTTCGGGAATTGTCTCGAGCCCGACAAACTCTTTGTCTGTATAACACGTCCCGCGGAACTTGCCACTGTCCATCAGATCAAACAGGCCCTTCCATACCACCTCGATCTGTTCTGGTTCGTTGGTAGCATAGGCACCCCAATGCAGACCCATGACGCTGACGTTCTTCAGCAGGATTCTGTTTGTGGCCATCTTTTCAATGTCGCCTGCTGCAAATCCAATGACTAGCAATCGCCCGTTCCAAGCTGTGCACTTCATGCTCTGAGCAATCAGACCAACAGGATCATAGACGATATCGACACCGCGACCCTTGGGAGTCAGCTTCTTGACCTTATCCGGCCAGTCCTTTTGTCTGTAGTCGACCAAGTGATCTGCGCCAAACGACTTTGCAACGTCGAGCTTGTGTTGTGTACCAGCTGTAGCGACGACTGTGGCGCCAAAGGCTTTCGCAATCTGGACCGCCGCGAGACCCACACCTCCAGCAGCAGCATGCACCAGAACCCAGTCACCTGTTGTTGTCAGCCACATGTCAGAGCAATTACCCAACTCGTACAGTCTCACCCTTCTTGATGTCAGCCCTTGTAACCAGACCAGCGTAACTTGTGGGAGCGGTGACCATCAGGCCGGCACTCTCAAAGTAGCTCCAACCCTTGGGCATGGGCCTCAATTGTGCCTCGGTGGCGCAAACCTTGGTAGCATAGGCACCTTGAGAAGCACCAAAGACTTTATCTCCTTCCTTGAATGTGGGCTTCTTTCCTCCTGGCAATGACTGGGGAGCCTTGAGAACAACACCAGAGAACTCGGCACCGGATACCCATGGTAGAGGAGGCTGATGTTGGTATTTGCCACGGATCTGGAGCAAGTCGAAGAAATTCGTGGCAGCGGCGTGAACGGCGATCAGGTATTGGTCGGGTTTGGGAGATGGGTCAGGGAGATCGGTGACCTTGAGGTCTTGAGGACCCTGATGGTTGTAAGCTTTGAAGCTTCGAAGGTGTTAATCTCAATGATACCTGAACATATTCCTTGACTTGGATGCCCTTCATATTTTTGGTAGACTGCTTGGTGATATTAGACGAGTGAGATGACAAGAGCAAGACATGGCTGCACAGCTGTAGAGATGCAGTTGACAGGACAAGACCACATACCCGAAATGCGGAGGTGGAGGACGGAGGAAGGAGTGATGCCTCGGTCCATGACTCGCGCATTCGTGCACGAGCAGAGAGGAAGACGACTTGGCAAGGGTCCTTAACGTCATTGTCCTTGGGCTTCTGCGGCCTTCTGCGCGCCGCCTTGTCTGCGACAGTGAAGCAGCTGAGAGACCAACCGACAACACGACCACATTCACTTCTTGCCACGCCTAACAATCACAACCATAACCACTTTGGCCGCAGAGTACTCATATTTAATCACCCCACGCGATCGCCATGTCGGACGAGAGCGAGCAACAGCTGACCTTCACGGTCAAGTCGTCCAATGACGCCAAATATGCCATCACCATCACAGCCACCTCTACCGTCACCCAGCTCAAGGAGAAGCTGGCCACATCAGACTTCGCAGACATTCCCATCGAGCGTCAACGTTTGATCTACTCTGGTCGTGTGCTCAAGGACCACGAGACGCTAGCGAGCTACAAGATCAAGGACGGCAACACCATCCACCTGGTCAAGGGAGCTGAAAGCAACAACCGTCAGAACCCTGCCAACCAGGGTGGTTCGGTTCCCGTTCCTGGTGCCGGATCAGCTGCCAATGTGCCTTCCAACATCGCCGCTGGGACTGGCGCACACAACCCCCTGGCTCAACTAACTGGTGCACGCTATGCTGGCTTCCACCAATTGCCCGGAGCTGACATGTTCGGTGCTGACGGAGGCGTGAGTACTTTTCCGTCTTCACTGCCATCACAAATGCTGATAGTGGCTATAGATGGGCGCACCCCCAGACCCTGATCAACTCCTACGAATGCTCGAGAATCCAGCCTTTGCCCAACAGATGAACGAAGCCATGAACAACCCCGATGTTATCAATATGATGCGCAACAACCCTATGCTTCGCAACAACCCTATGGCTCAGCAAATGTTCGACAACCCAGAGATGCGCCGTATGATGATGAACCCTGAATTCATTCGAATGCAGATGAACATGCAAAGAAGCATGGGCGGCGGTGGCTTGGGTGGTGCCGCTGCTTTCCCTGCTCCCGGCGCAACAGATACCACAGAGTCAAACTCAACAACGCAAAACACACAACAGCAGAACCAGCAACCGCCCAATCCTTTCGCCATGTTCGGTGGAGGCCCAGGTGCAGGAAGCGGCGCAAACCCCTTCGCTGCTCTGTTTGGCGGCAACCCTGGTGCTGCCCAAGGACAAACTCCCGCTGGCACCCCTCCCGTCCCCACCGCTGGTCAAGGAACACCCGCCCAAGGCCAAACTCCAGGCGTCAATGCTGGCCAAGCACAAGCAAACCCCTTCGCAAGTCTGTTTGGTGGGCTGGGCGGTGCCCAAGGCGGCGGCTCAGATCCCATCCAACAGATGGCCCAACAAATGATGCAGAACCCAGAGATGATGCGCTCAGCAATGAACATGATGCAAGGCATGTACGGCGGTAACAACAACTCAGGCGCCGCCGGTGCCGAAGGCGGTGCAGCACCCGCCAATCCATTTGGCGGAGGCATGAACCCATTCGCAGCTCTGGGCGGTATGGGAGGCATGGGAGGCTTTGGCGCACCGCAGCAACAGCAAGACAACCGGCCGCCAGAGGAGCAGTATGCTACACAACTGCAGCAACTCAACGCAATGGGCTTCTACGAGTTTGAGCGCAACGTTCGTGCTCTGCGCATGAGCGGAGGAAGCGTGGAAGGTGCTGTTGACATCTTGTTCAGTGGTACGATATAGAAGAGCGCACTTTGCCCCTTCATAGTGGAGCTTCTAGACCGCGTGGGCCTCTCGTTTCTGGAGGAGGTCTAGTGTAGATCGTTTCCTCCTTTCCTTTTCTACCGTTTATCAACCTGCTCTGAGCGTTTTTCAATGGCATTTCCTCTTTTCGTCCCATCTTACTTCCGTGTACAAAAACCAGCTCTTTCTTATGCTTCACTTTCCATCTCAAATGTAAGGCTTGACTCGTGGGTCCAAGTCATTTGCCCCCGAGACGACGATCGCGTCTTGACATTGTTCGGAATAAACAGCCCCCAGCAAGTGCTCCAGATGGCAGCTCACGGTATAAGAATCACGGCAGTAACAATATCTCCAACAACGGTCATTTTTGACGAATTTTGAATCCCATCGAACTATGCATGTCAATGCCCTATCTTCTAGTATTCTGACTGGCTGGTCAAGTTACTGGATCTGCCGCGACTCAAGCATCAGGTTTCATGGTTATTGAGTTGTCCTCGTTATGATCTCGCCGTGTACTAAATCTTGTAACTCCTAGTCACCTACGCTTCTCTCTCATGCAGGTGTAAAACACAATGCCCGCTATGAACAGGCACAGTGGTTTCTAGATCAAAGATGGATCCGAAGAAAGCCTAGAGAGCACTGCACTGTGCATTTTGATAGGTATACACGTCATAGCCATTCGCATACGGGAGGTCATATTTTAATGGGCTAAACTTGTTAGTCGGCCTCCACATTTCAGATCCAAATTTCAAGTTAGTCGACACTTGGAGTATCTAAAGTATCCTTTCTAATGACTCTACAGCATGTCTACTTGGAGGCTAAGGCTGAGAGTCTGGAAACAACAACAAATGGTCCCGAAACTCTTACATTACGTTCAATTTAAATGTCAAACTTTGATGATCTAGAGGGACGCAATCTAGCAGCAGAGAAGCGTAAGATTAAAAGGGCATGCAAACTAAAGATAGGGAAGGTGCAATACTAATGTGAAAAGACCATGATGCACAAAATCATACCGATTAGCGGAAACCAGTAGATAGTCATTGCTCGGTAGAAAAATGCCTCTCGACTCAAATTTGTAGAGCTTATGGTGTATATAATGATCTCTTCGCTTCTTCCTTCACCTGGAAAGGATGTCATTCCTATCTCTTTAAACCCCATCTAAAGTAAATAGCGGCAGTGACACTAGGAAGCTCTTCCAAAAGGACTTGAGAGCTATAGCCTCTGAACGTCGATGATTCCATAAGTGGTGGCTGTGTGTTGGGACGATCTTGTTGTCCAAGTAAATGAACGCCTTACATTTGTGTGTGTGCACTCATATTTACATACTAGCGTTCGTTGAAGGAATTGCAGACGCTTCTCTATCTGGCATGGATATTTTTGTAACGATTCCTCTAGAGTATCATTTTGCTGTGTTGGATTGAATTTCCCATGTTGAGGGCACCTATCCTGGTGTCTTTGGACCTGGTCCACCGAGTATGTTCCTCTTCATTGGGACAGTGTTGTTTATGTGGTGGCTAAGCATAGTCTATATAGCATTCTGACTCTGACTCAAAATGATTCTGGATCCTTTATGACATTTTCTTCATCGCTGGCTATGTGAACCACTAAAGACATACAACCTACTGACCTGATCACCTACGAACAGACAGATGTCAGGCTAGCTTAATCTCATAGTGTGATCTGCCACCTACACACATTCATGTTATACTGCATCGAAGAAAAAAGCCTCTTCTGATGAATTTAGCAGGGAAGATTGTAGGAAATTGAAAACGTGTAACCATGAAGCTACACAAAAGTTTAGACGGGTGAAAAGACGCAAAAGGTATCTCACAATTGTCAAAGATACAAAAGTTACGGGGAGGTAGAGATGTACACAAAAAGATATGCCTCGAGGGAGAATCGAACTCCCATCTAAGGATTACCCAAGCCATGCTTGGTCATATGAATGTGACCGATATGAGACCTTCGTACTAGCCGTTATACTATCGAGGCTTGATGGGTGACCGAGCCGATCGGTAGTATTGATGGCCTCTTGCAACAACACTTGGAAGACGGACCATGCATGGGAGCCATGAGTACTGTTTCCTGTGTCTTGCTGCCACACAACAGCAGAAATGCCATTGCGGGAGCGGAATGGCGGACAACAAGCCGTAAATGCTGAGGTTTGACGCGGGATGCAGTCGATAAAAAGCTGTCAAGGCTTGCCCTACGTGGGCTAGCTTCGACGCCCGAGCCACGCACCAATCCCAAAATGGCAATACTGATATCAAGGTTGAAAAAAAATTCTCCTCAACCATCACAACATCGAACAAGATTGTTCTGAGGCTGTCGATGGGCAAAACAATGGTCAGTACGGGGGTCGAACCCGCGGCCTTGGCGTCCCAGGTATATCATGAAGAAGATATTAGCACCACGCTCTAACCAACTGAGCTAACCGACCTGGTAGATGAAGCAAGATCGATCCAGTAGATATAAGAAGAGCCATCTTGAGTCCGCAAGCCATCACCACAGTGCTTGTCCTTGTGTGACCCGGGAGGATACGCCAGAACGTAAATTGTGGTTCGAAGCATGGACAAAACCGAGATATTCTCAAGCTTTTGGGCAGCAAGGGCAACGACATTGGCGGCGAGTTCTGGAAGAGATATGACAGTATACAACAATAGTATGAGGGCTCTCAGGAGAGAAGAGCGATAGAGGTAGGAAGACAAGAGCTGAGCTAGCTCTCTCAGTCAACTTTGCGGTCTGCCATCCAGTTGGAGACAACTCTCTTGCCTTGCTCGAGAGTACTTGCCTGAGTGTGCAATGCACCCAGAACATCTTTCCTAGTGACATCTAGTCGCAGGTCCTTGCAATGCGTTTCCAACTGGTCAGCCTGGATCCGTGGGACGATCTCATCTCCGGAGGCGACTAGCATCAAGACTCTTGGTGGAAAAGGTGATTCAGCAATCTTACGCAGAGCTTCCTCACTATCCCACCAACTGCGAAGGAATGGCCAGAGGTGCTTGTACGGAACCCACCAGTCCGGATAAATGGCTGCAAGCATACTCTTGATGCTGACAAACGGAGTTTCCAGGACCACTCGGGAGATACGAGCAACACCTGTAGTCTGTGTTGACTCTAGGTGTTTCGACGCAGCGTATGCAGCGACTCCAGATCCAATACTTTGACCCCAGAGGATCAGCTCGGTATTCTCTGCATCCTGACCATATGTCTGAATTGCCCAGGTCACAAAAGCTTGTGCATCCTTTTCGATGCCTCTTTGGTGGGCACGCCCAGAGGAAGTCCAGTATCCGCGATAAGACAGTGCGAGCAACGTCCAGTCATATGGAGAGTCTTTTGCTGCAGCTCTCAGAATGTTTGAGAGCATTGGTGTCCGAGGAGGGGTAGATGCGCCATTACCTTGGAAGTATAGCACAATGACTTTCTTACGTTTGACATGCGCAGCAACAAATGAGTCTTCCGGTCTTGCGACAGCCACGGAGAGCTTCGTGCCATCCAGAGATCTGATCTTGAGTTCTTTCCAAGATACTCCGGCCCATGTCTTTGAGTAATCGTCCAATTTCTCACGTCTCGAGCCAGGAGGAAGAGATGGCATGTAGATGATTTTGTTCTGAAACAAGACCATGAGCAGACATTTGTGGATCCAGTGGCCTATGAGAAGCCCAATAAAGACACCTGGAACTAATATGAAAGGCGAAACACCAGCGAAGATGGTTCGTCTTTGGCTGTACAAGACATGGCTGTGTAGAGGGAGGTAGGGGCGTCGAAATGGTCCGCTTTCCGTAGCGGTAAGCAATCCGCGTGTCTGCGCAACGCCAACATGTCTCGAAAGTAAGCCTGGTCGAGCACGATGAGTGAACAGACAGTTCAGTCTCGAGTTCATGACAGCTAAGCAGAGACGCAAGTAAGCTCCAGGCTCGAGAGTGCGTGACTTGGTCGAGATCAGTGACGTAGCCCCAAGCCAATCAAAGCGCGTTTGTTCCACCCCTCGCGTCACCCTCCATTTCGCGTCTTGGAATGGTTTCTAAAGAGGGCAAAGACCAGGTTCACTTTTGTCAATCTTTGTTCCGATCACATTTTGCGACACCTGATTCCTGTTTTTGCTCGAGATTGCATAACTTAGCCCACAAATATTTAGATCATCCTGCTGTCATAAAAAGCGATTGGAGCACGACGCTGACCATGACACGCATCACGCGCCGCCAACCCCAACTATCCGAATCTTGGGCAGACATGGACGACGACTCGCAAACATCTGGAGAGGAATTCCAGCCACGTCTTCGAGAAGCATACTACGATTCTCACAAACCTGGCACTCTGTCAAACCCACCAGACTCAACCGGCTTTCAGGAAACTCCAACTCAGAAGCGACCTTCTTCAAACCGTCGCAAACGGAATGCTTCCCAGATAAGCTCACAGTCCGAGTTCGTCATGCCTACCCCTGAATCTAGTGGTTACCTCGAGACTCCTCCGACTAGAACGACGAGACAGTCTCCGAGGCCTGCTGTCAGAGCACCAGCTATTCGCAAATCTGCACCTGTCAAACGTGCTGCTCCAGCGGCTCAACCACCAAAACGCAAGGCTTCCAAGACGACCACTAAGGATGCTTCGCCAGATTACGTCCATTATGTGTGGAGAAACGCTGTTCTTCCCTTGCTCAAATATGTGCTATCAGTCTTCTCCATCGCTGCGCACGCACTGAAACCGCTGCTTGGATACACTTTGATTGTGCTCGTCATGGCTGCTGGTATCGGTATCGCGAAAACCATGGTGGTACACAGTGTTAGCAACGCTCTGTCACCATTATGCAACATCCCAGGAGCTGGCTTCTTCAGCCTCCCATTCTGCGACGTCGGACACAATGATCGCAGAGGTCCCGTCGAGTTCGACAAGCTGGTCATCACTCAATCAAATTTCGAGGACATCCTTGAAGCTTCTGTTCACCAAGCTGCTCTGCCTTTGGCCATGAAGAACTCGGAGCTATCTATCCGCGATCTACGCACAGTAGTCAGACACTCCAGTCTGGGTTCCCGCAACGAACTCGTCAACGAATTCGACGGCTTCATCGAAACCGCCCGTCAAGCCAGCGACGGCCTCTCCCAATTCAATTCCAGGATCTCTCGCGCATTAGACGGCATTCTCTCCGCCAACCGCTGGACAATGAAAGTACTCCAAGGCATCGAAGCCGCTCCAGACTCCGAAGGCATAATACCCCGCTTCTTCTCGCAATACCTGTCTTTAGCTGTACCCCAACAATCTACTCAGGACATCATCTACGACCAGTACATCCGCCACACCTCCGAAGTAGAAGAGCAAATCCAAATCTGCATTCTCGAAGCAAACACCCTGCTCGAAGTCTTGGAGAACCTCGACGACCGCCTGCACCAAATTCAAGATATCGCTCATCGCGAAGACCTCAAAGTTGGCGATGCAAAAGCAGAGTTGTTGGGTTTACTCTGGACGAAACTAGGTGGCAACAGAGGTCCTTTGGCTAAACAAGAACAACAATTGGCTACTCTGAATGATGTGGGCAGATATCGCAAAACTGCTATGCAACATGTGATCTCTACTCTTGTTAAGCTCAAGGATATTGAGAATAATTTGAGTCAGCTGAGGGATGATGTTGCTGCGCCTACTATTGTGGATAGAGAGAGAATGCCGTTGGAGATGCATATTGATCTTATCAGTTCTGCTGTTGATCGTTTACAGACGGTTAGGGATGAGGGTAGAAGGGAAAAAGAGAAGATGTTGCAGGGTACGCTGCATCAGATCAACGAGCATTCGACCGACAAGAGAATTGGGTAGTGAAGATTTGGGATATCACATCTTTGGGAAAACAGGATTATGATATGGCGTTTTGTTTTTGGGTTGTAGGCAAAGTTGGATAGCGAACAACAGCTTGTATTGCAAATGATATGACGACACTGGAATCATTACGCTCGTTTGGGCGAGATCCGAAAAAAAGTCTTCGTGCAGTGAAGTCTGTGACGCGAGCGTACAACGACATAAGGAAGAAGTCTACTCAGAACCGATCTTCCAACCACTCTTTCTGATCATCTCGACATCGGCGTCGTCAAGATCCAAGAAACCGTACCAGTCATCAAACTAGTCCCCACTATCTTTAGGCCATATCCTTCTGAAAATCTCCTCGACAGGAACATCCAGTTGTCTTGGATAACCTTTCCTTTTCCTTTCTTCTGCTCCGAGTTCTCTTATTACCATCTCATTGGGTCTATCATCTCGGACTCCAAGCTTTACGCTCCAAGACCGACATATCCACTTGAAGACATCGTATATCTGCATCTTGGGAGGATCGGGGTATCTCGGTTCGCTTAGCAATCTGAGCTCATCTAGACGGCGAAGACGGTCAGGGGGCGATACGAGATGAAACACGGCATTTGCAAAGCCCTCGTCAATGGCTGAGTCGATAAAGGTTCTCCTCATATCACCATAACGACCCGAGCGCTTTGAATCGAAGCGGTCGTAGGGTGGCATTCGACCCTGCTCCCGCTCCAAGAGGTAGTATCTGGTCCGAAACCCTATCGTAAGGTTGCGAAGGCACGGGAACGCAGTGAGAGCCTTGTATACAGCCACCTCGGCGCGGCTACCTTGATCTTTCACGATAGTTATTGCAAGATCTGTAAGTAGTGGGCACTGATCTTTCATCTCTTTGAGCATATGAGCTGCTTCATCGGGCATGAGCTTGTCTGTCTGCGGTAGCTGTGTGAAGACTATCACCATGCCTTTGGTAGACTGCTTCCATCATGTCGACGAACCATCTGTACTTGATAGTAAGCTCCGAGAGTGGTGGTAGACTCGCGACGAAAGTTTTTGCGAGTGCGGTAATGATGTGGGAGCCTCTCAGGCTATGAGTGGAATACGGCTGGAAGCTCAGAAGTTTTAAAGAAGCAAAATCACATTCAATCAGCCATCGCAGAGCCTCTATGTCGAGCTCCGATTTCAGAATCAGAGTATGCAGGTGAGAGAAGTGGGCGTGTGTGTTCCAGCTCTGTAAATCTTGCCTGGTCAGGACGAAGTTGTGGCAGCTTGTGGCTTTCACTTCAAGATGCCTCGAGCGTGTGGATCGATTACGACTATTCTTCTCCATCGGTAGCCTGGTGTCTTGCCACCCCAGCTCTCCAGGAGAGGAATATCTGGTTCGCCAGAAACGTACATCTTCAACGTTTGGTGCTAAATCCGCAATCACCTGCTGAATGACTCGTTGAGATCGACTAGCGTAGGCATCTTCCTCCTGTATCATGTACGAGAACCAGATGCTGTGCAAGCATGGCGAAGATGCAATGGCTAGTTCATGCATATCTGGCTCGGACGTCAACAGACTTCTGACATTGAAAGCTCTCATGTGTACGCGGCAGCGAGGGTGGTATTCGTGTAACGCGTGAAGCACACAAGGCGGAAGTTGGTCTCTGAGCTCGAAGAGTAGGTCCGACAGAGCAGAGCATCGTTTCAATAGATCCGCGAGCGATACCCAATCATGATCATTCAACGGTCTGCTTTTGCCAAGCATCTTGTCGCCTCAAACACCGAATGAGGCTCCATGGTGAGCTTTTCGTCCAGCACTCGGGTGTTCCAAAGCAAGACAGACCCTCAATGAGCGTATGTAACCAAGGGCAGAGATAAGTCCCAAAGCATCAGAGAGTTGTTGCACATCGTCCTTGACGCTCATGGGAGTGTGTATTGGGAGGATGACATTACGAAAGATGACCTTATTGGCAATACTTCTTACTTTCTTGCTCGTCTCCGAGGAGCTACGAACGCTCGCCGGGTGAGAATCGTTAACTAGTTCGCATATTTGCAGAAGGATTTCAGGTGGCAGGCCTTCGAGAGTAAGATGAGACATCCTTCCAAAACGAAACCGAGAGCGGCGAGACTTGCGATCGTGTCGACGAAGTTGGTCGGAGGGATTGAGAAGAACGTAGGTGAGGGGGACGTTGTTATGTGAAGCGCCAGATTGCGGCGCGTAAAATGGCAAGCAAGGAAAGCTGCATCAACCGCACCTGCATCTTGTGTGACCTTACTTGCGGCTTGATGTGCGTTCCAATCCTAACATGGTATTCACTGCGTGGGTGTGGTTTAGTGCTCATGAGGCTTACGACAGGCGTCTTCGTAGCTTCCAATGTTGATGCATCACTGAGAAAAGCCGAACGTGACAGGCTACAGCATAGGTATGCGCAAAGCCACACATAAACACCACCAAAATACCATTGGTCTCTTCCCCTGGGATAGTTCTCATCTCATCTTGAGTGTGCATCAATAACATTATCGCGTCCGAATCTGACTCTGTACATTGTCAGTGACAGGATGATACCAGCACCCTGTTGCTTCTGCCAACACAGAACAAGGAATCGAGCTTCAAGCACAGATTGCGAGCTCCAGACCACCCCGCCGGAGTCCGAAGCGTCAGGCATAAATAGAAGAGCTATTCTTCAATGAACGGGTCGATGTACAACGACAAGACAACGCGAAACGCGATGGATACGCGCACAACCTTTGTCGCCAGGATCTCCGACGATCACGGCACATGTGCATCTCCGATAGCACTGATACGGAGTACTTCAGATCCCACCAGCTGCTCAAGCTGGACAACCGCCGACAGCTTCATCATCGCAAATTATCACTTGTCGTGATCGAGACCATGAGCGGACGCGTCTGGCTCCGAATCCGAGACGAAGCAGGAGGGAAAGGTCTCGGAACACGTCACCGAAGCCCTAAAAGCTGGCTCTCCACATCGGAGCTTCGAAGGCCGACTCGGGACCACTTGTTCGCGATGCTTTCTCTGACGCTGGTCCGACTTGATTTTGCAACCTGGAACTGTTGAACCTCCGACCATCCGATATTGTGTCAGAATACCAAAATATCGTTCTTGAATCGGAGGCGTGAGATTCTATATTTACAGGTAGGATTGTTGTCATGCTGTAGGTTTTCCTCTGTTTCTGGTCATCTACACTTCACGCCACCTCTTTCCAACGCCATTTCCTGAAGCTCAGATCAATAATCACCACTGACCGTCTCGATACATTTCCCATCTCTTTGGACACTCTCGAGCATACCTGTCGTATATCACAATGGGCTTCGTCAGTCTGTTTCTACCAGAGACATCTTCTCATCGTGTCGGACACAGAGACCCGTTCTGGAATGGCAGAAAGAAGCCTTTTATGATCGCAGCCATCGCCTCGGCGATGCTACTGCAGATCTTGTTCCTTATGAACATGTCATATCTATTCGGCTCCCTGTTCAAATCCGAACACAGAGTGCACAATCTACATATCCTCACAGTCGACTACGATGGTGGCGTCATTGGAAAGAGTCTACAGGGTGCCATCACACAGCTCAAAGCTGACACCTTCCCCACTTTCGACATCGAGAATACTACCAAATACCCTGCGGTGGAGGATATTGTCCGATCTGTCAGGAAGGGAGAACATTGGGCTGCTGTTTTCTCTCACGCTGGAGCATCAGAGCGCCTCGCAGCTGCTCTCGAGGGTGGAGACGCTGCAGCCGCGTACGATTCGACCAACACACTTACCTATGTCTGGAACGAGGTCCGATACCCAGCTATGGAAGACGGCACCATCAAGTCTAGCATGTCGCAGCTCATGGCAGTCGCCCGCATTGCATACAACCACATGAACGGCACCGGTGCCCTACAGACACTAAACAAAAACGACCCTGCTGCTCTCCAAGTTTTCCTCGATCCGATTCAAGCAGGGGAAATCAATATCATGCCTACGACACAAGGAACAAGAGTATTGTACAACACCGTGGCTATGGTTTTGCCGATCATTCTACAGTTTTTCTTCCTTATGGCCATCAACGGCGTCAGTGCAGAGTTCAAACTATACTCGCACCTACCAGTCCTCAACAATGGCATTATACGCTTAGTGCTTAGTCTATCATACACATTCATCGGCTCGCTCTGCTGGGCTGGCTACGTCTGGGCTTTCCGCGAGACCTGGTCTGTAGGCGCAGGCCAGTTCTTCTGCACTTGGGTGATAATCTGGTTGTTTATGCACATCAACTTTATCGTCGTACGTCTCCTTATCCCCTCCTCTGTCACCTTTTACTTTCACCGCTTACACTTCCAACCTTCACAGATCGACGTAGCAACCGGTTTCATACCCATGACATTCCTTCCTTTCTTCGTCTTGACCTGGGTAATCCTCAACGTGACCTCCACAATCTGGCCCTTCGAACTCGCGCCTGCCTTCTATCGATGGGGCTATGTCCTTCCCGCTCATGAGGTCTGGCAAGTGCTGATACAGATCTGGTCGGGAGGTGCAGTGGATAGACTGTATCAAGCTTTGCCGATACTATTCACGTGGGAAGTTGTGTTTTTGCCATTGGCAATCGTGGCGTTGAATCATCGCTGCAAGGTTGCGGAAAGAGAGCATCTGGCTGCAGAAGAGGAGAGACGACAACTCATATTGAAGGCGGAGAAGGGCAAGGAGGATGAGGTGGTTGAAGAGGAGGCATCGTCGCTGGTGGACGCGAAAGTGCAGAGTTTCGAGGCGGAGGGGCAGAGAGACGTCTACGCTCCGGCTATTGCCCCTCCGGTCTGAGAGAGGAACCTCTCACCCGAGCTTTGTAATGACGAGCAGCCTTGACTCAAAAAACTGAACGCTGAGAACACAGTCGCGAGCAAGATCCTGTACCACATCCACTCGCAAAGTCCGGCCGCAAGACCTGTCCTCCCTGTTTACAAGGAAATGATGGTAAGTCCGGCCACAGAACCTCAAGAATGAAGATGTACAAGGATAACAGGAAGCGATAGTGTGGGTTGAGTGATCAAGTGTCGGGGCATTGCAGAAGCCAGTCGACTGGGCAATCAAACTCGCTTGCATTGTGTTCGATGTATAATTTGCCACGGAGTTGTATACATACTCATGTCAACAGAGTTTGAAGGGGTGTTATTATCTGGTGATGAACAGGGAGACGAGCGACAGAAAAGGCACGAAAGCCAAAGCCATCAAAGGGTAAAGCAGTCGATGGGAAAACAAGTTCAGAAGGATTGTAAACATCCAGGTCATGTGTGGTTGCGTATTGTAGCACAAGGAGGCAAGGGTTCTTGAGGCTGATCGAATGGGGTAACCTCGGGTCCGAGGATGTGATCGTACTTAGTCTCGAATGTGTGTGTCACTCGTGAATATAGGTGAAACCGAGTCGTAAAAGACTACAATTTGACTTGATTCGGCCCGTTGTACGCGCTGAATCTAGCTGTGTACATAAAAGGCTTGCCCAGCGGAGTCTTGCCATCATCTCAAATCTTGACCAGACAATCTCTAAGATAACTCTTAGCGACCTCGGGCGCAGATAAGCGGCAGAGAATTCCAACATATCCATCGGGTCGGACAATAGCGATAGCTCCTTCTTCCTTTACGATGCCATAAATATCATAAGCGTCTTCTTTCTTCGCCAGTCCGTAGGTTCTCATTTCTGCGAGTTTCTTGACCTCTGATGGAATCTGCGTCCATTCAAATCTTTCTTTGATGGGATGCAAGACCACAAGGTCCGTTGAACCAGCAGGATGGCTGTTCACGATACTGGCACATGCTTGTAGTGCTTTTTGAGACTGGCCGCTGGAATCCAGCAGGTCCGTGCTGGTGAGCACAAGGATGCGGTATCGTCCACTTGATGGTAGTTCTGTGACAGATCAGCTTAGTTGATCGGATACGGTGTAGTTGTCTTCTTACCATCATGTAGCTGACGAGTAGTATTATCAGCATAGCGCTTCAGCTCAACATTCAGTACTCTTCTACCCGGCGTGAGGGCACCATAGAGTGGATCTCCGGTTGAGACAATCAGCTTCTCAGAATTTTGAGCTGCCCGAACAAGCTTGCTAGACTTGTATTCGAGACCACAACCACTAGTAAATCCGCTTCCGTCACGGAACACTTTCAAGAACTCGTCATGGGTAAGTCCCGCTGTGTCAGAGTCGCCTGAACCGATTTTGCCAGAAAACATGTGCGAGAACTTGGTGTCAAACTCGATGAGTTGGCGGGCAGTGTCAACACGCTCCTCTTCAAAGGTCTCCAAAACCGGATCTGTACTATAGTCGGCGGATCTGGGTGTCAAGCCAAGGATTGAATGTGCTAGTTTCCAGGATAGGTTATAACTGTCCATCATGCTGACGTTCATGCCTTGACCTGCTTTTGGGCTGTGTGTGTGACATGCTGGGATGTGGTCAGTATCTCCTTCCTATTCTGAAATGTGTGATTTCTTCACATACCATCGCCAACAATGAAGATTCTGTCTACGCCATCTGGCGTCCTCGAAGAGAACTTTGGGGCCATCCTCTGACCAATCTGGTATGCAGCGTACCAATCTGGAACAGTGCCCTCTTTGATATTGATCTTATACGGTGCAAAAACGGCGTTTGCTTGCTGGAATATGTATTCCAGCGTGACCTCAGCACGCTTCTTCTTGCTTGAGTTCTTCTTTTCGTCCTCAGGTGTTGTCGTACGGTCTGTCTTTGCATCGACGTCGCCGGGCACCTGGACATAGAGACGAGTAAGGTATTCACCCGTAGCAATCTGCTCTCTGGGAATGACCATGATCGAGCCTGCTTCAGAATGTACCGCAGAACGATTGCGAATGTCCGGGAAGTCTGTGTCGGCGACAAAATCGCAAACACCCCAGATGTGATCAGATGTTTCTCCTTCCAGTGACAGTCCCATAGACTTTCTGACCCTTGAATGTGCACCATCGCCGCCTACCAAGTACTTTGTACGCACAGAACCTGGCACACGGCTTCCGTCCTCGAGTTCATGCTCATAGTTGACCTGAACAGGATATTCTGGATGGTTTACGGTATCGACTGTATAGTTCACAAAGTGATGAGATCTTCGAATCGTGTCCTCGGGCGCATAAACACTCAAATTCTCCTGGAGAATTCTTTCGATACGTCCTTGATGGATGGTGACCTCAAACGGAAAGCGTGCGGGAACATTGACATCGGGCACAAAAGATGTCCGCTCGATACGACTTTTGTCGTCCGCTGAAAGGTTCCAGAAAGCCACTTCTTCCATGTGACATCCTTCGGCGATGATCTCCGAGGCTATTCCGAGACTTTGAAAGACTTCAAGTGTGCGAGGCTGGAGACCATCTGCTTGTCCTGCTTTCAAGGTGCCAGGTTTGGAATCCAAGCAGAGTAACGAAGATCCTGTGATTCCATATCTAGCAAGTAAGAGAGTGAGAAAGAGGCCACTTGGTCCGGCCTAATGTGATTGATCAGTATCATGGTATCGGACCTGAGCCTAGAATACTCACGCCGATAACCACTACTTCACGCTCATCATCAGACGAGGATGCCTTGGGCAATAAGCGTGGCAGTGGTAAAGCTCGCGATGGTAGAATCCTCAAATCCCGACGCGCATCAGCGGTCTCTTCGAAGACGGGCATGGCGAAATTATGATGCAGTAAGGTTTTGGTTTACAAAGACCGAGACAAGAGTAATGAAGTCGTGAGCTCAATCCAAAGTGTTAATATCGTCTATCTCGATTGTGTCGACGACCAGGAACTCAAGAAGACTCCAACAACAACGACTTAGCCCCAATTGTCCCGAGCCGGAAGCAGGAGGGGTTGCGGAGTTGAGCCGATTTTCCTAACTTCCGCGCGGGATGCTCTCCTCGTCCGGCGGCAAACGCACGACGAGGCAAGCAACACCTAATAGTTGGAGAGACTACCTCGAGGGTCTGAAGCTTGCTTCACATGCCATCTAATCTCCCCGTGAGCTACATTTCGTCACGCGTAACAGCTGTGGAAATGCACAGTACTTTCGATAATCGAATAGTGTCCATTGAGGACTTGTGTGCTCTAGGCTCTCTTCGGTAACGTCTCTAGTTTAATTATCCCTGTGCCTTTTTATGGCAAGCATTGCGCTCTGACCTTTCGCGGAAGAGAGGAGTATAGGAGACTATGAGTTTGGAACTATGAGTTTGCGAGTCACTGTGCAAGTCGGCAATATAGGGTCCGTGCACACACCAATCTTCCGGGGGTTCAGACGCGTCTGAATTGCCCTCTCCGCGATACATAGATATCGAACAACTCCATCTGGCATCCATGTGTGCGAAGATATAGAAGGCAACATGGAAGACGGGTCTCCGGTTACTCGCCCTTTAGGCCCTCGTAATCTACCTCGTGCGTCTCATGCTTGTCAACGATGTCGGATCAAGAAAGGAAGGTGCAATCAGCAGCAACCTTGTTCATCATGTGTGCGAGCCAGTGCGTCGTGCGTTTACGGAGAAGAGAGAAGGAAGCGAAGAAAGAGGAACGGTGACCAACCTGAAGGGAGTCTCGAGCAGGATGATACACAATTGCAAGCCACCCCTGGATCCGCAATATCGCCTGATACTGGATCAATCACTGTCCGAGGCGTCACTGAAGACGTACCCAATGATGTTACCAGGCGCGACATGGCCTCCGAGCTCAACATTGATTCCATACGCTCAGGTATGTCATTTCTCATTAGGCTAGCATTCACACGCGGAATCTGATCATCGTAGAAGTTACTATAACTTCCAATGATCGTGACGTGGTTGGCGATGTGAATGAACGAACTCAGGGAACGGAATTTTACGGCACTTCCTCCAACTATGTGCTGCTCAATCAGCTGTTCTCTCATGCGCGGCAGCATAGCCTCTCCGGACGAATTCCAACTCCTGGTCGCCTAAGTCAGCCAGCAATGAACCTTGGTCAGAGTGGCCGCTCTCCATCCGAAAGGATGTCTCTTGTCAATCTACTTGCAAACGAAGATGATCTGTTGGCACCATCCAGAGACAAGTCGCCACCTCAAACATCTCCTCCTAGAAGTCGACCATCTGCTCTACGTTCTTTGCCCAATGGTCTTCAATCAAGTGACGGTAGCTCAAGCAGTAACTCGCCAGCAACGAAGCTGCGGATTTCTGAGAAACGCCTTGAGAAGGTTCTCGTCCGCAGCTACATGCAAAATTTGCATCACTTGCATCCCATGATCGACACTGACAAACTCAATCGCATGTGTGAGGAACCTGTCGTACAGCATGACAATCGTCAATCTCGACTGAGACACTTCTTGTCTCTATACAACATCATCATTGCTGTTGGAGCACTGGTAGCTGGATCGGATGTGAAGGACGAGTTCCATCACGAGATTGAAGCGGTGCTGCAGGGCAGGAAAGATTCTCAAGATCCTGGAAAGGCTCCACTACAAAGCTTGTCAAGGCACTATTTTCGCAAGTCGCGAAGCCTACTTGGTGATGTGTTTGAAGCATGCTCTCTGGAAAGTGCTCAAACGCTTTTGTTGATGGTAGGTCTGTTGAGCTCTCGAATCAACACACCGCTAATGTCCACAGTCTTTATATTGTCAAAACTCGCTAAAACCACATGCTTGCTATATGTATTGTGGTATGGCTGTTCGGACTGCGCTTGCCATCGGTCTGCCCTCTGAGTCGATGTCTAATTCAATCGAAGCCTGCAAGGCTGCACGAAGAACTTGGTGGTGAGTTTGTGCTCCTCTGCATTGTTCAAATTCGGCTAAAGGTTCCCAGGTGTATATACTCTCATGAAATGTAAGTACAACCTCCGCGTGTGCAGAGTCATGTCATGCAGATGGCTATAGAGATGCACAGCTCCTTCGAAAAGGTGACGAGACCCAGAGAGGGCGGACAAGTTTACGACTCTCAGTGGGTACTTCATATCCACTCAGAGAGCTGTGCATTTCCATAGCTGGCTTGTGAATGGTATTAAAGTCCGAGGAGAGCCGACAACCTCGCAACCCTTCTACGAACACTTCCCATTCACTAAAGGAACCTTGCATTTCTACAGCATCCGCGTGACATATCTTTGCACACGGAGAGGAAGCGGCTCCCATAAGTGATCGTGACTAACTTGCTAATTCTAGCGATATGTGCTGCTCTGCGGGACGCTTCGACAGTCTCGGCAAGCCACGAAAATACTCCATACCATTACCTCAAATAAAGGTAAGTCCGCTCGGATGGCTCATCAGAAATCTACTTACCGCTCATAAGTCCTTGAGTCCGAACTCCGGCTCCAACACTGCTTATCTGGAGGGATCGAATATCTTTATGATCAATGTAATGGTCGACTTCGCTGTAATACTGCGACGCATCTCTAAAGATATATATCATTGTCACAAAGAAGTCAGCGCTTCTCAAAAGTCGACAGCGGCTTTCTTCATAGACACGCTCCTCGACCAATGGAAACTCGGTCTTCCGGCATGGCACAATTTTGATGTTGTTGATTTTCGAGAACCAGAATGGGCGGCAAAACAGAAGCTGGTTCTCCAGTTGCGATACCTCAATGCACGTGTTATCCTGCATCGTCCATTCCTATCCGAGCCTGCGACTTCTACTGTGCTGGAGAGGCAGAAGCATATCGATCTATGTCTCGAAGCCGCTCGCAAGACTATACAAGTCCTGTACGACGCATATGCGAACAAACACTACTTTCGTACGTGGTGGTATAATTCGACATATACCTTGTATGCCGGGATGATCGTGCTGTATGTTGTCATGCTCGGACACAGTACAGTGGCGCACGATATCCTCCTTGCTGATGTCAAGAAAAGCCGAGATATCCTGAAGTCCATGGAGGAAGCAAGTGTGGCTCGCCGTAGCGCCGACTTGTTGAGTGAGGTACTCGAGATTGCCGTCGTTTACACACAACAAAAGCAAGACACAAGGGCTGGTTCATCTACGATGGCTTCTACAAGCCTTATCGCCGACAGTAGCACTCATCAAGGGCCCTCCGTTTTGTCAAACGATATCACTAGCGCAGGCTTTGCTCAGGACCCGGAAGCATTTATGGCGTCGTTGATCGACCCTACAATACTCCAAGATTTCACAACAGATTCCAACGACTGGATCAACTTTGGATTCTCATCGTCGCTGGAAGATCTCCAGGGATCAATTGACAGCTGGAACAACGCCTTCTCCGTCAACAGCACCGAATGGGACGGTGCCACGACTTGACGAGACTGATATGATCATTCAGACCACTAGCGGACTTCATATCAATACTCACTTCCGTGAAGAACACACATCTGCTTGTTGCTTGCATAACCTCCCCATGTGCTAGATTCTGTCACTCCCACTCCATTCTGACTCCGCTCCCACGACAACATACGAGCGGAACTAGAAGCTATCAAAATGCACAGTCCTTTCCAGAATATAGCAAAGTCCACAGAGAGCGCATGATATATCGACTCTCTTATGATGCACCCTATCCACTGAAGAGACTGTGCATGTCTAAAGCCGTCCGCATAACAATGTTTTTGCACATAGAGGAGGTGTTTGATAAGATGACACCCGGACCGTCTTATCGGAAGTCCGAGTACGTTTTCCGCGTTCCGGTTCACGCATCCGACCCCACAATGCCTTACTCAGCTACCTCACCTGTCTCGTAGAGGCTCGTGACTATCGTTCCACGAGTCACTCACAGCGCATAAAACATCTCAGAAGCCAGAGGCTGTCGCCAGAGTTTAGACATGGACGCTTCTGGGACCAGCATCGACCCTGACAAAGTCTTGTTCGGCTCGAAAAGTGTCACGAAACTTCCTGACGAAATCAAAAGACTAGGCAACTCCTCACCACTCATACTCACCTCGAAAGGAAGAAATGGAGTTGCGCATGGTCAACTACTGGCCAAGATTCTAACCGATGCCTCAACAACTCCAGCCGCAATCCTGAATACAGCAGTGATGCATACTCCCAAACCTGTCACAGAAGAAGCACTCGAACGGCTCAAATCTCAAGCTGCCGACTGTATTGTATCCATTGGTGGAGGCTCTGTCATTGGGTTGGGCAAAGCTTTGTCTATTCGTACTGGACTCAAGCATATCTGCATACCTACAACATACTCTGGCAGCGAGATGACACCCATCCTTGGCGAAACCGACAATGGTCGAAAAGTCACTCGCTCGGATCCAAAGATTCTACCTGACTTTGTCATATATGACGTTGATCTCACGATGTCGTTGCCAGCGGCTGTTTGCTCGTGCTCAGGTGTGAATGCAATGGCCCATGCGGTCGAGTCTCTGTACGCCGTCAACACCACACCAGCCATCTCTAAGCTCGCTCTAGAAGGTATCAAAGGGCTAGCAGAAGCACTTCCGGAAATCGTTCAGGATCCAACCGATCGGTCTGCCCGCGAGAGAGCTCAACATGCTGCATGGCTTTGCGGCGTCTGCCTTGGATCCTCCGCAATGGCATTACACCACAAGCTTTGCCATACCCTCGGTGGTTCTTTCGATTTGCCTCACGCCGAAACCCACACGATCGTTCTCCCTCACGCGGTAGCTTATAACGCACCCGCCATCGCTGACACCATGGAGAAACTTGCGTCGGTATTGCCTGGCAGTGAAGGTGATGCGATCAGAGGGCTAAACGTTCTGCTCGAAAAACTCGAGGTTTCTCGTGCGTTGAAAGACTTTGGTATGAGAGAAGAGGATATAGACAAGGCTACAGAGATTACAATGAGCCTGCAGTATGCCAACCCGAGACCGATGGAACAAGATGGGATTCGTGAGTTGATTCGCAGGGCATGGGCTGGCGAGCCCGCGAGAGTTTGACTCGTAGCTTCTGTTGTCAAGAATATCTCTTGTTTGTCGTAATTTGCTCTTTGAGTCGGCTCCCGACCTGCATGAACTTGGTGACGAGCTCTTGTTGTGATTTTCTGCCTGTGTCATTCAGGGAAATGGCTGTTGAGCGTGACGTGTAACAATATCTCGCAAGCGTGAAGCAGGACTAGAGCAAGTCCGACGTCCTTTGAGCAGTGGGGTTATCCAAGGAAGCGATGGTCTCGGAGGTTCCAGTAGTCATGGCCTCCCTGTGTGTAAAGGTTCGTAACGGCTACAGCTATTCAAATGCACAATGGTCTCGAGAACTAGATCGTATCCCCCGAGATGTGGTGCTCTCTAGACTCTCCTTGGATCCATCCCTGATATAGAAGCCACTGTGCTTTTATCTAGCGAGTATTGCGCTCTATGGCTTCGAGGGAGAGAGGAGTGTAGGAGGAGCCATTGCACTATCGCATATATGCTCGTCCAGTTGCGTGCTAATCATTGTCGCAAAGAGAGGCTTCCACGTTACAAGTCAAGGGCCTCTGTGAGCAGTCCTGACAAGCAGTCCAGAAGCGGTCGTCGAAGTGAAAAGTTCACTCTCCGACTTCCTTTGCTGTAAGTACGTGGCTACCGCTCGACGTGTAGCAAAGAGTCATCCAAGTCCAGGTCCAAATCCAGAAAAGGTCGCTACTCGCTGTCTTCCTTAACAGACCCCTCTTCTTGACTCTCAGCCTTTCCTTCCTCTCTCTTCTTCATCTCTTCCTTTTGTCTCTCCTTTACTTTTCTCGGTTTCTTTGCACTGATTGGTCCATCTGCACTTCTGTCTTTCCACTGTTCAACACGCATTAGCATGCATCTCCGGAATTTCCTCTTGGGATACCCTCAACATACCATACCACCATACTTGTAATGTGGGTACTTGCCCTCAAACCCTTTGGCATCTTCCACGCCTCCAGAAACAGACTTCCAACACGAGCCTGGGCAGACAAAATGCCATTTTTGGGTGTCGTCGATTTGGCAGCGGATTAGTATGTCTCGGGGTGTGGAGCAAAGAGTACAGGATTTTGTCATGGTCCTGGTGATTGGAGAGAACAATGATATAGATGGGACAGAAGTGAATTGTTGGTTGAGAAAGAGGTATTCGAAGACGAAGGAAGCACTGGAGGTGTTGGTATGGAAAGTCAATGACATCATCGGTACTTTTTGTTTGAACTGGATTTTGTTCTTTTGGTGAACGAGATGACATAAGTTGCCCTCTGTCTTCTATGAGTAGTTGTGTTCATAGTATGTGCTGTAAGTTGCAGGGCTTTGTGATGCCCATAGTATTCGATATCCGTGGTCGTTCTTGTTGCGATCTACCGAGCTACATTGGATTCCGCAGTGTATCCTCTGCGAGCGTCAAGTATCACATGGAACATTCTGATAGGGAAGCGCAAGTCATAAGAAATTGGCAGTGGGTGGTAGCATTGCGGGTATCAGAGAAGGGGGCAAAGTGCCTTGTTACCTACCTAGCGCCAAAGGTCCAGTCGTCAAAATCATCATCCTCGTCATCCTCGTCTTCGTCCTCTTCATCATTATTTTGAAAAGTAGTGTCATGCTGTAAAGCATCAACTGTAGTAGCAGGAGCGTCTGGTAACGTGTCGTGCTGCTTGGACAGTCGTAGTGCCTCCCTCTTCTCTCGCAAGCGCCTGACTCGTTCGTCCAACTCGTCCATTTCGTCAAACTCTTGTTGTAGGGCGACTGCAGCATCTTCGGTATCTGCTTCTAATTCTGCTTCTCTTGCTGTTCGTTGTGCGCTCAGCTCCTCGCGAGCCTGGGCAGCCAGCTCTTCGGCTGTGACAGGAGCAGCAGATATCGTGGCAGATGCGCTGATGATTGGGAGGGCGGTGGTTTGTGTGGCAGCCATTTCGCGCTCAAAGGCAGCCCATTCGTCTTCGTTCACGTCTGGCGCAGGGGGCAGTCCAGAAGCGACAGGCTGTGACTCTGCGACGCGGGCGTCTGGTATTGACGGAGCAGGTGCTGTGTCTTGGTCTTCTCCCTGGTCTACATGCTCGTCCTCGTCCTCGCCCTCTTCAGCTGGATCGAAGAAGCCCTCGGGTACAAAGCCTCCAGGCACAGCCTTGACTCTCTTTCTGTCTTGGTCTTGGTCCTCTCCAGCCTTGCGCTTTCGAGCTTGGGCTGGCGCTGGTGGAGGATTGGCGCGCAAATGTTCTAGTCGGGCATTATGTTGAGGCGACTTGATGTGATTCTCCCAGAGCGATTCTGTTTTGACTTGGATATTGCAGACGGCGCATGACAGTTTGCCAGAGTCCGAGTAGTTTGCATGAGGGTGGTTGATGCGACGCGATGCGCGCTCATCGCGCAGAAGTGAGCGCACGTCTGCCATTGTCTTGGATGTCAACGATGTCAGATCTGGGGATGTCGAGAATGGCGTAGTGTGTCGTGTGAGTTGTTGTTTCTCTGACGAATTAATGCTTCCAACTTTTGCATGCGCAAACGCATCATTTCGCCAAGAAAAGGGTGTTATGTCAAAGCTTCCAAGTTGGTCGGTAGGCAGGTAGCCTTTACCCCGTCAAACAGTTTCAATATCATGTCGTGATGGTTACCATGTCGCTGAGTCGGATACGTTATGCAATCAATCGACTGCCTGTATCAGGTACACTGTGGACAATGACGATTGTTCCGGCTTCCATCTATCTTCGCTCTGCCACAGCCGGCTTCCGAAGACACAACTAATGATACGCGTTACGCAGCCATATTGATTCATCACAAGAAGGCGTTTCTTATCGACCAAGTGCAAGTCAACGCGTTGCTTCTCTGCCCCTGCAGTTCCAGTCGATCCGCAAGAGCCATCGTCCAAAAATCTCTCGATCTTCGTGTACCTGCCATCTTGACGTGTCCGGTTTCGCTTTGTAATTTTCATGATAAAGTGTGCGCGGACCGAACCCCTCCTTAAGATCATCCATGCCCACGTGTGCACCTGTCAGTGAGTCGTTAGAGCACCCGATCCCGCCGACGTTCGCTCGCTTGCGAGCTCTTGCTGTCTTCCTCACGACTCGCAATCCTTCCTCTCCGAATCTGAACCATGACTTCAACTTTGCAGTGACTCTTCAACGTACAGTCAGCATCGGCTCTGCGCACTCACGAGGGCTGGGTTCCTGCCACTCTATTCACTATATCATTGACTCGATAGCACCTAGGGCCTGCTCGCCTACGGGAGCCGCAGCTCCGCCGACGGTCGTCTTTCCGTATCCGCAGCGGAAGTCGCACCGAGCTGACCACCACCTTTCGATCCCTTGCGAACATCGTAATATGCTATCCGAAACCCCATCTGAGTCGATCTTGACCTTCTACAAGGATGCTCACTGGTCAGCCCACACAATCCCTTGGCTTCCTTGATATGGATGTGCATAGACTTGAAGTCAAATCCCGAGGGTTCAAACCACGGGCTTTGCAACTTTGCACTCCCAAACGGCCTTAGCATAGACTGCCTTCCTACAGCACTATAACGCGCGGTACGTAGACATTGTACATCTAACACACAAATGTATTCGCTGCATCTAGGCTGCATATACCAGCCGTGTGTGCGTACGTGCCCTCTATAAGAGCACTCTAGAATTTCACTGGAACATTGTGTGACAGACAACGGTCTTCCCCCAGCATTTTTTTTTGGCTCTGACTTTTTGACGTTGCAACAAAAAGAAACTGCGCGCGAACTCCTTTGGGAAACATCTGCCGGCCTGTTCCCAAAATCGCCCAAACATCAGAAGCCCCCTTGTCGGCGAAATCGACGTCATCCCCGCGAGTATTGTCCGTATCTCGCGCCGACGCGCCTTGTTGGAAGAAGCTTTTGTGTCTATGCTTGGGTGTCGTAGGCCTCGCCCTCTTGAATTCAGTGAAGGCAGTCCCTCGCAACAAATGCTGGTTGTGAGCTCCAGAGTTGGTCGGAAAGAACAGGTCAGTGGGGGCTGACACTTTGTCTTGTCATCAATCCGAGTCAAGATGCCTGCCAAACATGCCGATCGCTTGATGATATGCAGGTGGACATGTTTAGACGGCTAGGCAATCCGAGCGTCTAATTGACAACGTGCATGCGTCTCCGCCAATGCATTGCGTTTTAGCCTTCGCTTTTGAATGCTTCTAGTATTTACTCTCTTGGGTGCCCCCCGCTTCCAAGGTGGCTGTTCTCACATTTGCTTGAGGAAGTTGATCTCTCAATACTGTTCGTCCATCATACCAATCTTGTCTTTTCACCCTCGACAAGAGCCCTTCACAATGCTGCAGCACGCTTCAATGTCACATGCCTTTCAGTCGACAGCTACTGGTGTAAGTGCCATTGCCAAAGACTGCCGCAGAGCTCATTCGTTGACGTTCACATGTCTCAGGGCCGAACATATCAAATCTCAAAACTGCCAGAACTCGACTATGCCATCAACGTGACCATATTCAGCGATATCCTGGAACTGGATGACGAAGACGAACAATACTTTTCCCGCTCACTGGTCTGCGACTACTTTACTCTTGCTCAACGGACCTTTGCAGAAATGGATGCATGCTTGTCAGTCAACACGAACGTTCACCTACTCTCATGAGATTGACCTAACGTTAAACAGAGACGACCAAGATATCAAGCAATTACGGAGCAAAGCCCAATTCCTCAGAGGCCCAAGTGCAACACTAGGCATTTACAAAGTCGAGTCCATCTGTGCTCGGATCGAGCAAATGACAGCGGTAGCCGATACATTCCAAGCTGATGCGAGTTCAATAACAACGCTATGCAATTCGACAAGGACGCTATTAGACCAAGCCAGGCAGGACTTTACCGAGGCAGAAACTGCATTACGGCGATTCTATGGAATGGAATGACTGAATCGGATAGCACTATGCTCAGGGAGCAACATCTTCTCTTTACGACCTCTGGGCTTTATATTTGTTACAGAGGATTTAATAATAACAGTATGGCTGGTTCCATCAAGTTCTATTATCTCATTCGCCGATATGCGGTTTCGCTTGTAGAAACAGCGCGGAATTGTACCTTTTGTGTGAGATATGATCTGTGGAGTAATGCCTGCACTTCTCCTCCAGAACATCAACTCCACCAGCAGTCATTGCGATGAGCCAGCCTCGTTTTGCAATGAAGTAGGTCTCTTCTGCGTCTTGGACCAACGTACTAAACAACCAGATGATCAGAACTTGACACTCGCGGTTTCAAGATCAAAAGGTACTCACATCCGCAAGCATTACACAGCGTCTTCAGGCCATGGGGGCCCTTCCGCCACTCCGGAGAATCAGTCGTACCGCACTCTTTGCACAAAAACTCTTGCTCGAGATCAGGTTTCTTCTTTTTCGTGCGTGGCTTGGGTGTCCAGGCGCCAGTCTCTTCCATGGTCTGCAAACGCGATGGGATGATTTCGATGCCCATGTCGCCCATTACCGAATCCACTTGAGGTTTTGTGGATGTTGTTGATTCGGAAAGACTTCTTTTGCGGGAAACGGCGGATTCGGAGGTGGAAAGGGGTGCTGGCGGTGATGCCTCTATTGATTGCTGTTTTTTTGGTTTTTCTCGTTAGTTTGTCAATGTTTTGTTGTATATGTGCGAGGATATTTGTATCGAAATTCTTTGATCTCGGGATTTTGTTTGGAAGGTAGTGGCTTCCACCGAGACCCCCATTCGACATTCGAAGTCTTTCTTCCTCCCCATGTGCTATTCTGCCGCTCTCACCTCGCTCTCACGACAATACGCGAGTGCGACTAGTGCTATAGAAACGCATAGTTCTTACTAGACGATCGTGAAGTCCACAAGGAGCCGACAACATCACGACTCTTTATGGATACTCCCTCATCGCTAACGAAACTGTGCATCTCCGTAGCGTCCGCGTGACATATCTCTGCACACGGGGAGGCTGTACTGGATGAAATTTCAGAAGATACTTACTGCTGTAGCCGCCGTCCTCGTCTCACTCCTAGAGATCGCATATTGAGCCGTGGTGTCGGGATCCTGGTTACATGGCGTCGGCGTAGAAATCGTGTCTCGATAGAAGTGTTCGGCTTCTCCTTTTAACCGTGCCACTTGATTTGATAGGCGAATGTTTGTGATGTAGTGTTCGAGAAACGAGTCCATCAAAGATGTGCTGCTAATCTGATAAGGCCGTGAAGTCATCAAGCACATCTTTGTGCTTATTCTTGAGCCAGTCTTGTCGTCCACGGAAACATTGGTATATGGTTTGAAAGTCGATTCAAAAGGTTTGTAAGAATCGTCGTTGCGTCGTAGTCGATGGTGGCTTCTCCAAGAGTTTCCCGATGCCATGTTGTCCTTCCATTCGATCAGGAATACTGGGATATCGTCGACATTCATATATGTGCTGATGTATTTTCCAACAAGAGTTTCGGGCTTGATTTGAAGCAGCGAGTAGCTTTTTGGCGAAGCATACAGGACGCGACCGTCCTCGGCCAGCACCAGCAGTAAGTCCTCTATACCATCCACGAGCTTTTGACGAAACCCAGAAGAGCGATCAATTGATAGAGCTTCAACCTCGTTGTGGAGATTAGACGGCATTGTGGCTTGCCAGCAGTGTTCGAGCAGTTGGTGTGAAATCGGCGATTTCGTTCCGTGAGAAAGCAGGACAGAGCAGGAAGAGGTACAGCTGAGAATCAACGATAGGGTGATTCAAGAGAGAAATAACTGTTCATGATGGCCCTCTGGGGGAGTGTCCGTGCCCAGAGAGTTTGGGTATTCCTGCTCACAAAGCAAGAATGCGGTGCCGCGTAGGCATCCTTTTTGTTTCCTAGGGCACAAACATGTGCGAGGGGCTCGGCTGTTTTTTCGTCTGGCGCCATACCGCTGCACTGGGCATCGGTCTGTGTGAGACCATTTTCGTTTGTTCGACTCGTGTGCAAGAAAGAACGTGCATAAAAGACAGCTGAGGCTCAACTCTGACAGCCCCTCCCCGCTAGGGCGCCCGGTGCACCTGAACGGGAGAAATTCCGAAAGGATGCGAGTTTAAACTTGGCGTGCCCTCTGGTCGTGATCTTCGTTCACCGTGAACGGCTGCTCTATGCCATTTCGACAGCGCTCAGAGGTCTGATACTGCCCTACGCACATTCACAGAGTCTAGAGGAAGTTTCGACCTTCATCACAGAAGCCTGTCTCACAGCCTGCCAGTAAAGTGCTGAAGCAAAGTAGCGACGAGCTCACGGAGGGTTGTTCCGTCCTCCACCCAATGCGAGGCCGGAGGCCCCCGACCAAGTACCCTGACAAGTCCGAAAATGGCCGTCAAGTGGCAGCTCGCGCAAAGTCTAGCCGGATGAGCCAGGTCGAGAGCTTCTTGCTGCATCAAAGCAATAACACGATCGCTGATTCCCTTGCGCCTGTGTACCTTGCTACAGTGGTCTAGATCTTTTTCTCTATGCGAGCAACTCTCCTTGCATAAGGGTTGAAACACCTCATCAGCCTCAGACAATTTACTGCATCTGATGAACACTCGATTCGCGATCCCCAAAAGGCCACCAAAAACACCAACAATCGGCAAAACCTGACCAAACCTCGCAATTGTTATCAACCAGACGTAAACGAATGGGATCCCGCATGTCACCAGCTTCGAAATTCTTGTCGCACGTACCCTGCTGGCCAATCGAGCGATCTGAAAGCGGTGACGATCGGCATCATGCTACTTTTCTTAAGCACCGGATTGTTATACATGGGAATGTGGCTTGCCCGGGTTGCCAGGCGATTGGGGAAAGGAACACCATCGGTGATATGGCCGAAGGCCGTGAAGCAGTGGTGTTCCAGGCGTTCAACGAATCTCATGTTATCGACCGATCGTTTGCCTCTGGTTTAAGAGGTATCGCGATTTTGTACGCAATCGGTCAGCGCAGCGGTACATATCAAAGCCACTTATGCTTACCGGCTGTGAGCGGATGGAAAGAGCTCGAGGTCGATTGTGCTGTGTGCAGCAACGCTTTTGGGATTTGGTCGACGCGACGCTCGGTCTCGGAAGTGAGGGTGAGAGCAGTATTCGGCCGTAGTTCGACTCATGCTGCTCATACCACAAGGCCTTAGGGAACAGCGACCTCGCCAATCGACACTTACAATACATCGACTCGAGCATTCCATCTTGTCAGGAAGCATTGAAGCATAAGAAGAGTTGGGGCACACGCTGGGATCGGCCTTCCATACTCATGGTTCTGACTTACATATACCAATGCAGTCTCCGACTACCCCAAGATCCTGAATCTGGCCAACCGGATTCAACCCTTACAAGCTAAGGTGATGTGGTGTAGTGGTAGCATGTGTCGTTGTGGAGGTTAAAGTCCAGCAACGCCGACCCGACGGCGGTTCGATTCCGCCCATTGCCAGGATCGTATTTTTTGTTTTGTCGAGAGCTCGTATCATGTCTCAAAGTCCTTTTCTGCTGCTGAAAATTGCTGGTCCGCAAGAATTTTTGAATGTTGGTGTGGCACGTGCGCTCGACTGGTTTGGCTTGGAGAGCTGGACTTGATTTGCATCTTGCAGTAATTGGACCAATTGCTCTGATGTGCTGATGAAATGCCTACATTCACAGTGGGACATTGAAAGCGCATGATGCTCTCATCGAACATGTGAGAAGAGTACGCAGCGAGTCGACAAGCATTCATCTTCTTCCCGGGCAAGATTGGCCAGATCCGTGCTTGCTTGCCCCACATACTCCCCACCAAGAGAAAAAGGTTTCCTTTCCGCACGGCAGGAAACCACATTTTGACACACAAAAACTAGAAAAGAAATGCCTCGAGGGAGAATCGAACTCCCATCTAAGGATTACCCAAGCCATGCTTGGTCATATTGATGACCGATATGAGACCTTCGTACTAGCCGTTATACTATCGAGGCTTGATGTGATCTCATTCGACCAATCGAAATATATACCCTGAACAAGCGACCAGACGGTGTGAAAATGGTTGATGAGGTGTTGTGCGTCCATAGCTGCTCAATATACTTGTTGGAACCTGTGTCATAAATCAATGGTTCTCAATTGAAGTGTTTTGATCGTTGTATGGCAGTCAATGCGTGATTAGTGTGAGTTGCGATGGGTGCTCTGTGGTCCTCCATGAGATATCGATCGTCAAATTCGAAACGACAGAATCCGAGTCGAAATTCCACCAAATTGCCAGCAAGACCCGATCAACGATCGCTAGCTATATGAAGCACATACAAGAGGCCACTCAGCTGATCTGAGTATGAGTTCTAGAGGTTGAGGACATGTGGTGTAGTGTTTCCGAGATGGACTTATTGCAGCCAGGGTCGCATCAGATACGATCTGACATGGCCGAATTTTACTCTACATCCATCGTCGTTGCACATTGAGGTTGTGATGCACTCTTTGCAGTTGCGTAAGACAATGTGTCTGTTGATGTTGACGAGCACTAAGTATTACAAGTACTAATCTTCACTCATCGTCCTCTTTGGCCTCATCGATCTGCGCTCTCAACCCACTTCTGCCAACCTTCATGGCCAGCTCCAACTCCCTCTCGGCCTCACCCAATCTGCCTCGTCCAAATGCTAAATCTCTTTCTCTCTTCCTCTTCTCTTCTTCCACTTTCTGCTCTCTTTCCCTCAGTGCTTGCTCTCTGCGTCTCCTTTCTTTGCTTCGTATCTCCTGCTCTGCTCTTTCTTCCTCGGTCGCAGCTTCCTCCTCATCTGGAGCTGGTGCCAAAGTAGAGATGTGTGCTTCCAGTAAATCGTCGCGAGCCTTGGGAGGTAGAGAGATGAATCGAATGTCGATCAGAAGATCCTTGGGCAGATTCTCAAGTCTGGTGTCTCTGTTGAGGTGTTTCAAAGGTAGAGATTTGAGCAGGGCAATCAAATCTGATTTCAGCTGCGAAGCCGAAAGTTTCAGACGAGCAATGTGCTCGCGGTACAACTTCTCCCTCTCCTTGTCACTTAGTTTTGCATCGCGCATAGCATCTTCCTTTTTGTATTTCCTGCGGAATTCTGGCCAGTAGAGCTTTGGTGTTGCTTTTTCGGAAAGAAGGGATAGGTATGGGATGCGTGGATCCAGTTTCTCCTGTTTGGCCTTTTGTTCGCGGAGTTGAACGATCTTGGTACGAGTCCAGTCGGCCCAGACTTCCTTTCTGCGCTTTGTGGTTGGCAAAGCGGTGTATCTGCTATCGTCGATGATGCGGCCATCGGAGATGAGAGTTTCCCAGGGTATGTAAGGGGAGATGTGTTGATCCTCGAGCATGTCGCAGAATAGTGCGGCTCCGTCCTCGTCGGTCAGAGGAATGCCTTCCATGCCCTCTTCGTATTCGTCTTCACCACCGCCTCCAAACTCGCCGCGATCGAGGCCGTACGAGTCTTCCATTGCAGCCAGTTGATAGGCAATGTCGTCTTCGTCAAACTCCAGAGGTCCATCTTCTTCGGCATTGCCTTCTTCTTGACGCGGCGCACCACCCTCATCGTCTTCGTCGTCAGTGACCTCGATCTCTTCGTATTCCGAGTCCGACCCTGCAGCATCTTCCTGTGGTTTCTCCGGCTCTTGCGATTTGGCCTTGTCCTCTGGCTTTTCAGGCACCTTTTCAGACTCTTGGCGAGGAGGGCGTTCTGCGACAGCGACTTTATTGGCACTGCTAGCCTCGTCAGGACTCTTGAGTTTTTCATCCAGCTTCAAGCGATCGAAATCGACCAGGGCCTTCATAACATCATCAGGAAACTTCCAAAAACTCTCGTTGGTGTCGGGATTGTGGACGAAGCGTCGGCCAAGCTTGGTATACACGACGACCCATGGTTTACAGTTCGGGATAACTTCTTTGCGCTTTGGGCGATCGTGGGGTTGTGGTCGACGTCGTGGCTCGTGGGAGGGAGCAGCAGAGTTGAATGCAGGCTGGCCGTATGGTGGGTATGGATTGTACTGAGCATTTGATGGGTATGGGTTGTATGCGGCAGCAGATTGAGGGTATTGCGCGGCAGGATTCGAGTTGTACTGCGCGGGAGTATAGGTGGTAGGCAAGGCAGCTGGCGGGGGAGAAAATGCAGGTTGTGCCTGGGGTGGAGTAGGGAGCGAGGGAGAAGGAGCGGCAGCAGGTCGTGTGTAGGTCGAGGCTTTTGTGGCCGTGTTATAATAGTACTTGTGGCCTGTGGCGCATCAGTGAGTGTCGTTGTTTGACTTTGACCACTTTTTGTTCATACCTGTTGGAGCCGTGTGTTCGGTCCAGCCGGGCGGCAGCGACGGTAGATCCTGTGCTGCCTTGTACGTCGACTTGAGTCTCTTGCGATCAGGCGCGTCCATGGTGCGTGCTGTGCAATGGTCGATAGTATGGATGGAAAGAAGTGGCATGCACGGCGCGTCGAGAAAGTTAACAGCTCGGACAGATGACGTCCCGAGGCCTCGACACTTTGGTATGCGAAGCTTCAAAGAGCTTCCCCTTCTGCCAATGATTCGATAAACACCATATCTATCTACTGCTACTACCAACATGGACGAATTTGCGCAGACCGGAGCCCAGCAGGATGACCTGTTTGATGAAGTTCAGTACGATCAACCAATGCAGACTCGTGCTTCAGACGACTTGTTCAGCCATGAGATCCAACCTGTAAATCAAGACACCCAACCTGCTGCCGAACCAGAGAAGCCAGTAGATACAAACAAGCAGTCGGAAGCACATGATGTGTCTGCTCCTGCTCAGAGTGTATCAGAGCCATCAGAAGTCCCCAAAGAGTCGGCCTCGACTGCTACAACTTCGACCCCAGCTCGCGGTGGACGTGGAGGTGCTAGAGGAAGAGAAAGGGGCAGAGGTCGTGGTAATCAAGATCGCAATCCCCAAGATCGCAATACCCAAGATCGCAGCAACCAGAACCGTGGCGACCAAGACCGCAAAAAGCATGACCGCAGTAGACAGGACCGTCCCAACTCAGATCGCAACAATAACGAGCCTCGTCGCAACAACGAGTCCCGTCGAAACAATAATGAGCCTCGCCGTAACAACCAAGACCGTCCCAAGAAAGACCCGGAACCTAAAGAAACTCCGACCGAGCAACCAACGCAGCAAGAACAACTACCAGCAGCAGCAGCTACTACTACAACCGCCGAGTCTTCGAAACCAGCCACAAATGCTGTACGAGGCGATCGTACCGCGACCGGAGGTCTACGCAAGCCCAAGCTCAGCGAACAAGAACTAGCCGAGAAAATGTCAAGAATATCACTCAAGAACGAAAAACTCGCTGCTGCCCATGCAAGAGCCGAAGCAGACGCTGCTGACTTTGCTGAACGCGAGGAAGTCGCTGCCAAACGTCGACAAGAGGAACGTAGAGATAGACAACAAATGATGGGCGAAAGAGAAAAGAACAGACTAAGGAAACTCAAAGCTGTGGGTGGTAGAGAATGGGATGCCGAGAAGCCTGATGAAGCAGACGCCTTTGGAGGTCCCAGACAAGCCGGCGGTAGAGGACGCGGCGCACATGGTGGAATCGCAGGCCAAAAGAACCAAGACGGCTCCCGCGAAGGCTTTGGCGGTGACAGGGAAGATTACACCGACGGACGCGAGTACATGTACCGTGAGGATCGGGGCAGAGGAAGAGGTCGCGGAAGAGGTGGTCGTGGTGGTGGTGGTCCAGGCAGAGGTGGACGTGGCCCACAGCAAGAGAAAGAGTCGTCTCAATCGGTTCCCAAACCTACAGACTTTCCAGATCTGTCAGGTTCAGCCTCAGCTCCCAAGTTCGATACCGCTCCACCACCGACTATGGCCTTCCCGACAAAAGCAAAAGTCGAGAAGCTCGATATCGATGACCAACTTACCCCTGGAACGGAGAAAAAGTCATGGGCCGACATGATGGAATAGGGTCGAGGAGATTAGCTATCACGAAAACGCATTATATGCTCTAAACACGAATCGTTACTTTCGAGACATACCACGCGCTCCTCCCACCGCTATTTCAGGTCTGTTGAACCCAATCTCTGGACGTCTCCATATGAAGGCATGTCGTGGAGGGAGCTGTAAAAATGTACAATTGCCTCAGTGAATGAGGGGCGTCCGCTGAAAGCTGTGATAATTTCGACTCTCTGTAGGCATGTCTCTCGACATGGAAAGAATCGTGCATTCCTATAAGCGTAAGTCTGGTGAGCAATGAGTCGCTCTGGGAGGTGTGAGCAATTACTTTGTGGTACCTTACTCCTGATCGACAGCCCTGCCAACCCCTGAGCAAAGAGCAGACTCACCTGATTGCGTCTGTTGTCTCTAGTAACGCGAAGCCCTCGTGAAAAAGCACAGTGGCGCGAAGAAACATGATAATCCATCGAGAAGCAATACAATCCTTAGGTCTCCTCGGATCCGATTGTGGTTTGGACTGTATCATGCCTTTTCGTAGTGTTTCAAAGTCTGTATCTCCCATTGTCATGCTATGATACTCGAAGCTGATAGAATGCATAGCTCATTCTAGTTGGTACACTTGTTCATAGAAAGCCCACAATGCTACGACTCTCCGCAGATGCCTGATACTGGCAGAGGAAATCATGCATTGCTATGGCTACCTATGCTTCAGACACCAGGAGACAAGGCAGAGTAGCTCTGGTGATCTGACCAAAGTCAGTGGAGACACTTCGAGACCTCTGAGCGGTTGCTTCGTGGTACCTTCCTCGTCGTAAGACTGTCACGTCATCCTGCGCACTTTCCTTCACTTCACTTACAGTGGGCAGACGCGTGCCTTGACTTGCTTCATCGGATCCTCACTACTGCACAATATCCACCCACCACCCATAGAACCTTTACCACTCAACATGAACATCAAACCGCTCTGCACATCTCATCACACACCTCTGCGCACTTCACGCGTCATCATGGCTAGTACCGTGGAGCTTCCCAAGGAGGTCTGGCTCGAGATCGTGTCCTAACTCGACTACTTCGACCTCAAGACTATCATGGGTGTCAGCAAGGCCTTCAAGTCATACACCGAGCTTCCCGCTTGCCAGAAGACAATGTTCCGCTCGAAGACAGTCATCCCAGATGGAGACACCATTGATCTGGCTGTCCTCCGCCTACATCCAGCATTCGGAATGCTCTCTTACGAATGTGCTAGCGGCATTGAGGACGTATATCTCTACGACAGCAACGGCGATTGGATGCCTCTCACCGAAACAAGTACTGCCGAAGAATACGCTACCGACCCTCCTGTCGCTTTCATGCGCCTCCAGATCTTCTCCTCGACCTCTGTCCAAGTCACAAACAAGACTGGTATCACTGTTGTCCAAGTCATGAAGGCTCTCTGCCGCTTCTTCACCAAGAACGACAGTTTCGACGTTACCGGCGGCCGCACAGGATGGCAGGAGTGGGACGGAACCAAGCTCGACAGGAAAGGTCGTCTCCTTCTACGTGCTACAGGTTTTGATTCCTGATCGGTAAGTCTGCCAACATCATGCCTGTAATACATACTGATTACTGGAAGGCGCATTCCTCGCTATCATGCAAACTTTGAGTATGGCGCGATGCCTTTCCTTGTCAATTTGACCCTTTTCTTTCTTCACTGCTCTTCCTGACCAGAGCTTCGGATGATGATGCCTTGCTTTCATATTTATACTGGCTGCTGCACGATTAAGGCTGTGCTTTTATGGTTCGAACCATCATGTACTTGCTTTGCTATAAATGACTGAAGTGTCCAGTTATTAGCTATCCTATCCTGACCGCTCAATATCATGCTTCGAATTTTCACTCCATTCATACTTGCACCAGATTGTCCTATATCGAGTCAGAGGTGTCTTGAGGCCTGGAAGGGCAACAATTGTGCACCTACTCCCAGAGGACACGGAAACAATGTCCGAAAGCTCGACGTACCAGCTGATCCTACAGTCCAGACGCCCAACGTACGAACCTAGTCTGGTTTGCTTTTATCCTTGGTACTGTAGGCCAAGACGTAAATCACATTTGCGAATCCGAGCCATCAGGTCAGCATGAGGCCAAGAGGAGCGCTTCTACCATGGGTTTGATCAAACGCAGATGCTGCCCGTCAGCAACAAAGATCGCCTCAACCATCATCTTGCATGAAGTGCCTCCCTCGCTTCCGCTTTCCTGCGCCTCATGACCTTCTCGAAGATCAAGAAAGATACATGGAAGAAGTCAAAAGGATCGTTGATCGTGGGGAGACCCCCTCAGCCCGCTCTGAGAGGAAATAAGCAAAGAAAAAGTATGGCAAAAAGAAAATACGCATGATGATGTGCATGGTATATCCGTTCAAGTACGTGGGGGAAGTGGTCACACGACCATGGCATCATCATCCAAGCAGGACTAAGATCGATTCCTGAGGACACAAGCTAGAATTGGCCTCCCAAGATTGAAGAAGCATGGTTTGCCAACCTCCCGAGTCCCGCCTGCCACACTCTCCCAAGGTCGTCCCATCTCCACGGGGCAAGATGGACGGGGTGTGTGCATGGACAGTGGGAGAGAGCAAGCGACCACGGCGGCTGGCCATTATTGCCCAAGCTCGCCCCGCTTGGTCGCTTTCTCGAGGGGTAGCGCTATACCAAGTGGACCCTCTCCATATCGAGTTGCCAACTTCCCCGTCGTTTTGCGCGAAACATTATTGACCGTGGGGAGATTACCGCCGAATCATGAAGTCAAACCCGGACCTCAACTTGCCAGTTTTTGGGGAAGCAACAAAAGTTGTGAGAAGCCTCATCAGTTGAGTGCCGCGGTGCCGCTGTTATTTGTGCCCTAGTCGTATCGAAAGCAAGCCACACTGCATCCACGATGACAACGAGGTCCAAGTGACTTTTCGCACCAAGGAGTCAAGGTCAACACGAAGTCAGCTTCAGAAGAGGTCGAGAAGACTTCCCCTTGGGGAAGCCTGCAAAACCCGCTGCTAGCCGTGGTATGATCTTCGGCCCGACTACCTCTTCGGTCAACTCCTAGCGTACAATCTCCACGAAACCCCACGAAACTGTATGAGATTAGCCGCCTCCTTAGCGTGGCCCAGGCTACTAACTTTACTTCATGCGCCGCTGGAAAACCTTGCCCATGAAGGTTGAGCAGTCGATTCGATGGGTAAGACCGCCCAGACGAACAAGCTATCCAGTACTGCCAAGGTCAAGGAAGAGACAAGAGATCAATCGCAGCGTTCAAGCATGTCGAACATGATGAGGATGCTTGTACTATGGGTCTTAACGTATCTCGTGCTTCAGACACACCGTCTCCAGCTCACCCCTCAAAGACACCACCGGATCCTTCGAGGTTCGAGGGTGCCACCCACCGTGCGTGCCGTTACCAGGTTTTTGACGCCGCTCATGCACGATCACGTCCACGGGCGGTTATGGCACCCCCTTGACTCTGACTAGCAGCCACAAGTTGCGGAAGTGAGCAAAACTTCGCGAGATGGTGTTGACAGCCGCGACGTTATGCAGACGCCAGACCTAATTGCCGGAGCTATGCAGTCAGATTGACGTGGCGCACGGCGAGCTGCTCTGCAGGCCGAAAGGGCTTCTCACCGAAATTCATGCCTACCGAGTCCGATGCACGAGCAATCTTGAGTGCTCAGCGGTATGGTATGTTCATGCACGAGCAACTGTTTACCCCAGAGAGCTTCGACCAGGCCTGGTGGGCGGTCAAGCAAGACATCTGGCCATTTTACACTTCACTACTCGTGCAAAATTTGGATGAATCGTTAGATCGACGAGCGATTGTTGGCCAGTTCTGCTCATCCCCCGCCAAACCCCAGCTGCTCGAACCTGAAGAAGGACCGATTGTCGTTCGGAGGCCATCTGGAGTGCTGCAGACCCCAGCGAATCCCCACGCCGGACATGGTCTTCGGACCGAATACTCATACCTAGCGCATGCCGACAACTGGCCGTTGGCCCGCTGAACAGTAGACTTCGTCTTTGCATGGTCTATGCATCAGGCTAGACGGTACGTGCTTGTCCAGATCTGGAGTCCCCATGGGTTTGGAGTATGTCTGAGTGTAAAGCAGTCCAGAGAGGCGACCAGTATAAGAACCAGCTGGATCTCCTGCTCAGTCAACATTCATCATCCAGCATCAATTCGGTAGATCCAAGTCTCTCATTCAGACACTCCAGTCTCATACCATCGTTCATTCTTTTGAATACACCTTCATTACCAAGGATCTAACCGACTCGCTCGTACATCAACCAATCCTTCTACTACTACCACTACTACAACAACAATCGTAGCAATGGCTGGCGGCGGTATTCCCATCGCTACTACCACCATCGCTGGTGGTTTCCTTACTGGAAAGAAGCTCATCTTCCCCATCGCCCTCATCACCTCCCTGTTCTTCCTCTGGGGTTTCTCTTACGGACTTCTCGATGTCTTGAACAAGCATTTCCAGAATGTCCTCGGCATCACAAAGCTCGAATCCACCGGTCTTCAAGTGATGTATTTTGGAGGAGGCTACCTCCTCTTCTCTCCCATCGCCGCTGAGGTCCTGAAGCGTTTCGGTTACAAGATCTGTATTCTTATGGGTCTTTCTCTCTACTCCATCGGTGCTATCATGTTCTGGCCAACGGCCCACTTCTCGAGTGCGGCCAACGCCTCTGCCTCTTTCGGTGGTTTCTGCGCTTGCACTCTCGTCATTGCCTGCGGTCTTGCTACCCTTGAGACTGCTGCCAACTCGTACGCCGTTGTCATTGGTGACCCCAAGACTGCTTCTCCTCGTCTCCAGTTCTGCCAGGCCTGGAACGGTGTTGCTTCATTCATTGGTCCCCTCATCGCTTCCAAGGCTTTCTTCTCCGGCAAGAACGCCAACAACCTTACCAACGTGCAGTTCGTCTACCTCGGTGTTGCCTGCCTTGGTGTTGCCGTCGCTATCCTGTTCGTCTTCGCTAAGCTTCCTGAGGTTGCTGAGGAGGCCAGACGCAGCAACTCTCTCGTCGAGCCCGAGCACGACCTCGAGGGCCGTGAGATTGGCCAGGGCAGCATCTGGAAGGAGTACAACATGCTCTGCGGTTTCATTGCTCAGTTCTGCTACGTCGGGTAAGTCAAGCTAGTGTTGAGCTCTTCAAAACCCATACTGATAATTCGCTATAGTGCCCAAGTTACCATCGGTGCCTTCTTCATCAACTACGCTCACGACGAGGCTGGCTGGTCTGAGAGCCAGGCTTCCAACCTTCTCTCCTACGCTTTGATCACCTTCACCGTCGGCCGCTTCATCGCCACTGGTCTTGCCACCTTCTTGAGCTCCAGCTTCATCATGGTCATGTACACCATTGCCGCCATCGCCCTGAACGCCTACGTCTGCGCCGGACATGGCAAGGGATCCATTGGTGGTGTTATGGCCATCTACTTCTTCATGGCACCCATGTACCCCACTATCTTCACCATGGGAACTGCCAATCTTGGTGTCCACACTCGTCGCGGTGCCGGTATCCTCGTCATGGGTGTCGCCGGTGGTGCCGTCTTCTCCCCTATCCAGGGTGCCATTGCCGATGCCGCCAACGTCCGCATCTCCTTCGTTGTTCCCCTCGTTGGCTTCGTCGTCGTTCTTGCCTACGTCGCTTTCCACTGGAACAAGGAGAACTTCGCCGTCCTCCGCATCAAGACCGACGACGAGGTTGTCGCTGCTGCTGGTGTCGAGGGCGGTGCTGTTATCACCAAGCGCTCCATGTCCATCACCGAGCAGCAGTACGTTGGCGAGCTCAAGAACTAAGCTTAGGCTTTGTTCTCTGAGTGTGCTCGACTCGACACTATTGTATATATTTGCTTACGAGTTTCATTTTTTTTTGGTCTAATGTATTCCTGCGGGTAGAACAGAACAGCGATGGCGCTTTTCCTGAGGTGATTTGGGATTTCACGATGATGTCTATACACACTACTACAGTTTTTACGAAAGTTTTATAAAAAGATTTCACTCCTTTTTGCTACAAACAATTCGCTTCTTCCGCTTCTTCTACCTTTTTTTTTTTGATGTGTCTGCTTCTGCTCTTGCTCCTGTTGCTTGCATCAAGTGCCGAATTGCCATCACTTTGTCTCCTATTCTCCATGCGGATTCTGCAACACTGTCTGGCTATAGTATTGCACAATAGTTTTGAGAAACAGGACGATGTCCATTGAGAAGCCACCTCCTTCCCACTCCCCTACGAAACGTCTTGATCTGTAAACTACTGTGCCTTCCCATAGCATCTACACCTTCGAGAAGACGTCGATTAGGAAAGCCGCCTATTCTCCATCGCCCTTTCTGTGATGAAAGCCATCGCAATGCATAGTTCCTTTAGAAGTGCAAAAGCGTAGAGATCACTCGAAAAGGCAAAAGTGTAAGCTTATAATGAGAAGCGGACGGGTTACTAGAACGTAGCAGCACTAATGGAGTATAAAGAAAGACTTATAAGAATACAGATCTTATAACCAAAACGCTCTAAGACCTTAGCGGCGATAGAAGAGAAGAGGAGGTAGCCCCGCCAAAGTCCATTACTTAAAGAAATAGCAGTGTCATTACAATTAATCTGTTGCATTGAATTTAGTTCTACTCAAGTCATCCGTTTGTTGTCTACAGCTGACTATAGCATCGAGGCTTTAAGTCGTCTTTGACTGAAGCTGCACCTGTCCAAGTGACAATGCGATTAACACCACGACAGGCAGATCATCTTGCAAGATTTTGCTCTTCCTGCATTGAACTTGGAAAAAAGTTCTTGAGATCCAAATACTTGTTGTGAGATATGGGTCTCTTCTTTTCATCTCCCATGGTGGGCATGATGTCTTCTTGCTCTATCATTGCTACAGAAAACAAAACATCACATCAATGCTCTTGCTCTTTCCTCAGAAAGCTGCAGTACTGGGCCGTTCTTCCTGCACAACTATCTCCTCTACCCACTCTCTGACACTGCTTCTCAACTCTGCTTCTACACCTGCCTCCCTCCAAAAGTGACTTGCACCTTCTACTCTCCTCCATCTGAAATTCACTTTGTTTTGTGACGCCAATGCATCCATTTTCTTACACCAAGCTTCCAGCTTCGTGGAGGAAGTGAATATGTCTTTGGTGCCAAAGATGACCAACGTAAGATTGTGAAGTAGATTTTTCGGCTGGTGTTCGGTGTGATGGCGCCAGAAAGATAGAATTGTGGTTGATAGGGAGAGGAAGTTGGATAGAGGTGGTAGCAGAGGCGAAATGAGCAGATGATGGGTTGAGACGCGCGGTAATGCTGTTATCGGCTCTATGGTATCGGCCGACTGTTCTGATGGTGGTGCTGATGTTATCGAGGAGGCTGACCTGTGGTTGCGATACATCGCATGCCTGATCCGTGTTTGGATCTCAACAGCCTTGTGTAGGGGATCGATATGGCGATCGGCGGGAGAAGGCTCGTCGTTGCCTCCGTATATGATGGAATGCTGAGAGCTGGATTGTCGCTTATGTTGTCTTCTTGCCGGAGGATGATCTGACATTCTGCCTCGATTTTCGGAGAGCGATGTATTAGTCTGCAAAGCCAGCTCCTTCGCCCGTAGCAGAATCTCGGACACCCACTTTGATGGTTTATGGAAGATAGCTAGGATCTCTGGCATTGGCGGGAGGTGTGTGACTATCAAAGAGCCATAGGAGTATCCTCCTAGGACTAATGTGATGGGCTCGGCAGAGATGTTTTGCACATAGCCAGCAGAGGACTCCGTGTCCTTGGTCACGACCTGTGATGTTCGGAGTTGGTTCATGTAAAAGATCAAGTGTCCAGCGACCGAGATATAATCATCCCGTTCTGCCTTTCCAGACCAGCTGGTACTGCCTTCAGAGTTTGCGGCACCCCTGTTCTACATTAACACGGAATCGTAATAACATGTAAACAAGGATAAGCGATACCGAAAATTGAAACATCCAACCACAAAATCCAAATCGAGTAGTTGATCAACTATCGTTGTGACAACAGCATCATCCATAGAACCTCCTAGCGGTGCATATGGATGCGCGATCAGGGCAGCCTTTTTCGTTCGCTGTTGTGTCGATTGCGCATCTTGGAGGGAGACAGGATGGTATATCCGGCAGTCCAGAAGAGTGCCATCGGACACCGATGGGATGGTGAAACAATACACAGGCGTGTTTTCGGTCATCGCAGAATCATTATGGTGTCGGAGGCGGCAGCAAAAACTCGAACATGCGACTTGTGCATTGTGGACTCGTGAAGTCAGGAGTTTCGAAGATGCCGCGGAGGAAAGCTGATGACCTCGGCCATATTCTGACAATGACTAGCTAGCAGGCATCACGAATCAACGATCTCACCGCGAACCAGGTAAACAGAACTCTGATAGAAGAATCGCCAGACACAAGGATCTCATAAAAAAAAAGGTTGTATCCAAAAAGAAGCTCTGAGGATCAAGGAGAGCTTGAAATTTGTTGTTCAGTGGAGGTGGTGCAGACAATCATGAATTCATATCAAGCGAGTTCTAAGGCCATTTAAAACAATGATTTAATCGACGGGGTATCATCCAACTACTCTGTATCCGTGTCTTGATGGGAAATCAAAAGCTCTGGGTCAGGTCCATCATCTTCAGTATCCGTGTCAGATATGCTCTGCGTAGGACGCTTCGCAGCAAATGCTCTGTCCAAATCGCGAATAGCCTCACCATTATCGTGGTTACTGCCTCTGGGAGTCTGAGCCCCGTCCAGTCGACCAGAACTGCTAGTAGTCCCTCTCGTCTCTTCGACAGTCAAATCACCATCTACTGAAGCAAGAGCAGCCTCGAGAATCTGTTTCCCCTTCAAAAATGCTTCAAGCTCAGCACCAATTGCGGCGACCAAAAGCTTCCAATTGCGTTCTTCTGCAAGCTTGTGTTTGCTTTCGAGCTCTGTAGTAGTCTGCTCGAGCAAAGTGAGCAGTTCCTTGGTTTCCGCAGGAGAGTCGAGTTGAGATTGCGCATTTTCGCCCATGCGCGACATAGCCTTTGAGAGCGTCCGTTCGAAGTTGGCAACCTGTTTCACAGTCTCCTTCCAGACAACTGCTCCCTCTTCGAGCGCCTCTCGCTCAGTATCACCAATTCGACGTCTCTCAACCAGAGAATCTCGTTCTCGGCTGAAGACATCCTTCGCAGATTTCAGATTCCGACTCTTGGATGGCGAACGCCAGAAGCGATTCATGTCGGCAACATTGACAATGGCAGCCCGTTGGCTTACCGAGGAATCATGAAGGAAGTTCTGAATCGAGTCTTCGACCATAGCTAGGGCAGTTGTGTAAGACGCGAGCCTTGCGTCGACAGTGTTTTCAATCTCTTGGGCTTCTGCTCTCAGCTTGCGCTGATCTCCTCTTAAGCGAGCTAGCCTGGCCTCGAGGTCGTTGATCTCGGTCTGCATGTCATCCGCTTGTTTGTGGAGTTCTTGTGCGCGGTTCTGATCGTCACCGGATCGTATCTGCGAAGCGCGTGATTGCAATGCACTACGCTTCTTTTGCCATGCATCGAGTTGATCGACGACAGATGCAAAGTGGTTGAGGCTAGGGGCCAGATATTGCGACTCTTGAGACTTGAGCTGTGCCAAGCGTCGGATTGTAGCATACAAGCCAATCCTGGCATGTCGGAGATCGATCTTTTCTGACTTGGATGAGGTTTGGGGCTTCGGATTGAGGGCGCTGACGGTAGGAGTGCTTGATCCTGTCGATAGACCATCATCTTCGGTAATAGAGGTTGGGGAAGCATCGAGGCCAGAGAGCAGAGCATCGGCTTGTGCATCAAGGAGAAGTTGCAAGTGTGCTTCAAGTTCGCGTTGTTTCCGTCGAAATAGCAAGAGGGTATCGTCGGTTTGGACGGAGGGGCTGGAAGGAGACGAGTTGGTTGTGGGGATATAGATGCTGTTCACGATAGGTTGAGGTACGGCAGAAGCGGACATTGGGGAGAGGGTGCGCCATCTTGGATTCTTGGAACGGGGGCGAGTTTCGGGTGACAGGGACGAGGGTGACGAGGCAGAGGGCGAGTAGCTAGGGAGGGCATGAGAGAGCCATGATGAACTGCCACCAGTCAGTCGATCAAGCCGGTAAAGGCGTGTTGTCAGAAGCAGTCCTACCCTTCCATGTCTGGGGTATATACGATAGCAAACTAGTCGAGGTCAAGTCAAGATTCACATACAAGTAGAAGCAGGAAAGCTATTGATGTTATGTCATGGGTCGGGTTGAACGACTATCATGTGAACACATGGATGGACTGCAAACAGAGCAAACTCGATGGTCTAGCTTGTGAGAGGCAGAGCGCCCTTGACACACGGCGAGGTTGTACCTCGTGAAGTCGCAGAAACACTCATACACAACATAAGACAGGCTCGAGCTACGAGTGCCTGCCTAATTGGTTGAACAGAATTTGGCAGGAACAGTCAAAGAAGAAGAGTGAACAAAGAAAGAGCTGCCGGCTGGGCGGTGACGAGTGCGGGAAGAGCCGCTTTGGAGCATGCCCCGTTGCGCTTTCTAGAGCATCCGCCAGCATCAGCGACACGACAATCTTCACCACTGAGTTCCACCTTCCTTCTTACAACAACCACTCGACGCCTCGACTTCACCATCTAGCATCAACAAACTGAACAACTGTCACTTTCCATATATTTCCTCGACAAACGATTGAACAGCCACTTCTTCTCTAGCGTCGCGGCGTCGCTCTTTCCACGCAGCATCCCTCACAATGTCTTTCCTCAACCAAGACTTCGGCGATGCCTCTGACGACGAGGACGATTTCAACCCCGCCCCTGCTGTAGCCTCCGATGATGAAGGCGAAGACAACCAGGACAACGACCAGCCACAGAATGATAACGATGACGATGATCAAAATGTCCAATCCAACGCCCGCCGTTCGTCTGCCCAAAGCGACGACCAAGACGAAGACGCCGCTCCTGCTAGGAACCGTCGGACCAACGATGAAGATGATGAAGATGACGAGGAGGATGAAGAGGATGAGGATGAGGACGATGAGGATGAAGATATAGTGTGTCCCTTGCCCACCACTACGCCTTTCATTGCTAACTCACGCCTGTAGGGCCATCCCCGCAAACGTCGCCGCAAGGGTCCCCGCAACCAGTTCCTCGATGTTGAAGCCGAAGTCGATGATGAAGACGAGGAGGAACCTGATGAGGACGATGAAATTGCTGGCGAGGAGATGCACCCTGATGACTTGCTCGAGCTTCCTGCAGGCGCCGAACGCGACGATCGCAAGCACCGCGAACTCGACAGACAACGCGATCTGGCTGCTAGTATGGATGCCGAAAAACAGGCCCAAGCCCTGAAGGAGCGTTATGGAAGAAACAGAGCAGCAAATGTCGACTCGGCCGTTGTTCCTCAGCGCTTGTTGCTTCCCAGTGTCGACGACCCGCACATCTGGCGCCTCAAGTGCAAGCCTGGCAAGGAGCGAGAAGTCGTCTTTGCCATCATGAAGCGTATTGAGGACCGCGCAGGCACGAGAGAGCCGTTGCAGCTGATCTCAGCATTCGAAAGAGGTGGCGTCATGTCTGGAAACCTTTACTGCGAAGCCAGAGTTGTCGAAGATGTCACAACTGCTCTCGAGGGACTTCAAAACGTCTACATGGGCACCAAGCCCATGATGGTTCCCATTACTGAGATGCCTGATCTCCTCCGCACTCGCAAGAGCAAATCTCTCGAACCTGGAATGTACGTCCGTGTCAAGCGCGGCAAGTATGCTGGTGATCTTGCTCAGATTGACGAGGTCGAGTCAAACGGCACTGAAGTCACCTTGCGCCTTATTCCCCGTCTGGACTACGGTTTGAACGAGGATGTCAACGCTGCTACAGATGCTAAGCGCAAGCGCTTTGGCTTTGGCTCAAATACTGGTCCCCGCCCTCCCCAGCGTCTGTTCAGTGAAAATGAGGCAAGGAAGCGTCACGGTCGTTACCTGACAAAGGGCACTGGTTTTACTGCAAACACCTGGACGTACATGAACGATACTTACGTCGATGGTTTCCTCATCAAGGATTACAAGGCCAACCATTTGCAGTCCGAGGAAGTCAACCCTACTTTGGAAGAAGTCACCAAATTTGCCGCTGACGCTGAGGATGGAACTGAAAATCTGGATCTTTCTGCCCTCGCCGCTACCATCAAAAGCAACGCCTCTGGTGCCTTCCTCCCAGGTGATCATGTCGAGATCTGGCAAGGCGAGCAGCGCGGTGTTGTCGGAAAGGCTGTTTCCGTACACTCTGACATCGTGCGCATCCTCGTCTCTTCCGGTGAGCTTGCTGGTCAAATCATTGAGTCTCCTGTCAAGGGTCTGCGTAAGCTCTTTAGAGAGGGTGATCACGTCAAGGTCATTGGAGGAAGCAAATATTTCGATGAAGTTGGTATGGTCGTCAAGATTGTCGAAGATCGTGTCACCATCTTGACCGACTCGAACCAAACCGAAATCACCGTCTTTAGCAAAGACTTGCGTGTTGCTACGGATTCTGGTGGTCAAGTCGGTGTTGGTAAGTACGACCTCCACGAACTTGTTCAGCTTGATGCATCCACAGTGGCTTGCGTGATCAAGGTTGATCGCGAGTCGCTTCGTGTGCTTGACCAGACTGGCACAGTAAGATCACTTCTCCCATCCAACATCTCCAACAAGCTCGAACGTCGCAAGAACGCCGTTGCTACCGATCGCGAGGGTTCCGAGATCCACATCGATGACACCGTCAAGGAGGAGGGTGGTGAGGGTAGACAAGGTCGCGTTCTCCACATCCATCGCAACTTCCTGTTCGCACACAACCGTGAACAGACGAATGATGCCGGTGTCTTTGTGGTTCGCACAAACAATGTCAAGACTGTTGCAGCCAAGGGTGGCAGAGTCGCATCTGCTCAGGCTGGTCTTATGAAGATGAACCCAGCACTGCAGCGCCCAGGTGCTCAACAGGCTCAAGCCATGCCGCCACCACGTCAAATGGGTCGTGACAGACTTCTCGGCAAGACTTGCACTATCCGTAGAGGCCCTCACAAGGGCCTCTTGGGCATTGTCAAGGAAAGCACAGACACTCATGCACGTGTAGAGATCCATGGTAGCAAGAAGATTATCTCCATCAGCAAAGAGTTTTTAACTGTCCGAGACCCTGTCACGGGAGCGGTAATCCAGCAGTCCGCGGGTCAACGACCTGGCGGCCCACCAATGGGTGCCTCTGGCGGCAGCAGACCACCCGCTTGGGGAGGAGCGACGCCAGGTGGTAGATTCGGAGCCACTCCAAGAGCTTCAGATGGTGGGAGAACTCCAGCTTGGAAGCCAATGGCTGGCGGAAGGACTCCCGCGTGGGCTGGAGCTGGTGCAGGAGCTGGTGGAAGAACTGCGTATGGCGGAAGTAGTGGAGCCAGTAGCGTACCGGCATGGCAGAGAGGAAGCGGAGGCGGCACGAGTTATGGCGGCCAGACGAGTTACGGAAATGGTGGCCAGACAAGCTACGGAGGCCAAACAAGTTACGGCGGAAGTACGGCGTACGGCGGCGTGAGTGATATCCTGCATACCAAACTTACAAAGAGCAATACTGACAAGGAACAGGGCACATGGAACCCAAACACACGCACACCTTTTCACAGCGGCGGCACAGCCTACGAATCCGGCTCGAAGACACCCGCGTACGGCGAAGCCCCTACGCCAGGCTACAACAGCGCGCCGACTCCCGGAATGGACTTCAATGGTCAATATCGTACTCCGGCTGCTGCCCCCACACCAGGTTCCTTCCCGGAAACTCCAGGCGCTTGGAATGCGGAAACACCTGCTGGTGATGGAGGCCCTGGGTACGATTGAGCGTGGTGAAAGATCACGACCGTCGAGAGGCGAAGAAAGTTTTGCATTCACTGGGCGTTGTTTTTTGCTTTTGGGAGGCTGCGAGGCCGTATGTTGACTTTGATGGCCACTGGTCCTTCTCTTACAAAAATCAGCTTTTGATGTTGTATCTCGAAAACGTAGAAATGAGATTGCTGCTCTTCCCAAGATGTTTGACAAACTGTCTCTACAACTATTGCAATTTTGACAGATTTGGATGTCTGCCTTACACTTCTAGGTATCTCTAGGCTCAAGAAGGTGCTCAGATCGGTAGCAATGGTAAAGGAGAGGAGGCAAGAAGTGCAAGCCTCGGTCTAGCCAGCCTTGTCGATCAGCATAACTGAGTGAAAGGGCATTCAAAGACACTCAAGTTCTATGCCGCAAGCCGCAATGTCGAGAAACGATATCACATTCTATGCCACACACCTTCCAGATGCTTTCTCAACCAACATCACAGTCCTTGAGACCATTCCCGGGAAAGAAAGGAAGCTTGATATATCCTCCTTACATACGCGTGAACCTCTACGTATCATTCTGTGCCTTTTGGAAAATGCTCTTTTTTTCCCAATGAATGTCATGAACATTGGTTATTGCCAACCGTAACGTCTTTGTTTCTTTGCAAGCTAGCCATGGATCACCTCCAATTGTTCCCATTATATCATACACGCCTCGAAACTCCATGTCGTCACTTTTCGTACCTGATCTCGATATCATTCCTCGTCCTTACTTCTCATCTGCTCTGCTGAAAATTGCATTCGATGATTTTATCGTGTCCGTGGTTGATTCCTTCGTCATAGCCGTCTGTCGTCTGTGTTTTGTAACAGATGCCATTCGATGCGAGAGGCAAAGATCTGGCAAGATTGCGTGGAAGCTGTCGATGTTTGTCTCAATCCATATCGCTGTCTGCCACGTAATCTTCATCGTCGCTGCGGTCGTAGATGATGAAGGTTTCGTCGATCTTCTTGCCAGAGTGGGATGCTTCTCTCGCGTACGAAATGCGACTACGCTGAGACGGGGGCGGTGTCTTGACGCTGATTGTTTCTTCGACGTCTGTCTCTGCTTCTTCGATATCAATCTCGATGTGTTCTTCGATAGATGTATGATGTCCTTCGTCCTCGTTCTCAACTAGAGTATAGTCCTCGTCTACTGTCATGTCGTAGTCGGGCTCTGTGTTCTTCTCCCTGTACGCAAAACGAGCAACGTTCTTTTGGAATTCGACAGTTGCTGCGCTGACTTCAGTGTGCTTGACACCTAGGCCCAAAGAAAGCCCTTTTTTGACCATCTTGGCTTGCTTCGTAGGGTTCAGATGCCAATTTAGCTCGCCTAGGCCGATCCTCGCGCCAGACAGGAATGCCTCCTTTGCTTGTATGAGGTACGTCTCTGCAACGTGCGTCTGGTTCGCGTGGTATGACAGAGCAAACGCAAAAGCTCCGCCAAGGATATCCCATTGCTTCGGCGTAGTCTTTGGGAGGTTGATGTCAAAGCTACGGATGATTTCCGATATCAGGCGTGCAATGACAGGTGTGGGACTGGTCGCATTGATGCCAAACTGAGGCATAAGCCTAGCGAATCCTTCGATTGTTGCTAGTGTCAGCTCAAGATTCTCTTTCTTGAAATTCTGTAAGATATGCGTATTGCCTTTCTTGGTCCGCATCTCATCAATACGAAAAACAGTCGCCATATAGGGATTTCCGAGAAGATGGCGCTCGAGATCGGCGAGTGCAAAATCGTGAATGATGGCTGTACGTGGAAGGGTTGCCCAGATTGCGTACTCATGAGATGACGGGTTCCTGTATTTCCCGTTGTAGTAGAGTCTTAAAGGCTTGAATCGTAGGTGATAGGGCCATAGGTGGAATACTTTTTCTCTCGGCAAAGCACCGCCGCGAATCACGTAGAGACGTGGGTTCGCGAAAGACTTTGCTGCTAGTCTCATAGCAAAAAAGAGATTGGAAGTCGTACTGATCAGCTCGGACGCAGTGTCATCGTTGTTCAAGTGACACAGAACAGCAGCGAACATGCGATCGTCCGCGCACGATGGTGGAGCAGGGGGACCGCATGGCAGATACGCATGTCGGCCAGATATTTCTCCGTGTCGCGTCCTAACACCTCGACTGTGGTCATCGTAGAATCGAAACAGGAGTTCTGGAACCGGAGAATGGGCTTCGGCAAACGTGATTGGATCTTTGACAACGAGATTCTGGTCTGTAGCTCGAATTATCGGCACTTGCTCTCCCCCGATTGTCCTCGTTCTGTTGTGTGTGATCATAGACCGAGGACATCCTTTGAAGACCTGACGGGGAGCGATAGCGGAGGTTTGCTGTCGGGTTTCAATGACCACAGCCACGAGTTGACGCGGCTTAGGATTCTGGACGGGCTTCTGGGCTCGAGGCATTGTCGACATTGGAGAAGATGAAGGTGAACCTGTGACGTCGAGCTTTGCCATCTCTCGAGACACCCATTCTAGCTCGGCATCGTGAGAGGCCTCAACTTTCTGCCACGCCGGGCATGAAGCACGATAGCCCTTCTGATACTGAGCCTTGATAGCGGTTTTGGTCAGACCATTGGCAAAGCCTCGTGCTCGGATTTCTCTATCGAACATCTTATTGAAAGTGAAAGCAATCTGGTCATCATTCATATGCCGTCGATGAAACACGAACAATGCTTGACGGTGCCGTGGTGACCACGAAAACTTCGGTGATCGAGGTGAGCGAGAGCTCGGCGATGATGTAGGTGTCTGTGGTGCCATCATTGATTGTTTACGGGCAGCCGCAAGATGAGTGGCAGTTGTGATAGAGGTCAAAGCTACGAGTGAAAGGATAGAAGAAGGTGTGTAGTGGTAATCGTTGAAGTTGAAGAGAGCAGAGAGAGAAGATTTGGGAAGGCAGATGATATCGACAAGTGAAGTAAAGCAAGAGAGGGATACAAGCAAAGTGAAGTAAAATAGAGAAAGAGGAATGATAGAGACTGCCCTCATGCCATCATGCCTACACTACATTGGAACGAGGAAGGAGGCTTCAACCTGACGATTGGCAGTTACGGCACAAATACCTCAAACTCATCACTAATTTCGACCCTCACACAGCATGTTGGCGGTCTGGAGCCACTGGAGAGATCGAATGATGTATGCAAGAACGATGAGATGCAGCGGGGTTGATCGCAAGAATTGACTTTAAGCAGAAGGGACAAATCAACTCGAGGTTGAGCAGACGAATTGACTTTCGACGGGAGACCAAAAGGAACTCGAGGTTGAGGGGGAAAACCCTGCTCGAACGACGACAAGGTGGAGTCTTCATTTCGTTTTGTACGCTACCGATATTGAGGATGAAAATAGTAACAATTCATCGTCGTTGATGGGATGAGGTGGAGGTAGTCGACCATGAAGAGAGAGTTTGAGCGAAGCTGAAGCCTTCACGTCTCCAACCTCATGTTGACAACAAAGTTCCCCACCACTACCCGGATGGAAAGAGCGACTTCTGCACCAACACAGCTCTTCCACCACAACGAGAATCAACAAAGATATCCGGGCGCTGCCAGCTCACACAAGATACAAAATGGAAACCTCAAACACAGAAGCAGTAGAATACCTCCACCACCTCCTCAACAAAACCCTCCGCATCCACACCAGCGACTCTCGAATCTTTGTCGGAACAATGAAATGCACTGATCGAGTATGCCTGCCCACCTCAACCCCCTCTCCCCGTAGTCCTCTCTCACTAACACTCTCTTCCAGGAACTCAATATAATCCTCTCCCTAACCCACGAATACCGCCAACCCTCCCCGTCCACAATCGCCGACGCAGCATACGCACAACAACTATCAGGCTCTACGGAAAACCTCAAAGTGGATATGGTAAAGAGATTCGTGGGCCTGGTTGTCGTGCCGGGTAAACACATTCGCAAGATTGAAGTTGAGGAGTGAAATGAGCTACAGCAAGGGAAAAAGAAGCAAAAGAAAGACCTTGAAGAAGAGAGAGAGAGAGAAAGGCCAGAGACGATCGCACGCAGAGCGGTAGGTCGGAATGCTCAAAACATTGGTCGCGATACACAGATGGCGACAAGAACAACGGATGAGGCATGGAGCGCATACGACATTACGAGAAACGAGATATGAGATGGTGCAAAAAGATGCTCAGTTGAGCACACAGATACGAGAGCCTACGCAGACACGGCCCGTGAACCTCGAATGGCACGAGGCCGTTATCACGGAAAGCCTGAGGAAAGACACGATAGGACATCATTGTGTCCTTGGGTCGGCAGTGCTCCGAATACTTCTTCACTTGCACAGTAGATTCATAAAAGGAGAACGGAACAAAGAGGTGCAAAGCATTACTCTACTTCAAACCCACAACAGGACGCCTCGCTTCCAACTACCCACCCACCATCTGTGTCGCCGACCAGTCGTAAATGCATTCAAGGGCCGCTCGCACTATATGCAAATTCGATCTCTGCTGTTCAAATGCTCTGCTTCATCATGGTCATTACAGTTTGACACCCCACACTCCCTTGCCAGCACAAACTCCCAACCAATCACCGCCTTGGCCCGTCAAAGCGCTCTGCGGTGCCCAAGAAATATTGTTGACTTCGTAATCGCTTCTCCAGCTTGCCGAGGGACCCTTCGCTTGAGCTTCCCCTTGAGCACCACCGCCGTTGAGACTGGCTCCATTGCCGGAATTGAGAAGATCCCAGACCAGTACTTGGCTGTCATCACCACCACTGGCAAGCATGCCTCGCCGGCTGGGGTTCCATTCTATTGAGTTCAGTGCTGCTGAGTGCCCGCGAAGCTCGAGCAGAGCAGTGCCCGGTTGTCTGGCGTCGAGAATGCGCACAATGTTGGACTCTGCGGCGAAAGTCGCCAAAAGATGTGCGTCGTGTGGTGAAGCAGCAAGACGGAGAAGAGGGGGAGACGCAGGTAGACCTGCTGCTGAAGATTTCGTGGGAGATGCTGGCATGGCCGCTGTTGTTGCACTTGTTAGAGTCACATTGTTGTGCAAAACAGATTGAAACCCACCTTTGTCCTTGTCCGACTTTTCCGAGGGTTCGTAGATGATGGTACTGTGCTCTAGGCTTCGCAAATCGAACATTCGTACACTTCCATCAGCGCCACAACTGACAAAAACGTCGACACTGCCTGCGCAGAATCGAACATCGAAAACCTCCTTGTCGTGTGCAATCAGTTGCGTTTTCGCAGTAAGCGTCGGAATGTCCCAGATGGTGCAAGTGGTGTCAATGCTGGATGTGATGATAAGCTTCGGCGACAGAGTATTCCAGTCAAGAGAGGTCAAGGGAGCGGTATGTTCAGGGGTCTTGGAATTTGAGAGTAGAGCGAGAGGCTGCAATTTCTGGGTGGGTGGGTCGCGGACGTTGACCGAGGCGGATCGATTGATGTTGTTGGACAGCATGGCGGGCTGCGAGGATGAGGGAAGGGACCACAGGCGCAAGTGGTCGCCCGAGGTAGCGAGAAGATCGGTCGACTGTTTGGAGGATGAAGGTGGCTCCCACGAGATACGAGTGACTGGATATGCGCAAGTGGCTTCTGCGACCTTGACGTAGTCGATACCGTAGGCAGGACCGCCCATGGTCGACTGGTCCTGGGGCGCGATCTGTGTGTCGACGATTTGGATCTGCAGGTCTAGTCAGCAGGGATAGGCAATTGGATTGATCAGATGGTTGCGACGCACAAAATTATGCGGGTCCTCGAGGTAGCTGCCAATGGCCATTTTACCACAGCTGTTACCGTTGGGCACCGGCCATTTGCACCAATCAAAAGAGTAGGCGGCCCAAGGAGCCATGTAGCTGCAGTTGGTCTGGCTGGGAGGATATTCGTAGACGGCAGTTGAGTGACCGCCATGACGGTTCAACAGGTCTGAATTGGTGCGAGGGCGTATGTCGGCCAGGCCTAGGGGAGAATGGCTTGACGAGGGAGTGCCAGATGTGTAGCCTTTTGTGGGAGTGGTGGAGAAAGCGATGTACTTTTGATCCATGCCAGCAGGACTTGAACGCGAGTGACTGTGCTGAGAGTTGAGGGTGGGTGGGCGCGGAGTATACTGTTGCTGGTTGGTGTTGATGGGAGGGGGCATGGTAGGGATGGTCTGCGGAGCCGAGTAAGTGGTCGCGCCGGTTGATGATCGCGAAGTCGAGGAGGCGCCAGGGAGCAGAGTGTTTGGTAGATTGGACATGGTGTGCTGTTGTTGTTGCGACGACGAGGGGTGAGTTGGCGTGGCTTGTTGAAGGTGGATGTTGAAGTCGCTCTTGTTTGGCGTCTGGTCGAGGGGTGATATGGGAGTGTTGGCTGATGTGCCGAATGCTGGTATCGGCGCAGACGCTACTAGGCGATTGCTGCCCGAATGCGACGACGACGCGACGTGCTGAGTAGCTTGTTGCTGTGGTTGGTGATGGAACGAAGCCTGGTCAGGGTAATGTTGGCGCTGCTGCTGCTGCATGTCGGCCAAAGACGAGGGACTCCCGATAGCCCCGAGAGATGCTGTACTCAGGCCCAGCCCCGTTGCGATCGACTTTTTGTTAGAATGCGACATTGCCAAACCCCACGCGGACTCTCTTCTTGTCAAATGCTGTATGGAATGAGAAGACAAGGAAGTTTGGTCCGAGGCCTCACTGCCTTGTCGAGCCCTTGATGGACCATAATCCGCACGGCCCCTCTTACGACGACAACTCCATACCGAACGTCAGCCACGACAGCTTGCTCCACACTTTTGACACTATCCTTCGCCAATTCATCATCCATCATATATCATCTTCAAACCCAATTTTCATTCAAATCCACAAGCTGTTTGTCTCTTCCCACGACCACTCTATTGCCGGATCAACATATTGACATGGACGACGCTGCGAGTTTCCTCCTCTTACTTCCCCCTCCGCCATCACCGCCAACTATCCCTGCTCTCAAAGAATTATATGCCGACACACTCACCCAAGTTTTGAAAGAGGCCGATTTGGCTTCCAAAGAATCTGTCCAGCCCTCGGTCCTCGACATTGCTCTGGCTATTCCGCACCTGACAGCACAAGCTGCTATCCCGCGTGCCGAGCTCTATGCACCCACGCAAACTATACTTGCTGCTGTCTACAAACTTATCTGTCTGATTGCGGCTCAAGAGCATATCAATGTTGAAGACGCCGACGGCGTTGATGTCCGCATTCTTTCAGTTGCCTGGTCTCCTCAATCTAGCTTCGACGCTTCTGCGCACCCCTCATCATACGGCCCTGTGCTCGACTTGCAGTCTCTTGCTGCTAGCGGGCGTCCATGGCAGTATGCATTCGGTGTAGAGAACGACCAAGGAGAGGTCTTTGTCCGTGCCTTTGTTGCTGCAAAGCAAGCAGCCGCTGACCACCAATGCGATTGCCATCCATCCTCTGGAACCACGAGACCCACTACAACTCCTCGTCTGTCAGCCAAAGAACACCATCACGTTGCTGTTGGTGGCACTTTTGACCATTTACATATCGGTCACAAGCTTTTGCTGACCATGACCGCCTTTGCCCTCGATCAAACCAAATCTGATTCCATCTTAACGATAGGCATCACAGGCGACGAGTTACTCAAGAACAAAAAGTATGCCGAGCAACTCGAAAGCTGGTCTGCCCGCCAAACATCCGTCCACCGTTTCCTAGACGCAATTCTCAACTTTGCTTCCGCAGATGCCGCGGATCCTGTCGTAGAAGAGGTCAAAGAGTCCGGCCCGAACGGCCACGCAGTCAACATCACATATCCTAATGGCTTAAGCGTTCGATGCGTCGAGATCTGGGATCCTTTTGGCCCAACAATCACCGAGAAAGACATCTCTGCTCTCATAATTTCTGCGGAAACCAGAGCTGGGGGCAGTGCTGTCAATGACAAGCGTGCTGAAAACGGATGGCCCAAGTTGGATGTCCTGGAAGTCGATGTGCTGGACTCCACAGAAAACTCGAGTGCCGCATCGCAGCAAAACTTTGAAGGCAAGCTCAGTAGTACCGAAATTAGGAAAAAGCAGGCGCAAAAGACTGCTTCTTCGCTATAGAGGAGGCCCAGATCTTTACCGGTCTGATACGAAGACTTTTGCTTGCATAACGATCTTTGATCATCTTGAGAATCACATCACACAACAGCGTCTACAGGAGTCTCAGAACAGGAATCTTCCTAACGAGAGCAGTTCCGACTGGAGCACGTAGCGGTATTGCATCTGCGTCCAAGACTATCCTCAGCAAAGATGCAACTCCAGTCGCAAGATTGTTTCAGGATCACTGCAGGCTGGTGGTGCTCAAGTAGTGTCACAAAGGGGTAGATGGCGCAGTGACTGGCTTGTCAGGATGCTTGCATCGATGAAACAGTGCTGCCGTTAATGTGATCATGAACCCTGATCGGATTTATAGTACTAGAATCGATTACTTCACGCCCTGTACGAGAGAGTCTCGATTGTACAGTAGAGTAACATTAGCTGGCTTACTAGTCTCGAAGTAAGGCAGGTAACCAGAAAACAAACCACATCACCTCAGATTCATTTGGTATCCCAGGCAGCCTCTGTGTTGTTTGTGCTTGCCCGCAACTAGCAATTCTGCGTAGAGAAGAAACGAAAGAATGTTCAGGCATGCAGAGAGTGCAATTAATCAGCCGAAACCCTCCCCCCGCTCATGGCGCACTTCACCGTCCCCTGTCCACAATTTCCCTCCTGTGCCAGCGAAGCGACCTGCATGACGGCCTTTTTGTATTATAGCCGCTGCTCACCCATATCACAATCACATGATCTGATTTGTATGCAGTGATGGTCCGGTCCGATCGGTGACGGGCATGGAGCATTTCTGCCCTCCCGTGGTGTTGTTGGTGGCGTCGAGTAATTCAGATGCCAACAGAGACAAACACCCAACGACAGCGCATCCCACCTGACCACACCTGAAAAGCTAGCTCTCCCTCTTTCTGCGGTCGAAACTGCAGTCGTCATGTGCTGCAAGCCTTCCAGAGAGTGATACTTGGTTTGTCGTGTGCTTGCTTGTTCTTTTCCCTCCGGTCTTCACTCCTGCTCTCAGAATTCCTAGGCATGATGCTCCATAGAGCGAACTGAAATTCTACCGGAGCAGTATATTTCCGGTACTGAATGACATCGAATTACGCGATGACCGGGTACCGAGGAGCGCTGGCCCTCTCCAACGAGCTGTTACACGATATTCTTGACCTCATAGCAGCCGATCCCGAAAGACTTGTGAGTGTCGACAAGCGAGCATATCTATCTCGGGAAAGCTTCAGACCGGATCCTCTACCCTCTCAAGACCAAGTCGTACATATTGGCAAGTTTAGATTACTCTGTCGACGATTCGCTGCTCTGGGTGCTTCACATCAATTCGCACGTGTTACGACCAGATTCTCGTCAAAAGGACTTGCGAGACTCGAAGCCATTGCCGATCAACCACATCTGGCGAAACATGTCAAGAAATTCAGCTACAAAGTGCCTTATTTTTGTACTCAAGGTATCAAGACATCACAATACCCATTCAACGGTCCCTAGAACAATCTTGCTGATATCTGCATCCACAAAAAGGTCGAGAAAGCATACAAACCCTTGACACCCAAATTCAGCTGACCATCGGTAAACAAAACATCGACCGCTTCCTCAGCAAAATCCACGAACAGCAAAGAATTCTAAACTCCAAACGCGACATCGAAGTCCTACGGAAGGCAATGAAAGCATTCATCTCGCTCCAACACGTCCAAATCCTGCGCGTCCAAGACCAAGAAGACGAAAAATTGCTTACTTACATCCGCTATCATCAAAACATTACTCAAGCAGCGGAGCTCAAATGGGCACCTGCATGCGCTCACAGTGCCAGAACCATCGGAACAGCGCTTTTGGAATCGAGATCACCGTGCTCGCGATTCTCGTCTCCAATGCTGAGTCCCCAGAGCGCTTTGGTGCTGGCAGAAAATCCCACTGGGTCCTTTTCAACACTAGCGACAAGACTTACATGCCTTGAATTACACTTTGACGATGGATACTTTGACGACAACACGGATTTGGAAGTTCGCATGTTTGAGCTCTCGCAGCTGTTCAGAACCGTGTTTCAAGCAGCGGTGAATATGGAGGCCATACACGTAGGCTTTCCCTCCCACCGACCTATCGGCCTCCCTCTGGAAACAATCTTCCACAATGTGACGTGGAGTAAACTCGTGGCATTCGGGATACAAGGTTGGCGCTTGCACGACCACGAGATCATTGGTTTTGCTACTCGCCACAAAGACCGCTTACGAGGACTAAGGCTCAGAGATGTAATGCTCAGAGAAGGCAGCATGTGGAAGTCCATCCTCAGTTTCTTGCATTCAGAAATGAAACGTCTAGATTGGGTGTCTTTGCGCAGGATAGACTACGCCGCTCACTTTGACACCGTATGGGAGAATGCGGGTATAGAGCTCCCTGACGATCCTCCGGGTGGATTGAGCTCGTCAGACGAAGACACCGATTCCGAAGACGACATTTACTGGGACGAAGAAGCAGAACATCAAGACGACGAGACAAATCACTCCACCACAGCATCAGATTGGGACAGTGTAAACGCATCTGACTCCGAAGACCAAGACGGAGAAGAGCGCGGCAGAGCAGCCCACGAAATGGGCTTTCCACCCCTAAATTCGCCGGATACGCCGAGCTCGGTGCCATGGTGTGATTGCACCAAGAGAGCTTTCCCAATCAGCGTTGACGAGTTGGGCGACGACGGCACAAGCGTGGACACCAAGCAGTGGAAGATGTGGGAGAAGTGGGTGCTGGGCAGATGTCCTGAGCATAATGTTTAGGAGATCGAGACCTAGGAGTTAAACCTTGGAAAAGCAAGCAATCGACTTGGGGATACTTTCTTGCTTTGCACGTTAGCGATGAGAAGTACTTGTTTGTCTTCCCCAGACCAATTTGTTCACATCTACTTCATCTACCACCTGATCAGGGTATGGAGGGAACCGCTTTTCAGATGAAAGCTCTCTATCTCTTCCGCCAGAGAGCCCTCGGTCTATGCCAGATGGTCTGCAAAATCATGACGGCCACCTTCCATGCACTCAATACTCCGACGCTTTACAACTCAACGGCTGAGATTCACTAGCGATGTTACGAATGACGGTTCGTTACACAACAGTCGTACGCGCAGGACTTTTCACTTGACGATGCTAGGTGTCGTTGTATGTATAGGCAACGCCTTCACTGGTCAGTTATCCGACGAAAGCATGGACCAGGGATGAAGAAGATGTATGAACCAGCAGCTGAATTTGAAGGGTATCTTTCTGCTCTCTCTCAGTAAAACAGTACTGTTAATCTCCCGAGACCGTTTTCTCCCTGCCCTTGAACGCCCGCTGTGATGAGAAAAAGATAAAGACAAACATAAGAGATGGAAAAGTGATGGCCGCTCAAACTCAAGCCGGCTTCGCATCGTTGCTCTTGTGGGAACCAAGTTTTCCGGTCACTGCGAGATAGATGATGACGATGAGGATGATGACAACAATAATGGCGACGCAGATACCAAGGCAGTACCACTTCTTTCTTCTGGCGGATCTGGCCTTTGTGGTTGCAACGTCGAGGTGCTCGTTTGCTTGAACCATATTCGTCTGCGTTTCTTCGGCCTTTTCCTCGATGTTCATGATCATGGGTTCTTGCTGCATGACAATCGTGTCCAGATCCTGGAACAGCTGTGCCAGCTCAGTCATTGTGCGCTCGATTTGCTGGATAGCATCGTGGCGCTGGCGAACATTTGCCAACGTGCTTTGGGCTTGACCGCGGCGATCCGAGTTAAGGAGAGCCTGCTGGAAGATCTGGGTATCGGCACCGGACTCGGTGGCTTGAATGATTTCTTGCTCGGTGGCGTCAGGGTTGACGATGAGATATTGACGACGCTGCTGCTCTTGGACTTCCTTGCGGAACTGCGACTCGACGGTTTGGTAGTTGCTGATTGCTTTGCGGATACGGCGGTCCAGGGCATTGACCTGAGCTTCGTTGCGAGGGTTTCTGGACTCGGGGCGTGACTTGATTCTCTTGACGCGGTCGGCGAGGGCACGGTAGGCAGTCATGATCTCGGAGCCCATGGCATCGATTTCTTTGTTTGTGGAGTTTGTGCCCGAGACGAATTGTCTGTGCAGACGCTGGAGACCTTGCAGACGGCTCTCGACGTCGTCGATTGCGCGACCGACTTCACGGCAGTCGTTCAGGATGGCGTTGGGGTCTGAGTGTTGGCCGGCGGCGTAGGGGTCGGCGAAGGGGTCGTTGAGTGGCTGCATCTCGACATCGTTCTGAGCTCCTGGTTGGTGTGTCAGCAGGGGTCTTTGGTCTCGAGGTTCCTCAAAAGGAAAGGTAGGCAGCAATCGAGCATCGTGATGCGTCCGACGGGCGGCTAGGCCAGATGCTAAGGCTGTGGATAGCAAGACGTACTGTATGTGGGAGGAGTGTCGTAGCCAGAATTGGAGCCATAAGGATTGCTCTGTCCGTAGCCGTTGTACTGTTCGCATGTCAGCATTGCTGTACCCCAGGTCTGGCGGCGGACTCGTCTGTGCTTACTGCCATGGTGTGTGTTGATTATGTATGTTTGTGTGAGGATATGCGAGGAATAGATTGAGAGTAGCTGATATCGAGGCACCGGGCGCAAGATGTACTGTTGTGAGAGTAAGGGAAGAAGCAGTTTCGTCTCAGACGAGTAACAGGAGCAGGTGGTGAGATTGTATGGAAAAAGACAAGGGAACATTCAGGAGCCATGGTCTGAAACACTAAAAAGCCACAGCCCCCCTGACACTCGACCAAGGGACACCCGTTATAATTTTAGCTCACGATAAGCCTTATCCCCCACATCCTCCATTCCTCAGCTCACTTTCGCATCGTTCGTCCCGGGTCGGCCAATACCATGGTCTCTTTAAGTGGTTGCCTGAGCCGATCTGTTGTCTCTATGCTTATGTACTCGTCATGTCGTGGCTGTATACGTCCGTATACCTACTTTGAGTGCTGCTGCCTGCAGATGCGCAGTCTCTTGTCATCCTCCTCGGATGCCGTTTCCTCAGCCGCCCGCGCTTACTCCGTATTCCCATCAAGCGCTTGACTTTGCGCTTCCCCATCGCTTCGTCTCGTCGCCTCCTGACCAAGACTTCTCGACATAACCCAACTCGTGCTTGACCTTTGCCACCAGCTCCGAATCACCCATGTTCTTGCCCAGATTGTCGCTGATCTTGATGCACGGCCGTCCATCCGCCTCGAACAGCTTGATGACAATGTTGAGCGGCACGCTCTTCTCGCCAGAGCTCTTCTTGCTGAAGTCGTTGGTGAAGAAAGTTCCCACACCAAAGCTAGGCACCAGCTTGACTGCTTGAGTGGCATGCATGTACTCGATGCAGCGGTCCACATTCAGCGAATCCGAAAACACAATCGTCTTGGGTACTGTGATGTTCTGCTCGTCGTAGAAGTCGCGCATTCTCTTGATGAACTCGAATGGATCACCCGAGTCTTGTCGTGTTCCAGTGTATACTTCGGCAAAGCTTGGGTTTGGCTTGTCCAGACTGGGGTCGCGAGAGTGGCCTGGTGGCGCGGGTCTCTTGAAGGCTTTTAGGAAATCAGGTGTACCGAATGTGTCAGTGAGAGCGATGCTCAGCACTCCGCGGCCGAAAGTGCCACTCCAGTATTGCAATGCTGTCTCATTGGCTTTTGTGTAGTTGTCAGTGATGGCAGCGATACCCATGAACCACTCGTGAGCCACGGTCCCTATAGGAGACATGTTGTGCTTCATGGCCATGTGTACGTTGCTGGTGCCGGCCCACTTTCCAGGGAAGCTGCGCTTGGTCGCTTCATCTTTTGCCTGTTGCAATCCTTGCATGACCATGTCGTGAGTCTTGTAATCCCTTCTTCTTCTGCTGCCAAACTCGGAGAATGAGCATCCAGCCTCAAGCAAACGAAGACCCTTCTCATATGCCTTGTCGACCTGTCCTTCATGATCCCAATCCGTGTCGCAGAACTTGAAGTATGCCTCGGACACAAGAGCAAGCAGTGGGATCTCGTAGAGTATAGTGTCCAACCAGCGACCCTTCACAAACAGGGCAATGTCACCCTCATCTGACACGGACTCGTTGTCGATGGGAGTGGACGGCTGGAAAGAGAGTTCGACCTGTTCCTCGGGGTGGAGGGAGAAGGTGCGCAAGAACTTCAGGTATTCCGGGGTGAGATAAGAGCAGTGTTCGGTGAGGTAGTCAATCTCTTTATCTGTGACGCGAATGTTGGCGAGCTGGGCAATTTGGGCCTGGAGCCAGTGGTAGGCCTGGCGGTTGAGTTTGAGTTCGGCGGTGCGGTTGGTAAACCTGTAAGTTACCTCTGCGCGAGGTGTCAGCACACAGCAGCTCTAGCTTTGTCACTTTGTGAGGCTGAGTGCATATACCAATGTTGGGGAAGTACTTCAGAACGGCACATTGCATGGTAAGCTTGTAAAGATCCGTGTCGAGCAAAGATCCAATGCCCTCGGGCAGTTCGCCGGAGTCCGTCATTTTGGTATCGGTTTTGTTGGTTGTATATCGAGAGTGTACAATTGAGTGATCAAGCTTGACGCGCGAAAGCACCGCGATGGAAAAAAGTCATGACACGCCGCATGACGCATGGACTTGTTTCAGCTTCCGTCTCACCTGGCACGTCTCATCTCGCTGCCATTTCTCTAGTAGTGAGCCAAATCTATGTATCTACAGAGTATACGGAGTAACCTGGCGACATTCGTAAGGTAGGTTCAACCATCTACTGTGCTCACACACGAATGTTATTGAGTTCAGAGCCATGTGGTCATATCACATGGTTCGGACCATCACTACTCCCAAAGCATGCTTACAACACCAAACCAATGTGTTGGCACAGTTCTATAGTCTGCGCCGACCATCCGGAGGACATAGAGCTGGGCAGAGTGAGTACCAAAAGACACAGAAACACTCCTTGTGTATGTTCGGAGGTGAGAGGCTGAAGTCTCCTTGTTCAGCCTCCATCATTGTCCCGAGACGCACGGACGCAGCGTCATCAATACTCAGGCTGAATTCAAGTTGTTGCTCTGATAACAATTATCCATTGCGTTTTGCGACAGGAAGGCACGACTGGCGCTTCACTTTTGCATCAATTCACTGCCTTTCTTCTTCATCTCCTTCGTCTTTCATCTTCGAAGCCCAGCGCGTCTTGTTTCTCTTTTGCACCAAACCTCTCTCACAACCACAACGTCAAAATGGCCTCGTTCCTTCGCTGGTTCGTCTTATCAATTGGCTCAACTCCTTTTTATAGCTGACAAGCATTCAGGTATGGCGTGAAGCTTGCACAGCGCCCTATGCTCACTCAGAGTGTCACTACCGCCGTATGTTCCCAAAGGTTGTCGGCGAGAAAGTTCAGTAGTTAACAGTCAGGCCAGGTCCTCTTTGCGACCGGTGATACTATGGCTCAGCAGGGTGTCGAGCAGGTTGGCTTGAAGAACCACGATCTTGCCCGCAGTGCCCGTATGGCGCTCTACGGCGGAGGTGTGTATTCATTGACACTTGAGCTCGAGTGTGACGCTGACTGACTTGCTATAGCTGTCTTCGGTCCTCTCGCTACCACCTGGTTCGGCTTCCTTCAGCGCCGCGTTCGCATTCCTGGCTCGCCCAACGCAGAGATCCTCGCTCGCGTTGGTCTTGATCAGACCGTCCTTGCCCCTCTCAACTTGTTCGCCTTCCTGTCCTCGATGGCTATCATGGAAGGTTCGGATCCTCAGAAGAAGATCGAGTCCACCTACTGGAACGCTCTGTCCAAGAACTGGATGCTCTGGCCATTCGTCCAGGCCGTGAACTTCAAGTTCGTTCCTCTCCAGCACAGAGTCCTTGTCGTCAACTTTGTCTCGTTGGGTAAGTCTCATTCTTCTTCAATTGGCTATCCTTTTGTACTAACCAAAGTCAAGGCTGGAACTGCTACCTCTCTTACCTCAACTCCACCGGCTCTCCCATTCCCAAGGAGCTTCCTCCATCATAGAGCGTTGAACATGGCTTCACGGATATGATTTTTCCACCTCCTCCCGTGGTGTCGACCCTCGAAGGTTTCCACTCGGATTCGCTTCACGTGCTCAAAAAGATGGTACATAACGACGACTTTTCTCAGTGAAGATCGTCCAATACCTAGCTTTGCTACATCAGACCACAGACATTGTACATTAGCTAAGCAAGCGATGTTCAAAACGCTTCTCTATCGGCATCTAGAAATGTTTTTTGCTCTTCCATGCTTAGTATTTCCACGTGCTTTTTCTTCATCATTTTACAAACATGCTGAACATAACTACGACTCTCATGCTTGTGCCTTCTCTTCTTCTTCAGGCGTACGAGTCTTGAGCTGGAGAGCGTGAATGCCACCCTCGGCAGCCAACTCATCCTTCAACAGAGTGTATACCATTCTGTGCCTTGCTGGCTGCATTTTTGACTTGAAGGCATCTGAAACAATGTTGACCCTGAGAATTTGTTAACCCTGATCAGTGCAGGACCGATACTTCATTCTCCAAGCGGCAAAGCATAGAAATGACGAACCTGAAATGCGTCTCTCTAGAGGTCACACCAACCATTGCCTTGTGGTGGGCATGCTTGTGAGAATCATTGAAAATTTCTAGAGAAGTGGGCTGCAACTCTTGCGTGATCTGACCATTATCAGAAATTTTGCTCATACCAGTATACTTTGATCCAGCAAACACACCTTTTGCTTGATGGCATCTTCCATGGGAGTCATTGAGGAAGTCATGGTGGACAACGGCCTTCTGGATGCCGACGTGATGACTCGGCGAAACATTCGACTGCTACTAGTGGAATCTGTCGGTCAGTCAAACTTGTCTGGATGTTGATCTTCTGATAAGGCTGCTGTCGGGTCTACTTACCTGATCTTGTATCGATGGCGAGTAGAGTTGATGGTGAATCTCTGGCCGCGATGATGACCAAGTCTGGCTAGCAAGATATCATGCACGGGCCAGCCTGGTTGCTATCTGTGAACGACCTAGATCGTCTTTGCGACCTTCACATCCTAACGCAGACAACCTCGGACTTTGTTCATCTTCATTCACCGGCACGTCTGCGATCAATGACAGCGATGGCATACCTACCGACGTTGTTAGATCATAATTTTTTGAACGATGGGACTATGCCTCCAGGTGCTACAAGCCCTACTCTTGGTTGCCAACAGTGGTCGCCTGGACCTCCTTCTTTGGGCACTAGCTTTTAAGACCCCTCCGAGCGTGGAGTAGCTTTTTGGTGGGGCAGCCGCGTTTTGTAGCTCTCAAGGGAGCCGCGGTGCCTTATCAACAACACGATTACAGAGCCCAGTGGCCGATACATGGTTCGTCTTACGTAGGTTGCAAGCATATATCTACGAGGGCACTTCCCCCTCTTCCTTCTTGTTCTCTATGTACCGCTCCCTCCTCCGTTCTTCTGCTTCTTTTCCCTTTCAGTTTCCAAGATACCCTGCTCCTCCGAGGCTTTTTATTATCACTCGCAATATGTCTGGTCTTTCGGTCGAGCTTACTGCACCTAATGGTGTCAAGTACACACAACCTACTGGTCTGTTCATCAACAATGAATGGGTCAAGTCGTCGAAGGGCGACAAGATCTCTAGCATAAACCCCACGTAAGTCTGCTTCTCTGTGTCGAACAGTGTACGGCACAACATTTATGCCGGATCCCATCATGGCTTGAGAATGGAAGGTCACAGCAATGCTGTTTGCATAGCAGGGCTTGTTGACAATCTCGCTCGTGTCTTGCACTCGGGCAATTCCACCTCCGAAGCCTTATTTGACATATGTTCACAACTTCAGCACAATGGCTGACACACAACTTACAGCAATGAGAGCGAGATCTGCTCCGTCGAAGCCGCCACAGCCGAGGACATCAACAAGGCAGTCGCCGCAGCAAGAAAAGCGTTCAAGGGAGAGTGGAGAGAAATTGCCAGCACAGAAAGAGGAGAACTCATGGTCAAGTTGGCCAACCTGATCGAACAGCACAAGGAGACTCTTGCAACAATCGAGACATGGGACAACGGTGAGCAACAACATCAAAACTGCTTCAGCGGAGCAAGGCTGATCAGTCGGACATAGGCAAACCATACTCTGTCGCATTGAATGAGGACCTGGGCGAGGTCATCGGCACACTCAAGTACTACGCTGGCTACGCAGACAAGATCCACGGACAAGTCATCGACACCACGCCGGCCAAGCTGGCCTACACAATCCGCGAGCCCGTCGGTGTCTGCGCCCAGATCATCCCTTGGAACTACCCTTTGGCCATGGCAGCGTGGAAACTCGGTCCCGCTCTCGCCGCAGGAAACACCGTCGTGCTCAAGCCCGCCGAACAGACCCCCCTCGCTATCCTCTACCTCGCCAACTTGATCAAAGAAGCCGGTTTCCCACCCGGTGTCGTCAACATTGTCAATGGCTACGGTCGCGAAGCCGGCTCTGCCCTCGTTCAACACATGGACGTCGACAAAGTAGCCTTCACCGGTTCCACAGCCACCGGCCGCGAAATCATGAAAATGGCAGCAGTAAACCTCAAAAACATCACTCTGGAGACTGGCGGCAAGTCTCCTCTGCTGGTCTTTGACGACGCAGATCTCGACCAAGCAGTCAAGTGGTCTCACATTGGCATCATGTCCAACCAAGGCCAGATCTGCACAGCTACTTCGCGCATCCTTGTCCAAGAAGGCATTTACGACAAATTCATCGCCGCGTTCAAGGATCACTGCAAGGAAACCAGTGTTGTTGGTGACCCCTTTGCCGAAACCACTTTCCAGGGTCCTCAGGTTACAAAGCAACAGTACGAGCGCGTGCTCTCCTACGTCGAGGCCGGCAAGTCTGAAGGCGCCAAATTGATCTCTGGAGGCGAGCCCTGCAAGCAAGATGGCAAGGGATTCTTTGTTGCACCCACCATTTTCGCAGATGTCAAGGATGACATGAAGATCTTCAGGGAAGAAGTTTTCGGGCCTTTCGTTGTCATCTCGTCGTTCAAAGACGAGACTGAGGCTGTGGATAGAGCTAACAACAGTACCTATGGTCTGGGCTCTGCTGTGTTCACTCAGGATATCACCAAGGCACACCGTGTGGCGAGGAACATCGAGGCGGGTATGGTTTGGATCAACTCGAGCAACGACAGCGACTATCGCATTCCATTTGGCGGATGTAAGCAGAGTGGAATTGGCAGGGAGTTGGGTGAAGCTGGTCTTGATGCTTACACGAACAAGAAGTCCATCCATGTCAACTTGGGCACCAAGCTATAAGAAGTTTTTTGGCAGAATGATGGATAGAGTGTTCAAACAAGAACCATTCTGGGGTTTACTTGTACATAGCTATGATAGCTTCGAATACCACTGTCACGATTTAGTGGTTATGAAATGTCCGTTCGACAGGTTTGCGTGCTGAAGCCTCCGTGATGAAGCCTCAAGCATCGACTTCGACATCTCGGCGTGGACCAGAGTCGAGATCAGGCATCCAGCCCTTTGGCCTCTCCCTACCACGTATCACCAGACCATACAAGGCCCTCTCCACTTTTTCCACACTAGTCTGCATGACATCCATCTTCTTATCCACATCACGAGCGAACGAACTGCCGAAGCCCACATTCAAGCCTTCGAGCTCTGAACGCAGAGCACGCAAATCCGTAAGCACATCTCTGTGGCTACCGATGGCGGCTTGTGCATCCACGTCCATTTTGTCTCCTGCAACCGCATCACTCGAGTCCACTGAAGGTAGCTTTCCATCTGTAGCCATTGTGGTGATGGAGAAGCGCATTAGTTCGCCCGTCATGTCGAATACGCCCAGCAAGTAATCCTCGACTGTGAGTTGTATGGGACCGCCTTCTCCTCCCAGTGTGCGCAATTGCTCGACCGAGTCTTCGTATGTGAGTAGTGTGCCAGTGGTCAGGTAGTGCTGGAAAATGGCGGCTTCCATGTATTCTTGGTTGCCACCAGTGATGTTGCGTGCATATCTCCAGGCATTGACTCCTTGCAGCTCAGCGGAGACTGTGTTGTAGCGTTCCTTGATGATATCGTAGTATTGCGCGTTGTTCTTGTTGACATGTGCGGGGAGTGGTTGAGCGAGTTTGCGGATTCTATCGATGCACCATCAGCTTTCTGGTTCGCTGGTGTTTGATGGAAGGTGTTGTTCAAGCGGACCTTTGGAGGGTGAAGATACTGTATGTCGCCTTGTGTCAGCCATGGTTTTGTGGCAATGACTTTGAGAGAAGGGCTCAAGGGACGGACATCTTTTTTGATGCAGCAGTAATGTCTCGCGATGCTTTGATGGTGCGTTCACGGCGATCGTGGTGTTCGTCCAATTCGGCGCGGAAGGTCTCGAACATGGGCATGAAAGGCGAATGTTGGGCTTCGGGGGCGTCCATTGTGTCTGATCTCGGTCGCTTCTGGCCCATTTGTTGTGGTTGTGTGGTGTATGGTTTCTCTTTGTGCAAAGCTGCCCGCCTTTGCTGTTTGTAGAGAGCTTTTGGTGATTATGTCACCGAGACCAAACGTCTTGGCATTCATGTGCCTTTCCTTGTTCCGCATTTGGTTCCAAACCGCGACTTGTTCCTTCCATGTTCACCAGTAGAGAGTCAGTCCAGTCAAGAGACCACTCGTCTCGTCACTAGTGAGTTTCTGAGGCACTCGTCATCTCGACCAGATCCAAGTTTGCATTTCCCCCAAAGACATACCAGAACAAGCCACATGAAATCCAAGGAATGTGCAGCCGGAACAAAGGCATTCACCCACTTCCACGTCACGCAGTGCATCTAGATCCATCCCAGCCTCATGATGATCCGCAAACGGACACTTGAGAATACTCATTCTACTCTCGGTAGCCAACATGAAAGACCGGCCCGAGAAAGAGGTACAAGTACGGTCCGAAAGGCCAGCAGAACTTCGCGTTCTGACATCCACTCCATCTCCTATCGCCATTTGTCTTTTCTGCTCCTATCCTTCAATATACATTCAACATGCACAGAGCCTCTGTTGGCAAGCCGGCCCCAGACTTCACCGCCACGGCGGTCATGGATGGCAAGCTCAAGGGCAAGCTCGTTCTCCTCTAGCAAAATCACTTCACTATGCTGACAGAAACGCAGAAATCAGTCTAAGCGCTTATACCTCTGCTAATCACTGGGTTGCACTCATATTCTTCCCCAAAGCCTGGTCATTCGTCTGTCCAACCGAGATCCGCGCATACAGCGAACGTCTAGAGGAGTTCCTGTACACTCGCTCATGCGCCGTTGTCTTTGCATCCACCGACACTGAGCTTTGTCTTCGCGCCTGGAATCACACCAACGAGATGGAGGGAGGCCTCGGTGGCGTTCATGTTCCCCTCATGAGCGACAGCAACCACAAGATCAGTCGTGATTACGGTGTCCTGCTCGAGGATCAAGGTGTCGCCGAGCGCGCACTCTTCATCATCGATCCCAAGGGCACTGTCAGAAACATTACCATCAGTGATGCAGATGTCGGACGCAGTGTCGACGAAACTCTGCGTATCATCGATGCCCTCGCCTTCAAAGACGAATACGGAGAAGGCTGCCCCGTCAACTGGAAGAAGGGCGATGCAGGTCTGAAGATGGCTGAGCAAACCAAAGTCGACGGACCTATCGAAATGAAGAAGTCTTGGTCTGAGTGGGCTCGTCCAAGACTACAGCGTGCTTGGAGTGGCCAATCGCAAAGATCCATTGGCAGTGGCGCGAATCGGATTCCGGCCACGCTTACAGTGACACCGCCTTCACCGCTTATCTCGCCTACTAGCTCTGCTCAAGACATGATGGAGAGAAATATGGAAGCTGCGATGGCTAATCACCATATCGGTCTTGCTGCTTAGCATGTGATATAGCTATATACGCAGCAATAGAACAGTTGCATAATGAAGCTTCAGAATTTCAACGAATAGAGTGATACATATAAATCAAAGCACACGATGATGCTTTTGCACTTTGAATCTACTTGATATACTCAGTGTTTCAGTCCTCCAACTTTGATATCTTCCAGAAGTAATGGTCGCGATGCCAAGACTTTGGATAGGCAAAAGCCACACCTCAAGCCTCTCCTATTCCACCGGCTCGACAAAACATATAAACCACCAAAATCACATCCAACGGCCTCACAATCTCGGAACACCATGGATACACTGGCCCAGCCCTCATCCATCAAGTCTGAAGAAACCATAGCCAAAGCTCCATCAACAATAACAACTCTCTTCTCCAACACCCGCCTAATCCTCAGCATCTCCCTCTTATTCCGCGCAGCACTCCTCCTCTGGGGCGAATACCAAGACACAAACTCACCCCTAAAATACACCGATATCGACTATCTAGTCTTCACCGATGCCTCTCGCTATGTGTTTCACAACCAATCCCCGTACCTACGAGACACATATCGCTACACTCCCCTCTTAGCATGGTTGCTCTACCCCACTGCATTAGGCGGCCGCTGGTTTTGCTTTGGCAAAGCCGTGTTTGCGGTAGGGGATGTGGTGACGGGCTGGTTGATCTTTTTGCTGTTGAGGAAGCAAATGCAGAGGGCAAAGGCGATGCAGTATGCGAGTATTTGGTTGTTGAATCCTATGGTTGCGAATATAAGCACCAGAGGGAGCTCGGAGGGTTTGCTGGCTGTTATCGTGGTGGGTATGCTGTGGGCGGTGCAGACAGGGAGGGTCAGGTTGGGAGGTTGTTTGTTGGGTTTGGGGGTGCATTTCAAGATTTATCCGTTTGTTTATGCGGTTAGTATGGTTTGGTGGTTGGATAGAAGCAAGGCGGGTAGTTGGGATGGGAGTGGAGGTGCGTTTGGTGGGCTTGTGAACAGGAAGAGGGTGCAGTTGGCGCTGTACAGCTTTCTGACATTCAGTGTGTTGAACATGGTCATGTTTCGACTGCAAGTCTTCTCCTTCACTGTATGCAAGGATGGACAGGCATGCTAACAATTCTACAGTTATGGCATGGAGTTTGTTCGTCACAGCTATACCTACCATCTCACTCGCATCGACCACCGCCACAACTTTTCCGTCTACAACACTTTGCTTCACTTCAAGTCTGCTGTGGGCTCTTCTTCAGGACTGGGTGTTGAATCTCTGGCTTTCTTCCCTCAACTTTTCCTTTCGGTGGTTGCTGTTCCTCTGCTGTTGGCAAAGAAGAATTTGGCGAGCACCATGTTGGCCCAGACGTTTGCGTTTGTCACGTTCAACAAGGTCTGCACAAGTCAGGTATGCCTGGGGTTTTGAAGCTTCCTTTCTATCACGTTTGCTGACTGATGTTGTGCTAGTACTTTTTGTGGTATATGGTCTTCTTGCCCTTCTACCTCCCAACTTCATCGTTGATTCGACAACCTAAACTCGGTTTCTCTGCTCTTGGTCTTTGGGTCATCGGACAGGTATGAGTGTGCCCTTTCCATTTACTTGACCCATGGCTGACAATCCTTGCAGGCTCTATGGCTACAGCAAGGATACATGCTCGAGTTCCTCGGCAAGTCGACTTTTGTGCCAGGGCTCTGGGTAGCCAGTGTCCTCTTCTTCGGCATAAACTGCTGGATCCTGGGTATTGTGGTGTCCGATATTGCACACCAACCTTCGAGCCCATCCATCAAGTAGATGTAAATGTGCGAAACCAGTACTCCCTGTTGTACATGGCTTCTCTTTCTTCTTCCTTCTTCCACAAAAGCAATGCCTCTGGTTCATCCATCCTCCACATCATCAAGCACACCTTCATTATCCGCTTGCGTAGACACCCAATTCTCCAACATCTGCGTACCAGCCGCATTGCCTCCAGCAGACTTCTTGACTCCCTTGCGCTTGACGATCAAACACAATATCCTTCCATAGATGCCGAAACCCTCGTATGCAGTATTGATGCCCAGCTTTTTCTTATCGTCCTCCTCAGCATCCTTGACTTTTGTCTTTTTCTTCTTCCGCGGTGCTGCTTCCTCTTCCTCATCGTCTTCCGATTGCACAAAGATATGTTCGTTCTCATCGTCTGCGCCTCGTGTTCGTTTCGCGCGTGATGGTGCAGCAGCAGTGTCGATATCGGGTATGTTCTCCAGAGCCACGTCTTCGGCTTCCTCTTCGAGCAACACAGCAGGCATCTCATCGTGATCTTCCACTCTGATAGCAGTATCCGCATTCGCTCCTCCCATCCACTGCGTAAGTTTGCTTGCGTTGCTCTCCAATTTCGGTTTCGCAGAGAACGTCTTTTGTTTGGTGAGCATCGCATGGCTCGTGCTCGTTTCCGTCAGGAAAATAGACACTTCAAAGTCATCCCCCGACACCACATCCCTCACTCCTCGTTTCTTTTTGCCTTTGGATTTTTTGGCTGCGTTTTCATTCTCCTCTCTCAATTTCGGAAGCACCAATGGCCTCACAGCTTCGATGACGCGAGGAAGTACTGGTGTGCGTGGGTTTAGGAGCCATGAGTTGGCCAAGGCTGGGTTGTCGAGGTAGATGCGTACTTCGAGGACGGAGTATTTGGTGATGCGGAGGTAGCGGCGTATGGGTGCCATTGCGTGGCGGGGAGGTTGGTGAAAGGTGTAGTATGGATGGGAGATGGAGGAGGTGTTTGTGTAAGAAGAGTGAACGAGTGACACGAGCTTTGACGTCATTGTTATAGGGCAGGGTTGTCCCCTTTTCTTGGTTCCATTTGCATCTACACTTTGCACACAAGGGATATGTTATTATAAACGTGTAGCTATGATCATCCGCAATGATTCGTGATGGACTGGACGCATAACATGTATTAAAAAGCAACATACCATTGCTATAGATTAGCAAGGTACGTAGAGAGACCCATGCTCTTGTAGAGCAGGAACATTCTGGACAAACGAGAATTCACTAAATGCAGAAACTCGGGACGCGACGCGGTGAAAGAAGACAACAGTCAGGAATCAATGGGGTAGCTATAATCTCTCTTAAAATATGTATGCGTAATAAAGAGGTCGATCGAGTTGTGTGCTGACGCCAGTGCTATGCAGAGCCACCAATTGGCAACCCATGTGATAAATATCCTCCCTCCATCCCAGTGCAAGAAAAGTCACCCCTTAACGCCTCGGTCATGATTCCATCCTCAGGACCTGGCTCTCCGTGAAAACGCCGTTGGAAAATGCCATCGTTTACGACAAATGGAAAGCTCCTTGTCCTTCCTTGATCGCAACACTCAATTTGGCTCTCAGCATTTCTTGAGAGGTGTAGTTAGGCATCTTCAAGTAGTTGACGCATGTCATGACACTGGGCAGGTAGTCATCAGGCATCAATGGAGGCTCATTGGGCTTGCACACCACAGTGAACATAGGAGTCAATGATTTGAATCCTGCTTCGTGGTTAGCATGGTCATTCGATATAGGGATAGTGAACTGTGACTTACCTCCAATAGGGAGCTTAGGACTACCAGTGACGAACTGCAGGAAGTCGCGTCTTTCGGGCAGAGTAAACTCTGACATGGTCTGCAGAAGGTTCTTGACGCTTGCGCTGTCGAGATTGAAGCCGTGATCTGCCTTGATCGAATCCATAAGTGTCTCAAGGGACCAGTCCTCCTCTGCACGGCCAAACAGCATCACCAGCTCATCAGGCGTGAACGCCTTGAGAGCCGAGTACGGGAAGACCTGTGAGAAGCCAGCGCAGAACGCATCGACTTGTCTTTGTACTCCTTGACCGAGAGTAAAGTCAATGACCTTCTCGACATACTGCTCAACATTGTCAATGGTTACATCGATTTCAGCACCGTTAGGTTGTAGCTCGATGGTGGGGTAGCCAGGCAGTGTGAAGTCAAGGCCAAGATCCTCAATTGATGCATCCTTGATCCTGATGTCTTCGATAGCTTGGGTCTTCTGTTCTGAGGAAAGTCCTGCATCGTCTTGGATTTCCTGCTTTGCCCTAGCACAACGTACGAGTGGCTTCAAGGAGTTGGCAAGGTCCTTGTCCACAGAAGCAACAGCACCGAGGGACGGCTTGATTGTAGAGTTGCCAGCGCCAATGCGGAAGAAGGTGGGGTTGAAGGAGACATCGATGATGCGCGAGTCGAGCATGGAACGTGCAACGAACTTGCCCAGCATCTTGAATAAGTGCAGCACTTTCTTTCCATGGTCATCCTTCGACTGCTCCTCGCTCATCGGTGCAGGGAACAAGCCGCGCATGCCGAAAGCGTAGTCATCACCAGCAATCGACTCATTCTCACGCCAGAGCTTGATCTTCTTCTTGGAGAACTCCCTGGACACTGTCGAATAGAACTCAAGAGTTGGACCGAGGCCGGTTCCGACCTCCTCAAAGTATTCGACCTCAAGGATGCTTGGAGATGAACCATAAAGCTCCATAACCTTAATGGCAGATTCTAGAATTCTACTGCGAGAGATGCGAACCTTCTGTCTCTGTAGACGACCCAAGAAAGGCCGTTCATCACGATGGCGCCTGGACTCATTCTCTGATTGGGCATTCTGCCATCTAGTCATAGATCTTGAGTAGCCAAAAGAGGTCGACTGGAGGAAGAAATGTCTGGTTTCGAATGGGAATAGGAAGGGATACAGGCGAGCAAGGTCCTCACTCCAAGTGGGAAGGCAGTTGCTGGCAACGATGAGAGGCTCTTCAAGTTGGCGGTTGAGCTTGGCGGTCAACTTGGTGTTGACGAACTGGGCCAACGGCTCTGAGCTCATCTGTGTGTCATTGCTTTGTTCTTCGGCGATGATATCCTCCAAATTGGCGTTCATGTCATGCAGAGTGCTCATCAAACGAAGAATGGCGGCGGTAGCAGGATGCTGACTAAGCGAAGGTGGCAGCTCAGAAGTTGATGCTGCAGATGCGTCGGAGGAAGAATGCAGTGTGCTAGATTCTGCAGGAGGGGGCCCGGGAGCACGTCTGAAAGATATCTTGTGCAGTGTTGACCAGATGTTGCGGCCCGAAACCTCATCAGGATTGGTCTGGTTGAAGTGAACAGCGCGGTAGATTGTAGTGTCATTTGACAAGGGCTGACCATCAACGCTGAATTCAATGTGCCAATCCTGAGAGACAGGCTGGAGTGAAGGAGTTTTGGCAGCAGGTCTCTGGGAGGTAGGCGTAGAGAGTAGTTCCCGAGCCGCGGCAAGTCTCGCAGAAGCAGAAGTGCGAGAGGTCGCAGACTGCTGTGATCCTTGCAGCGGAGTGCTGATGCGAGTGCCATCCTCCTTGTGAGCAGTCACTTTACCGCTGTTAGCAACTTCCAGATTTACTGCCGAAGTGTCCTGGTCGGCATCGTCCATGTCTTGATCTTCGTCGTCGAGGTCGTCAATGATGGCGTCAAGGTCCTCTTCATCCTCCTCGTCTTCGTCGGAGAGAGCAGCTTCATCGACGCATTCAAGCTGGTGTTGGTCGTCTTCGGCCGCATCAGAGTCCTTCTGTGAGACCTTACGAGATGATCTACGCAGACGGCTAGTTGCATCACCGCTGTTCTGAGGGGTAGTGTCAGATTTCGATGCTCTTGTATGGGCACGCTTGTTTGCAGGGGGAGTCGAAGCGCCTTCTGTAGCACTTCCATCCTGGCGAGTAACTGCTTCGGCGAGGCTGTTAGTCAGTGCGTCACGGCTGCGTACAGCTCTCTCTGCGAGACTGATTCGTGGGCGGAGATAATCATCAAGAGCTCTGAACGTCGCGATGGCATGAATCGAGACCATGATGTTTCTGTAAGGACGAGGAATGCCAGAGTCATCGTCTGCTGATAGCTTGATGCGCAGCTGCTTGGCAAGCATAGATGCTGCGCCACTTCTACTGCTATCAGAGGCGTTCTGGTGAACAGTGATTACCTCAAAGTGCTCCGTACGGCTGAGCAGGTCTTGTAGTTTGTGGACCAAAGAACTGAAAGCAGTGGCTGGGGAAGCTGTGTCGCTGACCGCAGCTGTGGCCTGACTTCTTTGTGACATGAACGCATCCAAAAAAGCCGACCTGGCAGCACGGCTTGTGTGGATGTCTGAAGACTTGAAGATCTCGAGAAGGGTTGAGACGATATCAGAGGTAAGCAACTCGTAGCTCGTGATGGTCTCGAGAGAGTCGCCATAGAAGTGCTTGGCTAAGCGTTGGAATAGTGCGGGACCATCGGATAATTTGTTTGTAGTGTAGCACTCGCGAAGGTCCTGAGCGAGCTGCTTGAGCTCCGACAATGCTCTCGAAGCTTCACCGAGTCCACCATCGGTCTGGTAGGCCTCGACAAACTTGCGGGCTCGGGACGTGATAATGTCCCGAACGCTGGCAGTAGGAGGTGTATGCAGGTTTGGTGCTCCAGAGTCAGATCCCAAATCATCATCGTCGTCGTCATGGTCACCATCATCATCATCATCGTGTTCTCCAGCAGACCCTTCATCAGGATAATCAAGTTCGCTGGGCTCTCCATCCTCGTCTTCACCATGCTCGGGTCTCACAGGGAGGTCTGCGGAGAGAGAAGGTGCATCAGCAGGCGGCGCTGAGGTGGTATCTGCCTCAGTGGTGTTGCTGGGAGTGAGTTCGCGCTGTGCAAGCTTGCTAATTTCAGCCATAACACCTTCACGGTAGAATTGAGGTCTGTATGTAGACTCCAGACGCCTGAGAAGAAGTTCGGCGATTTGCAATGCAAATGTGACAAGCATTGGGTTCTCTTCTTGTGTTAGGATCGATGCAAGATGTGATGCGTAAGCCACGCCGGAGAGGGCAACCTTGAGTACATCAGTGTCGAGATTAGAAAGCATCTTCAGCTGTGCAGTGAGCACCTTCTGCCTGACGCTAAGGTTGACAGTACTGGTGTATGCGTGCATCAAAGTTGGGAATAGGATCACTGCAAAGCGTCGAACCTCAGGCTGACACCCTTGCAAGAGCTCCAAGCGGTTGTCATTAGGCGAGTTACGAGCACGAGTGCCGATTGAGACGTTGCCCGAACCAGAATTACCAGCGTCAGTGAGGTCGTTGATGAACATGAGATTATCTGGCGAAACACTAGGAAGGATCTCGCAGACAACGTTCAGAGTCTCGAAGATCTGGTCGCGTGGCGTGCGGATGAGAGCTTGCATAATGATGTTCTTATCAATCTTGACAGCAGCATCGTCGTTGCTTGCTGGGGGCGAGACTCCGGTGAGGATTTGGTAGAGAGTATCAACAACATCCATACGCAGCAATTCAACCGCCAGTCGCGGACTTGCTCTTGCGGTGATGGACAGAACGCGCAGGAATTGGGTATGGATGCTGGGTCCAATCATCGTGGTTGTGCCAGGTAAGAGTAGTCTGAGAACAGCCTTCAGCAGTTCGGGACTGACCAGTTCTTCGAGCTTGGACTCGCGATATCTGAAGCTCTCTACGATCCTAGAAACACAGAGCGAGCCTTGTTCGACAACCCGCTGATCACTACTCGACAGGACGTTGAGAAGGATAGGCATGACATCGCGTACGGTAGGGAACGAGTCTTCAGAGAGGTTTCTGCAGCAGTTTGCGGCAGTAGTAACGGCGCTTCTTTGGGTGCTTGTTGCGAAGAAATCGAGGTAAGTCAAGCAAGCGTTCAGCCCACCTTCACGAACGATAGAGGCAGGAAATTCGATCGAAATCTTCTCCAAGGTGCTGAGTGCTTGCTCGGCAACGTCAATGTAATGGATCTCGAGGAGCTTCTGGCACAAAACAGGGACAGCGCCACCGTACACGACACTTGCGGTTGCCTGGGGCAGGGCTTCCATCAAGTTTGCGATACATCTGCAAGCCAACAGCATCATCTCAGGGTTCTCTTCACCAGTAAAGTCGTTCGGCTGCATGAGCTCCACCAACTCCTTGACGAACTGATCAGGGGAGAAGTGGCCAGCAAGATTATCTTCATTGGACACGAGCAAAATTTCGGAGAGCTCAGTGAGAGCGACCATTTGGACCGAGGGGTCCTCCTTTGCTCGGAGGTTCTCCAGGATACCTCGTAGACGGGTTGTCATGCCAGACATCATACCACTGAGGGCGCGAAGGGTGCTTGAGAGTCCAGCAGGCATGCCTGAGCGGCTAAGAAAGGCGCCAGAGAAAGGGTCGTCGCCTGGTTCACCTCCCGAATATCCTAGAGCAGCAGCGGCAGCGGCGGCAGCATCTTCATCGTCATCTTCGTCTATTCCCTGGTCGTCATCATCGTTGTGCTCGGAATCATCCTCGTCGTCATGATGCTCAACGGGCATGCGTGGTGGTTCGGGCTCGGGGCGACTGGACGAAGCGTCTTTCTTGTGTGAGGACTTCTTTGAAGACTTGCGTGAGGACGAAGGTTGAGCAGAGGTGGGAGCTAGGACAGAGTCAGAGGCATGATGAAGAGAGATGGAAGGAAGGTTTGGCGGACCTTGGTTACTCTTTCTACGGGACGACCTAGGCTTGCTGGTCGAGGCATGGTCGTCTGGTGATGTGGGCGAGTGTCTGGATGATCTGACGGCCGGACGGATCAGATCTTGGTCGTCATGGCTGGACGAAGACATGTTCTTGGAGCGCTTTGGTGACTGAGCCTGGCCAGACGGAGGGTTGGAAAGGCGAGCTCTCTTGGATCTGCGGGGTTGAGCGGTGTCCGAAGGGGCAGGCGGAGATGGATCGTCCTGGGACTGCTTGCGCTTGCGGGATGAGGACGAGGCGGTGGCGTTGGATGGCGGAGGAGGTTGGAAAGAATTGGCAGGAGTGGTCTGAGTAGAAGGGTCGGTGGTAGGGGGGGCCGGAGCGGCAAGTCTCGCTGAAGAGCGAGTTACTCTGGGTGGCATGAGCGGCAGGTCGACCAAAGGTCTTGGGTCATTTAGGCAAGTGTGGGGTGGGAGATGGGAGACGGATCAAGTGAAGCAAAAGTTGTGATGATGAGGGTTGTGTATGTGATGGACGCAAGCGTGTTGGGTTGGCTGACCTTGAGGCGGTTGCACTTGATGAATGTCTGAGTGGTGGCTCTGGCTCATCCATGGAGCTTTCTTTCACAGCTCCATAAGCGAACGGAAAGAGCAAGCCTGCGCGGGAATCGTGTTGCTGCCTGGCACAAAGACGTTCTTCACTCGGTCGTCACAACAAGACAGCAGGCTGTGGTATAGCAGCAATCTCCAGAGTTACAGTGACTGAGCGCTGGCCAGTTACTAGGTAGAGTACTGCCCAGAAGACACCGAGCGTATCAGCCCCGTTACGACGTGCCGAAGCGATCAAAGCGCCTCCTTCCGAGAGACAGGATGCCACCATTTGATCTCATGCCCTCCAATCTCGTCCAATCACCGCCCCTCGGAGAGTCGCACATCTCTAATTTCATGCTGCAGCATAGATCACCAGGTCACGTTGTCCATATCACTCAGACATGGCCGTCTCTATATCGATCCTGTCCTGCTGCCTGTCTTAGCTTCTGCTTCCTTAACGCCGGCCAAGCAGCCATGTCGTCACCCAAAACGTTGTTCTCTCTATCGAAGCTCGGGCGCGAACCTTGAAAGTCTGATCGCGCTGTCATAGACGGCCAGCCAACACACGCGACACGTTCACTCGATTTTTCTTCCCTCCCTCTGATTTCACCCTCGTGAACATCGTGATTATGCGATTTGTTATAGACCTGCCATCCCGACTCTCAAATCGCAAATTAGAACATGGGTGATCTCTACCACCAGCTCGAGGTTCGTCATGAGACTCAATCCTTGTCACATCCGCTAACATCCACCAGGCAGAATACTGTCCTCCAATAGATTCCGCTCTGTTCTCTGCCATTATCTCCGACTATGACTTGACAAACTCAGAAGCCGCCATTGAGGTCAAAGCCACACTGGACGCGCTTAAAGCCACCGCTATCGAAGAAGAGGCTACCGGCTTCGATGCCTCTGGAAGTGGTGCCCAACACGAAGACTACAGCCCTGAACATCCCACATCGTTACCGGAAACTTCGGGCTCTGTTTCAAGGGAGACCGATATGACCAGTCTGTCCAATGGTCTCTCGAGTGTTGATCTGGACTCCGAAGGCTCGCCAGACCGTGGAGAATATGATTTCGAGGCTTGCGACCAGGACACCAAAGTCTCTATCCTGAAGGATATTTTTCCTTCGCTTTCCGAATACACAATCTCGCACACACTCGCCCACCACGACTCAAAATGGAAGCCCGCTTTTGACGATTTGTTGAACCAGGTCTACTTCGAGGGAGGTGGCACTATCGACGGGAAAGAAAAGGTGTCGGCTAAGGGCGTTGACGCTTTCAGCGAGGAGAATGTCGTCAAAAGAGGTCGCAAGGGAAAGAAACGTGGCAAGAACATAAAGACTATCGATGACATGAGGGCCTCTTCACTTCCCGCCGAGTCGCGACCATCGACCAATCAATGGCAGACCGCCAAAGGCGATGTCGACTTCATCTCCGATCGCGCCAACATTCCTACGCAGGTCGTACTTTCTCTATACAACCAAGAGAATCGTTCAGTCGCGCGAACCATCTCGGCGATTCTTAAGACCTTCTTGCCAGAGGATTGCCGATCTGAGGAACCCGAGATTCAGGTGGATGCTTCTGTCCTGGGTCAAGAATATCCCGGTCTCGCACCTGAGTATGTCGTGGCCCTTATCAAACTGACCCAACCGTCCATGACAGCGGCGCGCGAACTGGCTAAAGCTCTTACGACAAAGCCGCTCACTCACGAGACCGGCAGTCGTATTATCATCCCACAATATGCCCCTGTAAGAATCTCAGACGGAGATGACTTGTCTACCCACAGCGGGTTCGATACGGATACTTCGACTGTCGATTTTGGATCTGCCTCTGGCTCGACAGCCAAGCTCAGGGCAGCAAGGCAGACTGCCATGGATCAAGCGCGGGCAGCCTACCGCAAGTCAAGATCCGACCGTCTTATGGGCGGCGCTGCTGGATATTATTCGCAGGTCGGTCGCGACCACGGGGCGGCACTGCACCAGTCGCAAGCTACAGAGGCAAACGCCATCGTTGCTGCGCAGTCTTCGGCCTTTGAGATTGACTTGCACGGCGTGACTGTAGAAAATGCTGTGCGCATAGCTCGTCAGAGGACAAATGCTTGGTGGAATGGGCTTGGCGAGAACAAGGTCAATGGCCGAGTTGGCGCTGCCGAGCGTGCCAGTGGTTTCCGCATCATAACGGGTGTGGGTAGACATAGTGCTGGCGGCAAGGGTGTCCTTGGTCCTGCAGTAAAAAAAGGTCTCGAGCAGGATGGTTGGAGGCTGGAAGTCAACAGTGGCGCGATCACTGTCAGAGGCAAGAACAAGGCACACTGAACAGCGAACACGTCGTATCAATTGGCCTCAAGCATGTTTTTGGATAACCCCTGCCGAACATCTTCAGACAAAAAGCCGTGTTTGATACATGCCACAATTTGATCCCGTTCTATCATTGTTACTGTAGTAGAGCTGTATAACAAGAATTGGGATACAAAAAAGAGTCATAATACAGCAATACAAGAAAGGGCTAAAGCAAAGGCAAATTGCAGCCATGACGAGACAAAGCAAATACGAAAAACCAGCCAATCAATACCCACGCTGGGTATCTTCCACCATCCATGGAGATACAGTTGCAAGTGGCCCCTTACTCGCAGTCCATAGGTTGAAGGAAGCCAACATCCTCGTCAGAGAAGTCGTGGAGCAGTTTGTGAGGCGAGCGCGTCTTCATCCTGGCCTTGGGTCTGCTCTGCGGGCTAACAATACCAGCCTTTGCGCTGAGATCGGGCATTGACGAGTGGCTCAAAGGGTACTTTGGCTTGGGCAAAGCAGTGTTGTCCAGCATCGAGTCGTTCTGATCTTGCTCATCGTCGAAGAAAGAGTCGAGTTCTGCTTCCATGTCGTCCGCATAGCTTCTCTTGCGCGTGTTCGTCTGTGGCGTTTGTGGTGTCGAGATGGAAGACGCGATGGTGGTTTGTGTGTGCGACAGTCCTGGAGCAGAGGAAGTGGGTTGAGAGCCAAACCCGCCAATCTTGTGGAGTCCGCAGAAGGGAGCGAGCTCAGAGGGTTTGGAGTACAGCTCTGGTGCGCTGCTGGCGGGGAGGTCGTTCGAAGGGTGTTGAGGGATACTGGCGGTCGCTGGTACGGGTAGCGACTTGTGTGTCTTGTATCCTTCGGGCACGGATTTGCGAACGCGCATGCCGACGTTTATGAGTAGAGACTGGACATGATCGGGCAAGGCGGGCTTTAGCGGCAGTGCGTATTCGTCGATGTCTGCCGCTGAGGATGGCGCTGAGCTGGTGCCGACGGTGGTAAAGAAGGACTTGATCGAAGGCTGGCTCGAAGGTTGAAACTGGCGCTTGCGGACGTGTGCCATGGTTGTCTTGTGCAGTGGGATGTATGAGGTAGTTATGCAGGTGGATGCTGTATACCTAGGAGTGTGAGGGAGGATGATCGAATGATTGTTCAAGATGGGCGGTCAAACTCCACTTTACGCGGTTCGCGAGTCTGGCGCGTTCGTTGGCGGGGCAATTCCCACTCTGACGACCAAGAAGTCGTCTCGAATGACATCTTTTACGGCGTCTTGCTATACCATGAAGAAGACTACAACCAGATGACCTTGGCGGACCTCCTGGAGGCCTGATTATCAATTGCGTCTACCTTGGTATACATATAATTTCGGTCGTACAAGCAGCGCCCATCACCTCGGTTAGAGGCGCTGCATCGGAAGCCGCATGCACCAGACTCAGCCCTACGCTCAAGTGGCGCAATATGAAACAAACACATGGCCCACTCCATTCTCCTCTTCGCTCCGTCTTCCCAATCGCCTTGACCTGACAGCGTCTGGTATAGATGACCTTGGCCTTGTACAAGTCGCTTCGCCGACTCCGGCCCCTCGCTTACCTCTACTTTCTGACACGCTAACAAAGCCTTTTGATGAAGTGCCTTCTCTACACAACCTCGACCACAACCCAGTCCGCTGCAGTCGCTATCAGGCCATCGACCTTGTACCCATACCTCGATCTTTTCGACTCGGCCATAATCGGTCGAATCTCATTGGACCCGCATGCGTCCCTCTACCAGAGATTTCTGCTACTATCGCATTGCTGACCATCCTTGCAACATGTGCTCATACCTCCTGCCCCGCTGTCTTCTGTCTCGAAACATGCTACACCCCTGCGAAACGGCTATGCAGGAACCAACTTGGCGCTTGAGATCGTGAGCAAAACTCTTTCTAGACTCTGCCGTGGTGAGCATATAAGATGTAGAAAGCGGCTTCATTCCCAGTATCCTCTTCGTAGGTCAGTTCCTTGTCTTTCTCCAGCCGTTCTTTTCAGCCTTGACGGCTCAGTCTTTCGTTTGAACAGCTCCCTGGTGGATTCTGTTCCTTTTCCACAGTCGTCTCACAGGCCTGGACGGTCTCACATCTTCATTCTTTCTACCAGTTTTGAAACAGTCCTCGCGACTCATTCTTCTCTTGTTGCAACATGGCTCGTTTCGCCGCTCTTCTTCCCCTTGCCTATGCACTGGGCGCCTTTGCTCAGAGTGTGGCATACAATGATCCCAACACTGGCATTGACTTCATGAGTTTCCAGGACTCCGAGTCTGGAGCTCGATTTGGTGTTGCTACACCTGAGACTCTGGGTAAGGACTTTATCGGTCAGATCGTTGCCCCCACCATCCAGGGATGGGCCGGTCTTGACATGTCAGCCCAAATGGCCAATCACATCCTCGTCGTTGCATGGCCCGATGGCGACAATGTCCGAAGCTCTGTCCGTGAAGCCTCAGGCTACACTACACCTCCTGTCTACACCGGAAACGCCACAACCACTCCCATCGCCAACGGTACCTTCGTCAACAGCACTCACTTCTCATACACTTTCGTCTGCAACGGCTGCATTACTGGCGACGATGACAGCTTCCCTAGCACCGTCAAGGGTAATGCGTTCGGATGGGCTTTCTCCGATGATGCTGTTGCTAAGCCTTCTGTCCTGGACACTGCTTTGAACATGCACTCTGGGTTCGGTGCCTTCGCGGTCATCTTCGCCAACTCGTCGTCCTCCAGCTACGACACCTGGGCTTCGTGGGCTGAAGCAGCTGCTCCTGCCCCTAGCACACCTACCAATGGTACTATTGGATCCGGTCAGAATGGCACTTCTACCGTTCCGGTTGCCACTACCCTGAACACGACATATGACTACATCATCGCCGGTGCCGGTCCCGCTGGCATCATCGTTTCTGAGAGACTTGCAGAGTCTGGTGCCGAGGTTCTCTTGATCGAGCGTGGTGACGCTTCCACCTATGCATCAGGTGGTCGTGCCGTGGAGTCCTGGAACGACACGGTCACGCAATACGATGTCCCCGCCATGGCCTACTACCTTTCAACTGCTGGTGTCACCAACGAGTACTGCACCGACACTGCCGACCAAGCTGGATGTCTGCTCGGAGGCAGCAGCATGATCAACGCCTTAATGTTCGTCCGCCCTCAAGAACGCGACTTCGACGACAAGTGGCCCACCGGTTGGAAGTGGTCCGATGTTTCGGCTTCCGCTGAGAGCTTTTACGAGAGAAATACTGGTACCATTTCTCCCTCCAAAGATGGTCAACGATATGACCAAGGTGCTTATGATGTTCTGTCCACCTTCTTCACTAGCAATGGATGGTCATCTGTAAATGCGCTTGAGGAACCTAACAAGAAGACTGATGTCTTCTCGCACCCTCCTTGGAACATCCAGGATGGGCTTCGTGCTGGCCCCGTTTTGACTTATCTTCCTCTCGCTAAGGCGAAGAAGAACTTCCACCTCCAGTTGAACAGCACAGTCATTCGTGCCGTTCGCGAGTCTTCCTTTGTCACTGGAGTTGAAGTTGAGCTTTTGGATGGCAGCCGCCAAATCATCAATGTGAAAACTGGAGGCAAGGTCGTGCTTGCTGGCGGTGCACTCAGCACTCCCCGTATCCTCATCAACTCAGGTATCGGCCCTGCCGAGCAGATTAAGATTGTACAGAGCGGTAGCGTTGCTGTGACTCTTCCTCAAGAGGCTGAATGGATTGATCTGCCTGTCGGCAAAGGTCTCAAGGATCATCCCATCGTCACCCTGAAGTTCAAGACCAAGTCTTCATTGTCTTCTCTGGATACCACTGCCTTCACAGCTCCTAACAACATGGACATCGACTCCTTTGCTCAAGGTAGCGGCTTGCTCGTGCAGGGTGGCCAACGCCTCAACTTCTGGTCCTCGGTCAACGGCACAGATGGCATCGAGCGCTTTGTCCAGGGAACTTGCAACTCGCCCTCCAACGACACTATCAAGATGAAGATCTACCTTACACACGGACTTACCTCTGTTGGCGAGATCGGTGTCACCGCATCCGGCAAGACTGAATATATTACTCAGCCTTGGTTCACTACGACTGAGGACAAGGACGCCCTTGCTGCTTTCATCGACAGACTCATCAGTTTCACAAAGACTGCCAACTCCACTCTTACTCTTGATGCTGGGCTTACTGCCTCCTCCAACGTCACTGGTGCAGACCTCATTAAGACTTTTGTTACCGGCAGCCACTTTGTCGGTACTGCATTGATGGGAACAAAGGATGGTCGCAAGGGTGGTGATGCAGTCGTGGACTTGGATACCAAGGTTTATGGTACTGACAACCTCTTCGTTGTCGATGCTTCCTTCCACCCTGATTTGCCTACTGGCAACACACAGGCGATCGTCATGGTTGCCGCTGAGGCTGCAGCCAAGAAGGTCCTCGCTGTCAAGGTCAGTGGCGGTGATGATACTCCTGCTCCTTCGTCCACTATTTCTGCCCTCCCTACCTCGTCTGCCGTCTCATCCACTGCTGTGGCAACCTCCTCGGCTGCTGTGACATCGGCTCCTGGATCTGCTTCTATCACTTCTGCACCTACGGCAGTCGCTTCTGAGACGGCTACTTTCAGTGGTACTACGGCTGTCACTTCTGTTGCCGTGCCTAGCCCTGCTTACACTGAGGTGCCTATGTATGGTCGTTGCGGTGGTATTGGCTATGACGGTCCTACGAAATGTGCACCTGGGTCCAAGTGCAAGGTCCAGAATGATTGGTACTACCAATGCGTGTAGAATGATTTAGATAACGCTACAAGTATACAGCTTGTTGAGCTCATGCAAATTTTCCAATCATGTTCAATTCACATAGTACCAAGAGCCAAAAAGACCACACTCTAATTTTACACATTCTCTCCAACTGGCACATTCATACCATGCAACCCCCTATACGTTGGCGGCTCGAATTGCTTCCAGCCCTTAAGTAGCTCTTCATCATCCAAAGTGTATACTTCTGCCCTCAGAGGTCGGCAGCAGTCCAACATGCTCTTCTTCTCGCCTTCCTCGCCAGCGCCTCCTTCACCCCAACCCCAGGCACTGAGATCGCCTCCTGGACATGCGGATAGTGCCATAAGGACGTCTTGCTCGGCGAAAAATTCTAGGTAATCGGTGGATTTGGCTGGACTGGGTTCCATGAAGTATTTGCCTTCTGCGTTGAGGCCGGTGACTTGGAAAATGTTGATGACATCGTGGACGTCAAATTCGCTGTGCTTCTGCGTCAGTGCTGGAGAGATTGGTGGGAGCCAAGGTAACTCACGTGAGTCCGAAAGGTACAACAGCTCTAGTCAAATTTGAATGACAGTGATAATCATATTGATCTCCAGTCAACATGGTGTTGACATACGGATCACACCTCGTACCCAGCAAATCATGACATCTGCCTCCCCACTGATCGACTCCATAATCACTCAGCGAATCAGCAATAATCGTCACCATAGGCCTGAGGTACGGCAAACAACTCCACAGTCTATCATAAGTGGTCACATGACTGGCTTGTAGCTGTCTAGTGCGGGATGCCCAGAATCGCTCGCGCGGATTGGCCAGATTCCAGATGTTGAGGTCGCCGACTTGGGCGCCCTGGGGTGTGGAGAAGCGGACGATGCTGCCGGCGGGGACTTTCCAGGCTTTGGCCGAGCGGGGTGGGATGTCGATTGTTTGGGTTAGGGTGCGGGATTTGCTGTTGGCGAGGGAGTCGTAGAAGGGTTTGTTGGCGTTTAGGATGCTGCCTGCTGTGGGAAGGTAGGCGGGCTGGGGAGCTGGGTGGGGTTTGTCTGCGGATGCCATTCTTGAAGTGTTTAACAAGTATTGTTTCTCTTTATTGTGAATCTGAATGAACCGTAGAGGAAGTGGTCAATGGGTGGAAGAAGCTATATGCCACCTAGCCTTTATATCGGAAGGAAGAGAAATAGGTAGTCATATCGTATAGCAGTGATAAGATAGCAGAAGCACCCCGATCAGCCGAGGGTAACCGTGTAGTCTAGAGGGGAAGCTTCAAGCGAACATTGGAGAAGATAACATAACATATCGTTTCTGTACTTTGATGCTACGATTCACGTAGGAGAGAAGTACTGAAGATGACCTACAGGTGATTATGGAGAGTCTCATGCTAGTCAGCTGATGAGGTGGCCAGGAGCTGGTGAAGAAGAATAGAATTGATAAGATGACTTCTCCCATGTTCGCTTACAGTGGACAATTGAGTTGGCCAACGTGATCAGGCTTTGTAGACTCAAGGATCTGGAAGCTTGGATCGAAAGATGGACGACGCGACGCAGTGCAACGACTCTGCAAGAGTCAAACAGACCACCCGATTATGGATATACCGATTCGTGACGAGACAAACAGTTCATGCCGGCAAACTTGCTGAGCACGGTCGCCGGTATCTGCCTATGAAGCAACGTTGGCACATCGTATCTTGGGCGACGCTGCCAATCTGAATTCTGTCCGCGTGGTTCGGTACCGCCTCTCGAGACTTGAGAGGGTCGCTTGAACGCTTCACGACCGTGAACAAATCAGCAAAGAAGGAGGCCTGAGAAAGCAGCAGGTCGTTGGTCAAACTTATATGAACTATGTCTCGCAACAGATTAACCGTGGAGATGTTGTAGACTAGCTCACCGGGAGGCCTTCCCGCGATACAAAATGTCCCGCTCGACCCGTTGACTCAAGATTGGATCTCGAGTCGGACCAGCTCAAATCAACAGGACTACCGCATTCACGAATTGCCATACTCGTAGAAGAAACAGTCTTAACGTCACCGGGTTTCAAGACCAATAGTGAGGGTGTTGGCTGATGTGTTGGCTCAAGCAAGACCCGAAACCGAACGGTGCGAGCAAGGGCCTCATGGCTTCAAGGCTTGCCGATGAGCCTGGTAGCGAGATTCACGAGGCTAGCCAGTGCTTTTTGGCCATCAACCCAGACTGGTGGACACTTTGGGTAAGCTCCACAAAGACGAGACTCTTTATTTGCATTTGGATGTGCATCCGCGCCCCTCGGTAAGGGACCGGCAGTCTATCACTCGTCTTGGTCCTGGTCCCTTATATGACTGAAGGAGGATCGCTCGCGCAACTAGGACCCTTTTACCTTTTGCTCCACTGGTTCCTCGTCGCAACCCTATTCAAGCCCTCTCTCCAATCTTTTGTCTTTCCTTACACCTTCAGGTCATGTCATTATAAACAATCGAGCTGGAAACTTCCTTTGACTACACACAATCTCTCCTGCCAGCAAAATGTACGACAGGTCTACTCAGATTCTGGTCGTATGCGTTATTTTCTTTATTCTTTCTTGGGTGTCTGTAGGGTTACGAGTTTATGTCAAGTAAGTCGGTCGGTCGTATGTTCTTGAAGGATCAATCACTGACTTTGTCCAAGGGCTGCATTACTAAAACAAGTTGGTTGGGATGACGGGGCCATGCTTGCAACACTGCTGCTTTTCACCGGTTACTTGATATGCCAGCTCGGCAGTCTAGCACATGGCAATGGACGACGACGTGAGACTATGACAGACGCAACAGCTCAGATAGGATTGATGGTGAGTTCTATGCTTCTCCCTCGCGATTGGCCCCTTCTTACTCAGAATGCAGTACTGGTTCTTTTGTGAACTTTTCTACACGTTGGCGACATCAATGCTAAAGATCGCTATTGGCCTCTTCTTCCTCAGGATCGCCAACAACCGAGTGCACATCTTTATCATCAAGTCTATTATGTACATCAGCGCGGTGCTCGGTGTCACATACTTTTCCATCGTCCTGTTCCAATGTCACCCAATCTCCTTCTGGTGGGATCTCAGCCCGGATCATCACGGACGTTGCTTGAGCGCCTCAGTCATGGCTGATACATCATACGTCGTATCAGCCTTGAACTCGGTGGCAGATTGGGTCTTTGGTATCCTTCCAATCTTCATTGTCAAGGATCTTCAAATGCATCGCCATCAGAAGGCAGTAGTGGCTGTCATTCTCGGTTTCGCCGCGGTCGGAAGTTCTGCAACGATCATCCGTCTACCCTACGTGTGGACTGTTAAGGAGTACAAAGGCGAATTCCTCTGGCGCACGGCTGATGTGGCCATCTGGACTACCGTCGAGGTTGGAATCGGTATCACTGCTGGTAACTTGGGAACTTTGAGACCACTCATGCAACGTCTCATGAGCTTCATGGGTATCTCGAGTTCCACAGGACGCGACACGAGAACCTGGACCAGGCGCCACAGACACGGAAACATGAACAGTGGAGGTACACCACTGGAGGACTTCACCGGCAAAGGAGCAATAAAGACCACCGTCACCATCCGTGGAGGCGCTTCTCACGACGACCAATGGGGTGGCCTCTCGAGGACAGACAGCGAGGATGAGATTGTACCTGGTACCGACAAACTGCACGAAGGAGGCATTCTTCACAGTGTCCAAATCGATACATCATTCGAGGAAAGAGTACTGGACCACAGACTCGGAGCTGGCAACACCTCACCTAGAGCGACTGTCGCATACGAGAGAGTATAGTCGACAAGGGTTTCTTATGTTTTGTCTTTTGCATTTCGAGCGCTGGCGCCATTCGGAGGGTGCTGCTTTGCCAGACCCGAATCCATCATCATAATCATTCAATCTAATGTTCCTCACGAGTCCACACTTACCACTGACTCGACAAACAAAGTATCAATGTCGTCCAACACCAACTGCCGTGATGATTACGAATCCAGATTGAACAAGAAGTACAAACGGTGTCATTGCGCTGTTTGAAACGCTCGCTTCTCGAGATCCCAAACCTTGATTCTCTTTTTCTATGCAGAGACAAATGGGGATTCACGTCCAAAGCTTCCAGACGTGGAATGATCAGTCATTCCTCGCACCTGCCTGACAAAGATAGAGAGTTGCAAGTCTCTGATGATCAAGCGGCAGATCTTGGAACCAGTTGCAGAGATACCAGTTTCATCGAACGTCTGCTGACGTGATGAACTGCCGGTCTTGGAAAGAATCTCGTTCTGGGGATTTCCTGATACCAAGTACCGACTTCATCCATCTGTCAATAGTGCTTATTCTCTCCATCACAATCCTACCCAGCAGACGCTCAACCCATACACCCGGTCTCCAGGAATCTGCAGTTTGTGGTCTTTGGGACCTGCAGCATGCCAGCAGCAGCAAACAAACTTTCAGACCAATCGCGGTGGAAACAGAGGGCCCAAGCGTAGATCCAGACGCACGGCTCATGTCCCTCTCGCGCTAACGTGCCGCAATGGCGCGCGCACGGAGCATGGTGCAGACAGGCAAGCGAAAAGCGCCAAAGGCAACTTCCATACACAAAGACCCCCTTCTGTGTCTGCCGTGTTTTGGCTTGCAAGACAGGAGGGCCGAATTTGAATTGCTTCGAAGGATTTGGAGTGACAGATGTGTTACAGGTGTAAGTGGCAACAGAGAACATTCCATAAAAAGCTTATGAGGTGTATCAAGATCTGTAGTGTAGTCGAGTGGATGATTCGTTTTCTCAGGTTATGTCCGCAATACTTCGTAGATTGATTCCAGCCGTGCTTGAACATCCTTGATCGTCACAAAGTAGCTAACACTGGCAAGATCAGGGGCAAGATGATCTTCCAGCACTGTCTCGGTATGTCAAATCCCATAAACTAAGGTGGTTGTCGTCAGCTTTGGCTTACCAAGGTCGGGCTCATTGACGACGGTCAGAGAGTGAGCCTGTCGTCGAAAAACCACCATTCCGAGCTTTCGGCAGTTGATCTCCTCTATGGAGACAAGTAGTCCTTCAGGATGCTCTTGAAGATCTTGCGTGCTTTCGACTGCTGCTCTCCCCTTCGAGAATTGAATCAAGCATTCTGAGTGGAGATGTCAGTGTGTTCCATGGATGCACCTTGACTACCGGTATGTCTGAAGACTTTGTGTGCAGAACATGCCTACGGCGCTGGAGAGATGATCTACCAACGTGCATCGACATTTTAGGTTTGATATACCACACCTGTCGGAAGACGCCAACAGGCTGTTCCAAAGCTTCTTAGCGATGTAAGTCAGAACGTTCGCCAAGGTATCGGCGGTCAGCGAGGTCGATAGATGGATTGGCCATTTTCCATGGTCCTAGAGCATACTGATCTGATGACATCGGTCTGTAGGCTATTTTGACGACGAGCAAGTGATATTGATTAGATCGGCTGTCAAATGTTGGGACTCTGCTGTGCTTTCGTTTTCTGCATCAGAGTGCTCGATGTCCGGGACGCGTTTACAGACTCGAGAAATTGATGAAGAGTCCACATAGCAGCGACGACTGACTCTCTTCGCCTCATCTCTTGTCGATAGTCTATGATCCTAAGAAACCCCATTTTGGCAAAGCGACGAGGTTTTATAGACTTCTCGTGTTTTCGCAAGCGAGCATCAGGACGTTGAGGGTGTCTGGTAAGCGAGGCAGCCACGACCACGACTCTGGGCCTGTTTTGACTTGCTCGCTTTGCTCCACGACTTCTCGTGCTTGTAATGGCAGAACAAACAACAACTGGCGTCACATATCGACACGATAATCACGGCTGTGTTTCTACGCGTCTACTGTTGCCCCTGCCAAGATCAAATGGGTGCGAAAGGACGTTTAGTCATGTCTCAAGTTCTCTAGAGAGCAGGTCTCTGGCACTTCTTGCTACCTCTTGCGATCGAGTTGCGCAAGTATTAAACATACCTTTTGTGAGAGAAACGAAGTCACGGTCGCACGCCGCGAATGGTTCACCGGACTACTAAGGCGACTGATCTCATCGAGCCGGATGGACTGGCTAACCATGGACACATGCTTATACTAATCAGTTGTGCTCGCGGAAACATCGGAAAAGGGGCAACAGGCATTTCTGCACGAAGTCACCACAATACTGACAAGGAAAACATGTCGAGAAGGGAACCTTTCAGTACACATCGACGCTGATATTTGATCGCTGGACTATCGGTATGGACAAGAAGATTACATGTCTCATATTTTGATTAACCGGATAGAGGATGATGATGATGATGATGATGATGATGATGATTTGAGTTTGACTGTCTAAAGCTGTTTTGACTGTAAGGTCAGTGTCGTGATAGTATCGCCTGAGCCACTGTCGAGGGCGTTGATCCAGTAGAAGCCAACAGTTGACTCTCCAGCCATCATGACTTTGTTGGATACTTCGACTGTATTGTGCTGACAAGGTACTCATCCTGGAGGTTGGTGTAAAGGTCGCTGTCCCTTGATGCTGAAGTGACAATTGCGGCCACGTTTCTCGCATTCCTGGCATCTCTTGTCTCCTTCCTTGACCACGCATTTGACTCTAGCCCAGAAACAGGTGTCGCATGACTTGTACCTTTCTGTGTTTGGATCTTCGGCCTGATCCTCCTCTTGCTTCTCATCTTCCTCGCTGCTTTCCTCCCCATCTTCTTCACTGTATTTTCCGTTGCTCATCTTGCTCTTGTCCTTGCCCTTGGTTGATCTGCTACTGATCCATTGGAGCACTGAGGCCGACTTGGCATCTGTTATGGGTCCGGATGTAGCTGTCGACTTGCCCGTGGGCTTTCTGGTTGGCTTTGCGCCTTGCTTGTTGTTACTGGTCTCTGACTCGCTGTCCTGGATTTCGTCACGAGACTCATCGATGTAGAGGTTGTCAAAGTCGAGCTGGGACTGGACTGGATATCTGCGACCAATGGGTTTGTGTTTGGCGTAGTAATCGCCGAGCTCTCCAACAGGAATCCATTTCGGCTCTGTGGTATTTGACTGCTCGATGTTTGAGGTCTCGTGATCGGATTTCATGCCCTGATGTGCTGCTCCAAGGGATGTGGACTTGGTGGTTGCGTATTTCGATTTCTTGGATTTGCTCGTCATGGTGCGTTTGGACTTTGGCAAGACTCAACGCAGTCTGAATCTGACAATTTCGTACAGCCAAGTCAAGCGGATATATGTATGGTGAGTTGGCATGGTACCATTGCCATCGACCAAGCGTCTGGCATTGTCTGGAACTGATGCTCAATGACTGGTGGCCGTCCAGAGCCGTCATGTCTGTTCTATGGCTTTGTCTCGGTCGAAGCGCTTTCTGCAGACAGTTTGTTCTATGTTCGAGAAGGTCTGGTGCATACTGTACAAACGTTTTGCGCAAGTAAAGCTCGATCTCCACTCGAAGGACAAAAACCTTTCGCCGCCATCATGACACAAAGAATACCCTGGTTGCTATTTCAACCTCAGCAACTCACCCCTTGGCTTGGAATGTATTGACGATGGTTGACAGACGACAGCCAGACACAAGCAGTTCCAAAGAATCTAAGCATTAGGCAAACATATCGGCCGCCATCAAACAATCGGCCAGCAACAAACAGAGAAGGACGATCTGTAAGGAACAGGGCAGACAAGAGAAGTGAGTCAAGGGTATTATCTTGCCATTGTGTTCTTGTAGAGGATAAGGGAAGTACATCGACACTTCGATTGCATTGTCACGTCCAGGTGCGCATCATCTGCTGAGTCTATCTTGAATCTCCAGCCAGAGAAATATCGAACGCTTCACTTAACCCATCGTAGGAGCTGCGGAGCACTATGGATGTCGAGCATGACCTTGGAAGTCGGTTATGGATGAGTGTGACCTTGGGTATCGGTTAAAGGCAAGCATGACCTCGGTTATGGTAAGGTTGTGTACAAGCCAATCTCGTCGCCAAATACTGCCTATCGAAGACCAATAGAGTGTCAGTAAGTACCGATCATACGAGCACATTTTAGTAGGTGATTACCAGCAGTCTTTAGATTTCATGTTGGTCTTGGGTGACTGATGCTTTGGAGTTCAGACAGGGTGGTCCCCTAGACATGTACGCGCGAATCTAGATTGGCAATATTTTGGTCGAATGAGGATCCATGGTCGAACTGACAGGCTAGGTCTGTATCTCGGTATCTATAGAGCATACTGTCTGCCTTTGGATCGTTGACACTGCGTGGTGTAGCTTGTTATCGCTGTGTCTACGGAATTGAACACGGATTTCAAGTTTTGGTCCGAGAGGAATGACTTACCACGCGTTTTCGCCTGCCAGACTCACGCAGCAAGAGATCCAAACTCTGATATCAACCACATTCTGACATGTTATATGCACATATGCGACTAGTCTGGACCCAGCTCATCCTTGGGATACAGCTCTCAGCTGAGTGACTCAATATCTCGCATTCGTATCTTCTGATCCCAGCACCCCAGGTCCAGATCCCGAGCTCGCAGCGGCTATGGGGTAGCGGTTGACCTGATATCGCCCTAGTACAATGCGCTACGCGTGTTCCCCGCGCTCTACCAATCGCTCGTACTCAAACACAACTGCCGTGCTTCACAACCGAGAAGAATCAACAACCCCCCCTTGCTCCCCAAGCTTCGATTCAAGATGGAAGATCGAATCAAATATGTCAGAAAAAGCCTAGTGGATTAGCCACTCCCATCGGTCGAAGCAGAGATCGTAATGCGGCAGTTGAGGCAATGGCAGAAAAGTAGTGAGGTAGCCACAAGTCAGAAAATGTCTAGGCAAAAATGCTTGGTCAACTTAATGCCCCACGTGGGGTCCCCAGAAACCCCAGGACGCCTCATGCGGGGGTGTTTCCGCGCCTTCCTGGAGGAAGGAAAGACATAAGTTGGGGAGGTAGTCGCTGTCTCTGTAGATCCCAATCCTCTCTGCTTTTGTATCTTGACACATATCCGACCTTCGATTGGTTTCTTATTCCATCTGTACATACTTTACAACCATATCACATCGATTCAGTAGTCAAGGGCAGACCCCGTCTCTAGTCAAGATGGAGATGAACTACGATGATGCAGAGTTGCATCGCATCGAAGAAGAACTGCACATGGAGATTCTACCTGGCACAGAGGTTTGTTGTATCCTCGATCAAAACTCAAGAAGTTTTACTGACATGGCTGATTCAGATCATGACCGATGTCGGGAGTCATCATTTTGTCAAAGGCCACAACGGAGTCCTTGTCCCTCAACCCTCGGCCGACCCTCACGACCCCTTGAACTGGTCAACAAAATGGAAGTTCCTCGCCATCACAGCAAGCAGTCTGGTCTCCTTCAGTCAAGGCTTTGGTCCTCTTGCCCTAGCACCTGCCTTCGGATACTACATCAAAGAGTTCGATTGTTCTCTGGCCGACGCCATCCAATTCACCGGCGTGTCTATTCTCATTCTCGGCTTCAGCAACTTCGTTTGGGTGCCGTTGAGTTCATCCTTCGGACGCAGAGTGGTGTTGATCGCCAGTCAGTTGATCTGTCTGGCTAGTATGATCTGGAGAGCCAAAGCCCAGACGTATGGATCCTTCATGGGTGCCTGTGTACTCAATGGACTCGGTGCTGGACCTGCTGAGTCTATTCAGCCCGCAGTGATTGCAGATGTATTCTTCCTACACAACCGTGGCTTCCAGAACACCGTTTACTGGACTGCATACATGGTACGTGATCCTTCTGATTTAGCCCTCTCTTCAATGCTAACATGATTACTAGGGATCTTTGATGGTCGGACCCATTATTTCTGGTGTAATGTCAGACCGTCTTGGCTGGCGATCCTTCTGGTGGCTCAATGTCGGACTCGTCGCCGTATCGCTCCTCTTGGTTGTGTTCTGTTTCCCCGAGACCAAATATCACCGTCCCCATCCTCACGAGATCGCTGCGGCAACTCACAACTACGAAGCTAGCGACTCATCGATTCCAGTAAATGAGAAAGTTGCCGGCGGCGAACAAGTCGAAGACGTCGAGATCCAACAAGTTACAACCCAAAATGGTAGTGGTATGCCCGAACTGTCAGCAACAAAGACCGCAGATCGCGACCCTTTCCTTGGAAAAGGTTACCCGTCGAAGCAACAATGGAAACTCTGGCAATCCAACGCACATCCTTGGAAGAGCATCGCCATCGATCTCTGGCTGCCCTGGAAGCTTTTCGCCTTCCCCATTGTCGAGTTCGCTGCCTTTGTCTGCTCGTGGTCTTGCTCGAGTTTCTTGACTCTCAACTTGACTCAGGCTCAGGTTTTCGCTGCACCGCCATACAACTTTTCGTCTGAGAACATTGGATTCTTCAACTTTGCCATTCTCATCGGCGCCATCATTGGGTTGGCCACTTCCGGAAGACTGAGTGATTGGGTAGCCGCTAGAGCAACAAAGAGAAATGGTGGCATTCGTGAGGTAAGATAACTCAATTGATAGTTCGCAATGTGTCTGTCACTAACACTTCATCAGCCTGAGATGCGTCTCCTAGCCATGATCCCCTATGTGATCATCATGTACATCGGCAACATTGTCGCTTCCGTCGGCATGGAAAGGAAATGGCCCTGGGAAGTTATTGTCATCATCGCTTTCGGTGCTGCTGGCATGCAAGTGGCTTCGATCCCTTCGATCGTAAGCACCTACGCCGTGGACTCGTACAAGCCAGTCGCTGGACCCTTGTTCGTTGCCATCACAGTGAACAAGAATGTCTGGGGCTACGGATTCTCGAAGTTCATCACACCTTGGATCGAAAGATCGGGTTATATTCCACCCATCATGTGCAACGGCTCGCTTGTGCTGCTGTGGTGTCTCTTCGGCATCCTATTCTACTACAAGGGAAAGACTTTCAGAAGATGGTAAGCCTTTTCTTCCTGACCCTTATTCTCAGAGCTTCCTTTGCTCTTATGCATGATTTGCTGTTCTATATGCTAACATACATTGTTCAATAGGTCTCGCAACTCTTCCGTACACAAGATGTAAAGTGCAAGGACCATAAAGCAGGAAACCAGAGTGGGAAGAATAGGACCGAATCTCGTATATACTGTACAGACTTTCGACATACATATCTTGTACAAAAAATCAAACAGTTGAACTGTGCTTATACCACCATACAGTTTGCAAAGAAAGATGACACTTCGGATATAGCCCAAATGGTTGAGAGATGGAGCAAATTGCTAGTCCATCACGACACCGATCATCGATGAGATCTAAATAAACTCATCACGTTCTCGGCTCTTCTTTCCCTATACGCCATTGTAGTTTGCAGCTGACATCCAGATCCTCATCGCTGCTGCCTTCTCAGGAAAAATCCCTATCTTCACAACCCGAATGGCAAGGAAAGGATATAGAACGTTCAGCCACCGAGGAAGGACGGAAAATCGTAACGACCTGCTCAAGAGAGAGAAAAAGTGGGTTTGGGGTATATAGTTTGGAGTATCCCGTCCTATTGTATCTGCTATAGGTTGTTGGGGGGAAGTGACATGCCTATAATTCAGTCGCTATCATCGTGATTCTGTATTCATACAACACATCTGCTATACCCCTGGATAACGGCACCTCCAAAGCACGCAACACCTAGTCGTTCTTCGCTAGAAAGCCAAGAAGGAAAACAAGGACAGGCATGGAAAAGAATGACCAAGACGCAAGAGAAGGAAGGGGTTAAAAAGACAAGAGCAAAACTCGTGACTATGATTTGTGACAGCATACATCGTACACATGAAGGTCGTCCCAGGTACAAGAGGCGAGAGAAGAAGAATGGAGGAAGCCAGCAGGAGACAAAAGCGGTAACGCTTGCTTGAACAAAGAAAAAGAAGCCTTCACCAGCGTTTCCACCTCTTCTAATAGAGAAAAAAAAAACAGCGTTGGTATCCAAGCAAAAACAAAGTGCTGCATGAGATTTTGTGGCTTTGGTTTGTGAAAAACCAGAAGAAAGAAATATGCAACCTCCCATGTCCGTGTGGAAAACAAGACGCCTCCAAACGCCGCTGCGATGACATGCTCAAGACTCCCCAGAGTCATATCGAAACGTACTCGTAAACACGACAAACAATTAAAAGAAAAACAGAGCTTGAAGAGGGCGCTCAGTTGCGTGGGAAATCGTGTGGCTCGCCGTTGACATCAGGGTCATCCTTCTCGCCCAGCTGTTCTGGAGGCGCTTCAATCCCTGCATCGCGGTCTTGCACGCCTGCGATTCTGTGCTGCTCCTGGGTCTGTCTGCTGTCGTCTTCATCGTCGCCCTTCTCTTGTGGATCATCACTAGCTGCCTGTACTTGTACAGCTTCGCTGGGTCCAGACATTGCGATTTTGTCTTCGTCTGGTTTGGTGTCGGCTTCCCAGACATTGTTTTGTGATGCTTCGAACCAACCGCCTCTTTCCCAACCGCCTTTGGCATAAACGTTCTTGCGACGAACTTTCTTGTCGACTATTCCGGTCATGATCTCTTGCAGTCGAGGGAAAGAGATAGGTTTGAGTATCCAACCATCGAAGCCAGCGTCCACATACATGTCAAGCTCTCTTTCCAACAGCGAAGCGGATACTGCAATGATCGGGATTCGGCCGTTAAGAGATGCACGGGTCGAGAGTAGATGTGAGGGATGTGACTTCTCAAACGAACGGATGATCTTGGCGGCTGTAAGTCCATCGACAATAGGCATCTAAGACAAGTTAGCAAAACAAGGATTTCGTGGTGTAAGGCTCAAACACGAACCTGCATATCCATCAAGACGACATCAAAGTAACCGCTCTTGTCTCCATGCATGCTAGAACATTCTTCACCGTTGGAGGTGAGGTAGATATCGTGGCCCATCTTCTCGAGTCTTTTCTTGATGATCCTACTGTTTACCGGATCATCCTCGGCGACCAAAACACGCATGTGGTCTGCCGTGGGTGCTTCATCTGTCGACTCCGGCGGCTCTTCCTGATGTTCACCAAGAACACGCGATGACTCCTGTGGCTGGTCTTGAGCTGCAGCAGGAACATCATCAGTCTCTTCTGGCACGCGCACGGCATGAACAGGCCTGCCCTGGTCCATGATACTGGCTTGGCCCGGGGGATCTTTGATGACTTCAGTGGTTAGTTCCTGTAGGTTTGCTTCATTGCTGAATGCTCGTGGTCGTCTTGCTTGGAAGCTGCCAGAAAGTGCTGACGTGCTATGTCGTGAACCCAGTTTGGGCCTTTGTAGGTTGTTGCTGTCCTTCCCGCGAGACGGAGCGCCTCGCTTGTTGTCGATAGGTGACGAGATTGCATCAATAAGTCTGTCAGCCTCGCTACGGCTCGAGTCTTCACTCGCATGACTGCGTCCAGATTTCATACTGGGCAGACTGCGCCTGCTGCCGATACTCTCGTTGCTTGTGGTGCGAGACAGAGGGTGCTCGGTAGAGTTACGCCTAGCACTGCCACGCTCGACAAGGGTTATCTCGCCCTCGTTACCAGCGCTGATGAGTGTGGACCGTTGAGATCCTTCCGATACAGAACCTGTAAGTGATTTCTGTCCACTGGGAGGTATGTCGAACGGTAGTTGTATGGTGAAGCGTGAACCCTTGCCCTCGATGGATTTGAGTCGTAGTTGGCCATTCATGTTTCGCACGATACGCGCAACTACAGCTAGACCGAGACCGATGGTACGCTTCGCGTCTGGTCCTCCTTCAACTTGTTTAAGGTTGGGAGCTGGTTTGTCGTCCAACACGTCGTGCACTTCACTCTGTACTTGTTCCAACTCTCTAAACAGAGTGTCCAGCTTCTTAGCATTCAAACCGCAGCCAGTATCAGCAACCGTGATCTCAACCTCAACGTGGTTCTCTTCTCTTGACATGACATAAATCTCAGTGCTGATTCCACCGGCCTTAGTGTTTTGAACAGCATTGGCAATGACGTTTGAGATAGCTTGGCGGATCTTCCTCTGATCACCGATGACCGTGGCAGGAAGGCCAGGATGCTCGACAACATCGTAGCTGAGCTTCTTCCGGCGCGCATCACCAGCAAATTGCTCTGTGGCATCCCTCAAAGTGGCCGACAAGCTGAATGGCTCTGTTTTGTTGAGACTGCCACCTTCCTCGGTCTTGGTGAGGTCCAGTAAATCGTTGATAACATAAATTAGTGACTTTGATGCAGAGTGTGATTTGGCCAAGCTCTCACGCGTGTCCTCGTCAAGATTGCCCTCCATGGCTATTTCCAGATAGTTGATGATGGCATTGAGTGGTGTTCGCACCTCGTGTGCAGAATTGGCCAGAAGCAAGCGCGTCAATTGACTGTTCTTGAGTGCATCCTCTTTTTGTCGCCAAACTTCAATGAACTTTCCATAGACTAGACAGAGAACGGCAGCTGTCTCTATCTCTTCTTCGGTCCAGTCGCGACACTTTCCTACCACCGTCTCACTCCAAGTCTTGAAACTCTTCCTCGGCTCGAGATATCCCTCAGTGCCTTCTTTGACAAACTTCTCGTAAGGATTACCAGCCCACTTCACCTCTCGTAGTTGACCTTTGCGAAAGAAGGTTATGAAGTCTTCGCCACCAGATGAGAGAGGAACGACAAGCAGACCAGCAATGTGATGGAAGCCAGGGGGGTAACGAAGATCGGGGAACTCCTCCTTCAAGTCTTGAGTGGCAGTGACGCAAGTGAGTTTGCGCATCCTCAGATACTCCAGCATGGCCAAAGCTTCTTGTGTCTGCTCAACGTGACCGAGTACCTTGGTCTCGTCTTTAATAGAAAGCATGCCGAAATCAGCATCGAACAATTTCAAAAGATCTTCTGATGAAGCAATAATATATCCAGATGGGTTCTTCGAGGTCGGAACAGTGTTGATGAGCTTACGAGCATGTAATCGAGAAGCATATGAAAGACGTTCTATGTTTCGAGAAGCTGTTTCACCGACAAGTCTGCACATCTTTCTGATGGGGAAAGAAACACGAGTTCCCTTTGATCCATAGGCGTGGCAAGATATCAAGCCCCACAGTTCGTTGAAAGCGTTGATAGAAATGGACATGGACGAACGCACAGCCATGTTGGCGAGATATTTGATGTGAATAGGAGACATGGCGCGGAGGTATGAGTATGTGAGGTCCAGTGGTTTCTCGAGATCTTCGACCGTACGGCAGACCAGACGAGCAGTTTCGAGATCGCGGTCGTACAACATACGGACTTTGTTGACCTTGTAGAGATCTCGTGCCTGCTTGGGGATGTCAGAGGCGGGGAAATTGAGACCTTTGTAAAGATCCTTGGTGGCTCTAGGGTCAACCAACTCGGTCACAACGCGACCGTTCCATTGTGCATCGAATTGGTAGACCATGACGCGATGGAAGCCAGTAAGCTCTTTGACAACACCAACAAGGATCTTGAGAAATTTGTCCAGGTTGGGAGCAGCGGCAAGCTGTTCCTGAACTTGCGACATGACATTGAAAACTTCCATAGCGGCGGCCTCTCCCTTGCGTTTCCTGGCACTACGTAGTACTCGTAAAGGCTTGCTCGCGATCTCTGTGCTCTCGGCATATTCGTCGGCGGTCGGATCGGAGGCGAGGGTATCCTCGGGCAAGTCAGGTGTTCCTTCGTTGTTTGGAATCAGAGGATAGACCGGGTCGTCTTCGAGTTCGAACTCGCAGATGATAACACCAGGATTCTTGTCGGTGATATGCATGGCGCACCATAATTTCTGCAACTTTCGTTGCGGTGTTCGTATTGACATGGTAAAGACCTCGGGGCCATTCGAGCTCACATCAGCCTCTTCGTCTCTGATGAAATCAACGTGATCCAGGAGATTGTCAGTCTGATCCTCGGAGAGAATGTCGGTGAAGCTATCGAGAGCAAACAATTGCTTTGGTGTGTAGCCAATAAGTCTCTTAGAGTTTTCGCTGACCACTCTCACAATCAGCTTGCCCTCGGTCTCTTCCTCAAGGGCTACCAACAGCCCAAAGCCCTGCACAGCGCCCGGGATGTGAATGGGTTCGTCTTCGCAGCGCTGGAGAGTGTCGCCGTCCCTGCCTGTGATGATAGCGTGGCCGCCTTCGGACACGACATGCTTGAAACGAGCGGTGATTAGACCCGAACCTGTCTCTGGGTCATCCGCACCCTTGGTTGATGGTGCGCGATCCGCTGACCGTGGGCGGGTGCTTCGAGAGTCGGTGGAGAGATTGTCGCTATTGTCGTGCCTGCTAGACGCGAGCTCGTTGAACAACTGTGCCGAATGTCGGTTGTTCGCACTGGCCGAAGGCTTCCGGGCTTGGGCGTTGTTTGGGCGACTTTCGGCAGAGCCACCAGTCCTGTTGGAAGTGGCATTGTAGCCCTTGTTCTCCGAGTCGCTAGTAACGGAAAACCTCCTCGCCTCTTGAGGTGTCTGGGTGAAATAGCCGTTATTACTATGATCAGAGCGATGCGACGGGGTAGCGTTGGGGTCGACAGAAATGACAGAGCGGATGGGAAAGACGCGGTCGGCGACGTCGGGGCTCAGCGGATCTATTGGAGAGCGACAATTTGGAGCGTTTTCGGAACCGGGCCATAGATACGAGTTGACACGAGGCTGCTCTGAGGAGGACCGGTCCTCTGGTTGGTGTTCTGTCGACGAGTCGGAGTGTAACGAAGGACTCGAGTTGTCCTGTCGACGGCGTTGATCATCTTCCGACCACATGGTGGCGGGCGTCGGCCTCGTCTTATGGCTCAGGCAAGGAACGTACAAGACGACCAAGCACGGTAGAGAGGTTGTCGCAGTAAGAGTGTAGGATTACGAGGTAGTCGATGTGAATGAATGAATGGATGTCGTCGGAGGAGCGTTGTCGAGAAGAAGGGGCCAGGCCTTGAGTCGAGAATGAGCAGGCGTAGGGGCGCGACGCCACGTTCGGCCGAGAAGCAAGTGCGGGCTTTGGGCGCTGACGACAATGAAAAGCCCTGCTACCGGGTTGGCTACAAGAAGGCGATATGAACAGGTCGACGGCGTAGATGCAGCGCTCGAGAGAGATTCCTGCGACCTTGAGTACGAGTGGCGATGGCGGTTCGGAAGCAGAGCAAGCGCGAGCCTGATCTTGGAGTCGCGAGCACCCAAAGTTTCCCTCAAGGACGTTTCTTGGCCAACAAATGCAGAAGTTGCCCCAAATCTTGAGCCTGTGGCAGCCTGACTCTGTCCTAAGCACGAGACGAATGCAGCTTATGGCTACAGGTATACAAGATGAGCGCCGCAGGATACCAATCTGCCAGGAAGGAAGATTCTGGTTGAGCACAGGGCAAAGCAGCCATCGGTGATCATATTGCTGCGCAGAATGTATCACTTATTGATCAACGCCCTTTGCGGAGCTGATCAGCGTCCTATCCGCACTCTGCCAACCAAGCCTCCCATCAACAGCAATCTTTTTTTCCTTCCAAGGAAGCACTACGGGCGACGTATCTGCGCAGCTATATCAACATTCAAGACCCGAATACATTGCAGCAGGCCTTCGTGTGTCCGTTGGGTAAGATAGCGTGCTTTGAGAAACATGACCCTCCTGCGAGCCGCCGCGGGCCGGCTCTAGCACTCATCGACTTTTGTCGCGAGTAATGCTACGAATGGAACAATGCACCTACTGTTTACGGCTGGCCATCCTGGGGCTTGACATTACATGTTGCTCTGGAAGCTGTTCCACGTAAATGAATCCACTCATAAATGCCAAGCCTGGTACCATTATCTCGGTGACTCGTCATGCGACACGCCGACTGTGATGGCTAACGCCGAGCAGCTTGCTTTAGATCCGACCGCTGTGAGCCGCTCTTGACAGATGCAACCTGCTGCAACTCACCTCTGATCAGACAAAGAACCTACTTCGTTACGCTTCGCGAGCCTCTTTGACAAAAACCCGATCTTCCATTCTCACGCGCCCGTGACTCCATAGCGCCGTTCCGCATCGCCCCATCACCCCGCATCGATACCAGTCATCCATCACCTGAGCAGCGACGACGACTTGACCAACTTTGCAAACCTATAGACACACCTCTCTACCCAGCAAAACCTACACGACTCGAGTCAAGATGAGCAGTCCCAAACGAAGAATCGAGACGGATGTAGGTTCAAGACAAGCAGAACAAGAGTCGGAAGATACCATGGGCTGACATACTCTTCTTGCTCCTACCTACAGGTAATGAAGTAAGTTGCAGTCGCACGGAACGCAGTAATGGTCTTGTATACTGATTATTGGCAGGATGTATGTATAGACGTCGCCTTGTGCTATCACGTGCATTTCTGACGACTGGGCTAGGATGATGAGCGACTACGAAGTCACTCTGGTCAACGATAACAGTATGATTTTACCCAGTCTCAAACCACACATATGCGTAGCTAACTCGTGTCGCAGTGTTCGTATCCAGTCGTCTCCTCCCCATCGTCACCGCAAACAAAGATCATTGACGTAGCGCACAGGCAAGAGTTCTTTGTCCGTTTCAAGGGCCCGGAAGAGAGTAAGATACGCTGTTGACATGATGAGGATCTCGTACTGAGACAACCCGCAGCACCCTTCCAAGGCGGCCTCTGGAAGATTCATGTCGAGCTACCTGACCAATACCCCTACAAGAGTCCTAGCATTGGATTTGTGAACCGCATCTTCCATCCCAACATCGACGAGCTGTGAGCTTCATATTGAAAGCATCGAACAGACCTTTGTGCCTAACTTTGCTCCAGATCCGGCAGCGTCTGCCTCGACGTCATCAACCAAACGTGGTCACCAATGTACGAGATGGTCAATATCTTCGAGGTGTTTCTTCCTCAACTCTTGCGCTATCCTAACCCGACGGATCCTCTCAACGGCGAAGCTGCAGCTTTGATGATGAGGGAGCCAAAGACCTACGAAGCCAAGGTCAAGGGTAAGGCACGGTCGAGGTATTCGATATGAGTGACACGACTAATCTCTGTCAGAATATGTTTCCAAGTACGCATCGAGAGAGGCGGCAGAAGATGCAGGCGAAGACTCGGACGACGATGATGAGATGAGCAGCGTAGGCAGTTTCGACTCAGACGACGAACCCGCTGGCAACATGGACGAGATCTGATCCGTGAGACGACATTCAAGGTTCGAGGGATTATGGAGTCATTCTGTCGGCAGTCTTTTCGTGGCCCAGAATCATGGCATTGCAAGGTAGTCAGGCGGCGCGACATGAAGGGATTGGTTTGGAGGCGTTCGGGGGAATCACGGCAGGCGTTTTCATCTGCTTTTGCTATTCTTTCACAAGGCCCGATAGTCAGAGATGCGACAGTCGAATGTATACACACGACAAATTATGAAGGACCTTCTCAAAGGGCTTTGTGCTGAAACCAAGCAAGCTTCCAGACCGTGTGGGTGTGTAGTGAGGTGTGTGCTCATGGGACAGATGGGGCTAGACGGACAACGGTTTAGCGGATCAAGATGGCTCTACTCCAGGTGCGGCCCCACTGTGGGAAGATCTGATGTCAGGGAACCCAAAGGAGATTCAACAAGAGTCAAGCAGATGGGCGTGCGCAAGGCAGAGGAGATCTGATTGTGTTGATCAGCTCAAGCTACGGAGTGGATAGCAGGTCAGGGTAACGAAAGATTCGGGATGAGTTTCGTCGGTTTCCACAGGGCGGACTCGTAGATAGGAGAGCGTTGTCAAATAGGGTTACCGTATGATTACGGGTCAGATAGTGTCTTCCAAAGTGGGACATGTGAGCGGTGAGGACAAGCAGCAGAAGATGCAGGAGGATGTCATAAGGTTGTGCAAAAAACGTGCCTTCCGCGTGGCTGGCTCTTGCCTTGTTCTGAGACGACGATGCAATGCAGGGTTATGACGATCAACCGAGCATGGAGAAAGCACTTGGCAGATTGGCCGGCATGGGCAGTAGAGCGAAACACATGGCATGGCAAGGGATGCAAAAGTCGAGTGCGGGCAGTGTCTATGTATGTTATCAGAGATTCGAGGGCTTTTTGGAGAATTGTTTCTGCTGGCCAAAGAAAATAGATGGCAGCGTCGCTCCTGAGTCAGTGGGGAGTGTTAAGTTTTGGCGGAAGGTGCTCTAGCGCGTACCAACGGGCAGGGCTCGCCAAGGGATGCAGCATTGGACATGGCGATTTGGAGAGTCTTCAGCTTCTCTCGACACGCTCGTTGCAGCATTTGTGAGAAGACTGGAAGACGACACGCCCTGTACACGACACGAGTTATGACCTGAAGCCTGCACCATCTTCCACGACAATATCGATAATCCCTTGACGCCGCCGCTTCGCTTTCCGCTTCGCTTTCCGCTTCCCTCGACGTCCAAAGCAGCCAGGCTGCTCCCACAATGGGCAACTCCAGCGGCAAGCCCGTCGTCTTTACCGACGAAGGTAAGCCCTCGACCAACTTCAGATGGATCGAACTCGACATTGACCCGTGGTAGTGAGCCTCGATCACTTTCGACTGCTCCGCGTCGTCGGCAAGGGCGCCTTTGGCAAGGTCCGCATCGTAGAGCGAAAGGACACTGGCTTGACATTTGCTCTCAAGTACATCCGCAAAGATGAGGGTGAGACGAACCCTTCCGGACAGCCACGGCCTGGACTGACACACGAGCAGTGGTACGCAGCGAGAGCGTGCGCAACATGATTCGAGAACGACGGATGCTGGAACATCTCAACCACCCCTTCCTGTGCAATCTGCGATATAGTTTCCAGGACGTCGAATACCTGTACATCGTCGTCGATCTCATGACGGGCGGTGATCTGCGCTTCCACATCTCGCGCAAGTCCTTCACCGAAGAAGCCGTTCGCTTCTGGATATCACAACTGGGTTGCGCGCTTCGCTACATTCACAAACAAAACATTGTCCACCGCGATGTCAAGCCCGACAACGTGCTGCTCGACTCTGACGGTCACGTTCATCTGGCTGACTTTGTACGCTCTCTCTTTCTTCGATTGTTGCCATGTCGGCCTAGCTAATTGTCTGCTAGAATGTTGCGACAGACCTCACACCTGGAAAGCCCCTGACCAGTCGATCAGGCACATTAGCTTATCTCGCACCCGAAGTATACCGCGGCAAGGGCTATGGAGCCGAATGCGACTGGTGGTCGTTGGGTGTGCTTTTCTATGAGTGCATCTACAGCAAGGTATGACGTCCTCGTGGCCCCCTGATCGGCCAAAGCTAAATCCTCGTGATAGCGACCTTTTGAAGGACATCACCACGATCAACTCATCCAGGCCATCGTCAAGGGCGAGCCGAACTTCCCCGTGACCAACCCTCCCGTATCGATGGTGTGTATGCATGCGATAAGCTCGCTGCTGGAGAAAGACAAGGCACAGAGAATTGGAGCGAGCAGTTGGAACAGTTTCACCGACAACCCCTTCTTCCGCGAGATCGATTTTGACGCCCTTGAGCGCAAGGAGATTGAACCCATCTTCAAGCCTTCGAGCGAAAAGACAAACTTCGACGCCACATACGACCTGGAGGAATTACTACTCGAGGAAGCTCCCTTGGAAGCGCGTACAAGGAAACAGAAGCCACGCCCTGAGCTACGAGCCGATGCTACCGAGGCCGAAATCCGTGCTGACGAGCTGCACCGCATGATTGAAACCATGTTCGAGCCATTCAACTATCTAACCGTACCCGAAACCAGGTGCGACTCATCGTCAACCGACCAATATGATCCAACCAGACTGATGCATCCCAGGAATCCTGCCATTGAAGGCGCCTCTCCCACCGTCACAAAGTCCGACAGCAACGACAGCCCCACACCGCAAGACCTGCAGAAGGTCCGCTCAATACCCACCCCTCATGCCTCTACACCCAACAACGTATCCCGTACCCGTTCATCGACACAATCGCCCAATGGTTCTCCTCCATTGCATACTCATCAAGTCCAGAACACCGTACCCGCACAGTCCGAATACTTCGCTCAGCAACAACAAAGGCTTCCTCGTTCTGAGCGCTACGATGGCCCTCCTCCACCCGCCCCTCCTACTTCCCACCCGCAACGAGCCATTAACAAGGCACATCGTCCTCGTGGCAGCACTCGAAGCACCTCTATGAGTGGTGGCGTTCAGGTCGTGCTGAACGAAACCGGTAGCTGGAGTGAAATGGCCAACCAGAGTCAAGGCCTTGTTCAACCTCAAGAGGACCGCAAGCCAGCCGGTATGCTCGGTTTCCTCAGTCGCAAAAAGGGCCGAGACCGAAGTCCCAAGGCCAAGGAGCGCGAACGTGGTGTCCTAGGCAAGGAGGGTGCCAGAGTCGTTGTCGGAAGCTGAGCCCTTGGATCTCTCAACACACCTTCTCCCATCTCTCTCGTATCTGCATCACGCATCACTCCTGGATACCAGTCTTTTGCAGTTTTATCCCCATTTAATCGTTGCGGTCTCATTGTTTCCATCCGCTGGCTGTCATGCTATATTTTCTGTTTTCATTCTTCCTCCTGGAGCAGGCGGTGTGAAGCACAATGGGATGGGCGACTCGGCGAACAGCAGGCGTCTCTTGTTTATATCCTGCTCTCGTTTCTCATTGGCACAAGCCTAGATTGGTTGTCAATCATCATGTTGTAAAGAGCCAGAGGAGAAGCGAAAGCAACACACAGAAAAGGAAGGAATGGATTGCATACACGAGAACAGTTTGTACACTACATGACAATTCCTCTTTTTTTTTTTAGTCCACCTCAGAAACACATATCTTCGTATGACAGTGGCAACAGAGGCGAAAAAGTATCCGTGGAATTTCTTTTTCGTCTCTACCCTTACTTTTACCTGTTCAATTCTTCTCTGTCTTCCCATCTCTGTGTTTTTCTTTTCCCCAGAGGATTCTATGTATCAGGAGTCCGGTTTTCATATGCCTCCTTTTCTTCCTTATATTGCCTTTTGTACGAATTACCACATCCAAATCATAACGTTTATCTATATATGTTTAATCCTATATAATATATATAGCTTCCATTTACTCCTTTTATACCTTTCTTCGCACCTGCCTTTACACCTTCCTTTACACCTTCCTTTTATAACTTCCTTTTGTATCTTTCTTAATATTAGTAATATGATATGTTGCTATAAAAATGCATAATACCTTCTTAAAGTAAGGCTTTATTTACTAAAAGCCTCTCTTTTCTTTACTCTCTTTAGTCTTTATCTTATTTATATAGATCATTATGCGTTATTACAGCTTAGATATAATAATGCGGGAAGTAAGAAGAAAAGAGGAAAAGAAGAAATAAAGAGATAAAGAAACAAAGCAAGTAAAACAGTCTTTCACTTATAAACAAAGGGTACATAATATATCGCTATAGAAAATGCACAGTATCCTTAGAGAAGCAAGCTTTATCCACCAAGATGTAGAGATTTCCTTAATCCCTTTGATCTCAGCTTAGATACGAAAGTCTCTTTACATTTGTACAGTTTTGAATATCACTGCATTAGTATACAGCAAAGGGGAAAGTAGAGAGACAGTATTCTTGGTATCGTCATCTCAAGTGGTTAGGTGATGAACGGTGTAGCTATAGAGATGCATACTAGTCTCCTAAGATACGCGGTTCCTACTAAGAGTCCCTCTTTCTTTGTTCTCTTTGGTCTCTTATCTTTCATATTAATTACCAACTGTGACACAAGGAAGAAGGAAGGAAAGGGAGTTTTCCCTTATACGTAAAGGAATATCACTGTGCATTTCTGTCACTTAAAAATCACCATATAGCTCAACAGGAAGGCCCGACAAATGTAGAGAGACAGGGGGCTGTAGTATCGTGCATCTCGAAAGTGAATGGCGAGCAAGGTGTAGCTATGGAAATGCACAGTGAGCTCCTGATATGTGTCTGTTTCATTGAGAGCCCTTCTTTTCTCTGCTCTCTTCGGACAAAGATTGTTTGTTGATCACGACTGTGCATTTCTATAGCTTATTCATCACTGTATAAATGGAGAGGAGAAGTGGGTATAGAGTCATTTTTTCTTGATAGAGCTATTTATAACCATGCTGAATAAACCATGCTGTGATAATCATGCTGTGATGGAGAAAGCCATTTTGAAGCAATGCTGAGTAAAGCAAACCATTATAGACACCTTCCCGGGTCCACCGAGCCATAGAAACATAGGAAAACGGGGTATCAGAAGTATCACGCGCGCAGAAAAGAGGGCCATCAAGTCATAGTCGCCGAGCACCGATCATTCTTCGGGAGGGTACATGGCGGGATCAGGGTTGGTGACTTCCCAACCAATGTCCTTGAACGTGAGCTTAGGCTCAGCAGGAGCCTGAGGCTCAACTGCAGCCTCGGATGCAGCCTGAGGTGCCTGAGAACCACCAGCAGACTCAGCCTGACGCTCAGCATTGCGACGAGCAAGGTCAGCAGCAGAAACGCCCTTGTAGCCAGCAACGGCATTGTAGATGGCGTTGTGGTGGGGTGTCATGCGCTGAGGACCGGCAGAGTTGTTCACATGGCCGCCGCCGCGGGGGAAGTCTGCTTCGACCTGGTTGACGGCACGGGCAAAGTCGCGTTCGTCGAGGTCAGCCCAGTTGATGCTGCCAAAAGCAGACAAGGAGGGCTGAGGGCGGTCGGGCTCGGGGCGAGGAAGGGGTTGGGGCATGGGGATGTAGAGGTTGCTCTTCTTGACAGGAGGAATTGGACCTGTGTTGCCGTGAGGGGCTGAAGGGACAGAGCCTTGGTTGACGTGAGGGCCTGGACCGGGGCTGGTACGAGCAGCTGCAGGAGCAGGACCTGCGGTGCCGTGTGGAGCGTAACCTGCGTTGACGCCAGGAGTAGTGCCTGTGTGGGTACGAGGAACTGAAGGGAAAGGTCTTTGGTCGGCGCGAGGAACAGGGCGCAAAGAGACAGCATCCTTTGCGACAGAGTCAACGATGCGAGTAGCGTTGATCTCAGGGTTGAAGCGAGTGGCGCCTTCGAAGCCATTCCGGTTCAAGTCGCGCCATGCGTCAGCAGCAGGAGCGAAACCCACGGTGTGGGCCAGTTCAGGGTTGGTGGTCTTTGGAGTGCCCATGACTGCGTCGTACTCGTGAACGTAGTCGGGGTAGTAGTCTTCTGGACGGAAGGACTCTTCAGACTCGTTGTCGGTGTCTTTGGCGGGAGCGGAATCGGTGTACTCGTTGTCAAGCTCTTCCAGATGTTCGTGGAAGCGACTGGTCTTGGTTGCGGTCTGAGGGCCAGCCTTGGTGGTAATCTTGGTGCGCTTTCTGCCTTTGCCTTTCTTTCCGTACGTCAAAGCGAGTTTAGCAGGCGTCTCGACGATGGACGCGGCGGCGCGAGTAGCGGCTTGGGCTTGCGCCTGGGTTGAGTGAGGAACACGAGCGTACTTCTGGTTGAGTTCATCCATCTTTGCGATGTCGGCAGATGGGCGGATGTCCCAGGGCGAGGCGTAAGTTTCGTCGACGACGGGTCTGTTGTGCTTCAAGGCGAACACTTGCTTCCACCAGCCAGGGAAGAGAAGACCAAGAGCCTCCAAGACCTCAAGACAGCGGATGGCTTTGGTGTTTCTGTGATGGCGCACAAGATGGACCTCACACCAGCGAGTCCACTGATCCTTGTTCTTGTTGGTGCGGCCGTCTGGCTTGAGTTCTTTCTCCCACTCGATGAAGAACACCCTCATGAGATGCTCAAAGTCGCTGACAGCGTATTCCATAGCGGCAGCGATCACACGCTCAAGCACCCAATAATCATCAACACCATCCTTACGCAGACCCTGGTCCAACCAATTCTTTGTGCGCATGATCTGGAGCGACTCGAGATCGAAAGCTTTCTTAGCATAGTACTCAACCGCCTCATCATCCTGCCAATGGCCGATAGGATGCAGAGGAATTGTGCCACGAGCATTGCTGCTTCCAGGACCCAGATCGGCGTTGGCATCGACGAAGGTCTGCCACAGCTGATCGGCTGTCTGCATCACCTTCTTCAGACCAGTCGAGACCATCTTGAAATGCCGAGACTGTACACGTCTGATAAGGTTAGCACGAATGCTACTATCGATGATAATGTCGCTTTTACGCGAGGCCGTAGGATGTAGTTAATGGGTTACGCGACGATCTACGAGATTAGATGATCACAGTCGTGCGTAAGAGAACGATGGAGAATTGGGCGAGCCGACGTAGAGTTGTGCGAGCGCCGAGAAGGTCGACGAAGTAAAGTTGTGCGAGCGCCGAGAAGTAAGGAGAAAAGAAAGTTACGACGACGATGGCAGGGTCGCGGCGCAACGATTCAGTGAAGTGAGAAGTGAGTGACGAAGAAAAAGTCACATCAAAACAAGTGAATGGAATTGAGTGTGCGGAAGAACGACAGTGGTCGAGACGACGATGCGATAACAGATTTTCTGCGCCTGTCAACAAACGAGCTTCAAGTGAAGGATTAACAACGAGAAGTCAGGCTTGTGAGGTAATGCACGATGTCTGCCACAGTGGATCGAGCTTGGAGATGATGGACTTGAACATCGAGACCTTGCCTGTTGTGTCGTTGACCATCGCTCACTCTTCTCGCCAGCATATCCTAGAGAGGTCTAGGTAGAGACCTCATGTCATGACTGGTGATGTCCATAGATGATGTATGATCTGAGCTGGGTATCCTCAGGCCTCACTGTCTTCCATGAAGATCAAGAAGACGATGCCAGGCAACTCCTATGGACGGGACTATGTGCTCCTGCCGCTTTCCATACGGTGTCGATTCCATAGAAGCTCAATGCGGCCTAAAGCCAGCTCCAGAACTAGCCAGATAGCTGTCTCGACGCTCAGGCATGTTGAGGCATAGCATCCGGATTTGTGTTGGATGGTAGGTGACGAAGATGCGATGTTCAGATTCGCGTCGCCTGCAAGTCCGAAAGAGATATCGGAATATCCCAGATGTCTCTTTCTTCGACCAAGCAATGACAAAGGCTTTTTCTACAAGAGTGCAGGATGATGAATGTTGAGCTTCTTTCTATCTTTCTTCTGCTTTTGGAAAGTCTTTGACAATAGGAAATGTGACGAAAGAAGATATGACACAAATGTCGGGGTATCAAAGAAAACCAGGGACAGAGCCCTGGGGTTGAGGAGAGCATGCAATGTTCATTTTCATATGTATCCTTCTCTCTACGTAAAACCCACTTTGCAGGTCTAAGTAACGCCATCGCAGCCCCCAGAGCCCAAAGACGCATGATTGATGCTGCCTGTCAACAAGCAAACTACTGTTACACAACGAAAAAGAGATAGCAAGACGTCTAGGTTTCGCCTCTGTTCTCGGCGTAGCCAGCGCTGCCGACAGCTTGCTCAGTGGTTTCTTCTGAGCTTGCGGGCTTGGCCAGACCGTGCTCTTTAAGGAGAGCATCAATCTCCTCAGCACCCCAGAGGTGGTGGTAGACAGTGCCTTCCTTTGTCTTGCCGACTGTGGCGAATTCGACTGAGAATATGTCAGCAAAGTCATTGGAGGTGAGGGATCAAGATGGGTTGTACTCTTCTCGCTGCTAAGGTTTGTGGAATCCATAGTCTTGCTCAAGACCTTGACGGCCAGACCGCAGGCTTCTCTCAAAGAGCACTCGTCGTTGTAGTCTTGCTTGAGCAAACTCTGAGCGCTGGCATTATTGGCACCAACACTGGTGGCCTTCCAACCGCCGTAGTTGCCACTGGGGTTGCTCTGGTAAAGTTGGAATTGGCGCTGGTCGTCGTAACCAGCGTAGATGAACGAGACACCGAAGGGACGGAGACCACCATGTTGCGTGTAACCCTGCTTCAAATCGCACAGGCGGCGGACAAGCTGTTCACAAGGAATCTCTTGGTTGTAGGTGAGGAGGTAGTTCTGTGCGGCTGAACGGGCGTAGTTGATGAGGATGTTGGCATCGGCAGTCATTCCAGCGACGGCACAGATCATGTTGCTTGGGAGAGGTCAGTAAATGCGCAGGATGTGAACGAAAGATGCTGACGAACTCATTCAGGGTGTACAGCTTCTCGGCGGATGTGTCTTGTTCGAGCAGCTTGCTGGTGACCTTGCGCTCGGCGGCCAGGACAATGCCATCCTTGGCTAATATACCCAGAGCAGTACCGGCGTGCGAGATAGCCTCAAGAGCGTATTCGACTTGATAGAGACGGCCCTCGGGCGAGAAGATGGTCGTTCGTGAATCGTAGCGGCGAGACATGGCGCTTGCGTGAAGAAGTGTTGATCAGAGGGGCGAGGGGTTAGGAAAGTGCGCTCGGATTACGATGCGCTGGCGGCGGAGAAGGAAGGAAGGGCGATATGGCACGGGAGACGGAAGGAGCGATGGATGGGAGAGTGAGTGCTCGTTGTCGTTGCTTGACTGCTGGCTGGCGACCGGAGCTCGATCGTCATGTTCATTGCCCCAAGCTCAGCTCCTTCTCCGACGCCGACACATTTGTTGCCAACACTTCCAATCATTCTCGACAGCAACATCACCCTGCCCTGGATTTTAGATACAGCATTGTTCGACCCATACCATCTGCGTATTATCCTTATGGTGGTATCCGGTAGATCGTGAGATAATTTAGCAGTAGACAAGTCCTTAGTTGGTCGAACGTCGATGTCAATATGGCGGGCTACACATATACCACTGGATTGCTCAATCATTTAATGCCGTTCGCGACTTGCACCATGTAACCGATCTATTTTCTGGTCCAACCAATATAGCTCATTCTTTTACGATCACCATCTTGACGAGACAGCAAGTTACTCGAAATAACCAGGGAACAACCAACCCAACTTCTGCTTAGCAGCCTCCTTACGCCCAGCAGGTGCAGTAATGCCACCGGCAAACTTGGTCTGACCCTCCAAATGCTTTGCCTGGATCAACTCTGCATGCTCCTCTCTGCTCAACTCATCAAGCACACCACCAACAAAGCGGCGTGCATTCTCAGAGTTGGCCTTCATGTTGCCCATGACCATTTCGACAGTAACATCTTCGCTGCTGTGCCAGCAGTCGTAGTCGGTGCTCATGCAAATCATCTGGTAGGCGATTTCTGCTTCCTTTGCTAGCTTGGCTTCGGGCAAGACAGACATGTTGATGACGCTACCACCCCAGGAGCGGTACATGTGTGATTCGGCGCGGGTGGAGAATTGAGGGCCCTCTGTTGTATGTCGTTGTCATTAGCATTGTGTCTCTTTCAACCATCTCTTTTGTCTTTACGCACCCATGCAAATAATAGTGCCCTTGTCGTGAAGATGCACATTCTCGCCCTCGAGGCTGTGACCAAGCTTTCTCACTACAGCACCCAACTTCTCATCAAAGGGGTCTGCAAAGCCAACATGCCCAACCATACCCTCCTCGAAGAAAGTGAACGGACGAATGCCCTTGGTACGATCGATAACCTGATCAGGCACCACGAAATCTCTGGGCTTGATTTCCTCCTGCAGACTTCCCACCGCCGAGAAGGCGATAATGGTTCTCACACCCAGCGAGCGCAGAGCAGCAATGTTGGCGCGAGCGGGAACCTCGTGAGGTGCAATCTCATGGTGAAGTCCATGGCGAGAGAGGAAGGCGATGGGAATGTCCTTGCCGGTGGAGGGCGACTTGTGATGCAGCACGCTGATGGGCGATGAGGGAGTGCCCCACGGTGTATCGACGTTGAGGGAGGCGGCGAGCGTGAAGCCGGGCAGCGACTGCAGACCAGTGCCGCCAATGACGGCAATGTGGATAGGATCTGTTTTGGTGCGAAAGCAGCCGCCGAAAGTCAGGTCCGAATCTTGTCAAAAATTGTGCTTTCTGGGATCCTCAAATCCGTGTCTTGGTGTAGCGTATACCAGAATATGTGCTTGCGACGTTTGCCATTTTGCGGAAGCCTATGTGTACGTAGCGGACTGCTTGTATCGTTGGTTTGAAAGACTGGAGGTTCAAAGACCGCTGGAGCTGGATGGCTTTCAACATTGATTTCCATGCCACCTTGAACCTTTTTGGTGGGGAACTTGGTGATTGCGACATTGGCCCAAGCGCCGTCTCCTCCATCCAATGCATTCAACCCGTGCCTCTTCCACAAGAGCAAGAGTCTCTATACAAGACTATACGAGCTTTCATTGCATTTGATCTACTTTACTTTGCCTATGCAGCGGACATGGGCATTAGTTGAATATTGATAAGCATCTATTCGTATGAGTTATAGACGGACTTGCTCGGATATATGTAGGTACTCGAACTCTCGATGCAGAAATCAATATCACCTGCCTACCTACTTGCATGCAGACGATCCTCTCCGTCCGGGAACACCCATCATCTACTCATTATACAGCCCGATATTGATTAGGTATGCATGTATCACTTTCCAGCTTCCACCGTGACGGGACACAGCGCCACTTGCTGCTAGATCAGTGGCCACTTAGATAATCGGTAAGAACTGCTTGAACGTCAGTAAACTGTGCTTGTCAGCATGGACAGGACCGAGAGACTTACATTCATAACAATCATCATGGGAATGTCAAAGACGTCTCGCTTGACCACCCAACAGAACATGCAGGACACCTTGCCGTCCCGATCACCGAGCGAGTTCATGCCCGACTCGCCGCTGATGAGTGGACCCACCGGTTTGCCATTGCGATGTCTGTTTTCTCGCTCGCTCAGTAGATCTGCACTCCATCCAGGATCGTCCTTGGTCTTGTACTTCAAAAGCTTGCAGGGCTTCATCATGACACCACGTGAGTCTCCGAAAGCAAGCTTTGCAAAGTCTTCGTAGAAGTCGATGACATTGTCGTCTTCCATGAGCTCTGGGAGAAGTACGGGCTGTAGTCGACCAGCCGTGTCCGCATCATTCTGTGCAAGAGGTGTGACAGTGCCTCTAGTGCTAGTACCAGTCTGACGCCCCGATGCGTTGCCGATGTTGATGTTCAAGTTTGATTCCTTGCCAAGCAAGACATCTCTTGACCACCCTGTCAGCAACGAGAACTCCTTACTAACAGCAGCGACTTCGCCAGTACGACGTAGGATCAGTGTAGGAGTTCCATAAGCCGTCAAAAAGTCATCGTACTCGAATAGCGTTCTCTGGAAACACTTTTCCATGAATATCAAATCGTCGCGATTCAACTGTTTTGTACAAGAGATGAATGATGGTCGGATAGCCGCCAACGCTCTAGCGATTCGGGCAGTCTTTTGTGGCGAGTAAAGTCTTTGTAGACATGCAGTGAAGGAATGGAAGCCTGTAGTGTATGGATACGGCGCAGTGACTGATGTGTATATGTCAGAGGGGTCTCGTCGTTTTCTCTGTTGATTTGGCCGTGTATGATGTATGTCACTTGCTGAGAAGCTGTTTCTGATTTGCGGTCGTGGTTGATGGCGGCTGAAATCTTGACTCGAGTTGCGTAACAAGTGTTGCGCTGGAGCTGCAGGACTCGTACTGTATCCTGTGTTGAAGTCCATCATATTGGCAGCGCTGGGACTGGCTCCTGACATGGAACCATTCTCGCCGATGGCAAAAGCGTTGTGGAAGTTCAGTGATCCATCAATACTGTTGTCTCCAGTTATAGAAAAGACCTGGCCAGAGCTGTTTTGTCTGGCACCATCGTTGTTGCGTTGCCAGTCGGTATAACCGGTATTACCGTAGGGGAAGGTAGCTGAGTAGTTCGAGTTGGTTGGATCGTAAGGCATCGAGGTCATCATGCTGCCGTTCTCAGTATCAGGAGTTTCGACGGCACCAGAGGACATGTGCCCAAGCATGCCAAATTCTAAAGCACCATAATGATTTCCAAAATTTAGACTTGAGATGTCAAAATTGAAGAGTGAAGGGTCGGCAGGGTCAAAGAACGGGGCGTTGAAAGATTGGCCAGGCTTCGCGTCTCCAGAAGTGTGTGAGATAGATGAGATAGGGTCCTGAGGAGGTGGCATTTGTTGAGAAGCAGCCGAAGGAAATGGCTGTGTGACCATGTTCTGCTGAGGGACATAAGGATTAGGATGAACCATGGGTGATTCGGTAGCTGAGGGAGAGTTGATAGGAGCCACGGAGGGAGTGTGACCAAAGTTTGCAAATGCTTGAGCACCAACTGGGGTTTGATAGTACGACGAAGATTGAGCTACAGGTGTAGACTCGGTAGCGGGAGTAGACTGGCTCTGGTTCTGGTTGTAGGAGTGTGGTATCAGAGCTTCGTTGGGAGCATCGTGAAGATATTTGGCCTTCTTTCGTACTCCATCATGGCAGTGGTCTTGCAGGCCACGCTTGATGCAGCGGAGACATGGTCGTTCGTCACCTGGTCGAGTCAGAAGAGCGTGTCGGTGAGACTTCCTGTCAAGAGCTTACATACCACATGTCAGATGAGCCCTTTGGCAGGCGTAGCATGCTCTCCGTGCCTTCTTCCTCTTCGGTCTCGAGGGATCTTTTGTACTTGCTCGCTTGGTCGCTGAGCCATTTTGGTCCTTGTTGGATGAGGCAGAAGCTGGTGAAGCCTTGTCGTCGCTCGGAGAGGCTTCTTGGATCGAGTCGGACATGTTGGGCTGTGGTTGGGAGGGAGTGTGCGTCTGGTTGTTGACCGAGTCTGTCTGCTCTTCGGACGAGGCGTGGTGGGCTGGACCGGGGGCCATGGCCGTAGTAATATAAGAAAGTCTTCCGCTGGAGTGGCACGGGGCAGGTGGTTGTGGTGCTGGGGCACGTTGTCTGCAGCTTCCCGTGGATTGCTTCCGTTTCAGGATTCCCAGGTGGATGGATGTGAGATGACGAGTGGCTGTATGCGCCGTGCCACAAGGGTCTGCCAGGGAGCCAGAGAGGGTCCGCTTCCGCCCACGCGGTGCAAGGTAAGCAGGGGCAGCAAAGCGCTGTCTACCAAAGCAATGTCTACGCAGTTGGTGTCACCCTCGCTAAAGTCATCATATCTATGCCACACCACTCTGTCGGGAATGCGCCTGTGGGCCGACGATGGATGGTCTCGCGTCACTGCACTGTCGCGAATGAAAGCCCTATGGTCTGAGCGATACGGCGAGCCCGCGACTTTTGCGCGACGACAAGACGAACTCGGGAGATGCTGTGTTGGTAGAGAATGGACTGTTCGCACATGCTATCGACCGAGGGACCTCGACATGCGCGCGCGCGCGACTCGGCCTTGGCAAGGCCGCATCCTTCCCGCAAAGGCCGAACCCGCCTTCTCCAATCCTTCCCCCCACTCCAACGACCAAGAGACCGTGTCAAAGCGTCCATCACATGTACCCATAGTCCTGGCCATCTTGTGCGCCTGGCCAACATGACATGCCAGATCGTCAATCATCGAGTCTTTGGGTAGCACATGCTCGCTTGTTCGTCCTGTCACCGCCACTCATGTCTCGCTCCCCAGAATTTTCTCGTTGCACTTCCTCGTTTTGACTGGCTTCCAAATACCCAGCTGTCTGTCCTCGTCCATCAAGCGGCCCGAGCACAGATCTTTTTGGTGTTCCTTTGCCTCGTGGAAAAGACGCCATGCACTATTGTTCATGCAGTGCCACCGATCCGAATCTCATCTATTTCTGTACCTCAGCCTTCCCAATCTGTCCCTGTCCTCAAGATTGCGCAAACTTGGAGTTTTTGCGAAGTCGTTTGCCGTATTCTATTGGCTTGTCAGCATTCCTCCTCGCTCCCATCTCTAACCAAGCAATGCTTCTTACTGAAAAATAGGTACGCTCATGCCAGGGTCAGCATTATTCATCCATGGTACGGGGTCTTTGCTTTTCAAGAACTCACGAAACGGTGCCATGGCAAGTGCCAAAAAGGCCAGTAATGACGACGCCTATCACCAATTTAGCATCACTTGACCATCATCATCGTAAAAGCAGCTCACCCATTGATATCCTAGCTCTGTTCCAGGTTTCCGCATTAGTTACCGCTCTTTGATCTTTGCCCTAAACGGGTGACTTACTGTTGTACATTTGCACACCTAATCATACAGTTAGCATGTTTCTCCATAGAGGTACAATGCAATGCAATTTGACTGACCAAAGAGTGGGAACGCTGCAGCGAAGCTCGAACGTGCGAAACTGTTGGCAGCCAGCGCGCTCGCGGCATATAGAGGGTACTGTCACAAATCATTAGCCTTCTATGCGCATCTCTATTGGAGCGGTTGGGTGAAGCATTGTGGCAACCCCACGGTCCGCTCCGTAGCCGCTGGATGATCACCCACGCATTCGACAAGGAACGTAAAAACACCGCTAAAGACGAAGATGTTCCTGGTTGTTGCCAAGTCAGTGGCACATCCGATATGCATACTTTGCTTTGTTCTGCTTTGATCTGGCTTACCCAAGACCGAATATGCCACTGAAGACAATGGGAACTTTTGCAAACCCAACAGTTAGTGTTCAGTCGCTTATGCGAGGCATCGAGCTCGAGTAGTCTTACCGATCCAATGTACCTGCAGCACGGGGGTTAGCTGGATGTTCTTCTCTTGCCATGGACTCGGGCTCCCATCTGGCCTGTTGTGCAAAGCGGCACTTCTGGGACCAGTGGGATGCTGCGGGGGGGTTGCGTTGGATATTGGGCATTAGATATATTGCCTCCAATACAAACAAAGATCCTTCTGCATTGCGCCAAGGGTATAGTCGATGCAAGCCACTTACCGAGGAATAAGTCGTCCAACCTGTGCGATGCCATGTATCAGCTATCCAATAATCACTCTCGAGACACCTCCTGTTCATTTACTCACCAAAACCGAACAGGCCGATTGGAACCAGGATTGCACCGCTGGGACAAATGTCAGCCCACTCAAACTCAACACTCTTTCGACAGTCCCAACAGATCGACGACCTACAGAATTGTTGGAGGCAGGCGGAACTCAGGCTCAGAAACGCCTCCGTTCTTGGTGACCAGCCGGGAGTAATTCCTTCGCCAAATGGGATCACAGCAGACGCCTGTGACCATACCGACAAAAATACCTATAAATGTAAGTCCAGTCTGCCATAAAACAAAGCCGTGGTTGTTCTCGAAGACGAGTGGAAACGCCTAAAAGTGAGATTGCGGTCAGCACAATTCTCATGCGTGAATTGAACACATGACAATCGAAAAGCCCTAATGGCTGTTGGTTCTGAGACCTCGCCTTACGTACCCCGAAGAACAAATAGAGGATGCCCAGAAGAATGGCCGAGAGGATACACAGACTCAAGCACATCGCTTCGAGAAAAAGAAGCTGGAACGGTCTGACACAACTCCATGCGACGGTCCGAAACACCGATTTGTTCATGTTCTCGATTGGTGCTCGCCAGGCCGGATTACCGGTGTCTTTCCTGAGCTTGATGGCTTTTCTGCGCAACAGGACGGGATGGTATGTTTCTGGCACGAGAAAGATGATGGCTGCCAACATTCCTCCTGACCAGATGAGTAGGACATAAAAGGTCCATCGCCAGTCTGTGTAGTAGTTGATGAAGCCTCCCACGATAGGTCCGATTTCGGCTACACGACTGTAAGCATAAAATCTGAATATGCGGACAGGGTACGCTTACGTCCAACGAAGGGCGCTGCAGTATAGAAAGCCATCGGCAAAGAAAGCTGTGCCTTGGGGAACAAATCTCCGACGGTTCCTCCTGCCACGCTGAGAAAGGCACTGCCAGCGAGTCCATCGAAGAAACGTGCTACTAGCATCGTCTCAATATTTTGCGCAACGGCGCACGGTATGAGCCAAATCAAGAAGAAAGTGTATGAAGCAATGTAGATGGGCCTTCTTCCGTAGAACTCGGAGAGTGGTGACATGACCATGGGCCCCAGCCCTAGTCCCACGACGAACAGAGATAGCCCAAGAGTAGCGACTATTCTGGAGCAGCCGAATTCTGGCTCTATTTGGGCATAGGTTGATGTGTAAAGGGCGGAAGTGCAAGTACTAATTCACAAGATCTGTCAGACGTGACATGCTCAACCGAGTCGATGTTGCAACCAAGACAAAGGCGTGATTGGGGACTTGATCTTTCTGAAGATGACAAGAAGAATGAATAGAGATTCTACGTACACGCATAGAGAGCTGGCAGAGAGGATTGTGATGATAACCCACTTGCGGGCATAGGGCATGCTCTTGGGATTCATGGGGTCGTCATCGCCGTCCCAAGTGACTTCGATTTCCTTCTCGTTGACGCCGTCATCGCCTACGGCTGTGATGCCACTCTCCTCATCCTTGGACCGCGGTCTTTCTGGCTCATCTGTATCACTGTCTCTTGAATGACGCACTGCTCTCTCGTCTACTCCTTGGTCGACTCTCGTGTCTGGATTGGGTACCACATCGAAGGGAACGCGCTCCTCTTCTTTCTGTACAATCGGGTTCGATTCGTCGCGCCGCATTTTGGGCTCAGGTATGGTGGATCAAGTTCGTGGAGGCGCGTCTGACAGGCAACGGTCTGGTGAGTGGACTTTATGCGACAGGAAGGAACGATGGTGCCGGCGCTGCTCGGAGCAAGTTTGTCATGGATCGCACAGAAGTGGGCGAAGCAAGCTTTGTTGATTCGAATAATCGACAAGTCGCAACTGCCATGTCTATCGTTTCTTGCCCCCTCTTTCTTGCGTGCCGTTCTTCCTCACGACCGCATCGCTGTGTCATCGTCGTATGGAGATTAGGACGAAACTCGGATCAAGATGCCGAGCTCAACAGCCTATTCCTGCCGTTTTGGGCCGATTGCGGGACAATGACACTTCCGGGGCCAATGCCATTTCTTGTTCTCCCTCATACCTTATCTTCGATATGAAGGCATCAACTCCTTAGAATTCTTTTCGATGCAGTAATGCATAAACTTGTCCTAAACACGCGTTTGTCAGCTTCGAGAAGGTTGATAGGCTTCATGTCGGCCATACCAAGTCGAGCAGCATGACGATCATCTCTGTAATCTCTCCAAACCTGAGAGCGAAAGGCTGCACACCACGCCAGTTGGCATAAACTGACCCGTATGACTTTCACTCTTGACCAGGAGCCCTTCTCCATATTCGATTTGGTCCGTCGAACAAGGCATCCAATCAGTATCAGACATGCCCGCCTGGCTGAGGGGGTTGCACCATTGTTCAAGCGCACGTCAGACACTTCACCACGTGGGTCAGCTCTTTGAAAAGTCATACGGATACCGAAGTTGTGCAACAGCTAGCAACAGCACGGCTCGCTTGCTCAGAGACCGGGAACCTGCATCAAACAACGTGGTCCGTTGTACAGAACTCAACCGGCTATGTGGAAGTCAGATGGCTGGCATGTTGTGACGCCGGACTGACCATATTTGCTGTATGACCAAGCAGGCTGCTGCCTCTATCTGAAGCCAGCGCATGTGGAAAAACTCTTGTCTCTAGCAAGAAGTGCTTGTGCTTTGTTGAAGAAGGCATGTTTCTGTCGTCACCACAATATTGGCATGACTGCACGCAAGACGAAGTCCTTTTAGTCAACAGCAGATGGCTGCTCCAACTTCAGCTCCAGGCCCACTGACCTGCTATGAATTCAACGACAAAGAGTATCTCGGTGAAACTAACATGGTACTTGTGTCTGGAGGTTATGTCCCACTCACATGCTCATGGATGAACGGAGTTGTAGCCATCGAGACGTACCGTGCCTTGCAGATGGTAGGCGAGACAAAAACTGCCGATGATATTGGATCTCAATAATGGACGTCCTTCTTCTACCCAACAGACTATGCATTGTTGCAGAACGCTTGCGTGACCAGCACATTGGGAGGCTATGAGCTCAATCGACTAGAAAGTTCGTGTTGCTTCACTCGCACAAAGCTCTCACTTCCGCACAACACCAAGGTCTGTTTAGACCTCACTTCCATCCCTTCCTCCACCAACGCGTATCCTTTGCTGTTACGCGCCTTCCACCACATGGCGGAACCTCACATCAAGCTTGAGCATCCTGTTTCGACTGACCGCGCGGCTTACGTCTTCGACAACAACAACGACAACAACGACAACAACGACAGTACTGCGCCGTCCACCACTTCGACCATGGCTACTCCTACACCCGCGCCTGACATGCGCGGCGGTCAAGCTAACGAGCAGCTTGGTCTTCTCGGCCGGCCGGTGCAGAAGCTGGTCCAGTTGATCAAGGATCTTGAACATCTCGGTGTGGAGACAAAGAGGTTGCCTCTTCCAAAGATCGTCGTGGTCGGCGATCAATCTGCGGGAAAGAGCTCGGTAAGATTCACCATGTTCGTTCGTGCGCGCTTCGACTGACGCTATTGTAGCTCATTGAAGGTATCAGCGGTATCAAGGTCCCTCGCAGTGATGGAACCTGCACTCGCTGCCCGCTGGAAATCACCCTTTTCTCTTCCGACGAAGATACTGCCTGGTCCTGTAAAGTGTCACTACAGCAAAAGTTCTCATTCGATTCGGACGCCAGTCCTCATGGTCGCTACGGAAAATGGCGCGAAGATCACAATCCGACAGCCATCGACTTTGCTATCGTCAACCGCAAGGATGCACTTCAGGACGTTCTCACTCGTGCTCAACGCGCTACTCTGAACCCCGGTGATAACCCACGTGAATATCTCAACGCACTCTCCATTGACGACATGCCAATGAAGGTCGAATTCTCACCCAACAAGGTTGTGCTCGCCATCACAGCACCTGGACAACCTAGTCTGTCCTTCATTGACTTACCTGGTGTGATTCGTCAGATGACGAAGGCGCAAGACAAATGGCTCGTGAATCTTGTCGAGAACTTTGTGGCAGACCACATTGAACAAGGCAACTCTTTGATCCTGCTTGCTCGCTCGATGGAGTCCGACTTTGCCAACTCCAGCGGAGCTGCATTGATCGATCAGCACAATGCTCTCGGACGTACGGTCGGTTGTCTCACCAAGCCTGATCGATGGCCTCTCGGCAGTAAGACCCAACTGATCAAGAATGTTCTTCACGGTGACGCTTTCGCTGTTGGCCACGGATACTTCGTCACGAAACAACCCAATCAAGTGGAACTCAATGACAACATCTCTACCGACGAGGCTCGCAGATCTGAGGAAGAGTTCTTCGCTCAGGATCCATGGAGCACTGAGCTACAGGACTTCCAAGGCCGATTCGGTACTTTCAAGCTACGCGACACCCTCTCAGTCAAGTTGACTAAGCAAATTCTTGTCACCTTGCCCGAGATCACCAGGACTGTCGATGCTCGCATTGCAGAAGTCGAGCACGAGCTTACCGGCTACCCCGATCCGCCCGAGAACGCCCTAGGTAAAGTGCTCGAAGCACTGACTACCTTTCGCATTGCCCTTGAGAAGCACGCTCAGGGCGTCCATCCTTACAACGAAATGCACAACTCCATCAAAGAATTGGCAACAACTTTCCAGTCCGATCTAGAGAGCCTTCGCCCTACCCTCGTTCTTAACACACCAGAAAAGTTCCGCCAAGCAATCGAGACACCTGTTTTCGAGATTGACAATGACGACGATAAAGTGGGCGATACTCCCTGCCCTAGCGCAGAGCCGAGGTCCCTTAACAAGAAGAGAAGAGCTGAACCCGATACACCAGTGGCTGCCTCGTCTGCCAAAAAGATCAAGTCCGACGTTGCCACCCCAAGGAAGATCAAATCTGATGTTGCTACCATAAAGAAGACCAGATCTGATATTGCTACCCCTGTCAAGAACTCTGCTCTCGCCACAAAGGGAAATAAGAAGTTCGGCCTGCTGGAGATACGCGAGACTCTCAGCAAGCTAACAGCTTCGAGCGTCCCTGGCGAAGTCGACCCCTTTGCTGTTGACTATTTTTGTAAACAGACGTTCGTGGGTTGGGAGCCTCCTATGCTTGAGTACATCAACAATGTTCATCAGGAGATACAGACCACGCTGGCCCAATTGCTTGAAATCACTTGCGCTCAATGGCTAAACACAGCCTTCTTCAGCGAGGCCAAGAAGATCATCAAATCGTTCGTCGCTAACGCCATGCACAACCAGGAGCAGCACGCGAAGCGCGCTCTAAAGCTCGAACAGCGAAAGCCTATGACTTACAACAACGAGAGCTACATACAGTACCATGACAAAGAGTTGTCGCTCCTACAAAACGAACGCATCACTCGACGTCTTGTTGAGAAGTTCGAGGACGCCGACCGTGCCGCTGGCAAGTTCAGCGAGCCTGCCGAGCGCAAAAAGAAGGCAATGACGGACAAGAAGGCCAGAGGCGAGCTCGGTGACGACCCCTTCAAGCAAGAGATCCACGCAATGGCCAGAGTTAGAGGCTACTACTACGTGGCTCTTCTTCGCTTCCATGATCACGTTGCCCAAGGTGTGCAGGTGGAGGTTCTGCACGAGCTCGTGACCAACCTCATGCAGCAGTTGAAAGCCGGTCTCGAGGTCGAGACTCGCGATGCGCATGAGCGTTGCAAGGAACTGCTTGCTGAGGATCGTGACCGCGAGATTCGTCGCAAGGCACTACAGCAGGAGAGAGTCAACCTCCTCGAGGCTCAGCGCAAGCTCGCTGCCATCGGACAAATTGGTGAGGACGTCGCTTCGCTTCCTAACAACTGATGGATGCACCGATCGAACCATACCACTCCATTGTCTGGTTATCTAGCAATCGAAGTGGCGATGGCATATGTTACCTGCGTTCAGATCGGGCTGCCTAGCAGAGATGAAAAAGGAACAGACATGTAACAGGAGGAGCAGAGGAACGAACAGACTATTAGGACGAATGGAGAGAAGGAGACGTCGAAGACTCATGGACAGAGAGGAGAAGCGGCTTGTACGAAAAGAAATGGAACAGACGAGCGAGACTGTGTCATGGCAGCATGGTACTCACTGTACTTCAGATGGTAATCCATAGTCATGGAGGAGAAGAAGAAATGGAACACGAAGAACATGTTTCCTCGGACCATACAGTATGCAATGGTATGAAAAGGCCTGTCGTGATCGAATAGTGTGGTTGACACGTCAACATGACTATACATCTGCTGCTTGACTGCAATACACAGTCCAGAAGCGAGTGAAAAAGAATTCCATCAGTCCCATAAGTTGACTCTCGCTGTGTATGGCAGTCACTACGACTACGGCGATCCTCTCTCCATTGGCGTAGCTGCAGGCGTAACAAACAGGTCCTGAGTGTTATCAGTATTGTAGCCATCACCCTCGCCTCCAGCCTCGCTCGCCGCCCTTTCCGTTTCCGTCTCGCTGCTGAGGGCGACTTCCTCGCCATCTCCTTCTTCGAGCACTTCCACTTCCTCTGCTTTGGCCTCCTCGACTCCTTCTTTCTCAGCAAACTCGGGAGTCAAAATACCTCCCCCTTGCACCCAAACCTCCGCCAACTCTGCTTCAATCTCTGCTTTCCTCTTCTTCCAAGCCTCGACATGCGTCAGTCGATCTTTGAGTTCTGCGATTTCCTTCTCCACGCCATCTTTCTCACTTTCCGTGCCTATCTTCTGCATCTCCCACTCATCGCCATTCATGCCCAATCCGAGGGTCAACACGTAATCGTGATATTTTCTCAGACTTGCGCGTGTGGAGATGGTAAGTAGTGTGACACCCCTATTCTTCAGTGTTTCGTAGAGCAAGCCTTCGACGTCGCTGCTTACAGCTGAAGTTCCCTCGTCAATGACTGCAAAAGAGGGGGAATGGTAAAGCAAGCGAGCGAAACTGATGCGTTGTTTTTCTCCTCCACTCAACACGTCTTTCCAGGTCTTGCGCGTGTCGAAGCCGCCTTCGCGGGATGGGAGGTATGCGAGACGCACGTCAGCCAGAATGGCGTCGAGTTCGGAGTCGCGGCGTGAGTTTGCGCGCATATCGGGTTCGGTGTGTGGGTAGATGATTTGATCGCGTAAGGTGCCTGGGGAAAGGTAGGGTCGTTGGGGGAGGAACATGATGCCATCTTGACCGACGTTGCGAGGGCGAGACACCAAACCGCGGTAAACTGGCCATAAGCCGGCGAGGATGCGAGAAACAGCAGACTTGCCAGAGCCATTGGGGCCGATGATGAGGATGTGTTGTGAGGATTGAATGACGAAGTTGAGGTTGTCGAGGAGTTCTTCGCCGCCTTGAGGCCAGAGACCTGGTGCAACAATGGGTGCGTTCTCGAAACGTACGCCCGAGAAGCCTTTGTGTAGTGTTCCTTGTGTGTCGGCTAGGGAGTAGAGTTCGGGGTATGTGTTGCGGGGTGGATGGTAGGCTGAGGCGTGGACGCGGTGGAGAGTGCTGATCAGAGTGTAGACTCGAGATGTATAGCCTGCTAGTTCTGACAAGTCTTTCAAGCTGTACATCATACGGCCACCTGCGTCGGCAAGCGAAAGCATGATTCGCTTGTTCGTAATGAAGTTCTGAGTGCGACTGCCAGATTCGTCTGTTGGTGGTTGTGCCATCAAAGAGGCCTCGGACGCTGGCTGCGCTACCTTTCTATCTCCAACTTCTGCAAGTCCAGCCCAAGCGGGGAGGAAGACTGGTAGAGAAGTGATGAGGTAGCCGAAGGCACTCCAGGAGTATTTGAGCACAAAGTCTTCAAGCATGTTGTAACGAATTTTCAGACTGTAGATTCCCTCCATCCATCTCTTGAGTTCTTGGAAGCCTTTATCGAGGAACAGCTTCTCCATGTGGTCGCCGCCGTAGAAAGCGACTTCCTCGGCATTGGCAATCAGGCGAGCATGAAGAGCTCGGAAGTCACCCTCTCGTTTGCCCTCGACGGCCTTTAGCTTGCCGAAGGGAGGTGACAGTCTTCTGAGTAATGTGGCGGTTGCAAAGTAGTTTGCCAGCAAGCCCGTCAAAGCCAGCGGACCGAGAGAATGGTATAGTTGATAGTTGAAGACCAAAAGATCGACAAAGGGCTTTCCGAGACTTGAGTAGAGACTGGCGGCAGAGTCGCAGAAGAGAGTCAGGTCCTGAGTGACGAACTGATCAGCTCCATGACCAATGCCGCCATCAAGATTGGCGAGTTTGTAGAAGTTGAGGTTGTCGTTGAGGTATAGGTCGTGGATGTAGCGAGTTAGACGAGTGCGGAAGGCTATCGAAACCTTTGACTGCAAGAATTTGATCATGGCGTTGGTGTAACTGGCCAGAGCGCCGATGGTGCACCATTTGGCGATACCCCAGAGGAATGGCTTGCCTTTAGCTGCAACCAAATCTCGCACAATTTCACCATCGAGACGGGCGACGACGAGGGACAGATATGTTCGCAGAAGCAGGAAAAGGCCATGACTGAAGAGCAGGCCTGTCTCTTTGCTTCCCCATCGTGGAATCAGGATGTTCATCAGACTCAGAAACTGGTGCAAGAAGGCGAGGTTTAGGCCAGGCTTGGTCTGAAGAGGGGGGACCTGGGGCAGGTTGCTGTCACTGAGACCAACGGCCCTCGGCGGCTGCAGGAACAAGCGACGGTGGGCATCGAAAGTGGTCTGCTTGGTCGGGTTGATGACGACCTTGGCGGTCGAAGACTTGTATGCGACATAGAGTGTTCTTGTGCCGTCTTTTGCTTTGAGGCCCGAGTTGCGTCGTAACAGCCGTCTGCCCGTCTCTTTCTCCTTGCGTCTATCGATCCACCATTTGTATGATCCAACGCTTCCTCCAACGAGTCCGAGTGTGAGGAGTACCGCAGCTAGAAGGCGTATTGTTCGAGGTGTTCGTCTGAGTCGTCCACGGAGACGGTCGAGCAGGCGGCTGAAGAGAGCCCGGAGTGCTTCGTCCGGGCCAGGCCGTAACGTCGACTGCGCTGCCATTGCAAACCTCACATTACGCACGGCGTCTGTTGCAGAGTATAGGTCATTACCACAAGACGAGAAGAGTGTTTAGCACGTGCAGCATAAGACGTCTGACCGACGTGACTGCTCTTTGATGATGCATTGGACATTCCGAGGTCGCATGTGATGCTTGGCCCTCCCCGCGTCTCGGCCCGCCTCCACTTCTCCATCTTTGATCAGATCAGATTCGACCATCAGTATACAAAAGACTCTCTGCGTCAATTTTCTCCATATGATTCTGTTGTTCTCATCCTCATCCTGATACTTTGCGCCACCCATATCCTCCATACTTCACGGCGTCGCTTTCTCGAACTCGTCCATCTCGGTGAATGTTGCCCCATCCTTGTAACGTCGGAGCGGCATGCCACTCGCTTGACTACGAGCCGACCCAATCGTTTGCAGAGCCAAACAAGGTTCAGCTGACTTGACATAGCCCAACCGACTTGGCGATGCGAGACTGTTGCGAAGCTTCGTCGTTCTTGATCCCGACGCATATGGAGTGAGCGTTCGTGCCCGTTCGTTGAAGTATTTGAACATCGATCGTGCCAAGGCGAGATTGGCCGCGATGATGCCTAGGAATAGCTCGGTGCTACAGATTGATCAGCAGCTGTACTGTACCGTCGTGTCTAGAGGCAATACTGACTTCGCCCATATTGCAGCAATACAGTAGGCATACGAAAGGTCGTTGGTAGTCGTTCCAAGGGATGCTGCTCGAATGGCCGAACACAGCGTTGCCCTTGACGAACGGGTCAGCAGAAGTCAGGTATGCCGCGATGTCATTGTTGATACGCACACCAAGCCCAAGCTCATCAGTCCACATACTGCAGCTTTGGTTGACAGCGGTATCTTGACGTTCCAGACAACATAGATTGGTAGAAAAGTACAGACTACATCGGTCGCGACGCCATATGCTGGAGAAAATCAGTACAGAATCAGAGCGGCATATCGGCGTACTGACATGCTTGCAGATAGATACTGTATATCCGCACTTTGGCAGGCCAGCAGTGCCCGGCAGAGGTTCCGTTCCAGTACGCATCCAGTGGTGAGCACTCGGCCAGCAGTACAAGCAAGCACTCGAAGTTCGTCAGGACTAAGCCTGTGATGATAAAGCCCAAGGTGTATCTCAAAGTCCGCGTGTCCTTGATACGCAAGATTAGAATACAGATCGAGACCTTCATCAGACAGATCGTTGGAAAGAGTAAGATTTGTGTGATCCAGGTGAACATGTTGATCATTTTGTAGTCGTGATCAGAAACGAACTCGCGGTGTTTCCCATTTCCGTAGCGGACGCTGACGATCTGGATGGACATTCGGGCTACTGCAAGTATAGTCGTGATAGCCATTGCTCCATCATCGAGTCCGAGTTGCCGGTTCCCCCATCGTACCCAGCAACGTAAGCTGGTGGTTAGGACAGCCAGAGATGTCAGTATACAGGTAAGGACAAGCAATGTAGGGCCTTTGTCGTCATCACGCGAGTGCCCCATCTTGCAGACGATTGAAATCTTGACTCAGATGTGCAGCAGCGAAAGGTGTATCGAACAAGGACCTACCCAAGGGTTGTACTAGTGTCCATCCATGTGGAAAGGCTATGAGCCTTTCTTTCGGCCAACTGTATTCAAGCAGTATGATTGCAAGAAGCGCTACATCATCATGGCACCGGCCCTAAGCGAGTCGTCAATGCAGGTGTTGTCGTGAATAAGCAACACTAGATCCACAGGACTCGTGCGTAATTTCCCCTGATCACATCCGACTTGGTTCTCCGCGAGGAAGGTCAACACCGGCATCAATGCTTTTCCGTTGCGAAGACTCTCCGGTTATGTTCCCATTTAGCATCTTAAGGAACCGCGAACAGACGTTGAGTCCGGCCGATGAGGTATGATCATGACCCACTAACAGTTGTGAACACTGTTTGGCTTGCAGCATGTTGCAATAACCCCCCTTAGCTATGGCTGAACTTCAGCCACGAGGGCTGAGCCGGGTATCCTGGAGAAAGTCTGTTGAGGACTGATGAGCTTGTTCATGCAAAGTCTAAATGGCGGATCGAGACTCGGGTCACCAAGTGCTTCGAGAATATGGGCCGCGAACGAGCGGTTCGGTCAATATCGCAAAGCTCGCACGGCTCGGTTGCAGCTCTGTCGGTGGTGGACCCCTGCAATGTGATAAATGGTTCGGCAAAGACATCCGTACGCGGCCCGTTTCCACAGGTCTCACAGGTGAACGACACGCTTTGAACGCGTAACCTGGATGAACTGTGACGCTCCTTGAGAAAATGGAATCCTTCAAAGCCAGCGTCGTGTAGTGGTGAGAAGGAGGATCAACTTATCGAGGTGGTTGGTCAAAGCAGGGACGCTCGGTGGAAGTTGCCGATTGATCGACCTTGCATTTTCCCAGCACTTTTGATGAAACCATCTCTTCGCAGCTTCCAATTCCACCAAGTCGGTATCTTTCCTAGCGACCGAGACGCATAGGTTGACGAGGCCATTGAAAACATCAACATGTGACCCGCGTCTTCCAGATGCCTGCGAGCACCTCAGCACCTTCGATTGTGCGGTTTGACGTGTGCTGTGTGATTCACTCCCGTGGTCTTCGTCCTTCAGAGGCATAGGAATTGGCGATCAATGCAATGCCTCTGGACTCGGCCGCTATTGGTAGGCTCTGAATGGCTTGCCCCGTATGCATCAACAGATCTTGGCTCTGCAGACCGCTCCACATGGAATTTGGGACGTTCATCTAATCCACTTCTAGCTCGACACCTGAGCCAAATCCCAACCTGAACTGCCGACAATCCTTCCAAAGATTCGCCTCATGAGGCTGACCCTCATGGTACAGTATAAATTCATGAGCTGTTCAAGCCAAACACTTTCGTGATAGTTTTGTTCATAGACCCAACGAACGAAAATGGCTCCTTCACTATTCTCAACTACACTTGTATCAGCTCTTACTGTCCTCTCGGTCGTGCAAGCGTCCAAACCGACATCCTACGACTTTATTGTCGTGGGAGGTGGTACTGCCGGCCTTGCTGTCGCAAGTCGTCTGAGTCAATATTTGCCGCACAACACAGTACTGGTCATCGAAGCTGGTCCTGATGGCCGCAATGCATCTGGTATCTATATTCCTGGTATGAAAGGCAGTACCCTAGGCGGGGTCTACGATTACAACTTCACCACCGTCGCACAGCCTCATGCTGGCGGTCGCTCATGGGCGCAGAACAGAGGAAAGGTCCTCGGTGGGAGCTCTGCTCTTAACTTGATGTGCTGGGATCGCGCATCAGTGGCCGAGTACGATGCTTGGGAGCAGATTGGTAACCCTGGCTGGAACTGGAAGAACATGATTGATAGTATGCTCAAAGTCGAAAACTATACCCAGAGTGTTTATCCTGGACAAGAGATTGACCAAGGTGTTGGAGTCGATGGTCCAATCCACGCCACTATCAACAGAATCCAGCCTACTGATCAAGAGACCTGGATCCCGACCATGGAAAATTATGGCTTCGCCGAGAACATGGAATCTCTCAATGGCAACCCTCTTGGTGTTTCGATCCAACCAAACAACATCGACACCGCGAAATACACACGTTCTTACAGTCCCGAGTACCTCAACATTGCTGGAAACAACCTTCATGTCATGACCGAGACACAAGTCATCAAGATCAATACAAAGAAAAGTCGTGGCCAAGTTGTCGCCACAGGTGTCACGCTCAAGGGCAATGTTGTCATCAATGCTGGCAAAGAAGTCATCCTTAGCGCTGGCTCATTCCAGTCGCCTGGATTACTCGAGCTCAGTGGAATTGGCAACTCTTCTGTCATCAGAGCCGCTGGTGTCAAACCGGTGCTCGAGCTTCCCTCTGTTGGCGAGAATCTGCAAGATCACATTCGCATCCAGAACAGCTTCAAATTGAAGAACGAGACCTCTTTCGACGAACTCAAGTACAATGCGACCTTCAAGGCCGAGCAGCTAGCTCTGTACAACGCAAACAGAGTATCCAGCTACGACTATGCTGCTTCTGGTTTCGCTTATCTGACCTGGCCACAAGCACTCGGCAATGAATCTGCTGCTCTGATTGGAGTCGCTAAGACCGCAACAAATGCCAAAGATTCCGTTGTTGATCAAACTAAGCTTGGCTTCCTGACTGGAAACAAGAGCGAAACCATCCCTCAACTTGAGGTCATCTTCTCCGATGGCTACACTGGAGTCGGCGGGTATCCTGTCGTCAACTCTTCCGAGTACGGTTCCAACTACTTCACTCTACTCAGTGTCATCATGCACACCTTTTCTCGCGGCAACGTCCACATCAACGCTTCCGACCCCCTCGGAAAACCCATCATCGACCCGAGATACCTCAGTAACGAGTATGATCTCCAAGCTGCCATTGCCGCTACCAAGCTCAACCGCAAGATCGCCCAAACAGCACCGATGAAGGACATTATTGCCTCGGAATACGAACCCAGTTCAGCTATCCAGACTGACCAGCAATGGAGGGACTTTGCACTCAACCATACTCTGACTATCTATCACCCTCTGGGTACTTGTGCAATGCTTCCTCAAAAGGATGGCGGTGTTGTTAGCCCCAAATTGAAGGTCTATGGTACTGCGAACTTGAGAGTTGTGGATGCCAGTATCATCCCTGTGCAGCTCTCTGCGCATATCCAGACGGCGATCTATGGCATTGCCGAGCGTGCTGCTGAGATCATAGCCGCCGAGTGGTCTGCTTAGACGTATTCTTTTCCGTGAAAAGGCACATGGAGTGTCACTACCTTGAGCATATCTGGCGTACGGAAGTCTACATTACTTGTTCTGATAGTCTATCAGCCAGTTGTTTGCTTGCTACAATGACTTCTTGGTTTTGCCTTTATTTCTGCTGAATCCTAACGCCAAATCCACTCCATTCCGATCTCGTTTTATTGCATCTATGACCTGATACTGCTCCAATCATTCATACATCTGCTTGACTACCCATCGTCAGTATCGTCCAACATGCCTCCCCCATCCGGCCGTCTCCAATGCGCACATCTAAATCACTAGCGTCACTGCAACCATGACCGACTACGCGACGTTTTGGCTTGGCATACCCTCAAAAGCGACCGACACCCGAGTGGACTTTTGTTGTAGCTTTCCTCTGCTGTGAGGACCAAGCATGATTGGTAAGTCAAGAGATTGTTTTCTTGTAAGCTTGTTTCGAGGTTGATGCTGAGCCTGAACTTCTCGACAGAAGCTGGGATCTTGATGTTCAGCCACACGATCAATTATTGTGGTGGAGTAAAAGTACTTGTCAGTCTATTCGCGCAATTGATATTGGAAAATGGAGATTATCACACAAATATTGAGATCCACAGCGACGGCTCTACCGTACGAGTATAAGTCTGGTAGCGTGAGATAGAGTTGTGATAGACTAAATTTCTATTCCTTGACGACACAGTGTTCCTCAAACCAAGGACGATAATGGACTTCAGCCCAATCAACGAGTAGTTGCAAGACGGAAACGATTATGAAAACACCATATCTCGTACTCGCATCGCCAAAGTCAATCTTCGTATGAATGTCCTATTGTGACAATGATCAGTCGGATCCTTCGATTGCGTCACCCAAGATGACTTACGGTCGATCCATCAGCCTTGCGAGAGGCACACAAGAATGACCAGAGTGAGCCTTGAACAATCAAGAGTGGAAGATGAGGTAGATTTTTGGCGGAGGAAGCAGTATCGCCCAAAAGCTGAGATAAGAAATTCATATGAGTAGAAGTCCAGACAGCAAGCTGAATATAGGCCTGTCGAATATCTTCGCCCTCGGGTTTGGTTTCGACACTAATTGCAAAGGGCTTGTCAATCAATGAACGATATCTCGAGTGATTGAAGAAGCGTTCATCGCCATCTGGCTGTTGTCTCGCGCGAGCAAGAGCGCCGCCAAGGGCTCCAACGGGACGCAATACAACAGCCCAGTCCACCATCTTACTACGGACAGATAAATTGTTAGCGCCGAGCGGGAGGAGCGAGGCAGGTGAAATAGTAGCGTGTACGCTGAATTTGGTGATCAGCAAGAGCAACAGCGGGAGGCAGAGCCATCGTAAAGCCTACATGTTCTTGACAGCTACTCTCTTAGCATGAGGCGATAGGCTCAGGGCGAGGGCGAGAAGGGGTTCGTGGACGAGTGAGTTGTAAGCTGCCTCGGAATCTCCCTCGTCACGGAGCTCTTGAGCCTGGTCGACGATGCGATCGATCTCGGCGAGCGTCGGCGATGCACCAAGGCTTGAGCGAGAATGAGACGTGGTATAGTACACATGAAGTTGGGCAAAGCTGGCATCTGGATCTTCCCTAAGATCGTGCTGAACCACTCAGTTCTTGTTAGGCAACAGGCCTTGATCAACTGAAATCGAATCATTCACAACTCACATGAAGCTCGGCTGGAACGGTGCACACTCCTTGGGCAAAGACCACTACCTTGTTGACAAGGTCTTTGAACCCAAGCAAGGCATTCTTGTCAACGTCCGAGTGTTTAAAAGCGCGGGTGTTGATGGATAGGGGTTGAGAGACTCCGTTTTCCTGTGAAGAGCTGGTTCAAATTCACTGTACTCCCTACGCTTGCGTTTTGAAGGGAGCAATGACTCTGGATCCGGTGTTGTATTTAAGCGTTTCGATGATGCTTTAGCGCCGGTCCCAGGTTTCGCTGCGCCTCCATCGTCACATGTTGGTTTAGACACCGCAATCCAATGCTCTATGCCAGCCGTATCGTACATGCTTCATGTAGTTTGATGGTTCTTCCTGAGTGGATGATGTATTGGATGCTGATTGTGGAGAGGTGTACTTCGGCGAGACGCGCGCGTAAACAGTCCGCGTCGGGCAGCAATCAAGGACATCCCGGATCCGAAGATACCCCATCTGGTCAGGCCTCACGAACCTCAATCTCAAGTCGCTATCTCAATCCTACAACCTAGCAGACATCGACCTAGTTGGCAAGGACAGCCTGGATCCGTGGCATCAATCCAACACATTGTCATTGCATGTTTTGAACTCAAGAAGGTTTCTCCGAGGAATTCGTCTATCTGGATCCTTGCAATCATTCGCGCACTACCATGACCATTACAATTTCCGCGGCATTGTTCCGCATACTCATAGCGCTGCCAATCTTTGTCATCGGTTTCCGGGCCGTAGATAATCTCAACAGACCAATTACACTTACGAACGATCTGTCGACAATCCTCTCTAACCAGACACTTACTCTCTCTCTTCCTGGCCACAGCAACGTCGCAACAACATACATCCCCATCTCCCTCACCGACAACGGCAGAGCTTCAATCTTCTGGTGCGGCCTACTAGCTCTATCATGTCCTGGAGCCTATGTCATCGGCAAACTACAAAACCATATCTTTTCCCAATTACTCGCATTGGATGAAGGTTCAAAGACTGTGCCAAAAGGCCAAAAATTGAGCTTTCATCTCCAGGGAGTGAGAAATCTTGACGTTGTAGGTTGGATCAATGCGACGGGAGCAAGGGATACGGCTATGGCTTGGGTGTTGTCTTTGCTTGCTATGGCTGGAATCACGTATGCTTCTGTTGTTGCCGGGATTCAGAATCTAGCCAGCGACACTGTTCTAGTGCAATTGGAAAAGTTCTTGAACAGTGGTGATGCAGCAGGCGAAACTGTGTTTGGAAGCTCCGACGCACATGGAAGTTACACCCTCGAGAGCTGGACTTGCCAGATTGCGCCATTGCTCTTGGAGTCAAAGGATGCTATTCATACGAAAGCAAGAACAGTTCTGGACCAAGCTTGTCGTGATGGCCGCAACTCTCGCTATTTGTTGCTCACCATGCTGCCACTCGCCATTTCAATGCTGCTGTCCATTGCCAAACCGCATTGGTTTACTTACACCTTCGGAGCGAAGGAAAAGCCTGCTTGGATGACAGTGCCACTCGAGGACAACGACAGCAGTCAAGAAGACGATGATCCTATGGCTGGATATGGCGGTAATGCAAGAGATCAGTGGCAGTTAGATTCTGATTAGACGGTGCTTTGGTGGAGCCACGGAAGAAAGGTGTGAGAGATAGGATACCAGGGGTGGGAAGAATGTAGTGCATATGTTTGGAAGAAGCTGAAACTCCTTGCTCTATAATAAGTAATGTACACCACCTCGCTATGCGTTTCGTAAAATCAATAACCAAAGATGAAAAACCCACACACCCGTGGGGGCTAAGAATTTTCTTTTGTACGAGAGTGGAAAGTGTTGATACAGACAAAAAGGAAAAAGATTGGCACGGTCAGACCTACGAGCGGGCGGGCAAACCTGTGCGGGCGGCAAGCATGGCGCCAGGGCCTCGCTTAGCAATGGCCGAAGGGGGAGAAGCACTCTGAGCAAGTCTTTGAGCGACGAGCTTGGCGGCACGTTTGGGGTACCAGACACGGCTGCCGAGAGCGATAGTGCCAGTCAACAAAGCCAGCGCACCTGCTTGGTGCATAGAGGCCAAAGGAGTGGGGACCATGTAAAGCAGAGTGGAGATGCCGAGAGCGACCTGCAACCAGACGAGGTGGACAACACCACGCATGCCCTTCTTTGCGTCAGGAGTCAGGAAATGACGGACGCGAGGGTTGAAACGAGTATAAGCCCAGAGAGCCATAACAGCGGTGAAGGTGGTAGTTGCCAGAATGCGATGGTCGAGCTGAACGAGAGAAGGGTTCTCGAGGGCGTTACGCCATACAAGATCAGAGTTGTCAGGAACGTGGCTGTAGAAAGTGTCAAACAGCTCTTTCTTGGGCGGTGTCAGACCAAGACCCATGTAGGGGAATTCGTTGTAGATGAGACCAGCATCCAGACCAGCGACAAGGCCTCCGGACATGGCAGTAACAAAGACCAAGACAAGAAGAGCACCGACACTGCGGCGGAAGAACTTGAGTTCAGGGACCATCATCTGCTTGAGCAAGGTTTGAGCCTTTTCTGGCTTGGCCAAGAGACGGTTCTCACGGAAGATGGACAAAGCATTCCAGAACATGGCAAGGTAGCAGATGAAAGCGGTGCCCAAATGAGCAGTCAGACGGTACTGACTGACGCGAGGGTGGCTTCCAGGAGCAAACAAATCATCCTTGAGACCACTTGCGACCATCCACCAACCGATCACACCCTGGAATCCGATCAAACCGCAAATACCGGTAAGCTTGAGAGCCATGCCGGCAGAGACACGGCGACGGGCGATGAAGTAGGCGGTAGGGAGCAGGAAGGTGATGCCAATGAAACGACCCCACAGCCTGTGAATCCATTCCATCCAGTAGATTTGTTTAAATTCTTCCAAAGTCATACGAGGGTTGAGAAGCTTGAACTCGGGCGAGGCACGGTAGAGGGCGAATTCGGATTCCCACTTCTCGGCGTTCATGGGAGGGAGAGAGCCGGTGACAGGGCGCCATTCGGTGATACTCAGTCTGCGCCACAGTCAGTCGATTGGTTTGTCGCAAAGCAGGAACAGAACTGGCCACTCACCCAGATTCGGTCAGTCTGGTGAGACCACCAAAGATGACGATACCAAAGACACTGGCAGAACTTGCGAGCAACCAGTAGCCCACCTTCTTGTCCGATTGTTCGGGGAAATACTTATTTCTAGCAGGAGCCGAAGCTTTTTGACCGATCGTGTGCTTGGCCGAAGCCGAGGTCTGACCAATGGTCTTGCTCAACTCGGAGAGGGGTGACGGGGAAGGAGCTGCTGTCGATTGCTGTCTTGTCGAAGCAGCACGAGCACGGAAGGCAGTCAGGAACGGAGACTGGCGAACAGACTTGTATCCAGACTGTGCCTTGTTGTGCACGCTCTTGCGACACGTGAATGCTTCGGTAGCATTGAAAGCCGGAAGTGTACGCCGCAGCGCTCCAAACACTGCCAATGGTGGGCGCATCTTGTATGCTCGTTGGAACAAGAAAGAAAGAACGAAGATGGCACTGTAGAATCGTGGAATCATCGGTCATGAATCACGAGCCGGCCAATCATTGTCTGGCGTGACGCCAAGCACTGACCTCCGCCACCGCTCAACCTAACCGTGACTGGTCTAGTGTCCTCTCCACAATCGGACCCTGGACCATGCGGTGGCTTGAACTTCTTTTCGCGGCAAGCAGCCCCGACCGAGGACCATCCAGGTGCTGATGGAATTTCTGTCTCATCACTTCCCATGTCAATTCTCACGCTGATAATCCGTCTTTTCTCCCGACCTTCTTGCTGCCTCGACCCACATATCGATCGAGCAAACTTTGAGAATCACTCAACCTTGTTTGCTCGATAGCCACACGCGCTTCTCTGCCTAGCGGAACACGGTACACAGTTACCTACCTGCACCCGCTATCACGCATGAGGTAGATCCTGTGTAGCGTGCGTCCGCCTCATTCCTCGAGACCCAGTCCATATCTCTCCAAGTGACCTTGACATCATGGCCGACGACAACCACTTTTTCGATGCTCCCTCAATCTCGCCTTTACACCAGAACATCTCCCCAACCCCTCGCTCCAGTATTCCGCGTCGTTCTCTTTTCAACTCGTCGCCTAATCATTTCGTTCCCACTCCGTCTACCCCCACTCCTGCCCCCGCTCTTCTCACTTTGAATTCGTCGCGCGCTATCGCCGGCGACTCAAGTACAAGTCTGGATTCTCCATCATCTCCCGAGGACCATGTCCGTGCTACCATCAACCGACGGAGGTTACCCCGTGTCGAAAAGGACGTCGATGATCCCAGTAACCCGGTCTCGTCCAGTCGCTACTCGGTCAACAGGCAGCAGAGCACTACCCTCACCACCCTTAGTCGTCTCTTTGCCGTCCAGTCGGTAGCTTCTCCCCCTGACTATCGTCCTCTGTCCGACTCTCAACTTCCAAATGGCCTTCCTGTTCCTGGTATGTTCTATCACCTGCGTCGACTCTTGTGACCTCTAACTTAAGTACCTTGTATTAACAAGTCTCAGCTGCTGCTACTCGTGGCACCGCGCCTTTACATAGTCATCTCTACAACAGAGGTCTACTAGGTGGCCGACACTCAGACATTACTGTTCATGTCTTTGGCTACCCCTACAAGCTTCACCGCCTTCTTCTCGATCAAGCGACCTTCTTCGCCTCTGCACTGTCTGGACCATGGCTCGAGAGCAAGGCAAGCGACATTACATTACATCCAGAGGACATCGACACCAACATCACTCAAGTCTCCTTTGAGCTGGCCTTAAAGCGTCTGTATGGAGCCAACATTCCCGAGGAAGAAGATGCCGAAGCGGTCAGCTTATTTGCTACTGCTTGCTGGTTGGAGATGCCGGATCTTATCGACTCGAGCATTGAGTCTATGCTCCGACAAATGTCGACTGCTACTCTGGCACCACTGATCAAGTTGGTCACTAGCAACTACTATGGCCGCTCTGGAGACAAGATCCTTGCATCAGCTAAAGCTATGCTTTGTCGAGATGGTTGGAAGATGCCGACCAAGTTCTGGGATAGTATCCCTGGTGACATCATTCGTGAAATTGTCGGAGGTGATGGCTTCTTCATCAATGGCGAATGGGATCGGTGGGTGCTTGCGAAGCGACTCCTAGACCGTAATCTCAAAGCACTTGCTATCGAGGCTGGACTGGTCGATCCTGTCTCCTGGTCGAAAGTGCGAAAGGCGCCGGAGACTGCCAATCTCATGGCTGTACGCTTTGACTCGGTCTACCGCAAGAACGCTATGGCAACTGGTGCAGCTCCCGATGGCCTGCATCGATGGATCAGCCTCTATACCCATCCAGATATTGAGCCTTTGCTTGTACTCCTGGACGAGGGCATACACTACATCCATCTTGACTTCGAGCAGTTGCAGTATATCCGAAGAGCCCGTGATATTCTTGGCTTACCCATGATGCCCGACAAAGTCATCTCTAATGCTCTCTGGATGCAGATGGAACTGCGTCAAAAGGTCCTGAATGCCAAAGATGCTGAGATGGAACTTGGCTTGAGCGAAGGCATTGTTGAAAGCCCTGTTCTCACAACAGCCTCATTGGCGGGCTCTTCGACCAAAGGCAAACAAAAGGTGGGAAGCTCTGATGAGATTGAAGAATTCGATGATGAAGACATCGCTTCGAATTCTTGGGATGGCAATGGCAAGCCTCGGAAGTTCTGGATCCCATCAGCAGACTGTAACATCGTTATGGGAGGAGCGACCGATCCTGCAATGATGTCTGCTGCGAGCGCACAATCGAATCGTTTGTCCGCCACGATCCAGCCTGAAGACGTACAATGGGCTTCAGACTTTGCTGCCAATCCATCAGACACTCGATCCGTTCCCCAAATTATCCGGCCTGACTCTGCTGCAGACTCGAATACATCCGAGTTGCGTCCCGTCAGCTACTCTTACTTCCCACCATTCAGATTTGCCGTCGAGTTTCCGAGTCCCCGGTTGCTCAAAGAAAAGAAGCGAGTGTACAGTCGTACTATATTCTACTCGGGATCGTGGTGGAATTTGTATATCCAAAAAGTTCGTAGGGGTAAGAACCCTCAGCTTGGAGTCTACCTCCATCGTGCGAAAGAGCGAGAGACAGATGAGACTTTGGCTGCTGGTGGACAAACTGTACCGAACACGCGCGTAGACGAGCGGATCGGACACCTTGAGCGGGAGATGATTCTGCGTGCTGATCGCAGGGCCGAAGAACGAAGACGTCTACTAGCTCGAAGACGCAGCGGCGATGTCGCAGACCCAGACAACGCCGATAGCAGTGGCGATACCGATCCTGACGGGGGACCTGCTGGCGCTGCAACAACACCAAGATCACGAGGACTTGGCGGTTACCGCAAAAGCAGCGAGTTGGATGTCTTGTCCAACTTCCCGACCAAGCCCGCATACTACGACGAGCAAGACTCTGACTTTGAGGACGAGGATCCAGAGATTGCAAAGCTCACACGCAGCGTTCGTGTCCCAACACTACCGCCATATGTCGACAGCAGACCCACGATCAAAACCTATTTCAAGATATACTCGCCTAGCAAAGGGGGTCGTATGTTGAGCGTGTACGAGAGCGCACCGGATACATTCAATTTCAGTCAAAGCTGGGGATGGAAGAGCAGTACGTTGATGCTTGATGATGGTATGCTTGGCGATGAGGTCAACCCTGAAGCTGAGATTCCAGTAAGGGATGCAAACAAGTTACGATTTATGATTGTCATTGGTAATGTTTGATGTGTTGTCTTTGTAGCGAGCTTTCATTGCACGAGTCGGGTGGATACCCTAGCATTTGCAGCCTTCTTATGACTATTCATGTTGACATCCTCTCACGCACGCCTTGAGACACTCGTTCTGTCACGATTCTTACGTGGAAGTTGTTATCGTGTATGTCTTGAACGTGTTCCTACTGTGCACAGACGTGAAGTTACACAAAGCACAAGATCCTTGGAACAGGGCAAAGCTCATTCAAAGCCGGCAGTATCCATGCCCTTGAGAGACCGCTGTGACCTAGAAGCCAATGTGAATTACTATGGTCCATAAGCTGCTCTACATCGAGGTGGGGTAAGGGTGGAAGTTGCAGGCTTCCGCACAAGAGGATACAGCATGGAAGGCGAGAGCCATGACACCAACCCTGCCTCAGGCCTTTGGATGACCGTCTGTTTCGATACAGAGTTGTCGTAGTATACATAGAGACACCCAGGAAGGCTTAAGTCTCTGAGACGCGATCTTCGATAGCCGAGTCCTCATCATCAGAACACATCTCACTCCCCTTTCTGCTCTTCCACCCTCCTCTCCTTCATGACTCCGATCAACACCTTCTCCGTCACCCACTCGGGCAACAGACTCATACACCACCACTGCACAGCATGTCTCCACCACCCAAACACCGCAGTTCTCCCACAGCCGACTCTGCCAAGCGAGAACTCCGCCATCTGCAATCCATTGCATGTAAATGCTCCTTCTGTAGTCTTGTTGCCCCCACTTACTACATTCGCAATAATGATGCCCAACATTTGTACTGAAGAGCCTTCGGCATTGAGTTCGGAAGCGAGGGATTGGTTGAGGCAGAAATTAAAGGCTTTTGAGGATGAGTAGACGGATAGGTAGGGTAGGCCGCGGAATCCGGTTATGCTGCAGGTGCTGATGATGAGACTTCTCGAACTTTTGTTCAGTAGCGGTAGTAAAGCACGAGTGAGCTGAGTGGGGAAGCGGGAGTTGAGGTTTAGCATTTTATCCACGTATGTCGCGTCGACTTCTGATAGAGTGGCGTAGGAAGGGCTCAGTGGTGCTCCGCCGACGTTGTTGACGAGGAGAGTAAGTTTGCCGGGGAGGGAGGTGCAGATGTTGACGATGGAATCGATATCAACGTCTGCAGCGAAAACATCTGCAATCACAGTCTTGATTTGTACATTTGGGTATTGTTCTTGCAACGTTGCTTTCAAGGCGTCGAGCTTTTGCTGATTGCGGCCATGGAGAACGACATCGAAGTTTTTGGCACACAGGGCGTGAGCGAAACCTTCGCCTATGCCGCTTGTGCTGCCGGTAATCAAAGCCCAAGAGTCACCGGAAGGGTTGTAGAGGTGGAGTTTGGAGGGTTTGAGGTAAATGCTGATGAACGAGATGGCTTTGTAGGTGGAGTACAGAGCCGTAGAGGCACCAAGATATTGGAGGGCTTGTGATGCAGACATTGTGGTAGGACTGGTTGATAGAGATGGAAGAAGTGTGTTGTGGAGATGATGTTTGAGATGAAGATGGAGATCGGCATGGCGGGGAAGCCAGAGTGATGAGCACTTTATCAAGGCGCAGAACTCAAGCGGAACACGGCATACATGGGTTGACCTCGAAGAGACTTAAGTAAAGACCATTCTACACGTTCGTACAAAAAAGAATATCGAGGATGTCCAATGCAGTGAATCTTTATAGCAAACAAGATCTCGGGCACGAGTCGGACTTGAGCGGGGTGCAGCTGAAGCCTCAGGGCACGTGTGTAGGCTTGGCAGATCTGGGGTTCGGGGTTCGAATCTGTCTGAGCTCAGGCTTCAACTTTTTGCAAACCTTGTTTTTTCACACCTGATAGACTACCTACCACTTTCCTGATGTCGAAGGATCAAAAGAAATGGGCCCCTGCCGCGATTCGAACGCGGGGCCTCTCCCAGACAGTGCCTGGACTTTGTCAAGGCGGTTTTACCCGAAGGGAGCTTGGAGGTGTTAGAAAAAGTGCTCTTTTGTTCATAAGAGAACCACTAAACCACATGGCTTTATTCTAACTTACAATCGTACTGTTTTAGGTTAGCCTCGTATGGTTTACGCAGCGAATTTGCGTTAACATACCCACTAGACCACAGGGGCAGCCGTGAGAAATTTGCAAAATTTTCAGCAATAAGTCTATTCGCCACTCAAGCTTCTTATTTGCAACCCATGGAGCCTGCCTGATGCGCAATATGCCATTCACTTCAATCCAGAAGAGAGGATAGCAATTTTGGCAGGAAAGACACAGACTGAGTATCAGTCGCGCAGCTTTAATTACAGCCGCCACCACCTAGCGGCTAGCATGTCTGTGTCCTGAAGGCGCGAGGTTGTCGCAGCATAACGGGAAGAACAGAAAAATTTCTGGTATGAAAAATCCTCACAAGTGGCGGCCACCCTGGCCAATGCTTTTGACCGATGAGTCGCAGCTTCACGCTCCCTCTTGGCTTCAAAGCCTCTTGTCTAATGTCATGGCAAACAATCGTCTAAACAAGTCGCAGGTGTGTCGCAAAGGATCTCGATCACAGCATTAGACGTTTGTGATGAGGTACGATAGCGCTGCCCCGAGTTTGACGTCACTCCGGCAAGGCCTTTCGGTTTGTGTGACGCTGTCACGGCCTCCAAGCTCTTCTCACTAACGCGGTATGCCTTGACTCCGATGCAACACATGAAGCATCGCAACCTCTCAAGCTTGCCTTTGCAAAGTTTGTTCCAATCGTTAGCAGCTTCGCTCTGCCCCTACGCCCGAGGCTATCTGTCATGTATGCCGTAGGATACCACAAGTCAGATTCTAGTCTGCGAGTATTGTCACCGTGCTGCAACATTTCTTACGAACATGACCCCAGAAGAACTCCAGAAGTTACTTGCGATACGTGCATCATCACCACCGCCTATTATCTTTTCGACGCATCCAAGGGCACAGTACACTGCAACGCTAGCAAGGAGCCAGTTCATAAGCATGGAAGACCGGACAAGTATCGACCGAGGTCATGCGCCTGGGGAAGCCCAAGTCTGAGATTATTGCCGAATTCAGTACGGAAGGAAGAAGATAGCAAGTGACACTGAGACTTGCTCTTTCGAAGCCCTTGCCAATGGCGCTGTCTCGAGGCTCCGGTGCCTCATGGTCCCCGAAAACTCAACACCCAACAGACTCGCCAGGCTTAACGACCTTGTTCTTTTCGAGCTCTTAATTTCAAACACACTTCTCGAACTTCTGCTGGTCCGTCGATCACACAGCTTTGATCCCTTGGGACAGGAATGTAAAACTAGCTCAGGTCTACATATACTCTTCGTGGGAAACATCTTCTTACCATGGCGCAAGCCTTAAAGTTATGGCAAAAGGTCAGATATCGATGCCGTCCTACAAGCGCGCCTTTAATGCAGGAAAGCAGTTCCTTCCATTTCGCATGTCTATTGGACTTTGCAATTTTCGTGAAAGACCCGGGAAACTGGCTTACCTTCATGATGATTGGAAAGATTCTCTTGTCGGGTCGAAAGACACCAACATATATTCCAATGTTGCAACTATATTCCCAGAGTGGTAAGACCCGACGTCCTGGTCGTACCGTTGTGGCGTGGTCCAAGGACGGCTAGTGACCTGCAGGGCAGCCATAGAGGCCTGTGCGAGATGCCGGATAGGAATGAGATCCTGGATAAATTCATCTATATACTAAGGTGGCTTCTAATCTCCCGAAGTTGTCTGAATGGCATGCGTTGTGTCGTGGTTGAGATGCACGTGTTTCGAGCACGCATTATGCGCACGGACATGGTAAGCCAACATGAGCGTGAGTCACAAACCATTCAAGAAGAAGTGGTAGCATCTTCTTCTCCAATCGTTCCAACATTATCGGCCTCTCTGGAATTCGATTACTATGTCCAAAGAAGCATCTGTAGAATTGACGACCTTCGGGCTGGCATCTAGCAGTGCCGGAAGAACCCCTTCAGTCTTGGATCCATCAGATGAAGATATCTCCTCGCCAGCGAATGCAGCACCAGAGACACCACTAGCTAACGACTCGACAGCGATTCTGCCAAAAGGGCGAGCAATTCTTGTCATCAGCCAATTGGTCGGTTTGCAGCTCTTCTCCAGTTTCTGCAATGGCATCATCGTGGTTGGTCTGCCCGCTATCGCAAATACGCTCAATCTGGAAGCAGGTCTCCTTCTCTGGCCGACTTCTGTATTCTATCTCACAGCTGGATCATGCTTGATGTTGGCTGGATCAATCACCGATGTATTGGGGACAAGGCCCATGATCTTGGCGGCAAACATCATTCTCGCCGCGAGCTCTCTTGCGTGTGGCCTGTCACGAAACGGAGGTGAAATCATTGCTTTCCGAGGTTTGCAGGGAATCAGCAACGCAATAGCCGTTCCAGCGTCAGTTTCCATCATCTCGACCAGTGTGGAATACGGGCAGCCACGCAACCTTGGGTTTTCCTGTCTAGGCTTTTCGGGTCCGCTTGGATTCCTGCTTGGCTTGGTCCTAGGCGGCGTATTCGTAGACGGTGTCGGATGGCGGCCGGCATTTTATCTCGTAGCGGCTGCTAGTCTTGCGTTGGGCGTTGTCGGATTCTGGGCCCTGCCAAAATCCTCGCGTCCGAGCCAAAGGCGTAGCATTAGAAAGCGTCTCACCTTTGAGATCGACTGGGTTGGAACACTCATCTCGACTACTGGCCTTGTGACGCTGTCATATGCTTTGGCGTAAGTCCCAGCTGCAGCAGTTTGAGGCCATAACCAGACTGACATTACTAGAACACTCTCGGCCGACGTCCACAACATTCGACAGGCAACAACCATTTCGCTTTTAGTCCTCGGTGCTGCCACCGTCCCAGCGTTCATATGGTGGATGCATTTCCAGGTCAAGCACAACCGGCCGGCACTGATACCGAATTCGTTCTGGAGCAATACCACTTTTACTAGCATATGTATTATGATACTCTTCAGCAGCGCGGTCACCAACGGCATAGAAGTATTTGCCAGTCTATTGTGGGTTTCCATCGTATTTCCTCTACAGTACACAACTCACCACTAACGCCACGTAGCTATCAGCAAGTCCAAGGCTATTCAGCGCTTGAAGCTTCTGTCCGCATCTTACCGGCCCTCGTCATGGCAGTCATAACCAATGTCTCGACCGGATACTTTGTCAACCGCATGCCTGTCATGTGGGTAGTCCTTGCTTCTTCTGGCCTGTCTGCCATCTCACCGCTGCTCATGGCGGTCATCGACCCTCAATGGCCATATTGGTACATGGCATTCTTCGCACAGGTGAGTAAATCAGTCATGTTGACCGTCCCTCGCTGGCTAGCATTAAATCCCATTTGCGTAACAGGTTGCTAACGTCGTCATCCGTAGGTCCTGCAGCTTTTGAGCTTGAATGTGCTCTTCACCGTAGGTTTACTCATTATCTCCTCCATTTTCCCTGCGGGTACGCAGGCTCTCGGAGGTGCCGTCTTCAACACTTGCGCACAGCTGGGTACATCGATCGGATTAACAATCACATCGGTCATTGCAGATTCAAGGACGGCTTCTTCATCTGAGGTCGACAAAACATCCCCAAACGCACTTATGACCGGATACCGCGCAGCTTTCTGGGCTTTGTTCGCCTGGATGGTCATTGTCTGTCTCACCGCTGTCTTTGGTCTGCGTCGTGTAGGCAAAATTGGCATGAAGCAAGACTAACCCTAGAGACCCGTCTCCTGGATCTGGATATATCCACATATCATCCCGCGAAGGGATCGGGCTGTTTTGTGCAAAGATGATCCAGATATGCTTGGCCCTCAATTCAAACTGGATGAGAGGCTCAAAAGTTCTACAGTGTGGAGAGGAAATTCAGCTTGATATAGGGTTGCAGTAGTTGAATTCCGAAAGGCGTGATCAGAATCTAACACGACTCCTTGTGCTGAGTACCACTGTTACCACCATGACAATCTCACGGCAACACGCAGACGTACCTGAAGCTACTCAACTGCACAGTCCTCTCCAGATGATAGTAAGGTCCACAGAGAGCTGATAAGATGACGACTATCAGCAGACGCCTCCAATTTACTAAGGAAAAATGCCTTCTTATAGCTGTTTACGTGGCAGATTTTTCTACATGGGAAGGCGACAGAAGCCATGACAATGGCATTTGCACAGAATATCCGACGAAGCACGTACTCTCTGAGTCCCTAGGGACAACCGATTGCAATTCGTATGATATATCTATCTGACTTCGCAACACCTTTTCCCACCAACTACTTATGAGTCAGAATCTGAGCCGGATTCACGCTACAACGTAATTGGAAGCTTTTGGTGGATGGTCTGGACTGCCGCTGATGCCTAAACAGTCGTTAGCTGCCAGTGTCCAGTTATGTCTTTTTGTGTGTCTTACCATCAATCCAAGCGTTGCACTTTGTGCCAGCAAGTCGAGGGCTTGGAACTCATTGCCCTGAATGGGTTGATTGTAGGGTTTGCCGTGCAGCAGCAGTGATCGTTTGTGTTCCCACTCGTCCCGGTTTCTGACATAGCGAGGACTCTGGGCTACAATGGAGCAAGGCAAGAAACGCCTATGATCAATATTGTAGGTCACACTTCCACCCACGCCGATCAAGGCGGAAGCAATAGCAGCCTCACACATCCTGTGGGACTTGCTTCCCCAATGGCCAGATACCGCTTCCCTGACCCATCTTTGTTCAAGACTTTGCTTCAACTCAAGCGTATTGGAGTCAAGCGTAGCAATCTCGAGATGACGAAGGGCGTCCATGATGATGGCTGCGGCAGGAGCTTCACGAACCTCCAGAACCTTGTCATCAGTGCTCAAAGGCTCGAGCCCGACGAAGCGACCGTGACCATACTTTCCTACTTCCTTGTTCAGGAACGCGACGGCATCGATCAAAGGAATGCTGTTGCCGTCGATAGAGATGAGATTGCCGTCCTCGAAGGTGAGTGTGAGCTTTCTAGCCAGCTCATCGTTACTGTGTCTGGTCCAGTCAAAAGCCTTTTCTGGGATGGAAAAATCTTCCGGATCATCCACAGGGCCGTCTTCGAATTCACGGCACCACAGGTTCTCATCACCACTCAACTTCCGGTCCGACATGACGGTCAGTCCGACTGCAGACAGTTCCGCCGCTTTGTTCTCTCGCGAGACAGCAGAGTGAACATAAGGACTTCCGAACGGCCCAGAGAAACCACAGCGCCGGATGCTGTTGTTGAGACGAGGCAGACTGTTCTGCGATAGATTTGCAGTATGGAGCAGCAAGCCCGCACCCAAGGCTTTGGCGTAGTCTGTAGCCAAACTAGCAATCACCGGACGAGTGAGTGAGCTACTGATTGGATACAGGCCCATGTACGTAGCGTGAGCACGAATGGCAGACGTGACACCTTGCTTGACGAACAGCTCACGGCCGTCAAGGCATTCGAACTGTGCACCGAAATGGGCAGCATGCTTTGTGAGCTCGACTTGATCTATGGGAGCCCCAACATTGACGGCGACTGCGTGGATATTTGTGAAGCCAAGCTGCTGTAGTCTGAGAAGCAGATAAGTGCTGTCGAGACCACCGGAAAACATGGTGACGACGGGAGTATGCCTTGCTCCGAATCGTGCGATATGCTCAAAGCTTTCGATCTTTTGTTCGCTCTACATTTTGTTAGCATAGTCCCTGAAAGATTGCACAACGAACTTGCCATTGTGCTTTTCTGTTGGTGTATAAAGAAGAGTATGGACAGCCAAAAGACACTGGATGGAATATAGTCAAGATATGGGTCATCGAGGAGTATTTATCTTTTGCAGACTAGCATGGAAGTCTTTGCAACAATGATGCCAGATATTCGACTTCTTTGCAACTCTTGCGTTACTGCTGGCTACACGTGGAACGTCCTCCCTTCTCCTTGGCCAAGGTTAATTGCGTGATTCGCGACTCTCCATAGCCCATTGCCCAACGAACAATGACACGAGGAGGATTCCAATCACATGAACCGGTCAATGGTCTGCCTACGGGTCTAGATCTCGTGGAGCCTGGTACTCAATCTCCGGATTGGCTACGCGTAAAGTATGGCATTATCCCGTTCTTCAATTTGATGTATTACAATAAAAATGTGGCTCACCGCTAATGTTGGCAGACTATAACATGTGCGATGATAGTAGAATGAAACACATCGCGTCAGACGAAAGAAGATGGCAGAACTGGATAAGATTGTATCTGTGATACTGTGAAGCGTTACTCTCGAACACAAGACCCTTGTTCAAACAGGATAGTGATAGACCTCATGGCTTGTAGACCTTCAAGATTACAAGCAAGAGTCAGTTCAAGTAGTGGTATGAATTAGTCTCCATATAGACCATCCAGAAACATATATTGAAGTTCAGCCTAGGATTAAGTGCTTTGTCCCATCGATTGGCCAACTCAACCATTTCCCCTTTCGGTTCATTGATGGCTCGCAGCTGTATAATCCCGACTGATCGTTCGTGGCTGCAAATAATTACTCGGAAAATCATAAGCTAAGGATCACGAGTATACTCAAGATGGATTCGTTCAGCCTCACCTGCGGCCACTCTCCCGAATGCGGATTGGCAAGGCACGGCTTCTCAGCTATGCATTTGATCAGTACTAGCTACAACTAGCGCCTTTAAGTGGTCATGGACATCTAATAACAAAGCTCTGCGGTATACAGACTCTTTTCACGTCCGACGGTTAGCGTGGTGTAGCGCGGCAGTCCACCTTCCTGCATAACAAGGGTATGCGACCAATGGTAATGCTTACCAAACTGGTTATAAGCAATGTTCAAAGCTCACACTAATCGTCGGACGTGGGAACAGTCTGTATCATCCGAGGCTTAAGGGTTGTTTGTGGTCCCAGCATTATGGCATCCTTACATTCATCAACGCGGACCGATGGCTTGCATTGCTGAGCTGAGATTGTATGCATTGTTGAGCTGCAGATTATGTGACGAGGAAAGTGTGATTAACAAAGGTTTAACACGTTTTTCGAAGACATGACTTCGCAAGTCGTTGAATATAGCGTAATATGCTCTAGCGTGATATGCAGGCAAGCTTTGTCCATCGCTTGGACCGGCACTCCATGGACGGGACGCGACTACCTCAAATTTAGCCGTGTTCTGGATGATAGGCTATTGAGACACCTGATTATGACTGCGTCTTGCGTTATTCAATGGAATATGATGCTAGTATTATGAGATTAGTCGCGTTCGAGGAGCCTAACATTCTGAGAGGAATGAAGCTGCATGTCTACGTCAAGACATATAAATATGTCCATGAAAGACAGTTCTCTAGCTTTTGCAGCAATATTTCGTGTCCAGTCTTACAGATCTGCACGCACTCTCACTCAATTGTTATCATTACCTCAAATTTGCAACAATGGCTGCTAACGGATCCATCATTGTTTCGAAAACTCTGACGACCATCTCTCTCGACCGTTTGAGAGGTGGAGATGAGACGGAGAGTCAGAAATTACTTGCTGCTTGTCAAGGCCAAGGTTTCTTCTATCTCGACTTGAGCAGCGACCCAGAGCTATGCGCGTTGTGGGAAGGCATGCTAGCAAGGATGAAGACCTACTTCGATCAGCCACTTGATGTCAAGATGCAGGACGCCCGAAACAGTGACAACTACGGGTACATCCTTTCGCAAATGACAACTTTGTTGATTGATCACTGACAGGCCTTACCAGATACATACCTGTCGGCACTGAGGTTGGATCCAAGCCAGAGACCAAGGATGGCTACGAAACTCTCAAGGTATGCTTTCTCCTGTCCGGTGCCTTTTCAGAATCTAACACGCTCTCTCAGTTTTCCCGTCGAGAATATCTGAAGGGCTCGACAGACCTCACCACCTCTGTTCGCTTCCAATCAGACTACTTCTTCTCCTATACCAAGCAGGTGCACGCCATCACGCTTCTGATCCTTGAGCGTCTCTCGTCCGAGTTAGGTTTGACCGGTTCTTTGCGCTTTGAGTCCGATCACGAGGACTCCAAACCCTCTCTTTCCACGCTCGTCCTACTTCATTACCCCAAGCATGACGAGGCTACCGCACCTACGAATGTTGGCCATCTCAAGCACACGGATGTCAGTTCACTCACCATGGTGCTTACCCAACAGTGGGGTCTCCAAATCATGTCTGCTGAGACTGGACGTTGGGAGTTCCTTGAGCCCCGGCCCAAACACGCCATCGTCAACGTCGGTGATTTTCTGATTACTGCTTGAGAAGAATCAGTTTCCTGACCTGATGGCGAAGTTCTTCCACGTGCTTCATATCTCGTCAGAGAGTATGAAGATAGGGACTTCCAACTCATATTTTCTCTTGGCAATTTGAAGCTTCCCTCCTTTCCGTTCCCTTCTTTTCTTTTGTTTCTCAAGCTGGATGTCTTCGACTACAATTAGTATATAGCCGATGATGTCGAGAGATACATCGGTGAACATTTCGCGACGATCCCCATGAATGGTCAGCTGGTTCGCCTGTGTTCCTAGTGCTGGGCAGGTAAGAAGATTAGATAATGCAGTGAAGCGCCTTGCTAGTCGGCAAAGATGCAGCAACTCGGCTAGCACCTTTGTCTTGTCCATCAGGAGGCGGCAGTGAGTTGACTGGCTCCAGCTGCTCGTCGCCGGATGAGTTGCTGTCTCCAGACGACACTAACCGAGCAGATGCTGCTCTGACCAGTTAGCATATTGTTCTGCTTCGCGTTGATGCTCGCTCACTAGATGTTGAAGAATTCCATCTTGGCAGGTACTCGTAGACCCTGCATACTTCGGGTAAACACATGGAGCGGACCGTGCCTTGTAATTTAGCGGCGTTCGCACGCAAGGTGCATGGACCACCAACAACTCCATTCGAACAACCATCGGCATCAAGCTTCAAGCCTCTCTTTGTTTTGCACATGTTCAACCTCGCTGCGCTTCTCCGAAGCTCCAGACCGGTGGAAGTGAGCTGCATAATGGCAATACGAGCAGACCGGCGAGCATTGCTGCAGCCTCTGCTAATTGTGAATATGCTCCGAAGCGAGGGCTGGTGGCTCCACATCTTACGCTTGTACGTTGGTTCGAAGGACTGTCGCGAACATTGCTGATGCTTTGATGTCACATGTCTGTATACTCTAAGCTTTATCAGATAGGTACAGATGTTGTTGGGACCTCGTTTGCTGTGTTGTGGGTCTAACAAAGAGGCGGCAAGACGCAATAACAACCCATTATGGTCTGATCACAAGGTCAAAGCCGTCTCCGTCGGACTTGCTAAGTGCTCCCGCGCCCTGACATATACCGCAATTTATCGAAGCTGCATAGTCTGCTGTATGATCTGGGCCACACGTAAGATGAGAGAAGGGGAGATTTTGAAGAGTGGTTGAAAGCTTCACAGAACCGATGACGCGATAGACTGATTGACTCAGGGACAAGGAACGCAAACGATCATACTTTTTCACAGCTCGACTTTGCCGTCTCGGTCATTCTAAATGGCATCGAGGCTGCCTATCGAGCTTTGACTGACGCCCTCGCTCAAACTGGAATCTTGCGACCGCTCCGAGTCGAGATCAACAGAACAATTGAAAATCCCGGATGCTTCTCCAAGACTATCCATGAACTTCGCTTGATGTTCATTCTCTTGACAAGCTGCAGAGCCAGCTGACTAACACTTTTCCGCGGCAGACAATTGTTTGAAAGCCTTTCACCTGATCAAATATTCTAGGGGTATTCAGTTGAAATCTCTTTCTGCGGACAGTAGAAGATGGCTTTGCTACACTAGCTTCTAGGCTCTGCTGAACGGACGCGCAAAGAATCTTCCGGTCGAGCGAGGAGGTATATAAATCCCCATCATTGCCGTCGATCAGCATACTCACATCAGGAATCTCGGCCGATTCAATTCATCACACAGAACTCTCTTGCCAGCCATGGAGCTTATTCGAAATGAGCCCGGAGAGCAGAGAATCCCACATTCTCTCGCAGATATGCTCGCAACACTGGTCCGATTTCAGCAATTTGACTCTGCCTCCGAGCTTGAGGTCACAATCCTATCTCACTTTGTGAACACAACTACATATATCCTGTCTATGCAAGGGTCGCAAGATGCCACTGCTGACCGTATCAAGCTTGACTCTACTGCCAACGTCATCCACAAATTATTGACGCTCTGCTCTTCGGCAACATATCTCATATGGTTGGTAGGCTCAACTCTGCGTCTGCCTCCTGACCTCTCGCTTGATTGGCAATAAGCTCCACAGCCGCGGTTTAATTCAGATATCGATCTCTTGCTTGAATCCATACGAATCATTGTTGCTGCATCCAATTTGGGATATAACACCAGTATATGCAGACCCCTTGCCTTTCCTGGGATAACTGTTTTCCGTACCCAAGATCTATTGCGAGTTTTCCGTGCTGTCAATATCTTGACTATATCTACCCTGTATAGTGGCAAAGTTCCGCCTGGTGTGAATGGTCGCTATATATTCAGAACTTGTTGCACGCTCTGCTTCTTCTCGTCTCTCCTCAGCACAACAAAAATCGTACGTCAGCCACCAGCATCATGGTATCATCACTCCACCACAGTTTGTCTACCCGCAGAGCTAATGATACTGCAGGACAGAGATCCTGACAAGCACGTAATGGACCTGGATGCGTCTATGAAGACCTACAAAGACTTCATGGCCGAACAGGCTGAAGACTCGGTCAAGGGGGACCGAGGACACAGAGGATGAGGTCCGGGATTATGACCTCCAGCAACTCGTAACCTGCGAGCTCGAGAGAGTGGTTAGTCACTTGCACCACTGCACATCTTTGATTAAAACACTATCTAAGCTGTATAGGACGACGATGATCTTGCCACTACCGGACCCCCTACCACCGATGAAGAGGTTGCCACTATGGACGAGGAAAACGTAAGTCATGCGGCAGACTATCAGATGTTGAGCTACGCACTGACATCATACACAGGAGCCTGCCACAACTATGGCAGGGGACAAGAAACGCACTACCGACTCTACCTCTCAACGTTGCACCATCCCTGCCTCAGCCTACCACCTACCGCGCCCAGCCTGGTGAGGTGGTGAACCTTGACAGCGACGACAACGAGAAGTCCGCACCTAGCCCTGGTCGCAAGGGTGGTCTTCCCCGTCTCAACGTCCCCACAAACTCCGTCAATGGCTACCTGATGAATACCATCTAGGCCAACGTCAGTGAGCGCAACAAGGCCGCTTTGAACACCAAGGACCCCTTGACCATGTAGCAACCTAGTGACAAGGGCAAGAAGCGCTTGGCCCTCATCAAGGAGGAGCACTCCTCGGACGGAGAGATGTCCGATTTGGAGAGCTATCTTCCTGCTCCTGTCGCCCCACTGGCTTTGAAGAAGAAGATCCCGAAGTCAAAGGCACCCAGCGCACCCAAGACATCCACAAACTCGTCGCAACCTCCTGCTACTCCTCTTAAGGCTACGGCATCGTCAACCAAGCAGCGTACAAAGGCCAAAGGCCAAAGGTCAGCAGATCCTGGGAATGTTGCAAGCGTTAGGCGCAGAGGACGGCGCAAAACCTATGGCAGACTTCGCACAGCCCCGCCCGAGAGGGGCGCAAGGTAGCGGCACGGCTGGAGACAAGAGGAGTGCGATGAGGGAATACAAGGTTGACGCTAAACAGCGTCCACATTGGCCCGCCCACGATTACTTGTCACGCGCAGTCTCTGACAACATTGTATTGAGGTTGGGTAACCCCATCGACGGAATTGTGCCTCCGCAGAAGGGTGTGGAGTATCTGCAAAGCCTGATTACCTGCCTCAAGGTTCCCGCATCCTGTGACGGATACGATGGAGTGCCTGCGCAGCAAGGTTGGGCCACAAAGACCCATATGGCCACCGAATTGAGGGCGAATCTGATGCCGGTGATGGCGACTCTGGTGCTGTGACCGAAGAAAACACCATGACAACTACTCCGGTGGAGGCAAGAAGCATCATCAGCCATCAAAGCAACCTCATATCCCTCCTGATGTGAGATATCAACACAGAAAGAACGCCATAAGGAGCAGGAAATCGTATGGCTCTCTGGAAAACCACTCTTCTTGCACCATAAGTGTCAATGCATGACACTCCTCTAGAATTCAAGTCCTTGTCATCACCCATCTGCAAGTCATCGGCGGCACTCCATCGCACCACAAGGTCCGGAAGAAGCCTCAGCGTACATCATACCAGCATCCCTTTGCTCTGCTTTCCGACTTCCTGAAGGTGCGATGGAAGACTGGGCTACTCGGTCAACCATCCTACACCTTGAAAGCAATTCAAGATAATCGTCGGACACTGCTGTGCGAAGAAATGTGCGATGTTATGTGACATGACACCAACCCGGCGGTCATCTTGATTCATGTAAGGCTTTATGTCTCTTATCTCATCGCAACAGGGAGTAGTTTTGTGTGCTATAGAAATGCACAATTTGTTTGAGATACAGGGGCTTCCCACTGGGACTCTCCCGCGGGTATATGCGCTTGTACTAATACAGAGTTCATTTTCTGTGCCTCTACACGGTGTCGACCTCGACGCGCTCGCGCAAAGATTTTGATCACACTGTTCGATTTGCCGAAAACTCCTGGTGGTTGACGAAGCATTCTTCTGGGTTTTGTGAGAAGCTGTTGCAACTGTTCAAAGTACAAAGCGTATCTAAACATTTTTGCTTTCCAGATTACGCATCTGATAGTCCTTGAGATCGAACACTCCTTCCTTCAACTCACTTTGATCTCCAACCCACTCGAATGTGATTGCTCTCACGCGCTCCTCATTGCCTTCGAATTGGACGAAACATTGGAGTGGTTCGTAATTCGGACCTTCATAGTCTTGCAAGCGCTGGCGGATTTGGTCGACGTCCTCGAACTCGCCGATCTCAAAAGCCAAACCATGTATAATAAGCAGAGGTCTTTTGTCCAGCAAGGCCGGATATCTGCCCCACATCTTGAGATGGTAGCCAGAGATCTTTGCTGGGCGGAGAACGGGTGGTTCGCGAGCTTTGACGACGGCTTGTAGAGTGGTCGGATCCATCAAAGAGCCATAGACAAAGTATACTCTAGGATTGGCTGCTTTGATGGCTTCAGAATTGCAAGCCGGTAGTGGAGTAGGCTTTTGTGTATCAAGGAGCATGAATCTCCGAGTCATGAGTGAGTGGCCGTTGGCGTCCAGCTTCATGGCGCTGGTGAACGTTTAGATATCGCGATCGTTTATGTGGGTGTCAAAGACTGTACGTAGGCTGATCTACGGCGACAGTAACTCCACGCGTAGTTTACATGATGTGGAGAAGTGGGCAGGTCAGACAATTCATATCTTGATCAAGAAGAAGTAAGCTTTCTAGAAGGCGCTAACAAAGCATGACACACCTCCCCAAATGACTCAGACCACATGATGCGCCTTCTACATTCGAACTTCGATCAGGAATCTCAGTCACATGTGAGCATGGTCCAAAAGTATCCAAGTCTTCACTCACCTGTGATGTGTGATGCAGTAGTATACTTCATATCCTCGGAGCCCTTTATGCAATCAGGGCTTCACACACGCCTTATATGTATCCACAGACTACACAGTGCAGGCACACGCCATGATGACAGTAGTACTAGCGTCATTGAAATATATGAGATGTGCTCTCTGCCACAATATTATTCTATCTACGATGGTCTCTGTGTCCTCGAGATCGTGGCTGCCGCCATAAGTTCTCGTAAAAGTATTGTATTCTCATCATCGTAATGTGGCTACGCAACGATTCCATAGAGCCAACTAGTCGGAATCATGCTTCTATTTTCGTTTTCCTTGTTACACAGATGATCACTGCCGCTCTCATCCTTCGCAAAAACTGTATAGTCTCCTTCTCCCTATCCTTCCATTGTAGCACCAATCTTAACCCACTTCTCAGTAGGACACTCAATCACGAGCTAGACGTCTGGGGTTCAGGAGCCTCTGCTCTTGTAAATCGAGGGTCTCGAGGGTCTGGACGAGATGCAATAGCCTCATTCAACTCTCTCCGCCACTTCGGAACTGTACACTCAAGCATATCCTCCAAGTTCATGGGGCGTACGAATCTCGCCAGATCTTGACACCGAGCTGCTCCTTGTTGCTTCAGTCTTCTCCAAGATCCAACGACTTTGGATTGCGGGTCTTGGTTAAAGCTTAATGTCTTGAGTTGCGGCGCATGGGTGAGTATCTGTGCGGCAATACGCTTGAATACAATGCGACCTCGTTGTCCTGTAAGCACAGGGTTTTGCAATATAAGTGTCTGAAGGTTTGGGAACAGGCAGCCAGGGAGGTCGGTCAAGGCTTCCAGATCACAGGCTCCGTTGAGAAGAATGTGCCGGAGATTGGGGTTATAATACGATAATTTGCATAGGTTCTTGATTGAGACATCCAACCAACCCATCTGCCAAGTGAAGCTGTTTAGTCGAGGTGAACCGAAGATGGGTTTGAGAATAGAGTCGTGTAAACCAGGAATGGGAGTATGAGTAGACGGTGGCTCGCGTCTGACCACCAGGTACTCCAGACTTTTCAAAGTACGTATGCAGCCAAAGTCCTTCGTGTCCAAGCTTAAATCCGATCCTTTGAGATAGATTGCCAGATCAACCAGGCTATTCATATGCTTGAAGTTCGAAAACATAGGTGTGAGGTCCTGCGGACCTGGAGATATGATTTCAAGTTTTGCTCTTGACGCATGACGGATTGCCATAGTGGCAGCGCTTACAGCTTCTCTCTCGAGTCTGAGGTCAACCTGATAGAGGTTTTTGAAGAATCCGACATCTTCGTCCAGAAAGCAGTCCGGTATCTGTTGGAGAGACACAGGTGTGATGATGGACAAGTTTTTGAGAGTTCCCATTCCTCCTAATGTAGATAACAAATCCTTCGTCACCAGCGACGGTTCAATTCCGATGAACACACACTCCAGTGACTGTTTGCGAACAAATTCATTGAAATCCTCAGGCGTAATGTCTGTGTTGCTGTTCTCCCGAACCACAAGTCTCAGTGAGCGCAGTCGAGGACACTGAGTACCCATGCCAGTAAGCAACTCCTTGTTGAAACTGTTATCCCAAACCTCGAAATATATCGAGTTGATGGATGGGCGTAGATATTGCTTTACGAAGGTTACCGGTAGACCATCCTGCCGACCAATCTCCAAGAAGCGCAATCTCCTCGCTCGAGGAAACGAAAGAGCGGTAGTGTCTAGCGTGCGTCCAGTCTTGCCCTTGATCTTGATCGAGGCGATTTTCGAGGCATATATCTGTTGACGGCTTGATCTGATCTTGGCCAGATCTCTGAGCGTCGGGCCCCATTCTTCGTAGCTCCAGAGTACTCTGGTAGCCGTCTCAAACCAGGAACTATTCACTAGAGCGAGTTTTGCCAGATCGGATCGACTTGACCGGTTTCTGAGTTTGGTGGGCCTGTCTTCAAGAAAATCATCTTGCTTGTGTTCTTCAAAGTGTTGTAGAATCAACGAGAGAAGCTCAGGAGTATTCAGAACATGAACGGCTGCCATAACTAGGGGCTGTGAGAGTATATTTATGGTGTCAAGTTCGGGAAAAGTCCATCTGCAAGATGAAGATGAGAGTGACGATGGTGGTGGTTGCCATTGAGACGCATAGTGGTGACGCCGATCTCTTCCGAATCCGGTCGCTCGACGCAAGATGCGATTTCACAGATCTTGATCTTGATCATTGGGATGTGTTGTGCACGTCTTCCTCGTGTGCTAGCCCTTCTTCATGTGCTATTCATTCCTACCACGCTCTCACGGTAACACAGGCGGATCTGAGGCCATCATAATTCACAGTCCTTTCCAGACGGTAGCAAGGTCCAGAGAGAGCTGATGAGATCACGACTCTCGGCGAATACCTCCTATCTCTTGAAGCAAGTGTGCATTTCTATAGTGGTCTACGTGACGTATCTCTACACATGAGAGGGTGGTAAGGACAGTAACAATGCTATCTGCATCTAGTCTCAGGAGATCAACGATTGACCGTACCACGTGTTTCCTCTCTAGCGTGACGTGTTTGTCCGGTCTCTTTGATCCTACCATGCCAACGCATCACCAACGAAGACAATGGGTCGGCATTTGTCGGACGGAAGTCATAACTGTTTAGAGCCACGAATCTATCCAATTTTGGTGCGTGCCGGTTCAAAATCTGTGCCATGAGCTCGGCATTCGAGTCGTTGGTGTTACCAAAGCCGTTCGAATCGCTAACAGTAGAGACCCAAGCGAATTTGAGGCTTGGGAATAGCGGGTCGGGTACGTGCAACCAGGCCATCAGATCAATGGGCATGTACAGACGCATGTTTTCGAGCTTTGGACAAGACCGGCCAAGCTTCTTCAAAGCCGTGTATGAATTAGACATGTCCAGAGTGAACCAGATCAGCAGTGTATCCAAGGCTGATAGCTTCTCAAATATTTGCTCGAAGTGAGTGCTTGAACACTGGAATGTTGACATTCTTCCTCTGGGGTTGAAAGGCTCGGGTTTGATGATCAGACGTTTCAAATTCTTCGCATTGCGCAAGAATAACAGCTCATGTGACCATAGTCTGACACCGATACCAAGGGAGAGCTCAAGGTTTTCTAGTGGTAGCCTCGCAAGCGCTTCGAGTGATTGACCCTCGGTCCTCATGTGAACGACGAGGGATATAGTGGTCATCGCGCTGAATGTCGAGCTCAGCAACGATAAAGCTGGGACACCGGTCGTAAGTTTTACTCTACGAATCGAATCGAAAAAAGGCTTTGAGCATGAAGCTTTGGAATCGCTATCGCTGAGCAATCGTTGCAACCGTGCCAGTGTGCCGTTGTAAGTCTCACCGAGCACTGTAAGATCTTCAAGCTTGGGAAGACGGCTGAGAGCTAAGAATGCTGCAAGCATCCTGTCTTTGTCCAGAGGAATCAGCGTGAGCTGCACGCGTTGTAACGACTGGTTTGAGGCCAGGAACTCGATAAATTTGTGTTTCTCCTTGAAGGATGGCTTTGTTTGAACCATCGACCGAAGATTTGGACAACGAGTGTTGAGTTCTTGCAACAAGATGGTATGTGGCCAGCCCCTGAAGTAAACCTCTTCCAATGCTGGTTGCAGGAATTGGCTAGCATTTACATCTTGAGATTCAGGAAAGTGATCAAAGTGTAAAATCCGCAGCAGTCGAAAGTCAAGGTTGGAATTGGGATGATCAAGGACAGCTCGGAGCGTAAATTCGCGGATTTTGGGAGCGTATATGATACGACGTGAGGCTTCGACAGCTGTCAAGGCGTTCGTATTTGATCTGTCCCAGAGAAGTCGAGTCGCTTCGTCAAACCAAACCTGACTGACACACGCCGCCGACCGCAAAGTCTTGCGGTTGTGCTTGAGAAAGCTGAAGATACATGACAGGACTTCTGGTAGAGATAGTGCGCTAGGCGTCGTTTGCGGGAGTGTCTGTAAAGAGAGCGAACCTAGCCGTATTTCGGTGTCCATGAGTGTTGGCTCGCAGACCTTGTACAGGAACTGTAGAAATATGCTTGCTGATGTGAGATTCAATATACAATATGATTGAGATGGCGATGACTGGTACGGACTGATAGACCGAGCGTCGAAGGATGCAGGCAGCAGCGAGCGATCCCGGCCTTTCAACGTTAGGTCCGCCGCGGAGTTTCATGCAGCATTGGATGAGTGCCTCGATCTACTGTTCCAATCCGAAGAATCACGACGAGCCCCATAGGAAATCATACTGAAGGTGCAAAAATGACGATTGTTCTAGCCATGCGGCCCCGAGACAAAAGAAGTTGTTCCGGTGCGGGGAATCGAACCCCGACCTCCTCGGTGAAAGCGAGAAATCCTAGCCGTTAGACCACACCGGATGTGATTATTGATGATTTGCAACCAATATGTTATATATAGCTTTGAACACGACACACAGCCTGCAGTCCTAGATCGCGCCTCTCAGCTTCTCGAGTACATCCAACCAAGCTCTGAGTCATTTACGCTCCTCTTTGCTACAACCAGCACAATATCACAGCAAGGATCGGAACATCAAATCATCCTTCCGATCAAGATCAATACTTCGGAGAGTCAGGACAACAATGGAAACCCGGGAAACAATCGTACCTCCTGCCCTTCAGAAAGGCGACACTATCGCTTTCGTCTCTCCCTCATCGCGAGTAAACACCTTATTCGCCCGCCGCATCCAAAAGGCCACCTCATTCTTCCAAGACAGTGGCTTTAAAGTCAAAGTCATCTATAACGAAACACTGCCTTCGGATCACTTATCCGCCATTAAACTCCGCTGCTCGGAACTGCACTCCGCCTTTGCCGACCCTGGTGTTAAAGCAATAATTTGCACGATAGGTGGCATTACCGCAAACGAATTGCTACCTCACCTGGACTACGACTTGATACGCGAAAGTCCAAAGATCTTTTGTGGTTATTCAGATATTACGATCTTGCATCATGCATTCTTTACGCAGTGTGGATTGAGGACATTCTATGGTCCTGCTGTGATTCCTGAGTTTGGTGAGACAGATGGGCCCATGGAGTTTATAGCGAACAACTTCTTCAAGATGGTGATGAAGAAGGTGGAAAGGGAGAGTATACCACGCTCTGCGACGCACACACTGGAGTTTAAGAACTGGTTGTCTACGGATGAGGCCGATGAGCCACGAGCACTAATACCTGCGCCCCAATGGAAATGGCTCAAGCCTGGAAAGGTGCAAGGCAGACTCTATGGTGGATGTCTTCCTTCTGTTGTCCAGCTTTTCGGTACAAAGTACCTGCCCGACTATACTGGACACATTCTGCTCTTGGAACTGCCAGAGGGTGATAAGCCAGGTGTCCCCTTCTCACTCGATTTTGCCCGGTCCGCAATGGCTGATTTGCGTAATGCCGGCATACTAGAAAAGGTCGCTGGTATGGTTGTTGGAAGACCATACATGTATGATGAGAAGATGACCACTGCGTTTGAGAAGATGGTGGTTGACCAGAGTTATGGCTTGAATATTCCGATACTCGCCGGTGTCGACACCGGACACTCGGATCCCATGCTTACGTTACCCCTGGACGCGATGGTGTCGCTTGATTCGTCAGCTGCAGAGAATGAGCAATTTCTAGTGTTAGAAAGAGTCGTTAGGACATGATGGAGTTGTGCCACTGAGCGAGAGGCATTAATAACCACGAGTCCACAATCCGCTCACTATCCGATAGGCTTGAAATTGTCTGGGGTCTCCTCTTCCGGTTCGAGAGGCACCCAGATGTGCATGCAGGTACTCAGCAATCTCGAACATCAAGGTGGCCAATAGATGGCGTGCAGATCAACACGTCAAATGGCGGGTGCATGCAGCCAGAGTCATGGCAGAAAGCTGGAGCAAGCTCATGTCCGGAGTGCTCTCAGCAGATAACGCAACGATGAGTTCACGAAGAAAAGAAACAATGTGTTTATCTCGAGACGTGATTCTTCTTTTGTTGCCACGAAGAAGGAAGAGTAAATGTGAGCGGTGGTGATGCGGTGATGATAAGACAACCGGTGCAACCAGTGAGAACTATTGCTCAAGCCCTGCTGCAATGCAAGCTTGCCGACTGGCTGGATTCCCTTCTGAGGCCAAGTCAAACAGCGAAGCACAGCAGTATGCGCGAATAGAAGGCAGGTGATTATGGCGAAGAATCGTGTGTGTTTTGCGACATGTCGACATGGCGCGTGATGAATGGTGGCGGTCGCGTGCTTCAGCCCATGGTCCTTGGAGACAGACAGGGTCTTAGTGCTTGCAAAAGAAAAAAGCAAAGAGAAGGAGCGATATGGGCTTCACGGAGAGGCTTCACAGTCTCATGTGTCAAGATGCAAGACAAGAAGAGCAGCAATCTGATCATGCAGCATGATAGAGAGACGGAGCCTCTCAAGGCAGCAGGCAGGCAGGTGATGCGACGAACAGGAAGGGAGGCCGAGAAGTGGTCGGGTGCAGTTGCTGAATGGGCAGGCCGAATCCGGGGAAGTCGTGTCGAGTGATGATGCAGCGTGTGAGAGACGATGGTTTGATGCATGAGTCGTCGAGGCGATAAGGGAGTGCTCGTTCGACTTTGTTCCGCTGTTCCCTTCTCCTCTTTTCTCCTCATCTATACCCAAGAATCTCTAGCCAGTGTTTGGCCAGTCAGATCGCGCGGGGACCTTTCTGAAGCTCTGTTCCAAGCTAGCGGCTTCGTCGAGTCACAAGCTGCATATCGTCCTCTGTGATAAGGCACCTCGACCACCACAAGACCCCGTCAGACCCTCGACTCTTGCTGCCCTGCTATCATTCATCATCCAACACACTGCCTCTCCGCCCGCCCGCCTGCCCGCTCCGGCCATCATGCAGCCATAAACCGAGCGTACAGCCTTCACCGTCGTCCACACCTGCCCCGACGTCGATCCCCGCCGAGCCGCCATCAAGGTTCAACACCTGACGACTGTCACTATGATGGATCGCTTGCCCATCAGAAACATATCTGTTTAGTATATACTCCGTACACAACTCGCCCCTGTACAAACCCAACAAGCCCCCCTATACCATGCACCAACACCCACGGCCCTCGACCAGGGCCGCTGTTCCCGCCACAGCAATCCATCCCAACTCGTCGAGGCAGCCCAACACTAGAGACCTTATGACCGACCGAACATACTCCAGCGAGGACCTGTCTTCGGGCAGCCAGACTGTTCGCTCGTCCGACGGGAAAGAGCAGAGCCTACGAGACAAAGCCAACTTGGTTGTGCAGCACTTCTTCACAAAAGCCGCTCTCATCATCTGCTCGTCTCGAGTCAGTCTGCCGCCCGCCATGTCAAAGACTGGCGAAGCAAAGATCGATAGATGGGTACGTAACCTCTCCTCATCACTCCACCCCTACAAGCTTGCTGTATACTCCCTTGACCGCCGCAGTACTCTATACTGTTGAAGAAAGACCCTCGTGTCTTGGCTGGCCTTGTGTGATCTTGAACCTGGCGGTTGTATCATTGCCAGGCACTCTTGTGTCGAAGAATTATTGCCGTCTTTGTCATGTGTCATCTTAGTACACGGTCCAACCAAAGACAATCTTGCATTTCCTCTGCCATGTCACCTTGTCCCATCTGCGTTGTATTGTAATCATGTCTAACCAAAATCCAGTTCAATACCTTGATAGAGGAGACAGACATGTTAAATCAAGACCTGCAAGAGTGGAGAGCCATGGATGCAGCCGTAGAAAGGCCTGCCCCGTTGGTAATCGATGTCTATTTGGATACCGCACAGCTCGCCCCCAACCAGAGTCTGGTCGCCATCGACGAACAAGGCAAACCTTGGGATGTAACCGAGACTCTGAGAAGACTCGAAGCACAAGCACCCACGCCTCAAAACCATACTCTCTCGACTTTTGTGTACGAGAGATGGACGATCAGCCTGGACGACCCTTCGTCAGTGTCTCCGGCCACCCTCAACGAACCCGCCCCCAGCTTCTACAAAAAGGGCGTTATCACATGCAGAGCCCTGTGCACATATGCGCGTCTGCTTCCAGCCTGGAAGCTGAGGACCCGTCTCGGAAAACAAGCTGCCACTGGCCCAGCCACATTGCGACCGAGATATCGTGTGTCGGACGGTTCGCTCGCTGAAAAATCGCGAGTCGATACTCTGAGCTGCTCCATATTCCCTTCAGATAAAAACCCTACCGAGACATATCGCTTTTCACCTCTACACTGCCCGTTGGGCTCACTGAACATCTCGGTCACGTACCGTAAGAACCTTGATCTGCAGGTTGAGCTCTCTGAACGCCTGATCAGCGCTAGGATGGCCGGTCATGAGCGTCCTGATAGTCGCCTGTCGAGCGAATCGAGTAGAGAAAGAACTTCTCTCGACCAGGAACGCCCCTCGCCGCGGCCCAAGTTTTCTTCTTCTTTCTCACGCGCTGCTCAGAGAAGCACGACACTTGGATCATCTCCTCGCACCAGCTCCTTCCGTGAGCCTCAAGATCGGCCTGTCTCGGCACAAGCAATTGACGAGCACGACACATCACAGCCATCATCACAACAGGACGAACAATTGCGTCGCTACTCTTCACAAAGTCAAAGAGACCGAGAAGCTTCTCGTTTTGCGCCTTCATCGCTGCAGCCGACAGGTATCCAGCGTAGACCTTCTGTCTCGTTCCAACCTTTCAAGGCTGGTTCTTTGTCGTCCTCACCTGCAGCTGGTAACTTCCTTTCCGGCTCGCCAAGCAGTTCTGTCGGTAGAAGCGCAGGCAATCCGCTATTGGCACACGCTAGAAAGTCATCTTTATCAACACTACCTCAGATGGCCTTGCGCAATCCTGGCGCTGTTGCAGAGACAGCTGTGGGTTCTTCAGCATCGAGTTCACCCAAACCTGCTCCCATACAGAGGTATTCGTCAAGCTTTAGTAACAGAAGAGCACGCTTTCCTTCGGTGTCCAGCAGCAGAGTCGAGGAAGACAACATCAGCAGCGGCAGAGCCAGTGTCTCGTCCACTAACCGTGAGTCGAGCACACTTCAGGAAGGCGAAGGAGGAGCCAGCTCAGGCTCAGTACAAGCCGACGACGACAGCATTGCCGACTTCCTCAAGCTACTCGATAAGAACAAGGGCTTGACAAGTCTTAACAAGACGGACAAGGCTTCATTGAATGCCAACTCGCAACGCACTGCTGCGCAGTTCTCCAAGTTTTCGCGTATGAAGGACTCGACGGGCCAGCTCTCCGAATCAATGCAGTCGTCGACGATGCTGCACAGATCATCCAGTTCATCCAGTCGACAGCTGCAAAACGTACCGGGCATGATTCCAGGTTCGATGTCGACATCCTCATCGCCTGGCAAAGCCATCTCACCGCACACACCACACATACCCGCCATTCCTTCCCGGTTGAGCAATAACAGTATCACCGCAGACTACACACGCGACCGCAGTCGTAGTCGTCTTTCCGGAACACAGCTTCAGCCTTCGGGTGACGGAATGCGAGACGTCTCTGCTCACCCACCAACTCGAGGTCCTGGTACGCCTTTGTCCACAGCCATAGATATACCGACGTCGCCTCGCACTTTTGTGTCAAACCGTCGTTCGTCGTCTACAACGCAACAAGCACGGGCCAGAGGTGTCATGAACGTCGAAGACCAAGATGCATATGGTATGCGTTCAGCAAGTATGCCAGTCGCCGAAGGTGGTCGTGGCGAACTTAGTGTCACGGAGCTGGGAGGTAGCAGCAGACGTAGAAACCGTGAAGGTTCTGGTACTGTGGATGATGATGAGCCTCTGCTATTCGCTTTGGCTGATTGATTGTCTTTGGCTCTCCTGCTCTCCAAGAGATCGCCTGTTGCTTCTTCTGCGTTATATTCTTGCTCCTCTTTCTGCATTCACAAATGGCGATGACAAAAAAATCTCCCCTCCCTCTTTTCTTCTGCGTTGTTTGTTTTCTTCTGGGTTTCCCTTTACCGAGCTCACATTCAGCCGTCATGTTCAAAGCTGCTTTACATTCTGTCGGTATAGACTGCAAATACGGTTCACGGAATGGGTAGGATAGCGTGGCGCTGGGGTTTGCTTTCCTCCATCATATATCTATGGTTGTAATGAGAAGTAGCATATGAATAAGATGCCTGCTCTACGATACTTGTACGTGCGGACACAAATGCATGTGTCTCTGTTGGATTTCATGTCTAGGTACTGGTCAAAGTGATTTGATGTGACGAGGTCTGTGGATGAGTAGAAGAGCTCACTGTCTGCAATGGGAATGCCCATGTCTTGGCATTCCAAACCATCTATCGTCATGCTCAAACCATCTCGAGAACACTTGACTCACTTTCGTGTCTAACCAATTGAACATCCTACACACAAACCTCACAATGCCGCCGCCACCACCCCCCAAGAAACCGACCGAGCCCCAGGGCAAGAACGAGCGCAATGAATACATCCCATCCTTCATCTCCAAGAAACCCTTCTACATCGACGACGCAACCGCCTCGCAAGAAGATTACCTCGAACATCAACGTCTGCAAGCCCAGAAAGACGAGTCCCTCGCAACCCAAAAATGGTACACCAGAGGCCAACGCGCCGGCGCTGCAACAGCCACAAAATACCGCAAGGGAGCTTGCGAAAACTGCGGCGCCATGGGCCATGCAAAGAAAGATTGCTTGTACAGACAAAGGAAGATCGGCGCAAAGTTTACAGGAAGCGATATCAAGGCAGACGAGACGGGACAGGATATCAACATGGGGTGGGAGGCCAAGAGGGATAGATGGAGCGGCTACGATGCGCGTGCGTACCAGGAAGTCGTGAATGAATACAACGACCTCCAAGCCATCAAGGACGCGAAACGGAAAGCTTCTGCCATACCAGAGGATGAAGACGAGGAAGCAGCTGCTCAACAAGACGGAGACAAATACGAGGAAGAAACAGACATGGGTCGCAAACAGCCAAACTCGTCTCGAAACCTGCGTTTGCGAGAAGACACGGCAGGCTATCTCAAAAACTTGGACCTGGAATCCGCAAAATACGACCCAAAGACCCGCACTCTGATCGACGATGCAGAAGGCGAATTCCAACGCGCTTCAGGCGATGCTGCAGAGTTCGCTCGCGCTCAACGCTATGCCTGGGAAACTGCTGAGAACAGCGGTGCCAACAATGTGCATCTACAAGCCAACCCCACAGCAGGCGAACACTACCGCAAAAAGGAAGCTGAGGAATCAGCCGCAAGGAAGGAAGCTACAAGGAAAGCACTACTGGACAAATACGGCGGACAAGAACATCTGGCTCCCGACCCGCTCAAGCATGCCGCCATCACCTCAAACGAAGTCTACGTCGAATACGACGAACGAGGCCGCATCAAAGGCCTACCCGAAAAGAAGGAAAAATCAATGTATGCAGAAGACGTGCTGCTGAACAACCACACTTCAGTGTTTGGCTCATGGTGGAAAGATTTCACCTGGGGCTACGCATGCTGTCACTCCACCATGAAAAACAGCTACTGTGTTGGCGAAGCCGGAAAAGTCGCTTCCTCGAATGCTGAGAAACTTGCCACTGGCGCATTACTGGACGGTCCTGAAGCTTTAGAATCGAATGCTGCAACGGAAGTGCCAAAGTCCATTGCTTGGAAAGAGGAAGAGAGGAACGAAGAACATGTTCCCAACGCGCCGGACAGACCTGAAAAGGTCCGCCAAGATGAGGAGAACACCACCACCAGACCTTCCGAAGATCGCAAAAGAAAACTCGACGAAATCCGCGACGGCGTAACGGAAGAAGAGCTAGACGAATACCGAAGGAAACGAAACGCCGGAAACGATCCCATGGCAGCTTTCCTAGGCAAAGACGAACTGGTCGAATGAGGCAAATCTCAAAACCTCGTCTCACTTCATTCCGCTTAATGTTCTTTTTGCTGGCATCCTTGCCTGAAATCTTCTCCATCCACGAAAACAAAATGCAACACTCACGATCACGGCTTTGTGAACTTCCTAGTGGACTTCCTCGCGGGGCTGGGGACTGGAAATGATAGATCCTGATTGTTCCGCATAACCTTGGAAAGGCACAAATTCGTCTATTCTGCCACCGTCAACCACTATATCTACCCTCCCCGTGTGCAAGCCTCTGTAACGCGCACATGCTAGCCTAACACACAGTATTTTCGAAGAACCCGAATAGCTTCCATCGAGAAAGCGACATGCACGTCGACTCACTTTGGATACGTCTCTACTTCCGGGAAACAATCATGCATTTTTGTAGTAGAGATGTTTTCGCTCTTATACCTCCGTAAGAAGATTGTAATAGAGAAGGACAGCTGGTGACTGATTGGTCGTCTGCTGGTCACCCTCAACATTCGGATTGCTCTCGGTGGAAAGGACGCTCATGAAAAGGACGCTTGAATCGAAATCCTCCGTGCATATCTACGATGGCCCGATTCAGGCATACGGAAAAGAGGGGGTCGCATGCTATTGACACTGGCCAGCTTTTGCATACTAGATGGGTATTCAAATTAACATATGTAGTGCATACAATAGCTAGCAGTGCAATCAAAAGTGCTCGAATGGAATGACTACGAGAAATTATTGGTTTTCGAAAAGAATTAGACATCATATCCTCCGAACACTTTTGGGCTTGTTGTCAAGGTTCGGTGCAAAGCAGGATGAATAAGATATATTTGTTGACCTAAGATACAATGTAGAAGAAGATAGTCGACTTTTTCTTCTCGATGAATAGACGAGAAGTAAGCGCACGATGCTGTAACTTGTAAGCGTGCATCTCGTTGCACCCCAAGTCCCCTTGTAGCCAGTCCCGAGCATGCCAGCCCTCGATGATCCCAGTAGCGTCCTCCCTTGCCGTCTCGTCCTAGTGGTATCTCTTGTCCCAACGCCCCCCAAAAAACAATATGATGAATTGTGTTTAGTCGATGTCCATTGCGGCAGAAGCTTGAGGAACGACAGAAGGAATGGCAAAGGTTGGGCTTGGTGAGCCCTTGTCTGACGAATCGTCGGCGATGGGTTCGTCACTGGCGAACATGGATTCGGTGGCCGAGCTGACGAGTGTTTGCGGAGACATCAACTTCGAGACCAGCTCGTTGGGATCTCTCGTGACAAGAACAGCTTGTTTGAGATCGTTGCTCCAAAGCAAGAAGACCTTCTGACCGGAAGCTTTGTTGGTTGCGACACCGAGGTAGCCAGAGATAGACGAGTTTTCGAACCAAAGCTCGATATCGGCAAGGCCAGGGTAGTGTCTGCGGACCCATCTTGTGTAGGCTTTTGCTGAGATCTGAAGGGCTTCGCTAGCGTCAAGACGCATCCACGAGATACCAAGAAGGCGCGTGACCTCATCGATCAGAGGTTCGACTGATGCAGTACGACGATGAGCGGATGCCTCGATGCTTAGAGCAGCGTCGTTTGATTCGGGGCCCGGAGGAGCGAGACGTTGGGATTTGCGACTGGGAATGGCGGGTCTGGATGCTTGGATGGCTACAGGGTCGACTCGAGGTGTTTCAACCCACGTGTTTTCGACCCAGGTGCCAGTAGAAGATTGACCATGAGGCTTGTTAAGCAGGGTCATTCCAGGACCGTAGGTGGGTTCTCCAGATCCGATGGGCGAGCTGGAGAGAGGAGCAGCCAGAGTGACTTGGTCATCGTCATCATCGTCGCGTGATCGTTTGCGTCCAGCTGCAGAGGGCAGCGATTGTGTAGGCGGGGTGGTCTGCTTGGCGAAGAAGGGGTTGGTCACAACAGTAGGTTGTTTGTGTATTTGAGAGTGAGGAAAGTATTGGGCCGAAGGGGTCGGAAGGACGACGGTAGGCGACGAAGCGTAGAAGGAAGAAGACATTTTGAAGAGTGGGTAGTAAAGACTGTTTGCTAGATCAGAGAGTCACAAAGGCTGAGCAGTCAATGCGCAAAGCAGCGTGCAGTATTATCAAGTGATAGCAATGGTGTTGGGTGGATTGGTGAAGTTTGTCGCGTCACGACCGGGAAGACGCGACGGTGATGGTAAATGAAGAAAGTCGAAGATTGATTAGATGACGTCGAATGAGTGAGGTAAAGTGGTGGTTAGTCGAGTGAGACGATATGGAGGGAGAGATGGATAGAGTGAGGTGTCAGAGGGAGAAGGGAAGGAATGAGATTTAGCGAAAGGAAGGAACGAGGAACCTCTTTGAGGAGCGAGAAAGAGCTGATGGTTTCCTTTCCGAGAGTCTTGCGGATTGGACCCTCGATCAGCCCCGGGCAACAACGACTTTGGCGAATAGAGATGGCGCCAAGCAACTGTTCAATTGGCCGACTCGTGGATCCACACTGCCGTATTGGGGATAGACCATCTTACGGCCAGGTACGACCTTGCGCGCATATTTTGCCTCGGAGGCTGCAGTCGACCTGGCCACAAGTCGTGGTCCAAAGCCTGCACAACTTTGTGTCTCGATGCATATCTGTGCTTGTGCACAAATCGAGCTTGTGCTTATATATGCATCAGACACCTCCGAGAGCTTGGCGTTTATTGTTCTCCAAAAGTTGCATTTGCTGGTCAAAGACTCAAAGGGCCCAAACAGATAGTTTATCCGCATCTCTCGACGACACAACATACAAGTCGACTCTGCATCAAGCCAGAGCTTCTTTACCAAAGTCTATACCAGAAATCTAGTTGCCAGTTTGGACTGTAGTCCAGCAACAAGACAGTCAAGATGCAGGCCCCCGTTGTGGTCATGAGTGAGCATCCTACACATTTGGTGTCTCTGCTATACATACTGACCAGACAACTCAGACACCAACAGTGGTGAGCGCCAATTCGGTCGCAAAGCCCAACTGTCCAACATCACCGCCGCAAAGACGTACGCTATACATGTCATTCCCCTATCGGCGTCCATCTGACAATTCGCAGCGTCGCAGACATCATCCGATCATGTCTGGGTCCCAAGGCCATGTTGAAGATGCTGCTCGACCCCATGGGCGGTATCGTCCTCACCAACGACGGTCACGCTATCCTGAGAGAAATCGAAGTCGCCCACCCCGCCGCAAAGAGCATGATCGAGCTGGCCAGAACACAAGACGAGGAAGTCGGTGACGGCACCACCTCAGTCATTATCCTCGCCGGTGAAATTCTCGCCCTTTCCCTCCCTCAGCTCGAGCGCAACATCCACCCCGTCGTCATCATCCAAGCATTCAAGCGCGCCCTCAGCGATGCCCTCAAGGTCATCCAGGACGTCTCAGTCCCTGTCGACACCTCGGACGACGAGCAGATGTACAAGCTCATTTCCTCATCAATCGGCACAAAATTCGTTTCAAGATGGTCTGACATGATGTGCAACCTGGCCCTGACTGCTGTGCGCACCGTCTCGTACAGCGGTGGTGGTGGTAAGCAAGAGGTCGACATCAAGCGTTACGCTCGTGTCGAGAAGATCCCCGGAGGTGAGATTGAGGACAGCAGAGTCTTGAATGGAGTCATGCTCAACAAGGACATTACCCACCCCAAGATGAGGAGGCGCATCGAGAACCCCCGTATCGTCCTGCTTGACTGCACACTCGAGTACAAGAAGGGAGAGTCGCAGACAAACATCGAGATCACAAAGGAGGAGGACTGGAACCGCATCCTGCAGATCGAGGAGGAGCAGGTCAAGCAAATGTGCGACGCCATCATCGCCGTCAAGCCCGACCTTGTCATTACCGAGAAGGGTGTGTCCGACCTCGCCCAGCACTTCCTTATGAAGCACAACATCACCGCTCTGCGCCGTGTCCGCAAGACCGACAACAACCGTATCGCTCGTGCTACCGGCGCCACCATTGTCAACACCGTCCAGGACCTTACAGAGTCAGACGTTGGTACCCAGTGCGGTCTCTTCGAGATTGAGAAGATTGGCGACGAGTACTTCACCTTCTTGACCAAGTGCCAAAACCCCAAAGCCTGCACAATCCTCCTCCGCGGTCCCTCAAAAGACATTCTCAACGAGATCGAGCGCAACCTCCAAGACGCCATGGGTGTTGCCCGCAATGTCGTCTTCCACCCTTACCTCTCTCCCGGCGGTGGTGCCACCGAGATGGCCGTCGCCGTACGGTTGTCACAGCTCGCCAAGGGTGTCGAAGGTGTAGCCCAATGGCCTTACCGCGCCATTGCCGAAGCCATGGAAGTCATCCCTCGCACCCTGATCCAGAACTCTGGCAACTCGCCCATTCGCGTCCTCACTCAGCTACGCGCAAAGCACGCAGAGTCAAACGACAACAGCAGCTGGGGTATCGATGGCGACGCCGGTAAGGTTTGTGATATGCACAAGCTCGGTGTCTGGGAGCCCCAGGCCGTCAAGTTGCAGAGTATCAAGACTGCCGTCGAGTCGGCTTGCTTGTTGCTCAGAGTTGACGACATCTGTGGTGCTAAGAAGGCTGCGACATCAGGTGGTCAGATGGGCGGTGGTGATGATTAGATTGCTTGATTGGAGTAACAAAAGGAGATACCATGTACTAGCATAAAAAGAAAGAATTCAGACGACTACAAATCACACAAAATGTATCAAGCCCAGCACGATGAATTTTCAAACTACTCTAAGACTCGAAGTATTTGGGCACCCTCTTGATCAACTCACCAACCTCCTCATCACTAACAATATACTCAAATCCTTCCTTGTCCACCACCTCCTCCCCCTCGACCTCCCTCGTCATCCTCCTATACCCATAACAATTTCTCCACCTCCAACCCTTTGCTTTCTTCTTCCCCTCTCCCTCCTTTCCCTTCAATTTCTCCTCATCAGCAATCGAAACCCCATCAACAACCAACTCCCACGTCACAAACACCGTAGCTGCAAATTCGCCTACTTCCTTGACTGCTACCCTGATCATCCTGATGTCGGCGCCTACACCTGCTTTGACTAGTTTTTGGAGGTGGGTGAGGGTGCCTTTTGCAGCTTCCTCTTGGGTGCTGATGGTGGTGTTTGTGCCCAGGGTGAAGGAGATTAGGTTGGGCAGGTAGTGGGAGGACATTTGTGTGGCGCTTGCTGAAAGGTCTGAGGGCTTGGAGGAAGAGGCCACAGAGGTGGCTGTGGCGTAGGAGTGGATGAAGGCCGTTGCATGAGGAGAGATTCCTGTGTTGGAAGACATTGTGGTGGTTTTCTGTTGGTGCTTGCTGATGGTAGCGGAAAATGTAGATTGTGATATGTGGTCTCAATCCCACTCTATCTCCCGAGATATGTGATAATGCACAGATGAAAGAGATGCAACTTTGTCGATTCCTCGAAAGTCAACGAGATGATGGTGGAGTTGAAATCTTCCAGCAATGATGGTATTATTACATGGAGCTCGTCGTTAAAGCTCTTTAGGTGATCGAGGCTCCACGGGCCGAGATCGGACAATCCCTATACCACAGGACTCGGCACACCTTCTCCTTCGTACCTTCCATCTTACCTTGCACGACATATACATTTCTAGCTGGCTCCATTCAACATTGCAGGTACTGGGTTTGATCATCATTTCCCTGTCTATTTCTTGTTGACCTTGTCGCATGTTACTTGCTGCTCGCTGTTCCAGCAACCGACGCCTCGCGATGACATCTCAGCCTGTGCTATCCACAGGTGATTTGCTATGTTTGAAATTGTCTGGCGCAGAGTAATTCTTCTTTGTACTCGAGGTGATAACATCTTTTGCATGCATTTCTTGCTTGACTTTCCAGATTGAGTCATGGCCGGATCCGGCCACCACGAGATCAGTCGAGTCAACAAAGAATTTCCAGTACGATGACCCAATCATCACTCAACATGCTGTTCAACGCCATACCTAGTCTGTTTCTCGGGTCCATGCTCCTTTTCTCTGCTGTTCACTTGTCCAGGAGCTATCATCATGGCAGCATTGTACAATGGACGTCCCCTCGGGGAGGATGACCCCATTGGCTTGTCTCAAGACCACACCTGGATGGGGAGTATTCATTTAGCCCTTGGAGGCAGTGGCGCTATACACTACTGGCTCAAGGTCGATGAGAACCAAAAAATTCTTGATCGTATGGTCATCAAAGACTTCTGGTATGGAGAAAGTACAATCGAGCCGCCAGCTTACAAAGGCATATACGAAGACCTCGTGTACAAAGGAATGGACTTCGGTGTCAATCCTGATAGACCAGGCAAAGCGACAGCTGACGAACGATTTCTCAGAGAGGCCTATCTGCAGGGCTTGATGACCAACAGAAACCATGCCTCTGCTACTAACACGGTTCCATTGCGAGGCTACAAGAAAGGCGACAAGCACGAATACAACAAGGATGGAAGCGTAAAACGCACACACTGGCGTATTTACCTGGACTTATTGCACGCAGGCGACCTCAGTAATTTGATCGAAGAACATACCGTCGCGGACGAGTTCAACCCCAAGATAAGACATCCGGAGCACCCACTCCCCGAACCCTATATCTGGTGGGTCTTCACGTGCATCGCCGAAGCTTTGCTTCACCTGGAGTCCGTGGTACAGGCAAGACCCAACGCACGTCAAGAACAAGATGAAGTCATTGCGTTCTTAGACATGAAGCCACTGGACATACTGCTGGACTCGCAACGAGGAGACCAGTATCCAATCTACCCGAAACCGTTGTTGTCTGACTTTGGCGCAGGCCACATCCTTTACAAAGAAGATCCGCGTCAGGACGACAGGCACGAAGCTACTTACCCTCATGATGCCACAGCGGGCTTCTTCCCTCCCGAGATGAGAAGACGCACGAAATACGGGGTCGAACGAGGTATCACGGACAAACCTCTGTACTCTTGGACCAATATCTGGCAAACAGGTCGCATCGTCGAGTGTCTGATGAATCTGAAACAACGCATGGATCACGAAAAATACTCATTGGTAGCTATGGAAGATTCATGGATCAAGCAAGAGCCACCCAGATTCGAGAAACTTCCTCATTTCAGGTACAGCGACGATCTGATCGACCTTGTCTGGCAGTGCCAGCGCCACGAGCCAGAGCAGAGACCTACCCCAGCCGAGCTACTGAAGCTGATCAGAGAGCGTGCACCCAAACACAATCTCGGCATGGAAGAATGGGGCAATGCTACTTGGATCCAGGAACAGGAAAAGAAAAAGGCAAACCGGCCCAAGACCTACGCTGGAGTCTTGAAGGGGAAAGGCCCTACCCAGAGTATGAAGAAGCGCGAAGCGGCTGGCAAACTGGGTTTCCTCAATGCATATCCGCCCGAGTGGGCGAAGAGATATTACGATTTGGACATGGATCTACCCAATGGGGCCGAGATGCTCTTTTATGGCAACAAAGACTATGCCAAAGTCACTACTCAAGCCTACATCCCTCCGAAGAAGAAGTTCGATCCGCTCGCAGGCGTGGACTGGGCTGCTAGCTTTGGATGAAAATCGGAAAAGGGATCATATCCATGTCAATCTTGTGTCTACCATTTCCAAGTCGCTTCTCGGTTCAGACTTCTTTGGTTTATATTCCACGAGCAAATCTACTGCAGTATCCGTGTCTCGAGGGTCATATCGTGGCGATACCGCATAACCCGTGGAGATGTATCATCTATTTATTCCTTTCAAGCGAAGTAGCTTTGATGGTGTTCACTGCACCCAATGTCTCTGTTAAGTGTACCCCAGATGACGACCTTGAAGCCTTGACGGTGTCATGTATTCTGGCATTCCAACGACCGTGCTTAGCCATCGTTCCGTGCCCACCACGGAAGGATGCAAAACTCCCTCGATGATGCTCTTTTGACAAAATTCGCCTCAACCGCGTAAGCAAGTCTACGTAGTGATCTTATGGTAGATGTATCGGTAGTTGATCGCTGAAAAGGTTTTACTGCAGAGATAGCACGTTTTTGTTCTCTAGTTTTTTGTTCGTGGTGATTTGTGGTTCATGTGTGTTAAGACTGACGGCGAAGGGGGCGAGATGCCGAACTGCAAGCTTTTCGGGCCTGGAGACGGGAGGCGGGAATGACGGTGGGGCTGCTGGGTGCTTGTGGAGGATCACCGGTAGATAGACACCTGGTATATCATAGAAGTTCTGCGATATAGGCATCATTTCCACAGAAACTATGGTTGAGACTCAGTAGTATACTCAACAGAGACCATATGTTCCATATTGCAAGCGACGACACTGTTTGTCCATCTTAGATTGTGGTGTAGCCCCAACACAGGTTAATGGGTGCTTCCTAGCTCGGGGGCTTGGATACCATTGGTCTCGCCGAACATGCCGAACATGCCGAACATCCACCAAGCTTTATCAAGCACTCTTGCTGGAAACACTCCAATTGGCTCAAAAGCCAAGTTTGCGGTATCGTTCAAGAAGATCATCTTCAACTGCAGATCATAAGATACGTCTTTAAAAGTGGTCGCGTGCCCCTCGGCGAGCAACCTTTTTTTCCTTGCATCGCCTCCTGCCTTTCTCACTCGAGGGTATCACAAATACACTTACCAGCCAACACCTTCATCCATCCTTTACACCTGTGTTCTTACTGCGATCCTGAGATCTTACCTGGTGTTCTGTATTCAGCTTTTTGTTGGTAGCAGCTGCATTTAATCCGCACCTTATCCTGTCCTATCTCCCAACGCGACTGCCAAACACCCATTGCAACCTCAAGGCTTCAGACTCGTATCATTCGCAGCCATGGAACGGCCACTAAGCACCGAGAAACATCCTGGCAATGCGTCCCCAGAAGCAGCACCTATCCGAGAGCAACCATCCGCCGACTACGAAGGACAACCCTCGACCTCGTACGAAGAAACAGAAAAGACCCGATGGGAACGTCTATGGCCAGTCATTGCTTGCGGTGCTGGTCTCTTCAGTGATGGATACCTGAACGGTGTGATTGGTTTTGTCTCTACAATGCTTGGAAAGATTTATCCTACCTCCTATGCTACTTCCCCTGCCCAACGCAACGTCTCGTCTATCACTTTTGCTGGCACCGTGGTCGGTGTGAGTATTTCTTCAACTTGGCTTGTGTCGTAGTTCTCGGTCTCACATATATCCTAGATGCTCATTTTCGGCTACACCTCCGACCACTACTCTCGCAAGTGGAGTCTGTTCGCCAGTACCGTCATCTTGATTCTCTTTGCCGCTCTTAGCGCAGGCAGTTATGGAGCTGGCGGTAGTAGCTCTGGTCTCTTCGCTGCCTTGACTGCATGGCGTTTCTTGCTGGGTATTGGTATTGGCGGTGAATACCCAGCAGGAAGTGTGGGCTGTGCCGAAAGCACTGGAGAACTCAAAAGTGGAACCAGAAACAGATGGTTCATTCTGTTTACTAATGTGCAGATTGATATCGGTTTTGTGGTTTCCGCGTTGGTGCCTATGATTGTGGTATGTTGTTCGTCATTCATTGGCTTTTGTCTCTCCACAGTTGCTAAGGCGCATGTCGTAGGTTCTCTGTACTGGAGAAGACCACCTCCGCGCCGCCTGGCGCATCTGCTTAGGTCTCGGTGTCATTCCACCTCTGTCCCTCCTATACCTCCGTCTCAAACTCAACGAACCTGAAGCCTACCGCCGCGAAACAATGGCAAAAGCAAAAACACCATGGCTCTTGGTTCTAAAGTTCTACTGGTGGCGACTAACCATCGTCTCCTTAATCTGGTTCATCTACGACTTCTCAGGCTACTCCTTCTCCCTCTTCAGCTCGACCATCATCGACAACCTCCTCGGCGAAACCGCTCCCCTTTGGAAATCATTCGGCTGGACCACCCTAATCTACCTCTTCTACCTCCCCGGCTGCATCGGCGGCTCCTTCGTCAGCGACTGGCTAGGTCCCAAATTGACCCTGGGCATCGGCGTCCTGGCCCAAGGAATCGTGGGCTTCATCATGGCAGGCGTATACAGCTACCTCGCCCACCCTTCCAACGTCGCCGGCTTCGTAATCGTCTACGGCGTCTTCCTCGCCCTGGGCGAATTCGGCCCTGGCGACAACATCGGCCTCATCGCCTCCAAATCCTGCGCTACCGCCGTCAGAGGCCAATATTACGGTATCGCCGCCGCAATCGGCAAAATCGGTGCTTTTGTGGGTGATCAGGTGCTCGCTATTCTCTATAATCGCTACAAGGATACAGACCCCATCAAAGCGGGTCAGTATCCGTTCTTTGTCAGTTCGGCGCTTTGTATCTTGTCTGCGGGGATTGCGTTTTTCTTGTTGCCGCATATTGGGCAGGATACTATTGATGAGGAAGATAGAAAGTTTAGAGCGTATCTAGTGGAGAACGGGTATGATGTTACGCAGATGGGCGTGCAGAGGGAGAGTGCTGAGCATATTGTTGGACAGGGTGAAGGTAGGGAGAATAGTGAGGTTGTTGGAAGTGTGGCTAAGGCATGAGCGACCGATGTTAGATAGAAGCATATACCTAGTAAAAGTTATTGATGTTGGTATACCCCATTCGACGCACTCTCTCGTCGCGTGAAGGAGTGTCACCCGCGGCCATAGAAAATTGGCGCTGTGGATACAGCACATGAGATATGGACACAGATGCGCAATATCTAACGCGCATACAAGAGTCTCCTGTAGGGGGTTCACTACAAGAACTGTGTGATGAACATAATTAAATCTTATACAACAACCCCTACAAGCATTAAGATTAGCGGTGACAACACAAGAAAACCATCTCTCAAGAAGATAAACAGAAAATATCTAATCCGAATTACAGACATTAACAAAGAAAAACACTCTAGAGTATAAGGAACATCTTGAATCACGAATCCCACATACTACAATCTACCTCCTTCTTATATCATCCCCAAACCAACTCTACTTGGTAGTAGTAGTAACAGTCTTGACAACCGTAGACTTGCTGGTAGCACCAGTGACCGTAGCAGTCGACACGGTAACAGTAGCAGTCTTAGCCACACTAGTGACCAAAGCCGAACAAGCACTCGACAAAATGCTGGCAGGGTACTTGGTCAACGCAGCAGGTGCAGAAGCCGCAGAAGACGAAGCCACCACAGCGCGCTTTGACAACGACGAAGAAGACTTTAACAAATAAGTCGAGGTTGCAGACGAAGAGGCCTTGGTTTTCAAGGTTGTGGTGGAAGTGACGGTGGATACAGGGATTTTGGTGGATGTGGCAGTGACGTAGGCGTTCAAGTCGTTGTAGCCGAGGAAAGTGCTGCAGTAGCTTTGGAGAGTTGAGGCGGCGATTTCGACCTTGGCTTGAGCGATCGCGGCGGCTTTGTTGGGTGTGGTACCAGGGTTTGTGACGTTGGAGAAGGAGTACGAGAAGCCCACAGTGTAGCGATCGTTGCCTTGCCATTGTCCAACGTTAGTTGCGTATTTGTTGGCCCAGGCGGAGCTGTACATGGCGCAGTACTGGCCCAATGCCGTCTTGCTGTTCAAACTCAGGATGTAGGTATTGACAAACTGGCAAGTTTGAACTGGGCTGCCATCGGCTGGTGGGTTGGCAAGGTTGTACACATTTTGTGCGTTGCAGGCTTCGGTACAGAGAGTTGCGTTAAAGGGGCCTGATGCGAACACTTTGGCTCCCATGAAAGTGTTGTAGCCCAGCGAATCGTAAGGAGCGGCGATGGCTGCGTTTCCGAGGTAGTTGGCGTCCGAATAACCAGAAGGTGCGGCGATGTTCTGGTTCACGTAGCCGTTGGAGCCTGCGACTACCACGGAGAAGCCGACCCATTGTCTGCCATAGTTCTTGGTGTTGGACACCGTCACAGGGCCTCCCCAGTACACACACTATGGAGGGTTAGTATAGCTCAGACAGATAGAGAAATGATGACATTTACCTTGATTTGAGTCAGGGAAGCGGGATTGGGGCAGGAGGTCGCGTCGGGAGTAAGCTTTGGGTCGCGTTCAAAGTAGATGTTGATTCCCATGCATCCTTTAATGGCGTTACCTGTAATTCTTGTTAATACACGGCGCGTTGGGAATTCGGGGAGAACTGGAAGAATTCTTGGACGACTTACACTTAGTGGCGCAAGTTTGGGGGCTGTAAGATTGAAGGTAAGTGAACCCCTATAACACACGCTTTAGTCTTTATATTTAATATACTTTCTTGTTCTTTTAGTACCATATAGCCATATGCGCTGCTACTGGCATTCAAGTTCTGGAATGTCTGCGCATATCCAGCAGGGACCGCGGCGGCATTGGCTGCATTGGCGTAGACAGGGTTAGCCAGAAACGAAGCAGCGTCGTCCTTGGGGTTGTTGGTAACAGGTCCATAGCCAGAGGGTTGAGGTGAGCAGACTGCACGCTTCACTATACTCGGAGTCGAGGAAGCAGCATCAGTGATGGCTACCGAGATAGAGGAAGCCTTGGTTGCCGAGGCGAGAAGAGCTTTGGTATCAAAGGTGACAATCGTAGGAAGTCCAGTGGCTTGGACAACCGTCGGGGTAGGGACCTGAGCAAAAAGATCAAGGTTGATTTCCTGGGGTGCAGGGGCCGGCAGAGCAGCAACAACTGCCACAAGGGTGGGGATGAAGAAAGTCGAACGCATATTGAGTGAAAGTTTCAATACTCCAGAGGTCTCTGTTATGTTTCTCATTTATTGATGGGGAACCTCTCGGCTTTTGTATCCCTCTGTCCATCATCACGATTGTCAAGCCGTCACGATCAAATGTCGAGTCTCCTGACAAGCATACTTCCTGCCGGCCGCTCCGTGTGGTTTCTGCATGCCATGAACATGGTGAGCCATGGTTGCCAGCATGTGGTGTGTGAACTTGGCTCTGTGCCGCGATGGCTGTACCTTGGATACGACGTATGAGGCTGGAGAAGGAGCGCTTAGCTCGTTCGCGTGGTAGACTGTGGCAGTCACGAGGCGTCGTCTAAATCCAGTTGAGTACGAACAGAGTTTTTGACACAGAAGATTGATTCAGAATGCTCCTATGAGTTCGCTGTAGTTTGCTGTCATTATGTTCGAAGCGCTGGCGTTCTGCTGTCGCGATGGCTTTCGAGCTGAAGTTCAACTGTTTCGGCCACCACCGAACACAGCTGCTGTATAACAGACGTTGTGCGTGTAAGGCTGAAACTCATCGTCGCGAGACAACTGTCTCTGATCGTTTGTGATAAGTTTTCGAGAAGGTCTCACGTCCGCTTAGAAGCATGGAGGCCAACCTATATCTTGGCGGAATTATTGCTAAAGTTTGAAGCCGTTTTGGGACGGTTGCTAGACCGTTGTTAGTGATCGTTCAGCCACATCTCAACGGGTACGCCCATCTGATTGGCCATGCCGAACATGTGTCAGTGCTCTGTAGCGATAGTTAAAGTTGATGAAAGCGCATCTTCTTGGTGAGACATCAGAAAGAATACTATGCAGTAATAGAGGGCCGATGGAGGCTCCATGTGCGACCAACCCGTATTCCACAGACAACTGAACTGACAAGCTAATGACCATTTGCTGGAAAGGCACTCTATCAGCATTGGTTGTTGAGACAGCCACCACTGATAAGTGTTCTCTAACCACACAGGGAATCTGCATGAGCCCTGAACATGCCTCGCGTAAACATGAATCTCGGAGGCTCTGAGACTCGTGTTCAATAGTGTATGCAAGGAGAAGCCGCTATCTCCCCTTGCGTGTGAACCTATGCCTCCACCTCGCCTTGGCCTTCCTCCCAGCTCGTTTGACGCTTTGTGAAGGATAGTTGACAGGCGATTCACCTCCTACAAAGATTGCAGCATCGTAGAGTATTGCGCCGACAATGGCACCGGTGATCGGAGCACACCAAGCACCATACACCCACCAGCCGTCTCCAAACAGTTCATGTCTATCGAAGCCAACTGTAATCAACGCTAGGCGAGGTCCCATATCGCGAGCAGGATTGATCGCGGCGCCCGTACTGGCCGAGAAAGCCATAGTCAAGATACTGACGACGAGACCCAGAATGAACGCATTCATTCCCGCTCCAGGAGGTGCGTTGCTGTCGTCACCAGAAGCCAGTACAGCAATACTCATGAATGCTGTAGCAACAAACTCTGTCAGAAAGCCCGAGGCAGCATCCGCCACGCCTTCTATGCGGTTCGTGACAAATGAGTTGTAGACCTGTGTCATCTGGTCCGGCTTAGAGCCCAGGTAATTGAGTATACAATTTCGGTATACGCCATACGCGACGAGTGAACCGATGTATGCTCCAAGCAATTGGGCGAAGATGTACACAAGTATCTTCTTTTTCGGGAAGCCACGGAAGATGTAGAACATGATGGTGATTGCAGGACTGAGATGACCTCCAGACACACCTCCACTGATGTAAATTGCAGTCATCGTCCCCAATCCCCACGACCAGGCCATTGAATCGCTGGAGCCATTTTGTGCGAGATTATGTGCTACATTGGCACAGATACCGATCGTCATCAAAACAAACACCTAAATCGATTAGAGATCGAGATAAGGTGAGACAAGCGATCAGACTCACGGCGAGAACTTCGGCAAGAGGCTCACGAAGTTTGGTCCTGAACACCGCCCATAGCGTGTGGTGATTGTGGAGCTCTTCTCGAATGTTGTTCAATGATACTTGGTCTTCCTCTCCTTGACAATGTGTAGCTTCGACGTCTTCGTCATTGACCTCCTCATCCTCCTTCTCATCGTCATCTTCGCTGAGGTCTTGGTGGCGTTGGTTCTTACCATGTTTTTCAGCATACTTTTCTTCCCTATCTCTGGTCGCGTCATGAATGTCCTGGATCATTTTCTTCAGGTCTAACCTCAGACCATAGCCTTGTTCCATTTGCGATTCGGTAGGCTGCAGCGCGTCCTGCCTTAATCTGCCGGATTTAACCTCCTCATCTGACGGCTTGGTACCGGGACGTACGATTCGTGGCAGAGGATCTGCCAGTCCCCAGATCGGTCTTGAATTTCCAGGTTGGTAGTACGCAGGATTGAGCTCCATGTAGCCATCTTCTATGTATGGCTGATGTTGATTTTGAGACCGCCCTCCGTTTTGACCACCCTGAGAAGTTGGGCCCGCCAGAGTGAAGATAGGTTTGCCATTCAGATCTCTACCCGTCGAGTAGGGCTCGTTCTGGTCGTGCTGATGCTTCTGATATGTAGTGGATGTTCTGCGTCGTAGACCAGACGATGCAGAAGCGCGGCCATTTGAATCTGTTCTTGATGCATTGATACCCACACTTCTCCTGGATTCTGTGCTTCGACTTGTTGAGACGCCGCTCAGCGTAGCTTCATTAGAGCCTTGCTCCTGATCGGTGGAGTCTTCTTTCGGCATGTTCGCGCTTATGCTCGTCTCATGCACACATGTCTACCTACTGTCAGATTGATGGGTTCCACCGTTGTGATCAGCGGGCAACAGATGTGGCGATTGCATGCGCAGATGCAATGTCAGTTAAGGTCAGAAGAGTTGAAGTCTAAGACTTCGTTCAAAAGGCAAGACTTCGGTCGTGCCCATGTCGCTGCAGCGGCGGTCACAGTTGCGTCATAACAACCTGCGCATCGCGTACCTTGTCTGTGTTTTGCTGAGAACTTCGACGTATTGTGGATCAAGCACGAAGGCATGGTGTATGATATGTTTGTCGTGCTATGATTGCCAGTGTTGAGCTGGCGACCTAGAGCTGGACAACCCTCGCCAAGCTGCTCAGAGCTTCCAAAGGGAAGCATGTCCTGGAGATCCTCGAACCCGGTCTACAATAAAACATCGTGAATACCAGACTCACCATGTCCGTTCAAGATGATCGATCGAGTGTCAGCCATGAAATTTACACACGATAACGCATTACACGAGCATCGGGTGAAATCTCGATGATCATGCGAGAAACGCATATCTCAGCGCCCGTCATGTCTTCTTCGTTCTATCTAAAGTTATGCATAGGGTATCGTTATAGTAATATCTTCGTAGCCGCAAAACAAAACAGCCACAACCTTTTGCTTTGCTCTTTTATGCTGTCTCTCGCCCGGCTCAAGAACCACCAAGTCTCTTCTCGATCTTGGACTTCTCACTCTCGCGAATGGTCTGAAGATCCTCTCTCGTGCTGTTGTAAGTAGCATTGACCTGGTTGAAAGGATTGTCAGGGTGCTTCTCGAACTCCTTTCTGATCTGCTCAATCTTTTGCTGGCGACGCAGACCCTTCTCGTCCTTCATCTCTTCCAGGCGGCGTTCTTCGTATTGAGTGTAGGCGGCCTTGAAGCGACGTTCGGGGTGACGGTCGATCTTGTCTGAGGTGCCTGCGGTCAGGGACAAAGCATCCAGGGCGTTATCGATACCGGTTGCAGAAAGCGAAGAGAGCGACGAGGGTCCATCGAGGCCGGACAGATCGAGACCGCGAGATTTCTTTGGGGCGGTCTTTGCGTTGCCGGTTTTCTTGGCTGGGAGGGAGGCATCTTCTTCGGCGAGGAGGGCAGCCTTTTCGGCCTTCTTGCGATCAGCTTCGGCTTTCTTGTCGGCGGCGGCAGCACTGGAGGAAAGGCTGTTCAGTACGGCGACGAGATTGTGAAGGATCTGAGGATGCGAACTCACGCCTTAGAGCTGTCCTTTGCGCCCTTTGACCATTCTTGCTCTTCAACCTTTGCCTTCTTTTGGTTCTCGACGGCTTGCTTTTGGGCTGCGACCTCGGCCTTTTTGGCGTTGCCGGCAGCCTTCTTGCTGTTCTCTCCCTTGGCCATGATAGGTATTTGTGTGTATTAGGGTGGTAGCGAAAGAAATGGCGAGACACAACAACGAATGATCAACACCTCACAAAATCGTTCGACTTTCGAGGCCGATTCGGGAAGCTTCTCTTGCGTCACATGCCAAGCCCTCTGCCTCGATGCCGTCTATACCACCACTATTCTTGACCTTCTCTTCTCTTTCATCGACTTGTTGTCTCACATGAAAATAGCATCCACTGCTTTACAACTCTTCATTCGACACTCTGGATACAGTGCTAATCGGCCTCTAACTCTACCTCCTTCTCTTAGTAAATTCATGCCTGTTTCGCTCTCTCTTGCTCTTCCTTCACCTCTGCCTTTTCCTTCTGTTCTACATCATACATGAAATCTATACATCTAGTCGTAAGTACTAATCGCGAGTGCATCGCCCCAACTTGATAGATCTGCGTCCAGACTATATGCTCACTCAATACTGTTGCTGCTACGTTCTCACGTGGAAAGCCTTGAAGGCCCAATGTGTCGTGGACTCGGCCGACCGAGTCGTACACTTGTGCCATGTTCATGCTACCATCTTTGAACTGTTGCATTGTCGAGCAGGCGTTTTGTAGTCGGTCCTTGAGAGGCTTTGCAATAAGCTCGTTGGCTTCGAGCTTTCCCCTGTGGCTATCTGTATCGACAACGACCTTGATGTTGAGCAGTTCCTTGCGGGCTTCTAGATGATATGCGACCAGAAGCAACCTTCGAATAGAATCTTGACTGAGTCTGAGATCTGCATGCACATCAACGACCACTTCGACCGTCACCGGTGTGGCATGCGCGCGTTGGCGTCTGCATAGCCTATCGAGAAAGCTTGCAACATGAACCTCGAGCGACATTGCAGCGCTTTGTCTGGAAGATCCTGGAGTAAGAGTGAATGCCGGTAAAATGAACTCGGTGTTTCGGAACCACACGTCCTCAAACATGGGCGTTACCCAGTCTGGAATTCGTATCTCGTCTCTAATATCCCAGGGTGGTTGGTGATCTCTCAACCAGTGACCGAAGATTTCCAGGCGAATCTCTATAGGGAGATCTGCTTTATCTCCTTTCTCGTGTATCTCTTGAAGCGCGCATAGCCACCTGCCAAGGGCCACACTATAACCAGATCCATCCATCTTGATGATTATCGACTTAGTGATAGGGTGATTGTGTGATTGTACTAAGAAGGAAGTCATTTTGGGCTGTCCAGGGCTACTCGCTTTATGGGCAGGAAGTGCACAAAGAACAACGCCAGAGGACATGATTCTTTCATGGCGGTATAGCGATAGTTGGCACAATGGTACCGCTGGTCAGTAACGCCGGATCCGGACACCGTTTTATGAGCCTGGCCCGAGTCCAGATAATCATGTCGGAGGGTGCCAGATGTTGTGATCAATCGTGGTGTGGAAGTCCATAGCACGATCGCCGCTCTAGGAGTTCAGTCATCCTACACAAGAATGGTACCCACCGATACTCGATCAGCTTGCCCCTATGGCTTATACATAAGAATCATCGATAATGTCAAATATCGCGACTCGCAGAACTGATTTGACGATGCCGTGTTCATTGGCTGCTCCAAAGCTGGCGCTTTCAAGAAGGATGAACATGACATGTGCGTCTACTGTCGTAGGTTTTGCAATCAACTCGCCGAATTATTGGCGTACAAGTCGACTCTGTACCATTGAAGGGGTTCACGAACGCGAAGTGTCGAGTCGTATGGTGATAAGATACAGGTCGGGCTCGAAAAATGTACCCCGCACGGCAGAGAGATCGACGGACCACGGGCCGGCGAAGCGCGTTGTTTACCGAACTCGATGCGCCCTTCGGGGGAGTCGCGGAGAATGATTGACTCATGTTGGCTGTTGGGTTTTCTTATCTCTGGTTTGTTTTTTAGGCTGATTGTAGAGTCCCCTGGCTCACTGATCGAGGCCCTTCAAGTGAGCAGATTCCCTCACTTGCCGACTGCCCCAATCGCCCTTCATTGTCCTTGGATCGTGTGACGGACAATCGCCATGTCGTCATACAGGATTGCCGTGGGAAGAGCGACCACAAGGTTTGGAGGGGTTCACTCTGTGCCGCATCGCCTATCTACATATCCTGCCCTGTCCCCATACCTTTCCCCACGCTCGACCATCTCCCCAGCATCAGGAACCACCATCATGGCTTCACAAGGTCTCATGTCTTCGCTACCGATCCCAGCATGGCTCCAGGGACAGTCAAACCGCACCTTCTCGACCACACCCCGCCAGAGACGCCTGACAATCGAGAACATCAATCAGAATGTCGTCGAAGCCGAGTACGCCGTGCGTGGTGAGCTCGCTGTCAAGAGCGAAAGGTACCGCGAGCAGTTGAAGAAGAAGGATGCCTCGCTGCCCTTCGACACGATCATCTCGGCCAACATCGGCAACCCCCAACAACTCGACCAGAAGCCCATTACCTTCTTCCGTCAGGTCTTGTCCCTGATGGAGAACCCTCTTCTTCTCCAGCACCCCGATGTCCTCACCAAGACCCTCGGCTACAAGCAAGACGCCATTGATCGTGCAAAGACACTACTGGACGATGTTAAGAGCGTGGGAGCATACTCGGCCTCGAAGGGTGCCTCTGGCATCCGTCGCAGTGTCGCCAACTTCATTGAGAAGAGAGACGGCTTCCCTGCCGACCCTGAGAACATCTTCCTGTCTGCCGGTGCTTCGGGCGGTGTCAGCACTCTCATGAACGTCATGTGCGCCGATGCAAACTCCGGCATCCTCGTTCCCATCCCGCAATACCCTCTCTACACTGCCACTCTTGCTCTCCTCAACGCAAAGTGCGTACCTTACGAACTCGAGGAGGAGAAGTCTTGGGGCACAAATCTCGACGCCATTCGCGCATCATACGCCAAGGCAAAGGCCGAAGGTACAAGCGTTCGTAGCATCGTCATCATCAACCCCGGTAACCCCACCGGCGCAACTCTTACAGTCGAGGACATCAAGTCAGTATTGAAGTTCGCTGCCGAGGAGAAGCTGGTCGTCATGGCCGATGAAGTCTACCAAACCAATGTGTTTGTGGGCAAGTTCACCAGCTTTAAGCAATGTCTTAGGGAGCTTCAGCAAAGCGAGGAGAACAAGGACGGCAAGTTCGACACTCTCGAGCTTGTCAGTTTGCACAGCATCAGCAAGGGTATGATTGGCGAGTGCGGTCACCGTGGTGGTTACTTTGAGCTTGTCGGCTTTGACGAGAAGGTGTGTTCTGCAGCACTCGCACACTCATCATATCAACAACTAACCTCTCGCCTTAGGTCACCGAGCAAATCTACAAGTATGTCAGCATCCAGCTCTGTCCTCCTGTCATTGGACAGTGCCTAGTTTCCCTCATGGTCGAGCCACCCGTCGAAGGAGACCCGTCCTACGAGACCTACCATGCTGAAGAGCGCGGTATCTTCAGCGGCCTGCAGAAGCGTGCCACCGCCCTCTACGAGGCTTTCCGCGAGATGGAAGGCGTGTCTTGCCAGTCACCCACTGGCTCCATGTACCTCTTCCCCACCATCACTCTTCCTCCCAAGGCTATCGAGAAGGCCAAACAAGAAGGCAGAAAAGCAGATGAGTACTACTGTCTAAGACTGCTCGACGCGACTGGTGTTTGTGTCGTTGCAGGAAGTGGCTTTGGACAGAAGGAGGGAACTCTGCACTTCAGAACCACTTTCCTTGCTCCTGGCACCGAGTGGGTTGGCAGAATCACCAAGTTCCACAAGGAGTTCATGGAGGAATTCAGATGATGCATGATGGATTTGGGAGATCTCGAGATTCTTGTGCATAAGATATTTGTGGGGTTGATGATACCTTTTTCTTCTTTCATTTCATTTTAAGCAGGCAAGGCGCTGTTTTACAGGAGAGCATTGTTGTCTTCTGCTTCGTAAATTTTCGTAGCTCCTTTGGTACTTCTTGAAAGCGAGTTCCGGACAGCTACTGCGCTTTCGCGTCTCATCCGCTCTTTCCTTCACTGTGAATGTGCTACACGAGTACATAACTCGACCACCTCGACCAACCACGTCTGACACTTTGATATCTCACTTACCACAACACAGCAACCAGCCGTGGTCTCGACGTCGCAATGACGACTCGAGAGCACTTGACACATACAGTCGAGGTCTTGCAGGTTTATTCTTGCGCATCGCGCCACGCTGAGAACGAGTGCAGCGCGCTGCGCGCTGATCTCTGTCATCTGTTGATCCTCATATACCATCGACCTCACAACGTTTCCAAGATCCTGCATGGCAGTACCACTTGAGTGTATCGACTTGCTTCGGCCTTCATGCTCTTCTACCATTTCGAACGCGCCTTGCTTCTCTACTTGGAAGCACTGTTCATCCAGATCTGGAATGCTAATAGTTTATTCCATTTACAACGTGAAGGCGGAACAAGATAGACAAGATCTGATTACTCGCTCGTGTTGACCATATTGTATATGGTGCTGCATAAAGAGTTGGACGAAACATCCTTATACTGACTTCGACCACCGTGCACAATGACAAACGCCCCAGAGAACAAACGAACAATCGCATCTTGGATCAGACACGTCTCAATCCTCATTCGCATGGCTGGCCGAATTCCTTGTCGACCGCGCTCTGAGAAGCAACTTGTGAGCAACGAGACGAGCTCCAGAAAGTCTTTTGGGAAGAGCTCATACGGTCCGTTCTTGCCAGCGGTGTCGCAGCTACATAGGAGGCCTCGCGCCGCAACGTGGCATCCAACAGCCACAGAAAGCTCAGCTTTCACATCTTCCGTGGCGCAATTGGCTAGCGCGTTCGACTGTTAGATCTGCTTCGGCACATCAGCTATCGAGAGGTTGACAGTTCAAGCCTGTCCGGGAGAGCTCTTGTTTTGTCCTTTTGCTGCCTATACTGGACGCTCAAGGCAACGACTGCCTGGTCAAGTGTGCCTTTTGCTAAAATATCTCCCAAGTCCTGGGTGCCTGGAGGCAGGACAGCCGATTACCACATCTGGAAGCTGTGCTTTTTGCTCGGTCAGGTCATTGGAGAGTTGGCAGGTTTTGCCGAACGTGCTCGCGCGGGCTGCTGAGCATACCACCCTGGGCTTGCTTTGGATCAGCCGAACCTCGGTCATGCAAATGAATAATTTGTGGTTTGTTACCTCAAGGACTATCTAAATCTCTTGCTCTACCTTCGGTTCAAATCTGGAGTCGAGCAGACCTACACAGAATGAAGATGGGGTAAAATCGTGAAGATTAGCAAAGGTCCTGTGAAGTTTCACGGTCCTGACAACGTATTCGAGCACATTTGACCACCCGTGTGCTACAGAGGAGTGGAGATCTCAAAACCAAGTTACCAGAAGAACTCATTAGACTCGAATGCGGAAAAGAGAAAGATGAATGTTATCACTAAGACATATTTGCAGTATCTTCTCGTCGACCATCACCAAAGACAAAGCCCCATTCTAGACTTTAGAGAAGACCCGCAGTTTACCCAGACGTTTACCCCTGGATATACGCAATTCCACCCTCTTCCGACCACACCCCTGCTCGCCTTTAACCACCATACCTCATCCCGTGACCCCCACTATCCTTGTCTACTCCAACACCGAAAACACAACATCATGCCTCAAACCGCCGACAACCTCCTCAGCGACCCGGAAATCGCCAATGCGTACGAAGACGTCCGTGAGGACAAATCAGCCACAACATGGATGGTGCTCAAATACATTTCGGGCACTTCTGATGCATTGAAGTTGGATTCCACGGGTCAAGGCGATATCGCCGAGATGGTGGAGCATCTGGGGGACGATGAGGCTGCTTATGCTTTTGTGAGAATGACGGTGGGAAACGATGAGTTGTCGCAAAGAGTCAAGTTTGTGTTTGTTTCCTGGTGCGGTGAGTATCCTCTGATTTCTTGTTTGTTCCTTACTTGTTGTAAGAAAGAGGAGGATCGAAGGATTGCGATGTTGATGCTTGGATGCCTGTACAGGCAGTCCGAGTGATGTCCGCGATGGAAGTGTCGAAGCAGTCTCACATTGGGAGGTGTTTGCAATATCAACACAGAGACTAATCCATACTTCCTAGGTCCCAACACAAGAGTGATGCGCCGAGCAAAGATGACGACTCAAATTGGTCAGGTCAAGCAAGTCCTGCGAAGCTACGCGATCGAAATCCAGACCGACAGCAAGACCGATCTGAAGGAATCAGAGGTCACCATGAAGTTGAGAAAAGCCATGGGTGCCAACTGTAAGTTCTTGAACAAGATCCGGGTGAATAAGAACGATGCTAAATCATGTAACAGACGACCGTCAAGCATCGGGTTACTAAAGCACACGCGACCAACGAGTATGTGACCTCAAGAGGATTGTAGGCAGTCAACGTCACATTTAGACAAAAAAATCTTCACAGATATCGAATAATATTAGAGCTCGAAAACAGCGAGCAGCCGAATGGCGTCCGCAAATGTGTCACTGCCACATGACAGGCTACAGCTCGCTCGCAGTGGCTTGCCTCGGCTTAAGTTGTCATGGTTTGTCAAAGGCGGTGAGAGGACCGTTTCTCCCAACGCACGAACCACGGACCCTGTATTGCTCATGTTGGCCGGACGAGATCGCGATCTGCTAAAAGGCGTCGTGATTCAAGTCGAGTAATGATGCCTCTTTCCATTTGCAACCTCCCCGGACGTGAGGCTTCAAAGTCCACCTTTGACATCAGCGGCTACACGTAAAGAGGGGAGGAGCGCCATGTCGCTTGTGAGATTTTCGCTGCTCGACGTACTTTCCTTTTTTGCATAACGCAGGCACCCGAGTTCGGTTCGTATTGGTGCCATTCATTGGGAGTCATGTCCCAGCAGCGAGCCCAAGGACAGCCGCGGCAGGGAATGCTCAACTTCATCACGTTTGGTGAATCACCGCAGCCGTCATCGACGCGTGCAATCAGATCGCACGCCGCCAAAGCTGGATGGAAATTGAGGAAGAATTCGAGGAGTCTCGCCGCAGCCGCCCAGCCTGGAGGTGGTCCCCTGCTAGGTTCCACCACGGAACCCGCTCCGCCGGCACGACTCGCACCACCGCGCCACAGAAACCTGCCTGCTGTGCCATCTTGGCCGGAGAATGATATTGTACCTAGAGTTGTACCGTCCTTGGCTTCGTCTACCTCGCACTCTCTCTCAACCAGCTCGTCCGTCTCAACCCCGTCGTCTGATTCACCACATGACACTGCCATGGATACCACGAGACAGAATGCAGCATCTGCAGAGTCAGGTTTTATTTGTGACGATGGTGAAGACGAATTGGATGATATTCCCTCACATGCATTGCAATTCAGTACCACGGATCGAACACGCCCGCGCCTTTCGTCCATGGCATCTCCTCATCAGCTCGGCTCAACTCATGACCCGTTTTCTCAGTTTCCGGTCCGCTGGGAGGAATCGTTTGGTCCATTGGTGCAATTCTGTAAGTCTTTTATCTTGTAGATGTATCGTTGGGGTGCACGCCATTCTTCGAAGTCTGGTCTTGCCGTTACATGAGTGAATTTTCACATTGCTCGTGGCTAACACATCGCTGCCTCAGACCGCAATTGCCTTGGTGAAGTATGGATGGGATTGATATCCTCAGACTGGGGTCAACAAGGCAACATCGAATTTGTCGACTTTCCTCTACAGATATCCATTTCACAACGAGAACCTGCAATGTTCTATGCCGTGCTATCCAACACCAGTCTCATGGCTCCAGCTACCAACTCAATATCAATGCGTCAACAACCCTTCATGACCCAGTGGCTACGGCACAGAGCTGTCGAGTCACTAAGAACAGCTGTCATGGATCCGAAGCGCGCCTATACAGATGCCGTCATCCTAACTGTTACCTACGTCTTCTTCAACGAGGCGCTGCGATCAGAGCGACATATCGCGCTCAACGTACACGCTCCTGCTCTGAAGAGAATGGTCGAAGCAAGAGGAGGTATAAGTGCGATCGCTTCGAATGGCAAGGACGGCCTCATCCTTTCGCGCTATCTCTCTTGGTGCGATCGTATCGTCGCTTCTACGCTGGGTTCCCAACCACTATTTGGCGACTATGTCGAGGACCTGACCATTGGAAGAACACAATGGACCGGCATGTGGTCTAAAGTCCAGACCTTGATGTGAGTCGAGTCCGAGATACGGCTCATCTCGGTTCCTAGTGTCAGCACGAATCGCGGCTGCGCGCCTCCGTCACTGCAGGATACTACAGTTCGGTGTGAGACATACGTCCCTCGACGGAGCCGCCACCACTCAGCACCTTCGGCCACGAAAACTGGAAATATCACAATGGCCATACACAAGTTGACCGTAACGACATATCCTGCAAGCCGTGAATATTCATCATGGTACTCCGTGCATCCTCGCAGTGCAGCATCGAAAACTCGAAGACTCACGGATGAGTGCCCCTTTTTCGTCCAGCGAAATATTACCATCAAGTGTCACTACATACACAGTCCAACGACTCAGCCTGACAAGGTCGCGTCGACTTGACTTTGCTGTTGCTGCGGAAAGCTCAGCACGCGCACAATTGCTCATTGTCGCTCCTACCAAATATCCGCATGAAGCCTCAGCAGATCCATCTTTTACATACCAAACCTACATAAGTACAGCACCATGATCAACGACAGCATCAAACCCAGCATCTACATCTACATCTACATTACTAGCAGGAAACTACTAGCAAGTTATACGATCATATACGACAGTCAGCATACATTTTCTCGACGGACCACGCATACAAAGACTCTGGGTACGGGGAGTATATACATCACTTGTTTATAGCGCACACATGTTTTGAACATACATCGTTCTTGTTCATCTCTACTGTTGTCCCTCTGCTTTGCTTGCGTGTGTCTGCTGTAATGTCTTTGTACAGTTCCGTGTTTAGAGAGCTTCTACGCACTAACTCTTTCGACCAACCCGACCATCCCACATTCGAGCGTAATCAGCACCCTCGAACTTTTACACTGGCCCATAAGATGTTTTTCAACAGCGCCGAAACCAGGTCTCCACTCGACATACTCCAAGCTTCGTCGTCACACTCACTTTTTAATAAAACCGATTGTGCACATGATCTATAGACATTACCCACAAGCTTGTATCATATGAGTAAATTTGCTGACTAAGGCTGTAGCTGCCTGGCGTTGAGGCCGAGAAGGGTGTATGAGGAGGTCGCTTCCTCTGGTTCCACTCTTTCCTTTTCTCGCTATACCTTCCGCAACACATTCGCACACGCTGTCAACTCTCTTCTCTCGATGAAACGATGAAGAGCAGTAGGAGTGGTACTTCGCTCACGTAAAAGTCCTCTGAGAAACAAGCAATCAAACACAATCTTATTGCATCAAGTTACAGTCATAAGGGGTGTGTGACTGGCTAGGACAAGAAAGGAAACAGAGAGCTCGTATTAATGTCGTGATGAGTCGATAGAACGGGGACTCCCTAGTCCAAAGTAGTTGTATAAAGAGCGACAAGGAGGATCCAACAGATATGAAAGGAGAACCAGATGCATGTGTTGTCGTGGAAAGTGTTCTTGAGATGCGATTCAACAGTGGGCGTAGGTTAATCAGAAGCGATGGTGCCATGGAAAGGAAGTAGTGCCGACCCAGCAAGGTGGTAGAGAGAGAGAGAGAGAGAGAGATCGGCGTCATGCCTGACGCAGTATGTTGGTAGATGGCGATACGAATTGCCGGGTTCATATCGTATCATGCAAGCGATATAGTCAGGTGATATGGTCGTGCCTCGTGTTTTCTCGATAGAGTTGTATCATCGTGTACCTCCGAATGCACAACCCAAAGACAAGGCAAGTATTCCCGCAGCGTGCGTCGCATGCACCTCATGTATAGGATATCCAGACCATTCATTCTCGGCTCGCAGCTAGTTCCGATACTGAAAATGGCTTGAGAGGCTCGGCGTCTCGTTGTCTCGACTCAGCGTGGTTGGTCCATGTCGTTGAGGCGTTGATTTTGGTGCGGTGGAATGCGTCGGACATTTGTATCCAACAAGGACTACTCTTTCCGTGATACCGTGACTACGAGAGCCATAGGCCGCACATGGGTCCAGGGAGTGTCTGTGGTAGAGACATCGACAGACTGCGTAAAGTTCTACGACTTGGATACACATTGTTGTTTTGTTGCTGTACTGTCGGAAGACGATGGGTTGATGCTAGCGGCTGAAAGTTGTGACTGTGTCTCAAAATGACTGTTGGGCACGAGACTTGTCGTTGATGTAGGTATCGTCGGGGTATATATCGTGTATATTTTCATTAGCCAGGCAGTTGGCCGTGATATGTTGGTGAAAGTCGCAAGGTGTCCGGCATCTGACATGCGTACGTGGTATTATGAGCGACCATCCTGCGGCGACAAGACCGCCAGAGCAAAGTACTTGAGTAATATGGAATTATGAACTAGCCAGTGGAAGGGTGAGTAAGGAGAAGTAGGATCCCGCAAACAGTGGAATCCAGAAGAAGTGCCGATAGATAGGAAGGACAACAAAGCTTCCAGTACAATATGATTTCTCATCATTGTGACCTATAGCCCGAAGCGGTAAATGCTAGCAAACATCGAAGGTAGGAGCGTCTAAGTTCCTGTGGGTTGTTGCTTCCCAGAACCCGTCAAGTTCCCGTCATGGCCTTTATATACAGGGTCTTTGTAGCCGAACTGACCTCTTCCACAGCCGCCAAACATGCTATTTTGACGACTAACGAAGGACCCGCAGGTTCGTCTTCGCGAGCAGTTATATTTCCAGCGTAGAACTGCCGATAGGGATGATCGCGCAACCGTATGTAGTCACATGGGTTAGCCATGCTCGAAGCGATCGGTGGGTATGCTGCAGGTCCTTGAGATACAAGCCTGCCGTGTGGGTGGGATGTCACGATAGCGGTACCTTGCACATAATGCCGTCCCCGCGAGCTTGACAATGATACAGTGATGACGATGACATAGATGGCGCATCTCATTGTACTCAACCATCAGTTATAACACAATTCGAGTTATAGCGAGCGTCGATGCAATCCTTTGACATGCAGCCCGTACGCGATGTACGAGCACACCACTGGAGCGAGTGGGGCACCGACATGCTTATTTGGGTATAATCTACATGGGTTGCCTGACTGTGTGAAAGGTGCGAACGTCGGCAAGACGGCCAAGAGGTGAGGAGGCGGCTTAACTATAGGTTCAACATCGAGAAACGAATTGTTCAATGAGCCATCCTACCACAGACAACGCCTAAGCATCGTGTTATGCAAAACAGGCGCATGTATGTGGATGCGTGTCAGAAGATCGAGCTTTCGGGCTCAGTGACGCGCTCTGACATGTCCATACGATATCTAATAGGCACTTGAAGGGACCACACTCGCCGCATACGATCTGCGTATGACAATCTACAGAGCTGCAGTATGCTGCACGATCGTAATACCGAGTCATCGTCAGGCAAAGTGTAACCGAGGAGGCTTGTTCTGACTCCATGTTATCTCGGCAGAACCGGTCGTGACTATCAATCAAATTGATGTGCACTCTGCATTTGCACATGCTCCAATAATAGCGACTGAGACTCGACGGGCAAACACCATACAGTACAAACTTGTAGCGCGTACCCGGTGTGTTGGTCGTTGAGTCTCAGAGTTCGGGGAATCGACCAGATGAATTAAACAATAAGCGAGAGTCCGATCTCTGCCGATCAGACATTCGGTACTTATCTATCACACCTCTCGAGTTGCTCTCATAGTGCCGACAAGAACCGACATACAAACGATACTATTTGAGTATTGCGCTCATGTTCCTGGATTTTGAACATTCAGAAAATCGACTGTCGGATCGTACATAAAATTCGTGATGTTGAACTCGCTGTTGCTACCCGGATCTGGAATCTGGAACTCTCCACTGTTGCCGGCTGTCTCATTCGGCACAGGAAGACGAGGCATGTTGAAAAAGTCGAAGACATCCAGATACTCCAAATCCTGTGGAGCTGGAGTACGCGCGGGCGTGATGGCATGCTGTTTACCACCATTGTATTGCTGACGTGGTTGCCTGGAGATCAAAAAATCCAGATCGTAGGCACACCGCCTCATGTCTGCAAGAATCTTCACTGTTGATGGTGTGACTCTTTCACCATTAGCTCCAATTGGCGCACGTTCGGATTCACTGTACTCGTCGAGCACACGCTGCAAGAGTGTAGCATATCTTTCTGCGACGTTCCAGTATCGACCCATATCTCGCAGCGTTTCGACAAGAGGGTATATGGCAGGATTGACTTGATGGTCAATCGTAGAACCATGAACAAGCAGTAGCCGAGCTGCGACCCAGATCGAAAAGGCGAAATGCGGGCCAAGGTTAGTAAGCATGTTATTGTTTCTGACGTAAGTGCAAAGCGAGCAGATATCTTCGACAGCGGTGTGACATCTTTGGCTAGCGCTAAATGACGGCGTGAAGATAGGGGAGCGGGTGGTAGGGTATGCAGCAGATGAGTGCAAACGGATGACGGCACTATTTGATATTAGTGACAAGTCAGATCGTTTGGTGTGAGAGTTGGCTTACGTGTGATATGTGATATGCAACATGATCCAGATACAGTTGACAATTTTGCTGCTGCCGTTAGGATTAAACACGCGTGCCATGTTCCCATATTCACTAGGGAGCGAGAATTTCCAGCTGTTCAAAGCACTGTCGAGCTCACGATATTCGCGTTGCCATTGCTCAACATCTGATAGATCTCCGATGTCAACCGGCTTCTTCAAGAATCGATGTATCCTTGACAGGATGCCGACGATCTCAATGTAATAGCTGAGAGAGCCGAGATTGTCTGGTCTGTTGAGACTGTAATCCGTTCTTTCTGATGTGTGGAACCAACGTGTCTCGACGGGTTGGTTTCTCGAGAAAAGATCATCTCTGCATGGTAATTTGCGATCAATTTCTTTGTCGTCAAGTGCGAACTCGAAAGCTGTGGCAATGGTGGCATAGCGGTCGAGCAGATAGACCATCCAGAATAGACGCCGGCGACTTTCGTCTTCAATCCAGTCATTCGACTCTGGGAGAACCATCGCACGAAGAGTGTAGATGGAAGGATATAGAGGAGACACAGACGTCGATGTGGTCTCGACAGCCAAACCAAGTTGAACCACGCTACGAGCAATCAGAGCGAGCAGATTCCAACCGGGAGGACCATTCGAGCATCCGACTATATCCAGGGCTAGAATGACTAGAGCCTGTAGAGCTTTGACAGAGCTGTTCTCAAGCCCATAGAGCAACACCTTCTGCTTCGAATTCGAATAGTATCTTTCTCGGGCTTGCTCTGTCAGACGCACATCGTTCGAAAATCTCAGCGTCGTGGCGACGATGGCATGGAGTAGTATTCTGTCGTCTTCCTCGAGGCTGGAGGTACCGAACAAAGAGTCGAGGGTACTGCGTCTGTGCAATATCGGCGCCCAAGTATTGACATGCTTGAAGAACAGGTCGACAAGAGAGTACAGGAGATCGTAAGGCGGTAGCTCATCGTATTGACCGGCAGCCACCTGGCTGGGCATCTGCATCTGAAGGCCTACTAGGTTGCCAGTCTGACCGGAACCAGGTATGTTGAGGCTAGGAGATTCCAGCGGTGGATTGGTTGGTGCGTAAGGAGCCTCGGGATGAGACTCGAGCCTACCATGTGGCGTGCCATGCTGCTGCTGTGTCTCTTGTAATGACTGAGGATACTGTTCGCTCGGCTGCACGGATTGGGTCGGGTTTATAGCGTGTGCACCGAAGCCTGCATTAGTTATAGCAGAAGCAGGAGAAGTGACTGAGGCATATGAGGCTGGTCTCTGCATGTAAAGAGCGGCTTCAGAACGAGCTCCATGATCTACTGATTGTGCAGTGGAAAGGGCTGATGGTGACTGGTGATTGAGCTGTTGAGGTGTCAAGCCGGGAATCACGGTAGTAAAGTGCTGCAGGAGCTGTTGTTGTGCCTGTAGCACGTTCTCCAACTTGTCTGATGGAAGTCAACATTTTGGAACCGGGGGCGCTCATGAAGAATTTACCTAGTCGGGCTTCCAATTCTCTACCGTAACCTTGTGAATTTTAGATGTAGTCCGTACAATGCCATTGGGAAAAGGTACTGACCAGCACGCAACCCAGGCTTCTTACGCTCTCGATACTCGCATACCTGGCTGTTGCGAATACACCTGCTCGAACTTAGTATGTCGAGACGCTTTGAAAGACGCGAAGGACCCACCAGCCGCATGATGGCTTGCCACGATCGCAACGGACTTTACGTATTTTGCAAAGCTCGCACGAAACACCTTCAGAATCGTCAGACATGATGTATACAATCAAAACACGTTTCACATGACGAGTGTGGGAAGAAAGCAGTGGGGATGGGACGAAGAGTGTCTTGGGTTTACAGATCAGGACGCACTCAATGGACGCGGTCTTTTCCTCTTGGGGCCCTCCTCCTCAGCCTCGTCATCACTCCAGACTTCCTCATGTCCGTTGTCCCGGTCTTCGGCAGTCTCGTCGATGGAGGCTCGCGCGTGTAGTTGGGCGACTTTGGGCGAAGAGGGAGACTGGGCCTCGTTGTTCGGGGTGATTTGCGCCGCCATAGTCGGAAGAGCAGAGGCTTCGGAGGGATGGCGACCGAGGGAAGGCTTTTGTTTGTGCTGAGCTGCCCCGCTTCTTCGACAAGACCGTCCGAGCTTCTGCCTCTGTCCGGGACATCATTGTCTGCCAAAGCCGATGCCGCGACATGTTTGTACCGGTAGCAGCGCCTTTTGTATGGGATGCTGATAATACTGCCTGCTGATATGCGTGCCGAGGAAAGCATGCTCGCACGCCGTTGGCATATAACCATGTCTTCCCCGAAACCAGAGGCTTGAACCTAGACCTTCCTCCCTCACTCATCTCCTCCCAGTTTCCATCTCTTCCCATTTGTTAGCTGTCTACAAACCTCATGGCCTCTGTCAACAGCTTTCCTACCATCAAGGCCGTCAAGACCTTCGTCATTCAGGGCGTTGGCTCTGGCGGTGACTACCACAATGTCAAGGGTGGCCATTGGCTGATCGACTCCAAGATTGCTACTCCCATGTCGGGCTACGACAAGTACCGCAAGTCGCGAACTGACTTTGGCATCAACGTCCTTGGTTCTTTCTGTGTCGAGATCGAGTCTACCGATGGTAAGAAGGGCTTCGCTACTGGCTTTGGCGGACCGCCAGCATGCTGGCTAGTTGCTGAGCACTTTAACAGATTCCTGATCGGCGCTGGTGAGTTCTCTTTGTACCTTCAAGTACAGCGTGGCAGCTGACGTTGTGGCATTAGATCCTCGCGATACCAACCTCCTCTTCGACCAAATGTACCGAGCTTCCATGTTCTACGGACGAAAGGGTCTACCGCTGGCAGTCATCTCAGTAATCGATTTGGCGGTATGGGATCTGCTAGGCAAGATCAGGAACGAGCCTGTATACAAGATGATTGGTGGCACAACAAGAGACAAACTCAACTTCTACTGTACCGGTCCCGCGCCGTCTGCCGCTAAGAAGATGGGCTTCTTCGGTGCCAAGGTCGCCCTCCCATACAGCGCTGCCGAGGGCTTTGAGGGTTTGAGGAAGAACATCGAGTATCTGACAAAAATGCGCGAAAGTGTCGGTCCCGACTTCCCACTTATGGTCGACTGCTGGATGAGTCTGACCGTGCCCTACACCATCGAGATCGCCGAGAAGTGCAAGCACCTGAACATCAATTGGTGGGAAGAGACTCTTTCTCCCGATGACTTTGACGGTCACGCCCTCCTGAAGCGTGCTCACCCTACCATCAAGTTCACTACTGGCGAGCACGAATACACAAGATACGGTTTCCGCAAGCTGATCGAGGGTCGCCATATCGACATCCTTCAGCCTGATGTTATGTGGCTCGGTGGATTGACTGAATTGCTCAAGGTCTCTGCTCAGGCTGCTGCATATGACATCCCTGTTGTTCCCCATGCAAGCGGCCCCTACAGTTACCACTTCGTCGTCTCTCAAACGAATTCGCCATTCCAAGAATATCTCGCCAACTCGCCTGATGGTCAATCGGTTCTTCCTGTGTTCGGAAACCTGTTCCTCAACGAGCCTATTCCCGACAAGGGTTATCTCGACGTGTCTGTATTGGACAAGCCTGGGTTTGGTCTCGAGATCAACCCTTCTGCTCCTCTGATTGATGCGGCTGGTATCCTCAACCCTGCTCCATCAAGATCATTGGCAGACCCTACTATCCCAGATGGCATTCAGAACGAGAAGTCGTCCTAAGTGTCTACGACGGACACACGAATAGAAAACTGCATAAGCGCTATACCCAGGAAATGGAGATGACTTGAGGCCTTCCGTATTTTAGTGTTTTGTAGAGGTTACATATTTTATCATTCAGAAATTTCATAATCATACCCGAGTGACTGTAAGCACAGTAGCAATGCACAACATCTTGATTCACGGTGCTGGTGGGCATGATTATTATACCGATACTCGAACTGCTTCGTCAGCCAAGAACTCGGTCCGAAGCCTCCGAAGCCCTCCCTCTTACATCTCTGCAATTCGTGAACAAGCCAGAGAAAGTGATTGTCAGGTCTACGACTCTTCTGTTATTTCCTACATCGACTGACTGAAAGTCAAATCAACTGGATCTTTGAGATGAGTTTAGAAGCTAATCTACACGCATTAAAGAGGACGCTCCGCTCAAGAACACTTTGGCAATGGATACTCTGCATTGCAGGCATATATCTCTTGGTGCGACTGCTGAGACCTATTCCGCAAGCACCTGTTCGACACACCTTTGAACCCTTGCATGTCACTCCAGTCAGCGAAGAATCGGATGATGGCATTGACTGGACGCGATTTGCCTATGTCCAATATGTCACCGACAAGGAATATCTCTGCAACAGCTTGATGATGTTCGAGTCTCTACACCGACTGGGCAGCAAGGCAGACCGTGTGCTATTGTATCCTCAGGAGTGGGAATTGAGCCCGCGACCCCCAACATGGGAAAGCAAATTCCTGAGATGGGCGCAAGATAGATACAAAGTTCGCATTTTTCCAGTCAGGCCTCAATACACCGAATCAGGAGATGGTACATGGGCCGAGAGTTTCACCAAGCTGTTGGCATTCAAACAAACACAGTACGACAGAGTCTTGAGCTTGGATTCGGACGCTACAATCTTGAAGGTATGTTGAACATGTAGCCCTATTAATCTCATGCCGGGGTCTGATTTTCCTACGAACTATAGCCCCTGGACGAGCTCTTCCTGTTGCCAGACCATCCAGTGGTGGCGCCGCATGCATACTGGCTTCCTGAGCCCGACACAATCTCATCAGCGATTTTGCTAATCAAGCCATCCATGGAGGAGTTCAAGCGCGTGATGAAGAGCATGTTTAGTCGATCGTCGGCAGACGAGTTTTACGACATGGAAGTGATAAACGACGTCTACGCCGGAAGCGCGATGATCCTGCCAAAGGAACACTGGGTCGTGTCTGGAGAATTTCGCCTGAAATCTCACCACAAATATCTGGACGAAGGCGAAATCTGGGATCCCGACAGAGTATTAAATCAGACGAAGCTCGTTCACTTTTCAGACTGGCCGCGCCCGAAGCCCTGGTTCCCCGTCACACAAGACATCTTTGAAAAGACACAACCAACCTGTGACACTATGCCGGGTTCAGCGCACAAGGACTGTCGTGACCGGGATGCATGGAACTGGCTGTACAGAGATTTCGAAGAGCGCAGAGGGGTACGTGCAATACGCGAAGTCCTATAAGAATTTTCACCTCTAACAGTTCAGCAGAAGGTCTGTGGCGTACCTTTCACTCTATATTAACAACAAAGTTTAGATATGAGCCGCGTGTCGAAGAAATAGGCGCGGGCAATATGCATATAGATCTTGGAAATGAGATAGAGGATCACGGGACCAAGGTAGCACAGCATGGAATCTTGCTTGGGACCAAATTCTGCCAACTTCCAAGCAGTGCGCTCGAGCAATGGGCATCTTGGGTTGACACATGCGGAGGCCCGACAATCAGAGGGCGCGCATGTGCTGCAGTGCATACACGCGTAAATCAAGTTTCAAGTACACGGATCGTTGATCCCGGCAGGATCGACAGGTGTCGGCGCCGGGCAAACAACGAGGGAGAGTCAGGGTATGACGCTTTCAAATCCGGTGGTTGCGTGGCGCCTAGCTAACAAGGAGAATTGACGGTCTTGACTCGACTCAACATGAGCGTTTTTGCACAGTTGAGATGCGGGAGACGGCTGGCAGACAGGCTTGTGAGGAGCCCCATATACGTCACCAATATTAAAGCCGAGTCCGTGCGGTATCCCGATCTTGATTGTGGCAGGGCCGGACGAGCACTTTTGTAGACGACCGTCGCCGCGTACTTTTGAATATCGAGTTTGATAGAGCAGTGGTTGCTTTCTGTCGCTTCTTGTTTTCCTTTGCATAACCTTCGTTTGTTTGTTAGGCATTCCACATCTTGCATACCATACACCATGGCTATCAATTCACTACTACTATCGGCTTCGTGCTTTACTATCGCCGCACATGCAGTCTCTATCTCCCTAACACCGGCTTCCAACGCGCCTGCAGCTTCTGGCCTTTCACAAGTCGTCGGACCTTCATTCGCTGGCCTCGGAATTGAACCCTCCAACCTATTCTCCTTCACTGGTGGAAACACTCCTAATCAACTCTCCATCAATCTCCTCGAACATCTCACAAAATACTCGGGTGCACCTCCACACCTCAGACTGGGTGGTAACACTGGTGATCAGATGGTCTGGGATGCCACTCACAGCGGCTTCAACCTCGCAAAGAATCCCAACCAGGAAGAATCCAACCCCACCCCTGCAGACGGAAATGTTTTTGGTCCCGGTTATCTCAAGGCTCTCGAGCGCTTCCCCAAGGGCATGCCCGTGACCTTCCAGCTGAACATGGCCTATGACATGGGTGATGCTCTTGACAAGATCGACGAGGCGGCAGCTGCAGTCGTCGATGGTCTCAACAACACTTCGCTGTACTCTTTCGAGATTGGCAACGAGCCAGATCTGTATCTGCAAAGCTGGCAACAGATGAGAAACGGCACATGGAACGGGCAGATCTACACCCAGCAGTGGTTGGAAAGAGCAGAGTCGGTGTGCAACAACGTCCTGAAGCCGAGAAACATGAGATGCGACTTCTTCGAGGCTGCCCAGACTGCCTCAACCATCGGCACAACCTTCACACTTAGCGACTTGGCCAACGCCGGAATCTCGGACAATATCAATGGCACCACCTACCTCTCGTCTTGGAATCAGCACGACTACTTTTACTTTGTCGACGTTTCCACTTACGACATCACTCTGAACATCATGATGGACTTTGACAGGACCGAGGATCAGTTCAAGTACTGGACCACCGAGATTGCATACGCTCAATCGTCTGGTATCCCTTACAACCTTCGTGAGATGGCAAACGTTGGACCTATTGGCATGGGAAATGTAAGCAATACCTTCGGAGCCGCTCTCTGGTTCCTCAACTTCTACTGCTATGGCGCCACCCTCAACATTTCCTCGGTCGAGATGCATATGACCGACAACTCGTACGCTGCACCTTGGCAACCCATCTTCATGAACGGTGAGGCCGCCAACGTTCGTCCCAGCTACTATGCTATGGCTGCCATGGCTCAGCTCATCGGTGCGGGTAACGGTACTACCAGACTCGCCTCTCTGGCTACTGATAACTCTTACATCCGTTCTTACGCCGCCTACGCCAACGACGATCTCGTTTCATTGGTTATCATCAACGCCAATCAGGCCAACGCTTCTGATACCGACAAGGGCAGCAGCGACTTCACCTTCTCCCTTCCCGACCTCAAGGGCGAAACCATGTACCTGTCATACTTGACTGCTGAGGGTGCCGACAGCATTCACAATGTCACCTGGAACGGTCTCAGCTTCGAGAGCGACAGCGTGGGAACCGTCAGTAACGCCCAGGATCAGAGTGGCCAAACCGTCGTCCTCGACAGCAACGGTGCCGCAACAATTACTGTTCGCGACTCTGAAGCCGTCATTGCCCACTTCGGCGCTCGTCTGGGCTCATACATCGCCAAGGTTGCCAACAGCACATCCTCATCTAGCTCTGGACGTTCAGGTTCGAGCTCCGGAAATGACAGCAAAACCTCAAGCGCCAGCACCGCAACACCCACAGTGAGTACTTCAGCATCCGCACCCGCGTCCACATTGGCAGGAGGCATCCAAGCTGCGGCAGCATCGGGCAGCGCCGCTGGAGCCAGCGCCAGTGCAACCGCACAATCATCGAGCTCAAAGACCATCATGCTGACGGATAAGACCATCTTCGCCACCGTCCTCGTCGCTCTGGTGTGTATCTTCATATCCTAGGATATTCTCATCCTCCGACTATCCTCTTTTTCCCACCTGGATAACGACCTCTGTCTGCTTTTAATGTCTTTTCTTCTTTTCTCTTCTTCTGTACATACATGATACACGTCTTAGCGGATACCTTTTTTCTTACTATGCACTTGAGGCATGGTATTGCTTCTCTCTGGCATGATATGACATGACTACGGCGTTTTCAATGGCATTCTGGGATGAAGGAGGCCCGACATCGCGCGGATGTCTTCTTACTCTCTTATCTTAATTAGACATTCAAGCTCTTGACGATATTAGAAGCCGCAAGGCCTATTGACCAATCCCTATACATTCTCGTCTATCCGTGTAGTTGCCTTCTTCGATTGTATTCGGTGCAATGCTCCCATCATTTGCGAATAACACAGATCACAGCCCTAGTCATCGGTGTATCTTTTCTGTCATCACATCTGTTAGGGGTAGCGTGCACTCGAAGAGCGAATTCATTGACCAAACTTTGGGTGTGTTTGGGTGTGTTTACTGCAATTGGCATTATAGCCTATCGCACATCGCACCATCACCTACAAAGCAACACCGATGACCTCAGGAACCTGCTCCTCCTCCTCCATCATCACCTTGCCATCTTCAACACTCTTCTGCTCATCCTCAGCGGCTTTGAGAAGTCTGGGATCAATCAACTCCGCCACCTCGACTTCCACAAACCCATCATCGATATCTTCATCCTCTTCATCACCGACAATCATCTCAAACTTGTCGAAAAGCCTGCGTCCCTGACTATCGTATTTTCGACCGGGTATATCGCGTTTCGCCAATTGCAAGCCCAAGCTCTTGGTACCTGAGGAAACATCTGTGGAAACGTGAATGATGGATGCAGTGCGTATGGGTGACATAGCTGGTGTCCAATTCGTAGCAGCCGAGACTTCGAATTGGGTGAATGTGATGATGGCGCCAGGGAGTGTGGTTTCTGGTGTCAATGGCGCAAGGGTGGAGAGATCAGAGGGTAAAGCAGGCAAATCGGCTGCCTCTGAGGATTCGGCGAGGAGTTGGGCTGTAGCTGCTTCTTGATCCGTTTCCGGTGCTGCAGCTGCACCACCGCCAACTTCATCCTCGTCATCACCGTAGTTGAGAGCGTCGCCGTTGGTGCCTGTGTTGTAGTACTCGCTGTAGCTGTTGTCGAGAATTTCCTCGGTGGATTGAAGCAGAGAGGGATCGACGGCTTGAGAACCACGTTTGCGCTTCTTGGTGCGTTGGCTAGGATCCCAGCGCTGGTAGAATGGGAACGGTGGAGTGGAATAGTAGTATTCTTCTTGTCCTGGTGCGCATTCAACTGCAGAGAGGGAGATTCTGGATTTCCAGGCATCGACGTCTGTGGAGCCTTCTTCCTCTTCTGCGCGAGTGGGCTCTTTGGTGGGTGCGGCAGGGGTGGTGGGTTTTGTGACTGGCTTGCGTGTTGTTTGCGCGGCGAGTTTGGCTTGTAAGCGTTGTCTATCAGCGTCGTTCTTGGGTGCGCGGACGCCGAGAGAGTTGAAGAGAAGGCGGTTGGAGCTTGCGAGATCGAGCCTGGCTCTACGCTGAGGAGTGGTGTTGTTCTCGCTGGCAGGCATCGTGCTGGGTCCGGCGTCACTCATAATGGCGTCCACTGGAGGAGTTGATAGATCGTTATTGAGTTCGACACCGCCAGATTGCAAAGCAGCTAGAAGGGCCTCCCTCTTCTGGGTGAACTCTTCTGATTTGTTGTCTGTGAGAGGCTTCTTTGCCTTTGGTTTGACCTTTAGTTGTCGTGGGACCATGGGAATCGCTGGCTTCTTGATTACGGGCGGGGCAGCCTTCTCGGTTTGCTCGGTCTCAGATTCAGACTCAGAGTCTGAGTCGGAGCTGGAACTAGAATCCGAGCTTGAAGGCTCATCGTCCGAATCAAAATCTGAAGCAGAAACACGGCCCGCTTCATTGTCCTCTTTCCACTTCTTCAGGTCCTGACGATTAGCGGTCGCGGGAAGATGGCCTTTAGACTTGAGCCAGGCGAGCTTCTTTGCATCACGGCGGCGTCGGTTCCTAGCACGAGTTCGCTGTTTGCCATCGCTAGGGGCTACTTGTTTCGCGGGAGTCTGCTTGGTGGGTTGGGCGGTGACAGGGTTGGATTTGACAAGTGCTTCGATGGAGCTGCTGCCCTTGTTGATGGGCTCTTCTGAGGGAGCGTCACTATCGCTGCCACTAGAGTCGTCGTCAGAGTCAGAACTATAGTCGCTGTCATTATCGCTCGACGACTCTTGGTCGGTGGCCGAGTTTCGGTCAACATCTTGGAGAAGCTTCATGTTGCTGTCTTGTTGATCGTCCAGATCGTCATCCGAGGGAAGTTCAAAGTCATGGTCGTCCTCATCGTCTTCTCCATCATCGTAGTCGTCAAAGATCATGTCGCCATTGTCGTCGTAATCGGCTTGTAGGAATTCAGGGCTGAAGGTGACATGTTTCTGGGTCTTGGTCCGCAGACGAGGTCCCGGGTCGGAGGGAGACGGACCGTAGTCGCCCAGTTGCAGAGCAGCGTCCGACTCTTCCAGCGAGGGGTCTAGTCTGGCACGTTTGCGCGGAGGGATGTGGATAGGAGCGTGGGCTGGGGCGCGTAGTAGAGGTCGACCGAAAGCGATGCCATCGACGAGGTGTCTGCCGTCTCTTGAGATTTGGTGTCTGCCTGAGAGATTTCTGGCGCGAATGTCGTTGGTCTGTAAGGGTTGGATTCTGAATGGCTGTCAGTAACGTGTTGGCGCAGACTGCTGATTGAAAAGACTCACGAAATCTCATCATCTTCTTTCAGGACGTCGCCCAGCTGCTGAAAGTGCAGCAACTCATAGCCACCAAGGTGGACAGCGTAATCCTCCAGACCCCAGCCTTCGGATTCCAGAGGGAAAAAGTCGCTGATCTGAGTGAGGAGTTCGGCCGTGGTGGTGGCAGCATCGACCTTCCACAGCACCTTTGTCGGCGGCAGCTGATGCCTGAGCACCTGCAGTCGTATTCTCATTGCGACGACTTTGGACAAGTCACGGTTGCTGTTAGGCGAAAAGTTGGATCTGGTCATGGCGGCGTTTGCTTTGCTTATCTCCGTGCATCGTCACAAGCTGCAAACTGAAGAAGCTACCAGATGCTGAGCTCCTGGAGACTCTCTTTGCAAACGCCAAATCCTCTGTTTACTTGCTATCTATACCATCTCTATTCTATGGCCTCGGTGTTTGAATATCCAATATGTCGCGGATAGTCCATTTCTCGGGTTCCGTGATAGCTCTTGCCGGAAGAGCTCTGCCAACATGGATTGCAGTGGATAGTTGTGCTTGCCATCAATGACTCCGACGAGACAAGCTTGAGATACTGCGATTCAGAGGTATCGGTGCTCTCATAGATCTTAAAGTGCTTATCAGGTACGACAAGGCAAAGTGGATACCCGGAAGAGACGCGATTCTTTGACGGGCGCGCTTGGACGATTTATTGCATCATCGCCAGCTTTCCCGCCGGCCTCGCAAAGAAGACGCTCCCCCAGCCGTTTCGCATATCAATTGCCTTTCTTCCTTCTTTCCTCCGGTCCCTTCTCATCGCTTATTGTAATATCTAGTCGTCATGTTCACCAGATCAGTATTCCGTCCCGCAAGGGCTGCCGCCACTGTATGTTCTCCAATTGCTTCTACGCGCCTCATCCCACCGCCTCTAACACACCTTCTCTCAGCATGTCCGCCGCTATGCCTCCGAGGCCGCCGCAAAGTCAAGCTCCAACACCCTGCTCTACTCTGGTGTCGCCGCCGGTGCTGGTTTCGCCGGCTACATGTACTCGCAGCGTGCTCAGGCCGAGGGCCAGCACGGCAACACCAACGAGAGCGGCGCTTACGGCCAGCCCGCCTCAAAGACCGAGGAGGCCAACATTCCCGCAAAGGCTGCCGACCCCTCCAAGTGCTTCACTGGCGGCGACCAGGGCTTCGTCAGCTTGAAGCTCATGGAGAGCGAGGTCATCAACCACAACACAAAGAGACTGCGTTTCCACCTTCCCGAAGATGGCAGCGTCTCCGGTCTTACCATTGCTTCCGCCCTCATCACAAAGTACAAGGGCCCTGAGATGCAAAAGCCCGTCATCCGCCCCTACACCCCCGTCAGCGACGAAGACACCGTCGGCTACCTCGACTTCATCGTAAAGAAGTACCCCGGCGGCCCCATGTCCGAGCACCTCCACAACATGGAGCCCGGCCAACGCCTCGACATGAAGGGTCCCATCCCCAAGTACCCCTGGGAGGAGAACAAGCACGACCACATCGCTCTGATTGCCGGCGGCACCGGCATCACCCCCATGTACCAGCTCGCCCGCGCCATCTTCAAGAACCCCAACGACAACACAAAGGTCACGCTCGTTTTCGGCAACGTCTCCGAGGAAGACGTGCTCCTCAAGCGCGAGTGGGAGGACCTCGAGAACAAGTACCCCAACCGCATGCGTGCCTTCTACACCCTCGACAACCCCCCAGAGGACTGGCCTGGCCCGAAGGGTATGATTACCAAGGAGCTGCTCAAGACTGTCCTGCCCGACCCCAGCAAGGAGAACATCAAGGTTTTCGTCTGTGGTCCTCCTGGCATGTACAAGGCTATTGCCGGCCCCAAGAAGAGTCCTAAGGATCAGGGTGATCTTACTGGTATGCTTGCCGAGCTTGGCTACAACAAGGACCAGGTCTACAAGTTTTAAGCGCATCGTTTGGAAAAGAGAGAAGATCATGTAATCATGTATATTAGACACGCATAGAATGTCCTACAATTTTTGCCCCAGCATTCCCGTCACGCGACCAAAGTGCAGACAACGAGAAAGATCCATAACAGTCAGGCATGCTTATCACGAGAGATTTGTTTGAAGCAGGTGTCTCAAGCTCTGTTTCCGCACTATGCAATCTCCGAACCATCTATGCCTGTCGATTCTAGACCAATACCCAACTCCCAAACAGGAAACAACTCACGCCAAACCCAAAACAAAAGAAGAAGAAAAGAAATCTAACAAACAACACAACCCATGACACCCCTCCCATGGCCCACATCCTCCAACTCAGCAATCCTCCCTTCAATCCCCACAACCGCATGTTCAAAATCGCCCACATTGACCTCTACATCCTCAACCTTGCCTCTGAGTCCTTCAATCTCGTAATCCAACCTTTGAGCCAGCGTTTCCAACTCCTTGGCGCCTTCGTGTAGGGCATCGCGTTCGTCGATGAGCAGCACTTCTGTCGCATCCCTGATATTGTGGAGGGCTAGCGCCGAAGGGCGATAGAGTGCGTCCAGGGCTGCTTGATCGGCGTCGGCGGATGAGAGCAGTGCAGAGGTGGAGAGGAGTTGGTTGCGTGTCCATGTTGCTTCTTTGCGGTCCAAGATGGCGATTGCTGCGCGTAGGGCTTTGAGGTCGCTGGAGAGTGTTGTTTCGTGTGTGTATTGATCGGGCAACGACGCAGTATTTGGATTTGGAGATGGCGGGGGGAGGAGTAGAGGCACAGGAGCCAGGATACTGTCTTCGGCTGTTGAAAAGCTCAAGCGACGAGGATAATAGTCATCTGGTCGTGATGCAGCTGTCAAGTTCTCAAAATCACTGTAGGAATGTATACGACGCAGCAGAGGACCTATATCTTGAGCGTGATCTGGAGGTAGAGGGAGCACTTGTTTGAGATCCACGCCGTGGTAGTCGGAGCCTGCTATTGAGACTGAGGGTTCGCCGCTCAGGGTGCGGGAGACTGTGTCTAGGCCCTCCATATCAATGTCTGTATCGTTGTCGCTTTTGTCGTGGTGGTCTCGTGCTTGTTCTTCGGATTTCTTGCGCTGTGGGTCTTCGACTGGGAAGATGCTGTTGTTGGTATCTTCAGGGCTGGTGAGGAGATGGTTGGCGTATTGAGGATCGGGGCGTGCAGCAATCTGGGATTTGATTTGTTGCTCTCGCGATTCGAGTACTTGATCAAGATTTCCGTCTGCACCTTGAGGAATCTTGGGGCTGGTAGATGGCGAAGAAGAGTTGATGCGGTATAGAGCAGGGGATCCGAAGTCTTGTCTCGAAGGATCCGCAGGTGTGATGGGCGACTCGTCTTTGGAACCTCTGGGCTGATGGCCACGCACGGCATCCTTGAACTTGTCGAAGCCTCTTCTTCCCTCGTGAAAAATTCCTGTCGCTCGTTTCGTGACAGACCGATGGAGATATGCATCTTCTTTGATCGAATCCTCGCCTTCTCTGCTGGAAGACAACGTAGGTGACATGACCTCGTCAGAGACCGCCCGCGCAGTCACAACCGGCTCTTGTGTATGCCTGCGCTCAACCCGCCCGAAAGTCAGCCTATCTGGCTTCTGGCCTCTTAGATCGACAGACTGGTTCTTGAGAGGCTTTCCGTGCCAGAGCCACTTACAGCGCTGGCCGTAGACAAGCTGCTCGAATCGATCAATGTACGACGTCTCGATATCGGCAATGCCAGCCTTGTCGCGTCTACCGACAACCTCTGCAAGCATTTCGCCGCCCTTTCCGCTCAACTCTGCTACAGTAGACTTGACAGCCCGAGGTACCGACCACCCCTCAGCATTGGCTGCCTTGGCAGATATTCTATGCAGTTTGTCAAGTGTGTGTCGATCGAGTCTCCGAGTCCGCTCCAACCGATTGTGCTTTTGGAGGTGTGATATTCCACGCTTCATGCCTTCAATGTCGAATGGGTCTTTTGGTACCGGCGCCCCCACTGCGCTCAGTCGGTTGCGAGCACCCATCAGCAAGCCAAGCAAGGCAGCGACTGTGGTTGGCCCAAGGATGCCATCGTGCGGTTCAATGCCATAAAACTCGGCACCAATATCCAACCACCAATCATTGGCTGCCTTCTCAGTAACATCGCACAGCAGACCGTCCACATAGTCAAACTCGAGTTTGTCGAAGATGTTGAGAGCGGCCTGGCATAATTTGACGAGCTCGATGACAGATGTGTAGACGGCATTCTTATCACTCGTCTTGTACAGCTGATGGAACTTGGCGACAGTAGCACTGTTGGGTGCGGACAGAGTCAAACCGACACGCCCAGAACAGCCCATACGCTTGAGATTCTCGGCAACAAAGAAGTCGAAACGATGCTTCTTCAGATCGCCGTCGGGTACGGGAATGACAGTCAGGGACGAAGGAAAGCCAGACAAGTTCGTAATCATCAGTATACCAAGCGGAGTCTCCCTCCGGCGGGCATGGTACTGATTCAGGGCTTTGAAGTAGACGCGCAGACGTTGGGACCAGCCAGACTCGTCTGTAGGGACGCTCAATATACCGACCTGAGCGACATGTTGAGGGTCACCTGTGAAAGTGGTGATGACAAAGGTGGGATGGATGCGAGAAGTGGCCCATTGTTCAACAACGTAAATCTCATAGCCTTGGAGTTCTTGGCTTCTTTCGATGACTTGTACGCCAGGATCTTCTTGCAGATATCTGATACAAGTCAACTACCGCGTATGGATTCGATTTGGCAGACTCACCTGAAGGCAATGGGGTCGGTGAGCACAAGGCGTTGATGTGTAGGTGCTTTGGACGCGTTTGAATCCTGGTCAGGAGAGGGTTTCTCTAATTCGATATTCGCCTTCTGTTCTTCCTGTGTGACGAGTTTGACATTCTGTCTATGAGGACCAGGAGGCCTCTCTGTGGCCGAAGCAGGAGTGCTCATGAGCAAGGTATCATGGTCCTAGCATTTGGATGCACGTGAAAATGCTTGTCGGAATGGGCAAGCGCGAGATTGCAGCGACTTGTATCAAGCAGCACGAGCGATGGCGAAAAAGAGAGGTGCAAGGTAAGCGACCGAGATTCAAGAATTGTTTGTATTATAATTACACTTCGAGGCTGGTGTTGTCGAGGGTCGGTCGGCCGTGGTTGGGCCTCGGAGCGAACCTCTCGACCCCGCGGGCACGTCATGAGCAACGTTGGCTGGCGGCCTCAGCTGCAGCACCGAGATGGGCATTGCTCTGAACACTTATTCTCAATATCCAAAGAACAACTTCGAGTCGAGTTTCACAGATGCGCGATGGAGCCGTTGCGGTTGGAGCAGGATAAGCTGGACAAGAAGGGTAGCCTGTCAAAGACGATTGACCATGTGCAAAAGACGATCGATTTACTCGTCGCCGCACGGCAAGCCATAGCAGCTGGTGTGCCCAAATCGCTGTCCGTAGACAAGAACAAAGCAGTGCTGACCCGATCAGATGCGAGTGCCCGAGGGCCAACGCTGGCCAAACTGAAGCGACCGGTCAAGGCCTCACTAGATCAAGTCAACTCGGACATCAAGGACATCTACTCGGCCCACAAGGACTACTCCAAAGCCTTAGATAAGGTGCGTCCAAGTGCTGCTTGTACTGTCAGACAGTTGCTAACTTGCTTGCCAGAAATTCAAACCACAAGCGATGCCTACTTCGCAACATGACGCTCTCGCATCACAACCCGCCCTCACCAATCGTGCAATAGCCATGCATCTCCTACGCGAAGGCCAGTTCAATGTCGCCCAGACCTTTATCGCCGAAGCAAACGCAAACCCAAATACTGCCGCTACAAGAGATGGCCAAGACGGAGATAGCCTCATGAAGGACAATAACCCTACCCACATCTACGACATGGACCGTGACAGCGCTGGTGCCCTGCAGTCAAGCTTCGCCCACATGTACCTTGTCCTGGACGCCCTACGTAACGACCACAATCTGAATCCTGCTATCGACTGGGCTCGCCAACACAGCCATCAACTCGACCTACGAGGCTCAAATCTCGAGTTCGACCTATGCCGTCTCCGCTTCGTCGAGCTCTACACCCAACACAACCCCGATGATCCCATGTCTGGTCCATTAAGAGCCCTCGAATATGCTCGCCACACCTTTCCCAACTTTTCCGCTCGCTACATGCGCGAAACATCCTCTCTACTGGGCTCTCTAGCCTTTGCTCCAGCCCTGACCTCCTCACCATACAAGAGCGTCTTCTTCAACCACGACGCCTGGGAACACGCCGCATCAAGCTTCATCCGTGAATTCTGCGCCATGCTGGGCCTGAGTGAAAAAAGCCCCCTCTACACCGCCGCAACCGCCGGCGCCATCGCGTTGCCCGTACTCGAAAAACTCGAGCGCGTCATGGGTGAAGTCGGTGGCCAATGGACCAGTGTCAATGAACTCCCCGTTGAGATCCCATTGCCGCATTCCTATCTCTTCCACTCGATATTCGTGTGTCCGGTCAGCAAGGAACAAGGCACCGATGCCAATCCACCTATGATGTTGCCCTGTGGTCATGTTATCGCCAAGGAATCACTGGAGAAGATCAGTAGGGGAAACAAGTAAGTTTTGTACCGTCAGTTTCTGTGTTCAGAGATGACAAGACTGACATTTTCGAGAAGATTCAAGTGTCCGTATTGTCCTGTCGAAGGACATCCAAAGGAAGCCAGGAAAGTCTTTCTCTGATTTCTATTCTCATCTCCTTTTTGTTCTTTTTGCTACAGTAAAGGCAATTGCTCCATTTGCTGTTTTATGGTTTCTGGAATCTCTTTTTCTGCATAGCAAACGGCGTTATCTCTTCATTCTTGCCTGGAAGAATGTTTGACCGGGCTGATGGAACCGGGGTCTCTCTTGAGGGGGATCCAGTGATGGCTGTGTCTTGTGTACACAATTTATCTCTGGCAACAAAGGTTATCTCTCTTATGCATTTTTAAGATCTTCAAATTTTTACACAAAGTCTACCTCGGATTTTTCCACCACATGCTTTGCAGCTCTTCTCGTGTCAATGTACTAAATTTGTAAGGACGGAAAAAAAGGAGGATTCAACTCGATCAGATGCTTTCCATGATTGAGGAGTTTCATGGATCTTTACTTGGGGGGGGCTTTACTGCATATACTCGTGATGCTTCCTTTCGCTTGACCGTATCGCTTACCACCGAGGTAAATTGTCAGTGCTCGATCCATGCAGGAGCAAGTCGCGTACAGTACGTGGTGCATGATAATTCCCTTCCACCTACATGATTCTCCCTTTGTTATGCAAAGAGAAGGGGTTGGTGAACATTCGAGACAGAGCCAGCTGAACGTATCACAAGAACCCTATGCCGACAAGGTGTCACGAACCACGAGTGCACATGTTGTGGAGTGGGAGTATGTATAGAGTAGATGTGTGTCTTTGACGTTGGGAGAGATGCAATATTTACGAAGAAGGAAGCGGTCCAAGAGGTATTCGGTAGGAAGCAGAATGTTGAATTGGCATAAGATTCTCAGCTTGCAAGTCAATGCGTAGAGCTTTGGTCGATGTGAAAAGGATACTTGTTCAAGCTGCCTGCCTGGCTAGACCACAACTGCATTCGACGATCGATGTGAACTTTGAAATCTGCTCATAATGACCTTAGTTAGTATCACCATTGCTCGAATGGTTTTTAGCTAATGCAAGAAAATGAACTCCCGCGCTTGAGCGTTCAGATGAGGTAGCAGTCTGTGGAATACAGTGGCGAAGCATCAACAGCTACACCACTTCCTCCCCCGACGCGATAAACCAGCGGCAAACGAGTCTAGAGCCTCCCGATGCAAGATGCAGCTACGCGCGAGCACTCTGCGTGTAGGGCACTATAATCAATGCAGCATATACAACCTTGCATACATACCATTTGCGCCTTTTGAGAAGATGCATTTCCGAAGATTGCAAATGCGCAAGAACGCTTAGTGTTGAGGCTTGTGTTCTCATCGCATTGTGCTCAAGCGAGATGAATTGTATTGTCGATAAAGTGTCGGGGATAGAAGATCGATTTGAATGAGTGAGCCAGGGATGAGCGAGATGCTATCGATGACATGTCTGCTTGCAAAGAGGAAGAGTCGGTGCTTTGTTTCTCTTCTCTGTATCATGCAGGTTCGTCGATCTTGGGTTAGGCTGGCGGTCCCAATGCAGAGGTTAGCTCTTCTTCCGAGACGGAAACTCTGATAGATTGGTTGAATTGCTGTGCAGTATTGTTCAAGCGGGGGTGCGGATTGCGTGCCACACATTACTTTGTTGCGGTGTAAAGAGAAGCAAGGGTCAGTTGATATACCTAGTCAAGCGGTGAGAAGCAACAACGTGTGAGTGGAGAGTTCATTTTCTTGCGTCGAACAAGGTGCGGAAAGTGAGTGAATGCGCGAAAGGAAAGCTGCCGAATGGGTTGCTCATGTTGACCGCATCTCATGGACTTGTGCTACGGCTCCGCTTCTGATTCGTTGTCATGAGATCGACTTTCTGCAGATTGCCGGGAGCTTGTGGTTGGCGGAAAAGAATATGGACCGCGCAGAATGCACTGTTCAATGGTTGCATGTGTGCCTTGACTTCACAGGGTCATCGGATGTTCTTTATTCCCTGTCGTTGTCGTAGTGGATATCGTTCATGTGATCATGGTGATGGAGTCGCGTGTGTGCGACCTGCAAGATGAAGGTATGCTCCCGGCGGCATGAGTCTGTATGGGTAGCCGATGGGTTGGCTGTGGTTAACAGGATACCAAGTACTGCGGGATGTGCATGTTCGCGTCGTGTCGTCGTGGAGAAGTATGTTCGTTTACATCATTCAACACCGTCGACACGAAACAGGCAGAATGTAAACAAAGGTCGACGATACTGATTGGATGCCGACAGCTGCATGTCATGAGAATCCTTGAGCTACCTAAGGGAAAAGCCTCTCGACTTCGCTTGTGCTTTCCGCCCCCCGAGTCTCATGCATGATGCAGACTCTTGTTGCTGCTTTCTGTTCCTTCGCTCGCGCCTACCTGTTTACCTCAAGGAAATTCCATACTGGAGAGGAACACCGACACTGGTATGTGAACTGCATCGCAGACCGCCTAATCAACGTTGCGACACGTGAAGCATTCTTGTACAGCTTTCAAAGCCGAACGGACAACACAGACCATTGTCTTTCGTGTGGTTGGAACATGGAAGACATGATAAAGTAGAAACCGTTCACAGCTCGCGATCGGCAGTCGACAGTTTCACTGCCGAATGCCGCAGTTCGACTGAACGTCTTCTCCTTCAGCCAGCCGCTGCGGCGGAAGGGGGCCCAAGCAAAATAGACACGCCCACCATGACGCCTGGGCTGGGCTGGGCTGTTATCTGCTGGACCACGAACTGTTGCTGCCGTTCTCGTTTTGTGGCTGTCGCAAAGTTTTTTTTTGTTCTGAGTTTCTCCCATGTTGTGCTCGACGAAGTAGTGGTCTCGAAGCACTGTCTCTCAACGCAGAACAGAACAATTGCACTTCTTTAGAGCGCAGTAGGGGAGTCGGCCTGTACGAGAGATGGACAAAGCGCCTTGTTCAATCTAAAAATGCACTTGATGTGGAGAAAACCCAAAGCCATTCGTATTCATGGCTCCTTTCCCTTCCAGATTGTTATCTGGCTATTGGCTCGTTACTCTCTTCGCCTGCCCATTAGCAGTTCTTATATGTAGGGCAATATCGAGTAATCGAGCGCATAGCCGAAAGCGCTGTTTGCGCCGCTTTCATATCGGTGTCGCGGTCCGCTTTACCTACTTGCCTCGATCTCTCAGCAGCCTAGACGAAGAGTACCAGAGAAAGTCGACGGCGTCATGAACGTCAGATAGGCTGGACCGAATGAGATCGCACGATTCCAGCCGAGTCGACTGCGTGTTTTCTACTCAGATCCATCATCCACCCGTCCCCGAGGTCTCAGTGCGGAGATTTGGAGTCAAAGCCGGCGTTTCAGGAACCCGGAGTGCCGAGCTGAGATGGATGTAAAACAAGAGGAACGCGACTGCAATCGTCGTGTGTTGCGTCTCATGCGAACCAAAAGGGAGAAATACACCACACTAGACTCAGCACGACTCACCAGAATGCTCAAAGGTGGATCATCTCAAGAGGAGGATCCCGTTCTGTGGAAACTTCTCCGTTGGTTCTGTGGCAGCGCGAGTCAGTGTCAGGTAAGCTGCAGAATGCTGCAGACTGCTGTGAACCCTTGCTTTTCTCTGACTCGCATGTTGTTACCAATTGGCAATATTGACAGGGCTGATGTGTACAAGGAGGGTGGGTTGCTTGCAAACAAGCAAGGAGGATGCAGTACGATGTGGGGAATAAACAGGGTTTGCCAAGTGTGGACATCGTGTTCGTATCAAGAGTCAATTGTAAGAACGACAGGATGATGAACAATGGTTTAACTGTATTGGCAGGGTGGGCAGATAAGAGCAATTAAGTACGCACAAAAACAATGGTATGCAAGCATCCGGCACGCCGGAACACCCAAGGCCGTGTGGACGGGCATTTCGTCTGCCGTATGCGAATGATAAGATGAAGATGATTCGTAGTAAGAAACGCCAACGGATAGCCGGCAACAGTTGGAAAATGGTCGCGGTGGAGATGGGGAAGCAAGAGATTGGCTTGTTATAGCTGAACGGGGCGCTTGTTTGACAATGATACTTTGTGCTTTGATAGAGGGTGGTGAATCGCATGATTGAAGGGAGGAAGATTCGTGCAGAAAGGTAGGGCGCATTCGAGACAAGGGATACGCGTCCCGGCGGTTGAGGACAGAGGACGAGAGTTTGGGGAAGGAGCAGCTTGCAGCAGCTGGTGGGGAGAGACTGGGCAACGCTGCCCTGAGGATGATAAACATTCAAGTACTGCGCAGGCAGGCACGACGGGGGTTTTGCAAGATGATGACTGGCGATCAGGGAGAATTGGCAGCAGCATGACGATGATTGCAGTGGCCGCCGGTGGGTTCTTTTTTAAGTGGCATCGCGAAACGACGTGTGGTCTGTGTTGGTTAGGTGCGGCCATTGCGGGCTGTATGTTTTGTCGAGAGACCGTGCGGCGTGCGCGAATCAAGCGGATTCAAGCCCAGCTTAGCCTCTAGCCTCACGCCATTAGTCCAAGTGCCCTGGCCGTGTCGTCTCCTCGTTGTCCTCCTCCTCCTCCGTCTACAGCGTCCATACACGCAGCGGCTCACCTTTTCTCTTCTCTTCGACCTTTGTCGCCTTTGACTGTTGATTTTCTGTTGCCGAAACAATTTCCGCTGCGCTTCAAAGCCGTCTTGATTGATTGTCTGCGAGCCCGAAACTGTTGGTTTACTGCCTGCCGTTCTTCTCAGCCTGTTGCTCAACCACCTTCCCTGCACACATCGGCTTCAACTCTTCCCACTGCACGACGGCTGTGTCCTGTCGCCGTCGCTCTCGGTAGTTTGGCCTCTGCATCTTCCGGCTAGTCTCTTCTTTACCCTCATGATTGTCTGAGAGATCCGTGTCCGCCCCCGGCCGGACCTGTGTGGCTCGTCAACCGATTTCAACCCAATCCGGCTCAATTCCAAAGGTATGCACCTCGCTGCTTGTTCTGACCGCCTTTGTCACATGTTTTCCATGTCTCTGTCTGCCGTGCCCTGTGAGAGGTGCCTTGTTGGCGCCCCTTTCGACGCTTCAGCATCATCATCATCGACATGCCCGCTCTCGCACAACAAAGGCACCGCACCGAAACAGCACATGGCTGTTGAACACAACGTCCGCCAACACTACACACAAACCTCTCATAGCTAATTGGCTCGACTATCACTCCCCTTGCCACATCTGCCCCACCGTCTCTCACCACTCTCATCCTCAATCAAGCTGAACCTTGCTGACCCTCTCATCTCCAGTCCTGCAACTCTACCAATCGTTAATATTACTTCATAATTGACTCGCATCTGCCGTCAACCATCACATCGTCATTCAAGCGCCCCTCACGTCGCATCAGCCCATGGCGGAAGTACTGTCTCCTCTGCCCTCGCCGTCCAGCTCCATCAACATGCTGCATTCGCGTCCTTCGTCTTCGGACGCTTACCAAGCAAACCACCAAAGAGTTGGCTCTACCCCGAGGAGCAACTACCGCAGTTCGCCCTCTGCAGCTCCAGTGCAGCCCTATGCATTCCAATCAACTCCTCAACTGAGGCAGGAATCGCGCACCATCTCGGCCTCTTCCAATGTGCCTCAGACCCAACAGAAGGGCCACAAGAGCACTTCCTCCACCTCGACCACCTCTTCGGCCGATCTTACCACAAAGACTCCACCATTGAGTCCAGGAAAAGACGCCTTCATCAATTTGTCTTCCAGCATTCCCGACCTCTCGTTGACATCGTTTGAGACGACGCCAAAATCTTCTCCCAACAGATATCGCCGAACCCCTCAACGTGCTGATTCTAACCATTCGCTACAAAAGGCGCCTTCGCCTGCTTCGTCAGTCGACAACCTCTTGTCACCGCCTGCTCCTCAGCTCAACAGAACCTCGAGTGATGACATTACCGTCACAAAATCCGGCACCTCTGAGTCCGCCAAGAGATACCGTCGACGAAGCTTGAACAGCCTGGAGATGAGTAAGCTTGAGGACGGTCGTCCTTCTTCTCAGGGCAATGCTCCCATTCGACCTGTCTCGTTTCATTCGCGGACCAGTAGTGGCGATAGCACCGGTCGACGAGTGCCAACTTCGTCTACACCCCCTCCTGTAAGTCAACCATACAACACATCCGATCATCTCGATGCTAACAAGTTGCAGGCTGAGTCTGGCAGAATATCACCTGCTGCTTCGGGCAGTCCCGTGAAAATGCCTATCCGCGGCAGTGCCACAAACCCCTCCCCTCTTTCAAAGTCGCCCATCACTGGTGGCCCGCAGTCGCCAGTTGAAGAAACTCCCAGACGTCTCAACACAGCGCAGCCTCAAAGCCCGGCAGCTCAGCAACTCGCTCATCTGTCGGCCAACGATCTGAACAGAGGAATGAGATCTCGTTTCAGACGAGCTTTCTCCTTCGGTGCTACCCAGGAACTGCGACGATCAAGTGAGAACCTGCCTACACAGGGTGCCATCAATCCCCTGGACGAAATGGATCCTGAACAAGCTGCCATCGCCAGACAACAAGAAGCTGCCGGCATCGGTTCGAGCATTTACACAGGACAAGGTGGTTTTACTGGTTCGACCGACAACTTGTCCATCTCTTCGACTGCTTCATCCGCATCGATGATGCTGCGTAAGATGGGCAAAGGCATGAAGAAAGGTGGCCGTTCCATCAAAGGTCTGTTCAGGCCCAAGTCGGTTATCGGCGTGCCCGCCGCCGACGGACCAGTCCAGCCTAGCATGGCACAGGTCTCGATGGTCACAGTCGAAGCCGAGAGACGGAATGTTAACGTCAACGCGCACCCCGGTGAGCAACCCGCTGGAGGGACTGGTTTCCCCAAGCTGGAGAAGAACTCAATAGAGACTGCTCGCAAGTCGATGGATGGCCGTAACGACTCTATGCGCAAAAGCATTGTCGGTAACGACTCAGAGAGAGCAGAAGTTTTGGCTGCAGTCAAGAAGGGCATTCTTAAGCGCGCTGGCACTGGCTCTCCAATTGCATCTCCTGACCTTCGCCCGCGAGACGGTACTCTATCGACCGATTCGCACAGCCCAGCTTCCAGCATCCCCACAACACCCAGAGACGATCGCGGTTCGCGAAGCATGTCCTCGACCACCAGTGACTACTTCAATAACCGCCTCGGCGTTTCTGCAGCCAAGAGCATGCCTAATACTCCTGGCCAAGGAGGTTCTCGCAATATCAGCTTTAGCCCTCGCATTCAATTCTACGATGCCTGGTCAGCGTCGGACTACGACCGCCGAGGTGACATTGCCACTTGCAATCGTTTGACCCCGATGCTCGCTCAGCAAATCAAGGAGGAGCTCAACACTTTCAAGATGGTGAGTTTTGCTACATTCAGCTTGAACACTCAAGAACTAACAACCCTTGCAGGAAATGGAGGTGCACGAACTGTCCAAGCCTCATACGCATTTCTTTTAATCATGATCGAACTTTGAATGCAGCATACTCAGCGTCGTACCGAATGGAATAAAGGGAGCTCTTCACATTGTATTATGGCGTAATTAGGGAGTTTTTTTGGGGAAAGGCCGATTGCATGCTTTGGTACTCGCCGGCGTTTTCTTCAGGAAATTCTTCATCTCTTCACACACACTCACACCACCAAGGCCTGTTTGTCTTTTGCCTACATCCACTTCTCGGCAGCGTTTAGTCAGTCGCTTCTTGTTTTCTCCTTTTCTTTTTGTCATGATTGGGGAAAGCACTCATTGTTGTTGTTCTGGTTGTTTTTCGGAGTACACTCGTTTTCACACTCCCGGATAAGCGCTAGGAAGGAAAGATCTTTGTTTTTGTGAGAGATACATTTGCGTGAATGAGAGAAGAAAGTATGCAAAGCAGAGAGGACGACTGTTTGTTGCCTTGGTTCCGTTTCTTTACCAATTCATGCACAGTGGTTTCTGATTGTTCATGATTCCAGCCATTGTCGCCAACATCCAGTGACTTGTTTCTCCCCTTACTCGCTCATCTGCCCATACTTTCGTGCTTTGTCAATTCCAAATCACGCATCTTGACATGCTGCATACCAGCACTGCATATGTAAGAGGCACTGCATGTACGCCGCTGCGTGTCGGAACAGGCCCCTGAGGACTGGTTGACAAGTCTGCGAACCACGGATGTGAGAGTACTGAGCCTCCAAGACCATGCATAGCAAGCGGTCAGGTGAAGTATCCCCAGCATGGTCTGCGAAGCACGGTCACTAGCATGGCGACACCGTCTGTTGAATGCATGTCTGCTTACTAGAGAACAATGAGGATCCACAGACTTGTGCATGCAGGCACCGAACGATACCCACAAGCCTTCACGCAAAAAGAAGGTTGTATGCTAGCATATGTAGGTACCAAAGTTATTTTCTTGGGTTTTGTCTTGCTCTTCAGCTCAACAACTTGTCAGTATCCGCGGTTTGCCAGACTGCATCCCAGTCTGGATAGGATCTCTCGAAGCGAGGCATCTATGCACCTGAATGCAGCCTCGACGCCGATCAGTTCTAGGAAAATTCATTTTCTAACATGGCAACGAATACTGGTTTTGATGTTGCTTCTACAAGGTAGTATGATTGAACTCGTTGCTGGAGCTGCCTACGGAGTACTGCATAAGCATGCTTTGTACTCCGTACCATCAACAACGTGCCTTGTCCTTAACCGCCATGACGACCCTTGTCCGTCTCCTGCAGCCACTGTGGCAGTGTGGCTTCACTACTCGGAAGTTGAGGTCTCTGTGACCGGCAACACAAGCTCCACGCGGATAGGTATGGGAACGGGAGGCGGAACAGCTACGACCATGATCTACGGGAATTTCTGACCCCTGTTGGATACAGAGAACGGTGACACAGACAGCACTGTCATGGACTGTTCCTTTCAGAGCAACAGAGAGAGCATAGGACTGCATATGGTTTTGCTGAGCAAGGAGACATCGGTTGAGCAGCGTTGATGCAAGCCACGAATAGCTTTTTAGATCTGCGGGAATCGCGGGAGGATTTCCAAGGACAAGAACAGAAATGCTTGATTGTTCACATCATGCCTCCGAGGTGTTGTTTGGCTGGGGCACTCCACACTTGGGCAGTGCTGTCCAGATCAAACGTCATCACCGCTGCGTTTGTCATGGTACTTTTTCAGACCTCAACAACCGTCGGCCGCAGCATTTTCGAAAGTCAAAACATATTTTGATCATCGTAGGAAAACCGGTGCATGGTGAGGAGGAGGAAGAACAAACGCTTGGCTGCCTCGGTCGTTCTTTCAGCCTTGGCTGGAAGGCCGAGGAGATACGGTGCGAAAAAACCGTCACCCGGAACCATTGATGCTCTGACAACATTCTCATGACGGCGGTCGGAAGACACGGACCTTGGTCATCATCTGTATCATCCACTGATACCGTCATAGCATGCAGATGGAAGTCCTCGGACTCGAATTCCGCCTGGATAAACATTTATATCTCGAACGCGCGGCTGGTATGCAGGCTATATTGCCGCAGAAACAGTTCTGCTTGAAGTGCTTACTGACATCTGAACATGATTCCGTCACCAATTCGCTGAACGTGTGCCGTCGGCCGATTTGCAGCGACGTTCTTCTCTGATCCACAGGCCGACGAAGCATAGCATGCAGGACGAATTTCCTGATTCAGATAGCCAAAAGAACGTTTTCGATGATGGGGCGTCCGTTTTCTGATTCCATAACTCAAATGCCGTCCAGAGCGTTGCGATCTGCAAGGCCCGATCTAAACTCCGCAAGTCCCCGGGTCATGAGCTCCACATGATGAGCCTCTCATGGTTTGCGCATGATGCTGCAGAGCAACATCTTGTTTGCGATGACCATTTTTGCCTAACTATGATGGCCTTGCCACATCTGGAGAAGCCGGTACGCGCGGAAGCTCCAGTAGCATTTTCTGATCGACATATCTAGTAGGCTCTTTCTTCCTTGCCACCGGATGTTAAAAATATTTGGTGTCTTTCCCACGACTTGTATATATTTCGTCCGCCTCTCGCTGACATCCTTCGCGGTCTCTCTTCTCAGATCGTAAATCAACCACCACATTTTCTCATCAAAATCACCTCTTGATCCACTTCTCAACACCGATAACATTTCAGCTGCAATCGGGTTTTCTGGCTCCAACATGGCTGCTCTACTCCTCAGCTGTTTGGGTATCACAACCTCCAAGCTCAGAGCAAAACAAAGGGCGAAGAAGGAACGCGAGCAGGAGTACGAGCAAAACTTCGATTTTCTGAAGGAACAAAACGCAAACCGAGTTCGACAACTCTCCAACCAAGGAGAGTACCAAGGATCAATGGACGGCAGGACTTTGTATGGCGACGGCGTCACCGACCACAGTTCAGAAATGCAACAGCAGCAATCGAGAACCGGCTCTACTACGCTCTCTGCGTCACAAGGCCCACCAAAGTACGACGACATTACCACCGAAGAAACGGCATCAAGGCATTCCGGATGACGGAATCAGAGATGACTTTGAACCACGAATCTCATTATCTCCAACCACGATGAAGCATGACGAATCACGAACACGTATATGATCACTTTCCTGCCGCTTTCGACTGAAAGTGTAGCAACGGGGCTACCGGCCGCCATGGACGGCAGGAACAAGCATGCAGAATCTCACGCAGTTGCCATCTACGCGTCCTTCCTTACAAGCGAAACATTTGCATTTGCTTCGGAAGTCGACGGAGTCAAGCTATACCACTGCTATTACCGGGTGACCTCGCAAAGAGACTTCGGGTCTCGAACCACGCGTCCAGCAACGCGTATATGGATTACTTCCAATTACGTCAGGAGGACGACGACGACAACTTTTCTTTTCTACCTTGATGGAGTATAGCAGGCCTATTCATTCTCTCAAGCAAAGCAACATGGCGTGGTCGGGTCTGCCGGCTCAGTCCCTTGGGATTTGTATACAATGAGCAATCACATATACTTCAAACATCACTTGCATTCTCCAAGTCTTGCTAGTGCATTGCCCATCACACTTTCTTGCTTGACTTGTGTAATCATATGTTTCCATCTTTCCCATTTATCTTCTAGTAACCCACCAACTTGCTCACACTGCTTTCTGCCCCTCACTCCTACCCCATCCAAGAAGGTCCTACTCGTCCTCAGATCGTGAGAATGTCACTGCCCACAACCCCACACAATGTCATTGAACCTACACTCCCAAAGGGTCTAAAAGTATCACATGCGTAACTGTGGGATTTCGAGTTTGATAAGGGAGGAAGCAAGAGTTTAGATACGAGAGGCACGCTGAAACCCAAAATTGCTTGTTGCTGTCAAGATAAACTTTACCATCCCTTATATCGCGCAGATCTTGTGGGTGTCCTCTGCTACAACAGGGTGCAAGCTCTGAGGGACTTATATACGGTACATCCTTGAATACACGTTATTCCCGGTGAGTGTGTTTTGAGACGGCAGGTCCGGATGGGGAGTCTTGAACGTTGTCCGAGGTAGCACACGTATTTCTGGACTCGCATCTGGAATCAATGGTTGCAAGTGCTCTTCTTGACTTCAAGAAGGTAGATGCATGACGGGAAGTTAGGTTCGTCTTCGTTCCTGCACTGGACCCTAGTCAACGTCACTGCTTCCACTACTCTAGACCTGCATACTCGGAGTTTCTTTTCCATGTGACAATCCCATGGCTCTACAATCTACATCTGTTCAATCAGACTGAATTACAAAGGACATCACTGCTCCTTCTGTCAAGTCAATCATACTCCCTCTGGGTATCTGACTTACCTCTTCACCCTCACTTGTGTCAGGGTAGCTGGATACTTGACAGAGCCCACACGGCACCTGAACTATTTACATGGGAATATGTGAGATTGTGACATAACCGTGTATACTACTGCATGGACAAAAGAACCATAGGTTCAAGCAGATATGGGGTGAGAAGGTACAGGGGTTCCTGTGTGTGTGCTGTCAGGCACTTGATGAATCATTGTAAACGATATGCACGGCGATGGGGGGGTGAAAAGAACGAAAGCATGCGAGAAGGAAGAGCAGCATTATTCGAAGGATACTCAGGATAGTGTGCTGGAGCAGCCTTGAATCAGCTCATGAGTTATCAGCGGCCCTTGTTACTTCCATCTACTGGTTGATGATACTTGCGACCACTTGCGAGGATCAGATGATAGAACAAATGTCCACCAATCGTGAAGATTGGTCGTCGGACAATGATAAACAGAAATTCAAACAAGTCAAGTAAGTCAAACCATCAAGCAAACGGTTGAGTTCGGGTGTCGTAAGAACAAAGTGCGAGAAACAACTCATGTAAAAGCTCTTTTTGAGAAGGATTTGGAAAAGAGTCATTATATCCACATATGACCCGCCTGCCAGCAGGCCCAAACAAATTTTCAAGCTTAGTTCTTCTTTCCCTGCGGATGCTCCTTCTCCGCCTGGCCAGCAGTCTCCTTCTGCAACTCCTCCATGTGGCTGTCATGATCCTTAACATTCTCCTTGTCAGCAGTAATCGAAGCTTCGCCAGCCGAAGCAAGCTTCTCGTTCCATTGGCCCTTTCCTTCTCTCTGGGCTTTGAGTTGGTCTTGCTTTGTTTGTTCGAGCTCTTCGGGGGAGCGCGAGGCGTCTTCTTTGATCATGCGGAAGGGAGTAGTGGAGAGATTGCGCAGAGAAGAGACGGGAGAGATGCGTTGGAGGCGGGTGGAGCGGAAGAGGTGGAGTGTGCGGGAGGACATTATTGCGTTTGTGGTGGTTGGTTCGGTGGTGTAGGACTAAGAGGTGATGTCAGTTTGGATGCAGATAAGAGGTCGAGGTTGGCAGTACGTACTGTGTAGATACAGATAAATCTAGATGTCGTTTGTCAAACGATTCGTTTGCGTATTGGGTTAAAGTTGCGGTGGGTGCTTTGGTAAAGTCGAGGGTGTCGCAGGGTCTTTAACATAAGAGCTTGAGTATAGCATCATATCGGGATGACGTAGAGGGTGGGGCTTTCTGCAAACCAAGGTGAAGGTACTTTGCGACACTCAGGCATCATCCTCCACGCACCGCAATAGCCACTCACAGCGATAAGAGGTGAATGGCTGGCTGGCTGTTATATTGCACGCCGCTTTGTAATGGCTTGATAGGGAGCTCTGAAACTTGAAAATTGGCATGCATGATATAGTATGAAGACATAGCACGGAGCTGTCATCACAAAGCTCGGAATCTCATTCTGTAAGGACCTCTGAGGTACTTGAAGACTCTGCTAGGATGATCTGGCGAGGTGAGGACCTTGTGGCATTCTTTGAGAGGATGCCTCTGTTTATGCACCATGTCGTTTTTATTCTCGTACTAGAGCCTCGAAAGTGTGTCTTTTGGCGTGTGACAATGTTGGCTCCGAGATGACATATGCTATGGCGCTGTCTGCTGGCAAAGTGATGTTCGTGAGAGCAGCGTTCATGGAACTGAAGAATGCAGAGGCTCTTTCAGTCACCAGTGTCGAGTTCGAGGTCGAGTTGTACACCATTGCTGACACCGTAATCGTCCAGAGTGAGGTGATCTTTGAAAGGACGTTCACCCTGTCTCTTCAACATAATCTCATGAGGCTGACGACCAATGCGTGCTGCAACCATGGCCTTGAATGCTTCTGCACAAAGGGTCAGTATTTCTCAGGGTAGCATCAGGATACATTAAACACTTACTGACGGGGTCGCTGCCCAAGCAAGGAATAGCAGCCTTTGTTCCCAAACGATCATTGACATTGACAATAATCATAGGCTCCGCGCGACTGGGCGCAGCAACAACCTTGGGCTTCTTTTCCTTCTCCTTGTCCTTGGGTCTATCTTCCTTCCTCTTTTCCTTCCTCTCGTCCCTGCCTCCTCCCTCACGTCTAGGCGAGCGTCTCCTGTCCCCTCCATCTCTATAACGATCTCTATCGTCTCTCCTCGGCGATCTGGCACGATAGCTATCTCTACCGCCATCACGTCTGGGTGAGCGATCACGGAATCTATCGCGATCATGGGGCGGTGAGAAACGGCGAGGAGGTGCAGCATCGTCGCGGTTGCGGTCATCAAAGTCGCGGGTGAAGGAGTCATTTGCGCGTGAGCCTTTGTCTTTCCAGCGGAAGCCTCCTGATGATTTTGGTTTGCGTGGGGGTGAACGTGAGCGGCTCCTATTTCGGGGTGGTGAGGGTGGCATCTTTGCGATGTGGTTGTGCGAGGGAAGAAGGAAAGAGGAAGAGTTGGCTCTTGAGTAGGGCAGAGAGCTTGAGAGGAAGGGCAGGGTTGTGCTTCGTCATGCGACGCTTTGCGCGCGCGAAACAACAGTGTCACTTTATATCGCATTTCCTCCAAGGAACTTCACGAATTGACCTTGAGCTATCAATACAGACCCCATCCCAATGAAAAATACATTGACTGTGAAGCGGCCTTCGCCAACCACCGTGTTATACAAAGTGTCGACCCGCTCAGCAAACACCACAGTTCCAGCACGAGTCCGTCGCACCCTCACCGGACTGGTCAGAATACTGATAGGTCTGACTCTGCTATGCATCCTTACCGCAAAGACCCACGCATCTGCAACTCCACGCTGGAAAAGTCATACAGACTACGCCTCGGCCTTTTTGCCTCCAGCCCTCACGGAAGTATCCACGACTACTGCATCGCGGATTCCATGGCTGTATCTGGCTCCTGTCAGTTTAGTCATCTACTCTCTTATACTCAAGAAAGGGTATACCACTGAGTCTTTGCTGGTTATCCGTGGTATGGGTGTGCAAACTACGACGAGCAGTCCGACCTACCTCAGCACTGCGACCACGAGGTTCATTCCCACCAATATGATTCAGGATATCTTTGTGTACGAGGCTTTCAAGGGGTTTGAAGTCAAATTCTATCTGGCTATCGTGGTCGAGGGCGAACACGATGTTGTCGTGGTGTTTCCTGCAAGTTTCTTTTACATTCTGTACATACACGTGCATGCTAACAGATGTGGCAGAGCATACTTCCGCGAAGGCGAGTGCTGGAAGAGGTCTGGAGAGGCGCAAAATCATGTCTGTATGAGCCAAAATCCTAAATCAATGGCTTGTGTCTACTCGTCTCCCTCATCCTTGCGCATGAATTTGGGCTTATAAGGGCCCTTTCTCTCAAGGTATCTAGCATTCACCACCTCCACAGGCTCCATCCTCTGTTTGCTGGCAATCGGAACATAAGTGCCTACTGGTCTCGGCCAATCGCCTCCATCAAATAGCCTGGGACTTCTCTCTGTCGCTGGAGCCAACTTGACATCTGCAGGCGATCGCTTGCCTTGTGCAGCTACAATGTCCATCAAACTGCCTGCTAGGATCTCGTCCATCTTGCGCTTGTGCCACACTTCCCAGATCGAGTCCATGATCCCTCCTTTTCCGAATTTACTGTCTCCGCCATCGAGATCGGGTCGCTTGTTGGTTTCGCGGCCGCCGGTCTCGCCTACATATATCCAGTTCATTGCATCTTCTCTGCTCTGATCATTGTCGGCATGATCGGGGAAAAGGCAATCCCAAAGAACCAGCGGAGCGTCTGTAGCCATCTCGTACTTTGGCCTTGTGGGATACTTCTCCATATCCAACAGATCCGAGATGATTGACGGAGGTTCAAACCCTTGGCCGACCAGGAACAGGACTGCGACTAAATGGCGCACCTGATGCCACAGAAAGGCAGATCCATTGACATCAAAAGTGTAGATCTTTGGAATGCTCAAGTCACCGTTCGTGCCTGTTTTGTTCTCCCCATTTGCGCTTTGAGCAAACGCCGGATGCGAGATAAAACCTGCGGGCGTCTGACTCACATCAACCTCTTCAATCGACGCCTGGAAGATCCTTCTCTCAAAGTTTGTAATCTGCTTTGCTGGATCGACCTTGCAGAAATTACGGAAATCGTGCAAACCTTCATATCTCTTTGCTGCATCCCGCATGGCTTCAATATCCAAGTATCCTTCTCTTAACGTCTTTCCAGTTGCTGTGGTCAGCAAACCTGCATCTCCAGGGACAGGCGCAAAAGCAGGTTGGGTGAAAAAGTAGCGGTATCGACGTTCGCGGCAGTTGAACCTGGCATTGAAGTCGGGAGGAGGAGTTGGACACCAAGCGAGCACCCTGATGTCTTCGGGCAAGACACGATTCAGCAGCTGGATATACGGTAGCTCGTCTCTGATATGATCCCAAGATTTCTCTGGCTTCTGCTGCTCTTCCTCCTCCTTCTTTGTTTCCTGCTCTTTTGCATTTCCCTCAATACCTTGCATGGCATCTGCATTTTCTTCTTGTGGTGCTGCTGGCTTCTTTTGCTTTGGCGTAGGCTGCGAACTCCTCACCCGGATACCAATGACTTGGCCAAAGGCACTGACACCCCTATCCGTCCTGCCGCATTTGGAGTAATCCGTGCCTTCCCAATCGATCTCCCCCTCCTTCAATTGGCCCTGCCTCGAAGGGAAAATCAACCGTGTCTTCGTCAAGGCCTTCCACAACTCTTCCTCAATCGTAGGCAAAGGCGTTTTGTTGCCCGTATGATGCTCGAAGCCATTGTACCTCTGACCCAGATACGCAAACTTCAGCGCAACATGTCTTGTATTGTAGCGACTAGCATCGAAAGGGCGATCTTGCTTTTGCTTCTTCTTTGGCGGCAACAGCACAGTCGAAGGATCAGGGATGGGAGCGATGCGGTTTTCGCGCAACTGGCTTTCGAGGTCGGCGATGCGTTTTTGGAGTTGGGAGGGTGTCCAGGCTGTGTAGTCTGGTGTTTCTGATGGGTCCGGGAGGCCCATTCTTTTGCGTCTGGCTCGGCGGGATGTGCTGGTGCTGGTGCGTGTGGTGGTGTATAGAGGGAAGGCCACAAAAGCTGGAGCTCTGGGTCGGAATATGAGGGGACTCGCTGTCGTGGTCAAAGACCGGAGGGCACAGTGCATGTGGTTGTTGAAGGAAGCATTTACTAAATTTTTGTCTGACCTTCAAGATTCATCATACTCATGGCGGGGTGGATGCCAAGGCCAGGTCTTCTAGAAGACCTGTGACTATCATCAATCTACCACGAGTAGTTTACCTACCTCTTGATCTTACATCGAGAACGTGTGGTATCTTTGCCAGACTCACAAAGGATGATGATTTGCACGTCAAATTGATGGAGGACTTCAGTTGTTCTCAGAAACTATTGTACTATTGTTCGGGCCCGACCCTGAACCATGACCCGAATGGTCTTTATCATGTGCTGCTGAAAGTACGCTACACCTCAAAGTTACCAGATCTAGTCCTCGCAGCAGCGACTGAGAAAAACCCGTGCTCGTCGCTCGTCAAATCGATTTTGATTTGGAAACGCCATCAGCAACGTGCTCAGCCCGTTGGACAAACAAGCTGAAGTCGAAAAACCGCGCGGAGATGGTTCCCTGACTCGGCCGCGTCGGCCTCTGACTTGCTCGAAGCCGGCCCTTTTTCGTGCCGTCCTCTCTCTCTCTCTCTCCAATTTCCCCAAACATCCGACGGAACCTCTGTTTTTGCTCCATCCTTCCGATTCGAAGGTGCATGTCGAGCAATATTGGCTTCAATATTTGGTCGAAAATGGCTGGGATGCCGCACCCTCAGCCAATACGGATCGTGAGATTCGGCATGCCGTCACATTTGCGGCGTCTTGTCGGTCGGCAACACAGGGACTCGTTGGGATCCCGATCAAGCTCGATGCGCCGCGGTTGTGGCTTGCTTCTCGGCTTGTTGTAGAATTTGCATGTGCTGGTCTTCCAGACAGTGTTTTGTTGCCTGGAAGTTCCCCGCTAAACTGCTTATCTCGTTCAGGGGCCTGCGACGAGCGACATGCGGCGCGCGATTGTGTTCATCGAGGGCAGCTCCATCTGAAATGGGTTGAGTGATTGCCATGCGTTGTTGACGAAAGACTGCAGCCACTGTTCCTCCTCCTGTGCCATCTTCATTTGGACCTTGGCTAGCTTTGATCGCTTTATCGTGATGCCCGGTACCACGGACTGTCTCCTCGGGTAGATGGTCTTGGTTGGTGTCATGAGGGACATTCTGCGCTCCGAGAAGTATGAGAATGAAGGAAGAGGTTCGTCTTCCGGAGTACCAGGCGGTGTCATGGACAGCTCGAGTCGCTCACACTGACGCATTAGATCTTGCATACCGAGGTTCAAGTCTTCGGCCTTGGGTTCGACGTATTCGTAATACTCCGGGCCCCAGAGCTCGTCTTCCGTGAGAGCATCACATAGCGATCGGAGGAAGAAGTCGAATGAGGGGAGAGTCGGGCCATCACCAGGCTCCGGGCCCTTTGCGCAGGAAAGCATACACGCAGCAGCCATTAGTCTGATCTGGAATTCGGCGTCCAAGGCGTGTTGGACTACGCAAGCGGGGCAGTCCTTGCTGAGACACCAGTCTGCGTCATCTGCCAGGAACGAAGTGAGCCAGACAAATGCGTTGCGGCCCTTGTTTCTAAAAGCAAATTCGATATCCTCTGGTTTGATGGCCTTGGTGTACTTTTGAGCAATCCTTGATGTGTGGTCGTGAAGTGCTACAACAGGTGCAAGCAGGGCATGGAGGATATCTCTCATAAGAATCCAGGCTTGTTGGTCTTCAACAACATCTGTTTCGTGTTCACTGCAGAAGTCGTTGCAGCATTCATTCGAGAGGTGGTTACGGAGGATGCTGAAACCCTCCGAATCTTCCAGTAGAATAGCATCCTGCACAGTGATGATGAACGGTGTAGCATTAGGCGAAGACAGACACGACGTTGTGGAAGGCATGTTGGCGAAGAGGAGAGCTGAAACCGAGGGGAGTTGATAAACACCAAACGGATGAGAGAAACCTTGATAGAGGGAGGGAGAGGGCGTCCATCATACATATACCTGGGCTTGGTCGTTTAGCGCCAATACTTTATCCAGAAATCAAAATTGGCTCTTTTTGCGCCATGTGAACATGCTCACAGGGTTCATGACTTCTGGTCATGGCACTCCACCGGCGGAAATAGTACTAACGCATGGACATAACGTACACCTGACCGCGACTCGGTCCAGCGAGAGGGACGCGACTAGTATCGTTTGCGGATCAACCGTCCGTTCAAAGACATTTGGTTTCTTTTCGCACTGAAACAAGAATCCTCGTCAGAGCAAAGGATGCAAGCCTTGCAGATTGCTATGTCCAAGACTCGCAATCACGATCGCCTTGCTGAAGTTTGAACATTCTCTCTGCCTCCTGGACCAACCGGAGCACATACCATCGCGGCGACGGAGCTGTCCTGCCATTTTCGGAAGCCTTGTCTCACCTCGATTTACCGCCTCGGCTCAAAGGCGGTTAGAACTGGCCTTTCCTCGGCAAACCTTCTGACGAAAGTGGCTTCAGATTTGGCGAAACAGTTCGACTGCGGAGGCAGGCTGGAAGCATCGAGCCTCCATGTCGGCCCGCTCCAGAAGAGGGTCCTGGAGAGGAACAACTGCGGATTCGATACTATGACAGAGATGTTGTTTCCTTTACCAGCAAACCGTTGCAATGTCGACGACGTATCTCGTCGCCCATCATCCTATATATTGCCTGTAGCATCTCACCTAGACCCTTCTCTTGTCTCTGCTCCAGACACTCCATGTCATGGTCCCCCCGCACCGTCAGAGAGTCTTGATAACCGCGCGCGAGGCGCTGAGGGACTGATCTAGAACGGACAAATATGAAGCCTTTCGTGCCCTTGAACATAGCCGGCCCATTCTGTTTCAGCCTCTGCTTTCTTCTCTCTGCCAAATAACTCCACCGGCTGATCTCTTTTGACTTCATGAGCACCAACACGTGGGGGCCCATGGGGTAAAGACGACAACATGGGGAATAACCGTCAAGGGAGTCGGGTGAACACGCGAGATGACTACTCTGACCGCTGCTAGCGATGGTCTGTTCAATTGAACCGACATTGGAAAAGATGGTTTACCTGGCATCTCCGACTTCACCCTCGAACCCGAGATGAGAATAATGCTTCCGTAGACCCTTGAGGAAATACCGTTCGTTCGCAGCGACTTTGAACTTTGTTGCGATGAACACGAGATATGGATAGATTTACTTTCGTGTGTCCGCGCTCTCGCACACACTTACACGCGTACTGGTATGGATCGCAGCTGCTGTCGGAAGACCGAGTACAGCTGTCGTGATGGCCAGAACGCATGGTGAGAACAGACATCTGTGCTCTTACGCAGAGGGAAGGAAAAGTCAGACAAGATTTGAAAGAAGACCGACGAGTCCTAGAATGCAGCTTGACCAAACAGCGATGCAAACACGTGTTTGTGTGTGTGTGGGAAGACATACGAGAGGGAGCGGCTTTCCGGTATGTGGAGGTTGCGCCCACATGCCGAGTGTCTCGTTGCGTGCTCTGTCAGTGCCCAATAGTTTTCACAAGCGACTTTGCCCTCAGCGTCTGATCGGAGACTAAGTGAAATGGCTGCATCGCAGAAGTTGGGCATACTCCGAGACTCTAGGTCTGCTCACACCCTGCGATGACTCGTGCTTGAATTGTAGAAGTGGCTGGCAGACGTGGCTAGTGTAGAGGAGCAAGGCGTGAAGTGCGACTTGACTTCCTGGTAGGTCTCCAGGGCAAAGTATGTACAATACGCGGCCTCTCGGACTTGAGCCAGCCTTCTTGCATTGGGACGAACCTTCTTGGTCTTGAGGCGAACCGTAGACAGAGGCAGAATTGCGCCGCAGCCGCGGCTCTAAAACTTGGATTTTGCAAACACTTTCAGGAGATTTGCTGGCGGTTTGCAAAAGGCACAGACCATGTTGTGGTGACAGTTCAACGAAGAAGCATGCTGCCGGCAGTCAAGAAAGGCAGCTGAATCATTGCTGTCTGCGAGGGACGTTTGAGAAAACAAGTCGCAGCGTGTCTGACCAGTCACACACGCAAGATGTGGGTGCCTGCGTGTGTCGACAAGAGATGATCTACGGTCCCATGGGGCCGCACAGGATTTGCGGATGAAACTGCAGTAGATGAACCAGATCGTCCATCCTGCTGCCGCTAGGAGGATGAGCTAAATTCAGGTTGGGGGTAGATAGCGGACTTTTTCCTACTTCATTCGAGTGAGCCTACCTACTTCTGCGATTCTCTTTCTTCGCGCTGGATTGACCTGACTTACACTCGTTATTGTTCTCGCCTGGACTGGATAAAGCCGCCCTTATCTCGTATTTGTCCCCTGTGTCCACACGGCAATCTTCTTCTTCTTCTGTCAATAATTTTGCTCGGAAATTTTTCACAACACTACACTCTTCTTCGAAATGCGTTCTTCTCTCAGCATTGCCTGCGGACTCGCATTCGCTGCCATTGCCTCTGCTATTCCTACAATCTCGGTCAAGGGTAGCAAGTTCTTTACCAGCGATGGCAACCAATACTTTGTCAGAGGTATCGCTTACCAGCTTGTTCCCGAGGATCCGCTCATCGACAACAACCAATGCCAATTGGATGCTTCTTTGATGAAGACTCTGGGTGCTAACGCTATCCGTGTTTACCACGTGGACCCCACTGCCGATCACCAGGACTGTATGAAGACTTTCGCCGACGCTGGAATTTACCTTTTCGTCGACCTCGACACTTTCACTACTCAAATTGAGCAGACCTCTCCTCAATGGAACCAATCGCAGTACGATGCATTTGCAAAGGTCATGGACGAGTTCCAGCAGTTCGACAACACCGCCGGTTTCTTCGTTGGCAACGAAGTTCTCACCACTGGAAACGGATCTGTTGCTGCTCCCTATGTCAAGGCTGCTGCTCGCGACATGAAGGCCTACCGTAACAGCAAGAACTACCGCAACATCCCTGTCGGTTACTCTGCTGCAGACATCTCTTCTCTTCGTCCTAACCTTCAAAACTACCTTGCTTGCGGTACCAACTCTTCCGATGCTCTGGACTTCTTCTCCCTCAACGCGTATGTATTCTAACTCCCATTTCGTCATTAAACTAACGAATGATAGCTATGAATGGTGTGGAGCTTCGAGTTATGAGGTGTCTGGTTACGAACAATTGACCCAAAACATTACGGAATACAACATTCCCATCTTCTTCTCCGAAGTTGGCTGCAACACTCCCAAGCCTAGAACCTTTGACGACCAGGCTGCCATCTTTGGTCCCGAGATGTCACCCTACTGGAGCGGTGTCATGATCTACGAGTGGATTCAGGAGGCCAACGATTACGGTATTATCCAATACGGCACCAAGACTGACCCTACCGCAACCAACGCCCCTGATGGATACACCCGTACCGGAACTCCTACTCCCATCTCGCCCGACTTCTACAACCTGAGCAACCAGTGGAAGACTCTCACTCCCAGCGGTGTCTCCGAGTCTGCTTACTCTCCCAGCAACTCGGCCCCCGAGTGCCCTGCCTACACTTCTGGTGCTTGGGAGGTCAGCGGTAATGTGGCTCTTCCCACCATTGGCCAGACTTACGATGCTCAAGTCACAAGCTCGGCCACCGCTACTTCAGGCGCCACTGGCACCCAGACTGGCAGCGGCAGTCGTAGCACTGGTTCCAGCACCGGTAGCAGCACTGGAGCTGCTGCCTCGGCCAGTCAGACCGGTATGGCTAGCCCCAGCAGACAGATCGCTGGCATGAGCGTTGGTCTGGTTTCCGTCATGCTTGGTTTCATCTGGTGGTTGTAGTCACCGTTAGAGGTTGACTTGGTCGGATGCGTTTGCGGTCTCGAGCTTAGGCTTGTCTACGGATGATGTTATCTTGACCACGTCTTCTCTCTTTCTCAAGAAGATATTGTAATTTGTATTATACATTGCTACCAAGTTAGCTCTGTACAACTCTTGCCATTTCCACGGGTGCATTGTGATCCATTGACGTCTTTACTGCAAGCCAGATGGTTATGATGATATCCACTATGACTTGTGTCCGGGTCAGGGTCGTACCGATACCATCTTAAAAATAATCTGTTTTTGCGTGATGTATATCTAATTCGTACCTTTAAACTGCAATAACATGTTGCTCATACCTCAGGCTAGTTGTGACTGGTTGGCGAATACCGAGGTGAGCTTTGGTGACGTTGTGCGATAATGGGTGATGCGTTTCGATCTTGACCGTTGTGAAGGTTGTGAATGTACATCGTCGTGAACATCATTTCGAATATCATGCTTTCCCGTATGTGAAGATATATAATGGTTACAACTATAGAGATGCACAGTGATATCGAGAAAGTGGACAACAGCCATCGAGAGGTAGTCTATCTCAACTTCTCCTTGAATATAGCTCGAGTCTTGAGATCATTGTGCCTTTTGATAGTGAGGAGGACGTCGCTACAGACCTCAGCGAGAGAGGAGCTAAACAAAACAAGCAACAACATCTATATGCTCGATACTCTTCTCATTACCACTGCGCGAATCACATCAACACGCAAGGCGGTGGTTCCGACTTCCCACCCTGCGCAGAAGTCGTCGCAACAGCCGTCTTGACAACATCCTCCCAGACCTCAGCACACAACTCCCCCGTCACAGCACTACACTCGCAATACCGATCACACCTCATCTCAGCCGCAACCCTCAGCGCTTCCTGCGGAAACACCATACCCTCTATATTTTCTCTGCGCAAATCTCTCTGCAACCCAAGCACTATAACAGGAATACTCTCATCGTAGTTGAAATGCGTTTCTACGATGTTTTTCCAGGGGCCTTTGAGTGACATCAAAGAGTCACGGGAGGGTATGGAGAAGCAGAGGAGGATCAGGTTGGGGCGGAGTAATGTGTAGGATGTGGGTGACGAGGTGTCGTAGAACTGTAGGGTGTAGGGTCGCGCGCGGCCGCGCAGCTCAAAGACAAAAGGTTGGTCGAGGTCTCGCAAGGCTGGCAGAGCAGAGGTGGTGTTGTTGGGCCCCAGAGCTAGGCGGCTTGGAGATGAAATTGTCAGGTCATGGTCTGGATGCTGTGTTTGTCCAGCACGAGAAGCAGAGGAAACTGAAATTGGCGAGGAATGTGTCACGTCTGGATGGGATCCGAATGGCTATGGCAGAAGATGTCTGGGACAAGGCACAGTGTACGTACGAGAGAAAGGTGGTCTTGCCCACATCGGCATCACCCAATAACAGGATGCTTACTTCATGTTCCATCTAGATGGACGTATGGCTGGTGAAACTCGAAGCTTAGGTCAGAGACTCGGGCTGCAACGACGGCACGAGATAGACCAGGCAGATGACGGATGAAACGCAGCACGGAGGCTCGGACAGGGTTGGACAGATTGATGAGTCTCCCAGGGGGTCGGTGGCCTGTCTCGGGCAGCGGCATGCGTGCGTGGGGCGCAAAAGCTTGGTGGTCAAAAGTCCTTCAACCCCAAGTTTGCGCGAACTCTATCCCGACATCCCACCATGACGGAGGCAGACTTTTTCCCCTCTTCACTCATCCCTTGACGGCGCCCTCGACACGTCCAGTTCACCCTCGACACCTTTCCAGCCCTTCTCGACAGGCTCAGTCCATCCGTGGACGCGTAGCTTTCCCCACAGCAGGACCGCAAAATTTCTGGACCAGAAAAAAGAAAAGTGGCAGGAGTTTGGAAGTTCGTCAACAACACCGGGATAAAGACCACACCTACATTCTTTCGACACACACATCCATCGTCAACATGGTGCGCAATCTGGTTGTACTGGGAGGCAGCTCGCATCCCGAGCTGACCGAGACAATCTGCAATCACCTTGGTGTCCCTCCGGCAAACATCCTTCTCAGCAAGTTTGCTGTTGGAGAGACTCGCGTCGAGATCATGGACTCGGTCAGAGGCAAGGATGTCTTCATCATCCAATCCGGCGGCGGCAAGGTCAACGACCACTTGATGGAGCTTCTCATCACCGTCTCGGCCTGCAAGACTGCCTCGGCCAAGCGCGTCACCGCCGTCCTCCCTCTCTTCCCCTACTCGAGACAAAGCGACATTCCCTACAACAAGACTGGCGCTCCTCTCGCCAAGGCTCCCACTCAGCTGAACCGCAATGGCAACTACACCTTCGACAGCAGACCCACAACGCCCATGCCCGGCCAAGCAGAAAGCGCCGGAATGAAGGGAGGCCCGGAGAACTTGCACAAGAAGCTGATGGACATGCAACTGCATACCAACGGCGATGGTCAGCGCAGTCGCAGTCCCGTCAAGATGCCTCGCCGCTCGACCATGGAGTCGGTGACATCCGAGAAGTCCGAATACTTTGAAGACAACTCCCTCACACCCACCGTGACCAATGGGAGTGCCAACGGCGACAAGCCTGTAGCCAGATTCCACAAGGCTCCTCCACACTTCGAGCCCCAAAGGGGTTATAAGCAGTGGGTCGCACAAGCTGGTACCCTGGTTGCCGACCTTCTTACCTGCGCTGGCGCCGATCACATCATCACAATGGACCTCCACGACCCTCAATATCAAGGCTTTTTCGACATCCCCGTCGACAACTTGTACGGCAAGCACCTCTTGCGCAAGTACATCCAGTTCCACATTCCTCAGTATCAAAACGCCGTCATCGTCAGTCCGGATGCTGGCGGTGCCAAGCGTGCAACCGCCATCGCTGATGCTCTGGGTATGCCCTTTGCGCTCATCCACAAGGTAAGGAGACGTAATCGTAGAGAAGCCCAAGATGGGGGTTTGACCGTATCGCAGGAGCGTCGCCCGACTCAGATCACCGACCGCCAGAATGCGACCATGATGCTGGTAGGTGACGTCGCAGACCGTGTCGCTATCCTTGTAGACGATCTTGCCGACACCTCCAACACCATCACTCGCGCAGCCAAGCTCTTGAAGAAGGAGGGTGCCAACAAGGTCATCGCTCTCGTCACTCACGGCGTGCTGAGTGGTGATGCCATTGACCGCATCAATGCTAGTGCCATTGACAAGGTTGTTGTCACCAACAGTGTCGACCAAGAGGAGAACAAGAAGCGTTGTCAAAAGCTGGAGGTGCTCGAAGTTGGAAACGTCTTCGCCGAGGTAAGTTGGGTCGCGCCTTCTCGAGTAGTCATTCGTGACAGACGTCGGGGACAAAACATTGACAATACTTGTAGGCCATCAGAAGAGTACACCACGGAGAGAGTATCAGCGTCTTGTTCCACGACTAGGTGGCTGCTGCGAATGTTGAATGAATTTGCTGGCGTTCGGGGCATAGAGAGGGTACTCCGCGAGGACATTGCTGCGATATACGAACAGAGAGCAATTGCAAACTGGCTTCTAGCGCCGCTTCGTCTTGGGCTTGAGCATCCCGCCGCCGACCAGCCATATCATGAACTTGATGGTTGCCCCTTTTCCATCAATACACAAAGGCAGGTCATTATATCTTTGCAGCAGAGGCTAAGTGCATCAACGCATGCTGTCGTAGTACTTCCCAAACGCGCCGGTGGTATAGTGCGCTGTCGCCGTCGGGTATATGCCTTGCCTCTTTTTGTTTACAAGACCCAGCCCACTGCACCATCTCGTCGTATCATGCTGAGCATGCAGTTGCATTGCACCTTTCGTTCCACGCTTGCTCGTGTGTTTCTATCTATCGTTGTTGTGCTAACATGTAGTACCGCCCTCTGCTTCCCGCCGGCGATGATGGTATAGGACGCCATTGGTATGGCACGACATGGACTCTCTTGGTTGGCAATGAGTTTGGGCCCGCAGCAATGTTCTGATCTTGCCTGGCTGGCGTCGGTGATTTCCCAAATCGCTCTGGTGGAAACTCTGTGCCTGTTTGGTCCTGGCGGATTGTTGTGATCTGGCGCTGGGTGATTTTCCGTCTGGTGATTTGGTTGCTGCCGAGCGCCTTGTTGTTGTGTATATAGGCGCGTCCAAACCCTCGACCCTCTCTCTCTTCTTTCCAATCGAAACTTTTTTTCTCAAACTGCATACTTGTTGATACCAAAGCATTGTGAATACTTTTTTCTAAAGTGCATTATCAAGCTGCATCCCTTCCAAGCAACAACCACCAAGTTTTATACCAAGCTCTCAAGAACAAAACAAACATACGCAGCGCGTCTGTTCACTTCAAAAGAATACCACAACTCATCACAGGTTCATAAAAGGTACGTCTTTTCTCTTTCTTTTGTTCACACGTCGTGTCTGCGACTGTCTGCATTTATCTCGTCGATGGTCGCGCGTCAGCCAATCACAGCGGCTGGTGGCGTTTTGACAAAGCATTGACGGATGGACGCTGGGTCTCGGACTCTCAAAAATCTCCCTTGCATTGCGCTGGCAGTTTCGCTGACTTGTCCGACCATCGATAGCCAACACCACACATCATGCCTCGTGTCTCAAAGACAAAGGCACCAGTTGTCGCAACACCCAGACGCGCAACTCGCAGCACCGTCCGCGCCGGCAGTGCCAGTCTCGAAGAACCCATCGAGGTTCCAGCTCCCAGAAGACGCGGCTCGCGCTCAAAGACGCCTGAGTCCAAGATCCCGTCGTTCGAGAAGTTGCAACCCGAGCAGCACCTGCCCGCTCTCGCCGAGGAAGAAGTCGAACAATCTCCTCGCATCCTTCTGCCACAACCTATCGACGTCGCTCCCATCGTCGACGCGTCTCCATACGTCACACCTCAGCACTACCACATCGCTGCCACGCGCAACTTGCTCTACACACCACCTGCTGCCGCTCAGAGCCCTCGCAGCTCGCCTGCTGTCGCTCAGAGCATCTACAATTCTCCTGCCGGCGCACAGAGCATCCACAACTCGCCTACCGTCAGCCAGCTCATCCAGCAGTCGCCTATCTCGAGCAAGAGCCTCCACAACTCCTCTGCCACCACTCAGAGCGTGCGCAGCTCGGCTACTGTGAGTCGCAGTGTCCAACAGTCGCCGACTGTCACCAAGACTGTTCAACAGACCATCGAGATCTACAGTGACGGCGAGGACGAGGCCCAAGACGAGTACCAACTGCCATACGACAACGACGTCGCCGAGGACGACCAAGAAGACGAAGAAGCTGTCCAGGAGGCTGCTGCATCACAGCTTGCCCAAGAGACGGCCGAGGCTGGTTTGTCACATTCTCATCCTACTTCCCCTGTTTTGTTCAAGTCTCCCACCACTGTTTCGAGCATCGCCGGTCACTCTTCCCTCAAGAGAAGACGTTCCGCTAGAAGCGACGGCTTCCCTCGCACCCCTAAGCTCCCCAAGATTCGTGGAGTTCCAGCATTTGACAGCCCATTGAGCGACATCACTGGCAACTCTATCAATTGGAGAGAATACTTCAACTCTTCGGTCTTCAAATCATCCTCACCTGCTCCCCAACTCACTACACCTCTTGCTGTTGAGCTGATGGGACGTGCAATGAACAACGAAGAGATCATCCCAGAGCTGACCGATCGTCAATCTACAGCGGTCCTCTTGAACATGCGCAAAGAGATCATGCGTCTGCGCAAGATTGAGGAGCAGTTCCTCGCCTCCAAGCAGCCCCAGTCTGCCGCCAAACCACCTCAGTCGCCTGCCGTCCAAGAACAATCATCACCAGAGATTCCTCGCACCATCAGCCGCCTTGGAGATCTTCGTTACCAAAGAACCATCGCCACACCTGCCAGAAAGAGACTTTTGGCACAGCGCGAGGCTGAGAAGGCCGAGAAGGCTGCTGCTGCCGCCGCCGCAGCAGCAGAAGCTGAGAGGATTAGCGAGGAGGAAGAGCAGAACGACCAGACTCCTTCGCGCTCTGGTCCATCATCAACTTCGCGTTCAAGCCTGTCTTTGGGAAACAGCAGGCGCAAGGCATCTCAGCACAGCACTCCTGAGGCACAAACTCCTCAGCCATCATCACAAAACTCGGCACCACCTGAGACACCAGCCGCTTCTCCAGCATGGGGCCTTACTTCTCTCTTCGGCTCGGTCAAGAACATCTTCACCCACCGCCCAAACTTTTCGCCCATCAAGCAAATCCAGGAGCAGCCTCAAGAGCAGAACGAGCAGCAGCCTATGCCTCAGTCTCAACAACCAGCTCAGCAGCACAAGTTCAATCCTTCGCCACTCAAGAACACAAGAAGTCTTCTCTCTTCGTCGCAGCAAAGCCCTACCCCAAAGCCCAGAGCACCTGCTCCACCAGCCACACCTGCACCTATCATTGAGGAAGTCGAAGATGATGGTCTCTACGGCCAAACACGCAGAAAAGAACGCCGTCGCGGCTACTTGCCCGATTCTCAGCGCAGAAAGCGTGACACTCCTGCTGCTAAGCCAAAGGAGCCCAACGCAGATTTCAGAGCATCGCAACTCGCACTGGGAGCTCAGAGAACAGCTGAGCGCGAGCAAGCTCAAGAGAAGGCTGACCGACTCGAGCGCGAGCGTCTTGCAATTGTGGAAGAGCTGAAGCTGCGTGACTCGGCTTACAACGTTGGCGACAAGAGAAAGATGCAAGTCAACGTCGACGACCTCGCAGTCATCCCCAGAAAGGCAGCAGGCGCAAGCTCGGGAACATATGGTCTTATGGACGACTTCTTCCAGTACGATGATGATAGTGACATTGTCGAGATGGATGAGGATGAGGTTCAGCTGCTCCCAGTTTCCGAACACCCTACCAAGAGAATCAGACTTGATGACAACGTCTTCCAGCCAAAGACGCCTACACCTGCACTTCAACCCATTACCACCAGCCCTGTCAAGCAGGCAGCAGCACCACAACACCAACAGCCAACAAGTTCTGCAGCATCTGCTCTGAACTACTCGGAACTCACTCAACAAGCCATCGAAAGGCAGCGTCAGAAACTCAATCTGCACAACCCCAAGCAGCCATCGCGTCTGCGCAATGTTGAACGCCTTTCGACTGGCAGCACTGTTGGCGCTTCTTCACCACAGCAGCCTATCACCGCACCTCTTCAGAACACCCAGGAGGTCGCTGCTTCGGTCCAAGAGACCCAAGAACTTGCTCGAGTTGCTGAGCTGCCTCAAGCACCTGCTCCTAGGGTTATCAACTGGCCCGAACTTGGACCGCCCATGATGTCACCTGAGAGCTTCGCCAGAGCTGAGAAAATCTACACACCTGAGTTGAGGGCACTCGATCATGAATTCTACATGAAAGGTTTCGAGAACGCCATGAACAAATCGATCGAAGCCGAAAACAAAGCCTTGGCCAACAAGATCGCATCTCAGAGAGAGTTTTCCTAGAGTGTCTGGAACCGCGCGAGACGAGACGAACATATCCACAATTCGAGTCGACAGAAAAAACGATGAAGGAACATTGATTTGCAGCTGGTTCATCATACTAGCTCGTCATTGTTGTCATGGTTTGCAGCTGGGTTACACTAGCTTGCCATTCATCTGGTTTGCAGCTGGTTCATCGTACTAGCTTGCCAGTCTCTCTGGTTTGTAGCTGCGTTCTCAAAGACTTAGCTCGCCGATTCATTTGGTTTGCAGCTGGTCTACAGACTTAGCTCGCCATCATTGTTACAGAAAGTCGACAAGGCTTGCTCACTCATCTCGCTCGACGCTTATCTTATACACTATCAACACAAAGAAAAATGTTTATTCGACACTGTTACATGCATAGCGAAAGGAGTGCATTGAAGGAAACGATATGGAAAAAGGGGGTTTTACTTTTGCATCTGCGGAATTTTCGATCGTTTTGTTACCGAGTAGGAAGAAAAAGGTTTTGGTTTTTTCTTGGATTTTGTTGTTTTACTGCGAGTTTCTGTTTCTGTTGTTTTCTTTAAGTTGCACATTGTTGTTGATACCCAGAAGAGAGAAAGGGAATGAGAAGAAGGGAGATGTTTTATACAGACCCATAGCGAGCGCAGAGCCGCGTGAAAAAACAAGAAAATGTTCATACAAAACTTTATCAGCTTTTTCTGTATGTGACAGTAGTAAGAAAGGAAGACCTTCATCGTGTAGCAGCGGACGAAGAGACTGCGAAGACATTGTACGGTCTCTGGCTCGACGAACCCAGAAAGGAGAGAGATCTCGACAGCTTATCTTCCAGAGTCTTTAGTGAGCGACAAGTAGACGAAAAGATGAGAGATGGATGAAGTATGCAAACTCATGGCAATGCCTTTTCTATCTCGTTTCTATGCTTCAAGTCAGTTCTATCTCACAGCAGTACCCAAATAACCGCCACCATCTCTCCCCTGCATCTCGAATCCCTGCCCCAGCATCTCCTCCTCATCTCTGATTCTCTCAAACACCCCTTGCTCCCCTCCCTCCTCAAAAGCAGCATGCGGCTCATCACACCCTCCACTCGACAGCGCCGGAAACCATCTTCTCCAACACCCATACCCGACCCCCAAACCCAAGGTGCTACCCACCACCACATCAAAGACATCATGTCTGTAATCCTCCAAGCGCGAAATCGCTATCAATGCAGCACCCAAAAAAGGCGAAAACGCAACCAAAGTGCGGTAAAGTCCAGCTCGAGGATGCAAGATGCGGAATTGGGATATGAGGAAAAAGGAAAGGTAGCCCAGGCCGGAAAAGGCAAAGGAAGAGTGGCCGGAGGGAAAGGAGCGCCAGCCGTCGTGGAGGACGTGGTGGTTTGGATTTGTGCAGGAGGTGTAAGATATCAATTCGTGCAAGGGGGTGTTTGGGGCGGGTTGGCAGCGGGAAAGCAAGTCAGGACGGGGTCTGCCTACTGCGTTTTTGATGATCTGTGTTGTTTTTACGGTGGTCAGGAGATTTACACAAAGATATAAAAAGGGCAAGGATGGAGGGGCAAATGGAAAAACATACATCAGTAACGAACAAAGTGACCAACAGACTGATCCCAAAGCCCAGTAATGTGACATGAGTTTTATGGTGCTTTTGCTTATAGAACACAAAACTCCAAGTCACGAGAATGGCAAAGGGAAATGCACCGGCATAGAGTAAGAGCCAGGGTACGGGTACATGTTCGATTTCGGCATGAGGGTATTGGATGCGTCGGTCATCTAGAGCAAACATGCGGTGGAAGGGCTCCGTGTAGATGAAGAGTTGGAGACATATCCAGATGGGCAGGATTATGGCTAGACCGATGTAATCGGCCGCGTAGGGTTGCTTTTGGAAATATGTTAGTCTGGTAATGATAAGAGGAGTGATGGAGGGTTATAAGTACACATTTCTCTCGCCAGATGCGGAGGATGGATTCGGTTATAGATGTGGAAGAAGGCCTTCGTCTTGAGTCCGAGTGAGACTCGGAACCAGGCATGATTGACTCGAGCAAGTGAAGTGTTTAGGCAGAGAAAGTAAAGTCAAAAGAGAACAGGGGGGCGTCTAGGGAGTGGATGATGTGGCTGATGCCTGTGGCTGTCTCTTGTCTCTCTCTCTCTCTTCCCCAGATCTAGACGTTTCGCAGTTCCACTTTCGACCTTCCACCTGCGATCAGCAGCAGCACCATAATGGCAGACCAGGCACAGGCGCGCATGCTATCGGCAGCTTTTCCGACACCTCCACCATACTACAAACACTTCACCAAGCAAAACGTCACCAAAGTCCGCCAGATCCGCAAAGAGGCAGCCTCGAATACCAACCAAATCGATGTGGCGTCGTTGCCGGCTGAGCTGCGCTACCTGATCCCTCCTGAACCACCGGCTGATGGAAAATACAAGAGCTTCGGAGCACAGCATGATGTGCGTGTATACTTTGCGTGAGGTCAGAGCAAGAAACTGATGTGGCAGAGCAGTTGGCGCAACCAGCACAATCCTTGTCGCAAGCAGGAATCCAAGAACTGTATCCCACGGATGTCGCTCACCTCGATCCCACTCCTCACTTGCAGACCTTGACGCGCGCGGTCCTCCTAAATTTCCTGGAACTGGTTGGCACATTGTCTGTTAATCCTACTCAAGGACCTGAGAAGGTGGAGCATTTGCAGACGCTGTTTTACAACTTGCACGATTTGATCAATCGCTATCGTCCTCACCAAGCACGCGAGAGTCTGATCATGACCATGGAGGATCAGCTGGACAAGATCAGAGCTCAGATCAAGGGTGTCAACTCTGCAAAAGATCGCATGCAACAAGTCCTGGGCGACATCCGCAGTCAAGCAACCACTGAGAACCTCGATACACCCACAAAGCAAGAGAAGCTATCCCACGCTGAGCAACCTCAACCCGACAACAACATACACAAAGCCATGTACGAAGCTCTGGATCACGACCTCGACAATTGATGCCATTACCGCGATTAGATCTATTCACAACTCCCGACCAGCCTCCCAATACCCATCATAAACTCATGGACCTCATCACATCCTTACTTCTCACCCGCCAAAATACGCTCGCGCATTTCCCTGCCATGCGCCTCGGCATCGGCGGCTCCTACAGCACTTCCATTGCCAGCAGCTACGCCTTTGATGGCTGAATTGTCTTGTCTGTGCTCGACTTCGCTGCCATCTGCTTGCTTCTCCTTCTTGGACTTGCCGGAGAAGGCTCCTGAGACTGCGCCGAAAAGGTTTAGGTTGAGCTGTGGTAATGCAGTTAGCTTTGGAGAAACATATGGGGTGAGATGCAGTGGAAGACATACACCGGCACTTGCGCTCGCACTTGCACTTTGCTCTTTTTCTTCGCGAGCATATTGAGGTTGCTTGGAGGAGACTTGCTGGCTTTGAGCTGGCTTCTGGGCGACTTCTGAGGATGTCATTGTGCCTGAGCGAAGGTTTTATTCGGTGGAAAGAAGGAGTTGTTTGGTATTGCTGAGGAAAAGGAAGACAAGCCACAGATGAGGTACTCTTATTCAGCCACAAAACAGGGAGAGGCTGGGTTGATATGGGTGCGATGCTGTTTCACAAACAGGATTCATGGCAGAGCCGCTTGCGTCATGGGATTTCTTCAAAGTTCGCAAGAACATGCATTCTTTGGTCCTGCGGGTGAGTAGCAGCGAGGACTTGGAAGAGAAGGGAACAAGGATGGAATTCTTTCTCGTCGAGCTGTAGAATGAGAAAATGGTATGCACGTTCCAGGAATCGATATTGTGTCCCCCATGTGTGATCGATCTATTAATGCTGAGGATTGCGTCGTTCTGAGGGCACAACTTGTTGTCGTCTTTATTTCAGGTTCAGTGACTCAAGGACATTCTCTCGATAGACACTTCTAAAGACAACTGCATGACTCAGATATTCAGCGTCTTTGAAGAGAAAGAGGGCGCAAAGGCTTCAGAACGAGCGTGAAGACTGCAACAAAATCATCATTAATGAACAACAAAACCACCCCGCCAACGCCAGCTCAGCCCCACCAGCTCTCCCTTGTTCGGAGCTTCAGAATTCATTAGCGCAGATGGCGTGGCCAAAGATTCCCAAAACACTACGTCGACATCCAATTCTCGTCGTTTCATTCTTCATCCTGGCATTTTCACTACTCACACCTTTTCTCCCTCGACTCCGCCTCCTCGCCCGTCACATCAATCCCCCACGAACCTACTCTACCCCTTCCACCGCCGTCATGTCGACCGACTACTCAAAAGAGCTCAATGTTGCCCTCCTCGCCGTCCAGCGCGCCGCCATCTTGACCAAGCAGGTCTTCCACAGCCACGCCAAGGGCACCCTCAACAAGTCAGATGCCTCCCCCGTCACCATTGGCGACTTTGGCGCCCAAGCTCTGATCATCGCCGCCATCAAGGCAAACTTCCCCGATGATGAGGTCGTTGGTGAAGAGGAGGCCAAGGACTTGCGTGAGAACGCTGACCTCAAGAAGACCGTCTGGGACTTGGTCAAGGAAGCTAAGCTCGACGACGATGCTGCTGAAAAGACTCTGGGAGGCCCCATCGAGAGCGACGACCGCATGCTCGATGTCCTCGACATGGGCGCCAGCCAGGGTGGAAACAAGGGCCGTATCTGGGCTCTCGACCCCATCGACGGCACCAAGGGTTTCCTCCGTGGCGGCCAGTACGCAGTCTGCCTTGCCCTCATGGTCGACGGCGACGTCAAGGTCGGTGTCCTCGGATGCCCCAACCTTCCCATCGACGACAGCGCCCCTCTGACCGAAGACCTCGGTGCCAATGCCACCGACTCCGAGGGCAAGGGTGTCCTCATGTCCGCCATCCTGGGCAAGGGCGCCGACAGCCGCCCTCTCACGCGCGGCGCCCTCAAGGACGCCACCACCATCTCCATGAAGACCGTCGACGACATCAGCAGCGCCACTTTCTGCGAATCCGTCGAGGCAGCCCACAGCGCTCACGGCGACCAAGCTCAAATCGCCTCCAAGCTCGGCATCACCAAGCCTTCAGTCCGCATGGACTCGCAAGCCAAGTACGCCAGCATTGCCCGCGGTGCCGGTGACATTTACCTGCGTTTGCCCGTCAAGAAGGACTACCAAGAGAAGATCTGGGATCACGCTGCTGGAGACTTGATTGTGCGCGAGGCTGGTGGTGAGGTTACTGATGCTCAGGGCAAGCGTCTTGACTTTTCGGTTGGCAGGACGTTGAAGAACAACAAGGGTGTTGTTGCTGCCCCCAAGGCTGTTCACGCTAAGGTCCTCGAGGCTGTTACCAGCGTGCTCTCGGCCAAGCAGTAGATGATTGATTTATGATCGATAGTAAAAAGTAGAAGCGTTGTACATATGTCATGCTGAGATGTTCATGGAATCGTTCTCGAGCTTCTTGACTCAACACAACGACCAAAAGATTGTTTGCTCTCATGCAAAAGAAACACACTAGTGTGCCTCTATCTCTCTGATGTATGAGCGAGCGATTGGCAAAAGATGGAGTAGCTGGGAATCGAACCCAGAACCTTCTCCACTCAGTAATGCTCGGAAGAGCAGTGCTAAGAAGATGTCATACCACTAGACCACAACCCCATTTGATGATAGGAATTTGTGCTGTCTCTTATAAGATCGTACAACAATTCTGAGCCATCGCGCGCGCAAACACAGATCGTAGTATTGATATCGGCTGTATCTTTCTATCCTGACATCGTTCTCCACGAGTAACTGATGAGATTTCATGTTGACTTGTCTGCCATATCAGTGGTCTAAATTTAGGTCGATCCTTCGAGCGATTGGGACCCGTCACCTTCCTATCTGATGCAGCCACAAACGCCCCTTTTGGAGCTCGTTGCATTCAGGCTACAACTTGGAAACAAACTCGATAAGTGCTACTTCATCAAGCTCCTGTAGAACAAGAATCTCTGACACTTCATGTTCTATTGTATCCACAAACAATGACTTCTGCTGTCTGCTCGCCAGCCGCCGACAGTGCATTCGGGCCTGCGGTCGAGGGTTGTCGACAAGGCTTCGACTTTACTTTCGCTTTCGAGTCCTACTTTTTCTCCATCGTGCCTTCCGTGTTGTTGCTTTGTTTTGCCCCACTGAGGTTCAAGACTCTTAGTCGTGTTCGTCCCAAGATCAAGGGTAATGCATTCAAATATGTCAAGTTGGTGAGTGGACCACTATCTCGCCCGCGCGGACTGCAGCTTATAGTCTGCTCCCTAGGCCGTCATCACAGTACTCGCTGTCTTCCAATTGGCATTGATCGGACTTGTCGCCAACAACACACAAGTGCAAGCATGGAAACCAGCAATGGCAGCTTCCGTGTTATCCTTCGGTTCGAGTATCGCTCTTCTCACCCTATCCTACATGGAGCATTCCAGATCCCTACGTCCCTCCATGTTGCTCAGTGCATATCTCTTCGCCACCGTTGTCCTCGATGCTGCTACCCTACGCACCCTCTGGTTGTTACCGCATTTTCCCTCCCGCGTCCGTGCCATCTCTACCGTGGCTTTTGCTGTCAAGGCTGTGATTCTGGTGCTGGAGGGTTGGGGTAAGAGAGCTTTCTATAATGCTGAGAAGGACATGAGTCCGGAAGACTTCAGCGGCATCTTCAGTCAGGCATTTTTGTCGTGGTTGAACCGCTTGGTTTGGAACGGTGCGAGGCATCTCTTGAAGCCTGACGACCTATATCCTGTCAGTGATGATGTTTCGTCAGAATACCTCAGTGCTCGATTCTCACAGGAATGGGAAGAGCAATCAAAGGACGGATTAGCGGACTTGAAGAGAGTCATCTTCTCTCTGCTCAAGTGGCCAATCTTGGTGCCGATCATTCCTCGGGTGGCACTCCTGGCACTTACTTTCTGCCAGCCCCTGCTCTTGAGAAGACTCCTAGAATATCTCAACAACTCCGGTGTGGAGGACAATAACATCGGCTATGGTCTCATTGGTGCATACTTTGTCGTCTATGTCGGCCTTGCAGTAAGTGCTCTTACCTCAGTCTATTCTGCTTACTGACACTCGATGCAGACCACCTCAGCTATCTACTGGCACAGACATTATCGATTTCTGAGCATGCTTCGTGGTACCTTGATTACAGCAGTCTACGGCAAAGCCACCAATATCGCGGCTATCACCAAGGAGAACAAAGCGCCTATCACTTTGATGAGCACAGATGTTGAGCAAACCATCCGTGGCTTGATTGATCTACACGAGATGTGGGCAAACGTCGTTCAGGTCGCTATCGCTACTTGGCTGCTGGAGATCGAGCTGGGTGCTGCATGTGTAGGCCCTGTCATCATTGCTTTGGGTAAGTATCTGCCCTCTGATTGACCTCCTTCAATGTGCTGACTATTATGTAGCTGCAACAGGAACCACAATATGGTTCTCGAACTATACCGCATCGTTCCAGCTTCGATGGATTGAAAAGGTTCAAGCCAGAATTGGTAGGTTTCCAGTCGCAAACTCATGCTCAGAGGTCATATGAACGAGAAGGGCTGATCTCCCCTAGGTATTACTACTTCCATACTTGGCTCCATGAAAGCTATCAAGCTCTCTGGTTTGTCCTCGCGGGTATCGAGTCTCTTACGTCGGTCTCGTGTCAACGAACTTGATGCCGCCACACGCTTCCGTACTCTGTCCTCGATCTCGGTCGCTATAGGTATGTACAACCTTGTCAAGGCATCTTCTCTCCGACAGTAGGTCATCGCATTGCTAACACTTTGTGTAAAGGAAATGTTCCGCAGCTCATAGCTCCAGTTCTGACATTTGCCATTTACATTGGCGTCTCTTCAAAGACACACTCTGCACTTGATACGACCAAGCTGTTCACATCTCTGGCTCTTATTCTTCTCGCGTCCGAACCACTGTTTATGTTGATCAGTGGTCTCATCGAACTACGCTCAGCCATCGGCTGCTTCACACGGCTGCAAAAGTTCTTGCAGACTCCAGCACGTCGTGATACCAGGACTATCGTATCTGCTCAACCGAGCCAGGGCCACTCAATCACTAGTATTCCTGCAGTTACAATGCACAACGCTTCGTTTGGCTGGAAAGAAGAAGATCCGCTAACCATGCAAAATGTCAATCTTCGTGTGCCTGCATCGAGTGTGGTCATGATAACTGGGCCTGTTGCCTGTGGTAAGAGCACGCTGCTGAAGGGTTTACTAGGTGAGACACCTGTATCAGGAGGACGAGTTGAAGTTTCAAGTTCTGATATCGCATGGTGCGAACAATCTCCTTGGCTCATGGTAAGTTGTTGAACATTGTCACAAAATGCATCCGACTGCTAAATTTCCTCGCAGAATGCATCTATCCAAACCAACATCACCAGCTTCTCTGAATTCGATCCTGAACTTTACGCATCAGTCATTTACGCTTGTGATCTCGACAGCGACCTGGAAGTATTACCCCAAGGTGATGCAACATTAGTCGGGAGCAAAGGCTTCAGTCTGTCTGGCGGTCAGAAGCAACGCATTGTAGGTCTACTTGGAAGTACTCTGACGTTGACGTGCTAATGTGAATTCAAGGCTTTGGCACGTGCTGTCTACTCGAGAACTCCCATCATCATTCTTGATGATGTCTTTAGCCAATTGGATCTCAGTACGCAGGCTATCATTTTCGAACGTCTCTTGAGTCAGCGAGGTCTCTTGCGCAGATGGAAGACGACCGTCATCATGGCTACTGGGTCAGCCAAGTTTCTCTCCCGAGCCGACCTCGTGGTTGTCCTTTCTTCGAACGGTACGGTCGAGGGCCAGGGTAGTTACCAAGAGTTGCGTGCTGCTGAGAACAAGGCGACAAAAATCATCACCTCGATTGACACCCGTCCTGAGGATGAGACTGAATCAATTTTAGAGACTGAAAAATACTCTAAGAACGCGGTAAAGACACATACCGCGGAAAGAAAGAGCAACTCGGACGAAAAGAAGCTGGACAACAGTCGCCAGAATGGTGATTTCGGCATCTACAAGTACTACTTTGCATGTATTAGCTGGACTGTGACAGCGATGTTCCTCCTGTTACAATTCGCTTATGCATTCCTATGTACTTTCCCTAGTAAGCATTCGGGTAAAACTGTGTGAGCGGTACTTCGTCTAACAGAAACAGCGATCTGGCTCAAATGGTGGGCAGATGCTGATATGCATGAACATCACTCACCGTATGGCTACTATGTTGGGATCTACACAGCACTTCAACTCGGAGCATTGATACTTTCTGCTGCAGTGACATGGTAAGAATGCAGTTTTGAGAAGAGTGTGGACTTGACTGACACCGACGATAGGTGGTCGTTCAACGTGCTGGCTGTCAAGACAGGTATACAGCTTCATAACACTCTAGCTAAGACTGTCATGTCGTAAGTCTGGACAATTCCTATCATTGCATTCCGATTCTAACCGCTTTGTAGGGCGCCGCTCTCATTCTTCAGCAAGGTCGACAGTGGAAGTATCTTGACGAGGTATGTTTCGTGGTAGTCACGTATTGGATCCAGACGGAAAGTGTCTAACGAGACATAGATTCAGCCAAGATATACAGCTGCTCGATATATCGCTGCCGCTGGCTCTCATGGTGGTTACCACCAGTGAGTAGTTCATCGACTTTCCACAAACAGGGCTCTGACGTCTCGCAGATACTCTCATCTGCATTGCTCAAGTAGGACTCATCGCCTCAGCTTCTGCCTGGATCGCCCTCAGCTTCCCAGCACTGTTCTTCGTCTTCTACGTCGTTCAAAGGTTTTACCTGAGAACTTCGAGACAGATGAGACTTCTCGATCTCGAGCAGAAGGCTCCTGTATAGTAAGTCGACCGCGCCCCGCACACGTGGCAGTAAGAAATCCGGGAGCTAATATGTTTCACAGCACACAATTCATGGAAACCCTCGACGGTTTAGTGACCATTCGCGCATTCAATTGGAGTCGTTCATCCATCAAACACAACTTCGAGATCGTAGATCGCTCCCAGAAACCAAACTACCTCATGTGGGCTATCAAGAGATGGCTGGCATTAGTACTCGATCTAGTCATTACTGGAATCGCAGTCTTGACTGTTGGTATTGTTGTCGGTCTACGGGATTCCTCTTCGCCGGGATTCACGGGTGTTTCGCTCACCCAGATCATCTCGTTTACGTCGAACATTAAACTATTGATCATGTTCTGGACACAGCTTGAGAGTTCCTTGGGTGCAGTGGCGAGGATTAGACAATTCGAGAAGGAAGTTGTGGCTGAAGATCAAGAGATTGAGACTCATGATCCTCCTTTCGATTGGCCAGGTCGAGGAGCCATTGAGATCAGCGGTCTATCAGCAAAGTACAAGTCAGTGTTCAAGTCACCCACCTTTCATGTCCCACACTGACGCTCTCCGCAGAGATGATGCCGAGCAGATGACCCTCGATAACATATCCATCTCCGTCCCTGCCGGCTCAAAGATTGGTCTCTGCGGCCGAACAGGCAGCGGGAAGAGCTCTCTGCTTCTCACTCTTTTCAACTTGCTCACTCCCATCTCCGGCAGCATCACCATTGATGGCCTCGATCTCTCAACTATTCGTCGCGAGACCCTACGATCCCGACTCATCTGTATTGCTGAAGAACCGTTCCTCTACCCGAGCAACGTTCGCGACAATCTCGCTCTGGATAGCAACACTATCAGTGATGGCGAGATGGTGACAGTATTGGAGCAAACAGGGCTTTGGGAGACCATTACCGCAAAAGGAGGCTTAGATGCCACTATGGAGGATGTTCATCTCAGTCAAGGGTCCAAACAACTTTTCAACATCGCCAGGGCTTTATTGAAGAAGAATGAAGGCAAAGTGTTGGTTATGGATGAAGCTACAAGCAGGTAAGTGGTTCTTCCTCTCCCTCTCTGCACTTTCCTCTCCTGCCCTTTTCTTTGATTCTTTGTTTCTTAGACTCTGGACACTGACAAGAACTCAAACAGCATCGATGCGGAAACAGACATCAAGATCCAATCCCTCATCAAAACTGCATTCAGCAACCACACTATTATCTCTGTCGCTCACAAGCTGGAAACTATAGTCGACTTTGACTTTGTGGGTGTGATGGATCAAGGTAAGTTGGTGGAGTTTGATGATCCGCAGGTTTTGTTGCAGAAGCAGGGATCGAGGTTTGGAGTCTTGTGGGCTGAGCGGTAGAGGAAGATCAGGAGGGAAGGATTGGGGTTAAGTGGTTGAGAGGACACGGGGATTTAGAGATGCTGGAAAAGGCGGTTGAGGTGTTTTTATCGTGATTCTTCTATCTGTACATGCAGGACAACTCTCACCACGTACATTCGCAGCATTTGCTTCTACCGTCGCAATGCCATCAGAGTGTCGACTCTAGCATCCATCCGCATCGATCCGAGTATCCTTTACTTCGGGAACCCAAGGCTCCCTACTGCAAAGTCGTGCGCCCCATCCTACTGCAAAGTCGTGCGCTCCATCCAAGTTAGAACGTGAGCGGAATCTCGGATCAATCGTTGATAGTCAACACCGCTTTGATATGGTCTAATCGATGTATTGTTTTCGCAGGAGGTTTGTGTGAATCAAGAGTTCTCATCTCGAACAGTATTCGTGATAGGCTTCCTCCACAGCAAGGCGCGATTGACTACGGAGCGAATTTACCCGTTTTCGGACTCCTCTCCTGTTCTGATCATCGCCCAAAGACGAGACAAGACTGTTAAGGTATAGAAATCTTGATGGCCTAAGCATGCTTAGGCTGGCAAGTATCAAAATCGACGGAGAGATGTTCTCGATCAGATTAACATCTTGGACACCTACTGGCGTGAAGTAGCTGTGAATCTGTTGTGAACGATGGGCTATGAGTCTGTGGAACACTGAATGAAGGCGAGATCAAAGCAAAGCGTTGATGAGTGGTGATAGATACATGACTACGACACGACAGACAGCTCTGGACCCGGGATTTGCAGTGGACAACACTATATGTGAATCCTACAACCCGGCATGATGGGAGGATTTGTCGATACTTAGACCTATGGAATACCAAGAAAGACTGCTTTGAGATCTAGCTAGTTGGATTAAGCTTTCATTCATCTTGATCCTCGCTTCAAAAGGTTCTTCGATCTCTTTAAGCAGAATAGCGATAGCCTTGGAGAATCTAAACAGCAGTTAAAAAAAAAACCACTGATTCTTGTGCACCATTCGAAAGAGAAGTAAGACATCGATGAATTCAAAATATACAGCGTTGAAATGCGAGATGTAATAAGCTAATCTAAAATCCCGACTCCCTTCCCTTTTCCGAGTAATCGACTTCATTATTCGTCGTCCTCGTCATTTCAGGCGAAGGACTAGCCGTAAGCACCTGCTCGTCAACAATATCAACCTTGGGGCCCGTGTAGTTCTTTCTCCCGTCAAAGATATACGTCAACAGAGAAATTAACAACCAGATCCCAAATGCCACGACGCAATAATTCATATTGTTGGAATTGACAGGCAAGTCGGGAGGGAAGAGGAAAAGCACAGAAGTGATGATGACATAGACGAGTCCGAGGAGATTGGCAAACCATGCAAACCATGAGGGTAGGATGAATGCGCGGTCAGCGGGAAGACCTTTGCGGCCTTGGAGGACGTTGAGGGCGATGGGGATGGCGTAGGTGATGCTGAGAGCAACGACAGAGGCACTGGTGATGGCGTTGAAGGCGGATGTGCTGCCGAGGAAGACGCAGCCGAACACGATGACCAGACCTAAAGTGAGAGCGAGTGCATTGACAGGGACGTCAAGGCTAGGATGGACTTTGCTGAAGAATTTGGAGAATGGAAGGCCTCTGTCTCTGGCGAATGCCCAGGCCATGCGGCTGCTGGTTGTCATGATGGCGATGGTGGCAAAGACTGTGCAGACCAGAGGGAACATGAGCAGGCAAATAGCTCCAGCACGGTTGCTTGTAGCATTATACAGGATGGCGAGAAGAGGACCAGCAGGCGAACTGATCACGTCGTCAATGTTTCCAGCAACGAACAGAAGGCACATCAGGAAGACGAAGCCGGTAAAAGTTCCGATGGCCACGCAAGTGATCATGACAAAGGGCCCTGTCTTTCTCGGATTGGGGATCTCTTCGATCATGTGTGCAACGGCGTCATAGCCTGTTAGGCCAAAGCCACCTTGAAGCAGGCCCAATAACCATGCGACACCATCAGGCCAGCCAGTCTCGTTGATGAACTCGCCAAAGACAAACTCGGCTGAACTGTAGTTTGGAGAGGCACATGCCAGAACCGTGATGGACACGATACAGAAACCAGCTATACTCCAGATGATAGCGCCTTTGTCGATGAGCGGGATAATACGGTTTGCAAATGCGTTCAGACAGAATGCAAATACGTTGTATCCAATGTAAATCAGGAACTGATGCCAACTCTTAGACTCGTAGGATGGGCTCATCAACGAGATGATGCCCAGGATAAGTTGCGACCCGAGAAGACCTCCAGTAGCAGTTAGGGCCATCCATCCGCCGACCTGAATATTTATGTGTCAGTACAATCCAGGTTGTGGGGATGATTGTCTGGGGTATACAAGGCACTCACATTGATCCATCCAGTAATCCAAGAGATCATGCGACTCCTAGGACACAGCATAGCAGCCCAGTGGTACTGTCCACCAGCAGATGGGTATGCACTCAGGAACTCTGCCAAACTTGCCGCCAGACACAAGTTGCAAATGCCCGCTGTGATCAATCCCCAGAGAACAGAGGTAGGTCCTCCACTAGGCAATGCTAGGGACAAGGATGTCGCCAGTGCAGTCCATGAGTTCAGAATGGCGAATGCTAAGCCGAGCATAGCCAGCGGGGAGAAAGTTCGCTTCAATTCCTGGGTATGCCCCAGAGCCGCGAGGTGTAGCGCATCGTCCGAGATGCCGCCGCCAGTCATGATTGCTGGTCTTGTTTGTGACTCTTGTGGTTCTCCAGCTCTTTCTTCTCCAGAAACGCGAGGATGTCCGGAGGCGTATATAGCGAAAAGAAACAACCGTCCGGAAACACAGAACAGAGGGAGTCGAAGATCTTTTAACAGACGTAGCAATAGGGTTCCTATCTTACCCCTCAAGCATGACCAAAGATAGTTGTCTTCGCCGGACGGTTGCCCCAGAAGTATTGAATTTTTGTTACCACACAAAAACTGATGTCATGGGCCACCTGGAGATCATTGCCCGTGCCGACATGCGGAGTGGCACGCGGCCTCCACATCTCGTAGCATCCTTCACAACGGCTTGACAAAGCAGATTGTGTACAACTTGATGATACGGCCGACCCTCATCGGTATTGGATTGCCTAGACGTTCGAAAAGGTGCAAGTCGACGAGATTGTTGAGTTGATTGTGCTTTGCCCATCTTCCATGACCGTGTAACACTTGCAAGCACGCCAAGCTTGATGGCTTTGTTAAGCAAAAGAACAAGCAATTGTGTTACAGAGGGCGTTGCGAGGTGGCGCCCACAGCCGTGAAGCCTTCCGACCCGACGGACCGACCGGCAGCGATAGAGAATGCACGATCTTTGGTACCGAGGCCTCGGTATGCTCTTCATGTGAATGATCATATAACAGGCACTGCGACGTTATTAGGAGTCGTTGATTCATAAGGCTATATGCTCTGTCGTGTTTAGAGTGGGTGCTACACTCTAGCAGACAGCATGAGTCTTGCCAGTCTTGCCTTGCAGCGAGTGCTTCTCATCAGTGAAGTGTTGGTTCATCTTCTTATGACGACCAGTGGCAGTGCCGTGCTTCTTGATCTGTTCCTTGTGCTCCTGAATTTTTTGCTCATCCATCTTACCCAGGGTCTCCATGGCCAATTTGATATCACTGATCAATGCGTCGCAGCGCGATCTCGAGAAGTCCTCACGAACGACGACACGCATCATCTTCAAGCCTTCGGAGTGGGGAGCCATGGTGTATGCAGGCACGACCCAGCCACGCTGTCTGAGCTGATGTGCGATAGCGAACTCGTCAAACTTGTGGCCGTCATCGGGGTTGAGACGGAAAGCAACCAGAGGAAGACCATTGCCACGAGTTTGAGACATGAGCTGGAAGCCCATCTTCTGGACAGAGGCAGCCAGATAGTCTGCAGTTTTGGTCAAGTTGAACATGATGGCGCGGTAACCGTGCTTGCCCAAACGAATCAGCTGGTAGTACTGGCCCAGGACTTGGGAAGCACCACGAGAGAAGTTGAGAGTGAGAGAAGCCTGATCAGCACCAAGGTAGTTGATGTTGAAGATGAGCTCGGTAGGCAGGTACTTGGGGTCACGCCAGATGCACCAACCAACACCAGGGTAGACAAGACCGTACTTGTGACCAGAGACGTTGATGGAGACAACCTTTTCGAGACGGAAGTCCCAAACAAGGTCGGGGTTGACGAAAGGCGCAACAAAGCCTCCGGATGCGGCATCGACTGTGGTATGTTAGCGAAAGTAAAGATACAAGGGCTAGGACAACTGACCATGGATGGGAATGTCAAGGTTGCGCTCGACCAGAAGGTCGTTGATGGCCTTGGTATCCTCGTACTCGCCAGTGTAAGTGGTACCGAGAATGGAGCAGATACCGATGGTGTTCTCGTCAATGAGGTCAACAGCCTCCTTAGGGTCGATAACGTAGCGGTCCTTCGTGCAATAGACATACTTCTCCTCGACATCGAAGTAACGAGCGGCCTTCTCCCAGCAGACCTGGACAGCCGAGTTCATGATGATGTTGGGACGAGAGTAGTCCTTGCCCTCTGCCTTTCTCTTGTTGACCCAAGTCTTCTTCATTGCCAATGTGGCGAGCATGATGGCCTCGGAGGAACCGACAGTCGAAGTGCCCATGGCATTGGTTTCATCGTCGTGGGTAGGAATGTTGAACAGGCGGGCGATCATGTTAACACAACGATTTTGAATGTCAGCGGTTACCTAACCCAAAGTTAGCATAGTTCTGTAGAAGAATAAGTTGGGTACTTGTGCAACAAGTCGATCTGCAGGCCAAGCTGACATCGATGAAATGGCGTCCCGGACACCTCCTCATCGCTAGCAACCAGACATTCATGACTGACTTGCTACAGCTGTATCTCTAGCCTACGTACAGGGTACTGGAAAATTGTTAGCAGATGCTTCATTGTCAAGGACATGGTTGTCTTTGCGATACCTCTTCGTAGTCGATGAAGTTTTTGGCAAAGGCATCCATCATGAGCTTCTCGACCTCAGGCTCCATGTAAGTGGTGACGAACGAGGCAAGGCTGTGGGAATGTTAGCGAGTGCATCGTTAAGTGGTATAGCGAGAATGTACTTGAGTGTAGGGTTGCCGTCCAGGGTCAGGTCGTCCTTGATCATTCTGTAGGCGGTGGCTGCGGGCATCTCCTTGTCGGGCATTTCGTGTCTAGGCAGGTCCTCTGCTGCGAACCGACTACCATAGATGCTGGTCTCAAAGTCATCGGGCTGGCTACCCTCGGGACCCAGCTTGGACATGTCAATGCCATTGGAAGCGTCCTTGTCCTTCTGGACCTCGGAATCGTTCGTGACTTGTCCTAGATGAACCATTGTGTATGATACGGTCTTGGTAGAGAAAAAGAATGAGGAGAACAGGAAGAACGAGCACAGGGGGGATCTGCGTGATATAAACACGAAAGAAGTGGGAGCGGCACGGATCGGCTGTCCAGCAACAATCGATCGTCACCACAAGCTCACAACGAGCTCACGACCTCAACCAAGCTTCTGCCAAGCTGAGCTAGAGCGTGACGTACACCGCGGGGTAGCTCTCTGTCTACCGCCATTGCATTTCCTGTTTATTTCCATCGTGCATGTACAAGGAACCACTCAGCTTGTCTTCTCCTGCCTTGTGGTTTTGACAGCAGTCTGCAATGGGTCGTCCAATGCTCTGAGGCACGCAATGTGCAGTTCGCTGCCGTACGAACGAGTCTTCGAAGCGCTGTCGAATTTGCCAAAACGTCATCGAACTTTCACATGCCACGTTGAAACGCGTCTACTCCGCGCGAGCTCTGTTCCACCACATCGGTGATCCTCCACATGCAAGTATTGGGTAGATGAACTGCATATCCAGATGTCGACCTTTGACGGTATAGTGAGGGAATTTCCCTACATCCGCATCGATAATTTCACAAATTACCCGGATGAACCGCCTCCGCTCGCCTGTTTCCTCAGCCATGTCCACAGTGACCACTTGAAAGGACTCGAGTCGTTCAAGTCGACGTTCGTATATTGCACCGCACAAACCCGCGAGCTACTTCTTCGCTTGGAAAAGTATCCTCACCGCATGAACTTTGCGAGAGGCATCCTAGAGTCGAGAAAGCAGACATATCGTCGACTCAAGAATCATATCAAACCAATACCTCTCGAGACACCGACTGAAATCGAATTGGCCCCTGGACAGTCTATTCGTGTAACTCTTTTCGACGCAAATCACTGCCTTGGATCATGTATGTTCCTTATAGAAGGCAACAATCAAGCCATTCTCTATACTGGTGATCTTCGATCAGAGTCCTGGTGGGTGAACAATCTCATACGAAATCCTGTCCTTATACCATACACCAAAGGTACGCAGCGACTCGATAACATATACCTTGACACCACCTTCACGAACAGTGATGCTTTGGAGTATGAGATGCCCTCAAAAGCCCAAGGCTTGAGCGAACTGATCCACAAAGCATCCCAATATCCTCCAGACACCACCTTCTATCTGAACACGTGGACCTTTGGTTACGAGGAGGCTTGGATTGCACTTGCAGCTGCTCTGAAGACCCGAGTACACCTCGATGATTATCGCTGGCGGTTATACTTTTCACAAAGAGATGAACCCACTTGCTATGGACCGCAGACTGCGCCTTTGGTGGGCTACAGACTCGGCAACCACGAGCATCCTGGATGTCTGACAAACTCTTTGGAAGGCGTGCGAATCCACAGCTGCGAAAAGGGTACCCGCTGTAAGGTGTTTCAAAATCGTGAGTCTTCTTGCTATCATAGGAACCCATGCTGACGAGCGGAATGTAGCAAACGTGGTATGGATCATACCGATAATAGCTCGACACAAAGGCTATGAGATTGCCGAGATGGGAGCTGGTGGAGGTCAGGGTGATTTGAACCAGACACATTCTCTTGAACTATACGACCAAGCCAGCGTTCAGCAACTGCTGCTCATCTGCAATAGAGCGCTTCAAGCCCAGCCCGAGCTCAAAGGACCAATGAAAGAATGGTTCATGGCACTAATGAAGAGCGGCAAAGAATCTATCGACCTCGATCTTGAGATTCTGCGTGAGGAAGTCGAGATCACCAGTCAAGACGGCAAGCCGGATGATGAATTTGACATGGATAACTTGCCTATTGACAAGCTGATACCGGCACTCACAAGATTGATCACTGGGAAGGCCAATCAGGAGGCAGAGAATCGTGTCAAAAAGCAACGACAGATTGTGAGTGCTCCCCTTGAGTCACTAGGCTTGTGCTAACATTGCTAGACATTCCCATTCTCTCGCCATTCATCCTATCTGGAGCTTCGTGAGCTTGTACAAGCCTTGAGACCAAAAGATATATACCCTTGTACTGTCGACAGGTATACTTATACCTCAGACATATCGATGGAGATGCTGTTCGGAGATCTTTGCTCGGCCAACATATTCCAGGCAGACAAGGAGCTTCACGCAGAACTGGGCATAAAAAACGTAGACGCGGACGAATCTCAAAGAAGCACGCCATCACCTTCGAAGGATAGATCAGTATCGCCAGCCCCAAATTCCATCAAACCAGTGATCGCTCTTGCACAATCAGAGCAGTGTACTCGGTCGGAGGCGAGCAGAGCACCTACAAATCGCAGCTCGTCAACGATAAGGCCTGAGACGCCACGCAAACGAGCGAGGATATCAAGTTCCAGACAGAGCAGGACCCCAAGCAGTACTAAGAGCGAGAAAGCACGCATGGAAGCAATGTACAATGCAGCGCTGAGCCAGAAATGGGAGAAAGGGTTCTTTACCAGCGTGGACGGTTATCACAATCAGGAGCCAGAGAAGGAGCTATGATTGTCTCTAAGTAGCTAGCAGTACCTACAGAACTATCTTGAATTATGATCAAGTTACGCGTTCTGATATATGTTTGCTAAAGAGCAAGTGACGGGGCTTGTTGCTGACAGCATGAGGAGCCGAAGCCGAGCAAGCTGCATGTGATTGTCGCACTTTTGTCAACAAAGAGAGCAACCCAGGAACAACACCTAGACTCGACCGCTCTTCACACTTTCTCCAAACACAATCACACCATGCCCGAAGCCCTCGCGACAACGAAACGCAAGTTTCACAAACTCCTCGACAGCCGCTTCGGAACTCCCTCTGCGCCCGCAGCAGCCACCCCTCCCAGACCAATCTCGCAAGGCACAATCGGCAGCGAACCAGCCACCAAGCGCATCCGCTCCAGCGACTCCACAGCCTCACTAGCTACCTCTCTGCGCACCAAGACAGTAACGACAAAATCATCGATCAATCCGGTCAGAGGCGAAAGCAATTTTGCGCCATGGTCGCACGACGCGTTTGTCAAGCGCTTGCGCAGTTTTGGGCCTGTGACCATGTGGCATCCTAAACCTGATGCTGTTGGTGAAGTTGAGTGGGCGAAGAGGGGGTGGTGGTGCGTGGATACCAATACGGTGGGCTGTAAGGGAGGGTGTGGGCAGAGGCTTTTGGTCAAGGTTGAGCCGATCGTCAAGAGAAGGCGCGTCCAAGAAGAGGAGGGTGAAGATGAAGAGGATAGGGATGAGGAGGAGAATCAGCAAGAGTTGGAACAGGCCCTGGTGGATAAGTATCGGGAGCTTATCGTGGAGGCTCACTCGGAGGATTGTCTATGGAGAAAAGCAGGGTGTAAGGACGACATATATCGGTTGCCTATTGTCAAGACGACGGTCTGGCAACCTGAGCTACGCGCACGCTACCAGTCTCTGCTGTCAATAGCGCCCTCACTCGCCAACTTGACTCTCCAACCCGCCGACCTCACACCATCTCCAACCAAGATCCTCGCAAACCTGCCTTCAGCCTTGCTCAACACCGCAGAAGAAGAAAATACAGACCAAGACACCGAAATGTCAGAAGAAACCAAGCAAAAAGCACTTCAAATCGCCATCAGCGGCTGGCGAGGCTCCACAGAATCCAGCACCCAGCTCCTATCCTGCTCAGCCTGCTTCCAACGCATCGGCCTCTGGATGTATCAACCCGACTACAAACCCCACCGCTTCAGCACCGACGATGATGACGAAGACTCGCCTCAAGATCGATCTTTGCATCTGATACAACTACACCGCGAGCACTGTCCCTGGCGCAATTCCACCACCCAAGCAGCAACGGGAAATTATGCTGGAAAGTGTGCTTATGAGATTTTGCTGGATGTGTTGGACAGGTATATCGATGAGCAGAGACGAAGATCGAGGGGAACTATTCAAGGGACTGTTGCAGGTGAGGTGGAGAGTGATGCAGGTGTCACGGAAGACGGTAGGGAAAGTCTGGCGCTGGAGACACTGCCTTCAATGCCAGAGCTTAGCAGGACAGAGACGGAAAAGTTGGATAGGGAGAGGCTGTCGAAGTTGAGACGGCTGAAGACTGTGTTGGGGTTCAAGAGAAGGGCGCCTCCCGCTGTTTGATGGAGGCCGCAGACGTGTGTAGTCGGATGAAGTTACGAGGATGGTATTTGACAATATCTGTTGATACGGGCATCACCCTGTCCTCGGATTATCACCGTGATTGTGAACACGAAGCGGGTGCCAATGGGCCTCTTTGATGTGCTATTCACCAATGGGCGAGTGTACATGATAGCTCACTGTTGGCACAGCCTCTGGGTGTTGGTTAGGTCCTCGCAGTGGGTATAGGCAGCAGGTGTGGCTGACACGCGGCCATCTTCATTGCAACACAACAGATACATAGACATAGCCTCCTCCGTAGTGAATTGATTCAAGCGTTTACTCAAGATTACATATCTTACAGAATGTGTAGTACCTCTGCTTGTACGCGATCTGTATCCTCTAAGTCAAGAAAACTAATGGGAGAATTTATGGCGGATGAGTCGGCGATATGCTATCGCTATCGCCGGCGGTTCTCGAGTCGCGTGCGTGACGATGTGTCATAGGCCAATCGTGGGGCACTTTCACGTTTCACGAAACTCTACCCATCAACTTTCATCCGTGTACTCGACTTATTTACAAAATCGCACAGGGACCATGGCGACGACTGGACGAGGAAGCATCACGGTGCTTCCACCATCACCACTGGACGATGATGAACAACGACCATTGCTCGACGCCGAACACCCCGACCATGGCACCATTGACAGACGAATCGAAGGAGAAGAGGAAGATGGCGATGCCCAAGTTATCGACGAGCCCACGTCCACAAAAGTCATAGTCATCATGCTATGTTTGTGGACCGGTTCCTTCTGGGCTGCCATGGGTATGTTGCCCCTCCTAGCTCTCTCCATCTCACAAGTCCTGACTCTCGTCTGCAGATTCCACAGTCGTAGCCACCCTCGCATCCCCCATAAGTCGGAACTTCCACTCTTCGACTCTGCTTTCTTGGATCGCAACAGGCTATCTAATCGCCAACGCCGCCATCCAGCCTCTTTCGGGCAAAATGTCAGACATCTATGGCAGAAAAGCAGGAATTGTGTTTGCGAGCACCTTTTTCGCCATTGGGACTTTGATCTGTGGTCTGGCTACCAACGCACCCATGATGATTGCTGGAAGAGTGGTCGCTGGCACTGGAGGCGGTTGCCTTAACACTATCTCCACCTTTATTGCTAGTGATTTGATTCCACTCAGGAAAAGAGGGTTGTGGCAGGGATTTGCAAATCTAATATATGGCACCGGCATGGGTCTGGGAGGTATTTTTGGAGGTTTGATGAATGATAAACTGGATTGGAGGTGGGCTTTCTACGTGCAGGTACCTTTTATCGTTATTGCTGGCTTGCTGGGCTGGTTCTTTGTGGATATCCCTGTCAAGGAGGGAAATGCTACCGAACGCATCAAGCGCGTCGACTTTCTGGGTGCCATTACTCTGTGCACAGCTCTGGTTTTACTGCTACTCGGTCTCAACAGCGGCGGCAACATCGTCCCATGGAATCACCCTCTGGTCTACATCAGTCTCCCTCTCTCTGGACTTGCTCTGGCTGCTTTCGTCTACATTGAAGACAGAGTTGCCAAAGAACCCGTCATCCCTATCCGACTTTTGCTTCATCGCACTGTGGCTTCCGCATGCCTGACGAACTGGTTCTTGACCATGGCCGTCTACGCACTCTTCTACTACGTACCCATCTACTTTCAAATCGTCCAAGGACTTTCCGCAACAGCAGCCGGAACACGCTTGGTTCCCCAATCCATTGGTACTGCATTCGGTTCCCTCGGTGCTGGCGTCATTATGCGCGCAACTGGAAAGTACTACTGGCTGAGCACTTTTGCATTGACCGTCTATATCGCTGCTGCTGTGTTGATTGCAACAACCTTTAACGCAGGCGTTAATGGGGTGTTGCCATTTGTATGGCTCTTCATCTCGGGCACTGCATACGGCGCTATGCTGACAGTGACACTGCTCGCCCTCCTCTCTGCCGTGGGCCATGAACATCAAGCCGTCATCACATCCGCCTCGTACGCTTTCCGCTCTACTGGCAGCACCATCGGCATCACCATTGCCTCTGCAGTCTTCCAGAATAAACTTTCCTCTGGCCTGCATGCTCGCTTTGGCCACTTGCCTGATGCCGAGGGCGTTATAGGCAGGATCAGAGATGATGTGGGTGATATTTCGTTTCTGCCGCCCGGGTGGGAGAACGGTGTCAAGGATACTTATATTGAGAGTTTGAGGGCTGTGTGGGTTGTTGTTGTTGTGCTTGCTGGGTTGGCGGGTTGTGTGGGACTGTTTATGAAGGAGCATACGTTGCATAATAAGTTGAGTAGGAAGTAAATATACTGCAAAGAAGCAGAGGGGTGAGAGGGAGGTGACAATGTGTGGGAAAGTTTCTTAGCTAGCGTGTTTCTACGGGTTATATGATAGAAAAGTAGAGCATACTGTAGAGATATACAGGCAACGACAGGCGACAAAGCAGTCTTTCGACTTGTGCATACTTCTTCTCTTTCTTCCAAGGTCTGGACCATAGCTTATGTGTGTACAGTCGTTCCTGTCACGTTCTCTCCTTTCTTCCACTTTTCAGGGACTTCTAACGGCTCCATAGATTTCTCTGCCATATCTACGCTAGCTTCCCATGCTGACTACACGAGAGTCGAAGCAATTGGCAGACTGTGCTTTGCAAATCTGCTTCATCAGTGACCGAACGCGTAGCTGGATCCAGCGATTGACCACAGACTCAACGATCTTAAGAAGCAGTGACAAAGCAAGGAAAAGAGCTGTTACTTGCATCTGTAACTCGAAGGTCAAATCGATGGTTTGACTTCGTTTCGATTTGTTTGCCAGAGTCTCGACTCTTGTAATGTCGAAGCGAGTTCTGTTTGGCGGCTTGATTTATGGGGAGAGAGACCATGTAGGTTAGTATCCGTGGTCGCCTGCATGTACGTGCAATGTCTGATGACAGTGATTGCAGAATCAGCTGTAGCCGGTTGACGACCAGTCAGGTTCGGCGTTTTGTTGAGCCAGCCCAAGTGGAAGTGAGTCGGACTGATCCACATCCGTGAGACTCATTGTCCTGAAGATCGTTGGCGGAGTCCAGAACATGACTGAGTAGAAAGTAGTCCTTCAAGAAGTCGCTTATTCCTCATCCTCCCCCCCAGGTCTCGCCCTCGTCTGAAACTCGACTCCGAACTTTTTCTTCAACACCTCAACCTCATCCACCCACTTCTTCACCAGCGGATGCGCATCAGCCACATCCCTAAACGTCACTTCCCCCTCTCCCTCCCCTTGCACCTCAAACACCCAAATCCCGTCTTCACCAAAGTACTCTTTGCCAAACAGACTCTGCAAGCCCAATTCCATTCTCGCAGTGATGAAATTTGCAACCACGTCCTCCTTGGCTTGCTCTGAGATGGTAGAAGCAGATTGTATAGCTCTGACCAAGCCCTCGAGAATACCCAGCAACCATCCAGATTTCAATCCAATGACTGCACCTAGGGAAAAGCCCTCGTCAAAGCCGTGTTGGACGTGCTCGGCTTTTGATACGGAAATGCCATCGCGGTAGCCGGAAGTTACGTGCACGCTGCGTAGACGGGGTATATCTGAGCGTTCTGAATTTGATGTGTGGAGCTGAGCAGCCGGGATATTGATGTCGTTCTCGTCTTGAGTTGGCGATTGCAGAGGTGAGTTTGGTGCTGAGCCAAAGATGTCGTCGTGGAGTTCTGAAGTCGTGGTCATGGGTTCGGGCGATGCAGACATGGCTGGGTGCGAGATTGCGCCTGGCACTTCGCGGAGCATTGCTTGTTATCAGATGTAGAGATTGATGGTAGAGGTTTGGAGGGTTTTTGGTCAAAATTCGGGCGCGAATGGAAATCATCAAGGTGACGGAAAGCTGAACAAAGCCAAGGAAAATTTTGCTTAGTCAGCAGGATCTCGAGGTGATGCTCTCATCGAGGCATATCCTCATTGGCAATGATACACCAGACCTTGTTCTATATATGTGGACAGGGTTCGATTCATGGACGCTGCTCGATTACCTACGAGTGTGAAAGAGCTATGTAAAAGATCTACTTGTACTCTACGAGAGTGTCTATCACGGAGTGGACTCCGCAAGTACTTGAAGATAGTCGCCGAAGCATAAGCAGTAAGTGATTGATTTGAGCGATCGTGATAACTCAATAGTCTATGCTGTGTATTGATCGTAGTCACAACGGTACGTTCATGGAAAGTGCTCCGAAAGCATTCGTGGTCCTGAATGGCAGAGGATGGCGAACCTCCTATGGTCTACCATCCACAGACAGCACGTTGAGAGTATACTTGTGGGGCTCAGTACTCCAGCAGCTTCTAAGCTCCAGACCAGCATCCTCCCATAGTTTTTCCTGCTCTTCCTCGTCGAATTTGTAGCTGCTGACAACGTACAGACCCACTCCCTTCTTCAAGTCCACGCCACTAGCAACTAGATCCCGTTGAGGAATCAGGAACTGATCGTGGCTTCCGCACTGTGCGTTCCAATCCCCTTCAACTTTCCAGTCTTTTGGATCAAAGGCTTCATAACCCAATACCTTGTTGGCATGAAGTAAGAGGTTGGAGATGAAGCGAGAATTGCAGCCCTTTGAGTCATTGTATGCTAGCCATACCTTGTCGGTGTCTTGGCATCCATCGATACCCACAACAAACATCGTTCTCTCCGTCGAGCTCTTGACGGCTTTGGCAAAGCCACGGAGGAACTCGGCAGCCTCAGGAGGTGGCGAGCTGCCAATGGTAGAGCCGAGTGAAAGTATGCATTTGGGACGCCCGACGAAGGGTCTATGTTGTAACCACCGCTGCCCATCGTCGTAAGTACCGAGAAGACCGTGGCATTTCACGTATCGGAACGAAGACGGCGAGATGTCGTTGAGTGTTCTTTCAAGTTCGGAGCGATTCAGATCGAGAGCATAGTAGGATACGGGTTTGCGTTGGGCCTCCAAGGCGTCGAGCAGGATCTTGATTTTTCGGAGACATCCACTTCCCAGCTCCAAAACGATGGAGCCGGGGGCGATCTCTTCGGCAATTTTATTGCTGTGTTGTTTCAAAAGGTCGATCTCGCAATTGGTCAAGTAGTATTCGGGAGAGTATGTGACGGCTTCAAAGTGCTGCAAGCCCTTTTCGTCCCAGAGAAGTAACGATGGAAATCTAGGTGGGGTTGCTGAGAGGCTTTCCTCGAGCTCTTCCAGCAGGGAGATATCGTGTGTTGAAGAGCGAATGTCGGTAATTTGAATTGTAGTTTTGGTATCGGGCGTACGTGGAGGCGTGCTCAGGGGAGTGTCCATTATGGAAGATTGTCTCGAAACTTGTTGATGTCAAGAATAATGAATAGCGATGAGGCTGCGAGTCTGGTAGCGATGATCATAAGATATGTTGATACTTGTAAAGTCGAAGGGAGTAAGAATATGATATGATCAATTGCGAATGAACGCGCGAATTACGCTTGTGAAGCTATCATGACACGCTGGTTGCACCTTCCTCTCGTCGTTCTTGGTATTACCTTGAATGCAAACAAAGGAGTGTCATTTTGACGTGGCCTCATTCAGACCTCACTGAAGCCACGATGCCGACAGTTCCTCGGCATATCGGGCTACGAGGAACACAAGGCACCCCTGGATCTTGCTTGTTCAGAGTGGTACCATGCAAGATGATTATCGTGGAGTGTAGCGCAGCATGGAGTCACTGTGATGTCGTGGTCGGTCCTGGCCATATGTCCCGACCATCCTCACAAACACCGACTTTTGCACTTCTAGCTTCTTGTGCTTCACAAAAGCACATGAGAACAGAAACGATAACTCAAATGCCATCGAACACCAAGTTCATAATCTAGGCGAGAATATTGCCAGGGTTCATGTTGAGCTTTGGAACGCAGTCGAGAAATGCTGTGTTTAGACTTGGTGCAGTGCCGCACCCCATCGTGCCTTCCCAAAGCGTCGTGACAAAAGCAAGCATCACATGCCAGACATGCGTGCGTTTCTCCTAGACATGGTAGCCGCTCTTTTCCAAGGCTAGTAGTTTGCTACCACAAACGCATCAGCACTCGATCATCACTTAATAGGTTTGCTGTTCATCAGCCCGACACCTGATTCGTCCTCGACCTCGCATTTCTCTACTCTGCCTCTTGCAGCCACCACGGCACTTCATCTGTCCAGATCCTTTCATGTCTTCGAGTACTTCGGAGGTTGACCTCCTCATCATCGGGGCTGGTCCTGCGGGACTGATGGCTGCCGCTTGGGCAAGCTCATGCAAGCTCAATGCCAGGATCATCGACGAAAAAGACGCAAGAGTCAGGACTGGTCAAGCGGATGGTCTGCATTGCAGGACTCTCGAGATCATGGACAGCTTCGGCAGTCCAAGCATTGCTCATGAGATTCTAGGACAGGCTTGTGTGATCAAGGAGATCAGCTCATGGGCATGTACACAACGCGAGAATGCTCCAGATGACTAGAGTGGCATGCTGACTGATCTGATCAGAATCCCATGCAAGGGTACGAAGATTGTATCGAAAGATCAGAGTCAATACGATCGGGTGAGGAAGATTTGCTTGGCAGTCGGTATCCTCAAGTGAGTCTCTGTCAAGGCAGTGTCGAACAAGCCTTTCTCAATTTCCTGGAACGAGATGGCGACTCGATACGGATTGAACGAAACTTGACTCCATTGAGGCTCCATGTTGATCAAGCACAAGTTGGAGACCACCATGCGTATCCTGTTGAAGTTCATGTACAACAATTGAGAGATGATGAGCTAGCCGTTACTTCCGGCGCCACAGACATGTGCCATTCTCATGATGGCTTTCAGTCTCCTGACCAGATATCGGATTCGAAGATGACCGCCGTGGAGATCGTTCGGGCAAAATATGTCCTGGGAACCGATGGTGCGCACAGCTGGACGCGAAAGGCTCTAGGTCTGAGAATGGAAGGCGACAGAACGAACAAGCACTTCGCAGTCATGGATCTTATTCCGCTCTCAGACTTCCCAGATATCAGAATCTCCTGTGTCATTCACTCTTTATCAGGCAGCATCATGACTCTGCCACGAGAAGGAGGTCTTGTGCGATTCTACGTTCAGTTGGGAGAGTCCTCTATTACAGGGCGCGACTTTGACCGCAGTACAGTGTCTGCCGACGACATCATCAAGATAGCTCGGAAGATCATGCATCCTTACACTCTGGACTATGATCACTGCGACTGGTTTTCTGTCTACACGGTCGGTCAAAGGCTTGCAGAAATCTTCAGCCACCATGACCGAGTCTTCCTAGCTGGTGATGCCGTACATACACACTCGCCGACCATGGGTGCAGGTATGAATGTCTCCATGCAGGACAGCTACAATCTGGTCTGGAAGATTGTCACCGCCATCCGCACTGGAAATAGAAGTATCCTCGCGACCTACAACACTGAACGTCTCGCTGTTGCCAAAGAACTTATGGTCAAGGACCGCGCCATGTCTGATTTCTACTGTGATGGCCCATCTGTGAACTCAAAAAGCTATCAAAAATTCCGAGAGGACTTTCGGGACTTTGTCAGCGGGGTTGCCGTACAGTACAGTCCGACTATCTTGACGTCCCCTGTAGAGAAAGACCCCCCAGAACACAAGGATATACAGCAACCACACCGACAAAAAATCAGTTCCATGCCCTCACTTGCGACCAATCTCGTGCTGGGTCAACGCATTCCCTCTTACCTCGTTACCAATCACTTCACAGCCGAAGTCGTTCACCTCCATAGTGCTCTGAAAAGCACCGGACACTGGCGTATCCTCCTCTTTCCTGGCACCTTCAGTGGTCGTTACGTATTTGAGCGATATTGTGACCTGGGTCAACGTCTCGAAGCTCCCAACTCATTCGTTCGCACCTGCACACCAATTTCTGCTCCGATTGACTCGATTATCGAAGTCTTGACAATTCACACCGACGACAGAAATGATTTTGATGCCTTGAGCTTACCAAACATCTTTCATCCTTGGCGTGCAGATAAGGGACACCAGTATTGGAGGATTTTTGCTAAAGATAATGATCAAGGAGAGGATGTGTATAAGGCTTTCGGCATCTATGAGAGGATCGGGTGCGCGGTTGTTGTTCGTCCTGATCAGCATGTTGCTTATATTGGTGACTTGTGGGATCTAGAGAGTCTCGGGAGATTCTTTGAGAACATTCTTGCGCTGAAGAATGATGAGAGAGATAGGAAGGGTGTAAATGTCTGACGGACGTTGACGGAGCGGATACGGAAGGGGCTGTGGCTATCTAGTATCTAAAGCTGTGACTGTCGTATGCTCTGCTGGGAATAAAAATGAAAGAGGACTGATCGTGTGCATCGGAAGTTGAGACCACGCTGGTGGGGTCCATCGATTTGATGCCTTGGGCTCGTGCTGAGTGTGATCAGACCTTCAGCGTAGATAAGGATAATCTGCTTTGAATCGAGCTCGCTCCAACCGCCATGCTTAATACTGATCAGACCCCCAATTCTCTACGCAGCGACCTAGTATACGTCGAAATCGTCTAGATTTTGTAGAAGCAAAACGCATGGTAGAAACCAGCGGCCTCCATCTCCTCCTTCGTACCCAAGAACCTTCCTTCTCTATCCTTGACCCTCATCCTCTCGCTCAACGGCCCCAACTCATAATCGTCCTTTTCATCTTCCCAGACCTCGGGGAACGGCTTGCGATACATAAGCTCCAAGCCATACTCTTCAGCAAGGGCACGGAAGCCTTCCCAAGGCACCACAAACTCGGGAACGTCGACTGCTTCTTCGAGGTAGTAGAAGTATTTCCAGCCGAAGGGAGGGCGGAAGACGCCGTCAAAGGGTAGCGGTTGTGAGTCTAGGAACTTTACTCTGTAGATGGAGTTGCCCCATTCCAGAGGCTCGGTTGGGAGGGCTGCAGTTTTGGGTATGGGAGTTGGTTTTTCGTCACCGGCGATGGCGTTGTCGAGTGGAGCTTCGGGATTCCAGTCATCGTTCTCGGCGGTTCCGTTGACTGTCGGTTGCAAACTCTTCTCTGGGTCCCAATCATCATCGTTGCCGGTACCGTTGGCGACTTGAGGGGCTTGAAGGGGCTTTTCTGGGTCCCAATCGTCTTCATCGTTTTGGAGATGTGGGTCGAGACTCTGTTCAGGATTCCATTCATCGTTTCCAGTAGCAGCGTCTTTGGAGGGCTTTTCGGGGTCCCAGTCGTCGTCATCGTCGTAGTTCAGGCCAGCCGGCGGTGAATCTTCTTTTGCCGGTTCTGAGGTCTTGACACCACCTTTCATGTGCTGCTCAATCTTCCTGCGGATGATATCCGAGTTCGGCATGACACCAAGGAAGCGTCCACCCTTTTTCAAAGCGCCAGCAACATTCTTGAGCATTCCTCTGGCTTTTTCCTCGCTCTCATAAGAGTAGTGCAAGCAGAACATCATCGAGACAACGTCAAATCCGCCTTGTGAGAAGCGAGCGGTAATCGCGCCAGTGGTATCTGGACCGGCGTGAGGGTCAAAACCAACCTCCCGTACTATGGGAATGTTTGCCAGACTGACGCCGAAGGCATCTTGAGCAAAGAAGTGAGCTTCAAGATGTTTGGCGTTTCTTGGTCCCCTCCTTCGTCGTTGCATCTCGATATATCTACCTCTTGCTTGGTCAATGGAAACATCGGCCGGATCAACACCGACATAGAGACGCGGTGTCTGAGGAGCAGATTGCCATTTTTGCAAATCACCACCTTTACCACATCCCATGTCGAGGACGATAGGGCGATGATCTCTGTCTTCTGACGGCGAAAACTTTTGGATCATGCATGACTTGACCCAGTTGTTGAGGGAGCGTAAGCCTTGAATCTTGGACTCTGATCTTCTCCAGTCTCTACCTCTTTCCGGGACGGCATTGTAATGGGCAGCGACAAGATCTGTGGGGGCAGTTGCTCTGTTCTGTTGTACTTGCTTGCGTTCGTCCTCTTCACGTTGCAGTCTTTTCTGTTCGGCGGCCTGTCTGGCAGCGACACTGATTCGGGACGAAGCACCAGGACGCTTTCGTGGGGGAGAACGAGGAGGAGAGGGCGGGTCGGGATCGTCGCGGCGAGTACTGCTAGTGAGAGGACTGCGTTGACGTTTGGGAGCTCTGCTCGAGGGAAGGTCGGCCTCTCTTATACGTTTGCGGGATGGCTTTTGGTATTGGTCTGATTCGGGGACGGGAGATTCGGTGGGTGGACTGCGGCGTCCTTTGCTCGGGTCTTGGGGCTGACGAGGCATTGTACGATGTGTCGAAGAAGGGAGTGCGGTCGAGAATACAGAGCGTTTTTATTAGAGGCAGAAGAGGAGTTGAAGACTCGATTCAAGGGCGTGTCGAGTACGAGACTAAAAAGAGGGAGGATGACGGTGTCTCTGTGCATTGGCTATGGGGAAGAAGGTTGTGACGCTCTAGAATAGCAGGCGCCGCCAAGAGCTGAAACAAAGCAGTGTCGATTCTGGAGAGGGACGGCCAAATGGATTTTGCTGTTTGTTATTCGAGGGAGGCGCCCAGAAGCTACCGTCAGTAATGCAAGAATCTGTCAAAATAGAGGTACTCCAGACGGAAGGTACGAATGATCAGACTTGAGTATTGAGTGAAAGCACCGCAGCTCGGTGGAGCTGGCCGGCGTCTCTGTCTCTGTCTGGACGCACGGACGTCGCGAGTCTGATTGGGAAGCTCCAGCATCATCATCATCATCGCCGTCGCCATCAAACACTCACACCGAACTCTCGAATCACACGCGACTCTCCCTCCATCCACTCTTCCCGCCGCCTGTCTCCCCATCCGATACCGCCATCATGGGTGACCCGCAGTACATGAAGTTCCCCGACCTCAGACTGGCCCAGTCTGTCTTCACCCTCGCCTCGCCCTCTGCTCAATCCTCAGCGAAACAATCATCTCTCACAACCCTCCAAGATGCTATCCGAGAGCACAAGATGGCTCCCTTGTACTACTACCTCGCACATCCCCAGACTGGCAAGCTGAATGCTTCCGGAGAGTCTGGCTCGAGCCAGGACACCTCATCATCCTCGCCGCCATCGCTACGAAGAACATCCAGCATCAACACAACCAGCATCATCGGTGTTCTTGGTGGACTCAAGCATACCAAAGGAGCTGATCTGCCTTGGGACGACAAGTTGTACGAGTCGATGAAGCGCGAGAACGACCAAGAGTTGGCTGCTATCCAGAAAGAGGAGGATGAAGCTGCTGAGCGCGAAGGCGATAGTGAAGTCAACGCTGCCCGAGGCAAGCGCGCAGAGTTGTATGCTCGTATTGGTGACAAGGAGAAGGCTCTTGAAGCTTTTGAGATGTTGATGGAAAAGACCGGTATTCTGGCCTCTAAGATTGATATTGTTCTGGCCATCATCCGCATTGCCATGTTCTTCGATGACAAGACTCTGGTCAAGAAGAGTGTTGAACGCTGCTCAGCCTTGGTCGAGTCTGGTGGTGACTGGGTATGTCGCAGTTCCTCCTCTTCTTCAAGAACAAGCCCGTCTAACAAGTTTCGCAGGACCGCCGCAACCGCCTAAAAGCTTACCAAGGTCTTCACCTTATCACCATTCGCTCTCACGCTGCCGCCGCTCCTCTCCTTCTTGACTCTCTCAGCACCTTTACCGCCACTGAACTCTGCTCATACAGCAACCTCGTTGTCTACACCGTTCTCGCTGGCAGCGTAGCTCTTCCTCGTCGTGATTTCAAGTCGCGTGTCGTCGATGCTCCCGAAATCCGCGCTATCGTCGGCTCAGAAGACAGCCACGAGAAACTCGCCGGTCTGTCAGGTGCTGTCTCTGCAAACCCATCGGCCGGCACTGATGCTAGCGCAATGGATGTCGACACCACATCATCGGCCACCCCCAAGCCTGCTGTTGTCAACCTCACTACACTGAACTCAGGCTCCGCCGAGCAAGAAAATGCCGAACCCGAGATCGACTTCTCTCCTCTCGCCCAGATGATTCGCTCCCTCTACTCTGGCCACTACCAAAACTTCTTCCGCGCCCTCAGCACGGTCGAGACCCAGTTCCTCGCACAAGATCGTTACCTCTATGAGCACCGTCGCTGGTACGTCAAGGAGATGCGTCTGCGTGCTTACGCACAGTTGCTGCAAAGTTACAAGGTCGTGGGTCTCGAGAGCATGGCTCAGAGCTTTGGCGTCAGTGTCGATTGGCTGGACCGTGACTTGGCACCCTTTATTGCTAGCCAGCGTCTCCCTTGCACGATCGACCGTGTCAAGGGTGTTATTGAGACACAACGCGCTGGTGACAAGAACAAGCAGTAAGTTATACATGAACTTTGACATTCAAGACACAGATGACTGATTATCGCTTTCAGGTACACTGATGTCGTCAAGCAAGGTGACCAGCTGATTACAAAGTTGCAGAAGTACGGCCAGGTCGTCAGACTGCGTGGAAGTGAGAGAACTTGATTGATCTGCAGGTAGAGAAAGCATTAATGCATGATGGCAAGGGAAATGGCATGGCAAATATGTACCATAGAAGGCAAAATGATCAGGCAAAAGAGCACAACATGCTCCTTCTATCTGTGTATGAAAGTCGCGGAGCAGGATGGTGTTATAAGTTTTGGAGTCCCAGGCAATGCTACAGATGTTTTCATAATCTCCAAAGTTGCGACTCCCTTTCCATTGACAGCACAATCATAGACTGACGTTACGACATGGACAGATTGAACAAAATGCCACTGTTATTGATTATTGATAGTGTTGAAATAGGTCAGGGTGGTATAGCGAACGAGAGCGGCTCGGCGTACCTTCCCCACAAAGACCCCCGAGACGCGGGACCTCACGCATCATCGGCGGCCTCGTTCATGTGAGACGCAATTGCATACACACAATCATACCAAACATGTCGTCAACACAGATTGCTTCTTCGTTCGTCGAGGATGCTCCACCAGGCGAGGTACAAAGTGCTCAAGTTCAACTGTGCATGATGCAAAAGCTAACTCCTGATAGCTGTTCAATGTCTTGACCGGTATACACACATCGCTGCTTTCTCTCGCCTCTCGAACACAACACTCACGCATTTCCAGACGTCAAGGCCCTCACAAGCTCCGAGTCAAGCTTAATCTCCAACATCTCTCCTGCCATTGAGAAGTACCACGAGACACAATTCAGCACGGTCAAGCTACCGGGCGGCAGCGGCAGCGCGCTAGTCAGCCAGTACAACAGCTTGGGCAACAACCGCTACTACGACAGCGCAACCAACACAGCCTTCGACTTTGACCCACTCGAGCAAAAGGCCTCAAATGCTCAAAGCCATGCTCTAGAAAGCCAGAACGCCGACTTGATTCAGAAGCTGAACAAGGCCCTCCGCGCCCACGCCGACGAACACTACCCCTCTGCCACCGTCGGCGTATTTCCCGCCGAGAACGACTCAAAGATCGCCCTCGTACTCGTGAGCAACAAGTACAGTCCCAACAACTTCTGGTACCCAAGCCCTATCACGCCCTAGCAAGAGCACAAGACTGAAACATATTATGCAGGAACGGTCGTTGGCGCGCACACTACCTCTACACTCCCTCAAACTCCTCCCTCTCTGGTACCATCAGCATCGACGTCCACTACTACGAAGACGGCAACGTACGCCTCCAAACCTCCAAGCCCGTCTCAATCTCCAATGCTAGCGATGCCGTCCGCGAAATCGCAAAGATCGAGAAGAGCTACCAAACAGAAGTCAACCAGGCATTCACAAAACTCAATGAGGGTGCTTTCAAGGGTCTGCGAAGACAGCTTCCCGTCACCCGCCAAAAGGTTGAGTGGGAGAAAATTAGTGGTTACAGGGTGAGTCTGGACACAAAATGTGCATAGATGTGACTATTGCTAATACTTTGCATAACAGCTTGGACAAGATATCGGCGGCGGCCGCTCCAGATAGAAACGTGAAGAATCATAGCTCCTGTTTTCAGTTCCAGAATCGTCATATCCGCATGTCTTCCGTGAGCAGGAAGCCGTGTTTGCAATTCATCTTACCCGTGTCAAAGCTTTGTACATACAGTGACCGAATGCTACTGACTCAAACCACATCTTAGATGACTTTCAAGGAGGAAGAATGTTTTCCAGGCAAGTCTCATAATCTTCTTCCAAACAGAGCCCTCAGCTGAAACACTGCTGTATCGATTTCCAGGACATGAAACCGTGATTACTCTGGAGCCTTCAACCTTACAAAGCTCTGAAGACAGGCAGCGACACGGGTCCATGCAGTTTCCCGCTTGCAGACACCAACGACAAATCACAGCTTCACGAGACCTGCACCTTTTCGTTGGTGTTTTGCAGCTTGAAGCTCATAGAGCTCACATAGCTTCAGAGCTGTCGTTCGCAGTCATAGCTTCCTCCTGCCAACAGATATAACCTCGCAGTTCCTGATCGTTCCTTCCTTACCTTTCCATCCTCATCAGCAGGTTTGTATGGTGCGTTTCTTTACGTTTTCTTTTGTTTTTCTTTCTCGTGAGATTATCAGAAAGAGCTTGGGAATTGGTGTTGATGTTTCTTTTGTTTTTCCGGTCATATATATGGCTCAAGGGATCTTGTCTCTTTTGTACCGTCTCCGACTTCGCGGACTCGCAAGGGCTTAGAGTTCATGGTGTGAACTTACTTTGTCTTCCTGTTCATGTATGTTGTTGTGGAGGATTGCTTCCCTCCCACATGTCAGGTCGTGGCTCATTCTGCTGTCGTTCGGCACTTCATTACCCAATCTTCCGCTCGTTCCCCAGATTTGCAAGGACACGGAGAAGGGAGCAGCAGTCTTCTTTGTCTCTCCTATTTTTCCATATGTTGGCTGTGCTGCGGCAGTGAAGATGAGGCCATATGTCCTGGCTCGTTCGTTTTGTCTTTCTCCTGGAAATCCCGCACCTTCCCAGCGTTCATCCGTTCCGGACTGGAAAGGGCCACACCTTGTTCGCGACCATCACGCCCTGTACGAGACTCTCTGATTCACGCCCCGCATGTTGGCAAGGAGCTGTGGTCATGCGTATTCGCTCCTAACCTCAAGATGCCTTCTCGCACATGCGCTATCCTTGCCGACACCGCCGAGAAGGACCGTTACCACCGTCACCACCGTCATCACCGTTACCACCGTGCTCTCGGTCTTTTGCCTGCTTTCAGAAGTACTCAGTGCACCAACAAGTCTCGTTGCCGCAGGCAGGTCGAATTTCGGCTCGTCTCCGTTGCCATGCACACGATGGCCTGCAAGACTTTGAAGAGCCGCGCAAAACTTTCTCTTGTTTGTGTACATGTGCCTGTGGAACGATGGCGCGGATGATAAGTCATATCTTGGCTTTTTCTGTTTCTCTTTATACACGTGGTCGTGGAAGGATGGAATGCTCGCATGTTGAGTTGTTGCTCGCACCCAGCCAGCCCCAATCTCTACTCTGCCCTCATGGTCTGCAAGGGCTTGAACAACGACGCAAGAGTTTCTTTTGTCTTTCTTTTGTTCTTACAGACCATCGAGGATATGCATCAGTTGCTGGGTCTTGACCAGTTTCTTTTGCTTGTTTTCTCTATATGTGGTTGTGGGATCTGTCTGATGCTGCCGAACAGTTCATGGCTTGTCTCACTTGTTGCTCACTTCTGTTATATATGCTTGAGGCTGTCATTGGAGCCGAGATGATGTGTCTCGCTGCTTGTTTCCTTTGTCTTTCTTCCGTTGATTATGCTTCGGCGATGGTAAGGGGTGCGGGTGGTCTGGAGATCAGTATTCTGCTGTTCGATCTGAGCCTCCAGGGGACAGCAGAGTACTGATCTCAAGACCACCCGCGATACCATCGCCGACCTCCAGAAACAGATCGAGCAGAAGGACACTGCTCTCCAATCCAACCGCGAGAATATCGCCAAGCTGCAGGATCAGATCGCGCAGAACGCTGCTGCTCTCGGTATTGTCACCACCTTGACAGACGCCAGCACGAACAAAGACGCCAAGATGAGTGACCTGGAGCAGACTATTGCAAAATTGAGACGCAACAACGGGAGGAATAGACTGAGGGATAAGGTCCCTGGAACAGCCGTTTTAGTGTACGAGACCGCCAAATGCTGGAATGAAGCACTCCAGTCGCTGCGAAGATCATCGTGTCGCTGCTTTGCGTCTGTCAGGAGCTACAGCTCTCAGGTCCGAATTCCGGAAGGCAGCCAGATCAGCTCACGTCACACCTCTACTGGAAGTCACAACGCCCCTTGCTTACCTCACTCACTTCATTGACCAGTTGCTGGAGTCGCGTGAGTTGTTACAGACGTACGAGGCCATGAAGGAAGCACACGCCGATTGCCCAGTCAACGCAGAGCGCATGTAACAAGACTATGACGACCTTTACGAGAGATTCGCAGAACAGACCTTCTACTACTGCTTCTCCTTTTCTACTACTCAGAGCTTCTCGGTGCGTCAGATGCACATCATACCACATTCGCCTGTGGTTGCGATGAGTATACGCTTTTCGTACTGTTTGTTTACCCTGGGTGCAATGCTCCGCCATCCCTGCCCATCCTACTTTACTGGAAATCTCGCGTACTTGAACACCAGGAAAATCAACGCTCTTGGTTGCTTCAGAGACTGAAATAGCGTCGGCCCCTTTGCTCGATGAGTTGTCTCGGAGAACAGAGCGCAAATACACGCGGACCGCGTCTCCCAGTCTGTGAACCATCTCAGCATTCACGACGCAAGCTTATCTGGGAGACCGGGTCAAGTGGTAAGGTCATGATGGCAATCGAGACTGTCACCGCACTCCTTGGCTCTGAATGCTTGTTGATTGAGTCTTCTGCCCGTACCCAGCCATTTCCCTCCACATCTTCCCTGACAACGCCATTCATGAAGACAAGAAGAAAGGCAACAAGAAAAGCCAAAGGTGCATGATCCAGAACTCGACTCTGGCGGAGCACAGCCCAAACGCAGTACCTGTAACATGCTTCTGGCTGCGCTGTATATATCCTTAAACTTTCGCTGTGTTTGGTGAGCCAAGAGAGGTGGCAGAATGCTCGAGGCAGTCGCCCAGACCGACGCGGCATGGAGAGTCTACATCATGCGCTGCTGGCCAAGTGCAGAAGCCATCTCCTCGCCGCCAAAGTCTTCAAGCACGCCCTATGGAAAATCGACATCAAGTACTCGATTTGGCAAAGGCATAATCGCTCAAGTGCAATAATTATGCCAAGCCAGTTCCTGGCGTTCGTATGGTGGGCCTTTCATCGGAGCTTATCTGAGCCTGTAATGGCGGTCTCCGCGGCTGCATCGACTATCGCGCCTTGAACGATCTTACTATCGAAAACCGCTACCCTATCCCCTCATTCGCGAAACCCTTAAGAAGCTCTGCAATGCCCGCTACTTCTCCAAGGTCGACGTTATTGCTGCCTTCAAACGACTCCGTGTTGCTAAAGGACATGAGTGGCTGACCGCCTTCTCTACGCGGTATGGCCATTACGAGTACCTCGTCATGCCCTTCGGCCTTTGCAATGCCCCAGGTAATTTCCAGTCCTACATTAACGACACCCTCCGCGAGCACTTGGACGACTTCTGCTTTGCGCACATTGACGACGTGCTGATCTTTAGCTCTTCGCCCAAACAGCACGTTACTCATGTACGCACCGTCCTGTCTAAGATGCGGGATGCAGGTCTCCAGGCAAATGGAGAACGATGTATCTCGCTGCCTCTCTGTCTTGCTTTGTTTGTGTTATATATCCATAAGTAATGGCAAGGGCAAGAGAGAGGAGGCTGGAAGGGAGGACTCTTGGCATCCCATCCTGCTTTTCTTCTCGCATTTGCAGACAAGGCATCCATCTGCCTCTGCAACGCTTGAGGTTGTATTTGAAGCACTTCTGCCTATGCGGTGGCACCAACGTGGCAGCGTCCTATCTGGCAGGAGCAGCCGACCTCATCAACGCAGAGCTTGTCACCGCCTTATGCCTCATTTGTTTGTGATTGCGACAAGAAGGTTTCTCGTTTTGTTCGCCCAATCCATCTGTTTCTGCCCGGTGAGGAGATGGATGACCGGCAAACTGCATGGAGAACCACATCAGATTGCATGGACAGAGAATACACCTCAGTCGACCGTCCCGCCAGCAGAAGCGCCACCGTTCTTTTTCTTGTTTATATATGCACAATTTCTCGCAAAGGCAGAGGCAGAGGCAAGGGCTAGCGCTGTGCTCGGGATAGCCTTGAAACAGTCTTCCGCCTCTACTTGCTGATCGTTGGGTTCAACATACCCACCACAGCCAATTGTGACTCTGGAGATGCTGCCTTTCAGCCTGCCAGAGCCGCAGACCATACCAGTACCGAGCTCGTCACTGTCCTTGCATTGCGGCCGTGATGAGAAGATGTCAGCCCAGCTGTTCTGGTACAGGATGATCTCTGCTCCGCACTGCGCTTCCGTCTCACAGCCTAATACCGTCTCTTCCATGATAGGTAGGGCAAGAAGTCGGGTGAACATTATCGCTATACCGCATCGTTATCGTCATCATGTCGACCCAGACTCTGTGAAAGGCCAACAAAAAGCGCGTGATCAAGTGATGGCACTGGCTGTCATTTTGAGCTCGGGAGGTGTGCTTCCATCTTCCGGCATCATCGACAGGCGTTTAGAAGACATCATGATCAACGCCAGAGTCGAGGACCCGAATATGCTCATCATCGAAACTCGGACACCAACCTGCACTTCTGCCTGCGAGCAAATTCTGCCAGAGGGAGCGTGGTGAGCCTGACCGCAGTCGCTACTTGAAGCTGTTTTCAACAGTCTATCTTGCGCTGTCAACTCCACGGAGCAGTCATAAGCCTTGGTCAGAGAATCCAAGTGGCACAATGACCCGCCATAGCTCGTTGGTATCTTTGCGCTTGATGTGTGACACTCCTGCGGCTTGCTTCCCGAGTTTCTTGCTTTTCGAGAGATCCTACTCGAGGTTCAGGGCAACGACATCATCCCCTATCTCCACGCCATTGATCAGCACCTCCATCAGCTTCAAGAGCGTGCATTTCGGTTTGCAAGTCGTCAAGAGATACTCATGAACCGCATCAACGACCTCGAGAACCTCTAACAATCAATCGGCGTTCGTATGTGCAAGAATCTCGAAATGGCTATATATTCGAAGAGGATACAGGATAGTCTATTGACGCAACTCGTCCCGGTCTTTACAATCTTTCCAGCTAAGAATTGCGGTCAGGTGAAAGGGAGCACATAATACGTCTTGACACGTTCGTTTATTCTCCTTTCTCTCCGGGGCACCGCAGCCTCACTTTAACAAACATCAACTTCATCCACCATGAGCGACAAGATGGGAGTAAAAAACACCCCAAAGCGTGTGTACGTCCGACGAAACAGCACAAAACGTGCCATACAGTATCCAACCTTCAAATGAAGAGAAGTTCCTGATTTCGTTCCTTCTGACCAATATGAGAGGCAACAAAAAGATTTGCCCGACAAAAGAACCCAGCAAGAACGACAATTCAATTCATAGAGTGTCTTGCTTATGTTCTTTATATATACGTTGGAGAGTGACGTATCCAACATCACCGCCATGATAGACAGCAAGTGACGCCTCAGCCTATTCCCAACGTGCCCACTCATGCCTTGCAAACGTTTGCCCTCTGTTCAAGGCAGTAAGGACACCTTGACCAAGCCTCCTGCTCCTCATACTGTCGGCATTGTCTTTCATACCTCTGCCACTGTCCATGAACCACACAAGGTGTTGTCTTAGACACAGTCTACGCGACTTGTGTGAATGCCATCAACCTGCAGATATGTGGATTTCCACGCTCAGCTTGGCGCAAAATGTTTGGCTGTTGATATGGCAGACTTTAAATTCCGCGAGACCTGTTTTGCTAAGACTGTAAGGCCAGGATTTATGAACTCGTGTTCTCAATTGGTTGCATATCTGGTGCTGGTGTTCGCCGCTGGTCCGAAGAACAAGAGAAACTTCCCAGAGATTATTCGACAGTACACGACAGGCGCCTGGGAAGCAGATGTCCCATTCGATGGCTGACTCTACCATATCCGGGGCGTGTATCATTGGACACTCGTTTAAAGTGCTTTGAATCAATCCTTTATCATACTTGTTTTGTCCCCCTGAAGCTCAAGCCATAACGGCAAGCCATCTATCGTCACACCTGAGAGTCACTCCCATCAGAGACATCACAAGCAGCACTGAACGACTCAGGAAGAGTTCCTTGGATTGGCAGAGTACTCTGAGAAAGACTTGGAGTTCAGCAAGATCATGATACTTTCAATGGCTCGCCTGGTGGGAAACATCAAGGACGTTATATACAGCGGAGATCTTTATGCATGTTCGCAACAGAACTCAATGCTGGCAGTCTGCCATCTTTATTGTGCACTCAAATCGCACGACTTGATTATGGAAGAAGCGAGGTGGGCGATGTGGAGCTTGATGCTTGAGTCCCCTTCCTCATTATATATGTGTCAGACAAAGACCTTTCATGTGAACACCACGACGAGGAAGATTTCACGAATGATTGTCTGCGGCGTCTTCAACTGCGAGCAGGGCAGAACCTATGCTCAAGCCAGCTCATGACTGGTGTTCGCAAAGAGTGTGAGCTCATCTTTAAGCATGAATGAATACGATTCATTGGTATCTCAGCTCAGCGACTTTGAATTTATTGCCGCTGTGTAGTTGTATATTACGCACACGTCGTCGATACTCATTCTTCGCTGAGATCAACTCCAAGCTCATTCCTGATGGGCGCCATTTGACCTTTTTCTTGCTATATATAATTAGAGGAATTCTCCCCGAGTTGACCTTGTCAGACAGAGTCAACAAGAAGTCAGACGAGTATTGGAGATTGTCTACGTCTCAACAAATCTTCTTGGACCTACACAGAGTGATCAATATGAATGTGGTATCACGTGTTTGATTCGCATAGAATAAAACAACTCCAAAACTCTGCTCAGGGGAATTGATCTCCAAAAGCGATGCTGCAAAAGGATTCACATCCGGTGAGGTAGTCACATTACCACCACGAGTCTTGCCACGTATGGAGGTTGGAACTACACTCAAGCAGGCATGCACGTATGATCGAGGCGCTATCTCCCTCTATACACAGCTCAAGGCACTTAGCGATCCCACACGCCGACAAAACCGACAACACCGACAACACCACTGCCCGTCTCGTCGGTGGATGTCCACATAATGTTTTATCGGCAAAGTTTTGTACATTTTGCGGCTTTATCAATGTATAAGTCACAACATCCCACGGGATGCCAGAACAACATGAAGTGTGTAGGAACATCTTACTGTTTACCACAACTGCTTTCAATGGCTGTGACTTGAGACAAGTCTCCTCCACTTCCACAACTCAAAATCACAATCTCAACAAGATCAATGGTCATGGACCTGCTTGACAAGCAGTCGGCCAACTTGTGATTGAAAGGATTTGTAGATAATGCTTGAACTATGAAACACGGACGAATCAATGGTGACTAGACAACACCCTTCTTTACCAGGGTTGGTATAGTCTGGAGAGCTACATCACAGTGAAATCTATCGATTCATGCTGCCTAGACCACTGGAGCAGATATGATATCATACCATGGAATCGTCTAAGTTCTCACTTGGAATCATAAGTCAAAAACAAAGTAGTATCACCTCGATGTTCGATAAACCAACGTCCTCGAGTGCAATGTTCGTAACGCGGCAAATCATCAGACTGCACAATTCTCTCAAGCACTCGTAACTAACGAGATACAGTGTTATTCAGACTCTTCTTGGATACAGTTCTAATCTCGAGAAAACTGTGCCTTTCTACAGTCAGTACTGCGCTATGTGGATTCGTACAGAGAGGAGTGTTAGGAACGTTAGATCACAAACTGTGGCAAAGGTTGATGGAGCAAAGGAAGATAAAGCGTGATACATAAATACGTGCGCTGCCCTCAATGCTAGATCTCCACCTATTGGGGTACTATAGTTCGTCCCTGACCTCTCCAAAATGTGCAGCCGCGGGATTCTTGTCCGACAATCCTCGCTTCACAATACTAGTCACAACTTCATAGACAATCTGCGCCGCAGCAATGGCCGTCACATCTCCATGCCCATCATAAGCAGGCGAAACCTCCACAACATCAGCCCCAACGATATTCAACCCCTCAATCCCACGTAAAATACGAATAAGCTCACGAGTTGACCATCCACCAGCCTCAGGCGTACCCGTGCCAGGTGCAAAAGCAGGATCGAGCACATCGATGTCAATGCTAAGGTAAGTCGGTGTATCTCTTCCCACGCGTGCGATTATTCTCTCGACAATACCTTCTACACCGAATCTATCGAGATCGTCTAGTCCGATTTGTGAGAAGCCTTTTGTGAGTCATGCTATGATGCGTTAATGAAGGCTAGTAACCATCGTGGATGACATAAACTCACGCGATAGCTATGGCAAAGCTGCTGTTGAAGTTAGACGAGGGGCGAAGTAGCAGCTGGGAAGGCGAGGGGAAAGAACTGCAGAGCAGAAGTGGTGGTGAACAGGAGTTGGGGACTCCGTCATCAGATAAGTCATGGGGTTTCTGGGTGTGAGTGTAGAAGTTCTGGTATAATTGTGTGAGAACTGGCTGTCGGTGGTTGTTGACGTGCAAGTTCTGAGTGTGGTCATTAGAGTTTAAGTACTAGTCGTTCTCGTATCATATTTTGTTCGACGGAACATAAACACAGAAATGCGGGTCGAGATCTCATATATGGTCGAAAAAGATCACGTCGTTACGGCAAAGAGAGTAAAGCTTAATTTATGGTTCAGTTCGTTACTCTTGTATTCATTGTGCTGTGTTTGAGGCACCAAAGTTTTCGTATCCTAGGAGCGCTTCGATTTCGTAGCACAGGCGAGTACTCGAGCGATCTTCCAGCCAGCATTGCATTCTTGAACATGCTCACGATGGACTGCCGTGATTGATGATTATCTAGACTTGGGATCAGTACGGATGACTGGCACAGAGCGATAGCCATCATGTAGTCTTACCTTGAAAGCGTCATCAAGCAGCACCATCGTCCTTGGACTGGAATCCGGATTCGGAGGCAACAGCGTCACTCTCCTTGATCTGATTAGTGCCGTCGTTGGCCTTGTTCTCCATGTTGACTGCGATTTCGGGCTGCTATGCACACGATCAGTACTGATACCATGCAATGTGCGTGATTAGCGGGAATGGGATGACCTACGTTCTTGGTAAGGAGCTCATTCTTGTCGACTCTGGAGGCAGAAGGAGCATTGTGACCAGGGGCGTCGTCGTTCTCCTACACGACAGCGTCAGTATGATTCCCCGTGCTGATACGCAAGTGACCTACGACCTTAGCTAGTATCTCGGTGACAATGCGGTCGACTTCGTAGTCTCTGACCTCGTCGTCCACTTCCTCGGTCTCTCTCTTGAGTTCTTCGGCCTTCTCGGCTCTGTGTCTGAAGAATTCCTCTTTCGATCCCTCGTAGCCGGCGACGGTTTCTTCTTTGGTAGGCATGACCTACAACAATGTTCAAAACAAATCCTGTGAACAGATGATGGACAACGCTGCTTACCATGATCGCGGTCGTTGGTTCCAAAGATTTTGAAGGTTGGTGAGATCGCGTCGATCGCTTTAAATGTGAGAGAAGGAAAGCAGCAGGAAAAGGAGCAGCTGCGAATATATATACAGTGCACTCTCACATGACCCGACCGGAAAATTCGTGCATGGAAAATTGGTTCCAGACTCACTCGGATTGATAAGCAACTCGACGTGTGATAGTTCCGGATTGGTGACAACAGAGGCATATATATCACAATTTATCAGGTTACTTTTCTGGATCATGGAGGTGGGTCTAATTCCTAAGAAAAGCAGCCCGGATTAGGGTCTTGTGATATATGTATTCACAGAACAGGAGACCAGGTTCCGAAGGACCTTGAGTCGTTCCTCGTCCCTAGAGGCTGTTCGAAGCACGATTCACATGTGTTCATACATGTCAATTCGATCTTTAGGAGACTTTGTTGGCGGAGTTGTCGTCGGTGACGTTATTACCGGTCTTCTTGCCGTCTCCAGCAGAGGTGGTGGTGCTTTCGCTATTGACATTTCCATCTCCACTTCCAGGCTCCTATGTATGCGATAAGCATGGATTCGACTTCAGATGTAGGCTTTGGAAGCGGAACTACGTCTTTCATGGCTCTAGGAGCAGCGTTCTTCTTGTAACCGATGGTAGAACGAGCCTTGATCTCAGGTGCATTGGCCTCATCCTACGCCGTATTGTTAGCATAGTCGTCCCTCGTGAAATCGAGGCGTAGGTGACTGACCATCTTGCCGCGCTCTTGCTTGTTACGAAGGCCGGCCTCGTACTCACGAACCTCTGCCTCCGTCTCTGCGATCTCTTGGGCGACCATGGCGAGTTCTTCGTTACGTCACTCGAGGAACTTCTCCTAAAGCCTCTATAACCTTGAACAATCTCTTCTTTCGATGGCATGACCTGCGAAGTTGTCAGATTCGCTGCTACGACGGAGAATATCGAGGTGGCGTACCATGACTGCAACTAGAGGTTGTAGGTATCTTGGGGATTGATTGTGCTTGCGATGGTCGCGTGTTGTGTATGCGAAGGAGAGAAAGACGTAGGTTCGGGAGCAGCTGCGAATATATATATATACTGTGCGCTCTCATACAGCACTACTGGAAAGTTCATGCATAGCAAAATAACGCTGGACTCTCACTTATACTGAGACGCAACTCCTCTTCATGTATACTACGGTCCGTTCTGACGTACAGTAGGGAAGCAGTCTGGCCTGACATCTTACATGATATAACACGATCACGTTGCGATGGCTACAGGAGCAAGGTTAGGTTTGTACTTCATCTCCTGGCTGCTCGGAATCTGTTTGTGACGTGATAGATGCACATAGCTCATAGTTGTGTTGATCGTATTCTGAAACACTCTATGTCTGCAATGCAAGCGGAAAACCCTTTGATGATATCTTCTTTCGATGGAGGTGAAGTGTCGTCCTGCGACATCGTTAGAGATGTGTCTGTAAAGGGGTTAAAGCAAAGTAGAATACCATTGTCATGTTTTGATGTAACTGCGAGGGAAGTTGAACTCAATCGCGACGTCTTACGATGTGGATGGAAGAAACATTTTCGCAGACTTACAAGCAGCCGTGAACATATACTGTGTAATTTCACACGATACGACCGAATATTCATGCTCGGCGAAACAGCGAAGACATCTTTCGTATGGGTAGCTCGACGATTCGTAGTATGCATACAATCGATCTGACTACTTACAATAGAGCGTGTATTATTTGACCAGATTGTTCGATATTCTCATCGGTTACCAGTCTGAGATGGCTAGGCGTTGTTGTGTGACCCGAAGTTGCTATATAAGTGATTGCGAGAGAATCGCAACAACACTCAGTCCTGGTGTACCATGTTTGATGAGCATTCACTCTTCCATCGTGATGACCAGCAAGGAGCATAGCGTGAACGAGCGATACTCTGAGGATCTCCTGACGTAGCATGCTCCTGGCGTCTCTTCCAAATGCTGTTCCGCTTCAGATGGCTTGCTGTCGGCGCCCAGGTAGTTTAACGGTTGCATGAAGGTCTTTGAGTTGGTCAGAGAGTTAAGAATGGCGATCATGAACGTAATGATACAGGTGCGATGACATGCTCCGGAGGGCTCGAAACCTGTGTTGCACTACGTGGATGTCAAGACACCGGTCAGATGCGGAGCTGAGAGCCAGATCTATAGCTTTGCTCCATCTCGATGAGTAATATGGTATTGAAGACAGTGTTTGCTACTGCTAATTCTCTGGAAGCGTCTGGCTGGCAGACACAAAGGCTCCTCGTTTAGCAGCCCATTGAGTCTTTTCAGAAGCATCGAGGATTCATCCGTACAAAGACTGCGCTTACGTTTGTATCAAGGAGTCAGTAGATACATCAGGCATAGATGACCGAATGTCGGGATTGTTGACAATGTGTGGCGCCCAGCGCGTTATGAAAGTCGCGGAGCAAAGTCGAGTTACGCTCGATCCAAGATGCTATTCTCTGCTGCCGCCCAGTGATTAGATGCATTCAAGTCGAGACACTCAATATTCATCCGATATGGTCTAGTGGCTAGGATTTCTCGCTCTCAAACCGTTCGAAAGAACAATCAGGTCCGAGGAGGCCGGGGTTCAATTCCCCGTGTCGGAAATCTTCTTTTGCTTTGCTTTTTGTAAATACCATCATCGGTTCTGTTTGCCATGTCTGGTCTGCACCGTGTGTGATTCTGTAGGTCAAAAGAGGGCTGTGAGGCGAGGATGGTGCGGAGCTGTCAGACGTTGTGAACAGAACAGTGATGGGCGATCAAAGCATCACCCCTTGGCTGTTTGACTTAAGTCGAGCTTTGTTTCTCGATTTATCGTTACGCATCTCTTCAGAGCTCTACTGAAAGTTCAAGAATGGCGATCCTGACGCACGAGCGAATGTCACAAAGTTTTGCTTGACAATGACTCTCAGGCCACCGATGCTAAAGGAAAGAAAAAAGTTACAGTAGGTGAAGGGATGTCATTAAAATTCTAGTCTTCTTTCTCAAAATTCATCCTATCCGGCCACATTTTCTCGAAAAAGCTCACCAGTAGCTCATCAATGCGGTTCCGAAGTTTGCCAGTATCCTTGATATCGTCATTCAAACACAAGAATGTCAGTGGTCCCCTAGCCCACCCTAGCCTAGATCTCCAATCTTTATTTTCTGATTTGGTGAAGCTCACCTCATCAACTTGACCATCCTCTTGTACCTTGAGCTCAATCTCGCTCATCTTGACCTCAAGATCACCAGCTCTTTCTACCTTGTAGAGATCACTTTCCACCGATCCAAGGACGTACGAATATCTTTGGATGAGCCGGATGCACCAGGTCCGAAGCGTCATGTTTGCTGGTAGAGAGCCTTTTGGTATGGCATCAGGCATCGAGAAGTCAGTCGTCGTCCAGTTAGAGGTCAAGGGTAAGTGTGGCGGACTAGTGAGAGTGTCTGAATAACTCGCTGAATCTGCTCCAGCAAGGTGGTCCGGCAGGAACTTGTCGATACCAGATACCCCACTCGCACCAATCAAGGCGGTAACAATGCAGTCTCCACATCTGGGATTCTCGAAAGCTATGCGCTTGAAGAAGTCGTTTGCAGTTTCATTCTCTTGGGATACGCCAAAACAGGTTAAACGATTGATGACGCATGCGTTGGCTGCGACGAAGTTGGGATCCTGCGTGAGTTGCGACGATGTGTTTCCCATAAGACCGCTCGTAAGGTCTGGGTAGCCATGTCTGGGCCGATTCCACGGCCACATTGAGTCAACATATGAAAGTGCATATCCGTCCTTACTCGAGAAGGAATATTCGGTCGAAGTGGGTAGACTGATGTTCGCCTTTTTGAACACTTCTGTATCCAAAATCGGAGCCCGGACAGGCACACTGATGTGCAGAAGAGACTTCGATGACGCCGTCCCTCCAGCCAGTTCCTCCCACATATCATCCTTGGTCATAGTGGAAAGTTCTCCGCTAGTCCCTCCCCATTTTGCGACTACCCAGGACCAAAGTAATGCTTCGCGGTGACGCTCCACAACGTACCACGACCCTAAGAAAACGGCCTGAATGGAAGCCGGAACATCATCTTGTGCACGGAATCGTGACAGCGGTGTATTAGTGAAGGCTTCGGGAAAGGTCTGGGCAGCTTCTCGGAGTAGAGGAAGCCAGAGAGTCCTGGGATGATGGGTAATGTAGTAGTACGGGCGCATTGAGAAGCGCATTCCAAGGACCCAAGCAGCACGCTTAATGCCAGGCTCCTCGCCAGCAGGGTTGAAAGTACGCCAGATGGTCTTCTTCGCGGGCAGATACATGCTCGTGAATCTTGTTAGTGTTTTGATGACCGGACCATAGAGAGGAGTCGTAAAGTCGGACACGGCGAGTTTCCGTAGTGTGAAGAAGTCGTCGTTGAAGTAGACAAGCTGATCGGAGGACACATGGTCGATGTTCTGAATTTGTGCCTCTACCGCTAAAGAGTTGAATGTAGGCAGAACAGCTTCTCTCCATTCTTGTGTCTTTTCCGATGACAGATTGGTTCCAGGGCTTTCGATGGGCTTGAAATAATCCGCATCATGGTGCAGCACGACGGCACTTTCGCCAGTGAGTGCCTTGGCCTTTTCAAGCCAGGTAGGCACTTGTCCAGTCATCATCTTACCACTGGCGTTGGAATGACGATACGCACTGGCCAGGATATGCATCCTTTGCATGTTTTCGTTGCCCAGAGATGTCAATGCAGAGCGCATAGAATATAGCAACTCGTTGTGTTCGACATATCTGTGAGCTGCGTCCATTTTCATGGCTGTGCCAGGTTTATACTGTTCTCTTGCGGCAATCTGTAGAGGGTCGGTGCCATTGACCCATGCCCATACTCCGTCCACCTTGAGTCCCTCGCTGAGATTCGTTCCCGTGCATGCGGAACTCCATTGATGATGTGCAACCCATTCTTCCACGCACTCGTCACTCATAGCCTCGTAAGCCTTGATGCTGAGAACTTCGCGGCTTGTCGGACATGGATCGATGCTTTGAAAACTGTGATGCGTCTCATCCTCTTGGACCTGTACTTGCAATTGGGTCTCGTCCAAGTGGGTGTATGTGCTTGGTTTGGCGAAAAGATAATGTATGTGAACAAAAAGCAGCCAGGCAAAGACAGTGCTCGCAACAAAGGTCGCTTTATGGAGCAGTGGCCTCCTTCTTGGAAGCCACGTCGGTTGGAACATGAGCCAGCAGGTCGATCCTGTCGTAGGGTGGAAGAATGCTGCTTGGCGGCGAGCCACGAGATCGAAGCATATGCTTTTTCAAAGATCAATCATTGACCGAATATCGTAGATACAGATGCCGAACAAAATCGTATAGAAACAAACGCATACGAAGTAAGTCGCGTGCCCCCATGCCTTAATAGGTGAGGCACGGGGTACCAGGCACCCGCCAACCTCATTCCCGCCTTTCGTTTTTCCGTTCATTTGGGCAGTGCATTCTGCCGCTGAGCACGTCATATGAGGTCTTCGAGCGCCCAGGGAAATCCATCCAGAAAGTGTCTCAAAGTGGTAGTTGTTTGGTTGATAGAAAATCCTTGGAGCGGCACCCAGCAATCTTGTCTTCATTTGCTGAAATTGAGTTCAACGGTTTTGTAGCGCGAAACAGCCGAGATGTTGTGCCATGTGGCCGTGACGCGAGTCATGTTCTGAGTCGAGTGATGCGAGACAGTCTAGATACACGCTAATTTCGGGTAATTGGACATGCAAATACTTCAAAATCGATTGCAAATGTTTGATATTGGTATGCCCCTAGGCTAATGACTAGGGCTAGCAGACTTTCGCTATGTAGTGGTGGCTATATAGGTACCCAATCGTTACAGCTCTTAATTCCTTCTAGCGTTGCGCCGTTGCTTACTGCTCCTCATAGTACGGGGTACCCTGCTGTCCGATCGCAAGTCTACAGGTCCGCATATCTAGCTCGCAGAAGCGACCTGAAGCCCTGCAATGGATTGAATAACGGACTTTAGTAGTAGGAGCGAGCAAATTTACGATTGTTGTCACAAGACCCCTGTCATGGATCCATGTTTGACAGCTGTCTTGCGGCTTGGCCTTTTCCTCATGTCCATATCAATTTCTCCACAATGATCGAAGCCCCTAGCGCTACCGGAACTCACTGCGTTGAATATCATTCTTGAATCATCATGTACTGAGACTACTCAATAGAAGCTATCCATCTCTAAGCAAGAGGGGTAGTGCGAAGATGACGTATTCACCTTGACACGATATATATATCATACCCAAAAGGCAAGATTATACATGATGAAAAATGACCCAGCCAGAAACTCCACAAGCACCCCATAACTCCTTGCCAAAGCCCTCTGTCGTCCTTAAACACCTTATCATCAACAAATCAGCTTAGCCAGATCTTGACGCAGACGTTTCCAGCAGTACACAAAGCCCTCCTTACTCTGTCTATAGAACCATCTCTAGAGAGGGACCCCAAATTTTCTAGCTGATCACAGATTAAGGGCGCAACGAATTCCATCTGTGTACTGAACATAGACGGTGTTAGAAAGGACGAGGTAAGGTGCTCCACGGTCGTTGCCATAGGAATTGCGGTAGCAACGAAGTTCCATTGTCATTGGCAGGGCAAGGACAGTGCTCAATTGCATGCCCTAACAGGAAGATGTAGACATGCTGGCATAGTCGAAAAGAAGTAAGCAGCACCATCGTGGCAGCAACCTCTTGAACCTTCTTCTAAGTGGCGACCTAGGCCTTCATCTCGCCCAATCTCTTCTCTAAGAAGCTCTCATTCTTCTGCTTCTGCTCCTCGAGAGCCTCGATCAAGTCATTGTTGTCCTTCCTCAGAATTTCCATGCGCTCGGTCATTGAGTCCAGGGCCACAGGGAAGAAGGTACGCGGACCCGAGGCTTGATGGAAAGATTTGAAGCTGATGGCGATTGTCTCCAGACTTAGTGGCTTCAATACGTCGCGTCCAAACTGGACGCACTCCTTCCGCTCTGAGAGCGTGCTTCTTGCTGACAAATTCGATAGAGACTAGGTTTTGGATCATTGAAAGTGCATGAGAACGACACCGAGAATAAGTACAAGGCCTGTGAAAGCACCAGAGAATGTTCTTCTCCTCAAGTCGGACAAAGGTAAAGCCAGCATTCCACCTCGACTCAGGTCTAGTCAATATTGACACTGCATCCAAACTCATGCCATCATGCTTCATAGATCTCGAGTAGGACAATGTCCATGGTGCTTTCGAATGACTCTCGCTCTTGATGGTCGAACCTCGGCGTTGACATGTGCATTCAAGGCAGAAGCGAGGTCTTGATGCGCTCGAGCTCGTCGTCTTGACCGTGACCAGTGAGATCGTCAATGGTTTCCTCGAGGATCTCGAAGATCTCCTCCCTAAGAGGGATGCCGGTGATCTTGACGATCCGATCCTCGTAGTCGGCGTCGGCGGCATCGGCCTCGTCTTCCTCCTCGTCTTTGTTGTCGTAGTCGAGGGATCACGGGAAGGACGACAGGGGGTGCGGCAGGTTGAGCACGGTCATGGCAGCGCTCGACCTCTGCTGTCAGGTCCCTGGCAAGGATCGGGTCGGTCACCCACTGGGCATTGTGAGTAACACCGGCCGTGACGTGGTCCTTGTTGTTGCTGATATATAGTATAAAGCTATACAAGGGAAAACGTCATGAATGACCTGCTGTCAAATTATCTTGGGAAACTGTTTCGAGGAGCAACTTAACCAAGATTTCTTGCTCTGAGCTATATATCAGAAAGGGTGCACAAAAGTCCGGCGGATACGAGGTGAGGACTGGAGGTTGGGATCACGACTTATTACCAGATTTTGGGATCAGATCTCTCGCCAGGAATATAAATCATCTTGCATTCGACGCAGGGCTTCTTGGTAGGTTTTGCGAGAGGAACGGGAGGGGCAAGAGAAGGAGACTGAGAGATTGCTTCCAAACACGTGGACTTTTCTTATCTCCAGCACAGGACTCGTTCATCATGTCCGTCAAATAGCTCATGGCTGAGATGATGGTCAGGGTGTGGAAGGAGAGGGCCTAGTAAATGCTTGTGATTGGTTCCGTGACTTTACAGCTTCGGTGCAGTTGGGTGTATAAGTGCAGGACATGCTGAGGTTCTGCACCAGGCGAGTGATGTCAGACTCTCATAAGTGGTCGCCGGTGTTGTTGTTGACAGCAGGTCTTTGCTCTGTGACAGCAGGGACAGGGGTTATTGTCACGGCCTTGAGGCCGCGACGTCATTGTTACAGACATCGCGTTCAGCCTCCGAGATAGTGGGCATGTGGGTTGACAGGGCACCATAGAGGTGGTGGAATGGCGCTTGGCACTTGCATAGTCTTGCTCTGGCTCGACATCGCTCAACTTGCGCTTCTCGCCGGCCGAACGGCTGCTCAAGGGCTCGATGCGGTCGACAGGAGTAAAGAAGCGGTGATCATCACGAAAGGGGTCGTTGATAACGACATGCTGCGCCTGCGCTGCTTGGTGGATGACAGGGCATGGCAAGGGCACTTGGGGTTTGTGACGCTTGGCGTTGGTGTGATTGTGCTTGGGTTAAGACAAGCTACGTGTGTGTGACTGTGGTCTCTGGAGGAACAGGATGGGACTGGGCACGATTCGAGACGCTGCGAGCGGTCACATCCTTCATAGCGTTCAAGACTGTGCTCTTTGCTTCGTGAAGGCAGACTGTAGTCGACGATGCTCTGATTTCTTCGACTTCCGAGTCATCCAGGACCCATCAAAGAGATTGGCCACATGACGATTCTGAGGCAAAACGTCCCTCGTACTGCCCAGTCTGAGAAATTGGCCTAGTCATCGTCGTCGTCAAAACTTGAGCTATCGGAACCGTCCGATTCCACCCAGTATGTCTGATCCGGATAGGCATCTCTTCGGCTGCAAAATCTCGACTCCGTTCATCCTGGGTAGCCATCGCTAGCGCTCTCGTCTGAGGCCTCTGCATCAAAGACCTTGACAAAAGGGCGCTACTCATGTGGTAGGGCCTTATATACCGCGTCGGCCGTTTTTCTAACACGCGCCATGATATCTGCATCCACTACCAAGAACATGTGGTATTCTGTTGTGCCTGCCAAACAGTAAGGAACGCTTTCTGGAAGTTACATCCCTCCATGTAGACATCTGAGGCAGATCAAGAGAGATTGTAGAAGATTGATCTATTGGAGATAAGACGAAAAGAGTTCCACATCGAAAACCTTGAAGTACGTTCCGTGCTCCAAAACACACTAAAGACATCTTGGAAGCTTCCATGGAGTAAAATTGTGATTCATAATCGTTTTGAAAACAAATTTGCGGCGCTTTGTAGCCATACTGCTCTATCCTCTGGTTCTGAGGTCTTGGAAAGTGCGCGACGGAGCGTCTGAAGTGTGTTCGGACTGTTGATTGACGGAAGCATTTGTGGTAGAGTTGGTGACTTCGATGAAATGCGGAGCATGATGTATGCATCGACATGATAGCACAAACAGTATTTGAGGGAAGCAAGGCAGATGTCGAAAGCCATCTCTCCAACCCCCTGGGAGTACCGGAGAACTTGACGTGTGTGACGTGAACAGCACCAAAGTTGTTGTTTCATGACATCGTTGGTGGTGGGCCAGACATGATATATATGTACAAGATATAAGCAGATATGAGTATGACACTTTAAAGTCTCAGGCGATGGTACTGAAGTTGGAGAGATGCGATGATCAGAAAGTCAGATCTGAAAAGTTGGTGAGCATATATATGCATCAAGAACAAAGAAACACTTTTCCAGAGCTTTCTGACGAAAGGCCAGATCTGAAGCTTTCACAAACACCTCAATGATAAACGAGACGCTTGGAGTCATGGGTTTGCTCGAGCGAGAATCCTAAGCCTGCCTTTGATTGAATGCATTGGGGACAATCCGGGTTGAGATAAACTGCTGTGGCTTGACATTTGCATGGTCAACATTGGAAAGCGGCGGTGGCACGTGTTGGAAGCGACAAGCTCCTGGTCGTACCCCCTGTTTCTTCTTCCATGTTGAACTTTCCTACAAGCTGAATGCAGATGAAGAGCTTTGCCACTGGCTCAAAGACGTGCTCATGGATCTCTGTTCGGTCAAAGATCTGTGCTGCTTGACGGTCTCTTATCACACTCTGCAAGCTTACGAAGAAGCTCGGCGAGAACCATTAGAGAGACAAACAAGGCAGGCAGCTTGTGAGAAGGTGATGTGAGAAGACCGAATAGTTGGAATAACGATAAAACTTTTACTTGCCGGACATTACGGCGACAAAATTGTCCCAGAAGCCGAGGTCGTAGATATTGTCCACCATATCGAGACTTGTACATCTTTCCCAGAGTTGTTCCTGTCCTGTGGGAGCCTTTCCGTCTGTCGTGCTGACGAGAATCTGATCACTGTGCTTGGGCCAGGGCACATATTCCTCCTCGGGTTCTTCAGAGTCCGACACGGGACCGGCCAGTCCACTCATTCTGTTTCGATTCCGCAACTGACGTGCTTTTCGCTCCTTGTTATGGGCTTCCACCACGCTGCGCTTCCCAATCCATGCGACACCATCTGCCATGTCGTCCCGCCAATCGGACCACTTGGCACTCTCATTTGTGGTCATGCCTGCCCAAATAAGATAGAGATGGTATGCAAAGAGAGCGAAGGGTAGGGGCATGGTAGTGATGGCGAGGAGACCAACACCAGCAACACTGATGCCGCCAATGCTCATAGCAAAGACGAAAGCATTGCCCAACTCTGCCCAGTATTGTTTTTCAAACCAGCCGTAGCTCGAGTGACCAAGATGTAGATGGGGTGACAAGACAGACCAGGACAAGTATGCACCATAGAGTTCGACGATGCCAATACTGAAGAGCAGGAGCAGAAAATAGCGGTAGTTGTGTCTTCCAACACAGTTGTTTATCCATGCACAGTGGTGATCGCATCTTGCTACACATACGCCGCACAGAGAGCAGTGCTTGCTTCTTGCAGGCTTGACAAAGTTGCAGGTACGGCAGAGGTTGTCGGGTCGGAAGAGTATGTGATCGTAGGGATATTGGCGCATTGCGGACGCATGATTGACTGGGTTGAGGTAGTCGGTCTTGCTCGTGACGCAGAGGTAGGTGAAGGTGTAGGGGGCTAGCAAAACGAAGGGGATCGGTATGATCTTGGTGGAATCCAGATGGGGGAGAGCGGCACGGAGGAAGAGAAGTGCACTGCCTGTCAAGAGAGTGAGGAACAGGAGCAAGACGAGAGGGTTCTTCTGGTGGAAGAGGTAGTTGGTCAGTCGTGCGAGGCCGGCGTTCATTCGGCCGCCGGTATAGCGAGTATCAACTCGTCGGAAGGCATTGGGAATGTAGATACACAGAAGCCTGTGACTGAAGCCGATGGGTGTTTTGCGCAGAGCTGGGAGTCGACCGAAGAGGGCTATGAAGGTGAAGAGAGAGATGACGACCACCAAGATGATGGTGTTACGGAAGGCGATCATGATTTTCTGCAACTGCGTCTCATCTTGAGCACACCAACGAGGAGGTTGTCGTGGATCTGGAGGGTTGGACAACAGGAAAGAGACGATTGGCACGTCATGGGTACAACCAAAAATGTAAAGGGTTCGGCTTCGGCTTCGCGTCACTGCCATCGCGTCAAGTCGCGTCATCCAGCCCAAGGCAGCGGCTGCCCAGACATGCACCACTCTGACTCGACCATGAACAATCAAGATGCCGCCGGCCATTGTATATACAGATATGGTCAATCCTGCTGACTCCAACGCTGGTGTCTTTGCCGGCGTCAACTTCTTCATCGTCCAACGAGTCCCTCAACGCTCGCACTACGTCTCGCTGGTCGAGACTAACGGCGGCAGAGTGGTCAAGCTCGAGGCCCAGGCTGACTACTTGATCGCTGACCATATGCGACACGACGCGCCTGCCGGAGCTCTCAGCTACAAGTTCATCGAAGAGGCCATCAAGCAAGGAGAGATACCAGACGACGAATCATTGCTCGCCAGCCGCCGTAAGGCCGCAAATTCCGCTACCACCACCGCTGTCGCAACCTCTTCCAAGAAGTCGACGAGAACTCCATTCACCGACGACGACGACAAATTACTGTATAAGCTAGTACACAAGGCCAACGAACAAGGTCTTGCCATCCAAGGCAACACGCTCTACAAAGCCCTCGCCGCCCACAACTCCAGACACACCTTCCAGTCATGGCGTGATCGCTATATCAAGGTACTGTCCATAAAGCCCCCCACTGGCTGGGAGGCCTACCCTGATGCCAGATTGCCTCCCCTGGACACACATGCCGTCGAATTACCGTCCACCGCTCTACCACGTTCCACGGCACGCTCAGCCATCGCATCAACCCCAGGATCCCGTCCAAAAGTACCCTTCACTGAGGAAGACGATCAAGAGCTGGTAGCGTGGGTTACTAGGAAGGCACAGCAAGGAGCTCGCATAAGTGGTAATGCCATTTATCAAGAGCTTGAAGCAAGAAACCCACGCCACACTTATCACTCTTGGAGAGACCGCTGGGTCGGACACCTCTCAAGAAGAGAGCTTGATGATGATGACGATCATACTCCTCTCGAAGCCGAGGACGCTGGTCCCGAGGTCGAAACCGCTCCAGCCCGTCCGCCCCCTTCACCTAAGCCATCGACCAGCAAGACACCATTGAAGCGCCCAGGGTTCAGGATTCCTCCAGGAGCTTCAGCGTCCGCTCAGGCCTCGGGCAGTGTCATTCCCAAGGCAGCTGCTCCGCCTGTTGCTACAAGTTCAACCGCAAAAGCACCACAAAGCAGCTCGAAACACGCCGCCCGAGTCCACGCTCTTGAAGAAGTCACTGAGGATACTGCCCATGTTCCGACGGCATCTGGATCGAGCACTGGTCGTTCGACTGCAACGCGTCCGGTGGTAACATCAAAGAACCAAGCCAACACCCCGATGGTCAGGAGCCGCAACATGAGCTCGCCTATCTTGTCACAACAGACACCCGCTCAGCCACAACAACGTGCTCTACCAGTACAGCCACCTCCGTCCTCCCGCCAGGAAACAGTACAAACAAATCCTCAATCTCAGTCGCACGACGACTCGGCCTTCACCGATCAAGACTTCGACGATCTCCTGAGCGTCGCTCTCGACATACAGAACGTCTGCGTCGGCCGCTATCAGGAATCATGGATCAAATGGGCTGGTTTCGACAATGCTCATACTGCTGTTGAGTGGCGATCCTTCTATGAGCGACGTGTATTGCCGGTCGTTCTGCAAAGAGAAGACGGTCCAGAGCGACCAGAATCACAGAAGGATGCCAAATGGGTCGAGTTTTGGAAAAATCAAGGCCAACCTATCGAAATTCTGCCATACAAGATCACTTCCGAACTCCAAGCGACTTCTCCCGACGTTGCAAATATTGAGAAGGTGTCGGCACCCCAGGACCCGGCGAATGAACTCGCAGAGCAAGATGAAGAGATGGCGGATGTGGCGGAACAACTCGCAGAAGTTAATGAGAATGCTCTGTTGGGCCCTGCTAAACGAAAGCTGCAGAAGATTGAGAGTACAGCGGAAGAATCAGCCCCGAAGCGCCAACGTACAGCAGCACCACCCTCTGAACCAAACAAATCCCTCGCTCCTGTCCAGAGAATCCCAGACGAGACAGTCGGCATTTCCGGTAGAGAGGCGCGTTCACCAAGTCACCACTCTGATGGAGAGGAAGAAGCTTCGGAAGATCAAGCCGCAGGACAATTGCGTCGCGAGATGGCAGAAGACAAAGACGATCGTCATCAGCTGACAAGAGCCAATCTTGCACGTATCCAAGCAGAGAACCGCATGCCTGAAGAGCAGAGAGGCCTCGATATTGAGGAAGATGATGAGGATGACGATCAGGCCGACTTTGCCACCTACCTCGCAAGCATGTTACCACAAGACATGAAAGAAAAGGCCCTTGAAGCCATCGAAACACACGACCATCAAGACGACCAGGAAAACGATGGATTTGATGAAGATGAGGACGAAGACATCCTCACGAATAACGGGCATCAAGAACTCGAGCCTGAATATGACCCGGCACTCCTAGAGATCGACCCAGAGTTGGACAACCCATCCTACCAATCTTCACTCGAATACTCCACCAACAACACAGCCATCCACCTTGACGTTCCCGCCACGCAAGCTTGGGAAGCCTCTTCTGCACCCTCTCCGTCACAGTCACAGCGTCAACGCATTTCCACCCAAGCGATCTTTGCAGCCGAAACCCAACCCTTTGATCTCGATGTTCCTCTCCCACCTGGCGAGTATCTTGACGAAGAGGCAGCAGGGAACTATACCACAGCAAATACCGACTCCCAGATCCTTGCCGAAGACGAATTCTGGCCGTGGATAGATGACCAGATTAAGGCTGGTGGGTACTCTGAAGAAACTGTTGTAGAAGCACTTCGTCAAACGTCGTTTAATCCCAAACTCGCCGCGTTGGTCCTGCAAGCTCAGGGCGAGAAGGTAGATGTCGCTGGTGTATGGACTGAGGAAGATGATCAAGTGGCTGAAGGCTCAAACGCAAAGGCCATCAGAAGGCTGGAAGGTAAACATGGCAGAGGGAGCGTGGAGAAGAGAATTGCATTTCTGGCTGAGTGGAGGAGAGACCAGGAAATTGCTATGGCTGGGGAGGTAGCAGAGTAGCCAGTTGTCCAACAAACTTCATGAGAGCTGCATCGACTCTTCCATCCTCTGTGATTCTCACGCTGCTCCCTTGAGTATGTAGAGTGAGACCTCCACTATAGTGATGCTCTCTCGCATAGATTTTGTAGCTCATGATGGAAGTTTTCTGGAGTTACATGTAGCACGCGTCAATTAGTCTTTGGCAGTAATCAGATCTTATTCAAGGATATTCTTCTGTACTTTCAACAGTTCCAGTCTTTGCTATAGAGACTAGCATCAAGAGCGTGAGACATGATTAGGTAGACTCATCCAAGACTAGATAGAGAAGTAACTCCCCACTGCCTACCTGAAATCCCAAAGTTCTCTATGATTGCTTGCCTTCTTCGCATCTTTGGGAGCTTGGTTTCCCCCCCTCATGTCTACATCCCCACATCTAATTCTTCCTTTCTTGCCTTTAAAGATGCTCCATCGCGGAACGAAGAGAACCATGTATGACTTTTATCCCCATCCTCTCTACTACCAGAACTTCGAATTCCAGTTTAGTGTTCCCTCAGGATCACCTAATCACCTTTGGCCAAAAGATCCGCCCGAAACGTGACTAGATAGCAGACGCCAGTCTGACCACGCAGGTCTTCTCGAGCTCACTCCTTTGTGCAGATCAAACTATGCTTTATTCTCAAACAGGCTTCTCACTAATCATCCTTATAATATAAACACAAAAAAAAAAACATATCAAAAACACTCCTTTATTCTGTTTTTTCCCTATGCCAACCTTTTCAAAAAAAAAAAAACCAGCAGGTCTTTCAGGCGAATAAGAGTAGCGAAAAGAGTTATTTGTAACAAGCTTCGCATGCAATACATACAAAAACACGTTTCCAGACTCGAGAAACAAACAAAAAAAAAACCATGAAAAAAGAAAAAAAACCAACTTGCAAAACCTTACAATCATATATCCTATTAGCACTAGATCCAGAAAGCCTTTCCTAATCTTTGCGGCCTCGCGAATGGCAAGCTCGGCTCCGAGGACTCTGATCGCAATAGTAACGGGTCCTGAAGAAAGATATTCGACTGCATTGGGCTTCAAAAACAAAAAAAAGTCGTAGAACAAATGGTGTTGGATCAGAACAAAGAGAGCGTTTGGTTCGATTAAACAAAGTGTTCTTGATAGTTAACAATATCATCGCTTGCTCGAGATTCATCTGGGGTCGAATTAGACCCGAAGCAGATACTTGTGTCGCCAGTATCGCGAGTGTGAGACCTTCAGATTTCGATGTCTTTGGACTCGGAACATGCAATCACGAAGCCAAAAGTTGCTCATATGAATTGGTAGCGAAGTGTAGATAAAGTGTAGTGTGATATATATATGTACAACAGTGTCAAGAGCCAGAAACTATCAAGCTCTACTTCCTCCAGCGGCAGGTGTGGGCGTAGACGCAACAGCAGCACCGCCTCTGCCTCTACCTCTAGGTCCTCGAGCTTTGGGCGGTTGGCCTTGAGAATGTCCCTGAGGCTGTCCTTGCGGTACAGCCTGTCCAGCTTGCGCAGCTCCGCCTTCTTTCTTCTTGTCTTGACCTTGACCTGACTTTCCACCCCTCCTACCTCCTTTCTTCTTTCCACCTGCACCAGCTTGTTCGGGTGTCTTTCCCTCAGCAATCAACCTCGCAAACTCTTCGTCCTCCCTCATCCTCTTAGCTTCATTGTCCCACCACTCCTGGAACTCCTGCTCAGCCTGAATCTCCTGCAAACTCCTTGCGGCAGCAGCTTCTTTGATGATGTCTTTCTCATATTGCTGCTGCTCCAGGATCTCCTGTAAAGAAAGTTGGAGAGCAGGTTCTGCGGCCCGAGGGCTGTGGACAATGGATTGAATGGAGGGGAATGATTGGGATGAGAGGTCTGGTGGAGGTGGAGGTGCGAGTGTTGACGCTGCGGTTTGTTGGGAGGGCTTGCGTGAAGGATGGGGCTGGGATTGGCGAGGTATCGGAGTAGGACGAATGGGTAGAGAGGGTCCGGCCTGGGCTTGTGCTTGAGCCTGGATGCGCGGTGATGCTGGTGCCGGTGACTTGACTCCAGCTTGAGCTGAAGGTGCACGTTGCGGGCCGAGTCTTGGGGATGGGTGACCAGATATGATCGGCGAACCAGGACCTAGACTCTTTGGCGATGCAGCAAAGGCGGCCGCAGGTTTGGACGAGGGCTTTGGGTTAGCAATCGTCTGACGCATTGTCAATTGAGGAGTGTTGCTCGTGCGAGTTGTAGGCTGAGGTCTGTTCGATGGACCTGGTGATGGCGGCTTGTCACCAATGACGTCCTTGAGAGAAGGTATCTTCTGTCCAGAGACAACCTGCCATGGTGACGCCACCTTGGCAGCGATCTTCTCTTCTATCTCAACAGCTACGGTCTGCTGCGCTTGCTGCATCCTCTTGCGTTCTTTCTGCGATATTTTCGCAGCAGATCTTGCCGCCGAAGCATCCTCAGACGCCTTTTCTCTACTGGCTGCAATGCCTAATGAGAGGTTGGACACACGACTCGAGGATGCCTGAGCCATAATATCCCTCATCTCCAGCTTGGCGCCTGGTGAGGGGGTTGCTGCCCATGGAACGCTTGAAGAGCTAATAGGAGTGGCGGGCGTCATGCCTGGGATGAGACCACCTTGCTTTGGTGTTCCAGCATGAGGTGTGATTGAGTTTCCTCGAGAGTCAAGCCAGGAGTCAGTAGGAGTACCAACAGCAGTATCTCTGCGCAGTGCCCTTTCAAACTCTGACTCGGGATCCCTCGATCGTGTGCCGTTCGAACCCGGTTGTGAGCTCTCCTCGATGCTTGTGCCCAAAGCGGATACAGCTGCTATGACTCGGGGAGTAGACTCAAGTGCAGATGACTGGGCGTCCTTGGACTTTCTTCGCGCCTTCTGCTTTGCATATGCACCATCATCCAAGCTACCACCTCTGAAGGAATTTGGACCCCATCCATCGAGGTCTTGATATTTAGAGTGCAACATTATCGAGTCAAGCTTGATGCGACGGTCTCTGTCGATTAGGCCAGCGAGTTCCGGATGACGTTCATGAAGCAACGCTTCCGCACGCCCGCTCTTCGCAAATGGCATGAGAGCAAGCTGATTGGCTCGAACAATGTCATCCAGCTCCAGGAGTAAATCTTCGTCAAGCTCATCCAGCAGGCCCCCTTGTAGCATAGCTTCCAAACTCAGACACAAGTACTCGAGACTTGCATCCTTGAACTCCGTGACAGAGCTGGGAGCGATGGCGTTGAGTAGACCACAGACGTTGCGAGTCGTGACATGCTGACCAACGACTCTTTGACAGACTTGCGATAGACGATCGAGCATGAGCTCGTTAGCAACGGCCATGACCTCCATGACAACATCAAGGAACTCATCAAGGTCGGCACTGACAATGTCGTCAAAGAGCTCTTCACCAGTATCCGCGTAAATATGGCGAAGAACCATGCGGAAGATGTTGGATTCAATGTGTTGAAGATCCACGTCGACAGCATCAGAAGCATTTTGCAAGAGACCACGCCGTTCATCAAGCCAGCGACCACCGGCACGCCCCATGAACATGCCTTCGAAGAACGGACATCTTTGGCAGACCATCGCCCCATGAACCAGAACTTCACCGTCGCTCAACTGAACTCGGATGTCACCAGTGGCAAAGTAGTTCTGGTCTCTTGTGGCAATCTCCAAGTCCATGTGCAAGCAGCGCTCAGGCTCAATCATCTGTCTGACTGCAGGCTCCAATTTGAGCAGTTCAAGCTTGGAAGCGACCTTCATCAACTCAGTGCGGACTTGGCGATATCTGAAAGCCTTTGGGGAGCCTCGAGTATGGTGCCAGAAGTCGACAATTGAATCTGTGTAGCAGTAGAGAAGGAAGTCGACTAAGGTCAAAGTATCAAATCCTTGGAAGATGAGGATAGGTCGACCAGAAGAATCGCGCTCAGAGATGAGACAGTCAGGAACGCTGAAGTCACCACCATCCCTGAGAGTCTGTAAGCCGGCTCTGAGTACCCTACTTCGGCCCGCGAGAACGAATTGATGAGCAGGGAAGCGCATCTCGGACACATTGGAGGTAATGATGGCGTCAAACTCGCTGAAGTTCTCATTCGCGCATAGGCGTAGATGTTCTTCAAGGTCTTTTTCAATGTCCTTTGACACGAGCAGGTGCTTGCGAAGAAGTTGTAACTCGTCAGGCTTTTTCCGACCTTGCCAGAAACGAGGCTGCGGCTCCTCGCTCTCACTATCGGGTACGTCTTCTTGAACGCTCAGGTCGTGGAAGCAGAGAAGAGGGAACAAATTGCTCCAGATGTTCTGCTCTTCAACCAGCGTCTGAGTCTTGGTGACATCGCAGTCTCTGCGAACAGCCGCGTAGGCGCCGTATGCTGAAGACCTGACCGCTGTAACGCGAGACAGACCAGCGATACGTGAAAACTTGTAGTCCTTGGGTTTGTATTGAATGGTGTCCAGAGACTTTCCGTCCTTGATCTTTGTTCTCCTGGATCGTTTCCAGACACTTCCTTCCTCGGTGGTAAGAATGATAGAGCCATCAGCATCTACGCCAACATCACGGGCAGCCATGTTATTTTTCTTCAGCGACCAAATCTCTTGTGGCGCAGATAGTGCTCCTCTAATTTTGGTGGGGTTGGTCGTGGATGCGTTGCTCTGGTCTTGACGCTGACTGACGGACAGAGTGTAGACCTCACCACTACTCGACATGGCACAGATAGTGTCACCACCAGCAGTGATCTTGCTGATATGGTTGATGGTGTCATCATATCGAGTTACGCGGAAACTGTCTTTCAAGAAACTGCTCGAGCCATCCAGAGGGAACTGTATCTTGGCATAACCGTAATTTGCGAAGACCCATACATCGTGGTTTTCCAGGAGACAGACTGTAGCGCGGTCTATGGCAGCGACTGAGACGATCGGGGCAGCAAAGCGAGAAGCAGCAACCTTTCGGGGAGTGACTTGATACTCCAGAGAGCGGGCATCCGAATCAACGATACCAAGCTGACCCTCATTCTTGCCAAAGGTATAAAGAGATGTGGAGGTGTATGCGACTGAATGAATGCGAGAGGCAGCGACACCAATCACGATCTCGCGCTTCAGAGGCCCAAAAATCTGCGCTGGTACGCAACTCACAGGATCTTCATCCTTGACTCCAGTCTTCGGTAAAGTGTATCCGAGCTGGCCATAGCCGTTGCTACCCCAAGAAAAGACCTCGCCACGGTCATCGACAGCCAGAGTGTGGTTCTGACCGAGTGCAACAGTCGCAATCTTTTTGCGCGACAGTGCGCCGCCGTCGATGCAGACGAATCTGAATCGCGATTGCTCGTCGCCAATACCTAAACGGCCTCCAGGTCCGTGACCACACATGTACAAGTTTGACTCCGGATCGGTGGTCAAGACTGCTGTGGAGAGCTTGGACATGAAGACATCTTGAATGATCAATGGCCGATCCTTAACAACCCAAGGCATGGACTCAACGGGTAAGGAGCGTGGAAGAGCAGAACGACCTGTCTGCGTAATGACAGGATCGAAAGTCGTCCATGTCTTCTCGTAGTCTCTGACGTGCTCACGGTAAAATCGTTGCAGCAGATGGTCTGGACGTTTCAGAGTGATGCGCTCCGGATGTTGTCGGTCATCCTCATCTCCAAAGCCCAGAGTGATGTTCTTGTTGCTTCCAAAAGTGTAGACTTCATCGCCAGAGATATTTGTCGCAAACTCGATAACCCTTTGCCTGACCTCTTGCTCGTCGTCCATGTTGGCTTCTTCCTCGCTAGCATCAGAGGCAGCTCTGGGTCGTCTTTGTCCCTCTGGTCGCAGAGTACGATCCTTGATTGTTGCAGCGTATAGATCTAACGGGCCGAGTCCTTCACGATCCTTGATCTTGACCAGACCTCCTCCGATTCCCCTACGCAGAGCATCCGACGAGTCGCGTTCGAGAATTGCACGAGCAATGGTGATGTTACCGAAGTAGAAGGCGCGATGTAAGGCAGTCCATGAATTTTCAGCGTCCTGTAGGTACAAGTCGATCAGAGGGTGCTCGACGAGAGCCTGGGCGAATTCGAAGGCATTCTCAGTGGTCGAAGAGGCGGCGTGATGAAGCAATGTCATGCCATTCGAGTCGCGCCAGTTGATGTCAGCCTTGGTGAGTGGCGGCATATTTCCTACATGTGGCGAGAAATTCGAAGGCTTGCGTGGCTTTGTGTTGAGAGTCGGCGAGGTGCTCAAAGTGCCGGGACTGGAGCTCACGGCGGCGGAAGCCTGCATGGATTGGGCCCTGTGTTGGTTTGGGCGGACATTGTACGAGGCCGTCTCGAGTAGATGCCGGAATCGGTCGACATCATCCTGGAGGTAGTATTTCCACAGATGGCTGCTCATGTGCCGGGATTGAATGGTCTGGCTCTGCGACACCTCGCGATGACCACAGAGGATCAAGGCTTGTTTAAAGGTGTAGTGGCAGTGCCGACTGAGGGTAGGGGAAGAGGGAGAGAACCGGTAAACGGTCCTTGTCGATCAGACGGAGTGTTTGTTCTTTGCGACAGCGACGAAGGCGAGTTTGTGTTGTGTGGGAAGGAACTTGAGGGCGAGTGGCGACTGCTGTTTCGGGCTCTGTGCGCGGGTGAATCTAGTAGTCGCAAGACTTATATTTTCGGATTTCTGATCGGAGCAGCTGTCGTATAGATGTAGTAGGGAGAATCGACCAAGTCGGTGTTGTGAAAGTAGTCGTGAGAGACGTGTATAAGAGATGTTGATCGCATGGAGGGGTCGAGGACAATGACATGTTCATGCGGGATGAAGCCCGGGCCAATCGCCAATCGTTTCGTTGGCATGCGGAGCCATGCGACCTCCTGAGCACTCCCGACAGCCAACAACTTTACCACATGTCCTTCTCAGCTCCAGCTCCTTGTGAGACAGGAGTACTGAGCTCTGACTTGACCCCTCATACCCCTCTCGTGTCAGTCAAAGGTCAAGAGTGTCGAACAAAGCTATCCTGGCGTTGCCGCATGCGGCGAAGCTTCACTACCGAGGCCAGGGTGTCAGGCATTACTTGGACATTCTGGGTTATATCTCGCCGTACCAGTGATGAGAGAAGGCAAAGCTGTGGCGAAGTAGTTGGATAATATACCGTGTCCATGATGTACCATCTGTGAGTGATATGATCAAGGCTCCGGGCTCGGTCAGCCCCTAAGGCCACCTTGCTCGGCTCGAGCCTCGCTTGCTCGTTGGTGAACACGCTATAACTTGGAACGAGTGTCTATGACATCTTTCTCCTTTTGTTGACGATTTGCCCTTCTTGCTCAAGAATTCTTCTTCCACAATTGATCACTCGACCGCAGACTCATAAAAGGATGATACACTCGTCTCGGTGTGACCCAAGAACGTCCATGTTATATGCTTAGTCAGCCACGACTACAAGCGCTTTCTCCAACCGCGTAGCTCGAACACCAAAATCAACTTCAGTATCAACTTCAGCACGGTCTCGAATGAGCAGCTGTGTCACCCCATCGCACCACAAATACCCAACATTGAGGACTCGACTCGTCAACCAAAGCAACTACCACTGACCACCACGCCTCCATCTGCAATCAAAATGCCAGACCTCCCCTCACTCCCAGAGATGTCACACGCACTATCAGAAGTCCTAACTCCCACGCTCCTAACCTCTCTCACCATCCTCAGTATCTTCTACCCCCTCACCCTATCTCCTACACCCCCAACCCCCACCCTATCTCTCGACTACTGCCTCCACGTCCTCTCCTTCCTCTTCCCCCCCTTGCCATACCTCTATTCGTTTGCTCTCAGCTACATCCTGAGCCTCCATGCCATCAATCACCCCACCACTGTCACTTCTGCTCTCACATGCTTTATCATAGCAGTATGGTATACTTCCCTCTATACCCTCTCAGCCTTAAACACACGCTTGGGCAATGGTAGAAGTCGAGCAGTGGTGTGGAGAGAGCAGATTGCTGTTGTCACCGGAGGAGCAGGTGGATTGGGATGGTTGATGGCAAAGTTGCTGGAGTTGAGAGGTGCAGAGGTAGTGGTGTGGGATGTAAGGGAGCCGGACGAGTGGGCAGGGGCAGATGAAGGAGGGGTGAGGTGGATGAGTGTTGATGTCGGTGATGTTGACGCTGTGGAAAAGGCGTACAAGAGGGTGTGCCACGAGGTATGTAGATTTTCCTCTTCTGTTCTGTTTATTCAATCTCTACAAGCCTTTTGTTCCAATTCGCAATGCCTTTGCACGACTTGAGGAGAGACAAATGTTCTTTGTCTCAGTGCTATATGCTGACTCAAACTCCACCCACACAGGTCGGCACACCCACTATCCTGATCAACAACGCGGGCATCGTGAACGGCTTGCCTCTTCTCTCGCTCTCTGCATCCCAAATCTCCCGCTGCTTTCATATCAACACCCTCTCCCACTTCTACACCTGCCGCACCTTCTTACCATCCATTCTTTCCTCACCCAATGGCGGCACAATCGTCACAGTCTCGTCGGTACTCGGCCACCTGGGCGCCTCACACCTAACCGACTACACCGCCTCCAAAGCCGCATTGTTGGCTTTCCACACCTCTCTTCGTTCTGAAATCGCCCAACTCGCAGAGCACGCATCATACCCAGGCGCGCACAACACGAAAATGATCTTGGTGAAGCCTGGACAATTGAGCACGGCTATGTTTTCAACGCTCAAGTCTCCGTCGGAATTCTTTGGGCCGGTAGTGCAGGCGAGGGATTTGGCGAGGGAAGTCGTGGATGCAATCGAGCAGGGTGGGAACGGGGTGGTAAGTATGCCTATGTATGCTTGGTTGATTGAGTGGTTGGGCGTGTTGCCGATTTTGTTGCAGAGGGCTGCTAGGTGGATGAGTGGAGTGGATGGGGCTATGCGGTCGTTTGGGTCCAAGAGAGAGTAGACGAGTAAGACTTGGCGGATCTTGCTCTGAGTCTGAGAGACCATGAGGTTTGACGAGTGTTCGTGCGATGGACTTCGACCGGAGCAATCAGACAGGGACCCGATAGAGGAATCTACTCATCGTAGAGATATCATGTCTTTCGCTTGTCGTATCGTGGAAGAGAAGAAGCTCAATCGAGAACAGAGCTCAGAGTCCAGAGAGCGCCGAGTGCAAGAAGAGCAGCACCGCCGATAGCCTGCTTACTCCAAGTCGAAGCCTGATCAAGCAACTTTGCAGTTCCAAAAGCATGCTCCTCAGCCTGCGATGGTGCAACCGTCGCTTCAGCAAACTCGACATCAGCAGTAACATTGTTCAACTCCTTCATCATGTCCCTCGACTTGTCCATCAATGCCTTCAAAGCAAGTAGATCAGCCTTCCACTCTGCCAGTGAGTCTTCCCCACTCTTTGCATCATCAACCTCGACACCCTGCACGTTCCCAAAGAAATCAACCACTTTTCTGTTTCTGGCCTCTGCTTCTCCACCAGAGAACAAATCGTAGCGGATACCTGCGTCAGAGTGTACTTTGACTGGATCATAAGAGTCAAACAGTTGGCCTAGAGTGACATTGCTGCTTGTAGAGCCGATCTGCTGTTCCAGGAATTCGAGATTGTAGTAGGTCCAGCGATCGATGACTGCGACACCGACATCTTGGTCTGCGTGGTGGGAGTAAGAGGATTGGTGGAGTGCTGAGGAGCCGGTGGCGATAATGTTGGGAGTGTAGAACTGGCCGTACATGGTGTTTGCCTGGCACGTGTCGATCATGAAGAGTAGCTCGTTGTATCTGTTGTTCTCTTGTCAGTCATTGTCATCAACGAGGTTCGGGTGGAAGTTGTTACCTCTTCTTCTCCCACATCTGCTCAAAGGCATCAGCCAAATCATGCGAACTGATCTCCTCGGCATCCTGAAACTTCAAAAACTCATTTCCTCCGTGTCCAGTCATGTAGATCAAGATGTTGCTCCTGTCATCCGTCATCAACCTCTTACTCCTGGGCCAACTCTCTGGCCATCTATCCGTCAAAAGGCGAATGAAATTCTCGACCGTGACTTCATAGCCTCTGTAGTCGACTTCAATACCACTACCCATGGCATCGTAGAGATCCAAGTCGCGGGACTTGTCGTTGAAGACGGAGCCAGGGAATGAGTTGCGAGGGTTACAAGCCATATCATCGGGAAGCATGAGGATGATCTGAGAGTCGGGAATGCCCAGACGCTTGACGGTGCGGTAGAGCGAGAGGGTGTTTGCGAGATGGCGGTAGTTGAACCAGAAGCGGGAGGTCGAGACCAGGACGGCCCAATTAGACGTGTGTGTTGCTGAGCATACGCAAATGCATAGCGTCAATAGCAGTAGTACACATTTTATCTGCGACCTCATCTTTGCAGTATGGCGACGCAAAAGGCGTCGGTGTTATTGTGAAAGAGGACAAAGATGCTTGGTAATGATGATGATGGAGCCCCTCGAATGTTTGGCGCCCGAGCGTCGAGTCGGTGTAGACTGTGCCGAGGCCCCGGTGCCGGGCGGTGAAGCCTTGACTTCGACTTCACATCGCTGTCTTCTCTCACAACATGACACTTGCAAGAATATTATGCATTCTCACATCATCCCCAAGGCGCATGTTACTAGTATAACAATGATCAGGTAGGATGGTATGGTGATTCCGATGCTAGATCACCGGAATCGGTACAACAAAGAGATGAGTGTGAACAATGCTTCTGTTTTTCCACTTTTCTCTAAACTCTCTATCTCCCCTCCATCCGCCCTCTGTCTCAACCTCATAGAATACACTCTTTGCATGTTCAAGAAATCCTAATTGCACGAACCCCCAAGCATGCACATCACAAGCACAAGGCAACAGACCCAAGAAGACTGAGGCGAGGAAGAAAGTGAGAACAATGACTTACATCTGTTTTATCTGTATGAGGAAGCTTCACTTTACAAGCAGACTATATAATTAAAAAAGTTTGGCCCTCACCTGTGGGTGCGCACCCGAGTGGGAAGGATAGTGTGAGTGGTTAACCCGTAAGCCGCGAGCATCTCCATTCGGTAGGACCTGCCGGCTGGCTGCCCTTCGGGAGGCAGTTAGGGCCACAGTAAGCCATTTCCGCGCCGCAAGGCATAACGACTCTTTTTTGCTCTGCCTCAGACATCGCTTTCGCTTTTTTTCCCCCTACCAAGCATGACTCTATGGGGTTTGGTATAGCCAAAAGTGCTATTGGTGCAAAAAGAGCTGGGCGTAAGATACACGGAGTTGAACACTTTGTTTACGAACATCAACACGTGCGCTTGTTATAGCTAGTGTTCAATCCGCTGTGAGGCCGATACTCTTCGCACTTCTCTGGTTTGTCTGCATTCAAGCACTTTCACTGAACTACCTTCATCAATCTAATACCTAACAACTATCACTCCTTCCGCAACCAAACAAGTAACAAAATCCAACGACGAAGATCGCATCTTTCCGAAAGACACTGCATCGGGGTGTCCTGCTCAGTGCTGCATTCGAGGCACTCGCCATGGCACAATCGGTCTGCCGCTCAAGGATCTTCAACAATTAGCTGCCGCTCGGTAGGCTCTATTCACCATTTTATCAAGTACTCATCCGAGTCTATCTGTGCTGATATCAACCATCTAGACTGCAAACCGATCTCTCGAACCGCGCCGCCTGCCCCCAGCAACGAGATCCCAAGGCCTCTTCTCGCACCACCTACTCCATCTCATCATCACTATCCTCAACAACAGTCTTGCGCTTTCCCTCAACCTTCCTCTTCTTAATCGGTGGAGCAGGCGTCACAGACCTCGAGCGAGTAGCAGACTTCCTGCTCACAGCCGGCTCTTCCATCTCATCATCGCTATCAGCCAACGTAGTGATTTTCATACTCCGTTTCTTGATCGGCGGTGCAGGCGTAACGGACCGAGAACGACTCGCTGCATCTTCCATCTCTTCATCACTGTCCTCTTTGATGGTTCTAGTGCCACGACGCTTAGCACCAGTCTCAACTACCTCGTCTTCGTACCTGGAGGCAGTGCGCTTACGCTTGGTGCCGCGAGGAACTGGCGAGTACTCCTCAGACTCAGGGCTTTCGAAACCCGGAGACGAGCGTACGGCCTCAGTGGGCGAAGACTCCGCATACGAGACCGCTGCAGATCTAGTCGAGCGGCGAGTTGCCCGAGTTGTGGTCGCAGGTGCAGAAGTACCATCTCTCGCAGCACGTCTCGCAGCTCGTTCGTCCCTCGAAGCCACTTCTGCCTCGTGCCTTCTCACCGCAGGCGCCACAGGCAAGCTAAACGTACTATCGCGGACTCGGAGGTAATCCTCTTCGGTGAACGTTCTCATTTCTGCTTCATCTACGAATCGTCAATGTCAGCCTACTCCCCCGGTCACTCAGCATCTCAGGGTATTCATACCTTCTTCAGGTCCCAGATCCCTTACAGCTCTCAACTCAAGTGCTTGAGTGGTGGGACTATGTGGTTTTACTTTCTTGACCACGTCTAAGAGACTCACGCGTGTGTCTCCATGCTTCTCGGCGTATTTTGAGCTTGTTGTTGGTTTTGGGGAGCGGCCGGGGATGTAGTCTTCGCTATCTGAAGAGTCCATGATTAGCGTTTTGTTGTTTGCAGTAGCTTCTACGTGGTTGGTAAAAATTGGCTGGAGCTTGGATACGTGGTGACGATTTCGCGGATGGAAATGTGTAAGTGTCTGGAAGAATGCATTTATCTCTAGGGATCCATCGAGGAGACCACAATGAGAGAGACGATTTGGACGCATTTGGACATGGTGCCCTTTGAACCCCAAGTTGGAGGTCATGTCAGTCTGGAATCGATCAAGATGGACAAAGGGTGAATTCTCGAGTCTGAATCGTCATCACAAATCTCCGGCATATTCTTTGTGTTCGCCCCTATGGCTGCATAGTATATCTCTCAGCATGTGAAGGGGCAGCGATGCGAGGGTCACAAATGAGCGACCGTGATATCGATTACCAAAGCGATAGACATGTCTGTGTACCCGGCTACCAAGGCACGGCCCGAAATGTTTTTCATCAATCACTTGTCTGCTAATCGTGACTTACGATCTTCCCGGATCTTTCGACTGCCTTGTGGAAGAGAACTTCGTTGACAGACTCGAATGATAGCTCTCCATGGCTCTGCTCTGTCTTTTGAAGACACTGTGCCTTTCTATCGCTCAGATTCTTCAGTGCATCTCCGCAGGGGAGGGACTGTGATATCCACATGGACAACGCATATACTCCGTCTTGTTACTGCTGTCTTGTCTGCGACCACAACGATTGAGAGTATGCACTTTACTTCCGAGCATCCTCGAAGATCTGACAGTAGGGTTGCCACTGATTATGCGCAAAAGGTTAAAATCAAATGACGTGAGATCAACCAGGCTACCTTGATGTCTACAACAGGATCCGCGCTTTATCGTAGCTTGGATTCTTACACACAGACTTCCAATTGAAAGAATCTTGCCTTTTTCAAAGTTCACTCTCGTATTGACTGGATTGAGGTCTTCACGAGATCGAAGCTAAGCGGCATCGATGCCGTTAAGCTGACAAGTGGAATCAGGCAGCTCTTTCCGCATTACCAGACTTCATCCCATGGACGGGTTGGGGAAGCGTGAGTCTTGAAGACCGCCACCGGTGGGCCTGGACTGGAGAAAACTGAATACCTATCGATGGGTGCAGAGAAACTTCCTGTACTTGAACGAGTGCAGATTGAATAGCAAGATCTAGAGTCTCAGGAGCTGATGTGGCTTTCGTCAGATCAGTCGTCTTGGGCACTTTGACTTTTCGGTCGTTGGACACTTCCCATCTACTGATGGAACTGTGCATTGCGATGTCTATCCGTGTGAAATATTCTATAACGCAGGAAAGAGTGAGGGTGATGGGCACTGAATTCGTCGCACCCATCGAAGTATTTCCACAGCTAGTAGCTTGTCAAAACGAGGACATGTAGTTCTCAGTCTGACTTGTCTCGCTCTCGGTACGAACGACATGTCACATGTAGGTGTCAGTTTGGGACATCCGAGAAATAAGGTTGCGGGGGAGTTCGACGATCTCGTGGGGGACTGGACAGCCACCACAGCCTCAGTCAGACGAGCATCTACATCATTATACCCTGCATGAACATCGCAAGGCCAGTCAGCATTAGTGATCGTGTACAGTATATGACCTTCAAAGCATTTGGTGTCACAGCGTTGTACTCCACCGCAAGCGGTACAAGGCTTATCATCCTTGTGCCTAGCTTCGACCAATTGTGCCACCCGCGAAGGCTGAAGATCCCATAGAGTGTGACCCGAGCAAATGACTGGTGGTACCGAGATGATCGCTCTGCCACTGTCGTCAATGGTATAAAGCCTCGCTGCCTGTCCCTCGAAGCTCGCTCTCGACTCTCCGACTTCCACAGTCTGATCCCAGCACCCGACTTACTCTAAGATGCCAACACTTCTGAACAAGGAGGTAACTCATGATGTGGCTTTGATCCTATTCCTTGCTGTGTTTGCGGGAGTCTACTGGGTGTTCACCTCTTTGCTCCAATATCTGCGTCTGCGCCACATACCTGGACCACCTCTTGCGGCATGGACGAACTTCTGGCTCATGCAACAGTTGAACGGCTCGGAGAAATTCTACGACGTGAAGAAAAGGTTGCATCAAAAGTATGGGCCCGTTCAACGTTACGGACCCAACAGAGTAATGTTCAGTGATGTCTCGGCTGTGCACTCCGTGCTTCCGGCATCGCACATTCTCCCAAAAGTATGTGACTTTTCTGGCCCTAAGAGAGACACGCTAACAGTTACAGGCGGATAGCTACGCTCCGCTCAAAGCATCAATCAACGGTCAGGAGGTTGCATCTTTTCTCGCCATCACCGACGATGAAAAGGCCGCACGGTTGAAGCGCTTCCTGCATCCAACTTTCAGCCCTAACGGTGTCTTGAAGTATGAGCAACATATTGATCATACCGTATTCGAACTCATCAGCCATCTACACAACGTCGGGCCTACGACAGATCTTGCTCCTTGGTTCGGTTGGTTTGCATTCGACACCATCACTCGCATCGGCTTCAGCGAGGACCAAGGGTTCATGAGACAGCAAGCAGACATCGGTGGTGCGGGCAAAGCAGCTCAGCAAAGGTTCGCTCATTGGATCTTCTACTGGACTATGCCTTGGCTTGAAGCACTGTTGTACAAGAACTGGTTTGCGAAGAACCGTAATACGACAACGCGATCAGGGCTTGTGAAGCTAGCCTCACGCGTTGTCGAAAGCCGCAAGGACAAAGAAGGGCTGGGCACTCACAATGATCTGCTTGATCTGTATATGGAGTCTGGCCAAAAGGACCCTCAACTATATACGCCAGCCGCTGTGCTCGGCCTAACCATGACGACCATTCACGCTGGAGCAGAGACGACTGCTTATACGTCAGCTATCTGTATGTATCTCATCCTTCGAGATAGGCGAGTACACGATACGTTGAGAGCCGAGTTGGAATCTGCAGCACCAAGATCTGGAGCAGAGTGGGAGCTGCCCGAAATGTCTGTTCTGCGGAAGCTACCCTATCTCGATGCTTGTATCAGAGAATCAGCACGTCTGAAACCCTCTAGCAACATCATGGCCGAACGTGTCGTCAACAGCGACGATGCTGTTATCGCTGGCGTACCGATCCCGAGAGGCACAATCGTGGCCATGAATAACGCTGGCCTAAACACAAATCCCGATATCTGGGGCTCAGACGTCGAGGTATTCAGACCAGAGCGCTGGCTTGAGGCTTCCGAAGAACAACGAGTGCTGATGCATCGCGCCGATCTCACCTTTTCTGCTGGTAAGCGTATGTGTCTCGGCTTGAATGTCGCTTGGTTGGAGATGAAGAAGGTCATTCCCGCCTTGATCATGAACTTTGAGGTCAGTCACAGCAATCCCCTTGCCCTGGAGAAGTCCAATCAGCTGAACATCTCTAGATCGAATTAGTCCACCCCGAAGACGATTTGAAGCAGACATCTGGGGTCTTTGGCGTTCCGCAAGATATCAAAGTCAACATTCGGCCTCGCTTGAGAGTTTGATCATCATCGGGAGTCGTCGTTGGCTATTGCTTGGTTACTGCTTATATCTGTACACGTCAGTTTTGACTGCCCAATACGTCGGTTGGGTTCTTGTCGGTGGTTGATGAGGCGGTTCCATCTTAGCCATGTCCAGAACGAGTGCACAGGTATAGCTGATTGGAACTGATCACATGCTTGAAGTATACGTGAAGGCGCGTAACACATGTCAGCGGGCTTTCTTTTGAAAAATTGGTAGGACCTACAAAAAGAGTCGAAGGATGTAAAATATCATTGACAATCTGTAGGCGTGCGTGCAATCCTTCTTTTGATCTACCCTACGCCCAAGTCGACATCCTTGCTATGCTTGTCTACTCCCTTTCTTTCGTTGCACATCTTTCTTTGTGTGCCTCCCCACTTTCTTCTCTCAAGCATTCGTCGTGTATTAGTTGTGTTGCGCAAAGACAACCCTGCTTCCTGCTTTTTCTTTATTCCCGCCGATTTGTTTTCTGCTTCCGTCTCCACTTCCTGTGCATCTCCTTCGATGCTCCTCTCCAAACTGCACCACCATTTCCTCTTCCAACTTTTCCTCGTCTCTAACTTCGTACTCTTCTTTGTTCTCAATCATCGTGCTTACGACCATCACGCACAACGCCGTGTTCAGTCAAGCGACGACGAATACGCTGCTGGCGCCAGCGGTTGACGTCCCTGACGTGCGTCTCATTGCCCCAGTCGAATTGAGCGTTACCAGTCTTGCGGGTGACATATGCACTCCATTCCCAGCGAGTACGAGTGCGGTTGATTGGCAGCTGCACACCCAAGCTGCAAGGATGATCCTTCCTGAAGAACTCGTTCAGAGCCAGGGCATCGTTGGGAATACCTGCAGTGTTGGGTGGAGCTCTGGTGGGGAGTGCTGCGGCAGGTTGAACGGCGACTACGGTGTTGGGTTGAGCGCTGATGGGTGGTGCTGCGGGGACTTGAGGTACTGCGGGAGACTGATTGACGACGACTCCACGCTGCGACTGTCGAGTTGTCTTCTTGTGCTTGGTCTTGGTCGATTTGGTCTTGACTGGACTAAGTTGATCTGCTTCATCTCCGTCGTTGTCGTATTCATCGTCGTCTGAATCCTCGTGACGTACGAGTTCAATCTTGCTGCGCGATGTAGGGGTTGAGTCCGTCTCGGTACGTGGTGTAGACTTGGGCTTCTTGGTAGTAGGAGCCTCGTCGACAGTCCCTTCTGCGGTGGCCTTGCGCTTACTACGCCTTGGGTTGGATGGCTGCTCGTTGGGGTCTTGATGAGCGGAGCTCCTGAGTTTGCGAGGGCTTTGAGAAACAGCTGCCTGTTGGGTTGATCTCTGGCCGCGGGAAACAGTGGTCTTGCCAGACTTTGTTCTCTGCTCTGCGCCTTCCGTCAGGGGAGGAGAAGGGGTGGAAGTTTCGAGAAGTGCTCTGGTGTGGGGCTTGCGAACAGACAGGGGTACGCTCTTGGTAACCCTTTTTGGAGCCTTTTGATGGTGGTCCGGAACTTCATATTTCTCAGGGGCTGATGAAGTGTCGGCGCGAGATTTGCCTTTGAAACGAGTTGTGCGACGAGAGGTAGGCTCAGAGGTCTTGCCCTTGTGATTTTCTGGGGAGTGGTCGGCAATTATAGAATTTTCTGAGTGGAAGTGGCGAAGTGCTGGAGTGTTGATGGGAATGTCATCTTTGACATAATCCTGAGGGTTGCTTGAGTAAGCAAGACCCAGTAGGGCCAGCGCGACCTCGTCGTCTGTTATGGCCTTTGGAGTGACGTGCTTGGTGACTCTTGTCGTGTGAGAATCGTGGTAGGTAGTGGTTATTGTGAGATTGCCGTTGCTGTCGTCTCTGGCTGTGGGAACCTCAATGCCTCTCTGGGCAGCGAGAAGGGCATCTGTCATAGCGCTGTCTACTGGTGCCTGGGTGACCGCGTCAAGCTCCATGAGCCTGGGCAGGTTGGTTTCTGCCACGTTCTTTGGATTGAATGGGCGAGGCATGAGAGTGTTGTCAACAGTCTCGTCTTGGACGTAAACATCGTTGCGGTCCGAGTAGTCAAGATCCAAGAGAGCTCTGGCAGCCTCATCTTCCTCGATAGCCTCTTCAATGGGGGCTACGCCTCCAACTTCTTCTGGAAGTAGGAACTTCTGCTGGATCTCACGAGCAGCTTGCTCATCATTGAAGACCTGCAGAGCGTCCTCGTACAGCGAGGCGTCCTGGGGGCTGGTCTTCCACAAGTCGTTCTGTCCCTCTCTGAGCTTCTGTACAGCCTCAAGGCCAGATCTGCGGAACTGGAATGCAATTGCATTGATGCGCCAGCCTTCCCACTTGAAAGGCCAAGCTGTTCAACCTCAGTCAGTTTCCATGTTACATGTCAAAGAGTTGAGGACGGCTAGGGGTGGAGAGGATGGAAGACGGCTGGAAATATGTCATGATCACTCACCATTCTTCCTTCTCTGCACCGGGTCCACTGGACGTGGCACACGCGCTGCTGCACGGGATGGCTCAATGGTGCTTGTCTGTGAGGTAGGATTGTTGATGAGTCTTTTCGATCGACGGAGCTTGGGTTGGCTGGTGTTGGAATTCTTTTGAAGGTCTGTCTCCCTAGTAGGAGCGACAATGGAATCGCCCGCGGAAGCCATGTTGACTCTCAGTCGTGAATGCCGATCTGCTGACTCTGATGAACGTCAATTTGAGTTCAGGAAGTCTTGTGAGGAGGAGGATGTGGAAGGGTCTGTGATACACACAGTGAGCGACAAGGGGGTGCGCTGCAAGGTCCGTCAGTACTTGTTGTGTTGAAAATGACTGAGTCGAGATGAGACTCAAGGGGATGCGTCAGGGGTAAAGTGTGCGCAAACATTGAAGAACACGTACCTGTCGCGTCTTTATGATGATTACAAGGACTTTATGGTCCAGGGTGAAGGTGTGGTATGCGGTATGGTTGTATCCACGCGTTCGATTGTGGCTCGCGGATGGTGGTTTGGTAGGAGTGAAGCAAGCTGGGAATAAACATAAATTAGTATATGTGCGCCAACGACATCACCACAGCGCCAAGGCCTTTCGAGCTAGTCTTGAGAGACACCACACGAAGTACGTAGAAGCGCATCATATAAGACGATGGAAAAGATGTTGGAGACCAGTTGCTATCATGCACCAGTGCTTCCTACTGATGCCACTCCCAGCAACTATCTCAGACCGATTGAATTCAACTCTCTTTCCCGATCAGTGTTGTCCCCTTGTCCTACACCCATGCGAGCGGGCTGGAAGGAGGAGGATGTCGTCCGAATTGAGCTGAAGGACTCGTATGGCGCCAGACTGAACATCGCTGGTTGTTGACGCTCATATCTGATGGACAAACACCGAGAAAGCTGGGCAACCTTTTTCCTCTCTGCAGTCGCAGTTGTCTTGGTAGCTGAGCTCGGAGCATTGTGATATATGAGCAATTCGTGAGCTTCGCCGCTCAATAAAGTCCCAAATGTAGGTTTACCAGCGCGTTGCCCGATGTATATCTACTTCGCAAACCATCCTCGTCATTTTGACATACGATCAATGGACATGACTACGAACTTACTGTCTCAAGGAAATTTGTCGTGCACACATCCAGAATCCACGTGTCGCAACAGACCGCCCAGGAGGTTGAAGCGATGCCTTGTTTGGTATCGCAGGTCTTCCAGTCAATCCAGCATGATAAAGTCAAGATAGCACTTGTTTCTGAGTTCTAAGCTGATCAATGTCTCGATCAGAGCATGTCGTCCTCGAGGCTGAATTTCGGAACGGCGATGTGGAGAACAAACGTGGGATGATCTCAGGCCCTTTGTCTTTTACCTCGAATATTCCACAGAACATATAGAAAGCTTAAAAATACAATTATCGTTGCCACGACTGTATGGGACTATGTTCGTGACTACCTGCTTGGCTCCTCTCGCTGTCGCAAATCGCTCTCTTGATGTTCCTCTCCTCTCGTTCTCAAATCCTCGCAAATGCTCGGGCTTTGTCCCTCGAAGTCATTGACCTGACCTTTCCTTTGTCTATAGCCTTATCTTTCTATTCGGCACCTCCATTCATGAGTTCATTCGCCGTTCCTCTCTCTACTTCGAACCTCCAGAACAAGGACAAGGAAGACACATTCCTCCTGGAACTATTCATGAAGCACGCCATCACGAGCGGCCGAGGTTGGCAGTTGTGTAGCTGACGCAGCAATCTCGTGGTCTGACTGTTCTCATTAGCATGCTTTGAACTTCTGTGCCTGGTTTCGAGCAGTATCGTGACTTACCGGGCTTTGACAGACTAGACTGCATGGTGTGATGATTAAGACCCGAGGCATCACGGCCATCCTCGTTGACTCCAGGCGAGTTAGAAGAGGATCTCCCGGAGGCGGGGTGAGTTAGTGAGTCTTGATCGGGAGCATGTAGAATGCCCATGGCAATCAGATCCTCGTTAATCTCTTCTTGAGTAAGTCCAGGCTTCTCAATCTTGGCCTCTGGGGTTTTCGACTCCATAATCTGCAGAAGCTGAGCTGCCTTGTCAACAGTGACTGTCTTGATAGCTGTCTTTTTCAGGGAGGCTTTTGTGACTCTTGATGGTGTGAATGGAATGACACGAGGTCTTCTCCTGGGCCTGAGCATAGGGGCCTCCTTGGTGGCAAGAGTGCTCACGATGATAGGAGCGACAGTCGTGGCTGGAGCTTGTTGAGTGATTGACGTATTATCCTTGATGACGATAGTCTCTGTGGTGAGACTCTGGATGAGAGGGGCATCATCTTCGATGGTAACAGTCTCTCTGGTGGGACGAGCTTTCTGGATATCAGTGTCGTTATCAACTGCAGAACCATACTCGTCAGACATTTTGCCTTGAGTCCAAGCTGTGACATATTAGCGAACCCGCGCGCAGAAGAAAGGGACAAGCCGGAGCATACTTGAAGACTTTGAACGATGGTATTGTGTGCCGATGGCGCTGGGTTGACATGGGAACATGTTTTCAAAGTCAACGATGTTTTTAGATGAATGGAAGCCCGTCGAATATTATGACTTGAGTGCTTTGAGATTGTGGATCTGTTTGTTGTCTTGGTCATGGTGCTTTTATGGAGACTGATACCGTTGCAACACGTCTAGAGTGAAACAATGCTTCTTGTCTCACCTTCTTCTATTTACAGTCTGCCTCAATATTCCCAGATATATACATTCCACCAGTCTCGGTTTTTGACTTGTCCAGGTAGCATGTTCTTCTTGGATCTAGCCGTCCCTTTGCGTCCCCGGGAGTCATCCGCTATAGAGCCTCATGGCACCCACTGTGGCGTTGTCTCGGATGAACGTTAGACATACCAGTTTGCATCCAGCGCAACAAAGAACATAGAACAACATCTTTCGGTCTCTCAGTATTGAGTTTAGTGCAATGCTATCTCAGAATGCCATTGATATCGGTGCATTTGTGTTCAAACCTTGAATTGAAGCAGACTATTGTACTGATTCATTATATTGGTAGGGAAGTAGTATGGTGAGGATATTTGTCTTCCACCCTAACTATAGTAAGGATGTCTCGACTTACCTCGCGCAAAAAGACTACGACTCCGTAAGAGACTTATCCGACAACGTGTGGTCAACGTTCACAAGATATTAGGTCACTCGCAAGTTTGGGAGCATCTAGTATATTCATCCGAATGTTTGGTGACATTATAAAATAATCAATTTGTCGAGATTATTCTTTCTCGCATTCCCGCGATTGATTCTGCTTGGATGTAGCTTAACAGGGCAGCTTCTTATTTGATACGAATCTGCTATGTATAGGGAAGAGGTTGCTCGTTGATGCTCACCAACATAGTCTATCCTACGTTTTCATATCCTTATGTCTGGGTTATGCAAGCAGCGTTGGTGCTCCACCGCCTCTCCATCGACTTACTGCCGCTTTTGGGCTTCGTGTTCGCACGTCAGGCGGCGTTCGAGTTTCCAATAACACGAAATACACAAATTATGAACATGGATCCAGGCGCACAATCTACTCTCCAAGGATGTGAATCAGGAGACATCTGCTGGCCCAAGCATGGTTCTCGCCCATCACCGTACCATCACCTCTGGAGCACTGGTCCATGATCAAACCAGCACCACGCGCAGCTTCTTGGCTATGAAGACGATCAGCGATCACGAGCTTGATGATGACTACCAGAGAAGACAAAACATACCACGTTGCAGTCGCAAGGTTGCCCTCAGAGGGAGCACAAACATTCTGACCGTGGATTATGGTGTTTCCACACTTCTTGAAGACAATTCCCGAGACAGAGCCCTGGCATGCTTGGCCACCAAGAGCAGCAAGTTCGGTGATACATCTTGCAGCATCCGCAGTCTGTTGTTGTGAGGGTCAGTGATGATGTGGGTATTGCCGCTATGGTGTAGTGACGTACGTTTCCTCTCTTCCATATGTCGTAATTGTCGTCTCTGCAGCTCACAGCACGTTTTTCGAAGATGTGAGCAGGAACATTAGATTGGGGCTCAAGCGAGGCAGGTGCCGCTACCGCGAGAGATGCGGCTGCTAGAAGAGTCATAAAAGAAGCTGTGATGTTGACCATGATGACGGCTTATGATAATGTGTCTTGCTACCGCTGGAAAGTGGTGAGTTGGGAATATGAGGTGGGTTCTGCCACACGAAAGGCATCGGACTTATATATTCGTTAAATCGTTTGTCTGCTCGTATTCCAGTCAGACGCTCAATCCTCAAGGGAAGTGCCAAGCTAGAACGGATGTTGTATGCATATTTAGTGGTAAGCATTGCAACACTGGAGGCTCATGCACGATCCTTCTGCGCTCTGTCCACTTGGACGTCAGGCACGAAGAATTAGCTATAAGAATAGCGCCTTTACTAGATGCAAGGATCCCACGTGGGGTAGTATACAGGGTGTTTGCACAGCCGGAGGTTATCGTGAGGCTTGCAGACTGCATATTTTGAGCTTGGTAACACCATCTATTCACTGCAATCCTTGTATATGCAGACGCACAGATATGCGCGCTATCCATTGGCCTTGAAGATACCCTGTAGATAGGAGTTACATGGGTACAGGCTGCCAAGCATTTCAATCTATCCTTCTTGGTGCCTGATACGCTGACCCACATCCACACGCTGACGATCTGAATCACCAACACGAAGCTCAGACCTGAACTGGCCTTGTGCATCGATATGGACTGCTCCTCCTCTCAGTTCCATCGCTGGATGCAGATCGGCTCCCGCAAGTTGTCAAAGCTTTGCCAATGACCAACACGAATGCCCAACTTCACCGGTTGATGTCGGGAAAGACGAAAATTGACTGATCGCTCCGCCGAGAAGATTTCCAGAGCGAGGCTTCAACGAAATTGATTCGCTCTTCTGGACTGTCTGTCAGACCGGCCTGCAGATATTCTCGTCCTTCTTCACGTTGCATCGCTTGCAACCCTCGCGGCGATACTTGCTCTTCCGCCGAATCTTCTGCACTTTGCATGTCGATGGAGCAAACTTCAAGAAACACACACCATACTATCGAGTCGTCAGGTTTTCTCTGTCGGAGGAACAGCTTGACCTCATCTTTGACCACTGACCGCCGCCTCGAGACTTGTTGGCGGTGCCATTTTGCAACGAGAGATTCACTGGATTTCCCTTGAAACCCACAGAAGCTCGATGGGTAGCACAAGCGGCAGGAGTGATCCGCAGAGTCCAATGCTGAACATCAAGTCAAATATCAAATCTTGATCTCCCTTGTGTAATCATATTCATACCTCCAGCTCACTTATACGACTATGCACAGGCAGCAATACAGCTAGTAAAAGGCAGGTTTTCTTCCCTGGGCGTAATCTAGTTCAACGAGTTATCGTGCATTGTGATAGTTGCAGCGTGATAGACCTTGGCACAAAACAGTACGTGCAGCGAAAATGCACCCGTGACCATCAACAGCAATAGATTCTTCTGCCAAGTCCCATTTTGACGATGATATCAATGGTGTATCTGCTGTCGTAGTGTCCAAGGCAGTCTGAAGTGTAGTATACTGCACCACAGTCAAGCATGATGACCTGACGTTAGGTCCTTCGCACGTGCAACTCTAATCCATCGAACCACACCGGAGCTCAAGCACTTGATGCGGGAATATCCACCACTGGGTTCCAGACTGATGGCAGTTTCCAAAGTCTCCAACTCACCATGAGCGGAAAAGGTGTGTTATCAGAGCTGCTCTTTTCCTCTCTACTCCCTCCTGGTCTCTTCGTCGACCTTTGTAGTCGCAGAGACAACACATCTACATACACCACTACCAGACCAACATCACTATGAAGTTCATCATTCTCACCTCGCTTGTTGCCGGTCTTGCAGCCCTCACCACCGCCGCACCCACGACCATCACCCTCGACAAGCCGACCGTCACGGCTCTCCAGGCTTCAACCACTGTTCCCACCACCATCATATCAACTCGAACCACGCCATCCATCCAACCATATATACCAGAATCATCAGCAGTATGCAAAGACCACATCTGTTGCGTCAAAGACGGTGGCAGATGTTGGAGAGAAAGCCCGACTGGTCCGCCTCAGAAGCCACCATTTGAGCGACTGTAAACCATGGATACGGGAGACATGAGCGAGATACGAAGTGAACGATCTCGAAATTGTGGACGATGTGGTTTGGATGAAAAAGACTAGCTGCTGTTTGAATCTTCGCGCATCAACATCTCTCTCTTGCAGCACATCAAATCTCGACAGCACAAGACAGAAAAGCGCAATTCTTCGCAGTTTTTTGTTGGATTTTTTATCGAATTTCAACTATCAAATATCAAAAGACAAACATTTTTCCGTTACCCCTCGCTCCTCCTCAAAACTCGAGAACTCCAGTACTCCAACATCTCTTCGCATCAGTATTTTCCAGCTCACAACAGTCAATGTCCAATCGCAGAAAATATCATTATCATCCACAGTCAGCCAAAGGGTTGAAGAACAAGATGCACAAATCCCACTTCTTGCCCTTCTTGGCCTTTTTAGCCTTGATCGACTGCTTCTCCACCTTTGCCTCGGCGTCCAACGCAGCAACATTGATGGCGTTGATCATGTCGTTGGTTGAGGCGTTGGTGGTAGCGTTCTCTCTGGGATCGAGATCGACAGTGGAGGCACAGTATGGACCAGTGCACAGGCAATCGAGTGTCATGCAATCCTTGATCCCTTGGACGGTAGTGGTGTTGATGAGCTCGCCGCTGGGTGGAGGGGGTCTGGCAGGGGCGGCCATGGTCAGAGTGCCGAAAGCCATAGAGAAGCCGACGAGAGTGGTATAAAACTTCATCGTGGATTTGAGTAGTAGTTTTGATAGTTCAGAAAGTGGAGTTTTGAAGGGTTGACAGGATGGAAAGCAAAGAAGAAGATGAGTTCTTATATACCCAGGCCTAGCAATCTGAGTTGACTCATGCTGCACAACTTCGCAAAATACCTACTCTTAATAAACTCATTGCGAAAGTCGAAATCAGGGACAGCGGTTTTTTTCGTGATAATTCGCGTAGCTCACGGTTCTACGACGCGATGTGGTGCTAAAGATGGAGTTTGAGCAAGATAACGAGGATTCCAGAAATCGTCCTGTCCGACAGTAATAAGCTTCGAAGTTCTCATGGCCAAGCACTCTCGCGTGCGTAAGGTCATTGTGGTGTAGCTATCGAATTGTACAAAATCTTCCACACCCAGGTGTTGACCACAGAAATAAGTTGGCTCAGATCATCTCCTTGGCCATACCTGAATGCGAGGAGACACTGTGCATTTTTATTATGCAAAAGCCTCCTGTCTATTACTATCAAGAGAGAAGGTAATTCTTCCAGATGGTGAGAACCAGCTTCTAGCACCTTGAAAGTACCCAGCATTGTTTGTGGGGTTTCAAATAGAAGGAGAGAGCAGATTTACAGACCTGCAGTTCTCTGCTCCTGACCTTATGCCCATATTGTGACAAGCACCAGCTTACATCATCTGCAACACCTTGCCTTCTTTCAGCGCCTTGATGTCTGGAGCATGGGGCTCTTCTACCATCCACCAGATCATCGATTCGACGATAGTCCAGAGCTCTTCAGTTTTGTCATCCTTGCTGTTCAAGTTGTTGAATTCGGCAATGTGATTCTCAACAACTTCCTGGTAACCTAAAAGCAGGGGCTAGCATTAGCATGTTCCTTGTGTGAGGGCAATAAGAGTACAAAGGACGGTCTACAAGCTTTCGCTGCCCTTCTCCTCGTCCCAGTCTTCGTCCATTCCGTGTTCCCTGTTGTAGCGAGCTTCGCATTCAAATCGAGGGGCACAATGCCTGATGTAGGTGTAAGGATCTGATTGGACTTTGGCTTCGTCCATGTCGTGATCCTCAGGGTCAGCGATAGTGGCATCGTCAGAGGCTTGTAGCGTCGACTCGGTGTTCTGGGCATTGGACTCTTCTTGCGCTTCCTTGGAAGCTGCTCCGGCATTGGTTAGGTCGTCTTTCTTCGAGCTCTTTGCTTTCGAGGTAGTCGCCTCGGCATCAGCAGCTCTTTTCCTGGATCCTTTGGGATGCATTGTTGAATTCGGGCAGTGAATTGGAAGGGGTAAGGATTATTCGATTGGTTGTCGAAAAAGATATCTCGAAGCTGTTTAGAGTGCCGCGACTTGGACGTGCACGCGTGTAGGGCATGACGTAGCGTCCGTCATGGCTCCGGAGTTCTAATCCGTATCTAACCCAAGCTCTTCTTTGCGAAGTATTAGCACTATGAAGATGCACAGGTTTGTTTACATAGTAGACGATTCCGTGGAGTGGATGGTACCAAAATCCCAGTGGCTATGTCTTACCTTTTCGACGTGACCCTGCATTTTTAGAAATCACCATGTAGCACGCCTTTGCGTCCGGAGAGACACCCAGCATATTGAGTAACACTCACGCAGATGGCCATTGGCCTCAGGTCGAATGGCTGATGCAGCAAGCTCTCCGTCCCTGTGCCTCGATCTTGAAACCATCCCTGTCGGCAGCATACGTGGTGGTGCAGGGTTACTTGCTACCACATGCAGACCTTGTTCAGCAACCCGAACTTTTCAGGCGATTCGCAATGGGGCATGTGAGCAAGTTGCCAGTTTATGTCATTTGCAATGGTTATCAATGGTATAGTTTCGACCAGATGATCAGGGTGTTTCGTATGCAAGGAAACGAGCTGCGTAAAGAATGGTCAAACAAGCCTTTTCTCAAACGAATGGAGCGGTCGTGTAGAAAAAGTAGTTCATCGCAGAGAGGCAGAAACTATCAGAATAATTAGGAGCTCGTCTTCACCAACCGTCTCCTCCTTTTCAAGACTGAAGTCGACATCCTCACTTTGACAATGCATAGTGGACTCTGTATCTCAGATCCGTCCAAAGAGAGCTTTGTGTACCATCAGCTCTCATCTCCCAACGTAGAGTAGAAATGAGGCCATAGAAATGCACAGTTCTTTCCAAATCGCAGAGAGATCCATCGAAAGCCCCTGATCCTACGACTCTCATTGGGTGCATCTTGTCTCTTAATACCATTGTGCATTTTGATAGTTACTCACGAGGAAGAAAATACAAAAGAACACGATAACAAGAAGACAATGTGTAAAGCAAGCTATCTAACAATTGCTATTTCATGCTGAGCAACAAACAAAAACGCCTCATGCTTTACTACAAATCATGCAAAATGGAATCACCCGACAACACCCTTGAAGCTCAATGCCTCCAAAAATCCACTAAGGTCTTCCTTCTTGACCTCGACAACCTCGTGTTCGAACGAATCGATTCTGACTCTAGCCCCCGTCTCTTCAATCACTTCTTGGAAAGCTGAGCCAAACTTGTTGCTGCCGTATCCTCTTTGCTTTCTTTTTTCCGCTTCTTCCTCATCTTCACTGTCGTCGTCCGAATCTGAAGAGTCTGAACCAGAAGAAAGCGACTCAGCGTCAGAGGCCTCGTCATCAGAGTCGACAAAGATGCCATTTGCTTCGTCGCGCTCGCGACGTGCTTGCTTGCGTTGAGCGCGTTGCTGAAGCTTCTGTGCTTTCTTTTCTGCTTTCTTGGTTTCTCTGGCGAGTTTCTTATCGGCGCGGGCTTTTTGCTCTGCACGACTGCGGATGCGTCCTGATGCTGCATCACCACCACCAAGTCCAACGACAACATAAACGCCTCTGCGCTCATCGAGAGCGGCAAGAACAAGTGCGTTGTCAGAGGTGCGTTTGGCTCCTTTTTCTGCTTCAAGTACAGAGATGGCTTCGGAGATCCAAGTGGCGAGTTTGACGAGAGCGCCGGGGTGGATGAAAAGGTTTACGTCCGGTCCTTCGCGGACGACGCCCATCCGGAAAGCTCGTAGATGGCGTATCTGATGTTTGGCGATGAGTGCACTGCCAGTACGGAGGATTGCTCTGTGAAGATGCTGCGCCGTGGGTACGTGAGAAAGCAAAAGTTGTAGCGCAGAAGATGAAGGAGATAGAGCGTCGTAAGCGGCAAAGAAACGATGGGTTGTCCAGTCCGGGTCCATGATCGAACTTTCTTGCTCGAGTTGTGACGCTGAGGGTGATGAGTCGCCGTTGTGTGATGTGGGTGGTGTGGGTAGTGCTTGCATACGTGAATTGTAATTTGAAGAAAAGACCTTCATGCGGAAGTCGGTCTGTGGCGTGGCGGCAGAGATGGTGTCGAAAAACTGTTCAGTGCCAACTTCGAGGATGGCGCTTGTAATGACTGCGACATCGACTGCTGAGAGACAAGCCTGCCAACCCCAAGAGCGGACAAAGCCCCAGCCTTCGTGTCTGTGACGGTGACTGTCTTCTGGTGGTACTAGTCCATCGAGGCCATACATAGGGGCAAACTTCAAGAGGCGGTCACGCAGGCCGCGCTTCAGTTCCATGTCCATGTGTGTATAACTCTTTTCGGCTTCAGCTAGTGAGACACCCATCTTGGCCAAGAGCTTGTGCAGTCTTCTCTTTCCGGCATCCGACCAGATATGCAACCGTGATGAGAGGTATGGCGAATGCAGCATGCTCTCGTACAGGGACCAATGTCTGATCAGAAGGAAGCGCGGTTCTGGCGAAAGACGAATCGAGGTGTCTGTCGCCGAACGTGCACTGGTAGGAATTATGCCACCGGCTTCGTCTCTTTCCCTTGCGATGTCTGTGGCCGGTACAGGGTTGAGACGGCGTACTTCATCACGGAGCACGTCACGAATCTGATCGCCTCGACTCAAATTCCATGGGTTTTGGCGTGCTTCGGAGTTTGTGGTTTTGGATCTGCCATAGAGCTCAGTGGAAGACATTCCAACTAATGCCAGCCAGAGCAGGTCATTGTCTTCACGACCAAGTTCAGAAGCTAGTGAATACAGCATTGAAGATATGGGCTCCGAGGCTGAAGTTCCTAGTGAGTAGTATGCCTCGAGTACTGCTTCGTGCTTTCGCTTCATCCTGAGTAGCTTGCGGCGAAGCGATCGTGCTGACGGGGCTTTAGGTTGAAGCGGCGGTGATGAAGGGACTAGACCGAGTTGTGAAGATGAAGGATGGTTGGAAATTTCCAATCGTTCGTGTCGTCGTGATGATGGTGAAGTGGGAGTGGCAGGTATTGAGGTGCTCTGAGTCGACAGTCAGTATACAGGCTTGTACTCTAGAGATATCGCAACATACGGAGTTACTTCGCCGCCTTTGGTATGGTCTGTCACCTTCAATATCACTGTCGGCTTCTTCCTCTGCATCGTCATCACTCCATGTCTTTCGCTTTCGTGTTTGTGAGTCTTCGGCACACTCTTCCTCGTCACTTTCCTCGTCGAGATCACCATCATCTGCTTCTTCATCGATATCTGGCATATCCTGCAGGGCACAAAAGGCTTCTTTTTCTGCACCCAACTCTTGTTCAATGTCACCATCGTCATAGACAATGATACCTCCTCTCCCTGGCGTGTAAGATGGTAGAATTTTGCCCTGATCAACACCTCTCCTCCTCTTGGCCATTGCAGGGGTGATTGCGGCATCTTGATCTTCTGGTGGGGCCATGGCTCCAGTTCCAAAGACATTTTGCAAGTTCCAGGGTCTTCTTGCATCAACGACCCAGACTTCAACACCGTGGTCGTACATGTTCATCTGTGTCTCCGGGTCTTCTCCTCCATCTAGAGCGAGCATCTCTTCCAAGTCTACAAGTCCTCCGACACCCAGGCAGACGACAATACCGCCTTGACCGCCATGTTGACGCGTCAGAGGAAGCACGAGATCCTTTCCGGCAGCGGACAATTCACTGTAGCCAGCTACTGGTTGAACTTTGTGAGGAATATAGTCGCGTTTGAGTAGTGCTGTGAGGATTCGACAAGCACAAAGAGCATCGGGGTCGAGGGACACGAGGATCAAGACGGGTGGTGAAAGTGGATGGGTGTTGCGGACCAGATGTGTGTAGAGATGTGAGAGAAGCGTTCTGGGAAGATACATGGCGAAGGAGCTGTCTCAGCAAGGCATGCGTGAAGGTGGACGGTCGGGTTTCCTTGAAAGACTTGTCCAATCTAAGTCGTGGTCGTGACGCGTTCTGTAGGAATATCGTAATGTGTCATGCTCCGTATTTCGAAGCTTTGTGGTGATGCTATGGCTCGAGCACGGCTGTACAGTGCTACGGATAGTGGAATGATGGCCTGTAGTTCGTCTTGGTATTGGGTGTGTCGTCGTTGGACGCGAGTGGCAGGTGCCAGGGAGTTTCGAGGCACGCGGGCTCACGCGTCGGGCGCGCTTGCCAAACTTTGGCGCGTCAAAACACGATCGATGACCACCGCCTTGGCGCGCGTCAAGAAATCACAATCGTCTTTCCGTCCCGTCTTTTCTTTTTCCCGATCTCATCGTGAATTAATTATTGCTATCATGTGTTATGCTGTTGTTACTACAAAAGATACATGCACAAATCACTTTCCAGCCACTTTCCAGCCCGACCCCTAGACAAGTCCCTCCTTCTTCTGCATTCGGATTCGTTCCTCAATTGCATGACGAGGATGAATCATGTCCTTGAAGCCTAGCCATTCTGTGTTGAGCGGACACGGTCCCGTGTATATGAACGCATCGTAGATAAGGCCTCCGAACGCACATCCACAGAACGGTGCTACCATTGGAATCCTTTATCGAGTCAGCAAACTTGTTCATCCACGCATCCGGGACACATCTTACCAGAAGTAGTAGCCCCCAGCGGACCAGACCTCGTGGCCATATCCGAGGAAGTAGGACATGAGACGAGGTCCAAAATCCCTGGCAAGGTTGACTGCAACAAATCAGCATCCGATATTCAGTGGAGCCACCGCAATACTTACTTGCATAACCTGTCTCAACACCAAAGCATGCCCCGATTCCGAAGATCAAGAAGAACAGCCCAAGCGGGAACCAATTGCCTCCTCCGCGGGACACCCCGTTATTTGTGTCGTCCTTGAGAGCGAAGATCACAAACATCAGAATCGCACTGGCAATGAACTCGGAGAAGAACATGCTGGCTTTGGTCATGTACGCCTTGGGATATGTGCAAAAGATTCCCGCAGTTGCTGTCGGGCTCGGAGGCACTGTACGGATTCCATGGCCTTCGAAAGCATTGATGTCGTTGACGTAGTTGCCGTATATGATGCCAGCAGCGACCAGACCGCCGAGGAACTGCGCTAGGAAGTACACCGGAAACCTTCGCCACGGGAGCTTGCGGAGAAGGCAGTTGGTAAAGGTAATCGCTGGGTTCAGGTATGCTCCAGAATCACCAGCCACATACACTCCCAACATCACGCCGATGCTGTCATCAATTAGTGAACAATGCCGATGGACTTCACAAAGGACAACATACGCCCAACCCCATGAGATAGATTGGTATCCTCCATATCCGTTCCCGCCAGGAGCAGTTTTGTCATTGGCACCCAGGAGTACCTGAGCCACTGAACCATCGCCAAACAAGACTAGGATCATGACGCCAAAGAACTCCGCGAATGGTTCTCGCAGAGCCAGTCTCACTTTGCTCCACCATAGCCCGGAGTATGGTGTAGCATCATGTTCTTCTGCAATCGGTGCGTGCGGATGGAGACCCAACAACTTCGATCTGGTGAACTGCAGCCCCTGAGATGACGATGTGGTTGTCTTAGTGTCCAGAGGCGCACCGCCCGCGTCTCCGTGTTCTCCGATGTGTTCGACATGATCGCCCGGTCTCGTCGACCATCTTTGCAGCTTCGTAGGATCCGACTCCGGATTGTGGAACTGGGTATAAACAGCATCTGGATGCTGAGTAGATCCTGAGAGCTGTCTGTCGTGGGCTGTGGAAGCCTGCGACCATTCTTCGTACGACCTCGACGTCTGAGCATTGGCCCACTGTCCGGAACTTTGCTCGTCGTGGTGTCGATTACTCATATTGCTGCCGTATAAGCTCTCCCTGCTATGTATAGCAGACTTCCGGAAACAGCTGTAAGTTGTGTATAAGGAGAAGGCCAAAAAACAGGTTTGGAGCAAGAATGCGTGAACGAGAACGCAGCTCAGAGTTAAAACATAAGAAAGAGCTTACGTGCGCCCTCTATGTCACCAAGGCTGTCATGCTGTCAGACACGAACATCCCATGGAATCCTTCTGTCCGCTATCGAGGGTTTCGGCTCGATCGCTTTCTCTGTCTTCGTTACAGTACCGAATCACAGCCGTTGGCAGGCCTCTATTGGGTGATTACCCCGCCTATAACTCACCTGTTCCATCATGCATAGGAGCCGCGCCTCCCGCCGAGCCGCCCTCGCGAGACATTAAACCTTGGAGACTTGGACAGCCTTGGACAAAAGTACAGACGATCAGCTGAATAAAGCTGGTGAGCTTCTATCGCCGTTTCCTGTCTGCTTTTTTGGTCCGTTGCAAGCAAGCGACGTTTGTATATGCCCTATTCACTTCAGCTGCAGCGTTTGCTTACTCTGTCTTGCTCTGCAAGACATGTTGCCGGTGAGGGATGGGAAAAAGGAAGTACCCCAGATCTTCGGTCTCCTCCCCGTGGGGGATCTTCGCCCGAGTGTGGGGTTGGCAGTTGCGCCTCATGACGCGAAGCAGTTGCGACATCTGGACATACCCATGTGTAAGAGCAAGCAACGCATGAAGTGGCCATCGCATCGGACGCCTTTGTCAGTATACAGGCAGGACCTGCTAATGGATGCGAATTGTATCAGCTCTCTAACATCTCCGATGGCTTCACCTTTCGAGATGAGAGTATTCTGTTCTAGCAATAGGGCTGCAACGCCTCGGTACACCGAGCAAGTCCTTGGTTCCATATCGTCAATCAATCACGTTTGTGAGTAGTGAAACCGATCTTAGATACAAGTGACTTGCTTCATCCTCTACGACAAAACCAAGTTCCTGGAACTTGCAATGATGCATTCATCTCCGTCGGACGGTAGGGTTGGCTTTGCCATTCTCCTTCGATACGCTCAATAGATTGTATCAACCATCTCTTTGCGTCGACTATCACAAGTCTCTATCGCAAGATCCGGTTTTGCCTCGATTGGAACCTCAGCGTCGAGACTGCGAACATAAGCGTTGTTGCTCACATTATCCTACCATCAAGCAACTCTAGTCCAAAATACAATCCCCGCCCGAGAGCACAGCTGTACAAGATCTCGACGACTACACACTTCAGAAAGGCTGCTATCCAACAGTGATGATCCGACCCTCCCCGTCACAAGTCGAACTGGTAGCCTGTCATATCCACACCAAATCCCCGTGCTGTACTGTTGCAAAAACAACTCTCCCTTACGAGAACCTACAAAATGGTTATCACACATTACGAGTGTCTCCTTCCCGCGCTGACTGATGACACGATATGCCCGCCATCCAATACAATACCGAACAGCTCGAACGACACACAGATTGAACGTGAAGGATGTCGGGTGCAGCGCGAAACGGATGATTCAACGACAGTACAATGTGCCAGGTTCTGTACCTCTCACCCTTTGTTCAAACAGTACCCCATTGAAAACATCGTTTTTTGGTCAATCATCTCTTTTCCTTTTGGACTATTCATCTCTCTCTCCCCTCCCCCATCCTTTACCTATCAATACCTAGGTTCACAAATCCTGGGCTCAAGTAGGAAGATTGCACCTTCCGATACGCCTGGACAAACCCCGTCCACTGAAACGTATTCCTGGTCGCAATACACACCGCGACAACCCCGCATAGAGACGCATCAAAGTCCAAAGAGCTATACTCTGCCTCCTTTTTATCATATCAATACAATCGACTAGCCATCTCTCCTTTTGGCTATGTCGAATTTCCCCACCTGTATAAAACAACAGCCCACTCGATATTCTCTCCAGTTTATGTTGGAAGGGCCAAAAAATCATGATTTCTTTTATACTCTGCACCGGTGCGGATGTTTTCGTCCACACACACAGCAACTCGATACTTATATAGTAATATGTACGTCTCAGCGTCTCGACATTTCCTTCATCTCGGCGTTCTAGCATCCCCATCATCACCATGGCATCTCATCACCATAGCATCTCATCACCATAGCATCACATCACCATAGCATCTCATCGTCGTGATACAAACTCTTGCACATAGGATGTACTCTCATAAACACCTACGACGAAGCAGCAGCCTCGAGAATGGCATCAGACTTGCCCTCCAAATCAGCACTCGTAGCCCTCTCACAAATAATCACAAACGCTCTTCTCTTCTGCTGCTCCTTATCGCCCTTCTTCAAGTGGCTAGTGTCGAGTTTAGCCCAATATCTATCCAGCACCTTGGCCAATTCATCCGGATGCTTAGGAAGTCCCAGCTTCTCGATTCCGCGCGATGACTTTTCATCCACGAATGGATAAGCCTCGGGCCACAGCCACTGTACGCGGCGGAAGAAGATATCCAAGCCTGTCTTTCCTACACCCTTGATGTTCTCTTGCAGCAGATCACGCTCCATATCCCAGCCGTGTGAGGCTTGCTCGCGGAGCTTGTCGAGAGAGGTGTCTGTATCGTTTTTGGCGAATTTGTGGGCGACTACATCGGCAACCAGACCGATTTGCTCGGCCGTCTTGTCTTTGTGTTGGGTTTTTGCGTCGGTGAGGGCTTGGTATCTTTTTTCTTTGCCGGCGGAGGTGATGGCCGCGGGGGTGGTGAAGGAGTACGGTGCATTGAGTATGGTGCGGATGGAGCGAAGACCGAGTTTGTGGCTGATGGGGCGGCTGAGGATGACTGCGCAGACGAGCTCTTCGAAAGCGGTCAAAGCGGAGGAAGAGTAGGTTTTGTAGTCTGCGCCTTGGGGCTCGACTTGAGCGGACTCGTCATCGGGGCGGCAGAGTTCGGTCGAGGCAGGGGAGAGCAGGTAGTTTAGGAGTTGCTCTGTGGTGGGTGCTACTTTCTGGGCACCACGACCGGACTTGCGCTCGCCTTCTCTCGGTGGTGGAACGTCAACTCTGCGTTTCTTAGGCGCCTTCTTCTCCTCTGGCTTGGTCTCGGTCGCGGACGGTCCGATTGAGGCTTCAGCAGCTCCCTTGCGCTTCTTCGACTTGGTGTCCTTGGATGCAGCAGCGGGCTCGGCTTCGACTGCAGGTTGAGTTTCCGATGGCGCATCGGCAGCGGGTTGTTCGTCCTTGGGTTCCTCGGTCGTAGTCGCAGCTTCGGTAGTAGATGGTTCTTCTGGCTTCGTCTCCACGACGGCAGGCTCCTCCACCTTGGACTCTTCGGCAGTAAACACCCCCTCAGCAAGTCTTGCCATTTCTCCACCGCCCTCGGCGTGACCATTGGACTTAGGTCCGCCTTGACCCTCCATGAAGATCTTCTTGCCCTTGGGCGCAGCTTTTCCCTTTTTCGGAGGCATCTTGTGGACGAATGATAGATGGAAGTAGACGGAACGAGGAGTGATAAGTCTTGGGAGGAAAGGAAAGAAAGAAGGAAAGATACTCACAGCGAGCAACAACGGGTCGTTGGTTGGGTGGCTGGCACTTACCCCAGAATGATTTGATGTCGCACTCCCGCGGCGATCAAACCCAAAACAAAATCATATCTTGCTTCTTTCCAAGGCTGGAACGAGTACGAAGTGTTATATAGGTTGCGCATGCAGCAGGTGCCCTCCAATCACTGTGCGAACCTGAATCTTTTGCGCCTAAAATGACGACCGTGAATCATAAAATGATGCATATTGGACAGACGCGCGAAAACAACTCTGGGGGAAGCTACAGCCATCAATCAACGGTGGCAGCTGCGGTACGTACCTTCCATAGCAACCATCACATTCTACCTCGACTGGTCAATTGCTTGGGCAGGATCAATACTATCCCTCTTTCTCTGGTCAACACTCTCGCGGCATTTTGCCACAATCAGACTGTCCAAAGATGCATTCGAGGCTCCCCAAAGGCAAACACCATCTCATCTGCTGCTATCAAAATGCACAGTGACTTGAAGATCAAGCGTGAAGCCAAGGAGATATCAAGAAACCTCATGTCCCCATGGATCTCACCTGGTCTTGAAAACTTCCACGCATTCCTACAGCTGTATCCCATGGCCTTCAGCATGCGGATGTCTACGCTTGCCCTCTCTCACGACAAACGATAGTTGGTCTTACATACTATCAAAATGCACAATGACTTCACAAACAAAGGTGTAGCCATGGAGAGACCAAATCTTGATTGTTTCACATGCTCTCTATTGAGGTATAATCCCTGAAGAACGCCCCTGATCTTGCAACCCCTTTCCATACCCCTCACTCCTGCTATGCAAAAAAAGCCCTCATGTCATAAGCCAAGTCCGATCCTGTATTCAGGCATTTACTTGGTAGGTAGCTCTCTGAAAACTCTCTTGAAAATGTCCTTACTCTTATACAAATTCGTCAGTCTCAAGCGCTCATTATCCAGGTGAGCAGAATCACTCGCTTGGCCACAAGGAAAATGCGCAGCCGGAGCTCCGAACTCCTTCTCCAAGAATCTGATCGCGGGGATAGATCCACCTTCTCTAATATACAGTGGCTTGGTCCTCGGCTTCCTTTGGTTAGAGAGCAGAGGTAGCGGTAGAGCGAGAGTGTCGTTGGTAATATCTGACAAAGCAGAATTGTTGGGTCCACCGTTCGCGAGTACAGAAGAGGTGGTGGGAGAAGGCTTGGACGTATGTGAGTTCTGTACCTCGTCTTTCTTGGGAATGGCGACTTTGAGCGCGTTCTCCTTGCTCACAGCCAGCGACGACTTTCTACGGTGTTGAGGTACTTCGGGGATGGGTCCCCAAACATCCATGATAGCTTTTTCCAATGTCTGGAAGATCTGGTTGTTGAAGTCACCGAGCCAGGGTTCAGCTTGATGGTCGATGGTGACGGTCATGCGGTTATGAGAGCCAAGTTTGTTGAATTCCGATTGCAGATATTTGGTCAATGCATCGCCGATTGTGTCTGCTTCTTGATTCGGCACCAGACGAAGTGACAGAGCTGCTTGTGCGAGTCTAGGGATGATGGTTGCGTTTGCAGGACCAGACGTGTGGAAGCGATGAACTGTCAACGAGGCTTCTCGCCAACGGCGCATGAGAGAAAGTGCCAGGTCGCGAGGGTCACCAAGATCAGGATTTCTAGCAACCAGAGCTTGGGTAATGTCTTCGTAGAGGAGCTCCTCCTCCTTACTCAGCTCAGGAATCGGGTCATAGAAGCTGGGAATCTTGACTTTGCCATGAGTACCGGTGAGAGTGGACAGCAGCATCACAAGATCTTTCAAGGGTTCGTCAAGCTGAGAGCTTCCATCGACACCACTGTGCAAGTCAGGGTGTTCACTTTCCACCTGGACAGTAGCGTGGATGACGCCGCGAAGGCCATAGGTTACGCAGGGCATCGAGTCGTCCAGCCAATAACTGTTAGCAAGCAGGATCCAGTCGACGTCTCCAATGATATGTTTGTGCTGCTTGACAGCATTTGCAAATCCGCGCGAACCACTTTCTTCTTCACCTTCGATAAGGAAGATGACATCCGAGCCGAGGGCTTGTTCAGACATGAGTTCGGCACAGGCGAAAATGGCAGCCATGATGGGACCCTTGTTATCGGACGTTCCTCTTCCGTAAAGGTAGCCATCGATACCTTCCATGACGAAGGGGTCAGTGATCCATTTGCCTTGCTCGTTGTCGGCAGCAACGACATCGTAGTGACCGTAGAACAAGACCTTCTTTCTAGTGGCTGCAGTGGATGGGTTGCCTCTAAAGCGAGCGAGAATGACAGGGTTTGAGCCGTCTTCGGTCGGCAACATCTCAGTGGCAGCACCGAAGCCCTTAAAGACGGAGCGAAGATATGAAGCACCGCGACGGCAGTCACCCTTGTACTTGGGATCGGAAGAAACGGTACGGTAGGAGATGAAGCGTTTGAGATGGTCAAGCATTTGCTCATCGGTCGTCCTCTTGACCGCAGTGGGAGACATGATGCAGTCGCTGACATCCCAGACGGCGACAGTGTTGTCGTTGGCTCCGGTCACGTACAAAGGCTTGCCCTTGTGGTATGTGAACGCCGAAGTCAAGATCTGACCGTCGTGAGCGTGGAGTCTGCTGGCGCACTGATATTGGCGGTCGTATTTCTGTCGCACGTCAACTAGAGTCTCACAAAGCAGACTATGGTCTACTCACCCTGACATAGCCAGTAACAGCGGCGGAGAACATGTACCCGCCGCCAATACAGATTGACAAGACATCGTCTCTGTGAGCTTTCAAGCTGCGGACAAGCTGTCTGGTCTCCAAGTCCCAGACATTGACCTCACCACCAGTGCGACCAGAGTAGAGGAAGGTAGCATCGAGGGCGATAGACAGAATGGACTGGCCTTCCTCTCTGCCATCATCAAGCGTATACAGCAGGTCGATAGCGCCTCCGCGATTGGCATCCATGGTCCACAGATTGATGGCGCCGTCTCCACCAGCAGAGATCAAGACCTGATCGCCCGGAGCGTCAGGCACAACACCCTTGGCCAACATCATACAATAAACGTAACCATAGTGTGCAAAGTGCTTGATGTTGTCCCGATCGATCTCCAAGACATCACCTCCAGCAGCATGCCTGGCAGGCTGGCCCTGGTCGGCGGGTCTGGGAGTCCTGACACCACCAGGCCCTCGTGAGTCAAAGAAAGGGTCTTCTCTTAACGAGGGGTGATCGTTCAGCTTTGGTTTCGGTCTGTGGTCCTTTTCTTTCAAATCATACCACTGGATGGAGGTGTTTTGAGCGCCGAGGTAGACGGTTCGTAGCAGAGACGAGTAGGCGACACAAAAGACATCGCCGGTATCGTATCGCGAGTACAGAGAGTAGACGTGTTGATATGTGTTCAGGTCCCAGACGTTTGTGATGCGGTCGGCGGCGGTAGAGAAGAGGAGGTTTTCGTCTTTGCAGATGCAGAGGTCGAGGACGCTGCTCTTGTGTGCTTCGAGCAGGGCGATGCGGTCGTACGTGTCGAGAGAGTAGACGAGAATCTCACCGCGCTGGGTGCCGGCAAAGACGGCGTTGTCCGAGAGGGCGAGAGCGAGGATGGAGGCATCATGGCGTAGACGGTGGGATAGGGTGGGCAGGTTATGTGGTTGTTCTGCTTGCGGTAGTTGTGATGGTTTCTGAGAGTCGGTCGTGTCTTGGTTGTTGCAGCTTCCGCGACTTATCGAGACGGGGAACTTTGGTCGCTGAGGAAGGAGCTGTTCATCCGTTTCTGAACCTGCGTTGGACGAGTCCGCCGTCAGCGATAGCCTTAATCGCGACCTGGCCGACATGGTAATGTGGATGCGACATGTGGAGCTGTAGTTTGTAGCTCCAATGTCACAAGCTCACTCTCTCCAGCCGAGTGATTCATAGTCGCGTGCCGCCCAGTTCATGGTCAACTCACCACTTGCAACATCATTCTCTGACCATGCCTTCTCGAACACCGGCCATGCTCCACCACAATTCATCTTTCAATATCCAATATACCCACTGTAGCTGTCACGAAACTATAAACAATTCGATTCTTCAACTTTTTGGTTCGCCCTGGCCCTGACAGCCCGCACGTCATTCCCGCCCTGACTTGCGACATCGGCCAGCCAGTCATATTCGACACCTTTACACCAACACCTGCATCAACTGTCACACTTGTGTGTCTTCATGTCTAGATCGTAGCGTTTGTGTCTTGTCTCTCTATCCAATCTACATCTTCTGATCCAACTTCCTCAAAAATCTTCCTACTCCCTTCTCCGTCTTCTTCAGCCTCTCCTCGAATCCTCCAGGTTTTGGTGTCCCCTGTGCCTGTACCTTGGGTGCATGTCCATGCGCTGCTTCCTGCTCTGTAGGCCTGTACGCTTGGGTGTGCACCGCATACGCTTCAGTCGGTAGTGTTGGCTGTGACGACTGTGGTCCATACGTGTAGTTCGAGAAGCCTCCAAGAGGAGACGAAGGCAGGCCTGGCGATTGAGGTGTATGCTGTGGTGCAAAGCCTGGTGATTGCAGAGGTGTGTGCATGCCATATGCTGGTGGCTGACTTGGTGTGTTTGCTACACCTGGCGACTGGAGAGGTGTGTGCATTTGAAATCCTGGAGATTGTGGATAGTGTGCCGGCTGCTGTTGTGGATAGGATGCATACTGTGCGTGAGCATGCTGCTGTTGCGGCGTACTACTTTGCGAACTGCTCGGAGGTCCTGCGAATGAGTGTGCAGTCTGTAGACCAGGGTGTGGTGAGTGTGCTGCGAGAGGTGGTGGAGGTGGGAAAGAGCCCAGACTCGTCGCCCGCTGTGGTGGACCAGGGAATGTGCTTTGTGGTATCGCCTGGTGGTACTGTGCACCAGGCTGCTCGTGTGTTGCGGCAGCTGCTAGCCCAGTCCCGCTGCCTGCATCTATGGGTGGCGGCGTCTTTTCACGATGGGCGATAGGCTCAGGAGCTGCAGGTGCTGCTGGATTGTATGGTGCCACTTGAGCCGCCGACGACGGTGTAGATGCCAGAGCTGAATGCAGAGAGACCGTCCTCTGACCTTCAGGTGTGTGGCCATGTCGACTCTGGCTCGAAAAGTCCGAAACGGCGCTTGGAGCTCGAGCGTGAGGAGGTGTATGGATTGCCATATTCTCCAGCTGTTGCACTACTGGACTCATGCTACCATCATGCTCTGGAGGTGGTGCTGCCTCAGTGATGTCGAGGTTTTGATGAGGCGTGATACGTTTGATCAGATCCAGCAGCTTCATGGCGTCGTTTGTGGTCCATAAGTAAAGATCCAGAGTGTGAATCTTGTACAAGTACTTATGTTCATGTGTGAGGCCAAAGGCTGGAAGGTGCCAGTGTGAGTGATCTGCGGGACGTGGTGAAGTGCCACCATGCTTGACACCTTCGACAGTCATGGTGAACAGGTTTGGATGCTTGTATGTGTTGGTCACCATGGCGTGATCCAAGTCTGCAGAAATCAATCAGTCAAACATGCTGTATGGTGAGGTGACCGGAAGCAAACGTACAGCCATTGAAAGCATCCTGGTCCGGAGTACCAGCAGAATTGGCTATCTCAAGACGTGCCCGACGCTGAATAGAATTGTAGTAGAGGTACAGATACGAGCCCTTGTCAAAGCGATGGTGGACAGGCTTCGACGCAGGCTGGTTGAAGTAGGTGCGTACATCTGTAAAGCTGTCTCGAGTCAGAACAGACAAATATTTAATCAGGAACATCCAACCTACATGTTGAGAAGCAAAGTCTCTCCAGGCAAAGGAGGCATATTCACGTTCGCGTCTGACGCTCCCTCTGCAATCTCTCTCGATGAGGCTGATATCTCACAACATCAACAACATGAATGTAAGCCTCGACGAACTCGACTAGATGAGCAACGTAGTCGGTGCAGAGGTAGTTGAAGATGTATTCAATGGAAAATGCAGTGGGAAACTTGAGCAGCAGACCCAGCAGCAATATGATGAGCGGAGACATCGTGGGATGGTGGGGTGAGGGGATCTAAATATACAAGTGGCATTACAATCAGATCCCAAGTCTTGGAACTCTGGACTGCAATTGGAGGGCAGCAGAGGAGATATGCAAGTAGGTGGGCGCTTACTGTGTTGCAAACAAAAGGCGGCGGTTGTCAAGCGGGCAGCTGCGCGGTGATTGGTTGCGGTCGGGGCTGTTTCAAGCGGAACCCCGGGCGCCAAGACTTGCAACAAGAATGTGAGAAAGTCGCAGCCGGCCATGAATTAATTATCGATCGCCTATACCACAGACCCTTCACTCTCGCTCAAGCATACGCGCATCGCATCCGGGCTCATATCTCTGCCTGTCGAATAACCGCAACTCTACCGAACTCAACACCGACTACCACCCGCGCCGAGAGGGCGTCAACCACCACCCACCATGTCCCTAGTCAACCTCGCCCACGTCTGCTCACACATGCAAAACGCCTCCCTCGCCCGCCTCGGCCTCACCTCAATCCCCCTCTCACGCATGCACCTCTCCCTCTCTCTCCTCCTTCAAAAGCAAGGCTTCCTCAGCACCGTCACCCTCGGCGGCCCCACACCGCCCGCAAAACTGCTACCACCTACCCACGCCGACGTCGACACCATTGCGCCCTCAGCAACACAAAAAACAATCACCCAAGAAGTTGAGGAAGTCACACAGCAAAACCGCGCGAGCAGAAGATTGTGGCTGGGCATGAAGTACTGGGATGGCGAGCCCGTGCTGCGCAAAATGACGCTGTTGTCAAAGCCTACGAAGAGGATTTGGCTAAGCAGCAATGAGTTGGGTGAGATTGTGAGGGGCAAGGATTGCAAGTTCATCAGGGGGTTGAGACAGGTTGGCGAGTGTATCTTCGTTAGCACTGACAAGGGTATCATGGAGGCAAGAGAATGTGTCGAAAGAAAGATCGGTGGTCAGGTTCTTTGCCGCGTTTGGTAATGCAGAGGATCATGTCGTGTAGGAATATTTTCGGGCATCTGAGATGGACGAACGTTTGTTCGAAATGTACAAAATTTTGAGTCTTTGGATCTTCTTGTATGCCTCACACGACCACCTTGGTCTGCCAGTCCTCACTGTCTGCAAAGGCATAACATGCGGCTAGTTGTGAGAGTGCACGATAATCTCGGGAATCAAGATAGTGTCCATCGAGAAGCAATCTATTCTCGGCTCTCTCTAGTATCCAGTCAGGAAGCTACTATGCCTTGAAAGCGTCTATACAAGGAGTGTGCTAAAGTCTATACCTCCTTCCTTTAGTATTTCTCATCCTTGAACTCCTGAACGCCATTCAATTCATCCTATCGACCCAACCCTCTCCAGACCCAATCCTGGATCAAATCAAACTCATTCCTCGCTTCTGAATGCACATTGACCCTCACTCCCTAACAGCGAGAACACTCTGTCCACCATCAACACCAAGTCTCTTCCTAGTCTTGGACTTGAAGCACGGAACCCCCAACTTCACCACCTTACCCTCCTGTTCCTCGAAAACAGCAGAAGGAGCAAACAACAAACTCTCTCCCACATCCAACTCGATGATCTTCTCGAACAGAGCCGCCGCACCCTCCTTCTTGCCTTCACCTTGACCCCTAGTGACAAGATCAGAAGCACCAGCGAGATGGCCCCTCAAAGTGCTCAACTAATCAGGAGAAGTAAAGCGATGCACAAAAGTCATCGAGCACAGATCCAGGAGCTTGGGTGAGATGGTTGGCTCCTGAGTGGCGATGACGATGCGGCAGGCATTGTGTCTCTGCTCTCTGATGACCGTGAGTAAGTTCTCAGTCAATGTCTCAGCGGCAGGTGTGTTCTTCATGAATTTGTGAGCTTCGTCCAGACAGACAAGTAGACCGGAGGCAGGACGAGAAGCAAGGAAGATGTCAAGAAGAATCGAGAAAAGCGTGCAGGTTGTACTGCTGTCCAGGAAGGGGTCGCTGAGGTCGACGATAGTCAAAGTGCCAGGAGAAGTTGTGAAGAGATCATCCGTACGCCTGGACGATCTGTTGGTGCCCTTGACACAAGAGGGGTCCAAGAACGATTCAAGGAGGTTGAGGCGCATTTCCATCATGACTTTCTGTCCAGGCTGCAGACCCTCGTTGTCAAGATTGGCTTTGAAGGTAGAGTAGCTGAAGGGGGCTCCTGTAATGGCCATCTCACGCAAGATACGCATGATGACTTCCATGTAGAGTGGGATCGTGGTCTCGCCTTCTTGGAATGCCATTAAGCGGTGCATACGCTCTGCAGTCAGATGATAAGACTGCAGCACCAAGGGCTGGATGTTCAGGAACTTCTCATGTTTGTCACCAACTGCAGACTTGTAGATGGTAGATAAGGAGTGGAAATTGCTGCGGGAGACGAGCACGTTGACTTTGACCCCTAGGGACACCAGATGAGCAGCTTCACAGATATTGTGCATAGAGACAGTGCTGTTGTGGAAAACTACTCCCGCCAGGGGCTTGGGCAGTTTTCTAATCTCAGCGGAAGGATAGAGACAGCTCTCGATCATGGCAGAGAGGGTATAGCTCTTGCCGCTTCCCTGAGAACCGCAGATGAATGCCGACCAAGGGGTGTTGGTGTTCAGGAGAATGGGCTCAGGTTCGGGCTCTCTTTGGACAACGGTTGAGGCACCAGAGATACTTTGCATTTCGATGGGCTTGGGAGTTGTAATGATGTCGTCCAAAGAGCAGGATTCAGGAATACGGCAGCCGAGGAAGGCATATTGAGGAAACATTGATGTCTTCAGCCTTGCTCCTGATGTCTCCTTGACCTTGAGAGAGATCAGCGGCGTAGTGCGCAATTGTTCGTCGGCTCCTGAGATTTTGGCATCCTGGGTATGGTGCAGCTGCAAATATCTCTGACGTTCTGCCATTGTGGTATCGGATGCTGACATTTTTGGCTTGGATGCAGAAGGGAAGAGGGGCGGGTTGCTGTTAAATTTAAAGGCCGCAGATGCGAAGAGGGATGCAGTAGTCGGTGTCTTGCCGACATTGGAGACATCAACAGTGCCCTGGGATGGCTTAGTGTCTAGGCTGAGCTTTTTGTTGGTCTCAGTTCTCTGATCGACTGAGAGCTCGTTGGCTATCTTGGAGCTTGTCGTATTGATGACTTTGCCAGAGACCTTGCTGAAAGTGAAATCAGCTGGGATGATTATCTTGGGCAATGAACTGAACAAAGATCTATCGTTTGAGTCTTGTTTCAGGGGCACCGACGGAGCGAACCAGTTAAACTGCTTGTCGTTTGCAGTTGTGTTTGCCGCGGCAGCAAAGTTAAAGAGCGGTTCCGTCTTGGCCGCAGGTACAGAGCTGAATACAAAAGATGATCCAGACATGTTGCTTGTCTTGATACCTGATGGCAGGCCAAAGAACGATCTCGATGAGTTAGTATCCTTGGTGTCAGACAATCCAGAAGACCAGACCGTAGTTGGTTGCCTCTTTCCAACTTTTGTTGCCTCATCGGATGCAATCAATGTTGGGTTGTCTGTCTTCGCTGACGCTGTTAGAATTGGTCTGAGTGGCAGAGACGTTGCAGAGTCCTTGTTCTCCGGCTGCGAAGCTGCAGATGCAGTAGATAGGCCAGAATCAGCTTTTGACGAGCTCTTCCATTTGTTCAACTTTTTATAGTCGGCGAGCCTCAACTCCTCGAAAGAGAAAGGCTTGTAACATCCCATGAATGTGATGGATTGGCAGCTTTGGCTCGTGTCACTCGACAAAGTTGTGGGTGTAAACTTTTTGCCGATGGTACTCTTCACTCTGTGTGGTTTTGTTCGCTTTGTTATGGGTAAGACAAATCTGACTGCTTTAGACTCTTGTGTGCCAGACGTTCCAGAGTTGTCTGGTCGAGGGTTTGAAGGTGCACTGGGCCCGCCGAAGATTGCCTTTGACGCGCTGTGTGGCTTGAACCCCATGGCTTGTTCATTGGAAGACTCGGTCAGAGTTTTGTGACGCAGAATTTCTTCATCTCCAGTCGTCGACTTTGAGCCAGACGTTGGCTGCGTGTTCAGCGCTTGTGACTCCGTTGTGGAAGCGAAAGTTGTCGACGCGTCGAATTGACTTGACTGCTCTGGTGATGCGTCTGGTCTCTTCTTCTGTTTCTCGGGTGAAGACATGTTCGTGAAAGTGTGTTTGATGTGAAGTGTTGTTGATATGACGTGGTGTTGCGTGTTGTTTGCGTTGACTAGAAAGACGGAGCGTCTCGGTGTCTGTCACAGACAAACTCGAGCTAGGCTCCGAACTCGAACAAGCAAAGCCCTCCCAAGCCATCGCTGTTGCAAGACAAGGCAGAACCACTGTGGCCCGGCTCAAGAAGACCAAGCTCGGGACCTGACATATCTTTCTTTGATCTACAGTTCAGGATGTCCAAGTCCACATCCAATCACCCTTGATCTGGCTCTTCTACCTCTAAACTCGCCTCCCCAAGTGTTGTCAAGTATTCCACAAACTGATATATGGAACCATCGTTGTACAGATCTTCAGCCGATGGTCTGTCCTCCGGCAACCAACAGAGTATCTTCCGCATAAGTTTGAGGAGCAGATCTCGATCCCGACCTTCGAGGCGAATTTCGCGAGATTCGAGAGTTTGGGATGGAATTGGCGTTTTCGCAATCCAAGTGCCTGTTTCTGTCGTCAATTCTGTGTGCAAAGTCCATTGTTCGGCTCCGAGAGTAGTTCTTACCAGAAGAGTCCCAGAACCGAGCACGCAGTGTAGCACTCATACGGTCTAGGAACTCTTTGGGTGGCGGGCCTATCAGAGCAATCATTTGGGCGAAGTGGAGCTCATCATCAAGTCGGCCATCTCTGTATCGCAAAATGAGCGGCATGGGCGCGGTTGTGCATGCATGTATGCAAACGAAACCCGCAAATCAGAAGTGTTACCGAGATTGAGATGAGCTGTATGCAAGCCAAGTGACCTGGGCAGTTTGGCAGAGCTGAAGGCTGTGGAAGCGCTTTGCTACAGCTGTTTATCTTTGCGCCCTATGTTGATGCAAAGGAGAGTATCATGATACAATTTCAGCTTTTGCGAGATGCATACTCAGCTCTGCGACCATGATGCCTGTAACCCTTAAGAGCAATATCGCTCTGGACTCGCCTGAAGGAAGAGCGCAGGCATTAGACTACAGTACAGGAGGAAGAAGAATCTACAGACTCCGACCTCATGATCAGTGATACAAAGCCCGATGAATTCTTTGCGGTTCAAGCGCGGTGATGAAGTGTCCTCGCGTCTGTGGGTAAAGGGGCCAACCCCAAAGCCGTACAGCCGAATACGCTCTGGCCGCGCGTCCATTCCCGCAGGAGCAATACAATTTCACCAACCACCGCTGGGAATAAGAAAGCTTGATTCCGGACCAAAAGGCTTGAGTACGCTTGTCTGAAAGCTTGAGTGCTTGTCATTGGTGGTGCTAAACCTCGTTGGGCAGGTGCAGTTTTGGACATGGCTCGGGAATAACGAGATGGTCACAATGTTATTCTCTCGGATATGGTCAGGGCTTACTTACACTCTGCCACGACTGGAAGCGACTATCAGTGAGCGCCTCATAGGGTCAAATAATTCGCTGATGCTCTTTGGATGTAGAGTGTTGTGATTGCTGACACGCGATGAATCTCATGTTGACAGTAGAGCACGTAGATATGGAATGGTAACATTGACAAATCCGCTATGCTAAAGTTGGAGAAAGGAGAAGAAAAAAGAGAAACACTAGACCATATCACTCCACTCGTTATATGCCAGCACATCAGGCCCTGACCATTTCTCACCATACGGATTGACTCTCTTACCAGCAAAGAACCCATCATGAGCAGATTGCATTACATCGAGCCATGAACTCGGCTCCGGCTCTTTCAACCACTGATTATGAATATGGTATGTCCATGCACCGCGGAAGAAATTCTCAAGCGTGCGGTTGTTCGGTGGATATTTGTCTTCTTGCAGTCTGTACTCCTTGACGATGCCGGCCTTTTTCAGAGCTGTAACTTCCTGTTTTGTGCTGCTAAAACTGTCCATCGGACCAGGCATAGGGGTGATGGTGATGTGATCGGGTGATGCGGCAGAATTGGGAGCCACGCTTCGAGGGAACTTGGCAGAATTCAGGGCATGCGAGACTTGAGACAGAATGCCTTCTTTGTGCGATGAACTGGCATTGAGATCGAGTCGTGTGAGTTGAGGATCGTCGTAACTCTCCCATTCGTCTTTGAGAGCGTTCGGCTTGCCCTTGAAAACAGCACCGTAGTCACGGATGCAGGGTACTGTGCAGCGGCCTTGACGATCCCAGTTGAATTCCGTCCAGATGGGGTCGAAAGCAGCGGTCTCCAGCATCGGGAACTCGAGATCACGGCCCTCTTTCCAGATCATACGACCAATGACTCGAGGATGGAAGTTCAGACCCATACGAACGCCCCCTCGTAGTAGGTAGCTAGAAAGAGAAGTGTTGGCGGACAAAGACATAATTGCAGTGTTGTAATCGCCTGGATTATTGTGGGCTCCCCATCTCTCGGCAAAGTCGTGCTTCTTGGGGATGAGCAAAGGTCGCAGGTCGCGGAGCATGAGGGCATCCATGTCCAGGTAGACGCCGCCATGTTGATGCAAAATGATGAAGCGAACTGTATCTGAGATTGCCTGAGGGAAGAAAGTCATTTGCTTGGGAGTGAGAGTGATCCATTGCTGGCCTTGCGCATCTTCGACAAGACCGTCTGCAATGGCAACCTCGCCTTTGACATTTGGCTTGCCTTTTGTCTTGTAGTAGCCCACTCCATCTGTGTTGTCAAACTCCTTTGGCAGAGGCATTCTGGTGGGAAACTTCCATGGCAAGACCCTGATATCGCCTCTTTCGACCAGAGGCAAGAAGCGAGCAAACAGAGCGTCGTGTTTCAACAACTTGTCAACAGCATCGGGAGCTCTGTCGGTATCTGCCCAAAGCCAGAGTCGACTGCAAGGCAGATTTTGTGTGTAGAAGTAGGACTTGACGAAAGCCTCGAGGCGCCATGTCGCGGGACCAGCCCAGTAAACATGATAAGGAATGATGGGACCAGCACAGGTTCCAGGAGTTGTCTTGGAAGGTGCCCTTGAATCCTTGACCGAGACGTAGTGCTTCAGTGTGTTTCCATGGCCATCTGCATTCAAGTATTCTGCCCTTCTGGGGTCTTGTTCGCTTGCACGATCGACTTGTTCCGGCAAGAGGTAGTACTTGTCCTCGCTTCCCGACAAGAACTTCAAGCAACCGAAGACGTCTCGCATCTTCTCAACACCATCGTATGTTCCCCTGCACTCTTCCACAAGCATCTGGATATCGGCTTCCGTGTCGACATGCGGTCTGGGACCGAAGAAGTCATCGCGCGGAACGACGGCGCTCGAGGGACGGTTGAAGACATTGGCGTAAGGGTTGATGGTGACGGTCCGGGAGGCCCCACTGAGCTTGACTTTAACATTGCCTGACTTTGTCTGCTTCACAGCGTCGGCATCTGTTAGGAGGGCGACTTGTTGGCGCGCTTTCTGCCTTGCTGAAGGATCCTGTGCTAGGTGTATGGTGCCATAGATCGAGATGTAAAGAATGAAGGCCAGGAACAGGTTGCGAACGAGTGAGAGGCACGCACGAGCTCGGCCGTCAGCCATATTCGCGCAATGCAAGGGGGGAGAAAGCGTAGGGCCGAAAGACCTAGAATCAAGGAAGTCGCAGGACTGGTATCAAAACAACCAGATCTTTCAAGGGGAGGACCAGGTTGTTTTCTCCAAGGATTGAGAGGCCGAGTGACTTTCTAATCGATTTGTTGATAGGTCATTGCATAATAATGGTCGAGTCTGGGGTGTCGTGTAACAAAGGATAGACGAACAGAATGATTGGTAGAAGAGTGATACAAGTTGTGGCAGGAATAGAGTCAGTGACAACAGCGGAGAGGTCGAGGAATTACATTAGGCTGCAGAGTACCTAGCGATGGGAAAAGGCCGAGTTCATGAGTTCGTGACGGCTGCCAAATGCCCATGTTTTGGCTGAGGACTAGACAAGTCGATCGACGCCGCATCCAGCGACATGTCGACCAGGGTCCTTCTAGCGCCCGCCCATCAAAGCTTGACTCTGGCTTCCTTCTGCTATATAGCTCCGTCACAACTGCAAGATCGACCTCTCTCAAGGCGGCACATGTCTATCGCAAGCCATGTAGATGCACATTTGCATGCCAAATGACGATGCTTCGTGGATATACATCGAGAACAAAGCCTCGTTGTTAATATCGGTCTCTTTCCAAGAGCGATCGTATTGCTACAGCCACGATGCAACATTTCAGGAGAAACTTTCCAAGGTGTTCACTCCCCGCACACACGTGCCGGTTTCCTTTGCCAGCCGTTCGCGACGACCGTCCAGCCGCAATTTCTCCAACAAACACACCAGAATATTGCGCTCGTCGTGGCTCGTCTAGCTTTGCCCAGAGGAAAACATTTAATAATCAGGTCTTGGTCTGCTTGTCTTCCAGCTCCTGCTCCCCTCTCCATGCTGCGCTTGGGTCGCTGTCTGCCGCGCTCCATCGAGACTCCGACTCCAAAGTTCTATTGCGCTTCCCGCAGCCATTACTCAACGCTATCATCCTCGCATAGAGAGCAGGTGACTGTTCCGTGTAGATCGAACGGACATATCACACTAAGGCAAGTCGTCGTCGTCGTCAATCCCTTCGACCCGTATATCCCTCAACGTATTTCCACAAGTACTGTTGGCTTGCGTAACACTTCCTTCTGACTCGAATTTTCCAAAAGTCTGTTTCACCCTCGCATTGCTTCGGGTCCCGCGCCGTCCATCATCTTGTATCTTCCTCCCGGGCCTTTGTTGCCTGCTGCCTTGCCCACTATTGATGTCGGCGCCGCACTTTCTTCAGTGACGTCGGCTACTGTCGTGCAGATCAATTATCGTTGCTCGCCGGAACATCGATATCCTACGCCTATTCACGATGTCTTGACAGGCTATGATTGGGTTCTCGAGCATTTGGTCCCTAGCAGATCTTTCTACCGTCCAGGTCGGTCTGCAAACCACAGGGTCAAACTGGCAGTATGTGGTGAACTCATTGGTGGCAGTCTTGCCGCCATGCTCACGTTGACTGAGTGCCGTCTTCAAGGACCATACGCTGCGGCTGCTGCAATCAATGAGCCCATCCTCAGCTGGGTATTCCCCGAGAATGAAGAAGACGAATACGAAACCTCTGTTGGTCGCCTCGCCTCGTACATCCAAGATTTGCAAATCGGCCGAAAACAAAGAGCCAAATCAAAACCTCGTCAGACGAGTTTCTCAACTTTTGGAGAGAATGGTATTCTCAATGCCAGCACACTACTCAAGGCGAGGCACAATCTGTTCAGACGTCCCGAGGACTACTTCGACACATTTGCTTCACCAATTCTCAACTTCCGAACTCCAGGAGTTTCAATACCACCGCCACCACCAAAGACTCCCGCCGACGAATTTGCCGAACTCGCCTTGTTCGAGCGCGATGACTTCTATCGGCAGCAAATGAAGATGAGCTCACTGTCATACAGACTGCAAAATCCAGAACAGCAGGAAGAAGAATTGCCAGAGGGCAAGGAGCCGCGCAAGTCGCATCGGAGATGGCCTAATGCAGGAAGTGGATTGAGGTTACCTCAAATGCGCATCTCGTCTGCAGCAACCAGTCCACTATCAGATCAAGCTGGCGAGTTTGCGCGACTGATCCAGAAAAGTATTGTATCGCAGGAGATCAAAACTGTGGAGGCTGAGGAGGATGATATGGCAAAGGAAGCGGCATATATGCTTGCTGAGCGTCAGATATATCACAGGCAGCCTGAATCTCTACGCCTGTGGTCGCTGGGTCAGACGCACGATTTGCGACACATCGCGCACTGGTTCGAGCAGATTCTCGAGCAGTGATGGAAATTAGAAGGAAGCTATCAAACCAAAGCTCAAAACGCGACGTTATCCCTGAGAGTAGAGATTTTGGTCTTGCCATATGTGCAACAAGTTGTTGATTCAAAGAGTGTCTTGTATCCAACTCCGAGCTCCACACTGGCTCCACAAGATTGGACTGAATCGAATACGAAAAGAACGTTGTCGAATTTATCGAATACGAGATAAGGTCAAAGGTGGCACTGTCACTCAACGAAGAATGGAACAGCGCCCATGAACTCTGTAATCAGCCACTCGTATACCAAGTCGGCCACTCTATCACTTTTCGACATCCTCTCGCTGTCCGCGGGAAGAGAACCGGAGCGTCTGGATGTTCTGTCCAAGTTTCACGAGGAAAAGCTCCCCCACGATTTCCTGACGTTCCCCCAACAACCACTTGTTGACAGAACATGTGGGGAAACCACGACGAAAGCATGATGCAACATGCACTTCCACGCACCGTTTTTTCGCCAACATCCCACCGATAACAACCACAAATCCGCACCCGTCATGCCGACTCCAGAACACGACAAAAGAAATCCAGAACGTGGCGAACGACATCAGCGACGCAAAGGACACCGCTATAACGACAGCACAAGCGAATTACTGCCTTCTTCGCCGCATCGTCACCACAGACGTGATTCTGAATCTCAAAGTCCGAGGAAGGAGATACCGAGGAAGAAACGATACTCTTACCCTGAAGATGAGACTACGGAAAGCAGCAATGCGTTGAGCGCAGGTGCTTTGGAAGAATTGGATGCACGTAATGTGGGAGACGTGAATTGGAATAGTAATGGAGGGATCAAAGATACCAGAAGGCATAGGACTGCTGAGGAAGAGGCAGAGAGGCGGGAAAGACGCGAAAGACGCGAAAGGAGAGAAAGGCGGAGGAGGGGGAGAGGCGAGGGAGTTGAGGATCGACACAGGGAAAGACGGAAGCAACTGAGAGTCGTCAGTGGGACTTATCTCGAACGTGGCGCTGAGCCTTACGATGAGAAAGTTGTGTTGGTCGATCAGAGAGCACGACTGAGAGGTGGTGTTGGCAGTGTTGAGTCCGAGGATGAAGCACGGCGGCGGAAACGAAGGAGGATTGGTAAGTCATGTTGGAAGGACTGTGAGACTTAACACTGACAATTTCTCCAGGCATTGTTGGAATCATCCTGATAGTCATATTGGCTATCGTGATTCCAGTAGGAGTGGTCCTGTCCAACAAAAACAAATCATCAACTCCGGCAAATACAGCCAGCGACTCATCAAGTTCGTCGAATTCGCCTTCAAACAAGAACCTAGACGGCATTTCGCAATCAGACATACCAAAGGAAGCTCAGGGAACAGTCTTAGATCCCTTTACCTGGTACGACACCACAGACTTCAATGTCACATACACGTCAGCGACTGTAGGCGGACTCTCTACGATGGGACTCAACGACACCTGGGATGACTCGACACAAGCCAATGCCAACGTACCCGCTCTCAACAAGCCTTGGGAGTATGGCAAGATGCCCATCAGGGGAGTCAACGCCGGAGGCTGGTTCAGCATCGAACCAGTCATCACGCCTTCCCTCTTCTCCGACTTCAAGACCAGCGATGGAGTTATCGACGAATGGACGCTATGCAGTAAATTAGGAGCAAGCAGAGCTCAAACAACACTCGAAAAACACTACGCGACCTTCATCACCGAAGCAGACTTTGCTGGCATGCAAGCCGCGGGCTTCGACCATGTACGCATCCCCTTCTCCTACTGGGCAGTCACGACTTACGACAACGACCCCTACGTCGCCAAAGTATCATGGCGCTACCTCCTCCGCGCCATCGAATGGGCCCGCAAATACGGCATACGCATCAACCTCGACCTCCACGGCGCCCCAGGCAGTCAAAATGGCTGGAACCACAGCGGACACCAAGGCGCCATAAACTGGCTGAATGGTACAGATGGCACAATAAATGGCCAACGTACCCTGGATATCCACTCTCAACTCAGCACTTTCTTCGCTCAGCCTCGCTACAAGAATATCATCACCATCTACGGTCTTGTCAACGAGCCCAAGATGACATATCTGGATGTGGACACTGTGCTCACGTGGACGAAAACCGCAATTCAGAAGATACGTGCAAACAACATGACTGCAGTCGTCACCTTCGGCGATGGCTTTAGAGGCTTGGATAACTGGCAAGGCGAGCTTCAGGATTTCGATAATCTGCTGCTTGATGTGCACCAATACGTCATCTTCAACAATCAACAAATCGCCCTTGATCACAGCGCCAAAGTCGACTTTGCTTGCGGTGGCTGGACGAACCAAACTCTACGCTCTAGCAACAAGGCCACTGGCTTTGGCCCTACACTTTGCGGCGAATGGAGTCAAGCAGACACAGACTGTGCCACCTACCTCAACAATGTGGGCGTGGGATCACGCTGGGAAGGCACTCTGAACATGGTCTCCACACCCGGCGGCTCCCTCGATGGCTCCGTTCTCAATCCAACTTGTCCCACGGCCAATTCTCCGCGCTGCTCTTGCTCCAATGCCAATGCATCACCCTCATCCTACTCAGCGGGGTACAAACAATGGCTCAGAGACTTTGCGGAAGCGCAGATGTTCAGCTTTGAGCAGGGGTGGGGTTGGTTCTACTGGACGTGGAAGACGGAGACTGCAGCTCAATGGAGTTACAAAGACGGTCTTGCTGCTGGTATTTTACCGGAGAAGACTTGGGCCCGGACGTTCAAGTGTGGTAGTGTTCCGGATTATGCTGGATTGGGGTTGCCTGAGAATTACTAGTTCTCTTCATGTGCTGGAGTGTGTAATATATGTAGCTATAGATATTCACAACAACTTCATGAAACAAGAGGCTTCTATCGAGAGTCATAATATTAGAGACTCTGCGTGAACATGGCTGATGCCTGCAACTTGAATGCTTCGATGTCGCCTTGGATTGCATCGCATTAGGAGATTATCGAATTCAACAGCGAATCCGGCTAAGTCCTCGTCCTTGTCAGTGGGATCCCATGGGCAGCTGGACGAATGTGAACGCTCCTTTGATCGTCTTCGAGCTTACAAACAGTTCCCCCTTGATTAGCATTTCGAGTGTAACTGATACTTCGGGTGATTTCGCCGCTCCTGCGAGGGTACCAAGATGGATGACTCATGTTCTTTTGATTATAGAAATACATGACTGCTTTACAAGATGCTTTGAGCCCATGGAGAGATGCTAACCAGGTGGCTCTGTTGTAGACAGAATCCATATCTCGAAAGTGCTTTTTTCCACCTACCAGACTGGGGTCAGAGCTATCTATTATCTCCCGATGATCAAGCAATATAGTGTCGCGACCGTGTCCCGAATTGCTTGCTTGCTTGATTTCTGGTTTGCTCGATCGGCTCTCGGTGTGGCTGTAGTGACAGTCAGGTCTGTATTCTGCCATCGAACAGGACCGCAGACAATGACAGCCGGCAAAAGATCTCTGTGCGCACGCAAAGGACGCATCACAAACTCGGGTGGTCGACCAACATCAGCGTCCGGCTCCAAGTAAGACATGTTGACCTCGCGGATAGTCGACAAGATGAGGTTAAGATCCATCAAAGCAGCACACGGACGCATACATTCTCGCAACAGCAATTCCGTCTCCTTCCAACGACCTGTTGGCACGTCCTCGTTGTATATGTCGGTGGCTCTTGCCTTGATGGACTCACCGATACCGATTTTTGCTGGCTCCAACAGCCAAGGAAAGTTCTCCTTGTGCAGTTTCGCGCATTTGGCCTTGAGCTTTCTGGCGAAGACGGTCCCGGGAGCCATGAGATCGATCAGGATACTGGAGTCCAGGACTAGTCGGACGAGCATCATTGCGTTTCGACGGCAGGCAATACGTTTGAGTGGGTTCTGCTCCGCTTGTCGCATCGAGAGTATGAAGAACTCTAGAAGATCTGAGGTGGGTCAGTATATCAGCATAGTACGCATTTGCAGTAAAGTGCTCTAGCAACTGCTTACTCCTCGGGATACCGATAGATTCGCCCGGTCCAAAAAGGGTTTTAGATAGATGGCCCTCCAGTACATTGGAGCTTCGCTTGCCGAGCACGTAGCAGCCAAAAAGTCCACAGTTTCTCTCAAAGTTCGCGTACGCCGGACCCTGTGGTCTGTCGTACTTCTCGATATGCCGTTGCAGCTTCCAATCGATAGCCATGCGCCAGATCAAACAACGCTGGAGAGAACGGATTGCATAATCTGGTAGCATGTAATCGTAGCGCCCAGTCAGCGGGTCCCATGGTACGTTGGTCTTGTATGGAGGTGGAAGAACCAACCCTCGCTCCCTATCGGGAGATAAAAAGCATTCGAAAGGGTTGCACATTTGTCGGACAAAGCTATGCAGAAGATCTGGAGAGGGAAAGTGGAAGAAGAGAGGGATGATCCGGCCAGTTGATGAAGTATTCAGGACCATGGCGCGGAGTGAGTTTGAGCAAGTTAGAACAAATCGAAGAATTCGACATCTTGGCTGTAGACGCATCAGATCGAGACTACTCGTGCCATGCATCGCATGGAAATCATGCGTCTGATCATTGTGTTAATATGCAAAAAGACTCGCGCTCAGGCGCTCTTGCTCTGTTTTGATCAGACCATTCCAGCCGTTTGTTTATCAGACAGAAGCCTCGAGGTCCTGGTGGAAGGTCGCTCCTACCTCGAGTTGGACCTTCGACATCTTGCCCACGAGACGACGTCGCAACATTGTCGCGACGCCATGTTCACCCAGTTGGGCCTGCCTTCACACTGTAGATCAATATGCATGACAACCCAGACCAATAGGAATGATCGCGAAGAATATTACAGGTGAGATTTGTGAGCAGAAATTGTTGTACCTTTCACAAGTTTTTTGCATTTGGGTACCTAGTCGCGATGTACGGCAAGGTGACATCTCATGCGTTGCAGACAAGCCGCAGCGTTGCCAATCCATCGCCGTCGTCTTTTTCCAAACACTTCTTTCTCTAACATTCCAAACGCCTTCCCTTCCATCCGCACGGCCAGCACTTATGACCAACTCTCCTTGCCCCTACATAGCCGCTGCCAATACTCCACGAGAGACGCGCAACGCCCAATCGATCACACTGCCATCGTCGTAAGCACCTCTCCTCAGCCTAAGAATAGGAGGTGCTTCCAGATTTGGCTCCTATTGCAAAGTATCACTGTACCAGAGCAAGAATTGCGCCTGTTGTTTCAGAAGTTCTCCGAGGCTCGTACGCACATGCTGCCTGCCCCCTGTGTTTGAGCTTTGAGCTTCGTACTCTTGTACCGTGCCAGTCAACAACGAAGACGCAAGTGCTTCCTTACCTCGTAAGAACGGCGGAAAAGGCTACAGAGGTACGAGCAATAGGAGTAGAACCAGCGGATGACGTGAAACACAAGTTGAAGCTCTAAACTACCGTACCTGAATAGACTCGTCGATAGAACTCGGTGATTTGGAAGTGAAATCGATTACTCGGCACTCAATATCAAAGAGACTTCATTATCACGGCACATGATCTTCGCTGTAATCAAGGGTGGCTGTGGCTGTGGTGTTGTTATAGCGATTGCGCATGGCGATAAAATTGCGAGATGTTGTCGATGTACAGGGGAAATGAGACAACGATCGTAGAGCGTTGCAACGACTGAAAGTCAAGCTCCAGGGGCAGACTTCGATACATGGGTACATCACAACAATGTCATCACGGTGAATGTTCGAAACAATGAGCGACAATAGATGAAGATAGAAAAAAAGTTTGAATTGGTTTGGTTGGAAAGAGTGATATCAAGATGAGAAGCGAAAAAAAGGTTGGGTGTATATACAAGAAAGCTTCAAAAGCAGAAGTGGTCGTTTTGGTTGTTGTGTGTATGTCTCGAGTCAAAAGACTCAGTCGTAAAGATGTGTGTGATGCCGCAGATGCAAGATTGCATTTAGTTGAAGGTGGTGCGGACGAAGTTGTTGTTCTGGCCAACGAAGCAGCCACCGCTGGCGGCACCGGCGTACATGCCAGACTGAGCACCAGGCTGCGACGAGCAGTTCTCGAGGGTGTAGCCGAACTCGCAGGAATCACCAGAGTCGCAGGTGAAGACGCACTGCTCCATATCGGAAACGCACTGTTCGCCCTCGATGGTCATGTTACGACCGTTCATGTTGACGAGACGGGAGACATCGACGGTGGAGTATTGACCGGAGTAGGTAAATTCACCCCAGGTGTTGCTGACCTGGCCGTTAACCATCTTGGTATCCTCGTAGAGAGCGGCCCAACCACCCGAAGTACCAGTTACAGTTGAGATGTTGACCGAGGAACCGTTTGTAAGCTCGTAGGTGATCAAGGGGGCCTGTACGTTCGTCCAGGATGCCCACGAACCCCACATGACAAGGACAAGGTCCTCGCCGGACTCGTTGTTGAATTCGGTGACGTAGTCACCATCGTTGCCGAACCAAGATGCCTTGCCAGCAGAGGCAGACTTGGCGTTCTGACCAGTCAGGCAGCCAACAGTCTGAAGAAGAGAACCGAGAAGACCACGCTCCTCGACGGCGGGCTTGGGAATGGCGGCAGCACTGCTGAGGGCCAGGTTGGCGAGAAGAACGGTGGGGAGGTTGAAGCGCATATTGACGACTGATGAATTGATGATTCGTGTGGGTGGTGAAGAAGGGGTTTGTTGTTTGAGTGGTTTATCGTTTGAAAGTGGTGTTAAGTGAATGTGATGGCCGCGATGGCGTCGACTGGTATACAACCAAAAAAAAGAGTGAAAAAGAGAGTGACTTGATGAAAGAAGGAGAGGTGAAATGAGATGGGCTTACCGTTCTTTTATGAATCTGAGCGTCTTCCACACTTTGTGTATTGATCAGTGTTTAATCAAGCCGTTGCCGCCATGCAGGGCCCATCAATCCATTCGTGGGCCCCCCCTCCCAGTGGACGTAATCAAGCCGTTTCCCATCATCTGGCGCCTCGTCAATGCGCCAGACTGGAGACAAAGATCCATGCTTTGTTGGCTTGGTTGCCCTTGTGTGAAGAGCTGTGCTTTGCATACACTTTAGGACTGCATTGACCGAGAGCCCCAATTTTCTTTTATCCCAGCGAGCCAATGGAAATTGAGTACCAAGTCCGAATATTCATTGTCAGCTGTTTGGAACGTCTGTTGCGACTGAACTCAAGTCTAGAACCCGCTAATTGAGTGTGAAAGGGGGAAAGCGTCGACGGTTGCTCTGCCGCGCACACAGGCGCACACAGCTCGTGGCTTTTGCATCATTCGGTTAGTTGGACGGGAGTGCCTGACGGTATCCAAACTTTTCACATGGCTGCTGTGACTCGCGACGAAGAGACGTCGGAAACTCGAGGCGCTTGGAGTCCTGAACGTCTCGTCTCGTCGCGCCGTGTCCCAGGTTGGAGATTCCCGCACCAACATCCTTGCCTGCTGCGGCCAGTTCCACGTCTTGCCGCTACGTACCTAGAGTAATGATTGGCCATCTGTGGTCAAGTCGTCCCGCAGTTGGGCAGCGGGCGGCAAGGCTGCCGTCGTGGACCTTTGAATCGAACATCCATGGATCGGATCAGAAAGTCCGCGCGCCGTCGGCCGTCAACAAAAGGGCATGCAGAGCTTGGGTGGGTTTCCGCATTGTCAGGTACGGGGGCGTTGCGGATTTTCAGGAACCAACGATGTCACTGAATATGCTTTGGCTGGCTGTCCAGGTACCAAACCTTGTTTGTCAACCTCTCTCTGTCTGCACCCGATCCATCCACACCACCACGACTTTTTGTAAAATTCTTCGGTTGCTTCTACGCGCCCTGCATCGGACAATTAACAAAATAGAAAAGACTGCTGGTGTGTGGGTGGGGCTTTGTGTTGATAGAAGTGCCGACTCCTGAATTGTTCAGATTCCATTGGAGCAGACGCGCGTTGTTGAATTATGGCAGATTGTGACAGTCGTGTGCTCTGTTTCTTTCTGGCGAGGACGAAACTTGTGACGGGATCATGTTCAACAGATCGTCCAACATATGCAAGGCGCAAGCCAGCGCTTACATGCAGTCGCACCTTCCACACGTGGTTACAATGGCAGTAGATTGAACGCAAGGGGTCCTTGTAGACATGGATGGTCGATTCCAATAGACTTCTATCTTATCGATTCTCAATCTTCAAATCTATCAACCTAGTCTCACAGATCTCAAATTCTGGCTACGTTGCTCGAAGGATCAATAGAGCGATCGAATAGTGTATCGATGTCTCGGTAGAACAATTACTCTTTGCGTTTAGCGGCGTGACACTGATTCGTTTGACGACAATAAGACTTTTTCGACAACTGAGGCTGACTTTGAATGGTGCAGCATCCATCGGACCGCAAGCCCAACATGCACACTTGTCCGCTGTCATCCTCAACGGCGTCTCTTCGACTCTCGGATACCGACTCGTAGCGAAGAGCCTTTCATGCAAGGACGGGATATGACAACAGCGAGAGATCTTCGATTCCGCATGCAAACGAAAGGTACAGCGCACGCGACACACAAACTGCACATCTTCAACCCTTCTGGGCGATGCCGCAACGAGAGCTTGACTCCATCAACAGAGTGCAGTTTCTTCGCCAACGCCCACTACGCTTACCGAAAGATGGAGTGGGACACGTCCTCCACTTTTGCCCACACGCAATACGCATTGTCCATCGAAACCCGTTTTGTGTGGATTTCTCTTGGTATCTTCACATGTTTTGTCTGCCGAGTCTCGCATAGTGTCATCTTCCATCAACTGGAAGCTGTGTGTTGCGCGACTCGGAGTAGACGTCCATGTGGCCAGTCCCGTCAAATTCACCCAACAAGTCGGTACAGCCGACGGGAAGACGGTCAACGTGGTGCGCGGGATGTTTTCTTGGGACACCAAAGCAACAGAAATGCACCACTGACCGGCGGCACTCGTCGTACTTTACTGCGCCTACATTTCTATTGATTTCTTATCCACTATCTGTCCTATCGATAGACCCAAAGTCTTTCTTGCAAGTCTTTCACGTGCTCCCTATTCCTCTGAGGAATACTTTTGCCTATTTCGTGGTTCGAATAGGGCTTCTATCCAACAGACCAGAAAAGTATGGGCGAAGTCTATCTTTCAGCTACCACGATTTGCTCAGGTCCGGAGTTCGAGGCTTCAGGGTCAGCTCCGCTTCAGGTGGGTGGCTGTCGCACATGAACGCAGACACAAAGTCGAGATTCTACAAGGATACAGAGTGTTCTCTGGATGAGCCATCGGGTAAAGTCAGGGTTGACAACAGCAAGGTACAAGATACGCACAAGGAGAATATGCAGTTGAGGGTCTTGGCCCTGGGTACTCGAGTGGTCCGACAAGGATCCGGCCGTGAAAAAGCCACCACAGAAGGCTACAGTAAAACACACTTTTCGAAAGTCCGCCAATGGAAACCTTGACAAGTCAGAGCGAAGTTAAAGGTTCTTCTTCAGCCGCGTGCGAGTCCCACTCTTTACACAGTTCGGTTGCTCATGCAGGCTGCAAAGCGAGCTGACTAGCTGACTACAAATCTACAAACACCACCTCACAACTTGGCCTTGGCAGCTTGGTCTCTGTTCGACTGCGCCATCTTCAACAACGCGTACAAGGTCTGCAGCCTCGGCATCTCAAAGCCCTTGTCCCTGGCAATGCGTATGGGATTGCCGAGTATGACTTCCAGCTCCATCGACTTGCCCGCCTCCCAATCAAGCCACATGCTGGGTCTGCTTCCCGACGTGTTCTTCCTCGTGCTGGCGAGCAATTTGTCGGCTGAAGCAAACTCGGGCGGGAAGTCTTGACCGATGATCTTGGGCGCGGTGGTCAGGATCTCGAGCATGGTTGCGTGGAGATGGCGGGACAGCTCTGGGTCTTTGGCCATTGCTGCGTTTGTGCTGCCGTTAGAGAGGACGCTCGAGGGGTTCATCGAGGCATTGATGGCGAGTTTGTGCCAGCGCACGAGTTGGAGTTTGGCGTGTGTGTAGGCTTCTGCATCTTTCACTCCACCGTGCTGCAGCAGTTGTGCGAACTTGGTGTTTTGTTGCTCAGCGTTCGACGAGGACGAGGATGCGTCTGGGAGGTAAGGACCAATGTTGATGCGCGTCCAGCGGTTGTGCTTGATCTCGCCATGCTGTTCTTGCGCAGCCGACACGACTGTGACGGCGCTGAGAATGCTCGCTGACGGGAAGCGTTTCGCATATGCCTCTTCAACTCCCAGCCCATTCTGTATCAGCACAACAGCCGTTCCCTCATGCACCAATCCCTCCAACGACTTTGAGTCGTCACTGACATCCGGCAACGCCTTTGTGCTGACGACGATATACTCCCACTTAACTCCACTCTGCTCAGCCTCTTTCGGATTCGCAAACACACGCGTAGGCACCCATTTGTAGTCGCCGTATTGCGGCGAGCTCACTGAAAAGCCATTGCTGGCCACGGCCTTGTAGTTGGAGCGGCATACACACGAGACCTTGACGTTTGGCGCTTGGGCGAGTCTGGAGCCGTAGAAAGCTCCTACGGCGCCTGCGCCGAAGATGAGCACTTCGATTGGAGAGTTTGACATGATGGGTCTGGTGTGGTTTGATCTTCTGCTTGTCTCGAGACTCGAGAGCTTGCCTTGGTATCATCATGGGTTCCCCCACGTAAAGGTGAACCTCGGCTGAGGAGACTCCAACACGTCATGTTTTCTCTTCCACTTGTTCCTTTTCTTCACATTTATTCAACCCAACCACTCGATCATCTCGATTCTCACATTAAAGGCCTTTCATGAAGTACCTTTGGAATATGTTCTTGAGCATTGAAGGATATCCTCGGTGTCGCCAGGCCGCCTGTTCCAGCTCCTCCGAGAGCTTCGGCTTGTTCCTGTGACAACAAGTCTCCAGCATTCGTCCGAAGCACCGCCGACGGCCGTGTCACAGCCTGCAGGATCCATTTTCATACCCTTTCGATCATTCCATCATCACATGCATCATTCGGCGAACGTTGGACGGAAGGAATTGAGTAAGCAGATGAGATGGCTTAGTACGGCCGACTCTTCTCCAGCACTGGCGATACGTGAGGTGTCAAATAGCTGCTCTGACTGTTTCCCGCCAGCTCCCAGGGTACTATGGGTCCCAAGGCATGCGCTGTCCTCAATCTGTTGCTGTCACTGGCTGCGAATTTTGCAAATTTTTCGCTGACCATATACTCTCTTGTTGACCGTTCGTTCATGAATTGGTTCTGTGGTGTAGTTGGTTATCACTTCTGTCTAACACACAGGCGGTCCCCGGTTCGAGCCCGGGCGGAATCATTGTTTTGTCATCGTTCAGTCGAGTTTTGGTTGTGGTAAAGCGACTGGGAGGTGGACGGAACTTTTGAGAATTTTTGCGGAAGATGCGGCGTGACTTCCACATTTGCAACGTCAACGTCAACGCTGACGCTGACAATGGGGCTTGGAACTCATTGCTCTTTGTTCGTTGTCTTAGGTCGTTTGACATCCCTGTGTGCAAAGGGTTTGTAACGCGGCTACCTATCAAAATGCACAATGTTCTCAGGGACTGGATCGAATCCATCGAGATATAGTGTTCGTCAATACTCTCTTTGGGTCTATCTTTTATCTGGAAATCACTGTGCCTTTTTATAGCAAGCATTGCGTTCTACATCTTCATGGGAGAGAGAAGCGTAGGGGACTAGAGTTACAAAGATTAGCACACGGGGAGGGAGGACAATAGTCTTCTCGGAAGATCAAAGTCATCAGGCCTGGCAGTCCATGAACAGAACATGCTGTGTAAGCTGACCACGAGAGTCCAATCAAACAGAGCATTATCCGGATCGTTCAACTCATACAGGCGGTGCGATACCCTGCTGTGGTGTCGTTCCATCTCCGTCAATGTGACTCCACAAGCCTGCTTGTCAAAACTGTCGCTGCCCCCACCATATCGAAGATGTGTGTTATAGATCTCCTATATTCCCGCATCAGCCAAACTTGCATTCGACCGTGTTGGTACATCGAAAGCACCAGTACTCTGTCACTTACCGGAGGATACTTGATTGTCAAAGTCTTCAGCTCTATCATTGGGGTCTTCAATCCCTTCGGCTTCGGAACAGTCAGGAATCCTTTTGGTAAGTTCTTGATGCAAGATTTCCTCTTGCTCGTCCCAACTGTTTGCTCTGGTCTGGAAGGACCCTCCTCCTGGGTAGTTTGGGCAAGGAGAAATGAACCAGACCAATTTCTCATATCGCTGCGTCCAAGCGGCAAAGAATTCCGTAGTCGGAAGAGTGCGGTGGGCGCGCCATTCATCGATTGCCGGCCGGTCTTTGTGATACTCCCAGGATTCACTCAGCCACTCATAGCCAGTGATGCTAAAGGCTGTGGTCGTGCCTGATTCGCTCGATCATTAGCTGTAGCCTCAGCACTGGAAAGCAGCCACCACAAACACACCCTCCTCAATATCGACAATCAACCTATACCCCTCTCTCCCACACCCATCTGTGATATAAACACAATGCCCCATAATAGGAAACTCGGGTATCCTCCCGATCAACGCCGTAGCGTCTACCGTAAAGTCCACTGGAATAGTTTCATAGGCAATCATATGCCCAATTCCTTTGCCATCTAAACATGGTAAATGGCGTAACAGATCCATCACAGTCTCGGTTTTGCCGATCGCGCCGAAGGGCTGTTTCGTAGATGGTGATCCGGCCCGAGGGATAAGGGAGAAGGAGAGCAGAGGCATCGAGATAGGGGTGTTTGATCAGGTGTTGGTGAGAAGATGTCATGGCTGCTACGGTTGAGTCGCGGGAGTACTTTTTCGGTGAGAATTGGTGGTGTTTTGATTCTCTCATTGAGGACTTTTGATATAGGAAGTCGCTGCCTGACGCTCGGCGCGAAAGACAGTGGTGAAGTCGCGTTTCATGTTGCCTGTTGCCTGGATGTCCCATCGAGTTGAGACGTGATCTTTGTCACTATCTTGTATACAGATCTGTGCCGTCATCTTGCTCAGTAAACAACTGTTGTAATGTTGATCATTGACGATGGAGTGTCGGTGATATAAAACTGAGAGCATCTTTTGAAATTCAAGATGTCAAAATTCATTTTGGACGTTCTTGCTACGAAGACGGATGGCGATTATTTAGATCTCATCATATCGTCTACTCATGCCAATCATAATTTCACCGTGTATGTGACAGAACAAAAATATCTGGTGGTCGTTGAGTAATGTCGTCGTCAACACCTTCGAGGCTTGTTTGGGATAGCACCCTGACCCAAGCTCGTTGTTGAGAACGATAGAGCGCGAGCCCTATGCCCAACGATACACAACAGCTGTCTGCAACACGTCCAGATTCACAAAATTTGTGCAACAGAACCGAGTACGGGTGAAGAACAATTGCCATCGTCCAAAAAATGCACATTAGAATAGTAAAACGAGGGTATGTACAACAAATGCCAGCTCGTGTCCTGAACGAGCGGCCAATTCTTCCAAAAGCGTGTATGCCTGCAGCCAGCGAATTTCTTCGCGGTGGTGCTCAGTATGCCATCCAAAACGCCCTAACAATGTCATGATCTTTCGTGTCCGATCCTCCAACCCGTGTATTTCTCCTTGACTCTTTTTCGCTATCTTAGCGCAATTCCTGTGCCATTCTTCGTCCAGCGATACAGTGCGAGGACGGTGTGTCGTCGGTATTGTGTTTCTTTCTGTGGTACGTAGCGGCCTCGTGCTTGTGTGACTGCGGAGCGGAGAATCTGGCGGTAGTTTCGCTAATGAGAGAGAACACGTCAGTATTGAGATGGTAGAGTAAGAGGTGGAGAAGGCTTACCTGATATTCGGTGTCCAGTGTCGACACACAGGCCTCGGTCGCGCGAATGATGACTTCGCAGGCATTGATTATCTTCGGATCCGTCTCTGTTTGTAGTCGATCCACGATCAGGAGAAGTGGGAGACTGCCTTGTAGTAGTTGGATGCCGAGGAAGTAGGGAACAAAGCCGAGATCTGGGTCAACATCAAGAATATGAGAGACGTTGTCGGCAGCTGCGATGGCATTTGCGATGGTTGTGGTGAATGATGGAGTAGCCATGAAGAGATCTCGATCGTCGAACAGAGACATGGGATCCCACTTTCCTGCCAGCAACACGCGCGACACTTGAATGACAAGGTTGGCGTATGCGACGACAGTTTTTGTGTGGTGGATGTCTTGGTAGTCTAGTGCTGATGCTTGTTGCTCGAAACGAACCAGACTCTGCGCGTAGTTGTCGAGTTGCAGCAAGACCTGAGACTGCACGCGTTGACCATCTGTGTAGAGCTTGCCCAAGGTGTGGTGGTTCTTCAGATGGTTGTAATCGAGTATGGTGCCGACAATTGTCATGAGTGGCAGGAACCAGCCATAGATATTGTGGCCAGTACATTCGAAAGAAGGGAACTGCGGTCGCTGCGTGAGAGATGAGAAATTGCCAGACTGCCACGATGCCTCATCCAGGGGCAATAAAAGATCCTCGCACTCGGCATCCAGCAGGGCGTTCTGTCGGTTGTAGCAGAGAGCCAAATGGCGATCTTGGATGTAGAGGAGCCACCAGGTCCGCCTCCGTTCTTCCAGCGTCTCTTGATCCACTTCTGGCTGTGTGGTATCTGCTGCATCCATGTACTGTGCAAGACCGTTGTCGAAATCGAATGAGTTCAGTCCCAGCCAGGGATCGCTCTCGAATTCGATCATGCTCTGGTTGTTGGCTGTTGGTGATACACCAGGGATGGACGAGCCAGAGATGGGTTCCTTGTTCAGACCAAGTTCTCGTGCAAGAGCAAAAGCTGCGTGCCACCATCTCATGCTCATCGCCTTTTCTTCGCTAGCAGAGGTAATGGCAGCGATGTGGATATATGTTATGACATCGTCGAGCGTGCCTGAGCTTGACTCTTGGAGTTTCCTTGTTGGTCCGTCTGTCAGTTCATGGACACAGCCAATGTCGGAGTGGACCAGAGGGTGGAGCAAGCGAATCGTGACCAGTCGCAATTTCCGACAGATGTTGATGCGCTTTGAGTGTGACCAGGACAGAGTTTCCGGACCTCCTGTTTCAGCAGCTGCCCATAGCATACTTGCGAGCAGTGCTGGACTGCAACTTCTCGGATTCTCCTTGCTCATGACCGAGGCTTTGCGGAAGACAAAGGCATGTATATGGCGACACACGGGGTGCATGAATGTGTTGAATTGACTTGTAAAGTAGAGCTCGAGCAAACTCGCAGCCTGAGACTCGGTCAAGATAGAGGCAACATATGGCAGTAGCGGGACAAGGACAGGGTATTTGGTATGTCCAACGCCTCCCGAGTTTGTCTCCGAGGCGTTGTCTTCTGCACCAAAGACGGGTGCGGCCATTGATGCGTTGAAAGCAGCAGTTCCCAAGTCAATCGAATATCGACCGTTCCACATGTTCGCGTTGCTGTCCAAGGTGACGGTCGAAGGGTGGCGTTCTCCCATGCTTGGGCGATGCATGAATGGCTGCATGCCATGATCGGTACCAAACGAGCTGTGTCGGGCGTAGGCGGATGAATTTTGTGTCTGGTCTGGTATGGCCGAATTGGCAGTGATGGACACGGTGGATTGGAGCGGAGGCTGCGAGTGTTGTTGCTGTGGCGGAGGTGCTTGTTGTTGTGGTTGCGCCGGGGCCTGGACGGGGGCAGGCACGGGCGGTGCGGGCGCGGCTTCCTGCTTGTGTCCATTCTGTCGCTCCAGCAGGGCCGAACGACTCGGCTTCCCTCGTTTGTAGACTGCTCTTTGATATTCGCATACATCATGTCCTGCACACCGTGAACACGGCTGCTGTCCATCGCACTTGACGCGACGCTTGTTGCACAAGTCGCATGCTCGAGTGATGCGCCGCTTCTTGCTCCTGTCGCCCTCGTCGTCCAGTTGGCTGTCTCGCTTGCACCCGGGCGATGTCGACTCTTCGTCAGGGCTGTGGCTCACGTCGTGCACGTGTGTCGCAGGCGGCGTCGGCATCTTGTATGGCGTCTCGTGTGTAGTCATTTGTCCAGGGGGTACGAGTGGAAGAACAACAGCATCTGGAAAAACCATTTCACATCACATCTCTGTCTGTCTCTCCTCCTCCCCCGGCCCCGCCCCGCAATGACCTGGTCTTGACTCTGGACCGCTTCGAACCCTCCTTGTACACGAGCTGCGGGGCAAAGACAAGCCACATGAGCTGTGCGTTCCTACATCTGGAGATTGCTACCGAGGCTCATAGTAAAATGGCTGCTCATATGACCCAGCGACCAATGTTGCATCTGTTTCAAGCCCTATTCCCAAGGCCTGGACTGCTGCAAGCCTCTGCTCTTCTCACATCCTGAACACTTCCATGTCGACTGTTGCTTCTACGACACATATCCTTGACATGCGACAGTCTTGCAGTTCGCGTACATCGCTTTCTCCGGAAGCTTGTCTCCGTAGTGCTACCTCTTGTGAGACTTCCAAAATCCTTCTGAACTCGCTTCATACCCGTGCCCTAGCTGCGCCCTATTCCCAAACCCTACCATCACACAACGACACCTGTTTCCGTCAGGTCGCACATGATATCGACGACATCGCCGACATGCCACCGACTCCATACTACAGAACTTGTATGGAGGCCCCGGAGACGCCCCGCTTCGCTTCCGTCTCCAGTCTCTCCATTGGAGAGAAAAGGCCCTTTTGTCAACTCTGTCGTCCAAACACCTTCTAATTCTGTCCGAACACCTGACAAGTTACTCCGAACAACGTTGCCATGCTCGCATAGCAGCGCACTCACGGCAAAGAAGACATGTAGTACAGAAGGTGGATCAGCAAACCCGTTGACGCCTTTGATGGCATGCTTCGCTAATCTCCAGTTAACCTTGTCCTTTGCTGAACAATCCCAGGAACCACAACATGGCACGTCAGATCTCTCCCGTCGCTGGACTCGGTACAGACAAGGAGGCTTTTCCAAAGACACTTTCTCGGTTCTGCCTTGCCTGGTCTGTCGCTAGATCTCACCGCCTTGTTCTGTTTCATCGCATGCGCACTTCTGTCTTTAACGAACGCGGGTGGCACTTGCACGGTTTCCACACCCCGCTGCCCCTCTGCCGCCTTCGGTTGCGCACCCATCTGCCGTAATTTGTGTTTGCACAAAAGTCAAAAACGGGCGAGCATGTGAAAAGTAGACTGCGACGAGCAGCCAGCCGGCCAGCCTCATCTGCTTCGCCTCTTGTACAAAGCAATATATTTTCTAAAACCGAAAAGTCCTTCATCAATCACCTGTTGATCAGGTCTCGTGGTCTAGCGGTATGATACTCGCTTAGGGAGATTGGCGTCGGTCATTCTTGAAAACTCTAAGTCTATGTTGCGAGTGGTCCCGGGTTCGATTCCCGGCGAGACCCCTTCTTTTGCTCTCGGTCCTCCCGTCAGGAGCGTTGTTTTTGGTATCGAGGAAAAGGAGTAAGTAAGTCTCCCGACGAGACCAACTCACTCACTCCTTCTTTTGCTTCATGTAGCATGCACGGCTGTTGTAATTGATAAGCAGGTCGAGTGGTGTCTGTCATCGATGTGTGCTCATTCTCATATATCAGATACGCGATACACAAATCCAATTGCTGGAAGTGTTGATGATATTCAAATCTTCTATGTTTATTACATGTCCATCGAACTCTCGAACATGGCAGAAAAGACTGCGACTTGGCACTCACGCTTTCTTCGCCCTCTTCTTTACACTCCCATTCCCATCTCCCGTTGCATTAACCAGCGCTTTGACACTCCCATTGACAACACCATTCCCATTTGCCTTCTTCTCTGCCCCCATCTTCTCCTCTATCCCCTCTTTCTCTGTCTCTCCCTCTTTAGTCCCAACCCCAAATCTAACCTTCCTCGCCGCCTTCTCCCTCCTCTTCTGCTCCACCTCTCTAGCTTGCTTTTGCACCCTGCCCCAAATCTGCTGTCCGACCATCACACTAGAAACACTGCTCGCTACACCCACAGTCACCGAAGAAGCGGGGATCCAACCTACCGCAGAGCCAGGGATCAGGATATCGCAAGAGTCGACGAGGAGAGCGGTGTAGAGTTGCTTTTTGGATGCGTGGGAAGAGAGGAGGTCGTAGAAGGTGAGTAGGAGAGAGACGCTGATGGCCAAAAACCAGATTTGGAGGGCGTGGTGTTGGAGGGAGGTTAAGAAGGGGGAGGTGGTGAGGGTCATGGCGTTGGTCTTTGGGTTCTCTCGTTAGTCGTCGCTTGCAGCACAACCCAGAGGGGCAAGGAGGGGAAAGGGAGGGAAAAAGGAGGAGAAACGCACGATACAGAACATTTCCATAAAGAAATAGAGGGCTAAGAGAGCGTTTTTGGAGGTCTTGAGAGCACGGCGTATGGAGTCGGGTTCGGAGAGGGATTGGAGAGTGAGTTGGCTGAAATCTATCCATTTGAAGAGGCGGAGGTAGCGGCGTGCTAGAACTTGTCAGTTTCTGTGTCATTTTTCTCAATTGTGACTTGGAAAATCTTGAAGGTGAGGTTCGTGGCGCTCGCATATGTGCACACGCTGGATGTGGGGATTTTCTCGCAAAGCACATCAAACATGCTACATTCTGTGATCCAGTTCCTCACAGTCCCGTGAAGATCGACGCCATACCTCTACAACACCACTGCTGACAGAGAAAGGAAGAAAGGGTACAAGAAGGATGATGAAAGAATAACGTACCAAGAGCAAAATGTCCCCTCGCCGTACTCCAGGTCTTTGCATCAGCAGCCGATGAAGCAGTTCCAGCAGCTATCTGCACAAGAGCCTGTAGCAATCTCAATGACTTCTCCACCGCCGCTATACATGATCACCGTCAGTCTTTTTTCTCCAATCATTGACGTAATCCAAAAGGTCGTGTATAGCGAACCATGCGGAAGACCCGAGTCAACAAAAGTAGAGAACAGCTAGTGAGCTTCTGGTGTCGTTTTTGCATTCTCACTTGCTTTTCCATGTTCTTTCTCATTTGGGTGGGTTGCGAAAACCGTCCTTTGTATGGCATGCGAAACGTCTCGCTCGGCAAAGCGCTACCCCGAGGCATGCGAAAAACGGGCAGAAATACTCATGAACGACGAAAAAGTGGAAAACAACGTACCAGCATCATTGGCATAATTAGCTATCTCCGCAAACATTGTCACGATCGCAAATGCTTCCGAGGAAACAATTGTCTGAGGATCATCCTATCACATAGATGTGGACACAGTTTGGTAAGAGGAAAGATGGTCCGATTTGCGGGTCTTGGCTTAGTCATCCTTCGGCCAACTGTTTGCCCGAACTCTGGTTCTTGTGGTTTAACGGAATCATGGGATGGATGTTTGGGTGTGTGGTGTAACATTGGTTGTGTTTACTTTAATAGCTATAGACAGGTTGCGTTCGGACTCGAAGTGCTGCAACGCAGTCTTGTGAGATTCGTGCTGGCAATCGGGACCTGACGTCGATTGACGCTTCTCTCGCTGAGCAGAGATTGCGGCGGGGCTCTGGCTCTACACAATTCGGACAGAGCTTCCATGAGACAAGTGCTTCGAATCTCGCAAGGGAGAACTCGACGAGCTTGGTGAGCTCCTTCTCGAGCGGGAGAGCGTGCATGGTCGAGTTTCCGAGATTACCGGCCTGGATACCGGTATCCGAGGCGATTCAGCTCGGTCGTATATCGTGATGAGGTGTTGGTGTAGGCGCATTAATTGGATGCAGCCTCTCAACCAATGAAGGTACCAGTTCGCTGAGGAGCAGCAGCGAGCTTCGAGTTGATGCCTTGAGTAATGAGGTTCATGCGAGTTTCCTCAACTGCACGCAATTCGTTTTCCCAGTGGGACTCTTTGTTCTCTGTCTTGCTACTCGAGAACCACGAGGAGGAAGGAGCAGGCTTGGACTGAGACTCCCTCAGTAGCTTTGCGACCATGGCACCCCAGTTGGCAATACCAGTCTCGAGACATGCCTTGCACTTGTCGCGGTCCTCAGGCAGGACGTCGTTGGAAGAGGTGCCCTTCTCAGCGATGGCGACGGCTTGCTTGGTCCAGCCAAGACCTTCGTCTTCGCGACCGGAAGAGGCAGTTGCGAAGAGAATCTCGCCGATGTAGAGCATCAGCTCGGCTTCGGTGCAGTCAGGAACAAAGGCAGGTTGGCGCAAGAATGGCTCATCGCCAGATGGAGGCTCAGCGGGGTAGGAAGGAGGAGTGAGGAGAGACTTGACGATGTTGATGAAAGAGCCAATGTCAGTATTTGTCGGATCCGAGACGTAGAAGGGTCTGTGCTCGGATCTGGTTGCAGGGGCGATATCGACTGGAGAGGCGTGACGAGCACGGAGAACAGACAGGAAGATGGGGAGAGCAGAGGTGACATTGCCAGAACGAGCACGGTGTGTAGCGAGAGCAGTGGCCGTACGGAGGAGGTTAGGGCTGGGCGGGGTGGCTTCCTGCACACGAAGAATCGAGGTGTCCTGGTCGATGACAGCGTTGGATGCTGGGAGAGCAGAAGCAGCGATGTCGACAGCCCACTTGTAGGTCTCATCGGCAGAATCGCTCAAACCCTTGATCTCAAGCCAGTTGGCATATGCTAGAGCAGCCTCAATCCTCTGACGGCTGGAGAAACCGAGACCAGTCAAGACCTTGAGGTAGAAAGTCTCTGGTGGGGCATATGCTCTACCGCAATCCTCTTCACGAGGAGCGGCCTCGGCACCCGGGGGACAAGGGCGAGGGTTGGGGTTTGAGGGACCAATGACAACGTCCTTGGGGAAGATGATGGCTCGAGAAGTGTCGAGGACCATGTTGTCGATGTGTTCCGAGGCGCGGGCGCACTGCATGACGACCTGGAAATAGCCTTCCTTCCATGCATACGACTTCTCCGAGACATCGAAAGCCGATGGGTTGACGCCGCGGATATGCTCCATAGCAGGGACAAGAGGGGTTGTGCCCTTGCCGTCAATGTCGGGATTCTCGAGTCTCTCCAGGCATCTTCGGAACTCTGTGGCGACTTGAGCCCAGTCGGTGTATTCATGATCCGGCTTGATGGCAGCATTGGCGCATCGGAAGTGGTTGCGCGAGAAGAAGGACCAGTCATCAGGGGAAGGAGTGTTGCGTTCGAGCACTTCCTGGTTGATGCCGTAGAGAGCGACGACTCCGAGAAAGAAGAAAGACCATCCGACGGCAGACCACTTGGCAGCCAGCCAGACCTGCTCTTTGACATAGTTCTTGTTCTCGGTCGTCAGGAAACGCGCTGTCTGTCTCGGGGCAAAGGCGTTCCGTGAAGGTTGCGACAGATACGGAAGTTGCGGTCGAGGTGACGATGTGCGTGTGATGAGAAGGAGCGGGCGGTTTTGCGTAAACAGTCGCAGCGACGACGCATGCGGCAGGCGCTTGAGTCGTAGTGGCCGTAGCAGCGACGGCGGCCGTGAGATCAAGACCATCCTGGTTGTCTTGGTCGCATCTCAAACAATCTCAATCGCCAATTCCATCATCCCATCTCCAAATGCCAAGACCGTGGAGCTTCCACATCCGCGTCTCCTCCGTGATTGGCCTTTCTCTCTGTACACCACAAACATTGCTGAACCTGCATAATGGCAGACGAGAATGAGTTCAACGCCGGACCCGGCGTGGACGAGCTGCGCGACCAGCTGGATACCTTGTGGGAGAAACATCTCACCCTCCTAGACTCATACCACCAAGCTCAGCAGCAGATTGCCCGCCATTTCTCCTCTGGCTTCTTCCATCTGGCTCAGGCAACATTCAAGTCGACTACTCGCGTTCGATATGGCCAGGAATACTATGACGACCGGATGCAAGCTACCACTCGCTTCGAGCCTTCTATCGACACCAAAGACGTTTCCCACCTTGCCTTGAAACTCAATCACACGCCTTGCCCCTCGACCAAGCACTCGGACAAAGAGTCGACCGAAATGTCACCGCATTCCAAGGAGAAGCACAACCAAGAAAAACAGGCGGACAAACTCGGAGAACAAGGGGAAGAAGACAAACCCGAAGAACAAAATCAGGAAGACAAACCCGACGACAAAGAAAAGACACACAACAAACTCCGCGATCCACTTCACTGGTATGGCATTCTGGTGCCTCCTTCGCTGCGTGCATCTCAAAAGTCTTTCAGCTCTGCAATGCACGACCCAGTCATCAACGCAGCCAACTCGGCCCAAGCTCTTCGTCGTGTCGACATGGACATTCGCAAGTTACGCAAAGATATTAAAAAGGCAGAAAAGCGTGTCGTCTAACATCGTGAATCCTATCTTCTATCTCCCGTCTCAGTACGCATATCTGAATCGGGGATTTTCGAAATCTGTCAAGTCCTCAATCATCTCCTCGCTTGTATCCATGTCAGATACCAGTCCAAATTCTGCATCTCTCTTCTTGTTGCGTCGGATCAATAGTGCTCGCAATGCAAACACGAGTACTATCTGGATGGCCGCGCATGCGATGATGAACTTGCATCCGGTCTCATATACCGGAGCCTCCGCAGCCAGGAACGCATGAGGGCCGCATATATTTCCTATACAGTAGGCTAAGAATACTACTGCTGTAGAAGTCGTCCTCTTTGTGTAACCTGCGACATTGTTGGCCGGCATTTGGAGTGCCAGAACGAGAGACGAAACAAAAGAGCCAATCTGCGCCAAAGTCAGCCTTCTATCCGATACGGTAACGATGCAAGACTCACCAGGTAGTAGGACACCAGCAGGCCATTCGAGTTCGATCTTGGCAGCTTCCATACAAGAGTTGTTCCGATGATGGTTGGCAGGAGGTACAGCGCCATGATATATGTGCGGATGTTCTTGAACTTGGACGCGATGAACGGTCCAGTAAAGACGAAGAATACTTGGAATGCTCCCGAAGGAATGCCGTATGCTGTCGTCTTGAGCGCATCACCGTGAGCGATACCCTTGACAATCAACTTGCCGAAATTGGCGAAACCTGTCTAAATCAGAACCTGGTCACAACAACAACGATACATCTTATCATACCTCCGTTGATGCCTTCATTGCAGAGGACAAAAACAAACAAAATCCAGATCTGCGGGTCAAGTAAAGCTTCTTTGATCTGTGAGACCTTGATCTTTGAGCTGTATATACCGGTCCGGTTGGTCTGACTGCGTGCGATGAGCAATGCTTTCTCTTCGCTCGAGAAGAACCTGGCCGTCATGATGTTACTAGGCAGCAGGAAGAACAAAGCAATGCCCCAGACGATGGTCAAGCCCCCGCAGAGCAAGAAGATGACCCCTGTGAAATGTCAGCTTGACGCTTGCATCGCTATACAAGATTCGACTCACTCCACACTGGAAAGCCTTTGAGCTGGCCGACGCCGTAGAAAAGAATGCCTCCGGTCATACTGCCAACTCCGTTGAAGCAGTAGAAGATACCAGCTCGAGCAGGTTGTTCTTTTTGTGTGAACCACATGCCCACAATCAACATAAAGCAAGGAGTCTACGCACCAAGTCAGCACAATCAATATCAGCCGACTGGGTCATCACTCACGATGGGAGCCTCGAGACAACCAAGGATGAAGCGACAGATGGCCAGACCAGTAAAGTTCGAACACGCCGCCGTCAACATCAAAACACAACCCCAAGTAGTGACAAAAGCACTCAACACCTTTCCTGTAGGGAAGTGCTGGGCGAGATAACTGCTTGGCCATTCTGAAACCAGATACCCGAAGTAGAATATACTTGTCAACCAGCTGTATTCTTCCGATGTGGTCTTGGTTGAGGTGAACAGGTCAAAAACGGCAGCGTAGCTCAATGCTTGTTTGTCGATATATTGGAGCAAGTATGTTCCGCAGAGTAGTGGCATGAGAGTCCAGTTGATCTTGCGGACCAGCTTCTTGCAAGCTACTTCGTCCTGGAGCAACTCGTGTAGGTAGGCATGGGAGAAGTTGTGGTTGCGAAGGAAGACTTCGGCTGCATCAAGGTCTGAGATCTCGCCGGCTTTGATATCAACCTCTGTAGTCTCGGGAAGGACGGCCTTTTCTTTGATAGACATATCGTCGGTACGTGGAGCGTCATTCATCTTTTCTTGAGTGGGTGGGGACATGGTTGGCCGGATTGCAAATAATACAGGAGGCATGAGCAAAACGGACTGGGCTCTGCAGATCTGCGAGGCGACCTTTGTATATCTTCGTCGCCAAGAGAACGTGGTGGTCAGAAGATAACCTATCTTCCCCTCAATATGCGGAGCAGGGCTGAAGTATACCTGGATCAATCGGCAAGCTTTAGGCCTATCTGAAAAGCTTGAGGTGTAGTATGCAACGCACTCACCGGTATGCCCGTATCTGTTGCGCTTCTGATATTAGGCTTGTCCAATTGTCCCGGTGTCAGTCTCCAGTGTACGGACCTTCAATTGCTCTGCTTTGACCTTGAAACAAAGTTCATCTCATTGAATCTACAGCATTGTCCATTCGAGCGAGTCGTGTCTTCTCGTCTATCTTTCCTTATCTTACCTATCTGGGAGCGCGGCCAACCCTCCCCGCAATGCTTCCTTTTCTGGCCGGCCGAAGGCTTCCCCGCGATAGGCCGTCTGCCCTATCGATAACGTCTATGTACCAAAGTACCTCTAACCTCTCCCAGTGCATCCTCCCAGCTATCTGGTCACACGAATGACCCGGCCTAGAGTTTCATGAGAACCTTCATCAGGTTGGCCGCCCCACTAGAGGAATCACATTGATGGCCGCGTCCCAAGCTCCGATGTCGTGATTCACGGCGATCAGAACGACCAAAAAGCGTCCATCGTCCACTACTATCTGCTGCCTTGATCATTTTTTTCATAATCAGCAACCATGCCTTTTTCGAATCCGTCAAGGCACTTTGCCTTTGCTCTGCTCATTCCTCTGGTTCTTGCAGCAGTAAGTTTCGCTTCTCTGCAACAACAAGTCCTGGGCTCTGTCCAACGTTTACTGGGTTTCGAGACTTCAGATCTTCCCACTGTTACCATCTCCCAGGGCTCATTGGTCGGCACGATCATCGAGAACGACTTCCCAGTGCCTGTCGAGGCCTGGCTGGGGATCCCATATGCTCAATCTCCCATCAACTCCCTCCGCTTTGCAAAATCGCAATCTCTGCCTCCCAGCAAGAAATCCTTCACGGCCAATGCATTCGGTCCCAGATGTCCTGGCAAGCAACTCCTTCCTCCCGGCGGTGGTCCAGACGTCTGGTCCGAAGACTGCTTGACCGCAAACGTCTTTCGTCCCACCAACATGCCTTCAGACAAGAAAGTCCCCGTAATGGTCTACGTCCACGGCGGAGCCTTCAATCGCGGAACTGCAAAAATGCACAATACAGCCAGTATGGTTGGATGGTCTATCGAGCCGTTTGTGGCTGTGAGCTTCAACTACCGTATTGGTGCTTTGGGCTTCTTGAACTCGGAGTTGACGCATGAGGAGGGACTGCTCAATTTGGGTTTGTGGGATCAGGTCTTGTTGCTTGAGTGGGTTAGAGATAACATCGCGGCTTTTGGTGGTGATGCTGAGGATGTGACACTGGTTGGGCTGAGTGCTGGTGCGCATTCGGTGAGTACAGGCACAAGAAGACGCTCAATATGCAATACACTAACAAGGACACTACAGATTGGCCATCACATCATGAACATCAACACGCCCTCCCCTCTCTTCCACAAAGCCGTCATTGAATCTGGCGGCCCAACATCCCGTGCTCTCCACCCATACAACTCCGCTCTCCACGAAACACAATTCCAAGAATTCCTCAAAGAGGCCGGATGTCATGGTCTCCCCACTGTTTCCATCCTGCCTTGCTTACGCAACGCTTCGGAAGCCACAATCGTCTCTGCCTCCAACAACGTCTTCGCAACTTACAACCCTTCAGTCAGATGGGCGTGGCAACCCGTCATCGACAACGAACTCATCCCCCGCCGACCCTTGGATGGTTGGAACTCAGGAAAGTGGAATAAAGTGCCCATTCTCACTGGATTCAACCACAATGAAGGAACCATGTATGTTCCCAAACAAGTTGCTTCGTCTAAAGACTTCCGCGCCTTTTGGTCGACTTTGCTGCCGCAGTTGACTGAGGAGGAGTTGGATGAAATCGATGCACTGTATCCTGACCCAGCTACGGATCCGGAGTCGCCGTATATTGATACCAGAGCTTTGAATGTGGGTGCTCAGTATAAAAGGCTGGAAGCTGCGTATGGACATTACGCGTATGTGTGTCCGGTGCGGCAGACCGCTGTACACGCTACTGCAGACCCCAAAGATCCTGCGGTATACGTTTATCATTGGGCTACCAATCGTACTGTACTCGGTGGTGCCAATCATGGAGACCAGATGTGGTATGAAGGTTTCGATCCTTCGGTCACTGGGGTCTCGGATACGCAGAGGGAAATCGCTGGCACTTTCCACGACTACATTGTTTCTTTTGTACTGAGTGGAGATCCTAACAGAATCAAGGGAAGATGGGAGAGACCTGAATGGAAGGCTTGGGGAGAACGGGCGGAAGAAAATACCATGCTCATTGGACAGGGCAATGACGAAAGAGCTGGTGGTGGTAACTTGGGCGTCGTTGCACAACTTGTAGAAGACACCTGGGCGAGCAAGGAGTGCGAGTTTTGGTGGAAGCAGACGAGTAATGTGGAGGATTAAGTGTTTCTCGACTGGAATGCAATTCCATCGTCTGGTATTATTGTTGAGTAGGCAAGTCCATATGGGCTTCATCCAACCTAGTTTCCACGTTCGTCGTTCTATTGCCCTTCCCACATTCTCGGTGCGCCATCTGCGGAAGAAAGAAAGAACAAAGGAAAGCAAAAGGGGTGACGAGAAGAAGAAAAGAAAAAAACGAGCGACAAAAGAACAAAGAAAAAACGGATCCAAGACCTCTTTCCTCCTCCGACGAGCCCTCTCTGCTGACCATGGATTCCAAGGGGCTTCGTTTTCCTTCTCCTGTGTCGACGTTTGGAGCATCTTGGAACGCCGCGTTGATACACCATCTGCTGGGACTGAATGACTTCGCCGACACCTTGCCCATGCTGGCTGTACTCAGGTACTCGGTGAAAAAGGAAGAGGTGACGAAGAAGTGAGAGCGGTGACAATGAGGATGACGGTCCTGCAGCATAAAATGCTCACTGGGCATCCATCTCATTGCATTTTAGCCAACCACCCCTCGAGGGTCTGCACATCAATCTGCGTCTGCCGGACCTTGACTCTAGCATCGAGACAAGAATCAAGACCTGCTCTCTGGAAGATCACTTCCCTCCTTGCGAGCTTTGTGATGTTGACGACTTGGTAGTCTCTCAGAGGTCTCAGTGCCTCGAGGGCGTCGTGGATAAGACTCATGACTGCGATAAGGGTGTGGTGTTGCGAGGAGAGGGCATGGTAGACTTTTTGTAGGGGCTCGGTGGCGGTACAGGTGGAATGGAGCTGGGTGTAGGGGTGGAGGATGTACTTGATTTGGTAGATGAGGCGTACAAGCTCGGCTGCTTCGTCCTCGTACTGCTCGTCGTCGGCGATGGCATCGTGTTCAGCCTCCGAGATAGTGGGCATAGGGGTAGACAGGGCGCCATTGAGTGACGGGGCGATGCGTTTGATACTTGCATCATAGTCTTCGGACTCGAGCGTGTTGAGCTTGCGCTTCTTGCCGGCGAGCTGTGTGCTAGAGTGCTTGGTGCGATCGAGAGGAGATGAACCGTAGTAGTCGTCGGGAAGGGAAACGTCAGTCGAGGGGAGTGCAGTGGCATATGTCTCTTTCATGCCACCAAGGTGTTCAGGAGGTGCGAGTAGAGCAGGAGAAGGAATCGAAACACGAGGGACACGGGGACCCAAGATACAGTTGCCGAAACCAGGCACACCGCTGGGGAAGATGTAGGGCGGCTTCACGCTCATGGCGTGCTCGACTGCTTTATCTACCATGTCGTACACAAGTGCCTCGACCTCGCGCTCAATCTCAGCCTTGCGAGCAGCCGTGGGAGTCGTGGACGTATCTGCCATGTTCGAGGAAAAGGGCTCCATATCGCCTGGTGTATCCGCGTTAGATTTGGGCGATGAGCATCAGAGGGTGGTGAGAGGGAGCGTGCAAGAGGAGGAGCAGAGGAAAGAGGTGGTTTTCTGTTGTGAGACGAGGTGCTCGCGAGTTTGGTTGCGTGCGCCGGCCTTGCGCCTATGCGAGCACTTCTCACATGGACTGATGAGGATATAGAGGTAGAGAGACTTACTAGCAAGCTTGTAGCACAGCACTGGTACCAAAGAGGACGATGTTCTTCTTGGACAAATGTGGTATCAGAAGGTGTGATATTGTGACTGGTGGCTGGATTGAAACACGCGGTGGAGAAGTTGCTGTGAAGCAAAGTAGAGTATCAAAAGCTGACGGACGCCACAACGCGCAATAAACCACAAACAACACCACTTTCGGATTAGCTCAACTCTTCTCGGCACCGCATCTCTCGAGCATTCGAACAAGTACAGCATGGAGTCATTAGAGTCAAATGAAATGAGAGTGTAGTGGTTAATCGCTAGTCATACTTCACACAGGCCCCTGATCCCAAAGCCTTTGTACCCTCATGCCCTGTTCCTCTTCAGGCTTGGGGATTGGCGAGTCTGCCTTGGTAGATAAGGATTCATCTATGTTTGCTCGAGTAAGGATGTAAAAGAGACTCCAGGCTGCTCCTCTTTGACCCCTTTCACTTCAGATGAAAGGCTCCAAGTCTCTCTTTTCGGCTCGAAGTCGAGGTCGACCTCGGATGACATAGATCTCGTCTTTTCGCCCTGCTTACATATCTCTGAATCCGCAATCTCATATTCAGAGACGAAGTGCTCTTGATAGAAAGCCAGAGCAAGGATAATCGATCGAAATACTCATAACTGTGTTCATGCACGGCTAGTATACGCCATAGATCTGCTAAACGTGAAACATGAACGAGTGGCACAAGGCACCATCATGATCTCGTCTTACTCTACAAGCTCCTGTGAAAGTGATGCAGTACACCGAATAGAACAATAGGATCTGTATTATGCGAGAGTGTTGTTGATGTCATGAATAGTCGGAGACTTGGCGGTTGCTCGAACGAAATGTTCGATTGTGGTCGTACTTACCTATTCAAATCGACATGTAAGCTTGCCCCTTCGACAAGACTCACACCGCCAACTCTGGAACAACACAACCACTTGCAGTCTGGTTCCATCCTTCTGATCTCTGCATTGTAACAGACCATCACTGTGAACGATGGCCAACAACGGTACGCCCAATTGGCGCTGCCGCGAGTGTCTTTCTAGTGGCATCATAGCAGATTTCGCCAGTGCTTCCCACATGAAGTCATACCTCTCAACCCACGACTACGAACCCTGAAGGTGCACTGAGTGTAACTTCATATTTCTACGCAAGTACGCTCTCTCGTCTCGGAGAAGAACACATCCAATCATGTATCATCTGCAGCCGGTCGTCACTCAACTTCAGAGACAGCACTCCCTGAAAGAACTCCACCGCAACATCTACTTGGTCGTCTCAATCATGAGATTTTACCATGGCCCGTTGACTACCGACCAAGAGGTAGAGGCTATCAACACTGTGGTTCGCAATCTCAAAGAAGTCGAGCGAGATCCAGGTGAAGACTAATGAGCAAAGGATGGAAGTGGAGAGGGGAAGTTAAAGGAGAAAATGAGATGATCCGAGGAGGCCGCTACAGATCAAAAGGTGTCATGTAGAAAGAATAGCAAATTGAGCGATGGAGCTCGTCAAGGAGAAGTTCGACTGGAAGCCACAGAGTGCCCCAGATTGTTTTGAAGGATGAGGATTCATGCAGCGTTGGCTGAAAAGGAGTCGATGATCGTTGGAGAGCATGGTAATCCAGCTTAAAGTTTACACCTTCATATTGAAAAGTCCATCAGGGGCCTTGTTCCCATTGTCCATCCAAGTAAACAAATTGTATAGAGCATGCATGATGTCAGTCGTAATTGTGCCTTGGCGCTGACTCGGCCGGAATATTCGATTGGTGTTGTTCTTATTCGAGTTCGCGTTCTCACTCCGTCCTTCCACCAAGACGCACCGCGCACACCTCTAAGAACCGCGACCAGAGCTCTTGTACTGCCGACGTACACAGCACAGTACCTACCAGGTCAATAGCTCTTCTCTGTGAGTACTTCTCTCATCTGAGAGTCTTGTTTCTCCGTACTGACCGTGCAATCATACAGACGACGATCATACGCACAATGGCCAACAACACCACCACCACTCCCACCTGGCAGTGCCGCGAGTGCCTGGCCAAAGGCACCACCGTCATCTTCTTCACCAAAACTCACATGAAATCGCACCTTGCGATTCACGACTACGGCCCATTCAGATGTACCGAGTGCAACTTCATCGGCAGACGCAAGTAAGTCTTCGTGCAACATTCCGTCGTGCGCTATTGAGCAAATTCATCTGACCTTGCGTAGGGAGACCATCACCGCGCACCACAGAGCCAGCAAAGAGGTCGGAGCAGGCGCTTACCGTGACCCCGACCTCGAGAACCGCATCCAACGTGAGGTCAACCGTTGTCGCCTTCCCCATCAAGCCCCATGGACCGGATCCAGTGCAATTCCCCCTCACGATCCCGCGGCCCTTGCTGCTGCACAAGGCACTATCTCGCCACCATCCCCCAAGGAGGAGCACGAGGAGGACGACAACGATGCCGACGAAGCCCCGCCCATGACCCTTCCCAAGATCATCGAAGAAGCCACCAATGCCATCATGCCCATGATCGGTCACCTTGGCCATAGAGAAGACTACGAGAAAACCACAGACCTAAAGTTCTGGGTTGAGGACCTGCAGGTGCGTCTTGATCGTATCGAGGCAGCTCAGAGCTTCCCAGAAGTCGTTCTCCGCCTCCAGCGTCTGAGAGGCACGATGGAGCTCGATCGCCACCTCCTGACCACCGAACGTGATCTTCTGGCACTCGAGGCCACCATCAAGAAGATTGAGGACCTCGCCAGAGACGCAGAGAGAGAGCGTTGAATTGGTAATGGGAGTGAGTTTATACAAGCAGTCTGGGAGAAGTGGAGCAAATCGACATGGAAGAGAAAGGAGAGCGTGGATCAAGTGATGTGAAGGGGGTCCTGGGGGAAGTCCGAGCAAGTCCAAATAGCCAGAGTGGACACAGTCGATCGGATGGGAGACAGATAATGACATCAAAGGCATGAAGAGGTTGATGAGAAGTCGAGGACGAATCGGGAAAGGATGCTGAGCATGGTAGTCAGATTTGAAGGGTAACAACCTCCAAGTCAGAAAGTCCATCAGGAGCCGTACCCACTGTAGCATTTTGGAGAAATCAAATCAATACGAAAGTCCAAGGCTGGCAGAAGCTAGATCAGTTGAGATTGTTCCTCCTTCGTGAGCACTCGTCTGGGTGGACCTCCACGACTTCCATCTCCAGGCATGATAGGTGTAGCGCTTCCGGCCCACTTCCACTTCTCCTTCTGTTCTGATGAGGCTGATCCCTCGAAGCTATCAACTACATATCGACCGAGGATAGGTAGGAACTTGAACGCGCTAGTTTCTATTAGCAATGGTCTCGTTTCTGGCAGAGGGAAGGTTTACTTACTGCCCGCTGCCACCAGTTGCAATGAAGAGGTTTGAGTATTCAGGATGATAGTCGACAACAAAGTCGCCTTTTGGCGTATCAGTGTACCAGCATAGTCTCCTCCTCGAGAACGGTCGATCTGTGAACTTTGGCAGAAAGAGCGCAAGTCCATCTCTCAGAGCTTGCTCTGCATCTGCGGGTAGGTAATCAGATTGTGAAGTCATGCCTGGTGCTGAGTATTGGGTAGATTTCGAGGTATGAACAGTTTCGAAGCCATAACCATGCCTTGCCATCTTCAGGATATTGTCTCCAGGGGTGGGAGGGAAAGCAAACCAGCCGGTGCTCAAGTTGATCATGACTGGATTCTCTCGCATTTCGTCGGCTTCTTCGGGGGTGAGCTGCATGTAACCGACTGGTTGACCGGTAGAGATGAAGCGATTGCCAGCTTCAATGAGATGCGGCGTCCATGCACCGGTAGCCGCTATAAACGTATCAGCAGTCACCAATTCTCCATCTCCTGTTCGTACTCCAGTGACGACTTTGAGACCTTCAATTTCGTTTGTGACAAGCTCCTTGACAGTGCCACTCTCATCTGACAGAAGTGTGACGCCAGAATCTTTGCACAGTTTTGCCAGATGCTCGATACTCTTCGCAGCATCCACCCATCCAGCATCCAGGTTGCAGTAGCCACTGGTTTGAGCTAAGTCGCCATGAATGCCCGGATATCTCTCGTTCACTTCCCGTCCAGTATAGGGCCAAAGATCAACTTTGGCACCGATGTTCTCGAGATTACTTTTGGCTTCTTTCAAGTATGCGTTGCCGAATTCTGTCCCAGCTTGAGCACAAAGCAAGCCGCTGCGATAAAAGAATGGGGCGGAATCCTTTTGCCACCCTGCCAGAGCCTCCATGCCCATTCTCGCGTAGAACTCATCCGCATAATCTGGCCTGACGATGCGAGATATGTCGACCGAGGAGCCATCGGGTACAGGTGGAGCATGGCGGTCCAGAACTGTGATGTTGCTGTAACCGCGACGACTGAGCTCCAGAGCTGTTGAGAGACCAAAGACGCCGGCGCCGATTATAATAATTTTCTGTTCTTTGTTCATCTTGTTGTTTCTGTTGTTCCCAGTCGCCGTGAGGGGAACAGGATATTGGCGAGTCGAAGACTGCTATTTAAATATGTCCGCTGTTGTCAAGTTCAGGGCGTGAGGTGGAGAGTCGAGAAGGAGCCGGCCCGACTTTCGGAAGCGGCCCGTGGTACAATCCTACTCAACCTCACTCGCTCCTGCAGCAGAACAAAGAACTATTAAAATGCAGCAAAGGACAACACAGTATCAGGAACGTATCCAAAGGGAACTCTCGAGACCACCGACTTCATTGGGTATGACTCCTCTTCTGAACAAACCCGTGCATTCTTATGGGCATGCTTACATATACCTTAGGGGTCAGGAGTATAACATTCAGCACTCTCTGAGAGGCTGAAAAGCGAATCTAAATTCTATCCGAAAGCAAGATGTTTATACGTTCCAGACTGATGTCTACAGAGTGCTCCGAAGCATTTTATTCTGCCTCTTGAGAGTACAATGCATTTCCTTCTTTCTCATAGAGACATACAGCGATGGTATGAGCCATAGAAGGGCACAATAGTTTTCATCTCGTAGGTACATCCAACGAAGGTCGATCAAATACATGATCTTAGTGGATGCCCCCTCATTCTTGATAGTATCAAGCATAATTACACATGGACTCGTAGAGACATTCTCAGTAGGAGAGCAACATCTGGCTGTCGTGGGACGGGGCTCTCAATCTTTCACAGGGTAGATGTGATAGCTTTACTTCCTCACTCTCATACAATCGCGTCAATAATCCGGATTTTTGCTGCGTCTTACCATCTCATCTCCACCCACAACCATAACAACATCACCACCACCACCACCACCACTACCATCATCAATGATGGCCTTCCCTTTCCGCTGCCACCCATGCCTCCAGTCAGGCATCATCAAGGACTTCCGCACCATGAGCCACTTGAAGTCGCACCTAGGCTCTCTAAGCAACCATAACATGGGACCCTTGGCCTGCACCCACCCAGGATGCCAGCGCCGCTCCGCAAGACCGTACGTATAACTAAACTCCTGAGGTCAGACCCAGATGGTATCTAACAGGATCGATGCAGCGACTCCAACAACAAGAACCATACCACGGGCGGCGGTACTCACAATGCCCAGTGGGTCGTGGACCCGGTCCTTGCTAGGGACCTGGCAACAGAGGTCGAGCGCTGCCGGGTTCGTGCTCAACCTGCCGTGCCCCCCGTCGCCCCTCCTGTTGCTGCCCTTCCTGTGGCCCCTCCTGTGGCCCCTCCTGTAGCTCCTCCCGGTGCCAACCCCAGCCTGGGTCCCGTTGGTGTGGCTGCCCGCCCTGTCGGTGGTCAAGCTGTCGTCTCTACTCCCCCTTCGCGGGAGGAAGACGATAGCGAGGACGACGAGAACGAAGTCGAGGGCGAATTTGAGGGTGACGAGCACGAAGATGAGGAGGAAGACAAGCACCAAGATGAGGGCAAAGCCACCGACGTCGACCATGACCACGACGACGAAAAGGTCGACGAGGACGAAACCGCCGACACCGAGTAGACCGTTGTGCTTCTTGTAGTATTCCGCGGTACTGAACTGGGCTTTTGTTCTTAAATAGATGTGTGCTCGTAGAGGATTGGTTGTGGCGACACATTAGTAAGAGTAGCGATGTTATAAACCTCGTTCGCGATGGGCTTCGCTGGCGAACGATGTGACTTCCTGTGCTCTCGAGAGGCAGATGCTATTGTAAAATGATCGAAGGAGCGACAAGGAAGATGCCAAACTCTAGTTGGGTTGGCTGGCAGACATAGTGCTGATTGTGATCGCCCTTCGAAAGGGGGGCTCGGGTACTGCAAGAGTTAAGCGTCTGAGCATACTTCGATATCATGTAGCAACGCCGCCGTGAAGACAATCATACACAACTGTTGGTTGGCATTGTGGGTTTGCGTTTGACGTGTTTGACCGGCTTGAGTTGTTGTCCAGCCCCCTGTGACTTCCGTCTGTCTGGGTCTCACTCGTGTGCTCTGCGTCAAAGCAGGAGTTTGCGTAAACAACACACAACAACCAACCATCCCTATCTCAATCACCATCCACCACTCAACAGCCACCACAGAACACCTCGAGATGGCCACCGACATGTTCAGCGCGGTCGGTCTGACTCGTCAGAGATGGTACCAGCTCAGTAGGGGAATCCGCGACCCTCCAGCTGCTCAAAACACCAGCTTCGACAGCAGCAAGGAAGTAAACTTGGGAGACGATCAGGAAGAGGATGAAGATGATGAAGATGATGAGCTTGACCTTGAGTACGACTCTATCGACGACTGCGCCTCTTGCACTTCCGAGCCCGACAACACCAGCCCCCTCCCTGCCTCAACTCCACTGGACCAGCTCTTCGCAGACATTGAGGCCAAGGAGCGCAGAGAAAAGGAATCAAAGGTCAAGGAGCCCCTGTCACTTGCCATGCGCAACGACAAGCGCAAGAAGATTGCCTTCGCCGACTTCGACAAATGGGCTCGTGCCAGAACAGGAGCAACCAACGATGACTCTCAGTCCAACAAGCGTGATGACACTACTCCCACCGAGACTCGCGACCCTACCACTATCCTCAAGGTCTACGTCTACGAGATCCAACACATGGCTTGCTTCGAGATCTGGACTCGTGCAGCCAACGGCCGCTTTCGTCCTGCGCTCATGGAAATCAACTACACCTGCAGCAAACTCAGCAATCCCGACAGGGAAATTATGATCTCGATGATTGATGCTCTCATTGATACCTACAACAAGTCAGTCCACGCAAGTCGCTCGGGAATAATAACGGACACATATCCAAAGACTGAGAAGGGCTCGAACAACTGGTGGCACGAGAAATACAACCACTACAACGACTGTATTGCGCGCCTGGAGTTCATGTAAGTACATATGTCACCCCTGAGATCAATTTGAGCGGTTGCTGACACTTTTCAAACAGCAAGGTCAAGGTTGAAGAGCTCGTCTGAGCACCAGCTTCCATGTCTCTGCTCGGCATTAAAACGGGACGATGGACAAGGAATAACCACTCAGATGTCCGACATCGAATCTCTATGAGCAGATGATGTTATAAGGAGGATTGAGATGAAGCAATCGGTATACGCAGATGGTAATCGAAGTTAGGGACATGCGGGCACTATGGTAGCACTCGATTGAGAACTCTTCATGCCATCCCCTTCTCAAATTTCAGACCTCCTTCAAGGCCAAACTTGCGTGACTGCAGCGTATGTCTCGCTATTCTTTAATCTGTGCGAAAACTCGGCAATTGACATCGCCGCCGTACTCGTCGTTTACAAGGCTACGAATGACGAGGGGTAGTTCAATGTCTCTGTGCCACCTGAGTGACCAGATATAGAGGCTTGAAGGCGTTGCTGAGAGTCTCAGGCGGGAGGGAAAGTGCTGCTGATGTTGACATCGGGCGTCTTCATGAGTATGCAAATCAGGGGTAGCCATAACGAATAGCTGATCCACTCTTTGTAAATAAACCACAAAGAACCGTCCTTGAACAATCTCAGAAACAGTGGAAACTTGATACTGTATAGAAGAAATGCACGCAGTCTCGTCGTCGCCCGGCGGGCGGTCAATGCTTGCCAGTCGTCGATGACGGAGTATCGCACTCACACAGCTTGCGCTCTCTTTCCTCCATCATCATCTTCCCACGTCGCGCACTTTGTGTCTTGATACAACTACCCCTTCATGCGTAGATCATATCTCAAAGGTAAGTTTCTCACTGTACTATCTATCATATGTCTGCTTTTCCTGGATTTAACTCTCTCGACTTTCGCGCCTATTCTGATCCAATCCGTTGACGTTTTGCAGCATACAACATGGCGCCCTCTGAGTCTGATACCCCCGCAAAGCCTACTCACCAAGCCACCACCAATATGATCTCTGATGGTGCTGATGCTGGTGCTCAGGTCGATGCTAAAGCTGGTTCTACTTCCGACGCTGAGTGGTCAACCTTGACCATCGGCGAGAAGATCGCCGCTATAAACGCTCGAAACAAAGCCTTTGCCGATGCCCGCAAAGCCAAACCCGAGAGCAAAACCACTGCTGAGCCAGGACCCATCGACGAGAATGACCGTGGGACCTTCAAGATGCTCGATGAACGCATGGCTGCACTCAAGCTGCAGGTTGAGGCTCTCAAGAAGGATTCCTCTGAGATGAGAGACGACGCTGGCAAGCCTGATGATTCGTAAGTTCTTCTGGTCCCCTTCGGTCATTAATCTGCATACTCATCGTAAGCATAGGGGAGACCAAGTTTGATCGTTCCCTCCTTGGCTAGAGGATCCCGCATCATTCTCCTGTGCTCTCAAATCTCCCACCCGCTGCAAGGTGTGCGATGGTTTTACTGATCATGAAGACACACGCACACATGCCTGTACGTTGAGATCCTTCAGCGCAGTAAGCTCGAACGATATACTAATGGACTCGAGCTAGACGCCCCTCTCTTCCAACATTACGCTCGAAAAGAACGCTACTTCTGCTCAAACCATTAAAGAAAGCATTCGATGTTAAGACGAAGCGATGAAAGGAGGGAGCTTGCTTTCGCGCGTCTTCTGCTACTGTGCATAGGATCCTGACATTGCCTTCGTAAAATGCAACGAAAGTTTTCTCTCTTCCGTGACCTCATTCCGATGATTGAGGTGACACTTGTTCAGTCAGTAGACATCCTTGAGCACTTTATCTCGCATTGCCTGAATTTCTCCAAGTGCCCATAAGAACGCACGTTGCTGATATGAACTCATGTCGCTTCGATCGATAAAGTCGCGGACACCTCTATGCACTGACTCCCACATCTGTATCCACCCGTGCATTTCTATACCACACCATTGGTTTTGTGTTTTTACTGGGGATGTAGTTCTCTTTGTGAAATTTGGAAAGCCTCTTGTCCTCGATGAACTCTGTGTACAAACTGGCCATGTCCGAGGTGAAGAGCTATATGGCGTGTATAGGGAGACCTTCGATCGAGGTACATATAGAAGGTGATGTTCGTGCCAAAACGGTTCTTTGGGTGAGGCATGAACTCTTGTGTCTGTCTCCTATAACATGAAGATGGCACCCCATCTCGAGCACAGTTCTCAGCATGGCAGTAAAGTTGGGACTGAGTGATGAGTGGTTTTCCGCGCTGCAGAGTCCGCATATCTTCGTTGCTTCCGTTTGTTAACAAGTTCGATCTTACACGCACCCTCGCAAAGCTACCAGTGCGTCACTTCAACTTTTATCAACGTTTCCATCACAACAAAGGTACTTTCTTCGATCCTGACTCTCACACGTTTTCCTACGCCGCGATCTAACTCTCTTCAGTCATCATCATGGCATCAAGTTCGAAGGAAGGCCAGAGCGCAGTCGCCAACAGCGCCAGCGCGATCAACGTTGCTCGTCCAATTCGCTCAGGCAGACCGCGCTCGCTGTCTACACCGCACAAAATCTTTACCTACGACCCCCGCAGCCTTGAGTCTGCTGCAGTGTCTCCTCTCATTCTTTCTGAAAGTCCTAAGGACCGCCGTCGTGAGACTGTGGCAGAAGCTCTATCGCATCTGATCCCTACCATGACTCCAGACGCAGCCACGACTGGACAGGCCATCGCGACTTTCGACTTCGAAGAGGCCGCTGGACCCCGCGGTTCTCCTCTTACTCCTACGGCTTCTCCTCAGGTTGTCTCTGTCGAGGAAGATGCCACCACCGGCGCAGAAGCTAGTCCCATCAAGCAGAACCTTCATCAGCAGCACTCGACCATCGGACTCAAGCGCAAGGCCAACGATGCCATTCTCATCACTCCTCCTCGTCGTCAACGCCAGAAGACCAACGCTGTCGTCACTACTCCCACCAGCAACGGAGATGCTCCTCCCCCTGACTTGCTGGTCAACCTGAGCCGCAACGTCCAACACTTCATCCCCTCTGACTGGCCCGACTGCGAACATGACCCTCTTGCTTATGGCATGAGTCTTGGCCTCTCTAACGATAGCTTCAAGCTCGCCACTTCAGACAAAGACAAGGCTGAAGAGATCATCGACAAGATCTTGGCCGTTTCTTCCAGACTCCTCAAGCGTCAGCGCGTCCTGATTCACGACTACGATATCTTCGACTCTCAGACCTACAAGCCTGTGGGTCGCCTCGATGAGGGTACCAGAGCACTCAGACACTTCACCGGTACTTTGAGAACTGGTCTCGAAGACATGGAGCAGTGTATTGGCGAGCTCGCCAATCTGTAAGTTTCTCTAGCCTTTATTCGATCGTGCGTCTCGATGCTGACTTCATGAGCAGGAGAGATGAACTGTGATCTTTGAATATCAGATACCATGTGCCTCGTCTTGCGACGTTGTAAGGCTTTGCTCTCCTACCAATGGTAGTCTAACAATCGTTCGATCGCCCAAGATCCAGATTAGCCGCTTCTGTGTGTTTCTTGGGCTTTACAGCGGGACTGTCAGGCAGTACCAGGAAACTTCGGAGTGGCTTCAGCCGCGGTTGGAGTAAGAGACGAGTTGGTTTCGTGGTTCTCTGTTTTTTCTTTTCTTTGTCTACAACCTGCCAACAGGCGGGGGCTTTGTTGTTTTCTTTCGTCGAGAAGACCTTTGTTGCCTTTCCATTCATCAAACCTTTTTGTTCTTTGTACTTTACACAACTCTACTGTCGTCGTCAAGCCAGTACTACTCATCCTACAGACCCTCTAGTATGTATAAAGTCTAGTCTACGCTACTCCCTAGAGCCCGTATCTACCATCCAACACAGCAACAAAAACCCCAAGCCCATACCAATAACACCAACATACAAAATGTGCAACACAACCACCACCTCTGAGCCCCCTGTCCTCCTCAGATGTTGCGTCAGCGACCAACACTACTGGTGCGCTCGCTGCAATGTCAACATTAGAACTTGCTCCTGCTGCGATGGTCCCAGCTCGGGCTGGTCTGTAAACAGATAGATGGTGAGGAAACAAGACTGTGTCAACCGATAAGTTATGTGCTTCTAGGCGTTCAGGTTCTTGGTATACTGTGGTTTTGATAAATCGAACAATCAATCTTTTTTTTTCTTCTCTTGAATTTACTTTCGTGTGATCATATTCTGCAGCTTTTTGATGGTGATGACTTGATTCGAGGATAGATGTGTTTTCGTAGTACTCAACACCAACCTTCTGATGGAGATGTTCTAACTTGCTCGAATCATCCCAATGGCGACTCGCACCGATTTCATGTGTAGTATGGAACCTATCTCGAGTACCTAAACTCCAAAATTCTTGGTGTCCGTTTCATTGGCGCATTCGTCGGAGAAGTGTTCGTTCACATCGACACCATAGAGTATCATGTAACCGATCCAGCTGAACTCTATCTTGACCTACACATAATTGTGGCACGGCAAAATGAGTTTCCTGTTTTCGACTCAGCGTGGAAAGTATCCCTATTGATGCTTATGCTCTTTCTGCTGATGAGTAACAACTAAGTACTCGTTTCGGGCCTGATGACCAGATCGCACAGCAGGAAGTGGGAATGGTCTGATCGGTGCTATGGTGCTATCGGAAAAACCCTTATTGCTGAAACTGCCAGTGTTGATCGCCAGGACCCTGCGTGCTCGATCCAGCCATCCAATCGAACTCGCTGTAAGTAAACCCAGTTCCAGCGTTTCCGAATATGTCAGTGTCATCGACAGGTACATCCCACATCATGTCGTCCAACCAGAAATTGTTCATCGCAGCAGCTGCGTTCGGTGAGAGCCCCCATATGTCTTCTGCAGGCATCTCTGAGTCCGGAACGGGCAGTTGAGCATTTTCGTAAGTGTTGGTTTGGCCCGCTCCAGTGCCAGCAAGTGCTCCGAGCCTCAGCGGATCATCGTTGGCTCGGATGTGTTGAACTTGAGTAAGATGCCTTTGGTCGGCTCCTTCGCTCGCCAAAATCTTACTGGCTTCGTATAATCGCGATACAACATCATGAGACTTTTTTGCTGCTGCAGACCAGCGATCCATCCTCGTGAAGAAATGTAGAGCTTTCTCGACCAAACTTCGCCACTCTTCCATATTGCTTCCATCAGAGGGCCCAGGGGTCTTGTCTATGATGTTTGTGTCAGATTGTGCCACTTGGAGGTCCTCTTCTTCTTCATCACCAGGGTGCTTTCGAAGTTTTGCCAGTGACGAAAAGATACACACGAGCGGGACCATTACTGCTTGGTACCTGGAATATCGTAAGCAGAGAGTACGGTACGTCCAAGGCGTTATACTCACATGAACCAGACGCCATTCCAGCCAGAAAGCAGATCTTCACGGCACAGATTACTGATGTCTGTGATAGTTCGAGCTGCAACAGCCTGACATCGACCAACACCTACTTTCTCTTCTGCCGAGAGCGGGGTCTCATGTCCATCGCGCAATGCGGCGGCCAGGACGTACGGGCGATGGAGCAACAGTCGAAGGTTTTGGTATCTCCAGAGCATAATAATGCTTGGTGTCTCAAGCATTTCTCGAGTTCTTGCCTGGTTCGACGACTTGTACCGACGATTCTCAGAAGCGAAAGATGTGTCTCGTTTCAGAACAGGCGGTAAATCAGTATGCCATTGTAGCAGCTCTTTGTCGAGTCTGTTCAGCTCGGCGAATGCTAGAAGTGGTGTGGCAGATAGAGCGTCTTGAATCTGAGCAGCGATTTTACAGAATGCGACGTTATGTGCCAAGGGGATGAACTTGATCATCGCCGGGTCCGAAAAATCTGTAATCTACATTGTGTCAATTATAGTCACAGCGAGTATCTTTGTCTGTCTGTACTGACCTCTGGTACGTGAACTGTGATACCCTTGCTAGGCTGTCCTAATGAAGGCCTCCCTGTGGTCGTGCTATACAGCATCAGTATTACTCCGAGTTATGGTATCAAGTTGACTTACTTCGCCCAGGTGTCGAGAACATACAAGCTCCACCACGTCCGTCGTCTGACATCGGCAGACATAGCTTTGTGTGTTGGACTTCCGTTGGTGGGGTTTGTATCAGTGTATTCTCTGTGCAAGCCTAATACGGTGGCTTGACGCAGCGTCGCACCCATGAGGTTGTTTGCCAAATTCGGCCTACTGACATAGTGGAGGCTGCCTACATTAGTCTCATCTACGACCATTATCATGCATTTTTCCGACTTACTAGTAACCACTCAAAAGTCCCAAAGCTTGGACAACAAGCGTATTACCGCTACCAAGGCTGTCAAGATCCAGGAGTCGCATAGCACGTTGATAGTAGGCTTCGTGAGCAATGCTGGTACCGTCTGACAACATCACTGATCCTAGAGCTAGGACTGTGTTGAGCAAAGCCAGCCAAGCATGATCTTTGCGCTCTCCATATAGCCAAGTTTGCCAGAATTGTTGCTCGTCTAGCATTGGCATAAGCGGATGAACCTTGCTGAAATATGTTTCAATCAAGATCTGACCAAGCTCAGCAGGAGGCAGGTATCCAGTATCTACGCTGATATGATCCGATGACGGCGAGTCCGCTCGACTTGGTAACGCGGTTTCTGTATGACCTGATGCTAGTAATCTCCGCGTCGCAGGAGCGACTCTGCAGATGACTTTCAAAGCCGCTGTGATGGAAGAAACACCCACATATGAAGAAGGTCTATCTAATGACAAGGACAGTCCATTGACATCATCAGAAATACCTTGTACTCTGGCTGAGTGTCGCGTGGCCTCGTCAGCAACAGGATCTTGCTCTGGCGCCTGTATCAGTGTTTCCAGGCTTTCTGCTCCCTCAGATTCCAGGGTAGATGCTGGAGAGGCAAGCTCCGATGTCTTTGTAGGATGATCGATCGCCTCTGGCAACATACCGATAGCAGCGATGAGGTCCTCCTTGGATAAGGTGACTAATTGTTCAACACTCCTACCAGGGAAGAGACGCTCGAAGACCGAGCGATACTGCTCTACAGATGATGACAAGTCTTCCACCAACCTGCACGGCGTTAGCTTCTCAATTCCAGACACACCAGAATGAGATTAAGCTTACTTCTTGGACAGCACAACACGTGGTGGTGGCTTCGAGTACTGACAAGCATCGGCTTGCTGTGAGACAGCATCAGCGATGGACCCGTCCACACTGTGAAATCTCATACCTGATAGTAAACACCTAGAACTGATTCAGAAACTGTCTTCGTCTTGTCGTACTGGGTACCCTGCACTCACACTGGCCACAAGGTGAGGCGCCATCGCAGCGTATTTTTCTACGCCTACAGGATCCTGTCACTCCATCAATATCTGATGATCGAAATCCATCAAAAATTCAGTTGTACCGCATGCATTGCTCGTCGTGATACGTCGAGTCACTGGTGGTTTGGGTGGTTTTGCGGCATCCGTGTTGTTCTCGCTGCCAGAAGCCTGGAAAGAACCGAACATCGTATAGCGGGGTAGCTGCCTATTGACCTAGGTGGCGCCGATCGATTCGACGAGATCGCCCACGAACAGAATGCGCATTGGAAAGATGTTGATGGGGAAGCTGCAATTTTCTGGCCTGGGGGGAATGAAAGCTTTATATGATCAGGGCATGGAATTAAGCTTTCCCTTGATCGACCTTGCCGTACGGCGTTTTGTCATTCTGCCCCACTTCCTCATCAACTACGAATATATGTCGTATGAAGCTGGACTCGGCCCTGCGTCACTATGGAGTGTAATTACTCTGCCCTCTGGTATAAGCTATCTATTGTCCATAGTAACGCCACTTGAGAGGGGCATCACCAGGCTTCAATCCCTTGACTGTGATAAACTGCTCGTCTCCCGGCGCGATGTCAATAGCGCTATCGTTCACGAGAACTCCTTCTCGTTCCTCGAACACCAAACCTTTCGTGGGCTTGTCTGATGTCACTGTAATCTTGCCATCATCAAAGACTACCCTGACTCCTCTTTCATCCATGTTGAGGTACTTGAGCGGTTGAGGCCAATCGATGTCTCGCGAGGCAACACCATCCTCTCCATCTATCCAGATTCTTGCCGCAAGCACGTGTGGTTCTTCTTTCTCGTTGTTTATCTCACCGTCGAAGATATTCGTTGTGCCGTTCGCTGTAATCTTGACTTTCCTCCTTACCAAGGCTGGCTTGATCTCCTTGCCGGTAGCGATGGAGATATATCTAAGCTCCACCTTAGTTGCCGTCATTTCTTTTGTGCTGTTACTCGATACCCAGCACTCATAAGAACTTGTCTTGGCTGGTCTGGCATGAACAACACTCCAGTCATGATGTGCACGCTTGACGGCAACAGCAATAGGAGCCAGGACTCTTCGCATGGCATAGTAAGCCGGCTTCTTACGCTGAAAGTAGTCGATGATGGACCATGATGTGACAGGCCAACAATCATTGAGTTGCCATACAAGCGCACCACCGCAGTGTCTGGTCTTCGCATAAGGAGACGACGCGGATGGGCTGACTGCGTGTCCCCACTGCTGTCGCCAGCCACGGTAACCGTACATCAAAGCATCTGACTGGCTGAGTTGTGTAAGGTGAATGTATGCCTCAAGGCTGGGATCTGTGATGCGGAAGTTCTCGACCAAGTATGTTGCGATCCTTCTTTCGTGACCATCCGCTTTGTTGTGAAAGTCGATCATATGTGATTGAACATAGAGCTCGGCTGGGTCGGTGACATAGTATTTTATGGTGTCGATATGTGCGTGGGCCTCAAGCCCGAACTCGGAATTAAATCTGCCACCGAGAGTGTCGTAGATCTGGTACTTCTCCTGGGTTCCGTGCCATACATTCCACTGATGCATATCGCCAACGGTTGGGTTTGAGGAGATGAGACCGTCGCCCCAGGGCGATCCAGGATGATAAGGTACATGAGGTGAATTGGAAGCAACGACCTCTGGTAGCATCTATAAAGGCGTTAGTCGGAGCTTTGGTAATAACAATCAACGCATCCACATACCTTTTCGTAGAGATATCTGGCAGGGAAGTCTGTTTTGAGCCAGCTCTCTGGATCCTTATCGGCATAGTCGTATGTGAGGCTACACTGCTCTTGCACCTGATAATCTTCGTTGTTTCCAGCATAGATGACGATCGACGGATGATGGCGGATGCGCTTGACTTGCGCAATACACTCGGTCTCGACTGATTCCCTGAACTCTTTGATAGCTGCGGGATAGTTGCCGCAACCAAACATGAAGTCTTGCCAAACGAGAATGCCGAGCTCATCGCAGGTATCGTAGAAGACATCCTCTTCCCAGATACCACCACCCCAAATTCTGGCAACGAAGTTAGTTTGCAACTCGAAATGCAGTTTTGTCCAAATATACCTTATCATGACTTGATAACCATCGACCATAGTTTGCAGCCACGATTGGTATCTTGCTTTCGTAATTCGAGGTGTGAAGCTGTCAGCCGGGATCCAGCAAGAGCCGCCGCAGAACACATCAATGCCGTTGATTCTGAAGAAGAAGGTCTTGCCGATCTCATCTGGTTCTTGAACCAATTCGCCACGGCGGAAGCCAATCCGCTTGCTGCACGTCTGTATATCGCTGTGTTTCAAGACCAGTACAGCCTCAAAGGTATACATGGATTGCTCGCCATAACCATGAGGGTACCATAGCTTGGGCTGAGAAATGTGGAAGTCGGCCTTGGCGATGCCTTTGCTGTCAACCGGTACCGTCTTCTCGAAGATCAGGTCACTTTCTGAACGAACAGAAATCCTGACATCGGCTTCGGAAGAACGTTCGGTGGAAACCGAAACATGGACAACGACATCATCGAGTGATTTGCTGAGATCGTAATCCACTCGCATGTCGGAGATTCGAGCATATGAAGTTTCCAAACGGACTGCTCGCCATGGACCACAAGTCATCAGTACCGGGCCCCAGTCCCAGCCCCTGTCTCGTGTTAGTATACGCGCAGTAGCTTGTGGTCCTCTGTTCTCACCAGTGGTATTGAGCCTTTCTGGTAGCAAGCCTGGCCATGTCTGCATTGAAGCCAACCCATTTGTGCTCAGGGTGAGCGTCCTTGATCTTTCGACCCTCCACCAATGCCGAACGAAAGTCAATCTCCAGCGTGTTATCTTTGCCGTCTTTAAGGATTTTCGTGATGTCAATCCTGTACGGAATGAACATATTGTCGCTTTCCAGGATGACCTCGCCATTGACTTTGACGGTCGCGAACGTGTCAAGGCCGTCGAGAACAAGTTCATGGATCTGACCCTCTCTCGTAGAGTCAATTTCTGGGAGCCTTGTTCTGTAGGTCCAACTCTTGTCCCCAACCCATTCACATTTGAGCTCGTTGAAACCGAGGAAAGGGTCTGGAATGCTGTTGAGATAGAAGTCAGCGACGATCACGAGAATATGGCACACCTTCGCTTACACATTGTTCGCAATCAGGTCGAGGTGTACATTGGTGGGCACAGTCTTTACTGGCATCCAATTGTCCAAGTCGGTCTGCTTGAACTCCCATGATTCTTTGAGCTCATGCACCCGCAAGGCTTTAGAGGTCTCGGTGGTGCGTGTCATGTCTGCTGGGTGATTGGACAGGCGACAGCCAACGCTGTGGCAAGCACTCACATCTTATAAACAATCAGGATGATTTGCAAGACCCTGAGCCGGATGAAATCTGGCTGCCCACTCCTCAAAAGTTGATATTGTACCGAATTGGGCAGAGAGCTCACGGAGAAGCTCGTCGAGCTCCGCTCCCAATGTGGTTAGATCAGGGCGGCTTCGGATCTTGGCAGCCACGATAGCCGAGGTTCTCGTTTTGTCACGGAGCTCCTTCCTCCGTGCCAACCTGCCACCTCCTCTCATCTTATTACAGTCACGGACCTACCGACTCCATGGTATATGCGGGTTGACTCGTTCAGGTCACCACATCACGCGACTACGGAAGAATTCTGATACCTTATTTACCCCTCCAGACACAGATCTGTGATGGTCTCGAACGATACCGAGCGATGTCTGAACATGCACTTACCATCGTCGGCAAGGCGCAAGACTTGAGATCAAAAGCATATTGCCAAGTACATGTGCGTTCAGCATGATTCTTCGTTGAGCCAGGCAAGTAGGGCCGTGAACCCGTACTGGTTGTGACCTTGGTTTATCGCTTGTCTCCTGGGCGCTCTTTAGCACATATTTCAATGTCACGCGGTCCCAGATGAGAAGAGTGCAAGCGGAGCGCTTGTGCTGATCTACAGGAGGATCATGCAGTATATCAATCTGCGAAATTGAGAAAGCCAGTATTCATTGTCGCTTGTGGCTCCCTGTGTCTAGATTCCACCACGCTGGGCAGTTGTAGACTTCGGTCCACCGCTCCTTCTTTAGGGAGTGTCGGCCCTTTGTTCCGCTAATAACTTTTGAATCCTTGAAAAAGCGAAGCCACCATTGTTGTGTATTGACCGAACCTGACTACGAAGCACCGAATGTTGCACCTCTGACAACAGTGTGGTGGTGTAGTAGTTTTTCCAGGGCTCGGCAATAAGCTCCAACGGCTTCCTCTATGCATGCGGAGGGCTCGCCTCCGTCTCAACCACCTCGAAACGAACCTCTCCGGGGTTGCCTCGCGGGGTGCATGCAGATCTATATCTATCGACTACATCCCCACACTCACCCCGATACTTCTCTCCCCAGATCTGCATACATTGCTTACTATTGTGACTCGCTCTTATCAAGTCGTACTAGAAACCATCTTCAACCATGACGATGGACGAGAAGAATGCGGTCGAAGGCCTTGCTGTACCGTACACCGACTGCAGTCCCTGCGAGCTACGCTGACATTGAGTAGACTGTCGGATCCCATGATGGAGACAACGAGCATATCGAGACCATTGCTGGTAGCACTGCTTTCAACGATGCATTGATGCGAGAGCACCCCACCCTGATGAGCCCGACCACCATCCTGCTCTTCGCATGCACTCTTCTTGGCTGTTTGTGCCAGTGAGTTAACTACGCGCTACCTTTCCCTTTTGGCCATAACTGACGCATATCTCAGAACCATGAACGGTTATGACGGAAGTCTGCTCAATGGCCTGCTCATCAACCCGCAATTCAAGACTTTCTTCCATGGCTCCAACGCTGGAATTTGGGCTGGTATCGTGTCGTCCATGTACCAAATCGGAGGTGTCGTTGCTCTTCCCTTCGTCGGTCCCGCCATTGATACGTGGGGTCGTCGCTGGGGTATGTTCATCGGCTCTATGATCATCCTGCTGGGCACGATCGTCTCTGGAACCACATTCAAAGATGCAAGCGTCGGACAATTCATGGGTGGCAGATTCATTCTCGGTAAGCGTCCTATGTCACCCCATTGGTAGCATCACTGACCCGTTGCAGGCTTCGGTGTATCCATCGCTTCCTCCGCAGGACCCATCTATGTCGTCGAGATGTCTCACCCTGCATACAGAGGCAAAGTGACCGCCTACTGCAACACCTTCTGGTTCACTGGTAGTATTATCGCAGCAGGCGCTGTTAGAGGCGCTCTCGATCTGTCAGGAAACTCTTCATGGCTTCTGCCCGTCTGGCTCCAATGTCTGTGTCCAGGAATCATCGTCATCTTCTGTTGGTTCATTCCCGAGTCACCCAGATGGCTCTATGTCAACAACAAGCGAGAGTCCGCCTTGGCAACTCTTACCAAGTGGCATGGACAAGGAGACTCGGAGAGCGCATGGGTGAAGCTACAATTGGCCGAATACGAAGACTTCTTGAACATGGACGGCGCCGACAAGCGCTGGTGGGATTACAGCGCTTTGTTCAAGAAGGCCAGCTCGCGCTACAGACTCGCTTGCAACTGCGGCTTTAGTATCTTCGCACAGTAAGTGAATACATTATGCCATACCTGCAGAGACAACAAGCTAATCATGTTGTCGCTTCTAGATGGGCAGGAAATGCCGTCTTGACTTACTTCATCGGTGCTGTGCTCGACACCGCTGGATACCACACAGCCATTCAGCAAACCAACATCAACTTGGGATACTCATGCTTCCAATTCGTCTTCGCGCTGATCGGATCTGCCTTTGTCGACAAAGTCGGTAGACGTCGTCTGATGATCACCGGTATGGCTGGTTGTGCTGTCGTCTGGGTTGGCATGACCACAGCCAGTGGCTTGTTCAACGAGACTCAGGATGCCAGTGCTGCCAAAGCAACTGTCGCCATGATCTTTATGTTTGGCGCAATCTTCTCTTTCTGCCTCACGCCTCTTCAAGCTCTTTACCCTGGTAAGTCTTTCGTGCCTACATGAAGAACAAATGTCGAAGAGAAAAAATCCAGAGAGAGCCATATCACAACAGGACATCTTGCTAATCATGCTTTGTTTAGTCGAGGTGTTGTCCTTCGAAATGCGTGCCAAAGGTATGGCGTTCTCGAGTCTGGCTGTCAACGCCGGTGGCCTCCTCAACCAATTCGCCTGGCCTGTCTCTCTCAAGAACATTGGATGGAAGACGTACATTGTGTTCATCGTTTGGTGCACAGTTCAGACGGCGATCATCTGGTGGTTCTTCCCTGAAACGAAGAACAGAACTGTAAGTATCTTTGAGATTTCTCCATATCACATATACTGACCATTCTTAGCTCGAGGAACTCGACGACATCTTCGAAGCTTCCAACCCAGTCAAGAAGTCATTGGAGAAGAAGCAGGTGTTGGTCAGCGAGCAACACGGTGTTGCTGTTATCGAGAAGGTTGTGGTGTAGGTGATTTGTTGGTGAAGCCTCCGACGAAGATTTCGGCGATGGATGCTTGATCAAAGAACATACGGACGTATATATTAGCAACACCGACTCATGTTATCCATGACGCAATATGAGAATCCTTCTTTGGACACCGCAGCTGTCATGCAAACTCATCGTGTCGAAAACATCAATCTTTTCTGCCACACCGCATCACCATTCTTCGACAGATCTCGACAAAGAATCATGGCGCCAAGCTGGGCAGATGACCAAAGAAGCGAAGCGACAAATTTTGTCCTTCCAGACCCGAAGAACAAAATATCATTACACTGTACCGAGATCTGCTCGACGGGTCTATCGATTCAGAGTCAGCAGCCCATACCATCACAACTACCTACGAACCTCGCCTACTGAAAGGAGAGAAGATATCACATCATCTGTTTGCCTTGCTGTCCAACGCAATCATACACCCGGTAACCACATTACAAGATCACCAACAGATCGTTGAAATGCTGTTACATCTCTCCAAACTACCTGACGTTCTCTCCGACAGCGTACCTTGCAAGGAAAATGGTCGGCCCTACTGAAGTTCTGTTCCAGAGTTTAGTTTTTGGCTTTCGCACCGCGCTTTGAGTTAGTCTTCCTTCTCTTCCTCACCAAACATCTTACCCTGGCAAACTGACAAACGCTGAGATATTCACACCATTGAAGACATAGACTTGGGAAACTGCCCCTTGACTTGGCCTCAACAAGCGCAACAATATAAGCAAGCCAATACCTTTGCCGCGATATACACTTCTGCTCTTTCTCCCTCTATCACACACGAGCGGAAGAGTATGCAGCACACAACACTCCACTGCCTCTCGCAAGCCCCCGAGGTGGAGATATCTACTCACCGACAGATCCGTCGCGCGGGCATCCACATCCCTGCCGCCTCTGCATGGCTACTACACGCAGCACCTCGAATCTTGAAATTTTGCAACAGCAAGGAATTGTATCACGGTAATTTGGAATGGAGAAGTTGGCTGGGAGGTAGTGATGGAGGAAAGTGTTTGTGGAGTGGTGACGAGGGGTTTAGTGTTGAGCGATGGGTGTTTTGGAAGCACAGGTTTGGGGTTGTGGTGGGCTTGGGGCGGAGGGGGTTTGCGAGTCGTGTGGTTGATGATGTTGTGGGGTGTGCGAGGCGGGCGGGTAAGGTGATGCGTGAGGTTGAACAAGAGGATGGGTTTGCGGTTGATGGTGTATTGGGGTTGTTTGGGCGTGATGACGTTTCGAGTCTGGTGTTATAGGGAAGGAGGGACCGTGTGGTTGACGCGACAGGAAATCGCGGTTGTGGAGGATCTTCGGGTCGTGAAGCCTCTCGACGTCCTGCCATGTAAGCGCTTAGACGAGCTAATCGATACTATCTCTTAGCATATACCATCTCTCCTGTTCGCCTGAGAGTAAAGAGGATCGGTCTCGACCGATTTCTAAGACGGTTTCTTCTTCGACCGAAGAGATGCAATATCTGTTCCTTGAAACCTGTCTGCTGGAAATCTTCCTCGAGCTTTGATGTGTCTTGATGAGGCTTATTGATAAAAAATATTTTGGAAACACAAAAGCTGAGCTTACGCAGCCACACCACCGATTAGTCGGTACAATTGATGTCTGGGTACATGAGAACGAGCTTGGAGATCCCTGACTGAGTATTACACTCGCTATTATACTCATGGCTGCCATGTTATCGTCAAAAAACCATTCGAAGCCTTTGTTTCCTACACGACCCTGCCCCTCGACGGACCATGACCCCGGCCGGAGCCATCCTCCACAACCCGCATGTGTCAGAACTCCACCACTCTGCCGGTTGCCCGAACGTCCACATACGTCAATTCCGGGCGCTTATCAGGCGTTTTTCCCTGCTCTCGCCCGCAACTTTAAACCCCTGCCGTTGCTTGAAACCTGATTGCTGATCTGTTTACTGCCACGTTTCAGCTACTGTGATGTCGGTGGAGGGGTGTTTGTTGAGAAGGGCTGCGAAGCTGTTGAGAATGGCCATATACCTGTTTACGCCAGCGTGCTGTCATATCTGAAGCCTCCCTTGCTCTCCGTGTTTTTATCAAGGCCTTCGTTCGCACTTCCTTCAGGTTCCCACCTTTTCGCAATTCAGATATCTGTATTTTCTCAAGACATCTTTCATTATGGGCGGCGAAGAACCTACACCCGAGAACTACACTCTGCTCCAGGGCTTCGAGTGGAACGTGCCTGCCGATGGCAAGCACTACAACCGTCTGCACGATGCAATGCCCGCATACAAGCACATTGGTATCTCCAACATCTGGCTACCTCCCGGCTGCAAAGCCAGCTCTCCCAACGTAAACCCTCCTCGTCCCCCATATCTCTCCAGATTGAACCCACCATACTGACTCTGCCACCCAGGGCAACGGCTACGACGTCTACGATCTCTACGACCTCGGCGAATTCGACCAAAAGGGCGGCGTAGCAACAAAATGGGGCACCAAAGACGAACTCCTCGCCCTCGCCTCCTCCGCAAAAGATTCCGGCATCGGCCTCTACTGGGACGCGGTCCTCAACCACAAAGCCGCCGCCGACAAGAAAGAAAAATGCCACGTCATTGAAGTCGACCCCAACGACCGCGAAAAGCAAATCTCCGACCGCAAGGAAATTACCGCTTGGCTAGGCTTCAACTTTGACGGCAGAGGCGACAAGTATTCGAAGCAAAAGTATCACTGGTATCATTTTGGAGGTACGGATTATGATGCTGCGACGGGAAAGAATGCAATTTTCCAGATTCAGGGTGATGGTAAGGGGTGGAGTGAGTCTGTGGATGATGAGGGCGGCAATGCTGATTTCCTCATGTTCGCCGACTTGGACTACTCGCATCCTGAGGTCTGTGAAGATGTTACGAATTGGGGAAAGTGGATTGTGAACGAGGTTGGGCTTCGAGGCTTCAGACTTGACGCCGTCCAGCACTTTTCCCAACGCTTCACCAAAGGATGGATCGAGGCACTACGCAAGGAACACGGCGACCTTTTCTACGTCGGCGAGTTCTGGAGTGGAAATCATCAAGATCTAATCGATTGGGTGGAACAGATGGAGAGGAGGTTCTCGCTGTACGACAGCCCGCTGCTCAACAATTTCTCCAACATCAGCAAGAGCGAAGCTGCAGATTTGAGAAAGGTTTTCGACGACACTCTGGTTCAGAACCTGCCTGTGAACGCTGTGGTAAGTCCCGTTCCTTTCTACCTCACTGTCCCCCATCGTGAAGAAAGAAATAAAAAATATATGGAAAAAATCCTTGAAGCCTCCCCAAACCTACCCCGACCTACCCCAAAGCACATCACACTAACAACACACTCTACAAACAGACTGTAGTCGTCAATCACGATACTCAGCCTGGACAGACGGTCGAGACACCGGTCGAGGGCTTCTTCAAGCCCCTCGCCTACTCCTTGATTTTGCTCCGCCGCGACGGCTACCCAAGCATCTTCTACGGCGACCTCTACGGCATGAAAGGCGACAACCCCGAACCACCCTCCTGCGGCAACAAACTCGCCGATCTAATTCTCGCCCGCAAACTCTTCGCCTACGGCGAGCTCAACGACTACTGGGACAACCCCAACTGCATAGGATGGGTGAGACGCGGCACGCATGATCGTAAAAACGGATGCGCAGTCGTCATGAGCAACACCGGACCCGGAGAAATCCAGATGCACGTCGGTCCCGAGCACAAGGGCGAAGTCTGGACTGATTTGCTAGGCTGGGAGCAAGGAGAGGTGACGATTGATGAGGAGGGCAATGGTGTGTTCAAGTGTCCTGGTTGCAGTGTTGCTGTGTGGACGAATAAGGATGCAGAGGGTAGAGAACACTTCCCTGTCAACTTTGACAGTGATATTTACAAGGAGGCGTCGAAGCAGGATGGTGATGAGGAAGAGAAGAAGGAGGATGGCGAAAAGGAAGAGAAGAAGGAAGAAGACAAAGAGTAGAGGAGCAAGTCCTCGATATCAATGAGCTGGAAGCCTTGGTGCTGTACATAATACCCCCAGGAGAGATGGACATACACGGAACGATATAGACAGATTTACAGCACAGGTTAGACGAATGACGGAGGCAACATGATTTTCAATCACTCATCTCCATACTCGATCACTCTACCCAAAGGATATTCCAACCAGACACCGAAGCTCTCCAAGACACCCCTCAATCACAAAAACCTACAGTAGGACCCGGAGGAATAGCCGCCCCGGGAGATCTCCTCCACCCATCACAAAAAGGAAAATGATCTACCACGTGCCTGAAGATCTCGCGTTCGACTCTCAAAACGGGCACGGCGGGAATAACGCTTCTAACGGTCAACGAAGCAAACAGCTCTCCAGCCCACCAGGCCGCGTCTTCCCCTCTTTTGGACGACGGTGTCGCCGAAGCACTGGGTCGGGTAACGCAGATGAAGATGCAAGCGTAGGTGAATCATAAATTCCGGAAAGATTGAGACGGGGGGCAGCAAGAGACGACGAAGACAGGGCTGAGGGTCCTGAAAATCTAACGGTGTGTCTCACTTTGTTGTCGGCAGGTTGTTCGGGGACCACATTGCTGGAAAATGGTATGGTTAGAACAACTCGATTTGATGTTCTCCAGAACCCTGAACATGGGACTTGGTGCGTTCCACGATTCCCCAACGTGGCTCACTGGCTGGAGCAAGTTCTTCCGGTAGGCGCTACACCAAGCATTTGGCAGCAGCCTCAGCAGTGCTTGGCTAGGGATTCGTGCTTGGAGTGAACACCCGAGATGGTTTTCTGGAATTTTCCTCGGTCGCGGGTGACCGGAGGATGATCCAAAAATCTTCCAGCCTTGATCAAGGCTTCAACACTCGGCTCGAGCAGAGATTGCAAACTCGTATCTCTTACCGGACAGCTGATCGTTCCAAAGCATCTTGTGGTGGCTTTGACAGCTGCCCCGAAACCCAGCTCGTTGATGCAGAAACAATGTCTCACTGCTTGTCGCGGACAATGGGAGTCATCACAGACCTCCAGCATACTGCCAACGAGCTACGGGCTCAGCTGCTGAAGATAGCACAGACTGTTGAGAGCTGCATCTTTGTATCATGTACCTTGGAAGATGCAGACAAGATCGCACGATCGAACTGTGCCCGAGGGAAGAAACTGCGTAAGCGCGATGATACCAACTCCACAATCTACCCTGGTTTGACTACCGACTCTTCTGTCGGAGGACTTGTCTTGATTGATGCCAATGGAACCAACTGGTACTCCCCTCAAGTTCCAGTTTTCCCTGGCATCTCCCCTGCCGAGTTACAGAGAAAGAAGCGCGACGCATCAGTTGCCATTCCAGCTGGCCTCGCCAAGTACCAGTCCGCTGTCATCTCTGCGGCATGCTCCATGCAAGCAAAACCGGTGTCATCGACATCGACCCTTACCCAATCTGCTACGGTGACCGGAGCCGCCACGACTACGGTCGTGTCTGCAGTCGCAACCGTGACCAAGGCCGCCAAAACGTATGATCCATCTGAGTTTGCCGTTATCAGCATCCAGGGCGGTACTTTCAGCTCCGATGGCACTGGATACTCCGATTTTCTTAGTGACCCTTCCGCTCTTTTTGTCAACGTCCGCAATTCCAAGACCTATGGTGCAAGTTCAAACAAAGCGAACATTGCAGTGGATCCCAATACCGGATACCTAGTTGACGTTTCCCGCAACCGCGTCGCTACCATCTATGGGTATAACGCAAAAGATGGCGCTGCTACTATAATTTTCTTCCACCCCGAAGATATCCCCGGCTCCTATAAACCTTTGATCTGCACTCCCCCGCCTCAGGCTGGTGGTGCATACACGTTGAGCTGTTCAGTGACCCAATCCAACGGCCTGGTCCTCTCGAATTTCATCGGTCCACACAACTTTTTCGATGGATATTCATTTCTGTCGATGACTGCAGCGGCTGACTTGGACGGGACTAGTTTCAGCACGGACTATGGCAAAGCTTCCATCACCATCATCAACCGATGAGAAAAGAGTAGTCGTGGATTGATCAGAGAGAATCATTTGCATGCTGCTTTGGCCCTCCTTAAGCTGGCTGAGGTTTAGGGAGTTTGTGATTTGATCATGGACGCATGGATTTGTGTGGAGTTTTGATTATCGAGCGAGGAGACCAAGGTTGGCTGGCAGCGACGACCGCTGGGTGTTCATGCTTGATTGCGAGTTTCTTTTTTCTTGGAGGGCTACGTAGTATATCCGCCTCGTGTCACGGTGGAGTTGTTTTTGAATGTCTTGTTGTTTGCTATGGATATAGATTACCACCATATTACCGCTGATTTTCAGCGAGCTTGTAAACACACAATTACGGTCAATCTTGCTGTCTGCGATAATTGCCAACTTTCCAAGTGTAAGCTGCTCAAGTCGTTCTGTGAGCCAGCCACAAGTCAATTGCTCACATCGATAGAGACCTGGCGACTCACCATGCTGTAAACCTCTATTGTTTGTTTGCTCAGAACAAAACTGTTTTCGCAAAGGACTACTGCGAGGATTGTTGAATTGGATATCAAATCCGACATGTGTGGATCTCGAGTCGACATGTCAGTCAACCGCAAAAAATCAAGCTAAGCGGAATCGCATTCCCCATTCGAGCGGAGTCATATTATCACTTGCAAGAGGATGAGGGAAAAGTGTTGAAAAATCAAAAGTTCATTCTAAACATTAACGAAAGTGTGGCTTGCTAAAGTAGACAAATATGCATCCTGGTTCCATGATGTATCACTTATGATACTATGTACAATTCTCCGTTCTAGTCTATCCTCATGCTCGAGCTGGGTAGCTTAGTTGTAGGTGTAGACCTGCTCAGGGCCAACATTGCCGTACTGGCCAGAGCCCTTGGGGTTGCTGGCAGTAACAGCCTGACCATCAACGTTGCTGACACCGAACCAAGCGAGCTCGTTCGACTTGTCAACAACAGTGACAACGGCAAAGGCGGGAGCAGGGTTAGCGACGTAGCCCCAGCTGACGGTGTAGTCGCCGTTGGCGCACTTCTGGTTGTCGAAGCTCTTGTTGGAGGCGTTGACAATGGTGCAGTGCTCGGTCTTGCCGTTGGCGACAATGTCGAAGTTGTAGTCGCAGGTGCCGCTATTCTCGCCGCAGTAGCGGTTGACGTTGTTCAGAGTCCAGGTCTTGCCGTCGACTTTCTTGGGGTTAGATCCGGGTGCGCCGGCGGCGGCGGTGGCGGCGGCGCTGGTGACGGCAGCAGAAGAAGCCTTCACGGTGGAAGTGGCCATAGTGGATGCAGTCGCGGTGTAAGGGATGAAGGAGGAGATGATGCCGCCGGAGGAGGCAATGGGGTTCTCGCCCAGGCAGGTGGCGTACTCCGAGATACATTGGGCCTGGTTGGCGGAGAGGCCGTCAGCGCCGCGAGTGGTCTGGCACTTGCCCAAGGCTGCGTAGCAGTCTCCCTGGCACTGAGCATTCTCCGAAGAGCATTGGGCCTGGTTGGCAGAAAGACCATCAGCGCCACGAGTAGTGCGGCACTTGTTGTCCTTGGCCTTGCAGCCGATAGCAGCAGCAGCACTGGTGGTGGCAGCAGCGCTGGCAGAGGAAGCCTGGGAGCTGACGGAAGTAGTCAAGGAAGATGCAGTAGCGGAGTAAGGGATGAAGCTCGAGATCAGACCGCCAGTGGAAGCGACGGGGTTCTCGCCGAGGCAGCTGGCGTATTCGGAAACGCACTGAGCCTGGTTGGCGGAGAGGCCATCAGGTCCACGAGTGGTTCTGCAAGTGTTGTAGGCAGCGTAGCAAGCACCCTGGCAAGCTGCATTGTCTGCGGAACATTGAGCCTGGTTGGCGGAAAGACCGTCAGCACCGCGAGTGGTGCGGCACTTGTTGTCCTTGGCAACGCAGTTGTCGGTGCTGGAAGCTTGACGACGAATGGCAGGGGAGGCAGAGACCATGGAGGTCAAGGCCAAGATGGAGATGAGCGACTTGGAAAGCATCTTGCTGATTGTGTAATTGATGTTGTGTTGTAAAAGGTAGTGGTATGAAGACGAAGATGAAGTAGAGTCGGTGTAGTAGTATTGTTGTGTTGTGAAGTGTGAATGAGATATGAGTTGATGGAGGATCACGTCGAGGTCTTATATATCTTCATCTCCCTACCTTTTGGATGATGTTTCGGTCCAAATGACTGAAGCCGAGAAGAACTGCTCGCTCACCGTTACCATGTCTGAGAATTTTGCGATGCTACTGTGAATGCAAATCCTCGTGTAGGCGAGCTCGACCCCACGTTTATGGGTATATCGCAGGCGATCCTTCGTAAAGCTCCGTTTCGCCAAGGACGGGGCGGAAAATCGACCTTGTGATAGCTCTTTGAGGTGTAGTCTGGAAGTGGAGGAGCTCGTCTGTGGCGAGAAGGCGTTCGAACGGTGGTTGAAAATAGAAACCTGGAGGGTCTTGGCTGAGGCTAAAGTCAAACGTTATTATTTTTAGCTCGTATAAGCTGCCATGACATCAGATCCATCTGTCTGTTTCATCATGTCTCGTAGCAGCAGTAAATTGTCATTGATCTGCCGACAAAAACTAGAAAGACGATTATAGCTACACTGCTAGACATGACCTGGCGAGCCATCGGTGCGACCTCGTAAGTGCAAAGACTCTATCACTCAGGCTAAATGCTTCTGAATGTTGAACCTGTGGTCCCTTCTTACCTCGACTAAGAGCAGGTATCCAATCCGACACAGCTTATCGGCATTGATGGAGGAACACCGACCTGCTTGATGCGGCGCGTGAACGACTCTGGGCTGAGAATGTATGTCAACGGGACCGAAAGAATGACCCTACACCGAGACGGGACCGCATGTCGGAAATCCGTCTGCAAGGCAGTATAAGTATCGAGTTCAGCGTCAATAGTTAGTTTCCATGGTAGAGCATCTGCGAAGAAGGAATTGAGCAAAACGATGACTAAACGACTCCATGGATCCAAGCTTTCCACATGTACTCAGAGAGTAATGCTCGTTCTGAATGAGCTCGGTCTGCCATACGAGCTGGTTTCCATCGATATGGGGAAGGCTGAACACAAGGTAAAACTACCCGAGCTTATGGTTCTCGCGATGGAAGCTGATGCCTCTATTAGACACCAAAGTTTGTCCGCGAAATGCATCCGTTCGGCAAGCTTCCCGCACTTGAGGACGGCAGCTTGCACTTGTTCGAGTCCAGAGCCATATGCAAATATCTAGTCGCCAAGTATGCATCTCCAGACTCAGGGATGTCGCTCCCGGAATTGCCGGAGGATATTGCTATGTATGAGCAGGCCGCATCTGTCGAATATTCGTACTTTGACACGAGCGTCTTCAAACTTGCGTATGAGAAGAAGTTCAAGGAGTAAGCAGTAGTTCAGTGGCAGTCCGTGACACTCTGGCTAATGCGTTCGACATAGGTTCTTTGGTCGCGGCGAAGCAGATTCTACTGTGGTCGAAACCATGGAAGCCGAATTCAGAGGAGTGCTTGATTACTACGAAGAATTGCTTTCGAGACAGACATATGTGACGGGCGATGTAAGTAGTCCATGTGTGCTCGTTCTAATGGACACTGATATACTTGCTGTGCAGGAGGTGTCGCTTGTCGATTTGTACCATCTCCCGTGGCTTCACTTCCTTCCCCAGCTTTCAATGGAAGCTGAAGTTTCGTCGCGAAGATATGTTGCAGCATGGTATCAGAGGATGCAGCAGCGACCTGCCTGGCAGAAGGTAGCGTATCCGCGTTTGAGCAACTGAAGCCTCACGGCTCATGACATGATGGTATTGCAGCTTGAGGTAGAATCATTTGAATGCGAGTACTTTTGAATGCCGCCTAGGGAAGGCATCAATTCCGAGCTGCACTTGCAATTGTTGTCATCCACAAAACAATAGGATTAGCGTGCGTGTGCCTGTCAAATTGGCCGCTCGAATTGCAACAAGCGTGAGGAAATCGGGATCGATGTAACTCGCTCTCGTCCTCAAGGCAGAAGTCCCAATGTCCAGCAAACACGGGACCAAGCAGTGTTGCTATACCTGCCACTTGTGACATGATTGTCGTTGGCTCAATCGATCTTGTCCGTGCCAAGACAGACGAAGATTTCGGGCCGCTCAATCCCTTCGGTCCCGTCGGTCCCGTCGGTTCCGTTGTCGCCGCGTTCGACTGCCAGCTCCCTTTTGACTGTTCGATTCGTGGACTAAACATCGTATCTTCTTCTGGGCAGCACGGAACCATCAGAATTACGTATGAGTACCCCCATCACCCGTTACCACAGCTGTTCGCGATGTCAACAACGCAAGATCAAGTGTGACGGCCAAGTCCCATGTGCGGCATGCCAAAAGGCCAACGCGGATTGTAAGCGAACGAATCGAAATACGCCGGCCACACGACGGAGAAGGGCAGACCTCATATCTACGACTGCAAGGAGTCGATCGAGTTTTGCGACCCCTGACTCAGACGCACGAAACCCATCAAGCTTCCTACCCCTAGATGGTGATCTTGTGTCTCCGCCTGCAAGTGTGCCACAACATGCCTTACAATCTGTCACGGAGAACAACGTCACCAGTCACAGCTTGCCATTCAGAGTGGAATCTGTTCTGTTCGATCATATAGCCACTCAAGCACCGTCGTATTCCGAATGGCCTCAACCGGTACAGATCTTCCAGCTTTGGCAAGTATACATCGACAACGTCAATCCTTTGACCAATCTCCACCATGTACAGACCATGCAACGTATGGTGCTAGAAGCAGCGAGCTGCAAGCCGGATGATCTGCCGAAACAGTCACTGGCGTTACTCTCATCCATCTTTCTTATATCCGTCGAGTCTCTCGGTGACGAGGAATGCCGGCATTTCATGAAAGCCTCGAAGCACGAATGCGTTGGTCGCTTTTTTGCAATGACGAAAAACTGCCTAGTCGGTGCTGAAGTGATGGAAATCGCAAGCACGGAAGTCCTGCAAGCCCTCGTTTTGTACTTGGTTAGTGTGATTTTGTTCCAACTCACCGACATTCGTAGCTCCCACACTAACTCTTATTTCTAACATCAGATAGCAGCCAGGCAGCACAGCTCTCCTCAGAGTCTTTGGCTCGTAATTGGTGTCGCAGTGAGACTGGCTCATCGTCTGGGGATCCACCGAGAACAAAATCTACGGAGCAAGACAATCTTCGCCGCAGAAATGAGTCGTAGACTTTGGTGGCAGATATACCTGTTGAACCGTCATTACGTCAATCTGTGCGAAGATATTGACAGCAGCGATCCAGCGCACATACTCATATTCGACACCAAACGTCCACTCAATCTCAACGATGCGGATCTCCACCCGGAAATGACGACAATGCCGCTAGAGAGAGACGGCGTGACAGAGATGCTATTCTGCTCAATCAGATATGACATTGGCGGTTTTGTACGAGATCTTGGTTCGAGCTCGGACAACGAGCAAAGCAAGATTCATGCCATCCAACAATTGCAGGCTCGCCTTGGAGACAAATATGCCAGGCATTGTGATGCTTCAATCCCACTGCAACGTGTTTCTCGCTGTCTTATTCAGACAACTGGCTACCGTCTTGCTCTACGACATTGTCATCCGGCGCAAAACGCGACTGAGATTCAGCCAGCAACAGAACGACATCAAGCTTTTGACACGGCCCTTTCACTTCTACAGACTCAACACTCGAGCTGCGCCAGTCAGATGTTGGATTGCTATAGATGGCATACGAAGCTATTCTACTGCTTTGAGGCTCTGTTTCCCGTTCTCCATACTTTGGCCTTTGAAATTATCAGTGAGGCATCCTCAGAGGAGGCGTGGAAACAGGTTGGATTGGCATATCAGTACAACCCTGAACTTTTGAGTTGGCAACACAAAAACTTCTATACAAGTTACTGTCACAATATCAACAGCTTAGCTCTCAAAGCATGGAGCCGAATAGCTTCAACTGCAGGGCAAATGCCAGTCTTCTTGCAGCAGATCCAAATCCAGCAGAGTCGAGTTGTTGGGCACGGAGTTGTTGAAGACACGGACACGAGCATACCGCAATTCGTGCATCCGGTGTCAGAGGGACTGACATCAAATCATCAGCTGTTTGACCTTGATTTGGATACATCAGAGGACGGTGGGCAAACATGGGAATACTGGCTGAACACTTTCGACAATGCGGAGCTATTAGGGATTTAGACTTCTTGCTTTTGCTATATCAAAGCGCTCATAGTAGACCAAGTCACAACTTGTAGCAAGGCTCATGGGATATGGATGCTCCGACGAGCACTCTACATGCCATCACCGTTACCATTCTTTCCTTCCATTGACACTCCGCTTCTCAGTCTCTCCTCCCCGTCAACAAACTAGTAGCGTCCCTAACAGCCTCCACAACATCCAACACATCCCTCAACCCCACCTTCTCCTTCCTCTTCATCCACCCAAGTTCCCAAGGCAACCTCTCATTTTCTACCACCGCATTAGCCTCATCAAACCCTGCATCAAAATTTCGCTCCTGCAACTTACCAAAAAACTCCACCACCAATTCCCTCTCCACCGTCTTCGCCTCTGTATCCCCAAACACAATAATCGGCGCAGCAACCTCACCAAGAGCAAACTCCTCATTGCCACTCGTAAATGCATAGTCAGGGTTGAAAGCTCTACTCTCAATCATCCTCGCTAGTTTACTGTTGGCAAGCATTTCCGCCGTCAGTGTGTCTTTGTTCCAGAATTTTGTTGTCTGGGAGAAGATGGAGGCGGAGAAGGTAGAGGCGTTGCTGAAGTATGCGTCTGCACGCGACAGTGAGGCGTCGTGTTCGAGTATGTTGTGGCGGTTGAGGTGGTCACTGCAACGTTTGGTATCAATCAGTATAGTAGGCGGTTTTTGGTGAGAGAAGCGGAGATGGGGGAAAAAGAGACAAGAGACGCACAGGGTGAAAAAGGTAGCATTAGGTGCAGGATTTGCAATAATGGCTTGCTCCCACATTAAACTTGCTAATGCTTCATCGAAGTTGAGAGCTTCACCAAGACCACGGATCGCATTGTCCTTGGTGATGTTACCCCCGTTGCGAGGGATGTAGTTGTGGTTTGCGAGTGTATTCATCATCGGACATGGTCCCCTGACTATCATGTGTCGTCAGAATTGGGATCTACACTTAAATACGCAGGAGATAGGGAAGACCAACGATCAGAGGTATTGGGAGGATGCCAAGTGTGCAAATCATCAAGAACAGGCATTTGAGCAGACTGGCGAGGAGCCGCTGGAGCCAGGACGAAGAGAATAGTTGTTGCGGCGATTGTGGCGATCATGGTGAGGAGATGATAGAGTCAATCGTCGGTTTGACGGCAAGAGATGTCTGTGTAGCCAGAGCAATGGTTATTATATCTCGTTTCGAGCGGGTAGTGGTCATCCGAAATGGCACAGCATAGCGTTCGTATCTATACGCAAAGCTGTATACGGTGGATACGGTGGTCGACGGGCTTGCACAATATGCACTGCCGCCTGTGTGTTCAATCCAGCGCTGTGAAATAGAGCACACGGCAGAAGCACTTCATCTACGCGCCTTCGATACCCAGTGGTGCGAGCTAGAAAGTATCTGCGAATCGAGTTTGCACAATCGAGACTATTGGTGCACTGTATCAACGAAAGACCGAAGAATTCATTTTGATGGGATTCTCCTCCTAGAGTGTCTCTGTACCGTGCGTCTTCAAAGCACCACTTGTGACTAGGAATATTCAGAGAAAACGTGTTACTTTTACCTCTTCTCTGGTTCTGATGCATACACAGAACCCTCCCACATGCCATTTCATCTACTCCAAAAACCCCTGCAAAGCATCAGCCCCAGACATCGCAACGCCCAAATGCCAAGGCACACTCCCATTACCATTCACTCCCTCCTTGCACCCACCCACCCCTCTCAACTTGCCAAGCAACCCCAGACCCCTATACCAAACCATACATTCCTTCAACACCGTCTCCGGCGCCCTAAATCCCAACCAATTGACTCCAGTATCGGAGATTCTTGGAGGTATAACATCCATCAGATCGATGGCGACTGATGGCAGATTGGCTGTAGAGTCGTGAGCTCCGCGTTTCAGAAGCAGTCCGCTGGCTAGAGGGCGGGAGAGCGTGGTTGCTCTGGTGCAGGAGAAGGGCATCAGGACACCCCATGTCTCGTCTGTATTGTCGATGAGGAAGGCTTCTGGATCGATTTGCTGCTGCTGCAATTCCTGCTGTGTGTTCAAGTTGGCGGCCGAGTTGGGCGTTTCGACAGGAGTAGAGGGCTTCGTATCCACGCCTTCTGGAGAGGTAAAAGTGGAAGCTTGAGGTGTAGCTGCTGGCGTCCACAAACCTTGGCCGCCTGGTCCATTATTGCCTTCTGTGTTTGCAGAGACCTGCAATGCTGGCGAAACATCCACATCCAGTAGTCCGATACTCCAGCTCTCACCAGGTCTCTCGCGCCAAACGCGCTTTTCCCAGTCGCGCATTACGCCTGCGCGGGCAACGAGAATGCGATGCGGGTTGTTGCGGCAAAGACTCAACGTCGTGTCGCGAACTTCTGTGAGTATGATTCTGCCGTCGGTGTTGCTGAGGCAGTAGGATGCTTTGTGGCAATGCGTGCCTGTGTTGTCTGTCCATGCTGCGCTCAACCAACTGTTGTCTGCATTTACGGCATAAGCGACATGCAAAATACTTGCCTCTTCCAGTAGATTCCTCGATACGCGGTCCGTAAGTGCAAAATTGATTTTGCGGCTTGGAGGGGTGCCGAGGTGGATACTCGGACATGTGTTGAGAGGCCAGAAGGACGCATGGTCGGTGGGTGTATCCAAGGGAACTCTGTCGTATATGAAAGCGGCGAGCGAGTTTAACCAAGATTGGTCGGGGACAATCATTGCAGTCGGACATGCGATGCGATTCATAGGAACGATTTGCAAGATCAATGGGGGCGGGTCCTCGCGATCCGACGAGTATGCGATGAGTAACGCCTGGAAGCAGCCACAGAGATACTTGATGATGGAGTCGTCTTGAAAGGGGTTGATCATGTAGATGACAATGGTGTCTTCGAGGTCGGCGTCATGGAGCAAATCGCCGAGCGCGTTACAAGCAGTCTGTAAACCTCGCAGTATGTTGACGACAGAAGCTTCCCCATGCGAGCGATACGGCACGAGTCCATCTTCGTGCTCGCCTGTCTCGCCACCGACGAAGTGCTTGCCGAATTTGCGACTCTCGTACGCCAAGCGGATGTCTTGAACGAAGTCGGCAACAGCTTCGCCCATGACACCACTGTCTGGGTAGAGAACAAATGCTGCAACATCTTTCGGGCCGTGCGCAGGTTCCAGACCGAGAGTATCCCAGAAGTTGATGGCGGTCGGCTGAAGCTCCCATCCCTGGCCTGCTCGGCGGACTTGAACGGCGGGTGCAGGTATCGTAATGACCGAGCTGACAGTACCAGGCGGCCGTCGCGGCACAGGACGCTGCTGACTCTTGGCAGCAGCCGCAATAGCTTGTTCAGCGTGATGAGCAGCCATCGTACCTACTCTCACGAAATCACAATCTTGTGCTTTTTCGAACACCTGTCGCAGAGCATCCTGCGCAGTCGAATAGACGGGTGAGACAACCGTCGGAGAATATGCGGCATCATCTTCCGAAACCTCGACGAAAGTACTTTGCTCAGCAACAAACTGCGCTATATCGACAAGATCATCCGCAGTGAAGTCCAGGACAGACCAGATGTTCAAGTCTTGACTTGGTGGTACCGATCTTGAAGGTGCCCTCCATACCGAAAGATTGTCTGAGAATTTATGCTGCTGCTCGGTGACACGATTCTGAGATTCTCTTGCAGAAGCCAACTGATCAATGACGGGTCCAGGGTCAGCCATAGCTGTTGCGTCCGACATGACACTTTCTACGTCGCTTTCCACGATCGATTCGGCAAGCAGTCTTGGAGTTGGCCCTTCATCGGCAGAACCCCGCTTCCTTTTCCGGATGTCAAGTGACCGAAGGCTTCCCTCGACAGATGACATACTCTCCGTTTCAGATTCTTGACTTGTCTCGGACTCTGAATCTTGTTGCAAAGCACCCTCATCTTTGAGCGTGAATTTCGTCTCGGCCAGAGTGGCGCGTCTCCGAGAGAGCGGATTGAAGGTGCGTGCTCTGACCGGTTTTGGTGGGAGTGCGATGCTGCTAGATCTGTTTGCGATCTCGTCCTTCTTGACAAATCGGCCGTCAAATTTGCCCAGAGTCCTGTATTTGGCGTCGAAATCTGAAAGGTCGCCTTTGAATACCACGGGCAAGAACGTGCTGTCACGCCGAAATTTAGGAACACTCTTTTCTTCATTGTCCGTGGGCAAAAGTCTCTCTTTGATCATCAGTGGGCTTAGAAGTGGAGTGGTAACGTTCTCCTCGGCCAGATCTTCCATTTTGACGATTGGTTCCTCTTCTTTCATGTGGCTAGTGACAAGATCCCACTGCGGTATGTGATCTTCAGGTTCGGCTGTATCGGGCTGTTGCTGGAGCATAACAACTTCGGACTTTGGCGTGGGGTCAGGAATCGCATCTTCCATTTCCTGAAGATGGCCGGTGACTGGAGGTAGAGAGTTGAGACCTCCAGGATTATCGAAGAAGCTGAAATCAGCATCCGTCACACCAGGATTTCCAAGCATTTCTTCATCGCCATCTCCGAACAAATCATCAGTGCTTCCTTTGCGGTAATGTTCGGTGTCCAGGTCAACGTCCGAGGTGTTGCTGTTCCTTCTCATATCCTGATCCTGGTCCTGGTCCTGGAGTTCCTCGTTCAAGCTAGATAATGATTCGATAGGATTGTCAGAGACTATGACGTTGGGTATCGACGGATCCGCGCAGATTATCGGAGGTATGGCGTCGGGTGGTGTTGGATATATAGCATTCACGCTAATCTGGTCCTGTATACTACGCGAGTAGAGGGGTGACGTGACAGACAAATGGTCGGGTATGACTTCATCTGACAGATTATTGGCAGCGTTTTCCTTTTCTTTCTCAGCCTGACGCATCTTTTGTTCCTGACTTGCACGCTCTTCTTGACCGAGAAACCAGGATTCGGCAGTGTCCAGAGGATTCTGATAGGGGTCTTTCGAGTCAAACCAGCGCATACTGTCTGCCCGATTCAGCGAAGGCGGAACTTGACGTGAAGCTATCTCCAAGCACAAGGGAGCAGGCCATAGACATTCGACTTGGTCTTGATCAGCCGACGGACGCAGACTGACCTTTAACCAGGACTCGTTGTGTAATAGATTTGATTGTTCCAGTTTTGTCGCAGCCGACTCTTTCCAATTCTCGTGTTTTGCTCGGCGACTGAGGCGCATACGGGCTTCTCTACGAGCTTGATACGTTGACGCGCCGTCGTTTCCATCGATCTTGTCCAGTTGAGAGGCGATGGTGGCAGGGGTGCCCGAAGGAGCGAGAAGGATATTGACGCCGTCAGTTTCGGAAGCGATGGATAGACCGGTGTTGTTCGCGTGGGGTAGGAGAGCAAGTGTGCCCTGACTGGTCATTTGCGCGCGAAGAGACAGCAGTTGGTGATCACCATCGGCCGGGAGAATCCACGTAAGATGGCCGACCCGGATAGCACCACACAGCTGCGATAGCGAGATAGACAGCGAAGCCTCGACAGCAGCAAGGAACATGCTGAAGATGTGTTGGTTCTGCACGACGACCTTGGGGTCGCTGTTGGCGCGTGTCAGAGCGGCCGCCTCGAGTCTTCCCCGCTGGTGTACTGCATGTCGCGTGTTAGCCAACACTTTCTGATCAGAACTGCTTCAAAAATCTCACCCTGCCATCCCAGCGACTTCATGTACTCGTCTGCGGCTTGGAAACCTCCAAAGACGCAGACCTTCTTCTGCTGTACCGCCGACTGTACCAGCACCCGGCGCTGTCGCAACCCGAGAAGAACCTCGTTCCTATGGTCTGCATCGTCCCAATCGCTCTTCTGGCCCTGCGTCGCGTCCTGGTGATTGTAGATGAGGTAGTCGATGGACGAGTATCCTTCCTAGAGACAAGTGGTCAGCCGCTGGTCAGCAGCCCCTGAGTCAAGGGGGCAGACTTACTACAGCTTGTAGATTGGTCCAGCACGACTTGAGAAAGTCCATGACATTGTTACTGGCAGCGACATGTGCCGTGCGTGTGTATGCGATCGAGTTGCAAGTGGGTACACGAAGGTCGTGAGTTATCTCCGAGCCGTCGTCCCAAGTCCCGCCAATCACCCGTCGACCGAGCTTTGACCACGTACCCCACAAGCGCGCCTTGACCCGCCTCGGCCTCGCCGGCGCTCTGCATGTGTGCATGTGCGACCCTGCAGTGTCAATACGCACAGCTGGGTACTCATATAGCTAGGTTTTGTTTGCTACATAGAGTCTACTATACTAACCTGGTCTCGAATACCGCTCTCTGCAACATACCCCGATGTCCTGTTGTATCTCTACATGAAAGTCCGACGTGAAATTTGCATGACCACCACTCGGCTGCTCCTGCCCATCTGATTACATCGCATGCAGCCCAAATCTTGGTTCGGCAAACATTGCCAAATTTACCATCATCATTATCCTCCGACTCCTTTCTTGCGCCTACCATCTGTCAACCGACTACCGTGTATCATCGCTATGTAGGAGGAAGTATATCTCCGAGCCCCAGCTCAGCATCCAGTAAGTCCATGTGCAAGAAATCAGTCAATGGTCGATTCTGCCCCGCCAGATTGCACAAGAACGCCGAGAGCGCATCTTGATCCTGTCCCATCGCTGCCAGATCATCCTGGAAGTCAGTCTCTGCAGAACCAAGTGCCAAAGTACCATCGACACGACAGTGCCATCCGCCGAGGGTACGTTGTGAAGTTATGAATGCAGCAGCCACTTTGGCAAATGCCGCACACACATCATGTAGACGTTTTGCTGCTGGAGAGAGCGACTGTATGTGGTCGAGGGATCGGACAGTGTCTTGGAGAAGGTTGAGCTCGACGCTATCTGATGTTGCGATGGCGTGGATGAAAACGACGGTAAAGGGGGTAAAAGAAGGATAGAGCAGGATCCTATTTGTTTTGTTAGCGTACACATTTTCTTGTTCAGTCACATGGATAGTTCGCTCACCAGTTCACATATTCGGCTTGCTGTGGCACGGATCGGTTCCGGAATTGCGCGAAACAACGCAGATGATTCTCGAGTCCGAGGCGTGCCGCTTCATAGCATCGAGGATTGATCTCAGTGGTGTTACCCGTCGAGGGTTGAGCGCGATAGATCACCGTCAGTACCGAATAGCAAACGAAGTCGGCCGATGACGCCATTCCTAGTAGTCTCTCTTGGTAGTAAGCACCATTGAAGTCGATCTATGCCGTCGTCAGTCTAGAGTTCCAGCCCACGATATGCGACGACTGACTGAAAGGAGTTGGTTGCGGAGTGCATTGACTTGCGACGATAGTTCATCAACCGCGCGACTGCGGTCCTCAACCGACGAGTTGATCGCTGAAGCAGAATAAAGCTTGTCGTAAACTTGTCCTTGGAGCTTTGCGAACAATATAGTAGCAAGTGCCATCAAGTCCCAAGGTCGTTGCGCCGGGTTCGACGATGGCGTATAGAATTCGGCATCGATATCAGAGTCGGGGAAGTTTGATCCTCGTCCAAGGTTCAGCGACAAGTTCTTGTCTAACATATATAATTGCCAGAACATGTGTCGCTTGATATCCGCAGATTCTTGGTCTTCATGGACAAGAGAAGATTTGCGGTGCAAGCCGAGGGTGTGACACATGGTGGCGGCGGCAGAGAGGAACGTCCAGCTCAGAGATAGTTTGCATTCTTCCTGTGCTTTGATTGCCTAGACTTCTGGTCAGTACGTACAATAGATGAAACAGATTGATATCTCTTACACCCAACAATAGCGCTTGAATGTTTGGCATCACCGGCACTGTGAGTGTCTCAAACTTCTCAAGTCCAGCACAAAACCTCGTCTCGCAAAGGTCTATCATAGCCTGTGCGTCGTATTCACGAAGCGCAGGATCTTGTTGGCTCCAATAATCGCGAATGACAAAGTAGAGGAAGCCATAGAAGAAGGTCATGGAGCCTGCTGGCGGCGGTTCGAGCGGAAAGTAGACCTTCTGACATAGTGTTTCCAGCACTGCCACGCCTTTATATGAGAAGGCGACTAGAGAGATAGAAGGACGCGCTGTAAAAAAAAGGTTCAATATCAGCGAACTGAGTCTGTGGTGACACCACTAACCTTTGGCTATGTTGATCAGAGCGATAACAAGTGCAGCAGGTGGTAAATCTTGATGATCCACAGACTCAAGCTTGATTCTTCTGCTGAGGTGCGTCTCGTGTGTCCGCGATAAAGCTTCATGCCGCTTCAAGCTGTCTTTCAGCAAAGAGAGTGCGCTAGACAGCTCGCTCGAAGGTAATCCCGCAACTGCTGTTGCCGTAACATTGGCAAGTTGACCTGCCTGTATCGTTTGACTACCAAAAGACGATTCTCCCTCGTAAATGGATATGGACTTATCCGACTGGTTCGATGGATGATTGACTTCCGGTCTCACGACAGGAGTAGGAACCACAGATCCTCGAGCCAACTGTTTGAGACTGCTTTCAATACCCAAAAGCCGTTCCTGAATAAGGGTAATCTGTCGTTCGTATTGACTAGTCACCACGATGCGAGGTCTGTGCTCCACGGCTCGAGTGGCAGCAGCCTGACAAGCAATACCCAGAGTCTGACAACTGGCACATGGAATTTGCTTGTCACATCTGATTTTCCTCAGACGGCAATTCTCACACTGCAAGCGCCGTCAGTCACGTCGACTCACCGTTTACACGTTTGCTACTTTGGACTGACGGCTTTTTGCAAGAACGAGCGTGGAGTTTCGGGAGTAGACATCGGGGACAACTCGAGATATACAGTCTCGCTTATCCATGAAAATTTGACGAGGAATTAGCAGAATTCTTGATGGAAAGCGAGATGGTTGGAAGATGATAATTGCGACCCAAGAGTCGGGTGCCGTAAACCGGAAAGTGGGTCTGGTCTTGGCGTGTCTGGACAACGCGACTTCCTTGAGCTCTTCGATCTTCTTCCCTCACCCTCATCAGAAACAACGGTCTCAAACAGAATTCGCCACTGCTCGTATCATGAACCGAATCGGTTGTATTTTCCCGGTGCAGGGCTGTATTAAATTCAACGAGGATGCTATATGCTCCAACGCTTGGCTTGAACACCATGACCGAGAGAATCGATACAGCATAAAAATCGCGATGAGCAATGTGGATATCTCCAGACTCTCCATAGTGTCAGGATCCGTTGACTCTGTTCCACAAATCCCAATATATCCTAGGCCTGAGTATGGAGTGGCACAAGAACTCTCAAAGGCGTCCAACCTTGAAGCGCACGCCCACCACGCAAAAGCGCTCTGATCTCGCTCGGGTGAATCCAGAAGAAGACCAACATGGCACCAATCATGAGTAGAGCATCAAAGACATACAAAGTCCACTCATGCTCAACGATGTAACCACTGCTACCGCCTTGAAGATACTCGATCAGCCGATAGAGCGAGCGAACCAGGATCAGAACACTTCCAGCGTACAGCGCATGGAGATGTTTCTTCCACGGTAAAGGCATGCCCATCGCCTTGGCCGTGGGATTTGCAGACATACGGCGATGAAAGACTGCAGCCGAAACCATGAAGAAGCCAAAGAAGAGTAGTTGGAGGACCAATCCACCGATGATAATCTTGTTTCCAGACTCATTGCCCTGAGCAAGTAGGCCGCCACCAGCGCTCTGTGCGAAGAAGGAAAGGACATCACCCAGGACGAATATCTTGGTAAGTAGTTTGCGCCTGATCAGAGAGCGAGATTCTCCTTCTGTGAGATCGAGGATGCGGCCAAGTTCCATGTATATGCTTGCTGCAAAGAAGATGGGCGCAAGAAGCAGGAAGAGAGATTGAATGATGTAAGGCATCAAGGTGTAGTCGGGATGTTGGTTGGCAGAGTTTCCTCTGGCGGCGTATCCGACGACTTCGACTGTTGTAGGATATCAGTATGCAAGCAAGGGAAGAGCCGGATATCGTAAGACACATACAGAAACCGCCGATCACAAAGGAGATGAAGAACCAGGTACGTGTTCGGAACAGTTGCCAGCAGTGAAGGATGGTGATGACAGCGAAGACGAGGCAAGCGATGATAGCAGCTGCTTTGGACGGTGTGTATTCATAGAAAGAGTGCTGTGCCATGTTTATGGTGATGGATCGAAATCCAGTGTATCCAAGCAGTGAGAGAAGTCAACGAGAGTGTGCAATGATGTGAAGTGGAAGACATGGGCAGAAGTGAACAGAGAGCCAATGATATACTTATTTCTGCTCGTCTCCATAAACAAACATTTGATAGGGAATCACTTTGGCTCTGCATGTACGCCGTATAGTCGTGTTCTTGAAACAGAACAAGATGCTCAAACACCGCCTAGCATATTCATGACCGTTACCGTATAGCCGTATTCATCAGGACGCGCAGCGGATGATGAAACACGACAGAATAGTTGATCGGCGCTCCATCCATATTGATGCTTATCAAGGCACATCCTGTGTTTGCGCAACATTTGAACCGAATAGAATTCACAGGTATCGGCAGCCTTAAGTACAAATTGTCGTATTGACCGTGTCCAGAAATGTGATCAATGCTTTCGATGGAACGCGTGGTTGGGAATAGAAGCCGGGTATTTTTCGGACCATAACATCTTGGCATCGTTCCTTGCCTTTCCTCTGTCTTCTCCGCCGGGACTGAACACACATACCAATCGAACAACAAGAATGATGTCCCGAGCACCTAATCTCGCATGTTTGAAGGAGCCGTCCGGCTGTTAGATGTTCAACAGCAAGATTCTGCGATAACCCTATGCCAAATCCGGGCGACATCCGAAGACGACAACACAACGGTTTTACTGCTTTGCATCCATCTGGACCAGAATGAACCCTTTCTCCTCAATTTACCCTTGTGGGGTGGTCAAAGTTCAGATGACAGGTAACCTGAGGGGATGAACCCTATTGCCCAAGGGGTTTTCATCTCGACCCATCGCTGTAAAAGTGGATGTGTTCATGCGTCGTCGTCTTTGCATCGGAGGTAGGTGAGTCTCTCTTTCATGCATATGCCAGGTAAGTGATTTCTATACGGATAGATTCAGGCTAGACCACGACGTAAGGTATTTCAAGGCTTGATCTTTTGCCTTTGAAGTGACAGAATTTGAGACTTGGCAATCCACAAAGGGTAGGACGTTGATCAGAACTCAACGGTGATATACAAAACCTCACGCCTCGGACTAACGGCTTTCTAGAGCACAGCTTCGAACCGCCTGGCCACCTTACATGCCCTAGCCAAGCACTCCAGTAAGATCCGTCAACGATATGAACGAGGAACTGGTTCGAGTTGGGCTTCGCAATATTGATATTCTCCGTTGCAACGATTGTTCTATCCGGGCGAGCCATGACCACCTCATGGTATAAAATCCAGCTCCGCCGTGTAGCGCTGTGTTCTACAGCAGCTGCTCCAAAAGTTCACAGTATTCAAGATGCGTATTCTTGACACTGCTATTCCCGTCCTTCTTGGGTTGTCCGCGCTTGTGGAAGCCCAAGATGTTGACTTTGGCAAAGTCTATTCGGCTAAGCCACAACTCAAATCTGCGAGCAACAGCCAATCCTCGACGTCCTCCGTTAAGACTTCATCTGTTGCTTCATCAATTGTCTCGGTCTTGAGCTCACAACATGCGGCGACAATGGTCTCTTCAGGCTCGTCAGCCTCTCTTTCTTCCACGAAGACGACAAGCTCCGCCAAATCGAGCAGCATTTCCAAGTCGTCATCGGCTGCATCGTCATCAAAGTCATCATCAATTGTTTCAACTCGATCGTCAAGCAAGTCGTCTTCCTCTGTCATACTACCGACGACACTGAGCACCAAAAAGGCCACTTCATCGGCTACCAAATCATCATCGTCGACCAAGCAGTCTTCTTCGTCCACCAAGACGAGTTCCTCATCCGCCATTGCTTCAAGCAGTCTTTGCCCTGCCATTAACAACAAGGACATCACTGATGCTAAGGGAAAGGTCTACACAATGAAATGTAGCTCGGATACTTCCATCGGATCCTTCACGAGCAAGGCAGCTACCAAATCTTATGCTGACTGCATGACCGCATGCGATACTACCTCGGGGTGTGTTGCTTTCTCGTACGTGGGCGGTGACAATGGACTTGGAGATGGCACTTGCTGGTTGAAGAACTCTGCAGGAAATGCTATCGCCGCCGAAAAAAATTACGTCGCTGGGTTTTTGAAGTCGTCCACATCCTCTAATCAGAAGATGACCACTTCGACGACGAAGACCTCTTCATCTTCTGCAAGGATCAGCACATCAACCAAGAAGATCACGTCCGTCTCCAGCAGAGCATCAACGTCTACTTCGACCAGAAAGACAAGTTCGACCAAGATGAAGCGTGCCGCTGCGACGTCATGCAGTAACCCAAACAACATACTCTTCAGCTATTCCCTCAGTGGAAATACACCCACTCAATTTTTGGTCGACACGGGTCTGGCTGGCTTGGCTTCTGCTCAATGGTATCCTCCTGCTGGCTACAGCACCAGTTTCACAGGACAACTAGCTGGTCTCTTCGCACCAAATTACCTTGGCTACCAACAGCTTTCTTCCTACGATACTGCTGCTTGCGCTGCATACTGTAACGCCCGCTCTGATTGCAAAGCATTCAACATCTACATTCAACGTACGCCTACTTCTATTCCCGATGACTCCTGCCCCAACCCCAACGCTGCTGCTCAGATCACTTGTGCGCTATATGGCAGTCCAGTAAGTGCCTCGCAGGCTACCAACATTGGGCAATACCGCAAGGACTTTATGGTCGTCATCCAGGGATCCAACGGTTATAACCTCAATCCAGCTCCTGCATCGATCTCAACCTTCCAAGGTCCCAGTGCTCTGGATGCTGTCGCCTACAGCTCCAACATCTACATCGGCCAAAAATACTTCTCGACTTACGATGTGACTCAGTGCAGTTCTTTGTGCAGCACATATACGGCTAACAGCAAGGCTTCTGCACAAAGTAACAAGGCTTCGACCTACACTCCTTGCAACTACTTCAACGTCTTCAACCTCACATTGAACGGGCAATCCCAGTTGATGGGATGCTATCTCTTCACCACGTCTGATGCGGCAAACTACGACATCTACAAGACAGCAAAAGACTCTTCGAGTGGAACTGTTTACAACCTCACCAACTCCTACGGTTATGCACTCTATCCTCAAGACAAGGGTCAGACTAGTGTCACCTGGTCAGCGGCACCCACTGGCAAGAATGCCACATGCTCATCTCTTGGAAAGGCTGGCGACTCATTCATTGACTACAACGGTGTCAACTACACTCTTGGATGTGGCTATGATGTTCAGTATGCGGCTGATATCGGCAACCAGACCACTCCTGACTTCTACTCTTGCTTTGCCATCTGTGATAGCGGCGCTTACCCTGGATGCTCTGGATTCGCGTACCTTGGCAATACCTGTTACTTCAAGAACCTGGCGGGCACTTCTCGCACACCCCAACTGAACAACTACAACGTTGACATGGCCTGGCTTCCTTCGTACGCTGGCTTCAATGCTTACACCGTCCCGGGAACCGTCACATACACCACAACCACCACAGTATGGGCAGGTCCCGGAAGTACTACAACAACAACCTTCAACGGTCTTAGTGGAACCGTCATTGTAAAAACTTCAGGCTCAGTCCCATCAGCGACAACCACGACTTATATCACAGTCACGACCGATTCTGGCACTGCATTTACTATCGCTACGTCGACCATCACTCCCACTCAAGGCTTTACCGGCACTGTCTCGATCATCTACCCGACCCCGGCAACTACATGCAGTAATAAAGGAGCTGCTGTCGGCTTCTACGTCAACCCAGTCCCCGGTCAGCAAGCCACTTCGCAGTACCCTGCTTTCAAACCTGAGGTTCTCAAGACGGTAACACCTTCGGCACAAGCCACTGGCATCTCGTACATTGGTGAATACACAGACGACAAAAATACTGCCAATGTATATGGTATCACCCAAAGCGTCAAGGCATCTGAGTCTTTGGCCCTCAACCATGTCTTCTACCTCTTCGCTGGGCGCGGCACTGGCTTCTACTACATCGACCTACCTCAAGCTGACGATGTCACTCTTTTCTGGCTGGGGTCCTTCGCGATATCCGGTTACAATCGCTCTAACGCCCAATTGATTCAGTCCTGGAGCGCGCCAGCTCCTGCAACTGTTAGTTTGTACCTCACTGCAAACACATATTACCCCATTCGCATATGGTTCGCGAACGGCGGAGGCGTTGGTGGCTTTCAGTTCACCTTGAGAGCGCCGGACGGTTCGTACATATTGCAGACTACAGCCAACCAGAATGCCGGGTTTATGAGCCCGGCAATCGTCCAGTTTCCTTGTGACAGTTCAAAGGGTGCCAGATTCCCTGCTTTTGGCAGTGAGCAATAGTTTTCTTCTTCTTACATAGCGTTTTTTGTCTCATGAGCTTTGTAGCTACAACACTATTTTCAAGATAGTCAGTAATGAATAATCTTCTCTATCTTGCACTATGAACTGTGTTCGCTCTGTGGTTTCCGTAATCGATGCGTACTTTCAGGCAAGTCGGACAGCTCAAAGCACAAGACGCGACGTGTTGGTCCGGGCGCTACGCTTACTCGAGAAACCTCTCCTCTCGTCCAGCCGCCTTCTCTTCTCAAAAGTTCCCTCATGATCTTCTCACACAGCGCAAAGAATCAGAGCACGTGTAGATCGATCGTGAATTGGTTCCTCGCTGAGCACAGCGTCCGGGGCTGAATGTCTCACTCGCTCGAGCCCTTGACGCATGATCTGGCCCGTTGCACGTCACGAGCACAGAGACATCCGAAGATGTTCCTCCGCGACGTTGTGGATTCTACGTTGTGCTGATCTAACCTCCTGTCTCAGATGCTCAGCCCTACTTCGTATACCACTTTGGCGTGGTTAGGAAGAGGCTGATGGGCACGTTGGCAGACTGATGGCTGAGAGTCGCACTTGGTGACCAGACCATCAGTGGCTCTTTCTGGGTTCAGGGAGACCGACCTCCAGGCTTCCAGTCGAATGCTGTCGACAGCCCTCCAACGATCTTTTCCATCTAGAATATGATATCCAACTTGGCCAGCTTGAACTGTCCTCGACAAATTGGACAGGTACCCTATGCACTTCCAATTGACCGTATGCATGGGAGTAACATAGAATAACGTAGAATGACGGTCGTGTTGGCTTCAAACAGCACAGCTTGTCCTACGCGGATATGTGCGAAACAGCACATGGGCTCACCGATGACCGAGTCCAACGGTCAAAAGTATACGTCCGCCAAGCGAACTCCCAAGTCTATCCAGCCCTGCCATGTCTCAGTAGATGGTATGGACAGCATATGTAAACAATGGTATAAGTATGCTGAGCAAATTATCTCTTTTGCAATATCATCAGCAGCATCTCATCTCTTCCTTACAACTCCTTCGATCACTCCAGTACCAGTCTCTCTCTTTCCAACCACATCCATACCTTTTCTGAACGACTCCGACCACTTTTTCTCCTTGCTATACTAGCTACTCTTTACACTCCTTCCAAAACTTTCCTCTGCATCAATCATGCGTCGCGGTATTGCAGCTTTGGCCGTCTGTGCCTCCGTTGTGAGCGCTCAGAGCACCACTTCCATCGATATCGATGCCATCTCCGTCGCTGTCCCTACAACAGTCTTCAATCTTCCTGTTGTCTACATCACCGCTGAGGATGCTCCGACCATCACTGCCACCACTCTGGCTACCACTGCCATTCCATCTTCCGATCCCTCGGCCACCAATGTCTTTGACTCTCCTGCAGATGTCACCGCAGCTCTGTCTTCCGCTTCTGTGATCGCAGCTGCCACTTCGAGCGTTGCTGTCGATAAGCGTGCTGCCACCACTTGTGTTCCTCAGCCCGCTGGCATCAACTATGCTGTTCAGCCTGACACTGCTGCTGGCTGGGTTGCCGACCTCAACCTGCCTGCTAGTGCATCCGCTGCCAACAAGGCTGTGCCTACTGGCTACGTCTCCAGTTTCGTCGCTCTGAACGCGTCCAACTCGGCTGACAATTACATGGGATTCTCTCTTATGACAGCCTACGATGTTCCTGGATGTGCAGCCAAGTGCAATGCTATCTCTGGATGCAACAGCTTCAATATCTACTTCGAGAGAGATCCTAGCGTCAATCCCGACGATTCTTCATGCTCTGATCCTCCGACGACCGTACAGGTCAAGGTAACTTTCTCCCCTTGCTTCCCCATTTCTGAGCCGATTGCTAATTCTTCAAAAGTGCGTTTTCTGGGGTGGCGCCGTGACCAATGTGAGCTTTTTTGACTCAACGTTCAAGTTGCAGGACCAACTAACGTGAAACAGGATAACGCAAACAACTATGGCCAATGGAGAAACCAATTCCAAGTTCTCATTGCCGGCAGCAACGGATATATCAACTCTGCCTACGCCGCCGCGCTAGCATCTGGCAAGGTTCCTAACAACAACATCGCTCCTACCTCCCAGGAGTCGAGCTCTCAAAGCACCTACGATATTTACTCTGGCTATGATTCCAACGTCGGTGCCTACTCTAACGCCCAGGCTTCCAAGTCCTACAAGGACTGCGAGACCGCCTGCGATGCTGACACCTCTTGCAACGCCTTCACTTACGTTGGCGGCAATGCTGGTGTTGGAAGCGGAACCTGCTGGCTCAAGCAGAAACTCGGCAAGCCCACATCTGCTGGAAGCAACGTCGTTACTGGAGCCAAGACCGGTAAAATCAACGTCTTGACCGTCATCTCTGCCTTCTACGCCGACATGGACGTCACCAGCCAGGTGAAGAACTTCAAGTCCGGCAACAACATTGTCATCGATACTGCCAACCTTTACATCACTTTCGGAAACGACCCCTGGCCCAATGTCCCCAAGACTCTGACCGTTCTCCTCACCAACGGCACTGCCACCCGTGTATTCGTTGCCCCTGAAGGATCTGGCAAGTACACTCTTGCTCCCTCGGGCACCGGCTCAGCACCCAACGTTGTTGACACCTTCCTTGCCCCCAACACTGCGACCACCGCCGTCTTCTCTACCGTGTGGGGTTTGAGCCAGATCAGCATTCAGAGCGTCTACAACACCTTCAACTCGTTGATCGCCTCCAAGAACACCTTCACCGGCAGCAACTCCCTGTTTGGAACAGACACCTGGCCCGGTGTTCAGAAGACCGGAGTTGTTTGGTACACCTCTGGCGGTGCCATTGTTGCCAAAGCTATCAGAGAGTACCAGTCCTACCACTTCTAAATGGTTTCTCATGTTGAGATTTGATGTACATATTTGGAGGTGATTTCTTTACTCTGTCTTGCTTTTGGTCTCTTGACTTTTATACCCAGGCGAAAAGGAGAAAAAACAGGTTTTTGGTTCTCAAGTTTTTGGCAAGAGTGCTTTTGGAGTTGGGGGCTGTCTAGTTTTCATGTTTCTGTCCACAGTTTGTACATATCCTATATAGTCTCACTTGTATATATCTCCTTCGAGACAAGCCTGCTTCTTCCGTTTTCTTTACTACCACAAGCGCATCTGCCCCAATAGCCCTTGCCGCAGGCCACTCATATTCTGGCGGATCTAGCAAACGCGACTCCGCAACCAGGTACCAAACAACCTCTCCACATCCTGACAGCGGGAGAAAGTGTGAGCAAATACAGTCGATCGGCTTGGGGTAGGCTTCCACCTCGTGGCGTTCCAGGGCATCAAATTCTTCCGCCAAGCGAAAGAACTCTACACCGAGTGAAGTGTTCTGGACATCAGATAGGGGAACGTTGAGGTAGAATTGGCTGTTGCTGCGTATGAGATCTATGCGATAATGACTGGAACCCAGGGCACTTCCGCGAACATAGTAAGGGCCTTGCATATTTGTGGCCATTGAGATGACAGAGGCTGTGTTTTGTGCTTGAGATGTAGCAGATGGATGTCCTGGTGTAGAAACATGCCGAACTCTTATATGGCTGCCTGGGTAAGCCGGGCACCAACGGTTCCGCAGGATGATAGCGGGGTAGTGTCCGGATAGCGAGTCTTCTCTCCAGGATCTTGTGTCGGTCATAGGTCTTTTGGAGAAACCAAGACCTGATTTGGGACTCTGCAAAAATGGAAGAACAAGAACCAACGAAGTAGATGAGCTCTGACCCTGCGGATGTGACTTCATCGTGATTATCAAATATCGACCAGCCAGGCTTGCTTCTCAGATACACTTGAGTCGGATCCCAGGATCTTTCTCATGGCCTGGAGTTCAGACATACTAAGACCAACACTGAGCAGGTATTGCTCTATTCCACCGTGCTTAGTTTGTATATGTTGCTCCAGGGAGTTGACAAAGGGCAGAAAGGGCTCCGCGAAATCTTCGGGGGCGCCTTGTTCTCTATTGACTCGAATCCGCTCCTCTTTGAGGCTCGCCAAGTCTTCATAGGTCTGCATGTAATCCCGATGGATGCTCTGAGTATCTGCGTGGAGGAGTAAGAGGACCAGATCAACTATCAGTGATACGAGATCACTCCCGTATCTGTTCATGATCAAGACAGGATACGATGATGGTTTGGCTAGGACGCTGAAGATAGCTTTGATCTGTGGGAACGAATGGTCGATGAAGGCTTCTGGTATAGTCATACGATCCTGGAACATCTGCGAGCTCACGGTCTTTCGCCATTGTTGAAAACCGCTGGCTGGTGATACAGCGGTATGGATGATGGCCTTGGTTCTCTCCCAGTAGCCCAGTTGACTGAACACGAAGTGGCCGTATTGCGGACCGGCGAGACCTATATAATGTAGTCGAAGGCCTAGTATACTCGTGGAAGCTACGTGGTCTGGGTACTGTTGTGTGTAGTCCGAATCATATTTGCCTGGCAATCGCAATGTAGAGATGAGTGGCCAATGTTGCCTACACAGTGTCAGCGCACGACAAGGGAGGATTATCCAGGATCTGTCTCACATGCCACGCAAATCGATCACTGAACGTATCCGATATTTCTCCCGAAGTGTGTCAAGATCATCCCGACTCGCATCGTCTGTGTGGCATAATTCAGTTTTGACTCTTGATCCACGAATTCACAGAGAGTCTCACCAATGTGCGCGCTCCGAAACAAAAGGCCTGGTTTGATGTTCTTGACATATCTCGATACATCACGGAAGTTCACAACAGTCGTTAAAGAGGGTGTTTTTTCGGCCTGTCGTTGATCCATATCGAAGGCTGCTTCATGAGCCGAATCCAAATGGCAGCAACCACGTCCTTATAAGCCTGTAATAGGTCACAATCCTTCCGCAGACCATCGTTGATCAACAGTGGTCAGTGATTGAAGGATCGAGCAAGTTCGAGTCAGAGCAAGTCGGATGACGTGCCGATGGGAATAGCGCGGGAACAACGGCAGGAACGCTGCCAAGACTGGGAGTTTCTGCCGAGTCATCGATGCGCGCGTGTTGACCAATGTCGTTCTTCCTCCTCTGATTATTCTCTTGCAAGCTTTCAGCAATCTGCAGAGACAAAGATGTTGATCACTATGACTTGCAACCTGTATAAGCGCTACCAAAGACAATCCTCCAACGACAAGTAGAGTGTTCCGCTCAACAAGCAGGATTCGAGCTCAGACCACTCTTCCAGACGAGTTCGAAGTGACGTTGATGTCGTCGAAGGGCGAAACATGCCACGGGCTACTGGGAAACATCAAGCGAAGCCCAGTAGGATGCTGTTATGGTAATCAGAAAGGAGCGTGGAGCATCGATTTCTCAAAAGCTACATTGCAAGCGAGATCATGAGATGAATGGCAAACGCGCAAATAGTAGAAGGTGGGCCCATGGTCGTGCTTATGTATGACTGCAGCTCTTGAGCTACACACAGCTATGTCAGCGAGCGGGGTCGAACATCTATATGTGAAAGGCAGCACGTCAATTCTGCTTCTCCCAACCTACAACCAACGAGGCTCTGAATATTGACGAGTATCATCATGTCGCAACAATTCATTGGCAATGACAATGCCCGAATTACACCCTTCAATGTGCATATCTCTGACGAAAGTCTTGACCAGCTTGACCAACTCTTGAGCATTACTCCAATCGCCGAACCCACCTACGAAAACACCCTGCTTGATGGAGACCGAAGATTTGGTATGCGGCGTGACTGGTTGACGAAGGCTGTAGAAGAGTGGAAGACAACGTTCGACTGGTAGGTCACCATCAAACCAGGTCTCCGCCTTTGCTCACGTGCTTCAAGGCGGAAGCACGAAAAGTATATCAACACTTTCGATCACTTTCACATGAACATCAACGACGAGCTGGGCGACTTCCATATCCACTTCGTAGCTATGGTCTCCAAAAGACGAGATGCTGTGCCCTTACTGTTACTTCACGGCTGGCCAGGCAGCTTCTTGGAGTTTCTGCCCATGATGGACAAGTTGCGAAAGAAGTATGACAGATGACCTGCCATACCATCTTGTTGTTCCATCACTCCCAGGCTATGCATTCTCTAGCCGCCCACCTCTCGAAAAAGACTTTGGGATCGGGGACGTCGCGAGACTCATGAATATGTTGATGCTCAATCTAGGATACGAAGCTGGGTACATGGTGCAAGGTGGCGATGTCGGCAGCAAAGTCGCCAGGGTTATAGCTGCAAAGCATGATGAATGCAAAGGCAAGGATTTCTCCGTCTTCTACTCCAAGCCATACTGACTCCCGACAGCAATTCATGGTGAGTGTAATGAACAGCAACCCAAAAGCTGTTTTTACTGACAGATTGAGTCAACTTCTGCATCATGGAAGATGAACCTGAGCACCTTGAGCACGATATAACGGTTGCCGAGCATAAAGGTCTTGTCAGAGCGCGCGAATTCATGCAGACTGGCAGCTCCTATGCAATCCAACACGCAACGAAGCCTGCCACCATAGGTCTCGTGCTATCTACCAACCCCATTGCTTTGCTAGCATGGTAAGTGCTGATGTAAAACTCTTGCATGCGGATGATGCCAACTCGCAGACAGGATCGGCGAGAAATTCCTCGCCTGGACCGAGGAAGATCCACCCGTCTCACTGATCTTGGAATCTGTCAGCTTGTACTGGTTCACGGAATGTGCAGCTACGAGTCTTTGGCCTTACCGTATCGTAGGTGTCTTCCCGCAACTTCTGCCATTTCATGCTCACAGTCTTCTGTCAGTTTTACACTCCAGGTGTTGACGGCAATCCGCATAACATGTCTGAATACACGATTCCCGCCGACAAGCCTTTTGGATACTCTTACTATCCATATGAGCTGTACCCAGTCCCCAAGGCATGGGCTGCCAAGACTGGCAACCTGACCTTCTTCCGTGCTCATGACAATGGAGGACATTTTGCGGCTATCGAGCAGACAGAGGCCTTCTTGAAGGATCTCGAGGAGTTCGTGCAGGAGAGCCGTGCAGCAGCAGGTTTTGCTGGATCTGTTTGAGCCTGATTCGACTGAGTGTCGTCAGAAGATAAGAATCAAACAACATGTTTGCATGCGTACGACAAGAGCAAAACATGGGTATCTCTCGATTTTGCGCAACAGGAACACAAAAAGAACAATATCAAGCACTGTGAGTTGGATTCGAACCAACGGCCTCCCGATCCATGAGAGAGTGTATTAGGATCTTAGGTGAACGAGCGACTTTAGAGAACGTAGGTTACGGGATCGGGTGTGCTGACCACTGCACCACCACGGCTTTTTGCTTATGGGAGCTGAAACTACTTATGATATAAAGGTTGTTGTCCAGTGGGCAATTACGACCAAGTTACGGCCGCTTGAGAGAGTTCCTTTGGGTAGGCGTCGATGACAGTAACTTTAGCCGGGCTTGGCGCGTCGAGCGACGATTGGTCGGTTCGAAACACCCTCGACCAAAACCGCATCGTCTGTACACATTACCAGGATAGATACCTATCGACGTATTTGGCCTGGATCTACTCACTCGTTTATACCGAGGAATCTTTCCTGCTTTTGTCCGACCATGAATGTTCAATACCATATTGGTGTCGTGTCCCGAGCAAGCACGGGACATGCGTATCATGCAAGTCAATATATTGCTGGGATCAACGCATAAATCCTTCCGATTCCCATCGAACCGTGTCAAGTTCTGTTTGTTGTCATCTTCATTTTTTCCTTGCTTTCCATCTCTACCCTTCGAACATCTTGCGTACAGAATTGTAATTACGATGCAGCAAGTGTACGATCTGGTCGTTATCGGAGCAGGTCAGTACAGAAATGGCCAAGGCGATAGCGAGATAAAGCAGACTGATCGACATCAGGCTGGTACGGACTTGCTGTCGCCGCGACATATTTGCAAATCCATCCTGACGCCAACATTCTGGTTCTGGAAGCCCAGTCTACCATCGGCGGAGTATGGAGTCAAGAGCGCCAATACCCAAATTTAAAGTCCAATAATATGCTCGGTACATATGAGTACCCAGACTTCCCCATGCACGCGAGTATCTATGGTGTGGAGCCTGGTCAACACATTCCTGGGCACGTCATTCATCGATACCTGACCGATTATGCGAAGAAAACTGGAATCTTTTCTCGTACCAGATTCGATACGAAGGTTCTTGAGGTCTCCAAAGCATTCGATGGTGAAGGCTGGGCATTGAAGACAGACAGTGGCGACTTGGCCACATTGTCTACCAGAAAGCTCGTCGTAGCCACTGGTCTAACCTCAACCCCCTTCATACCCAGCTTCACCGGAGCAGACACCTTCGCGGAATCCGGCTTGCTCATCCACTCCCGCGACTTCAACAAACATACTGACCGCCTCTTCAACAAGACCTCTTCAGTAACAGTCCTTGGGGGCTCAAAATCAGCCTGGGATGTCGCATATGCATGCGCAATCCGCGATGTACCTGTTAACCTCGTTATTCGCTCCTCAGGCCAGGGACCAACATGGATGGCACCACCTTACGTGACGCCCGTGAAAGCGTGGCTAGAGAGACTGGTTCACAGACGCTTTCTCACATGGCTATCTCCCTGTATATGGGGCGATGAAGATGGCTATAAAAGTGTGAGAAGATTCTTGCATGGCACATGGCTAGGAAGGAAAATTGTAGATGCATTTTGGTGGGTGCTGTCTACTGATGCCAACGCACTGATCGGGTATGAAAAGCATCCTGAGACGCAAAAATTGAAGCCTAGACATTCGGCTTTCTGGACCGGAAGTGGGCTCGGTATCTTGAATTTCGATGGCGATTTTCTGCGTCTGGTGAGGGAAGGGAAAGTCAAAGTTCACATCGCTGATGTGACAGAACTGGGAGATGGCATTGTGTCGCTCAGTGACGGTACACAGTTGATCACTGATGCGGTCGTGTGCGCAACAGGCTGGAAAGCACGACCACCACTGAAGTTCCTCCCCGAAGGTTTGGATGCTGAACTTGGTCTTCCTAGCAGCGCAGCCCGTGTATCCTCTTCGGAAGCCAACTTCGAATCAGCAGATGCTAAGATTCTCTCGCGTTTTCCCCGACTGCAGGAACAGCCCAAAACACCTATCCCTGGAGGCGATACCGCCGCTGATGGAACTGATCAGCCTTTCACTCTGTACCGCTTCATAGTGCCACCATCGACTGTACTTTCAGACCCATCCATCGCCTTTGCAGGCATGATAACGACAATCTCGACTCCTCTCTGCGCAAGCCTGCAAGCTTTGTGGATTACAGCCTATCTTACCACTTCTCTGTCACGTACAGCCTTATCAACCGCACAGGCCGAGGAACAAGCAGTTCTACTCGCAAGATTCGGTCGTTGGAGATATCCTTGTGGGTACGGGGATAGATTCCCGGACTTTGTGTTTGATGCTGTGCCGTATCTAGATATGCTGCTGAAAGACTTGGGGTTGGAACACAGGAGAAAATGGAGCTGGTTGAAGGAGATTTTCCAAGCTTATGGGCCGGAGGACTATCAAGGTGTTGTTGAAGAGTGGATGGAGAGAAATGGGTCATGATCAATTGTCATGAGGTACAGGCTGATCGTATACGCAACAACGAGTTTCGCGTAGTCCAACATAGCCTCCTCCGCAGGCTTTGATGGACAATGTTCGGTCAATGGCTTCAAGCATGCACTTTCGGAAAGACTTATCCGCACTGTGAGATAGAGCAATATCCAGCTACTACTGATACTTTCCCCTCATCGATCATTACCAACAGGTTCTCACGACAATCATGATCCACCTAGATAAACGACTATGCAATCGTCCTTTACGGTCACATCTCAATACTATACTGAATCGCATGAGCCAAATCCCTCGACACGGCAACGCACCAGCTAATTTCATCATCCCACGCATTGGTGACTGAATGTCATTGACTGGCGCCGCTTTGGTCAGTCTTCTTTGTTACATCATCAGATGACAGAGGGGTTACATTCCAAGCGTAGTCCGTATAGAAGTGGCTTTGTTCGCCCCACGTGGCCATGCGCTCATCTGGTAGCATACTTTTGGCCTCGTTGCTAAGCATACCTCCTCAACCCCTTGCTTCATCGCTTGTTGTGCTCATCCAGCACTTTCGACAACCACAGTTGACTGCATCATTTTCAACGAGTAACACTTCCATGTCGATACCATCATGCCTCTAGGGATCCTCGAGCCCAGAGCGAAAAAAGTACCAGGAACAGCGAATGTATTGGACCAAGAATGGAAACGAGACCCCACGTTGAAGCGAGACAAGACTGGCAACATCATCCTTGTACCGCAACCAAGTGAAGATCCAAATGATCCTCTGGTATGCTCATCAAATATACCACTACCGAAGCAGAGCTGATGCGGAGTCGCAGAACTGGCCGCTATGGCAAAGGGATCTGATACTATTGCTTCTTTGTGTCGTCGCCGCTATTGCAACAACGGCATCACCGTTAGTCGCCGCAAACTCTGTTGTCCTGGCCGTGGTCTTCAAAGTCAAGTTTCAGGAAGCTGCACTACTGACCGCATATCATCTCTGCGGTGTTGGTGTTGCTAGCTGGCTCTTCGTTCCGCTGGCTAGGGTATGGGGTAAACGACATGTCTTCCTCGTCGGCGCTCTACTCATGACCGCTGCATCGGCGTGGGGTGGCTCGACGCAAAGGACTTTGAACTACAAAAGCCTCATCTGGGCAAGGATCTTTCAAGAAATCGCACTCGCGCCTTTTGAGTCTCTGGTGAATGATGTTGTCGGCGATCTGTACTTCGTGCACGAACGAGGCTTCCGCATGGCATTTACCAATGTCTGTTTATTCGGAGCTGCCTTTCTGACTCCAGTCTGTGGTACGAACCTTGTATCCTGTTTCCCTGAATGTGTACTTACTAGAACAACAGTCGGGTTCATAACATCCAGCAACTCTCTAGGCTGGCAATGGTCCTTCTACTTCCTCTCCATCTTCATGGGCGCCGGCTTTGTCCTCCTCTTCCTCTGTTTCCCAGAAACCGCGTACCAACGACCCCGCTACCTCCAACTCGACATCAACGTCGGCCCAGTCCCCTTCCACGATCCCACCCCTGCACCGCCCAAACACTCTTTCCTCCACCGCCTCGCCCCTTTCAGCGGCCGCAAAACAGACGAAAGCTTTTTGAAACTGCTGTTTCGACCTTTTCCACTGTTCTTGCAGCCAGCAGTGGCTTGGGGATGTCTAATGCAAGGCGTGATTATCGGCTGGACCGTCATCGTAGGCGTAATCCTCGCATTGATATTCCTAGGTCCACCTCTCTTCTTCACCGAAGAGCAAGCAGGAAATATGTACACGGCAGCTTTCATCGGCTCGATGATCGGTCTGGTTCTCGCAGGCGTGTACACCGAACTCGTTACTCGATTCCTGATTCTGCGCAATGGAGGCCAATACGAGCCGGAATTCCGCATTGCACTTGTGATTCCCACATTGCTGTTTTCTGGCATCGGACTGTATGGTTTTGGTATCGCGGCGTCAGATATTGAAAAATATGGCTGGCTGGTCATTGAAGTCTTTCTCGCCTGCATAACCATTTCGATGGTCATGGGTGCCACGGCATCAGCTCAGTATCTGCTCGACGCCCATCGCGATATCGCCATCGAGACATTTACCTGTCTGATCATATTCAAGAATCTTTTTTCATTCGTGTTGGCTTATTATGCCTATCAGTGGGTTTTGGAGAGAGGGTTCCAGAGAATGTTTGTGATTTTTGGGAGTATTGAGGTGGGTATTTGTTTGCTTGGTATTCCTATGTATGTGCTTGGAAAGAGGAACAGGGAGTTTTTCTACAGGCATGATATACTCAAATTGGCGAGATTGAGGTAGGAAATGGTATAACTCAATCTCTTCTCTTTGCAACAAGTACTCTCTCAAATCTTTAAACCTGGCATTCTTGTGTGAACCATGCATTCTACATCATGCTACATCATTCTCCTTCTTATCTCAATAGCCAATGATGAGTTCACCGCATCAGCCAATCCAAAATCTCTTCGTTACCCGATCTTTTCGCATCCTCAATCGCCACCTCAACACTCGCACCTCTGCTCAAAAGCAACCTGACAACTTCCTCATGACCCTCGGCCACGGCCTGATAAAGCGCACCATGACTACCCCCCTCACAAGCAGGAGGTTGACACGAATGATCAACATTGGCGCCGTGATCGAGTAATACAGTCGCCATTGCAACATCGCCTCTGAAAGCAGCAGTGTGTATTGGCATACCTCTGGCTGTGTCGATGTTAGGATTGGCACCATGATCGAGGAGGTATGTGACGATGGATATATATCCCTTATCCACTGCGCGGTCAAGTGCACAACCATCGGTGTGCGGGGCATCGATATCCGCCCCAAAGGATACAAGTGTGTGTACGAGAGACGCGTAGCCCATGGCACAGCAGAACTGGATTGGTGTAAGAGCGTATTGCTGATCCCCTGCATTGACATCGGCGCCCCGCTCCAGCAACAGACGTGCTATGTCTTCTCTGTTGACTTGGCAGGCATACCGTAGAGGAGTTGGCGAGAGTCCAGCTTCATCCAAGCCGTTGACATTAGCACCAGCATCGAGGAGTACTTCTACCGTTCGTTCAAAGCCTTTGCACACGGCAGCTTGTAAAGGTGTTAGGTGATTTGGTCTCTCGTTGCCATCTAGCAGAGCCCCTTTGCTGAGTAGCATGTTCACGATGTCTTCCTGGCCTGTTTCGACAGCATGGCCAAGCGCGGAGCCTTCGTTCCCGACTTTGTTGACGTCTGCGTTGTTGTCAAGAAGAAGTCGGACGGCAGCAATCTGCTTGAACTTGACAGCGGTGTGTAGTGGCGTCAAGCCATGCCCTTCATCATTGTTGATGTCGGCTCCGCGTGCAAGCAATACAAGTATCACATCTTCATGACCGCTACTCGCAGCTTCAGCTAGAGCAGTACCGTCAGGACCAGCGATGTCTGATGGTATCCCATACGCAAGCAGCCTCTTCACTACGTCGACGTGGCCTTTTTCAGCAGCAGTCCGTAGAGCTGTGCTGCCGTCGCTTGTGCAGTTCAACAACTGCTTGGACTCCAGCAGCAAATCCATCATATCTAGGTTTCCCAGAGCAGCAGCTATGCTGAGAGCATCACCTTCTGGACCTTGAGCGCTGATCGAAGCAGCATACCCGAGTAGTATCTGCACGACCGCACGGTGCCCTCGATACACTGCAGCTTGTAGAGCTGTGCTGTATTTCGGCCCATCAGCTTGAACATCAATCTCAATACCACGCATAAGAATGGCGTGCTTGTATGCCCCTTCCTTGGGATACTCTGCCAAATGGGTGTCATCTGGACCCGCAGCATCCACACAAGCGCCATACTCGAGCAACATCTCAACCACAGTGTCTTGCGCTATCACGGCTGCGTTCTGTAGCGCTGTCCGACCAAACATGTCACGGCCTTCAGGACTGGCCTTTGCATCGATGAGCGACTTCACTACTTCAACATTGTTGGGCACACCTGCAGCAAGTGCTAAGACTTTGTCTGGGATTGTGGCGCCACGACTCAAGATCTTTTCCACAGTGGAGACCTGTCTCATTGCCGCCGCTGCTTCCAGGGGAGTCCAGTCGAGGCCATCCAGAAAGACGGATCGCTTCAAGTTCACGTCAGCGCGTTCAAGCAAGAAGTCCACTATGTTCTCGTGGCCGTTCTGGACAGCCAGGGCAAAAGCAGTACCATGGTAACCAGGTGCGTTGATCTCGGCACCTGCTTCGATCAGAGCTTTTACAATATCCAGTCTCCCAGATGCAGAGGCCGATTGCAATGGACTAAAACCATGTCCGCATGAGGCTGCGAATCTCATGATACCGGCCTTGACAAGAGAACCGCAATCTGCACCCTTGTCGACTAGAGAGCCCGTAAATGCCATCTCGCTGATCAGACTTGCTTGTTGTACCAAATTGAGTCCCATCCCATACTGAGAAAAGAACGTCAAAGTCGGATTGTTGAACCATGCGGCTGGGTTCTCGATGCCTTTGCTTTTCAACAAAGCTTGTGGGTCGGGGTCCCAAGGCACGACATTGACGTCGGCGCCACAAGCAATGAGTGCATTGACAACCTCCGCATGATCGCCTTGTACGGAAGCCAACAAAGCGCTTCCGCTTGTTCCACAAATGATGTTGGGATCGGCGTCCTGCTCGATAAGATACTCGACAACTGCAAGATGACCAAACTTCGAGGCGGCATACAGAGGTGTCCCAAACTTCTCTGGAACAAAACAGTTGAGTGAAGCTCCTCCCTTAATCAACATCTTGACAATCTCGAGGTGGCCATATTCTGCTGCGGCTAACAAAGCACTGACTCCTGGCGGTGTATGAATGTCAAGTTGATCGATGGCGTTGGCAGAAGCGCCGTGACTGAGCAGGTCTCGAACGATATCACTATAGCCGCTATGCGAAGCTGTCACTAACGCAATGTCCAGACGAAGTTGAAGCCTTTTGCCAGGAGAAGAACATTGTATCTCTGCAGCTTTGAAGGCGACTGCTCTCGGTGCTGACCGCAGAGGCAAGAATGCTGCTGCTAGAATACTCCTCGCCAAAAGGAGGGGATCATCTAGCATATGCTCTGAATCAAGTCCAGAACCTACAAGTAGAGATTCCTGACGCGATTGCAGTGCGGCAGATTCCAGCTCGCACTGTACCAAATGCCTGCAAGAGCGTACAAGTCCCTCTCGAGCGGCAATGAACAAAGAGGAGCACTCCTGCCCAACTGGATTTACCAGCGGGTAACTAAAGTTGAAGAACGTTGACGATCTGAACAGATCTGATTTTAGGAAGTCAACAGTTAGCTCCAGCACCTCGTCATCGATGCCTTCGAGAGCCTTTGCTTGTTGAGGCCAGATCTGATTCGCAGAGATTGCAAAGGGATATTCTCGCATGAAGTCGATACTGTCATCGAAGGACCAGTCTAAAGACCTCAGATAGGCAAAGCTTGTACGCAGAATTGAAATCCTTGCGAGCCTCTCTTCCAGCTGGCTTTTGAACGGCTGGGGGACTTCTGCGGACAGTAAAAAGTCCTTGACTGAAGAGTGAGCGAAGCATAGAGATCCCGCGTCGGTATTGCCAATGCGTACTACTGCTACTAAGCCCAAACATATGCTGACAACAGCGGGAACGTCAAATAACCTGTCACCCATGTCGAAAGCGGGAGTCTGGTCCGGGCGTACGACTATGGCATCGTTGTAGCCATCGAGTGTCGTAATAACATCTGGTGACCACAAGAGCATCTTCAAGATGAAAGTCGCTTCACCACAGTGTGGGCTCGACTTTACTGCAGTCAAGATTCGGGCGTAGGTGTCGTTCAAAGTGGCTGGTAAGTCAGCGAGAGCTTTCTCTATAGCGGGTTTATTGTGGCATTTGCTCAAGGAATCCAGCTGCAATTCAGCCCATCGAAACCTGTCTTTCGTCAATGATTCGCATATTAAGGCAGCAGAGAAGCACTCACATCCCATCGGCCTTCTCGACCAACATCTCCCTTACTTTATCCTGGAGTTCAGGTTTACCATGCAGACTCATGAACTCGTCGTCATTGAGTCTCGCGCGGACATGAATGCTGATATCCTGGTTGACATCCGCAAGCGGGACCGGCATGATCTGCTCCGTATCTTGCCAATTGACGACGTGAGTCTGAGACGTGATCAAGAGGCGCAGGTTGATGGTTTCGAGATTGTGCATATCCTTACACCATCGAATCACCCTTTCGACACACTTGGATTCGTCAAGAGCATCGATGACAACTTTGCAACCTCCCTCTTGCTCCAGTATATCCGTCAAAGTTTTCTCCATCTGCTCGACGCTGGGTTGCTGGCTTCCATCTGCACGCGCAGCATGCAGAGACTGTATCAACGATCGGGCAACAGGCGACTTGTGATAAAGTTGGGCCAAGAAAGACCGGACCATGTTCTCGAATGTTTGTTTGTGGTGATCGTTGAAGTCGAAATAGAAGAAGATGACTGGACGGGAGTCATGCTCATTGAGGTATTCGATTATTGTTGAGCTGAGGACAGTCTTTCCGCATCCAGAAGGACCGAAAAGCCAGATGAAAGCATTAGAACTCAACCTCCAACGCAGGAATTGAGGGTCAAAGTACAACCACTCGCCAGTACCGGCACCGTGCTTTTCATGTGCTCTGTTGTGATTGACTGAAGAGTCCGGTGCTCGTAACCGTTCGATGATCATCTTGGTTTGTTCGAGAGTCTTGATATCCTTGAGCGACGTATCGATGACACGTACCTCTTCCGACACTAGGCGCTGTTAGATGTGTACTGATGAGCCACAACATCGTGACGGTATGGATTGCGATAACACTCACGTTGACCAATATACGTCGCAAGCCTCTCCTCAGTCTCCACACGGTGTGGTAGGATCTCTTTGAGCAGATCCTTCGCGTAAGCGGCTGCTGTCAATGCTGCATAGCCTTGCCAATCTTTGTTCTTGTGACTGTCACTGTAATCACAAATACCACGGATGACCATGCAAGGGAAGCGGTTCATGATCCCAGCGGCCTCCATCTCGAAACAGAGAATACCCTTCTCCTTCGCGAGTCTGTCGCGGACTACGGCATCTTTCATCAATTGGTTTCCGGAAGCAATGAGACCATAGTGAATAGCCGGATCATCGTCATCGTCTTCTCTCGGTTGACGGACGACTATACTGGACTGCTGTCCTAGACACACATCGACACAGTCACCCTCCCCATTGAGAGGGTGGACGATATGGGAAGCGAAAAGGCGATCAGATTCTGGACTGGGTCGTGCGAAACCTTTCTTTCGAAGTCGTGGCCAGCGTTCCAAGATCGAGTCAATCGTCTCCTTGATCTGGTGTCCTTTGATGTCGTGTCGTCTTCGAAGTCCTGGAAGAGCCGAGCGAACAGTGGCAGAAGGTTGGTCAAGAATGCCAGTCTGCACAAATCCAACGTCCTGTATCGTTTTGCCCAGATCGTATTGATAGACGCCGCCTGTACCGTTGATTGGAGAGCTCACCACAACATCGCCAAGGCGTATGTCGTTCTTGGAAGTCGGAGCGCCTCCACCGATACCGACCATCAATCCGACGCGAATGTTAGGGAAGCTGTTGAGCAGATTTGTGACGACACTGGCAGCCGAGCCAACACCATACTCGCCATCCGGGAGGACTGCTATGACAACTTTGTGTCCAGCGATCTCGCCAAGGGTGTAGTGATTAGTGTCGTTGGCCGAGATACCTGTCGGAGGCTCATGCTCGTTGTCCAGGAAAAGTTGAGCGGCAGTGTACTCTTTCAGAACAGCACAAATCCAGCCGACGGTATAGTCCTTGGGATTTGACATTATATCACCATACAGCAGACAGAGTCAAACAGTTGTCGACGGGAATTGTAAGAGCATAGCAGGAGCCCCTTGTGGCAGCTGGATATACTAGAGCTCGGCTATAGAGGCCTGATCCTTCGAGCGCAGCATGCATCTGACCTCGTGTCCATGCATACTGTCGCACGAACTAGTGATCGGTCAGGCGCCATGATGCTCGGGACTCAGCTGAGGGCGCTCGAAATCATCTGTGAGCAGTAGGGATGATCAAAATTGGGCACATGGCGTCTCATTGGGGAGCGCGTCGCCGAAGGATTTGGAAGGAAGAACGACCGTGAAACGCCAAGACCCTCCATTTTGACAGGGTTGCTCCAGCGATTACCATATTCAGCACTAAGAACAAATGGGCATTATGCTGATTCCAGTCTGATCGTGCAGCCGTAACTTTGTTGTAGGCTAGCTTTGGTATGCAAAGGATCATACAAATCAGTCGAAGCCACTACCTATGTGATTGTTGGTATCAAGCGTGGTAGTTGTGTAGAAGTGCTCATCTTGTAGAAAGCTCGCTGAGACTCTTGCCCCCTCCCCCGTGTCCAGGGGTTCGTAACGCTGCTACTTGTCAAAATGCACGATGTTCTTTAGGGACTGCATCATATCCATTAGAATACAGTGTGAGTGTTCTTTAACGCTCTCTTTGGATCCATCTTTAATCGAGAGATCACTGTGCCTTGTTTTAGCGAGCATTGTGTTCTACACCTTATGGGAGAGAGGAGCGTAGGGGACTGGAGGAGAACATTCACATCCCAATCACAGATGTTTCAAGGAGGCGAGCAAAAGACATGGCGTCAGTGGAGGACAAAAGTGCAAAAGATGGAGTAGCTGGGAATCGAACCCAGAACCTTCTCCACTCAGTAATGCTCAAGAAAGCAATGCTAAGAAGATGTCATACCACTAGACCACAACCCCGATTGATGAAGCGTGAATTTGCCTACACCTGTCATAGATCTTCGATCGATTGCAGAATCATGTCGTGCAATGACTTGCATGTGAGAGACCCTGAAAGCTTGCCAACCCCACCACCACCAGCGGTGAAGCACTCCAAGCTCCTGACACTTTCCTCTCAGCCTCACACACCACATCTCTACCACACCACCCCCACCATGGACTTCGCCTACGACCAAATCCAAGAAGAGTCTTTACCAGCAGACCGCGAAAACCAACCGTCCACCTCCTCCCAACCCCCCACCGACCTCAACGCCGAATTCCAGCAAGCCTTCAAAGCCGTGTCCGCCTCACCCTGGGGCGCCCGTCTCGGCGGCTTCTTCGCCCAAGCGAAAAAGCAAGGCGAATCACTCTACTCGGACGCGCAAAAGGAATACGCCAGCCGAAGTGAACAAGCCGCAAAAGTAGCAGGAGAGCTCCAGAAATCGCTGGTCGAGAGCACGAGGAATATCTCTCTGGCGCCTGACGCTGGGGCTGCCAACACCTCTTTCTCAGATCCTAATTTTGCGTTGCCTGAGGGTGTAGCGACGGAGAAGGGCAAGGAAAAGGAGGTGCAAGAGACACAGACAACAGCTCAAGCAACAAGGCCAGACTCCCTCCCCGCCGACATCGTCAAGGAGGCTACATCCCTCGTCTCACTCCTCCGCTCCAAAGCCGCCAATGCAACTGCAAATCTCAACCTCCAAAAGATACAAGCCGCAGAAGATGCAGCAGACGAAGCACTTCTCAAATTTGGCACAAACATAAAATCCTTCCTCCGCGATGCCGTCACGGTCACCGCTCCCTCATCCTCGTCGTCGTCCACTGAAGTCCTCTTCGAAACCAACGACGCAGAAGGCAAAAGAGTCATTCATTCATCGCGATTCGATGCGCAATTGCATGTCATTCATACATCACCACAAACCTTTGTCAACGATCCTGATAGCGCTGAGTACGCCGAATTCGCAAAGGAGTTTGACATTGCGGCAAAGACGGATGGGATTGCGAAGGATTTGGAAAAGTATTCCGAGTTGAGGAGGGCGATGGAGAAGTTGGTGCCCGAGAAGGTCGAGTATGCTGTCTTCTGGTCGAGGTATTACTTTTTGCGCAAGGTCATTCAGGAGGAAGAGGTCAGGAGGCGGGAGGTCCTCAAGGGTATGTACACCTTTTTGCATCCCATTCCTGGTGATGAGAAGAAACATGACTAAGAACAAGCGCAACAGGAGCAGCACAATCCACAAACGAAGACCTAACCTGGGACTCCGACTCGGACTCCGAAAACGAAGACTCCAAATCCGCGACTCCCACAAAGCAAAAGCCCTCCGTAACCACCACTACAGCTCCCATCTCCTCAAACCCTGCCTCATCAACACCAGTCAAGTCTTCCACGCCCACCACATTAACGCCCACCCAACCCCAACACGAAGAAGACATCAAATCCGTCTCTTCAACCAGCGACACCTCCTACGATATGGTATCAGGAACAACCAGTCGAGCAACCACTTCTCCTAAAGATGAGAAGAGTGAGAAGGTCGCTGCTGCTGCTGCACCAAAGATCGATGAGGAGAGTGATGAGGAGGATTGGGAGTAATAGCATAGCAATGAAGTTCGTTGTCGCATGTTTGTGATTTGGTTCGCCTTCGTGAGAGGTTGTTGGACAACGGGATGGGACTGTGTTTTCGGAGTGTTCAGGAATCAGTAGAAGTAGGCGTTCAGATGAGTGCAACAGGGTAGATGTGAGTGTACTTGTCTTGGCTATTGAGCAAATCTGAAGAGAAATCGCTATGCTGATGCTGAGTTGATGCTATGCTATGCTGTTCTACGCTATGCTTGTATATTCGACACACAAATGCCTCTTTCTTCCTTTCTGTTCTCTCCCTTTCTTTCCTTCTCGTCCTTCATCTGGCAGCCCTTCAGCTCACGACCCTGGACTCTCCCTCCCAAGTGGACTCCTAGGGATCGCCTCCTTTGTCCTCAACACCCCTTTCCTTCCCTTCTTCCCCGGCGTCCCGGATTCTCTGCTCGGAAAGGGACTCTGATCAGCCCTCTCCCTATTCAAAAGCGAAGGACTCGACGGCATACTCGACGAACTCCTCTGTTGGCCGGAGAAGTAGCCTGGATACTCGATACTTTGCTTTACGCTCTCCCATCCTTGACTAGCTTCTCTGTATCCTCTTTCGTACTCGGTCTCTCCTTCTTCTGCACCGGTGTAGCGCGATGGTGTATTGCCGCTGCGGGGATGTTGGAGGTATTCCTCTCCGCGCCTCTTGATGGGTGATTCATCGTAAGGATCAAAGCCTACTCTACGACGAGCATCTCTACGAACTCGTTGCCGATACTCAGCATTGGAACCCGCGCCGGTGGTTGCGCTATCCTCGAGGAAGAAGTTTAGGAGTTCGTCTTCGATGGTGAGATGTGAGGATTGGCGGAATTGTTGGAGGGCGGTTAGGCGGATGAGCATCTCGAGGAGGGACAGGGAGGTGCGGATGGTGGTTTGTGGAGCTGGTGAGGGCGTGTAGCGGAGGGGTGAGGGTTGTGGAGGCAGGAGCTGGTTGTTTCTGTTTGGTGTCGAGGATGGTTGGAGGTTGAGAGAGGAGAGACCGGTAGTGAGGTCAGGGTCTAGAGAGGTTTGACGGGGTCGAGGTGTTGTGAGAGGGTCGGGTGTGGCTGAATCCTCTTCTTCGTCTTCGTCGTCAGATGGTGCTTCCTCAGAGTAGACCTCGAAGGCGATCCATTCCGGGTCCAGGTCTGGAGGGAGTCGCCAGTGCGCGTCTGTATCTTGTCGTGATGTTGTCTCCTTCTTTTCGGTTTGAGGCTGAGGCGTTGAGTCCCGTAGAATCTGAGCATTGATTTGTGACTGATGATCGTCTGGATCTGTGTCGTCACTCTCCTGCGGTCGCTGATCTTCTTCTTCGTCATCATCATAGTAGTCTTGACCCTCGCTGTACCGTCTCTCCATCATGCGTCTTGGTGGCTCGGCGTGGATGTCTCGCTTCAGTAGCAAGATAGGGTTGTTGGTCTCGCCATCGGACCCAATGTTGAGAATCTTGCCAGTGTCGGCGTAGAAGATCTTGGAGATTTCATGAATGGGTATCACATCTCGAATACCAGCAAGGGCGACTTCTTCGAATGGACCGGGTTGAGGCTCATCCTCTTCGAAAGTGTGTACTCTGTCGTCGTCCAAGTCTTCGATGACTACCAACTGATACGCATATTCGACCGATGAATTGTCAGAAGGTAGTTCCTTGGGGAAATAGCGTGCGCCGCTCGGAGTTGTCGTGCTTCCAGGCAGATTGTACAGACTGTCCAGTGGCACGCGCACAAGCTTGACTCTGGCCTTGTGAATGACTTCCTTCCAGGTGGCTTCACGGGCGGTTTCCTCGTCATGTGGTCTATTTGTATGACTCGCGAAGAGCATATACACCGAAAGGGTGTATACTGGACCCACTTGGATGTTTTGACCAGGAGTTGCCATGTATTGTGAGTCAGCGGCTGTGAGGAAAGTGCTGGCTTGCAAAAGACGAGATGGTGAGACAGTGGCAGGTAAATTTGTGGATAAGTTGACTCCAGAGGTGGTGATGGCGAGATTGATTAGTGGTACGGCATCTTCAATGCGAGCCAGTAGCTTTTTGACATCCGAGACGATGAGTTGCAGCTCCAGCTCGTTCTGCTCCTTCGACTTTGCACGTAGACTCTTCCGCCGGTACAGTTCCTCTTCGTTGGCAGCGTTGGCCAGACGGATACCGAGCGCCTGAATCTCCCAGCGCAAATCCTTGGTCAGAGTGACGGCAGATTCCAGAGAAGTGTTTCCACGAGCCGCAATCAACTCTATCATATCGATAGCTGGTGAAATGATTCTGATTTTACTCTCCAGTCGAACTTGGAGGTTCAGCAATTCCTCGCGCTTGCCTCCTCTGGGTGCTGTCTTGACTAGTCTCGTGCATTGTCGTATGGCATATGTGCTTGTAATGGCTATACCTGAGCGGATGGCATAGTTCATGGCCTGCTGGGTGACTTTGGCCAGCAGGATATCCATGACTGCTGCAGTGAGAGTGGTCGTCTGTCCCGTGAAAGAGCTGGACTGCAGAAGTCGTGGTTGAAGATGTCAGAGTGATAATTAGCAGATTAAGAGATCAGGCTGCAATGGCGTTTGTTTCATGCGGCGAAGGTGTTTGTTTCATGTGTTTACCCTGACGTATCCAGCTCTGGCGGCGGCTCGGCCCGCAACTGTGCATTTGTGCAAGGCAGCGCGTGCAAATTGAAGGCCTTCTCCTGATCGCGTCTCCTTGGTCGCACCTTCCATTCCACGCGACTCATGGTGGCAAAACATCTTGCAATCGCCAAATTCACGCGTCCCATGCGTCGAGTCAATCGAATATGATCGTAGAAACCTCGACTTGTCTTGTTGAACCTCCTGACACAGGCCCGTCATGGTGCTCTGTCGCATCCGATTGAACTGCCTGGATCACTACCAAGCCTATCCTGGTCTACTCGATCCCCCACTATGGGGTGACCCTACATTGTTGTCGCAAAAGACTCTACCACAGGTCCCCGTAGTGCGAGTGTTTGGCGCAACCGAGACTGGCCAGAAAGTCTGCCTACATATCCACGGTGCATTCCCGTATCTGTACATCGAATACACTGGCCCTCTCGATCGCAGTTCCGTCGACGAATACATCGCAGCCCTCCGGCTATCCATCGACCATGCTCTTGCAGTCTCATACAGAAGAAACACAGCAGATGCCAAAGCCATCTTCGTCGCCCACATCAGCCTAGTGAAAGGTGTTCCATACTTTGGCTACCATGTCGGATACAAATACTTTTTGAAGGTCTACCTTCTCAACCCTTCGAACATGACTCGTCTGTCAGATCTGCTCCACCAGGGCGCTATCTTGAAGCAGATCTTCCAGCCCTACGAGAGTCACTTGCAGTTCCTTGCTCAATGGATGTGTGACTTCAACTTGTATGGCTGCAACTATATCGACACCGACAATCCCTTCTTCCGCGATCCCGTCCCTGATATTGCCGACCTTGTCAATCCTCACCATGAATGGCACGATAGATCCATTCCCGATTCGCAACGCCTACATCCCGATTCATTCCAGCGCCAAAGTCATTGCAGTGTCGAGATAGATGTTCGAGTACAAGACATCTTGAACAGACATGAAGTCAAGGACAGATCACTGCACCACGACTTCGTCGAGCGTCTCAATCATCTGGCACCTGAGGAGAAATTTGTACAATCTATGGCAGGCTTGTGGAGAGATGAAACGATCAGGCGGAAGAAGCGTATGGGCATCACGGACCCTGGTAGCAGTCCTTTTCCGCCAGAAGTCCTCGTCTCCATGTCGCACGATCCCAGAAACACTGAAAATGGTGGCTGGATACACGAGGAAGAGTTTCGCAAGCTTGTCGAAGATCTTGCCAAGGATGAACGAGAGAAGATTGGAGGAAATGCACCTTCATTCGACACTTTCGTCAAGCCTCGTGAGGAAGAGTTCGCAGTTCAGACTGCTCTTGAAAGTGTTGAAGAGCTCTTCCATGAGAAGTGGGAAATGCTTTTCTCGCATGCACTCAAGAACCTCACGCAGAAGCTTGCCAATGACAGTTTCGAGTTTGGGGATGCGCTTGTGGATGAATCTAGCATTCTGCAACTCATGTCAGATGAGCCGTCGTATGAGTCTGACGAGGAGCTTGCGCGCGAGATTGCTCTGACCCAAGCTCCACCTCCCAATCGGGACGCTGCACCAGATGTCGAAGCTGATGATGAGACTCGTCCTGATGGTGATGACTACGCTCAGCAATTCCTCGACCCATTGGATTCCTTGTCAGTCGCGCATCTTGCTCAAGTTTCGAGGCCAGGAAATGACGTTTCAGCGCCTGCCTCCACACCCGTGGCTCCTGTTGCCGGATCTCAACATGGCAAGAAGCGTCAGCTGATTGATGGAGAGACGACTGTCAAACGTCGGAAAGTGGTTGGCTTTGCAGAAGAGCCTCAAGCCAATTCATCTAGCAAAGTTGCACAATCTAGACGCCAAAACTTCAAAGTCAAAGACTGTGTAACAACTTCTCAGATCATAAACGATGCTGACGCCGATGAGGAAAGCGACCTGCTTCATGACCTTCCTCCCGCGTCTACACAATTGCCGAATAGTCAAGAAAACGGCAAGAGGAGAATCTCACAGTCCTATCCGACTGTGAAGAATCCCCATAATCCTGATACCATGCTGCGTCTGAGCCAGGGTGATAATGTGCCTGGGCAGAGAAACCCGACCACACCAGCCAAGTCAAGTCAGCATCGTGACTTCTCTTCTTCGTCATGGACCAGGTCGAAATACACAGCGAATGCCAATCCGTTGAAACAGGCTGTTATCTCTCCAGCTGCTAGAAAACTCGCAAGCACATATTGTAGAGGTTTCGGCGAAAGCGCCAATGGCGTCGTCATTCTTGGTCAAATACCTCCTAAGAGGGCGGAAGTCTCGGCCACGATGATTGATCACGGAGTACCACCAGTCATCTACCAAGACGCATACTATAGTGACGAGCAAGACGTGCCTGAACGTTCGAGAGAATATGCTGGTCAAGAGTTCAAGCTTGAGAGCAACACCATCCCGTTCTTGCCTGACTTTGACCCTACTGGTGGATCGGATGCTTCGAGAGGAGCCAAGGTGCTAATCGTTCTCGACAAAGCGAAGGAAGAGCTCGAACATGAAGCACGGCGCAGAGACTGTTTCCTCCAACGCTGGGAGATCGAAGCTCGCCCTCCATCATTCTCAGAAGTACAGAATTGGCTTCACGCGAGTCGTCCCACTGTCGAAGATGCTCCTGAAGAAGATGACGGCGAAGTCGATCACCCTCTGTCCCAGCAAGATTTTCTCAAACGAACCAAATCAATGCTTTCGCAGATCGAAGGTCCAACACAAAGGGATAAGCATGGCTTCAAGTTCTCCCAGAAGAAGAAATCGACCAGCGTACAGCACGAGGTGCAATACATGTCTATCATGAGTCTCGAAGTGCACGTCAACTCTCGAGCTGATCTGGCTCCTGATCCCGAGCATGATGAGATTGCTTGCATCGTATGGTCGCTGAAGGCTGATGATACTGATCTTGTTGGTAATGCTGGACATGATGACCAGTATGTTGGAGTCATTGTGTTATCTACCGACGGAGACTTGACGGAGCGTATGCGAAAGTCAGTCGGTGTCGATGTCGAAGAAGAAGACAATGAGCTGGACGTTCTGAACCGATTGGTTGACATCGTTCGAGAGTACGACCCTGATATCCTCACTGGTTACGAGGTGCACAACTCGTCATGGGGCTATCTCATTGAACGTGCTCGTCTGCAGTATGAGTTCAATCTGTGTGAAGAGCTTTCTCGTGTCAAGTCTCAGTCTCACGGTCGCTTTGGCAAAGACGCCGATAGGTGGGGCTTCGAGCATACTTCGACAATTCGTATCACTGGCAGACACATGATCAACATCTGGCGTGCCATGAGAATCGAACTCAACTTGCTACAATACACCATGGAGAATGTTGTGTTTCATCTTCTCCACAAGCGAATCCCTCACTATTCTTTCGCAGACCTGACAACATGGTACAAGAGCTCGAAACCCCGGGATCTGGCCAAAGCACTGGACTATCTCATCACCCGTGTTCAGTTGGACTTAGAGATCCTCGATGCGAACGAACTCGTGCCACGTACGTCAGAACAAGCTCGTTTACTCGGAGTCGACTTCTTCAGTGTCTTTAGTCGAGGCTCGCAATTCAAAGTCGAGTCACTCATGTTCCGTATCGCCAAGCCGGAATCGTTTGTTCTTGTCTCTCCGAGTCGCAAACAAGTGGGCCAGCAGAATGCCCTTGAATGTCTTCCTCTTGTCATGGAGCCACAAAGTGCCTTTTACAACAGTCCGCTGCTTGTACTCGACTTCCAGAGTCTGTACCCTAGTGTCATGATTGCCTACAATTACTGTTACTCTACATGTCTTGGTCGCATCACACCATGGCGAGGTCAAAACAAGATGGGATTTACAGACTTTAAACGCGATCCAGGCTTGCTTGATCTCGTCAAAGACAAGCTGAACATTTCACCCAACGGCATGATGTATGTCAAGCCAGAGATGCGCAAATCGCTTCTCGCAAAAATGCTGGGAGAAATCCTAGAAACAAGAGTCATGGTCAAATCAGGCATGAAAGTGGACAAAGACGACAAAACTCTGCAGCAATTGCTCAACAACAGACAACTGGCTCTCAAACTCATCGCAAACGTAACTTACGGCTACACCTCCGCCTCCTTCTCCGGCCGCATGCCCTGTTCAGAGATCGCAGACTCGATCGTGCAAACCGGCCGCGAAACTCTCGAAAAAGCCATCGCCTTGATCCACGCAACCTCAAAATGGGGCGCTGAAGTCGTCTACGGCGACACTGACTCGCTATTCGTATACCTCAAAGGCCGCAGCAAAGACGAAGCCTTTGTCATTGGCGATGAAATTGCAAAAGCAGTCACAGACATCAACCCTCGACCCGTCAAGCTCAAGTTCGAAAAAGTATACCATCCCTGCGTATTGCTCGCAAAGAAGCGGTACGTGGGTTTCAAATACGAGTCTCCGTCGCAGGTCGAACCAGACTTTGATGCCAAAGGCATAGAAACAGTGCGTCGGGACGGCACACCCGCTGAACAGAAAATCGAGGAGAAAGCGCTGAAACTGCTTTTCCGCACTGCCGACCTAAGTAATGTGAAGCAATACTTCCAATCTCAATGCCATAAAATCATGACTGGCAAATTCAGCATCCAGGACTTTTGCTTTGCGAGGGAAGTGAAGTTGGGCACGTACTCGGGTAAAGGACCTGCGCCGCCTGGTGCGTTGATTGCCACTAAACGTATGCTCAAAGATGCTAGACAGGAACCCCAGTATGGCGAGCGAGTGCCTTACGTCGTCATTGCAGGAGGACCCGGCGCAAGACTCTTCGAACGCTGTGTCGAGCCCGAACGCCTGCTTTTTGATGAAAATGCAGAGTTGGATGCTGAGTACTACATCAGTAAAAACCTCATTCCACCGTTGGAGAGGATCTTCAATTTGGTGGGTGCGAATGTGAGGAGCTGGTATGATGAGATGCCCAAAGTCCAACGCATACGCAATATTGGCGGTAGAGGAGGAAAGGCAGGTGCAGGCATCAAGACCATGGAGAGCTACATGAGCATTTCCTCATGTGTGGTTTGCAGAGTCAAACTCTCCGCTCCTCCTCCTGGTAGCATCTCACTACCTCTCTGCGCTACCTGTGCTACTTCTCCATCTCTTACTCTGCTTGCTCTGCGCAATAAATTGCGGCAAGCGCATCAGAAGAAAGCAGATGTTGATGCTATTTGCAGGAGTTGTGCGGATGTACCTGCTGGAGATGAGGTTAAGTGCGATAGCAGAGATTGTCCGGTGTTCTATTCGAGGGTGAAAGCTAGTGCGAAGTGGAAGGTTGAAGAGCTAAGGTTGGAGGGGGTTATTGAAGCTGTGGAGGGCATGGAAGAGAAGAGAGTTAGAGAGATGTTTGAGTGGTGAGTGAAGAGAGAAGAGAGTGTAAAGCGGAAAGTTTACCAGCGCAAGTCTACACAGGGAGAAACACCGAAAAGATGCAACACCAATCAAGAATGAATGAATACTTTATGATCCACAACAAAGTCTATACAAAAGTCAACGAGCGCTATCCACATCCGAACACGTTTTACGACTGTCTACACCCTCTTTCTTCCTTTTTCCTGTATCTCATGTGGATTGGAGATTTGTCCCCACACGTCCAAGGACGATCGTGTCTCCAAAAATTCACTATTTTCCCAAGCACACAATAAAGTCTGGCTTTACCACCACAGCTCAGAAGAAGATGGTGGAACATCGCCGTCATCGCCAGAACATGGAACATCATCGCTGTTGTCTTCTGAAGATGTGGTATGTTCGCTGCTGTCGTGATAGGAAGACGAAGGATCATCGTTGGAATCACTGGAAGATGAATCACTCTCCACCGAGTCCTGAGAAACAAAATTCCACGTTGGGGCATAAACAAGCTTCCGTGAATCCATGTCACACAATACACGAATATCCTCCTAAGCGATAACATCGTTCGCTTGTTCCTCAGCTTTGTCCTCGGTCTTTTGCTCGCTCTCGTCAAGCTTCTTGCCTTGCTGAGCATTCCTCACGGTGTCAAGCACAGAAGAGATTTCCCTGAGGAAGCGGGTGACTTCGGCTTCCGTACCGACAGTGATGCGCAGACAGCCCAGACAACCGGGCTCCTTGCCTCTGAAGCGAACGACTACACCGCGAGCTTCGGCGAGCTGTTCGTAGACGGCGAGGGCAATGTCGTTGCTCGGTCGGTTGTTGGCGTCTAGCATTTCGACTAGAAGGAAGTTGCTTGCTGCGCCGCCGCGGAATCTGCCAATGCCGGGAATGTTTGGCATTTCTTTCAGCATTCTGTCGCGCTGCTGGATGATTTTGTCGCGGTTCTCGCGCATGACGGCAAGGTTCTTGGGTTGGAGGGCAGCGATGGCGAGTTGTGAGGTGGGGTTCGAGATGTTGTAAGGAGCTTTGAGGGAGTTCAAGAGGCGAGCGATCGGGGGCGAGGTAAAGGCAGCTCCCAGACGGATTCCCGCGAGACCGAAGGCTTTGGAGAGAGTCTGCATGACGACGAGGTTGGGCCAGTCGTTTACCCATTCGGCGAGCGAGGTGCCGTCGGGGGCAAAGTCGATGTAGGCCTCATCCAGGACGACGATACCGTTCCAGGTTGGGTGACGGAGGACAGCTTCGACGTCTTGCTTGCGGGCGAGGTTGGCGGTAGGGTTTCCTGGTGAGCAGATGTAGACCATCTTGATGTGGGCGTCTTGAGACAGCATCTCGTTGATGAGGTAGGGTTGGAGAGCGAAGTCGTTGTTGACGTCCAGCGGGGCCTTGACGACGGTGACATCGTTGACTTGGGCCGAGACAGAGTACATGCCGTAGGTCGGGGGACATGTCAAGATCTTGTCTTTTGCGGGAGTGCAGAAGGCGCGGATGAGAGCGTCGATGGCCTCGTCGCTGCCAACGCCAACGAACAGGTTCTCTGGTGTCAAGGTCTTTTGTGTGTGGGTGCGGGTGTTGCGAAGGGTGCAGAGCAGTTGCTTGAGCTCAGGCTGGTGGGGATCGGGGTAGCGATTGAGGCCGAGAAGGTCAATCTCGACGCTTGCATTGCCGTTGAGAGCATTCTTCAGCTTGCCAGAGTCGTTGTCGACCGACAGACCAGGACCGTAGGCGTTCTCGTTTGCGTCCAGAAGAATGTTTGTGCCATCGTCCTTGTAATCGCTGCGTGAGTCACTCGTCAGTGGCATGGTTGGCTGGTTGTATGTCAAGGTAGACCGACTCTCTGGCGCATCTATAAGGCTCGAGAGCCAAGATGTTGGGACGAGCACACGTCTCGAGGTTGAAGGCGTTTAGCGGTGCAGACATTGTGAAATGATATGTGTAGAATGTAGAAACAAAAGACTGGCAGGAAGCTTTGGGTGTATGGCGGATCGGCATGTGAAAGTCCGAGTCATCGCAACGTCCGCGGGCGCCGCGAGCTGCCTGAAGGGCCAACTGATTGCAATGTTATCTCTCCTCGTCGTATCTGCGCCGTCCTTGTCCTGCCTCACAAGCGCTTTCGCGTGCAATTAACAATCCCCTTGTACTAAACGAGCCTCTGCCCTTGCCCATCTCGCGTCTCTGTGTCTTTTGACAACCTTGGATTACATCATCTGGGGCTGGCTCTCAGACGTCCCAAAATCGAGCCACGCACGCAGCAATGTTGCGATCACGAAACGAAGGCTCTGGCGCGCCACCACTAAGGCCATCTGGTCGCGTCAACAGATCCACAGCTTTCTCACATGGCGCAACAAGAGCGGCCCAAGCAGGTACGCTCTCGAGTTCACAGTTGATGGCTCGCTGTTCTGAAAAGTCGTTCCTGCCATTGCGGCGTATGCCAAGCTTCAACTTCCAGTTGAAAGCTTCCACCAGCGCTTCGACAATGCTCGCCAGAATGGCATACACAACCGGATCGCGCTCTCGAGGGTCGGGTATGTTGCAAAGCCGCCAGCGCCGCTCAGTATGCCGGAACAAGTAGTGAGCCTCGTAACCCAAAAGTTCGTCTTGTCGCGTGCAAACATCTTCAACCATGCGGTAGAGAGAACACAATGGTGTATCTCTGACGCGGAATATAGGGATGCGGTGAAGTGTTCGAATGCTTGATTGCCGCTCAACTATCAGCTGCTCACTCGGATCCACGTGAACTACGCCAGCAACGGGTTCCATGGGCTCAAAATGCCATGGAAAAGGCCACAGCAGCTTTCGTATGTGTTTCTTTCTCTGAGGACACTTGCGAAGGCGTTTGAATGTACCTCTGATCTGTAGGGGTGTACTGTACTCTCCAGAAGAGAATCTTTTGAGCGCGCGATAAAAGGCCATGCTTCCTGTGCAGAGATGAATATCTTGATGTGTCATTCCAAAAGCTGCGATGCAAAGACGAACAAGTCCTATCCCTGGACGCATGCCCACCCGTCACATGTGAGAGAGAGCGAAGGAATTCAGGTTCCGCCGTTAATCAACCCGGCTAAACAGGACTATCGCCGCAATCACTACCTCACCGTGATGTGCTTAAAAGTGTTTGATCGAACTTAATAACACCAGAGACTCTTGGGAATAGAACTCTGCACTAATTGATCGCTATGTGCTCTCACTAATAGCTGAGCTGCCGCATGGAGAGCGAGTTGCCTGAGGGAGTCCTCAAGTAAGACCCCGGCTTCCGTACTTCTGCTCGTAGTCGGCCGCTACACTTATAAGCGCACTTACTAGACAACGTACACCTTCAAGCATCCATATACAGGGTGTTTGTAAGTCTGATGGATAGCGCGCACATCAGTGCGCCTGCATGTTCTAGTGTTGCAGCGAATAGATGGTGAAGCGGACAAAGCAGTCTGCAAGCCTCACACTATCAATCAAAAGTGTCTGCACCCTATACTAACGATTGCCACAAAGCACTACAATGACTAGAGTTGGTGAAAGTAGGCTATCTGCAATCTAATGTACAAGAGCTACATCTAAACTCCTACGTAGAAACATGTAGTATGTGGAAACGATTAGCAGCGCTTGGAGAGCGAGCATCTGCATGTTTATAGAAAAGCTATAATAACGGCCCGCCGCCGGAGCCTGCGACCACTTTGCTGCCGTGATGAGATCAGCTGCTCGGTGGTCCGGACCTTCCGTTTCCTGCCTGACAAGCCCTGTCACATGCCATTTTGAGTAGGTACTCTTCTGCTAGCTTCTCGAATTCGACCAGATTCTTCTCTTCCTCGTCCTCCCTCTCTGCGTGTTGTGGACAAGTTTTCTCGAATCTCAAATTACATCATCTTGCGCCGGCACTGGATGACCGTTTGACCTGCATCTACACGACACGTCCAGCTCATCAGGAACACCAGCGTATGCATCTGGAAACTCATCCATCAGGAAACAAGACCGGGCAACCATGGCTTCCTCACAGCCCATACCAGTGACGCGCGTCATATCGCCTTCACCCACACCCACCGAATCCTCCTCACGCGACAGCTACTTCGCCAACACAACCAAACCCCGCAACGGCCGCATCACCACCCAAGCACCCATATCCGAATCGCCAGAATCCTCGGACCCAGAGAGCAGCCGCGCCAGACCACGCAGCCGAAGTCCCCAGATCCGTCGCAAAGATTCGTCCAAGAAGACCCCCAAGTCACCGCCGGAACCCATAAAAACAGATGGACATTTGGATCCGAATAGCGTCTTGGGCATGGGTTCGAGCTACTGGCGCAACCTGAGTCGTAGTCCGAGTCCGCTGGGCTTGATACCGCTGCATCGCGAATGGCGCTCCTTCATCCACAGGCACGAGATTCCGAGGAAAGCCTTGCATGTGTCGATCGGCTTCTTCACTCTGGGACTGTTTGTAGGAGGGGCTCAGACGAATGCTATTCATCCTCCTCTGCTTACTGCTCTAATACCCATCTTCGCTGTCGATTTTCTGCGAATGCATTATCCGTGAGTCTTGTTCTGTTCCGAGAGAAACAAGAATGCTGACGACGACTACAGTCCGCTCAACCGCGTATACATACGTGCACTAGGCGCCTTCATGCGCGAATCAGAAGCACACGATAAATACAACGGTGTAATATCATACCTCGCGGGCGCCTGGGCTGTCCTCCGCTTCTGCCCAAAAGACATTGCCGTCATGTCCATCCTACTGCTGTCCTGGTGCGACACTGCAGCTTCCACTTTTGGCCGTCTCTGGGGTCGCTATACACCACGTGTGCGCAAGGGAAAGAGTCTGGCTGGCACAATCGCTGCTTTCGTCACTGGTGTTGCGGCTGCTGTTGTTTTCTGGGTGGTGGTTGCACCGAGGGTGCCTCAAGAGTGGAGTATGGGTGTTGATGCTTTTGCGTTTGATGGCACTCTGTCATTACCGCCGGCAGCCAGAGATCTGCTCGGTTGGACACAAGCAGAAGCTACCGTCAGTGGCGGGGTGGCCATGGCTGTTGTGGCCGTCGTGTCCGGACTCGTGGCTGCTGTCAGTGAAGCCATTGATGTCTTTGGCTTGGACGACAACCTCACCATCCCCGTTCTGTCGGGCATCGGGTTGAGTGCCTTTTTCTGGGTCTTTGGAAATGGTTTGGCTTGAAGAGAAGGATATGATTTTGGAGAGAAATGATACCAGGGTTGTAAGAGGAAATCTCAAAGATCATGGGGCTCACGGGAAACGATCAAAGAATATATTTATCTAATGTTGTATTATTACCCTCACGCCTTTTTTTTCCTTCTCTTCCATGTGCTCTAGGCATTTTCGGACTGCCCTAAGAAAATATGTTGATCAAGCGGGGTTTACTGTCCTTGAATCTACCTCTAGAGCCTCACGCTTTCATAGTGCAATAAGTGATTGATCGGTTCTGGCCAAGTAGTTGTATATATTTCTATAGCGGAAAATGCTTCAACAACAATCCGATATGGTCTAGTGGCTAGGATTTCTCGCTCTCAAACCGTTCGAATGAACAACCAGGTCCGAGGAGGCCGGGGTTCAATTCCCCGTGTCGGAAAGATCTCCTTTTTGCTTTGTTGTCATACTCATCTTTTCTAGATCTGCGATTTGGAGAAGAAGGAGGGACAGATTGAAGTAAGGAGGAGAGTTACATGTTTTTTTTTTTTTGATGACGAATGAGAGAGAAGGAGAGGTTTCGGGATGTCAGAGGTATAGGACAAACATGTCTTTTGACTCTTTATCGTTTGCTGGGTGCAAGGACAATGGCTGCTTTCTTTTATCCCTATTCGAGTGTTTATTCTTTTTTTCTTATCGTTGCTGGTTGAGGGGACAGGTCATTCGATGCTCTTGGAGGAGAAGAAAGACTCGAGTCAAATCGGAGGAGACTTGATATCAAGCCAGGGCAAATCTTTAGAAAACATATGACAAAAAAGGGTAGGAATTTGGTCGAAATCGGAAATACGTCCTCCGTATACCGCAAAAATCGCCAATGCAAAAATGCTCTATGCTAACAACGCAAGACCCGCAGACCTTTCCAACTCCCTTATGATCTAAACATCATCAAGCCCGCCTCTTCTCCCTCATCTTCTTGCTCCTGCACCTCGTTGTCCTCGTCATCTTCACCCAAGCCCATGCGCGCGCCGAACAAACTGCCAAACAACTCATCGGCAGCCCTCTCCGCCCATGTACTTCTATCCTCGACCGCCATAAAGTTCTGAAGCTTCTCATGTACCGTATACCTCATCTTCCTGCCTTTTGAAGCTTTGGTGTCGATGTTTTTCTTGGTCTTTGCTTCTCTGCGCATTTGGAAACCAGTGGGTAGAGACAACGATACCGAAGAGGAGGCAGAAGCGGCGATGGAATCGGCGCTGCGTTGTTCGAGAAGACTTTGGAGCAGGAGACCGTAGAAATCCGCGTCGTCGTAGATGGGTGAAGACTCGGAGGTGGTGGATGCAGCAGCGGCGAGTTGGAGGGGTGCGCATGAGCGGGGTGTCCTTGCGCGCTTTGTGAGGCGGTCGCCGTGGAGTTGTTCTTGCAGTACATCGACTATACTCTGGTTCGCTGAAGAGTTGTTGAGTTTGTTCTTGGGAGTGATGGCGGAAGCGCCTCTGGCTTTTTGATTCCATTTTTCGAGGACGGAGGCGCGGGACGGTGCGGCTGAGAGTTCTTGGCTGCGCATGTGGTTCCAAAGGTCCTCGGTGGGTGTGTCTAGTGTGTAGGAGGCGTGTTTGCGTTTGTGTCCTGTGCGGCTGGACTCGAGGGTTTCGCGGAGGGAGTTGAGAGTTGACCAGAGGGTGAAGGCTGCGGTTTCGGCGGCGAGGAAGGCATCTTGGGTGTCGTCTGCTGAAGCAGCAGGGTCTGAGATGACGCCGGTCAGAGTGTTTGTGCCGATCAAAGCTTTCTGGAGCTTGATGCGTGCGTTGAGCAGCGAGTCAAAGGTTGTGCGTTGGGTCTTGACTGCGCGACCTTTTTCTGCATCTTGCTTTGCTGCTTGCGAGAGGCTTGCGGCTACTGTTTTTTGCTCTTCGGCCATCATTTTGCGGAGTTCGGTCTTGTCTTCTGCTTCCTCATCGTCATCGTCCTCCTCCTCATCGTCATCATTTTCCTCTTCATCGTCGTCATCCTCGTCGCTCATGTCGGTAGCAGGGCTCTCGTCGCCATCTCGCATATCCTCGTCCTCATCGCTGACATCTTCATCTTCGCCCTCCGAGGCAGACAACTCAGCAGCATCCTCGACATCATCCTCACTCTCTTCCTCATCAAAGCCCTTGCTGAACGGATCGTCCTCGTCCTCGTCTTCTCCAGTAGCGGCGTCTCTGCTGATTCGAGCGCCTTCGTATCTGGGTCCAAGAGGGACTACATCGCGCTTGCGTAGCTTGCTCTTTCCGACATCAACGTAGTGTTCTCTTGCTGCGGCGGTGTTGTCGTCTTCGGAAACGTCTTGCTCGCTGTCGTCCTGGGGCGGTTCCTCTTCCGGGTCAAAGTCTGCGGGTACTTGTTAGAAATTGCTGTGGTTTTGTTACGAGGAATTTAGCATACCCTTGGGAGCAGGATTATCAAGCTCGGCGAGCTGTTCAGCCAGTGTCTTTGTCCTGCGTGCCATTGTTGTGTTTTGATATTGCTCAAGGAAAAAAAGTTGATCGTCGCAAAAGTTTCTCGAGAGACGCTGCGGGAAAGATCAAGCGGAAGTCCCTGCCGACCGCTTTCTGCGGAGCCTCGTGGCTTGGCATGCGACATCAATCATTGAGCTCCTGTCCAGGCTGTCCTGTTCCTCCCATGAGAGCACAGAGGGGACTTTCTGCTGAATCAAGGCACAGCCATTTTCGGGTCAGGGGCATTTCCGCAGCGAGCTAAGATGTTCGATGGATACTATCCTGTTGTTGAAGAAGACCGCCATGCATCCTGATAATTACACGCGTTGACAAGGACCTTTGCACACGGAGAGAAGTGTTCAGTCACTCTATGAGACACAACAAACTTTCAAGCGAAATTGTGTCTAAGTAGAGCCGAGAGTACCCAGGCACAGTGATTGGGTAAGAGATGCTGTCTCGTTCAGTCATGGTAGCTAGACTCTGTTCTCCTCGATATCTTCTTCCTGTCGCTATGCCATGATCCGTCTCAGCAATGCACTTCCATCTGCAAGCCCTCATCGCAATCACCATAGCCATTAGCTCGCGTCTTCTCTCCGTACCAATACAATAGCCTATCGTCTTCAGGACTTGATCCATTCCTCAGATGAACCTTCCAGCTCCTCCTCAGACCCACGTCTGCAACAGAAGCAACACATCCAAACGCTCAGGGTTGACCATGTCGTACTCGGCTGCATTGTTGAAACTGCGCCATGGGAACTTCTGGCGGAGGAACTCATACTCTTTCTTGTTCATGCTGCCATCAGCTCTTGCAAACCATCCGACCACGGCTGCCAAGCTGTACTCGGCCTTCTTCACTTCTCGAGCGAAACCTGGTTCGTGGCCTCTCTTGGCTTCTTGGCCGTAAAGAGACTTGACGACTTTGACCGCTGCTTTGACGTGCTTCGAACGAATGCCGTAACACGCACCAGTACGATTATTGAAGAATGGATGGAAGTGTGTCGGACGATTTCTGTAGCAAGCATCGGCAGCCATACTCATCACGAGCTCAACAATGTCTCTACCAGCACCAGTCAGATATTCCTTTTCAAGCAGCTCGTAGGCAATCTCGCAAAGTCGATTGAGCTCGTCTCTGCTCACTCTCATCCAAGACTTGTTCTGCACTGCTCGGGCGAAGCAGTCGATCAAGACCGGGATGGCATCGTCACCACGGTCGGCAGCCTTGGCCATGGCAACGCGAGTACTGCGGTATGAATACATGACCTCGGTACCGGATGCCTTCAAACCGTGGGGTTGCTCACGGACGGGCTTTTGTCTGCGACGGCGACGCTTTGGTGCAGCTCTCCAAGCAGCTTCTATTCCTCGTACAGGTGCTGACCTTGCTGCTGCTCTCCGCGCGCGTTTGGCGCCAAGTCTTGTTGGAAGCGTGGGTGCCGGCACGGGTTCGCGTATCAAGTGACCCAGGACGTCTACAACATGTCAGATATTTCCAGAGCTGGATTTCAATGGACGAACTGTGCTCCTGAATATGTCTTTGCCCGCGTCAGCTCGATTCTACTGCGTCGATGAGACCAGTGTACGTACCTGTTCGACTGCAGGCTTGGCAAGTAGCAATACTGGTAATACTTGAGGACATCGACGGGCTGTGCATAGGTAGCCATGGTGAGCAGAAGAATCTGCGCTTCGTTGAGAGGGTGACCAGAGTGATATGCCTGTGTTAGTAGCCAAACCAATTCATCCAACCTGCCTAGCAATTCCAAGCATTGACCAATATCAGTGATGTGATCGTAGAGCTCAGGATCGTGCGAGTGATGCTCCAGCGATATGGGACGAGTAGGGATCTGTTCATCCTCTGGGGCTGGTAGCGCCTGGGAATCTAAGTGAGAAGTGTGCTTACCCAATGCTTGACCGTACTCACCCCATCAATGTATCTGGCGGGACGCAGGTAGCCTTTGACGAAGAAGAGATAGGCTTGCAGAGGAGGAAGAGTGCTGAGCTGGTAGCACCAATTCGGGCAAGCCTTCAAGAGACCTGGGTGTCTCTTGAGGAAGTCATCAATGTCGTTCAGAAAGTGGAACGAGATCTTGCGCTTCTGCAGGTAGTCAAGCAGATCTTGGTCTGCGCGGCGGGCCAGCGAGGGCAAGGAGTCCAAGTGAATCTCAGAGCCATCGGCAAAGCGAGGCTTGAACTTCTGCGACAGATCGTTGGTTGCGGATTGGAGAGGTTTCGGCACGTTTGCTGTGTATGATTGCGCGTGCGGATCACCGTGAGGGATAGGGCCTCCCTCGGCGAAACTGTATCCACCTTCCATGGTGGACGAACGTTGAAGTAGTGACGGTGCGCAAAGAAAAAGCTGACAAGTACTGATGTGGTGGTTTTCGATCGAAGGCGCGGCGGGTGTTGGCGTTGGCGTCGCGACCTCAACACCTGAGGCAGCCACGACCTGACGCGTGTTTGACTGCTCAAACAAACAAACCGAGTCTACTGTCTCTCTGTCGTCTTCCAGTGCAAGGTTATGTCGCGCAGACAGCCATAGAAATACACAGTCCTTTCAGCAATCAGAGACTATCCAAGGAGAGTCGATAACACGACGGCTTGTAGTGGATGCTTCCTCTGCTCTGTAAAACACTGTGCATTTCTACAACTCTCAGCAGTGACGTGTATCCGTTGAGAGTCGTGAGATCAGGGGCTCTCTATGGCCTCCGTCATGATCTGTAAAGCTCTGAGCATTCTGATAGCTTCAGCTCCGCTTGATTGTTGGTGTGAGAGCGGGTAGCGAACCCTGTGCTGGCGATTACGACTACAAGTACAGTATTTAGCACATCTGGAACAAATACAGTTGATTTCTCACCATGTGACAATGTCTAGTAGTCTCTTTCAAGCGTTGAGAAGTGATATGTGTCATGCAATTCAATTTCGACGCATTTTGTACTTGAAACAGGGTCTAAAAGGTGTCCACCAAACGGGAAAAACAATCAATATCAACAAAATCTTACGCTAACATATGGGTATGAACGCCGGGTGAGGAATAAAGAATGAGGAAGGGCATTGTACAGAGCAACTTAGAAGACGCTGATGTAGTTGCCGATCCTGTCCTTCTGGTTCTGGGCGATGCACTCTGATATCCAAGTGATGTTGCGGATTTCCTGTGGTGCTGTTAGTATGATTTATGAAGGTTGGCAGAAGACAACTTACTTGCTCCCTCAGCTTCACCCACGAGTAGACGACTGAGAAGGTGAATTGCCGGGTGAAAGCGAGCTTCGACAACTCCATCTCCTTTTGGTAGAACAAATCTTCCAAACTCTTGCCCTCGTCCGAACCACCAGCCATGTTGCCAACGTTGGAGCCTGAGCCCATGCCAGTCTGGTCGAAGAAAGCACGGTAGTCGGATACACCATCGACAGCAATTCTGACAGCCTCGGGATCATCTGCTCTTGACAACATCAATGTTCCCTCGGGATGCAGCCTTCCGAAACCAGGGTACAACTTTTGTCTGTCGGCCTTTGAAAGATCGGTGCCGAATGAGTTGAGTGTGATGTTGATGCTTCTGCGGTCAGCCTCGAACTCGAGAATCTCGGTCATGACTTCGGCTGTGGGAGTGCCGGCAACGCCGGAGTGAGTGTTGACCCAGTTGTGGAAGTCCTCGAGGTAGTTCTTGTACAAAGTGTTGCGGATGATTTCAATGTTCAGTTCGTCCAGATCTTGGTGGCTCAGCGAACCCTTGAAGTAAGGAGCGAGGGGAGTCTCGATAAGAACACTGTTGTACAGCTCTTCGATGTTTGTGGCGACGCAAAGGGCGGGCATGGTCTCGAACCAGCCAAGGGGGTGGCATCTGTCGAGCAATTCGCGCGTGTCTCTTTCGTGAAGGGTTCCGGTGATAAGAAGGGCGACATTATCGATCATGTATCCGTAGGTCAAGAAGTCCATGAACTTGGCCAAGGCACCGGTAGCGTTGGCCTGAACGTAGCGGAACTCTGAGACGAGCTTGTCCAGTAATTTGTCGGCAAGAGCGCTCGTTGAAGGGTTCGGAGGGAGGTCAGCGAGGAAGTCGCCATATGCCGGGCCTAGTTGCAGCTTCACATCTAGTCGTTGGTCAGCAGTGGGTCATTGTCGAGTAGGGCGACGCGGCGGAGGGAGTACCATCAATCGTCTCGCATTGTGCCAGGTTGCTGTATTGTTGACCAGTCAACAGCGTGTTCCTGTAGCCGCGCACAACACCCTCAATGTAGCCGGTGGTGACGTTGAAAAAGAGACCTTCCGACATGATTGCGCTGCTCTAGATGGAAATGTGTTGCTGTCCCTCAATCGTCGCCTGCTCGTCGAGAGTTCGTTGACGTCGGCCTGCCACTTGCCAAGCCCCGATCCGACCGACACGTCATCTTGGCAGCGCGAGGCCGTCTCGCAATTATTCTTTTATTCTCCATGACACTAATTCACATCTAGCGTACACTCGCGCCAACAAGGGCCATGCTGTCGACTATCTGCTCATCGATGACCCCTCGGACAAAATCACAATGGATTCCACAACCTTTTCGGTCATTTGCTCACTCTTGCTTCAAAAGTCAAGCAAATTCGGACGGACAGAGTCCCTACAGAGCCTTCTATCAAAAACTGAAAACCTACCCTGAGCTGTATGAAACGTTCAAGGCCGCGCGGTCCAGAATCAATAAGGAAGTCTGGGCCAAACTACGTGCTGAGCCCGAATTGCTTCGTGCGAAACAGGAAGAATTACGTTACCACCACCACCACAGAATACGGTTCAAGGATGTCGAGGTCCGATCAAAGTCTGGAACCCGCGCCTTAGCTCATTACCATGCTCACAAACATGAAGAAATACTTGTCAGGACCAGGCTCATTTTCAGCTGGTGTTTTGGTGTGGACGTTGAGAGGAGCGCTTGGGCCCGTGAAAAGCTACCCAGGAAAACCCACTGTCCAGTTCAGCAACACGAGAGAACTTATCAGTTCTATGCGTGTTGTGGCATGCAACGCTATATGAAGTCGGCGGTGAGTATTTCAACGTCTCATCACCGGTGCTTTAACCCGTTACAAACAGAAGGGGTACTAACAGCATATCTGATTAGTGGCAATCAATATCAGATCCGAGCGAGTTTCTTTGCAACAAACATTACGCAGAGCGCGGTTGGAACCTAGCGATGCCTGAAGGCTACGTAGACGTCAGGACCCTCAAGGGAATCCGTAAACGCTACGAGGAATTGAACCCAGGACCTTCTTCAAAGCCATAACGTGCTCTTGCGATGACCGACAACAGACTCTTGACTTCTTTGATGCACATCATGCAAATCTGCTCCCCTATAGAAATGCACAGTGCTTTCCACAACCGAGTGATGACAACGAAGAGAGACTCCTTTAGATGTTTCCGTGGCCGCACTCGTGTTTCGCAAGCTATTGTGCATCTCTATAGTCCTCAACAGCACTACGAGAACATCGAAACGTTAATTTGATAAAATCGGATCTGCCAGTATTGAGCAATTTCTACTTGAGAACGCATTAGGCTATCCAATTCTTGATGATCACGAATCTTCTCCGAGGACAAGATCTTCTCAAGAACATGGTCTCGATTCAAAGAGATTTTGTGCATACCCACCGCTGCACTATGATGATCTCAAGCTTGTCGAATGAAAGTGATTCAAGAACAATGAAGGTTTTTGGATTGGTCGGGGTATCTATCCTACAACGGCAAATGAAACAATACAGAGCTATGCTATTCATTGCCTCTCCTACAACTCAATCAGGCTTTCTTCAACCTTTGGCTGGACAGGGACGTTCTGAGGTGCTTGAGGGAAACTCTCTTGACCATAACCATTATGCGTGGAAGGTGCCTGAGGCCACTGCTGCTGCTGCTGAGATTGTTGCGGAGGTTGCGAATATTGTTGGTGCTGCTGAGGTGGCGCTTGTTGCTGATAAGGCTGTTGGTATTGAGGTGGGGGTTGTTGATGCTGTTGGGCGGGCTGAGAATACGACTCTGGGCTCACAGGTTGAGGAGCAGAAGGCTCAGAGTAAGATTGCTGGTGATCAGAGGGAGAAACAGGGTTTTGCTGTTGAGGAGGAGCGTATTGTTGAGGTTGTTGCGAGTATGATTGTTGTCGTTGCAAATGAGGAGTGCTGGGGGCTTGTTGGTGGGGCGGGTATTGAGAGTATTGTTGTTGGTAAGCAGCCTCGGGAGGAGCCTGCTGAGGGTACGGCTGTTGGGCATATTGCTGATGCTGGTTGAAGGTAGGATAAGGACTCTGGTTGTAGGCGTGAGCATCCATGGCTGGGGCTGAACTGTTGTAGTAGCTCTCAACACCACCCATGGGAGCACTCGGCGGTGCTCCAACACCGGCGGACAGGGATGGATACATGCCAGACTGGGGTCGAGGGGCCCCGTAACGAGACTGGTTGTATGTGTTGGACAGACGCTCCTCAAGCATACGGTCGTAGTATCTCACAACAGTCGCCAATTTGGAGTGCAGGTCAAGAAGTGTGTCGTGCTTGCTCATCGTCTCTCCGTATGTCCTTGCCAGCTTTGGCCTCAACGAACCGATGCTTTCGTACAACTCTTGGAGTTGAGGTTCACGCAGGATAGCGCCTGGTGGCTGGTGTTGCAGGCGATCAACCAAAGTAGCGAAAAGGTTAATGTTCTCGGCTTCAACAGGTGTGAGCTCGTTGTTGGGCTTGGGTGCGTAGACGCTGGGTGTGCTAGATCCTTGGTGTTGTTGCTTGAAGCTGGCCGTATGTTTCTTCTTTTGCTCCTCCATGTCTGCCAGAGATGCAGCAATTGCAGCTGCCAGTTCCGGGTCGTCTTCCTCGTCTTTCTTTGGGGTCGGTGCCTTCTGAACTGGCTTGGGCGTCGTCATTTGTGATTGTGGCACGTATCCTGCGCCAGCGTGGCCCTTTGATTCCTCCAAGCTCATTTCGAGTGCTCGCTTCAAGTCGGCGTCGAACGAGTCTTCAGCAACACGGGGATCGCGGGCCTGCATACGCCCAGAAGTTGGAGGCTTCATGGCGCTGATGTGGGAAGGTACGGGAGTACCGCGTGACTTCTCGGTAAGCCTGGCGTAGCATCCATCGTCGACGCGAACGGGTTGCAGGATGCCGAGGTGGGGGAGGGGTATCGACTTGGCCGAACATTGACCACAGAAGACGTTTCCGCAGTTTCGACAGTGGTGCTTACGGTTGGTAAAGGTGAAGCGTTCTCGGCAGCGCATACAGACGTCCGAGTCGGCCCACTCGGGTGGCTTGAAACAGTGTTAGCAGGGTGTTTTGATAAAGAGAGGGTAGAACATACAGCACTGCTGTCGAACATGGTTGCAGCAACGTCGGTCTTGGGAGGAAAGCGGAAGCCTTCTCTTTGCAAGGAGCGGTATGTTTCGTCAATGTAGCCGAGAGAGGAGCGGCCGGTAGCGGCAGTAGCCCAAGACTGGATCAGATCAAGGATCCTCGTCTTGACCTCATCGTTCAGCGGAGTGTTGAGGAAGGAGACGAGGTTGTCCATGAACTCGCGCGAGGCGATCTCTTGGATGAAGTGCTCTCCGCCGTTCTTGACACAGGTGTCGGTCAGGTTCAGGGCGGCCAGTTGGATGTTTGGGTTCTTGTTGGCAATCCTCCTCTTGAGCGAGCGCATTGCCTCCTTGGGCGGGATGGTCTTGCTTCGGATCAGGTCTGTGATTTCCAGATTGAGGGCAATGTCCTCTAAGCTGCTTGAGGTTGCTCGCTCGACCTGTTCGTCCATGGCCGACGTGCCGGCACCGAACCACGACGCCATGTTGCTGCAGAATCTCTCGGGAATGTGCTATGCGGCTGATTGCTGTGTGTCGAGAGTAGTCGGGCGCAATCCGGGAGTGGTGAGAAAGTCGGGAGGTGTGGTTGGTTCGATGTATTGGAGCTTCTGGTGGTGCCTAACGGCGAGTGCTTCAGCTTGGGGAAGGCGCGACCAAGGGACCCACCAAGAACGTCACGGCCGCGCCTTCTCTCTGGGGAAATGCGTCCACCGGCTTCATCATCCACCACCGCCGTGCAACCCGCGCCTGCCTAACTTTGGAGCTTTTACTCTCACCTGCGCCTCCCTGCCGACGTGTCCCCTCGCGATATGCCCGACCCCGTCTCGCCCCGTCCGACTCAGTCATGAGCCCGCCCTACCCCGACTCTTCCACCGACATGGCCGTCCCCGACTTCAGCTCCGCCTCTACTCCGAATAAGCCATTCCCGCACATCGACGACTTGAAAGACAAGGCAAAGATCAGTTCCGTCGACAAGAACCAGTCTCTCAATCACCTGCTGGCCGAAGCCGCGACCGCCGTCAAACAAGCCGAAAGTCTTGTCGAGTACCGCCGTCCCGATCTTGCCTATGTCGAATACCTGAGAGCCTTTGAGATTGCCGTCGCCATCGTCCCGCAACATGAGCAGTACCCTGTCTTGAGCAGCCGGCGAGGCTCTCAGTTCAACCAGCACCAGTCCATCCTCCGCAAGATTAGCCAACTTGCCGATCGCTTCGACAAGATCAAGGAAATCATCATCAACGACAACCGCCGGAATGCTACCCCCAAAGCCTCCGACCTACCCGTTCGCCGCTCCTCTGTCCAATCCTCTCATACTCCCGCTACCAATGCCAATGCCGCCCTCGCCGATCGCTTCGCTAAACTGCGCATGCAACCCGCTTCCGTCGACACTCCTCTCGCGAGCAGGCGGCTCGACTCTCGTGCATCCCTGACTTCCAGCAATGGCTCCATCACTTCGCCCACCTCCTACAGTAACCGCTCCTCGCTCGACTTCGCCAACTCCTCCTTCGCAAATGGCTCCTCCATCAGGCCTGTTGGTCCACGCCAGATGCCCAATGGTGCCTCAGGCCACCCCTTCGCCAACCGCATGACTCTCGACACGTCTGTCACCGATGCCTTGCCAACGGCTCCTGCTCCTACCTATAGTCCAGCACGCAACATGAACACACCAAGCCATATCGATCCTCCGAGGACCACTGCTCGTAGTATGGTTGGATCCGGTGGAAGGAACAACTCAGTCGCTTCAGTCGCCTCTTCTTACGCACCAGGAAATGATGGAGAAGAATCACCAGGCTATTTTCCTCGCATGTCACAAGACCGGCCTCCAGCAGGCCCGCCTCGAAGAAAATCTGTACATCGTCCAACGGAATTACGCATCGGTCCTGAGCGCCTCTACGACTATCTGAAAATGCACAGCGTCTTGTTGATCGATGTTCGAAATCGACAGGACTTTGACGAAGGCCATATATACGCTCAGTCTATTATCTGCATCGAACCCGCTGCGCTCGAGCCCAACATGTCTGCCGAACAACTCGAGGACGCTCTCATTCTGTCGCCAGATGCCGAGCAACTCATGTTCTACAACCGCCACAAGTACGATATCGTTGTTTACTACGATCACGACATCTCATCCGAGAGTTTTATCCATCGTCCGGCGTCAGAAAGAGAAAGATACCTGAAGTACTTGTACGACGCACTCTACGAGTTCAACTCGGAAAAGCCTCTACAACGACCCCCAATCTTGTTGATGGGTGGTATCGAAGGCTGGGCAGACTTGGTTGGTGACCAAGCACTGAAAAGAACAAATACTGTCGCACAGCAAAAGTCTGGCCGTCCAATCAGACGGGTGCCCGTGGCTAGCAAAGAGTCGAGGTTGTATGTCCCCAAAAAGCGACTACGAGATTACAACCCGCTCGATGCCGAAGAAGAGAGGAAATGGCATGAGAGAGCTCGTGTTGAGAGCGTGGTTGTTGAACGAAAACCTTCACTTGACGAGGGAGACGAGCCGTGGCAGTCTGAGAATGGCACACCATCGTATCAGGCTATTGAGGAGTTTAATCGTAGATTCCCAGAAGCCGGCACTCTCGAGCAACGATACGGAGTCCAACAACATCCCGCATCGTTACTACCAGCACGACCGCAGCAAGCACCATCATACCCGACACCTCCTCCAAAATCCGCCATGCCTTCGATACCGTCAAGGCCAGTTCCTGCCGCAGCTCGTGTGTCGTATAGCGGTGTTAGTGATCACCGTGCTGTATCAGCTCAAAGCACCGGCTCCACATCCACGGACCTCGCACCATACGTGCCTCCGAAGTACCTTCCATCCAATCTACGACTACCACGAACCGGTCTCGTCAACTTTGGCGTTACCTGTTACATGAACGCAACGATCCAAGCTCTTTCAGCGACTACCCCTCTAACACTATTTTTCCTGGACGACAGATTCAAGACGTTGGTGCAGCGAGACAACTGGAAGGGCAGCAAGGGTGTGTTACCTGAGCTGTACGCAAACTTGATCAGAAGCATCTGGAAAGGAGATGTCGAGGCAATCCGCCCAAGCACATTACGTTCGTTCTGTGCTCGTCTCAACAGCGAGTGGGGCATTGATCGTCAACAAGATGCAAAAGAGTTCTTCGATTTCTTGGTAGATTGTCTACATGAAGATCTGAACAAGAACTGGGCAAAGACACCACTCAAGGCACTGACAGCAGATCAAGAAGCCACACGCGAAAAGATGCCCAAGCCGATAGTTTGTCGGACCGAATGGGGCAGATATACGCATCGCGAGCAATCTTATCTCACACAACTCTTTGGCGGTCAACACGCCTCTCGCCTACGATGCACGACCTGTCATTTCACGTCCACCACTTATGAAGCATTCTACAGCATCTCGGTTGAGATTCCACGTTCTGGTTCTGCCAGTATCCAAGATTGCCTGAGGTCATACTGCGCAGAAGAAAGACTATCTGGTGATGAAGTCTGGAAATGCCCACGCTGCAACCGCGAACGCGAAGCCACAAAGGAGATTACAATCACCCGCGCACCCCAGTTCCTCGTCGTCCACTTCAAACGATTCAGCGCCGGCAGAGGCGAATCTGCCCGCAAGGTCCGTACACCGATTGGCTTTCCCCTCAAGAATCTGGACATGTCGCCATACATGCTGCCCTCGCCGTCCGAAAAAGATGCTCATCTCATTGCAAAACAATATGGTGCCGATGCCATGAAGCCTGATCCGACGATGCAGCCACCATATCTTTATGATGCGTATGCCGTCATGAGACATATTGGTACCACGTTGACGTCTGGTCATTATACATGTCTTGCCAAGGATCGACCCAGAGGTTGTTGGAGACAATTCAATGATACGTGGGTTGGTGACTTTGATCCTGAGAGGCTGAGTGAGAGGGATCGCTTGCAGAATGAGATGGCATACATAGTGTTTTACGAGCGAAAGGTGACGAGTTAAGTCTTGACTGGCTTCTACTCGTAGGCAATTATATTTATCTTCCTATCAAACAGAGGGAACTCTCCTTCCGGGTGCCAGCGTGCATTATTAGGACCAATAAAAGTGCACAAAGATTTCGAGATGGAGGCGGAAGCCATTGAGAGATGCTGTCTCGACCTTCTTCTCCGAATCTGTGATGATCGGTCAAGACTACTGTGCATTTCTATGACTTGTAGATCACCTCCCGTTACCCTGGGACAAGATGATAATGTTTGACATTCGTCTTCGCCATAGGTATCTCTTTCGAAAGCTAGCTTTTGATGCGATGCAGATGCACAAAGGCTCTGGAGAAAGCGATAGAGTCCACCGAGAGATACCTACTTCGGCCTTTCTTCTGTAGATCTCTATCGATGTGATGCGATATCACCATGTATAGTTTCGCAGCTGTGAGAGGGAGAGTCTATATAGATTTCTGATCAATGCCTGTCCAATTTTATGCTTGCGAATTGAAGTCGCTTGACACAACGTTTGTGAGAACCGGGAACGGCAGAAGGACCTCAAAAGCTTGAGATTGTGTTTGCCGAAGATACTCCGCAGGTCTGCAGCTGGAGCAGGGTCTTACCTGCGTCAACAAGTTCCGGAACTTTTTTTCTTGTTTGCTTCGCTGCGACTCGGCACTTTCTCTTGTCACTGTGCTGGGTATCCAAGAATCAATTCATATGTACCCTCTGGCTTGTGTATGAGTGGCGGAGATGTAGTGGCAGTATTGTGGATGGTATGGCTGTATTTGTGTTTCGAACTTGACAAATCTCAAAAGACGGTCATTGACCAGTGCAATCTGTATTTCAATCTCATGGATACAACGTGTCGGAGTCAAACGAAGCTTATTGTGCTCATACAACCTCGGAAATGATATCAATGTATACCACGGCCTTCAGATACTCTGTTTCTGCTATGTCGTATCGTCTACCGACATCGACTCGACAAGCATACTCACCTCTCTTCTCCTCGTGGTTGGAACTGCGATGTATATGCAAGCAGCGAAGCAGTTCTTCATCAACCAATCAGCAATCGCTGTCAGGTCTCGTGGTCTAGCGGTATGATACTCGCTTAGGGAGATTGGCGTCAAGTCATTCTTGAAAACTCTAAGTCTATGTTGCGAGTGGTCCCGGGTTCGATTCCCGGCGAGACCCCTTCTTTTGCTCGTTGTGACATCGCTTTTTGGTACCAGAAGAATGAAGGCTGGAGTGTGGTGGCTATGAGTGCGAGTTTTGGCACGAATTTGATGATCCCATATGAAGCTTGAGTGAGTGGTGCTGTTGAACATGCAACAACCTTTTTGGCGAGACTCTTTCTATTGCCCTTGGGGTGTAGCAGTGGCATTGTTTCTGATACAGGAAGGACGAGGTGTGTGAGAGAGGATGAGAGAAGTTTTGGCAGAGCGTGTAGATATACCGAGCAAGAACTCTGTCTGAGGAGCATGACTACCTCTCTGTACTTATGACCAGTATCTCCCGAGAGGAAACCCGAAATTGTTCCGCAAACATAGAGGTTGAAGCAAAGGAACAATTGGTATACCTGAAGCTTGAGCATAGCGTGTACAGAGCAACTGCTTCTGCATCTGAGATCAATAGGCAATGGCTTGGCTTTGTAAGAGAAGCGGAAAGCATGCAAAAGTATCGTGGTCGTACTTCCATAGCCATGGACTAATGATGTCCCCTTCATTGTTTGGTATTTGTGGTCTTTTTCTGCATCATCATTCGAACGAGTTGACATGGGTATGATAGGCCTTTGTGTGCGACTTTTCTGTTTTTCGTCTCTCCTTAGATGCTCTTATATGAACTCTTGCGGCTCAACAGGCTCGACGACATTGCTTGGGGGAGCTAAGGGTACCGGAACGATTAGAAAACTTGACGAGGTTCTGATAAATGGCTTCCAGAGAAGGTGTTGTAGGATACTTGGAGTCTTTGTCGATGAGGACGGAGGAGGAGGTTGTTCCTGCTGCTTTTGATTGAATTGAAGAGGGCCTTCGGTCTTGAGCCTGGCGAGGAAGGGGCACTAAGGGGGAGCGACGAAGGAAAACAGGACAGCCTTGACGAGCTCGAGCTCTGGACCTACTGGATGTCAGTCACTGCTCTAGTCTAGCCATAGTTACGGCAACATGGAGAAACAGAGTGTGTCGTTGCAGTTGTTGACAGAGCCTCGAGACAGTCACTGATATTATGGCTTGAGGTGGCAAGCGACTTTGACACTTGGCGAACGGAAGTTCTCTATCGCGCTCAAGCACTTCAAGAAGCAGCTTTCAGATGAGACCAGAGGCATGTTACGTAGCAGGTATCGTCCAATGGCTGTTCAGGACGACAAAGTTGCAATCAGTGTGATTCTCGGTCGGGCAAAGAGAACCCGTAAAGGTCAAACCATCCGTCTCGAAACCCATCTGAGTATTTCCTGTCGCTCGAGCCGTTCATGCCGGTCGTGCCATGCAAATAATTTGCTGCCTCCAGCCTCGTCACGTGTGCTGCGCGTGGCCGGACAAACCAAAATATCAAAGTAAGGGCAAAGAGATCAGACTCGACCGCGCCATAGCCACAAGTATTGTCAACTTAGACGCTGACGTTCGCCTTGCAGCATCTCAGGTGGCGGTCGTGTCTTCTGTCGAGTAATCAACTTCATACAATTGATATCACAGGCAAGACATTTCCGTTTACGGTCAGGTAATGCGGGAAGATGGACACTTCGCCCGAACCATCTCCGAACACGCCAAAGGTACGAGAAACATCAGACTGATGTGCATACAACACGTTTGAGTGTTTTGTATTGTCGAACCCCAAACTGCATGTTTGTTTTGGACTCTTAAGACTCCGCTTTGGAGCTTCTGTGACATGCAGGTACGCCTTTGGCGACCCAGCTCGCAAAAACTCACCTTTTCGGGTTGTTCTGGCAGGATATCATTGAATAGTGCTCTAGGGGATCTCTATCGCAAGTCAAAAGCCACGGCCTAGTGACAAATCCACTTTGACAGCCAGATGCTGCCGAATATGGTGTTCTCAGTCAGACTCTCCGCGCTTGGTGGTACTTCGAGGTTGCCGCATACATGGTTGGGGGATATCCAAGAGATTGGCGAGTGAAAGGATTCGAATGTTGTTGCAAGGAGTGCAAATACCGTTGTTCCACAAGAGACAGCTCAGCCCACAGCGTCTTCCACAAGGTGGGGGATTCCGCATTGTGAGCCGCTGTTTGATCTCCGAGAAGGGGGAGCAGAGCACTGCCGCAGGAGAGTGCTGCATCCCAATCAGAGCATACCAGCCACATTTCGTTAGCAGTCGTCGCAAGGTCAATCGTTACCGAACCTGATTTCGTATCCGCAGGATCGCTATCGAGGCAACAGATGCATGTCAGTGGACCATGTCGCTTGCAGGAGCCGCTGCGGTCTCTTCTTAGCCTGATCACTACCTCACAAGCTCTAGACCGACGCAACTCTCCACGTCCTCCTCCGGCATTGGAGGATGTCACGCCCCCTGCCTAGCTGAATATGGGATCGATAGCTTGGTGTCTTATCGAGCCAAGGTGGTGCCATGAAGTATGTCCACGTAACGCGACGTGTAGGTGAAGCTGATATATCCACAAGCGATATTCGTTTCGTAATAGATTCCTGCATAGCTGTCGTCGTGCCTTGGGAGCTTGCTAATTGGGTCATCAGATCCAGTTCCTTTTACAGTCTGGCCATGATAAGTCTTGTTCGAAAGGTGTTCTCCAAGCAAAGTCCGGATCTCGGACTCATGCACATGAAGCATCTGGGTTCAAGGTTCGAAGCTGTTCATGCAAGAATGGTGTCAGGGTGAGAATCTAGTCTCCACGTCGTCCTTGCTACGGGTATCTCCCCCAGTGTTGATATCTGCAGGAGTCTTGCATGCGAAGCCCGTCTTGTTCGCGTCCTTCTCAGTCGCTTGGGTTGATTTCATGAAGGCTTTCGCATGTCAACTCAGTTGAGCAAACCAGCTCGTTGATATGCGTTTGGTACAGCATGCGCTTCAAGAACAGATATAACATGAGTGAGACCACGAAAGACTGAGTTCTCGCGTCGAGAAAGCAATCTCGTATTCAGATGACTTGTCAAGCGGTTGACCGCGGGTCAGTCGAGATCACAACGAGCGAAGCAAAGTCGCCATCAGACAAAGAGACCCCGGCACATCCAAAGCGCAAAAAAAAAACAAAGAGTAAAGACATCAGTAGGGTGAGTAGGATCCAGCTTCCGGCTGTACCAAGTACTGATAACCGCAGATCTCGACGCGATCATCTCGATGTTCATGGATGCATGTCCGAGATGATTGACAACACGTGCGACTCGCTATTGCGAGAACATACACACTGTGGTAAGCGATGAGTTAGTCATGGAATTACAGGATTTGATGAGAGTCGCTTCGAGTGCATCAACATCGTAAAAGATGCTTGGAAGTGGCTTTGATGGTCTGCCGTTGGTCGTGTTTGAAAAGTGCTCGGACGCGACTGTTGGCGACGGCTTTCTTGGTTCTCGTAGCGACACGGCTTCGTCGCGACGTCAGAGTCGAGTCGCGTTGGGTTGGAATTGTGAGACGTTCGCCCTTGATCTTGTCGCCTTGTCGCACGAGTGAATGAATCGCGGTGGATCTGGGGCATCGAGGGGCAACGCTATTGTACACGGCCGGGGTTTTTCCCTGACACGTTCGAGGCTCGAAGCAAATTTTCGCAATTTCTCTTGCCATATCGACCGCTCCAGGTGTCTTTGTTTCCACGATCTGCAAGCATCCATGTCGTTCAATCGGTCATTCAACCTCGCACCACTGGCCAATTGAAACGTCTGCGTCGGAGGTCTCCGTGGGGGAGCGGTTCATTCATGTCAACGGGCAGCCGCCCTAGAGTACTCGTAGCCTGTCCCCCGGCAAGTTTGACGGCAGCCGCCGACGTCAAAGTGTTGAGCCAAGGCGCCCACTCCAAGGCGTAGCAGCTATGGAGCCCCGCATTTGTTGCTCACGTGGAGATACCGAGAGACAAGTCGGCGCTGGATCTTGTTGCCTCTTGCAGCGCAAATCCCAAGCAGGCCTTAAAAGCTGGCAAGGTTGTAGGATCGCGTGTGCTGCAGATGTCGCGGTCGGAGACTGCAGTGACATACGTGGATGTGGCCGTGCGGTATTTGCAGCGCCTCCCGTGATGTCGCACACGACTGAGATAAACGGTACGCCCTTTCCGAGCTTAGCGTCCAAGATTGTATTCGCAGGGCGTGTTGGGTGAAGCACCTTATTTCCACCAGCCGTGTGAGATCCACTCCACTGCGGCGAACAGAGAAGTCGTTGAGTACTGCTGCATCTTCGGCCTGATGAACATGAAGCAGATATCAGTAGAGGCCTCATGAGGTAAGGGTTTCCTCTGGCTTATCACGGCCTTCTGATAACAGCCAATGCTCGGCGTGACAAGTCGAATCCTCCGACCAAAACCGCCATGAAGCAGTTTGGCTTCAGCGCGCTTCGGTAAAACATTCATCCCCCAGAGAGGCTAATAGGCTAGCGAACCAAGTATCCAGATCTGGGTTTGAGTGGGTTCTTTTGCCCCAAGTAGCGTTCTTACGAGCGAAATCCTTGCACTTCGAGTGGCCAAGACCGCGCCTGGATCAGTAGAGGCCCTTTCATTCTTTTCGTTTGCTCTTCCTCCTGGTATATATCTAGCGTGTGCCTGCCCGACTTCTCCTGTGCTACGCAGGTCTGTTTTGCTAAACCAACTTTTTACTTTTTCCAGGTTCATATCTTTCTGCCCGTCATGCCGTTCTGGGACAAGAACGAAAAGTCTGGCGACACCATCTCGCAGTCGCCATCAGACCCTTTCACCCGCGACTCTCACGACGAAGGTATCGTCCACGACAATGCCGATCATCTCCAGCGCCGTCTGGGTAACAGACAAATTCAATTGATCGCAATCGGTGGTTCTATCGGAACAGCTCTCTTCGTGTCCATCGGTGGCGGTCTCGCTCGTGGTGGACCAGCATCTCTTCTTCTGGCATACGCAATCTATTCGTGCTTCCTCGCGTTGGTAAACAACTGTATCGCCGAAATGACAATTCTCTATCCAGTAGAAGGAGGTTTCATCCGTCTCGCGGGAAAATTTGTCGACGAAGCGTTCGGCTTCATGGCTGGCCTCAACTTCTTCCTCTATGAGTATGTTGGACCCTGGTGAACCACGGCAAACCATTGGTTGATCCTTGTGGTCATCTTGTGGTAGCTGGAGATTGGTGATGTTGAAGCCTGGACCCTGGACTGACACTATGACAGAGCTTTGCTCATTCCTTTTGAAATCACCGCTCTCACCACTGTGCTTGGTTTCTGGTCGGAGGCATCAGAACTCAAGTGGGCAATCCCAATTGCTTGTATTGTAAGAGGTCTCGGACTTGCTCCAGGGTTCGTTGATGGCTGACAGTAAACCACAGATTCTCTACGGGTAAGACTTCCGACGCGCCAAAACCACCCTTGCGACTTCCAATCCTTTCCCATGCGACTGTCGGCTGGACAACACCCTCGCAACTATTTCTTTGCCTTGCACCTTTTTCCTTGCGCCCAAGAAAGACCGGTCTATCTTACCGCCCTTGCGACCTTTTCTTTATCGTGACTTTCCTTGTCTCCTACTTCTCACCCTTGCGACTCGCGCCCAGAGCAACCAACCCGCGCTTGAGCCTACCCGGGCTCGTCCAAAGTTTTGAGCTGACATGTGCTTCTAGTCTTCTGAACGTTCTTGCTGTGAAAGCTTACGGTGAAGCTGAGTTCTGGTTGAGTGGTACGTGCTGCCAGATGGCGTCTTGAGCTCGGAGCTTCAGCATTGCATTCATCATATTGCGGGAGTAATCTGTTTAAAGTGTCTGTCATCTCTACGAGTACCTGCATGTTCGGTCTGGAGCAACTTTCAGGATTGGTGCGACCATGCGCAATACACTCCCGCAGTACGATGATTTTGCATGCCTAGCTTGCAGGCTCAAGACACCGGATCGTTCCTTCCCTTTGCATATGCTGACTGAAGTTCTGTTGTAGGCGGCAAAGTCATCTTGATCTTCATGCTCTTCGCCTTCACCTTTGTTACCATGGTCGGTGGAAATCCCCAACACGACGCATATGGCTTCCGCAACTGGAAGCACGGAGCGTTCGCAGAGTACAGAACTCAGGGTTCCCTTGGCCAATTCGAAGGCTTCTGTGCGGCTCTTTGGTCCGCATCCTTCTGTGTTGTTGGCCCAGAGTATATCTCCATGGTTGCCGCTGAGGCCAAGCGCCCTCGCATATATATCAAGGCCGCCTTCAAGACCGTTTACTGGCGTTTCGGTATCTTCTTCATCGGTGGTGCCCTCGCTGCTGGCATCGTTGTCGCGCATAACGACCCCCAACTTGTCGCCATTGTTTCCGGAACCGCAGGTGGTGGTGGTACCGCTGCTGCATCGCCCTATGTCATTGCCATGAAGAACATGAGCATTGTTGGACTTCCTCACTTGGTCAACGCCCTGCTTGTGACTTCCATTTTCTCCGCCGGTAACACCTACACCTACTGCGCTACTCGCTCTCTCTATGGCATGGCTGTTGAAGGTCGCGCTCCTGGCATCTTCCGCAAGACCACTAAGAACGGTGTCCCAATCTTCTGTTTCTTCTTCGTCATGCTGTTCCCCTGCTTGTCCTTCCTCCAGGTGTCCAGCGGTTCTAACAAGGTTCTGACCTGGTTGGTTAACTTGATCACCGCAGGTGGTATCATCAACTACATTGTTATGACTATCACCTACATCTTCTTCTGGCGTGCTCTTAAGGCTCAAGGAGTCGACAGAAAGCTCCTTCCCTACTGCGGTTGGTTCCAACCTTGGTCCGCATACATCGGCCTTGCCTGGATGATCATGATCGTCACCTGCTACGGATACACCAGCTTTGCACCCTGGTCGGTGGACAATTTCTTCATCTACTACACCCTCTTGTTGCTTGCCCCGGTATCCTTCACATGCTGGAAGCTTCTGAAGAGAACGAAGCTTCAACAGCCCATGACTACCGATCTCGTCTGGGAACGCCCAGCCGTCGACGCTTACGAGGCCACTTTCCTCGAACCGCCGAACAGTTTCTGGCGCGAGATGATTCCGTTCAGAAAGAACAACGGAAGTGACCGTCAAGCCAGTGACTCGGGCAACTACTCTGGTATGGAGTAAGGGCAGGGAATGAGGATCCTCGGAATATTACCGATTCCATGGACTTGTATCAGACATGCACATGTATATTACGACCAAAAATAAGCTGCTCTTTTACTTGTACCAATATCTCTGTGTTCGAAGTACCCTGGTGAAAACCCGTATTGGACTCGTCTCTTGGGCTTCTCATGTTTGAAGCTTCGCGGATCGTTCTATTGTATCGCAACCAACACCCGTTGTGAATGTCAATGGCAGGATCAATCAATCTGTGCAATCAAAAGTTCATCCATGGCTTGCCGTTCCTTGATAAAAAAAAAGGTGACCAAGTGCACAAAAGCAAAACGTACAGCAGCAGGGATTCCCACGTGGTCACCCACCGTAGTACTAATCTGCCGTTCAACTGCTTATGTATGGCAGAGCGGACGGGATGCCCAGTTTTCAGCTGACTGTGGCCGTACGTGCTTGAGAATAGAGATTTTGACATAACGACTAGAGCGCATTAATGATGATCTCCGTCTTCCATCCGCAAATCCAGCGTCTCGCTGATGTTGACCCTTGGATAGTGATTACTCCAGTCAGGCTGCGGGGGTACGGAGAAGCTATCGCAATGCACAACACTGTCAAGCAAAAGAACACTGTCCATCGAGAAATGATTCAATCTGGCTCTCTTAGGATATATCTCTGGTGTGAAACCATTTGTGCCTTTCTATAGTGATCACACTGCCTTGGATCCTCTTGAGAGAAGCGCGCAAGTTGCGAACTAATTGAACAAATAGATAGACAGGAGTGAAGGATGAATCTGTTCCATAGTAGAAAGCGCATGCAGCATGCCGCTGTGCTCACTGTCAGTGACTGACGGACAACCCTCATCCAATCGTCGCCCTACAATTAGCGCCACAAACACGCCATGCATATCAAACGCCAAATCTCAAGCGCTGATCATGACACACCAGAATCAGCCATGTTCCCTTTGAGAGCCAGAACTCCTTGATCATTTACAACAGGCACCTGGAAGAATAAGGCAATATGTTTAAGAAGCACAAAAACACTTTTCTCGACTTTCCCGGGAGCTAGAGCTCTGCGCGTCGTCAAAGCGCTGCTTCAATCTGCAAAGCGTAATTTGCTGCGACTTGACTTTGAGAACGATAGGATCCTGACTGCCTTCTGGGATCGATTTCTTGCAACATGTGTCCAGTCGCGAGTACCTCCAAGATACCGTTGAGGTATCGCGCGCCATACCGCTCCAGCCCTGGCGGTATCCGTGAAGTCGAAGAGATGACACCCTGTCATTTGATAATGTTTCGTCAGAGCCTACAGTATGACATTCTCAAGGCACTTTGCTTCGCTATGCAGTTTCGTTGTATGCACACTGCAGGCGAGCCACACCAAGTTGCAGCGGTTCTCTGATTCATAGGCTGGGAGACGCATGTTCAACGTTGAGAGTGTATGGTCTGGATGATCCATCATTCCCACATAAGTTTTGTTCTCGACAAACCTCTGAATTGCGTTCCATCAAACACTTTGACTCAACACCAAGAGTCCTGCCATCGTATCTTCAGACTCTAGCTTTGCATCAGTACAAACTCGACCGTGAGTTCTCTTGCTGAGGAAATAAACACTGTCAGACACTGAAACCGAGTAGTCAGCCATGTGCGAAAACCGATGCCTCCACTTCTTAGGATGCAACCACCTCGAGACTAACCACATCAGGAGATGTGCTGCAGCATTGGCTAGCGGTAACAACGTCATCTGTATCCCTCAGTCTGGTTCCTTGCGAGATTTACCTCGAGCCCTCGACCCCCAGGATCGGAACTTACCTGGCAAATGTCGATCAAGCAATGGCTTCACGCCTCGTAGCTCTCAGGACTCTCAGCATTGATTGCCCGTACAGGATACCAAGGGCAACTGAGGGTAGCGATGTGGAAGTGGTATTGGCGGCATGGCCAGGGCTTGTTTCAGATCAATCGAGTATGGTATTGCATTTTGCTTGAAGACCACTTGGGATTTATTCTTTGCCGTGGTGTTGTGCTACGGAACGCCGCTATTGCATTCATCTGCATGTACCATGCTGTCGGGTCTTACACGTGATGCCAAGCTGTCGATGATGTGGGTGACACCGGCAATCGTGAGTGATGTTTCGGCACTGTTTGTAGAGACAATGACCTTACGCCCCAAGTTGTCGAGTCGAGGAGGAGGTTGGTCATCATTGATCGCGATGTTTTGGTCGCGCATCAAGTGACTGCCATGCAGAGAATAAATATCGAGTGGGCCCATCTCTTTCTGTACGCAACGGTTAACGCCATCGATGACCTTGTTGATCTCGCCTTTTCCAGAAACGAAAACTAGGATATCGCCTGGCATTTCTCTAGAGTGGACATGGATGATGGTCTTGACGATCTCTGAGATGAGATCTGATGGCGGCTGTTCAAGATATTTGACCGTGACTTTGTGCTGGCGACCGCTGACTTCCTCAACGACTGCTTGTGGAAAGAAACTGGTGAAGAGAGCGGTGTCAATGGTGGCGGACATGACAATCACTTTCAGATTGTCTCGTTCTTCCAGAAGGCTTTTGAGATGGCCGAGCAGTATATCGGCGTCGCGAGAGTGTTCATGTGCTTCGTCAATAATGACAACGCCGAAGCTGCTCATCGTAGGATCAACCTTTGCCAATGCGAGAGTTGTACCTTGATAATGTGAGCTCATGCCGTCGACGCGTAGATTTGACTCACCATCACTGTGAACCTCGAGATGTGTCCGATTGCTCGTCGTGTCATGGTCTCGGTGCCTAAGTCCGACGACACTACCTAGCGGCACCTTCATTTCTTTCGCGATGCGCTCGGCAACCTGTATATGAAGATTGTCAGTGAGTATCTTCTAACGAAGGCAGAAGGAAGCAGCATGTATGAGACTCACAGATTCTGCTGCTACCCGGCGAGGTTGCGTAAGACAGATATCCCTGCTGATTACGTCGGTCAGTGACTCGAGGATACGCTTTGGTATCTGAGTCGACTTTCCCGAGCCAGTCTCGCCAACAACGATTGTCACAGGGTTGTCTCTGATTGTCTGGAGCAGCTCGGGCATACGCTCAGAGACAGGTAGCTCTGCAGCGCGAAGGCGCATGAAGTGATAGCCAGGAGTATAGCGCTTGCCAGTGTAGGGATTGGAATAAGGTAGTTGAGACATGATGTGGACGAGATTGCAGGCAGAACAGTGTCTGCGAGTGTTGAGCAAGAGTAGTGAGGGATATGGCCTTGGTGACGGTTATGTTTGTGCCTGTGTTTGCTTATGCAATCGATCTTTCTTCGAGGCACCATGTGGCAAATTTCCGTTAACTTCTTCCCTGTAAAGGCACGTAGAGATGTCGTGAATCATGAGAATGCACAGTCACTTCTCAGTTCAGAGACGTGACTGCAGAGATGACAAAGGTGGCCTCCTTCCTTGGATACCTCCTTCCTTGAATGCCACAGCTGATGCTATAGAAATGCACAATGTTCTCTGTAGTGAAAGAAGTTGCCTTAAGAGACTGCAAGAAACTTGCTCTCATTGGACTTGAAGAAGAATTTCCAAAGTACTGTGACTTCTCATAACACCATTCATCACCTGTGCACCGCTGGGAGCGCGGTCTCCCTGATTTTCCGTTTCTCCCTCAGTTTGTTTTGGTCACCATCTCGTCGCCGTATCCAGTCTCGCATTGTCATCATCTCGTGCTGCCACATCACCCTTCCTGCCCACCCTAACTGCGTTGTCAGTGACATCTCACCATCTTGCCCTCGCATCAGTCATGGCCAACATCTCCGATGACTCGCTGGCTGCCCTTGTCACGGTACTCGACCAAGTCCGTGGACTCGCTCAGCTGAACATAACGCATCTGGACACCGCCCCCAACCGTCAAACAGTGGGAGCCTTCATCACCATGGTCAGCGATATCGTAACACAAGCTGGCATTGATCCCCTGTCACTACAAAGACAGCAGTAACCTCGCATGTCTCGCCGAAGACGTTCTTCTTCCACAGCCGAGTATAGGCCTCCCGACCGCAATAAACGCCCGAGACTTGCAATTCGTCTGCAACTAGATCGCCCTCGCAGTGCGCATACTTCACCATCGTCATCTCCAGAGAGAAAGTCGACCCTGGAACAAAAGCTGAAGGGGCTCTCTCTTGCCGAACACATCATGGACGGCCTCCGCAAAGATGCCGAGTCTGACCCCCTGGCTCGAGTGTCTTCGTTCGAGGCCCCTGTGCCTCCCAAGAAACTCAAAGAAGATGGTAAGCAAGACAAGACGGTGTCATCCTCTGTTACCCTCTTGACGCTCATACTGAGAATCTCAGGTACGCCCGTCCACCAAGCCGAGGGTATGGAGAAGTTCATGTGTGCGGTCATTACCAAATATTACCGAGTTCAGAAAGACCAAGCAGCAGCCATGGGCGCGGGAACTTCCATGGCCTACAACACTCCACTTCTTCCTGTTGCGCAATACTCCCAGAAGCCTCAGATCCCCGGCGGCGAAGGAAATCTAAAAGACTTTTGCACCTTCTTGAAGCAAATTGCCACTGCAGAGAGGTCTGCCGCTCTGCACCGAGCTGGTACGGATATGTGGGTCATGGAACTCTGGGACAGCGTGTATGCTCAGGTCAATGACACAAAGCCTGGCATGATTAATCACCAAGCTAAGACTATCACCTCCGAGCTTGTCTTGCATGCCTTGGGTAAGAAATTACCCGAAAACTACGCGCCAGAGGTCAGCAAGGACCTCTTGACAGAAGCAGGCTTGGAAAGCATCCCAGCCCCTACGGGACCCAGATCGAAAGGCGACATATTGGCTCTCGGCAGAAGATTGGCCTACTACAAAATTCTTCGAGAGTTGAGGATGGAAGATTGTCAGTTCGTCGGCCTTGCAATGGTCGCACGCACAGAAACAGCTTTTGCGAAGTATGTAGGAGAAGCCACGTGGGATCACGTACTGCAATGGGCAAGCTTCTTCAAGCCCATGGCCGACTTGATCGAGTCGAGGGCCCTTGGCGACTGGAGCGGCAGGGCAGAGCTTGCCAAGATCTTCGGCGAAGATGGTGCAAATGTGCCAGCTGTTGTGGATTGGCACAACTACAATTCATCCTGGAACACCATCGACGATCAAGAGCAGTTTCAGCACATGCATCCTCAAATGGACCTCGGTCCGCTGCCACAGGCAGAGGTTCAGTTGGAGCGTGGGTTCGAAGGCATTACCGATGAGAACGCTGCTTGCTCTTTGTGGCCGAGATGGGATGATAATGAGCTTGTCGTCTGTGCCTCCGTGCCAATCAAGGCACCATCTTTCGTCGGCATCCTTCCTGGTACCATGATGTTCGATATCGACCGCGAGCCCGCATCGGGCATGTACCACGGCCCCGAGCCAGGCCTCTTCATGGATCCCTCGAACAGAGTCGGGCTTCTGAGCCACATACAGCGCACTCGGGACTACGCAGAAGGCAACGTGATCTCTGCCTGGGAGCCCTACGCTGATGAGGATGTGCCAGACCAGATCTGTATGCACCTCGTCGTGTTCGCCTACCGGCCCGTGGAGCCCGCCCAACCACTTGTTCTTTGGGAGCACCTGGCTGTGGAGTAAGAAAGCTTTACCGATGGTTAGAAGAGGCTCCTCTTCTTTCTTTGTTCTCTGTTTTTTTGTATCTCTACTCGGGACACATATTTGCAGTTCTTTGTTTTGACCACTCCGGACACACATGTCTGCAGTTTTCTTTGGTTGTCATTCACACTCTAGATCTCGGTCTACAGTTCTCTTGTGTATAATCACTCTGGACATTTGTCTGCAGTCAACGCCATCGTCGTTTCTTCTTCCAGTTTTTTTAGTCTTCAATAGCAACGCCAATGATCAATCGTCCTTCTTTCTAGTATTCGTGTGACCTTTTGATGATGATGGTGACGCATATGTTTTGTAAGCCCAGGCGAAAAAAAGATACTCGATATTTTGATTCAAACGGGCGAAGCTCTCAATCACAGGAGTTAATAGACTATCCATTGGATGACCTTTATTTCGGTACCACCCCACGAACATTTCTGTGCTATGCACGTTGCACTTGCACCAGAAGATGAGACATTAGCATAGAAGTGAAATCAATAGACTGTCAAGATTTCTATTGCAATGCCGGTCAGGCTACAGGAAACTTCAAAACATAAACCGTGGTTGATCAGCGGATGGTGGAACAAAAGCTAACGCCACCGTCTTCAGTGGTCAGACAGAAACTAAAAGCCGAGCTCACAACAGAGGGAGAGTGACTTGAGGTTGTGTCCCCAGTGGACAGAGAAGAACGACAGACTCTGACGACAGAGGGGTTCGGGCAGAGCGGAACATGATTCGATGATAGCAAGAAGAAAAACCACGATCCCTTCCACAGTGGAAGGACCCCGAGGCGTTGACATCCGATGGAGGTCCTCATGTCTCGCGCTGGAGCGCATCTGTCGAGAAGATGCCGTCATAACCGAAAAGCTTCTTCCTGTATGATTGCTGATTGTGTGCGGGAGCCACAGATCTTCTTGGTGACGATGAGGGAGGCTGCAAGGACGAGGTAACGCGATTCGAATTCTACAGCAGATTCCAATCAGTGATCTGAGGGGGGAAGAGTGGGAATGGATGTATGATACTTACCACGGGGAAGGAGGGCGGCGGTGGTGGCGGCGCACGGGAGGGAAAGTGCGGACGTCGTGGAAGAGATGCGGGCATCTGAAATGGGTATGGCATGTGCGGGTATGGCATTTGATGACCAGCTGCGTATTGCGGAGTCCAGAGTACTGGGTGAGGTGCCCAGATCATGGGTGGGACTGGTGGTGGTTGCGATGGCCACACGACAGGCTGTGTGGGTCCATGAGGGGTCATGAACGAAGACTGCGAGTATCCTTGCCATGGTTGTGAGTGTATTGCCAGAGGGGACGACTGCGAGAGCCTTTGACTTTGGTTGGCGAGGAATCTCTTGTTCTTGATGCGCTGGCTGCTCTCGCGTGCAGGCACTGTGAACGCCCTTGGACAGTCACGCACCCCTGTGGGCAGGAAGTCGCCTTTGGCCAGCAGAAATTCTGCACTTTGACCTTGCCAGTCGGTCTTGACGCGCTCTGTCGGCATGGGGCCCTTGCTACGTGCTTGGACGAAGGGGGGAAGCTTGTACTCGTGATCTCCGTGGCGCACGAGCATCTGTCGATAGACAGCGTCGTTGTAGCTCATACTCCATGACAGTTGGCACTGGACTTTCTCACCGCCGAAATGACGGCACTCTGAGCAAGGATCACGCTCATCTGTAGGATGATGAGACTGCTTGTCACACTGAGCCGTGTTAGAACCTCCCTCGGATCTGTTGCGGTTAGACTTACCTCTCTCATATTCTCGATACAGGGCCGGCAAGCTATTCCTACTTCGTTGGAGACTCTGTAATGCTGGGGTACAATCATGCCTACGAGAGCTGGGCTGACGTTTGGGTGATGCTCATTCTCGCAGCCGCTGCAGTTGCCCGACGCGGCAAAGCGGTAGCAGGGAGCTTGGGTCTCTGAGTATGCCTTGATGTCCGGGTTGTCCATGGTGAGAGCTAGAGAAAAGTTGTCGAACCCAGTGGTATGTGCTCGCGATGTGTGTTTGTGTGGAGAAGTAAAAGCACCGAGGATGGGCTTGTGCGGATTGAAGTTTGCTTGACCACCGAGGACTCGTTGCCTTGGCGTTTACTTGCTGCTTTGTTTGTGTCTGGTTGTTTGGAGAAGAAGAAGTACAGAGTATAAGACAAGAGGGCGATGTTTGACGCAGTGAGTCTTTCGAGCAAAAGACCCTTCCAGAGCTTTCTTTGTCAGGAGGCGTGTCCCTGAAACAGCATAGTCCACTGATATATGACTGTAACTCACAATGGTTCGAGCGCCTTAGAAGATTCGACCATCTCTCCTGCCAGCAGCGAGGAGAGCTTCTTGCTATATGCTTCACTCCACACGTAAACGTACGAGTGTCTTGCAAAAAGGATTGCGGCGACGGAGACTCGAACTCCTGGTCTCTGCATTGTCATGTTACCCACGAGGTGAAGGAGAGGAAACTGCAGACTGGTGTCCGTAGTGGTAAGTGCAGTAGCGTTACGAGCTCGTGTTTGCAAGACACGTGTATGCTACGGGGAAGTGGTATGTGCAATAACGGAACGAGCTTGTTTTTGCAAGACACGTCCACGCTACGGTGAAAGGGGACCGAAGGTGTTACCGACGGTGAAATGGGGACCGAAGGTGTTACCGACGGTGGTTTAGAAGGGTAACATTACGAGCTCGTGTTTGCAAGACTCGTGTGACGCAGCGCTCTAACCACTGAGCTACCGCCGCTTTTGTTAGGCAATATTAAATGCCTCATGTTTGTATACTTTCTTGGAGGACTTGCGCTGCATGTGCCCAAAACGAGATGTCAGAACAAGACGACTGTTGCGTGTATTCTCAGGATCTCAGATCTCCATCACCCTGTTCTTTCCAACCTGTTCGAGGGACCGACCTTCCCTATATGTAGCTATGATCCTTTTCCGCGCTTAATTTCTTACCTACAGCAGTTGGAACCAGGAAGACTGGAACGATATCTGAGTAAACATTACTCACGCGGAGCAATCATCCAGATGTCTTGAGTATTCATCCATCTCAAATGGTGTATAGATTACACTAGTGACTGCAGAATTCTACCTGTAAATCACATCCAAAACAAATCATTGAGTGGCAAGAAGCACGAAGAATGCAGATATAGCCATATCTGGGCTGCGTACTCGGCAGAAATATGTTACCACGGATTTGAATACTTTGCTTACTGTCATCCGCCGCTCCAGACAGGCTCAAGAGACCGAAATGGTAAGGGCCTGCTGCTGATTGCCTACACAACGTTAGCTCAGACATCATTGGTCCCAAGCAAAAACAGAATTGCGGCGAGAGAGGTTCGAACTCACGATCTCTGCATCTTCAGTGTTACCGTATGACTGCAGACTTGTGTCCGGAGTAATAACACTACAATGCTTGTGTTTGCAAGACACATTGATGCAGCGCTCTAGCCACTGAGCCACCGCCGCTTTTGTTGGGAAACAGGGCGTCATTCAGATCTACATGTGCTTATTACTCCATAGCATGACCTTCTCCGCGATCATCTCTCGTCTGGGCAGAAGATGGTCTTTGCCGATGATCAGCAGGCCAAGGTGCCGATGGTAGGCATTCAGCTACAGATTCATCGATTCCTATGGCCAGTCTCTATACAGCCATATATCACTTCCGTATCATGAAGTAAAGCAAAGCTGCTCCCCGTGACGCGCCTGAGAACTTGATGGCGTTTTGCCAGCATTTGAGATCAGAGATATCGATGTGACGTTCGATTTCCCCTCTTGCCGTTTACTCCTGGAGATCTTGAGGAACCTTAAAATTGTTGCTGTAGAAAAGTTCCACGAACGTCAGTCACTTGTATATCATTTTGAACACATTACTTGCGGCGAAGATTCAATGGTGACAGCTGCAGATCTCTGTCCAAGATCAAGACACAAGACAAACAGCTTGGACAAAAAGTTTCAGAATGTAGACATATCTTTGTCAAGGAGTAGCATCAACACCTACGCATGTAGATAGTCTCACCTGACTGGAGCTGTCGAACTCCAACCTTGAATGTCACCTCTTGTCTGCGCAAAGACTTGTTTGTTTGTCTCATACATCAGCATATGTCATTGTTTCTTTGTGCCCTAGGTCATTACGAACAAGCTGTGGCGATTAACTTCAACTTTGAAGCAGCTATATTTATCATCCTGATCGTGGAAGGGGAAGCACGCCTTTGAATGCTCTCTGATGATGCACCACTTTCTGAGACACTGTTATAAGTACAAGGAAACTACAAGATGAATTTGACGGTCAAAACAAAGGAGGGTTGGGGATGCAGATAGTATCTGCAGTGATCACAGTAAGCTGAGGATAGCATGTGTTCATGGTGGTCACGAGTTGAGAGACCGAAAATAGTATCTCCAGTGATACTTCGGTAGGGGAGAAGAGGAACAATGCTGATTGATTTGGAATGGAATTGATGTTTGCTGTCTAATTATCAGAACGCTAGAGGGCTCTTGTTGAACACAGCGCATCAGGTCGATTTCTCTCTGACAAGCTTGCCATACTGGGCGACGAGCAGCGATGTATACTTAAGGAAGCTGCTCTCTTTGAACAGTGCCCAAGACAGAAGTGGGAGAGCTGGCGCAGTCTCACCGTCGGAAGTAGATGAGGTGTCTTGTGCGGTGCCGTTTCCATCCATTTCTTCGTCAATCTGATCCTCGGATGGCTAGTCTTTGCCAGGAGCCTTAGGTGGGCCATACTTGGCAACAGCGCTACCATAGCTCATAAAGGCAGGTCCGGGGTGCAGTCCGATTGCCGACATTGGGTGTGAGAGTGTTCTGTGTTTGGTGAGTCTCAGAAAGACTTCTAGGCCGATGGGATTGTTGACAAGGTAGTCGGGGTTGGCGGGAATCTTGGTTCGATCCAGACCTTTAAACCAAGAGGTGCGAGTAGAGTCTTCTGTCTTGAACTTAGGACAGTTGGAACCCCAAAGATCGTCCGTTTCCTGTTCGCGGCAGGCGGCATCATCTTCGAAGGCATTCGCGAGCATGTCGGGCTCATTCTCTGATGCAGAATCAGTACATTATGTATAAACTGTAGGGAACAGCATGGTATCACGACTCACCATCAGAGATTCTCCGAATCTTCTGAGCCACGATACCGGAGGCATCCATCAAGCCCTGCACGAGTGTCTGTAAAGAAGTTTGGCGGCTTAGAGCGTCTTGTTTCTCAGCCTCGAGGCGCTTTGACTGCTGTTTGGTGTCGTCCAAGACTTTCAGAAGTCCTCTGACATGTCTCAGCTTCGCTTCGGCCTACAGACGATGAGTTATCTGGAGATACACGCGCCTTTGTTCCATTTCTTACCTCGGCGCACTGGCGTTTGGTGTGATGCTGTTTACAAGACAGACAACCAATCCGCCAAGACTCATGGCGACAGAGCTTGTTGATCTCGGTGGAGTAGCTCGAGGGCATCTTGTAAACCAATCTGACGTTGTGTGCGAGTTCTGGTGGTGAGATTGTGGTGTTGAAAGAGTTTGGTTCTGCGCAGACACTCAGCGCCAGGGGCCAGTCCGGACTTTTCGACTCTGAGCGACGGCGACTTTCACTCGCGACAAATTTGGCTTGTCGCGAATGCCCGCAATAATGTTTGTGCGCTTCTTTTACCCGTTGTTTGACGCGTTGGAGATACAGGAGTGTATGCAGGTGCAGTCTCAAAGACCTAACAGGATGGAGGAGAGCTATGGAGATGCACAGTATTTTAGGAGGTAGAATTGATTGCTGGACTATCTGCAAAGGAAAAGCAGCAAGGCATACTGCAGACTTGTGCCCGGAGTAAGAATGAAGGGTGAAAAGGAAAGAGGACAAGCCCAGAGACGACTCAGAGGTGGGCGAAAATGGAGCCGAGAAGACCTTGGAAGCCATAAAAAGCATATGCCTTGGTCTTTCATGAGCTCGAAGGGCAAGCGCTGCTGGTAGGCGGTCGATCTGGGCTTGACGGTGGCGAACAGCTTACTGACGGGCGAGATGCTGCTGACGGACGAGTTCTTGCTGGCGGGTGAACTCTTGTTGACGGGCTGCTTCGTGTTGGCGGGCAGCAGCATCTGATTGACGCAAGATCTCAGCTTGTTGACGAGCAGCTTCTTCTTGACGGGCGACATCTTGCTGCTCAACGGCAGAGAGAGCCATGCCAAAGTGAGGGGTGACGGCAATCATCGCACGGTGACGTTCTGCGGAAAGTGGGTTGGGGTATGAGCGAACCGTTGTGTGTTGTAGATCCCAGTTGTGGAGACGGTCTTCATCTTCGGGTGCGATTTCGATCAGATCGTGTGCGGTGTGCGATCTGCTGAGGGCCTTTTTCTCCAGCTCGTCGATGTCCTCGCCAGCGAGACAAGCGTTGGTGAGTATACGGTGCATGGCGCGTGCCGAATATATCACTGGATAGTGAGCGGACATTGTTGCGGTATTGGATGATAGCGTGATGATTGTCAGATTTTCGAGAGAGGGTGAGAAGGGACAAGAGAGAAATAGACAAGCGGCGATGATGGGACAAAGCAAATAGAGAAGACAGCTAGTGAAACAGGTGTTTGATGAGATACACGGGCTTACAACTGATCACCGAGCCAGCACGGTAGCTCTCACTTTCAAAATGCCGGTCTCTAGCTCCAGAAAGAGCATTGTGACTTACGAGGAGCTGTCAAGATGCACAACATCCTTGGAGAATAAATGAAGACCGCTGAAAGCGGCCTGGTATTGGCTCTCTCTGGCCAACCTTTTGGTCTGAAGCCTCGAGATCTTCCACGCCGCTGTCCCAGCAACAATCAGCATTTCTGTCTCACCTCTTCTTGCATATCCGTATTGAGGAGTTCTTAATACGTTGATGAAGACGCTTGAATTCGATTCGTAACGCAGATATGCGGAGTACATGATACGTGGATAAGAAAGACATTTGCATATCCACTGGAGCCTGATTGGCTTTTTCTATACCTTTGTAACATGCTCCTCGTAAGAAACATCAATACCCTTTGCGGCATCGAGTCCTGCTCCCTCTGCGTCATGACGGAACTCCTCTTCGCGAAGTCTGACTTCTTCCAAGACCACCTTGTTGGCCTTGCGGACAGGCTTGATCTCGAAGAGGCGGTCCATGGATTCGAGAGGAATACTCTTGGTCTCAGGTACCAGGAACCAGACGAACACGATCGAGGCCAACATCATGCTGGCAAAAAAGAAGTAAACCCCCGAACCAGAAGGTCCCATGTTCAGGAACATCAGGGGAGTGAATCGTGAAATGATGAAGTTCCACGCCCAGTTGTTTGCGGCAGCCTGTATAGTGGTTAGTGATTGTTATACGATGGGAGGGGATTTTGTGACTTACTGAAGCTTGACCCAACGAACGTGTGTTGCTATCGAACATCTCGCTGTTGATGACTTTTTTTTATTAGTTTATGCTCAATGTGAATGAGAGAGGTTGGAAAACTTACCCCAGGGTGTACCGTTCCATGAAGGGCTGTAGAAAGTGGTCCAGAGGTAGAAAAAGAACACGGCAGCAGTACCGCCGGGGCCAAGCTCCTTGCCGTTTCTCTTGCCATCAGTACCGAGAAGGTAGCCACCGATGATCCACATGCAGACCGAGCCACCAGCAGCACCGATCATGAGAAGATTGCGGCGACCAAGTTTATCGATGAGGAACAGGAGCCAGACGAATGTGAGGACAGTCTTGACGACACCGAAGAGACCAGTAGTGAAGAATCCAGTGTTGGTGCCGGTGATACCAATTGACTTGAAAACAGTGGGAGAGTAGTAGTTGATGGCGTTGATGCCACTGCCGTTCTGCCACATGAACAAGAGGCCTCCCAGAAGGAAGCGCCACTGAACCTCACGGCTCTTGCCAACTGCCTTGAAGGGAGCGAAGAAGCCCATTCCCATGGTCGATGTTTGATGCTCGATAGCAGCGTCAAGAGAGGCGACTTCCTCAACGATGTAAATGTCGTTGCTTTCGAGCTTGCGAATCCAGCAGAGGTTTCTGAGACCTTCCTCTCTTCTACCCTTGGAGTACAACCAGCGAGGTGATTCCTTGAGCCAGAAACTTCCGATGAGGAGAAGACCGCCTGGAATGAGCTGTACTGCGAAAGGAATTTGCCATTGGCGGCGGCTGGCGGGCATGGTCTCGATCAGGGCGTACTGGGAGAAGTTAGAACTTTGATATATCATCAAATAGGCATTGTCGTCGACGTGATTGCACAAACATTGATCCAGAACCCTACAAGTCCACCCAATTGCCAGCCCATTTCGTAGATACCGACCAGTCGGCCGCGGACAGCAGGTGGCGAAATTTCGGAGATGTAGATGGGGACCTGAGTTCAGGACATTAGCACATGTTCTACCCATTGCAAAAGCTTTGAAGTATGCTAGAGACCACTACACTGCATCGGTAGTAGTCTTAAAAGCATTGAAAAGGGTTGTGGTTGTGGTGGTGACGAAAAGGGAGGGGGTGAAGCCTACAATCATGGAAGCGCCACCGACGCCGATACCGGCAAGCACTCTACCAGCCAAGATGGGCGCCAGATCTCCGTTCTTCGAGATCAACATGATGCCAGCGCCGAGCATGAATACTGTAGCGAAAACCCACAGACTCTTTCTGCGGCCAAGGAAAAAGGCTGAGGCGTAAGCGAACAGAGATCCGAAGAATGCACCAGCTTGGTAAACAGAAACGATATTCGCCTTGATAGTGGCTAAATGGTGAGCCTCGATGTGTTTGAATCCGAATTCATGGACGAAACTTGGGAGAGCAAGTGTTGTGCCAATGAAAGCCGAATCATAACCAATCATGCATGATGCAAAGGAGGCGACCATTGCACAAGCATAGACTCGCCAGTTGTAGACAGCTGACGGAGTCGGACGATCCTCGACAAGTGTGAGGAGACCCATGGCGTTGTGATGTGCTGATGTTTGGCGGGTATGGGAAAGTGAGGGACAAAGAAGAGGATGCTCTGGGACGTTGGCTGGGGTTATGGGGATGCTTTTATGGTCCCATTCTGTGGGAGCTGATCAGCGTACGGTCCCCATGGGGTACCTTCAGATCCGGGTTCTAGATGACAGTTGGAACCATGAGTTCTTCGGGTTGACCGAATTTGTGTGAGGCAGGCTTCAACGTCCCCGCATTTCTTCCCCATGCGAGCCTCGTTTGCTGCGAACAATGCGGGAAAACACTTACCCCATCGAACTCTCATGGTCTTGGCCGTTTCCCATGTGCAAAGTTTGTTTCGCAATGTCTGCAAGGTGGCACGAGATCATTGAGACGATAGCAGCATTAGAAGGACTTGATTCTTTTGCTTTCCCCGGCTGTAATCCTTAATTATAGCCAATCGTGATCCAACAAAATGTAGAAGTTCTACTTTTACATATGCATTGTAGATCTTTAGTATGAAATGTATCTATAGAGATTCGACAGGCGGACTTCCATTCCGTCGCGATTCTTGCCCTAATAATGTTGTTACCGGACAATGCTCAACGATACCAATGCTCATCTTGGCAGGAGTCGCGCAAGCTGCCGGCATGTGAAGTCGGATAAATTCTTAATATGGGGTCCCCGGATATCGCTATCCATAAGTACTGCCCGGCCCCCCGTTCCGCCACAAGCAAACGCCAACCCTACCTTTTCACTTGGCTCGGCTCATCAATTATCCCAAACCTCACCACCACCCAAACACATTAAACATCATGTCGAAAGGATCGATTCTGCTCATCAACGGGCCCAACCTCAATCTCCTCGGAACCCGCGAGCCACACATCTACGGCCACGAAACCCTCCAAGATGTAGAAACTGCAGCACAGAAGCATTGTTCGGGTCTGAATCTCGAAATCTCCTCATTCCAATCAAATCACGAGGGTCACATCATTGATCGCATCCACGAAGCAAGAGGAAAATGCGATTATATTATCATCAACCCCGGAGGTCTGACGCACACCAGTGTCGCTTTGCGCGATGCTTTGGGTGGAGTTGCTATTCCCTTTATCGAGGTTCACATCAGCAATGTACATGCTCGCGAAGAATTCCGTCACAAGAGCTTTTTGAGCGACAAGGCTGTCGCTGTGATTTGTGGATTGGGCACTTTTGGATACAGTGCTGCTATCGAGTTCATCGCCAAAAAGCAGGGAGCAACAAGGCATCAATGATCTGGATGTAATATGGATTTCCCGAGCTTCGATGGTCATAGAATATGGTCTCACGCTTCTCATAGAGAATAACAAATTAACTTGAAATATCATACACATTGCTATCTTGCAGACAACGCGCATCATCCGACCGCCCTCAATTTCCAGACTTTCGTCCACACACGAAACGCATTGCGTATGCCACCAAGTCTGTACATATGAATGCTCGTACTGGAAATTACCGTTCATTCATTGCTATCTCCATAACGTGCACTGCTCATTCTTACAGGCGACTGATAGCATTGAACCTGTGACGCTCGGCTTCTCCTATCAATATGTGAAAGTTCGCAGTATACCTGTGACTTTGTGTTTGATAGATATGTGTCAATGTACAAAGACAGACTACCATTGCAATCATCAAGGTATACACAAGATTATCATATATACTGCCGTTAGGTGTATCTCTGATCACTATGCTACCAGATAATTCGCCGCCGAGTTCTTGCGATACCGTGCCCACATCATGTCTGTTCCTCCACAATAAGCAGTTTTGGCTGGAATGACAGACAGGGGTCTGGAAGCATCTGGACCGGTGTTGCCACCTCACTGCACATGTAATTCGATTGCAGGCTAACATCTAGAACAATCACGCATAAAACTTCAGCCAGAATGATCTGTCATTTCCAGGCTCTTTCAAGCGTTCGTTAATCGTCGCGGAAGATCATAATGGAAGAGAATAGAGCCAATTCTGGGAATTCAAGGAGCTAGTAGTTTGCTTTCATGTCATCCGATAAATCCAGCCAGGGTGCTCCGATCGACCGCCTTCGCGGTAAGCCCTTCTGTAGGAAGTGCAAAGTGAAGAAGATGGACAGTGGTTCGAACCATGTTGATAGATGCGAAGACAACCCTTTTCCGTACGGTATCGCAACAGACACACATCTAAGCTCTTGCGGCATGATGAAAGGATATACACGAGATGCTGTATCTGTTTCTGTTGATGCTATTGCATCTGTTTTCTATGAAATAATCATCTAAACTCGACAATTGTTTTCGTTACGCTCGATCAAAGAACGCTATATTCTTTCTCTACAGATCCTGCACCGCCGGCTCACCAGCCCAGCACCTCCTGATCATCTCCCTGATTGGCCCCTCTTCGATCTTCCTCGGGTTTGAGTAAGCATTACTCAACGTCTGCTGCACACCGATCTCAATATCACTCTCTTTCATGCCGAACCTCTTCAAATCCATCTGCATCCCTAACTTCTCCAGCAAAATATTCATTCCCTTGACCGCATCACCCTTACCCTCCGGCAACGCCTCAGCCAACAACTCCATCGCCCTAGGTGTCGCAGGAGCATTGAACGCCAACGCATGAGGCAAAACTGCTGTATGTGTGTCCGCGTGCGGTAGATTGAATGTGCCTCCCAGCACATGGCAGATCTTATGGTGCAAGGCCATCTTCGTGCTGCCCAAACAGATAGCGCATAGCCAAGCTCCGTATTGGGCCTTTGTACGTGCTGGGATGGAAAGGGGGTTGGTCTTGATTTCAGGCAGGGCGGAGGCAAGAGCGCGCACGCCATCTTGGGCGAGGAGCTGGATTATGGGATTTGTGTCTGGTGCGTAAAGTGCTTCTACTATTTGCATCTGTGAGTTTTTCATCCAACATGATGGTAAATGCAAGAGGAGAAGTCGGAGGGAAAACTTACCAGCATGTGCGATAGCATTAACACTACTCGTCATGCTCATTTCCACCGGCAGCGTCATGGTCAAATCAACATCATAGATGACCACATTGGGCTTGATGTCCGGATGTGACTCCGTCGTTTTCTTGCCATCAACCGTCTGTCCCAAAATCGGCGTCATCTCGCTTCCGGCATACGTGGTAGGGATGCAGATATGAGGCAATTTTGTCTTGAAAGAGATGGCTTTGCCGAGGCCAATGGTGCTGCCTCCTCCGATGCTGACTACAGAATCGGCATTGAGGGATTTTGCAAGATCCAAAGCTTCGTCGGTGATGGAGATTGGTGTGTGCATTGTTGCATTGTCAAAGATTCCCACGGCTTTGTCACCGAGAAGTTTTGTGAGCATTTCTGCTTCCTTGATCTGGAACTTTGTGCAGAGGATCAGGCATTTCGATACGCCGAGAGCTTCGGCTTCTTGGGGCAGAGTTGACACTTTGCCTTGGCCGAAGATGACTCGGCTGGGGGTGCTGGTGTAGATGAAGTTGTCCATGTTGAAAGAATGAGTGTTTTTGGTATGCGCTGGTTCAAATCGCATCGATCGTGGTTCTATATGTCCGTATATGTCCTCTCATCCGCGCGATCACATCGTAATTGAGCAGTTCAGGATACAGTCAGACAATAGCCGATATACGAACTAACTGCGAGTATGGTGGAGCATCAGGGAGGTAGACCGGGTAAGAAATCTTCCGACCAAGACAAGTTGGCTTGGCTCCTCCATGCATTGCTTGCCCTGACCACGCAACGGCACGCGTGCTGCTAGCCGATACATCTTGTCCGAGCAAATGAGACCCACCCAGCCGCGATCTGGTCTGGACTCATCAAGATTGGTATGTGGTTCGTATTCGAACGGTTCAACTCCATGCATCAGCTGATGCGTGTTTACCCTCTCGACTACAGTTTGACGGAATGTATTGTTCAGGCACCCTACATGTGAAAGGACAGAAGATCATATGGAGTCTTTGGAATATAATTGTCTGATCATCCCCATTTATAGCTGTGTTCTTGGTCTAGGCGTGTAGTCTGTAGCGATTGATCTATAGTTTGGCATCTGCAAAAGCAGGGTTGAACGTTCTTCCCAGAGCGTTGTTCACGGCCTGCATCATCTCCATCTTAGGCGCAGGCTTGCCTGTCCATGCTTCGAACTGTCCGAACGCCTGTTGTTGCAACACATCGATGCCATCAAATACATTCCAGTTCGGAGCTGCCAATGCTTTGGCAGTGATGGCAGTCTGCTTTCCATATGCCATCTCTACCAGGACACCCCTCTCCACTTTCGGAAACAGCCAATCTGGTACGTCCGCCTCGGTAAATACTTCCGCAGGTATGCATCCGACAATGACTGAGATTTTGAGCGATTCCCTTTGCGAGCGCTCCTCGAGGATGTGAAGAGATTCGACAATTTCGATGTTGTGATCCGGGAAGTTTGCTACTAGTTGTTGGGCTCGTTCTCTTGTGCGATTGACGACCACAATGTTCTGGATACCCAGCTTGACAAATGCGTATACAGCAGCTCTGGCAGCACCACCAGCGCCCAAGACTACTGCTGTCGTTCCCGGTACGTCGAAATCAATCCTGCCGCCTTGGATACAGCGAGTGATGCCGAGCCAGTCAGTGTTGTCACCGAAGAGTTGTCTTTTGTTGCTGCCAGGTGATGTGGAAGCTACGATGGTGTTGACAGAACCCATGACTCTCGCTTCCTCGGATATGGCATCCATATATTTGCCGACTTGCAGTTTGTGAGGAGCTGTTACTGACAAGCCGCCGACCTTTGGATCCTGAAGCAATCTTTCAACAGACTCATCAACATTGGGAACTTCGAACAAGCCATAGGTGTGAGGTAGTCCCAATAAACGAAAACCAGTGTTGTGTAGAAGTGGTGAGAAGGAGCCTTTGATGTTGTAGCCAAGCAGATAGTATTGAAGACCTTCGGTGATGGCTTGGTCTTTTTGGTTGCGTGTAGCCATTGGACTGTCTCTTGTCATCTGAAATATCCGCGATGTATAATTCGATTGACAGTAGAGTTTGGATATGAGCTGGGATGTATGTAATGGAATCGATTTCAAGAGAGTGGTTGTCCTGTTCGGGCAGACGGTGGTGACGGGTAAAGGCTTTACCGGTCTGGGCGGGAGGACCACCTCGATTTGTGGAGACGAATGAACCAAACTTTCCCAAACGGCCGTAAAGCTCGATCCGCTCAAGCAATATTCACACCTTGTGGATATAGGAAGAATAATGTTCCAACGAAGGGTTCTCAGGATTGAAAGGAGTTCGGAGCAGGCACGGAGCCAATCCTCTGCATCATGTCGTGGTATGCTTGGCGCATGTATCGAATCTCGGCGTCTTGCTGTTGCAGTCTCTGATGTAGGGCATCATTTTCCTTCTCAAGATCCTGGACTCTCAGGCTTGGATGTAGAAGCTGGTTGTTGGAAGTTCTAGGCCGATAGACTGGAGAGGGTTGATGGTCTTGAGTAAGGGCTGGTGAGTCAGGAACGGCATCACGCATTGAGGGAAGTTGAGTTTCTAGAGGAAGCTGATAGTCCACGACTGGGGAAGGCTCAGGGTAGTCATGGGCCGAGGATGGATTGTGTGATTCCTCCGGAGGTGCTGACCAATCTTGTTCATGCTCAGTCGGAGTGTTGGACTCGGAGGCGGCATCCTTGGCCAGCTTTGCGGCTAGCCTCTTGCCAGACAACTTATAAGGACGATTCTGATGCAAAGGATGGCCTTTGGGATATCTGCGTATCAGTGTGGGATTCATCTCACGGGCGATGTTGTAAACACGATCCCTTCCGACAATCTTGAGCTCGGGATATTTTTCACGTAGATGCGTATAGAGCTCGCCGCGATGCATTTTCACGACATGCTCGTCTTTGTACTCTTCGGTAAGGACGTCTTTGATGGTGTCTTGTAATGCTTGCTCGTCGGTTTCCGGACGGACGCGCTTGTGCAAACCAAGCTTCTTTCGTGTCTCCATGACTGTGCGGCGGTTGATGACATGACCAGCGTCGTTCAGGATCTTACTGATGGCTACATCTGTTTGATATGGACCATGAAACAGTTTGGTTAGCTGTTCCTGAATGGCGTCCTTGTCTGGCTGTGAGCGTTTGGAGATGCCCCAATTCCTGAGGTGGCGCTCGAGGGTGCGCTTTTTGCAGGTGATTTTGTGTTCAGCCTCAAGCTTCTCGATGACTTGTTGTACAGTCAGGCCGTCTTCCCAGATCCATCTGCGAAGGTCTTCCTTGCGTTCCACTATACCGGCGATTGGGGGAGGCATGTTGACATGGCGTTGGCGGAAAACGTAGGCGGATGGCGGTAGCTCTGGCGAAGCGGGAAGCTGCGACCGAAAAGAGAGCGAAGCGCCAAGAGCAATGAGGCTCTGCGGGACAGCCCTCGGGCGACCTGCCGCGGCGAAAGAAGTGGAATGCGGAGAAGGCAATCGCTCCTGCTGCAAAAAAAATGTCAGCAGCGAGTCGCGACTTCCCAAATACCCAACACATCAACCCTCCGCACAATGAAGTTGTCAAATCCATCGGCGGTGCCCGTGTACACCATCTCTGGATCAGCGACTGCCCGTCCCCTGCCCGAATGGCTTGCGCGACAGAGGAAGCGCAGTCTCAAGCAAGACCCCGAGTGGGCCAACAGAGTCGAGCTGCTGCAGGACTTTGAATTCGAAGAAGCCTCGCAGTGCGTGAGGGTCAGCGACGATGGCGAATGGGTCATGAGCACCGGAACCTACAAGCCTCAGCAACACGTTCACTACCTACCGCATCTGTCCCTGTCGTACGCCCGCCACACCGACTCGCTCAACCAGACCTTCCTCCTGCTGTCGTCCGACTACACCAAGTCGCTGCATCTGCAGACTGACCGCACCCTCGAATTCCACACGCCCGGCGGCATGCACTACCGCACTCGTATCCCCCGTTACGGTCGCGACCTCAAGTACAACAAGCGCTCGGCTGAAGCCCTCATCCCTGCCTCGGGTGTCAACGCGGATGGCATGGGCGAGGTCTACCGCCTGAATCTTGAGCTGGGACGTTACATGAAGGCTTACGAAGTCGACGTTGGCGGCGATGACTGGACCAGCTCAGGCGCCGGTGCCCTGCAGGGCGGAATCAACACAGGCTGCGTCAACACGGCCGCCATCGCCGAAGACTCGCACAACCTCCTCGCCTTTGGCACGAGTATCGGCACCGTCGAGTTCTGGGACTCGCGCTCTCGCAGTCGCGTCGGTCTCCTCTCATCTCCTACCCAATCACAAGAGCAGCGTCCACAAGTCACCGCTCTCGAGTTCCACCGCTCTGGCCTCAACCTCGCAACCGGCGACTCTGACGGCATCGTCCACGTCTACGACTTGCGTTCCCCCATGCCACTCCTCACAAAAGACCAGGGCTACGGCTACGCCATCCAGACTCTCAAGTACATGTCGCCCACATCGACACAAGTTCAGAGCGAGAAGCTCATGTCGGCCGACAAGCGCATCATCAAGATCTGGGAAGCCTCCAACGGCGATCCTTGGACCAGCGTTGAGCCTGCTGTCGACCTCAATCACGTCGAGTGGTGCAAAGACAGCGGTATGCTGCTCACTGCTAACGAGGGTCGCCAGCAACATTCCTTCTTCATCCCTCAGCTGGGCCCTGCTCCCAAATGGTGCTCCTTCCTCGACAACCTCGTCGAAGAAATGGCCGAGGACGCCCAAGACCCGTCTGCCTTCAATGCTGGCGCACAAGAGACTGGCGCCGTCTACGACAACTACAAGTTCCTGTCAACCCAGCAACTTCGCGAACTCAACCTCGACCACCTCGTCGGCACCACCTCCCTCCTCCGCCCCTACATGCACGGTTACTTTGTCGCCCAGAAGCTCTACGAACAGGCTCGCCTCATCAGCAACCCCGACATGTTCGAAGAACAGCGCGCCAAGTCCATCGCCGAAAAGATCAACAAGGAGCGCGAATCTCGCATCCGAGGAAACAAGGCTGTCAAGGTCAAGGTCAACAGAAGACTGGCAGAAAAGATGGCTGCAAGAGAAGAAGCAAACGAGCGTCGCAAGGCCAGACGTGTCTTGCGACAGGGAGGAGACGAGCCACAACCACAAGCAGAAGGAGAGGACGAGGAGGATACAGACAAGCCAGCCAGAGGTGTTCTCGGCGACGACCGTTTCGCATCGCTGTTCCAGGACGAAGACTTCGAGATTGACGAGCAGTCGCGCGAATTCCAGCTGCACAATCCCTCGACCGTCCCTGTTGCCAAAGACGCCGAGCGGAAGCGTGGTCTCACAGCTGTCGAAGAAGAAGCCAACCAGTCCATCCACGGCTCCTCGGACGACGAATCAGAAAGCGAGATCGACGATGCTGCTGCAGAAAGACAGCAACGCGGTGTCCAGCGTCGCAACGACCGTGGCGACGACAATACTGTCGACAAGAACCGCATCTCATCTACCAACTACCGCAAATCTGGCCACAAGTCAAAGCAGCCTCAAATGTCCGTCTCATCCTCGCAACCCAAGAACAAGAACGCAAACGCCAACCGTCGGGATCGTTCCTTCGGTGACCTTGCGCAGAATCTCAGAGATCAACCCAAGAGCAGCATCAGACAAGGAGGTGTCGTTGGTGAGAAGGAAGTCACATTTGCACCGCAAAAGGTGCAGAAAAGACCTCAAAGGCCGAGGGAGAGCTATGGTGGTGGTGATGCCGATGATGGCAATGGAAGAAAGATTCCCAGAGGCAAGGAGAGGAGAAGTGCTTCTGGTAATGTCTTCAGAGGCATGTAAGTGGTCATTTTTGCATCTGCATCTTGGTTGCATTTTGTTTAGAATTATTTTCATGTCAATATACCCTTTTTCGTTTCACATTCGTCTCTGATGCGTCTATATGTGAGAGGTTCTCATGGCTGGGATACTGTGTCAAGACTGGTTGGGGGACAAGGACAAGTCGGTATGTCCCCCTCGTATTTTCGACTAAATACAGGCGCGATCGAGGCAATTGACATGCACAATAGTCTTTGAGCTGATCAGTAAGTCCACAGAGAGCCAGTATCGGCGCAAGTTTCAATGAATTCTTTCTGTTCATCGAAGCAACTGTGCATTTCCATAGCCGCTCGCGTGACATACTTTGACACTCGGAGAGGAAGCAAGCTGGTCTAGGGCATCGACATGACCAAGTCATATCCATCTCGGCAACCACGACTCTCAGAATTTTGCAATGTGTCCTCCCAAAATCAAAGCAGTATCTGCTCTGGAAGCTCACAGACCAGAGTCAGCATAAATCACAGTCGTGGCGTGTTTCAAGATGTATCATGGCCAATCTCCCCCTACGCTCAACGCCGGAAAGCGCGGTTTCCGTGGGCTTTCCCAACCCAGGCACCATCACAAACTCTCCTTTCCGCTTTATAAACACCAGATCTCCGAGAAAATGATTCTTGCAGTGCTTGAATACATTGTTGGCTTTGCTGGTGTTGTAGTGCTTTCGGCACTTTGTTTGCATCACGGCCGACACATCTCTTCACAGGTATGTTCTTTTCGCATCCGCGACATTTTATCCAATCTCGATGTTGTGAGGCAATGAATGTGTTCTGACAAAAAAATAGCACTATGGAGAACGGACCGAATGAATTGACTGAGGATGAAGGGAGTCCTCTTGTCTCTGTTCCGGCAACGTCAGAACAACAAGAAGACCATCGTGTCGACAACAGCGGTGAACGCGAGTTCGGCGGTGCAGTGGGAGTCAGCTGCATGATGATTGGCTTCCCTCTACTCATGTACTACATGTGGATCGGAGCAACCTTTTACAATGGTCACTTACCCTCTCGCACTCCCGGACAAAGCTGGTCTGCTTTGTTTTCCCACCTGGGAAACCTCTGCTACGAACATGCTTTCCCTCACCTCAAGGCATGGACAATCTATTGGACCTTCTTGATCTTCGAAGGCGCTTGCTACCTTTACATGCCTGGTGTCTACGGCAAAGGCAAAAGACTACCCAGTCTCGATGGCAAGCAATTGGAGTATTACTGCTCAGCAGTGTGGAGTTGGTACACCACCATTATCCTCGCCGTTCTCCTCCACGTTTCTGGTCTCTTCCCTCTCTACACCCTGATCGACGAATTCGGCTCCATCATGAGCGTAGCAATAATCTCTGGCTTCCTCGTCTCCTTCATCGCATATTTCTCCGCTTTGCATCGCGGAGCTCAACACCGCATGACTGGCTCCCCCATCTACGACTTCTTCATGGGTGCAGAACTCAATCCTAGACTTTTCACTTGGTTGGACTTTAAGATGTTCTTTGAAGTCAGGATTCCATGGTATATTTTATTCTTGACTACGCTGGGCGCTTGTGCGAGACAGTACGAGAGATATGGTTACGTTTCTGGTGAAGCTTTGTTTTTACTGATGGCGCATTTCTTGTATGCGAATGCTTGTAGCAAGGGTGAAGAGTTGATTATCACCAGTTGGTAGGTTGTCCTTCTGCAATCTTGAGCCTTTTCAAATGCCAGGAAAGAAGAACTGATCTATCTCTCAGGGACATGTACTTTGAGAAATGGGGCTTCATGCTCATCTTCTGGAATCTCGCCGGCGTGCCACTCAGCTACTGTCACTGCACGTTGTACATCGCCAACCATGATCCTGCAGAGTATCACTGGAACCCTTACCTTCTGACCCTCCTCTTCATCACCTACCTCTTTGTGTACTGGATCTGGGACACGGCAAATTCGCAGAAAAATATGTTTAGAGCACAGGAAAGAGGTGTAGAGTTGAATCGAAAGACTTTCCCGCAGTTACCGTGGAAAGCGGTCAAGAATCCTGTGGCCATCAAGACAAAGACTGGTGATTCGATTCTGTGTGATGGGTGGTGTAAGTTCTGCTTCTTCTCTCTTTTCCTTCTTCCTTCTTCCTTCTTCCACTTCTTGGACGTCCAATTTACTGACATGCTCCACAGACGGCAAAGCCCGCAAAATCCACTACACCTGCGATCTCTTCTTCGCGCTTTCTTGGGGCGCCATTACGGGCTTCGATTCACCTTTTCCTTGGTTTTACCCTTTGTTCTTCGCTTGCATGATTGTGCATAGAGCCATTAGGGATATTCAGAAGTGTAGAGAGAAATACGGGGAGGCTTGGATGGAGTACGAGAGGAGGGTCCCTTGGTTGTTTGTGCCGGGTGTCGTATAGACTGGCTGCACGAAGTGAGGTGAAAAGAGAGGAGTTGGGAGCAGAGACGAGAAGGGAAGGGATGTAATGATGGAAAGGCGATTGGGAAGGTCGCCGTAGAGTGCACGTGGATACTGCACCTCTCGTATGTAGGCGTTGCAAGAGCGTGTGACTATCACGATGCACAGGAATTTCGAGCAGCAGTTAGCGTAATCCATCGGAATGTGATGTTCTATCAGCTTCCTTCAAGTCACAACTCTAGGTTCTCAAACCTTCATGCAATTCCTCAGCAGCAAAGAGTCCATCTGAAGCTCCGCAAGGAGAGCGTAAGAGACTTCAGGAGGTTTGCAGACCTGAGCCACGCGCTCTACTCTTCGAAGAATCGGTGATCTGTCGCGGTAGGCACACCAGAAACTAGAAGCGTGAGCAACCACTTCCTCGGGAATGTCCAGCTCGTAGTCATGGTTGTAGCTGTTGAAGGTGGCAAGCAGCACCGGCGAGTCGGTGAAGGAGGGTGGCTATGGCGCGACATCATCATGCGAGTATAGCTTCTTGGTCACGGCCAATCGAAGAGCCTCATCGCATGCACCCTTGTGTCGGCTGGCCATGATGGCCTCGGCGGTCGACATGCATCTACTGGTCTCCAGGTTTTGCAGAGCCATGGACTCGCGGTACTTGGTGATTGCGAGAAGCTCTGCACTCGGTGCGATCAAAAGATGACTGGAAGACGACATGGACATCAGCGCAGATCCGACACGTGGGGATCTTCAAGTAGATGTTGTAGTCGATGGGCACGATGTGATGAACGAGCTTATGAAGGATGAAGATCACTGTGGTAGATTGACTCGGAGAGGGAGATATGCGTTGATACCTGCATGTGAGTATAACTTTTGGTCAAAGCCAGTCGTATGGCTTCCACTCATGATCTCTTATAGCGTTTTGCCATGACGTGTGACTATCACAACCCACAGTAGTCATGTGTGGACAGCAAAGTGTCGACCAAGATGAAAGAGTTATCGAGCTCCCCCCGAACGATACTCTAGTCTTGAAATCACTGTGCCTTGTGACAGCGATGACTCTCTGGATGAAGCGTGATGAGGAGAGCTTACTAAGGCACACAGGGATATGAACCTTGTGTGTCCTTCTGAGCGCACGTCGTGATTCTTCGCGAGCCTTGCTCTCTTGATGGTGTTGCACTTGTCTTCACCTTGGAGGCGATGGTGGTTATCGCGGATCGGCGCACGGCGATTGGCAGCCGCAGGTCGTCGTCTGGCGGTGAGTCTAGCCTGTCTGATACGCCTGTCAAGCTCGATGCGATTGATTGGGGGCATTCTGAAACATGTGGTGGAGATAGAGGACTGAGGTTGTCTGATGGTTTGCGTCTGTCGGAATGGAAATGTTGGATTGATAAGGTCGGCCAGAGGCTAGTGGTTAGACAGTGTTGAATGAAAGATGCTCACATGAGAATTGTGGTGATGAAACTATGCACAAGTGGGTTGTCACCAGAAACTATCATGTCGTCTGATTCCAGACGAAGGGATGAATTCAAGAGATGTGAAGCATGAGAAGAACATGGAAGGCGACCCAGGATTCGAGGACATTCTTACTCCGAGAACAATGGACATATGATTAGGACTGAGTTGAGGATCAGCTATCTGCAAGCGCTGTAGAGTCTTGTAGTGCAGTGAGCAGGTGACGCAGCCAATGCGGTGGCTCTCATGGCGGCAGAGCTGAGCGCGGTCTTTGGTGTAAGGTGAAGACATCTTCAGTATCGTAGGCGAGTGTGATCAGAATATGTATGATGCACGAAAGATCAGAATCCGATGCTGGTGAAAGAGTGTGCAATTCCGTTCTCGAAGTTCGACTGCAAGTGAGTGAAGTGACACACTCAACACGTAAAGATAGATCTCTCGCGTTGACCACCTGGGCCTTGGCGTGCTCTCTTCTAGGATCTTCTATCTGTCGGCACCTGAGATCAGGGTCATGGGAGGGATCGAATGTCATTCTCCCTTTTCTATCCATCCAAATGCTCGGGTTGTGGTATGTTATTCTCAGATCATGTTGAGACATCTGTTTCGTCAGCAGTTATAACGACAAAGAGAACGAACACTGTACATGATCAACTCATCTCCCATGGCCCTCCTTTTCGGCCACTGCATCCATCACAAGGTCAACGCGGAAGGAGAGGCGTGGCGATGGAAGATATTTCTTCCAAAGAACAAATTCATGGAGAATCTCTTTAAGCTTCATCAAGAGCCGACGTCGATTGCGAAGAAGGGAAACGCATTTTAATTTTGATTTTTATCTCATACGATCTATTCGTGACCAATTGGCTTGGCCAACTTTTGCCATGCAATAGATGCAGAAGCACCGAGCAAAAAGTTGGGCTGACCAGAAATAGCAGGGTTCTCTCCAATGAAGTTGTTGGGGAAACCGATATCAAAAGGCTTGACATCCTCAAGCTTTTTGATCTGGGCATCGGAAAGCTTGATAGTCAAAGCCTTGATGTTGTCATGCAAATGCTCGACCTTGCGTCCACCGACCAGAGGGAAGACATTGGTCGTCTTTGACATGACGTAGGCCAAAGCAACGGCAGTAAGAGTGACATTGTGTTCGTTGGCTACTTCTTCGAGAGCAGCACTCATCTTGACTTCGTCGTCGGACTGCTCGGGGGGGCCCATGAGTGCGCGAATGCTTTCATTGTTCTTCTTGCGCTCCTCGATGGCGGCCTTTGTTTGGAATCTGCCTCCACCGAGGACATCCCAAGGTGCGAGGGCCATACCGAAATGACGAGCCATGGGGATGATTTCGCGCTCAAAGTCGCGCAGCATGATGTTCCAGCGGCCTTGATAGATGGAGAAGGGAGTCTTGCCGTGGGCTTTGGCGTAGTAGTTTGCGGCCGAGACGACCCAGGCGGGTGAGTCTGAGATACCGAGGTAGAGGACTTTGCCTTGCTCGACGAGGATGTGTAGACTGTCCATGATCTCTTCAATCGAGGTGGTGTGGTCCCACCAGTGCAGGTAGAGGATGTCGATGAAGTCGGTCTGGAGCTTCTTGAGCGAGTCGCGGACGCTCATGTGTAGAGAACGACGGTCGTTTCCGCAGTGATTGGCGGCTTTGCCCTTGCCGAGAGCGTAGCCCTTGTAGTCGGTCTGGAGACAGGAGTCAGCCCATGTCGAGATAGAAGTATAGGTTGACCTACGGTGAACTTTGTGGCAATGACCATCTGGTCACGGTTGCCACGCTCTTGCATCCACTCGCCGAGCCACTGCTCCGACTGCTCGTTCTGGTAGTTGTTGGCAGTGTCGATGAAGTTGCCTCCAGCTTCGACAAAGGCGTCGAGAAGAGCGAACGACTGCTTCTTATCCATGCTGCCCATCATGCCGGCCCAGGCATCTCCGATTGACATGGCGCCGAGCTGTAGAGGAGAAACGCGGATACCGGCGGTCGAGGACAGGATGCGAAGTCTGCCGAGCTCGGTGGCTGGCTCGGGCGCGGGTTCGAAGAATGACATGGTCTGATAACTTTTGATAATTCTGGCAGAGATGCGGTGATGGATTTGATGCAGAGAAGCTCGAACGGTCTGTTGACACTTTATACCATCAAGGTCCGGAGTTAGAGCTTCGAGCTTCCCCTCTAAATTCCAAATATCGGCGTCATCGCCGGAGTTAGCACTTCTTGTCCGCTCATGCTGAGAAACAAACCATTCGGCCACCGGGGCGACTTTGTCCCACAACATACCCAGACAACGACACGCTCCGAGTTACATCTCAATTGGGCCCCAGTCCTGTTGCAAGTGCAGAATAGTATTCGACGAGAGCTATGAGTGCAGAATCCCGTCCATCAGATCCTTGGCTCCGAGCGTCAGCTCCTCTCGAAACGACATGCGATCATGTTGTGAGCTGCCTAGATGCACAGTCACATCCAAGTCGGAAGCCCATGACTGAAGATATCTGAGGCAACTTGTCTCTCTGAGGTTGCCCTTAGTTCACAATGCTTTGCGCATTCGCATAAGGTTTTCGGTTTCCTCCGACCAGGATGGGACGAAGCAGTGCCTCCCTTTGTGCTGGATCCCACAACTCTCAGTCGACGTCCGGTACGGGAAGACCATCCAATAGCTTCATCCTCAAACCCAACTTCTCCATGGCAGTCATGGCCTCCTTCTCTCGCAATGACCGTGCCTCCTCGTCCGAGACAAGCACAAAGTCATATGTCAACAATCTGCAGCCCTCTGCTACGCCATACTCTTTGGCTTGTTTCGGTGTCACAGTCTTCAGGTCGACAATAAGGGACTCTTTCACACCGAACACAGCATCCGAGGTCTCGTAAGGGTCGCCGCGAAGGTAAAGGGCTCTGTGCAAGGAGGTCAGCTTTGGTACACACATAAGAAGGGCACCAGATTGGTCCGACCCTCACTTACGTTATGAGATGATCGTAGCCAGGCTTATCGAACATGAAGTGCATGTGACTTGGTCGGTAAGGATGGCGTTTCAACAGCTTGAGCAGTTTGCCAATGGGTCCGTCGTGTGGGATAGGATATGGCACTGGTACAATGGCATTGAACCAGAAGTTGCCCTCATCATCGCTCTGCATAACCGCACGTCCATCTGGTTCCTGGCGTCCGGCATATTGCACGTCGTAGAAGCCTTTGCTGTCTGTTTCCCAAATGTCGATTTTGGCGCCGGGGATGGGTTTGCCGGAGGTATCCTTTACTGTGCAGATGACGAGACACGGTTCGCCGTCTGGATCGTGGGATAATGTGCCACCATTCGATTCGGTCATGGCGTCGTGAGTGTGGAATGGTCCAAGCACTGTGCCCTCTGTGCTTGAAGCAGGCTTGGGATGGTCGATACTGTCAACGAGTAAAGAAAGTCCAATCACGTCGGAAAGGAGGATGAATTCCTGTGCAAGACTCAGGTTCCTGCACACGATGTTTTTATCGTTGTGGGACTTTTGTACTCACCTGTCGCACATCTGTACAAATCTGGCCAACTTGGGTGAGGAACTGGATCGCTGCCATCCACTCGTCTGTGGAGAGTCGAGTCTCGCGTGCAAAGTCATGTACATGCTTTACGAGACTCTTCATCAGATACTTCAATCTCGGGTTGGGACATCTCGAATTGATCAAGTGGACGTTTTCGGTGATATTCTCGATAGTCAGGTCCTTGAGAGGAGGAATCTCAACTTGTGAAGGATCCATGATCGCGATGATGAGTCGTACGCAAATATCTTGAATCGAACTTGTTTACTCAAGCTTACGATATTGAGGTCACGGGCCGTCTTTGTATACAAGCATCATCAGAACCATGCTCGATGCCTCTCGGAAATGACCAAATGTCTCTCCGCATCCCCGTGTCGTTGCGAAGGCGCTATGGCTAGATCGAGCCGTGGAAACATGTCGGGGGTTGCTCCGGAAAAGAGCTTTGCCGGGCCAACTGAGAGGGCGGCAAAGCCAAAGCCCCAAATCGAGAGCAGTTGCGGGGCATTGTTTTCTGGCCCTAATCACCTCAAAGATCATTTGACAACTTGCGTGGCTGCATTTTTCGCCTTGACTTCTCGAACTGTCGAGTGCTGAACTCCGCAATCAGATTTGGACCATCCCATCAACCACTACAATGGTCACCAACCAAAATGTGATCACTGCCGCTACGCCGGACATCTCGAAGAGGGAGAGATTCGGCCTCTTGTTCGGATACCCGATTGCTCACTCGTATTCACCATTGATGCACCAGACTGTGTACGACAACATTGGATACAATTGGCAGCAGTTCTTGTTCGAGTCAACGGACATGTCACAATTTCTCGAAATCAGGCAACATCCGCAATTTTATGGTCAGTCATCTACCGACTGCTCAGAAGGAACAGACTACTGACGAGATCAGGTGCATCTGTCACAATGCCTCACAAAGTCGCAATAATGGCGCATCTCGACGAACTGACAGACGAGGGCAGAGACGTCGGTGCATGCAACACCCTCTTCCTTAAACAAGATGGCGACAAACGAATCTACGTGGGCACAAACACCGACGTGATCGGAGTCCGAGACGCCTTCCTCCAGAACGTCCCCAGCAATGTCTTCGAAGGGAAGCCAGCCATGGTTGTCGGTGGAGGTGGTGCTGCCCGCAGTGCCGTCTACGCGTTGAAGAAATTCATGAAGGCAACGACCGTCTACCTGGTGAACAGAGACAAGGCCGAAGTCGACGCTGTAGTCTCATGGTGCAAAGACCATGGTTACGGAGACGAGTTGATCCATGTCGCAACAGCCGAAGAAGCACAAAAGGCTGAGAGCGTCAGTGCAATCGTCGCATGCGTGCCCGACTTTGCTCCTTCGACTGCCGCCGAGATCGAGGCACGCAAAGTTCTCGAAACCTTCCTTAGCAAGTCAAAGGGCGCAATGTTGGAGATGTGCTATCACCCGAAGCCTTGGACACAAATCGCACAGCTGTCAGAAGACGCAGGGTGGAAGGTTATTCTAGGCACTGAAGCCATGATTTATCAAGGATTTGCACAGGACACATGCTGGACGGGAAGGACTCTGGCGGACCTACCTGTCAAGGAGGTGAAAGCTGCCATTGCAGAACAGTTGTCAAAGACGCTTCATTAGTTTCAGTCTTGACGATATCGCATAACTTGCATCTGGCGTTTCTGGTTTCGGAGTTCAAATGTCATTACGTCCACGTCAAGAATATTGCCTCATGTATCATGGAAACATGTCAATATGTCCTTCTCCTGAACAAATTCGCGCTTTCCACTCTCATCTATGTCTCGGTCTTGTTTCCCACGCTTCACCTCCATCGCAGCCAAGTCGGCTCCGATATTGCTGGATGACAGCTCGTATCCACCTTGATGGCTCGGGAAATGTTTTAGCCGGTGTCGTGAGCTCCTCTCCCCGCGTCAGGCTCTCGGCCCCATCATAGCTCTGATCAAGTGGGGGGACATGTGAACGTATATCTCCATAGCCAGTTTCCATCGCAAAAGAGAAACATTGCACTCGAAGCTCGAATTTGCCACACACTACTTGTTTCCCCTCTCGCACCTGAAATCCAAAGCTTCTACAACTCTGCAATAATGCCTGACTTGCACTCATTACCAGAGAACTCACGTCCAGAGGCCGCGTTCCGCAACAATGGCCCGGCAGATCTTGTCATGGAGCGTTACAAGCTGCGTGAGTTGGCAGAAGGTTGGCCTTGCTACAGGTGAGCTTTGCGCGATCCATTCTCATTGCTGAAGTTTCCAAAAGGTTCTGATTGACTAATCCAATGATCAGAGATTCTTGCGAATGGGAGAATCTCAAGTCAATATTCCACCCCAATGCCTACATCTACACATCCTGGACGGGACGCACACACTACGAAGACTTCATCAAAGCCAGCCAAGGAGGCATGGACAAAGGCGTCTTCATCATGCACAGAATCCACGGCACAACAACAGACATCAACAAAGAGGCCACCCGCGCTGTAACCAAAATGAAGGCCACCATCACCCAACGCTTTGAGTTTGAAGATGGCATCGAAGCTGATGCAGAGTCCGATTGTCGTTTCGTCTTTTTCTGGTCAAAGGACGAAAAGACGGGCAATTGGGGAGCTAACTATGTTCGCCATTTCTACGAGAAGGACAAGTTGATTCCTGTGGATCCAAACAAAGTGCCGAAGATTGACGCTGAGGCGGCCAAGGAGTATCCGATTGGTTACAGATATCTTGCATACTGTCAAGAGAGGACTATGGGGGTCAAGGTGATTAGGGATTTGCCTGGTCATCGCAGAGAGTCTGGAACGACTGTCAATGGTGAGAAGCACGATGTACTGTACAAGCAGATCAAGGCCTGGATGGATGGAGAGAATGTTCAGGTCTAGATATAGTTGAGAGAGTTACGCGCTCATCCTCGTACCAATTCATACAATCGCATATTCATCTTCCTTGTAGATGCGCACAGGCCGGATTGTAGAATGAGCCACTTACTTCGGCATACTGCAAAGTGTCTTTAGCTAGGTATGAACGCGGTTGTGAGAATGGACGTCAGAGGCACAAAAGCCTGTACATGTCGAGGGGGACGTGGCTATCTCAGATAATAGTGTTTCTGTCACCTTGTGAGGCGTGCTTCGATGCCTGCGTCGAATAGTGGCAATACTCCCGACAGCCATTTTATAATCATGAGATATCGGTTACACCGCGGCACAACCTAGAGACTACGTCTGCTGTGGCACAAAGATATACAGCAAGATTCAACAGAGGACACCTGATCATTTCCCATCCCGTATATCGGATCTAGATCACCTCATTGTCGAGAAAACTACGATCAGGGTGCTCCTGCTAGCCACATCCGTATCAAATACACCGCCCAACGTTTCTGCCAGGCTTCGGCTGCACTCGGACAAGATATCATCCCAATGGTTGATGACATTGAAAACACACTGTCTGCCCCTTGATCCAATGAGTGGGTGATCACCACTGACTGACGATAGAACGACGACCTGTACACACACCGGTGTTCCGAGGTTCTCTACATGATCGTCGCGCAACATTCTGATTATCCGGCGCAATCGGCTCTGTCTTTTTCCGAACCAACCCGATATCCACAAATTGTGGGGAAGCAGAGCTCCATCAATACATATGATGATGATCTGACTGTAGGACAAATGTGCTACAATTCAACCACACTCTTCTTCTACCCACACTCTTCCAAGATAGTTTGGCCCGAGTCTATCGTATCTTCCGTACCAACTACCAGCAACTGCAGATCGGGGACTTGCAAACACCACAAACCCATCTGCCCACTTACTCATCAGTCACAACACCCCGAAAATGAAGTACTCTCCAGCAATAGCGTCCATGAGTCTCGGCCGAGCCTGGGTCCACGACTTCACCAAGAAGATCAAAGCCGCATCCACATCAGGCTTCCGCGGCATCGAAATCTTCTACGAGGATCTCGAATACCTGGCACGACAAATCGACCCTTCAGCACCCAAAGACGCCACACCTTCTCCCTCCCAATTACTAGCAGGCGCAAAGAAGATGAAGGAGATCTGCAACGAAAGCAACTTGACAATCATCGGACTACAGCCATTCCTATTCTACGAAGGCCTCAAAGACCGAAAACAACATGACAAATTGATCGAAAAACTGCACGTCTGGTTCGACATTGTGGATATCTTGGACACAAACACCATTCAGATTCCTGCAAACTTCTTGCCCAAAGACCAGATCACCGGAGACATGGACACCATCGTGGCGGATATGGTCAAAGTCGCCGATTTGGGTGCAAACCGCGCGAAACCAATCCGCTTTGCGTATGAAAATCTTTGCTGGAGCACTTATATCGATACTTGGGATGCAGCCTGGGAAGTCGTGCAAAGAGTGGATCGCTCAAACTTTGGAATGTGTTTGGATACTTTCAATATCGCTGGGAGAGTCTGGGCGGATCCTGCTTCTGCGACGGGTATGGTGGAGGATGCTGAGAATGCTTTGAATGCATCGTTGGCTGAGATGGTCGAGACGATTGATGTGGCTAAGGTGTTTTACATCCAAGTCGTGGATGCGGAACGCGTTGATCCGCCTCTGGATGATAAGCATCCTTTCCATGCTGAAGGTCAACCGGCTCGCATGTCATGGTCACGCAATGCTCGATGCTTCATCTACGAAACTGACAGGAATGCTTATCTGCCTGCGGAAAGAGTCGCCAGAGCAATTATCGAGGGTTTGGGCTATGAAGGTTATGTATCTATGGAGTTGTTCTCGCGAACACTCTCAGATGCGGCGCCAGATGTTCCTGAGACTCATGCTCAGCGCGGTATCGAAGCTTGGGAGAAGTTTGTGAAGGCTTTGGACCTCAAGTTGAAAGCTTGAAGGTAATCGAATGTAGGGAGATTGCCGATGGAGTGTCGTCCAGCTCCCGAGGATACAAGCCGAGCACGCGGCTATCCTATGCAGCACATTCGGGACGGGCCGTGATGAGTTCGGGTATGGATCAGGGCAGGATATGGCGTGCTGGAGGGATCGATCAAGGATTAAGGTTGTCGAAGTCCATGAAAAAACCAAGCGACTGCATAAAGTCCTGGTTGTTGCCCGTGCTGAAAAGGGTTAGTAAAGTGCCATAGTCTGAGTGAATTTTGATGACAAAGAATTATATATGATACCTCTCATTTTCCTGGAGCAGAGCCAGATAGTCACGTAGTTGTGCAGGTGTGTCTGCAAGCGGATTATGACCACCCAATGCAGTGGCGTCATCAAGATAGGACGCTCCTGTCAGATCCATCTCCATTCCGATCTGATCCGACTGTCTGGATGTGACGGTATGGAGAGCAAGGCCTTGGCCAGAGTCAGTCCCTAGACCAGTCGCCGACAAACCATGCTGCGCTTCATCATTTATGGTAGCGTTAATTAAGTCTTGTGCTGTGAAGTTTAGTAGATGATGGTCAGATTGACCGACCAACGTCGTCCCTGTCAGATCTTGTTGTTCATGACCCGATACATGATCCCAGCCCCACATCGCTTTGTATTCGGTGATTGTGTCCTGGAAATTCGTGAATGTCGGTCCGTAATCGTTTGGATCGGGAGTCGACCCTGACGCCACCAGAAGTATAAGCACACTCATGGAGACCGGCATAGCTTGTACACCAAATCTGTTACTAATTTGAAGCAAAATTCCTGCGATGTCCTTCACGGGCCCTTGTTGGAGAACATCGCAGAAGGCGTGAGGCTGACCGTACAATTGACGCGAGGCGGCAATGTGGGATACGACGGAGTAGAACAAGAGAAGGTGAAGTTGTGGCGGTAACACGTTTTTTGTGTTTTGTTGTGTTACGGTCAGGTGCCGCGGTCGGTTGTAGCTCCAGGCCTCGACAGCAGCAGCGAAGTCGATCTCCAATGTTTGTTTCTGCATGACGTTGTTCAAGATAACAAAAAGTTTGACCAGGTGATTGAAGGTACTTGAGATACGGCTGGGCGCTGTCATACCAGCACTGGTAGAGTCTCCAAATCGCCGTGATCCGAACTTGTCGACATAAGGCTCCCACTCGTCTGACCCAGACTCGTCGCAAGGTGTAGATGTAGGCAGATCGTCTAGCGAAATCTGCGGCCGTACTCCCATAGTTATGGAAAGAAGAGTGTCCATGACGAAGCATCCGGCAAGAGCAAGTGCACGTTGTCGCTGGAACAAGGGATCACCCGGAGATCGCGTGGATGTGTAGGCAGAACAGAAAACAAAGGCTTGAGCTAGCATTGACCTAGCTAAGACCAACTTGTTACATCCTAGTTGGATGCTAGACCACAGGAGCAAAGCCTGACCATAGTTGAGGTAATCGTCCGGTATGGGGTCCTTTGAAAGGAGGTATTTGGATGCGGATTGGAACTGAGCGACCCTCGGGGAATAGACACCGTTGGAATGTATTTCACCAAGCGCTAGGACCGCCCATAGGGTCGCATACTCGCCTCGATGGCGTTCGTCAGGGAGAGCTCGATGATCAGTGTCGTCTTGGTAGTTATATGCTATTCGGAAGAGCGCATGCCGCTCAAGCATTGGAAACCATGAGTGTTCAACAGCAAGATAGACCTGGGCCAGGGACTGCCAGTCTGACGGAAGAGGTGAAAAATTCGCTTGGGTCGTCGTAAAAACTTGCTGTGACGGGTATAATGCATCTGACACGACCGCAGCTGCCGCTATTGGTGATGGCATTTGCTGCAAGGGCAATGGCGATGGTGCCCGCGGTAAAGGTAATGGCGATGGCGCTCGTGGTGGTGAGCCTGAAAAACGATCATGCTGTGGTAGAGACCAGGTCAGTATTGATGCCTGAGTAATATCAATCTGACTGTCCATGTCTTCTGGCTGTCCGGCTAAGGTGGTGGTATATTCGCCATCCAGCATCATTTCGATGGCAGAGGGTATGCCGCTGTTTCTCCAGCAGTCCAGAAGATCATCTGCGCGGTGATCGCTGTCATTTCCGCCATTGGTGATGATGGTGGAAAGATTGGCAAGTAGATCATTGACGACAGCTTGACTACCATGGACCTTTTTGAAGACCAGACCCCAGAGTATTTCGGTGGCTCTCACATAACCAGACTGAAGACCGCGACGCTTTGCGATGGTTCCGTAAGTACATTCGGCGTCGGAAGCTTTGCATGTAGAGCAGGTTGGGCGTTCACTGTCGCATTTGTATTTCTTACGTCGACATCGGTGGCAGGCCTGAGTGACTCGCTGGCGCTTCCGAGGAGGTTCTGTTGCAGTTTGGGACATGACAGGAAAACCTCAGATTGTGCGGTACATGTAATGGCAAAGTGGTGTTCTCGTCATGCGCTGTGTGGCCAATCCCAGAACGGAGATTGGCCGAATTGTGGTCAACAGCTGGACAAGTGTAACACTGACGAGAGCGATCTGCGCTCGTGGGACAAACTACACTGTCGCCGAAGTTGTAGATCTATTGCGAATCCGGCATGCAGTGGATGGAAGCAGATGCTTGAACCAATGTACAACTTCAGTGACAGCAAGAAAAGACGTGTCGCGTAGCTTGAGCGACCGTTCTGGAGCGGGGTACAGGCTTCGTCCAGAAGTCGTCCTTCCAGAAGTTTCAAAAGCACGTCAGCACACGCAGCAAGACCGGTGCCGTCTGCTGCAAATGTGTGGCCGAATGGAAGCATCCAAGGTTTCGTGTCGCACCGGGGACTTTTCGATATCGGCCATCATGGTGTTTGTGGCTTGCGACAATGTTCCAGCACACGACGCGGCTGAGCCAGGAATGTGGACCAAAGTCTAACAGACGCCCGGCAAGGTCTTTATCCGACCTCGATCGAGAGCGGCAGCGCGGCTCTTGGTCCCGGTCGCGAAACACCATGATGGAGAGAAGTCGTTGGAGTATTGTATCCCATGCTGATACCCCGACTATACCACATGTGCCTTCGTTGACATGACTGACACTGTAGTACTGTCTTCCTCGTCGGCCTCTTCTCCCAGCGGCATCAAGAGACGTCGGGTTGAAGGACCCACCTACCATGCTTCGTACCCTGTCGAACCTCCTGCCTATCGCCGATTCGCTACCAAGACGCCCGACGCTGTAGTCCATCGCTACAGCATCACACCAAAGTCCCATACGCCGTCTGTTCGCGAGACGCACACGCAACCGCCATCAAGAGCCAGGACTCCATCAGACCAAGATGCTTCGATTGTCTTGGTCGGCACAAAGGGAAGCGGTCTTTCCTCATTCGCCGTCATCGCTGCCACTGCCTTGCGCTATCGCTTGATAGACACCGAGAGCTGGCTCGTTGAGCATTACCGCATGAAGAGGTCGGAATACATCAAGACGAGAGGGTTGAGTGCCTATCGCAAAGTGTCAGCCAAGGCCTTGGAGGATATACTACATCAACACGGTACGAGGTGTGTGCTCGTCTGCGGTCCTGAAGCGCTCGAACCGCATTGTCAAGCTCTCATCCGTACCTTCGCCTCCACACATCCCGTCGTCATGATCAATCGCGACCTCCCCGTGATTAGAGAGTACCTCGGCCTTCCAGACACTAGCGAAGTCTTGCAAATCCTTGGACAGGGACGCCAACTTTGCCGTCGGATATCCAATCATGAATTTTACAACCTACCCGAGAGTGAGGCCGCCAGTCCGCTCTCCGCCGAGCTGTGCCGGAACCTCAGAGGTCGAGGTGAACTCCACAATCCGCCTCAGCTCCTACAAAATGTCAAACAAGACTTTTTGCATTTTCTGAGTCTGTTGGCCAGAACCCCGCCGCGCACAGGTTCCTTGCTTGGTCCTGCACCACCGTCAGAGCGTGATTTCTCCACATCGTTGCTGTTGCGATTAGAAGACAGTGCTGATACAGACTTCAGCCTTGTCGACCTGAACCGTGGCACTGATGCAGTTGAATTAGTCGTACCATCTCGTCCGTCGCAGCAGACTCCGTGCCAGAAAGATCGCATCAGTCGTACACTCCAGATGATCCGACGGCATTCAGAAGCTCCCGTGCTTTATCATGTTGAGTGTCAAGACCCGGGTCTGCTTTCACCTAAGCAGATGTATCTCGATCTGCTATATCATGGGCTTCGTCTCATCCCTGATTTCATCACGATAGATCTCGACTGTACAGATCGTCAGATCCGTGATTTGACAAGCTCGGCGACTCGAACGCAGATCATTGGGCATCGCTTCTACTCCATGTCACGCTCTTCGGTCTGGTCAGATCCGGCTTTACATAAGGACTTCGACCGTGCGGTTACACTGGGCTGTCATGTTGTTCGCTTTGTCTGCCAGGCGAAATCGGCATCAGAAGATAGAGCGTGCGCTTTGTTCCAAGCCGCAATCGCTTCCAGATCCAAGACCCCTCTCATAGCTTATACCACTGGCATCCAGTCCAGGTCGTCAATGGTGCTCAATCCGTGTCTGACACCGGTTCGACAGCCAGAGTTACCGAGCTCGGATCCAAGCCTGTCCCTTCTCACCTTCAAGCAACTCATGAGAGCGAAATTTTCGAGCTTCATTTATCAACCCTTGCATTTTCACATCTTTGGCGCAAGTATCGACTACAGTCTGTCGCCCATGATGCACAATGCTGCCTTTGAAGCCCTGGCCATGGATCACAACTATTCTATCAAGCAGTCTCACGACCTGCGTGACTTCAACACCCTCGTAGACGACTCATTCGGAGGTTCGAGTATCAGTCTTCCCTTCAAGTCTGAGATTCTAGCGCAGCTAGACTCAACAAGCGAGGCGGCCAAGGCGATACAAGCCGTCAACACGCTATTGCCATTGAGAGCTGTGCCAGATGGAGACAAGGCCACAGCAGACCCGCTATGCCGATCGCACAAGAACAGAGCTGGACCAGTCGTCGGGCTTTACGGCGAGAACACAGATTGGACTGCAATTTATACTTGCGTATCTCGATATCTCTCGCCAGCGAACACTATTCAGTCCAGCTCTTCGGCCCTCATCGTTGGCGCCGGCGGTATGGCTCGAGCTTCAGTCTACGCCTTATTGCAGATGGGTGTGAGAAACATTGTGCTGTGGAACCGGACACACGCCAAAGCTATTCGGGTTGCAGAACATTTCACTCACCTCTATAACGAGCCTCATTCCAGACTATTCAACCAAGCATCTACGGATCAAGGTTGTCGTATTGAGGTCGTCGAGACGCTCAACTCGCCTTGGCCAGAAGGGCTTGCTCAACCGACGATCGTAGTGTGTACTATTCCTGCGCATCAAATTGGAGACGCACCACCTCCTGAGTTCCAAATTCCCCAGCAATGGTTCCAGAGCAGGACTGGAGGAGTCATTATCGAGGTAAGTACGAAACTATTCGTGACCGTACCAGACTGACAGGTAGACAAGCTTTCGTACAAGTCAGCATGGACGCCTCTGCTGCAACAAGCACATGATCGAGCGCATAGAGGTTGGATCTGCGTTGAGCCTCTGGAGGTCTTGATTGAACAGGGTCGTGCTCAGTTCGAGATCTTCACAGGGTATCCGGCGCCTCAAAGGGTGATGAAGGATGGTATCATGGAAAAATATCTAGCGATGCACGCTGTCCAAGATGATAACTGAGTATCTCACCAGATAGCGTCGGTCGGTGGTCACCATCGTGGCCAACATCTGAATATGACATTCTTGCACACTGCTACAGCCTGACAGCTATCCCATTATGGACGTAAAATCTTGTACCTGGTAACTAACATGCCATTCATCGATGCTCATTTTTGCCTATAGGGCTATTGTTTATCTATTGTTAATACATAGTGAAATTTGATATGACCAGTCCGATGAGGTAGATCACTCGATTACCAACTCGTCAACCTCGAAGTTGATGCCTGTGCTCTCTCCTGCGGCCTTTCTCAAGGTAACCCAGGCATCACTGGCCAACTGCGGGCTAATGACCTCTGCGTCCGACTCTGGGCTGATCCATACCCTGTACTGCTCCTGAATCTGATGTCCGATGATCTCCGTGCCTTCAACGATTTGCCAACCATGTGCTTTGGCCAACTTGATTTTCCTGGTTATTCTGGGCTTGAAACACATGTCGAGGAAGACTCCCCGTTCCTTTGTGTTTGCCAGGTAGTAGTCGAAGATCTTGATGGCCATCTTCTCTGATGGGGTGTTTGGTACGCTGTCAGGAACACAACACACGATGTAGTGTGGTGCTGGCAGATCTTTTGCTTGCTCAACACTTTGAATGTGGATGATTTTGCAGACTGGCTCTCCCGAGTCAGGACTTGAGAGCAAGGCTTGAGTGTCGGTGACCAAGTCCTCGACTTCCTGGACATCGCGGTTGACCACGTAGAGGACTGGGCTTTGAAGCTCAACAGCCAATGCATACACAGCAGCGCGACTTGCACCTCCAGCTCCGACAATCATAGCTGGCTTACCCACACCCTTGTCGCTGGCTGCAAGCAAACACCCCTTGATTCCTCTCCAATCTGTATTTGTGCCCTGCAACTTTCCATCAGGCCTGATGTAAACATTGTTGCAAGCACCGAGTTTGACAGCCAAAGGGTCCAGGCCGTCCAAATGAGACATTACGGATTTCTTGTATGGCATCGTGACGACTGCGCCTGCAAAGTCCGGAGCTGTCATGATGTCCATTGCTGCTTCGATGGTCGGTGCTTCCGTTGCTACAAAGGTCCATGGTTTGTCGAGGGTTTTGCATATGTAGTTGTGCATAAGTGGTGCGATGCTGTGGCCCACACCGATGCCGATGAGGTGGAGTTTCTTTTGGCTGGAAGAGCCATTTTGCGTTTGCGATTGAGTCATGATGATGGTTGATGCTGAATGTCAAGTTGCAAGTGTGTTCTCTTTACCATTCGCAGAGTGCAGAGTCGCTTTTGATGTAGTCGTCGTAGATCCAAACACTGCCGCTTCGAGCGGAGCAAGCATCGGATGATATCTTAGCCGAGCTTCCCCGTGCGAGCTGGGAGTCGGCTCAATCATGGGACACTCTTCGCGTCATCCAGCCTTTGGATTTCGCGGCTCACTGACTGTTACGTGTCTGATGTCTTCTGGTAGAAACCACTTGATGAACAGCATCAACTATTGACAGATTCAGGAACATCATAGGTAAAGCCTGCGTGTACACCGTGGCTGGGCGTTGATCTGACGACCTTATGGCTCTTTGTCAAATCGGAGGTATGTGATTCCGACGTTCCGTCTCTCAGAAACATAACGCTACTGTTTGCCATAATGTGTTGTTTGCCACTGTGGGCACTGGTTTAGTGGTCAATCCTCCCAGGTCGAATGTTCGTAATTGAGCTGGGAATAGTGACCTAAGACAAGGATGAACAAAGTCATATGGACGAATGTGACCAAGAGAACAAAGCTTCCATTGCTGAAACACCTTAGTTTTCTTTGTCAACTTGCAGTATAAGTGTTTTCGGCTACAAGATGGTCCCTCAGATCATGACGCTGTTCTACAGATAAGCCACCCGGTGCTTGGCTGCTCATCATGTCTCCGACAATGTCAGCTTGAGCATTTTCAATGTACCAACTTCATAGGAACGACAGGAGCCGCCACGACACAAGTACCGATCTCTCCGGGGTGCCAACTATGCTGTGTGCTTGCCAAAACCATCTTCCGAAGATCTGGTTGACTGATCCATTGGCTGTCTGCTTTACTTCTGGATACCATCGATTGTGTCTCAACCATCTTGCGATCTGCCACGCTGAGGTATCACCGTCACAGAGTTGAAGATGGAAACCGCAACATAAACCGGGATTGTTGCGAAAAGCGAGAAGCTTATCAACCCTTGATTATTATCTGGTCTTCCAGCCGTGAGTATACTCGACATCTTTCTCGCCCACAAGAGAAGAGTCGAATCCAAGCTGGACTTGTGGCATGCAAACGATCCTCGGCAGGATTGGAGCGCAGGACGACACCAGGAGGCGCTGGCTGATGGATTTACTCCCAACTCACGACTCAAGACTTAGCCTATCAAGGATCTGCGTTCTTTGAAGATACACCGCCGATCGTCGACGCCAAGGATGAGTCTGAATAAAGAAGCCGACCCATCTCGAGCTTGTCAACTCTCGTTTTCGCAACATCTCATTGTCAGCAACTTACAATTGCATGTCTGCGACTCTCAGATATGCCAATGAGATCGTCTCGACATACTAATGTGTCAAAATACGCGCGATTTGAGGTTCAATCACTTCTCCAGTATTGGCGTTAAGCAACAAGTCACTATCGACCAGCTTTTTCATGTCAGTCACTCTGGGAAAGATCGTCGCACCACCACTGATAAGGATAAAGCTTGCAACAGAATCTGCCGACAACGCAGGAGTATGGGTCTGTTGCCCGTCTGTTGCCCGCCTTTTGCCCGCGTCCAGGGTGTTCTGAGCCGACATTGGATGATAAGAAGACCATGAACCCCGCGATTGACACGGAGCATTTCGATTCATCATTATCACCCATCTCGCACTTGCAGGAAGATGGCAACGGGTTTCCAGGCGAAGCTCTCCGCAACCAGGAGGCGTACAGTGGCCAACGCCAAGACAAAGTCTCATCTTGACGGTTGGGTCCTCGAACGACAGGCGACGTCCTTCGCAAACGAAAAGGGTACTTGGTCCAACATCGACTCTGATGTAACCCCTCTGGAAAGAAGGACTTGGGGCTCATGGTCGCTACTCGGCTTCTGGTGCAGTGATGCTCTGAACGCCCAAGGCTGGGAGGGACCTAGTGCTATCATTGCAGCTGGGCTGACCTGGAGAGAGGCTTTCTACCTTTGTACGTCAGAGGGCGCACAGCTCGCAGTTCATGACTGATTTCTGAAAGCGATCACTGGAGGTATGGTCGATGCCATACCGCTAATGCTCAATGGCGCTATTGGGGCTCACTATCACATTCCATACCCCATCGTCGCTAGAGCATCTTTCGGCTACTATCTCGCGCGCTTCGCAGTCGTCACGCGGATGGCAACGGCGCTTTTCTGGCATGCGATACAGTCCTGGACCGGCAGTACAGCTACATTTCAGATGATCCGAGCTATCTGGCCAGGATTCTTGCGCGTAACCAATCGCCTACCTGCAAGCGCAGGTATCACATCTAACGAGTTGATCGCTCATATCGTCTTCTTCTGTATCCAGTTTCCCATCTTGTTGACTCCGCCACACAAACTCAAGTGGTTTTTTGCCTTCAAGACTTTGATCGTCCCAGTCGTCAGTGTAGCTACCGTCGTGGTGATGGTACGCAAGGCTGGAGGAGTCGGTGATATCTGGCACCAAGAGTACACCAAATCAGGCTCAGCCCGCTCATGGATCATCCTCAACAACTTTTCGTCGCAGTGTGGAGGTTGGGCCACCATGGCCACCAACATCCCAGACTTTACCCGGTATATGCACAACAGCAGGGGTGTGTATTGGCAGGCTCTCTTCCTGCCTGTCATCAATCTACTAATGTCAATGTTCGGTGTCATCAGTACCTCCTGCGCCAAGATCGTCTACGGTGAGTATATCTGGTCTCCACTCGAGCTGGCCGCACAGTGGGATGGCCCAGGTGGTCGATGTGGAGCTTTCTTCGTCGGCTTCTGCTGGGTTGTCGCCCAGATTGGCACGAACTTATCCGCAAGCGTCATCTCGTGCTCCAACGACCTGATCAGTCTGTTTCCAAAATACATCAACATGCGACGTGGTGTTGTCCTCACCACGTTCACGTCCTGCTGGATCATGGTCCCTTGGAAGATCGTCTATTCCGCGAACTCATTACTCACATTCATGTCTGGCTTGGCCATTTTCCTTGCGCCAATCGCTGCTTTACTTTGCACAGATTACTGGATCGTAAAGAGTCGCAACTTCGACGTTCCCGCACTGTACCGTCGCCGAGACCGCTACTGGTATACGTTCGGAATCAATTGGCGTGCCGCCGCTGCTTTCCTCGTTGCTGTTGTGCCAAACACCCCTGGCCTAGCAAAGTCTGTGAATCCGAATGTTGTTATCAACGATAGCATCCAGCATATATACGACATGAATTACCTTTACGGATTTTGTAGTGCGGCCATCGTCTATCATGTTCTCAATCGAGTGTTCCCGGCAAACGAGACGCTACTGGACCATCCCATCTACGAGGACATAGTCGTCCAAGATGGCGTTGCGATTGTCAACGATGGGGTTCAGCTCAGCAACGAACTGGGAACAGAGAAGCATGCAGCGATGACTTCTGTCACACACCTTCCATCGCCCTAAGACTCTCACGGCATCCAGCGGTGATGATCTCATATCGAAACAAAGATCTCAAAAAGCTGATATGGAGCTACGAGTACTTAACAGATCAACGTTCAGAATATTCTTTAGCATGTACCAGGATCATTATGAATGGTTATATCACCGTAGAATCGTGCCAAGACTTTACTCGTGATTTCGGGGATGTTCGAAGCCTCTGTCCACAAATCTTGTACGATCCTCCCCGTTTAGATTTGTTCAAACGCAGTTTGGCCTGCTTGAACTGTCTGCGCAGACCATGGAAGATGCCTCTCGCTGGCAGGCTGTTCGTACGCGAGACCCTCTAGCCCACTGCTCCTTCGTGTACGCCGTCACAACGACGCGTATATATTGCCGGCCGACTTGCCCAGCCCGTCTTGCCCGTCGAGCCAACGTCGTCTTTTATCACAACTCAACTGCTGCGGACAAAGACAACTTCAGACCTTGCAAGCGATGCAGTCCTGACAAAGATAGCAATACACTGGAGCGCCGTCATCGAACTGCAATCAAACAAGCTTGCGACACTATTCGTCAAAATTCTGGAGTTTGCGAGCCCGAAGATATCGCTCGAAAGCTGGGATTCTCGCCGAGATACTTCCACGGGCTCTTCAAGCGGCAGACTGGACTAACGCCGACTCAGTTCGCTGAACAATGTGTGCAGTCGTCGGATTCAACGTCGTGCAGCGTTCCTACTCAGACAAAATCATCCGAACCTTCAGCTGGCCCATCCAATCCGAGCTTCAATCTGGATATACAAGCACTGCCAGCTTCGACAAAGGCGTCAACATTGTGCACAAGTCCTACTCAGAAAGTACCATCAGCTGTCATACTGGACCCAGGTTTTAATCTAGGCATACAGGCGGTGGCAGGTTTTACACAAACTGGGACCATGGTCCACGAGAATACTGTAGTGTTGCCAGATGTATTATCTTACCCAGACTTCGGATCACCAAATCAATGCAGTTCCCCAGCGCAATCTACACCGGCTTGGTTTGACTTCACCCAATACTACAACCCACCAAGAACGGACAACGCAGGGGGCGCTGAGTAGAATCCTACACATACTCACCTGCATGTTGTGTTCGAGCATGGAGATGACATGTTTGCAAGGCATCCGGATGATCATCCCTAGAGCAGTGCCTCATATTGCTAGTAGATTGACATATCATCCAGCTGCAAGCCATCACTCGAAACGCAGAAAGGCTTGAGTTATCGAAAGTGTATCGCACACTGAGCAACACGATAGTACTGTCGATCGACAGACCAGAGATTAGAGACTAATCACACTGACTTCAACAACTAACAGAATGGGGTCGAACTTCCCAGAAAGTCCGTCGACCACCCAGATGTCGCTGCATGAATGTAATGTCATGATGTACCACACAGAACTGTCCCACAGGCATTTGGCATAGAAACCACTCGTCAAAGCTTCCAAGGTCCGCCAAACCAGATTCCTTCCCTGGCAATCAGATATCCTTCCGGGGTGAAGAACACGCCCTCTTCCTCCAACAACTCGAGCTTTTTCATCTGGTTGAAACCGCTTGGCGCCTTTTCCAGTCGCCCATAAACCCGCCCACAAAACCATTGGCGGCAATGACACGGTGGCAAGGTACTCGTGGAGCCAGTGGATTGTTCCTCAGAGCTCCACCGATGGCACGTGGAGAGGTAGAGAGCTGCTTCGCGAGTATTGCGTACGAAGTTACGGTGCCCACGGGTATGCAGAGGAGGTGTGTATATACACGCTTAATCTTGATTTAGCGCATGGATAGAAGATTGGATGAGTACTGGCGGATGCGTACTCTTTGGAATGCTGTGATTGAGGCTGAGGACAGAAGTGTGTCGATATGTATATCAGAAGGCGAAAAGTATCTGCTAGTATATTCAACCGTGCTGGCCATATTATCGTGTCTGTGGGGCGCGAAGAGAATATAGAAGTAGATAAGAATCACTACGCTCATGTGAGAGATGTCCTATTTTAAAGAGAGTGGCTGTGATCAGTGACTGATTGGCAATAGCTGGGATCTTGAAGCCGATTGGTCAATTCCGAAGCAGCGAAGCTAACGCACCGGCTCGAATAGATTGTCCGCTGCGACACCCGCGTTGTAAACTCAGCAGCCGACGGCGAGGCACTACAAAGCAGATTGTCCCATGTACTTCAAAGATCATTGAGCGCAGCTATGGACCTTATGCGACACTGTTAGAGTGCGAGAATGACATGACTCTCGACCGCAACTTGTTCCAGAGGTAGAGGAACGAAGAAGACGACTGGAAGAAAGAGGGGACAGCTTCGACTCTTTTACAGAAACGAAGTATGTCAGTGCTTAGATGTTCCCGCACTTGACGAGTTCATGGCTGAGAGTCAGTTGTAGAGTCGGAGGACCTCTGTCAACCAGTACATCATGATCCATCAATAAGGATGTCCAGAGGTAACCAGTGGAAAATCTTTCGGCCATATCGTCGAGGAGTCCGGAGGATCACCAGGACTTTTGCTATCTAGCCGAAGGTCCCGCCCGGATCATTGCTGTTCATACCGAGAGAAACTGAATATCTTTCTCTTCTGTCTCTTCTCTCTCTATATTGCTGTGCCATTGTCTACGCAAGTGCCAGCAAAAAGCGATTTCGGACGAATGCTCAGGAGTCTGAGAATTCAGGCTCAGTCACACACCAAGCGTCCCAGTAATACCTTGTTCAACCATGATCGCTAATCAAGGTAACCATAGTGAACTATGTTATATGTAATGTTGTCGAAAAGCTGACAAGTCTTCGAAGTAGAGCCAAGCGCGACATGGCAAGATCGATCCATAATAATGGAAGGTACACTGAACATGCGCGAACTCGGAAGCCTTCGCACAAGCGACGGTAAACACATCATCAAGGGTCGCCTCTTTCGAAGTGCAGACCTCGCTCAGATCACTATCAACGATATACAAGCCCTGGAGCAACTCGGTATAAAGACGGTTGTAGACTTGCGCGGCCCGAAAGAAGCTCTCGACCACCCCGATAAGGTACCTAAAGGAACAAAAATTGTACCAAGTCCAATCATTGGAAGCGATACTGGCGATGCAATCGATGGGACGACTATCCGAACACTTGTTTCCAGCGCAGGTCTCCCAGACACAATGCTGGATTTCGCCAAAGTCAGCCAGCATGGACCTTATTATCGAATGCTTTTTCTCGTGAACAGTTATGGTACGGAAAGCCATACGTCCCGCTTGTCAAAGTATCGCCCTTTCTTCGGCGCCCTCCTCAACCTGGCTCCGAATGAAAACATCTTGGTCCATTGTACTGGAGGACGCGATCGCACTGGCGTTGGTATAGCGTTATTGCTCAAAGCCCTTGGCGTGTCTCAGCAAGACATCGAGGCTGACTTTGTGGCTTCCAACCAAGCTCTCCAGCCAAGCCGCGAAGACCCAGATTCGACGACCTTTCTTCGATTCCATGCCGCCAACGTGTTTCTGCAGCCACCAGAAAACAAATACTACCAACGGGTTGCAAAAGAACTTGGAGCACCACCGGAAAGCATCAGGAATGCTGTCAAACTCAGGACAGACCTGCTAAGACGTATGTTTGCATCCATAGATGCTCGGTACGGATCTTTTCCATTGTTCCTCGAGAGTCAGTTGGGAGTAGGCTTAAAGGAGCTAGAAACTCTAAGACAAAAATTTATATTATAGGAGAGGTTCGTACGTCAGATACTCGAAAAGTATTTGGAGGGAGGAGAAGATCGTTTTTGCCGGTTATTGATCGCCTCTGAGACGAAGGATGCCTACCAAGCGACGTACTCGCCACCTCCAGCCTGAACGCTGACAAGCGATGGTGCTAGACACCATAGTAATGTCGAAACCCAAGAACGTGTTTGTTATAGGAACTCTCTATCCAACTCGATATCATTGCGCAGTTGACAGTTCGACCCATTGTTACACATTCGCAAGAATTGGACGAGTTCGTAAGCATGCTGAACATCTGTTAAGCTACATCTATCAATTTAATTGCGGCGTTCCGGCGATCCGGCATTTTTCCTGTTGCGGGAGCTCGATCGCGAGTCCAATGAAATCCAGCCGGTGAGTGGATAGGTAGATGGAGATCATGAAGATGAGGGCGGCGAGTAAATTGGCTTTTGTAACGGTGTGCTTAAGGAAGATCTTGACTCCTCAGACTTGAGGATCGTCGGTAAAAGAGTTGCTCAGGCGACAGCGGCAGGACACGAGCACGGAAGATAGCGATACGGAAGGGTTCCTCCAGAGAGCTCGTACCCCATGGAGAAATACATGAGACAGGAACCAAGCCACCCGGTGTTCATTCTCCCGATTCTGGGGTATTCAGCCGTAATGGAGGCCCACACTCCGCTTAACCGTGCCAGATTCTCGAGTCTAGCGTTGCACTAAGCCCCGGACCCCACCGGCAGAGGATCCCCCGCAGCACACTTCGGCACGATGCAGGCTAATACAACGAAACCACTTTGCGCGCTTAGAGTAATGGCCCGAACTATCGGGTTATCGTTGTGCATAAAGCCAGTCATTCCTCCCCCTGCTTGTCCATCTTGTCTTGTCACCTCCAAGGCTTCCCCACAAACCGACAACATGAGCAACATTAACGAAAAGCCGCTTTCGGCGATGGAAGTCGAAACCCACCATGCCGAGTCGGGCTACGATGTCGACGAGAAAGGCGGCTTGGACAGAGCGGGTGCTATCGATGCCGAGAATCTCGAGCATAGCATGGGAGTTTGGGAGTCCATCAAGGCTTATCCGGCTGCCAGTTGGTGGGCCTTCGTCATGTCGTGCACCATTGTGAGTCTCTTGAACAAGCCAAGAACTACATTTTCTAACATTGCATCAGATTATGGAATCCTACTGCGTCTTCCTGATGGGACAATTCATCGCTACAAAGCAATTTGCCAAGGACTTTGGCGTTCGCAGCCCTGTCAGTGGCGAATATATCATCGAAGCCTCCTGGCAATCGGCCTTCCAATGCGCTGGCCCAGTCGGCGCTTTCATTGGTTGCTTCCTCGCTGGTCCCATCACCTCTGCCATTGGCTACCGTTGGGCGACCATTGGTGGTCTTATGGCGCTCAACGGCTTCATCTTCGTGTTCTACTTCGGTAACAGCCAGGGCATGTTCCTCGCCTCTCAGATCTTGGAAGGCATCCCATGGGGCATTTTCATCGCCAATGCTCCTGCTTATTGCGCCGAGATTGTGCCCATGAGATTGAGAGCGCCCGCGACCCAGATGTTGCAAATGTTCTGGGCGATCGGTTCTATCATCGTCGGTGGTATCACTTACCACTTCCAGTCCAAGATGGACGCCTCTGCTTACAGGTACGTCTATACTGATGTCTGACACAAAGAATCGTTTTACTAACAGTGTCATCAGAGTTCCCATCGCACTCCAGTGGATGTTCCCAACTCCTCTCGCTATCCTCCTGTTCCTGGCACCCGAATCACCATGGTGGCTCGTACGCAAGGGCAAGCTGGCTGAGGCAGAGAAGGCTATCAAGCGTCTTGGCCGCCGCAGTGCAAACGACAACCCCAGGGATCAAGTATCCATGATGCGTCGTACCATTGAGCTGGAGAAGACGGTGAAGAAGCCCACTCTGATTGAGTTGTGGAAGGGCACTGATCGCTACCGCACATTGATCGTATGCGGTGTGTATGCATCTCAAAATCTGACTGGTAACTTGATTGCCAATCAGGCTGTCTATTTCTTCAAGCGTAAGTCTAATGAGAACCTACATACTCGCACGAGACTGACATAATTACAGAGGCTGGTATGGCAGACGACACTGCCTTCGCGCTCGGCCTCATCACCTCTGCCCTCCAATGGATCATGGTCATGATCTCCTGGGTCTTGACCACCTACCTGGGCCGCCGCACCATCTACGTCTACGGCCAAGCTATCGCCACTTGCTTCTTGGTTGCGCTCGGTATCGCGGCCTCTGTTGGTAAGAGCACAGCAGCCTCCAACGCACAAGCTTCCCTCGGCCTCCTCGTCTCGGTCCTCTTCTGTCTCGGCCCCGCCCCTACCTCGTATGCCATCATCGGAGAAACCTCTTCCGTGCGCCTGAGACCATTGACGACCGGTATCGGACGTGCTGCATACTACTTGGTCAACATTCCGTGCATCTTCCTTGCAAGTTACATGCTCAACACGGACAAGTGGAACCTTGGAGGCAAGAGTGGCTATATCTGGGCCGGTACTGCGTTAATCTGCACCGTCATGAGTTGGATTTGGATTCCTGAGATGAAGAACAGATCCTTCCGTGAGATTGACATTCTGTTTACTCGCAAGGTCCAGGCTCGTAAGTGGAGCAAGACGGTGATTGATGTCCAGGATGACGAGTAGTTGTTGTTTGCTGTTTGCGATGAGCTTGACGGGATGCTTCGTGTACATTTGGGGTCGATAGTTTCGAGTTTCAATTGATCTTTACTATCTCCATACTATCAAATCACCCAGACGCTCGAAATGAGTTCGATAAGATGCAAGCCGTGGTAGAGCTGGAAAGATAACACAGGAGCACAAACTACATCAAGATGTTTTTCAGTTTCAGCTTGCTTTCTGACTTCAAGTCCTTGGGCAATTTGGTACACGTATAGCCGCTGTTGTTGTCGTCCATTCAGGCACCATCTTCCGCGATCCTGGTCCCAACCGTCCAAAGTCGGACTGGCTTTGTGCATTGGAAATCATGATCCGCATCCTGTAACAGGCATTGCGGTGTTGTCCTTGAAACGCGTCGGTCTGTGGCTGCTTGTCCCTTTCATCCAGCCAAAGGAGATGTTAGAAGTCGTACTACGTGTTCGGCACGGCTATGCTGTGCTACATTCCTCGTGTATATTGCTTGGACGGTGGAAGCCATGGACTGTTTTCGCGAGTAAGAGTCCCTTGACGTGAGAAGAGGAGAGAGGTTTTAGCATTCGCATGAATGCGCTACAATCGCAGCTCGCGACGGTAAAAAGGCGTATACCGGCTAGATTGCAGAGGGCGCTACTGTATAGTAGAGGATAAATTGACAAGCGGCGCGTGACTGCAAGCGCCTACAGTTGTGCAGGCGCCCTCATTCCGGTATTGTGAAGCCTGCTCTTTCTTGTGTGGCGCTGCATGGGCAGCATTTGCCAATCCCATCATCTCATCGTCCAGCGGTGCATGATGAGTGGCAAAGTGTGTGCTGGTTGTGATTCGATTGCCATGGGCATCGTTCGGGGTGCGGAGAGCGACGAAGGAGACGTGAGAGCGGCGGTGGAGACGTGAGAGCGACGAAGGAGACGTTACTGGGAGCCCTGGAAGCCTTGAGAGCCTTGGGAGCTCTTGGACGACCGGTGCGACAAGTCTCGATCAGCCTACTGTCGACTTGGGAGTTTTGTTATTATTGACGCGTCATGACAAAGTCGATCCGTGTTCATCTCGTGTCTTGGCGTGGCCCTCGAGCTTTGGCAGAGCTACAACCCTGTACGCTTCCGCAGACCACTCTTTTTGACCTTCCAGCAAATTCATCGATAGTACCCTTCGTACCCATCGTGTGACTCTATCAGCCGCTATCAGGGCAGGCATCGAGCTTTTTTCGTCGTGGCAAATTCGTTGATGCTGGCGTTCATGCTCAAGTTTTCCTGATTTTCCTTCGACTGCTCACCTCTCCAGCATGTATCTCGAAAAAAACAGTCACCGGGTTTGCGACAATCGCATGTGTTGCGACATACGTCGCTCTGCTTTATCTTTACAGCAACGACAACCGGGTTGTCATCACTACGAACCCTAAAATCCATTCTAGATCGACCGTTGTCAATATCCATCCCACTCATTTCTTTCGCTGAGCCCTAAACAACGTCGCCATGCGTTCCACTTCTCTTGATCGAGCCAGCCTCCTAGGTCTCTCTGCGATAACCGTCACTCTGCTTGTAGACCACAATTCCTAGCCATGCAGATGCCAGACTCGGATTCTCATAGACAGAGCGACATGGAGACATCAACGAAGAGCTCGTCACCCCACAATGGAATTGCTGACTTCTTCGCCCCTGACGTCTTCCAGGCCGTCCTGAGTGATCCTGCCACTGCGATGCGCCTCAGATCATTCTGCGAATCAAATGCTTGTGGCGAAACTATCGCTTTCCTGGAAAAGGTACGTCCAGGTGGTGCGACTAGTTTTATACAGAGACCAACCAGAAGTCCAGATCGAGCAGTATCGCAGTCTTCTGGCTCAAGCACAAGAGATGCTGTTGGATATCCATGCTACCTATACTTCTCCCGATGCAACCGAACCAGTCAACATCACCGAGAACATATCAAGCGGTCTGGCTCCCGCCATCGACACTGCGACTACTGTCACATTCTATGCGATGCAGGATATATTCGCCCCTGCCCGAAAACATGTAGAAGATCTGATCCGCGATGACATCTATCCTCGATTCGTGACACACCAACTAACGACAAGCGCGGCGACCGCGTTGGTCCATGATCGGAAGACTTACCAAGGACTCGGTGACTGCTTTTGTCTTACAGATCCTAGGTAGGATGGTTCCGTGTCCATACTCAGCCTGGTATTAACACAAATCAGCATTGCGGATAACGCAATACTATACGCTTCCGATGGCTTCATCGATGTCACAGGCTACAGCCGCCGCGATATCATACCACGTAATTGTCGCTTCTTACAGGGCGAAAAAACCGACCGTTCATCTGTGGTTCGTCTGAAGTTAGCTATCGACAATGGTCAGGAGACCGTTCAGCTCCTTCTGAATTACCGAAAGGACGGCACTCCTTTCTGGAACCTTCTGTATGTCGCTCCTCTTCGTGATGAGGCCGGAAACATTGTCTTCTTCCTTGGTGGTCAGATTGACTGTTCGACAACAATCCATGGCAAACCCGACGTGATGAAGATTTTGGAGCTGGATGACAGGAAACTCGGCAACGATCTGGCAGTAAAAGACTCGTCAGGCTCAACATACGTACCTCCAAGAGAGCATTTTAAGAGGCATCGCCACATTTTCAAGTCAACTTCGCGAGTGCCTACAGAAGTCAGACAAGGACCGGGCATGGAAAATGACCTGATCCAACGGCTTGGGGGTATTGGCCTCGAGAACCAGATGCGGATGTTCCAAACGGCATACTCCAAGGTAGATGCCTCTTCTGGGAGACGTACAGGTTTCATTTACTGACGTGTGTATGCAGTATATTGTTCTTAAGGTGAAAGACCGAGGGAGCTTCAATATCGCGCACCTGTCCAAGTCTGCAAGCGACTTACTGCGGCTGAGTCGGGCGCAAGGAACAGCTGAACGAATCATGAACGAAGACATCTTCAAAGTCCTCGCTGAACGCTCACCCTCATCATCGACTGTCATGAAGTCATACAAGAAGACAGTGACAGATTTCTTGGGTCAGGGAAAGTCGGTGAGCGTGGACATGGAGATAGCAATTGTGGATATCGCTCGGGGCACGCCGCCGACATGGCCTGCAGTCAAGACAGAACGACGCCTAGTCAGTCACTGGACGCCTTGCAAGGACGAGGAAGGACGGGTAAAATATGTCGTGCTTATCCTCGCGGAGACAAGGGAATTGTAAGTGTCTGCAACAGTCAATGGTATTTTCACCGACACCTCCTCTACTGCAAGTGGTGCTAGCGCTTCTGATCTTGCTAGCAAATTTGTTACTGTTGACGCAGCAAAGCCTGGCATGCTGATCGGTGTCATGGCTGCCGTGTCGGGCTCTCACGTGACCTTCAGAGAACACTCATTTCTGTCTCTCTCGGTCAACAAAGCGTTGAACAAGTTCGCTTGGATGAAAGCACACGCAGAAAAACGGCGCCAAGGGGAATTTGTACCGAGGGAACCATTGGAGGTCGCAAACTCCGGAATTCTGTTGACGCGACAAAGTTCAAGAAGCGTTCCCTCGCGCATCTGCAAGCTCTATAGCTTTGTTTACACGAGACAAAGGGGTGATATAAAGCTGTACTAACGCCTCTCCTATCTTTTGTTCTGTCGCATTTTCTGAGGACCATCGGTTATGAGTGGTGGGATCTCGTGGCGGTAGACTTACATAGTCTACTGCTCGATAAGTCGCTTGTCGCCGTTCAATTTTGGCTGACGCACAATGGCTGACGACGCCCGACCTCGTGCATGCTTGACATGCAAACGACGAAGAATCAAATGCGACCGAGCTAAACCTTCCTGCGCGAGATGTGTCTTGGCAGTAGAGTATTGCGAATGGTCCAAGCCTGTCGCAAAACCCAAGATCAGGTTTGTGGACTCAAGTCAGGCTGTCGCGGCACGCGCCAAATCTTCTGAGAAACAGATCACACCCAAGCCACCAACCACGCCGAAGTATGCCCTGCATGATGACCTGGAGACGCAAGCGATCGCATTTTTCGTCCGAAACTATATTCTCGACAAAAAACCAAATGGAGGACCTACTCCTGGATTATTCGGCCACGTCATGCCTGCAGTGTCTTCCTCAAGGACCTCTCCAGCTGGCATGTCGATTTCTGCTGTGGCTCTGACAGTGTTCTCGAAATGGCGTATGGACCAAAGCTTGACCAAACGTGTTCCCGGAGTCTTAGGTCAGGCTATAAAGAGTTTGTCTCAGGATCTTCAGAAGAAAGACTCGAGACATTCTGATCTTACTCTACTGACCACATTATTATTACAATACCACTCTGCCGTCGAGTCTTTGTTATTTTCCAAGAAAAGTACAATTGTGCATCATCTTGGTGCGCTTGCTTTGGTCAAAGACTTTGGCGATCCTTCAACTTGGTCAGCCATCGCTAGCGAGTTTGTTGGCTGCTTAATCCACCTCGAGGTTACGAAGGCCATTCGCGAGCAGCGTACAGTACACCCGGAGGTTCGCTACTGGAGATCAATTATCGGAGCGACTACAGTGGATCCTATCAGATATCTGGACGATCTAGGCATTCAAGTCGCTGATATGCAGTTCCGAGCATCTGCGCTGCAAGAACGCATCGGTCTTGGCTTGTCATTCGAGGAGGTGTACTCGCTCTTGGATGACATGCACAAACTCGACGAATGCCTTGTTTTGTGGCAAGGAAATGTATCTAGGTTCTGGGGCCCGTTCAACTGGACGCCCCCGAGTATCATCTTCCCGCCAATTCAAGCCTTCCAAGGATCTTGCCATGTGTACACCTCAATCAATGCGGCTAGGAGGTTGAACGACTTGCGCAGTTATCGCCTGACTCTCGCGACGACAGCTCTTAAGCTGATTCGCGAACGAGAAAGAAGCTGGCCTGAGTTTTGTGAGTCGATTCCTGGTCATAGTAGCGTGCATGGAATCATGAGTCGCATCCAGTGGCTGGTCGACGGTATCTGCGCATCGGTTCCTTTTTGTCTTGGCAACAGAAGTAGAGCTGGATCTCTCTTGGATTTCAGCCAGGCGAGCTGGACATTCCCTACGTGTCACGACATGTCCGAGATGTACGGACTCTATGGACGGCTGGCAGAGCCAATGGGAGTCGAATCCCCTTTGGACCATTACAGTCATGGTCTCACGCAAGGTTCGTGGCTCATGTTGAGCAACCTTGCTCTGCTCGTTGCCATGTTTTTGGGTAGCAAAGCTTTGATTCCGGCACTCCCAGTCACAGAAGGGCAGTTGCCATGGATATGTCAGCAATACCTTCGTAATCTATCATTGAACGCGATCGAGTGGACGCATGATAGCTTGCTGGTGGAGAGGGTACTCACGGGCGCGAATCTGCCTCCCGCAAATGTACTCATTTCTGAAGCAAGCAGATGCGTGCGACGCGTTTCGCGCGGCCTTCAGCTCCGAGATGATCCTTGATCCATGGTTCGGAACCAGAGGCAGGAGCTGCTCTGGTGTTGCCATCTGCGCATCCACTGTGCACGACGAGTATCATCGTTTCCGAACTCAGTTGCAAGGTGATTGCCGCATTGGCAAGAAGATGCCGGAGAGGAACAGCACTTGGTCAATATCGGGACCTCCACAGCTAAGCACAGGTTTGATCATGTTGCTTTGGGAGCGAGTCAAGAACATACCCCACATCGCTCGAGACATGTCGCTTCACTCAACGCAAATCACGGTATGCGCTTCTCAAGCAGTTGCATATGGGATGATGACACAAGTGGAGCTGAAAACGGTACCGAGTCAAAGATGGACGGTATCCAACATCGGGAGCCGATGGCGAAACTGGTTGCTGACCTGGGATATGCCAGGTCGCCAAAGGCCGAATGTCGATCACCCTCTTGTCAATGCTGTGAGGGGTAAGAACGCCGCGTCCTTCGGCCGTTACGTATGTCTGTGTGTAGGCAATCATTCTAGAAAACGAGCTTCACCATCTCCGTCGCACTGAGTTTGTCACAGCGGTGCAGAATCGACACTGTCATCTCTTTTCACAATACAATTCGTCTTGACCCTCGAGATCCTCGGACTGCTTGTCCTTGGCTATAGCTTGGTATGGACAGCCTATGTTAGACTCTTCCATCCCCTTAAACACATACCTGGCCCCTCTTGGGCCTCTGTCTCCCGACTATGGATGGTACATCGCATTCGTCAAGGGGATATGGAGGTAGTGCAACGAAGGCTCTACGAACGATACGGACCCCTGGTCGGGATCGCACCCGATGAAGTGGCATGTGCCGACCCGGAAGCCATTCGGAAGATTTATCGCACACAAGCACCATTGAGCAAGACGCACTTTGACCCAGTGTGGGGGTCGAATAACTTGTCCAAATACCCGGACCACTTCGTCAATACGGACGAAAAGCTTCACAGTAGTCGCAGACGTATCGTCAATAATATCTACAGCATGTCCACCATCCTCACCCTCGAACCGTATAGCGACGATTGTGGTGCCATGTTGATCCAACGGCTGGACAAATTTGCGACTTCAGGCACAGTGGTTAACCTCGGGCAATGGTTGCACTGGTATGCCTTTGATGTTATCGGAGAGCTCTTCTTTGGGAAAGCCTTCGGTTTCATGTCAGAAGCAGAAGATCACAAGTCATACATCGGAGCACTGGAAACACTGGTTCCTGTCCTCTGCCAAGCTGCGGTCGCCTCTCCTATAGTACAGCGCATAACTCATGGATCTGCTGCTATCAATCCAGCTACGAAGGAAGCCACGAAAGCGATCAAGCATATCGAGGAAGCCGCGCGTTTGAGTGTTGACGGGCGCCTCGAAGATGAGGGGACAGGCAGGCACGATCTACTGCGTCATCTGCTTGAGATCTCGAGATCCAAGGGCGACAAGGTAGATTTTGGTGTTGGCGAAGTCAAGCTAGAGGCTTACAGTGCCCTGTAAGTTGCTTTCAACTCGCTTCGCTGCCGTCACTGACCAATTTTCAGGTTCGCCGGAGCCAACACGACGGCCATTGGCTTGAGGACTGTCTTCCATCATCTGCTCAAGCATCCTCATGTTTTACAAGACTTGCGCGATGAACTGGACACTGCTGCTAGTGAGGGTCGCCTCTCTAATCCGCCACGTTTCGCCGAAGCATCAAAGCTTCCACTGCTGACGTCGACCATCAAGGAAGCAATGCGTCTCCATCCGAGTGTGGCACTTACCATGCCCCGGCTCGTCGGTGACTCAGGACTTGAGCTTGCTGGCACTGTGATCCCGCCTGGTTGGAAGGTCGGTATGAACGCTGCTGTGATCGGACGCAGCAAATCTGTGTACGGACCTGATGCAGACGAGTTCCGTCCCCAAAGATGGCTAGAAAGTGGTGGTGAGATTTTGGACAGATACAATCTTGTATTTGGTGGTGGAACTAGGACTTGCATCGGCAAAAATGTGAGAACATCCTGTCCCTCACGCCAAACCTCGGAAATTCGCTTGCTAAACCTTTACGCAGATCTCTCTTAGCGAAATACACAAGATCGTGCCTCTGGTTGTACAGAGGTATGATATCAGCTTGAAGCATCCTGACAGAGCCTGGACCACCAAGAACTGTTGGTTCAACAAGCAGGAAGGTCTTGAGGTTCTGATCAGCAGGAGGAAGTCTGAATATTAGCCCTGGGAGGATACATCAAGCTCGTATGTAAGGGAACTTTATGAGCAAACAGATTGATTGTAAACTTTTTATAGAAAGATCTGACAATCATCACATATCATCCGCCTCTGTCGTCTTGACGTTCTTCGCATTTATTGGTCGTCCAACATTTGAGGCAGTCGTGTTCACGGTCTGCTTGACCAAGAACAAGCCATGTCAGTTTCCGATGACGTACAGTCAGCCTTGCACGGATATTGCGGCAGAACCTAGAAGACACGACCCTTGGTCTGCTTGTTCTTCTTGACGTTGATGTCGTGCCAGACCATGACTGCGAAGATACCAACAGCAAGGAAGCAGGTAGCTGCGATCAGCATGTAACGCTGAGCCTCACCGTAGGATCTTGCAATCGCATCCCTAGTCGGACTGCCGACTGCGTACGAAGATTGGACGACGATGCTGCCGTAAATTTGAGTAAAGTTGGCTTGAGACTCTGGCGGAAGATAAGCCTGGAGCCTGGCAGGATAAACGCCGGTCCAGATTGCGGCTGCGATGGAGCTACCGATTGCTCCTCCAATGCTAGTGAATGCGTACTGGATGGCAAGGGCAACCGCGACTTCTTGATGGGTGACGGCGGCCATGACGGCGATCTGCTGGCAGATGACGGTTGTTCCGCCACCCAGAGCAATGAACACTTGACACATGACGATGAAGCCAATGTTAACATCTGGTTGACGGAAGGCGACCATCAAACCGACGCCGAGAACGCTCAGAGGGACACCAAAGTAAAGAGCAAGCCACTTGTAGCGACCTGAAAATCTGATGAGGAGACCTACGATGATAGCCCAGGAGCAGGATCCAAGTGTGTAAATGTTGCGGATGAGGACAGCCTTCGAGATCGAAAGGTCGTTGACGACGATCAAGAAAGAGTAGAAGAAGCTGTTCCAGATGTAAAAGCTGACAAAGGCCAATGCACCATAGATTGATGACCCAAGGACCGTGCGATTGGACAGTAGGGCGATGGGCAAGAAGCTCTTGGGAGCGAAGAACTTCTCGTAGACTCCAAACAGGATGAGAGTGATGATACCAAAGACCAACATACAGATGATCATCGGTGATCGCCATTGCTTGGCTTGGTAAGAGTACAAGCTGAAGGGAAGCAAAAAGAGGGCAAGACCACCGCAAATCAGGAGCAGGCCGAGGACGTCAAGCTCGATGGCGTAGTGCTTGATGGACTGCATCATAGTGCGGCCGCTATCTGGTCTTTTGGTGTATGTACCAAGTTTCTTCGCCTTTCGCTTGTTCAAGGTGAAGATCAGCAACACAGGCAAGCACATGACAGGTGTGACGATGGCAAAGGTACCAAAGCCCCATCGCCAGCCTGGGCCGTTGATGAAGTTTGTCGCAGCAGGACCGGCAGCGAATGTGGTGAAGAGGTAGGGCGTCGAGACGATACCATACACAATTCCACGGTTGCGCAGGCTGGTAGCATCTGCGATCATGACTGCCACGATATACTGAATACCAGTGTAACCTATCCAGTAAAAGACTTGAGCCGCAGCATAGGTTTCGACGTTGTTGCAACCCGCCATCATGACGAGACCAACAGTCAAGAAGCATGCCATGACGGCGAAACCTTCACGACGACCCCATACGTCGATGATTTTAGAGAGAGGCAAGCGTGACAGACCTCCGAGAATGCTCGAGAGGATACCGGTAGTGGCCGTGAGAGAATGCAGTGAGAAATCACTGGTGACATAAGCTGAGAATGCGGTGGACATGGTAGAATGCATCGAATCGACTGTGTAAATCACGTAGATGCTTGGACAGAGTCAGCTTCGGCACAAATTGTGTAAACAGATCAACACGTACAAGAAGAACACGAGGATCAAAGATTTGGTATCCCATGCCGAGGTAACAGCTTCGACTTCGCGCACACCATTTTGAACACTTCCGTCCTCGCTGCTGTCGTCAGAGTGGAAGAAAGTGTTTTCGACGGGCATAGTCTTTTCTCCTCTTTCGTCAGGCGCATCGGATGATTGACCATGGGGGGTACCATCATGCTCAGCAGCCGGTGCGCTGGCCCAGCATTTGGCCCCAAGGTCCCACATAGCTACCGAAGTTACAAATGAGGTTCGTAAGGGGACGATAGAGTCTATCAAAGATTGATTAGATGATCAGATAGAGAGCCGCGGGGCCATAGCATCTTATATGATTAGATCGTGGCAACCTGCTGCCAAGGGTCTTTTTCTTCCTGCCGTCCAGACTTCTTGGCCGCAGCATTGGCAACGATACAAAAATCCTGCCGAGGATGAAGAACATCAACGGAGGATCTATGAATCCAATCAGTCAGGCACGCCAAGCGAGCGACAAAGCCGCCAAGTCAGGCGCCAAGTGATAAGTTATTCAACAGATCGAGTACCAGCGTACCACTACTGTTCAGCCGCATCGCGTTCGGCACAGATACAGTGTTATACCTCAAAGCAAGAGCACGACACTCGCGCGCGCTCTTCCTGCTTCCATATCAGAAGAGACCTGACTGTTTGGAGTCGATCCAAAGCGAGATCGTTCATTCATCTCTAGTTTGCTCTGCCCAGATAGCGAGAAAGCACCATTGATGTCATCTCGAAAGAGTGTCGCGTTGATACTCTGCTGAGACAATCGCCATCCTCCTCGGTACAGGACTAACAATCTTCCATCCAGCTCTTGGCCAGTGTGCAAGAATTGGAAAATGCACCACTCCAACGCTTGCCCACTGAGAGTGATAGATGCCTCTACACATGCAGTGTGAATTCCGTCCTCAATGACCTTCTGCTCGTTCTAAATCTCAGCAGAGTTGTGCATACGCGGTATCTTCTGTCGTTTCGATAGTGAGAGACTAATCTAAGTCTCTCATCTTGCGACAGCATGAACTTCTGCCAGAACTCATCATCCCATGTATAACCCTGTCTTCGAAAAAGAATGATACTGGTATGTCTGCTGCCTATACTAGGATCCCAATCTATGTTCGTGCTTTCTCCTTGCTTGCCAATAACTTCTTGACCTCATCTTGGTGCTTTGAGAAGTTGTCTATGTTTTTGGTCATCGGTAGGAAACATTGATTATTTGGAAGTGAGATAACGTACCAACAAGATTATTCCACATCTTGGGATCGTGTTCGTGCTTCTTGTCAGTGTTCCATGCGAAGTCGGTAATAGTGAATGGTCTCGAGTTCTCGAACATGATTGCGACTGCTCCCTTGGAGATCTGCATTACTGGAGGTTCGTTCTCAGTTGCGGCTTTGAACTCCTCATAAGCCACGCCGTGTGGAACCATACCACTCTCATAGGATGCACCGCCAGGCTGGAACCCACCTGATCGACCGCCGTAGTCACCATAAAGAAGTCCCATGAATTCTGATGCAACATTTCGATGGAAATACGGAGGACGGTATGTGTGTGAAGCCACGTCCCACCTAGGTGAGAAGATGAGGAAGTCGGCTAGTGGTGCAGCAGGATCCCGAGAACGGGCAGTAAGCACGCAGAAGATACTGGGATCAAGATGGTCCACTGAGATAGAACCAACATTTACGAACTTGGTGAGATCGTTTTTGTAAGGAACATAGTTTTCATGCCATGCAACAACATCGAAGGGGCTGTGCTGTTGAGAGCTTCGAAATAACTTCCCACCAAGTTTGTATGTGACAGTCCATGGCTCCTGCTCGATCTCATACTCGGCCACAGGGTGCAGGAAGTCTCTAGCGTTGGCCAGTCCATTCGCACCGAGTGGGCCCAATTCAGGAAGTTCGAAGTTGGCACCCCAGACCTCAAGAATGTATCCTCGCGAAGGACCGTCAGGCAGATTGACTTTAAATTTTTGGCCCCGTTGAATGACCACAATCTCACCTGGCTGAACGCAAAGCATGCCGAATTCTGTCTGGACATCGAGAGCACCTTGCTGTGGGCATACGAGATAGTCACCACCAGAGTTGGCAAAAGCTGTCTTCTTCATGTCGGAGTTTGCAGCGTAGATGTGAGTTGCGATTCCCTCTCGTAGGGTGGGGTCGCCGGATCCAGCGATCGTCTTGAGTCCAGCGACGAAGTCGATCCCGTCGCCGTCGGGTACATCGAACGGAAGCCATGCGAGCTGTGTAGGAGAAAGGTGGAATCTTGGGTTGCTCGGCGGGAAGTTTGCTTCCGTATCTTCATTGTCAGGCAGTCCTACCTGAGAGGATCATTAGCTGACGACATCAGACGTGGGAGTGGCCCCTTCTCATGAAACCCTGATGGGCGACCGACGGTCTGGCTCGATAAAGCCAAGCTTTCTTGTTGAGGTGTCGAGGTGCGACGAAGGCTGAAGCCGTCATCCGTTCGGCATATAGCCCGAACCGCACATTTCTGGGACTGTTCTGCCCTTGAGGCAGGGTTCCAGGCACTGCTTCGGATGCAAAACTTGGTTTTGTCAGTACGAGTGGTCTTTAGCATTGGTGCAAAGTATTGACCTATTGTTGAACCCCGATTGATCCTGTGGAGCGTTGTCAGTGTTATGGTTGGTATTCTCTGGTTGCTCAAACTTACCTCATAGGGATCATCTTTTTGAAGTCCGAATGATGGGATAGCCCCGTCCTGCTGGGTCTCTGCCCAGTGGAAGATATCTTGGTATTCCTTTCGATTCGACAAGCTCGCAGTCATGGTAGCTATGGACGGTTTCAGTTTTTGAGTGTTGTGTGAGATCTGGGACCTACCTTGTTTGATATAGCCATAACTTCAAGCGGTCATGAGTGGGGTCGTTAGTATGGCAATCGCTCCTTGAAGCACTCGTGTAGACCTGTAAAGGTCTGTAAGATCCATTGTCAGGCCGATGGTCACGACTCACAAATGGTTCGGCGCGATCTTACCCCACATGGTTGCCGGACAACATTCAGCCACCTTGAGACTCCGCTCGATGCTAGCGCCATGGCTTCCCAGCACTTGGGGGTCATCAGGTAGTGGATCAAAAATGGGATTCCTCAGATCATCAGTAGTCAGTTCACTGCGACGACTCCACAGAGGTGCGACATTATCCATCATGTTCCCTGCGTGACCCACTGGCAGTGTTTCTTCATCTTTGTCCCATCACCTTACATACCACAACGATCACCCCCAGCAGTATGACCGCCGCTGACCCAGGGAGGTCTTTCAAGAATGTCCGTCTGTAGACGATAGCTCTTCTCATACGACGACTAACCATATTTCCAGGTGTTGATTGTCGGTGCTGGCCCCGCTGGATTGCTTTTGGCACTATTCCTTGCAAAGATGGGTATTCAGACACACGTAATTGATTCCGCAGAGACTCTAGACGATCAACCACGAGCGATCCATTATGGAACCGCCGCTGTCCATGAACTGGCTCGTGCTGGAGTACTGGATGATATCCAAGCCGAGGGACTGATTTGTCGGAATTTCTGCTGGCGCAAACTGGACGGAGAGGTCATCGCTGGCTTAGATAGTACTTTACTTGACGGCACTTTGGACCAAGTCACCTGTCTTCCGCTCAACCAAGTCAGCAAGATCGTCATGAAGCACATCTTGGAGCAGCCAACAGCAAGAGTGTCGTGGGGTCACAACGTTACCGACATTGGACAAACTGATGAAGAAGCTTGGGTCGAAGTGGAAACATGCAAAGAGACTAAACGTCTCACAGCCGATTATATTGTGGGATGCGATGGAGCTAGAAGCATTGTGCGGCGTAAGCTCTTTGGCGTGGACGACTTCCCTGGACACACTCTGGAAGAACAGATCGTCGCCACGAATGTGAGTGTCTATATACTCAGCAATATACCTCGTCTATTGACAAGAAGTTGTGTAGACCTACTACGACTTCGACAAGTATGGTTATCAGGATTCAAATTCCATCATCCACCCTGAGCACTGGCATATGGCTGCCAGAATTTCCAACGATGGTCTGTGGAGAGTTTCGTATGGCGAACTTGCCGGACTCTCACGCGGGGACGTCATTGCTCGTCAGCCCGAGAAATCCATGCGCATCTTGCCTGGTAGCCCCTCACCTGGCCAATACCAGCTAGTCAACATAAGTCCTTACCGGGTCCATCAACGTTTGGCCAGAAGCATGCGAGTTGGGAGATTTCTTCTTACCGCTGACGCTGCCCACCTATGCAACCCCTTGTAAGTCGGCATGGGATATTGGCCACAATAGCGGGAGACTTATACTGACATACTGACCAAATGCTAGCGGAGGTTTAGGACTCACAGGTGGAATCGTTGACGTGGCAGGTCTGTCTGACCGTCTTAGCGGCATCTATGATGGCAATGCCGACGAATCAATTCTGGATGAATATAGTAGAATTCGTCGGGAAAAGTACTTATCCATGGTCAACCCTATCTCGCTTGAGAACATCGGTCGACTGCATAGCTAAGATCCAGATGCAGCTATAGAGAACGATACCTTCTTGAAAATGTGTAAGAAGGCTAAGAAATATCCGGAATTTGCGAAAGTCATATTAAGAAGCGCGAATGATTTGCGATATGATTTTACAACACTATACAGGACCGAGGTTGTTAGTCAATAATCAGGCGTGAATCATCTCAACTCCGCTAGGTGATTCAAAATCGCGCTTTCAATCGATATCATCCTCTGGTCTCTCATATATCGGTTTACATTTCGTCCACTTCCGCTCCCTTCACCATGGTTTAAGGATCGAGACTTTCGCAGACATGCTAGACCAGTCTCTGATTTATCCAAGATCATTCCTGCTTCAAGCGTATATACACTGCAGTGAGCTTGACAACACGAGACAAGATAGATAAGGACTGTCAAGGAGTGGACCTCCTCGCTTTAGCGCCTAGTCTGCACAATCGCGGATTGGGCTCACCACAGTCCTCTCAATGTCTACACACGTACGCAAACCCGATTTAGATCCGGGAAAGGATCCACTGTCGATGTGGGGTACCCCACATGCACGGGTGGGATACGGATGAGAGACTGCGGAGTGATACTCTGCGGTTGACTGGGCTTGATTTACGTGTGGTCCAGTCTGACTCCATATAACCATCCCAGAAGGTCGGCCGCTGATCAAACCCAGACTTCCACCAAAGTTTCCCATTCATCATAACAACCATGGCCTTTGGTGGTATCCTTGAAGATTCGCATCTACCTCATGTTCCGGGAACCGTCATCCTCAATGAGGAGGCGGCACATTCTGAGAGCGTCACAGGTGGACTACGACATGGTATGGGGAGAAATGCCGGAGTCGTTCTTGCTCCGCAGCCTTCCGAAGATCCGAACGATCCTCTCAACTGGTCTGATACAAAGAAGATCTCCATCATCTCGATCCTCGCTTTCGATGTCATACTTTACGCAGGAACCGTAGGTCCACTGCTGAACGCTGGTCTTTCGACAATCTCGCATGACTTTGGAGTCCCGATCGGTGATATCACCGTCATCTCTGGTTACCAATTGCTTGTCGCTGGTGCCTTCGGACCTTTGGTTTGCGCCTTCTCCAGGAAGTATGGCAAGCGTCCGCTCTTCATGCTCTGCTCTATCTTGGGCGTTGTTGGGACTGTTATTGGATCGGCATCAAACGGTCTCAATGCGCTTCTTACTGCACGCGTGGTTCAAGGCTTCGCAATCTCAGCTTACGAGTCGCTGGTCATCACCGCAATTGGCGACCTCTTTTTCGTGCATGAGCGGGGCCTGTATTCTTCGATCATCAACTTTCTACTCGCAGGCATCTCGAATTTCTCGAGTGTTATCACAGTCACGATCGTATCCAACCTTGGTTGGAAGTATCTGTTCCACATTCTGTTGGCATTTGTGGCCCTCCAACTCATTCTTCTCATCCTGTTTTGTCTGGAGACAACTTACAATCGAGACAAAAGGTATGATACCGACGAGGTCGCAAATGTGGATCTCGAGAAGCTTGCGGAAGTCGAGCACCGAAACGACACGGAGCTGGAAAAGAGCGCAAGTTCCGCCACGAGAGCGAAGCCGGTCCCCCTTCCGAAGACATTCAGACAGGAATTGGCTATTCTCACTGGTGTGTACACAGACGAGAATCTGTTGCAGCTGGTGCTCGGATCCTTCGCTGTCTGGACAAACTTCACCGCCGCCTGGGTCATCATTGCCGTCGGGGGTTCTACCGTTCTCTCCGTGGCAGTGGCCTTTGTGCTTGCGCAGATCTTCACTTTGCCTCCATATAATCTGACCGCTGCAGGCGTCGGATACTTATCTTTAGGACCGTTTGTCGGATCCATCATTGGCTCCGTTATCGCTTGGGGATACATGGCTGAACAGGGTATCAACCTGTACGCTTGCGCAACAGTCCATGGCATCGTGCTGGTGGGAGTCGTCGCCATCTGCACCGCGGCTACAGCATATGCCCTTGATGCGTACCGGGATATGAGCAACGAGATCTTCATTGCAATCATGCTATTCAAAAATGTTGTACTCTACAGGTTCAGCGAGTTCGTCAACAACTGGACAGCGTTTGCTGGACCTTTTGTCGTCTACAGTGTCTTCGGTGGCATTGGGCTAGCATTAACGCTGGCAGCTATCCCAGTCTACATCTTTGGCAAACAGTAAGCACCTTGGCCCTAGCCTGAGAATTCAATACTAACAGGGATTTTCCATAGATACCGAAGTCTCTGGGCCCGCCATAATCTGCTCGAGCGGATGGGTGTCAAGACACATGCTGAAGTTTGAGGAGGTCAAGTCTAGGTTCCGTGAGCGTATTGTTTTAGTTTGCCACCAGTATAGTCAAGGAAATTGAGAGTGTGCTCAATATTGCAGACCTGTCGGATTGGAACAATCACTCTCTTGTTGCGATTTGATATCTCGATCAGTGTTTCCGCGACAGATTGTCGCGCGACGGTGGGATGTCGTCGAACGTTTAGCACAACCAAGTCCTCCTGTGACTCGACACATGGGTTACGACAGAACGTTTCGGCAATGTCGAAGTGATCCAGCTCATGGAGTCGTTACACTATCCTGCAAAATCGGTATCAGGGTCGGGCTTGCCTCGAAACGGAAGTGCCGCTCGTTTGGAACAGCCAGGACGGCAAAAGTTCCGCGCGCTTTCGGAGATGGGTACGGTGGATCCCACACCCCCGCAGATCTGGTCAACCGTCACGAGAGATCCTTCCACCCCCACGCAGACGGCCTCAGCTTGTCAGAAAGGATCAGTCCTGTAGACGACCACAACCATGTTAGCATGTTCGACATATCCAATCTGCCAACGCCTCCCTCGCAAACATCCGAAACCTCCTCCGAGAAAGCGCACTCCCAAACGCGATCACCATACAACGCAGAACCCAACATAAACATGTCTCTCAAGATGTTGAGTCCACACTCAGATACAATGCCACACCCTAGTCTATCAGACGATACTGGGGAGATGAGGCCAACCCTTGTATCCGCAGAGAGTCCAGGAGTCGGATCACTCGTCGCAGTACACCAGCGTATTGACGACACCTTGCTACGTCTGAGCTCCACAAAGCAAAGCACATCTCTCGATGATTGATCTAGTCCCAAGACCTCGAATCTTCCATCTGGATCGCTAGACTTCGATGGAAAAGGTGAGTGGTATGCTTCGGACGTGACGGGCTCAGTCACCGGCTATGAAGAATGGGTACCACCACCAGGGACTGGCGTAGCGGATCTGCCTCTGGATTTTCACGAAGATCAAAACATATTCCCAGAAAATTTCGACCTGATCACCATTGATAGCATGGCTCTGAATCATGCCGCCTTGGATGCCGATGTCTCGACATACTTGAATCATTCAAAACAAGGACCTTGGGATCAAATATCCAGACATCGCACACAAAGCCCTGCCTTTCAACAAGACGCATTCCCAGAATCAGCCTCATTACCGATTGAAGCTAGTGCTCTAAACGTCAGCATTGCAGATGCAGGAAGTCCCGGAATTCTCTCGAGAATGCCTAGCCTGCTGAAGGAAACCCCTCGCAAGACACTGACACATCCAATCATAGATAAGAACGTTTACTATGCGATGATGACTAGCGTCCGGTTGCAGGTATCATCAACTGCAGACATGGAGCCTTTGATGTCCCTACAAGAGATGCAACAATTCCTAAAGTGCTATCTCATCTGTTTTCACAAGCTTCTCCCTATCATTCATCTACCCTCTCTCGATCTCGAAACAGTTCCATGTCATTTGATACTGGCAATATGCGCCATTGGAGCTCTCTATCGACTACGCCGTAAGACAGCCCATGATCTCTGGCAGTGCGCGACTCAGATCTGCGATAAGGTATTGATGGCTGAAATTCCGAAATGTGGATACCAGATAGCTGACAAAATTCGCAAGGAAATGAGACTCGACACGAATGGCGACCCTCTCACGACAACCGCCACAATCGATATGCAATGCAAGCTGCTAGTCACTTGGTTCTCCGTCTTCAGCGGAGACATGACACAGCACGCAATCTCTGCTTCTGGGTTCTGGGCTACGGTATGAATGTCAAGATAAAGACGCCCAAAAGCAATGGTCTGCTGACACAAGTCACAGCGATATCGATCTTGCCGGGTGTTGCTTGCATCCGTTTCACCTGATGCCGGAACCGCTACATGGGAACAATGGATACTGAGGGAGACAGCGAAGAGGTCTGTATCTCCATGCAGATATTCTGGTACCTATCTGACGATCGAATTCAGATTGTTGTATGGGATATTCATCATGAGTTCCATGACTAGTCTGGCGTACGACGTTCCTCCGTTATTTTCGATTACCCAGGATCTAGACATCGAATTACTGGACGAAGAAAAACTATGGGAAGCACAAACCCGTGAAGAATGGACCGCTTTGCAGAGACGACGCACGCAAAGTCCCAACCTCACTGTCAGGACCGCCTTTACTCATCTTGTTCTTGGCAAAGAACACCAGACGTCGCTTAAGATGACCTCTCCTCTGAGATGGACTGCGTTCTCAACTTCGATGATCATGCATGCCGTGAACGTATATATGTGGCACCTGATGCAGTCTTCCTAATCATTTGGCGCCTTCGCTGTGGAAGACACTACCGCACTTGCTCTCAAGACTGCAATGGTCAGTCAGACTAAAGCTACGCTTGCCAGATGTTATGCGCTGCTTACAGCAGATCGTCCAGAGCAAGAACGTACATCCGACGATCCAGAGGGACCTCTGCTCTTCAATTGTCTTGCGCTCTTACGATCTGCACATATCAGAGTGTTAACTGGAGCTGATAACTTCAACCGAATGACACTTTTGACTGGAGGTGCTCAACAGGTCTCAACGTCTGTTGAAGCATTCATATCTGGCAATGCTCTGGAGAGAGGACCTCTGATGACCCGAGCGGTAGACAAAGCCTATGGCGCTTTCCTCACTCCGATCAAGGCTGGCTACTTGTTGGTACGCAAGACAGCAGCTCTAACCTGGAGCCTGGAACATCCTATCGCTGGATGGGATTGCGCTTTGTTTGCCACAGAATCGGTACACACGCTCGAAATGTCACAGCTCGAGTATCCACTCACTCAAGACGAGTTGATGATTATTTCAAACTTTCGTGACCTGCTTAGCGAAGCTGACAGCGATTATGACGGATACGGAAGTCTGGCAGGAGAGATCATGGGGTCCTGGGCGAGCCTTATGGATGACACATGGACTTGGGGAATCACGCCTCGGATGGCTCGGGTTATGAGGGAACTTTCAGATGCTTGCAAACAAGACTGGAAAAGACACTTTCCGAACGGTAACGTTGGTGGCCCGATTAGTTGATGATTATTATTCAGCGCGGCCGGGGATCGCGCAGTCTCACTCGTTATCGTCTGGAAATCGCTATCTTGCGATCAATCAACCAGTCGGAGCTATAGCGACTGTTTTACAGGTGTCGCATAGATGCGAGGCTACAGAAATATGGGACCCCTGCTGATCATATATCGTTCAGCCGAAGTCGTGGCTACAGATGACTACCGTAACAGCTTCCTCCTGGTCTAACAAAAGTTTAATTCTCGAAAGCGGAGATAGGGCTCAAGCTCTTCGTGCGTAATCGCGGATGATCTGCAAACACTATAGGCTCGGCCTGCAGCTTTTACAAATGGATGTTAAGATCTGGTTCAGCTCTCCGCTGAATGGACATGACCAGCCTCGAACAACCAAAGTAGGTCCAAGTCGACCTCGCGCCGCTCTAGAAGAAGCACAACATTCGTAAGTCGAGCCGAGATGCAAGCTGTGACCACTGATAACCCTACCTCCATGCCACGAACAATCCGACCTTTCAAACATTTTGACCCTTCCTCCGGAGTTTTGCCGCAACATCGAACCTTTTTAAATGCATATAACCTCATGGCCTCTATATACCTTTACATGTTCGTTAGACTATACTTTCTAAGCTATCCATATCTCAAGATTCCATCTTAACCATCTAACAAATAATTTCTAGTAAAGAAACATCGTGCTACTAATAGCATAGTATATCTCCGGCATCTAAGGGTTACTAGAGCATTTAAGCTAACGCGCTAGTTCTACGCGCCGGATAGCGCGCATTACGTCCTAACTACTACGCGTTCTATACTTCTTAGACATTTCTTACCTTACCTTAAGCCATCTTTTAGATATGCCTACCCTCTAACTTTATATTAATTAGCTATTAATCTCTAAGCTACTTCTTTTCGTTACTTATTATCTATGTTATTTTCTAAGGACGAATTTAATACTTATCTTACCTATTTACTATAATATAAAATTATAATCTATAGGTCGTATTAGTTTATAGTCCCTCTATAGGTAATTAAAGGCCATTTATAAGCTTAGCATTCGCCTATTAGTAGTTAATCGATTAGGGGAATCTAGTCTATTATTAACGATCTAGGCGACTCTATTATATAATCCGCCTAGGACGTTATATACCTAGATCTAGATATAGAGCCTATTAAGTGCCTTAAAACGTATTAAGATAGGCTTATATATATAAGCCTTAATAGCGCCGGCCGGTAGTATAGTTATATATATAGGTCCGTTACTAGGATATAATAGCATTACAAATCTGTCTATAAGTAGGTAAACCTAAATAAAAGAGGTGGTAATATACGTATAAAAGTAGTATAGACTTAGAATATCTTATAGGAAAGTTATTTATAAGAGCCGAGACTTTTACTCTAACATTAGAAGATAGAGGGTTAGAGTTAAACCCTTTAGAACCCTATATAAAATCAAGGTTTTAGATTATTACTTTAACCTAAACCCTTTACTCTATAAAAGCCGAACCCTTTACTTTAATAAACTCGGAATCGGCTTAAATTAGCACTATTACGGTTCTGCCTACGCTCCGAGTCGAACCGTAGACCTTTAGGACTAGCGGAAATAAGCCTACCTTATCTCTAGCGTGGCTAAAGCTCCTACGTAGCTTATCTACAACTCGGAGCTTACGCTCCTCTTACTTCTACCGTACGATAGCTTATATATTAAATTAACTATTAAACTCGCTACGACCGTGTCATTCTATCGTACTAACCCCTTATAGGCTAGGCCTATAAATTGATACGTACTACGCGTAATACCCCTAACTTCGACTAGTAAGAGCTCGTTAACTTAGCTTAAGATAAGCACCTATAATACCGCCACGTAAGGTAAGGCAACCTAAGACCCCCCTCCGATTAATAGCGATAGATCTAGCTTAATTAACCGCGAATAGTAACTTAAGGAATAGCTAGTTTATAAGAAC